TTCTTCTTCTTCTTCTTCTTCTTCTTCTTCTTCTTCTTCTTCTTCTTCTTCTTCTTCTTCTTCTTCTTCTTCTTCTTCTTCTTCTTCTTCTTCTTTTTCTTTTTCTTTTTCTTTTTCTTTTTGTTTTTCTTTGGCACTTTCTGGCCAGATACATGTCCTGCTGCTTTATCTAGTAGATTGAGTGAGTATCCGCATCTTCTCGCAGTAGATGCCAGCCATGAAGCCACAGAATCCGTGTCTTCCTTGTAGATGGCGTAGGTTCCTTTGAGAAACCAAGGCAACATATCGAATTCGGTCACAAAAATCGGGGGGTGGTCACGAACGAAAGAACATGCAGCGATGATGGCTCAATTCGCAGGAACACTCAGCATATATGCGAACGACTGGAATCACGATGTGTGACAAACAGAGATGGAAGGAGCAAACAATAAAAAACGTGGTGCTGCGGCAGAAATTCACCGCCTTCTTTGACTGGGACCAAAGCTCCTTCTCTGCACATATCTAACTCACTTTCGGTCTCGCTCACAGCAGCGAATAAACAGTAACTTCTAGAGTCTCTACTCCAACCTGAAGAATACCGACGGAAGTATGCAGGAGAGCATAAGGCAAGCAATCCTTTTTGTCCATCTCTAGTAGCTAAGGTGAAGTAGAATGCGGATGACTCGATCTGCGAATCTCGATAGGGTTGCTTGCTAATCTTCTTTCCACTCCAGCTACTTTCTGCGTTTGTCCGTTGACTCTTTCCGCGCCAGCAATCTACCACATTTCGATACATAATGCTTTCTTCCACTCTGTCTCGAGATGCTATACCCACCCCTTTCAGCCTTGCAGCTGGAAAAACACCACCGATTCTAGCTCACATCGAAGGACCCTTGGGACTACCAACAGCTAGTCATCATCATCTGAATTCTCCTCGTCTGAATGGAAATGTTCCGAAGCAAGGTCTTCCTCAGAATCCGAGTCAACATGCCAAAACTCTGAATAGTTGTGTCCAGGTTCTCCCTCCCACTCAAAGCCGACGCTGAGTTGTTGAGCTCGTATGCGAAGGCCGATCAAGTCTTCCTCCAACTTATCAGGACCTTCATATAATGTAAAAAGCTTTAAAGCGGCAAGGTTAGGGAAATCAGGGGTGGGTTCGAAGGTGTTGAAGATTGCCTCGAGACTCGGCTTGATCAACATGCTGGTTCTTCGGACAACGAGTTGCTGTATGCTTGTTGGCAGGTTCTTGTGCATGTTTGCTTGTCCCTGATTGTAAAGCAACAAGTGCTGATCCACCTCAAGGTGACGTAAGTTCTTGAAGGATGTCAGGTCCAGGTCTGGATCAGTGATATACTCAGGCACCATCATGGTGAGACGCTCCAGTGTTCCGGCCAGATTTTGAAGAGCAGTATAGACTGTCGTTCCAAGGAAAGGTGCCTCTTCTTCTGGGTTGAAGGCGAATTGAGAGTTGAGGGTGAGAGATCTCAATCCTGTGCATTTTGTCAAAAGATCTGTGATGGCTGATCCGCTGAGCCTGCAGTGTACAAGGGTCAGATTCTGGAGAGATGTGAGGTCGATGTTTGGCTTTGGCCATGGCCATAATTCTTTGTGCCATTGTTCAAGGCCTCTTGCATCAATTGATGTGAGCGACGGTAGCGACAGGAGATCCACACAACGTTCCAGTGAGCCTTCGCCATGACAATTCGACCACACATTGAGTGATTCGAGGGCCTTCAAAATCTGGGGAGGTAGCTGTGATTGAGACTGGATGCTATCACGACGTTTCCTCAACATCCCTTCTCCAGAAACGATGGTCCAAGATGTAGGTCTGGGGCCAACAAGGGCGTCATGTAACTCTCGTACATACTTAGTAAGGTCGCCTCTTCTCGACTCGATACGTAAGAAGCGCAGGCTCGGTAGTATAACCAGCAGAAGTGCGACCTCTGCTTGCTCCTCGCCGGACCGGAGGTCTTTCAGCCAGGATCTTCTGGTTTCGATACTCATACGCTCAAATCCTTGGAACGTCCTAAGAGTATCCACGAATGTGCTGGCAAGTGTACCGTGCAAGGAAAGCCTTTCGTACAGCTTCTGGATTTTTCCTTCGAGAGCACTATCTTCGACAAACCAGCCGATACGTAATTGTTCGACCATGACAGCGAGATCTGGACGCTCGATCAAGGTACGTAAGAAGTATTCGAGTCTCGTTGTTTTACGGATGAAGTTCTGTTCGCTGCATTGGTAGTACTTGTGTCGCCATTCCGAGTCCGACTCTAACAGCAGGTTGCGAGCATTAGATCTGCTGTATTTGGTGAAGCTGCCGGATAGTCGTGGCTGGAATATGGCGCGAAGTTGCTTGGAGACAAGACAGAGACTGATAAGAGTTCGCTGTACGACTCTGTCGTGTTCTTTGACTGTCTCGGACTCACGCGTGCAGAGGTCTAGCGGAGGGTAGAAATATCCTGCGACCTTGAGCCAGATCTCATTGGGAAGGTAGACCATGTTTGTTATGTTTTGCAGATCGAGGCAGGTCGCGGAGGCGACTTGGTCGATGAACACACAGATGAAAGAGAGGGAGGGAGTGGGTCAATAGTGAAGACAGAACAACGTGGAGGAAAGTGAGTTGGAGAAAAGACACGAGTTGGGCAAGGGAAGGTGCTACCACTCAGACTTCACTTCCCACATGTGACTTTCACATGGCTTCTAGGTATAGCCAGACACTTGAAGGGACAGCCAACCTTTTTCCTTATACGATCAAGCACCAGTGCAATCTGCTATCAAAATGCATAATACCTAACAAGATTGGGTGTAGTCCAAGGAGAAAGGTCATCTCAAGGTGTTTCCATGGCTACTCTTGTGTTTGAAAAGATCTTATGCATTTTGATAGTATGTAAACTCACACTCATCACTACGCGGGAGAGCAGACGGCTGCCATGGTAATAGATAAGCATGGAGTAATCTGGAAATGTCGCGCATTCTGTACGCTCTAGCACAAGTTCTATGTGTGTTCTTGTGGGTAAGCGGTATGAGCACACTATGATACTTGACAGTCTAAAGGCAAGGAGTGGGCTGATGTAAGGTCTTCAAGTAAGCTAGAGTATTTCTAGAGGATTGATGATCAACCGAACCGAAGAAAGAAAGATCGTACGCCCAGCTTCGGCCTCTAATACCACGGAGAGCAGCGAGTGGGTGACGACATCATTGTCGGTACCTTAGCCCAGTCTATATAATAACACTATAATAGGCAATGGAAGATAGAGGACACAAACACTCTATCACAAGTTTACAAGAGGTGTGGCTTAACGGGACGAGGCAGGCAAAATAGCATTCGAGCAGAGCTGTTGCATCGGGTTGTTAGAAGTCTACACTGCTGAATTTACTTAGTCCTCAACGTTATAGTTATCCACATCATGCTCGTCATCCTCCTACTCCTTGCTGTCATCGGCTTCCGAGGTGCTTGCTTGACCATCCTCGTCCTTGGCTGTACAGTCTCTGGAATCAAGGCCGTATTGCAATCGTTTTTCACTCACTACACAGCTTATTGCCGACTGATCGAGACTTATTCATGGATGCGCGCATTTTCACTTAAGTGATTTACTCTTTGCAAAACCTCAATGCTTTGAGATTTTCTTGACTTGATGACACCGTATGCGTAGTCCTAGTCCAGTACCTTTGGCGCTTCATGCAGAGATGAATGGTGAAATGTAAAGTAAGATCCATGGACCGGAAGATGTGACCTGCTTAAAACTGAAGTTGATGTGTGTTTCACGAAGCCTGAATCGATGTGAGGCACGGGAAGAGAAGCACAGTCCTTGTCATCTTCGGGACCATGGTACTGATTGTGATTTCGCCGGCCAGTGTCGAAAGATCTGACACAAGTGGTATGGCGTTCTGGCTTCTCGAAATCGGCTCGATCAACCGATGCGGTTGATCTACTGAAGGTGGCAACAAGCAGAAGACGGACAATGCTCAGGTATTGCCGGGCGAGATGAACTGCAAAGTCAAGCGTCGTTGAATGCTATAACCATGGGCAGAGGGTGACGAAGGCAACGTGACGTAAATGGAATGCTCGAGAACCCCAGGGTGGTATACATGGTGATTGCGAGTCTGGGCAGGAGATCGTTCACCAAGTGATTCGACCACATGTTGACTCCGGAGAATGTGGTCTCTCCGAGATACTGGTCATAGATGATACAACTTCCAGAAAGAGTTTTTCGACTACTACCGAGAAGTCTGGATGGAGACTCGATTTGTCGCTCGTCGGCAGCCAAGTCTTCAATAAGGCAACCGACGGTCTACCAGACATGGATATTCTGCCATCATGTATGTTGGTGAATATGTAAGGCCTACCTGTCGCACAGTCCCTGAGAGCAAACTTTCTTGGTCAGTCACGAGTTTCAGACTTCTCGAGTTGATAGCGAGTCTTCTCAAAAGAGTGAAAGTAGTAATGTGGTCCAGGACGAGTAAAGGGGGAGGTCACGATGGAGGGCTCAAGTTCGAGTATGCAAGTCAAACCACCATTGTGTAAGATCAGGAAAAAGTTGCGTGGTGCAAGCAAGATGCTCAGTTGCTGCTGGGTTGCCACAAACTTGGACAATAACCCTTGGAGATCGTAAAATCTCAGTTGTGATGTTCTGAAGCCGTGCTGCTTCAGATTGCAAAAGACGGATTTGAACGTCCCAGTGGCAATAGCTTCAGCTGATATAGTCAGGTTTCAGACATCGGGATTTGTGAGCATACAACACGTACGATCGGCTGAAGCCATCTCTTGTTCAGAGCCGGATTCTGTAACGAAACTATTGGGACGCGACATCTTTGTTGAATTAGGAGCGAGGCAAAAAACATGAGCTCGATGTACATGCCAAAGAACGTCATCGCTATCGGGTTCGACGGCCCAGGCAATGCCAGGATCACAGTATAGGCCAGGGTTGCAGACATATAAGTCAGACTCCGTCCTCGAATAAGAACAAAAACGTGGGGGAAGATGATTCTGCACGTTGAGGTATGGAAGACGACTTCTTTTTTGTGTTTGTACCTGTCCCGAGGCAGACATGAAGATTGAGAACGAAAAGTGCAGCGAAGCAAGCCGCAATGGAATGTGTAAAGACACCTTTTAAGCCTTTATGCAAGGGTCCGGAAAGATGGATTGCTGAACGAAGATGGCAAAGACAAGTCTAATGGACGAATGAAGCATTGTTCTTCGTCGATGCGTATGCGAGCGAAGCAAGCTCTCTTTTATGGCGACATAAGGAAATCTCTAGAGACGAGTGCTTCTTTGTTAAAGGCGAATCGACGAAGACTCCCCAAGATGACGTCTCGCAAGTGTGGACGCCTAGTGTTTAGCAATACGGTAACTTCCTTTCTAGATAGAAGGGAGAGAGATGTAAGGACCGCTCTCCGAAAGTGTTGTCTGTAGGAATTTGTAAGACAGCTACGACTTCGTAGTAGCAAGTGATGTATAGTACAGCACACGTTCGTCCCGGACTCTAAAGGGCAGGAGCCTTGGTGGTTTCGGCGAGTTATAAGGAAGGAACAACTTACTAGGTAGAGAGTGCACTAATGACATTTACGAAGAAGTATGGTAGCGTTGATCTAAGCCATGGTTGGAGGACGTACCTACTTTGATATAGATCGGCAAAGATATGCAGTGGTAAAACCATAGACACAATACAGGATAACGGAAAGTGATCAGTTGGACGAGGACTGCGAAATAGAAGTCTCTTAGAGAAAAGAAGAATCACGGTGTCCTAATGGTAAAGCCAAGTGAAGTAAGGGTGCTCGAGACAATGTTTCTCGAGTGGATAGTACTTGTTTTCTTGGTAAGATTAAATAATTCTCAGATACGAAGAAGGAATAGAAGTAGGTAATGACTACTGTCAGAGAGCGGCATTCGTAGAGGCAAGAGGGCAGGAGCTTTACTTACGCAAGCAATCCATAAGGAGGCTGCCACCTATTGCCGAAAAGAATGCTCCCAATGGTATATAGAAACATGTGATTTATGTGTCCATCTCATAATGCTTACCAACACATCTGAAGAATGATTGGAGGATATACTCTACCCTGATCCGACATGAGGTTGGTAACTTATGAACACAAAACAAGGGATGGAAAGTGATCACGTGGAAGAGGACTGCGAGATGGAAGTGGGAAATATACTTGTGGTAGTCATGGCGTGGCATAGCACACTCGCTGAAATTCTTTTTAAACAAAACTCGTCTAAAAGCATCGCTCGTGTCAAATAGAACTCGATACCTATTACAGTACCGACAATGGTGTCGTCACCCACTCGCTGCTCTCCGTGGTATTAGAGGCCGAAGCTGGGCGTACGATCTTTCTTTCTTCGGTTCGGTTGATCATCAATCCTCTAGAAATACTCTAGCTTACTTGAAGACCTTACCATCTGCCCACTCCTTGCCCTCGGGCTGGATGGGAGCATCCCAGGCCCACATGTCCTCGACGAACTTCTTGTCCTCGGGGTTCTTGGGGTCGAGCTTGGTGAACTCGTATGACTCGACATCGGGAGCGACGTCGAAGGCAGGAAGAGCCTCCTGGCCACGGACGAGGAAGGCACCACGAACGATCGAGTCGTTGGTGACACCGTAAACGGAAGCGGCACCGAAGATGTACTTGCGGGAAGCCTCGAGGCGGGTGAAGAAGCCACCGATGAGGTTGGAGGTCATGAAGGTCATGGTGAGCTCATCGTTGTACTTGTAGTCCATTCTCCAGAGGGAGTACTCCTCGAAGTTGACGTTCTCCCAGAACCAGGGAAGGGCAACCTCGCGGGTCTCCTCGTTGGAGTACTTGCGCTTGAAGTCGTCAAGAGCGAAGGTGGGGCGGCCGAGAGCCTCAATGGGGTGCTTGGCCTTGGGGGCAGCAGGGGCCTCCTCCTCGTCGTCGTTGGCGGCGGGGGCAGCCTTGGGCTTGGGGGCCTCCTTGGGCTTCTCAGCCTTGGGGGCAGCCTCCTTCTTGGGAGGGTTGTTGGGGATGGCCTTCTCGATAAACTCGAGCTTCTCGGCGACATCAGAGTAGATGGACTGGTTGGTGACGGTGGTGAACCAACGGGTGACGTTGGGGTTGTTGCTGCGCCACTCCTTGTCGAAGAAGTACTGGAAGCCACGGGAGATGATGCCGGCGGCGAAGATGTCGGCAAGAGTGAGGCGCTCACCAACGAGGTAGGTGTTGACGAGGAAGTGGTCCTCGAGGGCACCGACGGCCTTGGTGGTGGCCTTCTGGGCATCCTCGACGGACTTCTTGTTGTAGGGGTCACGGCCAATCAGAGGGCGGAACCAGCCACCGAGGGCAGAGAGGACCTCAGTGTTGGCGAAGGACATCCATCTGAGGATGGAGGCGTAGTCCTGCTTGGTCTTGCCGAGGAGAGTGGTCTTCTCGTTCTGAGAGGTGACTGTATGGCAGATGCGGTCAGCACGCTGTCACAGACGGTATTAAATTGTATGTGAGTGCAAGAGGAGGGGTAGGGGTGCTTTTCAGATCAAAAATAATTCTCAACAATAGTCTTCAGACAGGGATAACTGTTTGATAATATGTCTCATCATTGCAGGGAAGGGAGGAGTGATGTGTTTGGACGAGGAGAATTGGACGACGTACGGTAGATGGCAATGGCAATGCACTCGGTGAGGACGTAGCCGTCGGCACCCTCGAAGGTGGGGACCTTGCCGAGCTTGTTGAGCTTGAGGTACTCAGTCTCGACACCCTTGGCAGGCTCGGTGTGAACAATGTCAAGGTTGAGGCTGTTGGCCTTTGCGACGGCCAGCAGGGCGGTGGTACGGGGGTTACCCTGCGGTGGGTGTTAGCTGTGATGTCCACAGACTGTAGACGACAGAAGCTGAATAGGCAGCGACATACCGGGTAGGTGTAGAGCTTTCCGAAAGAAGACATTGTGAGGGGTATGTGCAACTGATGAGAGAGAAGCTACACAGAAGAGGGGATGGATGAAAAACCTGAGAAGAGCGGCGGCGTTGTTGAGCTTTGGGCACCCAGTTCGCATTTTTGGTCGGATTATCCTCGGCTGTTTCCGACCGTCAGAAGTTCGACTGGGCAAGAGCGACGGCCAGCGCCTGCCAGCGACAGCGAGCATTCGCACTCACATCGTCAACATGGAGCTCGGTGCACTGCGGTCAGGCCTGCGCGCCGCAATCGCCTCGTTCCGCCAACCTGCCACAAGGAGATTCCCCATCGCACAAACACAATTCCGCCGTCTGGCTTCGACCACCTCAGACACTCCGCTGGACGAGATTCGCGCTGCCCCTCCGATCGACTTTGGAAACGAGAACGATGCTGCTGCCGCTCCCGAAGAGACTCTCGACGATGATGACCTCGAAGGTGGCCGTAGCGTCGCTGCCTACGCTGCCATGATGGACCGTTTGCGCATCGTCCCCGCCTCGCCCTCATATTTCACCGGCAAGCCCGACTTCACCGACGACCTGCTCAAACTCGAGAACCTGTCGCGCAAGTACCAAACACTGCCAGTCCTGCCCACTGGATTTGCACCTCGTGTCGCCTGGAAGACTTTGTCACAGTACAAGATGAACAGCAACGAGCCTGTCAAAGCCGCTCGTTACACAAAGATTCTGCAGGTCCTGCAACGATTGAACTACATCCACCCCAACCTTATGCCCACAGAAGTTTCTGTCATGCTCCGACGCTACATGCGTGACATTCAGCCATTCCACAACCAGCCCAAGCCTGGTGTTGTCGACGAGTACGGCCGCGCTAGAGGCGTTGGCAGGAGAAAGAGCAGTAACGCTGTTGCGTTTTTGGTTGAAGGTGAGGGCGAGGTTCTGATTAACGGCAAGCCCTTGACTCAGGCCTTTGGTCGTCTACACGACCGCGAGAGCGCTCTCTGGGCCCTCAAGGTCACAGAACGTATGGACAAGTACAACGTCTGGTGTGTTGCAAGAGGAGGTGGTACCACTGGTCAGGCCGATGCTATTGCTCTGGCCGTCTCAAAGGCCTTGATGGTACACGAGCCGTTGCTCAAGCCCGCTCTTAGGAGAGGTATGTCAAATTTGGGAAACACGTCGATTTGCAACACAAGTGCTAACTCTAGTCCACAGCCGGTGTCGTCACAAGAGATCCTCGTCGTGTCGAGAGAAAGAAGCCCGGAAAGCTCAAGGCCCGCAAGATGCCAGCCTGGGTCAAGCGTTGATCCTTGTACTACTATTACATTCCGCCTATACACTCTGTATATCTGTACAAAATTCACAAATGTTCTCTTTCGACTCTGTCTCCCCTCAAGCCTTGCGTTTGGGTCTCTGTTTCTGCGCCTGCTCACACAACTCCCTCTTGGGCAGCTTCTCCATCCACCCCTCGATCCTCTTCACCTTTCCAACCTCGAAATAATCCTTACCCCCCTCGCCCCTAAACATCTTGCTCCACCCTTCGATGGTATCCTGCACCCTCTTCTTGGCAAACCTCGTGTCCCTCTCTCTCCTCAACTTGGCCTCAGCCTTGCTCGGGTTGTCGTCATCCACAGGGATATAAGTCAACTCTGCACCCCTGATATCAGGCGTCAGGTCTTCTTGGAAACAGCCAGTGATGAATGCGCGGGTGGCATCCCTGCCGGCGAAAAAGCTGTAGCTGCCTCCCGGGCCATAGACGTGGCGGCCGGCGCTGACGTCGTAGATGGTGCCGTTCAAAGCTACGTAGACTGGTTTGCTCGGGTCGCGGCCGTTGTAGGCGAGGAGTTCCAAGTCGTTGAGGTAGACTGGTCCTTTCTGTGTTGCAACCCTTGTTAGTGATGTTCTCGTCTAGAGGGTTAGTGGGGGTGAAAGAGAGGGACGTACGAGCCAGGAAGCCACGACGCCAGGCTTCGAGTACCAGGGTCGCCAGCCCCAGGTCAACGATGAGGAAGTGACAAAGTAACTCAATGCTGCATTCAGGAGCAATATTCCACCCAAGATCCTCAGTATATCTGTGACGCCAAAGCCCGAGGACTTCTTTATGGGTTTGGAGCTCGGAGGTTCTGAGGGTGCGATGGTGGGGTCTGCCGCTTTGGCGCGCTGTCGTACTTCTGCCATGTTTGTGCTTGCAGAGTGGAAAAGGAGTGATGCTGTGCAAAGAGGGTGCAGCGCAAGGTAAGCAATGGAGGGGAAGAGAGAGTCGATCACGCCAAGGCCGAGTTGCTTTCGGCTGTCTTGAAGCCGATGCCCACCTCGTCATCAAACGTCTATCTCCAAACTTTATTTCTTCCCAAACATGCAATGCCCATGTTCGATTTGCACGCTCGAAATAATATCGTTTTTTCTTGGTGAGAAGACAGTGGTGTGTAGAAGTTCCCCTTTTGTTTCCAAGTTCTAGAAGTAAGAACTGCTGCTTAATCAGAATCTGTCTGTCATTAGCTACGCTCCTCCATCCTAACAGCAGCAAAAAGCAAAATGAGAGCCCAAAAGCTATATAAGAACTCCCTAATTTACTATGCTCTCAAAGAAATCCTTAGAAGCAATGTAAACCGTCCTTTCCATACGGCTTAGAGCTTCGACATAGTTCCTGACTCCATGTGAAATGACCTGCTCACTTCCCGAACCTTATAGAGTACGCACAAACGAAATTCTCTTGAGGAGATCCCTCTCACAGATATGAACATCTTCTCCGGCTGCCTTTGAAAGCCGAGCTCTGTCACTTCAAAACTCTTGACGATGTGCTCGTCGAATAGTTGAAAAGTGCTGATGTGAGACTCGTTCACTTTCCCAAACTGGTGGTATATTTTCAAGAAACTCGTATATGTATACTCGAAGACGAGCCGGAAGCAGCTCAAAGGACTTGGATCCGTGCGTCTCCTATCCGTCAACCAGGACTAGGCTAGGGAACCAGGCGTGATCGCGAGGACAGTGCGCAATAGTTCTTCGTGACAACCTTGGATTTCGCATCAGCCCCATCCAAGATCTCCCAAGGCTGGTCTGCCAGACCTTCACTCAGAATCTAGTAGTAGACTCGGTACGAATCGTAAGAGACCTGAAGCTCTTGAAGCAGACTCTGCACTCTTTTCGGCGGCGGCTGACTAGGTACAAAGATCGGGGCTTTGGGATTCGGCTTCTGCTGCGACAGGCGATGGTAAGCGGCTCCTGGAACAAAGACAGTGGCCTTAGAATGGAGAGGACGGGATGGTCGCATATTTGCGTGTGACTGCTGAAAAGACATCTCGCAAGAAGTGGTGGAGAAGATTGATGAGAATGCGAGGAGAGAGAAAAAGGTTGTGGTGAGTCCTTCGAAACGGACAGGTATGAGCAAACTTATATGCGAGCACGTCCCTATGTATGCGTTAGTTCTTTGTCAAGCTTTTGCAGAGCGCTCTCCAGAGCGCGTAAGATCTTGCTCATGCTAGGTGCTCGTAAAATGCTGCCATGCGTCAGTTCAGGATGGCTAAATGCGAGGTGCATCTAGGGGATAGGATAGTGTGCATAGAGATTCTTCAATGAGTTTTGCTTGCTCACTTCCTAGATTCTCGATCGACTATGTTTTCTTCCAGCTCGGACGTTTTGTAGCCAATCTCCTACATGTAGGCGTTCAAGCATCCGTGTCGATGGTATTGAGGACTCTCAGATAGGTTCTGACTCGAATGATACAGCTTTGTCAACACGAAGAACCAAAAATCCACGTTGGCAAAACAAACCCCCTGTACTAGGGCTCAGTTGTATAGAGCCCGTTTGAGGCGAGAAAGAAACCATTGGTTTCGTGTCATTTGTCGAGGGGTGCGAGTGTCATGACTCCAGTTGTTGTCGGCAATACAGATGATCGAGCCCATGGTCTGCAGGACCACCTGGATTGACAGCCGCAATACCAACCACTAGGCCATCACCGCTTGCCGATAAAGCGATGATGTTGGTTGAGAAGTCCCGGAACTTGATGAGATATAATGCGTGGACGCTCCCGAAGTTGGCACTACAGTGATCTCTTTTGCCGTCACAGGTTGAGTGCCCCTGAGTAGTCGGTCCAGGCCTTCTGCCCAGCCACAGGTTGGTGCTGGCGACAATCGCCGTCGTCAAGGCAATGAGGCTGGAACAAAGGCTGCACCTGCTATGCTTGGAGCATCCTTGCCAACGAGTCCATCGGATTAGGTAATGCTCCATGACTTCACTCGAGATGCACTGATATGGCATCGCAAGTCATGTTGAGATGTGCTCTTCCCATCTTCCGTCTCTTACTGTTATAGCCCAAACATATTCGCCTCGCTGGTTCGATTCATGTCACACCACATTATCTCCTACATCAACGCAGAACAACGCATGAACCACTAGAAGAAGACGATCGTATCCGGACTAGAGTTGTGTGTAGGGAGAATCCAAGAAGTAACACCTATCAGTAAACGTTACTGCGTTTCTCGGCGTTGCCGAATTTTTTTACAACTGCACATTTCTTAGACTCATGCTCATGGAGAGGCTCGACGGGAACTCCGAAAGTTAGACGATGGCAATTATCTCTGACCCTACAGCAGATAGTCATCTGTATCTTTCTCTCTGTGTATAGAACGTCTTCAAATATGAAGCCATGACGACACAAGATCATCTTCGAAACAGAGATTCATTCGGTCGTTCATGCGACGTCGTCAAAGATGGGCGTAATTTAATCTCTGGAATTCTCCTTTCTCGCAGTCTAAAAGCTAGCACGCCGCGGGAGGATGTGTTAACGATCAAGAAGAGTAGAATTCCAGCCTTGAGCATATCAAGGAGGCAGCAAACCACAAGTCATGGCCATAGATGCTGTCCTGCTAGATCTGAAAGATCGGGTCGGATACCAATTTACAATTTCTAGTTGTGCTGACAGCATTGACCATCTGATGATTGGAAAGAGTCGAGTCGAAAAGGAGCTGCAGTCTGCATGATCGGCAAGACGTTTCCCGAAGCTCAACCACGATAGACCGAGCCCGACGCAAGGGCACCAGCCGAGGACTCAACAATTCGACATCGAATCCATCGCATAGAATAGATATCACAGATGTTATCGTGCCATGTCAAATCAGCTGGATTGAGCGGTCAATGAGGTAAAGACACCGAGCTGCAATGTCGAAAGTGTGTCGACAACAGCCTGACGGCACTTTCGCGTGTGCTTCGGTATGCACAACCTCGAAACGAAACCTACAAAGACGTATTCGGCAAAGATTGCTTGTCTACCCCACTGACCGGTAGCTATACATAAGGCGCATATCTATCACTTCGCGTTTTCATCTCGGTTGGAAAAATGAGGCTGGTCGAGGCGGTCTAATCAATTAATTTTGCAGACTTGGGAGATCCTTCGCGTATCTCCCACCTGCAGCATGCCGCGTCCTGGTTCTACGACGACCTATCGCTCCAGCATTGGGTGCAGATTTAGAACGCAACAGACAGTAGAGATGCATCGGTATAGCATGGCTAAATCACAGGAACGGCACGGACTTGTAAGCGATCAGATATGCGTATTGAAGGAATGCCAGGGTCAAGTATAAAGGTGGGACCAATTCTCTGTATCCATGCAATTGGTTGACAACAGTGAGGCTTCTATGCTACTCAACATGAAGACTGGGTTGATCTTTGCGGTCACCACTCTCTTGGTCGGCACCAATGCCAGCCCAGGCCAAAAGTTGCCAACATCAGCGTCGAGCGATATCCAAATTGCTCAAGAGCAGCTGAAGATACTGGTCGCCAATGCCAAATACATCATCAAGTCAAGCAAAAAGCCCTTCAGCTCAACATGCAAGCCTGGCAACGTCACAGTCCGCAAAGAATGGGGTACTCTTTCACCCAGAGAACGCATCGCCTACACCGACGCTGTGCGCTGTCTCCAAAACAAGCCTGCGAGATCTCCTGCCTTATGGGCTCCTGGTGCCAAAACTCGCTTTGACGATTGGGTAGCCACGCACATTGATCAAACTCTGCAGATCCACTACACAGGCACCTTTCTGGGCTGGCACCGTTACTTTCTCTGGGAATATGAACAAGCACTTCGCAATGAGTGCGGCTACCAAGGCACACAACCCTACTGGAACTGGGGTCTCTCTGCTGAGACGGGCATGGAGCAAAGTCCAGTGTGGGATGGCAGCAAAACAAGCATGAGTGGCAATGGCGCTTACATCAACCAAACCGGTCTCGATATCGTTCTGGGCGGCAACGGTCTGCCATCTATCTTTCTTCCCATTGGAAGTGGAGGCGGTTGCGTCGACTCTGGACCTTTCGTCAACATGACTGTAAATCTCGGTCCTGCCGCTCTCACCGTCCCTGGTAACATCACTGTCGTCAGCCTCAACGGTCCTCTATCTTACAATCCTCGTTGCCTCAAGCGAGACCTCACCGACGAGCTTAACGCGCGTTTTGCAAACTTCACCGCCGTTGTCGACAATATCCTCGCTCCCAAGACTGTCTACGACTTCCAGATGCAAATGCAAGGCATCCCCGGCAGCGGCAACATCGGCGTCCACGGCGGAGGACACTACTCAATGGGCGGCGACCCAGGTCGGGACGTCTTCACTTCTCCAGGTGATCCAGCCTTCTATCTTCATCACGGCATGATTGATTTAGTGTGGACGGCGTGGCAGATGTTGGATCCCGAAAACAGGATTTATGGCAAAGATGCTATTGCTGGTACAAACACGTTCTTGAACCAACCGCCTAGTGCCAACACGACTTTGGATACAGAATTGAGTATTGGTTGGGCGGGACGAAGTGTCAATGTTACGATGAGGGATGTGATGACCACAGTTGGTGGACCATTCTGTTACGTTTACGCTTGAGTATGCTCCGGTGGTGTCAAGACAACTTTATGCAGACGTCCAGATCTGAATGAAAATATATCAAAGTGACTCTGAGTCAACTCTGTGATGCTATAAAAGTGCTTGTGGGCCTGGCTAAGATGGAGAGAAAGGTTCTCGTTTGATCTGCCGACCGATCTGACGACTGCGGAACGGAATCTACTCATCTCCAGCAAGTCTCTGTAATCCGGTCCTACCAGCCAATCTGGCTCCCAAACCACCACCTTGACCCATATCAGCCTGGCTCCTCAACTGACCAACAAACTTGCCCTTTTCGCTTCGCTTCCTGTCGTCTTCTTCTTTCTGTATGCGATCACGTTCTTCCAGCTCAGCTAGACGTTTCCTGCGGTCCGCTTCCAATTCTGTGGCGTTTGATTGCATGACGGCTAATTTGGCTAAACGTTCTGCTTCGCGGTCAGGGGAAGCAGGGCGTCCATGGCTTACGGGGCGATTGTCATCTCTGTAAGACCTTGATGGGCGCTCGTTCCTGTTGTCTCTTGAAGATCTGGGACCGCGGTTGCTGTAGGGCTCATAGCTTGGTGATGCACGACGTCTAGGAGAAGGCGATGTACGCTCTTTCTTTGTATGGACAAGAGAAGGCGAACGGCGTCTGCTATCTCTTTCCCTATGTTTGCGAGACGGTGAGCGCGAGTCTGAGCGTCGTGGACTAGGATATGACTTCCGTCTGCTGCGTGAGTCTGGGGAACGTGAAATACTGCGGCGACGGGAATCGTGTTTGCGGGAAGAACGCCTGTCGTCGTCGCGTCTATCATCACGTCTTTCGTCTTTTCTTCTGCGTTCAGGCGATCGTGAGCGAGAGTATGAGGGCGAGCGACGGCGGTGTGATCGGTGTTTGTGGGATGAACGTCTCTCATCATCGCTGTAGTTGTCGTGGCGTCTGCGTTTGCTATGATGTTGGTCGTCTCTGTGACGATGCCTGCGATCGCTTCGCCTGGAGTCGTCTTCTTCCTTGCCAGCAGCTTTAAGCAAAGCTCTTCGCTTGGTAGGATCACTCATCATGGCTTCCAAAGCGGCCTGCTCTTGCTGCTTGATAGCCAGCATAGGGTCATTGCGCACCTTTGCAGCAATATCCTTCTGGTTGTTTGCAATCTGCAGTGCCGAGGGACCCACAGCAGCAGCCTTTTGCATAGCCTCTGTCGCATCTCTCTTGACCAGTCCATCCAATCTTCTCTTTCCAAGCAGGTATGCTTCCATCTCTTCCGTCGTTCCTTTCTGGCCGTCGGCGGGGCCGCCATACATCCAATCCACTCTGTCGACACGCTTCCTGCCGCCAGCGGCCTCTTGCATCTGTTGCAGTTCCTGGATTTGACGTTCTTCGGCGCGCTCCTTGAGCACTTGGTCGATTTTCTTGCGCTCATCCAGAGCTTTCTTCTCTTCTTCCCAGACGCGCTTCTGGTTGGACATGAGCACGGGGTGCCATGACTTCTTCAAGTTCAGATCGCCACCCATCTTGAGGTTTTGTTGCGCGCTGAAGAGCGCTGTGTGGAAAAGTGAGAGGGTATTCTTCCGGAGTTGCTACGAGGCAGTCTGTACGATTCTTTGTTTATTCGTGTCGGCGTGAGATGCTGTTGTGTTCAGAAAAGCGATGAGTCGAAAGTGAATGAGAGAAGGACGGTTGTCCGCCGTCGCGAATCACCAAGGAAGTCGCACTCCGCAATCAGCGCCAAGACGTCCTATACAACATCCATCACAGCTCTTGACAGACACCTGAACAATCGTCCCAGTCACGAATCTCGACACATACTGACTCTCTCTGTGCACAGAATGGATAGTCATCGCGCAGCCAGAGTCAGGTCGAGTTGTGTGCTACAACAGAGGTTGACATGGGCATCCGCCCTTACGCATTTTCAATTCTATCTGTCTAGGCCGACAGTCCGCTTAACAATAGTGCCTGCACACCGGTGTGATTGTTCATATTTCTCGATTATCGAAGTACCTTGCATCTCCGGACACTCATCCGACTGGCCTCATTTAGGATCACCAAGGTGCCCTTGACGCTCCAAATTGATGGAGAGAAAGTCCTGTGTGATTTGGTCGACCTGGGAGATTCATACAACCGATGACTTGCAACCTCGCAATCACTTGTCTCACATCGCTCGAAACACAGGACATTGTACGCCTAGCGTACCTGGAAAAGCACCTTAGGGGAACATCTCAGCCTTGAAGAGTAAGTCCGTTGATAGAGCAATGGGCACTATCTCAGACGAACAGCACGTCTTCGATCCGAATATCCAGTCAAGTAAGCCATCTTCCAAATCATGAACGAACGTCTTGACGGCACAGTCCAATATCCAGAAAACTCGTCATGCAGAGTCCACCATTACCGGCCGAAAAGTGTCAGATCCTCACGTCTCAAACAAAAGTCCCTTGCATCGAGCAAGGAGCTCTGTCCGAGAGGAAGATTATCACCTATCACGATGGCATCCAGACCCTTACCCAACCTTTTTTCTACTCATCCTTCCCCGTTTGCGGTCGCATGTGGGCTCGCTTGACTCGTATCAAGAAGATCTGGCATGTGCATATCTTTTTTGGTATCAAAGCACATGCGAATCGAGAATTCTTTTGAGATAAGCTCAACCCACGACAGGGCCGGGAAGATCTCACCGTCGTGAAACCGTTTCCATATTTGATGCCCCGACCAATGACAGCAATCGAAATCAGAAACAGATCCAGGGACCAGACTGATGACATCAACAAACCTTTCCTTCCCCGCATCCCGATCGCGACGCCATAGTCCAGATTCCAGCCTGATCGTGGGGAAGATTGGACCACCACTTGGGTGACGGGCCGTGGCTTGCTAGGATCTGCTCTCCTTCGAAGGTAAACGGCCTGACGAGTGATGACTATTGGACTGCGTCGGATTAAGTTCAACACCATGACGACGAATTATGTGTCGATGGCTTGACCACAGCTTCGATCCTCAGGAAGAATCACGAGAGCACCACAATCCAACGCCAGTGGTCGAACAAACAAAGGAAAGACCTGACGACGCATGGTCGAGTAGCCCCGAGTTCCATGACATGTGAGAGCTTCAGAGGTAAGCTTCTTGAGGTAGCACCAAAGGTATATAAGACTGCATCCCATCCCTCCACATCTTGGTTTATTCATCAAGCATATCTTCTCTGCAAAGCATCAATTTACACTACAGCCAAACACATCTCATCCCAAACCTCAAACAAACAACCAACATCATGTCTTCTCCCACTGGCACCACCCCCAAGTCCTCTTTCGACGGCGAGCGTCGTCGCTCCTCAGGCGGTCTCTTCAACAACATCCTCGCTCAAAAGCGCAGCCCCGATAACGTTGCATACTCTACCCGCCGCTCAAGCATCGAGGAGCAGGGCCCACCCAAGGGCATGTTCGGCAAGATGTGGGACAAGTATGCGCATCCACAAATATCCTACTGCCAATCCATCACACTAACACATCTTTCAGCGCCGTCAGAGGTGTCGGTCCCAACGCCCAGAAGTAAACCCATCACACTTCTTCACCAACAAACACTTTATGTTCTGCATATTTGCGACAGCGAGAATGAACGATTGAGACGAATGAGCTGAGATTGGCATACCTTCACACCACACTTCTTCGACTTTTGTGCAGTCGCTGGCTTGGTTTCTCGGATTAGCTACCGGTGCTAAGGGGAGTCGGATGACGGGTGCTCTTCTTATTGCATGTATACATATAACGACTTTATGACAACCCTTTATCTATCATCTCTGCTTGACACTATGATTACCAGCATACCTTCGTGTCATAGGACATCCACACTCTCAGGCAGGTGCGTCAACCCACTCAAGCCATGCTTCCAGGAAGTCCCGGGTCAGACAGCGGTCCAAAACACGCTTGAGGAGAATCTTCCTATCCTCAAGAACTATTATCTGTACTTGTACCTGAGAACCTTCCTTTAGCTGAAGCATCTGGATGAGCTTGTCAGCCTCCGATGTCTAGCATCGACACCCATCTCCCAGGAAGTTTGGAACTTCTCATCGTACCTCCATCTGCAATCTCTCCTTCCCTTTTTCCGACTAACCGAGCCAGAGGTAGCTTCTAGTCTACCTTCATCACAAGAGCTGTTATGGTCTTGACAGAGACTTTACCTCACATGCAAAGGCGTATCACGCGAACGGACTCCAAAATACACAATTTCTCTGGTACGAAGGAGATGTCCATTGGAAAGCACCGGTACCATGAAACGCTGTTTCATTTTTCACCGACTAGAAAGAGACACACACTTTGATGGCTGTGATTCCTGTTCTGTACAGTCGTGAGGTGTGCACTCGAGCACACAGTAATACTGGATATCGTTGTCGGTTGATTGCCGTATGATGAAGGCTTTGAACCTCAAGTGCTGCAATGGATCTTATCCTGCATCCTGCTCCCAAAACCTCTGTCTCTCTTGGATTGTTTGGTCCAGAGACTCGAATTTCTGTCTGAGGTCCATACTCCAGTCCTTCGAGGACTTCTTTGCTCACTCCTGGAGCTCAGATACACAGTACCACTTTGCTGTCCCATCACGTGATTCACAAAATCATGAGATCCTGGTCGGTCAGCTCAGTTGATTAGAGCGTGGTGCTAATACTTGGGTGTTTCTACCCGAATCGTGATGACACTCGACAGTGTTGACACAGCTCGATGGGACCCTCGCAACTTAACAAATATACATCATGATGACTAGTGACCACAACCACATCACGTGATACACCAAAATATCACCGATATTCGATCGATTAGCTCAGTTGGTTAGAGCGTGGTGCTAATATCTTCCGATATTCTGATACGCCAAGGTCAAGGGTTCGACCCCCCTATTGATCATTGTCTTTTTGTTGGTGGTAGCAGGAGACGAGAAGAGCGGGAGCTGTGATATTGTGGTAAACTCTATGCGTTTGACCTCGTTGTTTGTTGGTGTTCTGTTCAGTCGACTGGCTCCCAGAAATTTCCTCATGGAAATCCTTTTTTTCGCGCCAACGCCTTCGGTGTCGAACTCGCTGTAAGGTCAAAGGTCGCGGGTTCTGGCGGCTTGGTGGGCTTTGTTCAGACGTTGGCTATGGGATCGCAGTATTGATGGGCGTTCGACGTCTCTGGTACTCTTGAATATGCGCTCTGATACGACATGCCATGGTGCCAGGCTCGATCGTAAGTGACATGTCTGTCATTTTCAGTGATGAAACGACGCAGATTGGGTAAGAGTTGAGTGGTCTCTTGCTTTAGATGGGTAGAGTGATACTTCTTTGGCTTTTACATGGACTAGGCTGATACTTCTAATGCTTCCGCGTTGATATAGAAATGACGATGTGGTGTGGTTGCAAGTGTAAGATAGCTGCTTCCTCTCGTCGAGCAGGACACGAGGAGATCATCATCTGTGCTCAGAGGTGACAGAGTATCAGGCTCGCGACCATTCAAGAGAGCAACAACACTTTTGGTGAACCGGAGGAACAGGTGGGTGACTGGGAGTATAACGAGTATCTACATCGGTAGCAGTCACAATACCTCGATATACCATACTCTCAAGTCAGCATCATGTGCTCTTTTGGGTCCATAAGATCTCGCCAAAAGACGGGATCGAAGACGGTAATCTACATAGCCGGGAAAAGAGCAGCTCACCTCCCTACTTTCACTTGTCAGCATCCACCTCACTTTCACTTACCTCATATCCCAGTAGAATCTCACTGGTACCAGTGATCGGTACTGTGGCTCACTTGTAACACACCACTCGATGGAAAAATCACACAGACAAAGCTCTAGCGTAAATAGAATCCAGAGGTTGTGAGTTCGAACTCTCAGCTTTGGTTGGTCGCGATCATGACTGAGGATTTTTCCCCCAAAGATGGAAATACCGGCTTGGTTCTTTTTGCTCGGCTGATGAGAGGATTCGCATTTGTTTTGTGACGCAAATCTCCATGGTTTCAGGAGATCCTGGATCCAGGTCCTTGCTTGTTGATGGCTTCTTTTGCTGTGCGCGCGCGTTGGGATTTGTGATGTAGATGATGGTGAATATGGTGGAGAGAGTGATGGTAGAACGATAAGAAGCAGCAGATACTCGTGACATCTGTTTGAGAAGGGATTTTCGAAAATCTTCAAAGAGGAAATATCGAGGAAGGCAGCCACGCCCAAGAGTTTGCTTTCCCGTTTGTCTGGCGTAGCACCAACCTTTGCAATCCTACAACTTTTGGATATAATCATCAATTGTGGCGATGGCCCAGTGGTAGAGCGCCTCGGGAGATGTGTCTTGCAAACACAAGCATTGACTGGTGCAGCTGGCTATTTTCATAGTCAGATTCCACCTTTCAACCCAGGAGATCGTGGATTCGATTCTTACTCGCTGCATCCTCTCTTTTTTGCACCTCTTGCACCTGTGGTATACTCTTTCGATCGAAGGAAGAAGATAGAAGATTGAATCAAGGGGTATAAGAAACCAACATCCACCATGCTTTTTGAATTTACCTGGGCTGATTAACCTGCACCTTCTTGTCCTCGCCACAACTAACAATACCCCACGCCTCATCCCACTGCACGCCAAACACCTTGATGCCCTCACCACCTACAGGTTTCTTCTCACCCTGTCCATCACGCTCGAGCACAAAGATGCTCTCGCCGGTCATACCGCCCTCGGTGGGACCGCCATTGCCAGCTTTGGCGTTACGGACATCCCAGACACGGACACTGCCGTCGTGGCCGCCAGAGGCAAAGACAAAGCCATTGTCTGGCGAAGGTGTGAGTGAGACGACAGCATTGTTGTGGCCACGAAGGGTCATGGCGACGACGGAAGTTGCAGATGCGCGGGGGTCGATGAGGGAGATGTGGCGAGCAGTTGTGCCTGCGGCAACCAAGTTGATCTGAGGCAGAGCAGCCACCGAAACCAATGGATGCGAGGTCGTGCGAGTGTCGACGCAGCTGTGAGTGGCCAAATCCCAGGTCTTGAGTGTGTGGTCCCAGGAGGTCGAGTAAGCTACCGTGGCATCGTCGGGCTTGAATGTGACGTCTGAAACTGGTGCGTTGTGGCCGGCCAGTAGAGCCAGAGCGCCGCGTTGAGGCACGGTGACGCTGGGTTTCCTTCGCTTGTTGGAGAGGTTGGGGAGGAGATGTGCGGGTGCTGAGGGGTTGCTCTTGATGTCGCTGCTGAAGATTCCAACGGTGTGGTCTTGGGATGCAGTCAAGATACGCTGCGAAGGCGTGTGCACAGCCAATCGATCCACAGAAGCCGTGTGGCCCAGCAGTTCAACCTTGGGCGTTATCTCCCTGTCATTGTAGTTCCAGATCCTCACACTGCGATCCACACTCGACGAGACCAGACGCGAGTGGTCCAAAAATTTGACGCTCTTGACGGGTCCACTGTGTCCACCATCCCCACTCGTTGCCAAAACCTCCTTGCTCTGGTTCCAAAGCCTGATCAACCCATCGTAACTCGCCGACACAAGACGTTCGTTTCCAGTGCCTGCGAAGTTCTTGCCCGCCCATTTTCCAGCTGCCGAGGTGGAAGAAAGGAGATCGATACTGCTGACCCAGTCGTCGTGCTCGAACGAGGCAACGTGTGATGGCGGCACCAGAGCGCGTACATATTCAACGTTCAGAGTAGTTTCGGCCGAGATGCCGTTGGCGGTCAGGAATTCATCGATCGAGGTTCGGAGGAATTGGCCGTTGATGAGGAATTCAAAGGGGACGGGTTGTTCGGTCTCGAGCAGACGGTTCACGAGGGTTGAGAGCTGGTATCTGCGGAGCTCTGCGACACTCGTCAGCTATGTGTATCGTCTCTAAAGAATGCCATGGCGCTGGCGCAAAACCAGCTTCTTCGCAAGTCACTTACCAGTCGAGACGAGGATCGGACCAGTGTCCTCGGGCAACTCGATATCCGGACTCCTCGTGCTAAGTTGGATTCTGACTTGCGACGTCGACATGTTTGTGTATGAGCGTGTTTGTGTGTTTATGCGACCGTCCATGGCCCATCTCGAAAAAAGTTGGAGTAGCAGGAATTCTGCCGCTATGTCTCGCTCACCGCCTTGGCTGTTTTATGTCCTGTTTTATGTCGCTAATGCAACACTTTGAGCTTGCACAATCTGTGCAGACCCTCAATCGTCCAAGACCATGAGACATGGTTTAGACAAGTGACAGGTCATGTTGATCAAGAAGGTGCAGAGAACGGTCATTTTTGAGAAATTGTGGGTTTGACCCGTAAGTCTATGCATGCTCGCCCCTTGTCTCCATTGGCAATCGCTTATGCAACATATATGCTGCTGAAAAGGTACACAATGACTGAGTATCAAGACCCAAGGCAATGATCACGAAAATTACCTCTTGTTGACTATTCGAGTTGTTCATACTGGTCCAGAGAGCTGTGCATGCATCTCTCGACACGTGTCACTGTGACTGTCTCCACACTCATATCAAGAGTTCAGTCGAGCTCGGCATCGTCTCACATGGCTACTGAGATGTGCTTTTCTTGCATCGGCATGAGTGTCAGAGCCATATGACAGAGTTGCAATCCAGCAACGAATTCACCACCCTTATAACAGCACTCGCAGAATCATGTCGTACGGCCCAAATGCTGGTAGTTGTCCCAAGTGTCTAGAACTCCGAGATCATGATTGTAGACAAAAGGAATTGAATACTTGATATCTATCTGATCATGAACAGATATTGGCTTCCTTGAATACTTGCTTATATCTCGATGCCTGAGGCTGGTGGCAATCTATGATGATTAGATTCAAAGTTTACAAAGAGCCGCATTTCTTGGAAACTCAAGGTCGTGAAGATGTAGAGATACGCAATCTAGGTAGAAAACATGCAAGCATATCGAATTTTCCGGGCTCATAGTACAGACGACAAAGAAAAAGAAAACGTGAAGATAGAAAAAAGGAGGGGTCTCCACCCTTGCGTTCTACTCTAGGACGCAAAGATGCTGTACAGGACCGGATGATTTTCTCCCTCTCAATTGTGGGCAACCCCAATGTCTGGAAACTGGCATCTGACCTTTTTGTCGGATCATCCATCAGCTTTCCAGACCATCGCCTAGATTTTTCCCTCTAATATATAATTACCGGATTCCTATCGAAGAAATCGTTTACTTGAGGAATCCTTGGCCCTCGGTGTGGACCTCAGTACGGGGCGATGAGGGGTTGCGGATGGCCTTGGTGGTGGGAGGGTTGTACACGAGCTTTCTGGTCTTGACGACAGTCCACTTGTATCTGTAGCGCAGAGTCAGTATTTGTCGAAAATCACAATCGTTGTATTTGGCGTGACTCACCTCTTGACCCAGACGGAGAGGGCGAAGAGAGTACCGGCAACAGCCATAACCTTCCAGCCCATCTTCTTGCGGTCGTCCATCTCGGGCTCAGCAGTCCAGTTCAGGAACTCGACAACATCCTTAGCCATCTGCGAGGTAGTGGCGGGGGTCTTGTCATCGTACTCGACGAGACCGTCGTAGAGGACACGGGCCATGGCGATACCGGTACCAGGGAAGTAAGGGTTGAAGTTGAGACCGTCGGCGACAACGGCACCAGCTGGGGGCTCCTCGGGGTAACCAGTCAGAAGAGAGAAGATGTAGTTGCAGCCACCGTGACGGGCCTTGACCATGAGCGAAAGATCCGGAGGAAGGGCACCGTTGTTGGCAGCACGGGCGGCCTCATCGTTCTTGTAGGGGCTGGGGAGGTAGTCGGAGAGCTTTCCGGCACGCTTCTCGATCTCACCCTCATCGTTGGGCTCGGTGTCGAACTCGTTCTCCTCGGCAAGAGCCTTGGCCTCGTCGACGGTCATGAAGTTACCGACAAGGTTGCGGTAGGCAATGCGCTGGAGAGAGTGGCAGGAAGCGCAGACCTCCTGGTAGACTTGGAAACCTCTGCGGAGGGCCTGGTGGTCGAAGGTCTTGTAGAGCTTCTCGTGCTCCCAAGGGTACTTGGTGGCGTGCAGACTGTAGAGCCAATGGTCAGCGCTGGGTGGTCGGGAGTGTATGATGGCGATGGATGACATACCCCTCTTCTTGGGGGGTCATGGCGTGGGCCTCACGACCGAACTGGTAGTAGTACCATGCGGCGGAACCGGCGGCGAAGACGGTGGCAGCAGAGGCAGTGGCGGTGGTGGCCCATTGGGATGACTCGGCACCGGACGAGGAAGAAGCAGCGCGCTGGAGAGATTGAGGGTTAGTCGGGAATGGGTCAATGGGCGAATCGGATGTCGAGGTCGGGTGTAGATGTAGACGTGTATGGGTGGGTGTTGCGTACCGTGGACTGGCGGGTTGCAGTGTTGCGAGCAGCGGCGGCAATGCGCGCGGATCGCAGGCTGGATCTGGCCAACATGTGTGCGATTGACAGTGTCGAGCGAGGGGGTCGAGGGTGGGTGGAGGTGCTTGTCGAACAACTGAGGTCGATGTTGCCGCTGCACAGGATTTGGGAAGTGCCTTGACCAACCTGACCCGCACAGCGTCTGATTGGCCCAAGCCAGATCTCGCAGCTGCGTAGCGACGGGCCAATTCGGACAGGCAGCTACCAAGACTTGTGGCCACTCGGTCGTGCTCCCAGAATTTGAGAGATTGGTGGATTTGCACGTCACAGCAAGAGCCCGCAAAGACTCATAGCCAATTTCGCCCTCGCACGCCTTTGCGCACCCCTCTACACCCACCTCCCCGAGTCCAACCGCGCAACCACCGCAATCATGGCCTCGAACGGCGAATACCCCCAGGACGACTCACCACCCGCCTCGCCTACCTTGAACCCCCAGCAGGACCAGTCTGAGTCGGAGGACGATATTCCTGAGCAGAAGCCCAAGTCGGCCTTGAAGAAGTCGGCACCTGCACCTGCCGTCCAGAAGCCCTTCATCGCCGAGCAGCCCGACCCGTCAACCATCGACGTCAAGGCCCTGAACCCTCTGTCGCCCGAAATCATCTCGCGCCAGGCCACCATCAATATCGGTACCATTGGTCACGTCGCTCACGGAAAGTCAACTGTCGTCAAGGCCATCTCCGGTGTCCAGACTGTCCGTTTCAAGAACGAGTTGGAGAGAAACATTACCATCAAGCTCGGTTACGCAAACGCAAAGGTCTACAAGTGCGACAACGAAGAGTGCCCGCGCCCCACCTGCTACAGGAGTTACAAGAGTGACAAGGAGGTTGACCCTCCATGTGAGAGAGATGGATGCGCCGGTACATACCGTCTGCTCAGACACGTTTCGTGAGTTACTGCATCTGTGACTTCCACCAGCTGTATCTGACGGCCCTCTAGCTTCGTCGACTGCCCCGGTCACGACATTCTCATGAGCACCATGTTGTCTGGCGCCGCCGTCATGGACGCCGCCCTTCTCCTCATTGCCGGAAACGAAACCTGCCCTCAACCCCAAACCTCTGAGCATTTGGCCGCCATTGAGATCATGAAGCTGAACCACATCATCATTCTCCAAAACAAGGTCGATCTTATGCGTGAGGAGGCCGCTGGCCAACACCACGAGTCTATCCTGAAGTTCATCCGTGGTACCGTCGCCGACGGCAGCCCTATCATCCCCATCAGTGCCCAGCTGAAGTTCAACATTGACGCCATCAACGAGTACCTCGTCTCCAAGATCCCCGTTCCCCCAAGAGACTTCTCCGCCGCTCCTCACATGATTGTTATCAGATCTTTCGATGTCAACAAGCCTGGTGCTGAGATCGAGGACTTGAAGGGTGGTGTTGCTGGTGGCAGTATCTTGACTGGTGTATTGAAGCTCGGTGACGAGATTGAAATCAGACCCGGTATTGTCAGTAAGGACGAGCAGGGCAAGATTCAGTGCAAGCCCATCTTCTCCAGAGTTGTCACCCTCTTCGCCGAGAACAACGACTTGAAGTTCGCCGTCCCCGGTGGTCTCATCGGTGTTGGTACCCGTGTCGACCCCACCCTCTGCCGTGCCGATCGTCTGGTCGGTTTCGTCCTTGGTCTCCGTGGCCAGCTCCCCGCCATCTACACTGAGATCGAGGTCAACTACTTCCTGCTCCGTCGTCTGCTCGGTGTCAAGACCGCCGATGGCAAGCAGGCCAAGGTCGCCAAGCTCGCAAAGAACGAAGTCCTCATGGTCAACATCGGTTCCACTGCCACTGGTGCCAAGGTTGTCGCCGTCAAGGCCGATGCCGCCAGACTTCAACTCACCAGCCCTGCCTGTACCGAGATTGGCGAGAAGGTCGCCCTTTCCCGCAGAATCGAGAAGCATTGGCGTCTTATTGGATGGTAAGTTGAATACACTCGAAATTGTGAAACATTTGCTAACACGAAATAGGGCTACCATCCTTGCCGGTTCTACTCTCGAACCCACCATCGAGTGAACAACGACTGGTTGATATATCGCCAACGACTTACACCGATACCCGCATAAATGAGGTCAACGATTTAGATCTTGTGGGGATGACACGTAGAGGATTTGACATGTCGGGGACGATCAAAAGTTGGATTTGCATGAACGCATCACGCTTTTCTATGTGTGTGAAGCGTGTTCTGTGCAACAAATGCATGCTTTGTCTGTGGGGCATTAGATCAGGGGTGTTCTATGGCGCTGAGGATTGAGAAGGGATGTGTGTTTCTTTTTCTTATCTTTTCCATCCGCGGATCTATCCTCACCCCCTATTGCATGACACCAAACCAAAATACACAGTTTTATGACAGCACACTCAAGCCCAACTCTCCATGCAGCACTGATGATGCGAGTAGAGAGCTATACCAGAGGAGGTGCATCAATCTTGCTCATACTAACTCAACCTTATATTCCTCCCCCTCGAGCCCATAGGAATTATAACCCAACCGAAACCTCCGCCATCAAGAATCGAACCCTCACTCTTTACCACTCGCAAACAAAATTTTATGGGGCAAATGCCCCCTAATCCCGACTTCGAAGAAGCAGGCGGTCTCCCACTCAGCCAAACTCACGTTTTGGTCTTACAAGTGGGATGTGATAGGGGCAACTCCCATAGTATATCAGGGTAGGTGAGTGAGGTGGTTTGTTTTGCATGGAAGTGTCTAGCTGCTTGTTCGTTATTCACTGGTGGGTTCTTGAGACTGCTGTTTCGTTGTAGTCGCAGTGGACGATACTCGTGCTTTCTATCGATGTGAGAGTAGCACTTTCCTTCTTGAGTTGCGCTTTCACATCCAACACGTACCTTCTCGATCGTCTCTCCTATTTTCCAGGACACAGCGTGTTTCGTTACTCCTCTCTGCTTCGTATATCCCTCTCACCCCCTCTCTTCCAAAGCACTCTCCATCTCACAAGAGCTGTTCTTGTGGTCAGCCCAGATACAGTAACACATCCCTGGCGCTTGTCGAGGCAGCGCGATCCGTCGTCTTGATAGACGCGTCTCGGGGCGCCTAAGTCTATCCCACATTCCATCCTCACGTAACAGCGCCTGCATCGGTAAGTTGAACTTTTACCGACCTAGTATGACCAATATCCTCTAATCTTCTCTAGCAACCTTGGGCGTCTGCAGATCTTTTACCGGACCGTCTACTCAGATCCAAGTTCTCTTTGCCTTTACTTCGCCCTACGAAGGAAGAGACTCTAGTTGCGCGCCGTCACTACACATAAAGACTACACATTCTCACGCTGTTGTCAGCTTCATCTCCGTTTTGTTCGTTTCTCCAGCCACGCATACACAGCAACAGGACTCTTCCACCATTAGCTCCTTCTCCAGGCCATGATACGCACGAGACTGCCCCTCCTACAGCCCCGAATGTCATCCCGACTCGAAAATCTCCCTACCGAACTCCTCCATCACATCTTCGATACTATCGAAGCGAGTGAGTCTCATGAGGGCCAACATCAGAAAACTTTTTTCAATCTCAGCCTCACCAGCAAGAGGTGCCGTTCAGTCGCCACACGATACATCTTCAGTCAGCTCATCTTCAGGACCGTCCACATTGAGATATTGTTGGAGAAACTTTCTGACTGTGCACGTACACTGGCTCTCTCTGGCTGCATCGAGGATGTTCAATCCTTGCATACCACAGTGGGCAATTGCTATGATGTTTCAGATGGCGCAAGGGTCGCAGAGTGTCTCAAAAGGTTTCCAAACATAAGCGGCATTCTCATGCAGCTTGATAGTAGAACACCGGCTTCACCCGATGGTTTCATTCGTGAGGTGGCACTGCCTCTGGGAGATGGTGATGTCGGATCAGAATACACGGCTGGACACTATTTCTGCTGGTGGTACAAGAAGTAGGCCTAACATTCGACCATCTATCCTCGCAACGATTGGGGCTGTTTACGTGTCAAGAACTGACGCTCTCTGTGCCATACCTTCACATCAACACAGGAGTTGAATCCAGGAATAATCTACACTTGTTCAGGGGGCCAGCTACGTAGGAATAACACGATGACGCCCTCTTGGTTGGAGTAAATATGGCATGATTACAGCACTCATGCGAGCTTCTACAGCACGGCTTCGTGCGAAAGACATGGATAATGTACTGCTAGCTGGCCCAATCACTGCACAAGACTTGTAGCTTCTTCGAACCGCAAAACACATGTCTCCATACATAGTAATCCTTTGACAGTAACTGCACACAACCCTTGCAAGCAGAGTAATAGATGCATAGATCAATCTCACCTCAGCAGAAAAACTTTGTACACCACTTTCATCATCGACGATTCCACAAATTGTCTTTTCAACATGGAACCTGTAAGTAAACCTGCTGCACCAACAGCACAACTTTCTATCCCAAAGACTACAGTGATTTGACTCGTCGTCTTCGTTTCGACAGATCACCAAACTCTCCTGCCATGTTTTTTTTTCCCTTCTTGCTTGCTGGTCTCAGATTTCACGATATCAAAAAAACACCCCCTTGTTTGCAGCATTGACTACTCCACCAAGGAAAGACCCAAATTCCTTCGCGTGATAACCATGCTAAGCACCGTATCCTATTCTCTCTCACATTCTAGCATCCCACACTATGAGATAAAGTAGTATAGACATTTCAATTTCCTTGGGAGAAAATTATATCCGTCAAGAATTAAAAGAGCAGGGTCATACCCTCCAATGTTTTTCCAATCTCGAATCAAAATTTCCTGAGATACTCGTACGACTTCGGCAAGTCGAAAGAAGAAAAAAAAAAAGGTGCATAGAAACAATAAAAATTTTGCACAAGAGACTGAATGTCAAAGCAGGCCCGTAGCTCGAAACTCCATTACAATGCAAAGAAGCTATCTTGTCAGGAAAACAGCAGATGGCGCCAGAACATGCTGCGCAGAGATCCTACTATTTCAAATTCGCCGATTCTTGCCATAAGACGTCGATGGGCCTTACAGCCTACGTCCAATGTTTCCAAACGCAACAGCACTGACAAACAAAACACTAGCGATCCAAGTAGCGACGCCCACAGACTCGAGCGTGAAAGCACCAAGCACAAGATCATGTCCTCTGCCCGCATTAACCGTAGCATTAGCAACATTCGAGAACGACTGAATGTTGGCAGGGTGGGGAGAAGGTATCAAGTCAGGGTTGATAGACAGAAGAAGTCCAGTGCCGGTCAGAGCAACAGTGGTGGCCAGAATGAAGCACGGGCCGGTGCGGTCGAGGAGGTACCAGATGGCTGGGTTGGCGAGGGCGAGGGTGAGGCTGAGTTGGAGGGGTGATTGCCAGGGAAGACGACGCTATGATGTGTCAGCGATGTGACACCAACAAGGGAGGAGGGGGGATCAAAACTTACAATAGCAAAAACAATGCCCACAGCAGCACCAATAAACCTCACCACCTCATTCCACCCAGGCGTCCAGCTCTGACTACGACTATGCGTATCAGTTCCACTGCGACGCGAAGAGCCAGATCCAGAAGTCCTGTACTCCCTCTCGGCCTCGCTCTCACCACTCCCATCACTCATCCAAATCGAGTCCACCCATGGCAACGCAAGCCCCAACGCAACACCGCTGAAACACCAATACGCAATATACGCCCACGAATCCGCAGGCATGCCCTCGACCTGCACGGGCACAATACTCTGCTGGTCATGCAATCTCGCAATCAACTGGCCATACGCAACACCCGCTGCCCCCAGCACGAAAGTCTTGCCCACAAAAGGCACCACTGAATTGCCGAATGTCTTTTTCTTTTGGCGTTGCTTTTGCTGCAAACGCTTTGTGGATGCCTCAAGCATACTGCCTCGTCTTTTTTTGCTTCTGAGCATCAGGGCATCGTCGACATTGCCGTCGATATCAGCGATGTTCAGGCCTTTGCTGTCGATGGGTGTTTGAGCGCCGGCACCCCAGGGCGTTTCGTCGCGGTCGGGTGCATAGCCAGCGGGCGAGTAGATGCCAAACAGAGTGGACGTGGTCAGGTTGAGGAAGGAGCGTGTGCGAGATGGGGGGAGGCCTGACTCTTCAGCGGCGCTGGGAGATTGGGGGTCAGGAGTTTCGTGGCCGTCGGACGAGTTGCCGGCTGTGGATGACATGGGTGTGAGTTCAAAGGGACGGCGAGGACGGGGTCGCAGCAGAGGAGGTGATTGATCGGCCATCTTGTTGCTCTTTGAGAGGGGCAGGTTTCGTGTGCTGACAGAGGTGATGACCGGATGCTTGCTTGCAGATATGCACGTGCTGTTTGTGTAGATATTGTTCAGTGCTTCGAGAAAATATTCAAGATGACGTGCGCGTTAGACGACTGCAGAAAACGAAAAGGGACAATCAATGGTAGTCGGAATCGCAAGGGAAAGAGCGAGATACAAGTAGACAAGAGAGAGCAGGAAGCAAACAACGAATGTGGAACTGTGGGCCGATGATGCTGGCTGGCAATTGATTCAGCTGTGCTCGTGCTCGTGCTCGTGCGCTCTGATCATTGGCATGTGAAAGCGATCACCCAATGGCCTGTGCCCCCCGCCCATCGCCGAAGCTCGTTCTCCCCACCCGCACATCTATGTCACACACGCAGCTATAGAAATGCACAATACTCTCGGTGAACAGGGGTCTTCCAAGGAGAGCCCTTGGACCATCGTCTCTCTGTGGGCTGATTCATACTTTCGAAGTCACTGTGCATTTCTATAGCACCATTATAGCCTATCTTAGTCAGCGTGAGAGACCGGGAGTGAGATGTGAGTGACAAACTTTAGCATACGGTAATACGCAGAGGATTGACCTCATACTCGCAACACTCACCACATTCGGACGAAATATGAACAATCCAAAGCATTTCATTCGGCTTGAACTAAGAGTACATGTAACAACGCCTCTCCATAACTACCTTTTGTTTGTGACATGTCTGCAAGAAAGCGCTTCCTGGCATCCCGTAACATGTCTACAAGCACGCCCCTCATCCTCAACAATGCGCTGGGGGGCCACATTGACATGCCGCTGCCCTGCATATATGCACCCCATCCATTGTCTCCTCCCCGCTTCTATATTATTTCTCCTCAAGTCAATCATCTGAACCCGCCGAATCCTGTGGGTTGGAATCCAGTAGGCTGTGCCATCACGCCGTTGGAGTAAGGCGCCGGACTCGGCGCGCTTGCAACCGGGCCCTGAGTCAGCATCAGTCGCGATCCTCCGAGAATGGGTGTGTTGTCAGTCTCGGTCTTTTGAGTCACCTCCTTCGACTTGCGCTCCTCGTTGTCCTTCTTGAGCTGGTCAATAGCCATGGCCTGCTGTGACATGTAGTTGATCATGAAGGGCATGGTGAAGTCGTTCAGACCGTGGCGCCATGAGAGCTCCATAACAACGTGTAGAGGAATGAGGTCGTAGCAAGCATAGAGCATACCAACGAAGCACTCGCGGCTGCCAATATCGACAAAGTAGCGAAGAAGCTCCTCAACAACCTCGCCCTTGCCTGACATGGCGGCAGTCTCGATGGCATCCTTGAAGAGCTTGTCTTGCTTTGAAAGGGCAATCGATTTGTCCCATCTCTTGGTCTTGCGGTAGATGTTGGCGGCAATCTGTCTGAAGAAGACCAAATCGTGCTTCTCAAGACGCTGGGCGAGGGCAACTGCCTCGTAGTTGTCGTAGTTCTCGACTGAATCACGAAGAGTCTTGTAATCCTCTTCCTCAATGAGCAGGTCGTTAATGGCATCGTTAACAGCGCGCTTGTTCTGGGTCTGCACGTTGAGAAGGAAAGGCTTGATCAGGGGGATGTTGTCAGACTTCTCGAACATGCGCACAACGCGGTTGACGTCGATGCGGGGAGTCAAAGCCTGGAGGAGGTCGGTGAGAAGCGAGGGTTGCTCTTGCAGGTAGAAGTTCAGGGCCTTGTAGTAAATTTCCAAGTTGGCAACCTTAACGACAGTGTCCTTGAAGGAGTGGTGCTCCCAGGCATCGGCAGCACGCTCCATCATAGCGAGAGCAGCGTTATCATACTCGTCGTAGTGAACACTTTTGGAATCGTTAGTATAAACGTGGTGGTAAGGGGGCCTGAGTGTAGGAAAACAAAGTTGCAACTTACTAAAGGAAGACAAGCTCGGGCCACAGGTGAGCCTCCTCGCAAGCACGAATCATCTTGGGGATGTTGATACGACCCCAGAAGATACGCAGGTGCTCCATAACCCGCTCAGGGTGGTACTTGGAGAGGGCAATGCCCAACTCGGTGAACATACCCATGTGAGCACGCTCGAGACCGAGACCAGCCTCCAAAAGCGAGATGAGCTCATCGAAGTAGCCGTTGTACTCGTATTGCTTGACAAGGTCTTGGAGCTCTTCGGCGTGGACGATCAAGTTGAGACCACAAATCTGGGCAAGACGGAACTCCTTCTTAGCAACACAGGCCTCGTTGACCTGCTTCCAGACCTTGACGCTGTTGGCCTTGCGAGCACACTCAACAGCAGCTTGGTAGTCTTCGAGGTGAACAAGAGTAGTGGCAAGCTTAGCCCAGTTGGAGATGCTAGTGAAGAAGATCTTGGCAGCCTCGTGGAAGCCCTCCTCGTAGGCTTTGTCACCTGAAGCCTCGATGTCGGCAACGTTGGATGTGCGGAGGAAGTCCTCCAACTCGTTGAGTTGGTTGGTACGGGCGAAGCAGAAGGCAAGAGCAGTGTCGATGGGGGTTTCACGCAGGGTCTTGCGTGCCATACGCAGGTACTTGATAAGGTCCTCATCCTTGCCAGCATGAGTAGCAATCTCGATGACCTCGTTGAAGTTGGAGGGATCCTGAGCGCGAACATAAGACTCGACGGAATCGCTGATACGGAGACCATCAAGCTGTGCCTTGGCAACCTTGCTCCAGACCTCAGGGGTGTCAACCTGGTCTGCCCACTCGGCTGCACGATCAATCGAGACGATGTGGTCAACAAGAACCTCAGTGGCAGCAGCATGGTTGTTGTGCTTCTTATAGATCTCGAATGCCTCCTCGTACATGCCGACCTCGATACATTGGTTGGCAATGTCTTCGGGGCTGTACTCGGAAAGAGTCTGGATGTAGTTGCCAACACGACCACGGTCGGACTTGCAGGCAGTGAGCATAAGCAAGTTCTGGAGGTTAGCGTTGTCACTGAAAGCGGAAGGCTCCAGAATAATCTTCTCAAGCAGCTCGATCAGCTCAGTAGGCATGTCGGCATCGATGAAGGCCTTGACGGCGATCGAGACACGCTCAGGATCCTGCGACTCGGGGACAGCGGTAGCGATGATCTGGTCGACGAGGTTGCGGCGGTGGATGTTGTTGGAGCTAAGAACGTAGTTCCAGATCTCGAGATCCTCACGCTCAAGCAGGTAACGAGCCTGGGCTCTGAACATGGCATTGTCGTTGGTGATCTCAATAAGCTCGAGATCGTTCTGGCCCTTGCGGTAGGCAATGTATGCGAGGTTGGGGTCACGCTTCTCGCAGTATTTACCGACGGTCAAGGTGTCGTACATGTCGTTCTCCTTGAGGAACTTCTCGGGATCGTTGTTGCTGTCGATGTAGATCTTGGCAAGAGCGTTGTAAACAGCTTGCTGTTGGTTGCCAGCCTGGAGAGTTGCCTCCAAGAAAGGCAGCAAGAGCTTCAGGCGGTTTCTGGACTCGACTTCCGAGACAAGCTCATCAATAGGGATGACAGTCGAGTCGACAGAGCTCAAAAGGTTCTTGATGATGTTCTCGTCGCAGTCAACATCCAGCAGACCGCCAACAACTCCAGGAGTTCTGCCAGGGTTGACACGCTGGACGTAAACCTCAATAGACTTGAAGTGCTGGTTCTTGTAAAGGTACAAGACAAGGTCGTGAACGAAATTGAAACGATCGCAGACGATGATCAAGGGGAGCTGCTCAGTGAGCTTGGCCTCCTTCAGGAAGTCTCTGACCTTGGTTGCATTGTAGTGGTTAGACTCTCTGCAGACGCGCTCGACCTCTTGAATCTGTCCCATAGTGGTAGCAGCTTCAATGTACTTGAAGGTGACTTCCTCGTCCTCGCTCAAGTTGACAATACCACCAAGGTAGTAGTAGAGACCCTCGGCAGTTCTGTACTTCTCAAGCAGAGCAATGATGCGGTGAGGTCCAAACAAGTCAGAGTACTTCTTGGAGATGTTGATGACAGCGGCGAGGTTTTGACGGATGTTGACCTTCAGCATCTCATCCATGCACTCCATAGACAGCTCAAGAGTGAGCTTGCCAAAGAAGTTGACCAAGAACTCCTCAGGGATCTTGTCAGACTGGACAATGACGCGCTTGATAGCAGCAGGATCCTCGTAGTGTTCCAGAGCTCTAGTGTACAGGCCAGCCTGCTCGCAAAGGGTGGCAATGCGAGAGCGATCATAGTGGGTGAACATCTCATTACCAAGGATGGCATCAGCAACCTGAGGAGCGTTCATCAAGTTCATCTCAATCAGGCGAGTCTGGAGAGGACCGTCCTCTTCTCTGTTAGCCGAAAGGACGTCAAGACCGAATGCAGTAGCTTGCTGGATCATGCCCTGAGCCATGAAGACATCGAGGACACGAGAGGTATCGATGAGGTTGGCGTCCTCCTTGGCCAGAGCAGTGGCGAACTCAGCCCCCTTCTCGGGGTTGACTCTGACGATGTGCTGAAGAAGACCGTTGAAATCAGGTGTGTAGCCAGTCTCCTTGGAGTATGAGAGGATCTGGTCAAAGTTGCCCGACTCAGCCATGGCGGCAATGACCTTTTGAGGGTTGCCGGCCTCCTTGTAGATCTGCATGGCCAAGTTCAAGTCGTGCAGACGAACGATATCACCTAGTGCCTCAGAACAACCAAGCTTGCCCTCGCTCATCCACTTCTCGAGAAGGTGCTTGCGGTTTTGTTGCAGAACAGGTCTGGCCAATTCCATGGTTTCGTGCTGGTTGAGCTTGCCCTTGTCGAGCAGCATACCGAAGTATTGGAGAATGACAGAAAGTTGTCCGGGCTGAGCTTGCAGAGCCTTGAAGCGCTCGATAGTCTGAGGTGTGCGGAGGAAGCCATTGGGAGAGTTGGCGGCGGTCTTTGCGGCGTCGGCGTATTGACCAGAGTTCAGGAGGTGTTCGAAACGCTGTTGGTAGAGCTGGTCGGCACCGGGCAGGCCACCGCGCGAAGCCAGCTTGTAAGCAAGCTCGGAGTTCTCGGGGTTCTGCAGCAGGTAAGGAATAACGGTGTTCTCGTCAAGGCTAACGGACAGGACCTGACCCTTGCGGTTGATTCCGACAATACCAGAAGACTCGCTGTCGGGGCAGGTGGTGAAGACAGTCTCACTCGAGATGCGGTTCATGAAAATGACGGTACCAGTCTCCAAGTCGTACAGGTGGATGAAACCGTACTTGGTCACCAAATAAATGACCTTGTACTTCTCCGAAACCTGCATCGAGACAGGGAAGTCGTTGGCGGCTTCTTGCGGAAAGTAGACGTCGACGGCTCTCTTGGGGAAGACGGGGTTGCCTTGCTGGTGGTCGATCTCGACGACGTGGAGCTTGGCGCCTGAGGCAGTGCGATTGCAGAAAGTGAAGACCTTTGTGTCGGCAGGTGCGCCCTCCAAGCGAATGGTACCGAAAGCAGCAGCGTGACCCTCGATTGCCTGCGAGATGCCACGGTCGCGAGAGTAGAGTTGCATGTTCCCGACGACGCGACCTTGTGCCGACGAGATCGAGACAACAACCATCCACTTCTCGTCATGGCTGACTCTGTAGTTGATGATCTGAGAACCAAGGTTAGAGTTGCGGTCGAACATTTTTACAGGGGCGGTCTGGCTGGGGTCAAAGATATCCCAATGGTAGACGCTAGTCTCTGTGACCATACCCAAGCTCTTGTCGCTGTACCACTTCCAGAAGACGACGTCCTCGTTCATGGTGGTCGACTTGAGCTTGGCCTTTGCGCCCAGGTCGAAGATTTGTAGGGTGCGCTGCTGAGCACGCAGGGCGATGATGTCCCTGGACCAGTGCATGATTGCATTGTCGGCCTTGATAGGGCGGCGGACGACACTGTTGTTGTTCTTGAGGTCGACAATAACAACCTCGCCCGAAGCAGTGTCGCAAACGCAGACATAGCGATCTGATTCTAATGTCTGCAGCAGGCGTCAGCGATTGTCTGAGAGGACTCGAAGTGAGTGTCTTACACAGGAGTTGAAACCAAATGACTTGGGCTAGAGTATTGAGGTCAGCGGTGTTTCTCGAGTCGGGGTGCCGGGAGTGGACGAACGTCAATGTTGAGCGCCGTGAGCTGTCAAGACTTGTCAGTGAAGGCCAATTGGACACAAGCAGAGTACATACCTGAATCAGCTCGGTGAACTTGATAGGTAGAGCGGCCATGGTGGTGATGTGTAGGCGGCTACCTCATCCGGGAGCGGGATCAGGAGCTTGCGTTGGAACGTGGAGCCTTGGGGCAATGGCGGCCCTGCGAGTGCGGGTGGTGAAGGAAGGCGTTCACTGTCGATGCAAGGAAAGTCGTCAAGACGTCAAGCAAGAAAAACAGTTGCGGCGAGAGAGAGAGAGTGAAGCGGCAAGGTCGGGCGTGGTATTAAGTAGGTGGTGATGTTGATTGCTGGCGTTGCTTGCTGGCCGGGGCTCTGGCGCATCCAAGCTGGGCCGGGCTGGCTCGTGCCTGCCTGCACTTGCTGTTGTCGACGTATTGCGATCGATCCCCGGAGTCTTGGCGCCGCAATGAGCGAAGTGCATCAATCTTCTTTTTTTCCCGCCTGAGAACAATCACTGGGCGCCCCTCCAAACCCGTCATCCTACCAATCTACCCACCCCTCTGCTCGCGACCACGACACCGCTTCGTCCTTTATAAGCACATATTCTCCGTCGCATCCTCACACTTTTACCAACCGCAATCATGGCAGGAAACTGGGGTATGTTGTTACCCCCCACCATGCGCGCGTGCCGATCGGCCCATGTACAACAATACTGACTCAAATGTCTAGACGATGAAGAGTCCAGTGGCTCATCCCCTAGCTCTCCCCAAATCGTCGCCCGTCGCGGCAAGTTTGACGACGAGGAGGAGGACGGCGACGTGAGTGCGACTTCAGAATCTCTTGCTGCCCAACGCTCACTAACACCCCGCACAGGTCCTTGATTCCTGGGATGCCGCTGAGGACTCGGAAGTCGAGAGAGAAAAGGCAAAGAAGGCCGCAGAAGCAAAGGCCAAGGCCGAAGAGGAGGCAAAGAAGAACCACAAGTCAAAGTCTCAGAGAATAGAGGAGAGAAGGCAAGAGAACATGCGCAAGAGAATGGAAGGTCTTGACTTTGAGAGCGACGACGAAGACGAGTCCGAGCGTAGGGCTAGACTGCGCAGAGAGCAAAAGGAATCCGACCTTAAGCACGCCGAGGACCTCTTCGGCGGTATCGGTGTCCCTGCCACTCGCAGCAACCCCAAGGCCATCACTGTCGCCGACGCGGACCAGCCCGGTAACGCCATCGACCTCTCGGCCATGCCTCTGTTCAACCCCACCACCAAGGACCAGTTCGCCCAGCTCCGTGAGATCCTCGCTCCTCTCCTGGTATCAAACGTCAAGAAGGCTCAGTACACCATTTTCATGCAGGAGTTTGCCAAGGACATTGTCAAGGAACTCCCCAGCGACCAGATCAAGAAGATTGCCAGTGGCTTGACCACCCTCTCCAACGAGAAGATGAGGGAAGAGAAGGAAGCAGCAAAGGGAGGCAAGAAGTCCAAGGCTCAGAAGACCAAGACCACTCTTGCAGGTGCCAGAAACCTTGAGACTGACACGACCGCCTACGATGATGGTCTCGATGAGTAAGTTGATCTGGTCCCGTTCAATATGACTGACTGCTAACCACTGACAGTGATGATTTCATGTAAACGATGACCGAAGACTGAGCCAAGTTCGATTTTCCAGGCACCGGATTTTCTTTGTGGATAATGGATAGAGAGTACAGGAAGCATTTGCACAAGGCGTAAGGCACTGACTGCATGCTCCATACAAGATTCTTTTTGGTTTAGCAACATGGGCGTTTCAGTTGACTGTTAGACAAAAAAGCTGCATTTTCCTATCACCAAAGATTCAGAATCCTTCTGATGCTGCTATCGTCCTCGTTGTAGTGCTCATATTCCTCCTTCAGCACATTCTCAGACTACTGATCAGACAAGGCAAGCGCTTTTCTCTTTGTGGTCAGGTTTGTTGGCCCCACGCAGATTTACGCGCTGCGAACATGTATTTCCATTGGGGTCGGTACCTGCCCTACTATAGAGTGATCATCCCTACCAATGAACTGTCTAGTTTTTGAACACTGTGCATTGCAAGGTAGGTAAGAGCGTGACAAACTTTTCGTCGGAGAGAGCACTAAAGCCGAGGCGGCGCGAAACGCGAGATCTCCGAAATTATTTCAATTGTAGATTTTTTGACCAACCTCACCGATCACAATCGATTGGGTTAATGTACGCAGTATGATTTGAGCTGCATCCTTTTCACAGTATCCGTCAGTCATATCAATCTTCGACATGGCATCCCGACCCCAGGATCCTGTCGCCGCCGCGGCCAAAGTGATCCGCATCATTCACGACAATCACGCCGCCCAAAGCAGATATCTGCACACTTTGAAGGTCACTCCTGGAGAGACTCACTCGGAAACAAAGACTGTCTTGCAATGTATGGAACAGGAGGAATACCAAGATGTTCTCACCGACCTCGAACCGCCTCAAAAGACTGCCTTCTTCGACAAGGTCGCTGGCATGAGCGAGAAACCTTCTGAGAAATCCTCAACTCTGGATCAAGAGACCGTCAAACTCTACTTCGAGGCTCTGGATCTCGAGGCCAAAGGATTGAGTCTCAAGAAAGTCTGCGCAGAGGTCAACAAGCGCCCAGCTGTCACCGCTCCAGCTCCTCTCACGTCGACCACCGCTTCTGCTCCTCCATCTACTCCTCTTACCTCGAAGCCCTACCGTGAAGAGAAGATCGAGGTCAAGGAATTAAAATCAAAGGACAAGCCGGCCCAGAAAGCTGTCGAGCCCACTCTCCCCGCAGCTCAGAAGGCCCCTGTCGCACCGGTCCCCCAACTCAAGAAAGAGAAGAAAGAGAACAAGGAAAAGCAGAATAAGAAGAGAAAGAGAGAGGATGACACCGCCAAGGTATCTAAGAAGCCAAAGGTTGAGCCCGAGGCACCAGTCGCGGGTTCGAGCAAGAGACAAAGGCGTCGCGAGAAGCAGAAGTTGTTGCTTGAAAAGGTTGCAGCAGGTGAGGTGCCCGCCGTCTCGAAGCCCGCCATCAAGGAGGTACCTGAGACGGAGAAGGCCCTTTCCGTTGCTCCCTCCAGCGCTAGCAAGAATCAACCCTCGGTGGACGAGGACATGCAGCTGGAAAGCTCTGAGTCTGTCACCAAGGAGAAGTCTGAGCCTGCTCAGTCAGAAGTCGCCGTGCAAGCCAATCCCAAGTCTAAGAAAGTTAGGAGGAGTAAGCACAGGTCTGAGAAGGGAAAGTCGAAGCCCGTAGAAACCGAACAACCCATTCAACCATCTGCTCTGGACCCTCTCATCATTGGTGATACCGAGAATGCTGCGCCAGTTGAGGGCACCAAAAAGTCACGAAGGAAAGCACGCAAGGCGAAGGCTGCTGAACCTCCTGTGACCGTTCCGACTCCTATGGCTGCATCGCTCACTGTGCAAGACTCGACTCTCGTTGAAGAACCGGCTATGACTGAAGACGCCTCACCGTCTTGCGATGAGGACGAGCTTGATGAGAACTTACCGGCTAAGAAAAGCACAATGTCTGACTCCATCCGTCGCACCACCCTGCCAGTGTTGGGCAAGCCAACGATATCAGCAACTGCCGATCCTTCTAGCGATAGGGAAGACGAGCAGGACGTCGCCACTTCAACCATCGAACATCCGGAAGCAATCGAGCCCGAAGTCACAGCTGGCGTACATGACGACAGATCCGACCCAGAGGTATCCGACGAGCAAAAAGTCATCGATACGATACAGAGAGAGTCTTCTCCAGAAGCAATGCATGAAGAGAGTCCCTCGCCTACAACAAGAGAGACCAGTGTTTCTTCAGACGAACAATTGCCAAGTCCGCCTCGTCAGCAAGAGCCAAAGAAGAGCAGCCCAGTCGTGCAAAGGAAAGAGCTTCCCAAACCAGTATCTTCAAGCTTCGCCTCCGCTCCCACACAATCTACCTTACAGCGACCAAAGATCATAAACTCTTTCAGCAGACCACAATCATCCTTCACTTCTACGAGATCCGGATCCATCCCCTCCGCCAAGCCCAAGAAGTCTGTCAACGACTCCTTTGCCGAATTCGCTGCCTTTGCTGCTGGCAAGAAATTGGGCTACGACAGCAGCGACGATGACGACGATAGCAGCAGTAGCAGCAGCAGCAGCAGTGATAGCGACGATGAAAAACCAGCTCCTGCCCCGGTCCGCAAGCCAAGTCCCGTACGCCGTCAGCCGTCCACAGCGCGTCCAATTAGCCCCGTAGCTCAGGTCGAGCCTCAGCCTGAATCTGAACCCGAATTTGAGCCTGAGTCTGAGCCTACTGCTATGGACGTCGACACTGAAGTTGGCGCTACACAAGAACAAGCCGATCCTGTCGCACCCGAGATCGATGTCGTCATGACTAACGACCAGGACGACACTAGTTCTCCAATGCAATACAACGACTCCCAGCCATCAACCCAAGAAGAAGCAAAGGACATCACTGAAGAGGTCAGAGAGGACAACTCAATAGCGTTCCAATCATTCCACCAGAGTACTGAGTCACATGATGCGCCTGCAAGAACTCCTCTGCCAGACATCCCAAGCGCTGAGGATCTGATGGAATTTGGTGGATATCAACCATCAACAATTGAGGAAGTCGATCAGGTTGCTGCCGTCGCTGCTGAAGATCAAGAACAACCCAGTGAGCCTGCCGATCGTGAGAACCACGAAGGCCCTCAGCTTACAGAGCCGTCCGATAGCATTGAACCACCAGTAGACTCGGAGATCGAAACTAACGACAGGGCTCTGGAAGATCATCCGGAGGCCGATGAGCAAGTAAGTTCATCGGAAGAGGACGAAGAAGGCTTGGAAATTGCCAACGAAGAATCAAACGCTTCCAAGAGCCAAGACGTAGAGGTTGAAGAGATCGCCCGGTTATCTGGACTAGAGTCTGAGGAGGAGCCTGCTGAAGATCGGCAAGTGTCAGAACCCGCAAAGGCAATAGACGAGCCCGAGAACGAGGTTGCAGAGGTTGACGATATTGAAGAAGTTGAGCAGCAAGCAAGTCCTTCTCTAGGAGACGAACAGGTTCCTGAGGATACTGAGGTACCAAACGGGATCGAGGAGAACATCCAGTCAAACAACTCAGATTCCGAGTCAGAGGAGCCAGCCGAAGCCTTTTCAAATTCCATGCAAGATTTTCTCGCGGCTTGGGAAGAGGAAACCGACAACTTCGAGAATAGAATTCAAGAACTTCGTCAACTGCTCATAGAAGACGGTGACGGTAGTGTGGAATCCAACAAGGACCTGCTAGAAAAACTGTTGAACGAAGCCGACCGCGAAGAAAAAATCTACAAGTCAAAGACTGCGGCTGCTCGTAACGCTATCACTGGACTGGAGCAATTGGCTCGTATTAAGATTCTGGAGGTGCTTGACCGTGCAGACGCGAGTTTCGAGCAGAGATTGATGATGGTGAAAGGTGGACTGAGAGAGGAGTACAACGCTGAGTCTGCAAGAAGTCAGCTCTCACCGGACATGGAAGACCCAGACGTCGAGATGAAGGATGAGCCTACTGCCGTCGATGTCAAGCAAATCGGCAACTCCGACATCGAAGAAGTCGAGTCACCAGAAGATTCCGGTCCTCTTCCACCGTCCTCTCTCGGCTGGGCACCAAGCGAAGACGAAGGCCTAACAGAAAGCGCAAAGAAGGAAAAGAAGACCAAGACTCGCAGATCGCGCAAATCAACCGGCACGACCTCCGAACACTTCACTCCCACGCCACCAAAGAAGAAGCGTGTACCAGCCGGTACATCCGCAGTCCCTTTCCCCAAACTCTCAGCACCTCGTTTCGGTCTAATCCAAGAGAGACTCGCAAATGACCCCTTCCGTCTACTGATCGCCGTCACCTTCCTTAACAAGACCCATGGCAAGGCAGCAAGACCCATATTTGAGCAAGTGATGGAAACCTATCCCACACCTCAAGAACTGGCTGCTGCTGATGCCACCGAGCTCAGCGAAATGATCCATAGTCTAGGTTTCCAGAACCAACGCGCAAGAAAACTCATCAAGATCGCCGAAACTTGGGTCTCTGAGCCACCGCAGAAGGGCAAACTGTTCCGTACCATGGACTATCCCAACAAAGGCAATGGCCGCCAACTCAAGCCCAAAGAAACCGTTGACGAAGACGTGGAAAACTGCATCGAAGCTGGCGCCCTCGAAATCGCACATATCTACGGACTGGGCCCCTACGCCTGGGACTCCTGGCGAATTTTCTGCCGCGATGTATTTCGCGGCGTGGCTTCAGGCTACAACGGCGAAGGTGTTACGGACTACACTCCCCACTCCCAAGCAACTCATACTTCAGACTTTGAGCCAGAATGGAAGCGCGTGGTACCGCTTGATAAAGAACTACGAGCCTGTCTCCGCTGGATGTGGTTGCGCGAAGGCTGGGAATGGGATCCTCTGACCGGCAACAAGAAAAAAGCAGCGCCGGCTCTGATGCGCGAGGCTTCAGATGGAATAGCCACCTGGGATGAACCCGTAGCTCCCAATCCTCATGGCGAGGCCACAACTGCCATCAAACGCGAACTCGAAGGTCCTGAAGGCCCTGATGCATTGGTGCCAGGAGTCAAAGCCGAGGACGCTGCTCCTGCTCCAGCACCTAAGCGCCGTACCAGAAGAGGTAGAAACTCAAATGGTGCTGCTGCGAAACGTGCAGTCACTCCTTCATCCGCACCCGCACCCAAGGAAGCCGCTACACCGGCTGTTCCTGCTAGCACCAAGCGTTTGAACGCAGACCCTGAGATCATGACTTCGCGTCTGAGACCCAGAGCCGGTCGTGCAGATGTGACTGCTTCTGCGCCCGTCCCTGCTACGCCTAGCCGTCGTCGTGCTGCGCGCAAGTAAGAGAGGTGATGGTCTACGGTGTGAAATAGATGATTGCAAGATCATGTCTCGCCGGTTGTCACAACATCGAGTAGGATTTTCCCTGCTCTTCATATCTCCATTCATAGCATCCTGTAGCCTAAGACAAAATACATCAAAGTACAGAAACCACACGCTTGCACTTTTGCTGCGTTCAGTTTGATCAGGCCCGGTTCAGATCAAGTAGGAGTCCGCATTCTGCATTTTCCTCTTCCAGTCACAATCAACCTAGTAGCTACCCTTGTTAGTAAAGGTCTGCTGCCATGAAACGGCACGCCAATCATCTCAGGCCCTGATGCCAACTTTTCCCCTGCCACTTTGACCGCCCTCGCGGCCTTGTTTTGGACATCCTGACGGCATCAATGCGTACAAACTTGAAGCTGCCTCGCTGCCAACCAATACGTAATCAGGAAGACCGGGTTCAGCTCATCGGCCCCCATCTTTGAACCTCGAATAAGTCCTTACTGTCGATGATCCAACCTTTTGTCCCGGTCTACATCCCACCGGGGTGAGCGTCACCGCACGTCCAGACTAATGGATGCATCTTTCTGCATGTCTAAAATTGTAAAACTCGGTTCGGATTTCGGTCCCGTAAAAAGGTTCAGCCAGGGGGAGTCTGACATCTGTCGTGCATGAAGCTCAGAACGACCCTTGAAACTACTTGAATAAGTTAATGCCATGCTTCTTTTCATCCCAGCTCTACTTTGTGACTTTCCAAGGAATGTCAGTCCAGCATCTTTCTGTAGATACATTTCAAAATTGGTATGCAGACTCGGAGGTTGAGGAGATTCCGGAGCATTGTGATGGGGAGGCTGGCCAACTGAGGACCAAGTTTTGTCTATCCGAGAACCTATACTCCTTGACGCAATTGACATGGCCTCGAGGCAGCAGGTACGTAGACGAGGGTATCCCTTGCTCGGGCCTGACACGCAATGAATCAGCTCTACGAGTGATTGCAAGAAGTATAAAAGGTGAGCCAATTGACACCTTTCTCCGACCTTCATCCACCACTCGTTCCATCTCTCTCATCATCTCTTTTATTACCTTCAAGTACCAGGACGTTGTTCACTCCTTCTGTTCTCAATCGCCGTTGTAATGAGTTCCTGGGTCGGCACCACTCTTACCAAGGGGGCCAATGCCCACGCTCAGACACTTGGTGATAGAGTCTGCAGCTACGGTAACGACACTGGTGTTCCCAACCTGATTGCGGTTGGTGAACAGACGCTTGCTGCCACCAATTTTCTCAAGCCAAGCAACCGTCACAAGGCCATCGCCATCCCCTTACGAACTCTCCCAATGCGTCTCTATCATCGGTCGCGGTGGACGCGGAGACCTGAATGCCACATGCCCTACACCTGGATTTCAAAACCGAGGAGAAGCCAAGAGTATTCGTCTCAATCTTCAGGGCAAAGCGCATGTTCTGGTACGTGGATGCTTGGAGATCTGGTGTGAGTCTGTGCACACGAGCCACCTAGAGAATAGGATGGAGGAATGCTGTCGGAGTGGGGGGGAAACGGGTGGTATTGCATCTTCAGCTGGCGCATGGGTGAGTTAATCATGCTCTACACGTGGGCGCTTTGCTTACAGGAACCGCTTTCGTCCTTCCTGGTGCTGCGGTGTACAGTGTTGGCGAAGTGATTTCTCGCTGGCGCTCCGAGGACTACACCGTCACTGAGGCTTGTCGTTTGCTTGGTGTCGACTGATCTACCAACGGGATGTAGAAGAAATGGATATAAGAAAACAGGGAAAAGCTTTTGTGATTCTATTCATTTTTCGATATACAGGTAAACAGTCATGGGCAATGGGCTGTATTCAAATATGGCGGGTTCGTGATATACATGACGCTGCCAATCTCTTCTCATCAAGAAAGACCATATTTTTTTCGTTCGTGGTGATGTGTCTGACATGTGACAGCTCTAAACAACAGTACCCTTGATCTGCTTCTTGTTGCCAAGATTGATATCACGCCATATCCACACGGCAATAAATGTAAGTGCTGTGATAGAAGTGGCTGCAATACACATGTCCCTCTGTGCAATACCGAATGCAACTCCAATTGCATCTCTAGTTGGCGTGCCAGGAGCATAGTTGAGGGCATTGAGATAGCTTGTGTAGACTGATGTAGCGACATCGGCAGGTAGACGCTTGTTCAGCTCTTTAGGGTAGACGTTTGTCCAGATGCCGCCGGCGATTGAGTCACCGATTGCACCACCGACTGATGAGGCTAGGTATAGGAGGGCGAGCGTGGTGGCAAAGTCAGCGTGAGTGCCTGCTGCCAGAGCTGCGACTTGATGGCAAGGCACCAGCGTGCCACCCGCGTATGCGACGAAGATCTGCGCGCAGACGACATAGCGCGGTGCAACTCCTGGCTGTCTAAAATAGATCATCAAGCCAGTACCCATCATGTAAAGTGGCACTGAGGCGAGGGCGATCCACTTGTAGCGTTTGGTCCACTTGACGAGGATCCTGATTCACATTTAGTGGTTTGTCTCGAGGGTCATTGAAGTAACTCTTACCCTGTAATGACACCAAAGAAGCAAGAGCCTACGGTGTAGATCTCTCCCATGTATGTAGCGTCGCGAGTGTTTAGGCCTAGAACAACCTGTACGTGCTTATTAGCATATAATCTTGTTGGCTTACTCCATTCCTGCTTACTTGGTTGAACGTGTAGTAGTAGAGGTTCCAGCAGTAGAAAGCGGCGTAGAGACTGGAGATGCAAAGCACTGCACCGAAAACGGTACGATCCTTGAGTCTCTCCCATGGCAGGAAAGGCTTGCTAGCACCAAAGCGCTCCCACACGGGGAACAGACAGAGAATGACGAAGCCAATGACCAGCATGGATATGATGCTGGCACTCTTCCATTGACCAGCGACCGAAGTTGCGAGGGAAAATGGTAGCAAGAACAAAACGAATCCTGCAACGAGCAAGAAGACACCGACGATGTCAAACTCAACCCAGTAGTGTTTGATGGTCTGGAACCATCCGCGAGCAGGGGATTCGGTGCGCTTGTAGAGACCCATTCTTTCGGCCTTACGTTGATAGTAGTAGAAAACTCCGCACAGGGGAAGACAGGCCACCGGAGTGACAATGGCGAATGTTCCGTAACCCCATCTCCAGCCAGCTCCGCTGACGAAACTCGACACAGCGTAGGGAGTGGTGAAGGCAGTACAGATAAAAGGTGTCTGAGAAATGGCCAGCATGAGGATTCGATGCTTTAGTCTGGTGGTGTCGGCGATGAAGACGGTCATGACATAGTACATGCCATCATAGCCAATGTAGTAAATGACTGAAGCAGCCGCGTAGGTTTGAACATTGTTCGAAGCGGCGAAGATGATCAATCCTATGACTGTAATCCACATCATTATAAAGAAGCCTTCGGCACGTCCCCAGATGTCGATGATTTTGGCGGTTGGCAGACGCAGCACACCGCCAATGATAGAGCTCATGACCGAACTGACTGATAAGAGCTGCGAGGTGCTGAAACTTGCATTGGCGTAATTGCCCAAATAACCGGTAATAGTCGACATGAGCGCAATCTCGAAGTAGACGACGTAAATCCTGCCGTACATTAACAAACCAGCATCATATCGTAGCAGATATACGCATACCAGATATAGGTCAACCATAGCGCTCGCTTGTTCCAAGCAAGAGTGACACCCTCAGCTTTTTGAACACCAGCTTGATAGTCAGGGTCGACTTTCTCGCCTTCGTAGGCAGCGCCGGTTCCAGAAGCGACATTCTTGTCATGGCCATATCTTTCGTGGTAGTCCGGAGAATGATCACTCGGACTGCTCGACGACCTCAATCCACTTTCCTCTTTGACGACGTCATCGGGCTCTTCATCCTCCCGTGAGTGGTAGAAAGGATTGATATATGGCCTGTCCAACGCTTTCAAGAAACCCATGTTGACCGAACGATTTCAGTCGAGCATAAGACTTCGGCCTGCTCAGTATTCAGGGTCGTGTGTAAAAAGATGAAGATTGATAAGATGGCGGATGCACGAATTTTTATTGAGGGATCGCTCGTCTGCCGAGATCACGTTGGTTTTCAGAACTTGGGGCAAATGTTCTTTTGGCTGGTTCCGAACGGGCGAAACATAGGGAAATCCGGCACGATGTGGAAGACGAAGGTGGGGAGGATCGATCGTAGGGTCTTTTTGTGGTTGAGCTCGATAAGAAGGTGTTTCGACCTGCGCGTTACCTTACAGCTCACTCCATTGAAGCTTTCTTCTGCGTACTTTCCTCAACTACTCGACAGCCAACTCTTCAGACAACATACACAACATGCACAATAGACGTTCATCATCTTGATTGCCATGAGGCATTTTCTACAGTTGCATTCGTCAAATGTCAGCCCGAGGGGTCGGTTGTCCGGCACTAGGAAGCATTAGGGATCTTATCAGATTTATTGCCGCAAGCCACCAAAAAGACTCGGCAAAGGCAAAAAGAAGCTCTGACGCGCAGCCATTTCCAAAGCCAATTCCGCTCAAGCAACGACGGAGTTTGCTTGATCATTTCAAGATGACTGTGTACGCGTCTATGTCTTTCTCTAGAGGTGAGAATCTTTGAGAAACACGAACTGCTGCGATTTCGCTCAAGCATGTCGCAATGGTGCGTCTCTACAAACTGGCGGCCTCAACGCACTTGTGATGACGTTCAGCCGCCAACGTCATGCACAAAAAGCACATGTGCCGTCCTGATGGCCAAAAGTCGTGGCATCGAATGCTTTGCTGTGTGCATGGCCCTGTTCCTGAGAAACAATTGCAACAACACGTCTCCCCTAGCTGATGTTGATCATTTAATACTCGAAGTGACTTATGATAGCCCGTATAGCCCTGTCTGTGTGACTTGAGCTGCGTATTCCGGAAGACTTGGGCGAATCCGAGTGTTTTCGTGTTTGCATCGAGTAGCCATGTCAAAACACGTAGAGAAGTACACAGCTGATTCGACGACCACGAGATTTGGCAGCAACAAATGAGCCAGGAGGAATCAAGGGCTATCATAACCAGGGTTGGTAATTCTCTCTCCATCAATGCGAGTGCATATCATATAATGCTCTATCGGCCACTCTCTTGGAGTAGACAGACCGAACCAGTGCTGGGTCGATCAACCTCGCTAAAGTCCCGACGCGAACGAAGCCCACGCGCTCAGAGACGCGACTTGACTTCGACTACACAACGTACACACACTGTGGACTCTCTGTCGGAGCACATTCACGCGTACAATAATCAGGCGTGTTGATCGCTCGACGACAACTTCCCAGATCTCACCCCTCGATGCGCCCCATCAACCCTTGACGCGTCGGTATTGACGTGCCAGCAATCAGCGTCCGAAGCAACGCTTGCTACACGGATCCTGCGAGTGCGATGGACATCAGAGCGACAGTGGGAGCGACATGACAGAGCACGGAACAGGAGTTCAAAAGAGTTGGGGACACACTTGACAGAATACACGCTGTGTCCGGCCTGTCTAACCTAAGCACTCCGACAACGCGCGCCGTCCTTCAGACTTTACTGTCTTTCCCTTCGGCAACATAGTGATGAGTGGAAACGTTGTCTACATCCTCCCCGTCCGGCACTCCGGTAATCGTCCCGACGTTCTCATGATCAAAGCAGCCTTCATTCGCCGCGAGCTCCTCGAAGACGAGCGGTCTTTCCAATCCTTGTGGTAGGACCTGGACTGGCCATATCAAGCAGAGGGTGTAATATACCAGGCCACCCATGCAGAAGGATAAGATGAAGCCTAGCTTGTACATGTTCTTCGAAGCTTGGTTCACCGAGTCGGGATCTAATGATCCAGCTATACCGTGGATGACGAAAGCCACACCTGCAATCCAAGCAGCAAGCATACGCAGGTTCCAGCCTTTGTAGTATGTGTATGGGCTCTCAGGCGAATACACATACAAAGAAGGTACATGTATGTTACCTCTTCTTACAAGCCAGTAGTCGGCAACCATGCATGCGCAGATAGGCATGAGGAACACAGTATAAGAGCCCAGGAACGTGAGGAATGATGTCGCCGATGCGATGATCTTCCAGGGGACGAGAAGAGGTGCCAAACACGCGCACAGAACCTGTCCTCGGACGATTGTCAACCAGCGCGGCCATATGCCGGTCAAGTCGGCACCGACAGGAAGCGAGTTGCTTCCGGCATTCGTGACCAGCACGGCCAGCATCATGCCAAAGCTTGCAAACACCATGCCTGCACGCGCGCCTGGACTCCAGTACTGGTCGAGAATGGCACTGTAGAGATCCCAGACGTTCCAATATGACTTTCCTAGGACGGTAGTCGCTGCGGCTGTGGTAGCTGTGCTGATGAACATCACCAGAACCTTGCTGAGAAGTATACCGACGCCTTGGCTCCAAGTCACGTCGCCATAAGAATGACCGTAACGAGCTATATCTGGCTGATTGATCAAGACAGGCGCGAGAGCTCCCATCACAGAGTTGATGGCAGAGATCATCGGCCAGATGAGGTCATGACCTGACAGCTGGGTCTGTTTGGTGGTATATTTGAAGTCGCCAATCTTCCCTCCGTTCGCGCTGATGACCCAGCCGAGCACGCCGAGCAGAGAGATTGTAGTGTAAACTGCTTTGACGACGAACAAGTGGCGGAGAACTCTGGGGTGGATGAACATGACAGGCATTTGGATCTGTCCTGGTTAGTGTATGACCTTTCACGATGAAGATGGAGATACTACCATCCAGAAAATGAAGAAGCTAAGCAGATCCCGAGAAGTAATACCAGCGCTGGCCGGCAGATGATTTGGGATGTTGTGGTATCCGTTACCGAAGATTCCGCGCATGAATACGGATGTGATGCGTCCACCATAGTATGTCTGCGTGGCAAAATAGATGATAGCAACGACAGCTCTGACGAGGATGTACAACGAAGAGCCTCTGACACCTGCTGCCACACGGACGTATACTGGAAAGCCCACGAAATACTTGATCGCACCTCTTGAGTTGAGTACAACCAGGACGGTCAATATGGCAGATCCGATGACAGCAGCAATCATTCCATGCCACCAAAGAAGGCCGATAGAGACGAGCGAGGCTCCGAGGTTGTAACTGCTTGGACTGAACGTCATCGTCAGGTAGTAGGCGAAGTAGTGTTGCCATCGCCATCTACGGTCCTCTGCAGAGTGTCAGCATCAATGTCTCTGAGGCTTCTCAAGAGACCCAAAATCGTACCAGGAGGGCTTGGGAGTAGATCCTTGTTGTGTCGAACAGGCCCATCACTACTCGAGGTTTGCACAAACTCCTTGAATGACTTTGGAGAGTTGCTAGCATCTTTCATCTGCTGTATGAATTGAGGCATGGCTGAGAAGTCGTGATGCCCTCACAACCAAAGCGGCGCCATCTCAAGACATATATGCATCCGCATGTCATGCAAGATAGTACGTCTTGGTCTTGCGTGAGACAAGCTGAGCTCGAAGGCGTTGTTGAATTGATTACAGCAGGCTCGAGATTGTGCAGGTGAACAAGACCTGGAGATAAGCCGATAAGGAAGGAGCCCCGCTCGGAGCTCCGACAACCACTTTGACCAAGAACGATAGGCAATTGCGATTATGCATACCTTCCGTCAAAACTTCAATCTATCAGATAAGAAGATTTCGGAAGATCATAGCTTGCATAGATTATCGTCTCCGGTATCTACAAGCGCTACTACCGCCGACCTCGCCTTATGGGAGAATTTTCGGCCCTCCGAAGACCAAACAATCGTGTCTGAATGTATTTCTTTGATGCGCGGCAGTCATGGCAACATTACTTGCAGTGGTTGTTAATCGGGCCTTGACAAGCTCCTCTGCTGACCAGCCATCCAATCGACATGAACGACAAACAAGCTGCCGCAGAGGCATCGATTATCGACCAAACCAACTTGCTTCCCAAGAGACAATTACTCATCGTCTTTGGTGTCCTAGCAATCTCATTGTTTATATGTTTTGTTGATCAGAATGGCATCGGAGTCATATTGCCAACCATATCTCGGGATCTGGATGCTGCCGATACCATATCTTGGGCTGGCACATCAGCCCTTATTGCGAACACAGTTTTTCAGGTTCTCTTTGGACGACTGTCAGATCTGTTTGGTTAGTAAATTTTAGCTTGACATGAACTTAAGCTGACAGATGACTACAGGAAGAAAAGTTGTGTTTCTTTCGGCATTGATGCTGCTTGCAATCTGTGACCTGCTCTGTGGGTTTTCACAAAATGCCACCATGCTCTATGTCTTCCGCGCCTTGGCTGGTGTTGCCAACGGTGGTATCACGAGTCTATCAATGATGATAGTGAGTGACATCGTTACCCTCAAAGAGCGAGGCATATATCAAGGAATCCTTGGTGCTTGTGTGGGCCTAGGTAACATGGTAGGCCCGTTTATCGCAGCAGCGTTTGCACAGAAATCTAGCTGGCGAGGTTTGTTCTGGCTGGTAAGCCCGCTTGCAGCGCTTTGCTGCTTGATATGCTTTGTCATCTTACCGCCGTCGAAAGACTCTTCGAAGCTAGACCTCATGACTGTCGCAAAGAAGATCGACCACTGGGGTATTCTCTTCGGATCTGCAGCTATAGTGCTCATCTTGATACCTGTTTCTGGAGGCGGCAGCTACTTTGCCTGGGACAGTGTCATGGTCATCTCGATGTTGGTCATCGGAGGAAGTTGTGCTCTGGCGTTTCTTTTCGTCGAACACAAGGTTGCTGTGCTTCCCATGATGCCTTGTAAGTCACCAGATCCTGTCATCGTAGTTGTACTAGTGTTGAAAACTAATTTTGAGGCAGTATCCTTGTTCAGAAATCCGCCTGTATGCGTACTGCTGCTTCAAAACTTTCTCTTTGGCATCGTCTACTACTCGCAGCTCTACTATCTTCCACTGTTCTTCCAGAATGCACGAGGCATGTCGCCGATCACTTCGGCTGTTCTGGTACTGCCAATCACTGCTGCCCAAATGACGTTGTCAATCCTCTCAGGCCAGTACATTTCCAGACGGGAGCGATACGGCGAGGCGATCTGGCTCGGCTTCTTCCTCTGGACAACCGGAGTCGGGCTGACCTGTATATTTGACCTCAACACGCCTATAGCTGCCATCGTGGTTATACTGCTCGTTCAAGGAGCAGGAGTGGGCTTGATATTTCAGCCAACACTGGTTGCATTGCAAGCTCACTGCTCTAAAGAACAGCGAGCTGTCGTAATATCGAATCGCAACTTCCTACGCAGTCTGGGCGGTGCTGTGGGGCTTGCCATTTCCGCTGCCGCACTGCAAAACTCTTTGAAGAAAGCCATGCCACCAGAGTTTTCTTCCTTTGTATCTTCATACGATACACCGGACTTTGAAGCGCTTGGAGCTTCGCCAGAGCAAATACAAGGTGTGCTGCAGGCTTACGCTACAGCTAGTAGAACGGTGTTCATTATGAATGTACCATTCATGGGGCTTTGTCTGATCGGGTGTCTTTTGATTAAGGACCGTGGGCTACAGCGTCCTGATGAGCTACACGTCGTTAATACCAGCGATGCTGTGGCTGACATGGTTGAAAAAGGGGGTGTTCAGCAGTCTGTGCAGGGAGCCTCTCAACCGGGGACAGCTGATAACGCTAAGAGCATTGATGTGCGAGGACAACGATAGTGCAGCATAGACGACAAAGTATGTGTTGTCCGAATTTGATATTGTGCTTGGATGCCATACATAAAGGCCTTGACTCGAGTATGTACCATTTATTTTTGAAGGTCAACACAACCGCCTGGCAGCAGAGACATCGGGCACTCCAGAGGACAGCTTGATTACGACTTAATGAAAATCATGTTGAACATTATCGTATTCGAGCTAGCAGCACCGTATAAACAGCTCACATCACCCTCCAGTCATTCGCTCTTTCCCAAGCATATGCAGTTTCATACACCGACATCTCGTCCCACCACTTCCCAATCACTTGCATACTGACAGGAAGCTTCACCTTCGCATCTACACCTGGACCTTCGAGCACCTCCAACATTCCGATAGGCATAGCTAAAACAGGGTGTCCACTTTGGTTGAAAGGAGCAGTATTTGTCGTCAACCCAATCTGTTTTGTGATTTGCTCAATCGGTGTAGCGTCCGGAGAGGCATGACTAGTCGCCACATATGGAAGTGTTGGAGTGAGCAAGACATCGTATGTCTTGAGTGCGGTGTCATAAGCATCTCGAAGTTGGTGTGACAGATTTGTTGCTTTTGCCAACAGAAGAGGAAAGTTCTGAACAGCATACAGACCATTGAGGTAGATGTTTTTGGTCGACACGTATGCATTGTCCCAGTGTTCTTGACCCATGGGATGCAGTTTCGAGTTTAGCGTCAGCATTTGATGGCCTCGTCTACCGAATGAGCCGGAGGTTTTGGTCAGATAGCCTCCTACTTTTGATATGCCGGTCCAGATAGCTGCGCCTTTGGAATGGATGGGGATGGAGACTTCTTCGACCGTCGCACCGAGGGCCTCAAATCTGGCAACTGCTGCTTTGAAAGTCTCGATGACACGTGTGTCTAGAGCGGGCAACGATAGTGATTCTTTGATGATACCGAGTCTCTTTCCTGTCAGAGGTCTCTCCTTGGGAAGGTCCACTATCTGGCTGTAGGATGGAATCTTGGAAGGATGTGGTGCAGCGAATGAGCGATCATCGATATTATCAGTACCAGCGATGGCCTCGAGAAAAACAGCATTCTCCAGAACAGTGCGCGTCATTGGACCAAGATGATCGTTGGTAGGCTCGTTCGAGCCGCTGCCAGTATAGGGAACCAGCCCAAATGTTGGCTTCAGCCCGACAATACCACAGTTGGCTGCTGGAACGCGAATGCTGCCACCTTGATCTGCTCCAATAGCTCCATCGCACTCTCCAAGAGCAACAAGAACGCCCGATCCACTTGAACTGCCACCAGAACTATAGCCTTTTGCAATCGGATTCTCGACGATACCAGTTCCAGAAGAATGACTCGTGGCGCTGTGACACATATTTTCGCAGACTGCTTTTCCAATGATCATGCCGCCAGCTTCTAGGATTCTTGTCGCAACAGTAGCATCGCAGTCGGGTGTATAGTCTTTGATGAAATTGGTGCCCAGAAGCATTGGAACGCCCTTCAAGGCAACATTGTCTTTCAGGACGAATCTTTTGCCGCGAAGTTTGCCGCCCTTGGAATGCTTGTCGACGACTGTGCATCTCCAGGCCCAAGCACCGTGTGGATTGCCATGCTTTTCAGGGAAGTGAATATGCTCTCTGGCGAATCTATCCTCATCTACGATAGGGACATAGTCTACTGTCTGATAAGCATCACTACTTCGAAAGTGGTTCGGATTTTATTTACCTTCAATATCCATCAATTGTTCGCTGGCATCGTGAAAGACGGCCAACAGACGACGATAGTCTTCTTTCTCATGCTCTTCGATCTGGACTCCTAATTGGGAGCATAGTCCGTCAAGTGTTTCTGTGGTCACAGGATTTCCCTGCTTAGCATCGAGAGAGAAGACGGACATTATAGTGATCTAACAGAAGAATTAAATTGTATGATTGTATGCCCATGCCGGAGCCAACGAGGCACCTTATACAGAGTCATGCCAGCCCTCAACCATGAACAACCGATTATCCCGTGATCAAGTCGCAATATGCGAGCCGGCTTGCCATCAAGCTCCTACTCGTGAGTGTCCGATAGACTGATACAGTCAACAGTGCAAGTCATCGGAGGTCCGAGATGCGTGCGATAGGCGGAGGTGGGGGCTGAGGGGCGGGGTCCGATAAGCATCCGATAAGGAAACCATACCTTGCTCGCCCTCACCACCTGAGAGATATTAACTGATAGGCCAAATGCGGTCGGAACAAGAAGGAGATGATTGTGCCACAACTCGTTGTTTCGGCGGGCAGCCAGTTCGTGCATCAATCAGACGGCTTTGAGCTTTCGGCCAGCGTGATTATAAGCTGCAGCTAGACTCAACATTTTCAGCATAGTATTCAATATTGCTTTTACAGTGTTTCTTGTATTTGATTGGGAACACATTCTCGCAAGATCTTGTTACCAGGAGAACAAACCAGACAGCCGTCATGGTTCACGTTGAAGAATCTTTGCAACTGCCCAGAGATTTTGAAGGTCACAAAGACAATGAACGCAATCATTCGAACAAAGGCTGACAGTATACTTAGGCTTTGGCGAAGAAAGCCATGATCCTCAATGGCCAAATGGTGCTCGTATAGCCGTATCGTTTGTTCTGAACTACGAAGAAGGCGGCGAGAGAAACGTCCTCGATGGCGACGGAACCAGCGAGGCGTATCTCTGGGAGAAAGGACCTTCTGGAGGTGGCAGAGAGCATCGCCATCTCAATGGTGAGCAAGACTTCGAGTATGGAAGTCGATGCGGTGCTTGGCGTATTCATCGACTCATGAAAGAGTTCGGATGGAAGATGACTCTTTGGGCCGTGTCTGTCGCAATGGAGAGGAACCCTTCTTTTGCAAAAGCTTGCGTTCGTGATGGCCATGAGATTGGTGCACACGGCTATAGATGGCTCGATATCTGGGATTACTCTTTTGAAGACGACAAAGCTTACATCAAGAAAAGCTGTCAGACTCTCGAGGCTGCCACTGGAGAGTTCCCAAGTGGAGCATATTTCGGCAGAGGAACACCAAACACCGCCGCTTTGCTGCCTCTCATGTGGAAGGAGATGGGCCACAAGTTGTTGTATACATCAGAGGTTTACAACGAGGATTCGCCGTACTGGATCGATCTTCCATGGGAGAAGGAGCTCCCAGAAGACAAGAAAGAGGGTATGCTGATGGTACCGTACAACTACGACTGTAAGTGACATAAACTGCGATGGGAGCCATGGATACTGATGACTCTCCAGGTAATGATGGGAAGTTCCACATGAGCCCAGGTTTCGTCAGCTCGGCCGGAGCGACTTATGAGCAGTATCTCAAAGATGCATTTGACTGCCTATACCGCGAAGGTGGCAAAATGATGACGATACCGATGCACAGCAGGATTGTGGGAAAGCCAGGCAGATCAGAAAGTCTTCGAAGGTTCATGAAGTACATCTCTGAGAAGGAAGGAGTGTGGGTGACCACTCGCAGGGACATCGCAACTCATTACCGGGAAAAGTTTCCTTACAAGCCAGGGTCGAAAACTGGCGGCGACTGAGAGCCCTTGAAGCACCCACATAATACAACGTTCCATACCATATGTTTGACCTCTATAATCAGCACAGTATTTTGAGACCGTGTGTCGAAAAGTGCTTGTGATGTTGTCTGTCTGACTTCGAGTTGAATTAAGATGTTCGACACTCGAGCTGGCCAGAAGTTGACGTTCGAGGACACGTCAAGACTTGCAATATGGCCAAAGTTGCGCGAAGCCTTTATCAGACGGCGGGGTGGCTTCCTTCCCCAACAGACACAGATAACAAACAGTTCCGAGGGTCGCCCTTGGCGATACATCTCAATATGTTAAGTATGCGTTGGAACCAGTCTCTTGCCGCTCCCCTGGTAAGAACATTTGCTTGGCTGTGCCCGACTTTCCCGCTCGAACTATGACAACCTTGAACTTCATAACTACAGAGAACACCATCTCGCCTAACACTGACGACGCTAACAACCCACGAAAAAGGCAGCGGACCGCTTGCGATAGATGCAAAAGTAGAAAACAAAAGGTGGGAATATCAGAGGCTCTCGTTTCGCTCGTTTCCACTCATACGGCTCGGATAGTGTGATAATGCATATCCGCAATGCTCTAACTGCGCCAAGGCAGGCAAGGCTTGCAACAAACCACCAGAAATGGAGAGTCTGAGCGGTTCATACACTCGTGCCCTCGAGGATCAGGTTGCTTACCTTGAACAACGCCTCATGGTTATGGAGAATCAGCAAACGCGTGCTGTGCCGACACCGACCACGGACAATTTGCCGTCTCCTGTCAATGCCGAACATCCATTGACTCCAGGTATTGACACCGACGAAGTCAACGATACTCGACGAGTTGGAACTTCTTTGCGACAAGAGCCCAATGTTGCGGACGTCGTAGGCTTGTTATCTCTCGGCAACGGCACTGAATATGTTGGCTCATCATCGGGCTATGCACTGGCGACCGATCTTGGACGTTTGGTGCGAGCGACAGTATGGAACAAAGCTTTATGGGTGCCCACACCTCCCAGTCCTGAATCCGAGAGGCGCAATTCAAACTCTGATACCAGGAAGATTACTCTGCAAGAGCTACAACAACCTGCCAAGCCAGTTTCTGATGCCTTGGGCACGCGCTTAATTACCACATATCTTGTCCGCATTCACCCAAGATTTCCATTCTTATTTCCGCCAGACCTTTGGGAGATCCACCGTCGTCAAAGTCCTTGTCAAGCACCCCACGGAGTGTCCGAATTTTTGAACAGCTTTGCTTGTCCAGCATATAACGAAGATGGATTTGCTCTCTTCGTGCTAAACTTGGTATACTCTATAGGTGCACTGAATTTGCGCCTTACAGATCAGAGTTACAGAGATGTGGCACCAGAGCAGTTCTACATCTCTGCGATGCAACACGTCGCGAGCGTAAGAGAAGCATCGCCACTCGACAATTTGCAAGCGTTGGTGCTTCTGATCCTGTACCATCTACGCTCAGAGTCACGCAACGGCCTTTGGCATCTGACAGGCTTAGCTATGCGGACAGTAACAGATATTGGTCTACACCGCGAGGCATCGACCCGGAAATCGCCTCCATTACAAACCCAGCTTCAACGTCGCCTATTCTGGTCTGTGTGTGCTCTCGAGAGCATCCTTGCTGGTGCTTTAGGGAGGCCGATAAGTCTGTCTGACTGCGACATCGATCAGCCATTGCCATTGAGTATCGACGATAGCGATTATATGCAACGAGTCAATACGGATGTTATGCCTGGTCCCTTGATGCCCGGGCAAGAGGCATATCCACCTACAAATCTGACTCAATTCATTCTGCTATCGCAGCTTCGGACCTTTGAAGCTCGCATACAACGCACGATTTACAGGGTAGATCGAACGATAAGCGCCTTACAACCAAAGATGCATTGCCTGATATCAGATCTTGATGTATGGCGGGAGAATATGCTTCCAGCTCTACAGCCCAGTGAACACGAGCGTCTGATGCTGCACTTCCACCGCGATGTTAGGCTTCTTCTGCAACCATTCCTATCCACACTAGAGCAGAGCTCAGAGCTCTTCCGCAGATGTGTGGATTCTGCTGGACAGGTCTGTCAGATCCACAAACGACTGCATCAAACCCCCGAGTACGGACATAGTTTCGTCGCAGTTCACACTGTGTTCGTCTCGGGAATCACTCTCCTCTATGCGCTTTGGAAAGGAGGCAACTGGACTTTCAGCATCAGCAACGATATCCGTGCAGCTAGCTGTGTTCTGGCAATCATGGGCGAGCGTGCGCCCTGGATCAGACGGTTTCGTGATGAGTTTGATGCTTTGACAGAAGCGACTATGACTGCTTTGCAAAATGCGAGTTGTGAGACTGGTGTTGAGAACAGGAATGGAACAGCACCTGCACCCGATTTCACTACTTTTGATGGCTTGGAAATGACGGACGCTGCAGCATTGGAGATGGTTAGAGAACTATCGCAGTGGTTTCAATCGTAGGGTCATGTCAGATCAAAGAAAAATATTCCAGTTCCAGAACGTATTGTCCGATGTGCTTATATGGTTTTGTTTTTTCTTCCTAACGTAATTAATTGCACCGAGGCTGGCGTTTCCAATCTGCGCCTGTGCCCGCGCCGAGGCTGAGGATCCACAATCTTTGTCGAGAGCTGAATACGAAGTCTCCTTTTCATCTACACGCAAGTCATAACTTTCGCAAAATCTCTAGCATAATAGGACCATGACGACTCTCAAGGAAATACTTGCCCTCGAGCAAGTGGAACAGAACCGTAAGTGGAGCGATCGCGTACGGCCGTGGACCCACCGAGAACCATACCTAACTCTACCGTTGGGATAGGCTTCAAGAGCAAGCAAAACCCTCCACGAATGGGAAATACCCTACCAATTGCTTTCGGAGGATATACGATCGGTGTAGCAACCCAAGCTGCTTGCTATGCTATCCCTTCAAACCATAGGCTCTATGCAGTGAACGGAAATTTTCTGGGCCCAGCACTGACAGACCGCCCGGTGTTCATCAACACAAAAACATATCGATCAACCAAAACCTTTACCACGAAATTTGTCGAAGTCTGTCAAAAACAGGATGATGGCAAGGAGAGAGTATGTCTAGTAGCCCTAGTCGATTTCCACGTCGTCGAAGCAGAATCATTCATGGTATACTCTGCACCACCCAGCAAGCCATACTCGCCAGTCTCCGAATCCTGGACACCAGCAGAACGCAAGAAAACAATGGTGGAAGAAAAGATCCTCACCCAAGCCGATGTCGATAGACATGACAAACTCTTCAGTCTGATGAGCGAACTCATCGATATGAGATTCACACCTCAAAGCATACACGGACAAACCCTGCAAGGCTTTGCCAAAGGCCACAAAACCACTCAAGAACACCTTCCCCTCACCGACCGCTCATCAGCAGACTGGCTGCGCGTGCGCGAAAAAGTCTCCACACATGCTGAAAACGTCACATCCCTGGCTTTCCTCTTGGATGCAAGTATTTCTTTCCAACCGCTTGTGTTGCAGAGTATGCCGCTCACGGAATCTGGCGCTTGTTCGACTCTGGAATTTTCGCTGAAGTTTTTGACGCCCGAGATTGATATCAATGAGTTTCATTTGAGGGAGTGGAAGACGTATGCTGGAGATGCGGCGAGGACGTTTTCGGAAGCAAGGCTTTGGGATGGCAAGGGCAAGATGGTTGCGAGTATGTCTCAGACCTCTATCTTGAGGCCTCCCAAGAAGGCTGCGGTGAAGAAGTCGAAAATCTAGTATAGAGTTTTTGGACAAAGAAAAGATGATGTTACATGATGGAGACATAGAGAGGTTCTGCTCATATAAAATGTGTTCTCAGCAAGATCAGTAGATTAGAAACTTGATCCAGGCATTGCAGTTCTGGCGCGCATTTGTGGATTATATACTGTCAGAGAAGCATATCTAGCACGTACGGCCACAGTCAGCTGAAAACTGGGCATCCCGTCCGCTCTGCCATACATAAGCAGTTGAACGGCAGATTAGTACTACGGTGGGTGACCACGTGGGAATCCCTGCTGCTGTACGTTTTGCATTTTGCTTTTGTCTCTGCCATCGTCCGTATGCTGCTTCTGCTGTAGTGATAATGGCGGCAGTCGTCATTGTGGTGCCTGCGTTGCTTTTGTTTTGATGATGCTCAACGTTTGCGTAGTGTGGTTGTGTGGGCGAGATGCTTACGGATTGCGCTCATTGCCAGCCATTTGAAAACTGTGAAGCTCATCAGAAATCGCGCGATAAGAGAAGGTTGATTGCGTATGTATCATGAAGGCAGCCGAATTGGACTCTATAACGCCAGTACCTTGCTAAACCCATATGCTCTAGTTGATCAATTTGAACTGCTTCGCGTACCATGCAGAACCACCCACGAACGCCGTGACACCCGTCATCACAAGCAGCGAACCATAGCCAGATCCGAAAGCAAAAGGCGCATTGGACCTCCAATGATCTGCCTCGACCAATGCTTCACTCATGGGCCCCGAGACCACAGCACCGATTCCTTTGCCACAACTGAACAGCGAGATAATCATACCAGTCTCAGCGCCTGGGTATCCATTTTCGCGAATTGTCTTTGCCACGCCGGACCATGTTGTCGAGTAGCCGCCTGCGTAAACACCATACAGAATTGCGAACACGAATAGCATGGGCTTGATGGTGGCGAAGGTCCAGAAGACAAAGACGGCAACGACACTGCCGATACTGCAGACAAGGATACCCGTGGTAACATGGCATCGATCGCCGAGGTAGCCAATGAACATGGCTCCAATAATCTGTGCGCCGTTGATCAAAGCAATGGCCAGTGTACCATCTACAGCAGTGAACCCGACTGCCTGTGCAAAAGACGACAAGTAAACACTCGGCAAGAAGAATCCCAGTCCTTGGATGATACTGGCACTCTGCAAGATCCAGAAAGTTCTGCTTTTCAGGTAGCCGAATTCGACTTTTTGTGGTCCAACGTTGGTGTGGTGTCGCACAGGTAGGCGTGGCTTCATGAAGAAGAGTGCTGGAGTGGTGAGCACTACGGCAACAACAGCCCACGTCCTCAATGCAGTGCGGAAGCCGTACGTGCGAAGCACCCAATCCAGAGCAAAGGGGATGATGACACCTCCAGCGCCGCAAGATGCACAGATGCATCCGAATGCGAAGTTACGCCTCAGCACGAACCACTCATCCAGGTAAATGAACAGAGGGTAGTAGTGCATGGAAGCACCGATGGCGTACATTACACCTTGGGTTGCGATGAGCTGGCTGACTGACTTTGCGAAAGATGCACCGATAAGGGAAGCTATCATTATGACAAAGCCGACAAAGACACTTGGTCTACGGTATCGAGGATTCATTTTCAAAGCGATGAACCAGAAAGGAGCCGACACATACAACAGACCGGTCGCAGTGGTACCAATTGCTGCGACGCTGGAACCATTGCCTGCAAAGTGTTGCTCGTAATATGATTGGAAAACACCAAAACTGAAAGGAAAGCCTTGAGAATAACGTTAGACAAAGACTTGGTAGGAAAGAAGTAAGATGAGACCGTGAAAAGCTCATGACAAACTCACCCCAAGAGACGGCCTCAAATATCACACAGCTAGCCAGGAATAGCCATGCATCCTTACCACCATCAGCTGGAGGAAGAGAAAAGACTTCACCATCTTCGGCTCTACCAAAGACATTCAAAGTCTCGAGATCCTGGCTATCCTCAGGCTGTACAGGAACAGTCGAAAGCTCAATATCTCCAGTCCGGTCGTCGACACCCATAATCTAATAAGTCTCTTGTAACAAAAGTTGATGGAGAACCAAAATCAGCACGCAAAGAGAGTGGCCGAAAGAGGGCTGTTTAACCCCACGAGAAAACACGTTTTGACTTTCCGCCCCGCCTTTCAACGCCGCGCCCTTCGGTCGACGAGTCGATGACATCCACGGACGTCGCACTTGCCCGTCGGAAAGATGTTTGCTTCTGCTCGACAGCAGTGAGTCACTTTTATCTTTCGCCCTGCTTTCTCTCTAGACGAATCACCAGATGCCAACGCACGTCGTACCATCAAACCATTATCTCGATTCTGCCAAAATATCCTCCCAAGCCTTACTGGATTGTAACATCGAATGCAGGGTTCCAGTAGAGTTGGCCGGTCGTGCTTGCCGTATCGAGAGAGACTTTCTCATCACCAACAATGAAGTTGCTGATGACAAAATTATCGACAGTGACATTGTTACCATTGCCATCGTCCATGGCGGGCATGAAGCTCTCCGAGATGCCGATATTCTCGTACCCGCCACAGCTGCCAAACTCCTCGATCCATACATTCGAGATGGTGATGTTGCTGAGATTCTCTAGAGCATAGATTCGCATCAAAGGCCCAGAGATACCCTCGGCTCGTATGTTAGCAAACACAATGTTGCTGGCCGAGGAGTAAGTGTTGGCCGTGCTTGTGTTTGTAGCAGAGGTGGATGCTGTAGAGGGATCATAGACATTGTTACTGCCAATCAAGCCTGGGTTCGAGCCATTGCTGTTCCAGCGACTGTGTATGATGTTGATGTTGTCCACCTGGATATTGCTGAGGTTTCGAGATGCCCAGCCAAACTGGATGACTGGGGCGGTCGTGGCTTTCTGCACTGTGACATCTGACACAGTGACGTTCGAATAATAAATCTTGATTGTGTCATCATTACTGGTTGCAAGTGGTCAGCTCGTATTCGATATGTGCCTTTTGTGCCAACCTGTGTTGCTTACGTGTGATAGAATATATCTTGATAGACACTTCCGGGATATGCTTGCATACCGTCCGTCTGTCCAAAGAAAGCACCAACTTGTTTATAGTCCGTACACATGACAGAAAAAGCCGATATATCACCGTACCAATCCATGCTGTTGAATGGAGGGCTATTCAGTGTTGGCCCATCGACTATCCACGTCGTCTGTTGCCCATTAGGAACGGTGCCCTTCCACATCCGCAAAGGCGACCCATTCACATTGTGATTCTGGAACCCATACGTCGGATCTGCCTGATACACGTACTGTTCTCCTGAGAGCACGCCATGCCCTGTGGTCTTGATCAGCGAGGATGCAGTGTGAAACTCCACGGCACCCTTTACATAGGCTCCTGGTGCGAAGTAGAGCCAATCGACTGTCGCACTGAGATTAAGGTAATCCGTAGCAGTAGCGTAATACACGCCAGCCTTAAAGATGATTGTATTGGCTTCGGTGGTGTTCAGTCCAGTTATGCGACCTTCATCTACGACTAAGACATTTTCCGAGGTCTCATCAGGGACCAGAGACGCATCCTCGAAAGGACTGGCAAAGATAAGCAGCGAATCGAGAGGCTCTACAGCCATCAACGGCATGGAGTTCTCATCCATTTCATCGACATAGTAGGGCCCGTCTGCGGTGCTATCTTGTACATAGGAACAAGAGGGATCGCTACAACCATCATGAAATTCGTAGAGGTTGTCGTTGAACTCTACCGAGAACTTTGTGCCACTACCCTGGTCGTATGGTACTAGGATGAACAAATCACCGTTCGCGGTAGAAGTTGTGAAGTTGAGGTTGGTGGGTCTGATAACAAAGCTGTTGGATTCAATACTGAAGCCATCGAGTCGATGCACCTTGACCCAAGCATCCGCCGAGTAGAGAAACGAAGTCCAAGACATGGTCATGCCAATGGTTTCCTCGATGGTGATACCATCGTTCGCAGTAGTCTTTGAGGTCGGGTCATTGGGGACCAAGATGTTGCCCTGACCGTTGCGAGGTATTGTCTCATAGATAAACGAATCGTAGTAGATCTGATCCACAGAGTTGGCGACTTGGATTGAATATAGATGGCTTTGGCGCACAGAGGCTGGCTGAACAGGTGATTGGGTGATCTCGCCGGAGTCGTGCCACCAAGTCAAAAGTTTAGAATTACTGATGGTGTTATTACTAGACGTAGCGCGTGCGGTTGCGATACCAATGAGAAGGATCACCAGAGTCGAAGGGGTCCACATCTCTGATATGTTAAATTGGCCTGTTTGACGAGCGGTGCGGTCCGGTGCGTCCCTTTCGCGACGCAGGGAAAGAGGATGTGTATACAGAACTCGCGATGGAATTGTTGATTCTAAGTACCTGGAGCTGTGAACAGCCAGGTAGTCGACACGAAGAGCCCGCCGCCGCCTACGTAATTGCATTGATTGCTATTTGCTTCTTGATCATCCTAGATAGCGCAATTCGAATGGTGCGTCGAAGTGGATGTCCTATGCAGATCATCAAACGGTGATGATAGAGGGCATAGTCACTTGTAAAAGACATGGGGCATCTCGAGACTGCTGTGGCAGCTGTAGTCAGGCGGCCCAGAGCGGAAGACCGCAAATTCTTGCCTTGCAGAATTTTAGACAGCTTATTCCCAGCAAGAGGTCAATAAACAGTCGGGCCTAATGAACATCAGGTCGCGACGGTATAGGCACAACGGTTGCAATGTAAACAGTCGGCAATGAGCACAACGGGCAAATTGATGGAAAGCTTAACCGAGAAGGGCACTTCCGAGGCGCCTATCTTCGACAACTCCGATGGCCCTCACATGAGGCGTCTCGATAGGCTTCGTAACGTGAAGTAAGCTTATCCTGATAGCATTCGCAGTTCAATGCTTGTCACAATAAACATCTGGAGTCAGGGCTTGTCAGAGAACGAACATCATGAGAGAGAGGTGCATGTATGAAGTGACAAATCAAACAAACATGCCAAGCCCTGAAAGTCCACCTTCTCAGGCGCTTCCGCGACACATCTCTCCATTCCAATTATCTGCGACTTTGTCCAGTAATCATAAACGAGAGAGCCGACCGTGTTTGTTGCGTTGACATCATCCGATACGAAACTTTACGAAGCGTTTGAAAATTGCCATGCCACGCAATCCACACGAGCCGCTGTGAACGTTTTCGACGTCGCCACGCGAGTACGGGTACTCAGTATGCAAATTCATCACTGAAACCAGTTCATGCCATGTGGTTCTGAACGACAGTTCCACTCTCTCTATGCAATCACCACGCTCCGAACCGGGACAGTCGGCTCAAATGTCCATCCGTCGTCGATGTTTGTTCATGCGAGTGTATGCCACGACTCATGGACCGTAACCAAGGATCACCTCCCTAGTAAGACCGAAGCGAGTACTCCCCAAAGTGCTCGAATTGAGACTTCCTGAGAGTTTGAACTCTGCTTGAGGCTCTCGTTGATATTCCCAGAAGCTTGTTCTTGTCTCTCAACCCTTTCTGGTAACCGTTCGGGATTCTTGTATGGCCCTGAAGCTTGAACCTGGACAGACGACCGCGAATACGAGGCCAGTCGATTACCGAAGAGCCAGGCACACCTGTCCAAACGTGCCAAACATAAGGTGATACTGGTTGTTGTTGACCAGTATACTAAAGAAGCTCAACAAATATCCCAGGCAATAGTGCCTATTGAAGGCACAATATAGTATTTCTCAGCTCTTGAATGAGTGGAGATGAACAGCATGGTTATGCGTAGGTATGTATATATATGGAGTGGTCGGGCTGATCTTGCCATAATGCAGCAACCTTTGGCACCCGCGGCCAGCGTCTCTTGTCTCTCGTTCTATATACTCTTCAATCGTCATAACGAGCTCTGGCGGCCTTCATTATGGCTTTCACTACAGGCAAATTCATCACACTCCTTTGCTTACTCAACTCTTCCGTATCACAAGCTCTCAGCTGGTCTGCCGACTATGTGGATTGGAATCTTAATCAGAATGAAAGCGCAAATGGTCCGCTTGATTACTGGGGTGAATGGAAGGAGCATCCGAAGACACCTTCTCCTTCCAACTGGAGAATGCCCTTCTACATGTTAACGCTGGATCGTTACGTGGATGGACAACCTACGAACAACGATGCTAATGGCACAGTCTTTGAGCATGATGACTGGAGTACAAACCAGTTCCGATTCGGCGGAGATGCTATAGGCTTGATGAACAACCTGGACTGGATCCAAGATCTCGGCATCAAGGTAAGCAGATCCATCTCTCGTCTACTTCGTCGCGCCTCTTCACCCCAACTGTCCGGCACTGTAGCTAACCAGGTCCGCAGGCCATCTACTTCTCGGGCTCGCCTTTCATCAACCAGCCTTGGGCTTCCGATGGCTTTGGGCCACTCGACTTCACATTGCTCGACGCACATCATGGAACGATCACCGAATGGCGCCAACTGATCGAAGAGCTGCACCGTCGAGGCATGTACGCAATCATGGAAAACACAATCGGAACCATGGGAGATTTGCTGGCATTTGAAGGACACGAGAATGTAACAACTCCTTTCAACGCACATGAATACGATACTCTTTGGAAGAGCAGCCGAAGATACCTCGACTTCGAGGTCAACAATGAAGTACTTGAAGACTGTCAATACCCAGTCTTCTATGGCGACGATGGGTTTCCAGTCAACTCGTCAATCATGAGCGACTTCAACGGCCAATGTCGCAAGTCCGATTTCGATCAATACGGTGATATGAAGGGAGTGTACGTTATATTCAACACTTACATCATATAGCTATGCTGACCTCTTCACTTCAGGGGCTACGTTCCTCCATACCAAAGTCAACTTTCAAAATTCGCCAGTGTCCAAGATCGTCTTAGACTCTGGAAGTCTGATGTTCTTGAGAAGGTCAAGCATTTCAGCTGCATGCAGATCGCCATGCTAGACATCGACGGATTTCGTGTTGACAAGGCACTACAAACTCCCGTCGATGCGCTGGCCGAATGGGCTACATATCAGCGTGACTGTGCCCGTCAATATGGTAAAGAGAACTTCCTTATCACTGGCGAAGTCGTTGGTGAACTCAAGTTTTCCTCCGTGTTCTTCGGCAGAGGCAAATCTCCTGATACCTACTTTGATACCCAGCTCGATGGACAAAACGCTACTGGAGATACCGAGGGCTACATTCGTGAATTTGGCAACAATGCGCTTGATTCTACGAACTTCCATTATCCAACATACGTGAGTAGATAAGATCCAAGAGGGCTGAGAGTCTGGCTAACAAGAATGCGACGAAAGGGTGCCATGACAAGGTTTCTCGGACTCGACGGCGACATTGGCTTCGAAGGCGTCGACTTCGCCCAGCACTGGAACAGCTATCTGTTGACCGATGATTTTGTGAATGCCAACACTGGTCTTTTCGACCCTCGCCATATGTTCGGTATGACGAACCAAGGTATGTTGGCTTTCTCCTTCCTTTTACTGGCTGAACTTAACAAAACCTGACTATGATTCCAGACGTCTTCAGATGGCCATCGCTCATGAATGGAACGCAAAGGCAGGTTCTTGGGTTCTTCATAACCTTCTTGGAAATGCCTGGTATCCCCGAGTTGATCTGGGGAGACGAAGTCGAGTATAAAGTCCTCGAGAACCTTGCTGCCGATTACATCTTTGGCAGACAACCCATGGCTTCATCGACTGCCTGGCAAATGCATGCATGCTACAAAGTGGGAGCTGCAGGCAACGGTTATTATGATATGCCCTTTGGCGATGCGCTCACAGCTTGCGAAGACGATACAGTCAGTCTTGATCAGAGAAACGCAGCTCACCCTCTGCGAAACTTGATCAAGCGCATGTTTGAATTACGTACGGTCTACCCCGTTCTGAACGATGGATTCAGTCTACAGACACTCTTCTTCGAAACCCACGACATATTTCTTCCTCATAGCGGCCTTCTGCCGACACCTCTCGGAATCTGGAGCGTTTATCGCGGCCGCACACCTAACATCCAGGACTTGTCTGGCGAAGGAATGGGTAATCAAGGTGTCTGGCTCATCTACTCGAACCAGAATGAGACAGTTCACTACTCATACGACTGTAGCAACTCCTCTGGATCCCTCATTGCACCATTCCCAGAAGGTACCACCGTCAAAAATCTGTTCTATCCTTACCAAGAGTACACTCTCAATTTATCTACCGCAAAACTTGGTATTGAAGGGTCAAATGAGATCAACGGCTGTTTGCCCGGTATTGAGCTTGAACCATGGGGCTGGCGCGCATTTGTCCCGATCGACATGTTCGTTGCAGCTGCTCCGGTCATCACTGGCGCTATCCCTCGTCACGACGCCAGGATCGAGACTACAGTAGATCTGGACGATACGCTCACAGTCCCTGTCACATTGTTGTTCAGCCGGGAGATGAACTGCAGCTCAATCTTGGACTCTATCAGCTTCAAATCTACAACACAGACTGGCATCATGCCATACTTTGAACCTTCCAGTGTCTCATGCAAGAACATCACAACAAACGCTTCTCAGAACTTCGTTGGAGAGACACTTTCAACTTTCGAATGGTCTGCAATTCTTGCAAACGTTAGCCATGGTGTGCACACTTATACAGTAAGCAACGCGACCAGTGTTGAAGGAACCGCCTTCACGAACACCAATGATCGCTTCATGCTCCGAGTGGGCCGTAGGGACAACCCGGTGGTCTTCACGAGTGCAAACTACACCACTGGCCTCGTTCAGCGCGACACTGCAACAGGTGCGTTGGAGTTGATTCCTAAAGCCGCTGGTGCTTCGCTATGGCGATACTCTACGAATTACGGATCAAGTTGGTCAAATTGGACCACCTATACTGGCGATGCGACTACAATCGAAGAGCAAGCTTGGTCTGGTACCAACGCTCAAAAGTGGAAGGGCATACATGTTGTAAGCCAGTATTGGTCAGAACTCTTAGGCTCTACGGAACACATTCAACACTCTGATCTTGAGTTTGATGTTCCTGGAAGATGGCCTCATGTTCACGTCCAAGGACCCTGGAATCAATATGGCTATGATGGTGGTCTCGACGACAAGATGCATCAAGATTCAGAAGGCATCTGGAACTTTGATCTCTCTTCTGAGTGGAACACATCTGTCATCTTGAACGTATGGGGAATGAACCGTGACGGGTTCCCTGACAAGTCGAAAGCGTACGGAGATGTCGATGGCGACAACGTGCTCGACTGGGTCCCACCAGACAGTCTGTCCTTCAATCAGATCAACATATCTGCACCCGGTTGGCCATACACTGCAGTGAGAATCGCGGTGAACGATGGGTCTATGCGCTACACCATCACACCAGTCGGATCTGCACAGAGACAGCTTGCTTTGTATATCTTGCTGGCCCTCGTACCTCTTATCACTGCCTGCTTGGCAGTCGCAATTTATCTTGGCTCTTTCTACCGCCTGAAGTACAACTCGATCGGTCTCACGAAGCGAAGTTACCCTTTCCATCAATTCCAGAAAAAGAAGAGCTTCTCGGATATGCTGCCACTGTCCTTCAACAAGACCTCAGAAAAGCAGAGTATATCAGATATCGCCGAGGCCAGCCAGAATGTTATGGCTACCACCGAGGCTTGCAGAACAATCTTGATTGCCACCATGGAGTATGCCATCATGGATGAGTGGGACATCTCGATCAAGATTGGGGGTTTGGGTGTAATGTCATCGCTCATGGCGAAACATCTCACTCATCACAATCTCATTTGGGTCGTGCCGTGCGTTGGAGATGTTGTGTATCCCATCGACAAAGTCATGAATCCCATTCAGATCACGATCATGGGAAAGCAGTACCTCATCGATTGTCAGATCCATGTCGTAGGCAAGATCACATACGTCCTGCTCGATGCGCCGCTGTTCCGGCAACAAACAAAGAAGGAGCCATACCCAGCTCGTATGGATGATATGGACAGTGCCATCTACTACTCAGCTTGGAACTCATGCATTGCTGAAGTGATCAGGCGTCATCCTGAGATCGACATCTACCACATCAACGATTATCACGGCGCCGTTGCACCACTGCACCTTCTCCCTCGAGTCATTCCTGTTTGCCTGTCACTTCATAACGCAGAGTTTCAAGGCTTGTGGTCTATCTCAACACCACAGAAGCTGCAGGAAATGAGCGATGTTTTCAACCTCGACAAATCGCTGATTCGCAAATATGTGCAGTTCGGCGACAACTTCAATCTATTGCACGCTGGAACCAGTTATCTGCGAGTCCATCAAAAGGGCTTCGGAGCCGTTGGAGTTTCAAAGAAGTACGGAGCTCGTTCGTTCGCCCGCTACCCTATCTTCTGGGGGCTTCCCAAAGTTGGCATTCTACCGAATCCCGACCCATCTGATGTAGAGCACTTCAACAAATGCCTGCCGGATCCGAATGTCACCATTGACCAGGAGTATGAAGCTTCTCGCGGTGCAATGCGCAAACAAGCTCAGCAATGGGCCAACCTCGACGTTGATGAAACAGCCGAGCTGTTTGTGTTTGTTGGAAGGTGGAGCATGCAAAAAGGCATCGATCTGATTGCAGATGTCTTCCCTAGAGTGCTTGAAGACAATCCCAAAGCCCAACTGATCTGCGTGGGACCTGTCATCGATTTGTATGGCAAGTTTGCCGCCCTCAAACTCGACCACCTGATGAAAAGGTACCCTGGTAGAGTTTACTCGAAGCCGATGTTTGTCTATGTACCACCATTTGTTCACGCAGGTGCAGAGTGGGCACTTATCCCTTCACGCGATGAACCTTTCGGGTTGGTCTCAGTCGAATTTGGCCGTAAAGGAGCACTCGGTATCGGAGCCAGAGTTGGAGGCCTCGGTCAAATGCCTGGATGGTGGTTCTCAGTGGAGTCATCAGGAACCAAACACATGCTGAATCAGTTCAAGATGGTCATCGATGGCGCATTGAAGTCAACCCATGAGACAAGAGCTCTCATGCGAGCCAGGTCCAAGAACCAAAGGTTCCCGGTCGCTCAGTGGGTTGAAGATCTCGAGATTCTCCAGGCGAAAGCCATCAAAATCAACACCAAGGTCCAAGATGGCTCGACTTCGGTTTTGAACACTCCAATCAGCACGCCACCTCGTTCACGAGTTCCATCTCGTGTGACGTCGCCAGTGGCCTCCAGATCACCTTCGCCTACACTTGAAGAAACACCACGACCCCAGCTCAGGCGTCGACTGTCCAGTCTGCTATATCCCGCCCATCCATCGGCAGAACAGTTCTTGCCTTTCCGTCGCCGACTGTCATCTCTCTTCCCCGTATCACGCCGTACGCCTTTCAAAGTCTCGAGCACCGGCATCGATGTCCCTGTGGAGGCTGACGAATCTCGCGATGAGATCGGTATTTTGCCACAATCGCCTCCAAGAAGTCGGCATGGTACAGCTGGAAGTCTAAGCGAAGCTGTCCCACGAAGTGTCTTCAATCCTAGCTTCTGTTGCTCAGAGGAAACCAACTTGCCAGGTGAGATCACCAGACCTACACTTGCCCATTACAGACGTACCTCTACGCTTAGTGTCGGTGAGGTCGTAGGCGAGAAGACCGACTTCAATCTGCAGAACGTTGATCAATCGTTCACTGATTCTCAACTCGACTATTATCGTATCTACGAGAAGATGCTGGGTTCTCTGACTGCAAAGAGCTCTGAAGGCAAACTTTGTATCGAGACCTTTTTGCATCTGGCAGAGAAGAACTGGTACCAACGATTTGGTGAGGCCAAGCTTGGTCGAGCTGTCATCTCTCCACCGGATGTAGGCAGCAAGAAGTTTGGATTCAAAGGCGTGTCTGTCACAGTCAGTGAGGCAAGTTCCATCAGCGAAGGCGAACGCACGGATAGTGTGGGTGCTAGCTCTCAGAACAGTGCAGAACAATTCTTCACCAACGCCCATTATAAGGCACCAACTGGTGTCTCGAGGCTGTTGATGTCGAAGCTGCCTTATATCGCCTCTGATTGGCCTTTGTACGCTTATCTCCTTGCGTTTGGACAGATCATCGCTATCAACAGTCACCAAATCACCATCATCACTGGAGCCCAGGGTGAAAATGCGATTAAGCTATATATCGTAGCCTCGATATACTTGGCAGGATCGCTCTTCTGGTGGCTGATGGTTCGTAAACTAGCATCCCGATTTGCACTTTCCTTGCCTTTCCTGTTCTACGGATTGGCGTTCTTCCTGGTTGGCGTCGCACCATACGGAGCCACTCCAAACAGCCGTGGTTGGATTCAAGATATCTCGAGCGGCTTTTACTCGTTCGCATCAGCATCTGGATCCTTGTACTTTGCCTTGAACTTTGCAAGTGAGGGTGGTGTTCCAATCCAAACGATGATTTTCAGAGCCACTGTCGTTCAGGGCGTACAACAACTCTGGGTTGCTGCACTGTGGGCATGGGGAACAACAATGAGTTCTCACCACACTGCAAAGTTCACGGACACCATCATGAACTCGAAGGTTCTTCTGGCTATCATGGCACCAATCGCTGTTATCTTCATGGCAATCGGTCTTGTGCTTGTTTTCGGCTTACCAGAGTACTACCGCAACACGCCAGGAAAATCGCCTTCGTTCTATACCAGCATGTGGAAGCGCAAAACAGTCATGTGGTTCTTTGTCGCCATCGTTATTCAGAATTACTGGCTGTCGGCGCCAACCGGACGGAACTGGCAATATCTTTTCAGCAGCACCCAAGCGCCGATCTGGGTCATCGTTCTGTTACTGCTCTTCTTCTTCATATTCATCTGGAGCGTTGCCCTCTACACTCTTTCACGCTTTTCCGAGTATCACTCTTGGTTCTTGCCCATCTTTAGCGCTGGCCTCGGTGCTCCGCGTTGGTGTCAGATGCTCTGGAGCACTTCTGGCATGGGTCTCTATTTACCATGGGGCTCAGCCGTTAGCAGTGCAATCGCGGGTAGATCTCTGTGGTTATGGCTTGGCGTGCTCGATGCCCTAAATGGCGTTGGCATTAGCACTATGCTTTTGCAAACTCTTACTCGCCATCACGTCGCGGTTACCCTCACTGCTGCTCAAGTCTTGGGTTCAATTGCTACTATTGCAGCTCGTGCATCAGCACCTGATGCTACAGGACCCGGCTCTGTCTTCCCCAATCTGGTGGTAAGCTCGAGTGGACTCGGTGCTTGGGAGTTTTGGGTTGCGCTTATGTTCCAGATGGCTTTGCCCTGTGGATTTTTCATGTTCTTCCGTAACGAACAATTGTTCAAGCCTTAATGGCTTTGATGCGGATATCTTTTCTTTTGTCAATATTCTCAGCCATGCTTAGAGGATCAAATATGCCGAGTCAGAGATAGATATTCTTTAGTAGATATAATGTATAATGTATCAGTCTTTCCTTATAGAATATTTGAATTCTTGACTCAAGACTCTCGAGGGCGTTCTTGCATAAGTTGTGCAAGCCAAGCAAGACCGGAGCGGAATTGGAAGCGGCGGAAGATATCGTCTTAGCAGCCTTGGAGCTTTAGCCGCGAGACTCTTCCCTAAGTCCCCTCGCTTAACACGGAACTTCGTCCTTTCACGGACACGTGCTTCTAGGAACGCAGCAACAATCTTAGTAACCCAAAAAGACGCCTCCTTACTCCATTCTATCTAAGAGGATCTACGGCGCCTTTAGTCTCTCCGAGACGTTAGAAGTGCTTAGCTCGATATTTTGTTGTTCCCGTGTAGGACTCAAGTTCAACGTGCAGATATTGGAAATTGCACGCTGACTTAAGACTTGGATCTTCTGGGTCCCGAATTTTCAACAGATAAGGGACAGTGATGGTTACAGAGAAAAAATGTTCATCCTTTAGGAGCCCTTCTAATATCGAGCCGCTACGAGCTAAACAGACGTTAGAACAGCCGTTGAGCTGAAGTGCGGAGCATGACTTTTGAGCCTCGCTACAGGCCGAAAAGGCGTCAGGATTCATTCTTTTACTCCTGCGTCTCATCTTTGCTCCTTAATTGTATGGCTAGCCCTGCCGATTTCCAGACTAGCTAAGCCTTTCTGAGATCGACGTTGGCTGCCTAAGAGGATGCTTAAGTCAGTCATCATGCACGGCGTATACTGCAATAAGCGAGAGTCGATGGTACGTTCTCTAGAACAAAGATGGACAGGGTGTTAAGAACAGTCGGTGTCGAAAGGACATAAGTGTCGGTAAACAAGTGCGCATTGGAGCTAACTATGGCACGAGATCATTGTGTACATCTCTCAGATTTCTGGAAGCCGGATGGGTGTACATCCTTCGACATTATAAACATAATGCATGACCCTAGGGAGATTTTAACGTCCATGCGGCGGAAATTGACTTCGATATAGATCCAGATTTCCTCTAAAACGACATGTCTTTTCGTGAGCTAAATTATCTAGACATAACGACAATTCGATCCTTCGAAAGCGATCCTTAAGATGCATACGCTACGAAGCAAAAGGTATAAGTTGACGCTCAAGGCCGCAAAGCAGGAAAGCTCCTTCCATTCATAGTACCTTTATTTTTAGAATGTGAGCTTTCTTCGGATTGGCCTTAGCCTCGACATGGACGGTCGCAACAGCATTAGCGTTCAATGGCATAACAGAGACCGTCACTGTAACTCATACATCTTAGTCAACAATCGTTTCATGCCCTTCGCCGCAGACAGTCACGATTTGCAACTCTAAGTGTGCGGCTCCGACTTCGATCTCTGCTAACAAGGCTAATGTTGTTTATTAGACTGTGTCTGACTGTCAAGCTGGCTAGGTCGTCAACATTGATGGTACTCCGACGACTCTCGCATAGGCAACTGCATTAACTTTCGAGACGACTATTAGCGACTTTGTCTTTGTCCCCGAATTAGCCACGAACAACGACTTCACTGCCAGCGCCACGGTTACTAATGTCGTATATCCATCATCGATGACTGGTTTCAGCGGTCAGGTGGTTACATGTCAGACCGGAGTCACCACCATTAGCAGCGATGGTGCCGTTCTTACCAATTGTCCCTACACGGTGCAGTCGACCGTCCTCGGGTTGACGGCGACTGGAGCTGGTAGCCTGCTAACCGCCGTCGTGTCTTTAGCTGACTATATTGTAAAGATCATCTACATATATGTCATTGAAGTCATCGTGGAACAAGTTCCCACGACTATCACGAGGACAGCGACCAGTATTCTTACCACGACCTAGACGGAGCTGTTAAAGACAACAACAAATGTTACTCTCACCACGATCCAGATAGAACTTGTTACAATCACGAACGGCGTCGTCACCACGATCCAGACAGAGCTTATGACCAGCGCGACCACGACACAGACAGAGCCTGCAACAACCGCGAACAGTGCCCTGCCCATAATTACCACTGTCGCTGATGTCACCTTTTTGCTAGAGTATGATACGGCATACGATAGATTGCTGTTAATGGGCTTCGCAAGCGTTAGATCATCGGTCCGCCTTCGGTCCCTGCTGGTCTAAGTGTATGTCTCGTTCAATGTGCTAAGCAAGTAGTCTGCCGAGCTGCGTCCTTCGTGGAACGCTTTTCGTTGTGTGTTTCCTTGACTCAGTTCGACGTACAGAGCCGAAGAGTCTCTTAAGGCGAGATTTTCGCGACTGTAATCTTCCGACCATCTACATCGACGAGCTTAAGATCGTCTGCAGGTGCATCGACGCCGGCAAGTTCTCGATCGTCAACCAATCCTGGGCCCTCTTTAAGGCCGAATGCCCCTTCGAGTGTTATAGAAAGCACGAGTACCAGTGGTTCCGAAGGCGTTAGCAGCAGTCCCGTGTCTACTTCAAGCACCAAGATCGGCTCAAGCAGTGTCCCATATCCCATAACCAACACTTCGGTCAGGTCGACGTCATTGAGTACGCGCAGCAGCCTCAACCCGAGTGTTCCTGTGTCTGTAACTACACCATCTGTTACGCTTGTGACTTCGAGCTCAAGCTCTAGCGAGACCTCGTCGTCTTTGAGCTCCGCGATATCGAACTCGAGTTCATTGATGTCTTCCCCGTCGCCCACATCCAGCAGCAGTCTTAGCTCGAGCGTTAATCCTCCAGCCACCAACTCGTCGACGACTTCATCGATGAGCACCACACCTGTTGCCCCACTCACTGGTTGTGCTGTTGCAAGCGGTATCTTAGGATATACTCCTGCCGTATCTTACTGCTCTTCAGCCTATCCGGTGACAACATACACTACCTTGCTCAATGCTACAATCACCAATATCGTCACCACCTCAGTTCCCACCTCCACTACCTACAGTAGCCTTACTCTGCCTGTTCAGACGGCTGTGGAGACAGATCAGGAGACTGTGTATCTTTCCAGCACCTTCTCGACAGAGTCTACGGTTATAGAGACAACGACGACGTAAGATTTCTACACATGATCCATCTTTAGCCCTTCATACTAACGAAGCATCGCAGTACCTTGACAGTCACCACCACCCCTCAGGCAACGTTCACAGTGCGTAGAAGACAAGCGGCGCCTTCAGCTCAAGCCAGCATTTTCTCGAGTATCATGTCTCGTCGAGCCTCAGATATCGCTTTGGTGTGCTCCTGCCTCCAGACCCCAGCGACAACTTCTGTCACGAGTACGGAAACAGTCCTGAGTACAACAGTCGCCACCCCAGTTGTCAGCGCCAACAACACCATCACACCACCTCCAGTGACAATCCAAGTCACCGAAACAGCATTCATCACCGAAGTCGTGTCCGTCACAGACCTCACCAGCACCACGACCACGCAAACCGCCACAGCAACCGCCACCGCTCCTGCCACATGCCAAAACTTTTTCACCTGCTCAGAAGGTGTCGATGCTTCCTGTGACCCGAACTCTGGCGGGTATTGCCTCTGCACCGAGATCGCCGGCACCGGGCAAGGCTTCTGCACTTCCTTTAGCACATACACCGTGGGCTGCACCACCAGTTCCGACTGTGGAGAAAACATGCTTTGCGCTCTGAATACTTGCATCGGTAACGTGTGTATCCCTAACGTAGACGCGATTTGCGCCAATCCTGGCGGACAGGCGGAAGCTCGTCGCAGGTTCCGCAGAGGGGCGACACGGAGATCTGTGTGGAATGCGCCGCTTGGGAAACCTGTGGATATGTATAATGGTCTTGATGCGTGAGGTTTGCCTAGTGTAGTGTGGCCTTTACGGAATGGAAGACCGCCGAGTAGATTTGAGGGTGGTCTGAATACTCGGTGCCACTCTTGACCTATGTAATATGCAACCTTGACAATGATATACAAATCGTACGATCAACACCTCTTCAACTTAACTTTCACCTGCCATCTAGAATATAGTCGAGAGATCCCTAAACTCTGTAATGAGATGAACGCATCTATCTATGGTTTGGTACAGATGTTCTCGGTATCCTCTACTTTTCGGGATGACAAGAACAAAGTTCAACGATCTATTGAAGAATGACTGTTACTTGTCATTGCAGCTGGCATTTCATGTTGGTATTGTAGGGGGAACAAAAAAAATGCTCCAAACATAAAAAACAAATGAACAACAATAGACATGCAAACACAAGACAAAAAAGACCGACAGAACCAAAAAAAAAAAAGAACTAAAGCAAAAATGTCAACTTTTGTTGATTCATTCCCCACATTGTTTGCGTCGAATGCTCGAGCTCATCACACAACTACCTTCTTAAACCTCCACAATCCCACCTTTACATACTTCACCAAACGCTTGCACCAACTCCTCCAAAACACTTTCCACAAAGCTCTCTTCTCTCTCACTACCAACAACACCAACATGTGTTTCTCCACCTTTAACAAAACTAACCACTTTCATCGGAGAAGGAGAATCTCCGTGTGGCTTTATCGCATCAATCGCACATTCTCCACCAGCAAAGGGCATGGTTTCCACATCATCTTCATCGCCTTGATGATGCACTATACTTCCAAAGTATGCATCGGTATCCCAACCTACAGCGGCAGCGATGGAGGAGTACCCGACAAAGTCGTGGGAGCTAGAATTCGCGGTTTGAATGGCAATGTTGCGGAGGAGGGAAGCAATGTCTTGAGACGCAGAGAGGGAGATACGGATGGGAGTGATGTTGTAGCAGGGTCCCATGATTGCGTCGGCCGTAGGGAGAGAGGGCATGTTGCGACCAGAGGTCACGCCGCCGAAAACAATGTCGGTGGTTTGTAGACGGCGAGAGAGGACTAACGACCATGCTGCGGTGAGAATTGCAGAGGTTGTTGCGTCGGAGGGCTTGGTTGACATGTCGACAGGACACGACTTGAAGAGACCTTTGTCGGTATCATGGGTAGAAGCTTTCAATGATGACAAAGAAGAGCCGACGAGGAGATCTTTCCAGTAAGTCAAAGACTTTTTCTCAAGAGAGGGCTCCAAGGTTGCGGAGATGTAAGTCGCGAAGGGCTCGCTGCTGATCTTGCCTCCCTTGTACAGAGTCTCGAGACCAGTGAGGAGTGCAGGCAATGATACGCCATCATATTGAGCATGCGAGAGACGGAAGATAAGGCCCTCTTGCCCGTTGTTGCCTGTTACGTGCATAATCTTTGCAAAAGCACTGCCCAATGGGAACTCTTCTTCGATGTCTGCGGTGCAGATTTCCGTGATCTGTTGTTTGAGGTCACCTTCGACTTTCTTGCCGACAACGATGTCGTCGATCGACTCCAGCACAGCTTGGTAGTAAGCCGAGTTGTGCTGAACAAAGACAGTACGAAGGATACTGTGTGTGCTGACAAGCCGCTTGCAAGCATCGAGCAGCTTCACGCTATCGATACCCTTGTCGAAGACCATAGTGGTGTATTGCAGAGAGGTACGTGGTGCTGAGGCAGTCTGCTTGATATCAAACACCTGCGTATCAGTCATAGGAAGCACATCGCGTACAATCCATTCTGAGTTGGCGAGCTGAGGTCTAACAACCTCAGACAAAAAGGCCTCGACATTCAAAACACTCAGCGTGGAGAATGGCTTGTATGTCTGCGTCTGTTTCTTGGCCTTTGACACAACATCCAGTTTCATCACCTTGGCAGCATCGCCCAGGCGCATATGCTGGAAGATATCAGCAACTGACAGTGCATGTCCTTGGGAACGAAGTTTGGAGACAAGCTTCATAGCCAAGACAGAGTCACCGCCGAGACGGAAGAAGTTATCATCAACATCAATTTTGCCGGCATCGACACGAAGAATATTGGCCCAGCCAGTCCTGAGAATGTCCTCTGGAACTGTCAGCTTGGCTTGAGCCACGTTCTTCGACCAAGCTTGCTCAAGTCCTTGATGAAGCTGATTGAGAGTATCTGAAGGAATACTGGAAGCCAACTTATGAAGTGCCTCGCGGTCAATCTGTCCGTCCTTGTCGGTAGACAGGTTGTCAACTACAATGTATGCAGATGGTACGGCATATAAGGGTAATGTGTCGCGGATATTTTTGTCGAGTGTTTTTAGTGCAACAGCAAGATCGATTGGGATGCTGGCACGGATTGTCGCTTCTGATCCTTGTACTTTGTGATCCTCAGTCAGGACATCAACGCTGTCCTCGAGAGATGGTCGCTGGTCAACAAAGACTACGATCTCTTGGTTGCTGTCTGCGGAAGACTTCCTGACTGCAGTGGTACCACGAGTGGCGGGTGGTAGGTATCTGGCAACATGTGCTTCCAGCTCGGCAAAGTCGACCGAATGGCCTTGAATTGGTAAGAAATTATCCTTGCGTGCAACAAAGGCAATGCTGCCATCAACACGTAGCTCAACCAGATCGCCTGTAGCTTGGACCTTGCCCTTACGACCTGGGTGGGAAGGACTTCCAGCCAGAAGCCAAGCTGGCGACTCTACAGTATCGCCAGTGAGGAAGTTGCCTTCGAGCCAGAGTTCACCAACAGAGCCGATGGGCACCAAATTAGACGAGTTACGAGAATCACAAACCCATCCCACAGCCGCTGGCGGATACGTCTTGCCCTGCTCTGTGTTTGCGAATGCACTCAAGCGTTGGGAGGTCTTGTCGTAAGCCAGAGGTGCAGCTCTATTCCAAGACCAGATATTATCCAACTCTATCTTCGGTAGGCAGCTGACCTCTTCGACGCGTCTTGTAAGGTCTCTTGTCAACTGCGTACAAGCAATTTCGAGCTGTGCAAGGATACGCTCCATTTGAGGAATCTTAGTCAGGCTGCTATCGAAGTTGGCACATACTCTAAAGCCGCCCTTTCGAATGCCGCATCCTACCATGAGAGGGTAAGGATTGAAGTGGAGTGCTTCACGAACAACATCTCCCAGCTGGAAGCCAAGATCGTTGCCCACGTAATCAGGTTCAGGCTGGATGACCAAACCAGTCGGTGCTTCTGACGCATGTTGAGCGTCTTGGCTAACTTTTCTGATATTCTGCCATCCCATGTGCTGGTAGGGAGTTCTCGCTAGAATGCTTTGCTGGACCGACTGTAGGAAAGACTCGAGCGTGATTGCTCGGTTAATGCGGATGCGAATGGGCACTGTGGCAATGAGTGGACCAACAATGCTCTCAACGCCAGCAAGTGCGATATCACGACCAGTCAACGTCTCGCCAAACAGAATGTCATCGCTACCTGAGTACTGCGAGGCCACAAGCGCCCATGCACCACGGATCAGTGTTGCTAGAGTGAAGGGGAATCCCGCGCCAGTCTCGAGGGGTATGATACGCTCGACCATAGCATCAGGAGTGGGTACGAAGTCTCTTGACGGCATGCGAGGGAACTGAGGTCCAACAGCTCCCTTCAACTCTTGTCGCCAAAAGTCTTGCATAGCACTCTCATCGGTCTCACGGACGTATTCGACAAAGTCTCTCATGCGAGCCGGAATCTCTAGAGCTTCTCCTTGCAAAGCATCGCTGACTTGCTTGAGAATGAGAGGCTCAGACCAGCCATCATAGAGCAGGTGATGAACACTCCAAACCATGTATCTCTTGTCAGTCTCTGACGACTCAACGATCGCATAGCGAGCCAGGTTCTGACCAAGGTCCATTCTCTCGTTCTTGTCGCTCTCGAGATATTGGTCTAGATCAGTAGCGTGTCTCCATGATATGCCCTCCTTCAAGACGACTTGCTGGAGTCCAGGCTCTTCCAGCTGAGCGGCGCGGGTACGGAGGATGGGGTTCGCAGCGATGACCTTCTCCCAAGCCTTCTTCAATGCTTCAACATCCATATGCTCAGGTATAGAGGCCACTCTTTGAGCGAGGTATAGCTCGACCGATTTAAGCGAAAAAGTGAATAGAGACTCTTGCGTGGGAGTGCATGGGTAGATATCCTCGATGTTGTCGATATCAGTCTTGCAGGCTTTGGCTGCCTCTAGGCGAGCGTCGTCGACCAATCGCGTGATGGTCGAGAATGCTTGAAGTTCCTTCTGTGTTTGTACGTCGCCGGCTTTAACAACACTAGCCATTGCGGACAGGTTCGGATTGCCGAATGTGTCGATGACAGACAGGATAAGACCCTGTGCCCTGCAAGTTGATACCAGTCTCATTGCTGCCAGAGAATTGCCGCCGAGGGCAAAGAAGTTGTCTTCAAGGCGAATTCCTGCAGCGTCTAGATTCAATACCTGACTCCAGGCCTGCTGAAGACCTTTCTCCCGGTCGTTAAGCTCACGGCCGATATCAGCAGAACTCTGATCCAGGTCTCTCAGATCGACTGTGGTACCAAAAGCCTTGAGTTGCTTGCGATCAGTCTTTCCAGAGATCAGAACTGGGATATGGTTGACTGGAATGTATGAAGTGGGCACCATGTAACGGGGCAAAACCTTCTTCACCTCTGCATCGGCTTTCGTAAGTGCTTCACGCAACTCGTCAGAAAGCTGGATGGAAGTGATGTTGGTTTGACCGTGGCCTTGAGAAGCGCTGGGTGCAACAAAGGCTACCAATGTAGCCTGACCGCCTGTTCCTTGTGGTACAACGACTTCAGCGATAATTGTTGTACCAGAGGGCAGTCTAGCGCCAAGCTGACTCTCGATTTCGCCCAGCTCGACACGTTGACCACGAAGCTTTACTTGAGTATCTTTTCGTCCAGCAAAAATGATACCACCAGAGCCATCAGGATCATACTTTCCGAGATCTCCAGTCTTATATAGCCTTCCGCGCCGGCCAGCATACTTCTCGTGTCCTTTGAGAAGCCAGGAAGGATCGTTGATGAACACAGTCGCCGTTTTCTCAGGATCGTTGAGATAGCCTTGTCCCACGATAGGGCCTTCGACGAGCAACTCGCCAACAGCACCGGCTGGCATCAATTGCTCATGGTCATCAGGGTTGACAATCCACATACAAGCACCGTTTCCGGTACCGATGGAAATGTAGTCTCTGCCCGTGGCGGTATCACTGTTTATCGTGCATCCGATGGTACACTCGCAAGGGCCATAACCAATAACTATTCTGGTGTCTTGACCCCAGAAGTTGACGTCTCTGGCGGACGCTGCTTCTCCACCAAGGCCCAGTACGTCGAGTGACTTGATAACATCTGGATCCAAGATTCGAGCCATAGACGGTGTGATGCCAGCATAGTTGATCTTCATGTCTCTTATAACACCGTTGATGTCGTTCAGACGGTCTTCGTCGGAGGGAATGCAGAGACAACCGCCATTACCGACTGTCAGAAACATGCTGTCAATACTGACATCGAAGGCGTATGATGCAAAGTCGAGAACTCTAGACTTTTCCGTATAGCCGACTGCTTTCGCTCGAGGAATAGCACTGCTGGTATATGTTCTGTGGGATATTGTGACGCCTTTTGGTGTACCGGTGCTGCCAGATGTGAAGATGATATACATTAGAGTGTCAGGGTCGACAGGGGGTAGTTTCTTCAGACTTCCAGGAAGTGCTTGCTTGAAGGCGTCTTCTTCGACGACGAGATGCGGTGCGTCCGGCATGATGGATTTCGCAAATTCATGCTGAATTCGTGATGAAACAATCAAGTTTGCATTAATCTGCACAGCCATATTCTGGAGTCGAGCAAGCGGAAGAGAAGGGTCCATCATTGCAAAGGTCGCTCCTGCCTTCATGGTAGCCATCACAGCAACGATCGCCCAGCGCGACTTCTCAAAGCACAATGGCACAATATCGTGCGATCGTACGCCCTCTGCTATCAGAGACTGTGCCATGAAAGTAGAATATTGATCGATTTGCCCAAAAGTCAGAGTGCCGTCCCAAGAATCAATGGCAACTTTGTCAGGGAATTGATGTGCTCGCTCAGATACCATGTCGTGCATACAAAAGTCGTATGTAGGAGGTAATTCATTGTTGTACTCCCAAATCTCGTCCAGATCACTTGGTGTTGGTCGTAACGCGTCCTGGATTGTAATCTCTAGTTCCGAGATGCAGAGCCGAATGGTATCTGCTAATGATCTGATGTATCTGGTCACCTCATTGTCCAGTAAATCTTTGCTGCGGAAAGCTGGCTGGATATGGAGCTTTCCGTCAATGAAGTGTACCCTGAGATGGAGTGTCCCCTTCTCAAACAGGTCAGTTGGCTCTAACTATTACAGCATGTAGATGATGGACGCACTGTTGAGTCCTCAGATTGTTGTGATAGAACGCTAGTGCTCAGAAGTATCGAGACAGCCTCAGAATAGTTTTCACCAGAATCTAATCTCGAGATCTGGCTCGAGATAGTCTTGGTGACATTGCCAACCGAGTCTCCCAATCCGTTCATGACATCCTCCATGGAAAAGTGTCTTGGAGTTTGCTCCGGTGCATTTGATGAATTCTGATATGTCCAATCAAACGAGACGCGCTCTCCTTCCCGAGTCCGCAGGAGCACAATCAGCCATGATGCGAGTACGATATCTTCTCTCATGCCGCTTGGTGTGGAACGTGATTGACAAGCAAGATTGTGAATGTTATAACTGGAGACAGCATTTCCTGATGCGACTCCCTGATTAGGATCTGTCATGTGTTTGTAGCCCATATTCGTGGTTTCAGGGATTTGCGGACGTGGTCCTTTGGAGTGATAGTAGTGACTGACTATCGGTAGGCTTCAGATTCAATCATACCAATCCACAAAGGTGTTTCTACATGAGCCACGCCTGCCCAGAACAACCATGATGGAACATGCCGGAGACGACCAACGGACATGAATGGCCTCAAGCGACATCGCTTCCTGAGCACCGGGCACGATAGACGCGCTAGAATGGCACGACATCTGATAAGATGAAGAGATTTCAAGGCGTGCCGCCGGGCGCCCAACGCGAACAAGAGTCGGAAGCTATTCCCACGCTACAGTCACTAGGTGCATCTGATTAGATAATTTGCTCAAAGCGACGTCGTTGGTGTCCACTTGGTTCGCGAAAAACCTTGAACTTGGTGGAGGATGGAGTGGGGTCGAAGCACGGACAAGAGTTACATCTGATTAGATTTTTGGCGAGCTCAGCTGAAGCTTAGACCATGTGGTACAAACGCATCCTTCAGCTCGTGCAAGACGCAAACACGTTCATGTTCGGATCAGATAAGATTCTGTGTGTCAGACCAAGCCTCGTACTCGGCCATGGCATGCCTCTCCACTGATACGAATTCATGATGGTAGGATTCTGTGTTTCTCCGAGCAGACAAGCGATCTGCAGGGCGTCTCGACGCACGCCCCACGAGGACGAAAGTTGAGGCGTTGAATAATGTTGCCATGTTTTCTTCTCCGACGCTACACGACCGTCGGCGCTACCGACTCGTGCCATCACGTAGATCGTGCCATGGCTAAACGATGCTCTCCTCAAATGGCCGGTCATGCATCGACCGAGGGCTCGTTTCCGCGACGTGTGCCGACGAAGTCCATCAGGGTGTTCAAAATATACCAAGTGCTCACTGTAAGTTTTTGATCTACTGATCTACAACAATCAACCCTGTTGCCCAAGTGGTACCAACACAATGGCTTCCACCACGACATCACCACACCAGTATCCTCTGGTCAAGCTGCCCTATCCTTTCCTGACATCATATCGAGTCAATGTTGTCTCGTCAAACACACCTGCCAGACGGGTCTTGCATCTTGACGAGCAACCCTCCAATGGAAAGGCTCCAACTGAAGCCTTGCACTCAGACTCGCTGACATGGCTGGACCTGCATACAACACCCAAAGAATCACACCCTCCACTCAGCGACAACAGCGATTGGGCTCGCGCGGTCCGTGGTCCGCAAACAACCTTCAAATGGCCTGAGAGCACTGCTCCCACCCTCGGCCAGGTGTGGAATGTCGTCCACGCCATCTACCTCGCCTACCCCAACACCGAGCACTTCCGCTTGACACTGCAAGGCGGAGAGAAACAAACCTTACACGATGAACTGCTGGCCACCGGCCTCGCCATCGAGCACCCCAAAGCATGGCATCTGCCCAACGAGTCTATCCCTCGCACCAACGAACTCCTCATCCTGCGCAGTTCCTTCTGGCAAGGCGCCGCATCACCCACCGGTCCACGCCCTATCTGGGTGCTCGGCGACGGCATCGACGCACACCTCCGCACACCCCTCTCCAACTACCCAATCATGCCCGAGAACCACCACTTCACCATGAAGTTCCCTGCTGAACGCGTCTACGCCCGCCACCCCATCCGCCGCCCCAAGCCCGCTCCCCAGAGTATCTGCTACTCGCGCTACATCCCCGAAGTGGATCAGCACTTCTCTCTGCAGGTCGTGGACTGGACATGCCCCGACCACCTCAACCTCTTCCACACATGGCAAAACGACCCTCGTGTCGCCAAAGGCTGGAACGAAACAGGCGACCTCGAGCACCATCGCAATTACCTGCGTAACTTACACTACGATCCTCATGTGTTGTGTCTCTTTGGCCGTTTCGACGATACACCCTTCTCCTACTACGAACTCTACTGGGCAAAAGAGGACCACTACGGCGCTCACTTCGCCGCCGGCTCCTACGACCGCGGCCGCCACTCCCTCGTCGGCAACCCCTCCTTCCGCGGCGCGAAACGCGTCAACGCATGGTACTCTTCCTGCATCCACTACTGCTTCCTCGACGACCCACGCACTGAAAACGTAGTGGGCGAGCCCAAAGCTTCCGGCAGCATTATCCTCAGTTATGAGCAAAGTCAGGGGTTGGCGATTGGAAAGTTTGTGGATCTGGGACACAAGAGGAGTGTGCATAGTCATGCGAGCAGGGAAAAGTGGTTTCAGCTGTGCCCTGTGTTTTGGGATGGGAGGGAGAGGCCGTTGGAGAGTGCTGATCGCGCTGCTTGGGCTGCTAAGCTGTGAAAAAAAAAAGTGTTTTGATACATTGCATATGATTGAAATGATGGGTTTTCCGTTTTCCAAAATCGATGTCTCAAATGAGTGTTTTGCCAATCAGACTCAGCACGTTAGCCTCTGTGACATCGAGCTTTTCTTCGCTCTCAAGCACTGAAGTTTCGGTGAACGAGTCTACCATGCTAGCCACACTATCCCTTCCATATACGCTTTCGATTTCCTCGACTTCTACATCTGGATCTCCAATGCTCTTCACGAGATCCACAATCAGCTCTCCACTGCCATTCTTGACCAATCTACCTCGATCTCCCGTCTTGTATAGTCGGCCATAGACAGGGTGCACGAGAAAAGCTGCAGCATCTAGATCCGGACGGTTGAGGTATCCCGATGGCAGACCAACGCCACTGACATATAGATCTCCTACTGCACCCAGAGGCACAGCAGCTCTCGCTGCGGAGTGCAGAAACAAAACACTTGTTTCAGGGAGTGGAGAGCCGATGATAGAATCCCTAGTCGAGCAAGACGCAGGAGAGATGATACCAGTGAGAATTGAATCGGTGGCAGCAGTATACAGTCTCAACACTGTCAAAGGCGAGTAAATCGACCTCGATACATTCTGTAACTGCTGCACCAGGGATAGCGGTAAAGCGCCTACGCACCACAAGTGCCGCAACGAAGGTACCCTTGCGAGGTTCAATGTTGACGCTTGCGAAAAACTTGCCGTAGTGATTGTAGCAGAGACTTTGTTGACTGCGGTCGTGAGATCTAGTGTTGGGCTAACAGCACATAGTGTTCCTCCAGTGCTCCATGTCGTAAAGACTTCCAAGACTGAAGTGTGGCTGACTGGGGAAGCAGATGTAAGCCAGCTGAATTCTTTCTTACTCATGCAAGAAGGAATTTGTTTCGAGTAAGATGTTATTGACGTGAATGCTGCTCGATGGGTCATCTCTGTCCCAATGGGCATAGCTGAGGAGTTCTTGCTGCTGTATATAACATATGCGAGATCCGTCTTTGCAACACAGGGCAGTGGTTTGACATTAAATGTTTCTGGCGTTTGCATCCAGGTGGTGATGAACTCATTGACGTCCAGATAAATAGATAGATCGTCGTCGTCGCGATACCACGCATCCCAGGGACACCCACAAAGCATCGGTCCATCCGTCAGAACAATCGAAGCACAAGCATCTTCGACGATACTTTGTAGTTCAAGAGCGGGTGTGCCTACTGGCAACGGACAGAATGCGAATCCGGCTTTCAGCACTGCCAACCAGGATACATAAAGTGCTGGTGATGCATCCATGTATACTGGCACGATAGTCCGAGTGCTGTGAGATGTCTGAGGTATGCTGCTCAGAAGCTTATGAGCCAGCGCTGTTGTGATGCCATTCAACTGTCGATAAGTCATTGTGAATTGTGTAGTCTCTGACCGGTAGTCTAGTGCACGGCGGTTCGGGTACTCGTTGACAGTCTTACGAAACCCTGAGTAGAGTAATGATACCTCGGCTTCCTTGCTGTACAGCAGCGATGGTTGCAAAGCCGAGTGGTTGAGTATGGAAAGCCTCGTCTCCTGCGGAGCGTAGACTTGTCTTCGAGACATATAATTTACGAGCGTCTTGAAAGCTGCGTCCGCATACTCTTCGTCCATCCGAAGGGCGTCATATCTCAACGTCAATGTCATCTCCATGGCATGATATTGAATAACGAAAGGCTGTCTGTGTCAGAGATATGGTTGATATCAACTGCGAAAAAAACATGCTTACACAATGGAGTAGTGGAGGTGCCTCTGTTGAGGTGAAATTGTCCACATCGGCAACAATTTCGAAACCAAAATCGAAACTCGTTGTATCTCCTTCTCCGGGATGGATGATATCGAGTGTATAGTCATAATTTGTCTTGCAGTCTGACAAGACTTCAGTGTCCATCGCCCTGGCTTGTATGATCTGTGGTTCGACTGCATGATGTAGTTGTTTCCGTAGAGCATATCGGTACGCGACTTCCCGCTCGCCGGTATAGAACGCGATGAATTGAGAGTAGTCCTTCAGGAGCGCATCTCTGCCTCTTGGACGAGGTATATGATTTGTTGCGAAGCTGAAATCCCGCTGCTTGTATTGAACCTCGTCGTTGTCCTCGCGCTGAACGGAAAACAATAGATCGTCGAGTCTTGGAAAGGCAGTAGGCCGAATGATCGATGGGTCTGCCATTTCTCTGATGTCTGATGGATAAGATAAGCGGCGACGATAAAGTCATCGCTCTCCTGAGTTATCCTCCATCTCTGCTCATCCATTATGCTATGACCCTGTCTCTCTGAGAGGCACATTGAGAGCCCGTCCCGACTCCGGAAGCCTCGGTCTAGGCAGCACTGTCAGATAGACCAGGGCTGCGATGAGAGTTTGATGCCCTAAACCCCGGTCGACATGGCCAAGCACTTTCGCAAGACCATGCCAAATCCGAGCCCAGTCCGCGAGAGATGATCGTCGCGACAAACAAGAAAATTCCTGACAAGGTTGAACGAGGTGCAGCGATGGTGTCAGGTGCATGGACAGTGAGATTAGGGTTATCAATCTGATAATCGACCCGCTTTGATGCAGGAAGCTTTGACACTTCTTGGCGATAATACCAATGTCGCGTGCTTTGGCTGGCCTTTCCCGAACTTCCGCTCCTTCTTCCTCCACCAAGCTCGTGTCAGACTTGTCTCGCCAGTGACAAGCTTCCCATGGGTTGCTTTCCAGCCTTGGGTTTTTCTCTTGCCATGCTTTTCTTTTCCAAGCGCTGATCCAGGGTCCGTATTGAAGCCGTTGATCGATTCCGTTGGATCAAGCATGCGATGATCATTTGGCTACGTCCGAGTCACCTCCCTGTTCCGAGTATGCCTGCCGAAGCGAAACAGCACGGTCCAATCGTGTTGAACGCGAGCGCGAGCGCGCCCCAAGAGCCGCCGTTGCTTTGGCTTGCCCGCATCATTAATCTCAAATGACGTTGGGCTGTAGCTGTTTTGCGACCTGCCAGGACCACTCAGCCGGTGTCGGGCTGAATGGTTGATGGATGGACATGGCGGGGCATGCATTGGTACATTTTTTATCAGATCCGCGTTGGATGAAGACATTGATGTAAGAAGACAATCACAATGCAAACAATCAACAGCATCTACGAGGTGAACACACCGAAGGTCCAAGCATCCCTGTTCCATGGACCAGCAAATCCTCCATTGGTGACAGTGGCATTGGGAGAGTTCCTGGACATCCAATGCGAACGATATGGACAGCATGAAGCACTCGTCTTCCCATGGACGGGAACACGATGGACATATAACGACTTGAAAGAAGAGAGTTCGAAGCTCGCTAGATATCTGTACTCAAGAGGCATCCGTCCTGGAGACAGGATAGCAATCCTTGCTGGCAACAGAGTCGAGTATGCTTCAGTCTTCTTTGCGTGTATGCGTATTGGCGCCGTGCTGGTCATCCTGAACAATACCTACACCATCCCTGAGGCAGAGTATGCTCTCCAATACACCGGTGAGCTAGAATTCCATTCACTGATAGAGACTACTTTTCTAACAATCTCCAGACTGCAAGATACTCTTCGCGACGCCAACGATTGGTAGGCACATCGACAACTCGACCATGCTCAGGCAGTTCTCGAATAGCCCAGACAAGCTACCAGCATTGCAACAGATTGTCATTCTCGCAGACAAACTCGACAACCTTCTACACTACCAAGATGCCATCAAAATTGGATCACGACTACCCAACGAGCCGGTCAAGCAAGTACAAGACAGTCTCTCACCATACGAGACATGCAACCTACAATTCACCAGTGGATCGACTGGTCATCCCAAGGCAGCCATGCTCACACACCATGGTCTGCTCAACAACTCTCGCTTCATTGGCGATCGCATGAGTTTGACCGCAGATGATGTACTGTGCTGTCCACCACCAATGTTCCACTGCTTCGGCCTGGTACTAGGCATGCTGGCATGTTTGACACACGGCGCAAAGATTGTGTATCCCTCAGAGATCTTCGACGGACCCTCAGTGTTGCAGGCCATCACCGAGGAGGGATGTACTGCCATTCACGGCGTACCAGCCATGTTCGACACCTTATTCAGTCTGCCCCGTCCCTCAGGTTTCAACTGCGACAGACTACGGACGGGTATCATCGCCGGCGCTCCCGTACCACGTCACTTGATGGAACTCCTGGTCAACGAGTTTGGCATGACCGAGTTCACCAGCAGCTACGGCCTCACCGAAGCCTCGCCAACGTGCTTCAACGCTTTTGTTGACGACTCCATCGACCGCCGTCTCACCACAGTAGGCACCTTGATGCCCCACGCCCACGCCAAGATCGTCGACAAGAACAATCGCATCGTCCCTGTTGGCACTCGCGGCGAGCTTTGCATTGCAGGATACCAACTCCAACAAGGCTACTTCCGCAATGCCGCAAAGACAGCTGAAGCCATGGAGCGCGACGCAGACGGCGTGCTCTGGCTGCACACCGGAGACGAAGCAGTCTTTGATCGCTACGGCTACTGCTCCATCACTGGCCGCTTCAAGGACATCATCATCCGCGGCGGCGAGAACATTTACCCACTGGAGATCGAGGAACGTCTCGTAAAGCACGACGCAATCGAACGTGCCATCGTTGTCGGACTGCCTCACACCAAATACGGCGAAGTAGTTGCTGCGTTCTTGCAACGAGCTGCTGGCGCTGGCAAGCTCAACGACGAGGAAGTACGCGAGTGGACTAGACAGACTCTGGGACGTCACAAGGCACCTTCTCATATCTTTTGGCTAGGAGAGAATGGTGTTACCGACCAGATTCCTATTACCGGCAGTGGCAAGATCAAGAAGTTTGAGATGAGGAAGATTGGAGAGGAGTTGTTGGCTTCTGTGCCCAAGGCCAAGCTTTGAGTGTGCAACGCAGGCTTCGTTATCTCTTCTGTCATGACTGCGATTTTTTTCTTTGGGTTCCGGTGTTTTAGCTTGAGCAAAAGTAGTGATGGTTATATCATACGTTTGACGTGTACAATACTACAGCCTTCGATCGTATCTCAAAACATGAGTTGAGCTTTTGTGTGCAACCACCCTATATTAGAAGAGAAGTCACAAGAAGCGCAGAGTGTATCCAAGACAAAATACATGACGCTATCAATGCAAAATCAACATGACTTTATCCTTTGCCTAGCCACACACTATCCCCATACAATCCTCCTACAACATAGCAACCTCACCCCTGCTTTCTTCACCAACAACACTATCCAACAGCGAACCCAACAATCTACTTCCCCTCTCAACCGCATACCCCATATCCTCATCCCTGTGTCCTTGCTCCAAGCTCCCCAACACCCAAAGTCCACAGTCCTTAGCGACTCCATTGCGCCTCAAACACAACTTATACTCTGCATCCACAGTAGGCTTTTTATCTCGCAAGAGCCCAGCAGCTTCAATCTCGGAAAGCAAAGGTGTACTGTGCTCATACCCTCCTGCAGAAACAATCACATCGAAAGCTTGGGGGCTCTGAGATACGGTATTTGTGTGTGTGTTTTTGAGCGCTAGACGAGTTTTGTTGCCCGAGGTGTTTGTAGAGGTGACTTGGGATAGAGGTGTGATGTTGAAGCGCCAGGTGGATGGGTGGGGAGAGGTGATGCGTTGGGCGTAGAGGTTCTCGTAGAGGGTTTCGAGGGTGCGGAGGGAGATTTTTGGGTAGGTGGGTGTGGTGGAGGAGGAGGAGGAGGGGGAGAGTAGGCGAGGGCGCAATTCGGGTGGGTATTGGGAGGTTGTTGCGCCGGGGAGGCAGTTGTCGATGATATCTTGGGTGCTGGAAAGAGCTGTTAGTAACCTTGTGGTTTGTGAGAGAAGGGGTGCGGTAAAGCTTACAAGGAAGTGTTGTCTTCTGGTCGCAGTGCAGAGTCCTCGATGAACATTGTTGCCCTCGCTCGATGCAGAGCTCCTGCACTCTGCAAGTGCTCAAAGATCTCCGCAGCCTCCTGATCAGCTCCCACAATAGCGATATCCTGATCCTTGAGATTGTGCAGCAAAGGCGCAACTTCAGAAGAATGCAACACCTTTCCCTTTGCATCCATCAAAGCCTCATGAATCTTGGGTTTCGAGCCTGTAGCCAGAACAACACGCTTGGAAGCAATGGTGCTGTTGTTGCCTTGGGCATCCTGTACATTGAGTTTCCAACCAGTAACCTGAGTGGCAGATCCACTCTTAACGGGAACGACTCTAGTAACAGTACTTGAGTACTGCACCCACTGTCTCTCTTGCATCTTTTCAGCCACCCAGGAGAGATAGTTCCCCATGACCAGTCTCGAGGGAGCCATATGCGAGGAATTGACAAACTGCACCAACTGCTCGCTTTCAAAGAGGTAGTTCACAAAAGTAAACTCGCTACGAGGATTGCGTGTGGTGATCAAATCACGCAAGAATGAAGTGCGTGTGGCATTCTCTGGCAATACTGATGCAGGTGCCCAGTTGAATGCATCCTTAGATTCGACAAATAGGACTTTGAGAGAGGTTTCCGAGTCTGCGAGTGCGGTTGCGAGAGAAAGTGCTGTGCTGCCGAAGCCTACGACAACGAGATCGTAGGATTGGGCTGAGGAAGAGGCATTGGTTACTGTCACCTGAGGAGTGGTTTCCTGAACTTGGAGAGACATGATCGCAGTTGCTCAGAACAGCACTTTGAGGGATAAACGAAAGATTGATAAGATAAAGAAAGTTGTAGGGAAGGATGCGGAAGATCAAAAAAGATTGCTACGCTGTACAAAAAAATGTTGACGATCTACCTACTGCAACCAGACTCACTGCTCGGCAGTCCGCTTCGTACGGTCTTGCCCTTCCTTGTTCGACATGCTCCGTCCATCGGCCGAATGTAAAACCATGGCACGATTGACACTTGCTCAAAACGCATCACTACTCTCCGATGTTGAGCGATGCTCGTGCAGAAGCTCCATCACGTTGCATCTGATAAAAATTTCTTTTAGCCTTTCAGCGACCCACATCACATCATGCAGGGTTCATCTCGAGCATGAGCGAGGGCGCGGAAAACGTTGATGGACGCCCAGAGTTTTAGACAGCAAAGCCCTTGAATCAAGCCATCTTGTTCCTAAGCAAGAAAAATAAAGAGCTCGGAAGCGAAAAAGCTGCGGGGATCGGAAGAGTGGTGAAACGGACCGTGCAGACACGAAGAAAGAGGTCAAAGCTCATGTAGATTAATTTGATTATCGGAGTCCATCTGATTAGATTTTCTCTTGTGGCTGCTGGCATGCGTGGCCTTGTGACATCCACCTTCTTGCTTCGTACTCGCCTGCCCTATACCCTCTATCGCTAGTCAGAAAAGTCCCCGAAAGTGTCCGAAGTTGCAAAGTTTGATCTGATTAGATTGTTCCGGAGTGCACAGTATGGGTCGCACTAGTCCACACGTGGTGTCATGGTTCGAATGTCCTCAGGGATCCGGAGCTGAGTCGGAAGAGGGTGACCAGTTCATGGTGGATGCCGTTTGTTCGACGGAGGAGATCGATCTGGGGACAGTTGTGATGATGAGACCGAGGTCCGAGGTAGGCTGTTGAGATGGTGGTGATTGATAAGATATCGTCACGAGGGGATCATCGCAAGATCGGAGGACACTGTTGACTGTGATAGTAGCTTTGGAGTCAAGAAGATCAAGGGGCATGGCTCAGAGATAGCGGCTAGCGAAATATGTACATTCATCGTTAACTTTTGGTTGATCATCTCATCTATGCGCTTCCTGTAGACTTGCTCAGGTATCCCAGGATCTTCTCTACTAGGAACTTTCTTGCCGGACCTTGATCATCGTTGCTCAGAGCATGTGATGCATTAGGTACAACAGCAGTGTGCTCGTCATCCCAAATCTCCTTGTCTCCACCAGCATTGGCCGCCTTGGCCCATCTCTTCATCAGACCTGCTTTGTCCACCCACTCGGGCACAGCTTGGTCTGCGCCAGAGTAGAACGCAGCCATCTTGTTCTTCAACAATCCTTGCTTTTGAATCATACCGAACGACTTTGCCAACTGCTCGTCGCTGAGATCTGAACTGAAGACGTCGTCCTCGGAGGGGTTGTGTGGGCTCTCGGGGCTGACCAGACTCAGGAAGCGGCGTGCGGATAGTGGTGTGTTGGCAGGGTAGCCGATTTGGTATGTCAAGTGAATGGGCAGTAGAGCATCGAACGTCTGGTCTTCCTTGCTGGCAAACTCCTTTGCCATCTTCTCTAATTGCTCGTAGTAGGCTTGACATTGCTCGGGGGTGTTGCCGCGGAAGCCATGTGCGCAGACCAGCTTGATGCATTCTCTGTCACTGATGGGGGCTTGCATGATGGCACCATCAAGCGCCAATCGCTTGAGATGCGTGAGATCCGAGTCGAACGTAGGGTTTGTGGTGAGAGGGTTTGACCTTGACAAGTAGTGTAGCACCATCTGACTGCCAGTCGAGTGTCCCATCAACACAATCTTGCCGTTGTCACCGAACTTGGAGGTCTTGTAGTCCTTGATGTATCTTATCGCTTGAGCCAGCTCGTCGGTGTCTCTGTCGAGGTGTCCGAGACCCCATGATTGGTATGAAGATGTGAGGGTCAGAGAGAAGAGCGACCACTCTGTTTGTGATAGGGCGTGGACCAAATCTGCTGTGTAGGATGTCGTTCCTAGACCGTCGCCGAGGCCTCCGACGAAGAGGATGCTGTGAGGCTTGCGAGCAGCATTGGCTGTGTACTCGAATGTGGTCAATGTCTCTGTCTACAGCTCATACATTAGCATTTGCCATTGGGGCCTTAGGGCTGCGAAGACGTACGAAGTGGTGCAGGACTCCCTGCATACCACCCTTGGGCCAAAACTGCGAATATTTGCTCATCATGATGTGTTGCAAGAGGTACAGTCGGTATGCTCAAGTCACAAGATCCAGATGTCGTATCGCTGGAGCCAACGGTATACACAAACACAATCGATACAGGCAATGGGATGGAGATCAAGACACGACACAAGCACGACCCCTCGATGTCAGACTCGACTCACGGTGATACACCACTTTCTCCGGCCACAAATTATCCAGCGGCATCGGGCTCGAGCTCTGGGCTATGCAACATGGCGGCAGCAGGAGCTATCACACAAACAAAGAGAGCTCGAAGCAGGACCCACTCACGGGTCTGATAACCCTTGCCCGCTAGCACACCCAACAGAAAAAAAAATCTGATAAAACCGATCAGGGCTGGTGTGGCCTCTTCTTGGCAGGGCGTGACGGATCAGATAGCTCCTTAGCGGCACCAAGAAAGCTTCACGGCGTCCAGCCCTCGCTAAGCGTCGGATCAGATAATCTTGTTTTGACCGACCTCTGCCATTGCTTTGTGGTTCTTCTAGCCGATGAGGTATCTCGCACCCCAGTCGATATTGCTGTCGCACGTATGGGTGACGGAGTTCTCCACTTGTCCTCTGCCGTTTATCTGATCTGCGGTCGCGCGTCAAGAAGCAAGCAAGTCCTGGTGAGTGGTATCAGTAGGGTGGACTTTTGACACAAAACCTATGTGTTATGCTCAATTGTGAATAGAGTAGAGGCTTTGAATTGCAATGCTGTAAACGCTAATGATAACTTTTGCAAAATGATTGAGAACAAACATAATTCATACGATCGGTCATCCTCTTCACGATCTGTACATGGCTGGAAGAAGTGGCGACGCATCTAGAACAAGATACCCTTGGTCTGGGTCCTGTTGAGTCTGACGTCCCTGATGACGAACATCCAGATAAGAGAAGTTGCCATGATACAGGTACCAGCAATCAACATTCTGCTCTGACCAACTGCGTAGGCCTTGATGATAGCCTCGCGGACGGGGTCACCCATGGGGTAGCTGAGTTGGGTTGCCAGATCCTCGTAGATAGTCTCCCAATCAGCGAGAGCCTCAGCAGGAAGGTACTTTTGCAATGCACTGGGCAGAGTGTGTTGCCAGACAGCACCGGAGATACTGCCACCAATACCGCCACCAATGTTACCAAAGACGTTCAGGAAAGCTAGAGCTGCAGCAGCGTTGTTGTGGTCAGATGCGGAAAGAACGGCAACCTGTTGACAGATGATCATGGTACCACCAGCGAAAGCGATGAAGACCTGGCACATGATGGTGTATCCGACAGAGAAACCGGGTTGACGGAAGTAGATCATGAGACCGATACCAAGGATGTAAAGAGGAACGGCAATCCAGAGCAACCAGCGGAAGCGGTTGGTGCCCTTGATAGCGAAACCGACACAGAAGAGCCATACACCGGACACAACATCGAAGATACTACTGATGTAACCAGCAGTGGCAAGACTGGTCCCGAAAACGACCTGAAGGTAAGAGGTGAAGTAGTCGTACCAACAGTAGTAAGAGATCTGGTAAGTGGCATCAATCAAACAGGCGCCAATGACAGTTCTGTTGGCGAGAAGCTCCCAAGGTAGGAAGGGTACGGGAGCGAGGAAGCGTTCTGCCACAGCGAAGCCAATCAAACAGGCGACACCAAAGACCAGCATGATGATGATGTGAGGAGTTTTCCAGTCATCCTCAGCGGAGCCTGCAATGGTGAAGGGAAGCAGGAACAGAGACAGACCGGCAGTCAAAAGGAAGACACCGAGCACATCGAACTCGATAATGTAGTACCAAACGCTCTGCTTGAAAGTTCTGCCACTCTTGGGCTTCTCCTTGAGAAGACCGTTCTTCTTCGCCTTGGAGCGGAAGTAACGGAGTAGGCCGAAGAAGGGGAGCACAACACAGGGCAGAACGATACAGAAAGTTCCGTATCCCCAGCGCCAGTTGGTTGCGTAAAACTGCTCGGCAGATGCAGGACCAGCGTATGCGGTGATGATGAAAGGCGACGAAGTGAGAGCGTAAGCCAAACCTCTGCTGCGGAGAGTAGAAGTATCGATGGTGACAACGTCAACACAGAAGATGAGACCAGCGGATCCGATGGCGTAGAAGACCTGAGCTGCGCAGTATGTTCCGATGCTGTTGCAAGTTGCTGACAAAATCAATCCGAGGAGGAAGAAACAAAGCATGATTAAGAGACCAACGGTACGGTCCCACAGGTTCAGCACTTTGGCGAGAGGCATGTAGGTTGCGGCACCCATGATAGAGGAGATGATGGAGATGACGGGGAGCAACGAATGCGCTTCAAATCCAGAGGTGATATAGGCCGAAAGGTTGCCAGTGATGTTGGACTGGAAAGCGTTCACGCAGTAGATACACCACATCCTAGTCGACATGTCAATTGACGTTCAGGACCATCTCATAGCTTCCGAGTACTTACAGTGCATAGGTCGCGATCATGGAGCTCTTGGTCCACGACAAAGTAATGGCCTCAGCCTGAGTGACACCAGCTTGAGCATGCTCGTTAGGGGTCTCCTCGCTGGCTTGATCGGCGGTCACATCGTTCTGAACTTGATGCTTGGAATCTCCATTATGGAAGCTGTATCTTTCAGGATCCTGAGAGTGCATCTCGGTGTTTCCGACTTCCGAGACGGAGCTGGAGCTACCCTCTTGCGGATCAACCGAAGAAGAAAAGAACTTGCTCCTCAATGCTGAAGGCATCTTGGCTGCTCTCTAGAAGGAGAGTGAATTGTGAATGAGGATGATGCTTCGGAAGAGAAGATCTCTTGTAGAAAGGATATAGGGCCTTCCCTTTCTATCTGGAAGGAGTCCAGCTGGAAGAAAAAATGGGACCATACTACACCCGGGGGTCTCGTTGAGGTTTAACGGTACTGGGGACTCCTAGCGCTGAGACCAAGGATCAGGGCGGATCAGATTAGTTCTGATCGGTTTTGAGGGGGCGTCGAAGCGCCGCAGACAAGTCATGCGATTTCGGCAAATTTGGTCTCAATCGTCCAGAGCTGAATCAGAGCCCTAGACTTCACGGTAATTTCCTCGCCTTTCACGGCGTGCCCAGGATGTGTCCGGTTTACTACGAAGAACCGCCGCCATCCTTGGATCAGATAAGATTCGACCAAGGATCAGTGGAGAGGGTCTATACCCGCCGGCGATGGCGGTACCAACGTAATTTCGGCGCGTCTGGAATATTGGGTGGTGGGAGGACGAGGCTTTTTCGGGCGTGATGTTGCGATTTTATGGAGAGGCTCCGGCACCGGGACCCACGCGAGGATGCCTCGGAAGCCTCACGCCAAACCACCCAACGCCGCCGCTCCTTCTCACCATGAGTTCATCAAAGATCATCAAGATTATCTTATCTAGCGCGGCACCTATGCGCAAACGATGTCGCATTAGCCCGCCCGACCGATATTTGTGACTGTGGTTGACAGCACAGGCTTTCGTAATGAATTCTCTCGTTGCCCAAGCATTGTTGCGTCGGCTAAGTCGTATGACTTTATCGCTCTGGCTTTGCTCGCAGCACAGAGCTGCCAGAGTGCAAAATGTACGCGGACCCACCCAACTTTGCACCCTCTGGTACTGTGCATCCTTCGTTTCTTTGTATGATTTCTTTATCAGATCAAACATTCTGAGGCCCAGGCGCACTTTTTTGTTATTGCCATATTCCGCGGACCTTACTCGTTTTTGAGAATCACATCACGAAGGCATTGAATTGCTTTTCGCCAGTGGATTTGTTGGTCGAGATCATCGACTAGCAAATCGATCACAAGGCACAGCGACATCTGTGAGACTTGGAATCCAAGTCTCCAAATTTAGTCCATGATGGCAGGCTTCATTCAGAAAATCGGAGGTTATCCTCGTCTGCTGCTTGCAGGCAACCCCACAGCACGCGACATAGGGACGTTACTACTCGGTATCATAAGCTCAATAGCAGCTGGAGTTCCATTTCCTATCATTGGTATTCTCTTCGGTCAACTTCTGGATGACTTCAATGCAGCAACTTGCGATCAAGCAACCGACGCTGGAGATGGCGATCAAAGGAGCATCAACAACACCATCTTGATTATCTTTTATCTGGCCATTGCTCAATTTGTTTGCATCTACGTTCATCTGACTTGCTGGACGCTCAATGGCGCTCGATTGGCACAAAGACTTCGTGAGAGTTATCTCCAGAATTTGCTCAGACAGGAGCCATCATTCTTCGACAATCTGCCTCCAGGAGAGGTTGCATCCAGGCTCCATGGAGATATCCAGACCATTCGCTCAGGTACTGCAGAGAAGGTCGGCATCTGCCTCTCCAGTGTGTCCTTCTTCGTTACAGCATATATCGTCGCTTTCATCAAAGACTGGAAATTGGCGGCAGAACTGCTTTCTCTCATCCCAGCTTATTTCATCATGTCGATTGTTGGAAGCCACTACATCGAAAAGTATTCTGGCATGGTCTCGGACTATGCTGCATCCGCCGCATCGATCGCTTCCGAAGCACTCAACAACATCATGGTGGTCCAAGCCTTTGGTGCCAATGCTCGTCTGGAGAAGAAGTTCTCGGACGCCCTCAGAGCTTCTGAGCACGAAGGCATCAAAAAGGCTACGGCTGTCGGCATCCAAAGTGGTGTTTTGTACTTCGTCGCTTACGCTGCCAACGGTCTAGCTTTCTGGCAAGGAAGTAAGCGTATCGCAGATTCGGTCGAAGGAAAGCCTGGAGGTACCACTGTTGGTGCCACCTTCACCGTCATCTTCATCTTGATTGAAGCTACCCTGCTTCTCAGTCAAGTCGCTCCATTCGTTCATCTCTTCTCAGCAGCCGTCGGCGCCTTCAACAAACTACGTGGAGACATCGACCGCGAACCTTTGATCGACGGACATACTAAGTCTGAACTTGCACTCCCTCAAGCAGGGGCTGGATTTAAGTTCAAGGACGTTTCTTTCACATACCCATCAAGACCTGAGATTACTGTCCTCGACAAGATTAGTCTCTCCATTCCTGCCAACAAACACACCGCCCTCGTTGGTCTTTCAGGCAGTGGCAAGTCTACTATTGCTGGTCTTGTCAGCAGACTATACGATCCTACCGAGGGTCAAATCACATTTGATGGGCAGGACGTTCGCACACTAAATGCTCGCGATCTAAGAAGTCTTATGAGTTTGGTTCAGCAAGAGCCTTCGCTCCTTGATCGCTCTCTTCTTGAGAACATTGCTCATGGTCTTATCAACTCGAGCGATCCTGGTCATGCCCAGTTCAGAGATATTCTGCTTGGATCCGATCTTGCAGAAGTCGCTGCTGATATCCGTGAGGGTACTGATCTCATGGCCGCTGCAGAAAAACGTGGCCCTACTGTCGTCGAAATTGCTGTCTTGGCCAAGAGAGCTGCAACACTCGCCGATGCAGACCAATTCATTGTCGCGCTTCAGCAAGGCTATGGTACAGTCGTCGGCTCAAGCGGTCGACTGATTTCCGGCGGCCAGAAGCAACGTATTGCTCTTGCCAGAGCATTGATCAAGAATCCTGCTGTGCTCATCCTCGATGAAGCCACTGCTTCTCTCGACTCAAGAAGTGAGCAGCGTATCCAGCGCGCTATCAATAGTATCACCAGCGGAAGAACTGTCATCACCATCGCTCATCGCTTGGCAACTATCACTACGGCAGATAACATTATCTGTATGCACAAGGGACACATCCTCGAACAAGGTACTCACTCAGACCTTATGGCCACCGGAGGAACTTACGCCGATATGGTCAAGATGCAGACTCTTGGAAACATGTCCGAAACGCACACCGCCAACGCTGACAATATCAGTGTCTCCGACCGAACGTCGACAGGCGATATCGAGAAGAAGAGCTTGTACGATGAAACTGCGGAGGCTGAGAAAGCCGAGCTATACACCACAGAGACACCGGTCAGAGACTCTGCCGAAGAAGAAGAGCCTGATGAGCTACCCGCACCTCCCAAATCTCTATGGGATCTGGCAAAAGGATACGGTCCGGCATTGAGACCACACATACTCTACATCTTTGTCGCTTTCATTGGTTCTGTCTGCGTTGGCGGCGCTTTCTCTGGTGAAGCTGTCATCTTCGGTAACACTGTTGGCAGTTTGAATCCTTGCCACAGTCCTAGCCGCATCCGTAATCGTGGTGACTTCTTCGGTCTCATGTTCTTCATCCTCGCCATAATTGAATTCTTTGCCAACTTGGTCAGTTGGTGTGGATTTGGCTGGGTCTCCGAAAAGGTTGTGTATACTGTCAGAGTCTTGTCATTCAGATCGCTTTTCGAGCAAGATCTGCAGTGGCATCAATCTGAGGGCCGTACACCAGCTTTACTTCTCTCATACATTACCAGAGATGGAAATGCTCTGGCTGGCTTCAGTGGCTCTGTTGTTGGAACTCTATTCTCGATCACTGTCAACCTTATTGCTGCCATCATCCTCACTCACATTATCGCTTGGAGAATTGCTTTGGTCTGTCTGTCGCTCGTGCCGCTTCTTCTTGGAGCTGGTCTCATGGAACTTCGTATCCTCGGCAAGTTTGAAGAGAAGCACGAAACTGCATATACCAAGTCTGTGGACATTGGTGTTGAGGCCATTACTTCTATCAAGACCATTGCGTCCTTCTCGCTTGAAGAAGAGATTCTTCATACTTACAGACGCTCGTTGAAGGGCCCTCGCCAGGACACCCTCAAGGTTACTCTGCAAGCCAGTCTCTGTCAAGCATTGACATACTTCTTGGGTAACTGCGTCAACGCTCTTGCCTACTGGTGGGGCTCGAAGCAGATTCTCAACGGCAACTACACCCAAACACAATTCTTGATTGTGGTGTTTTCTCTACTTGTCGGAGCATTGCTGTGGTCGCAGATGTTTGCACTGGCTCCTGAGATCTCCGCTGCTCGCAACGCAATGGCCAGAATCCTGAGCTTGATCCAGATTGGCAAGGACAAGATGGCAGGACATGTTCGCCCCCTTAATATGTCGCTCGAGGGCAACAATATCGAAGCTATGGCTGAGACTAAGACTGCACATGTATCCAATAACAAGGCTTCCAGTGTTCAGATGAGAGATATCCACTTCTCATACCCAGCACGACCAGATGTTAAGGTCATGAATGGACTCAACATCGACATCAAGCCCGGCCAATTCGCCGCACTGGTCGGTCCCAGCGGTGCCGGCAAATCTACCGTTATCTCTCTCGTTGAGCGTCTCTACGTTCCTCAATCAGGCTCAGTGCTCATCGATGGCCTCGACGTCACCAAAACCCGAGACACATCTTTCCGCGACAGCATTGCATTGGTACCTCAAGAAAGCGTGTTGTTCGAAGGCAGTGTGGCCTTCAACATCGGCCTAGGCGCTCGTCCCGGCTACACGGCAACACAAGAGGAAATCCAAGAAGCGTGCAAGTTGGCAAATATCCACGAAGTCATCCTCGCCCTACCAGAAGGCTATTCCACTCTCTGCGGCCCCTCTGGCAACAGCTTCTCCGGCGGTCAAAAGCAACGTCTCTCCATTGCTCGCGCCCTCGTCCGCAACCCTAAGCTCCTTATTCTCGACGAAAGCACCAGTGCTCTCGATGCAGAGAGTGAAAGGCTTTTGCAGCAAGGGTTGGACAAGACAAAAGCTAAAGGTATCACGGTGATTGCGATTGCGCATCGCTTGCACACTATAAAGAAGGCGAATGTGATTTTCTTGATCGAAGGGGGTAGGTGTGTGGATAGTGGCAGTCATGAGGAGTTGCTGGAGAGGAGCTTGGAGTATAGGGAGAGTGTTATGCATCAGACTGTCGCTACGGATTAGATTTGTAGGAGGTTGGGATAGATGTGCAAAAAAGATTTTACAGTTTTGGTTTATGGTTTGTTCCTTGTGTCTCTGCCGTGCTGTGCTGTGCTGTGATGTTGCTACGTAGTTTGAAAGTTCGAGACACGTCGTTTCTGACTGTGAGATGCTATCTTACAGCTACGCCTGACTCGACAGCATTGACTCTGTGTCTCTCTCCTTGCCATTTACTGCTGCACTACGTCCTGGTTGAATTGCAAGTCCAGCATCCTGAACGATCATGGAACATGGTAAGGATCTCATTTGTACCATCACCACCGTCAAATCAATCCTACCCCCAAGGTGATTGTAACAAACAATATTGTCTGTAAAACTCATATCTCTCCAACCTTATCTTAACTATGGGATATCTGCTCTTGCCCAAGGGTTGCTGACAGATCGACACTGTATCAATACAAGATGCAAATCACTGATCTTTTCCAACCACCGTACACAAGTAGCGTTTTCGACACAATGACAGAGATACAAGAGTATTCTTATACAAATACTCAAACTCTGGTAGAGAAGTATGAGACAGCATTGGCGGACTTCATCCCACATGTTCGATCTCTTGAGTTTTTTCGCCAAAGAGAAATGCCGAATTTGACGAGAGATTACACAATCGAACGTGACAGGTAGATAGCATGAATGAACAAGCAGAGAGATATAGCAGAGAATCATACGCGGGTGAATAGCTGAAAAAGGTATACTCGTCATGTGACAATCAGAGTGGGAAAAACCAAGCAAAGAAATAGCATTTGACACATCTCGTCGATATCAAGATCAGATCAGATCAAAACTCGCAAGTCATGCCGAGTTGCATTGGTATAACTTCACACTGTTCGCGATATACTCAAAGTTGTGGCAAAGCTAGACGAGAAGGCACATGTTGATGGTGGCTAGTGATGTTGACTTTTACTGTTTTCTTGCAGTGGAGTTGGAAAGGGGGAAGCGAAGTGATCACTGGACAAAAGCATATAGAGTCAAAACCGATGATATGCGAGACAGATGGTGAGATGTCAAGGTAATGGAATTGATAAGGCCTTTGACGCAGACCCCTCTTGTAGGTCGAGCATATGAAGATGAGAGGCGGAAAAGGCAACTTTTGAACTTTCGAGGTGGATGATTGAGAAACCCTGACTGGATACGCTATCAAGACCAAACCTGTTCACGAATGTGATAAATGTAGCAAGCAAGGACTGTACGAAAGGACAGCTTTGTTGGGCTGGGAGAGGGAAACCGATGTGTCGAGCGATAGAGAGAAAGACAAGACAATCGATAGGAGAATGTCGTGAACACACCTCCCTCCTCATCCCCTATTCCGCGAAAAACTCCCTCAACTTCTGATCCAACCATTCCACATCCCCCTCACTCTGCCCCGGTCCACCAGCCCAATGCCCCCAAACACTAGGAAACACTTCCAATCTACCCACTCCCTCGCTCATACATTCAACCTCATACTCTGAATCCTCAGGCGGAAAGTACAAATCAGTTTTGCTCGGCAACACCAAAGCTTTTGCTTTGATGCCCTTCATTGCAGCTTCAAAGTTGTTGTTGTAGGGGTGTTGGACAGAGCAGTCGGCGGATTGCCAGGTGTGTAACATGGTTAGCATGTTTTCGGGTGATTTGGAGAGGGCCCAGAATTCCCAGAAGTCGGTCATGAAGCTTGTGGGTTCGTCAGTGATGGTAGAAAGAAGGGAAGAGGGCAAAACTCACGTTTCCAAGTCTTTGAACCCAAGCACAGATTCGTAGAGTTTCTGGCGGTAAAAAGCTTGACTGAATCCCCAACCTGCGTATACTCTTCCCAGCGCCTTTAATCCTGTTTCAGCCTGCTCTTTCGTCCACCCTTTGCCTTCGCTTTCGGTGGTATATCCTTTACAGATACCAGCAGAAGCTGCACCCTTGGCCGCGACCAACGCAGTCTTGACCCCCTCCAAAAACACCTGATTATGCAAACTGCATCTCGCACTACCGCAGAATGGAGCAATCTTATCCATGAACTCCGGGTACTGTGTTGCCCATTGATAAGTTTGACCTGCACCCATTGACCAGCCCAGTACTGCAAAGGCATGTTTGACGCCAAGGTGTTTGGTAACCAAGGTGTGTTGAGCAAGTACGTTATCGTAAAAGGTTACTCTGGGAAAGGGGGATAGAGAGGTATTGGATGGAGAAGAAGATTGGGAGTTTCCGAACAGAGCAGGGATGATGATGAAGTAGGTTGATGGGTTGAGTGTTTTGGAAGGGGAGATGAGCCACTCGTTGTCTGAGATTACTGCTCCAAGAAAATCAGTCATTTGGGCTCCTTGAAGATACAGGATGGAGACAGAAGGAAGCAGACGTACGTCCACTGTACCAAGTAGGATATATGATTGCTGGTAGTTTCGGATCTCCAAAGGTCTTGTATGCTATCTTTGCCGAAGGAATCACTTCGCCAGATTCAAGTGTAAGGTCTCCCAAGTCGTAGGTCTCGTAGTCTGACATTGTTGTGTATTCGATTATGTTATCTGGCTATTCAGAGGCTGGCAGAGAAGTCTTGGACTTGATGTGGTGAGAGAGCAGAGGTCGTCTGTAGATAAGCATTATACATATCTACCCCGCAGAGGGGCAGAGCAGGGCTCGGTAAACCTTGCTTGGTTTGGCGTGCCTTTATCTGGCCTACCTTCCTTATCTCCCAAGCTCGATGTTTGCAGACTTCGTCTCGCTTGCCTTGTTTGACGATTGTTCGCTGGTCAATGGAACTCGGATATGCTCTCGATGCAATGACATTGTGGTTACAATATTGATCACATACGCAAGGAAACTCGGCAACTTGAATGTGATCAAATCGACTCTCTCTCTCTGCTTGATGCATGACAACGAGCTGCAAAACAAGCCAAGTATACGAGATATGATCGGGGAATGGAAGACGTAACCGCAGTACCAAACGTCGCCGGATGGATATCGTCCTTCTCAAGCATCAGCGTGATCATCCCCTTCATACTCTTTGCCCATGACAACGTTTAACGCCCTCCTCCCCAACTCAACCGTATGCTCCAATGCCGCCAGCTTAGCCATAGCACTAATCAAACTCGGATCCTGACTTTCCACCCTCACCTTCTCTTTGACCCTGACATCATTGTTGCGAAAGCTAAACACATCCTCGGCTTCATCGTGGGCAGGAGCTCGTGGGCCAGCTCCGAGTGCATGTGCGAGCCTGTCGCGCAGGCCAAAGCCTGAGAATGAGGGGCCACCGCCCAGAGGTGTGGAGGTGCCTGTGTGGGAGGCAGGTTCGAGAGTGCGGATGTGGAGAAGAAGGGCGGCGTCTGAGATGCTGAGGTGGAAGGAGAGGTTTGGTGGGGGTGGGGGGTCGAAGATCTAGAGATTGTGTCAGCTGAAGATGATGTGTACTGTCGGAGTGTTCACGCACCTTGTCATCCAAAGGGTCGGAAGCCCAGCTCTTGTCTGAATCAGAGGCAGCAGGGGGACCCTTTAGAACGGCCTTCGCATCGCGGATGTTCTCGTGCAGCAAGGTCAACTGACCCGAGATGAAATTGGCATCTCCCTTGTCGCCAGTCCATGTGGTAGCATCCACGACATCCAAGCTCGAATTGATCAAGGTTCTGACTTGGGCAATCTGCTTCAACTGAAGAGCAGGAGCTGAAGGTTGTGTCGAGATGGAGAGTTTGTAGCTCGTTTGACCGCGCGGAGGTGGTAGCGAAGCAAGACGCAGGTGAATGTCGCCTTTGGTAATGTTGGAGCCATTACGCGTGATGGTGCCTTTGACGGCTTCGCTGCGGTGGGAAGAGACGACTAACGTGCTGCCTTGTTCTCGTGGCGCCAATAGAGCGCTGCAGTCTTCAAGGCCAGACTTCAAGCTCGAGAGGGTTTCCTGGAGAGCGTCGAGAAGCCATGACAGTTCACCTTGTCGTGTTTCCTCTGCGCGTTGGGCGAGATCTACCGCCGTCGTATCTGGCAATGGCGGCCATAGTATTGTTGACATGATGAATGTCTGAGTTGCCTAAGTTAGATGACGCTCCCCGGAGCTCGACAAGCAGACGGACCTTCCCCGCATCCGGGCCTCCAGTCGGATGCGCCATGAGCCGGCGCTCCCGTCCGATCCGCCGTCTTTGCGACTTCCAGCCTGCGTTAAAGTACTCCCGAGCTCCCGTCCCATATGCACTTCCTTTGCTGTTCCTGCTCACCGGCACCACGAGATGATGTAATCACTGCGCTTGACAGTAGGTAGCGACAGTGACACGTAGGCTTGCTTGATAAGCACAGCGAAAAGGTCATCGCAGCAGCGGCATCATACCATATAAAGACCCAATTCCTCGACTTGATTTGGTATCTGCTTTCCATTATCCACTCTACTCCTTCATCTCATCAACACATTTGCGTTGTTCAACATTATGTCTCTTCCCACCAGCGCCCGTGTCTACCGACGCACTGAAGACGGCAAAGACATCGAGCTCTCCACCGAAGACCTCCCTAAAGAACTCACTCCTACTCAAGTCCTGATCCGAATTCACGCCGTCTCGCTCAACTTTCGCGATGTTGCTATGCTCAACGACAGATACCCCGTTCCCGCCGATCACCGCGGTATCCCCTGCTCGGACGCTGGTGCCACTGTCGTTGCAGTCGGCAGTTCCGTCAAGGACTTTGTTGCTGGCGACCACGTCTCGCCTACTTTCCGCTGGACCACTGAAGATGGCGTCATGAGAGCTCTCGGCGGTGACTTTGACGGCGTGTTGCGGGACTATGCTGTCTTTGAGTCTGACGCTTTGGTCAAGAATCCAGAGTATTTGACTCCTGAAGAGGCTTCGTTGATTCCTTGTGCTGGAGTTACAGCATGGACTTCGTTGGCCCAAGATGATTGGAAGAAAGCAGATAAAGTCAAGACAGCATTGATGGAAGGTACAGGCGGTGTTTCTCTGTTCGCTCTCCTCATCTGCTTGGCCAAGAACATTACACCCATCATAACTTCATCGTCCGATGACAAGCTTGCCGGACTCCAGAAGCTCGCGGATGCCGATCAGAAAGTCCTCGCCATCAACTACCGCAAGACGCCTGACTGGGCCGAGGAAGCGCTGAAACTCACAAACGGACAAGGTGTAGATGCCTTGGTCAACAGTGTAGGCGCTTCAAGCATGGATCAGAACTTCAAGGCCTTGAAGAAATTTGGTACAATTTCTCTGGTTGGCTTCCTCGGTGGCACTCCTGAGAAGATGCCTGATGTTACCATGCAGATTCTCACGAAGAGCGCGCATGTGCAGTAAGCCTACTCCTTATTTTCCGAACTTATTGATAGCATTTGGTTAACGCATCGGATAGGGGCATTGCAGTAGGAACCAAGGAAGATCATCAAGACCTCTGCAAGCTCTTGGGTGAGAAGAAGGTCAAGCTCAGTCCCATCATCGACAAGGTGTTTGATTTTGAAAAGTCCAGTGAAGCGTTCAAATATCTATACTCGGGCGCTCATGTGGGAAAGGTGGTGATCAAGATCTGAGAGGAAGAAGAAACAGAGGCTTGTCTATAATCTTAGCTGTATCCTAGTTTTCCGAGCGTGCAAAGAAGAACAAAGGCTCAGACTCATTGCTGCTGCTGAGCAAACTCTTCCAACCACTTTGCAAGCTTCTCGACCTTTTCCACACTGACAGCATTGTAATTGCTGATTCTGCAACCACCCACGCTGCGGTGTCCCTTGCATCCCATCAACAACCTCTCATTCGCACCAGCCAAAAACTTCTTCTCCTTGTCATCTCTATCGCTCTCGCCTCCAATGCGGAAGCAAATGTTCATTTTGCTACGCACAGACTTGTCGGGCACGACGTTGAAGACAGAGTATTTGTCCAGCACACCGTAGAGGAGGGCAGCTTTGTGTTCTGACTCTGCTTGCTGGGTGGCGATCTTGGGTCCAGAGGAAGAGGTGGCTTTGGAGAGCAGGGATTGCATTACTTGGCCGGCGATCCAGACGTCAAAGATAGGGAGGGTGTTGTAGAGGGAGTTGTTCTTGGCAATGGTGGGCCAATCCAAGACCACAGGACCGACAGGCAGGTTCAACTTGCGCAACAAGTCTGGTTTTGCGAGTTGAGTGAGCAGCGAGTTTTTGATGATGGCAATGGTGATGCCTGTGGTTCCGACGTTCTTTTGGGCACCACCGAAGATAGCAGCGTATTTCTTGACGTCCACCTTGCGGCTGAGGAAGTTTGAGGACATGTCGGCGATGATGTTGTACTCGTCTGCGTCGACCTTGGGGAAAGCTGGGAATTCGACTCCATCGACGGTCTCGTTGTCGCAGAAGTATACCATACCGCTGTGGGCAGGGTTGGGAGTCAATGACCATTTCGACTCGTCAGGGATAGTGCCGAATTTGCCATTGTTTGATTTGCGAGAGTCGATGGCGACGTTGACGTGGTTTGCGCCAACCAGTCTGGCGGCTTCTTGACTGGCCTTCAATGACCAACTGCCAGTGACCAAGTAGTCCAACTTGAACTCCTCATCCACAGCCTTCCTCAGCGCCTCAAAGACCTTTGTGTCATCCTCACTTCCCAGCTCTTTCACAATCTCCAGCCTTCTCTTTTCCACCCACAAAGCAGTCATGTGGTACACCGAAGCACTGAACTCGCCGGAACCACCGCCCTGCAGGAAAATGATCTTGTAGCCATCAGGGCCTTCTTGAGTAGGAATGTCGAGCAATTGGGCCAATGCTGACTTTGTGTCTTTGAGAATGTTTTCTGCGTCGGCGGAGCGGTGCGAGATTTCTGTGATGCCAATGCCGCAGTCGTTGTAGTTGAGCAGCACTTGAGAGGCCTTTTCTAGGACTGCCGTGGGCAGGGGGGCGGGGCCGGCGCCAAAGTAGCTGACGGATTCGCGGGAAGGCATTGTGTGTATAGATGTATAGGGGGAAAGAAGGGAAGAGAGAAAGCTATACAAGAAGTAAAATGTCCGATGGTCGGAGGGGTGTTTCCATCGACTCATCCAACACCTTGAGTCATTAATGATTATCCTATTGTGCAAGTTATGCAATGACGCGTTTCGAGCATGCCAAGACTTCCGCTCACTCTATGCAAATGTCGCTTTCTTTTATCAGTTACCATCCACAAAATAACAAAACAATGCTAGATGATCAAAATCGCGTGCAGGAGGTAGACTCTGACGATGAAGGAGCAACGGAGTTTGATAGCTTTGGGCAAAGCGAAGGATTTTCTGAGATCACCAAACGCCTCCCAGACGACTGCATCGAATACGCAATCTTCATCATCGACTCGAAACTGAAATCCGATTTTGCCAGAAGGGAGAAACTGAAAGCTATACAATCAGCCGCTACTGTCTCGCTCAAATCACCGGATCTCGAGGACTACATCTGGCAGCGCGAGAAATTCCGATTGGATTTGATTGATGCTAGACTCGACGGCAATACTCATGGTACAGGGATTAGCGATGGAGAGAAGCTACATATTCCTGGTCATGAATACTACCTGCATGGACGAACGAACTTTGGCGACTCAATAGCAGACGAATGGCTGATCGTCTGGCTACTTCTCGAACTCAGTCAACGGCATCCCTCAGCTTGGATCCAAGTCCGTGATCCAGATGGCGAATTTCTGCTAGCAGAAGCCGCAAATGCTTTGCCAAAGTGGTTGGAACCCGAACTTGCCGACAATCGCGTTTGGATCCATCGCGGTCAACTACACATCATACCATTACAACGAAATGCTGGCGGTGGAGCATCAGGACCCACTACTCCTGGACTGTCTGGCAACGTCGACATGGCACAAGCTTTGCGCTTCTTGCAGCAGACTCCTCATTCGACATTACATTCGCCCATGATCGAAGAAGAAGCTTTCCACCGCTTGCGAGATCATCCAGCTGCTATCTCCAAGAGCCAGCATAGCGCATTACTCTTGGTACCACGACGTCTCGCATACCTTCTTCACCGCAATCCAGCCTATGTAGCTCCTGCCATCGAGGCGTTCTATCTTCGCGATCCCATTGCTGTGAGACCGCTAGCCACAAAAGATACAGCTACCCTTCGCTTTGCACCAGAAGATTTCGTCACCATGAGTGTCCGCTTCCCCAAGGTTGGCTACGCACAGCTCGTGAGCCAGGATTTTCCTCCACCCCCTGCTTGGGTAGGCATCACACCTCACATCCACAAGAAGCCTGTCCTCTTAGGCATGAAGCTCTCCTGCGGCTTTGAGATGATGCTACGCGACCCTCAAAACAAAGACAAGCGCGAAGTCAGAGAAATGAACATGCTACTCGAAGACATAGAAGAAGATGGAGAAACACTACCCACCGATTCCACCATCGCATCATGGCCACAAACAAACGACGACGACAAATGGCTCGATATCGACTTCAAAGACTTTGACGCAGAGCTCAAAGGCCGCAGTGGGGCAAACGACACACCTTCAGGCCAAGGTTTCGGCGATGAATCAACACAAAAGGACCTCCAAGACATGGTCTCGCGCTTCGAAAAATTCCTCAACGAAGACGAAGAGACCGGCGCTGAAACCTTTTCTTCTGGCTCCTCATCCACCTCTGATTCCGACAACGAAGACGACGAGGAAGAAGACAAAGCCACTTCCTTCACAGACGCCGAATTCGAACAAGCGATGCGCGAAATGATGGGCATGCCCGACTCCACAAAAGACTCCAACGGCCTATCCTCCGAAGCCAGAAAACTAGCGCTGGAAATGGAAGATGAAGAAGAAATGGAACGAGATGACGAAAAAGAAGCAGAGCAGATTTGGAAAATGATGCAAGAGATTCATGCTTCACGTCAAGACAAGAAGACCAGAGAGCAGGAAGGTACGGACCAAGGCAAGGAAAAAGCATTTACACCACATGCTGCTCCCGATACGAATGCTGCGGGAAAGAATGTCAGGTTCGAAGATAGACTCCGTGGAGACATCGAGGGCAGAAACAATCAAGGCAAAGGCAAGGGGAAGCAAAAGGCGAAACCAGTCACTATAGACGACGAAAGCAGTGATGATGAAGATTTGCTGGCTGGAGAGGAGGGAGATCCGCATTATGAGATGCTTAAGAATATGCTTGAGAGTTTCCAGGGGCAGGGCGGTATGGCTGGTCCGGCGGGCAATCTTATGGGGTTGATGGGCATGGGGAGTAAGTTACCACGAGAATGAAGTTGACAGTAGAATCTGGTCAAAGTTGATGATATCAACATCGGTACAGTCTTCGAGAACAAGTGACTACCAAAGCCAGGTGCTGGAAACAAAAAGGCATGGACCTGGAGCAAAGGGACCACGCGCTGGAGTCTCGACTGCGGTACCTGGATTGCAGACTCACGTTGAAACCATTACTTTCTTGTAGTATATACAAAACAACTGCGGTCATCTGCCAATGCTGCCTGGATGACCTGGCTCGGTGGACGTAATTATCACTTACATAACGAACTGTAGAAGCATACAATCTTTCCAACCAACACTTGATTTACAATCCCGAAAAGTGCAAGAGTGCTCGGATCCTGAAATCACAAGTTACTGTTAACCTGGACGTCTTTGACAGGTTCTCCACGAGTCGGGCGACGTGTCTCTTGAGAATTCTTTACATGTTCTTCCTGTGTTCGTACCCAGAATCTACTCCAGTCCTTTTCTACCGGACTATCGGGCAAGATAACCGACGGCCAGAAGCAGGAGCCACCTAGATTGAGGAAACGGGCCCGTTTCCTCCCAGATTAGCATCTCGTGCCGAGGCCCGCAACGTCCACATTCTACATACCTTCCCTTTTGGTTTAAGAGAATGTCTAGAAACCCAGCAGGTTGGTCAACGTCAATCCTTCTGCCAATCTCGCTTGGTTTGACTTGTCCGTTGTTTGTTCTTGTCTTCGCTTGTCAATTCTTGTTGTTGCTTGGCATGTCTTGTTTTGTGCTCGGATCAGCTGATTTCTGACTACCGGTATAGGACGTCAAGGCTCTACAGATCTGCTTGAATCAGACCAGATTCATGTGACGGCGAGCTTCTGGGTTTGTCTGCTCATGTTCCACTTTCCCTCGTGAAATCTGGCCTAGTTCCCTCCTCTTGCTCCTTCGACAATGCTTCACTCTAGCGTTGATAAGTACTTACCGCATGGCGTCTGACTAGCGGAAGCCCATACAGTATCCCATCTTCTCGGCCGAGAGGTCTGTCCATGGGTTCACCGAAAATCACTCATATCTGTCTATATAAACCGACCTTGGGATGCAGCTACAGGAACATGCTCTACCAAGAACAATTCTGCCCTTATTACATCCATACCTTTCTTCATCTTTGATCACACCTTCAAGTCTCGACCATGTCCGGCAAGAAAGTGGTACAGGCAGCTGTCTCTGTCGCGGGCGTGGCCATCGGTATCGCTCTCTACAACAAGGTGCCAGGAGCTACAGCCTTGCCTGTGGACACAGTATCCCCTTCGCTTTTCGAGGAAGTCCCCGGAACCCCAGGAGCCTTCATCTACCTCTCCAACGTTTCGCCTACCATCTTTGGTGAACCAGCTACCGACTTTGACTACCATGTCTCGCCCGAACCCTCGCTTGCCATCGAAGCAGTCCAGAGATACGCTTCAGCTGTGGCATCCACCGACACTGATGATATCCTGACCACGTTTTTGAACGTCACCATGGCAGGAACCATGACGGCCGACCAAGCTGCCGACCTGCATTGGAAATGTAACGAGCTGAGCGGCACAATGGCAACAAGTGTTGACGCTTGTGCCGCGTTCAGCACAATCGGCGAGCGTTCCGCAGACCTCGAGAAACGCTCCAGATGGAGCTGGGTACGCAGTGCCGCTCACGTGGCCAACAGAGGCGCCGTCCAGATCCTGTACGGCGCACTCGGCAATGCTGCTTACGCCAACTTTCCTTCTTCGCCTAGGTCTTGGTGTAACAATGCTGATGGTTCCAATGCCTGCATCTCTTGGTCGACAGTCGAGTCTTGGAACCACAACTATGCGCAGCAGATGGTGTCTGATGCGATGAGCGTCGTGGATTTCAATCAGTGGAGTGCTCAAGCCAACCGCATCCTTGGGAGTAGGAAGAGAAGTGCTGCTGATGTTTGCATTAGCAACCGTGCGGATGGGTGTACTTAGTGATGACTGTAGAAGCAAGATTGTATTAGGAATGAATTGGGAATGGCTGGCTTTGGCGCGGATCAGAAGAGGTTCAGAGCTGCGACTGGGCGAGTGGTAACATTAGTCAATCAGTGTCAGAGCCCATGGTTTCTGCAAACAACCTCCTACAGCTTACTCTTTTGGGTTAAGTCTTTCGATTTGTGAAGGAAGGATATACAGACAAACGTTGTGTGATTAGTCTACGTGGTATTCAGTGGTAATCCAAAGGAGCAGGTCGAGTACGAGCGGGTAGGGCTGAGTTTTTGCCGAATTGGGAACAGCGTGGATTTCGACTTTTGCAACTGCAGACTTGCATTTTCGGCGTCAGCATGGTCGTTTGTCTGTATATTCCATCCAGCACCAAAAAAGACCGTCAAACAAAGCTGTTATCAAGAGACAGTCATATCACAAAGTAAGCTATAAACTTGTTCTGTCAGAGGTCATCGTTCTAATACGTACGGGACTAAGATTTCTATTCGCTCATCGAAGCTCTCAACATCTTCTGTTCCATCACACTTCCCATCACGAACTGCCAGTTCGCATCGAGAATTCACAGAAATCGCCATGGCAGACGTAGATGAGGATGCCATCCCTCGCGGTCCTGATGTCGGCGATATTGATCTCTCAGACGAAACTCAAGACTTCCGCTTCCTCCTAAACTTCACGTTCGTCACTTGAAACATATCCCAAATCTCTGTTCCAAAAAAAAATTAATACTGACTCATCACACACACATCACAGCGGCGATGACACCAAAATCCCCAAACGCGGTGAAAAGGACTTTGAGCCCCATCACACCAACAAACAATCAGACGCCCTGGCCTCCTCACGAGAAGCAATGCACAACGCCCTCTCCTTTCAACGCGTGCACCAGCCCAAAAAGCACGTGTTAGCCTACTATCATCTCCAAACTAACATGGCATACACCGAAGATGCCAAAGGCCCCCTGTTCAAAAACATGGGAAAGGTATTCGCTGCAAACGATGACCCACTGGGTCCAAGACTAGCAGGAGAAAACAGGATCTGGTTGTTACCCGAGGAAGCTATTTATCTGCTGGAACGAGGAACGATTGATATCAGATGGCCGATAGATGAGGATGATGCAGAGGAAGAGGGCTTGCCGATGAGTTTGCAGGGTGCTTATGCTGCGTTCTTGGGAGAGGAAGAGGGAGGCTTGACGTTTGAGAGGTATAGTGTTTATGCTGGGCTCAAGAGGAGTGGGTATACGGTGCACAGGGCGCCGAGTTGGGATGGTGAGGGCGAGGAAGTGGGAGAGGAGTGCTATCCTCCTTTGCAGGGTACGATGTGGAGTCTGGGTTTGCTGAGACATGCGTGGAGGAATATGTTTGCGCCACGTGCTGCCACGGAGGCAGAGCAGAAAGTTGGTCCATTGGTGACGCCAGGAGTTTATCGCAATTATGGTAAGTAACTCGTCTCAACGAGAATACATGTTCTCCTTACTGACAACCGAACAGCTGAGATATACCGCCGCCTAGCCATAATCCCCAGCTACGATCCCACCGCCAAGAGAGGATCCGCAGACCCAACAGATCCATCCTTTCGGATAACCTACCACCTCTGGAAACCCGGCTCACCCCACTACAAAAAATCCTCTCCAGGAACTCCCGACTTCCGCATCGCAGTCGTCAATGCCCGCGAAACCACATTCCCAACTTTGGCTCAATTGAGTGCTTTGGTCGATACACAACCATATATGCCTCCAAAGCCTGAAGCACAGTTGTATGCAAAGATACGCAATGGATACAAGAGTGTTATTCTGGCGGTGGTGGACCAGGGTGTGACTAGTTATTTGAGGTTGGCGGATGCTGGGTTTGTGAGGGAAAAGTTGTTTGAGAGGAAGCCTCCGGCTGCGAGGAAAGGTGGCAAAGGGGGCGGCAAGTGGAAGAAGAATAAGCGGTAGAAGGCTGGAGATAAGACGTACAATTGAGGTGGTCGTTCCGTACAATCAAAGGGCATGAGCATCAAGACATCAACAATGTTGTAGTCCTCGTTTGCCGCCAGTATTGTGAGGTCAGACTGCTATGTGCCAATACTAAGTGTAATGGGAAAGAGCGAGCACAAGATCGAGTGATACGAAAGCTAATTACCGACGGACAAATTCAAATGTGTGAGAACCAAAAGACTCAGTCATTAGCTTTCTATATGTAGCCTATCTCCAGTGAGATGTTCAAAAGTGCCCGACGGAATGGCCATGGCCGATCAATTCACGCATCAGTGATGGTGGCTAACAATTCAGAAAAAGAAAAAGATTTAGGGATCTAGATATTAAGATAGAGAAGATGTAGGAAAAGGGTCACAAACTCACCTAAGACGCCATAGACCACCTACCGTGAGAAGTGCAACTATTCAGGAGATCCAGGGCGAGAACCAGAGAACCCACCAGGAGGAGCAGGAACAGCAAAAGTCTTGTTGTCGTCATCCATAATACGAAAAGGAAACTCATCAGAATCATCAGAACCGTCTGCAAGTACATCCGAGCCGTCAACAGTCCTGGGGAATCTGGAAGTTCCTGCAGGAGTTGAGTAATCAGAAATATTAGTGAAGGGGTCCTCAACATCGGAGAGGAGATATGCGTTGAAGCTTTCAGGGGACCAGACAGGTGCCTGAGCAGACTCGTTGTTCCATGGGTTGGAGGGTTCAGGGGAGCTAATGACGTCGGCAGCATCTGCGATAACCTTGTCAGCAAAGAGTTTATAGTCACAAGTGTGCTTGTTCAAGAAGTTGTCGGGGTGGTTTTGAATCTCGGGAGAAAGAGTTCGAAAAAGTGCGTCGGAGATTTGACCGTAGTAACCGCCTTCCAGTTTTTGAGTGATTTTAGAGTCGACAGCTTCGATACGATAGTCATCCAGACGATTGCGTTCGATAGCGAGGAGGAAGGGTTTGAAAGGGTCGTTCTTGTCAATGTTGGAAGTCAGGCGAGCGTGGCGACGAACAGTCCAGTCAGCAGACAGACGATCGCGGTAGTAGTCGAAAGTACTTTGCGAAGCGCCAATCTGCTTGATCAGGTCGAGTATAGTGCTATCAGGGTTAGCCCAAACTTTCAAGATAAAAGTTTTGTGATCGATATCAGGCGTCGAGGGCCATAACATAAGCTTACCCATGAAGTCAGTCCAAGCCCAAATCTCGGAAGAGTCTATAGATCCCGGAGCTGCTCTGACCTCGACTGTTCTTTTCGGGGAGCCATTCACGAAATTCGTGATGTTGACAGCCATGGAACGAGAGTTGAAGTGATTGCTCGCACTATCATAGGATGGCCATGAGTTCAGAAGAGCCTCGACATCATTACATCTGGAAATGATATCAAGCCATGCTTCAGGGGTACAATCCCGTAGATGACCAGCAATAGATGTACGATCAGCTTCAGGATTGTCTTTGATAGCTTTTTTGACAGATGAACGAATTGTTTCAAGGAATGGTCTCGAGTGAGGCCCGACCCAAGAAGACTGTGTGTCGTCGCCTTGAACGTACTTGTACACCGAGTGCGAATTGATAATACCGGGGATGGGGCCATTGAAGGGCAGAATTCAGATCCTGGATGCTGGGAAGATCTGATCAAAGTGTCGCTCAAGACAGGCGAAGACACCAACCATACCAAGGGCGGCCTTTATAGGAGGCTGGCGCTTACCATTGCCGAAGTGGATATGAAAACCGCAATTCTTGTTGGTAGCAACGCAGTAGCCTTCACCTGAGAAAGCTTCATGAATTCTTTGGATGAAAGCGTTGATTTCCGTTTGTGAGTCCCACATGAAGAGCTCACCGGTGCATGGATACGTTTGACCGACGGGATCGGGGGTGAGGCTGCAGAAGTTCAAGACCCTTGAAACGAGCTCGAGGCTGTAAAATTGCGATGAGCCTCTCTTGACCCGGGCTTCCTCGTCCTTTTCAGAGTAGACTGAGGGATCGCGGTGGATGGTCCAAGTAGTAAAAGCGGTGACGAAACCATGGCTATTGAGCACACCCTCGACAGGCAATTTCCAGGAGTGATCCTCAGCACAATGGGAGCAACGAAGGGAGATGGGCTTTTTGAGGGCACTGGTGAGGTGGTCTCTAGGGTTAATCTTGCGAGGTGCGTAGGCCAACATCTCGAGTTTCACTCCGAACGTCATGTTCTCCGAAAAGAGGGTTGACCAGCAGCGTCGTAATTGGCGGTGTTAAAAGACATCTTGTAGTATTCGAGTATGATGTTAGTGTTTGCGGAGTTGCTGAAGCACTGCTTAGGGGCAGAGATACAGCATCTTGTACAGAACATACACAGACGTGGTCGTACATTGTCAAAGCCAGGGGACAATGGACGGGACAAAGCCATTGATGGGGCGACAAAGACCCACCCGAATGAATCAAAAAGTACAAAGAGCCATGGGACGAGACGCGAGTGCAGACAAAGGTGCTCATGGACACAATGAAACCAGCAAGAAAACCTCAGAGAAAGAGTGACGCAGCCAGTGCCGGTGCAGCAAACAGCATTGTTTCATCGCTGGCTCGCAGAGGTCACAGCAGAGTGTAGCATGGATAGCAAGCCTCGTGCTAAGGGTTTTCGGCTGGACAGCACCTGCGATAGCAACAATCGATGTAGCGAAAAGAGACTGGACTGCATGGTATGCTGTGGTAGAGTTCAGAATATCGCTGCATATACGTCATCAGAACTGATCCTTCGCGACCTTCCTGCCTACCACAGCAATACATGTGTGATTCGAGTCCGATGGCTTTCGTGTCGACTCTGCAACCTCGAATTATATTCTCTGCTGATCAGCTGCAGACAGGCAAAACAGTCCCGATAGCTACCTCTACAGTCGCTTCCGAAGACTTGATTGAAAGTATGTCAGCTGTAGCTCATCCCAGTAGTAGGCTATCCGACTGACAAACAACTTGAAAGATGCCAACGCAGATGGAGCAAATAGTGGCTGGTTTCCAGCGACCTGTCGGGTTGAATAGCCTGCTGTCTATCGCTGCCGGTCAAGGCGCATTCATCTTATGTTTCAGGGGCGACATGCCTATCTTCTCTCATCACCACAACTTTGCCTACGCTCTGCTCACCAACGCCATGTGTTGGTCAGTCGTATGGTGCATGTCGTCCCTTGACCGCGCGATGCTGGAGGATAAAGGTACGTAAATTGATTTACCATGCGACGAGCGACGCTAATCATTCTCAGAGTCTTGCAAGCATCTTGGAAACATGCACACAATCATGCGCTCGATCACTGGAATGTTCTGCATCGCTTTTCTTCTTTCTTCCATCTGCCGTAGCTATGTCGGTCTCGCGGTAACAGTAGGCGTGTCTATGGTCAGTGTGTTTACAGGTCTGTTTATCAATTTTTCGTAGGTAGAAGCTCGTATTCTTGTTGTTACATGTTTTGCTCTTAACCGCGTCAAGATTGACACTTTGCTCCCATTGGATGTGTAGTAACGAATATGGGCGGATCAGATATACGTCGGCCGCGAAAGAGGTCGCTGTAGGGATCCATGTTGCGCGTCGTTGCGAATTTTCTTCACGATTCGCATATCGACCCGTCCCGGTTGTGACACATGACACAGAGAGTGAGAACCATGTGACATCTAAGGAGCCCAGTGTAATGACGCGTGTGATAAGTAGGCTGCACGAGTTGACTGTTGCATCGAAGTCGAACAAGTTCACAAAGAAAAGCTGAAGAACAACAACAAAATCTCACTTGCTGCGTTCATTGCTCCTACCAAACAGCCACTCGTCTGTCATGAACGACTTTAGTAAAGGATCTGCTCCAACGACAAAGGCAAGAAGCGCAATCGAAGAAGTTGTGAGAGACTCTCGGCTCTCATGTCATATAAAGACACAAGGTTCGTAGTCAGCACCAACGTACAGGTGATCTCTCATAGCCAACCGAAAAAGAAAAAGAAGTTGAAACACCATCCTCACCCGAGTAATCGGAATCGAATTATAACTTCAAGAGAAGAAGAAACGCTGCGTATTGCACTCAAGTATCGCAAGTGTACAAACACTCGCACACAATCTTCGCACCGGCTCCCATAGAAACGCGAGCTCTTCCCTCTAAAAAGCGAGTTCGAAAAGGGTCAAGACGTTCTGAAATTTCTGATGCCAGGTGCAGACGTGTCACGTCAGGCCCTCGCAGGCAGTAACTCAGAGCTCGAACAACAAGAGTTGAAACAAGATGAGTGTTTGTGTAATGTGAAGATTACTCCGAATTTCTCATTTGCAGGATGATGGACAACGACGAGGTAAATCGTAGTTGTCTGTGTGGAAGCAAAGAAACGCAGCTTTGGTGAGGATGGTGCCTGAGAGGGAGCAAAGAGAAGGTGAACGCGAAACACGAAAAAAGTTTTGGACCCTCCAGAGCGCCAAGACTTTAGCGTCAGATCCGGCTGAAGCTGCTTGCTTTAATCTGCCTTCTTCACGTGCGACATTCACAATCACTTCACAATGGGTGCAGAGGATCGGGATGATAGGAGACGTCGCGATAGCAGAGACAGGCGCTCTGACAGGCCACGCGATCATAGGAGAAGATCGGTGAGCAGAGACGACAGGGACAGAAGAGAAAGAGAAAGAGACCGACCAAGCCGACGATACCATGACGACGGCAAGGAGAGAAGAAGACATCACAGCCGCTCAAGGAGTCCGAGAAGGAGACACGACAGAGAACGAAGCTCACGAAAAGACCATGTATCACGATCCCCACCTCCGAAACGCTCAAGGCGCTCATACTCGCGATCAAAATCACCTGCACCCCGTCGCGCTCGTGGCCCTCTACCCTCACAACAAGACCAGTTCCGCCAAGGAGATGATGCCGCTGCAGCAGAACCTGCCGTGGAAAAGCAGAAGCCAAACTTCAACGCGACAGGCTTGTTGGCCAAGGAAGCAAACACAGTGGCCGGCACAAACACAGTCCTCAAGTATCACGAACCACCAGAGGCGCGCAAGCCATCGAGTAAAGAGCAATGGCGCATGTTTGTCTTCAAGGCTAAAGACATGATCGACACTATTCACCTCTACTCGCGCAGTTGCTGGCTGATGGGCCGCGATCAAGCTATCGTCGACTTCCAATTAGAGCACCCGAGTATCAGCAAACAGCACGCTGTTGTGCAGTTCAGGCATATCACAAAGACGAATGAGTATGGAGACAAGCTGAGCAAGGTCAAGCCATATCTCATCGACTTGGACAGTGCCAACGGAACACGACTGAACGGAGAGAAAATCGGAGGCAGTCGTTACATTGAATTACGAGACGGTGATGTCGTCGGCTTCGGTGACAGCGAGAGAGAGTATGTCATGATGCTGCCCAAATAAGCGCACCGAACAATCGCATCTGAAAATGAACATTCACGTTAAACCTCCATTTCATTCCCACCACATCGCAAGAGTCGTGAGCCTTCAACATGTGTAGTATTTGGAACCTGCATCGCGCACCAAGCGCAGAACATCGCCTACAAGATACAGACTTCCAGCTATCACGAGCAGAGCGTCCTTCTGCTCAGCCAGTACAGACGCCTGCTTCAGAGCAGCGATGACGTCCCTCTCTACAATCACACTCTCTCCGGGCAAGATATCCGCAGCAGCTGTCTTGACATCCTCCGCTGATGTGGCCGTGATCCATGGCATCCCGTCAACAGCTCCAAATTCGGTTGCTACGACATCATCTCCAGATCTTCCTGCGAGCAGGAGCTCAAACATGGAAGCCAGATCTTTCCCCCTCGAGGCAGCAAGAACCCAGACAACTGGTCGGCTGCCAGCACGTGTGTGTGCTGTGTTCGCGAGTACGGTGGCTGATTCGACATTATGAGCGCCATCTAGGAGAGCTGTGGGTGTGTAGTTGGTAAGAGTGCCCAGCTCGATGTCTTGTAAACGACCAGGCCAGACGACGCCTTGCGGCACAGCACGCAATGTGGTTGCAAGTGTTGAGAGGCTTGATGTGCGTATCTCGCTACGTAGAGTAGAGGAACCGCAAGCTGCTTGAGTGGTAGGTGGAGCAGGAAGACGATTCAGTTGCTTCAATGCTAGCCAGGTGATTGTGAACGCCATGGCGCCATTTTGTTGACGAGCATGTGTTGCATCGGTCGTGCTGGAAGCACGTGTAACGTCAAAGCCAGCGGTGTCTTTTGCGTGCAAGATTTGTGTTACGCCTGCTTTGGATGCCAGTTGCAGAATGTGCTCGGTCACGGATTCATCGTTCATGGCCAGAACAAGCGGTACTCCTGGCTTCATTATACCGGCCTTCTGGGTGGCTATCTCGAGCAACGTGTTGCCGAGGAAGCCTTGATGATCTAATGCGATGGTAGAGATGGCTGTCACCAATGGCTTTGGTCTGAACTGTTGGTTCTGCTCCATCTCGTCGAACTCGGAGGTCTGACCCAAGATGTTGGTAGAGTCGAGACGGCCACCCATGCCAACTTCGATAACTCCGATATCCACACTTTCTAGTGTGAAAATCTCGAAAGCAGTGGCTGTAAGCAATTCAAATTCTGTTGCCTGGATGTTTTCGGCCAGATTGCGTGCCAGAACCTTTGCTTCGACCTGTCTAAAGATGGCTTCCGAGATCGTGTTGTCGTCAATGGTAATGCAGTCCCAGCGGTCTATGAGGTGTGGTGAGGTAAATCGACCATGCCTGATCGGAGGTTTGCCAGAGTCAATTCGTAGTTGGGAAGAGTTGTACGCCGCAAGCATGGCGGAGATGTAGGCACATATTGATCCTTTTCCATTTGTTCCTGCCACATGCAGTGCTCGCCATGGTAGAGGCGTACGTGCCAACAGGCGAAACACTCGTGCCAAACCGAGCTCGATCATGATTAATGCGCAAAGATAGGGAGTGTCCAGATGACTTGTTAGAGGCCAAGATTTTATTATGATAGTCCAGACGTAGTCGTCATTACAGATGATAGCCTTCAGTTTTCTGTGCCCATGTCGCGATCACGAATCGAGTTCGAAGTGTTGCTGTGAATATAATCAAACACCTCGAAGCAGTGAAATGATGCGATGAACACGAGGGAGCCATAAGCCGGAGACGGAACAGGTCTGGTCAAGTCTTGGCACGCGTCTTCTTGCTCGCTTGAAAGCTTTCGAGAATTCAAATGCTCTTTTTATCTTTTGCATAAACAACATTTTTGCTTTGCTTAAGATTCCTTACATACATCCTACGGAGATCTGTAACCCAGGAAAGACGCTAGAGATCTGACAAGTCATGGACGGTTTCTCTTTCCCACCACCGCCTCCGCCTCCACCAAAAGCAGCATCTTCAGCACAACCAGAGGCACTTACTGAATCTAACAACAGAGGGGGACGAGGCGGGAGCCGGGGACGTGGAGCGCGTGGGTCATTCAGAGGTCGAGGAGGCGCATCAAACCGTGGTGGTGGAGCAAACTACCAACATCAAAACACCAATAATTCCGGATACGGACAAAATGCTGGCAACTACCAATCAAATTATGGAAATCCACGGCAACAATATCCTCAACAGTATCATAATGGTCAACAACATCCTGTTCCGCAACAGTACCATGCTCCCCAGCAGTATCAAGCACCACCTGGATCCTATATCAATCCTGCATTCGGAAACGTGCAAGCTCAGGGATATCCTCAACCTCAAGTCCCTCAATACGGACACCTAAGTGGACTTGCTGCTGGACAGAGTAATCCGCCATCATACGGAAATCACGGCAATGCCATTACACCACCAGGAAAACGTACACGAGACCAAGCTTTCGGCAACTCAAACCGAGGCCATCCCATGAAGAAACCTTCCAATGGACCAAAAGCTCAGGCAGCGCCTTCAGTCCCCAGTTTTGGAGCCCCTCTCCTGCCGGCAAAACCTCCAGCACCATTTTCCTCAGGCGGCGGTTTGAAACCTCGACCTCAAACCAACCTCGGTCTCATTCCCTCAGCCCACGACCCACAAGACTCGGACCCAGAAGACGACGAAGACGAAGAAGAGGAAGTAGACGAAGAAGCCGCACTAAGCGCTCTTTCCAATGGCCCTCTAAGTTTTGAATTCAACGGCGAATTATCAACGCTGGGGTCCTCAGCAGATATAGCCGAATGGATAGAAGAGCGCAAGAAGCGATGGCCAAGTAAACGCAGAGTAGAAGAAAAAGAGCAAGAGGTGCAGTCGAGAATGCAAGAGCGCAGACGTATTGAGCAAGAAACTAAAGCTGCTATCGCTGTTGCATCAGGGGGTCAGTACCAACCTGTGGAGAGAAGAGATGTTCGTCATCAACGGGAGATGAGGGACCCTGCTGCTGAGAGACTAGCGAAAGAGGATGGAGACTCGATGATGCAGGACACGCAAGAGCAATCAGCCTCTGCAACACAACAACCCGATCAACCAACAGCAACAGACTCCACAGTCACTTTATTGAACGACGACCAACATCACTCGGATTCCGACAGCGATGCACCCCCTGAAGTCACCTCTTCGAAACCTTCCCAACCCGTCCAGATTCCTCCTCCCTCAACCGCACCCAACACTCACTCAAAATCGGCTCCCCCTGAAGCCAAACCCTGCATAAGTTTCGTCAATCAAGGCCGCTGCAAGTTCGGAAATAAATGCCGCTACAAGCACGATGCTGCTTCTGGAGGACAAGATAAAGGAAAGAGAAAGACATTGTTTCAACGAGTAAGTGACTCTCTAGCTGTCCAACAGTGTACTCGAAGACAGGAGTGTCATGCTAACGTGATGGGGTTTTTCAGCTTGTGGAGCAGGAAATGGATGAGGAAAATAAGCTCGCGTTGCAGGCAATCAAGTACCTAGGCGGTGTCGGATTCTTTTCCAAGCATGCTACTGCTTCTTGAAAGGCGCTACTGTCTCGTTAATCATTCTACCCGATGTCGTCGGGAATTTCCTACTTGGTGTCTTGCTCAGCTCCACCAGCAGTATTCAATGAGCATGACACAAATCACGCAAACTCGACCATCATGCCGCGTAGAACCGTTCACACTCTTTGAAGAATATTCCTGGGTGGGCGGTAAACAGTAACACCTGTCCGAATACAGCTCTAGCGATATACAATGTATACGTGTGTGTTGAACATAACAAAAATCATGCCTCTTCAGCCATAGCAGTGACTTTGACACTTCTGAGGCTCAGAAAGTCTGGGAACGGACAGCGATGACATCTTTTTGTTGACAGCCTCGGGAAAACTGCAGCTTCATAAAATGGTGGTGATTTGTAAACCGGCAACTCGGTTAACGCAGAGTCAAAGACACGTATGCTGGATCCATTGCGAGATCACGAGGTAGGTAGGACACATCCGACTCTTTTCACTTCAAAACACTCGAACATACCATACTTGAAAGCAGCAACACGTCAAAGACAAGACAACACAAATACCTTTCGATAGGACCAAAAGTCAACATCGTCCATCCAGAACCCAAATCACCACAAGATGACATCTTCAACCTCGGCGACAACAAAAACAACTTCAGACCACGAAACACCAGCCTTCCCCCTCGGCGCCAACAACCTCCAACACCTCCTAAATTACACCACCCACGCCTCAGGCCACGGCCTCGTTTCCCTGGTCTCGCTACCCCCAAACTCCCTCTTCGCACCCATAACCTCCTACACCCCTTGCTCCACCCCCCAATGGCACACCCTCCAAGTCTCCCGCACCTCGCACATCTCTTTGGACTCGGCATTCACCTATCTCAATCACTCTTGTGCGCCGTCGCTGGAGATCGATACGCAAAACATGCAAGTCAGGGTGAGCAGAGACAAAGAGTTGAAGGAGGGCGATGTGCTCAGTTTTTTCTATCCGAGTACGGAGTGGGAGATGGATAGAGGGTTTAGATGTCTTTGTGGGGAGGAGGGTTGTGTGGGTGAGGTCAAGGGGGCAAAGAACATGCAGAGGGAAGAGCTGCAGAGGTGGTTTGTCAATGGGTATATTTGGGAATTGAAGGAGGAGCAGGAGAAGGAAAAAGAAGGCTCGGCATGAACGGATATGCAGACACAAATGTTTGCCAATGATTCTTGGTAAGGAAAGGGAAGCGGATGTGATGGTGTGGCTACAAATGTCTATATCGTAAAATGCTATACCCCGAGAAACGCCATTGATCCTGTAAAAGAAACGAGACCATGGACTCCAAGTCGTGATAGAAAAAAGATGCGCAAGAACAGGACATTCTACAGCTGGATATCGTTGTTGAGCAAACGCACCTCCTCTCCAGGCTTGAACGCAGGCAATCCGATGTACGGGCATCCATCACACCTAAACGCATCTCCCAAAGCGCAGTTTCCACAACTGCCAACCTTGCCCTGCACGGTGAAGTCGACCTCAGCCAAATCATCAGTATCCAGTTTCATCGTCTTGAGCGCACTGTCGGCAGCTTCGCGCTTGGCCTTGTCCTCGGCATCGATCTTTTGCTTGAGTCCACATGTGCAATCCTTGCATGCGCGTCTTCTCTTGCCGTTGGGCTTGCAGGCTTCAGGGATGTTGATGGGGCGCTTGCGGTCTTCTTCGCTGAGTAGAGTGTTGGGGTCGATGGTGGAGCCCTTGAGCAATTCCTCCTTTGACGGCAGTTCCATGTCTTGATCCTCGTCGTAAAACTCGACGTCCAAGTCGTCGCCCATGTCGAAGCCGACGCCCGCTGGCGCTGAAGGAGCTGCAGGCTGAGGTGTGTCGATGATAGTCTTGTTGATGGCTTCGATATTGTTCAAGGGCACAGCTGCAGCATTGGCCTTCTTCTTCTTTCCAAAACTCAGAGTGACTGTTTGCGCGGCAGCCGCTGCGGGCTTGGACATGGCACCACTCGCATCCTGAACGAGGCCAGCAAGGATAGCCTCTGTCTGCTCCGACGAACCCGGTGTACCAAACTGACCATCCTGGCTCTTCAGCTTTCCGCCATCCTTGAGAGAGGGCACGAGTTTCTCGATGATTGCACGGTTGAGAGGCTCACGCGAGCCGTCGACATTGGTGAGTAGGAGGACAAGGTCGTATGTGGAAGCGGGAAGCGAAACGAGACCAAGGGCGAGACGGTCGAGCATTTGGATATCGGTGGCATTACGATCGTGAGCCTCGACAATGCTGTTGAGGGCATCCGGGTGTGAGGCGATAGAAGGTGGGGCAAGCAGAAGGGTTCGGTCTTGCGACTTTGTCGGCGGCGGGGCAAAGGAGAAGTCGGATGTGTTGTCAATGGTAATAGCGGGTGCCATTGTGAGAGATTTGATGTCTGTTTGAAGAGGAAGATTTGTATTGTATATGTCGAGCAAGTTTGCTTCGAGCGCCTCCAAGTGGATCGTTGGTGGGGTCGAAGGAATCTGCTGATCGGAGACGCGGATGTGAGTTTTTGGTCGGGTTGGTGTGTCTTTGAGCGTGTGAAGAGACGTGCGATGAGTGTAGATTTGTGTTGAGAGCAGAGTGACAGAGATATGGTAAGAGAGAGCGAACAACGAGAAGAATTGCGCAAAAGATGATTATCAATGTACAAGACCCCCGCCTATGACCAATTTCTGTTGCTGACCAACGACTTTCCGTGCAATCCTCGCCCGCCGCCGCAATCGGCCCACCCATCCACATCCTGTCTCGTCGTCCGCCAAGCGTCGCGTGTGCTATGTACGAATCTGGTCGTCTTGTCCTTCCTCTTCCAATACTTATTCAACATCAAACATGGGGTCATTTTGATAAAGCGAAAATCAATCGTGTACAATATACATAGAAACCTCCCGAAAAACTCCAGCCCGTCGTCTGGATATTATCAAGCATTTCATCCCATCAGTCATAACTGCTCCATCTGCCGTGTCATGATGTCTTATTTCACGATCTTGCAGATGAGGTCCTGCCCGTCGACAGAGTCTGACTCCTTGACGCTCAGCTCGCCGACCTTACCAGAGTGAGGTGCACTGATAACCATCTCCATCTTCATGGCACTCAGGATAGCGATCGGGTCACCCTTGCTGACCTCGGCACCCTCCTTAACTCTCAGCTCGACAACAACACCACTCATCGGTGCTCCGACCTGGCTGCTGTCACCAAGATCGGCCTTCTTGCGAGACTTGTTCTCGACTGCCGCATGTTGGTCGTCAACAGTCACTTGACGAACTTCACCGTTCATCTCGTAGAAGACTTCTCTCTGACCGGTCTGCTCCGAGAGTGGTCCAATGGCCAGGAGCTTGATAATGAGCACCTTACCCTTCTCAAGCTCAACGTGGAACTCCTCACCAATCTCGGGCTTGGCCAAGAAGTACTTGGTCGGCAGGACCGAAAGGTCTCCGAACTTCTGTGTCCACTTCTTGAAGTCCTCAAACACCTTGGGGTACATGACGTACGAGGCAACATCAGTCTCGGTGTAGCCGCCAAACTGCTCCTTGAGCTTGTTGCGGACCTCGTCGAAGTTGACGGGCTCGAGGTAGAGACCGGGTCTCTTGTCCATCTTTCTGCGCTCACGCAGAGCCTTGGTACGGAGAGGCTCGGGGAATCCACCGTAGGGCTGACCCATAAGACCCTCGAAGAACTCGAGAACTGATGAAGGGAAGTCGAGCTGTTCGGCCTTCTCGAGAACGTCGTTGTAGCTCAGCTGGTTGCTGACCATGAACTGAGCGAGATCACCGACAACCTTGGAGGTAGGAGTGACCTTGACGATATCGCCGAGGAGATCGTTGGCTTGCTCGTAAGCCTTCTTGGTCTGTGCCCATTGCTCACCAAGACCTTGCTGAGAGGCCTGGAAGATGAGGTTGGTGAGCTGACCGCCAGGAATCTCGTGCTCGTAGACCTCAGGGTCAGGGCCGGTAAGACCAGCCTCGAAAGGCGAGTAGAGAAGACGAAGCTGAGCCCAGTAGTGGTCGATCATTCTCAATTGGTGAGCGTTGAGACCAGGATCGTGCTCGCTGCCCTCAAGAGATGCAACAAGAGCACCGATGCTGGGCTGAGAGGTCATACCAGACATGCTGTCGGTAGCAGCATCGACGGCGTCAGCACCAGCCTGGGCACAAGCAACCATCGAGGCAACACCAGTACCAGCCGAGTCGTGAGTGTGCACGTGGATAGGTAGATCGGGGTACTTCTTTCTGATGGCACCAACGAGCATGGTGGCAGCCTTGGGCTTCAAGACACCAGCCATATCCTTGATACCAAGAACGTGAGCACCCATGTTGACGATCTTCTCAACAACACCCATGTAGTACTCGAGGTTGTACTTCTTGCTGGGGTTAAGCATGTCACCGGAGTAACAGACAGTTCCCTCAGCAACACCACCGGCCTTGAGGACGGCCTTGACACCAACCTCGAGCTGCTCGACGTCGTTCAAGGCATCGAAGACACGGAAAATGTCGACACCAGCCTTCTTTGCTTGCTCACAGAAGTGAGTGATGGCGTTGTCGGGAAGCGATGAGTAAGCAACACCGTTAGCACCACGGAGGAGCATCTGGAAGGGAATGTTGGGCACAAGCTTTCTCATCTTGCGAAGTCTGTCCCAAGGGTCTTCGTAGAGGAAGCGCATGGCGACATCGAAAGTGGCACCACCCCAGCACTCAAGAGCCCATGCATTGCTGAGAGCGTAGCTAGTTTCCTTGGCGATGTTGAGGAAGTCGACGGTACGGACTCTGGTAGCAAGAAGAGATTGGTGAGCGTCTCTCCATGTGGTGTCCATGATCAAGCAGCCCTTGTTGGCTCTGACAGCCTTGGCGAAGGCCTCCGGACCCTGCTCCACGATGATGCTTCTCCAGCCCTGCTTGCAAGGCTCCGAAACATCGAGAACGTTCTTCTGCTCGTCGTGGAGAGTTGGGATGGTGATGTCGCCCTTGAACTTAGGCTCACCGATCTGACCCTTGATCTGACTGCCGTTCACAGCGAGGTCACCAAGGTAGGCGAGAAGCTTCTGAGCACGGTTTTGACTGTTGACCAGGGCAAACAGCTCAGGTGTATCATCGATGAAAGTAGTCCAGCACTCGCCGGCAATGAAAGTAGGGTGAGTGAGAAGAGAGGCCAAGAAGGGAATGTTGGTCTTGACACCGCGAATTCTGAACTCGACCAAGGCGCGGAGCATCTTTCTGCGGACGATCTCGTAGGTGGAGCCTCTGCATGAGCACTTGACAAGCATGCTGTCGTAGTGAGGTGTGATGACGGCACCAGCAAATCCGTTACCTAGCAAACTGTTAGTTCTTGCGACCAAGCTAAAAAGTATTTTGTCCAATTACCTCCGTCCAGTCTAACACCGTTTCCACCAGCGGAACGGTAGACTTCAATTCTACCAGTATCGGGCTGGAAACCCTTGCTGGGATCTTCGGTAGTAATACGGCACTGGAAGGCGAAACCGCGGACTGAGATGCGGTCCTGGGTCAGACCCAATTGCTCAAGCGATGCACCTGCGGCGATCTGGATCTGAGCAGCAACAATGTCGATTCCAGTGATCTCCTCGGTGATGGTGTGCTCAACCTGGATTCTAGGGTTGATCTCGATGAAGTAGTGGCGGTTCTCCTGGTCAACCAAGAACTCGGCGGTACCAGCGTTGCGGTAGTTGACCGATTTGGCGAGAGCGACAGCATCGTTCAAGATGGCCTGGCGCGTCTCCTCGGGCAAGTCCTTTGCGGGAGCAAGCTCGACGACCTTTTGATGACGTCTTTGGACACTGCAGTCACGCTCGTACAGGTGGACGACGTTACCGTGGCTGTCACCCAGAAGCTGGACCTCAATGTGCTTGGGGCGGTACAAGAAGCGCTCGACGAAGACAGTACCGTTACCGAAGGCAGACTTGGCCTCGGATGTGGCACGCTCGAAGGCCTCCTTGAGCTCCTCCTGCTTCCAGACGACTCTCATACCACGACCACCACCACCAAAGGCAGCCTTGATGATGATGGGGAACCCGTGCTTGTCGGTGAAGCTCTTAACTTCTTCATATTTCTCGACAGGGCCGTCGGTACCGGGGACGACGGGGACCTTGCACTTGATGGCGAGCTCGCGAGCTGAGACCTTGTCGCCGAGGGCGTCAATGGTGTCGGGGGTAGGACCAACGAACTGCGCAGAGTCAGTACGGCTGTAGTACAAAGCTTCAGCATTGTCGTCAACTCACGATCATGCCAGCAGCTTCGACCTTGCGGGCAAAGTCGGCATTCTCACTCAAGAAACCGTAACCGGGATGAATGAGGTTGACATCGTGTGCCTTGGCAATCTTGACAATCTCGTCGGTTGCAAGGTAAGCAGCAACAGGTGTGTACTCTCCTCTCTTGCCAATGACATAGGCTTCGTCGGCCTTTTGTCTGTGCATAGACAGACGATCCTCGTGACTGTACACGGCTACCGTCTGTAGCGAGAGCTCGTGTGCGGTACGGAAGATACGGATGGGAATTTCACCACGGTTGGCAACTGGCCTGGTTGTCAGTAACTGTTGGGACAGACGGTCATGTTCCAGGAGATGGCATACCCAAGATCTTCTTGGCCTTCATGACCGACGAGTTGGCGCGCAGACGTGCGTGTACTGTGTTTTGAGTGTGTGTGTCGACACCATCCTCAATGGCCTCGTCGGTGGGGTTGGAGGCCTTCATCCTCTTGATAGCTTCAATGTCCGCCATGTCGGAAGTCGATGCCTCAGAGAGCTGCTATCTACTAGCAACTGCTGTCCAGAGGTCGGTGAAGAGGAATTGGAGTGGTTGAGGGGAGTTTGCGGTATGGAAGGAGTGGAGAAGAAGAAATGCTTGGGCAACAGACTTTGGAGTCACAGCTGTTGAGAAAGCGATGACGGAAAGAGCTAACTTGCTATCTCGGCCTCTGGCTGCTGGGAGCTTGGTGCTTGGTGCTGGTGCTTTTGGTTGATTGACCCCACCAATCGGAGAAGCTGAATCGCGAGATAAGGCCGGCCGCTCACTGCTTACTAGACGTGATTATGTGAACGCAAACCTGCTTTCGAGCCGCTCTCTAGATGTTGTTTTTCAGCGACGACCATGTCTATACCATCCAGGTAGATATATTGCATCCATGAAATCATCCTCGGGCTATCATTGACCCCGCCTGACGAACTCCTGGAGAAAATCGTCAGTGCATCGAGACTGACCCGAGTGCTTCTCGTCTTTTTTCGGAAAGAAACGGACTTGACAAGGGTCCAGCGCTCCTTCGGACTCAATTCTCCCAAGACAGCTTCTCTATCCACTGCCTTGGGTCTCCTCTCCGCTTGCTCTCCGCTTTGTATCTGTGTACCTGCTTCCCTCTGAGAAAGCTTGTCGTTGACAGACTCCTCATCCCCACCACCGATGTACTATAGTCGTTTATGTCTGCTTCGACATCCATGTCCGAAGCCGGGCAGCTTCAGGGCCCTTTGACCGGCTGTAATTATCAACTGCAATCGATTCAAAACAGCCACCTCACATCGTGCCTCAACAATGTCCTGACTACGGTCATAATTATCCCGGTGACCTTATCCATCGTCTGTGACTACAGAGCCTAGCCTCGGTCAACCACAAATTCCCTCGGTCATATGGAAACACGTTTGACCGTGCCTTTTGCTCTGTTTCCATCACAAATCGAAATTCGATGCGCAGGAAACACTGTCCGGGAAGGGCATGTGCGAACCTATTGTGAAGACTATCGTCTATGGACCGCGTGTCCAGAATCTGCAGTCTCTCTCAGAGTCTGCTAATCTGACAATGCCAGAATGTAACTGCTTGGATCATCTGATCTTGATCCAGGTAACAAAATGCCCGTGGAGGCAGATTATTCAAGCTGAAGACAGCACCCCACAGGTGGTCTAGTGCACGAACCAGCACGCACCGTCTCTTAGTGTTTCTAGTTGCACCAGACATCGTAGATGTGCCAGCAAAGTCTTGAAAGACAAAGGCAGAAGTTGACCAGGGTTGTCCTGCTTACAGTCTTCCGTATACCGATGACGTACCAGCGATCCAAGAGTTTTGCTCCTTGCACGAGTATCAATGGCTAAACTCTCCTCCGAGTGTTCCTTGCACCTGCACTGCTGGATCCCTGGGCATACTCAGAAAGCAATCACGGGTGCTGAGATGTAGTGAGTCTACGATACCAACGATAATCATCGATTGTCCGCTGGCTCTGATGCTACTCCGGACAAGCAGTGGCTAGTGGTTTTCTTTCTACGTTGATTGAGTCCGAGCTCTTATGCAAGGCCAGAGCAACTTGTGTCGATGGAATAATGGTCGGCTCCATTCTACACACCACCTTGGAATCCGCCGAGGATATATGAGTATCATAGACCTCGTAGTCGGAAAGGATGGCGACTCGCAAGCGTGTTATACAGCATCATCATTACCGTTGCGGCTTGCCGCGGATATAAAACAACTGCTTCTAGAAAAGCCGGATATTGATGCTAAAAATTTAAGGTTTTCCTGGTCGTCGCGCATCAGGGCCGCCGCCTTCCGAAAGTCGACATCACAGCCTCCTCAATTGGCTCTTTCGTGGACAACATCTTCCCGCAGGACGACTTGGAAATGGCTGCAAGTATGTCGCTAGGTGGACATGTTGCTGATATGCCAAGTATACCATCTTTGCAGTGCTGCTGTTTAGACGTGCGAATCACGATAGAGGTGAAGGACCGTTGCCTTATGACCACAACGCTACCAGTCACCAGGGTTCCGCGGTGAACCCGGATCGAAGCTTTATTCGACATACTATGTCATAGGGTGCCTCATGGTCAATTTTTGGCGAGTGCGGCGTTCGTCCCTTTATCATCCTCGTGGACCTTGGTGTACTTGGCTTGTACCTCACCGCTTAGCACTCGCAAAAAAACACAACTCGCAGAGAATTCCACCTCCAACCACAGCTTCGGCAAACCAGTAATGGCATCCTGTTTCTCTGGATCGGACAGGAAGCTTCAAAGGAACAACTCAAAGATTCAGGATGACGGCCGAGCCAATGTGTCTTTTGACGAAAAATTACAGACCAAACTTTTACGCAAATTCCACCATGAGGACAAGAAGGCAAAGAAGAACCCTGATGAGGCGGAGATGAAGGAGCCCAAAAGGGCAATCTTCCACTGGCGCACCCGAAAGGATGACTTTGTACCGGATCTCCAAGGATTCGAGGGCAAACCCCGTATGAACATTGCAATCCTCATCACAGGCAGCAGAGGAGATGTTCAACCATTCGTGGCTCTAGGAAACGTTCTGCAAAAGGCGCCGTACAACCACCGGGTGAGGATCTGTACACACCCCAACTTCAAGGACTTTGTCGAGGAGAACGGTCTCGAATTCTACTCGATTGGCGGCGACCCGGAGAAACTCATGTCGTACATGGTTCGCAACCCTGGTGTCATCCCAAGTTTCGAGTCCATGAAAGCTGGTGACGTTGGCGACCGCCGCGAAGAGATTGCAGAGATGTTGGAAGGATGCTGGCGAGCTTGTACCCAAGGAGGCAACGGAATGGACCCAATCAGACTTCCGCAGGTCAACAAGATCAGCACCGAGACCATCATGAAGTTGCCAGATCCTTTTGTGGCCGATGCCATCATCAGTAACCCTCCTGCGTATGCCAACATCCATATCGCCGAGAAGCTGGCTATACCTCTGCACATGATGTTCACCATGCCCTGGAGTCCTACTACCGCCTTCGCTCATCCTCTGGCCAACTTGGACACCAACAAGGGGGACAGAAAACTCGCAAACTATCTGTCGTACTACAGCATGGAGTTGCTTACATCAGAGGGCTTGATCGATCTGATCAACGACTTTAGAGAAAACACACTGGCATTGGATCCCCTGCATGCTGCGTGGGCTCATCAATTGCTGCCCCAATTGAAGGTGCCATTTACATACTGCTGGTCGCCTGCACTGATCCCCAAACCAGAAGATTGGGGATCGCATATCACCATCAGTGGCTTCTTCTTCATGGACCCCAAAAAAGACTTCGAGTTTGATGCCGATCTCAAAAAGTTCCTGGATGCTGGTGACCCGCCGGTATACATTGGCTTCGGCTCGATTGTTGTTGACGATCCGGAAGCGATGACCAAGATGATTTTGGATGCTGTCAAGCAGCTCGGGAGTAAGTGGATATTTTTTTGTTACTAAGGTGTGATCTAACAACTACCAATAGTCAGGGCTCTCGTGTCCAAGGGATGGGGTGGTATTGGAGGCGAAGATGTCCCCGACAACGTTTTTCTTCTCGGCAACGTCCCTCATGATCAGCTATTCCCTCATTGTTCGGCTGTAGTCCATCATGGTGGTGCCGGAACGAATGCCATCGGTATCTCCCTTGGATGTCCGACTGTCGTCGTTGTAAGTAAATCTCAATATCTCTATAGGAGCTCCGCTGACCTCGCACCACTACAGCCCTTCTTTGGCGACCAACCATGGTGGGGTGAGATGATCCACCGTGCCGGCGCAGGACCATCGCCCATTCCCTACAAAGAACTCGACGCCGACAAACTCGCCAACCAGATCCGAGAAGCCCTCAAGCCCGAAACCAAGGAACGCGCAAAAGAGCTCGCCGCAAAGATCAAGGAAGAAACCGGCGCAAAGACCGCCGCAAAGTTCTTCCACGAGACCAAGCAGATGCAAGATGTAGGCTGCTTCTTGTGCCCCGATCAAGTAGCCGTATACCGTTTACGGCGCACCAACATCAGACTCAGCGCTTTGGCAACAGCAATCCTGATTGATCACGGCAAACTGCATCCCCAACACCTCAAACTCATCAGAAGAAAACGCTGGTACGTAGAAAAAGGCGCCCAGGAACCTCTGATCGGCATCTACGGCGCCATCGAAACAACAGGCGTGGGCTACAAAAACTGCGTCAGCAGACTGGCCAAAGACTTGCACTCCAACAAAGCCTCCAACGCGCCCGCCAAAATCCTCGTTGGCGATGCAGAAGCCGCTGGAGAAGTCCCCGGTGCTTTGAAAGCACTCGGCAAATTCAGCGGCGCAGTAGGGATGAATACGTTGAGGTTACCCGTGGATTTGCTCTACAATCTCGCCAACGGCTTCCACAATGCTCCCTTCCATTTCTTTTCAGACGATACTGTGCGCGTGCGAGGAGAAATCAATGGAGTCATGTCGGGCACAAAAGTGGGCTTTCAAGAACTGGTGTTTGGGTTCTACGATGCCTTGACAGGCGTAGTCACCCAACCCATCCGCGGCTACAAAAAACACAGCAGCGAAGGTGTAGGCCCGGCAACCTGGGGTGCGACAAAGGGCTGCGGAAAAGGTCTCGTGGGCTTGGTGTCCAAATCCTCAGCTGCAGCTTTGGGAGTGCCTGGTTATGGCTTCAAAGGCCTCGAACGCTCCATCCGCACGGGTTGGAAAACACGAGATATCCCCAATGAAAACAGTTTGGTGCTGTTGGATGCACTGCAAGGACGTCACAGCGATGAGAGACAGCTTGGTAATGCGGCGCTGTCGATGGTGAGTGAGGCTCAAGGCAACAGTATCAGACACCAAATCAGAGGGAGAAGGGGTTGGCAGTGTTATATGGATTTGCAGCATTTGCGACAGAATCCTGACAAAGCTGCTGCGAAGGAAGAAGAGGTGTTGCAGGGGTGGGAGAGGTTGAAGGTGCCCAAGGAGTTTACGAGGATTGAGAATTAGGATATTGGTGGATGTGACAGAGACAGGAGGCGTTTTGTTTGGAAGTATGAGCGTTAGGGGTCTGTAGTAATAGTAATAATGCATAACGATGTACATGGCAACGACGCACGTTTCAGCTTCAAACATTCTTACGACTCACTAACGACAACGCTGTTGAAATGTACTGCTTTGATTTTTGGTCTGCTTTGGATAATGCTTGTCTGGTCTACTTGGTATACTCCTTTTGCAGTAGTTTGGCAATGGTGGTCAGCTGAATGTTGCTGGTACCCTCGTAGATGGCACCAATCTTGCTGTCTCTCCAGTACTTTTCCGCTAGACCCTCTCTCACGAAACCCATACCGCCCATCCACTCGATAGCCTGTCCAGACACCTTACCCGCAACTTGAGAGGCATAGAGTTTCGCCATGGCAGCATCCATGACAAAGTCCTCGCCAGCTTCCTTTTTGCGAGCGGCATTGTAGACCATGGCGCGCGCAGCACAGATTTCCGTCCACGCTTGAGCGAGCTGGTGTTGCATACCCTGGAACTCGCCGACGAGGGTGCCGAATTGCTTGCGGTCGTTCCAGACGTACGAGGCAGCGTTTGAAAAGGCGCCCATGGCCAGACCAGTCATTTGAGCAGCGATGCCGATTCTGCCTTCGTTCAAGATGCCAATGGCGTATTTGTAGCCGTCGCCCTCTTTGCCGAGCAAGTTGCCCTTGGGGATGTCGCAGTCGTCAAAGTTGACGACGCAGGTTGAGGAGGCTTTGATGCCGAGTTTCTTTTCCTTCTTTGCGATGCTGAAGCCGGGAGTGTCCTTGTCGACGATGAAGGCTGTGATACCCTTGTAGCCCTTGGAGGGATCGAGGTTGGCAAAGACGATGAAGAAGCCTGCTTCGAGCGAGTTTGTGATCCACATCTTGGAGCCGTTGATGCGGTAGCCGTCGGCTGTCTTTTCGGCGCGGGTCTTGAGGGCGAAGGCGTCGGAGCCAGAGACGGGTTCGGAGAGACAGAAGGAGCCTTTGTGGGATATGTCAGCTTGCTGGACACTTGTGGGAGTCTGTCAGTGCGAAAGACTGACCGACGGTGTTGGTGGCCAATTGGGGCAACCACTTGCGCTTGCTCTCGTTGGTGCCGTACTTGAGCACAGTCGTGTTGACCAGAGTATTGTGCACATCAACCATGACACTGACACTAGGGTCAACCCTAGCCAGCTCCTCGATACCAACAATAGCAGCGGTAAAGTTCATGCCGGCACCACCAAATTCCTCTGGGATTTCAATGCCCATGAGGCCCTGCTCGAAACACTGCTCAATGATATCCTGGTCCATCTTTTCGTTCTCGTCCATGCTTCTGACTTTGGGTAGGATGACATCGTTGGCGAATCTGGCGACCGACTCTTGCATCATGGATTCGGTCTCGGACATGTGGGAAAGAGGGGTGGGGATTGCGCCTGTGAGATCGTGGGGTTCGCCGGTTGTTGTTTGTCTCATCGACTGCGAGGACGAGAGACTTCGCCAACTGGTTGTGGGTCAGTGTCTGTCAAGACTGATGTTACCGAATACAAACATACCATGATCTCGAGACTACTCGCTGGCGAAGCGGTGACTGGAGGGATGATGGCCGGAGGAAGGGGCGAACACTTCTTGCTACTGAAGCCATGTTTGTGGTGTTGAGATGTATGTGAGTGAATGTCTAGAAGGAGAAGATATTCAGGAGATCAAAAAGATATTGTCTTGGTGATCACGGTAGAAATGCAGGGAGCAATGGAAAGCCGAAGCCGCCGAATCACATGCGGAGAGGCGGACCGAGGCCCAAGGACGACATTCTGGGGTCTCCTCCGACTCTCCGCGCATGACGCCCTATCGCTTTCGGTGCGACCAGAGTCTAGTTCCCGATATTCCTTATCTTATCGAGTCAGCTTGTCACTCTATTATGCTCTTGACACGCACTGCGAGTCTCGTCGAATCTGGATCGATGTATTCCGAGGTTGAAAGGGCTCTTTGAAGCCTTCATTGACTTCTGGTACACTGTCTGCCAACATCAAAGGCAAGAAAGGAACTGACTACAAGTTCCTTCCAGCCGCCCATCAACATGACCACCAAGGCCTCCCTCAATTCGGCCTAAACTTGTTCCTCTTCATCTTCATAGCCTCCACCTTCTTCCTATCCTCCTCAAAGCCCTTGAGCAACTCATTGGCCTTCTCCTTGCGCTTCTCGCGCATCTGGAACCTGTAAAAGTCTTCCTTGCCCTTCTGCTTCTCCTTTTGCAATTCTGCTTTTTCTTGCGCTTCTTCTTGACGAGCGGGTCCCATGCGTCCTCCGCGTGTGACGGTGACGAAACCATCTTCGTCGGGTTCTGCGCGTTGGCGTGCGAGTGCCCGCGCGCGCGACGCTTCTTGGTCGGCAAAGGCTGTCATGTAGGCGTCTACTGATGCTTGGAGCACACTTGTACGAGGAAAGCGGAGGGCGTGGTGGTTTAGGTATCCTGTAGCGATTCGTCAGTTCATGCAATCCTGGTGCAAAAGGGAAGAAAGATTCAAACTCACTCGCAGCACCCAATGCAGGCACCTTGTCCCCAACCTCGTTGCCCCAAACAATCTCCTTAGCAGCCTTGACCGCCTTCTTCACCTCTTTGAGTCCCAGTTCCGCAGCCGCAGCATCCACAAACACAACCACACATGTATTTCCACTCCTGCCCACGCTCCTATCCCACATCTCTGGCAACTCGACCGCTTTAGCCTCTCCTCCATCTCCACCTCTCTTTCTCTTCTTCCCACTCTTGCTCGTCACCGGCGCTGTGACTTTTTTGCCCGTCCTCGCGCCTTCAAACTCTACTCTTTCCACTCTTGCGCCGCCGCCGTGGCTGGCGAAAAGAGCGCGTAGGTGCGCTTCCGTGGTATCGATGGGGAGATTGACGACGAAGAGCTCGCGCGGTGTGTTCTCGGTGGGGATCTTTGGGGCGTTGGGTCGTAGGTAGAGGTAATGTTTTGTCGCAACGGGGAAAGAGGAGGTGGGCGGGATGGACAGAGGTAGCACGGTGTAGTCGTTGACGCTCGCCGGCACGCGGCTGCTCGGTGTTTGTACGGGCGCCATTGTTGTTGTGTGGTTTTTTGTGCTTAACAAATTGTGGTTTTGCGACTTGGGTTGGATGATATTTTCTTGGAAGCTTCGGACCGGAGGACCTAACGCCGAACAGTCACCCTGGCGTTATTCACATGAGACAACCGAATGACCAGACTAATGTTAAAAGACCAAAAAGAAACGAGGTTTATCGCTATGCTATATTATATCTTCCCTCTGCGCATTCCAAAAATATGGCCAGCCAGATAGAATCTCTTTCTGCCATCATCTCTCCTCTCCGTCTCCGCTGCATGCTCTTCTATCCATCTTTCTCTCTTCTTTTTCTCTTTGCTCTAACTTTTCTTCCTCATGCCTTCCGCTGCGCGATAGCCTTGATCTGGCTGCGGATGTCGCTCGTTGGTATTAGGAGAGAAGAAAGAAATGGTGAACATTGTGGTCGGGATCTCGTGATAAAACTTTTCGCAGGTCGTCGGTAGGTCGTGAGAGCACATGGGCTCCAAGAAGATGATGATAAAAAGAAGACGGTCAAGGCCGAAATGTCGTGTGAATATCGAAAAGCCGCTTGCGAGCACGCTTGAACCAAAGATGGTCAACTAGAAAGAAAAGAATAAAATGCTTGCAATGGACAAGCCTCAAGCAAAAGGATCAGCCCTGCCGGCACCATGTCGAAAGGTCCTCATGAAGCATGGTAAGGCTTCTGCATGATTAATTAAGCAGAGACAGAAGCAGGAATGATGGTAGTAGCGGCATTGACGGGAGCAAGGACGGCAATATTAGCATCAGTGGCGGGAGCAGGTGCAGACTCGCTGTTGGCCTCGTTCTGGCCCTGGTTGCATTCGCGGGAAATATGACCGGTCTCACCACAACGGTAGCAAGTCTTGCCAGCAGTGTTGAGAGGACCTCCATTGGGAGCAGTGCACTCGCGAGAGATATGACCGAGCTTACCACATGCGTAACACTTCATGGCTTGGGCCTGACAGTCGCGAGCGAAATGATTAGGTCCGCCGCATTTGTAGCAAGTAGCAGGACGAGGGCCACCAGCGAAACCACCGCGGAAGCCACCACGAGGACCAGGGGCACCACGACCAAGACCAGGAGCGACACCAGGAGTAGGGCAAGTGCGCTGCAAAAGATCATAGTCAGCCAAGATGCATGAGAGGTTTCAACGGAGGAGGCACATACAGCAAGGTGGCCAGGCAGGCCGCATGAGTAGCAGCGTCCGTTAGCACCGCCGTTCAGACGGAGAGTAGGGCAGTCAGCCTGGACGTGACCAAGGCCCTGGCAGTGGTAGCATTGCTTAGCTATGGGTACAGGTCAGCACATAGGTCCGGATGGCAAGCAAGTTGGCGCGATGCACGACATACCCTCGGTGGTGCGAGGAAGAGGGCAGTTGTTGGACTCATGACCTGTTTAGAAAATGAGTATTGCAAAACAGGTTTTGGGTACGGGAGTGGGTACCGGGTTGCTTGCAGTTGTAACACAAACGCTCAGAAGAGGAGCAGACCTCGGCGTAGTGGCCAACATTACCACACTTGTAGCAGGCGCGACGTGAGAGAGAGGACATGTTGATTGTTGTACTGGGAGACCGGGAGTCAGATACAGTTGGCAGGATTGTCTAGTCTTGAACGCGTGTTGTGGTATTGGGTTTGGCGAATTCGTCCTCTTCATATAGCAAGTCGCTGAGCAAACCGCCGAACAGACTGATCAGGTGTTCGTCGAACCGATCGTCAAGCGAATCATGCTTCCAGAATCCACGAGAGTGTCGTGATAGTCAGGCTCGACAACAAGTGACTGGCTGAGTCATTGCGGTCGAGCCTGACATGGCAATGGTGTCGACGAGGGACTCGAGAGCAACGGACGGTGGTGGGAAAGATGGGTGAGTGCATGTGGGACACGACCAGCGAGACGACTGACCTGATAATGCGCGAGGTTGCTTGACCTGCTACAACGTCAGCGTCTACAGCTCCCAAGTGTTTGGTTCTTGTTGTGGGTTTGTCTTACACTGTTGCTAACGAATTACTCCTCCTTCACTTCTGCTGCGCTTCCAATGCTCCAGCGAGTTGACGTACGATCGAACAAGACACAAGCAATGCGACAGTGAGGTGGGTTTGGTAAGCGAAGGTTGGGCGGTTGCGACTGCGATTGCGGCGCGACAGAGGCTCGAAAAGAAGGAAACGCCGACGGGAGAGACCCACCCGGCTCCAGCTGCATCCATCTCACACCCGTTCACCGACCTGCATCCTCCGGCCTGCATACCAATCCTTTGTCAAGAACCTCAGCTAGCTTCAAACGCCCGACGAGACGGACAGCTACTGTCTACAAGCAGTCAGTATCGAGCAAGAAGCTCTGACAACGGTACCTAGGCTTCATGCTTCAGCTGCACCGTTGACAGCTTCAGGCAGGTAGCTCGCCTGTACCGAACCTGAACCGTGCACACTGGCTAGTTAGTTAGACGCCTGGTGGCTGGAAGGCTTGTTGCATCTTCATTATACGGTATTCTGCTGTTGAAATCTTGTTACTCAAATTTCTTGATGGCTTTGCCATTCGTCTTCGTGGCCTCCACATTTCCAATTGCCACATTGCGCCTTCATGCATGCTCTGACCGATTTACTGCTTCTCCTGCTCAATCACTGCAGGTGCCTTGATCGTGCGTTCGCTCAGGAACTCGAGGCCTTCACCACCCTGTTTCTTCGTATTAGCATTGAGTTATGGACGTGGTGGTGAAGTAAACTTACGTAGCTGATTTTGGGCGAGATCTCCACACCAGCGTTGTCGTCTTCGCTTGTCACAGTAGCACCGACAGCCTCGAGCCATCTGGTACCTTGACGGAAAATGTCACGCTTGCTGGTGTCGGGGTCATCCTCACCGGTGCCTCTAGCGTTCTTGAGAGGTGAAAATTCGTCCTCTCTTCTGACCTCCTGGCAGGCGAATTTGTCCATAGACAGGAATGGGAAGCAATCAAAGACAAACTGCTCGAGCTTGATACCGTTGGGCTTCTCGGGCTTGACCGTCTCACCCTTCTCGGTGTCGACGTAGGGAATCTTCTTTCTGGCAATGTGGTGGGGAAGCTTGTCTGACCACTCGGGAATGCTCTCAAGGAAGCCGAACGAATAGTAGTGGTTGACAATGTTGGCGGCACGGAATTTAAGCAGACTCGAGTCCTTGGAGTCCTTTGCTTCGGAAGTCTCCTTGTCGATCTCTGAGTACTCGACCACGTCAGGCTTGCCATTCTTTGACAGGATGAGGCCAACAGACTCTTTGGCATCACGCTTGCGGACGACCTTGGTGGCAATATCGACATTCTTGGAGGCCGCAAAGCCAATAAAGGTAGGGTCGGCGACTCTGACAAGGCAGTTGTCAACACAGTATGCGTGGATGTGCTTGATGCCTCTCTTGGACATGTCTTGAACGACGCCTGACTTGACCAGGGCGTTGTAGAGACCACCATTACCATCGGGTGCAACAGCAACCTTGGACTTTGATTCCAGCAAGATCTTGCCGTCGTTTGAGATGCAAGGAAGAGTGCCCTGCTCGAAGAAGATGACGTTGTTTCTGTTCAGACCAAAGTATGCGTGCTTCTCAAAGAACTCCTCGGTAGGCTTGCGGGTAGGACCGCTGGTCATGATGTACCATGGCACGACAACCTCTTCTTTGCTGTGCTCGTGTTGGGCCAGATGTTGGATCTTCCAGATCCTTTCTGCTTGAAGCTGGAAAAGAGACTTTTGGCTAGGAAGGCCGATATCATAACATCCCTTGGGGGCAGAGCTGCCTAGACGGGTGCCCTGTCCACCAGCCATGAGAACCACGGCGACCTGGTTCTCAGCAATGAACTTCAGACCTTCTGTGTACCATTTGTTGAGGTCCTCGGGCTTCGAGTCGTAGATGGAGGAAGTGGCGGATTCAGGAAGCTGCTCGAGCTTGGGTGCAGCGTCTTCGGACTCGGTCTTGGGAGGGTTCAAGGCGCGGTGGGTGATTTCGTTGACGTATTCGGGATTCACATCTACGAGTTGTTCGTAAAGCATGCCCTTCTCGGCGGCGTTGATGTCATTCCAGAAGGCAAAGACCTGCTCCTGGCCGGCCTTTGTGAACTTGTCTAGGAGCTTCTGGAAATCCTCCTGGCTAGGCTCATCAGGGGCGGGGATGTTTTGGGTCAGATGGAGCTTCTCCAAGACGTTGTTGATCATGGCGGCAGCCATGTTGTGTGTGACGTGTAGAGCGGTGTAGCGGGGTAGATAGATTGGTGCAAGTCAGTCGGGAGTACGAGAGTCCTTGTTGACCGTATAGATTGAAGGTGAAGTGTGATGGGACAAAGATGCAAGGGTATGAGAGGGGCTGGACGGCACGAAACGCTTCTGGACACTTTCTTTTGTAACAAACGCCTGATACGCATCAACAATCACCATCGACTGGAGAAGCATCCAAGCTTCGACCCCCCACTTGCGTCACTCTATTTTTGGCTTCTCGTCCTCTCCTGCAATTTTGCTTCCTCTCTCCCACTGTCACCTCGTGTTGACCAATGCTCGGCATCTATTGAGGAGAGAGCTGTACGGGAGACGAGTATTCTATTTGGACATTGGGTCTGTCGCATACTACCACAATCCTCAAGCAAGCTCATCCCCAGCTCAAACTCAATCGTTGATTGGTTCCAAGCATACCTAAACGGCAAACATTTAGTGTCTGAAACGCTACTTCATTTTATCTTCCATCTTGCATGACTCCAAACTCCATTATTTCTTACAACCTGTGAGCATGTACGATCGTGATCAAACAAGCGACCGGTATAGAGAATCCCTGAATTCGCGACCATCAGCGGTCGTTCGACTTTTCCAAAGCATTGTCAACTCTGTGGATGCCCAACATGACATTTCAGCAGCCTTGCAGAGCCAGTAAACAAGACCAGCTTCAGTTCACTGCAGTACAAGGCTCTCGCCGTTTCCAACATCCACCCAATTGACCCCCTCAAATGAACCAATGACCTCGTCGCTGGCCGTGTCCTCGCTCGAAGAACCCTTCCTGCGTTTCTTCTCGGCTTCTACAGCATCTTTCACACTGATCTTCTTCCTCTTGAGTAACCAGCCCACGATTCCTGTGCCTTCCTTGTCTTCATCGTGTGTGGCAATCCAGTAGCTGGCCTTGAGTTTCCGCTGTGCCTTCAGTCCGTTGTGTGCTCCCAAGTTCAGCTGCTGTGCTGCTCCTAGTGTAATATCTTCAAGGCCGTGCAAGAAAGCGAGTGTCTTTATGGGAGGATTGGCCTTGGTCACAAGGTCCAGACCCTCACTGTCACTGTGGATCCCATGTGGTGTGTAGATGATGGCTTCTGCTGTTTCGTCCTCCTCTTCTGGCTCAATGTATTGATGCGAGCTGCTCCTTCTAGAAGCCTGACCGCTCTGCTGATTGTTGAAGGTGATCATGAGTGCTGAGTGAAAGTATAGCATGTCGCTGCTCGTTACAAGTCGTGAAATGCCGAGCCATTCTGGCAAAGGAGGTACTGATGTCGCGTGCCAGTCGGGGTCCTCGGAAAAGTGCGGGATCTTCTGAATGACGCGGAAGTGCTTCCACGACTCGATCAGTGGAATGGCTTTCTAACATGTCTATGAGCGTGAGCCTTAGGACCTGTTATATCGTTCTGCTTACCTCTGTCGCAAAAACAGGCACGTTCGGATGCACAGTTCGCATTGTTTGCTCGTGACAGTGGTCGGTGAACTGATGGCTGACAGCGACAGCATCTATAAATGTCTCAACCTCGTCAAAGTCTTGGGTATCTTGTGCATTGCTCTTTCTGCCCTTTCCAAGGCGTAGACCACTTGCCAGACTCTCGGTCTCGCGGATGAGGTCTTCTACAGCTGCAATGCTAGGCACTCGAGGTTCAGCGGCGTGCCACTGCTTACTCAACCAACTGGTGTAGTCGGTTTGTGTTCCAGAGAGCCAGGGGTCGATGAGGATGTTGAAGTAGACACGACCCCCACGCTTGGTTGCAGCGACCGGGCGAGGAATCATCAGTAGCCATGCTGTGTCGGCACTCAGGTGATGGAGGACTGGACGACGCATGGCAAGAGCATCACTTACTGCATCCTGTAAGTTCTGATGCAGTTGTGCGCCCGGACTGTTCATATTGTTTTCTTCAACATGTTGACGTGCTGCTTTTGCTTTCTTTTGCCTGGCGATGACATGGACATGTTTATCTCGGCCGCTCCCGAACCGTGGGGAAGCATTTCACACCGCTGTTGGTAACACAGCCTCTGCTTCCTATAGCCACCATATCGAGTGCTTTACTTGTCGCGACACAGAGTTGATAATTCTCTATCGTCAGAGCGATATAACTTTCCAGAATAACTTGTCCTCGCGGCCTCAGAAAGTGATTCAAGCGACGCAGAGACCACGCCGACCGAGTCAGGGAACGCAGCTAACGTTGCCAACGCATCTTTCCATCATCGTCATCCTTCCAACTTCCTTGGCCCAGGACGGACACTGCCTGCTACGTGACCTCTGAAACCACTTGAACAGCCTCGCTCTGCGCCCACTTCTAAGCCACAATCCTAGAATATTACCAACTCTTGATCTCACTGCCACTTGGCCTGCCTAGCATCTATCTTGCATTTCCACTGGAATCTTCAAGTTCATCATGACCAAGGAACGTTATAACCCTCCCCCAGGACCCCCACCTGGTTGGAGCAAGAAGCAAGAAGCAGCATCAGAATCATCGTATGCACCTCCTCCTGGTCCACCACCTGGCTACCAAAGGCACGATGAAAAGGCTAGCATGAGTGAACAATACGCGCCCCCTCCAGGGCCTCCTCCAAATCATTACAATGAAGACCCCTTGGACCAAACCGCTCCGCCGGATTACGCCCCATGGCTGTCAGTACCGGACACAAGCTTACTGCCACCTGCTCCTGCCGTGACTCACGATACCTCTCCGACTGCCAATGCAACTGAATTTTCGGCTGAGCAGGCAAAGCAGTGGTGTAGCCGTAATCCTCTGTATTCAGCAGGTCAGATTCCTGCCTCGGTTCATGAGGACTTCCGCCTTCATGGTTTCACCTTCAGCCAGCCGTCACCACACTTCACAGGTGAGCTGAAGAGAGCAATGCGTCAACACAATAGCTGGTCGGTCCGCACACGTAGGAACTGCCAAGACTGTATCCTCACCACGTCGGCTCCGCTCTACTCGGCGGCTCTCAACGACCCTTTGAGAAACAATGGAAGGCCTTTCACCATCTACTTTGAGGTCCGTGTTACACGTATGGGATCTGATTCGGGGGACGAAGGTGACGCCGGAATCGCTATTGGATTCGTTGCACCTCCTTACCCGACATTCCGCCTTCCTGGGTGGGAAAGAGCTAGCCTTGGAGTGCACGGCGATGATGGGCGTCGTTACATTGATGATGACGGTGGTGGTCAAGACTTTACCACGTACTTCAAGAACGGAGAGACTGTTGGAATCGGTATGCATATCAGACCGGCGCAGTTCCCTGGTCGAAGAAGGGACGTCGAGGTCTTCTTCACAAGAGAAGGGCAGAAGGAAGGAGGATGGAACATGTACGAGGAGCGAGATGGAGATGACTGTGGCAGCATCGTTGGACTCGAGGGAGACCACGACCTGATGGCAGCAGTGGGCATGTTCGGACAGGTTGATTTTGAGGTCAGATTCAGGCGCGAGGAGTGGCTGTACCGCGCGTAGACAGAATTCACAAAGCTATCATGTATCCTATGACTCTTGATGATGCTACCAATATGGTGGTGTGAAAGGAAGAGCGATGACGAGGTTCGGGGATTAGACGGGGCTAGCGCAGGGTCGAATGCGGGATGGGCGGCGGAGCAATCAAGAGCAGTCGGCGTGTCCAGCTGGCACTTGATTGCAATCCACGACATGGACATTGACTCGTCGCATATCGCACCATGAGGACAGGATCGTGGCGAGTCGTCTCGCTCCTCTTACTATGCCTCGTGCTGGCCTTTGTCAACTGCCAGGAACCCGTCCCGAATCAACAAGACGGCTCCCATCATGACACGACGCCGTACATCGCTAATCAACAAGACCATGCCACAACACATGACAAGCCGCCACACGAGCAGAGTCCCGCCGTCAAGGATGCTCTCGCCTCTCTTCGCAAGATCCGTCCACCAACTAGTCGCCTGGCACGCCTCAGCAAGCCTTCTGGACTCGTCGCCAAGACTATCTACTATGCCAAAAACTTGTTTGTCCTTCTCTTCATGAACCAACCCGACCAGAGAGACCTTCTTGTCACCCACACCACTGCGCAACCTCTCGCTCCTGCACTTTCTCGCGCTGTCACCCTACTTCAAGATGCCGCCGCCGAGCAAGACCCGGACGCTTTGTGGCTGTTGGCCGACATGAACTTCTACGGCAACTTCACCCACCCGAGAAACTACTCGCGCGCCTTCGAATACTACCAGACTCTAGCCTACATGAACGGCAACAGTTCTGCTCAATATATGCTGGGCTTCATGTACGCCACCGGTATTGGAAACGCCGTCCCGCAAAACCAGGCTCGAGCCCTTCTATACCATACTTTCGCTGCCGAGCAGGGCGACATTCGCTCTCAGATGACCCTCGCTTATCGTCATCATTCTGGAATCGCCACTCCGAGAAACTGTGAAGAGGCGGTACATTGGTATAGGCTGGTCGCAAAGCAGGCCGTGGAGTTCTACAAGTCCGGTCCTCCTGGTGGCCACTCGCTGGTCAAGAACGCTTTCCGCTTGGTCGATGAAGAAGGTGGCATTTACGGCGAAGGCGCCAGTGTCAGCAGTTCTGGTGTCAATGCAAAGACTGGAGGTCCTACATCAGACGCCTACGCTGATCTGGATGACGTCCTCGAGTTCCTCGACTTCCAATCAAGAAAGGGCGATCTCAAGGCTACCTTCCACCTTGGGAGACTGTATTACGATGGCTCGCGAGGATTGGCTCGCAACTTCCCCGAAGCAAAGGATCACTTCATGCAGGTCGCTAGACTCTATTGGACTCCCTCTGGCAAAGTCAAGTCCGACGTTTCGTCCGCCGTCGAAAAACTCGCCCCGAAAGCTGCTGGTTATCTGGGAAGAATTTTCTTACGCGGCGAAGGCACTGAGAAGAGCTATAGCAAGGCTAAGATCTGGTTCTCTCGCGGCATTGAACATGGTGACGCCCTCTCCCAGTACTCCATGGGAGTCATGTACATGGAAGGACTGGGCGTTCCCAAGAATCCTGTCAAGGCCGCCGAATACTTCTCTCCAGCTGCCGATCAGGACCTTGCAGTGGCGCAAACAAACTTGGGCATCTTGTTCATGGATCAAGGTGACGTCCACACTGCCAGAAGTTACTTCGAGCTGGCTGCTCGCAACAGCCACATCGAGGCCTTCTATTACTTGGCTGAGCTGAGCAATCAAGGCGTCGGTCGTGATCGCTCTTGCGGCATGGCTTCTGTCTACTACAAGATTGCTTCCGAGAAAGCAGAGGTTATCCATTCTTCGTTCATAGAGGCCAACGAAGCCTACGAGCGTGGTGATCTCGAAACTGCCATCATCGCATACATGATGGCCGCTGAGCAAGGCTACGAGATTGCACAAGCCAACGTTGGATATCTGCTCGATCACACTCGCCCACGCTACTCACTTCCTTCGATCTTCCCTTTCCTTCGCCGCCGCATCGATGCAGCTGGCGATGCAGCCCTGGCTCTCATCTACTGGACTCGCTCAGCCAAACAATCCAACACCGACTCGCTTGTCAAGATGGGTGACTACTACCTCGACGGCGTTGGTGCTGCGTCATCCCCTGAAAATGCAGCTGTGTGCTATCAAGCCGCTGCCGAGGGCATGTTGAGCGAAGGAATGGCGAGCGCCCAAGCCATGTGGAATCTTGGCTGGATGCACGAGAATGGCATTGGCATCGAGCAAGACTTCCATCTCGCCAAACGGTTCTACGACCAAGCACTCGGTACAAACGCAGAAGCATACCTGCCAGCCAAGTTGAGTCTTGCAAAGTTGAGGCTGCGTAGTTGGTGGAACGGTGTCAGTGGAGGTAGTGTCAATTCTATCAGAGACGAGCCTTGTAAGTAATACCTTGGGCCACGTCATCTCATCATAACTAACAAACTATCAACCACAGCCCAGAAACCGAGCCGCACACTAAGTCAATGGCTCAACGACTTCCTCGAAGCCGACGCTGCATACTACGCCGATCACTTTGAAGCAGACGACTGGGACGACGCACACCACCACATGCCCGGCGGCGATGACTTCTACGACGACGGCACTGAAATCGACGACGGTCTCATCGAGATGTTTATGATTGTGGGCTTGGCTGCTTTACTCGCTTTCTTGGTCTACTATCGCCAGCAGAGACAGAGGGAAGCCAGACTGAGGGCTGAGCAGCAAGGTCAACAGGGAGCAGCGCCACCACCACAGCAGGATCAAGGGTTCTTCCCTCCACCGGGAGAGCCCGAATTTGCTAATTGGGTTGCTGGAGGTGTGGGTCATTAGTGCACCTGCCTTTGACCAAAGTATTTTTGGATGAAAAGTCCAATCATTTTGCATAAAGTTGAAGTCGAATGTCGTTAGCGTAGATCAGTCTTATTCGAGACAATCGAGCATTTTCTCTTTTCACCAGATTCTTGCCGTGCGAACAAGCTACTCGAGGTTATTGTCGCCTCACTCTCTATGCTAGCTCTCAAGAGGGGACACCAAAAAAAACAAGAGGTCAAGCTGTTCTGTGTAAGAAATTGGGTCATTGTTCGTCATGGATTACTAGTGTCTGATAATGAAGACGAAGCCAATCCGTCAAGCTGCTGCTTTCTCTTGACATCTTCAAAGTCCTTGACATGCTCGTAGCCCTCGGGCAGTGCCTCAGAGCGAGTGCGGGAAGACACATAACACTTGTGACAGAGATAGTCATCACTCTTCTTGTCCGAATCCTCACGCTCTCCAGCATCATTGCCAACAACACCAGTCGCGTCTCTCTTCCTGTGCTACCAGAGCTTAGCGCCACCACTCCTCGTCCACTCGCAACCGTGACAGTAACGCTCGACTCTGGATCCGTGCCATGCCGGAACGTGAGTTTTCCAGCGCATGCTTTCACGAAAACCATTCGTGAGTCTTGACCCGTCTTCTCAAAATTGAAGTAGAGGCGCACATGGGCATCGTTTTTTCCTGCCGGCATAGTTAACCCGTGCTCTTGCCCGTCGTCTGGCTTGGTAGTCAGGGTCGTTGTGGTAGCGGGTTTTGTGGTACTCGGTCTGATATTTGTAGGCGGCTTTGCGCGCGTCTTCGTCTGGGTATTGGGGTTTGCTTGCTAGTGTTGCGGTGGTGCCAAAGGATCTCAGGAGCCCATTTTGTGGTGATTTTGGTAGTTTGAGCATGGCAAGTCGTGTTGTGATTTCGCGTATCATCGATTGTAACATGTCTTTTCTTTTCCTCCTGCTGACGTCCCAGCTTCAGATGCCAGCTCTGGATCCGAACGTGATGGAATTTATTTCCAAGGTATGGATATGTTTATATTCTTTGGAAGCAAGAGATGTGTTTGGATAGGAGTTCAATCGCGATGGTATACAGAGTGAGCAAAAATAATATGGGGTCGGATCTGTATAGACGCCGCCGCCGCTCACCACAGCGCACGATCGTCTTTTACACAGAGAAGCCTGACCTCTTTCTCTATTCCAAACAGAATGGAAGAAGAGGAAATGCTTCTCGTCAAATATCGGTCACTGTGAAGATCAGAACCTCAGAGGCAGCACACGCGAAAGCTGGCCATGGAATATTGGATGTGAATGTCGAAATACGGAGGGCACAGCCCAAGTCGAGCAAAACTGGCAAATGTTAACGTGGTAGGGCACGACAGCTCCTTCCAGCGCATCTGGTACCGAAATTAGTCACCTGACATCTTGAGCACGAGTATTTGATCACTTGAACATGTCATCATCGAAGGTGGTAGTGTTGTGGTAGCTGGACAGTATATAAGCAGGGTCGTATCGCTAACATACCGGGGAGAAGAATAAAGAATAAAGAATAAAGAATAAAGAATAAAGAATAAAGAATAAAGAATAAAGAATAAAGAATAAAAGCCTTGAGCTATGTTTAGCACGTCTCCAATCAAACAGACCAAAAATGTCCCAGCAACGACAACAAAAAACTCATTATTAACTGGTTTGCCGTATTCCCTTCCCGTCTCTTTGGCAAGCACCCAATGAGACCTTTGTTGGGCAGGCAATATAATATTCCCAAGGCCCAAGGTTTTCTTCTGTCTTTGCGGATGATCGCTTGCCGTGTTTGACATTCCTCGCAGTTAATCTAATTGTCGGTTGGTATCTTGTTAGTGAGAGAAAGGGCTAGCGCTGTGTACGTATCTTTTTCCTTGTGTGTTGCCTTTCGCGCTCCCCTCGTATCTCGTTCCCGATGTGTCGGAAGCGAGTGACTGAAAAACAATGTATCTCGGTACAGCCAAGGAAGATTATTGCATCGTCGAATATCGCATATCTTGATCAGCCTGAAAAAGTGTGGATCTAGCATTCGATGACCAGGCAAAGTCGAACACGGCAGTTTGAAAAGTGGTTTTCAAATGAAGAGCACAATGGCCCACGGCCACCAAGACTTTTGATTAACATACGCGAAGTGCACACCCGACGAGTCGGGAAGCCATATTGGCCGGACAGATGGTTCGTCATGGATAAATCTCGTCAAAAATTGGTGACAGATGGACCGAGTTGCATACTACAGATCATAAATCTTCGTTACCAACCAGTCGGTCGTTGGAGTAGGCAGCAATGCTTGCGGCGTAGGATTTGTTGACAAGCACGGCACACGCGGATTCGCAAAAATCGTGTCGGCATCTGCGGCTGACCACAATTGCGCTCAGTAGCCGTTTCCAAGAAGTAGTCAAAGAGATGGACATGAGAGGCAGTACTGGAAGTCTGAGCTTATCCTTACTGTTGCAAGTCCAATACACAGAACAGCATGCACATGTATGTGGATGAGCGAACGCCATGGTGTAAAGATATCTAGCCAGTAGACAATGCTATCCAGCCCATTCGGAACAGAATGTATATGAGAAGAGACAAAAGACTCGACGGTGGTGCATGGATCGAAATTCGAAAACGCCTTTCGATGACTTCTGGGCCGCATGGCTGTACGGGACACAGGCAAAAGCTGTTGTGAAAAATGGTATACATGGCCTGGCCGAGACTCTGTTTGGTAGCCGATGCGACAACGATACCAGTCCATCGAAGAGACGAATCAACTTCGCGGTTAATAAGCGAGCACTTCCACGCAAGTATAAGAAGAAACAATCGACCGACTTCGAGCTTCGCTGTAGGGCGTGTCGTCTTCGCGTAGGTAGAGAGCAACCGAAAAATGAACCCGGGAAGCGTACGTGCTAAGCAGGAACGTATACAGAAGTGAATGCTTGTATCTGCGTCGAATTAAATGCAAGGTTGCATCCAGATAACGCGCGAAAGCCCGTGCGAATCAAGGAGGTATCGACCCCTAAGCACTGGTAGCTGTGGTCGGCCAATCATCATCTTCTTGTAGTATCGAAGCAACCCTCAAACCTTGACCGAGTGTTACGTGCGGTACCACGGACCTGGCCGTGCTCGAACCTCATCCACGTGAAAAAGAAGATTGGGTCGCGGTCACCGTCACCAGCACTGAGGGAGTCTTGTTGCTGCGGATGTGCAAGTCATTAGCACAGACCGCTCGCAGGCCTGGACGGAGTGTGTTCGGAATGCTGAAGGATTCCGCATCAACCATATCGGCGGCTTAGAAGGCACGCGACGAGCCCAGTTGCTCACTAGGATTGATGCTCGCATGAATTTTGTCTTGCGGTACAGTATACGATCCTCATCGAAAAACATGATAGTATGTGAACCGGGTTGGTCTGCAAGCGGGAGAGCTACCAGGATATTGTTGAGTGTTTTGTTTCAGGAAGCGTGTTGCAGACCGTGACGGAACCATCCAATATACTGCAAATAGCACCGCAGAGCAAGATATCGATGTCCAGTGTGGCTTGCAGTTGCCCAGTACTGACTTTGGTGAGTTACGTAGTTCCTAGACACAATATGAGGTATGTAATACCGTCAGGCAAGGTCGCTCGAATACATAGTCAGCAACAGATGACCACCAGAACGTTCCCAAAGACCCGAAGCAGTTTCGAGCAAGCACATTTGACAGCGGCAGCTTGCGTGCGGGTAGATGAGTTACCTAGCCACCATTCTCTCACTAAGAAGGCCACGTGCGAGAATAATTAAAAGAGGGGCCGTTCGGTGGGTAAGTGTCCCTAACTTTTGCGCATCTCACAGCCTCTTGGAACGCACCATGCGTGTGTATGAGCAGTAGCAGATTTGGTGTTAGATGACGGTCGCGATGCCCGCCCTTTGTGGTAGCGAGGGTGGTACAGTATCCAGGGCTTTTCCAGAAGCGTGCATCTATCGCGCTTGTTCACCGATTGGATGCATAACGCCACGTTGTGGCCATGTCGCTGACCTGGTCTTCCTTTTTTTTTTCTTGCTCGCAAGTCCTGAGAACTAGTCGAAGATGTGAGCACGAACAGAGGACTTAGATGTGAAACCCGAAATCCAGCACTTCGGGTGGTACTCGAGTCAGCTTATCTGTCCCTGTCAATCCCCATTTGCTCAATAGAGTGTGGCTGCCAAGAAGACACGAACGAGAGGGCCGCAGTCCGCAAAAGGCTCGGAAACGCTATGATCCATCAGGGTCGGGCTTGTCTGCACACCGAAAATTGTGTGATTGGATGACGCTGACAGCAGTACGGCACCCCGAAGGAATGGAGCGCGAGCCGATCTCGTACAGATATCGGCCAGATGTCATATCCGATGTTGCTAACGTAACAGTACTCCGTACCATTTCCGTGTGCTAGAACCAGCCACGTAATTGTAGAGGTGCGCAATACTTTCGTAGCGTCAAAGTCGCGCGTTGAAAGTGGATGTTAGATCAACCCTCACTAGATGCGACTCTAGTCGAAAACTAGTTGGAGATACAGACAAAGTAGAGATGCTCAGGTGACTGCCTTTTGCCCTTGGGATGTACAGAGCGTTGGGTCAGACGATTCTACCAGCCCTGGATGCGTGGTAAATTTGCCATAAAGCACATACCCGGCCTTTGTCGGTCAGTCTGTCGTCTCCAGCAGGAATAGTGCAATCATGGCTCTCTCGGATTATGTTGCATGTTTTTTTTGTACGTATGTCTGACTCCATGCTGTAGTTGAAGCAGTCCGGATCCTGGTCGTAATTCCTTCCAGTGAGAGACTGAGACCAGATGGGTGTGAGAGTCAACATTATCTGGATTCATTCTGGAGCACATCACATCACATCCTTCATGCCTCTCAACCTGCCCTGGCCCAATATTTTTTCCTACCATTGAAACCTTGTTGGCCACAACTGCAGTAATAGCGGCGGCAGTAACCGGTGATTCGGGCCAGCCGTTTGGCCAGAGCCCCCTGCCGGCGAGGCGCCATCTGACGGAAGGGATCCAAATGTCGTCTAAACCTTCACTGTGTGGCTCGTCTGTTGTTGTATATAAAACATGCCTTGAGATGGCAGGGCGCAAGCAGGTGTTGCTCGTTCCAGTTTTGCAATTTCCAGCTTTGTTACATGACCCAAGTCTGTGATGTCAGCACTCGCAAGCCCACGAAGTCGGCTGACCCGGTGTGCTGTTAATGGTGTGCTCCCCGCATGAACAGAGGCAGAATCGTAGATTGGTGAGAGCCATGGTAACTGAAGCACGTCCTCGGGGTCTTGACCGGCCACAGTTCCAAACCCTCACGGTGCAGCAGGAGAAGGACTTGTGTGTACGTCGTATCAGTCGGCTACGCTGAAGAAAACCGACCGAATGGAAGGTTTGTAGTGGTTCAGAGCGCCGGCTTCTTGGGACAGCGGGCTGTTAGCGGCAAGCAGGGATCTTGGGACCGGGACCCGAGATAACAGCACTTTGGCGATATTAACTTGGTGCTGCGGTGTTTCGGTGCTGTGGCCAGTGGCACGCTCAGCAAAGGAGAGCGAGCGGGAGTGAAGCCGTCGTGGAACCAGAGCAGGCTGGAAAACACCAATGGACCAAAAAGAAGGGAAGTGCGAAACTCGGGCTGCACGAGGGCGTGTAATCAGTCGCCCATTCGAGAGGATGATCCGTAAATCTGGGCTTGGTGCAGTGCACAGAGAAACGGTGTACCTGCCACATCCTCTAGCTCATTCGCCTCTGTCCTAATTGACCGACCCCGACGGCGTGGTCAGCCAGTCAGCCGCCAGAGGTGAGACGGTGTCGTGCCGAGCCTGAGCTTCCGGCCCAACTTGAAACCCCCGTCTGCTGTGGGGGCATGTGCAGCTGGCGTTTTGATGGAGATGAGAAGATGCTTGGGTGATACACGGCGACAAAGTGCCAGTCCAAGGGGATGTCCATCCGCCCCAGTGGCATGCACGAGCTTGTGCTGTAGAACCTTTGGATCCACGGCTGCTGTCTGCACCTAACCCTGGCGCGCTTTGATTCCGAGTCTGTCAAGGTAGGTGCTCCTCTTGCCCTTTCCCACAAAACAGATTGCGAGCACTAGCCCGGGAGCCATCCGAGACTTGCGCAGCTTTCCGCTGCTGATGACTTCTCTGCACCCGTCTCGCTGGGAACTTGACTGCGTGTGTCCTTAAAGTGCCTCTGCCCCGCCCCGCCGCCCACGTCCCCCCGAGCCTTGTCGACGTTAGTACTGCTGCTGCTGCTGCTGCTACTGCCACTGCTTGCTGTCGCTGGGTTCTAAGCTGCTGCTAACTAAATCTTCGCCTGATCACGCCCCGGGTCGCGTTCTCGTCCTCTTGGCCCTTCTTTTCAATTTGCACTTGCTCTTATAGCCGCCGCGCGCCGTCCTCGCCCTCACTGGAGATCATGTGCTGTGGCTTTTTCTGAGAATGTCTAGAATAGCAGTCGCGTCTCTCGTTGCCCCTCAAGAAGTGCTGTGCGTATCCATTCCCACTCCCCGTCTAGCCTCAACGCGCTCCCGCCAGCCCACCCACCTCGTCGTTCTTGCACCCAACGGTCTCGCAGTTTCTTACCCTTTTCTTTTCACAGGTCCGTTTCTGTGAGAGCACCAATGCAGCAAGAATGGTATGAAGAGAATGGACGCTGGTACCACGCGTGGCAGAAGGGTCTATACATGTATCCGCATGACGAGGTGAGCCGCTTTTTCTCATGCTTCTGCCAATTTACGCATTGGCTAGTATTTTGCATACGCTGACGTCCAATCCAAGGAGGAACGCCATCGGATGGACGTATACCACAATCTCTTCTATGACAAAGCTGGACTGAGTCTACACTCGGCCAGGCTGATCCCCGAGGTCACTCGCCGCCCTCGAATAATGGACCTTGGCTGCGGAACTGGATTCTGGGCGATTGACATGGGCGAGTGAGTGTTTACTGCCATCACATCGCCGTGAGCTTGAGCTAATGCGCTTGTCAACAGGCAGTACCCAGAAGGAGAGGTAAATTCTCTGCGATCAATTTATTGATTCAAAAACTAACCAAATATCGTCAGGTTCTTGGTTTAGACCTTGCCAACCTTCAACCTGCTCAGATCCCGCCCAACGTCCGATTTCAGATACCCTTCAACTTCGAGACTCCTTACTGGAGTCTAGGACAAGACTCGTGGGATCTGATTCACTTGCAAATGCTCTGTGGTAGTGTTTCAAGCTGGCCAAACTTATACGCCAAAGTCTTCTCGTACGCTGCTTACAGACTCCTCCTTGATCGACTAAGCTAACAGAATCAGACATCTCCGACCCGGCTTTGGGTGTATCGAACAACTCGAGATTGATTTCGAGCCTCGTTGTGATGACGGCACACTACCCCCGGACTCGTATCTCCGGCAATGGTATGACTATTTGGTGCGAGCTACCGACCAGACGCCAAAGACTATCCGCTATTCACACAATACTCGACAAGCTCTGTCACAAGCTGGATTCACCGACATCTCAGAACGAGTCATCAAAGCACCGTATCGGGCGTGGTCAACCGACCCCACAGCTTTCAACATTGGCAACTTCCATCAGACCGCGCTGGACCTCTGTGCTGGTCTAGAAGCACTGAGTTTAGGCCCATTCTCCCGTGTGTTCGGCTGGAGTAAGCAAGAGATTGAAGGCTTCCTCGCCGGGGTACGAGCGGAGATCCGCAATCGTTCGATTCACGCATACACAAACATGTAAGCTTTGCCGGGATCTATATTCGGCTCTACAATCTTTCTTACTGACTCTTCTGCAGCCATGTGTGGACGGCGAGAAGACCGCTTGCTAGATAAGACACCAGCCCGCGGACTACCACCAGCGAATGATTCATGGATCGACATCGTCTCAAGTCCACGAACAAATTGCTTTGACAATGCGCATGCTTTCTATCACTTGGTGAAAAGGCTCGAGTTGTGTTCCAAGGCGTTTCCACATATTGTTACTCGGACGGCATTACGATCTACCAATCGCGATTTACGGCAATGACTTTTCTTTCGTCGTCTCTTTTTTCCTGCACTAGTTTCAAATCAGATGGTAATCTGAAGCGACCATTTCTGACGTTTGGGAAGGATTTACTGGGCGTTCTTCGCAAGGCCTGCTTTTCGATGGAGAAAAAGCGAGCTTTGAGTTTAGCACGGCGTTATTCGGCATTTCAAGGCTTTTGAGTCTTGATTACGGGTGGTACATCTATCTCTACTCATATTTCGGCGGCATCATCAACACTGGGCATTTCTTTTGGCTTGAGGAAAATACTGGTTGGTCGCGATATTGCTTTGAAGCGGTCGAAAGAGCATGGATGAAGGACCCTCAAGGGCGTGTGGATGAGTAAAAACAGGGATGGGGGCTTATTAGCGATCTACCACGACTTGTCAATTAATCGAACAAAACATTTATCAATTGACTGCCCACGTTAAAGTACCGCGCCACAATTGCCGAGGGATAGGTGTCTAGCACTCCTGCCTCGTATTGACTTTCATAGGTCTTCGCCATTGAAGGTATCTTAGTGCTCGCGCATAAATTATTCGAAGTTGAGTCGGTTGCACAAATTTGGCAAGAGCATTTAACGATGTCGTCAGGCAACGGTCGCGCGTCAACAACGCGTCTTCCGCCGAATTTCATCCTTTGTGGTATGCGCAGCCACCAGTGGCGAAGTCAATCGACTATACTCTTGAACAACCAGTCTGGTTCAGAGCACGGCAAGCGACATGTACAGGCCATTCAAATCGCCGTTGCTCACAAGACCGTCTGGACCAACCCCACAGCAGATTCAGGAACCCGTTCCTGAACGACCTGCCAAGCGATTGAAAGTATCGCCACCACAGCCTGAACAGGATGGAGATTCCTCAGATACTATCTGCGAGTCACCTGAAAGGCCATCTGAAGACCCTGTGGATGCCAGATTCTCTGTTCTTTGGCGCAAGGTGACTAACAAAAAGAACAAGATCTGGGATGGGGATGGCGTTCTCATCGTGTCTCAAGGATATGCCACCCTCAAGGATTCGGATGGAAAGGATATCGGTCGAACAGTTTGCAAAACGCCGTTACTTCCTGGATCTACGCTCAGCATGGCTGGTAAGGAAGTCGAGGTAGACTCGCGCATCTCTAGAGAAGAAGCCAAGTCATTGTTATCTCAAAAGAAGGCCCCGAAACCAGCTACGGTCAAGACCAGTACTATTGTTCCGCTTGCTCGGACGCCACTTCGACCTCTAAAGACGCAGAAAAAACCAGCAAGTATGCTCGGAAAGGCTGCTGCTGCTTTCACTTCTGACCCGAAGGCTGAAGCACTGCCGCGGTCCGCCAGTATGCTCAGCAAACCGAGTGCCGCTTTCAAAAGTCCGATGTTGGACAAGACTGGTGTCCCTCTGTCGCGCTCAAAGTCAGATAGCAAGACCGTCTGTCTTCCTCGTCACGACCCCAACGAGCCAAACGCGCTTGTTATGAAGCGACCAAAGCAGGCACCTCCTGGAAAGCACATCGTAGATGTTGTCGTGGATCCGAATCTGACCAAGCACCTCAGACAACATCAGCGTGACGGTGTGGCTTTTCTGTACGAGTGCGTTATGGGTATGCGACCATTTGTAGGCGAGGGTGCAATCTTAGCAGACGAAATGGGCTTGGGAAAGACACTGCAGACCATTGCCTTGGTCTGGACTCTGCTCAAACAGAATCCCATCTACGAGGACGGTCCAGTGATCAAGAAGGCCTTGATCGTGTGTCCCGTCACGCTCATCAACAACTGGCGCAAAGAGTTTAAGAAATGGCTAGGAAATGAGAAAGTGGGAGTCCTGGTTGTTGAGAACAACAAGACTAGACTCAGCGACTTTACCAAGGGTAAGAGTTACAACATCTTGATTATCGGCTACGAAAAGCTCCGTAACGTCCAGGAGGAACTGCAACAAGGACTAGGTGTAGATATCGTCATTGCCGACGAAGGCCACAGACTCAAAACGGCCAACAACAAGTCAGCTATGGCTATCAAGTCTTTAAACACTGAGAGGAGGATCATCCTATCCGGCACGCCTATTCAGAACGACCTGGGTGAATTCTACACTATGGTCGATTTCGTGAACCCCGGACTGTTGAAAACATATTCGTCTTTCAAGAAGCAATACGAGAACCCCATCCTCAAGAGCCGAACGCCGGGTGCAACCGCCAAAGACATTGAAAAGGGTCAGGCATGCAGTGAAGAGCTTGCATCGACTACTGGTCAATTCATCCTTCGACGAACCGCAGAGATCCTGTCAAAGTACTTGCCGCCCAAGACCGAGTACGTGGTGTACTGCCAGCCGACCCAGGTACAGAAGGATGTGTACGAGGCCGTTGTTAGTATCGGGGTCTTGAATCAAGTACTAAAGAGTAGTGAAGCTTCCTTTCAGATGATCAACATATTGAAGAAGCTCTGCAACAGCCCTTCGCTCCTGGTCAAAGACGCGTCCGAAGCCGAAGAGGGAACAGTAAAATCACTACTGACCAAAGTTCCTGCGTCGGATCTCATGAGTTCAGGTAGCAGCAAGCTGCAAGTTCTAGACGAGTTCCTCCACCTCGTCCACACCAAGACGCAGGAAAAGGTTGTGGTGGTCTCAAATTACACAGCTACGCTGGATATGATCGGTAAACTGTTGACCTCTCTCGATTACCCCTTTCTCCGCCTCGATGGTTCGACACCCGCAAACCAGCGTCAAGGGTTGGTTGACAAATTTAACCGTACATCAGCCAACAATTGTTTCGTCTTCCTGCTCTCCGCCAAAGCTGGTGGCGTAGGCCTGAACCTCATCGGTGCCAGCCGCCTTGTTCTCTTCGACATCGACTGGAACCCAGCGACGGATCTTCAAGCTATGGGACGTGTGCATCGCGACGGCCAGAAACATCCCGTTCACATCTACCGCTTCTTGACCAAGGGAGCACTGGAGGAGAAGATCTTCCAGCGCCAGCTCACCAAGCAAGGCTTGGCTGACTCAATCGTGGACAACAAGGCCAACGCGTCGAGCTTCTCGCCTGAAGAACTCCGAGATCTGTTTACGTTGGACTTGCGCGAGGGCTGTCAAACTCATGATCTTCTTGGTTGCCATTGTGCGTGTGATGGCTCTGTTCCCATCTCTGCTTCAGCATCGCCAATCGCCGCCTCGGCTTCTCCCGGAGCAGAAGACGATGATGACAGTCAAGCAGAAGACTCAGATGCAGAAGAAGAAATGCCTGCTCTCCCTTCCTTCCTCCGGTCTTCTCAGGTCGATCCAGAAACCCAAGAACGCCTTCGTCGTCAACATCATACCGCTCTCCACGCCAGTCTCTCTCCAAAGAAGAAGAGCGGTGGCAAAGGCAAAGATGAGAAAGCGGCCATGGCATCACTCATGCAATTCTCCCATCTAGACGCCGTGGCATTGAGGAAACAGATCGCTTTGGGCGAGGGAGAGATTGATGGTGACGAAGAAGATGGTATCGTCACTGTCAAGGAGAAGGCAGAGGATGCGGTCAAGGACGTGGTGCTCAGGACTTTGGTGACGGATGAGAGGTCGAGGATTGACTTTGTGTTTGCTAAGACGAGCAGTTAAGGGAGGTATTTTGCAAGCCAAGATATGCATTGGAAGGAGTGTTGCTGTTCTGCTTGTTGGTGATGGGAGTTTTGCTTGTGAGGAATGAGGTTGGGAGGTGGCATCGCATGACCTTCCCAATATCTCTGCATCTTGCTTTTCGGTATCTTGTGACAGAGCACAATATTAGAGAAAGTATGTCATAGAGCCAGAAGTGGAACATTCTGTTAAGGAAGGGAAGAAAGGGTTGCTCGTCTAAGACAGGAATAATGAAACATCTATTCCCCTTACATTAACACGATATGTAGTTTTAGATGTGCAAAGAAAGCAAAAACGCTGATCATAAAAAACTTATTGCTGTTCATCCCTCACCCAGCCAATAGCTTGACCAACCTGTACATACTGCCCAGGCTTGATGTTCCACCTCCAACCACCGCGTCTATCCTCGGACGTACCCGAAGCCTCACCCCATCCCTCATCAAAACTGGGTCTCTTGCCTTTGGGGGCTTCAAAGACCAGTACAATGGTACTTCCCAATTGGAAGCCTCCCATTTCCTCTCCACGCTTCAGAGGTTGGCCGTGCAAGAGTGGCGAGGCATTGTTGTATGTTGCTTCTGCGAAACCAGAGTAATCGAGACCCTTTGCTGCTGCGTCGGCGGCTGCGCGGTCGGCTGCTGTGTCTGTGGTGAGCGAGTTTGTGCGCAATTCCTTGTCGAAGTTTATCTTGATGGAGCCAACGTTTGTGGCGCCAACGGGTGTGTAGGAGAAGAAGCCGTAGCGCCAGCGACCGAGAAGGACCACGCGCTCATTGAGGGTGAACAAGCCGGGGAGTGTGCGTTGGAGATATGGAGATACGGAGAAGAGCTCGCCGGCAAAGTGACGGCGGGACTCGACGACCCATGAGCAAGGGGAATGGAAGCGGTGGTAGTCGCCCGGTGCGAGGTAGATGACTGCGTAGTAGAGGGCTGTGGGTCGTGCGGCGGTGGAAACGGGTTGCCACCAGTTGTCTTGAGCGCCGGCGCCGTCACCTAGAGCGAGCGAATCACGGACTTCTTGTTCGGAACTAGCTCTTGCGGGTGTAGACTGATCTTCGGTGGCAGTCTTTGGCTGATCCTTACTTTTGCCGCCAGAGAAGAGGTTGGGCAGGGTGTAGGAGATGCCGTTGACCTGGGCAAATTCCTCGTCTGCGCGGATAATCTCTTGATCTGCGGACTTGGAGCGATCTTTGCTGGGATGCGGGTTGGGAGTGGCGCGAGTGGGCTTTTGCGAGCCGAGGAGAGCGTCGAGAGAGTAGGTGACGCCTTTGACTTGTTCGACCTCGCCGTTGTCGATGGTACCAAACTGGATGACTTTGCCGTCGGCGGGACTGAGAAGAGCATTGGGGTTGGGATCCAGAGGACGAACGCCAGGCTTGAGGGTGCGGTAGAAGAATGAGGCGAGGTTGGGGAAGACGTGGAGATCGGGTTCGTTGATCTCATCAAAGTTGACGCCAAAGATCCAGCCGTACAGCTTGAACCCTGGGACGCGGAGATAGTAGGGAATCTCGAGCTCGTTGAAGCGACCCCAGATACGAGACATGGCCTTGAGTGGTAGGGTGGACATGATCTGGACCTGCCAGGGACCAGAGGGCCTTATGCGCTGTCTCTTGGGAGCCTGTCCTCCATCTTCGAGCTCGGCCTGCTGGCGAGTTTTTTCCTCTTCGCTATGACGAGCCTGTGTGCGGTAAAACTGCAGACCACCTAGGAAGGCGATACCGAGACCGACAGGGATAGGCTTCCAGACAACTTTTGTGTCGCGAAGAGCATTCCGAAGGCGCGTGCCAAAGGGAGCGTGTGAGGGGCGAGAGGATGAGAAGGGTCGCGAAGTTTGGGTTCTCAAGCGTTGCGAGGTCCTGAGTAGCGGCGCGTGGGCATTGCCCAAGGCTCGATTCCGTAATACAAGGGTGGACGACATGTTGGACGACTGAACAGGAAGTCGCAGGGAGACACAGGGAAAATCGAGTGACATCAGCTGGAAGGAGCGACCCCGGATTTCGACCCTTCCCGAATTGACGTATCGTGGCCGGAGATAGGGCTGAACGGCCAGCTTGACCAAAGTCCAAACTCTCGCCCTGCACTTTCACATGCTTCTCACACTCCGGACGCACTTTTCCATGCGCAGTTGAGTCGTGCCTGCCATCTTCTTGCGCGTCTCTGATCCTTGCCCTTCGACAACAACATGGCACAGCCAGCTCGCACCTTGTCGCTGCGAATCCTCTCGCCGGCTGTCGAACTGAGCCATGGCCTCGACATGGCTGATGTGCCTGTCGACACGACCATTGGCAGCCTGAAGTCTAGGTTGACTGACTTGCTGCCCTCGAACCCTACACCCGACCGCATGAGACTGATCCACTTTGGACGCCTCCTGGCCAACGACAATGACACGCTGGCCCAGATATTCGGAGAAGCCGCCATCACCCAGACCACGCCCTTCACACTACACCTCGTTGTCCGCGCTCCTCCCACGCCCATGGAGACGGCTGCTACTCGCCAGCCGCCCTTTGCGAATTGGGCTACCCAGAATCCTGCAGGAGGCACTCCACATCTACAACCGAACGTCCTACCACCGGGCGCCGCAAACCATCCCTTGATGCGCCCAGGTGCTGCCTTTGTCCCAGCACCGCAAGGGGCCACTGCCACTCCACCTCATCCCGCCGCTCCCACTCCTCCTCTACAGCATGGTCACGCTCCTCCGCCCAATCTGCTACAACAGCTCATGGAACGCCAGCAACAACACCTAAGACAACTCCACGAGCACCATGCACAAGCTCACCCTCCACCACAGTTCGCCATGCTGAGACAAACTCCTCCACAGTCCGCTCCACACACTCCGCCTCCGTTCCCACCTCAATTTGTCCACCAACACCCACGCCCACACGTTCATCAGCATCATCCACATATGCAACCACACTCCCAGCCACAACATATGCCCCAGCAACAACCACAACAACAGCGTACCGCCACCATCACCATAAACCATAGCACCGTTGCTGTGCCCATCCCTCTCGGCTCGCAAGGAATGCCCATGGGTCAAATGCCTCTACCTGGCTTCCCATCTCTCCATAACCTGTTCCACCAACAACCTCAACCTCAGATGCAGCATTTCAACCCGGCTTCACCTACAGTCTACCTGCTGTCATCACCTACCGGTCCGCAAGCGCTTCTCTTCTCTCCACAAGGCACCTACACTGCAAGTTTACCGCATACCCCTGTGCCTGGTATGCCTAGCATGCCCAATCCACTACTTGCCCACACACGACCTCACACACCCGCTACTCAAGCCCCGCCTCCACCTGGCTTCCACCCACCACCTGTTGCTGTTGATCCCCAGCAGCCTCCGGAACAGGTTGCTCAGCAGATTGTTCAACAACTGAATCAAGGTGGTGCAGAGAACCAAGAGTTCAATGCTCTCGCTCCATGGCAGCCTCTGCTGGCTCAGGGCTGGATGTTACTCCGTCTCTTGTTCTTCGCTTGGATCCTGTTAGGTACAGGTCAAGGATGGCGCAGACCTCTAGCTCTTCTTGCCATTGGCGTTGTCTTCTGGGCCATCAATGCTAACGGCATTGGTAACACCGTGAGGGATGCCGTTCGCTCATGGTGGGAGGCCGTTGTCGGATTGCCTGGTCAACCACAGGAGCAAGAGCATGGTGTTATCAGACAAGCTCTGAGACCTGTAGAACGTCTTCTCGCCCTGCTCATTGCATCATTATGGCCCGGTGTAGGTGAACGCACTGTAACTGCAAGAAGAGAAGCAGAGGAAAGGCAGAGACGTGAAGAAGGTGAGAGACAGGCTGCAGAAGCGGAGCGTCAACGACAACTGGAAGCAGGCCAGTCCGGCACCCAAGCAGAGTCTACGAGTGCGGAAGCAAACGACACAGTCACTACTATCGAGGGACCATCCACCACCACAGCTACCAGCAACGATGTGTCTGGTGAAGGTCAGGAAATAAGGGAAAGAAAGACAGCAACACAAGGCACTAGCGCAGAGCAGACATCGGCGTCTGAACCCACCTTGTCACGCGAAGAGCAGAGAGCCCAACAGCTTAACAATCTCACTGCAGACTGGTGAGGAGCGAATATCGAGGCAGAGATGATTGGCACTTGTTCTCTCCTTTCCTGCCACTTTATAGACACAGAGTTCCAATCCCACGCTTCTGCCACTTTCAATCCCTTCTTGGACCTTGAAGTGACGATTCGCATGACTGATTTGCTTATGTGCCAGACGAGAAGGCGATGCGTATACCATGCGAGAAACGGCGATAGACCTGTGACAAGACCATTTGATATCCCTACATACTTCTACAGCTACATGAAACGGTTGTCCCGAGTGGTAAATTACGACCAAAGAAGCAATCCTGGAGAATGACGATATGCAGTCGTACTCAAAGACCTTCGGGTTTTGTTCTTGTCCATTACTTTGCTTCTCTTTTCCCGGAAGGGAATGAAGAAGTGTATCCAGCTCGAAACTTTCTGATGGGGTTTGCAGGAGGTTGAGCGAGGCAGAGGACTGATGTGTGGGTTTTATAGAGAAGGAAGAGAAGGAGAATGAAGGAGTGATTGGACTCCGTCTAGGTGATGAGAGTAGAGAGTGATGTGTATAGAGCATCACAAACCCACCTTCAAGGCCAGTGGGTTGCACCACCATGCATGAACTTCTCAAAACTTCGTCGAGAAGGACGACCTTCGAGATGGTGTTTTCGTGTTCCCTTACCTGTAAACACAAAGGCAGCAGCAGCAGCAGCAGTGATATCCTCAAGCATAAGTCTAGTCAAAAATGCATCGATGACCGCTTATTGACTTTGATATCTGGACAGCCACCGCTGCTTCGCACCTTCTTCTTTTGGGGGGGTCCAAAGAAGCCCTAAGTCGTATTCTCCATCGAGGGCTCAGCGATACACCCTCAGCATCAGCTTGCAAAAACTGATAATTTCAAACGGTTCTTGGGATACCGGGCTGGCGTAGTTCGTATGCGCCTCTTTCATCAAAAGTGAGGTGACCCTGGGTTCGTCATGGAAAAGGAGTTTGTGGAGGTGAGGGAGAGAGCAAAATTTTTCCGAAGCGTGCTGCTGCTGGGCGAAATTTGTGCTTGCCAAGCGGTATTTCCCGTGGCTGGCTGCGTCTTGGAGTTTCGTGGACCGGCCACCCCCGGAAAGAGGCTCCGGGGCGATCTTGGGTCAGCAAGGATGCGAGAAAGGATGCATGCTTCTACGAGTAATGCAAGATCCCTGTGCGGTATCTGCCAAAAGGGTACTTTGTCGTGTTTTCGAACGGAGTGGGACGTGAACTATGCATGGGTGTACCTGTCGGATGTAACCTCACCTGTAGAAAAGATCCACAAAGACACCACAGCAAAAGTGCAGCATCCGATACTAGTAGGCGCAGCATTCCTTTGCGGAGAGGAGTGCTGCAAGCTCCACTTCTTCTCTTGACTTTTTGCTTTCCCGCAAATATTGCCTGTAAGAAACTCTTGTTGCTCTATCTAGCCGACCAGGGCAACCTTGAACCTTCAGAGCGCAAGTGCGAACCTTTGTCTTGATACTCGTTATTGCCGGTGAAGATCTGTGATATTAAAAGTTGGAACCTTGCAGAATGGACTAGACAATAAGATCTACATGGCTGAACACGCAAGCAAAGCACAAACTCAAGATGCCGGCCGGTATCGATGATATGTCAAAAGACCAAAAGCCGCTCAACGTGTGTATTTCGGCCGTACAAATGGAGCTGGATAGAGAGATCTGCATATCATAGCCATAAACGAGATTCACAGCATGAAAAAGGAGATGGACATTTGAAGCGAACAACCGTGATCTTCGTAGTAGTGAACAACAATGCGTTTCAATCGGCGAACCAACCGAATCGAGCCGAAACAAATAAAAAACTCCCGCCCCGTTCCCAGCCTCCTTCTGGGATACCGACCTTTCTCCTCGGGCTATGCATTCGCTTTGTAGGAAGAAATGACAAAACGATAACGGAAAATGCGTGCGTGTGTCATAAGCGTCCTTGGTCGTCTAAATAATATCTTTAATGCTGATGCGAGAGCTGGTGCCTGCTGGTGCCGGCGGATTAGATGACCCAGCGTTACCGGGGGCAGGAGTCATATGCGGTGTAGGCGCTCTGGGTGGTTGGAAGTATGGTGCTGATGGCGCCTGTTGGTGGGGTTGAGCATACTGAGGCGGCATGTGCTGCGCTGCATACTGCGGTGGTGGAGGAGGCTGTTGCTGTTGATGAGCCTGCGGTTGTGGAGGTGGTGGACCCTGTTGCTGCTGCTGCTGCATGCTGCGATGCTGCTCCTGTTCCAATTGAGACAGGATATCCATTACACGATTCCAACCATTCCACTCAGGCTCTTCTCCCAAAGCATGATCGTAGGCGCTGGTTGCACCCTCAGCAGCGGTGGCAGTATGGTCCAATGTTCTCTGCAACACCTCGCCACCAGTCCAAGCCCAAGCAGTCTCGTGTGAGCCTTGCATATCAGCGCTGGCGTAGGCCAGCATTTCTTCATCTGCTTCCAGCATCTCAGGGCTGCCTCTGCCGTTCTGAATACGCTCCACCAGACAATCCAGGAAAAAGGAGAGGTAGCGTCCACAAGCCGAGTTGACTATCACACGGGTGCCAATCGCGTTCAGTGGCATCACGCAGATGAGAGCAGTAGCGTAGTCTCCACAAAGAGCGGCTACCAGCGTGCAGCGCCAAAAGTGGAAGACAAGGAAAAATGGAGAGATATCAGCCATGCGCGCATTCCACTCGGGGCTTGGTCTCAAAGGCTGAGCTGAGTACCGAGGCGGGCCGGGAGACGTCTGAATGGAACGTTGAAGGTAGACGGCTGTGTCCTTAGCGACTGAAAGGCAACGGTAGAGAGCATCTTTACGCTCCTGGGGACGACAAGGAGGAGCGAGATTGTGGCGGTAGAGATGGAAGCGAGCGATCTGCAGCAAGAATATAGCACTGAAATATACAGGGTCGAGCGGGGCGTTCGAGTGGATCGGGTACGGATCGGGCCAGGAGCCCATGATGGAGCGGAAGTGTTCGTCGTAGGCGTTCAGAGTCGAGGCGGTTACGGTGCGCGACTTGAGTGTCTTCTTTAGCGGGTAGATGATGCGTACGATGGGAACAAAGACTATAAGTGAGTTCGGACGGGCACCCGGATTTCCAGGTCCGTTTGGCCCTATGCTTGCGTCGTCAACAGGAGTGGGCTCACTGACATCGACATCACTATCGTCAATGATGGGCACTTGACCAAGCTCAAGAGACAGAATTCTGTCCCAGTTGTAGACAGACCACCAGAGACGGGTTTGCATCTCGGCCTCAAACTGCGGTAGCTGGCCATGCTCTCGGTGCAGTCCCAGCAGTTGAGCAAACCTGACTCCAGAGCCGAGCCAGAACCAAGTTGCGGCCTTGCGATTTATGTTTGAGAAGCAGATGCTGAGGAGCAGCGAAGTGCGCACATGGTCAGGCGAGATGTCGTCATCTACCGACTTTGTGCAGTACTTAGCTACCTCAGCAAACTTGATGCACTCTGACTCTGGATGCGCGGATCCTCTCGCATCTTGTATGCTGCAGCCACAAGCCATGACTGCAAAGAAGAGAGCCTTCCAAATCTGACGTAGCCCTTGGAAGGTGCCCCTTCTGTACAGCTGATCGCATTCGTCGATGAAGGTTGGCCAGTGGAGGAAAGGGCATAGCGGCTGCAAAACGGTGTGGTAATTCTGCAACAGGTTGTCAACCAGCTGCTTAGGCGGCAAAGGTGTTGACGAATCGGCGCAATGGACCTGCACAGTAGGCATGCTGTAAGGATGCGGTGGCTTGAAGATGCCTTGGCTGAATTTGCGAAGGTTGGCTCTCACGCCATCAAAGCTGTTCATAACGAGTGGACGGCCGTTTCTTTGCTTGCTGGGAGTGATCTCGGGCGGTCCTGAGACACTGGTCGATGGTGGTGCCATAGAGGCGCCTGCACTTGCACCGCCTTGATCGCTGAGCATGTTACGAAGTTGGCGGTTCTCTTGTCGGGTTTCCTCCAGCTGCCGTTCGAGATCTTGCGCATGCCTAATGCTTGTTAGCTTCACCTCGACTCTTCATATGCGATCATCTCACTTCATCGAGGACATGCGTCGGTTAGTCTCCTTGGTGAACTGGCACTTGACACTCCTGCTCGAGCATTCTGTACAGCTGGATGTATCCGTAGCATCACACTATCGTCGTATTAGTCCTTGGTCTCCTAGCCCGCGTGTTGGAGCTTTAGGAACCTACTTTAACTTTGCGTTCGCGACACGCGTCACAGCTGGGATCCTTGCGGCGCTGACGGTATGCCCGCTTGTGCGCGGAGAGCATAGCAGCAGAGTGATGTCTAGGTGACATGCCAGGCGCACCCATGTTAGGATCGTGCATCATCATGGGTTCTGACATGGCACCAGCAACGGCAGGGTTTGCGTTCGGAGGCATGCCGTAAGCAGGAGGATAGGGCGCTGGCGGAAGCGATGTCTGCATCGATATCTGCTGAGGTGGTCCGGTCGTCACAGCAGGATGAAATGCACCAGGAGCAGGACCAGGGCCGGTGTGAGGAGGACCAGGCATTCCATAGGCCATGGGAGCAGGCTGCATCGGACCATTATGGTGGGAGACGGTCGGCGAAGCTCCATTAGCAACGTACTGAGGTTGAGGGGGGTAGTGATCGGGTTGTTGGTTGATTGACCTCCGGCCGTCATTCGCCATGACGGCCTCGGGAGCAAGGTGCTTTTGGTCGTTCATCAGACTCGCCGGCCGCTGACGAAAATGTCGAGTATGCTCGGATTGATGTAAAAACGTCAAAGAGGGGCCAATTTCATCCTAAACTCGAGAAATGGCTAAAAAGTGACGTGCGACTCTGGGACGACGCAACACGGGAGATGCGAGATCACGTCCCAATACCGGTTGGATGATTACAGAACACACCGCCAGTCGGAAGAAAGTTGATAAGAGGCGAGCGAGGGTAGGGCGCAATTGCACGACGCGATGCGCTCAGCTGCCAAGTTCGCGATTGATGAGGCGGGTGGAAGCTTTGGGAGAGGTGTCAGGGAAAGGCGGAGAGAGGAGGAGGAAGGTGCGCAAACACGCGGATCGCACTGTGTAAAAAGAGAAGGAAGGTCCGCTCAAGGAGATGCACAACAAGCCGTCGGAACGAAAAAGCCACATTCAAGTCAGCGCGACACCCGAACGAGACATAAGTATGGGAATTGGGTTGCTCGACAAACCTCAAAAGATTATGATTATTATTCAGAGGCAGGTTCAGCACAGGCCCTCCCGCTCTCCCTTTCGCATGGCCATGCGGCCGCCGCCAACGTGCACGGCGGCGGCTAATCTCGCCTTGCTGTAGTTCCTTCTGCCTGCATAGTTCGGCTGCTTCAGCACAAGTGCTCCTGGGAAGCCCAGCTGTTGTTACCGTCTGCTGCTCTTGCTTTGGCGCTCCATACCATCCGCTCCTCCCACCCCGATTCAAGTCTCTGCACCATCGTGTCTGTCTTGTGTCGGTCCTTGTCCACCGCCGCCATGTCAGAGACTGTCTTTTGGTCTTACCGACACTGTGGCACAGCTTCTACCACTAGAATCACTCAAAAGTCTAAACCCTAGATTTCGTACCGTTTGCTCGTTGACAACTGCCGCTACCTGGCTTCCCGCTCGTAGCCCAAACTTGGCGCGGGTGATGACATCCAACAAGAATCGACCATCGTGAGAGAGGGACGCCGCGCAGCTCGTTCCTCTACCGTGTGCCCTTGCAGTGCCTGTGAGTGTGTGTGCATTGCAGATTGTTCAGCCCCCTTTCCGCTCATCTGGCGGCGTCGAGTTAGCGGCCACAAATCCTCCTGACATGGCGCCATGAAATTGCTCGCGCTCTTCCAAGGCTCGAAGGCATGACAACAGCCAGAGAACGCGCTTGGAATTTGCCTAGCGTTGCCGAATGTCACCTTGGCCCTCCCGTGGCCTATCCGACTATCTCGGGCCTTCATAAAACCCTGTCTACCTATTCGCACAGCTGACCAATACAATAACCTGAGACCCTCCAACAGCCATCTGCCACTTTGCCGTGAACTTGTCAAGACACTGCCGGAAGGGGCTGTAAGTTTTTCAGGAGAATAATCCATCGTTTCACCAATCAACGGCCTACTCTGTTCGAGCGACATGATCGTCGCAACTCAGCGTTCTCACTGAGCTTACACTCCGATTTTACGTTTACGCTCTCTTCCGATCGATCCCTTTGTTCCTGGATGCCTTGTACATATTCGTCACTTCTCGCTTCGTCACCACCGACTTCCAATCGCGCTCGTTGCCGACTGCCCAGTATGACTGCAGTGGCTTTGGTCGAAGCCACAGCGCTCAGCCGCCAATACGTGTATCCCAGCACTCTGGCTCTGTCCCGTCTTACGACCGCAAAAGCCCTACCCACCGTGGAGATGACCGCGTGCGGCACCTTGCGTCGGTACACACAACCGTTCTTTGGGAGGCTATGGATCTATCCGTCGTGATCGTCGTCATAGCCCGGAATCGGGACATACCACTTGTATCCCGCTACCTCTGCAACTCATCTAAAAAGCGCAGTCCACCTCTCAACAGGAGGTCGCATCGTCGTGATCGGTAGTCTCACCCGTGCGCCCTCTTCTGCGACATCAACTCGCTTGTTAGCCTGGCCAGGTGTCGGTGCTCACTACCGAAGGCGTGTGACAGTACCATCTATCGTGCTTCCAACGGTCGGTACACCATCTAGAACATCGTTTGTCACATAATATAGGGCCACCGCCGGTTGGTTGTCCAAGCAGGAAAGTGCGGAGCGACAACCAGATTTTAGTTGTCCGTCTTCGAGTGAAGGCTGGGGAGGCCCCGCGTCCGGACGTTTGAGACGGCATTTGTAGAAGCTTTCTTGCCGAATCGCGAAGCAACAGTGCTTCGCAAGGCACATGGCAGCCACCACTTTTTATGGTTCCATGCATGGTTCCAGAACCACACGTGTTTCGATTCTCGAGACAGACATCAAGCACCGCTACACTGTCGATTGTTGATACCGTATGCGACCTTAGCATCGCTAGGTGTGTAGAGTTTACTCGTGGCTATATCTCGGTACATGATCAATTTTTGCATCAATGCATGCTGCTTAGCGATCGCCCACGGTAGTTGCACTTGCTCATGTCCCTGACCTTGCTGTATGTCATGACGCCATGGCTGCTCTGGTGAAGCTTCTGGTACGTTCTAGATCTTCCCGTGCTTATGCCTGCGTGTGCGTTGTGTAATTTCTGTTATTATAGAGATGGTTCCATGAAAGCATGACACATGACTACCTATTTGTATTGTGTCAGTCGAGCAAGCCGACTGCATGATCCTTCGAGAAAAGACTATGGCTTGCAACGGACTCCGGACTGCTGACATGTATCGTAAAGGTACCTCTAGTCTTCTACCCACGACTCGGCACTCGTTCGAGGCCGTGTCACGAGCATCGCTTTGGGAGCGATATGAAAGCCACAGCAGTCGGCAGCTGCGAAGGCATGTTCAATGATTCTTAGTACATGCAAGGCCAAAGGATGCGGTCAACCACGGCTGAACAAACCGAGCGAATCGGGCCTTCCGGAACATGCCCGTCGGTTGCCCTCGCTTGTAACTTGCATCGGGCAATTTTTTGTCGACCTCCCACCGGCCCGTCGGCGAGGAGGATTCGGACACAACCTTTTGTCCGAAACATGCCAGTCTTGTCCGAAACGCTGCAGGCGGGGAGGATCCGATTTGACATGACCTCGAGACTTTGGAGCAAATGCATCGCTGCTTTGAGACATGGCTGCCTGGTCAACCGTTACTCAGGTCCAGAGATAAAGTGTATCTTCCAAAGTTCGAATATATACGCATGCTAGGTCGTCTTGTCTTCGCTTGCAGAAGCAACAAGCCCAAGCCTCCCAGCCTTCTGATTTGGGGACCCTGGTGACAGCTTCAGCTCACCGCTGACTTGCAAAGCCTTGGGATTCCCGTCAAACGGCTTGTAGAGTTCGTTCCGTCGTAGACCGACAGCCGCTAAGACCGCGCGCTAGCCAGACCGCCTGGATCCACAGCAACTCATCTGCCGTTGCGACAGCCAACAGTCTCACGTGTCCGACTTCACGATTGATCTCATTGTTGAAAGGACACCTTTTCCCTTTGCTGACTATGAAAGACACGTATACCGGTCACTGACTTATGGCGTTGTCCCACAAGGACGTACAGCTGTCGAAGATGAATCGTGCTGGTCTCTCCAGCATTACAGCGTCGTCGGAGCCGGCCGAAACGGTTTTCGAGCTCGAGGCCCTACTCGGCCGTGCTTCGCAGCAAATGAGAAAAATCAGTAGAGATTTCACATAGTCGTGAGCAAAGATAGACTCAATCTGAAGCAATAAAAGCCCATACTGCACTTGTCAATAGAAGACTTTCAAAACTTTTTACACCCCTCTGATCTCCGTTTTTGCATACTAGGTCTACTGGACTATCGTGCTTCACGACCATAATCTTGACATCTACACAACAAACACAATATGTGCAAGTCCACTTTCCACTCATTCCTCCAGGAGCTGCCTAAATGCGAGCATCACATGCACTTGGAGGGTTCCCTCTCCCCTGAGGTTCTGTTCACATTGGCCAAGCGCAACAACATCACTCTGCCTCAGGACGACGATGCTTTCCAATCTCCCAAGACTCTCCTAGCACGTTATGATCGCTTCACCTCCCTGGATGACTTCTTGCACTACTACTACATTGGCATGTCCGTTTTGATCTCGGCTTCTGACTTTGAGGATCTGGCTATGGACTACTTCCGCCATGCCGCAGCAGATGGCGTGGCTCACGCAGAGGTCTTCTTCGACCCTCAAGCGCACATCGAGCGTAGCATCTCTTACAACACCGTTCTTGCTGGTTTCAGCGCAGCTCGCGCTCGTGCTCAGAAGGAGTTCGGCATTACCAGCGAGCTGATCTGCTGTTTCTTGCGTCACTTGCCTGTGCCTAACTGTGTTTCCATGTTCAAGGACGCCGATGTCCAGGCCAGTTTCAACAATGGCTCGGTCGCCGGAATCGGTCTCGACTCTAGCGAGAAGCCTTTCCCTCCTGCTCTGTTCGAAGAGATCTACGCTGGAGCCAAGGAGCTCGGTATCCGCCGCACTGCCCACGCTGGTGAAGAAGGCCCATCCACTTTCATCTCCGATGCTCTGGACGTCCTTAAGGTTGAGCGCATCGACCACGGCATCCGCCTGATTGAAGATGAAGCTCTTCTCGAGAAAATCGCCAAAGATGGCACTATGCTTTCCGTGTGCCCCTTGAGCAACGTGCTGTTGCGTTGTGTTAAGGAGGTCAAGGAAGTACCCATCCGCAAGTTCTTGGACGCCGGCGTCAAGTTCAGCATCAACAGTGATGATCCTGCTTACTTTGGTGGTTACCTCCTTGACAACTACTGCGCTGTGCACGAAGCTTTCAACTTGTCGGTTGCCGAGTGGACCAGTATCTGCCGTGCTGGTATCGAGGGCAGTTGGTGTTCTCAGGCCCGAAAGGATGAGATGCTGGCTCGTCTCGATGATGTCGTTCGTGTCTGGGCTCCTAAGCTTTCTGCTTAAGAAGTGGATATTGGTTGATCTTCGTTTTTATGATCGAATCTTAGGGTGACCCTGTCTCGAGATGATCTTAGTGTTCAGGACGACAATTGAGTAGGCGACTCAGCACTACCACGGCCTCACTGCAAGTGGTCTTCTCGAGCGCTCCAACGATCAAGAAAGCAGCACTGCTGTCTGTAGTGTCACATGCACCCTGCAGGCGACCTCTGCAGACGCACGCCGCAAATCCTATATTCCTTGCATGATCTCGCTACCAGATGGCTGAGTACTGGTCATCACACAGGAAGGGCAGCAATAGACGAGGGTGTCGTGCGACTGTTGACCAACACAGAAGGGGCGCCTCGCGGACATGTTCCATCGAAAGAGGCTGCCGGCAATTCATCCGACTCGTTGATCACTTTTGGGCTGTTTTGGAGGCATTGTTTTGGCGAAGTTATTGGATGCTTTAATTGACATATATACCCATTTAGACTCTATAAGCAAATTGGAAAGAGAATCGCAAGCCAAAGATATTGCTAAACATCCTAACCTAGGTCTGCTTGTTTGGACAAATGACCAGTGATTGTTGGAGAGGCAGCCCACTTTTGAATTCCAAACCATCTGCTGCAGTCGCGACTAGGACATACAAGATGAACAGTGAAATTTGAGGCGTCTGATCCGAGTTGGTCTTTGAGAATACAAAGTCAACACTTACTCAAGACATGCCACAGGCGCCCCCACTGCCCGAATTGTATTTGTATGTGCATCAGATATCAGAATTTGTCGAACAATCTGCGGGCTGGATCGACTTGACTCTACAGACTCGATAGATGTACCATGACTGTTCACGTCGTCATACTCAGATCGAGATAGTATACCTTCCGATAGTCGACCCCAGTCGACGATGAGTTCCAAAATGGTGATTTCTGATCAGGGTGGCACGGCCAACATCCAGTTTCAATCCTTTTTCTTATATATCACAACACAATAGCATACATATGACATGTTCGGTATTGAGTCTAGTTCAGAATCATCATCACACCATGGAAGCAACGCTTTTGAATTTCTGATCAGTACCCTCAACTTCATTTCCAAGGTCTCGTCTCCCACAGTTTGGAGCCATAAAGTCCTACCAAAACTATCCCACGTACAACACAACAATATATGTATCTACATCTTTCCACTCGCTTGTCGACATTGTATTCGATCAAGCCTTCTCACCATTCCTCATCTGTTTATTCCAAGATCCCTCATTCCCATCTCCTATCCACGTTGTGGAACCTCTTGTTTATGGAGACGCGTCAGCTGCCGCAACTTCCGAGAAGGATTGCAAAATACACATGGCGCGCCGGCAATAAGACTCTTGCGCTGACGAAGAGTTGTAAAGCTTGGGAGAAGACCGCATTTCGCTTCTCGTCGACGGCTTCTGAGAGAGATGAGCATTCGAAACGGTCGCTGTAGAGGGTTGGGACGTCGTCGGTGGAGATTCTGGCCTCAGAATCAGGGTCACCCCGAGTCCGGCTCGTTCGGTTCATGGAAGTCGATATCCATGGAAACCGCGGGTTCCATATAAAATCGTGACAACAATGAACTCCATGGTTACCTCGGACACCTTGGCAAGAATCTCCACAACGCGCAGGTCAAGGGTTGAGTTTTTCATAATTTGTATATGCTATTTCCATTTCCATAGTGTGTATAAATGAGCTTTAGGAAAAAAAGGACAAGACCAAGAATGCTAGATAAGGAGGACTTTCGGGCCTTCCAGAGAACCTGTCGAGGATAGGAAGTAACGTACACCACCATAGCTTCATTTCCTGTTCATCGTGTACAATGTTGAACGCAAAATGTCAAATTGCTTGAGAACTCCTTTTGAACCGGCCCGTCTATGCAAAACTGAGGTAAAAAAAGGGCTGTGTTTCCGGATTGAGAGATAAGAGATTTGTAGCGAGAGTGGGAAGAACGTTGAGTGGTTGTATTTTTGCTTCGCGGTATGGTATGAGAAAACGCCGAATGCTTCTTTGTGGTCGATGAACTGTTGGTATCGGAAATCGGTGGGGTATCATGCGCGCTCGTGAGTGCAACGGAAAGATGAAATCGAACGAAAAATAGTGAAAAGGCGAGAAGTGGTGTCTGGGTTCAGACACTGCTCGCATAGCGAGAGAGAACCGAAAGGAAGAGACGAGATCGTCTAGAGCGTGGCGAATCTTTTAGGACTGGCTGTAGCCTTGAGAGTTTGGTGCGGTGTATTGGGTAGAAGAAGTCCTGGATCGCGCAGCGTATTTTAGTTTTTGTTTTTACTCCTTGGAAAGTGTTGATCATGCCCAGATGGTCGGGGGAACTACGAACCCGCCTCGAAAGCCTCCGTGAGGTGCTTCTAATTGCTCAAAATCGTATGAGTTGTATCCTTGTCCCTGTTCACTTCCTGCGTAATGGTTTGGAGGGAAGGCTGGCGAATGCGCGGTGCCCCATTGACTTGTGCCGTCCGAAAACCCACCGTCGTACGAGGGTGTACGAGTGGGCACTCCAAGATACGGAGAGCCTACCAACGGATCGGAGGACATGCGGTGCTCTTCACGGCCGTGATTGATCGAAGAAGGAACAAAACCGGGGCTAAGATTGCCAAAGTTCATAAAGGGAGTGCTCACACCATCGAGGTTGAAGACAGGTGTATAAGGAGATTGTTGAGGGGTATGTTGAAGCCTCAACTGCTCAAGATGTTGCTGCGTCCATGACAGGCGTGCGCGATAGGTGGATACTGCTTGCTGGGGAAAGTGCATGAGGGAACTGATTTCCAGTGCGTGGTGGCCGAATTGATCGTCCGTCTGCATAGGGGCGGTCATCTGGATGATCCGCTCAAGAGGAGGTAGACTGATTGCGGCGCAGAAAGACGCGCCGAGGGATGGAAATAGAGGCTCCAATGCAAGTGCCGTAGCATACAGATGGGCCACCACAAGCGTTGAGGGACCATCAACCATTGGCTTCTCCAGGAGCAGGCAAGGAACAAATAGAACCCATTTGCGCAGACTGTATAATTGATCGAACTGCTCAGCAGCCGTCTGCGCAGGCTGAGTGTTCAGAAGATACGATATGTAACCCAGGAGCTGCTCGATCCAATAGGCTTCGGGGCTGTTGACAGCCAGGACAGGCTGCAGGCGCTGGAGAGCGGCTAATACGCTCGTGAGGATGCCGTGACGTTCCTGCGGACTGGGGAGTGGTCGCGGATCTTCCGAAGGCTTATAAGGGCTCAAGTTGATCAGATCTGCGAACACAGACTCGTGTTTCCATCCAGCCATAGCACTTGCAACGGTCCTGATGCCAGTCTCGAGAGATGACCATGTGCGCCAATCGTTCGCTTGGGTCATAAGTAGGATGGAAGTCGCAAGGATGGCGTCTGCGTTGGACTTTGAAAAGGAACTAATGGCATCGTGGAGTCCTCGTAGAGCGATACCGCCATGCTGAATTTGAATCTTACGCGTGTCCGGAGAGGGAGAGACCCAGGCCAGATGGCTGGCAGAGAATGCCAAGAATGCGTGCATGACGTATGAATACGAGGTCGCTACACTGAGATACCTAAACGGGCTAATTAGGAGTGGATAATCATAATGGCGAGGGGTAAGACGCACTTTGGAACCATGGAGGTCCATACCGTGATGTCGCTGGTGCTGTTCATGAGTAGTGACCGTGAGATGGATGAGAGATGCTGGATCAGACGCAGCTCAATTCTCGAATGGTTTTGTGGACCAGGTGGAGGGAACACTTGGAGCTCCGGGTAAGGGAAGTTGCCAGTCTGTTGCCAAACATCGAGCATATGCTCAATCCCGGGAGATGAGGGCAGCGGCATCTGATCTGGCGGTGATTGCATCTCTGCTTCAGGTCGTTGTTGGTCCATATAGTCACAACGGACTTGGTGCTTCGTGCAGTTACGACTGATGAGATCTTTAGCATTCGATGCGGCGTGAGAAGAGCGGAGAGTGATTGCTTACCATTGAGGGAAAGTTTCATCACATCTGATATGTCTACGCTTGCATGTCTTGCATCCTGTTCTGCTCTTGGTGTGACTGCGCCTCGAGGGACCGGCGCCTTGACCAGCCATAATGAAGTCGGGCTTCAATTGGATAATTGAGTGTGAACCACTTTTTGTCACAAAGAGCCAGGCTTCCTGAGCAGATGATATCCTAGGCCGGTGGGAGGTTTGGCGAGACAAGGGGAAGAAAGGAATGAAAGTCTAGAAGGGCCAGCAGACGCGTAAGGAAGGCACAAAGGCAGAATGCAGAAAGCGGAAAAGTGGTAGAAAAGAACTAGGCAGCGAGCGTGCTTGATGATGTGCAGGGAAGCGAGTGAATGGACCCGGTAATAAGTGGAACCCCCGAATGCCTTTCTTTGATGGTTCGAGACGAACTGGTCAAGAACGCAAAGGCGGTATACATAGCGTTCGACGGGAACCCATCGAAGGTACTAATTTTACCGAAGGGGACCTGCCAACGGGTCAAAACGTCGCATGACATAGCGCTTCTGGGGACGAACGAGGGCTTGCGCGAGCTGCCACCAAAACCGGAGGTTGAGCTTATTCAAGGCATGGCAAGCACCAATGCAGTTTAGACTCAGCTAGAAAGTATCCCAGACCTTTCTATTCTCAAGCCCAGCACAGTCCAGTCTGGTGTTCCAAGCCCTCTGACAGGCGCACCCTTCCGCCCGGCCTGTCCGAAGTGGTCGTCCATTCCATCACCTCGCTGTGCAACGTCGAGCGCCGTCTTATCTGCGCTGCCTACTCAGCCATGTCCAGCAAGCCGTCGCCTGATCCATCGATGAGTCCGTCTGGTATTCTGTAAAGAAAGGCGAGTGCAAACCATGAATTGCTGATCACACGTGCTACCCTAACTGAGCTCCATCCGAGTTGAGTTGAAGAACAGTATTCCTCTCGCTTGTGTTTATTTTTAGCAACGACAAAAGTCGCTCTCCACCAATCGATGGACGTTGCCACTTTGGAGTTAATGGTCGCTGACTTGCCCTTTGCCAGAAACACTGCAATTCGCGCAACCAGTAGGTTTCTTGTACGTTTGGTTCTGCCGAAAGCTAGTCTTGCCGTTGCGCCCTACGCCGTCGTGTTGTCGGTATTCCCTGAGCTCCAACCATAACCTCTGTTTCCCGATACTGGGAGAAATTCACGTGGCGGGGAGCTACAATCTTCCGCCATCCGACACCCGACATTTCTCGTTTGTCACGTAAAACCTGCTGACCTTGCCATCTCCCTAGCACGCACCGCTGAGCTAGCGGTGTGCCATCACGTCCTGGTGTCATATCAGATCTCAAAGAATGCGACGCTATCGATAGCCCTCTAGTTTTCGAGGTGACATGCATATGCCCTCTGCTTTAGTATAATGCTGCTTATTGCGACAACCAAATGGCATGGCACCGTAGTGTTGCTTCTGCGAGAGCTGCTGACCTGCATCATATTCCTCTGCACACCAAATCCTCCGATGTCCTGAAAGGATCGAGACGCTGCGAGATCTACAGTTGCATCACCCTTCCATTGGGGTCCTTACTGAGCGTCGACGTCGTTTACGCATATCAGCCAGGAAGCCAAGGTCAGCCTGTCTTGCAGATCAACTCTATACAGCGGCGGCTTGCGGCTCTGACTATTCATGGAAACATGTCTTCAACCTAGAAAGATGAGTAGTCATTTGCAGTCGGTCGACAGAGGAGGTTGGCTCGAGGGGGCGTCGGCGGCCCGCGCGCAGCGACAAGCAGTCCATGCTTTTCAAGTCCAACGCGCGCCATGCAGAATCGTCTGTATCAATGGCACCACTTACTGTGACCAGCCATCTGTGCTTCAATCTGTGCCCTATCCTGAGGTGCAGTAGATCGCTCAACGGCACTGCATATCCTGAAGAACTCTTGGCCTCTTCTTTCTACCGAAGGGGATCATAAATGGCACCTGGCCACCCGTAACCCTCATGTCTACCAAGCGATTCACTTCTCTCGGATATCTGATGCCTGCGGAACGAGTGACCGTTCTATTTTCGGCGTCCATAGCTAAGGGGCGTTCTCCATTGAATTGAAAGCAGAATCAGAAGCGAAGTCTCGCCAGTCGACCCAAACATCGAGTCAAGGACAGATGCGAGTGGCTTCGGCCGGCAGACCGGTTCGCTGCCGTTGTCTTGCTCAATCGCTCTCCTTGTTCTTAGAAAAGAAAGGCTGGAATTATTGATGAGCGCATAGCATCTAAATCAAGGTGCACACTCGGCGCCGGCCATGTGCTCTCCTTTGGTGAGAGTTCACACCGAACGTGCACACTTGGGATTTGGCTCCGCTTCCTGCTCCGAATGGATCCTGCCTCAACGCGCTGCCTTTGAAGTAGTCATATCGTCGAGACTCGATAGTTGCGCCGAACACCTCGGTCCAGTCCCTCGAATCCTTCGTAGGCTTGTTTACAATCTGCAGTAAAAACAATCAAAAAAATTGAGGAACGCATCGGTTACTTCTTCCTCGCATGATCCCCGCAAGTTCTCGGCGCGAGCGGCATGATGTCTGTGATCGAACAAGGCAGGTCGAAAGAGACCCTTGCTTTGTTGTTCCTCCATTACTTCGCTCGGGCCTTCTTAAAACGCTGCAAAATCCAGTCATCGCTTGAGATCTTCAGCTTAGACTGCTTGTCGTAGCAGGTCCAACCGGCCACCCTGCTGCTGCTCACAGCGCATCGCTTGGTTCCGACGGGGCTTGCATGCTGCTGCTGCTGCTGTATCCCGAACCTCCAGGCTATTTTGCTTTAGACCTTCTGCTCGGCTCAATTGTCTGTAAAGAGATGTGTTCGGATCAAACGTTGTGTTGACGCATTCTCAATTCCCATGGCCAATTTTTCATGGGTCCGAAATTCACGTCTCAAACGCCGTCCGGTGGCTCGCGGTGAGGGGGTCGGGTAAAGAAAGGACACTACACTGGTTCGGAAGCCAAAAGTCCAACGTGTCATGGACCTCGAGTTTTTTTTCAGTCTCGATCAGTGTCAAAATCTTGAGTTTATTCGCCTTTTGCACGCTTGTCCCGAAGAAATCTATCTTTAGATTCGCCATGGAGATCGAGCGACAAGACGTTGTCACCGTCCTGCCTTCACTTCACGTCTCGAAATGTTCCGCCAGTCTATCACAACTCAGCACAACACGGCAACCATGTTGTTCGTTCTAGAAGTCGGTTTTTGAAGGTCGGAACAGGCTTGAAAAGGCATTTCCGCCGTCGGTCCGCGTGCGACAGTGACAGTCATCTATGCGATGTCTCAATCGATCCCGAGCCGACGATCAACTCCCAATCTTCACTCTCAAACGCCTTCTACGGCCATTATTCCCAGCTCTAAAATAAGATGTCGGTTTCTGAAGGCAACGATACAGACGCTTCCGGCGGGCGCGAAGATCCAAACAATTAGGCTTGATCCTCCGGAGCAAAGAACCAAACAGTCGAACATGGCCCTCCGGAGCAAGTCGAACGCTAAGGCGACCCTGCCTTGCGGGAAAGAACTCTGCCGCTCCAGTATAGCTTTCTATCGGAAAAGTAAACGTCCAGTACAATGCCCGTGTCTCGAAGAGTAAGCTCTGGAAGGTCTGGTCGAGCTGCTATAACGAAGATCGAGATACATCCAAATACCAACCCGAAGCATCGCCTGAGATTCAATCGACACGTGGGTTGCTGCTTTTGCAAGCATATTCACATGCATACCAGTGACCCTACAGATGCAACATACCCCGTTAGCACCGACATCGACATGAGGAAAGCCAGATTGACTCTTCCGATACTCCCCACCTACCGTCTGTTCACCAAGCAGCACTCCACCATGTAGAACAGCCCTTGCCCTATATACGATGACAACACGACACCTAAAAGTATACAAGCCGTCATCTTAGGGCTCAGAGACCTCCCTCGTCCAGTCCTCCGCTACGACTTGACCAAACAACACACGATCTCGGCAAGGGATGTCAATCGCACTTTCTCGTTTCTGCAAGCGGTAGGAACACACGCTGAAGGGCCACTATCACTTTCATCAGCACTTTACGGCAAGCGACTTTCGCAGTGCAAGGTGGTAAAAAGTTTAGCCAGCACTAGATCTACCTATGTAACCCACATACAATGGCCGAAAACGCGAGGGCGATGGTAGAAGTAGCTCTCCTATATATGTACACAAACTCCAAAAGGTGCCTAGAAGACGCAAAAACTGCACGGGCAGAAGAGAAGAAAAACCAAACCTTCAGTCGTTACAAAAGACACTCTTTCAGCAAAGCAAATCCCCCATATCAGCTCTGGCACGAAGACGCCGCAAAGATTGACCTGATGTAAATTAGCCACTCACTTACAACTATTGTAACCCTATCAATGCTACGCCTTGTAGGAAGGACGACGGTAAACATGGCCCCGTTGTGGAGAAGGAGGAAAGGGCCACCCGTGGTTTTGAAACGCGCTACAGTCTCCCAAGAACGGAGCCTCAAATGTCACCGTTCAATGCTGATCACGACCAAACCGTTCAATAATACGATCAAAAGACAGAACAAGACTGGAGAGATCGAGAAACCCAAAACAATACCCGTTTGTCCTCATTTGCCGATTGGCTGATTTTTTTCTTTCCTGTCTACAAAGTCAATTCAAAGCACAACGAGGGGGAGGTTGTCTTTTGGATACGAGCAAAGCAAAAGCATGTTATGGACAAGGGTACACGAAGATTGCTAATAACAAAAACAACAACGTGCCCATGTAGTGCCTCCTCGTGTTTTCCGCCATTTCCCTGAAGATCCCACGTCCTGCATTGTATGTCGAGCCGGAACACCTTACTAGGAAAATGCTGAACCACGTCCTTCCCCTGTGTCTCCGAGATCTCCGACTCTTTCCTCACCCGTTGTATGGCTGGGTTAACCACTAGGCCATCAATGATGTTTGTATTTCTATTTTGGTAACAGCACGTTAGCCTTTACCGCTCAAAAGAAAAGCTTCGCTATGGCGCAAAAGCCCACGCAAACCAACCGAGTGACAAAGAAAAGAGGCTCAAGGGAGAAAAGATAGGGAAAGGAAAAAGGACTCACGTCTTCCGACTTCTTGACATGCTCACGGTCGACTTGGTTCCCCACACCCTTGAACGTTTGGCCAACCGCACGGCTGACACCAATGACGGGTTGCAGTAAAATGGTGGGCGCGTGTCTCATCACGGCTTTCGCAGCCCCTGCAGCGGTTCCACTGGCCATGAAGTCGCCCTGAACGGCAATTATAGCATCCTTTGCTGTTGTGAGATCACGCTCGAGATAGCGACGCGCCGAGTGCAGGCCTTGAAGTACGCCCAGGGGTTGATCTGCATAGTTGCTGACAGCACGTGGAAGAGGCTGCTCGTATTCCTCCTCAACATTCGACGAAGCTTGATTACTCACAGAGCGTTGAGCTGGCGAGAGCATGTCTTCAATGTCCTGCAATCTGGTGCCCGTGCCAATCGCGACCTTTGCGATTAGACGTGCGAATCCGGACGAAGTTGTGCTCAAGGCTTTGACGGCGCCTTTCTGAACACTGCGAACTTTGAAGCCATCTTTTCTAATCTCGGCGACTGGAACTGCGACAATGTCGCGGATCCCGATACCGAGCTCGACAAGAGGTCTTGTCATCCCAATACCAGCGAGCACTCCACGAAGCTGATTGTGAATTACGTCTGGTGTCCAGATGTCACTCAAGGTGTCATGCAGCGTATCGAACCCTCTGAGACCGTAGATGATCGCGTGCTTGAGCTTGATGTCGGCCTTTTCAAGAGTCACAAAATTCTTGAACTCAGACATGCGACCACCTCGTAAGCCGACATAGTCGACCTTTTTGGGCTTGTAGTCTAGGCATAGGCTGACGGTGTTGACTTCCAACCGTTGTATAAATGGTGGCTCGACAGCAATATCGGCCGGCTTGGACGAATCGTCCTTGAAGTCGAAGAAGCGGGTCATGAACTCTAGTGCATCCTGGTCGACGTGTAGGCGTAGCGGTAGAACAGAAACCTAAAATAAAATATGGTCAGCTTTGGGAACGGCAATGGGACCACCGCATCTTACCCGTAGAGTCATCTCCGTGGCTACTAATTCTGGTACAGGTCGGACATTCAAGAGCTCCAGGTGGATCATAGGCTTCATCATCTCGCGCATGTTCTTCTTATCGTTGTGGAGCGTCAAGAATTTCTTCCAGGTCGAGGTCGGCACGTGGTCGTAGATTTCGAAGTTCGTCACCCTCACATCGATCGAACTCTGTACTTCGCTGCTTCCAGCCGGGTGTATCAAAAAATCGAGTGAGACTCCTTTGAGCTCGAATCCGAGCTTGTGTGAAGCACCTCGTTGAAGTCGAAGTCGCTTTTTCCGAAGCCTCTTCTGGCGGCTGAGATCAGCTTGACTCGGTCTGGATATGCCAGTAGTGGCATAGCTTTCTGTCTCACTGGCGGCCTCGTTTCCTTGATTTATTAGATTGCTAATCGAATGGCGAAGGTCAGCAGGCTCGCGAGCAGAAGGTACGCCGATGTAGATGGAGTTGAACAGGCAATCGCCGATGACTGTCTCGGTGTCGTCCTCAAGGGTGTTGGACCTTCGTCTGCTCGACTTGCGTTCTTCGAGCTTCATTTCCACCTCTTCAACGGCCTGTGTGATTGCCTCGCGGGTGCGGCGCCAATCGTAACCATCGTACAGATTCCAGATGATGTTAACATCCCTGACCCTGACTTGCACTGGGAATCGTTTTTGCTGCTCGTGGGCTTCTCCCAGTGCTCTCGAGCCCCCATAGATCTTGTCGAGTTTACGGTCGTTCTGGTAGTATGGCCTGATCACTGCAGGAGTCACTACCGCCGAGCTGCCGAGTTCTTTCCGTAGACTGCGCAGCAAGGCGTCGTCGCCGAATTGTGGCGAGCTCGTCATCTCAAATGGGTCTTGCTCGAGAAGACTTTCGGCAGTATCATCAAGATTACCTCCGCTGTAGAAGTCCTCGTCATCCAAGCCCATATCCGCGTGCATTGCCTCGTAGAGACCCGATGTGATATCTGACCCAACCATCAGACTATCTTCCTCAGCTAGTGGCAGATCCATCTCGGCGTCGAATAAAGCAGAGGGAGCATGGCCAGGTTTAACGAACGCATCTCCAGAGAAAGAGTTTACCATATCGTCCAGTGTCATGAGCCCATGATGGGGTTGAGGGCGAAACTTAGGATCATCGTTGGCGATTGCAGGTGGCGATAGACCATTGAGCACAGAGATCAGAGTCTGTGTAGAATCGGCACATGTCTCCAATAGGAAGAACTCGTCACGAAGCTCGACGTCGACGAACTTGTCATGATTGAGATCGTCTTCAAGAACACACACTGTAGCCTGAGCAGATCTGATCGAGCTGACAGAAACGTAGCCTCTGTCCAAAAGATTGTTTTGCAAACGTAGTGAATGATTTGGCTGAGAAGACGAAGTAGGAGAGATCAGACTATCAGGGGATAGCACTGCTTCATGATCAGCAACATAGAGCGTTGCTTGTCGGATGTTCAGAACAGCTTCGAAGGACTCGTCCGGCGGGACAGAAGTACCAAACTTCGTGTCTTCCAGTAAGAGGAGCCCTTTCGACCTCAGCTCCGTGGGCTGTAAACCAAGAGCGCAGCCATGTAACAGCACATCAATGGCGAGCTTCTTGTTGACGATTCCAGACGACTTGCTGACATCGGACACAGGTGGCGACGTCTTCTTAGGTCCTGGGTTTGGGTTCTCTAGAAGAGATGCGGCAAGATCTTGCGCCTTTTGCTCCACTTCCAAGGCAGTCTGGGTACTGGTGAGAGAGAGAAGTGTAGGAACATCGTACTCGACGCAGATGTTGAACAGCTTCACTTTCACGACGGGCTCCACTTCATCTCCGACCATGCGCAACATGAGCATGGGATATTCCTCTGTACAAGCTCCTGAGAGCATCTCATGGATTATGTGATGTCCTCCGACTGGACCCAGGCGAACGTCACCCGTAGAAAGTGCAGTGAGGGCTGGCAAGCCGACGTGAGCCACCTGTATGTTCTTGAGAGAGACGTTCATGAGTCCAAACTGTTCGTTGATGGGTACTCTGATTTGTGAATCGGCAAGCTTGATCAAAAACAATACTCCAGGAGTGTCATCCTCAGGCAAGTACTTAGTAACTGCTGACAACTTAGAGAGCTCACCGCCGAGCAATTGGAGATGTGGTACAAAGTCCCACTCATGAACGTAGGTTTGGAAGGACGATACGTGCACGTTGAGAACCGATCCTTTCCTCCTTTGCCTGATAAGGGTATCGACCAGAATATCATCATCGTTCTCGTACTTGTTCTTGGAAGGAGTAACAAGTGATATCAGGTGGCTCAGATCTTGCTGCAAAGGTGTGGGTTTATAAACAACTTGGACCATTCTGACAGAGATGTCGAGGTTGGAACGCCTGGTCAGCGTGTTCGTCGTTGGCATAGTAAGAGATAGTGCCTCAATGGTTACTTTCACACCAGCTTGTCGATGTATAACCTTTGTTGTCGACGCTTGCAACTCCAGAGAGCATGACTTGGAAGCTAGCTTTATATCAAACCCTTCCAAACGCGCGCCGAACTTGATCTCAGGCTCAGCGCTCACGTCAGGCAGTGGCTCTCGAAACCGGACGCCCCTACGCGGCGGGGCTGAGACTTCTTGCTTCTTAGCAAAGTATTCGCTCGACAATAAAGAGGAGCTCATCTCGACGATACCAATCATCCCACCTAATGTCTCGAAGTCTTCGTCAAATTTTACCAGATCGAGGTCAACATGAAGAGGAAGTAAGTCGGCTTCAATTCTTCTGACGCTTTGTCCCTGTATTGTCGTTCTTGTGACAGAGGTAACGGTGATCGCATTTTGAGCACTCCTCTTTTCAGACTGCTGCTTCGTTGTATCGAATGAGAATATGATGTTGCTTCCGGCCGTGAAAATGAGATTGCCAATTTTCAGACCGACTTCCGCGGGTGGAGGATGATTGCTGATTTCTACATCTATGCGTTGTAGCTCAAACTGCAGCAATGCCCTCTTCTCGTGAGCCGGATATGGTCCAGGACGCCATGCAGACAAACCAAAAAGTTCTGCTGATGCCTCCGGCAGATCTTCGAAGAGAGACACAGAGAAGGAATCCAGCTGCAAAGAGAGCCCTGGTAAGTTCTGATCAACGTCTGAGTCCTTCTGGTCAGAGCTTCTGCTCGATGCCGGGGTTTGGCCAGGACCTTTCACGGTCTCTGCTAACTTAAGGAACGAACGAATGATACCAGCATCTAGCTGTAGCTTTATCGGAGTGGCTTCAATTTCGATAGTTGTGTCCATTGCCTCGCTATCCTCAGAGACCCTAGCTGCCTCATCTGTAGCTGGCGCATTGAATCGCACGGATGAGCGACCTCCCTCGGCGTAGATCGAGAACGCACCTGGGGTTTGCTGGAAGGCAGAGGTTGTCATCGAACTTTGAGAGATCGAATCTTCCGCTTTGTGCGCCGGTCTACTAGCACGTGGAGCCTGACGAATGCCGATGTTCAATCTGTGCATAACCAGTAATTCCTTTGAAATATATGCCAAGGATACACCTTGAGATTCGACTTCAGGTTGACGTTCATGTACGGGTGACTGATTTCTCAGAGTTGGTGTCAGAGCTCTATCCTCAAAATTGGAATCGGATTGCTGATTCAGGTGTTGCGACAAGAATGGAAGATCTAGGTCTTCATCGTCATCTATGACAGAGTTCCAGCCTCCTGGAAGAGCCCTCAGATTCGGAGATGTTCTTGTTCCCTGAGCTGGCCCAGGACCTACAGCGCTTAGATACATGCTCTCCGCCTCGGCATGACTGTAGACAACAGATTCTGTCAGGTCGGGTCCATTACCTGAATCGAGGGGGGACAGAGCTGGCGGAGTTTCTGCATCGGCACTGTTTGCAACATCCCGAGCTTCAGGGATCTCAGAGCCGGGGTAGCCATGTTGATGCATGAAGCTTGAGCTTGAAGCAGTTTGTGGAGCCTGGGCACTTGTGAAGGACTGTCCAATTGTCGATTGTGACATGACGCTAGAGGATGTTCGAGTATCGACGGTACTCATAAAGACCGAGGACGATAGATCCTGAAGAACCTCTGAGGCTGGTCGATCATCATCAGGGGCGAATGAGGACCATATTTGATCGTGATCGGAAGACCCTCGGCTACGCCTATCGGCCCAGGAGACGTTATCCTCACCAGGACGTATATCAAAAGATGCAGTGCTCTGTGTCATCTCATCCGGTAGGCTCTCGCTGTCCGAGTCGGATAGGTGTGCGTAAGCTGGAAAGTTCATGTGTGGCAGAACACCAGATTCGGCCAGAGCAGGCTCCGGTTTCGACAAGGTGTCACCCTTATGCTCTTCTTTTCTACTTGTAGCACTCGATGTATATGAAGCGAACAGATCGGCCATGGAGGTACGCGTGTGAGCGAATCGTTCTTCGCGCACATAGTGGACACTAAGGCCTTCGAGAGCGATATGTCTTCGCTTTCCAGCAGATACTTGAGGATCCGTATCTGTATCAGCAGCATAAGGGGCGGCAGCATTGACCTGAATATTCGCAAGATTCGCGATGAAGATGATAGGAGATGGTCCGGGAGTCGATTCGTGGAGAGACAGTCTGATGTTGACGTCTTTTATCCTCACTTGCACACGGTCCACGATTCCTTGTAAAAACGAAGCGACCATAGCAGGCAGACCTAGACTGATGCCAGTGCCCAGATCATCGCTTGTATCACTCAAAGACGACTTGGCCATGTAGCGGGCCTCCAAGTCTAGTTTCTCCTCGACCGGCTCTTCTAGTAGTATTGATCGCGCGAGTGTTTGAGCCGAGGGTAGACGGCTGCTTTCCTGGAAGGAAGCAGCGGGGGATTGTATCCGACGATTCGTCTTGCGATGTTCGGGGGCCTTTGCGTCATCGGCATCGTCGTGGTGTTCAGCAGGGACGTCTGCTGCGATGTGGACCTCAATACCATCTACTTCGGCGATGATGCTCTGCTGGAAGAAGTTGGCTGGAACGGTCAGGCGTAACGACAGGACACGGGCGACGTGGAGGCGGATATTGGGCGGAAGTTGCAGCAGAGCCGACAGTTCCTAGGGCGTGTCAGCCACTCTGACAAAGGAAGGCACGGTAGTGGATGTGTATACCTGAACACGGAGACCGACATGCTTAAGCTCGACAGTGCTGGTCCTGCCGATGTTGACGCCCAAGGAGTCGAGGTCTAGTGAATCTACATCCAGCAAAGCAATACGCGATAAAGCCGTCCGTAGCAGGCGCTTCTGGAAGTAGGCTGGCATCCATGAAGCCATGATGGCGTGGTGGAGCTGTCAAGAAGCAGGAGTCGCCCTCAACCAAGCGTGCTCGTTGTTCGTATATTCATGTTACGGTACGCCGACAACAACTCGCGGGGTACATGGAGACAGAGTGTGAAAGTGTTGTGAGTCGGCTGGCCACTGTTTCGTGCTCGTGCTGGGTCTGGCGATGGGCCTCCTCACACGACTCTGAGATGCTAGTGTCTAGTGTCTTTGTCGCCGCTCTAATTGCAGCGTGCACCTGACTGTCAAAGACATCCGCTCTTGTCACATACATTGCGGAGGACAGCCTAGGTAGCAACTCTAACCCCCGTCTCCGTTATCACCGCCGTCATCCTATCGCCGATCGCTGCTTGTTTCGGATCATCATGTCTGTGCACGCCGTCCCTGGCCAATGGCACCGCTGCAGGTCGTCTGTATTTCTCTCTTCATCGTCCGCGAAGCAATAGACGATACTGTGCAAAATATCCACCTTGTTTTGATCTCCGTTATAATTATTGTATATCGCCCTTCTTTGCCGCTTCCATATACCGAGACTCACACATTAGATTCTGTAATCTCAAAATATGGATCACCTCAGCATTCAAGAAGAGGCTGATGCACAGTGGCTTCATGAGCGAGGTGTTCCAACGTTCGAGGAGCCATTCCTTCAGAAATACCTTCAGGGCCGAGATGCTCTAATCAACCAAGAGAAGAAGCAACGTAGCGGTTAGTCAGATCTAAATGACAGCTAAAACCTCGTCTCTAACTCTCCCAAGATCATGCTTTCCGGGAGACCCTGTCCCCAATGGCTCGCGAGGCTTGTGCTATTGTCTCTGCCATCAGATTCGAGGAACAACAAACACTTTGGACTAAAGACTACGAAGACAGTCTAGGCTCTGACTCTAAAGATATCTACCCTGGAATGATGTTCACTCTTGCCCGCCCCAAGATTGAACAATCCAAACTATGGAAAATCGTCAAGAAGATGCCCAAAGGCGCTCTGTTGCATTGCCATCTGGAAGCCATGGTTGACATGGACTGGCTTGTTGAGGAAGTATTCAAGATCGGAGGCATGCACATCCAGGCCGACCAACCCCTCGACTCCGAAGATGCTCAACTTTCCACACCATTCGTCTTCAAATGGCTTAAGAACCGCTCCCCAGAAACATCCTCGATATGGGAAACCTCTTACGTTGGTGGTCAATGGATCCCCATCGACACTGCCGCTGATGCCTTTCCCCACGGTGGGCGCAAGGGCTTCCAGAAATGGCTCAAGGAGCGCATCACCATCACTCTCGACGAGTCCACACAGCACATGCATGGTCCCAACGACATCTGGCGCAAGTTCCAATCATGTTTCGGCATCATCTCCAGCTTACTCCACTACGAACCTACCTTCCGCGCCTTCCTCCGCCGCATGTTTGAAGAACTAGTCGAAGACGGCGTGCAATACGTCGACATCCGCAGCACCTTCCTCGACCCTTTCTACAAACAAGGCTCCGAAGACCCCGAACCATCCAACGAACTCATGATCGACATCCTCGACGAAGAAATCGAAAACTTCAAAGCTCTGGGTAAAGGCTTTTGGGGTGCAAGATTGATCTATACCACTCTGCGTAGCTTTGACTCTCGCAAAGTGGTTGAAAGCATGCAAGAATGCATCGACATGAAAATTCTCTATCCAGAATTAATCTGCGGATTCGATCTCGTGGGCCAAGAAGACCTAGGTCGCAGCCTAGCAGATCTCACCCCGGAACTCTTCTGGTTCAAAAAAGCATGCGCGCAAAACAGAGTCGACATCCCCTTCTTCTTCCACGCAGGCGAAACCCTCGGCGACGGCGACGAAACAGACGAAAACCTTTTCGATGCAATATTGCTCGGCACACGAAGGATCGGACACGCATTTTCACTCTACAAACACCCATTGCTGTGCGACATGGTCAAGGAAAAGAAAATCCTGATTGAGAGTTGTCCCATCAGCAACGAAGTACTGCGTCTAACAAGCAGCATCATGTCCCATCCCCTTCCCGCTTTACTTTCCCGCGGCGTCCCAGTATCCCTCTGCAACGACGACCCGGCAATCCTGGGCCACGGACACAGCGGCATGACCCACGATTTCTGGCAAGCACTGCAAGGATGGGAGAATCTGGGACTTGAGGGCTTGGCTTCGTTGGCGGAGAATAGTGTCAGATGGGCTTCCTTTGAAGATATGAATGCGCAGCAATGGCAACAGGAGCTCAAGGATGGTGCCTATGGCAAGGGCGAGAGGGCACTGAGAATGCAGCAGTGGGCCAAGGACTTTGAAAAATTTTGTCAGTGGGTTGTTGTGGAGTTTGGAGAGGATCAGGATTTGAATCCTGATGAGTAGATGTGTGTAGAACGGCCAGACGTCTCGCGACTTCAGGGAAGTCAATAATTGGGTTATGATCGAGGAATATCTTGTCAAGCTCATCACTCAACATGGGTGCACACATTCATACCACATGCAAGGAAAGAATCACAAATCACAAGCGAGCAAACTGCAAAATAGTAGTCTTGGTAAAAATTTGATATTGATCACAACTATCGACTTGAATCTCGTATTACGATGTTAGGGGGTTCTCTTAGACGTGGACCCACTGAAGTCAAGGCCAAATCTCTTCGTTCCCCTGCCAGCACAAGAGAGACTAAAAGCGACGTAAGGCACTCCGTCTCTCTCGGCTGGACGTTCAATCTACCAACGCTCCGTTCCAAACTTCTTGCGCTGAATAGCAAATAGTTCGGGCAACTCCTACGAGCTGCATCGCTGGGTGTTGTACATAAAGTACATGTCACGAGTGAGAAGGAGAAGGAAGGGGGTGTGAAAAGAAACGAAGGAAAAAAGACTGTAGAGTTAGAGATCATGAATTTGTTGTCGTTGCGAAAAAAAAGTTCTTTTTGATTGGCCGTTGGGCGCTCTTTGCGAGCAAAAGAGGATTATTCTTTTCACGGTCAAAAAACACCTTCCGTCCAAATTCTCCACGTCCGTTCCCAACCAGCAGTACGCAGCAATATACCGGGTGAGCGATACGCTTAGAAGAAGGTGGCAGGGCGGTGGGCAGCGAAGATCTTCTTGCCAGCGGTCTTGGGGATGCGGTGGGGAAGGGGGAACTTGAGGTTCTTGGTAAGGAGCTGCTTGATGTAGGGGCGGCGGATGTCCTCGGCCTTCTCGACCTCGACGACCTTGATGATCTGTAGGGGAGTGTTAGCATGGGCGGGCGGCAACACGGGGCCAGCATGATGCCAGGACGTACGTGGATCGATCGGAAGCGGGCACGGTGGCGGGCGGCCATGTCCTGGTAGAGGGCATCGACGGCCTCGCAGCGAGACATCTCGCGGTACTCCTTGTACATGTTGTGGGTACCAGAGCGAGAGTCGTAACGGATCCAGATACCGAAGTTCTTGACCTTCTGGGGGCGCTTCTCATGAATCTGCAGGCGCGTGTTAATCGCGTCACTTAACGCCAAACGCTGCAGCCCATTTCCGGGAGATAGCATATAATAAGAGTCGTACCTGGTTGAGGGTGACGATCTCGCCGTTTGCCTTCTTGACCTTTCTCAGCTGAGACAAGAAGTACCAGAATCTGCTCTTGGCGACGACCTCGTTGGGAGCGAAGACGCGCATGCGGTAGAGCTTGGGGGTGGGGTTGGCCTCGGTGGGCAACAGACGGCCAACGACCTGGTATTCTTGGAGGCGAGCTGCACGGCAGTATGTATTAGCCCAATGTTCCTTGCTCTTTGATGCTGACAGTAGACCATGCCAGCCGATTCGATCCTTTCAATTCCTCCTCTTTCTTGCGCGGGTTTCGATTCCTCCGTGTGGCCCTAGTCGAGTTCTTCTCAAGTGTCGCGGCGTGTGCAAGCGGAACGGTCGCAGCCAGATTGGACCATATTCAGGATTGCAGACGATGCGGACGAAGATACGGGATTGTGCAGGCCAGATGGAGGAGGAAAATCGGCGGTGGATCGAACTCGGCGGTAGGAAGACGTGTTGGAAGAGAATATTGCTTACCCATCTTTGTCGAATTGTCAGTATTGCAGAATGGCAGATGGAGGGCTGGGATAGACTCACTGTTGCGTTTGCTGGAAGGTTAGTACAACGTAAATTGTCGGTCGCTTGGGAGAGAGAAATTCCTGCGCGCGCTCGGTGGAGTCCCGACGCCAGACTCCTCGTTTACCGGAATAAGCCGTCACTACAGTGCGCCAGCCTCACTCTTGGCAGCGAAGCCCAGCAACGGAGCCGGTCATACTTTTCGCCGTCTTGCCAGCAGTCCAGCTGACGCTCAGACCATTCATCATCGACCATCAACATCACATGCCAATCTTGTCACTGACTCCCTGTGTAGGTACTTCGTGAGACATTCATCTTAGGTCACTCTTCTTACCGAGTCGCGACTTTGTGGACTCAATCGGCAAGATGAACAACGTGATGATTGAGTTTGGGCGTGCGATGATGGCACGGGGAGGCTATGAGCTCGCCAGCACTCTGTCACCAATCGCACCCAAGCATGATAGTGGTCGCTTGTATGCTCTGCACAGAGAAACGAATGCCTTCAGCGTTCAATCAGATTTCCGTCATGCTCTCTCGCATAATCCGGCATGCAAGCTGGAGAGGAACGAAGTCAGTGCATGGGCTGATGTCTTTGTCGCATACTGGAAGGCCGTCGGCGAGATTCTCATCGCCGAAGAATCATTAAATTTAGGGAAAAACGCATCGAAACCCCAAAGCAAGATCGCCAACTGGGACAAAGTGTATAACGCTTGGAAGGATGTCCTTAACATGCTCTTGCGAGGCTACCAGATTGAAGTCTTCGATGCTTGGACAATCCCCTGTCTATATCTTGTGGCCAAGTTCCTGCGAGTGTTTGCCATCAAAGCTGACGATGCTGCCTTCCAGAAAGGCCAGACATCGTTCAACGCTTTTGAGGAGGACGTCGGCGATGCTACAGGAGGAAACGAGAAGCTCGAAGATGCCGCACGCCAGATCAACAGAGTCTTCAGTCTCTGCATTGGCGATAGATCTCCAATAGAGACTTCGCGTAAGTGGGGAGCCTACTACATCGCTAACTTGCAGTTCAAAACATACTTCAAGGTAAACATGCATATTCATGGCTAAAGACATTATACTGACATGGCTCAATAGCTGAACTCTATCGCTCTCTCACAAAACGTCATTCGATCGCTCTCGGCGACCAACACCGACTTGCCTCCGCTGGATCGATTCCCTCGCTCTCAGCAAGTTACTTACAACTACTACCTTGGCGTTCTCAAATTCTTGCACGAAGATTATGCCAAAGCCGAGGAATACTTGACTATCGCATACAACAAAGCATTGACGGGCTCAACTCGTAACATCAGGCTGATTTTGACATACCTCATCCCCACAAGGCTTATCACTGCTCACGTCCTTCCTACTCAATCAATGCTGGCACCCTATCCTGGACTGCAGCGACTCTTTGCTCCGCTCTGTGCTTGCATCAAGAAGGGCGACCTGGCTGGCTTCGATACTGCTCTCCAAGCTGGAGAAGAGGAGTTTGTCAAGCGCAGAGTGTATCTCACCCTCGAACGTGGTAGAGACATCTGCCTTCGCAATCTGGTCAGAAAGGTCTATCTTGCTGGTGAAATTGAAGCACCGAAAGAGGGCGAGGCGTCCGCAGAGCCAGTCCGAAGAAGTCGCATTCCGTTGAGAGAGTTTATGGCTGCCTTGAGAATTGGCGGCGAGACTGAGTTGGAGGGCGATGAGGTTGAGTGCCTGCTTGCCAACCTGATTTACAAGGGCATGATGAAAGGATATATCTCTCGCGGCCACGGAATGGTGGTGCTGAACAAGAAGGGAGCCTTTCCTGGTACTGGCGTATGAAAGAGGAAGTCTCGTCATCGTACCACGTTCTGGAGCTCTCACTTGTCTCAGATCGTCACCAAGCCACGACCTGTGCTCTTCGAGGAGACACCAAAACCAAACCGATGGTGTCTGCAGACACTATACCGAGACCGTTCACATGTCAAATACAGGGCTGGCGCACACAACGCATCATTATATGTGGAATATATGCTATGGCCATCTCCAGCCATTGAAGCGAAGCAGCACATTGGCCAACACCCGATTAACGCAGCCGAACAAACACGAGGTTATGATATGACAAAGATGCATCAACATAGATAGATAGCATAGCGATTACTGAGATTCTGGATCAGTGTTATTAGCTGCTTAGACGAAGCAACAAGACTGCTAGCATGCTTAGACATACGATGTTCCAGAATAGTCAATAGTCGGTTGACCTTATTGTTATGACCGCTTCATTGTCTCCCATGTGCCAAAGTTTGTAACTTATCACACTTCTAGCACAATTCTCACACGAGATTATAGATCGTGAATGTTACTATAGAAATGCACAATAGTCTCTAGAAGGTAGAGGACTCCACTGAGAGCCACTCGTGTCACTGCTCTGTGTGGACGTCTCTTGGTCTTCGAAACTGTTGTGCATTTCTGCAGCTGTCTGCGTTACAAACTTTAAGAAACTTGGCCTGTAGCTACGTCAGGATGATCATGATTTTCCTGAATTAGATGACCTGCTCGGATTCCCGTCAAGCAACTCACAGCAACCATGTCAAGTCTAGTAAACATCACTCCTCAGCCTCACAGCCAGAAGCGCAAAGGTGGAAGAGCACCACTGCCAGAAGTCGAAGAGAACTTTACGCGGCTGCCACCAGGACCCGGCGACAGGACAGAACGCGCAGTATGCAAGCACTGCCAGAAAGAGCGCAGCTGGCACACGACGGAGCTGGTCAAACACCTCGACAAGTGCGCTCAGTATACGCCTTCGAAACGTCAAAAGTACACGCGACCATGGCGCATTGAACAGCCTGGCAATAGTGCGCACTCGCCAAATCAACCACAATCGCAACAACCTTCTCCACAGCAGTTGCACTTTGACCCCGCCAGCAACCGCAGTGTGCGAGTTGCTCCCAATACCGCCTTCCAATGGGATGGTGCTGCAGTTGCTGGAAGGTCTTTGACGACGAACAATTCGGATTCTAGGTCAGGAGAGGAGACCCACCATGTCGATGGTCTACAAGAGCGCGACCCACAGCCGCAGCAGCGTCCACAACAGCAACAACATCCAAACCACCACACCCTACACACACCCTCCCAATCCCTCGGCAACACCACAGACTACACAACCACCAATACCCCCAACTTCGCCACTCGACCCCCTTCCCAACACCAACCCCCCACCTCTCCACCATCTACACATCCCCAACCCGTCAACGACCCGGACCCACGCCTCCACAGTTTCATAGAATACGAGCGAGGCGCCATGGCATGGCAAAACCGACCCGACGATTTAGATGCCATAGAAGCTTGGTTGCAACACCATAGAGTCGACATTGAAGATATCAAGGAGATTACAGATACCAGATGGACAGACTCGTGGGGCTTGAAGTTGGGGGATCTGTATAGGATCAAGAGGGATGTGCAGACGTTCAAGGTGTTTGCTACGAGGTAGTGGGGGTGGCAGAGGGATGTTTACTCTCTGTGTTGCAAAAGGGTTGTGCTGCGTATTGCTATGAGAATGCACAATGTTCTTGAGAACTGGATTGTATGCCATGGAGATACAGTGTTTTCCGGGCTCTCTTTAGACGGACTCCTAATCTTTGAAATCGCTGTGCCTTTTTACAGCTTGCAATACTCCCTATAGCTTCGTGGGAGAGAGGGGGGTTGTAAAATCTCAGCTCACGGAGAGAAATCCAAGGGTGTCCTCCAGGGAGGTCCTCTAGTTCGAGGGTGTGTTCTTTGACGCAGGTGGGTTTGCGATCTCTCTGTCTGTATTGCTATGCTTGGGTTTGAGGTATTAGCATAAATCAGTGGCTCTGCGAATAGAAACTAAACATGTATGTTTACCTCTCGAACATCAGACTCTCTCTGACCTGACTTCTGGATCTGAAGCCACGAAACCACACAGGGATTTTGCACATTGGACCCAGACCACCACACAAATCTCAGACACATCATCCTCAGCTCTATCGCTGTACCTGTAACTGAAGGTTGGTGACCTGGGTATCATCATCAGGATCGTCATCGACCTTGACAACACGATGTGTAAAGATAATGCGTAGTTGATACAAGTAATGGCATTGAATTTCTATCAACTCGTCTAAGAGACAACTGCCTCACTCCCTACATGTTCTTGACCAAACTGCCAGGACTGACATACTTCTTCGACCCGCCAAAGTAATAGTATCCACCAGCCATAACCCACATGGCTCCCCAAATAACGATAGCCCAATTCATATCCGGTGCATCAGGATTGACATCCTCAGGAAAGAAGGAAAAGACAAATGCAACGACCAAGAAAGCCAACGCTGCATCATTCAACGGAGCACCCCATCGACCCAGATCGAAACGACGGGGTAGCAGAGGTTGTCCTCTCCAACGCTTCAGACGCACGCATCCAATGCATACGATATAACTGAAGAGCAGCGCGGAGTTGGAGACAGACATGATGGCGTCGAGAGCAACTTCCGAGCCGAAGTTGATGGCGCCGAGGATGAGGGAGACGGCGAGACAGAGTAAGAGGGAATTAACGGGCACGTCCCAGCGAGGGTCGACACGGCTGAGCCACTCGCTGAATGGGAATCCCCTGTCTCTGGCAAAAGCCCAGGTTTGACGTGACGAAGAAGCAATGGTGGTGATTGCGGAGAAGTATTGGAGGACCAAGAGAATAACAGTCATGACGGAAGTTCCAGCCTTGGAGCCCGTGACATTGTACAGGAGCTGTACAATGGGGATGCCAGTACCAGTATTCAGGATACCGTCAAGATTGTCGCCAGCGGCAAAGCAGAAACTGATGATCATGACGCAGCCGAGTGCGCCGTTGATGACAGTAGCCCACATCATGGCTTTAGGCAGTACGCGGGAAGCATCGCGCAGTTCTTCGCTCATGTGTGCACCTGCATCGGGACCGATAAAACACCAGATGGGAGTGACGAGACCAACAAGACAAGAAACACCTTGACTGCTCCAACCACCACCATTGGAAAACTCAGTGAACACAGTCTTTGCCGATCCAACATCAGCCATGACCCAAAAGACAATGAGGTAGGCGAAGAAAGCCAGAACGTGGAGTACAAGGATGATACCCTCAGCAAGAGGCAACTTGTGCGAGAGGAAAATGTTGAAGCCAAAAGTGACGAAGAGGAAGGCGAACAGTAAAAGGCCAACCTGCCACAGTTCTCCAAGGTTTGCGTCAGGGTTGTTGATGAGGACAAGACCTTCGACTTGGTAGGCCAAGAACTGTGCGCAAGAGGGAATACCAGATACCCAGCCCAGCCAAGAACTCCAGCCCACAATGTATGACAGAGGCTTCTCCAGTGATGGCGGAGCAAATTCACTGACCCAGTGGTACTGACCGCCTGCGGTCGGTGCCATGGAGGCAAGTTCAGCCATGGAAGCAATCATGCAGAGGGTGAAGAGCCAAGTAACGATAAAGGTCCAAACTGTGCCGGCCAGGCCGCCATTGTGCAGAGACTGGTCGTTGGACAAAAGAGCACCTTCCCAGGTGGACTGCAGAATACAGATGAAGCCAACAATCGAAATGAAGCGGAACTCTCTCTGATAGATTCTGTTAGAGAAGTGTCTCTAGACTGTCTGCACATTTACGTACTCTCAGAACTTGTTTCTTGCCCATTCGCGACATATCAGCGGCGTCGGCATCAGTGCCCTTCTTGACCTCGGGCACAGAGCCATTCTCTGAAGGCACCTCCTCAAAGGAGAGTTTGTGGGTAGGCTTGCCGGCCACAGACATAGCTTCTGAGAGGGACGGTGTGAGGAAAAAAAGAACCTTGAACGAGGAAGGAAGCAAAAACGAGACTATTGTGGCTTGACCGTGAGTTTTAGCTTGGTCTGCTTGATCCCGGAGCAATGGTTTTCTCGGTAGCATAAAGCGTGGCTAGAAACAATGTGTTTGACATCCGGGCCCTTGAATCTAGAGATGATCGACCTCAAGGCTTCTTAGCTAGAGATGCTATCAAATGAGTAGTGAGCTATTATCGAGCCGTCTGCGCACTAGATCTGCGAATCAAAACATGTGTTTCGCTACATCTTACGAGTTGGTGTACCTTCAATTACAACTGTGGGGTCTGAGGGAAGTGAGAAAAACCCGGATCAGCAGTGGAGTGATGTCTTCGTACCTTTGACTGAACGGTTCTCGGTAGTCTCGGGTCTTCTTGACCTTTCGTGAACCCTGTGGCTTTCTGTATATAACGCTAGCAGGTCAGCAATTCAACCAAGCGGAATTGTCCCTTGCACAGTTCCACTGCATTGCATAATCACTGTTCGTCAGATTGTCCAATGGTCTAGGTGCGGGTCATGTTGTTCCAGCTCGATCGTAAAATTACGAAAGTGGGTTATCCGTCCACCGCGTGTCAAGTCTGTGCCGCGTGGTGGACTCAAGCAATATGGAAGCGGCAGTGTGTGGCGATTCAAAGGATGCCGAAGGCAGGGACCGAGGGTCAAGCACTGCTATACGCCGTCAAACTTCATTATGTTCTTGGTTCTTCGAAGGAACAGTAGACTTTTCAGTCGTCCAATATCAGCAGCTGTCGCCGAACAACAGATTGCAAGGTTCAACAAGCATCCTCTCCGGACGCCATGCCGAAAGCTAAGATCCAGTCAAGCATTGTGTTCAACATCAACGAAGGATTCAACCGAGGCTAACCATACGAAGCGAAATTGTGTTAATCGAGGGCATGAACAAGTTGATGAAGCCATCAAAAAACAAGCAATAACGCGACATGCGTTCGCCAAGCTCGTGCCGAGCGGCCAGGTCCGAAGCGCCTTCTTGTTCTCCACGACCGTGCCTCACCAACGACATGACCTTATTGTCTTACCTACCTTACAAGCGGCATCGCTGACGCCCTGTGGGAATGCGAGAATACGCAAGAGCAAGACTTTCACGTGCTGTTCTTTTCGTTGTGTAAACGTTACGCGAGGTCTGCTCGATCGCAGTCGTGAATCCTACGCACGCCACTACCTCTGTCGATCCCTCTCTAGGACTGAATCTGGAAGTCGATGAGCTGCAGCTCAATGACAAGGATGAAACGCATAGACGGCTGGTTACTCACACCGTACAGTAGGAATGCGCTCAGCATATGAGTTTTGGCATCTCAGCATCATCAATCAAGACATCCACAAGCTATTTGTGCCTCTTGCAAGAAACATATCGGCAATATACTCTCTCCGGATGATCAGATCACGAGATGCACGTTTAAAAGCCTCGAGTGGGAAGGTCCCTGCTGTCTCTCCAGAACCCACTCGGGTGTCCGAGCGTCCTATCGTATCGCCCTGAACTACATTTGTTCCGAACAACAATCTCAAGAGATTCTGGCCTCGGCGGCAGAGAAGCAACCACCACATTCTGTTTGAGCGGAGACGCTATGTCTCGCCAATCCAATCACCTTCATACAAGCTTGCCCTTTCACCATTTGCCGAGCGCAAGGAAGGTAGGATCTGCTGCAGCAAGATGGCAAAAGTGCCGAATGCGAGTATCGATACGCCTTTACTGCGAGCAGTTCATCAAATGTGTGCTAAAACCATGAGGCGTGAGTCTCAGAGTCTATCGTTCCTTCCTGCTGATTCTTCCGACTCTGATTCCGGTGTTTGCGGCCTTTTGACCCTCGACATTGTTTGTATATTGCGATACTACCGGCCATCGCCAGTTGCATTTCCCTCGCTGTCTTGACCACCCCGTCTATTTTTGACACAGGTTGTATGCCTGAAGGGCTAAATCATGTCGACCGACAAATCAGGACTGGTCCATCATCTTGGATATGCGGATTCCTTGAACGTTGCCATCAGCATCTGCTTGACATACACGCTAATCTTCACATGTGTTCGAATACATCTGCGGAGGAACAGTTTCGGTGCGGATGATGTTGTCGTGGTCATTGCTACCCTGACTGCATTGGCACATTTTGCAGCGTCGTACACATGTCTCACAGCTGGTCTGGGGAAGCCATACGATATTATCAAAGCGAACATCGGCCAACTGAGCTCTGTAAGTTCAAGAAACAAGATGGGCTCGGAGCTTGTCAGCTGACCATCTTCCTATAGAGAGCGATTGCTAGCGCTGTGTCATTCGTCCTCGCCCTATATGCTGCAAAAATTGCCGCCTTGGTGTTCTTGATGCGCATACAATCGAAGACGCAGAGGTCATACTTGTACCCCATCCTCATCTCGATCTATACCATCCTGGCTTTCGCAAGCACTCTCGTAGTCACAGCAGGATGCCCATCAGGATCAGGCTACTACTGGGACTTTGCAGGCAACAAAGACTCCTGCCCTAGCAAAAACGGTAGATGGCAAGCCGTGACAGTGCTAGATGTCATATCCGAAATCGTCTTGTTAGCATTGCCGGTCAACCTTGTATGGTCGTTGCAGATGCCTCAGAAGCGTAAGGTCATGGTTATAGTGACCTTTTGGTCCCGTGTCCCGTAAGTCACATCATGCATATACTAGCCACGCTGAAGCTAACACAACCCGCCACAGCACAATAGCCCTCTCCGTCATCCGCCAAATCTACACTGCAAAGCTCTCCACCTCGAACACCGATATCTCCCTCTCCAGCACTTTGGTCACCATCCTCATGGCTGTCGAAGTCACCTACGCATTGATATCCTGCACCCTCACGACCTCGAGCAACTTCACCAGCGGCTTCAGCACAGGATTTGGAATGGGCCACATGCCCGGTGCAGCAGAATCGTACAACATGTCTGCTGTAGTATCTTCAAGTAATCCTCGGACCCACAGAGGTGGCGTAGACGGTCATAAAAGCAATATGTCCACCATAAGGGGAACAAACGTCGGCACGCGAAGTAGTGTTGGATACAGGTCACACGTCAAGACACCTAGTTATGAAGACGATCTGACAGATGGACCGTTGCAATTGAGACCTTCGCAGCAGGGATTAGAGTGTAGGACTATAGTGCAAGGTGGTGATCACAGATATTGGGGCGAGAGTGAGAGCTTGAGCAGTGATCATGACGATTTGGGTATTGTCAGACACACCGAGTACAGTGTTTCTCACGACGAAGCACCGATACTCCAAAAACACATTCTATATCAATCATAAGACACCCACATCTTCTACCAAACAGTATATCCGCCATCAACAACAACTTGACTGCCTGTCATGTAGCTACTTGCATCGCTAGCCATGTATACCGCTGTACCCCTGAATTCCTCAGGTTTGGCAATACGATGCAAAGGGATATCTTTGATCCAGCCTTTGGCCAGTTCTTGCATTTCCTCGCCTTCGTTGGCGGCGGTTTGGATGTAGCCTGGTGAGATTGCGTTGACGCGGATGCCGTGTTCGCCCCACTCGCTGGCGAAGGACTTCATCATTTGGACGACTGCTGCTTTTGACTGTGGATTTGAAGTCAGCGTTGCAAAACCAACGATAGAGACAGATGGTAAGTGGAAGTAATCGCACTTACGGTGTTGTAAGCCGATTGCTTCTGCGGCCGATTCACAATCGTACCCGACATACTCGACACCATGATAATACTCCCCTTGATATTTCTCTCAATCATATGCTGTCCAGCCTCCTTTGCAAACAAAAAAGTGCCGTTTACATTGACGTCAAGCATGCCCTTCCAATGCTCAAAGTCATACTTTTCAGCCGCTTCGCCTCCAGTAATGCCTGCATTCGTACACAACACGTCTACTTTGCCAAAATCTTTGACGATCTGAGCGAATGTGGACTTGACGGCTGACTCGTCGGCGGTGTTGCATTCGTAGGGACGTAGGTCGGGGGCGGGTAGGCCGGCGGAGGAGACTTCGGAAGTGATTGTGGAGATGGAGTCGCGGGCGGAGGAGAGGGAGAGGTCTACTACTGCACCGTGGCCGCCGGAGAGACAGAAGGCGGTGAGAATTTGTTGGCCTAGACCTTGGGATGCACTGGAATTGAGGTGTCAGGATATGGCTTGATATACGAGGGGTTCGAACACAGGATACCCTGTCACGACGCAGACTTTGTTGTCGAGAGTGAAGCACGGTAGAGTACTGACGCGACGGTAAGTTTCTCGCTGATGGAAGACATGTTGGCATGGTCGTGAAGCTCTGGTGAGTAGACGAAGGGCTTGCGAGAAGCGCACGTACGGTGGCATGGTGGTGATGATCCCGAGGTCTGGCGTTCTGGCAGATGGCTTCAAGATTGGTATGACAAAGTGGCTACGGTCTTTCGTGTGGGATGTAGAGAGATGGGAGATCACGTCTCCTCCTACCTCGAGCTATCGACCTATCTTCTATAATCACACAAAGCAAGAGCGCATTCGAGCTCACGCGTCACAGTTCGCTCATTCTGCAATCATACTTTGCAAAGGTAAGACCCCGCTCGCGTGGTGTCTTGAACCAGGAACGAGAACGAGCGTCGTCCCCAGCTGACCCACAGATGAGTTTAGATGTACAAGAGGTTGGTCGCAGGTGAAGACTATTCTCAACCTACACAGACAGGTTAAGGAAGCGAGAGAGGTGCGGTCGGGCTCAAAAACATTTGCCCCAGAGGCTTCGTCGGCGTTCTCCGCTATATACCTACCTCTATCAACTCAAGAACGCGCTTCATGCTTAATTCTTAATTTTATATGCGGGCTCCATACAGGTCCACAGGTTTTTTGGTCAAGATAGATGTTGATACGTAGATTCCAAAAGTATACATGAATATTGATGTTACCACTTCGTTCGATGCCCATTTCACTCCTAAGAATCATACATCCTCCTCATCATCGTTTATACCAAGCTGTTAACCCTCTTCTTGATCTACCAGTTCCACCCGTACTGTAATGTTTCCTCGAGCTGTTGAGATATCCCTAGCTTGTATACACGAGGGAAACTGTAAGCATAATGAGTTTTTCAAGGAGCAACACTAGCTTCCTTGGTTGACACGAAGAAGAACATGAGTGAGGCCTCGACAAGGCAGTTATCATCACAACACCGAAGGTCTCAGCTTGCGGCGTCTCTAACTGTTCGACCCAGACTCATAAGCATGTGAACTCTTACCCCGAGCCCTTGATCTCCATGAGCGTCTGTGTCTCAAACACGCATGAAGAAGACAATTCCGAGAGCAGGAACAAGCACAAAGATCCACGGTCGATCAACAAACCACAAAACAGTCGCTACGTCCTTTCCATGCCAGGTACCGCCAGCACTGTGGCCAAAGAATGTATACTCCTCTGAGTAGAACTGCTGGGTAAGTATATGAACACTATCTTGATCAAAGTCCTCCAGTCGCTTGGGCGGAGCAGAGATTACGCCAGCACGTTCAGAGGACCATGACCTCAAGATATCGCTCACAGACTGCGGACCAGTACTCCAGGAAATGGTGAGGTATGGGAAACCCCAATCTCTATCTCTTGCAGCAAGCGCTTCCAGCATCATTCCCGTCAGAGGATGTCGGGCTCTGGTTGCCATTAGATCGTTGTTGATTTCAGACGGCGATGCCTTTGAGTACCAAGCTGAGAAAGGAAGTAGAGGGTCCAAAGCTCGTCGACAGGCAATGTCCATATCTATATACACCCCTCCATAATGCCAAAACACAAAGTATTTGAATGCATCCACGCGTTGTATAGAATATCGATATGCATCATGAGCAAGTCGACCAACCAAGCGTGAGGTTGCACCGCATTGCAAGTGTAGTTCGATGGCTACTTCCCACAGTCATCCACCTTCAATCAAGCAGATACTCCATTTTCGATAGCCGAACACGGTTGTAGAGATATCAAGGACTGCTTCCAACTGGAAAAATAGAGTTTGGGTATGCACATAGTGCTGGAAGGTCTGAGAAAGGTGCGGTCAAAGCAGCGCGGCACAATTCCGCGGGCGAGGAGCCACTGCCGCTCTTCTTGCCGTGAGCTCGCTGCATCATGATGATGACGGAACATTGTTAATCAACACAATCACCCACCCGTCCATCCATCTTCTCTGCCGACAGATAGCACCTTGCCCTCCTCATCTTCCCATCGACACCGCACCTCGTCCCGCAGTTCAAACCTACCTGAACCGTCAAAATGAGTTCAGACAAAGAACAACACGAAAACAACCCCACTGCGCAAGAAATGGAACACCACAAATACGACAACGAGAAACTCGTCCAACGCAACCCTCACCCGGACTTCAAATCCGTCGAAGCCTCGCGTCCAGACTGGCCCGAAGAAAACAAATGGCACTACACCAAGATCCGCAATCCAGACTGGAAGTTGGGCGACGGCGCCAACGACAATGGCGAATCGCTGAGGAAGGAACATGTCGAGATTGACCCTTATGCTGAGGGCCGCCCTGCTGTTTCCAACTACAAGTTACTCATTTCGGCTATCATCCCTAGGCCAGTAGGCTTTGTGAGCACGAGGAGTAAGGATGGCAAAAGCACGAATTTGGCGCCGTTTTCGTATACCCAGCTTGTTAACCATGATCCTCCTGTGTTTGTCATTGGATATGCGGGTGGCATGGACAATGCAAAGGACTCGCTCAAGAACTTGACAGAGACTGGCGAGTGCGTGCTCAACATCATCTCTGAGCACTTCATCGAGGCTGCAAACAGCACTTCCATCAATGCTCCCTATGGAGTGTCAGAGTGGGCGTTGAGTGGCTTGACTCCTGCAGATTGCACTCAGGTCAAGGCCAGTCGTGTCAAAGAGGCCGTCTTTGCTGCAGAGTGCAAGTTGATGAACACCCAAGAGTTTGAGAGCAGGGCTACTCCTGGAAAGAAGACTGGTGTGCTTGCCGTGGTCGAGGGTGTCAGGTTCTGGGCTCGTGAAGATGCTATCAATGAAGACAGAAACTTGATCGATCCTGCTATCCTCAAGCCTGTTGCTAGATTGGGAGGCATCACTTATTCGCGCATCACAGAGGGCTTTGAGATCCCTCGTCCTGATTGGGAGGAGAACAAGGAATTGGTCGACAAGCTTGCGAAGCCAAAGGTTGATGGCCAGTAGAGGACACATGGATGTACAAACGCTACCAACCTATACATGAGTTATGACAAAAGGATCGAGCACTTTTTTTGATTGTCGAAATCTTTGAAGAAGCACATAACACAAGACAACCAACTCACTCGCCATTCCTCCTAAGCGCAACCACCTCAAGTCTACCACACAGCAAGATTGGCTAATTCATGACCGAAGTCGCACGCGCGATCAATTGGCTACCGGTATAGGTCCAACTACGGCCATATCTAGTGCATTCCGGATCCTGATCAGGACGAGGAAAGACGTCGCAATACAACACCGTCGCCGGTTCTGGCGTAGGCTTAGGTTTCCAGCCCGGGTTTATGATTTCGGGGATTCTCGGCCGTTCGACGTTTGGATCGACATTGGGTCCCACGCTGGGTGGCCACCAGTCCGGTATTGTTGTATAGACTTCTGGTTCCTTGGAGTGCGTTACGGAAGTTCCGGAGTTGCGGGCTGGAGGACCTGCTCCTGAGGTGGTGTGGATGCGGGTGATCACGACATCTGGAGGTTGTGGTACGGTGGATGTGGGTGTTGGTGGTGGGATATATTCTTCCCAGGTGCCGTCGTCGTCTGGGTTGTCGGTACTGGTGTCTTGGGGCTTGAGACCGTCGGTGAGGGTGAGGTCCAGACATGTGGTTGCTGGCGATGTGATACAGATCTTTGTTACCGAAGGGTCTCCAAGCGAATCGTCTTCGTCACGGCGACTGATCTTTGCTTGCTCAGAGACGAACTCGTTGTCGAGGGCTGCAGCAGAGGCGTCGTCACCGGAGACGGCTCTATCGTAGACGATCGTCTTGACAACGGTGACAAAGCTTGCGGCCTGCACAGCCATGAGACTGGCGATGCAGGACAGAGTGACAATTACAAGTCGCATTGTTCTTGACGTTACGCCCGGAGGTTCGAGGAAAGGTGACATGGGGGGAAAAGCACAGAAGAAGCTGATGATGAGCGACTGGAGCTCATGCTGGGTGCGTCAGAAGTTAAAAGTGTAACAATTTTGCGGAGCATGAGGGAGTTTCTGGCGTGGCATGATGTAGGAGTAGTAGGCGAGCAAGTGACTCAGCCGGAAAGTCTAGTTGATACGGGTATAATAGATCACTCTTCTTCTTCATCGTCTTCTTCAGCCTGGAGGTCGGGGTTCAAGACTTGACCGATGAGCTTCATGGTCGCATTGAGCGGTAGACCGACAACGTTGTCGTATGAGCCATCAATCTTTTCGACAAGAATGGCACCCATGCCTTGAATACCGTAGCCACCGGCCTTGTCGGCGCCTTCGCGAGTCTTTACGTATGCGAGAATGAGTTCGTCAGATACTGTAGGCTTTGTCAGTGAATTGTGGTGAGGCAGCAAAAGGAGCATGTGGCGGACCTGCAGCGTCGAATTTGACGTTGGTCTCCTCGACGTGTCTCTTCAAAGCGTAGCCAGGGTCCATGGCACTTTCCAAGGGAGCCATACAGACGACAGCGGTGTAGACCTTGTGCCAGCCGCTGTTCCTCAAGGCCTTGAGGACCGAAATGTGCTCTCTCTCGCTTCTTGGCTTCTCCAGAATGTCACCCATGGGGCTCACAACGACCGTGTCGGCCGCAATGACCAACGCAGGCTCGCCCTTGTCGGAATCGATCTCTTGACGGTAGATGAGAGAACATTTCTGCTCGGCTGTTTGTAGGACGTATTCGAAAGGAGCGAGGGCTTTGCTGAAGTCTTCGGGAGCTGTGCAAGGGATGATCTCCAAGTCTCGTAGACCGATCTGATTGAGGAGCTGCTTTCGTCGCGGCGAGGCCGAGGCCAGGATCACTCTCTTGCCACGGAGAGACTGTAGTGCGGGAAGCTCAAGGGGCAGAGGGGCGCGGGCAATTTGCTGGCGGACTGGAGCGGGTGCCCCAGCGACGAGAGGTGTGTGTTCGGAGTCGGCGTCGTATGCCGGCGGTGCCTCGAGTGGCGTCTTGTGGTCTGACATTGTGCTCAAGTGCTATGTATCGTGTGTGAGAAGAAAGATGGTGGATGCTGGCGACTTTCTATCCATGACTCGGGCCCGTTGTTCCGCCCGCCATCTGAAACACCCCGCTGACGTCCATCGACCTTCCGTCCATTTACCACTTTCTATCAAACCATTCGCACCTATTCTTCACTTTCAGTTCTCTTTTATTCCTACTAGATGTGTCCTCGATAAACAGTCTAATTCCAATATCCAAAGACAATGGACAAACTGCCGGATGAGTTAATACTCCAGATACTCTCATGTAATCAAGAAAGGAAACATAGCATACAGTACACAAACTGATCGTTTTAGTCTTGGACGTGGATCAGCTTGTCAGATGCCAGTATCTATCTCACCGCTTCCTGGATCTCAGCCGAGACGACAATATTTGGAAACTGGAATGCTTCGATGCTTCACGGGCAGAGGCCAGGCGTAGGCGTCTACGAATTGATCCCGCAAACACTCAGCTTCACACTCTGAGGTCTGCTTTTAACGAACTTTCCGGACAGCCATCACCATCTTCTGATCAAGACGCTGCGTCAAAACTATCGCCCGCTGCAGAGACACAACGCGCTTTTGCCAATTGGGATCCTTCCTATGGAAACGAGACCATCGACTTCTATGGGGAATACATCCATCGACACGGTCCAATCAACATTGGCTGGTTGTCTATGCCGGGATCTGAGTCTCTGGAAGCCACTGGCCTCGGTCTAGTCCGAGACTCTGACGGCGATCCTCAACACCTTGCCGCATCCTTAGACGATGGCAGTATTTGCATATGGGACGTGCAACCTAGGTATACCGACTCAGATCTGTCGCAAGGCCGGATCGTTGGTAGAAGCTCGCCAGGTCTCCTGGCCGGTGGGCCCCGTGCGGGTCAATCTCGCCAAGAGACCAAGGCAATCATGACAGAAACTGGTGCGGTCGAATCCGTAAGCATCGACAACAATCGCGGAAAGGGCTACTTTGCTCAGAATAGTACTCTTATCGAGGTTGATCTCGACACACTCCAAATAGTCTCACAGGAGACCTTCCCCTTCCCCATCGCTGCGCTGTCGCAGGCTCGCAACTCGAGTCTAGTCGTAGGCACCAATTGGACCGTTCATATACACGATCCTCGCAATAAGTCAAGGTCGGCGGTCAATCCTTCTCTACAGTGCGAGATCATCGGCGGACCTGCATCAAATCATGCCTCACTCTCACAGCCTGGACCCTTGTCTATCCTGGATCGTGTGCAGGATGAATCCATTTGGATTGCCGGCAGATTCACGCACCTGCTAAACTATGATCGTCGCTTCTTCCCCAAGGTACGTGGCACAGTGCATTCTGGAGGACGTATATCCTGTATAACGGAAAGACCTCGACCATATGTTCCACGTTCTTTGGATCTGCTTCAGGATCCTTCTGTATCAATTTCGGATGTGTATGCTGCAAAAACTGCTCTTGGATCAACCATCCTGGCTGCAGGCGAGTACAAAGGCAAAGGCAGTCTTGAGTTTTACGGACTGGCACCTTCACCTTCGGGGTCAGTCATTACAGAGAGCTACCGAAATAGACAGACAGCCGCTTCAACTCGATTGTTGTCGGTAGCCGCACATGGCAACTCTACAGTATTCAGTGATGGTGATGGCAATCTGAAATGGATCGAGCGCGATGGCATGACGACCATACGAACCTACAACATCAATGAGGCTGTTGTTGCGCCATCTTTCAATCAAGCACAAAGCACAGCTCAGGGGCCAGATGACGAGTCGTCCCAGGGGGACATCGTGCAGAAGATCATACCTCTTCAACCGTCAGCACGGTCATGGTCTAGCAAGAGGCCAGATGTGAATCAAACGGATCTCGTACTCAAGACGGGTGACGGTCGGGTAGGAGTACTAGGTTTCGGCCACAAGACGCTGTACAGCAGAGAAGAAGAGGAGACTGTAGTTGAGACCACTGAGGAGAGGGTCAGGAGAGACGCTGAGAAGCAGTACCGAGAGACGCTGGGCAGGGCACTCCAAAGTCAAGCTGATGAAGTGAGGTTTATGAGAGGCCTGGGCATGGCATTCGGAATGAGTTAGGGCCTCTAGTAAATGTCTCATACAAGTAATCTTGACTGGCCCAAGCTCTCGAGCATTCGAAGCAAGTGAGGGGCAAAAGGCATCTCTTCTCCACACTCTCACATTTGCCCCGCCATTCAACAAACAAACTTTCATCATCCCTCTTTCTGGCCTCCATCAGCTTAGATTAACATTATCGATGGGTCTAAGAATGAACGATATACACGCACCGACAGTCGCATCGGGCCCCAGTAGCACACAGGCGAATGGCGCAGAAAGAGAGAAATTGTCGTTGCCAGAGCTCATTGCTGAGAAGGATCGCGTCTGGAGCGAACTGTCCGCACTGGGTTCAGTCCTAGACAGCGTGAGTATTGTTATACTACAACTTTGATGACTTGAAGCTGACAATCATACCTGCAGCATGGAGTCAACATGAGCACTCCTTTGACCACATTCGATGGCTACCCTCGTCCCGATCTCGACATTGCCCAGATCCGCACAACACGCGCCCGTATTATCCCTCTGAAGAACGACTACAAAGATTTGATGGCTCGTATCGAGAAGGCTATGCACGCACACTGGGAGAATGCCGCTGCAGCACCACTACCGCCACCATCGGCGGTAGCAGCACGACCCTCAGCCCAGACTACTGAAGCAGCAGCACGAAGCTCGCGCGTCGCATTGGAAGCACCCTTTGCCAAGGTCAATAGTGTTGTCGCGTCATCACCAGCAGCCAGAGCAGGACTCAAGCCTGGCGACAAAATCACAAGATTTGGAGATGTGGATTGGATGAATCACGACAAGCTGAGCAAGGTAGCCCAGACGGTACAGCAGAGTGAGGGTGTTGGCATCACGGTCAAAGTCATCAGGCCTGCTGCGACAGGTGCTGGCGAGCAGAGACTGGAGATGCAGCTCACACCGCGACACAACTGGGGAGGAAGGGGCATGTTGGGCTGTCATCTGTTGCCTCTGTGAAGTTATGCTAGGCAACAGCGGGCTACGGCTCAACAGGAAGAGAGACAGATTGCTAAGCAATTGCGACAATGATACCCAACTACTACAATGAAGCGTCAAGAGACAGCATGTCTCTGAGACGACTGCTACCACATGCAAGAGACAGGCAGCAGCAGCATCCAGAACACAAAACAGCACATGGCTGATGAGAGCACAAGCTTGCTAGCCCGATGGCCACAGCACATGACAGCATTCCATGACGTTGGTTCTTCGATCTGGAACGGTATAGGGCTGCATAAATGCATTACAGCCTAAAGCTTAGAAATCAAGTATGCACAGTTTCTGCCAATGAAAAGCAAGAATTGAAAGCCTGTAACATGATATGACGATGCAGCTTGAATTTACTCAGAAAGAACAGTGAGGCAGCAATGTGACCATGAAGCTCAAGAAAGGGAATTAGTAAGACAGGAGATGGTTGAGACAGGCGTGGGTGTCGGACAAGTCAAGGAACGAATAGAGAGACAGAGATACAGCGTTGGTGAGAGTGACGGAAGGCGTTTGTTGACTGGGAAGCGGCCAACGCGATGCCAAGGCCAGTGAGTGAGAGGGAAGGCAGGCGCTCGGGCCATCAAAATGGGCTCGAAAAACATGATTGCCATCGAGCGTCAACATCTCTTGCTCTTGCTCCTCTATCACTCTCCCATACCCATCTCTCTCGTCAGTCTTCCCGCCAGCTTTCATCACTCCACAAAGTATCCATCTCTGACCTTGTCCACAGACTTGTCGTTTTACTTGACCCTAAATCGACATCACAACAATGGCTGAAGTTCCCACCTTCAAGCTCGTCCTCGTTGGCGACGGCGGTACCGGAAAGGCACGTTCATCTCCAGCTCTCGATTCCGCATTGTCCGTCGACTTGCGCATCGTTTCCGCCCGTTCACTCTCAAGGAGCCACTCAAACTAACTGGATATGCTCAAAACAGACCACTTTCGTCAAGCGTCACTTGACTGGAGAGTTCGAGAAGAAGTACATCGCCACTCTCGGTGTCGAAGTTCACCCTCTTGGTTTCACCACCGTACGATTTCCCTCCTCCGCCGCTCGATGAAATGCGCCAACGACTAATCCCATGACAACAGAACCTCGGCCAGATCCAGTTCGATGTTTGGGACACCGCAGGTCAGGAGAAGTTCGGTGGTCTCCGTGACGGTTACTACATCAACGGCCAGTGCGGTATCATCATGTTCGATGTCACCTCGCGTATTACCTACAAGAACGTCCCCAACTGGCACCGTAAGCATCCACCTGCCTCCCCACCCCGCGTTTTTGCGCAGCTTCAAGATTTCGATTTCCAGCCCCGCTAACACGCCCCACTTACAGGTGATCTCGTCCGTGTCTGCGAGAACATCCCCATCGTTCTCACCGGTAACAAGGTCGATGTCAAGGAGCGCAAGGTCAAAGCCAAGACCATCACCTTCCACCGCAAGAAGAACCTCCAGTACTACGACATCTCCGCCAAGTCCAACTACAACTTCGAGAAGCCCTTCCTGTGGCTCGCAAGAAAGCTTGTCGGCAACCAGACCCTTGTACGTCTTGTCTCGACTTTCTCTGGCTGTCACGTGTTGCTAACATTTTTCCCAGGACTTCGTTGCTGCCCCCGCCCTTGCTCCCCCAGAGGTCCAGGTCGACGAGGCTGTTCTCAAGCAGTACCAGGACGAGATGGCACAGGCCTCCGAGATGCCCCTCCCCGACGAGGACGACGACCTCTAAGCGGTTTCGCCATTACGGAAACGGGATTCGTTCTTTCAGTAATCGAATTCCACGTCTTCTAAATACCCAGCGGCACGCTCTTCCGTCATCAAAATGCACTCGCGGAGCAAATATGATTTCGCGGCGGAAACACGAGAGGCGGACCGCATCTGCGCGCGTCCATGGCTGATATTGACTTAATGACTCTGGGGAGAAGGAATGGGTTTTTGTGCTTTCTTCCATCAATGAAAAAAACAACCACACCACGCACTCTGGCAATCACTCTGAGCAACGAAAGTAGACTTCTGGCATTCTATCTGGATCCTGCAGCGCTTGTGCTTTTTATTCTTTCTCTTTCCGCAGTCTCATCCCCGAAAGAACTACACTCTCAAATTGATGATTATTCAAGCGCTTTCGAAAAGTTACACAGATCAGGAATTAGATTGCATTCTTCTCTGGTCTACATTTGTCCTTTGCTTCCCCCATGAATCGTAAGATGCTCTCGATGGTATGTGCATGAAGATAAACCATGACTGCTAGTACTCTGATATTACCATGTTGTCCGCTCTTCCTCGGTCACAAGTCCAAGGGTCTCCTATTCCAGAAATCCGTGATGCATTTGAACTATAGAAATGCATAGTAGATTCGAGAGACGGGTTGCTTCCACTGAAAAGCCGAATTTACAGAAGGTCTCTTTGGATGCTGTCTTTACTTTGATCGTGACTGTGCATTTCCATAGCAGATGCTCTGCTTTATACATCCAATCGGAGGAGTGGGATAGTTACGGAGTTGGAAGGAAGGTGGCTCAAAGTGTGCACGGACGATGAGCCGCTCTTGCCAGTCAACGTCAGGTCATGGTTTCTTGCTTCCTTCTTGCAACATGTCAGCATACTATCTATCTACAATGATATGATCGAAGGCCTAATGGCTGCTAAGTTGCGATACAAGGCGCCATACATGCCAGGAAATTTGGATGTCTCTCTATTAACTTCTGCCGTTACATGAACACGGTATCTTTTCTGGAAGAAGACACAAGGATAGCCTGGACACAATCGGACGATCAGTCAATCATTCGAGCAGAAGATGTAAGATATGCTATCTAGATACCTGGATCTAGTATAGCTGTATGCTGGAATGATCGAATGTACCTTGTCATACTGCAATCTGGTCGTGGATCATCTGCTGTCAATCACATTCTGGACTGGAATCTGAAGTTCGAGTTTACCAGTCTAAGAAGCATATAAGCATGGGACTGGATATGGTTGACTTGCCAATCTGTCAGAGGGATGTGTGCCGAGCCATCTATCTTCTGAAACTCGTGCAGGAGCCGTATGTTGATTTCCATCAACAAGGTACGCTGCTCGATCGACCTGTATCATGGTGGCTTGCTGCTTGTCGGAACTGAGCTCAGCCTCTCATATTCCCAAGACTGGTGTCCGCGGATATAAAATCATTCAGCTCACATGGCTCTGTCGAATCACTGGTGTCGTGGACACATCGAAACGACAGCGTCCAAGGTCGATTGGTGCGAACATCCTCATGCAGTTTGCAAGATAGAAGAGCAGTGTGCGTTGCCATCACAAACGCACAGCGCGAGAAAGGACAAGTCCAAAAAGGACTCACAGCTTGCAGTGAAGCGAGAGGGCTTATATACAAGCCAGACTACTCCTTTCCCATCGGACCAACCATGAATCACTGGATAGCCGGCAGCCATGGCAACATGGTGTAGTCAGCGACCACCGCGACCGATGGAAAGTTCACTTTTTTGCGCCCCAAAGGCCCTGAGTTCGACTCAGAGACCAGGGGTTGTGATACTTTTTGCACTACACAACATTTGACATGACAAGAACTGTCCAGAGCCATTGTCTTCCCAGAACCTGTCCAGTTATTGGCAACAGTATGTTTTGATGGCCTAGCAGCATGGGAGCATCTAGCTGCTTGCAATGCTTCCTGTGTGAAAGCGCGTGGTTTCTTTGTGCTTTCTTGCAGTGGAGGCGAGGCTAGTGTCAAGAGATTGACACGGTATATCTCAACGGAAAATCGATCAGTTGTCTGGTCGTGTCGAAATGCACAGTCATCTTCAGCCTCGAAAGTACCGGCCAGAGAGACCTGGAGAGATGGATCATCTCGAGTGTCGTCGTCCTGTATGTCTAGAGTACTGTGAACCATGGTGGAAGCAATAATCGCGCGATGATTGTAAAGAAGTAGAGTCGGGCAAAAGCATAGGGTTTCGCTGGCAAACCAAGGGACATACTATCAGAATGCACAGTTCTCTTCCATCTCAGAGACACTACCAGAGAAAGCTGAGACGGCCATGACTCTCGTTGGATACAATGTTGTATCTCCAAAGCTTTGTGCATTGCAATAGTACATTCATCCCGTATCATTGCAAAAGGAAGTTGCCAAGCGACAGTGGACTCTTGTTGTAATCGTCAACCACATATTGACATCAAATCTCTCAATCACCATCAACGTGAGAAAGCAAAATCGGGCTCAAGTTTAGGATGTATGGAAATCGCCCAATCTAGGACACAAACAACTCGACCTCAATCTCGTTATTCCACCCAGCCTTCTTTCCAGTCTCCTTCCAAGCTCTGTCCACGTCAATCTCCAGCACGTCTCCATTGACACTCACGCATTCCTTGGGAATCTGCTTGCCAAAGATCAGAACCAGCATGTCTTTCTCAACGTTCCACTTTTTGCCCAGGTCGCCGATCCAGAAACCAAGCACTCCCAAAGCTTTGATAAGGACGGAGTATCTCAACTTCCCTGTCTTGTCGACAAAGACATCACTGCTGATTATGGCCGCTGCACCTGTCATCTTGCCAATCAGACCGAAGCAAGATATCATGATCGGGCCGTTCTTGCTAGTCTTGTATTCATGGACAGGATGGGCAGATAAAATCTCCCAACCTCCGACATCGATCTCGACACCGGTCAGCGCTTTCTTCTCGCCACACGACATTGGCTTGCTGATGGCGCCAGTAGTGAAAGCACGAATGACATAATTGCCTTCTTCGGCACCCGCAAAGGTGGATAGAGGGACGAGTTCAGACAAGGGGCGCTGGGTACAATTGAAAACACCCAGGTACGCCGTTCCAGTGCGGGCGTAGCCATGATAGGTGTGCACTTTCAAAAGGGAGTGGTCTTCGTAGCCGGCATAGGCATTTACACTCTTGCCGATGTTGTAGGGGCGCAGAATGACGGTCTTGCCTCGGGTCGTTCTAGCTGTCATCTGATTGATCAGCTTGATGTCGTGCTTTCCAGGATAATCCGTGAAGTAAATCGGTCCTCCAGACACACAGCGAGCCGCACCATGGAAGGAAGCCCACTCATGTGATGTTTGGAACATATCCCAGTCAGGCAGCACGTTCAGATGCTGAGTGAGCAGAGAGTTGTGAGCATTGCAGAATACATGCCAAGGGTGAGAAGCAGGTACTTCGGGGAAGAAGTCATCAGAGTTGCGAACAAGAAGTCGGGGCTTGTTAGTCGGTAGCTGCGAGTGGAAAAGCAACTGTGGTGACTGTGACATGCAAGAGATGGCGCGAGAGCCAAAGTGGCGGAGATGAGCGATGGTCCAAGCATCCTGGTACTCAGTGATCAACTTGCGGCGATCAGGTGCATCGACAATCATATCCAAGAAGAATTGAGCGTCGGTCTTCACTCCGGTGATACCGCAATCGTCCAGGAATGCGTAGAAGTCGTTGTACATGCGTTGAGCATCAGAAGCATCAACAACTAGCATCTCACCTTCTGCAACTCCGGGCTCTTTCTGAACCTTGGTCGTCTTGTAGTTCTTTGCAATATTGCCATCCTTGGCCACTCCGCCCCAGTAGCCTAGGATTGCATGCCACACGGCGATGTGGTTGATGTTTGGATGCTTCTTGCGGATATCCGTCACGGCGTGCTTGAGTCCCTGAGGGAAGCCCTCCTTATTGGCATCGAAGTCGGTCCAGGCTCGATCCATCTGTGATTCACCCTCTGATAGTGATTGCCAGTTGTCGTCGATGATCAAGTTTTCGATTATAATGTCCTCTTTCTTGAGAGATTCCAGAGCCTGATTGATCTTGTCAACGGTGAGCTTTTGACCCAGACCGTTCCAAGTGCAGTAAGTGAATCCATCGTACCACTCCTCGAGCCAATCGGCTTTGACGTTCTTATCCACGAAAGTCTTGATCTCGGTCTCGACTGACCCTGACACATTTTCGTAGCCTCCTACTACTTTTCTTGCATGGTACATGACTGCAGCATTTGCTATTTCAAAAGAGTCTGCGATCGACACGAGCACATGGCTGGTGCCTTCTTTTTCGCGATCATTGCGACCTTGTATGATAACATTGCCGTTGTCATCGTGTTGGAAGATAGTGAGTACGTCTTCAACGCCGCTGATGGCTAGACAGACGACATGTGCTCCATCATGTCGCAAGAAAGATGCGAGTACAGCATCTTTGTCCACATGGAACTTGTCTTTCCCCTGACGTGGTGCAAGCCAAGGGCTCCACAGTCTAACCAATGAGAACCATCGGGTAAAGTCTTTCGGGGTGCCCAGGACATGTCTGCTGTAGCCAGAGTCATTGCCTTCAGCGGCCTTGATAGGCGCGGTGATGGAATACAGTTTGGTGTCAGGAGTATCAGCGCTCGTCTTGCGAATGTTGAGTTCGGAGCTTGTTCCATGGAAGTATTCAGGGAAGCCTAGCTGCTCATGTGATTGTTGATAGTGGAGCTGCCCATCATCCAGTCCGCTTTGATCTTTAATCCACTTCCATCCAGCATCATCGCCAATCTGGAATTTGACGGTGAAAGATACGGGTCGAAGGTTGTTGGGCCTACCAGTAAGTTTGCCGGAATACCAACTGCGGGCGACCTGTGGTTTGGAGTTTACAAGTAACTGATAGGTAAGCTTATATTACACAGGGACCTTGTTCAACGACTCACAACGTCATCGTGGTCATTGGACGCCTGGAGAGCAAGTTCCGACCAATCATGCTGTCCTTTGTGGTTATGCCAGATCGAGACTCTGACATTTTGTTCGTTGACTAGGTGGGGTGAATCAATACATATCTACAGGGTCAGGGGTTGAGGATATGTACCTAATGATGCAGCAGATGTTTCTAGGAAGACAGAGAATTGGACCTGAGGCTTTTAGTGTCGAAAGACAATATGATGGGTAGAGACATACGTACAGTATCCTGATCTCTAGAAATGACAGTAGGTTGCCCAATTGGCGGTGAGCAGATTATTGCAGCATACATATTATCGTCGGATGTGTAAAGCTGTTGGGCGGGAGGGAGTTTCTCAGGCAAGTCGGTAGTCGCTGGATATACTCGCTGTCCAGTATTGACGTCGCAGAAGCCAAAAGTGATCTGGTTTTGTTTCTTCTTCATGAGTAAGTATGGTTCCAATAGTATATAGAGTGTAGAGATGTAGAGAAGAGGGCGAGAGAGATTGGGTCTAGGCAAATGACATTGATGGTTGGAAGAAAAGGAAGATGATACTTGGAAGGGTTTGTTGTTACAGAGCAGCACTAGGAATATGTCGACATCATACCAGGGGCTCGAAAAGGGCTAGTTGACGAGAAGAGTGGATCTCGACAAGTTCCATAGGATCCCCGGAGTGGTTCATGTCGAGCTGAGGGGGGCAGCAACGACCGAGGCGATGTCATAGACCGGGGTAAGTCCATCCTAAAGCCGACGCTAACCACAATAGAACAAGAAAAAAATAGTAGCAGTTTCCCAAGAAGCGCGTTCGCGACAATTGAATTGAACATTGCCAGCATTGGCAGGAACGATCGATCGCCATGTTCGACACGATATGCACGCTCCCGCTTTCGTCGGAGCTGTTCGCCCAAGCTCTTCACCCAACAGCACCTTTGGTCGCCGTAGGACTTAGCTCCGGACATGTCGAGACGCTGAGACTGCCACCAGTCGAGGGCGACGATGAGGATGAGGCCGAAGCTGAAGCTGCAGCAACTGGACGCGGTCACATCGAGGCTGCATGGCGTACGCGCAGACACAAGGGTAGCTGCAGAAGTCTGGGATACAGCCTGGACGGAAGCACTCTCTTCAGTGCTGGCACCGACGGCATCGTCAAGGGCGCCGACAGCGTCACTGGCAAGGTCGTCAGCAAGATTGCTGTCCCTCTTGATCCGTAAGTCACCAATGTATTAAACCTCTCAATCGTTCTAACTGACCAACGCCTCAGCTCGACCGACGACATTGACGAACCCTCAATCCTCCACATTCTCAGTCCCCAGACCTTCCTTCTCGCAACCGACAGCTCTGCTCTCCACCTCTACGATACCCGCGAGGCCAACTTCTCCACCTTCTCCACCACTCGCCCCTCGCAAACACACCACCCTCACGAAGATTACATTTCCTCCCTCACACCACTCCCTGCTTCCGAGACCAGCACCTCTGGATACAGCAAACAATGGGTCACCACTGGCGGTACTACTCTCAGTGTGACTGATCTACGTCGCGGTGTTCTGGTCCGTAGCGAAGACCAAGAAGAGATCCTCCTGTCCTCTTGCTTCGTCTCTGGTCTACCCGCCCGCAAGACCAGCTCGTCAAAGGGCGAGAAGCTTGTTGTTGGTGGTGGAGACGGTGTACTTACCCTCTGGGAGCGTGGAGTCTGGGATGACCAAGACGAGCGTATTACTGTTGATCGTAGCGCTGGTGGTGGTGAGAGTTTGGATGTCATCCGCGTGCTACCACCAGGCGTTGGCCCTGGCGGTAAGGTTCTCGCTGTCGGTATGGGTGATGGCAAGGTTCGCTTCGTCAAGCTTGGTCCCAACAAGGTCATTTCGGAAATCACACACGACGATGTCGAGGGTGTTGTCAGCTTGGACTTTGACGTCGCAGGCAGACTCATCACAGCAGGTGGCAGCACCATCAAGGTCTGGCACGAGATGGTCGATGAAGACCAACATGCCTACGTTGACGGCGATCTCAAGAGAGAGGCTGAGGACAGCGACGCAGGTAGTGATGACGATGACAGCGATATGGGCAGTGATGACAGCAGCGACGAGGAAGACAACGGCCGCAAACGCAGAAAGAAGAGAAAGCGTGCAAAGGGCAAGGACAAGTCTGGAGGCGCAAAGAGCATGGGCTCGTTCGCCGGCCTGGACTAGAAACACAGCTCGATGAATCGAGGCATAGAAGACGACGAAACTAGAGCATCGAAATGCTCCTGTACAAGATACCCAAAAGAATCCAATAAACACAAGACTCGAGAAATTCAGAGATTAATCAACACCACAAGTCGTCCGTACCGCCCTGCCCTTCCTCGCTTCTCTCCCTGAGAATCAGAACGATGTCTCCACTTTGAAAAGGCACGACGATTTCAGGATTAGTGACAAATCCAAAGAGAGGCGAGAGTAGATGGCTTCTCGATGGACACTATCCTGGTCCTCAAAAAGCATTGTGCGTTTTTTTTTTAGGTATACACGATATGTACATTCGTACACGGAGAAGAAGCGAACCTTGACTTTCGTTACAGTTCAACAGACTATAGATGTCTCGTGCTATCCTTCCGCACCTCCTACCTGCCTCACCAACACAAAGAAGACGTATAACACCTTCTTTGATCCGCTTTCCCTAACAGCCACCAAGCTCTCGTGCAGTACTTCCGCACTCTATCTACCTCATAGCCGGCAACGAAGGTATCACAGAAAGCAAACTCGCCGTCGACCCAGTTTGCGAGCGTAGTTGACATCTTGTCTCGATGCCGTGGCAGTAGATAGTGCAGAAGAAGTTCTTGGAAGGGTCCTCAGTCGCTGGGGACCACGATAGGTAGCGGAGGATCAAGCAGAGTGTGAATGGAGAGAAAGGTTAGATCAGGGAGTGCTAAATACTCAGTGGCTGAAACTGTGAGTTAGGATGAAAACACAGAGAAACCACGGCAAACGGACAATCGGTTCTTACAACGAGATATAGACAAGCTTGCAGCTTTTATGGTACACCGTTGTTTGTAAATATGATGCGAGGTCCAGAGAGAGAGAGTCCTTGATCCCGCAACTCTAAGCAGACACTTTCTCCTCGTGAGAGAACTGTGAGTTCTTATAGTACCTCATATGAATCTCTGTATACGGAGAAGGGCAAGTCAAACTATGCTGTTTTGAAGAAAAGTCGAGAGTTCTTTGTCTATCCTTCTATCGAGACGCCAACTCTTTACATGCAGAACAAAATATATATACACACACCAAGAACCATTTCCTTTCACTCCCACGCCATGAGAAGCTGCAAACAACAAACTTTTTGGCCCAGCCATCAACAAATAATCGTACACATTCGCTTCTCTTCATCCCATTAAATGCACAATTCATGTTGCTTATTTCTTGTTTCTCTCAGCCTGGTACTTTTCGTGCTTGGCAATGAGCTCCTTCTGCAATTGCATGGGTGCAGGCGAGTAATGGCTGAATTCCATAGAGAACTCACCCTTACCCTGAGTAGCAGCTCTCAACTGGGTAGAGAAACCAAACATGGAGTTCAAACTGCAGTCAGCGTAGAGAGTAAAGTCCTCAGGGCCGATCTCAGTATCGGAAATGACGGCGTTACGCTTGTTGAGCAGACCGACAATATTTCCCTGGAACTCGTTGGGTGCGGTGATGGTGGTCTTCATCAGGGGCTCAAGGACTTGGGGTTGAGCTGCAAGGAAGGCCTTGCGGAAGGCTTGTTGAGTGGCGTTACGGAAAGACATTTCGGACGAATCGGTCATATGGGTAGCACCGTCGTTGATGACCATGCTGGCACCCAGGACGCGGTGACCAAGCAAAGGACCCTTGTCGCAAGAAGCGTAGAAACCCTTCTCACAAGCAAGCAAGTACTTCTCACTAATGGTACCACCGGTAATCTGCTGCTCGAAGTGGTTATCGGCAATCTGGCCAGTGGGCTCCATCCATCCGACGACACGGGCATAATCACCAGCACCACCGGTCTGCTTCTTGAGAATGTGATCGAAGGGAACGCGGGACTGGATAGTCTCGCGGTAGGCGACTTGAGGCTGACCAACGATGCAGTCGACGTTGTACTCACGGCGCATACGCTCGACGTAAATGTCGAGATGCAATTCACCCATACCGGAGATGATGGTCTCCTGTGACTCAGTGTCGACGTGTACACGGAAAGTAGGATCCTCACGCTGGAAGCGAGACATGGCCTTGGAGAAGTTGGGGGTATCCTTGGTCTGTTTAGGCTTGATGGAAAGCGAGATGACAGCGTCGGGAACGAACATGGAAGTCATGGTGTAGCCGAGAGTACCGTCAGTGAAAGTGTCACCAGAGGCGCAGTCAACACCGAAGACGGCACAAATTTCACCAGCATGGATCTCGTTGACTTCCTCCATCTCGTTAGAGTGCATACGCACGATTCTGGGAATCTTGACCTTCTTGTCGGTACGAGCGTTGTAGACGACCTGTCCCTTCTTGATGGTTCCTTGGTAGACGCGAATGTAGGTAAGTTGACCGAAGTTGCTCTCTTCCAGCTTGAAGGCGAGACCAACGAAAGGCAGCTCTTGGTAAGAGACCATCTTGACAGGAGCTTCCTTACGTCTCTTGTCGAGAGCAACGTTCTCGACCTCGGAAGGGTTGGGAAGGTAGTCGCAGACACCGTCGAGCATGGGCTGGACGGACTTGTCGGCCAGAGCGGAACCCAACATGACAGGAGAGAACTTGAGAGAGATGGTTGCACGTCTAATGGCGGCCTTGATCTGAGGAATGGTAGGTTCCTGCTCGTCAAGGAACATCTCGGCAATCTCATCATCGACATCGGCAAGAGTCTCGATGAGCATCTTGCGTCTCTCCTCAGCGACCTGCTTGACGTCGGCAGGAATCTCGTCTGACTCGACGATGGTCTCTCCCTTCTCGCCAGTGTTGTAGATAGCCTTCATGCGAACGATATCGACGACACCCTTGAAGTCATCCTCAGCACCAATGGGAACCTGGATCATAGCGGCGGGAATGCGCAATTTCTTGTTGATCATGTCGCAAACACGGAAGGGGTTGGCACCCATGCGGTCCATCTTGTTGATGAAAGAGATACGGGGGACATTGTAGCGGCGCATCTGACGGTCGACAGTCTGAGTCTGGGACTGAACACCACTGACGGCGCACAGAATCATGACGGCACCATCAAGAACCCGCAGAGCGCGCTCGACCTCGATGGTGAAGTCGATATGGCCAGGGGTATCGATCAAGTTGATGTGGTATTTCTCCTCGGTTCCCTTCTCGCGGTCGACCTTGACCCAGTCACAGAAGGTGGCGGCCGACTGAATAGTGATGCCCTTCTCGCGCTCCAAGTCCATGCTGTCCATCTTCGCTCCGACCGAGTCCTTGCCGCGAACCTCGTGGATGGACTTGATGCGACCAGTGTAGTACAGGACACGCTCGGTGGCGGTCGTCTTTCCACTGTCGATATGAGCAGCGATACCAATGTTTCTCAGCTTGTCCAGGCGGGCGGCCTCCTTGGGGTTCAGGTTGTTGACAATGTCCGTCTGCGAGAGCGAGCTGGGGTCCTGCATGGCGTGGTCGAGCCTAGATGGGTGTTAGCTTTGGACCTGCCATGTCTTGAGCAATACATACACAGCAGCGGCAGTACCGCTCTGCAGTCTCCTGGGCTGCCATGAGGTCGTCCTCTCACTCACGGCTGCCGTCTGGGAGCGCAACAGAGCGGGTGAAGGCCAACGCGAGAGGGAAAAGTTTCTGCGGCAAGCATTGCGGGAAGCACTCTCGAGCGATCGCAATGCGCTGCTCTGCACTCTGCCAGCTCCGTATGCCCTCATCTTGACTTGAATGGCCTGCCGATGGAAGGTCCGCTTGGCGTGGCGGCTCTAAGCAACTGCACTTTTTCTGGTCATCATGGTCCACGGCTTCTTCCGTCCTCCGCGTTGTTTCCCGCATTCATCTCTTCTCCGCAACTTCCTTTTCTGTCGACTAGCAAGCATTGCTCCCTAGATTTTGAATAATTTCAACATTTCAACTTTATGTGATCCACCCATGTGTTCTTGACTATCTTAGCTTTCGCTCTTTTAGCAGAACAGTATTTCTCATGCACGTCACTTTCTAGGTCTGCCCGTGCAGGCTTCGAAGGAACATGAGCCAAGCTTTGCTTGTACTAGCATGCTGTACCATTGGCTAGTGCAGCCTTCCAAGACCCGTCCCCTGAAATCTTCGAAACTGCAGGCAGGATTGTTGCTGCCTGCGAGTTCACTCGACAATGACTCGACTGTCACTCAAGACATGTTCACTGTTGACAGCTTGCTGCTAGTCTGAGGCCTCATCACGGCCTTCTGCTGCTCAATGTAATTGTTATCATCAGCCTTTCTCTCAGTATATACCTTCCAGAATACGCCTTCTCTCGCCAAGCAACGAGTACAATTACCTACCTCAATTATCTAGCAATATGGTCAAAGACATTGCTACAGCCGACGAGAAACAAACGCACTCGAATGTAAAGCAGACCAACAGAACTCCAAAAATTTCTGACTATTTGAGGGTCTTCTCATATGCAACAAAATGGGATATCTGCGTCTACACCGTCGCCTCGCTGGCATCAATCGGCGCTGGCATAACTCTACCGCTCATGAATGTCATCTTCGGACAACTTGCTGGCCGATTTACCGATTACTACAGCGATGCCTCCGTCTTGACACGCGAGGATTTTGACCGAATTTTGAACCGTCAGGCCTTGTACATCATGGCTCTCTTCATCGGCCGCTGGGGCCTCAACACTATCAACAAGTATTGCTTCAGAATGATAGGCATCCGATTGTCGTCGGCTATACGCCTCCATTATCTGCGATCACTATTCGCGCAGTCCATTCATGTCATTGATTCTATGCCCGCAGGAGCCCCTGCTACAGCCATCACCGCAACAACCAACACCCTGCAGCTTGGTATCTCGGAGCGCCTAGGGACATTAGTACAGTATATTTCAACAATTGTGGCTGCCATCATAATCGCATTCGTCTGGAGTTGGGATCTGGCTTTGGTCACGTCTTCGTTGATTCTGTATACCGTGGTGGTTGCCGCAATCTTGATGCCTCTCATCATCAAAGGCCAGACTGCGACTCTTGAAGCCGACGCAGAGGCGACAGCTGTTGCTAGCGAGGTTCTAGGAGAAATTCGTCTGGTGCTAGCATGTGGTGGTCAAGATCACGTCCTTTCTCGCTATAATACCTGGGTTCAAAAAGCCTTGACGCGAGCACAAAAGGCCGCTCCATTTTTAGGAATTCAACTTGGTCTTGTGGTATGTCTTGGGAACATACTTGTTGCCATCGAGTAGTATGATCGCTGATGATAAAGCAGTACTTTGGGATCTTCGGCGCCTTCGGTCTGGCGTTCTGGTATGGCAGCAAGAAGTACATCGATGGCAGCATTAGCAATTCTGGTCCCGTGATCATCGTACTGATGTCGGTCATCATGCTAATAACCTCCCTGGGATTTCTATCAACACCACTGATGGCCATGAGTAAAGCCATGGTAGCTGCATGTGAGCTCTTGACTGTCATTGACGCTCCGCTACCTATCTTGGGTTCGCTCAAACCAGATATTGCTTCCAAAGATGTGGTGTTCGAGAACGTCACTTTCGAGTATCCTGCTCGTCCTGGTGTACGAGCATTAAATGGATTAAGCTTTCGCCTTCGTGCCGGTCAGAATACGGCTTTTGTCGGGTCTTCTGGCTCGGGAAAAAGTACAATTGTCGGTCTTCTGGAACGTTGGTATTCTCTGCAAGACCAGCACATGCTAGAGAAAGTCGTTGTTGCAGAAAAGCCTTCCAAGAAATCTGAAACCTTGGGGAACCAACCGCACGATGAGCAACAAGTATCTCTGGACAATCCTGTGCTGTCTGGGACGATCACGATTGGCGATCACAACATCGAAGCTCTAGATCTTAAGTGGTGGAGGGCTCAAGTCGGAGTTGTACAGCAAGAGCCATTCCTCTTTAATGATACGATCTTTGGGAACGTTGCGAATGGGTTGATCGGTACGCAGTGGGAAGACGACTCTGAAGATCGAAAGCTGGAACTTGTCGAAGAAGCATGCCATGAAGCTTACGCCCATGACTTTGTCAGTCGTCTGCCTGACGTAAGTATATGCCTTTTTCCTGCGTCTATACTAACAGACTTCCGCTCAACAAGTTGTGCTGACCAGACAATCGACAGGGGTACTATACGAAAGTCGGCGACGGTGGTGTGAAACTGTCCGGTGGTCAGAAGCAGCGCATCGCCATTGCAAGGAGTATCATCAAGAAGCCCCAGATCATTATATTCGATGAAGCCACCAGTGCTGTCGATGCAAAGAGTGAGAAAATCATCCAACTCGCCCTCGACAAGATCGCAATGACTCGCACGACCATCACTATCGCCCATCGCCTTTCAACCATCAGGAAAGCCGATCATATCGTTGTGCTGCAAGCTGGGCGTGCGGTCGAGCAAGGTACCCATGAAACACTCATGGCTGAGTCTAGCAGTGCGTACAGTGCTTTGATACGTGCACAGTCGTTGCAATTCACCACCAGTGACCACATGGAAATCGACATACGAGATAAAGACGCCAATGTAACCTCAGAGAAGATCATTGACAACACCTCTCAGGATCCAGAACCCGAGCCCCCAAGGGACGATCATACTGCACCGATCACCAAATCTCAAAACTTCTTTCGGATGTTCCAGAGACTTCTACGCACGCAACGCGCCCATCGGTATGCTTTGATGGGTATCGTCATCTCCGCTGTGGCAGTCGCTGCAGCCACTCCAATCCAAGCTTGGCTCTTTGCAAAAGTTCTTGGGGTCTTTTTCCTGAGTACAGAAGCCGCAAAGAGCAGAGCCAACTTTTGGGCCCTCATGTGGCTCGCTCTCGCTGCAGGTTCGGGCCTCGCGAATTTGTCCGAGGCTTGGATTGGCCTGCGCGTACAATATTCTGTTAGTGCAGTATACAAGACACAGTACTTCACTGATATGCTTCATCAAAGAATCAGCTTTTTCGACAAGGACGTCAACTCCCATGGCACGTTGAGCTCTCGTATCGCTAGCGATGCTAAGTCCTTGGAGGAAGTCTTTGGTCTCAATCTCGGACTCGCATTGTCTGGAATGTTCAATGTCGTTGGATGCATAATTATCTCCTTGATCTTCAGCTGGAAGCTTGGCATCGTTGCCTTGTGCGTCACTATGCCGATCATGTTATCCTCCGGATTCTGGAAGTATAGACATGAGGTACAGTTTGATAAGATGAACTCTAGCGTGTTTGCGGAGAGCTCTCAGTTTGCTACCGAAGCTATAGGTGCGATCCGAACAGTCTCCGCGCTTACCATGGAGGATACCATCACAGAAAGATACTCGAAGCTTCTGTCTGATCACGTCCAAGCAGCCCATACCAAAGCCTTGTGGACATCTGGCCTCTATGGTTTTGTGGACAGTGCCGGTCTAGGCTGTCAGGCTCTGGTCTTTTGGTATGGCGGTCGGCTTCTCGCCAGTGGTGGGTACGGATTCGAAGCTTTCTTTGTCTGCTACATGGCGATGATACAAGGTGCAGAGGCCGCAAGTCAGGTACTCAGTGTCGCTCCTAATACTGCACAAGCTACTGCCGCCGCAAATCGCATATTTGAGATTCAAGAGTCCGCAGATACTCAAAGAGCAGGGCTGAGCAACAACAAAGACATACCCGCAGCCGACGGCGGCGTGCGGGTCGAGCTTCAGAACGTTCATTTCAAGTATCCCACTCGCGATATTTTCATTTTCGAGGGCTTGAACATCAGCATTGAAAAAGGTCAATATGCAGCTTTTGTCGGTCCATCCGGTTGCGGCAAGACCACCATCATTTCTCTTCTGGAAAGGTTTTACGACGTAAGTCCTGGACAAGGCGTAATCACCTGCAATGGCATCAACATCAATGACATCAACGTGTACGACTATCGAAGGCATCTGTCTTTGGTAGCTCAAGAACCGACCATGTTCAGAGGAACCGTTCGCGACAATGTGCTCTTCGGCATTCCCGATCCTGATTCTGTCTCAGAAGAGAGGATCCACCAAGTCTGCCGCGACGCACTCATCCACGACTTTATCATCTCCTTGCCGCAAGGCTATGACACTGACGTAGGCTCGAAGGGAGTCGCCATGTCAGGTGGTCAGCGACAGCGCATAGCTATCGCTCGAGCTCTGATCCGTGATCCCAAACTTCTTTTGCTTGACGAGGCAACATCAGCTCTAGACTCTGAGTCTGAGAAGATTGTACAAGCTGCGTTCGAAAGAGCACGTAGCGGGAGAACTATGGTTGCTGTTGCTCATCGACTATCTACCATCCAAACTGCTGATGTCATCTTTGTGTTTGACGACGGGAAAGTGATGGAGAAGGGCACTCATGCTGAACTTGTGAAGAAGCAGGGTATTTATTGGGAGATGGTAAGTTTCTCGTGTCTGCTTCCTGCTCATTACACTAACGGACCAACACAGTGTCAGAATCAAGCTCTAAACTAGCAATAAAACAGAGACCATCAAGACTTTACCTCTATGCTTACTATATAAGCTCCACTATATGAGTGTCTCGGTACACTCTGCTGGATATCAAGAAAGCTGTATCACTCTAGCAAAGACTGGACCTCAGGACTGACCATTGGCCTCATCAATCCTCTTGTATGATTGACCCAATCATAAAAGATTGTTTCGTCAGAAGCGAAGTTGATTCGGTTGTGGTCAAGTCTACTGCAAAATCACTTCACTAGTGTAAGTCTGGACGCGCCCCTGAGTCGAACTCAAGACCTTCGGAGGGCAAAAAAGAGGACTACCATCGATCGAGGTGGCTGCTGACTACACCATGTTACCATAGTGGCCGGCGGGCTCGGTGACTCATGGTTGGTACGATGTGTAGGAGGATAATTAATTGGCCTATATGGTGATGCTTGACATAAACAGGCGCTTACTACGCAAGCAGTAAGGGTAGCTTTGAGGAATCGAGATGCTCTCCTACACCATCACGCACGCTATGTGTGTCCATTATGGATCTCACTGGAAGCTGCGGACGCGCAAATAAACGACGTCTCATGCGAGAGAGTACCAAGGGCTGGCAAAAGGAGAACGCAGGATCTCAAAATCGAGGGAGTCATTGGTGCTCCGAAAGCAGAAATTCAAGGGTATAATGCTACAAAACAAAAAGGAACGCTTCCGTCCTGGCCATGAGAGAGGAGAGCTAGAACTCACAGGCTCATAATCCGAGTTGAGGTAACGATTTCACAGCTTCTCTTCGTTTCCTCCTTCGTGGCCCTGCCTCTTGCTGGATATGATGGGATTAGTTTGAGGCGCGAAGGAGCCCTCACTTCAAGAAGAAGTTCTTCCACTCATCATCCTCGTCATGCTTCTTCTCCTGGCCCTCATCCTTCTTGCCTCCCACGTAGGGAAGCTCACCAAACTTCACGGGGGCCTTACCCTTTCCCTTGGTATCCTCCTTTGAGCTAGCAGGGGCACTGCCAGCGGCAGTTAGCTCGGTGTCCATCTCTTTGAGTGATGGCATAGCGTCGGCATCCTCCATGTTGACATCCTGCATCTGATCGTCGTCGGCATCGGTATCGGCCTTGCTGTTGCGCTTGCGCTTGTTCTCGCCCTGACCCTTTGCCTCCTCTTTGACGTAACGTGCGACGACAACGGCGCGAGTGCTCTTGACCTTCTTGTGCAGCTCCTTGACGGCAGCCTCGATGGTGGACATCTCTGTATAGTGCTACGGTCAGTCTCAATCCGGGTCAAGGGGGAAGAGAAACCATCTTAACCTACCAGGAGGAGTGTCATCAAACTTGATAATGCCCTTTCCCTTCCAGCTTCCCTTCGTGCCACCAATGAGCTTGTTGTACTTCTTCAGAGTGTCAATCAACATCTGAGCGGGGATATGCTCCTGGAGCATGCAGACAATCATGTCGAGATCGAGGGGCTGGAGAGTGCTTCCATCGTTGCGAGCCGAGTCCCAAGCGCGGTTTGCAGCGTTGATGAACGAGGAGTAGAAGGCGCGGTACTGATGGTGTTCAGGGAGGTTGATGAACCACTTGTTGACTGTGGTGTTGTCTCCGCACCAGAGCCAGGTGTAGTAGAGATCTCCGTGCATACTAGGACGAGGGCGAGTGGTTGACATCTTGTTGACCCAGTGTTTGACTCGCGGTAGTCGCTGCTTGTGTTGGTGGTATTTACCGTATTGGTGGCGTTGTCAACAGTGTTCAGGGGTAGTAGCAAGGTAATCAGATGTCTCGAACTCGTATACTGCTGAGTATTGTAGAGTTGAAGTAGGGGGCAGACGATCTCGGAGCACAAGAGTGGAAACGAATGCGCCGTGGTATTGTGAATCAAGGGTGCAAGAACGGGACCAATAGTCCGTCTGCACCGGACTATCACTTCACTCGCAACGAGACGGAAAATTCGACCAGTGAAGCTCCTGGACGACCTCTCTGATATTCCGCGACTGCAACCAAAGCTCCTTGTGCTCGAGTTTTTGACTTAACTTCTCGCCACAACATCACAACCTCACACCCGCACAAGTCAGCAGAATGTCTTCTTCTTCCAACACAAACTACAAATGGTTATGGTGTGACGACCACGCCAAAGTCACCAACTGGTTTTTGAGTCTGACAGATCGTCACGAATACGCTCTGTTCTACGCCTCATTCATCAACACCGCCAACCGACACTGGGAAATCTCCATCGACACGACAGCCACTGCAAAGAAGCTGGAGCCACTTGGCCAGCTCATCGTCGAATGCCTTGACGAAGACCCAATTCCCACTGATTGGCTCATCGAGGCATTGAGCGGCTACCACAAGTTTATCGGTGGCACCAAAGGAAATCTGAAGGGTACGGGCGTGATCAGATTTGACAATACTCCACCAGGTAAGCACTTTGCTATTCCTTTCTTGAGTAACACTAACTAAAATTTTGCACAGACATGGCTTCCATCCAGAGGGGCGAAACAAAGCTCTACAATCTCATCGCTCGCTACTACAAGCAACCTAAGATCAAAGACGAGGGGATTCAGGATGAGGAAATGGAAGACGCCGAGATGGAGGTTGAGCAGGAAAAGCAGCACACCAAGTTCGAGATCGCTATCGTCGGAGGCAGAAAGAAGATCGAGGACGAGGATGAGGATATGGCTTGAAGTAGAAGCTGTCCCACTGCTGAGACATGGTTCTAGCACCATGACTTATGCCCTGTTGACTAATCGACGAAACACGGTCTCATCAAACTTTTGCATCCCTTCGCCACCTGTCTCCGATTTCATTGTGTTATGACGCTATTGTCTGATGAGCTAGGTCTAACAAAGTCACACAATTAGCATAAGAAAGCTATAAAAATTTGTTGTATAACCCCTTCTGTTCGAGGATGTCAGGCACAGTTGCCTGTGCACATATGTCTAGATCAGCTAGCTTCAGACTAATCAGTGGACTCACATCTACGTGGTGTGCATAATCTGGAGAGGCAAGAGGCAGTCATATGAGATGTGGCTTGGTGTCTCCTCCGTTGAATGCGTTTTCGTAACCCGAGCAAATGGTTTAGAAACTATCGGACGGATCCTGACTAAACTCAACGTTCTTACTCAGTATCTTTCTTCTACACGTAGATTTGACATACGGAAACTTTGAGAGACACAAAAGCAAAAGTAGCAAAAATAAATAGCTAAAGCAGCCCCTGAGTCGAACCTTAAAACAAACCTCTGATCATTTCCACTGGGCCAGTCACAACATCTCCTTCGTAAACTAGGGAGGGGAAAAGAGGGGCAGCTGTGATTGGTCTGATACAATATGTCTCTATTCTGATCCAATATATACCCGCTGTTCCAGTGATGACCATGTCAGCAAGATCATCTCGCGTTGTACTGAGAGTCTCCAGAATCTCCCGGTCATATTTTACCTGCGGCATAAATGCATACTGCATACATCACAAGATGGCTCTTGGAGACTGCCCAACGTCTGTCGTAAAAAGACATCGCATCATAACGTTCCTGGCCACACATTGGAAAGACAACACAGAAGGCTATGCTTGATACATGGCGAAAGCAAGACCAAGTAGACAAGGGCAAAAACTACGAGCACTGTATAATCAGATCGGCGAAGAGATGAGAGAAGCGATCAAATGAAGAGGGGTATGATGCTATGTTACAAGACGAAGTACTCCAACATTGAGAAAACCAAACCACGAAACCAAACTCCCACGCCTACATCTTACAACACCATATCCTCGTCCTCGATCTGCTCCTGTTCTTCTGCATCGAACATCTCCTCCTCCTTCTCCTCGTTCTCCCCCTTGGCCTTCTTGTCTCCGACCAGCGGCAGACTGCCAAATTCCACGGGCGCCGAGAGAGTTGTGGCCTTTTGGGCCTGCTTGCCAGGGACAGCAGGGCCCAGGTCGCCGATGACCTCCTCCACGGACTGCAGAGACAGGAGTTGTTCGCGGTGAACGAACGGATCCCACGACAGCTCCGTGCTACGCGGCGACGGCACGTGCACGGGCACAGAAGATGGTGCCAACCAGCCAGGCAGGGGCGAGGGTGCCACATAGGCAGGCAGAGAAGAGGGTGCCACGAAGGCGGGCAGAGGTTGCCGAGTAGCCATAGTGGCTTTGTGGGCGGCGGCGGCGGCTTGAAACTGGGCGACGCGAAGGCTGTTTCTGACCTTGCGTAGGTCTTTCTGGACCTCTGCCTGCAATCTGTTCTTGCCGGCAGTCAGGGCTTGATGGCCTGCACATAGATCAGCGAGGTGTCTTGCGGGTGTATCCATGATTGCCGCCGGGGTGCTGAACAAAAGAACATCCAAAGACGATCTCACGCGATGGTTCCACTCAAGTTGCAAGTATGGAGATGCACGGGGCTCTGAAAAGACCAGCCGTTATCCACTGAGAGACACTACAGGAACATCTCTCTTTGGACATACCTCAACCTCTGTAAGAGATCGTGCATCTCTATAGCTTACAAGAGCAGGGTGCATTTGTGGGCAGGAATAGAAGCGTGACTGACTCGAAACATATAGGGAGGTGCTTGCTGAGCAGCAGAGCTTACAAACAGGCGGGTATTGATAACTTACTGAGACCTTTGTTGAAGGCAACGAGGCCGTTCTCCTTGTAGCGGGATCTACCCTCGCCCAAGCCGGCCGAGTACTCCTGCAAAGCGGTAAGCAGCTCATCGGCAGGGATACGCTCCTTCTGTAGAAGCTCGACGATGAACTTCTGCAGACCCTCCAGAGGAGCGCGTTCCTGACGACGAGACAACTCCCATGCCTTGTTGGCGACATTGATGAACGAAGCGTAAAATTCCTTGTACGTCAGACGCGGCTGGGTGAGGAACCACTACGTGATCTTGGTGTGGTCATCACTCCACATCCACTCGTGGGTCACCGAACCCATCATGGAGGCGCGAGGGCGTGCTGCTGAGGATGACATGATGATGGTGACTTTGTTGATGTTGATCGTGGTGGTATTTGTTATGATGGTGGTGGCTCTGGAGTTGCCAATTCGCGCGGAAGAGAGAAAATAGTTGTGGGTGAGCGCAACACAAGTGAGACTATTTCTCATGTTCAGATTTGACAACTCACTTGCAACTCACATCTCTGAATGCAAATGGCTGAGATGCCTCACATCCGTCAATCAGGTCTGAACGTCATCCTTACCTCCCCTGTGTCGAAGGCTGTTACATCGAACCTACGGTGATGCACAATACTTCATAGCAGGAAGTTGTATCCACGGAGACGATTTATCCTAGGATGCCCTTTTGGTCATACCTCTGATTGAACAAGCATTCTTGCGTTCTCCTCACTGCGATATCATGGTCCTCGGCACGCAGGAAGATGGTAGACTCGAAGGCTACCGTTGGGAGACGCTCTCAATGCAACTCATCCTCGTCAAGTGCACCTGGGTTGAATAACATCACAACTTTCATTGGTATTTCTTTCGGGAGACACTCAGAGGTATAGTATTGATGTTGTTGTCGTTGCAAGGAAGATAGAATGGTACGAGCTGACGTCGAAAGTGTGGACAAGAACGGTCCGTGCTCAGCACGTCTCCTGACCTCCTGTTCTCCGTCCTGTCGTCTCTCTCTCCATCAACAACGTGATATGCAACCATGTCACACGGGAAGGATGCTAAAACCTGGAGGAACGTCTTTGAGTGTCGTGGGTGTTCATTCATCAAAATTCTATGCGTAAACTAAGTTGATCAATCATATCAGCAGTGACAGCTCTCATTGCAACCTATGGACGCATCATACTGTGCAGCGAGCAGATGCTTACTTGCACCGTCTTCTCTGTACGTGAGGGTATGTCATACAGATGTTATGAAAATGCATAGTTTGACATGTTCGATTCTCAGTGGGCACACCTTGAGTCTTGAAAGCATTGTGCCTTTTTATAGCATTTTCTTCTATAAAGAGAGGGTGATTGGGTTCTGGAGCTATACATTCTAGTATGCGGAGAGTGCTCACATCTGTATCCCCCATCCTTGCTCTATGATATCCGAAGCAATCAAGATGCACGGTTCTTTCTAGATGGTGGAGAAGTCCAAAGAGAGCCAACGATATAATGAATCTCAGCGGATGTTTCTCCTTTTCTAAGTCAACCGTGCACTTGTATAGATACTGCGCACGACACACTTGCACAGGGAGTGTGGCTCACCCTTGATGATCTCTGTTCCAAAGAACTGTGAAGTGAGCAGAAGTGAGTAGGATTCGCCGACTCATAACTCACTGTGACTAGCTAGACAATCACTGGCTTTGACCGCTTGCGCGTTTTCTCATCCCCCCTTCTCTCCTTCTTTCCTCCCACCATCACAACTCTATTCCCCCCAATACACATTCAGTCGCCCTCCTTAACTTCCAAGCTCTACATTGCATACGCCCTCAACTCAGCAGGGTCTGAAAGTCTAGACTTGGTCGTTCTCTCTCTCGTGTATGTCATCTTCCTCCGTCTTCTGTTGACTCAACTGACGCGGCATCTTAGATCATCAAAAGCAACAAAATCAAATTTCCTGGCGCAATCGTCTTGTAAGTTTACGCTTTGCCCAACGAGATTCCAGTTGGCTAACCTCTGGAAGATCGACTCGCTTTCACTCATTTGACCATCGCTTCGCGCATCTGTACTGGCGAGCCTTTCCACAACACCCCCTTCGCACCACCCCTCTTTCTCGCAACACATCATCAGTAACTACTAGGTAATCTTCCCTTCTTCTTGTTCTGTGCTCACATCTCTGACTCATACACGCAGTCAACACGGTCGACGCTCAACGTGTCCAGGGGCGCCAGCACGAAAAGCTGTTCGAAATGCTCAACGATTTGCACTACTTCAGTGGCGTCCGTACTCGAGATGACATGAGGGGCGAACTACAAGAGCACACCAGACTCATGGGCAGCATCATGAATCTTCCTGCCGACCGCATCGCCGCTCAAACCGATCACCAGAAGCGCATGTTGCAAGTCGTCGTCTTCGACTCGCCTCCCATGAAGGCCAAGGACTCCAAGTCTCGCTGCCTCGTCTGTCCACCGTTGATTCCTCGCACGGTCTCGAGGCCCATCTCGCCATCCTTGACATTGTCAACGATGAACGCGAAGGCTTCATGCAAGATAAAGAACGTTGCTGCCTCGCTTTTGGTTGTGCAAAGGAGCAAATGATCGTCATCACCGGCACTTTGGCCAAGGTCAGAGATGATGCCACGACCCAGGTCGTCAAAGACGCAACCGATGGTGACAACGTCAAGACCATCACTCTCAGTCGCCCCCTCCTCCACTGGGCTCACCTGTTCGTGAATATCGGTTGCCAGTTTTCGTGTGTCCCTCCTGAGTTCGACATTCCTGCCGATCTCGCCTTCTATGGTCAAGCAGAGTGAGACCTCATCCATGCTCTAATCGAAGAGCATGTGGTTAAGCTTGAAGAAGAGAATGCTGCTGCTACTAAATTGGGGTCCAAGCCTGACGATGGCGCTGTTCCTTCTGCCGAAATCAAGTCCAAGTCTAGGAAAATTTTGTCGCTGGATGGGAAATCTCTAGCAATGGTAGCGTGGAATGGTGGAAGATGGAAAGATCACCTCTTGTAACAGTAGCTACCGAGAAGAACATGCCGGCGAGGTCGCTTGGGCATTGCAGGAAGAAAGGAATTAATTGTCGTTCGCTTCCATTTTGTTCGTGCTGCGTTTCGTGGTGAACAAGTTGTTAACGAAATGAAGAAATTCAAGCACATTCTTTGTCAGAAATGCAATTGTACGGCCATTATGAACGGACTAAAAGTCTTGAGGGCAAGTTTGACAACCTGATTACAAAGAAGGATTACCCATGTCTGTCTCAACGGGCACATGGGGTGATAATGGACGATCAATAGTCGGAGTAAGTAACCCAGAACGAGCAATATGCGATTAATGTTCGGTCTGCTTGAATGTACGATCTTTGCAGAAATCTTGTAGAGACGTAGGTCTGGAGGGAAGCAACAGTCCGAGCAGCAAAATCAATTCCATGGACAAAACTCAGCAAGTTGGGCGAGAAAGCCGCAGATCGTTAGCAGAAAGTGTGAAGAAGAGCATAAAGCAGCATACGAGAGTAAGAGAAGCAGATGGCAGCGAGGAGAGTAGACGACTATAGGACGAGAGTACGGGCGCAGAGAGAGCATACACAGTGGTATGGCTTTGAGTGTAGTAGGAAGAGAAGGAAAGAGAAGAGGAAAAACACATTCCGGCGACGAGCACATTCACGTAAGCTCATAAGTTTTCTGGAGGTGTCGTCTCGTGTGCAATACGGCCTCTGTCCACTGCGTATATAGCATTATAGATGATTGTTCTCTCACATTATTAGCTGTTTTCTTGTATCATTGGTTGTTCTTTTGTGTTGTTAGTTATTCATCCGAGCTGTTGGTTTGTGATGTGTTGTTCCAATAGACAACCGACACAGACAAGTTGCTTTGAACATGCAGGACAGCCCGTGACGACTTAGAATCATATACGCTCCCAAACAACACAACATCATCTATCCTCCTAAATGCCGGTTTGGCGCAGGGGTAACGCGTCGCACTTGTAATGCGAAGATCGCTTGTTCGATTCAGGCAATCGGCATGAACCAAATCCTCTGGATAGATCATTTTTGCACTTTCTACTGTCAACAGGTCTACTAGATCTCGTGCTATGGCTTTCTCTTTCTCTTTTTTGCCCCATCATGATATGAAATACTCTTATCACTTCTGGAATAAATTGAGATATAATCGAAAGTCACTGATGTCAGTGGGCAGTATACGAGGTGGTCATGCAGTTCGCCTCGATGGTAAAATTCTCCAAATTCCTTGATTACCCAAAATTTCTAGTAACCAAGCCACTATCATGCTATAATTCTATATGATCGACCAGTATACATAGAGACCTCCCTTATAGCTTTGCTATCCGATGCAGAATAGCTCCGAAATGATTGAAATGTCCTGGAATAGAAACTTAGTTGTAGAGGACAGGGTTGTACCGAACACATGGCTCCACGAACGGAACGCATCCTGATCAGTGCACGAGTCTCTTCAGTCACAACAGCGCGCCTTGCTCATTGTCGTAGCGTCCATCCTTCTGCAAACTTGCTGTATAGGACAACCACTATGGTTGACTAAAGCACATGTTATGTAAGCCGCCTCTTCTATCACGTATAAGCGATGTAAATGACTTCGAAGAGCCTTCATTGCTATGCAATATCGCTCTCTTCTTATTCATACCATAAGCTTGCTTTTTATGGTGATATGGCGATTATAGAACAGGTTAGGTGATTTGCTATAGCATACGTCAGGTTTGGCCTCACTTGCGTTCATATTAGAAGTGAATGTCCCGAGCATGTTTGCTCTGTTTGGTCGGTGGTCGCGGTCGGCTTTCATTTTACTTATGCTCATCTTCTACGCTTCTCCTTCTCTTCCCATTACCAAACATAACACACTCTTCCGCCCCTTACCATCTCCTCCCTCCGCTACATCTTCTCTACTGCGCACTGTGTTAGGGTACTTCTCACTCGGTCACGCATTCATTTGTTGATGATAGCAGAAGCGCAAATTCTATTTCGCTAGGCAATAAGGCTATCCTAGCACAGTGCGCGCTAACGGACATGTAACGTCGATTTCTGGCAGACAGTACCTTAGATACAGACTGTATTTGTACTCGGTAGGTTCAAAGCGCATAGTGAATGGTGGTCTTCCTGCTAACAAGCTCGCCGCCTAGCAGGACACTATGCATCTTAAACCGCCACGCGCTCTTCTATTATCAACACCCCTCTTTGCTACGTCCTCTCCGTTACGCACTCTGTTAGAGATGCGTCCTAGATCGCTAACCACTATGTCGGCATATCCATTAACTTGGCCGGGTCGCAAGTGCGTTGAAAAGAAGTAAGATGTACTCCTAACAGAGTGCGCTGCGCGCCAACGGACGCGTAATGACAATTTCCTGAACGATAGTGCCTCGGACGAAGCACTTCCCTTGTATGTCTTGAGAGCATGGTTGATGATGGCGTCGTCGCTAACAGGCTCGTCAGTGCTGCAGTCATGCCCATCCGGAAGGGACGCCCAGCAGGAAAACACATGCTCTACATGGTTCATCGTGCGTTACCAAGCACCTACACCATCTTGTGGCTCGGAACCGAGAACATGGTGGTGCGGGGATCTTTGTGGTTCATGGTGACCACATCTCACTGCAAAGGCGCAGCGACACGGTTGACCGACAGTTGCAGGGATTCTCGAAGGTAAGTGAGTACAACGCCGAGCCCTCGTGTGCTCTTTCTCCAAGTATGGCTTCTGACACCGGAGCAGAGCTCATGCCGATCATGACCAAACCTCCATGATCTCCATCACTCCCGAGCGGTCACAAGCCTCACCCTCGTCGGCTCTTCCGTCTGTCTATGCATCGCCTTTCTCCTACCCACGATGCCAAAGCTGCAATTGTATCCTCAGCCAGAACATGACCATGATGGACAGGTCAGCATGTGTCTTTCTCCATGCATAGTGCCTTCGGTTTGCTAACACCATGGCTGCAGCCCAACAGTTGCCATTGCCAATGCCTCTACAACAAAGGCTTCCATCACTATGTCGCCGAAGAACACTCGCTCCGCTGAGAACAACCTCCCCGAAGACGCGAGAACCTTGATGTCTTCACACCATCAGCGCTCGCTTCCAAGCTTCCATCATCCCTGTATCAATCCCCGACAAGCACAAACTCGAGTTGCTTCTCCGACCGCAATGCACAATAATCGATTAGCGCTTCTCGGGATGTCAATTCTTCCTTCAGAAGTTATTTGAACCGCCATCTTCCAGCCCATGGACGCCACCGGCAACCAGACAGACTGTCATAACGGCCATACTGCATCCTTTGTCAGATCTTACCTACTGGAAATCAGTCAGCCTCGCCAATTGCTCGACCTCTTGAAGAAAGAGGGCAAACAACGAGTCGAGGTCCCCGGGTGGTTAAGATGACCAGGGACATCATCGACGGCCCCGTTATCATGTCCGTCTGGTACACTGGATACGTACTCGGGTGCAGAGAGACTTCGTGCAGACAAGACGAGACGAGACACTGCCTGCCTCTCAGACTTCTTCAAAGGCTGTGATGAGGTCGACCGTCAATATACCTATGTGTGAAGATTTTCCATCTCGTCAAATCCCATTGGAAGCCATCTGTCACACAGAGCGGCAACATCACTCTACGATTTTGAGGAGACCTACGCCTGCTGTCGATTCTCACACTCGGGCATGCTTTTTTTGCTCGATTCGTATCTCGGAGGCTGGTTCGCTGTACAATAGCTCGCACATCTCTGTTAACGCATCTCTTCAGAGGTCAGAGAATAGCTCAATTCCAAACCATCAATCTTCTTCTCTTTTTTCAGGTGCAAATAACGTGAATGCTGTAGCTATAGAAATGCACAGTCTTTTGCGTGAACAGACAGCATCTATTGAGAGTCATGATGCTGTCGACTCTCTATGGAACTGCCTGCCATCATGAAAGGACTGTGCGTTTCGATAGCTTCATTCCCGTCTGTATGTGGACTCGAGAGCGGGAGTGAGATGTTGCATATGCCGTATCATGGCCAAGTTATACCATGGAGAATGTGTGTACTTTGATATGATTTTAGACGAGCAAAGCAGCCTCATCTCCCCAGACAAGTAATTTTTGTGTCGAACTTCTGAAAAATGTTAAGATCCCGGACCATCCAAATCATCTACTTAGAAAATGTGCTCAGAGTTTCGCGCCTCCAAGTCAGTTTTTCGAAGGATGGATATTGTTGTGTTGTTAAGGAGTGCGAATGCAGTCGAGTTGTCACGGGCTGTTCTGTAATAATGGCTAGCCAACCCTTCGACAGCCACGAGTTGATCGACAACTCCTCTTGAGTCAAATTTGATATGATAGTGACAGAGAAAGTCATCTCGACCAAGCGATCTTCGCATTACTAGTGCTTTCGCGTTACCCCTGCGCCAAACCGGCATTTAGGAGGATAGATGATGTTGTGTTGTTTGGGAGCGTATATGAAGCTGAGTTGTCACGGGCTGTCCTGCAGCAAGCGCCAGCCAAAACGTCCGCGCGTTGATACTGTCCGTACGGACCTATCAACTCTGATGTGTTTAATGCTGTACTTTGTCTTACAAACCTATCGTGATGGACGAGGAATCACTGTCCTTGAACCTAGTCGTGCAGACCGGCAAGACGTTTACCCTTCGCTAGCAATTCGCACAAACAAGCGGAGGAACAATTTGGATATTAGTGAGAGTCCATGCCGGCATGCCTTCGTAACTCGGAGGTGTCTGTAGCATGCCTTGACCTGGTCAAGCAAACTCTTCTTGTGAGATACGAGCCACTCCTGGTTTCGCTAACACTTTTGACCTCCATGTGTGCCCCTCAAAGCCAGCAGAAGCCCGCCATTGTGCAAATACCTGACTGATTGTGGTGACGAGGCACCATCTGCGCATGTACGCCTGAGACTCTGCAAGCATCTCCAGCAAGCCATAGTGCGAGGACAGCTCACCCAGCTACAAGAGTTGAAGCAGGAATGATGATTGCCTATCAAGCATCAAAATACAATCGATGGTATAGCCACTCAAATTTGGACGGCGAGCGGTGACGGATATAGTATAGCCACTCAAATTTGAATGGCGAGCGGTGACAGACATGGTATAGCCTCCTTACGACTAGTCCTCGTCGTCTACTTTCTTCCTCTCGGATATTTCCTGGAATTGTGCACAAAACAATCGAAATGTCAGAACATAGGAGTGGTAGCTGACCATTGAGACATATCTTTCAGAGCCAACATGTCTAGAATAAGCATCTCTCGTTATCTCGAATACACACATCAAACATATACTGCTTGTCCGAATGTTGGAGAAGTCACCGAAGTTGGTACTTGTAACTATGCTTGCTAGTAGTTGCCGACATAAACCCGGCCCCGTCAAGCTCTTCACACCGCCAAGCCCTTCGCACGGGTCAGTGAAGTTCGCGCGAAAAATTATTCTGTTCATCGACAGCGACATTAGAAGTCTTGGAGGACAGCAGTTTTAATCCATTTCCAACAAGACCATACATTCACAATGGCGCTCGTCAAGGCCGGCGAGGCTGATTACTCGATCAAGCCCGAGAACATTACACCCACCATCGACACCAGTGCCTGGCCGCTGCTTCTGAAGAACTGGGACCAGCGTACGTCGTAGAGCTTCCACGTTGTGGTTATTCCTGCAACTAACACATCTGCGCGCAGTCCTTGTTCGCACTGGTCACTTTACCCCCATCCCCGCTGGCGCAACTCCCCTCAAGCGCGACCTCAAGTCATACATCTCCTCCGGCGTTATCAACCTCGACAAGCCCTCCAACCCCTCCTCGCACGAAGTCGTCGCCTGGATCAAGCGCATCCTCCGTTGCGAGCGCACTGGTCACTCCGGTACTCTCGATCCCAAGGTCACTGGATGTTTGATTGTCTGCATTGACCGCGCCACCCGCCTGGTCAAGTCCCAGCAGGGTGCCGGTAAGGAGTATGTCTGTGTCATCAGACTTCACAACAAGCTCCCCGGTGGCGAGGCACAGTTCGCCCGCGCCCTCGAGACCCTCACTGGTGCTCTCTTCCAGCGTCCCCCTCTTATTTCGGCCGTCAAGAGACAGCTCCGTATCAGAACCATCCACGAGAGCAAGCTTTACGAGTTCGACAACGAGAGACAGCTCGGTGTCTTCTGGGTTTCTTGCGAGGCTGGTACCTACATCCGTACACTCTGTGTCCATCTTGGTCTCTTGTTGGGTGTCGGTGCTCACATGCAGGAGCTGAGACGTGTGCGATCTGGTGCCATGGACGAGCAGAAGAACCTCGTCACCCTCCACGACGTCCTTGACGCTCAATACCTCTACGACAACCAGCGCGACGAGAGCTACCTCCGCTCAGTCATCAGCCCTCTCGAGTCTCTTCTCACCACCTACAAGCGTGTCGTTGTCAAGGACTCTGCCGTCAACGCCGTCTGCTACGGTGCCAAGCTCATGATTCCTGGTCTGTTGAGATACGGTATGTTTTGTCACGTTCTAGCAATCATCAAATTCTTACTAACAATCTACAGAATCTGGCATCGAGGTTCACGAGGAGATTGTTCTGATCACCACCAAGGGTGAGGCCATCGCCATTGCCATTGCCCAGATGTCGACCGTCGAACTCTCGACTTGCGACCACGGTGTTGTTGCCAAGGTCAAGCGTTGCATCATGGAGCGTGACCTCTACCCTCGCCGCTGGGGCATGGGCCCTGTCGCTACCGAGAAGAAGAAGATGAAGGAGAGCGGCAAGCTCGACAAGTACGGCCGCCCCAACGAGGCTACTCCCGCCAAGTGGAACGCCGAGTACAAGGACTTCAACCTGACTGTCAACGGCGAGTCGACCACTGGTGCCGAGAAGATTGCCACCGAGGCCGCCCCCGTCAAGGAGGGTATCACTGGTCAATCCAAGGACACCACCTCCACTGATGAGGTTATGGCCGCCCCCGCTGTTGCAGGAGACGGCTCAGATGTCAAGGATGCCACTATGGAGGATGCTGGCTCAAAGAAGGACAAGAAGCGCAAGCGTGACGGCGAGTCAGCCGAGGAGAAGGCTGAGCGCAAGAAGAAGAAGGCCGAGAAGAAGGAGAAGAGAAAGAGCAAGAGCAAGGCCGACAGCTCTGACAGCGAGTAAATGTACACTTGACTGCTGGGCGGAAGAGATGGTATCAAAAGTAAAGCGCATTACAATGTATAGTACGCGCGCGCGGAAAGGAAAGGCGGCGTTTGGGCACGGTGTTCAGGCGTTGAATATCAGTGACGGCGATTGCAGCATATGCCAGCGGGAAAGTCGGATCTCCTTTGCAATGAACAAAATCACGTTTTAACATCATTCAATTGATTTCGATCCCCTTGATTGAGCCTTGTGATGGGATTTAATGGAAAAGCCGGATGTTCCACATCGATAAAGCAAGCATGGCCGTTACGCATGACGTGGAATGGTCACGCAGATTGAAAGTGGCTGGCTACCTACTTATCAAGAAGCTGAATAAGGAGTCCGAGGCGTACAATAAAAGGCTATATATGGAAAGGGATGATAGGTTGAACAATAGGATTATACATAGCTACACCGTGGCCAGGCCGAGTCTCATTCATTCCTGAATCTCCCGCGTTGGCGACCGGCTTCACTTTTACCAATCGCGAAACTTCCCAAAGCGGAACATTCACCAACTCGCCCTTTCTTTGACTTTTGAGCCAACGAGCAACCTTCCCTGTCTAACTTCTTCAAACTCAGTACACGCGATCTGTTTCCTCTATACTACCCATACTCAACCGCCCGCCTTCTCCCTCCACGACCAAGCATACCCGACGCCGTCAACCCCTCTCTCATACATCATGGCGGAGAAGATCCTAATGTCCGAGTTCAAGGCCCTCTCCAAGGAACCCTGGACCAACATCGAGGTATGTCGCCCTGTTGCGATAGTGGAGTACCAATTACGATGCTGACCCTCTGATGTCCAGCTCATCAACGAGAACATCTTCGAGTGGCATGTCGCCCTCATGGTCATCAACCCGGACTCGATCTACAATGGTGCCTTCTTCAAGGCCAAGATGACATTCCCTCGCAACTACCCCTACAGCCCTCCTGGTATGTGGTCTTGCCGTCGCTCTCACTTATCGCAGTGCTGACCAAGATGGCAGAGTTCAAGTTCACCTGCCCCATGTTCCACCCGAATGTCTATCCCGACGGCAAACTCTGTATCTCAATCCTCCACCCTCCTGGCGAAGACGAAATGTCGGGCGAACTCGCTGCCGAACGCTGGTCGCCTGCTCAACGCGTCGAGTCCGTCCTCCTCAGTATCATGTCCCTCCTCGACGATGCCGAACCCTCCTCACCAGCCAACGTCGATGCTGGAGTCATGCTCCGCAACCATCCCGAGGCATACAAGCAAAGAGCTCGTCAAGATGTCGAGGCTAGCAAAGCCGACATTCCCGAGGGCTTCGTCATGCCTACAGAACATGCCACCTACAAGCCGGAAGTCGAGGACAATTTGTTCAGCTGGAGCGACTCAGAAGTCGAGGATGACTTTGACAACGACAGCGACGCAGAGATGACTTTCGACGAGGATGATGAAGATGATGAGCAGCAAGTGGCCAGCGACAGCGACGACTGAACATAGTACTCTCATCATGGGCTACACGCATATTCTACGGCGTTTTACTTTATTCGATACCATCAGCGCGGCGTTCAGGGAGGGAGGACATGGGCAGGAACATGAAATACCACTGAACAGGACAGTGGTGCAGGAAGCTACCGGCAGGCTCATGGCGCATTTCTCAACTGCTTTTTCCGACACTTTGTTACACAGTTTTTATTAGACCAATATACAGGAGACGTCCTTCTTATTCACTTTCCCAAAACACTCGGTGCCATGTCGCAACACATAGCATAGAATGAAAGCGATGATCAATGCCTGAAACAATGCATGGCTCTTTGAATAATGAACGGTATAGGGCAAATTGAAGTCTTGAATGACGTCGCGGGGTCAGTTCACCGACGGACCAACAAGCAGTCAACCTCCCAAGCAAACACGCGCGTTTACTATATAAATTTTCTGTGCAGTCGCATAGTGCATCTACTGCTTTACCTACAGACATCATGGCCGATCCAGATGCGGAAACCATCCTGATGCTCACCGGCATCTCCGGTTGCACAGATGATGAGGCGCGCAGATGGCTCAAGGTCAAAAACAGCGACGCGGACGCGGCTCTGAATGCCATACTGGACAACGAGGATCTTTCGAAAGCTGAAGTGAGTTATCTGTTTCTTACTGCTAAACACATGTCCCACTGTAGCCAGAGAATGCACGGAGTTTATGAGCACGGAGTGGTGTTTGAAGAGGCTATCTCGAAACATCTCTATGGCCGAACTTCTGATTTGAGAGACAGTGCATCTCTGTAGCTTACAGTATCACTACATGTTATTGTGATACTCTGATGTTGTTCGGCATACCTGTCACCGTGCATGTACTGACTCACGCCAGCAAACCACCACCTGGAACGAGAACGAATTCAGTGCCGGCCGCGACGGTACCGCAGCGTTTGGACCCCAAAACTACTGTACGGACATCCTATGGAGAATGTTCAACATCTCGACTAACTAGCTCAAGCATACAACGAACAAAATCTACGCCCATTAGGACAGAGCGCTGCGCCCACTAGAGGCAATTCGCCCGCGCCTTCCCTCAGACAACCCTCCAACAGAGACGATGAAGATGCCGACCTGCAGAAAGCCATCGCCGCATCGCAAGAAGGCGTTACTCTACCCAAATCCGACACCAACTTCAAACCTGCCACGGAGAATCATTACGATCCTTCAAAGTGGTCAATGACCGCCATCGCTGGCATCGACTCTCAACAGGCCAGCGAGATCATCCCGGATTTGGAACCTCATGAGCGCAAGAACGAAGATGGTGAACCGAGGTTCTTGAAGCAACTGCCATCGGGCGATTACTTACCTAGTCTACTGACTATCGCTCACTCAATCCCTATGGCACGCAAGGCTCTGTTATCGCCACAGAAGACTTACTCCTCCTATGGCTCGGACTCCGAATGGTGGAAGGGCCACGGCATCCGCCTACCCAAGATCGTCAGTACTGTCAGCGGTGCACCTTTAGAGCCTGCCACCACCAACCAGGACGAAGTTCTCGCGGAGATGCAGCGACTGATGGCTCTGCTGGACGAGAGTCTGAGATCATACGGTAGTGCAGAGACACTTGTTCGCCTTGCCGCAAACGATGGTGGATGCATCCTCGACCAAGTTCTCCAGCAATGGGAAAAGGCCTACCTGGATGCCATGGACGAGTACCCAAACACTGATAAGTTCTTTGTTTTTCACTCATTGATAGGCACAACGAACCCAGAAGGCATGACTACTTCGGATCTCTTCTCATTACCACTATTCGTCAACTCCGGTCCCGACTCGTCCTGTGTAGAACTGGCAGCTATCATGGACGACACCCTTTGGGATACCGAGGGCGACGACTCAACCCTCTATGACAACTACATCGACTACTGCGCACAAGTCCTGCCTATCCGTCTGACCCAGAATGATAGTTCGAAGGAAACGCTGAACGTCGTTATCCCACCTTTCTTCTACGTCGACAAGTATCTTAAGGAGAATGCTGAGTTGACCAAGGATGTCCGCAAGCAGATGGCTCAGATCAAAAGGAAGATTGACAAGATTCAGACGGCTCAATTTAAACTGAATAACTATCACCATGCACAGAAAGGAAACCTAAACACAACACAACTGATGAAGCACGCGCAGAACTACTTCTCAGGCGAGACCAGAAAGACTTTGCTTGGAGAAAGAGAAGGTGCTGGCGCTGGCGGAGACACCGACATCCCTCTACCATTGGAGCATCACAGCAAGATAGCTGAGCAGTTGAAAGCGGTCTGTGAAGCGGTAGAGCTGAAGCTCAAAGGTATGTGCACGCCCCTCATCTCAATCTTCGACAATTCTGACAAGCAACAGCCCTCGAACAAGAAAAAGAAAAGGCACGCAAGGCACTGGTAGAACTTTCACAAGAGACGGGACTACCACAAGAGAAGCTTAAGCACAGATACTCGCTCAGAGGTGTCTCCACCAAGCCTCATGTAACATACCTTCTCCGTTCTCGCGATCCTTCCGACACAGCCATGGTAGACGACGAAGATGCACCCGAAGGCATGCAGTGGTGGCGCATCGAGTACGACGTTCATGTGAACGGCGCCAAGGTCATCAAGACCAAATCAACACAAGACGACGTGATCCGAGCCGTGGAACTCGAACACAACCAGGCCCTACTGGTCTACGCTAGCGACTATGCCATCTCAGATGAACACGAGGTCGAGCTGACTCCAGGCCTTGACGAGTTCATCTATCATGACGATGAACACTTCAACGCAGAGCTACAGATGAATGACATCGGACATGTCAACGTCTATCCTGCATACGACGGTACCAGACAACGCCGTGGTTCGGCAGATAGTACCACAGTCAACTACGACGAGGGCCCACCTGGTTATGAGCCACCACCCTACGACGCAGACGTGGAATACGGCAGCATACCGATCAACATCCAAGACAGCAAAGACGTGGCCATGCTCGACAGACACACCCCTCCCGCTCACGAGATTCGACTCGAGCAGGAAGAAGTACAGCCAGAAGAGGCTGACGACCTTGGAGAAACAGAGATGGTTGAGAAGACTCATGCCGCGCCTTCGTTGTACAGATACGGCAACGATGGCCGCAAGACAAGCGAGACAGCCAGTGGGGATGCCATGACAGGCGTCAAGGCCTCGGAGAAAGAAGTCGATTTGATCGATTTTGAGAACTGAATGTACCCCTCTACCTAGGTTATGTTCGAATCACTGGATGTTTGTATTCTTTCATCATTAGATAGGTAGGTAGCTTGAGAAGTCTGGGTCAAACAGTTGAATGATCCATAATTCAACGTCTTAGATGTTGCTTCCCTGTCCCAATCATCTGTGTTGTTCATGTAAGGCATTCATCAAAAGTGAACACTCGCCACTCCACTCGGTGTGGAGACCCATCCTTGGTTGATGGTTGAAAACAATGTATACAATCGCTCAGACCAAGGCATAAATGAGTAGCAAATGAGCGCGTATTGTCAATTTCCAAACTAGCCAAGAAACACCTCCACCTCAACATACTTACAGAAAAAACACTCAAGAGACAGCATGAAAATACACGGCATTCACGAATTCAATTCCAGAAATCATTCCCTTGCTTTACTGAGGGACAGGTTCCGGGGAAACTGATGGATGCTGGGATCGAAGTGGATGAAGATTTAGACAAGGTGCTCGAAGTAGTTGTGACTGTTCTTTTGGCTAGATCGCGCTCTGCAGCACTCGGAATACATGTCGTGGTTGTGGTAGAAGACACATCATAGCTGGTCACAGTGGATGCTGTGATAGCGACGGTCGATGTAGTGATTGGAACTATTGCGGTCATTGAAGATGTGAACTGCGCAGTAGAGGTGATCATTGCCGTCTTGATACCAAGGAACGTAGAGCAGAAAGGCGAGGCGGATGGATATGCCTTGAGCAGATTGACCACTAAGTCAACCGCAGAACAGAGGTTGACAGTACGCTCATCGAGTGGGAAAGCAGACGTAGGAGAAGCAAGCAAAACGTCCATATACTGGAAGCACAATATCAAATGGAGTTAGCTGCAGCTTTTGGACTGGGAGATGGAAGGAAGGGAGTCATCGAGAATTGTCGGTTGCTCAGTATTAATGATTAAATTATGCAAGATATGAAAAGTGGAGACTCCTCACTTCCACTATCTCGAACCATTCAACCTTTCGATATCGGCCTGATTATAATACCTCTCATGAACACACTCTCTGGAAAATCATACAGTAAGGGATAAAGTAATCTACTCTCCGCGTCATATCTCCATCTCTCTCAAGATCAGAATCAGGACGAAGGACAGGAAAAGATAGTCTCTCCGGAACACGGCCTGTCAAAGGACTCACGAAAACATAAAAGAGGAACAACCACAATCGAGTCAGAATCCAATCTCACCCTCAAGAAAGAAGAGCCATGGCATCAACCACAAATCCATCCCTCCACTTCCTCTTCCTCCTCTCCGACTCGGCCTTACCACTGGGTTCCTTTGCCTTTTCCTCCGGTCTAGAATCCTACCTCGCACACCACAAACCTCCTTTCTCCTCTGCATCAACCACTCCACCTTTGGATTTCCACTTCTTCTTACACTGCAGTGTACGGAATTTAGCGAGCACATCATTGCCTTATGTGCTTGCTGCTTACTCCAAGCCCGAGGAGTTGGAGACACTGGATAATGACTTTGATGCGAGCACGAGTTGTACTGTTGGAAGGAGAGCTAGTGTCGCGCAGGGAAAAGCTTTGTTGAGTCTTTGGGAAAGGGCATTTAGTGCGAGTTGCGTCAAGGATGCAGCGACGGAAGCAGCGATTGAGGCTATAACGCAATTTGCTGCGTCTTTCAAAGTCTCAAAACCAGATCAGTGGGGGCTAAAGCTGAATGCACATTTTGCACCTCTGTTTGGTGTGTTGTGCAGAGCGTTGGGGCTGGGAGAAGAAGAGGCAGCATATCTGTTTCTCTGTAATCATGCCAAGAGTGTGCTGTCAGCGGCAGTGAGAGCGGGTGTTATGGGTCCGTATCTCAGTCATGGTGTGCTTGCTTCTGAGAAGTTGCAGATTGTCATCAGGGAGTGCGTGATGGGAGAGAAAGGGACAAAGGTCGAGGATGCTGGATTAAGTGTTCCGGTCATGGATTTGTGGGTAGGCCGGCATGAGTTGTTGTATTCAAGGATCTTCAATTCGTAGAGGGGAAGGAGGGAAGATGACAGGTGTAAGAGTTTTGTTCATTAATTCGTTTCTATCGGTAATACTCGTCGTTTCAACAAAAGGCCAGCCTCCGCCAAAAATGCTTTCGCTTACAAACAGTAAAAGAAAAAAACGCTCAAGAGGGAAAATAGGAATAGAAAGAAGAGAAGAAGAAAATGCCATCGCTAACCCCTGGTTTTATGTCGCTCACAGAATCTCCTTGAGCTGGTTCTTCTGTGCAGGTGTCAAACTTGCAGGGAATTGGATCTTGACACCGACGATGAAATCGCCTCGTTCATCTGGCTTCTTGCTCTTGGGCATGCCTAGGTTGGGGTAGCGGTCTCTGAAGGTTGGTGGTGTAGGGCCGCCAGAGCTGACACCAATTTGTTTACCGTCGATGGTCTTTACGGTTCTTGACCAGCCGGTCAGGGCCTCTTTCAGTGTGATTTCGACGTTGTGGATGATGTCGTCGCCTTCGCGTTTGTATAGTGGGTGTTCTTTCTGTGATGGCTGTTAGTATTGTTATGAAGATGAGGATTGTGGATTGTATGTGCTTACCTCTTCGATGATGAAGTGCATGTCTTGGACACCTCCCTCGACCTGATCTCCCACTCCAGCAAACTTGATCTTGCTGCCAGGCTTGAGACCCTTCTTAATCGGAACCTCAAGAATGCGATCTTCCACCGACTGTTTGTTGGTCTGGTTGTCGAATGTCTTTCTCTTGATCTTCAGTTTCTTTGTGCAGCCGGTGAACAAATCTTCGAGGGCGACTGGCAATGGCTTCTCGACAACGGTGACTTCGGGAGTCTGTTGGCGTCTGCTGGGCATGCCGCCATTCATGCTAGGACGGGCACGAGCACCTGCTCCGGGGCGTCCACCAAATCCGCCGGGCATGGCACCGAAGGAAGAGAAGAAGTCGTCTTCGTCTCCTCCCATTCCACCGCCCATACCAGCACCGCCACCACCTCTGAGGAACTCGGAGAAGATGCTCTCGGGGTTGCTGAAGGAGAAACCACCAGGCATACCACCACCACTCGTCGAAAAGTGGAACTTGGTACCTCCGGGACCTCCCGCTGCACCGCCAGGGAAACCTCCAAATCCACCAGGCATGCCTCCAAAGCCGCCAGCACCGCCTGCATCATCCGGCGGAGGGGCACCACCTCTTAGCAGGAATTCGAGACCGAATTGGTCATAGGTTTTGCGTTTGTCGACATCGGAGAGGATTTCGTAGGCTTGCGAGACTTCTTTGAATTTTTCCGAGGCTTGCGGGTTGTCCTTGTTCTTGTCGGGATGGTATTTCAGAGCGGCTTTGCGGTAGGCCTTTTTGATCTCGTCGGGGGTCGCGGTAGGCGCGATGCCTAGCGAGTCGTATAGCTTTGTCTCGGCGACCATTGTGTGTGATGAGCGAGTGAGTGCGTGTGTAGAGAGTCGATCAAGCAACGGGCGATAGCGATTGGGAAGGTTGTTCACGCAGGTTGGAAGAAAAGGCTTCTTGATTGTTGGGTCGGTTGCTGCTTTGAGCTGCTCCCTCGGTCGAGCGTGTGACATCAGATGTCTGGGGAAACTTCTCGAATCGCCCACCATACCCCACACTCTACCATTGACTTCCATGCCACGAGTCCTTCATTTCACCTCGGCCATGATTGATATATCATACGTACATGACAAGAATGTCTGTCGGACTGCGTCGGGTCGTAGAAAATCCTGTTGACCAGCCTCCAGTGCTTCTCACATCCTCGTGCTGCCCCGCTGTCCTTCATTGTAGTGGCATTACTTCCGCAAGCAGCCTGTTTCGATGGTCGATGAAGTTCTGAGTGAGAATATTGCCTGTGCCCTGCTCCTCGACCTTGAACACCTCGATCGCTGTACTCTTTGCTTCTCGCCGAATCCTCCAGACGCCTTCGCCGACAATCGTGTGTTTGAGGAAGTCAAGGAACTGGCCTGTAAAGTTGATGCAAATGTTGCCATTCCACTTGTACGTGCCTTGTTGTTGGATCTTGGATGGAATTTGCTGCGTGCTTAATTCCTCAATGTTCAGCAACTTGCCATCTCGCGAGCGAAAGCCGATGACGATTTTTGGCACACTGCAGTCTGGTCAGCCGTGGGGCATATAAATCAGCTCATTGAATGACAAACTTCAGCAAAAAAGACTGAGCCCAGAATTTCAGGAGCTTCTTATCGAGGACCCAGCGATCGCGCTCATGCTCTGGCTGTTTGGATGTCTTGAGCTCTACCCATCTAGCCGGTGCTTGTGGATCATCGGGCTTGTAGCCGAGTACTGTATCATGTCAGTCTTGTTCGCGACAAAGCAGTCGATGTCTCTACCTCCATCTACTTCTCCACCAATGACCATCGAGGCGCCGCCGATCTCTGTCCTGCAGATACTGCAGTATTGAGCATAGTTGTCAACAACTTCGTTCTCTCGTCCCTCGATTGCTTCTCTTGTCGTCTCTCCCCAAGGTTTGTCCAAGAGTGATAACGTCTCAAACTTGTAGCCTGTTTCAAAAACGTCAGCGTTTGACGGGAAATAGGAATGATATTGGTCGCTGACCCCAAAACATGGCCATATCCTGTGGTGGACCTCTATTCCGTGAGAAGCGAGCCTTTTGTGCTTCTTTTGATGCCGCCTTGTATGCATGATTCTCTTCAATGTATCTGTTGCAAAGATATCGGTCAGTCTTACTTTCTTATTGGTGATGTTCAAAAGACGCTGCGTACATTGTGCCCTTTACGTCATGTTAGCCATGTCAACTAGTACCGTTTGGAAGATCAATCCCCTCACCTGAAAGCATGTTGCGTTCATCTCAAACCCATCTTCCATCTCATATGGCGCTGTCAAGATCTAAGCGCACGATTAGTATGTCCCCTAATACACAAGCATCCAACTTGAGACAGACCCTAGTCATCATACCCCTCCACGTCACAAGATCAACTTCAGTCTTCTTGCCATTGCGTGTTTCGGCCTCGACAAGCGTGTCTAGCAGACCGTCTAGATGCTCATCACCACTGTCATCTCGTTGTCGAAACGAATCGTACCCTTTGGAAAGATCGACAGGAAACCTGTTATCTTGTTGATGACCAGGTATGTTGAAGAATGGTGGGTAGTAGTATCTCAATGATTCGTTGTCAAGTGGCTTGAGTTTATGTTCAGAGTCGTAAGAGAAGAAAGCAATTTCCTGGTCATGATCAGCTTCCCGATGCGTGTGATTCCCAGATAATCGTACAGTTGGTTTCTTGATTCTAGTATTTGCTCCAGCGAACTGCTGTACTGGCTCAACCAAAAAGCGCTGCATGGTTTTTGTGTTCATGGACCATTGTTGCGTTGGAAGATCCAGACGGCTTTGGTGGAGGATGCGAGCCAACGCGCGCTTTATGCTTGGAACGCTATGCCATAAGCGGCCAGTATCAGGTTTTATGCAAACGTTCTCAACGGCATCCTGATCGATCGACTGTTCAGAAAGATGATGCTTGTATCACACGTTGTGTAGAATTTCATAACAAAGAAATCATGGAAGAAGCGTGCTTTCATGCTTTTGGAAACATATACGTAGATGAAATAACAGAAATCATCCAGAAATGCAAGCAAAGATCCCATCACATCATCAGTCTTCCATGGCTAAAGATCAGATGCGAGTCCATGCTGATTCTTCCATTGGGTTGCTGCTGCTCCTTTGCCTCTCCACAGTCCTCCGAGACTGTACCGAGCACTACCCTATGAACAGTGGGATTGGGCAGATGCGTGATCGTGCGTATTGCTGGTCGACGTTGTGGCCCTGCGATGACTCTTCTTCTCTCCGTTCTACTATTCTGCCCCGAGTCTGTTGCCCCCAGTCGCTCTATGGGCATACTGAACACAGTCTTTGTCATTTGGCGGATCGAACTTGTTCTGCGAGAGAAGTTAGTCAAATGCGGAGCGCGTTATCCACTGCAACATACTTCTTCAGTGTGAGTGTCGAGACTTTTCGGAGAAGCTGACTGGCATTGTCTGCTTGATCTGCAGCTTGTGATAGAACTTGTCGCACTGACTCATCACGTTTGACAGATGTGCTGGAAGTTTGTTCCACAAAGGAAGTGTCTGTCGACGTAACTATGGTTGAAGCGTCCGTTGCCTTTTCCGAGTGAATCGCTTGTAGATTTTCTGGTCCGGTGGACTTGAGAAAGTGCGTTAAGGAACGTATGTTCGATGCTTCTGTCTGTGCTGCTCGCGGTACCATCGACTTTTTGAGAGGTTGCCATGGGATCGCGCGTGGTGTGCGTGTTCTTATGCCCTGGACAGGATCTGAGACTGGATGGCCGATGGACTTGGTGGTGGACGAGGCGTCTTCCGGATATACGCTGGTGATGCTACTTACAACATCAAAGTCAGCAGCATGTTGCCTGGCCGTTCTGTCACAACAAAATCCAACCGGGCTGTCCAGGACTGCAGTATTGAAGACCAGTGATGCAGGTATCCTGTGCAGCAATCGGTGTCCATATCGTCCTTTCTGTTTGAGTGTCCATTCGTACGCTGCAATTTCCTCATTCTCCTGAACCAGATGATGCGACAGTGTAAAGTCCAATCCGAGGGAATGATAGGAGCGATTGCAATCAGTCTGCTTTAGGATATAAGCACATAGCTTGAAGCTGATTTGCGCTTGCTCGTATTCAGTAAGTTCGAATCGCACGAGACCAAGAAGATAGTGAGCAAGCGGGGCCATGAAACGATGCAGTGGAAGAACCTTCTTAAAAGTTTGCTCAGCATGCTCATATTCAGCTTGAAGGGTGTGAGTCATGCCAATGTTCAGCAAGAGAACTGCTTTGATCAGACAGTTCGGTGCCTGTTTTTCCAGCATCTCGAACTGACCGACAGCCCAGTCTAGATCGTAGGCCACTTTGACGAGGAAACAGGCGTGCTTCCACACATCTCTCAGTCGATTCTGATCAAAATCCATGGGACGGTGCTGGACGAGCTGAGTATCCATTGAGATCGAGTGCAGCAAGCAAGTTTTTGTCAAACTTGAGTTTGTACTTGATACAGTCAGGCAGTTCGGCGAGTCCGTTTGGACAATGGTCCGGAGCAGGCGATAAGGCACAGTTTTATACAGCTGATCAGGAGTATAGCTCTCACCAACGTGGCACTGCCAGCGTCAAGGACAATCATGTGTTTTCAACATATCTCTACAAGGCCAGTCCACACGTATGAGCTCCTGTCATGTGGTTAAAGGCGCAGACCTGCTCATGATCCCATGCAACACAGCTCTCAGAGACAGATGGGCTTCTTTTGACGCATGTGAGATGTGATTGAAGGACGGCCAATTGTTTGACTTGACTGAATAGAGACATGCTTGTCTGCATCGAGCATGACCGTCGGAAGAATCTGCCTGTCAACCTCAAGCATCGCCTGTGGCTCGCATACCTCATGGCTCAGGTTCTGCCACAACGATCATCTCGTAGGCAGCTGCCCCACAGTCCTTCAATGTCGTAAGACGACTGAGTCTTGAAGATGAAAACACACCTTCGTAATCTTGCCAATCCATCTTAGGCCCAAGCCAGATAATCTTGGAGAGATTGACATGGTCATGTAGTTCAAGATATTGTTTAATCAACTTGGGCTCGCGAGGATATGTGAAGATCCAAACGTGAGATCTGCCTGCTTGCGAACAGAGGTCCCAGGTGCCACCTACAAAAAACATATTTTGCTCAGGTAAGTACTTGTTGACATTCGGCGAGACTTCTACACCGCACACGTCGTACGAGTTGTCCAAGAGATCGGAAAGCAGGCTTTCGAGAAGGCCGGTGCCGCTACCGATGCTGAGCACAGAGATGGCTGGACCATGAGGCAGGAGGTTGGCCAAATTGTGGAGCAGGGGTTGCGAAATGGCCATACAACAATCCGGATGATGCTTGGGCTCAACAGAAGAAGCAAAACTCATAATGTTGGCAGGGCGATTTATGAACCAAGTCAGGAATTGGCTCCAAGTTGTGGCTGGTGCTGCAGGGGAAAAGATGAAAAAGACCCTCGGATGTCAAGAGGCCACCAAGCGCACGGGCACGGGGGCGGCGGCCTGTCGGTCGGTGGTCATGAACAACAAGGATGGAGGTCTTGATCAATTTCTTTTGCAGAGACAGTTTTCTGTCTTGACATGTCTTGTCTCTGGGAGCCGCCAACATTCTTTCGACCTGTGCAACCAACCTCGTGAGACGTGACGATCTTGTGCATACAGCCGATTACGATCACGACCCCTCGTCTCCCTAATCGCAACGGTCCGGTCCTTCCATAGCGATCTCCTTGTTTAGAACCGTTTTCTGCCTAAACAAACCACTGCGCAACTCCAAGAACTGGTCACCGTTCGGTCGCTCTTGCCAACTTGTCTTCCGATCTCGCAGCATTTTCCACCAGAAGACGACGTGCTGAACAAGGTGTACATCGGTGGAACAAGTGCTCAGCAGACACCGGTCGCATTCGCAAGGTCATGAACAGGCTGGACCTGTTGTGCATCAACCGTTTGCGCGGCTCTTCGTAGTAACAACGACGATAACCACAATCCAACACACGACATGGCGACTGCATACCAATCTACCCCACGTTGGGAGCAATCCGTCCCAATGGGCCACGAGGTGAGCGCAAGTCTCCCCAAGAATCCGCGCCCAAGTTCGAATCGACTAACTTCACTACAGAACCTGCCTCTGGCTAACCAAGCCTTGTTTGATCCTTCGTACGCGTTCGACCCCAATCAGACGTCTCGCGGTTCCTCGAACTACCATTCCACACGCCGACCTTCTCAGCACACCGCTACACTCGATGTCGACTCATACCAACTGGATCAGATCAAGCGTGATAGCGGAAGGAGTATGAGGAAAGGAAGCACCCATTCACGAGGCTCGAGTCCTCAGAAAGGCCCAGTGTCACACCTTCGGAGACCGTCAACATCTCACAACCGACCCTCGGCCCCTCTTACGCTACCTCGTGCTGAGTCCGAGGCTGCTATTGATCCCGATCCTGAAAGATCAGCATGGATCCACCGCGACAAGCTTGCTCGCATCGAGAGTCGGGAGATGGCTGCTGCTGGGTTTGGATTGCCTCGCAATCCGCGCTCGAGTCGTTCCGGTAGTCGTTCGGCAAGTCGATCACAAAGTCGCAATGCTGCCTCACGTAGCCAAATGAGCCATCTCGCACTACCTAACGAAGACACACCCAAAGTGCCTGGATTCGAGGAACAGAGCGGAGCAGGCGCAAACCAGGATCCGGACTCTGATGAGTACGAGGAAAGACTACGGGAGGAGCCTCGAATGGATCGCAATATGTACAGTCGAAGTCTTCCAAGATCGGCTGTATCTCGTATTCCTGTTGCAAGAGCTAGCCCTGCACCTGTCGCACACAGCCTCGTCGAACGCGACTCTCCTCTACCTCGCAGCATGAGTAGTCCTCTCGGTGATAGTGCAAACTCAAACAGAAGATCGCGCAGCCAAAGTCTAGGAGATCCAGCCATGATGGTCGAACCTTCAAGTACGCGATCTGCGATACCCACAAAGCCAAGGCCTCGTAGCTCCCATATCCAGGATTCTCCCGGTGTTACCGAATCACCCTCGCTGAGCCAACGCACGACACAATCCCTGACCGCCGTATCGAGGGCCAAGGCAATGAACAAGGCTGCGTCAGGAGGCTCTGTGGGTGGAAAGACCATTCCACGTACCGCTTCAAAGGCCCGAAATCCATCGCCAAAGGACAGCCCGGTTAGAAGGCCTACATCCGGCTCCACCAGGTCTCGGCCGACTTCATTCCACATGCGACCAGAAGGAGAGGCACCTTGGGTCGCGACCATGTATAAGCCCGACCCCAGATTACCGCCAGATCAGCAAATGCTTCCAACTCATGCAAAGCGCGCAATGCAAGGTGGATCGGATAGTGCGGATGAGGCTGAAAAGGCTTACCCGCTCAACATTGACTCTTTGAGCGATGAGGAGCTGGCCAAGATGGGAGCTCTACCCTCGCCCGAGTCGGCTAAAAAGGCAGAGATGCTCAAGTCTACACAGCAAGGCACGGGTAGCTTACCACCACCGTGGCCTCTCACAAGCATCAAGAGCGATGCCAGAAGCCAAACCGGAAGTGCTAAGGGCACGACTGGTGGGTACACGATTACGCCAAAGATTGCGCCTCCAATTGATCCCCCGAGAATACCAAAGTCACCAACTGCCCAGGCTCAAGTGACTAGCTCGGTCAACGCCGGTGTACAAAGAGTGCCAGATCTTGATGAGAAAGACGATGGCAAGAAAAAGAAGAAGGGGCTTGCATGCTGTATCGTCATGTAAAGTCCGAGTCCGCATCGTGCATATACCCTAACCACGCGCATATTGTGTAGAGGAGCTACACCAAGATCGCTCTTTCGATTCTCTTGTTTCTGTTTCATATGTGGGGTTCCGAGAATGTCTGCTCTACTGCTTTTCCTTTTCCCAATTTCTTCGTCTCTAATTGCTTTTCTCTATCTCCTAGCGTCCCAGCAAGCGATTGGCGTTATGTCTTCTCTTCAAGCGTAGTCAAAACTTTTATTGTCGATATCTCGATCTGTTGCTTTCCAATCAAGATTTCATTTTTACCATGGGTCCAAACACAGTCAATCAAATCAAATTACGCGCAAAAGAACAATCACTGCAGCTGTAACTGAAGTGTTCCCGTTGAACCAAGTGATTGACGAGATGCACACAGACATAATCAGAGCAAATCATTCCCCGGTGACAAACATAGTGCGTACCTTCGTGGATCTACTAGTGCTTCACCAAGGCTAGTACGATCATGTTATATCTTCAGTGTCAGCCTGATCTGGCTTACACTGTATAGACAAGCAGTATTACAAGTTATAATTTGAATGGCAATATCGATTATCATATATTCGAGTAGGTACCATTCAGTGAGAGAGACGATCGAAGATGCATATCACGTGCTGAGCAAGCTCTTGGCGCAGGTCGACAGCCGAGAAGAGCGCACAGACCGGGCGCGGCACTCACCAGAGAAAGTCCGCTTCGCGAAATCCTCTACTTTCCAACAACCCACACATATCGACTCTTCGAGGATCACCCGACAGCGTCGTTATATCTATTCAAAATGGTACGCCCCGCCGATTGAAGGAAGCGGAAAGAGTCTTTGCATCTGTCTGCGCACACCGCAATTGCAAACCGCAGCTCTTTCCGTGGACAATTTGCGAGAGAAGAATTCAAAACTAACACACCCTTCAAGTCGGATGTAGAAGAGCCCACCAGCCCCGTCGCCGCCGCCGAGGAGGTCGAAGTTGGCGCCGATGAGTCCGCTCAGTCCGGCTCCATGTCCGTCCTCGATGCCCTCAAGGGTGTCCTCAAGATCTCTTTGATCCACGATGGACTTGCCCGCGGTCTTCGCGAGGCTTCCAAGGCTCTCGACCGTCGCCAGGCACACATGTGCGTCCTCAACGAGGCTTGCGAGGAGGAGGCCTACAAGAAGCTCATCGTTGCCCTCTGCGGCGAGCACAAGATCCCTCTCATCAAGGTCCCTGATGGCAAGCAGCTCGGCGAGTGGGCCGGTCTCTGTAAGTCCTTTAATTCCAAGTTTTTCACGAACCGAACAGTCTTCTAACAACCACCACAGGCCAGATTGACCGTGAGGGTAACGCCCGCAAGGTCGTCAACTGCTCTTGCGTCGTCGTCAAGGACTGGGGTGAGGAGTCGCAGGAGCGCTCCATCCTCCTCAACTACTTCCAGACCGAGCAGTAAACGCTTCATTGCGCTTTATCGCCGCGTCTTTCTGTTAAAAACACTATCGAGCTCCCCGAACAATAATCATCAATCACGTCAAAACAAAACAAGACGGAGGATCGGGCACAGGTGGTCAAGGATCGGCAATGGCAGACAAGTTCAAAATGGAATGAGAGAACTCTCCAAACACATTCTCGTGCGCATGTTATCCTGTTTTCGTGACTAGTGACTTCCCATGTTGCAGGCATAGTTCTATCAACTGAAGTTGTCATTGATTGCATGCGATTAAGTGAATGTAGTATTCAATTTTCTCATCACCAGAAATCATCTAAACTGCCACGACCCGAGCGTTCCACCACTCCTCGCAGCAAGCCTCAAATGTTGATAAGGACTCGTCTTGGTGTCAAAGTAAAGACCGTCGATATTCCCATCGCTTCTCCTCAGACTAACATAGTAAAACCCACTGATAGTCAGGCCATGATTCAAATCATTGTCGTCACCCTCGCCAGCCAGACGCTCCGAGTGTCCCTGACAGAGATCGGATTCGGAGTGTATAAAGCATCGCTCCTTCCAGCGCATGAATATCCATTCTGACATGATCTCGTCCATTTGCGCGCGACTTAGCATTGCTCGCGCGACGTCTTCGTCTGATTTCATGTTGTTGAAGGGCGGTAAATTTCGCCAGTATGACGCATCTGTTTGAGCTGTGGTCGGAGGGAACGTGATTCCTCCATGATTTGGCGATCTGGTGGGTGTGAGAAAGGTGTGTACGTTTAGGTCGATAATCTGCCCTTCCAGATACGTCGTAATTGGAGGTGTTGGAACGCCTGTCTCGGCAGATGTATGTGTTGTGTTAGGAACGTCGAAAGCCTCCATGGTACCAGCCATGCTCATGTTCTCCAAATTCACAGCTTGAACTGTGACTTTGACTGGCCAACGATCTTGAACATCCCGAAGCGGTGTCGACAGATACGAAAAAGGGTTGCCAGAAAAGGACTGAGGGGACGAACGAGAGTATGGAGTCGGAGTGTGGCCGAGCCATGGACGAGTAGCATCGAATGCTGGTGGTGTACGTAGAGAGGATGCTTTGGCGGATGTTGTGGTATGTTGAGTACCACGAAAGACAGCGCCCGGTGCAAGCCATGAGGAAGGCTGTGGATGAAGAGAGCTACCCGTATCTGTTATTAGGTCATCATAGCACTCGGGAGCAAAGAGGCCATGGTCCAAGGCCAAAGACAGCGACTCGTCGTATGAAGAGCATTCGCGCACATGGTCGAGATATCTCACAGCGGACTCGAGCAGAGGCGATGGACGTGACAAAGAAGTCGAGGGCGATGGTTCCTGAGCAGGGCTATCGGCCAAATATGTGCGTCGGTATGCGCTTCGAGCGTCTTGAGTATCGTTCGTACTTTGGATGTCCCGTTGGGTCGCACTGGGCGAGAGGGCGCTGGTACGGGCATTCTGCATGATAGCAGCGCTCCTCAAGTCATGGCGACGGTAAAGGGTACGACGGCGCGAGGCGGCTTGCTCGGATTCGTGGTCCTCGCTGGTACGAGTAGGGGCCCAGTCATAGAGGGACTGGTTGTGTGTCGGTGGCACGCCATATGTCGGCCTCGAGTCTTCCAAGCGGCTGAGTCTAGCAAGCACTCTTTGTAGTCTCTGTCTCCTAGTTTCGTCTTCGGTTGAGCGGTCGGTGGCTTCTGCTTGTGCTTCTGCTTCTCGTCGGCGGTCAAGGCGGTTCAGGTCTCGCAAGAGTTGACGGTCACGGCTTGAATTGGACATTATTCTGTCGTCGCGGTGTTCCAGACATCAGCGGCTTTTGCGTTGACGTCTGACAATATCAGAACAGAAATCCATCTCCGAAGTCCTGCTCCCTTCACCTACTTGGTCTATTTCCAGCGAGCGTCTTGGATGACTGTAGCAGTGGCCGTGACTGACTTCGGCGATGACGGTTCAACGGCGATGACGCCTTTTTCGATACAGGACCCTTTGTCGTTCAGCATACAACCTCTCGACTCGTCAGAACAAAGAACAATTGCCCGCCTCGAACGAAAGTCGAGCCGGCTGAGCAGGGCTGAGGGTATGCCCGAGTGCTGTTGAAGATGCAACTTGCTCGCCACCGTCGCACCTTCCTAGTGGCTGTCGTCGGACTGCGCCAACCCTGCTGCTAACTAACGTCGCTCTACAGCGATATATTCAGCAGCTCATTGACTGTTGTTGGATTTTGTATAGCGTTTGAGCTTGCCCTCATGTCTCGCCGCCAATGATTCGACTCCTTGATCTACAAATGTCCATTAATGGCTCGAGTCACTCCGAGTACGATTCCGTGGGACCAAACGCGCCATCGTCTCAGCACGAAAGGCACTTTCGCAACCGCCTCTGTCGCTCCTCCTCGTCTTTTGTTCCACAGCAACCGCGTTTTTCCTTTTCTTATCTCTGTCTAACTTATTCGTTTCTTTGTTGACCTGTGGCCGGTCCACGTCTAGACGCTCTTTCATACTAACCGCCGTCAATCATTGTGGTCGCTAACATTTCCTGTCCACTCTTTTTCTGTTATTTCCCGTGGACCGACATGTTTAGATCTCACAGTAGAATTCAGTCCTCCAACTCTGTCTCGGATCTCGCACAGTATGACGAGAAAAGAGCTTGGATTGCCGAGGATGATTTTCAGCCTTCGAGACAAAGCACTTCACGTCAGAGGTCTTTGGTGTACCTGCTGCTTCTTTCCGAGGCTATAATGGCGGCCTCTCTATCAGCACAAATCCCGTTGCTTGTCGCTGTCTCCTCAACAGCATGTTCGGACTACAGCTCGGCCTACATTCGAAGCCTCTTAGAGTGCGCATATTCCTTTGGAAGCACCTGCAGCGTCTTCTGGGGATATGCAACCGACAGAAGTGGACGCAAGAAGACAGCTATGCTCGGACTCACTGGCACGCTGGCTTCTTGTCTTTCTATGGGCTTCGCTACAACCCTTCCAGGTTGGGTCACTTTGCGATTCTTGGCCGGCTGCATGGGTTCAGCAGTTTTCACATCTGCTCTTGCGATGCTCGCTGATTTGAGTATGCCATCTGCCAAGGCTTTACGGATCGTGTCGAGCTTGCCTTTGATATCAGTTTGCGGAGGTATCGGTCCGCTCTTGCAGTCTGTTGTCAGACAGGTCGGCAAACGTGCGCCTGCTGGAATTTGGTCGCAGTGGCCTGCTTTGAACGGTCAAATTGCTTGCGCTGGGTTGATTCTTATCATCTCCCTAGTCGAGGCTTTTTGCTTGCGCGAGGTTAGTATTGCTGATCGCTCGATACGCGCATATGCTCACAAGTCTTGCAGACCTTGGACTCCCGGGCTGTAGCTAGCCTCCAGAACGAGAAATCGTCCTTGCTCGAACACAAATCTGACGATAGCGAGGCATTGCTTGCTGTCTCTGTTGTGGATATCGACGAAGAGCCCGCAAGGATCTGCATTGACGACTTTCTGCAAGCGCCATCTTTTGTAACACTCCTAGCTTCCTTCTCTATTCTGTCGTTACACTCATCAACGTTTGAGGTGCTGCTTCCGCATCTTGCCGACTCACCTGCCAATATGGGTGGCATGGGCCTCCCTTGTGGTCTGCTGAACACGATCATCACCATCGTGAAGCTAGTGGCTGCCATGGGAGTATTCTACGCCCTGCCGAAGCTTCAGGCTAAGGCGTCCGTTCTCTCAACCTACCGTCAGATCTCTGTCGCCTTCCCTGGTATCTACGTGCTGATCCCATTCCTTGCTATGCTTGCTACAGTATCTGGAGCCCCGGGCACTTCGTGGGCCGTGTTCAGCACTGTCGCCGTAATCGCCAAGGAATTGTTTGCAGAGATAGCAATGGTGCTGGCCATCTTGCTTGCATTCTCTGCCGCGCCGAACGCAGCATCCGCGGGCACCAGCATAGGTCTTCTCGGTCTTTCCAACCTCTTCAGAGCGCTTGCGGTTGGTGTTAGTGGTTTGAGCTATTACCTCTCGGATGCATATTCCGTGGTTGCCATCAATGCTACTCTTTGGGCGTTGTTGGCTGTGTTGGCATTCACTGGTGCATGTATCAACTGGAGACTGAGGGAAGCACCCCTTGTTGGACAGGACATTCCAGCTGAGCTGCTGCGCTGGAGCAGTGTGTTCGACGCCGAATCGGACTCTGAAGCTGATATATAGGCGACAATGTTTTCTTACATTTCCTTGCTTCCTTCTTGTAGATTCACAAACACATGCTCCAATCTTTCTTTAGTCGTTATATAGTTTCTTATATGTTGATATACTCAAACTTTATATATTATCAAGCCTTGCCCTGCAACAACAGCACAGTGATATTCTTATCATTTTGAAATCGATCATCATTTGCCGCCTTGACAGATGATAGAGGAGAACCGATGGAAGTACTGTTTCTATATCATCCTCTGAATCACTCTTTCCATCAAGGTGTGGTACCTCGGAAAAGACATTCGTGTGCATGGATGACTAACCGTTATTCCCGAGATTTGCCTCTGCGCTCTTTGTGCGTTCCTCCATCGTGTTGCGCGTTTTGTGCGGGAGAACCATGACATGGCGCAACTGGAGTTGAATTCATCATTTGATAAGATAGACCCCTTCCCATGATCCAGGTAAATTCAATAACATATCGCTTCTCTTCTCAATTCAATCTTCTGCCATCGGACTCCCCATGATGGAGCTGCACCCAAGTTACGAGATGGTCGCAACACCAACAATAACAACCACTACACTCTTCATATCCAATCTACACTGCCCTTCATGCATCACAAGCATCCAATTTTGTCTCGAAGATTTGTGTATCCAACCATCTTCGATTTCTCACTCGATAATCCACCACTCAATCACAATCCGCCACGCTCCATCCATCTCCCATACCGCCATCTCTTCAAACCTCGAAAAAGCAGGCTTTGAAGTCTACAGTGTTGTACAAGCGAACCGGGAGCCTGCTTCTCTCAAATCTTCGCAACCCGAGGATACTGGCATCAATCAAGACTGGGGTTTGGAGCAAGCTGTGCAGAGATGGAAGACTGCATGGAAGGACAAGGATACAGAGGCGGAGAAGAGCAAAAAGAGAAAAAGACATGTGGAACAGTGTGTTCAGTGTCGAGATGAGTTGTTGCAGAGCTGTGGTTCTCAGGAAGCGCTGATGCAGAAAGTACAGCCCTTTGTTGATGCTTCTGATGTCGAGAAAGGTGGTGCTGTTTCTTCTGAGGACGAGGGTGGTAGGGACGAGCTTGAGGCTGTGGTACCTTCCATGCCGGAGCTCTTTCGTGCTACTTTCTCGATTGAAGGGATGACGTGTAGTGCCTGCGTTACCGCTATCTCCCAGGCTGTCTCTCGGCATTCCTTTGTACAGGATGTGAATGTCAACCTACTCAGCAACTCGGCTACAGTCGTCTTCTCAGGTCAAGGTAACGAGAAAACCATCTCAGAGTCAATCGATGATGCTGGATACGATGTGTCCTTGAGCGACTTGGAGAGTCTGAATATCAAGAAGATTGCCCACGAGCAAACATGGAAAGCAACATTTTCTGTCACAGGCATGACTTGTACTGCTTGCGTACGATCTCTAACTGCTGGGCTTGAACAGCCGGAGTGGGTCGACAGCGCTCAAGTCAATCTGATCTCCAATAGTGCCACGGTGGTATTTAAAGGGATCAAGGAAGGCGTCAAGGATATCGTTACCATAATCGAGAACCTAGGGTTCGACGCTTCGGCCGACGAAGTCAACAGCATTGATGGCGTCGAGGAACAGACTCTAAAAAGGACAGTCGTTTTGCGCATGACAGGAATGTACTGTCACCACTGTCCATCTCGCATCCTCCAAGCTCTCTCCGACAACTTTGGCGACAAAGTCAAGGTCGACGAAGAGTGCAGTATAAATGATCCACTACTTCGACTCAGCTATCAACCTCAACCACCGACTCTCACACTTCGACACATCCTCAACACCATCAATGGATTAGACACACAAGTCCGAGCCTCGATCTTTAATCCTCCAACCATCGAACAACGATCAAGAGAAATCCACGCCGCCGAACGCAGAAAAATCCTTCTCCGCTTCCTGCTGTGTCTAGTCACTGCCATTCCAACCTTTGTAATCGGCATCGTGTACATGACTCTCGTCAAGCACGAAAACACGGGTCGCAAGTACTTGATGCAACACATCTGGACAGGTAGCGTCAGCAGAGCAGACTGGGCTTTGTTCATCCTAGGAAGCATCATCTACTTTTTCGCCGCCGACATTTTCCACATCAGGAGTTTGCAGGGTATATACCTCATGTGGAAGCCTTCGTCACGCACGCCTCTCAGTCATCGATTACTCAGATTCGGCAATATGAATATGTTGATTAGTCTGGGAACTTCGGTTGCGTATTTTGCTTCTATTGCTGCTCTTGGTATCAATGCTAATACTACTAGTGACAAGAGCATGGGACAGGGACAAGCTTATTACTTTGACTCTGTGGTGTTCTTGACATTGTTCTTGTTGGGTGGCAGAGGTATGGAAGCATGGACAAAAGCAAAGACCGGAGACGCTGTTTCTGCTTTAGGGTCTCTCAGACCTGATACCGCTCTCTTGGTCTCCTCTTCTAACAACGCATCTCCAACTCTAGATAAAACACCAACAGAGCTGCTCGAGGTAGGCGATGTAGTGCGAGTGCTTCAGGGCAGTTCTCCGCCCTTCGACGGCACCATCATCTCCGGAACCACAAAATTCGACGAAGCAAGTCTGACAGGAGAATCCAGACTCGTTGCCAAACAACCCGGCGATGAGGTCTTTTCCGGCACAATCAACAAAGGAGCTCCCATCGATATACGCTTGACTTCCATCTCGGGAACCTCAATGCTAGATCAAATCATCAAGGTCGTTCGCGAGGGACAAACCAAACGCGCGCCCGTGGAACGTGTGGCTGATATCTTGACCTCGCGCTTTGTGCCGCTGATTGTGTTTCTGGGGATCCTTACTTGGTTGATCTGGCTCTCGTTGGGTCTTTCTGGGGCTTTGCCTTCGTCGTATCTGGATACAGACATTGGCGGATGGCCATTTTGGTCGCTGCAATTCTCGATAGCGGTATTTGTGGTGGCGTGTCCTTGTGGAATCGGTCTCGCTGCTCCGACTGCGTTGTTCGTGGGCGGTGGATTGGCCGCTAAACATGGTGTTCTTGTCAAGGGTGGTGGAGAGGCTTTTCAGGAGGCGTCGATGCTTGATTGCGTTGTTTTTGACAAGACGGGCACGTTGACAGAAGGAAAGGAACCGGCTGTTGCTGATTGCAAGATCCTTGGCGACAAGAGAAGGGCTTTCATGATGGCAAGGGTACTCGAGGAGAACAGCAGTCACCCGGTCGCCAGAGCTGTTGTCGAGTACAGCAAAGCTCGAGTTTCCGATGGCGAAACCATTCAAGCTGCCAACGTTGAGGAAGTGCCTGGCCAAGGACTCAAAGGAACCTTCAACACAGGCTCAGAGACACACATCACAGCCATCATTGGCAACGAAGCACTGATGGCAGATTTCAACGTACATCTCGACTCGGAAAGCACAGATCTGATCGAAAGTTGGAAACAGCAGGGCAAGTCTATTGCTCTTCTATCAGTCTCTCCATCACCAACAACAGCTTTCACATTACAAGCAGCCTTTGCAATCGCGGATCCACTGCGGCCAGAAGCAGCCACAGTTGTCAAATGGCTGCAAAAGCAAGGCCTCGAGGTCTTTATGATCTCAGGCGATAATGCAACCACAGCGAACAGCGTGGGAGCAGCAGTAGGCATACCCGCCTCCAACATCTTCGCTGGAGTTTTGCCAGAGCAAAAAGCAGATAAGATCAAGTATTTGCAGCAGACGCTTGCACCGCGAAAGTCGCGAGGATTGATCGGGTCGCGCAAACATAGGGCTACGGTAGCCATGTGCGGCGATGGCATCAACGATTCTCCAGCTTTGGCGACGGCGGACGTGAGCATCGCAATCGGGTCCGGGTCTGATGTAGCCTTGTCGACAGCTTCGTTTGTGCTCGTGACATCCGACTTGCACGCTCTGGTCAGGCTTTTGGAGCTGTCGCGCGTGGTGTTTCGTCGAGTTGTGCTCAACTTTGCGTGGGCGTTGGTGTACAATCTGATTGCACTGCCCGTTGCAGCAGGAGCGTTGTATGTCATAAGAACCAGCGGAGGCAAGCACGTCCGGCTGGATCCAGTGTGGGCCAGCTTGGCCATGGCGCTGAGTTCGGTGTCTGTGGTATCGAGCAGTCTGTTACTGCGCACCAAGATTCCATTTGTGGGCTTCAGAGCAACCAAGATTTAGTCAGAGTGTAGCGTAGTTGAGTTTCTCAATCACACAGCAGGCATTTTCCTCTTGTGTTCGCGATTCTCTCTTCTTTTCTTTGCGTCTTCCTGCATGCGTGTTTCAATCTTGACTTCCATCTCCCTCTGATCCATCAGTGTCTTTATTTCCTTTTGGAGCCTCTCGTTTTGCTGTAGAGCATGGTAACGAGCGCGCATGCGTTCTTTGGCCAAAATCATGTTTTGCTGCATGTGTTGCTGCACAACCGTACCCAGCGCCTCCTCATTCACAACATTCTCTTGCTCCAAAAAGTCTCTTGCCCATTTTCTCTGATCTTCTGGTGAAGGGCCAGGACCGCCTTCTAGGTAACCACCGGGATGCGTCAATCTGATGCCGGGTACGGGACTCGTGAACACGCGCCGCGGATCGTGGATGGAGAGTGGAAGGTTCTTCAGAGTGAGTTGCGGGAGCGACTTTGGATCTATATCTCTTGCGCGCACGGAGACGGCTTGGATGGGCTGTTCGTTGGAGTGGTCTGGGATCACAAAGATGGCGTCGCGCGAGCGGGGTGGGTATTCGAGGATATGATACAGTGCGTTTTCGTAGTGTGCTGAATAAGGAATATCGTGTGGTTGGTAGGTTGCGTATTGTGCGTTTGCGAGTTTATTGCCCTTTGGACTGACGGACTGCGACATTTTTTATTTTTTTTGTGTTTTGGTGTGATGGGTGGCAGATGATGCAAGCTCGAGACGAGACGATCTGGTACGTGACAGCGATGCCTCGGATGTGGAGAACGAGAAGTTCCGCTGCACTCCGCTCCGTTGGCAGTCTGGGCTTGGCACCCGCAACCGTCAGTCGGTGGTCAGCGACCCGCGCGGGCAGTCGCAAGTCAAGCAGTTGTTGGTCGCGTCGACGCTCTGATACATCACATTCTCACACATTCACAACATGTCGTCTGGTTACGGCTTGACTGGAGGTATGTAACATTGCCCTCAACACGACTCATCAAGCAATCGGAGAGCAACAATCGCTGACAAGACGACTTCCAACGACACACAGGCCCCGGCCGCTGCTTTCCCTTCTGGCAGGAGATGCTCGCCTGCTACGTCGTCAACACAAACTCCGAGGACGGTTCGGGCAAGAAAAAGTGCGCTCCCATGCTCGAGGACTACTACGAGTGCCTACACCACCGCAAAGAAGTACTGCATCCCTCCGTCACCACACCACACAGAGCCCTCTCTCTCTAACAGAAGCCCGACAACAGGCTGCCCGTGTCCACGCCCTCCAATCCGCATACCGCAAGCACCTCGCCGCAAACCCCAGAGACGACGCCCCTTCAGCCGGTCAAATAAGGAGTCTGGGTCTCATCGAGGGCGATCTGCACGAAAAGGACATGAAGGCCGCTGCTCTGCTCCCTCACGTCAAGACAAACTGATCAACTCTACCTACTATACCACTCGCAAATGTCGATTCTTCTTCCTTTTTTTTTGTTCATAACATTCGCAGTCTGTTTTGTTGCCAAAGCTTTCAGAATGATACAGACTTGATCTCTGCATCGGCAGTGACATCAAAGACGCCGAATTTCCCTGCTTGGTGGTTTCCTCCGCTGTGTATGACTTCGATGACATTGACCGTATCTCCACTCTTTGATCGTGCTTTTCTGGGTATAGCATCGATGAGGAGTTGCGTATCCACCAGGTAACCCAATGACTTTCCCAGCCCTGGTCTTGCTTTGACGCTTTCGAAGATAGAGACGCGCTCTTGGTCGCTTCCATACGAGACACTCCAGCTCAATAGAACAACACAAAGATTGTGTTCTTGAGCCATATTCCTCAATCTCTGAATCAGCGATGTCATGGTAGCTTGCCCTGTGATTCTCCTGTAAGCCTCTCTCTTGTCATTCATCAATGTATAGGATCACACACCTCGTGCATAATTATCCTTGAGCAAAAGTCCCAGCACCTGACTCAGATTATTAATCAAAACCATACCTGCTGCCGGCTTCTCCTCTTGCTGTTTCTCCTTCTCCTGTCTTGCTTCCTCTTCCGGCAAAATCAACACTTCTTCTTCTTCTGCCTCTTCTTGACTATCCCTAATCGTATTCTTTGGGATTTGCTTTCGTTCAATGCTATCGATTAATTCATTCAGTCCCTCCACTACACCTTCAAAGTCGAACACTCGCATGATGTTCACTCTGTCGAGTATGCTAGTTGCGGTTTTGATGTTGTCTTCATGATTGGTGTTTGTGGTTGACAGACGGCTGAGGAGACCGCGGTACAGTGACAGCACGTCAAAGTTGCCTGACGCATCGATCAGAGTGGCGGTGTGTGAATACGCGGTGAGCAGATGTGTGATGAGCATTTGAAGTGATATCTGATGGGGACTGGTGTTAGCTTTTGATGTTGGAAGTGATGGTGTAAATGTGCAAATCAGTGAAGGGTGACCCTGGTGCTCTCCAGACCTCTTTGCTCTTGCAGAGAGTTGTTTGGGATGGAATATGATGCAGATACGTGGAAATTCACCTACCGTTTCAGCTGCTCGACTGCCAGTGGCTCCGCTGATGTTGTAAATGCCATCTTGGCCATAGACCAATCCCCCACTCAACGCATCATCCACCGAAGCGCAGCATTGAGTACCCACTCGCGGTCGTTTCCTCGCTCTTTCCTCAAATAGACCTATCGAGTCCGTCGTGATCAGATCGGATGCCAGCACTGGTTTCGCTGCCATTCTTAGTCGTGTGGCACGATTAGGTTTGATCTGCCGAGTTATGTGTTGGTTGGTTGCCTTTGGAGATGGAAGTTGTGATGTTTGAGAGATTCAAAGATTCAGAGGTGAAACTGTTTGACCACACTGCACAAGATTGCTATCGACCAAGCATCTCGATCTCACCACACTCTGCAGATAGCACGGTTTCAGTGTTCATTTCATTGTAAAATGAAGACTTTGTTATTTGCTGGCTTTGTTTATTTTCTCTCTCGTCAAAAAGAAAAAAGAAGAAAAGCATAATCCCGAATAACGCCTCTATCCATCATTCCCCCCTTCCATACCCATAATAAACCCATGAAGACTTTTTTCCAGGAAAGACAACCTCGTAGGTTGCATTTTCATTCCCGTGTCCAGCTTCGCATACAGAAAAGAGAAATGTAGGAGTGAAAAACTCTCGACCAGCTGAGTTTGGTATCGGATGGCTGTCGATAATGAGATGAAAGAAGAAAAGGGGAAAAAAAAGAACAAAGAAACATGTCCCGGAGATTTGGGCCTGGCATAATTCTGCTCCAAACGTATGATAGCGTAAGTTGAGAGAAACTGCTGGTATCCAAGATAGAACAATGACAATCTCTTCGATCACATCAAGACCCTCTTCTCTCGGGTCTAGCTCTGCGCCCACCCTTCAAACTCTTCATGCGGTTGAGGAACCCGCCTCCGCTACTCTTCTCGGGCATGTCGTTCGAAGCAGTTGGTACACTGTCTGCGGTGATACTTCTAGTGAGACCGTTTCGGGGAGGCGAGCTTGGTGCTCTGGTTCGGCTACCCTTGGTCTCTTCAGCGTAACGGATGGTTGCGCCCTTCTTCTCATAGGCATCGTTATAGTCGGAAAAGAAGGGGTTGCTCTCCTTGCTGGTTGCTGCAATACGGTTTCTACCACCTGCACTCTGCACTTGACCAGGGCTGTTTGGTGACATGGCGCCATAGTTTCCGTCGGGCGAAGTCACGGTGCGGTTCTGCGAGAGTCCTCTCAGACGTACGGCCAGTGACTTCTTGCGGGTCAGGCCGCCTCCCGGGAAAGCAGAAGTCTCGGTTTCGGATTCTCGGCGTTGAAGGTCCTTTCTCGAAGCTGGAGCACCCTCGAGGAAAGTTGAGGTGCCCAAGCCAACTGACTCCGAGGTGTGAATCTGTTCGACGCGATCGGTAGGGTTGAAGGATTGCACTTGCTTAGCAGGTGGTTGGACACGAGACTGGGAGTAATCGTTGAATGCATCGTCGCCACGTCCATGAAACCTGTCGAGATCGATGTTCTTGTTCAAAGGTCCGGATCCTCCCAGGGCGTTGTTGGCCGAATCTGCGGGGAATGCTTGCATAGGGGCACGAACATCCTTTTTACGGTTGCGATGGGGGTTGCATGCATCGAAAGGTCCGTCGTGGTGGAAAACTGCAGAGCTCATGTTAGTTTCGAAGTGTGAGAGTGAAGCTCAAGACCCCAAATGGCACTCACGTCCTTGGCCGTAAATGCCTGTGACATCAAGCTTGTCAATCAGGTCAAGTCCCTGGGGCTTCCTGGTAGGCTTGGATTTTCCATCCTTGGTTCGTCCCTCCCTTTCGCGACGTTCTTCGCGCTCCTTGCGACGCTCTCTCCTCTTTCTGTCTTCCTCTCTGGTATCCAGGATTGATGATTCCGAATTGCGACGAGGGCGTCTACTTTCGACTTTGGACGCGCCAGCAATAATTTCTAGACCGTTCTCCCTTGGAGGGCGTGGTGGACCCCGCGGAGGAGCGGGGCCGCGTCGGCGAGATTCATCCTCTTGTGAGCGTGCGGGTCGGTGCTGGGATGGCATAGTGCCTGTTCGGGGAACACCATTGCTGCGAGGTGCAGGGGTAGCTGATAAGAATATTAGCTGAAGTTTGGCATGTGATGGGCGATCCGCATTTACCTCCTGAGCTGGGCTTGTCGAGCAATGACAAATCCTTCTGTGATGCACAGTTAGTCGTTGTTTCCAGTGAAGAAATGCGAGTCGACCAGGACGAGTCGTTTTGAATGCGAGCATGGGACATGAGAGAAAATTCGTAGATGCTGTGTTTGGGATTTGTGCGACATAAGTGAAGCTGGAGGGCTGATTGCTGGCTGGGCTAGGAGCGGATAGCAGTCGAGACGTACAAAAATGTCCTCAGTGAAAGAGTTGGAAGGTGCCTGTCGCTGCGGGGCCGGAGGGTCGAGAAATGGGTTGTTGGACATTCTGTGCTCGGGCGAAGGTAGAGGAGAAGCAGCACGGCGGAAGGGGTTGTTGGAAGCAAAGTTGGCAGCGCCGGGAGAAGGAGCGCGTTGGCCTGGTTGAATGGGATGCGACATCAGCAAAGACACAGCAAGATAACGACGACGGGCAATGGTAGGGCGTAGTGACGGGATATTTTGATATTGAAACAGGGTTGAAACGCAGCAACAAGGGGCGCTCACCAGGCATAGCCGCGGGAGCGAGCGACATGATTGCTCGGGTCGAACGAAGATGGATCAAGGGGGAGACGTAGGCGTTGTAACTTGTCGAGAAGATGCAGAGTGCTATGTAAGCGAGCCCAAGAATGAGGAATGTGATCGACGCTGTTGTTTGGGCCAAATGACAGAGTCGGGCGCTGCTGTGGTGGTGCCGTGTCCAGGGCCGGAGCGGTTTGTGCAGAGCTGGTAATGCGACGCACTGTGGACTAGTAACTGCTGGGGGACAGGAGAGATGCTGGTGATGAGGGTTGACAGGAAAAGAGTACGAGCTGAGAGGGAGCCTCCTCTGGACCTAGGGTGTTTACTAAGATGAGAGGGGGGGCCCCGAGCCACAGGGTCTCTCTGCTCTCTTGGGAGGCTGCGCTTATTGCCTGTACTCCGCATTGGCGCTCCTGTTGATCACCGCCCTCTTCGTATTCTTTTCGATAAACTGCCGTTGGCTAAACAACTCGCACTTTCACCCACCAGCTGTGCCTGTTCAACTGTCCTGCACACACTGCTGCTGTCTTTGCATTGCTATCTATCGATTGTGCTTCCCCTATCGATCGAGAAGCGCCCGGCACGCATCATCGCTGCGCTGAGTCCGCATAGGGGGCTGGAAACTCTAACCTAACAAGCACTTGAATTAGACCCACGCTTTCTGAAAACTTGCCGAGAGCGGACGCCTTCTCTGGCGGGGCACTGCATTTTCCGCAAGTACCGCTCTTTCGCAAACATCCAGTCAGCTGCGCCGTGCGCGTGACGCTTCACAACATGGCCGACGCAAATTACGGTGGCTATACTCGCTTCGAACTTGAGCTCGAGGTAAGTCTGAAATGATGAGTCGTCGTTGCCCAAACCCACGCCATTGGCCAGAAATCGTGGCGTGCCAGCATGTCTGATTTGGATCACCCTTCTCATCGTTGACGGCCCGTCTGCAGTTCGTCCAGTGCTTGTCCAACCCTCTCTATCTCAACCACCTGGCAACCCAGAAGCTGCTGGACGATCCAGAGTTCATTGCATACCTCTCCTACCTCCAGTACTTTGCAGAGCCAAAATACATCAAATATCTGTCGTAAGTCTACCTTTTTCGACCTCGCCACGTGACTCGTATTCATTCTTTTCGTTCCAGCTACCCGGGTCCTACCATACGAGCACTTGAGCTTCTTCAGCAGGACAGATTCAGAAAGGATATTCTGATCCCCGAGACTGTGGCCAGGATGGCAGAGGAGGGTCTTCAAGCCAGCACTGATGGTCTCCACCGCGACTGATAGAGAAACGGCGCCTTCAACGGCACGCTTCCATCTCGTTCTTGTTTTCCAACGATAGCCATGATACCCACAATCCAACGGACTTTACTTTCCCTTTCTTGTCGGAGCACATGAACTCCTGATTCAAAGGGTATCTACCTGGGTATATCTGTTTTGATACCAGCCAAGGCCTGACATGTTGATGCCGAGCCTGTATCCACAAACGCCGCGCTGAAAGATCGCTAAAGAGGAATTATGCTGCATGGAGCTGCACAGATGATTGCGCGGCCTGTCTTGGAAGATGGGAACTTCAGTTCTCACGCCACTCAGAGGCACACTTCGTACACTATCTTGGAGTCAGCGAATGTAGCGTACGGTACAATAGCGCCAACAATACCTTGTAGAATGTGGTCATGGGCTCATCAGCACTTCTGATCTGGACTTGTCTGAAGTATGCCTCGCGATTGTCGCACTTCTCTTCCCTGCAGTTGACCTCTGTCTTATCGACGTTCTTCCAGCTGTCGGCGCCACCAAGCACGTCTTCAACTTCCTTGCTCTTCATCATCTTGCGCTCAAAGTAGCGCTTGTCGAGGATCATTTGATAGGGACATGTTCGACATTCGAATCGATTGACGTTTGCAAAGTGCTGCTCGTTGAGAGGAAGGTGGTCCGCAGGAATAGGTGTGATGGTCAAGAGGTTCGAGCAACTCGGGCAGACTGATTGTCGAAGTTAGCACTTCCCTAGAGAGAGTTGTTGGAGACAGTCGGTTACAGAGGAGCATTTTGAGAGATCGCGCACTGTGCGAAATACGACTTGGAGGATTTGGCAGATAAGAGTGAAGAGACTGAACAACACTGCCCGAAAGTTGTCGAGTAGAAGAATGTTCACTAGTCGGAAAGATCGAGGCTGGCGCAAGGTACAAAAGTTCAAAGAACAAATGCCGCCAAGTCCGCTTTCCGCTATGCCGAGGCATTTCTTATAGGCATATCTCAAAGGAAACGAGACTACTATCTAGATGCGTGAACAGAATGACGGAATACTGGTTTTCGGACGCACTTCGAAGAGATTAAATACCCTCACTACCTTGTGAACTGCTCGTTGCCTTTTCTTCTCATGCACGCGCAGTCAAACACATCCACGCTTCCGACCTGTACGCCATCCTGCCTTCCTGCCCACCTACCCACCATGACCAGCATGCCTTTTTCAGACGGGCGACATTAAGGCTTTTGAAGAAGATGCTGCGTCTATTAAGCTACATCCCAAATGTCTATCTGTTCCCAGGGCCGAAATCTGTTACCAACTTCCAAGACTGTTATGCGCGGGAGACTTCGTCGGTGGACGACTGGGGCTTGCGGTCCTTGCGTGCGGCTTCGACTGCTTCGATGTTGAGCTCTGGTGCTGGGCCCACTTTCTCTTCCTCTTCGTTGATATCGCTAGGCACGCGGTCGAGAAGCTCGCCGCTCTCTTCCAGCTTCTGGCGTTGCTCGGCGATGATGGCATCGGCTTCGCTCACACCTCCTTTCTGCGCGGCCGGATCGCCATCGACACCGATGGGTTCCACCTTGCGTTCTACTGTCTGCTGCAACGCCTGGTTGTCGAAGCGGACGATCATGATGGTCAGATTGTCCGTTGAGAAGCGGTTCAGTGCGTATTCGACAAGGGCCTTAGACGCAGCTTGAGGGTCCTTTATGTTGCGGACGAGATCTACTGCCTCTTGATCTGAGCAAACATCCCACAACTGTTTCGCTCGTTAGCATTCGGATTCGTGATCAAGAGTTTGGGAAGAACTTACGCCATCACAAGCCAGGATCAGGAACTCGTCGATATCGGGTTGAATGACCGTCTCGGTGGTGTAGGGATGACCAGTAATTAGGTCTTTCATGTACGCGTCACCCAGAGCACGAGTAACGGCCAGAACACCGTTCACGCGGTTGTTCAGAATGAGGCCTCCAGCACCAGAAATTCTCTTGCCTTCGTTCTCGTCGCTACCCTTGTGATCGTAAGAGAGACGAAGAGCCTTGCCGTTTCTGCAAAGAACGATGCGGGCATCTCCAACGTTGGCAGTGTAGAGAACGCGTTGGCGCGAAGCTGCCTCACGAAGCTTTGCTGCAGGTGATTGTGTCGAATCAGCGCTGATCGGCGTTGAATCCGGGTTGCCCTTGATAGCGGCAGCGGTAGCAGGGGCGATCGCAGTGGAGCCAGTGGCAGACTGAGAGTTGGGTATTCTATCTTCCCAACGAAGCACAGCAGTGATTGCGGTGCAACCGCTGTTCTTCAGAGGTAGCTTCTCCAGCTGCTGGTCGGCAGTGGTGAAGGTCATGTCAAGAAGTTCGGGAATAGGAGTATTCGGATGCTTGCGGATGATCTCCTCAAGGAGGCAGTGAATCTTCTTACCGCACCAGTCGGCGGCAAAGTTACCAGCGTGTCCATCAAAGATAGCAAAGTAGCCATTGTCGGTCTCGACAACATCCTGAGAGTTGGAAGAGTTGGTGGAAGCTATACTCTTCTGAGCTGTTTCCGAGCCAAGAGCGGGAGCGGGAGTGCAGAGGAAGTTGTAGAGATAGGCGTGTGTGTCTTCCATGGTTCTTCGGCACTTTTTGTTCTTATCTTCAGTGACACCAACCCTGAAGGTGGATCGTGGGCCGGGCTCGGATTCTCCTGCCGAGTTGTTGAGGGCGCCCTGGGGAACGCTCAAGGCAGGATCGGTTCTACCGAGTTTCTGGAAGGGAGTCTGCGGTTTCTCGCGCGCTTCGGGAGAAGAGCTATGGAACTGGTCCTTCAAAGACTGCTTGGCATTTGAGAAGACATTTCTTGCGCCAGCAAACCCACTGCTTCTTCTCTTGCCCGAGGGACTGACATCTTTGCGCTCTGCACTGGTGCCCGCATCCAAGGAAGAAGGCTCGGCAGAAGGTATGGAGCTTGGTTCGGCGGTCTTGGACAGGGTTTCGCCTTCCTTGGGCGAAGATCCAAACATTCTGTTCAGCAGGCCTCCCTGACTGGAGAAGCTTCTGCGGTTCTTGCCAGATGCCAGATTGAAAGTGGGGACGTGACTGGCGCCACACGAAGGTTGGGGTAGGATGCTTCAGAAGCAAGAAAAGGCGCGTGAGACAGAGTAAGGGTAATGGGTCCTTGTTCTGCAACACAGCATCAGCAAAGTGTCCGGCAAAGCATATGGATGCTTTGGTCTGCCGACATGCAGCTTGAGGTGAGAAAGAGGCAGGAAGCCGCCGCGCGGGGTTCCGGACGGTGAAGGTGGACTGCGAGACTTACTGGTTTCAAAGGTAGGTCTTATGGTGCACCGTGTCGGGATGATGGAGATTCTTAGGTTGTCAATTGGAGAACGTGAGGGGGTGGGTGCGGTTCTTCGGATGATGTCTGATGTCACTGACGCTTCTGGAAGGAGCGCTTGGCGCCGAACGTTACTGCCAGACTCCAAGGTCGGTACCCGCTCACTGCCGCTCACTTTGTACACACGACATCTGGCCTTTCTCTGGACAGCTGGAAGAGCAACAATCACCAATCCCTCACTTTCGCTTTAATCTGTTTGGCCACACCTTCCTAGCGTTTGGGGAACGCGGATCAAGTCATCAATCTCAAGCAGGTTCCCCGCAATTGGGCGAGCTGGGTCAAACATAGGTTCGTATTCACGTATTGCAAGCTATGCATGCTTTGTGCATCAACCTTCCTTGTCCTCATTGAATAGGTAGGTAGACAGCAGTTAAGTTTGAAGAGTTTCGTAGATAAATGACAGCCTTATCGTTGTGTAGAGACGAAGCCTCAGGTATCACTGCCCGGAACGCCATACGCTTGCCATGCAAACAAATATAACCAATGCCATTCTTTGCCAAGTCTCATCGTCTCAGGCTGTTCAATCTGGCTTGAAGGTCGTCGTCTCCAGGATCACCACCAATGGCCTGAGCGACTTTGCCTTGCTCAACTGCGGTGCTTTGGAGGCCGGTCGGGGTCTCGCCCATCTGATTGTGTCAGCAATTGCATCGACGTGACACTAAAAACACTCACAGCTTGACCAAGGTCGACACCAATCTCATCCAAGACCTGGTTGACAACCTCCTCGCCTTCCTCTTCATCTTCCAAGCCCGTCACATCGTCAATAGCGTCGTCCATCATCTCCTGCCGTTGATCCATGATGTCGTTTTCTCGTTCGAACTCCATGGCGATGCGTTGGAGGGCTGGAAGGTTCATCTGTCTGTTCATCCCGGCGAGAAGCTTGGTGGCACCCTTCATCGATTGCATCATCTGCTCGTTGCTGCGCACAGTCTGTACCTGGGGTTAGCCTAAGGCAGCATGGGAGAGTCGGGTCAGGCGTACTTGAATACGCAGTGAGATAGCTTGAAGCTGGGTGCGCATCTGGTAGAATTTTTGAATGTATCGTCGCGTCCTGACAAGGTCCTTGGCCTGAATCTTGACAGCGCCCATCTGGCCATTCTTCGCGTTCTTCTTGATATCCTGAACTAGCTTTTTCTCTTGGTTCTCGAGCTTCGTGCGCTCACGATCGAGTTCGCGTTGGGTCTTTTCTAATGCTCTTTGGTGTTTCCTGGAATGCGACGTCAGTAGGTGGTGGACACACAGACGAATGGTCAGAACACACCTCAATCTCTCGGCTGGGGTCATGCGCTTGCCGAAAGCCCATTCTACGATCTAGAGAGGAACAGACCATCAGTCACTGGAACGGAAGTCGGAACGAGCATGGGCGCGCGGATTGCTCACATTCATGGCGGGCGAAGGTTGTGCGAAGAAGAGAGATTGCAGGTGGTTAGGCAACAAGGTTGATGTCAGTCGAGTGGGCATCGGGTGCATCTCCCCCACAATCAATGAATGGCGTGCAGTCCGTGTCCGTGCCCGCCACCAAAACGACAACGGGCATCGGTATCAAACGGCACGCCAACCTCCGTGACGACTTTCTTATTCAACTTTCTCTCGCTGCCTGTCACAACCACCACTGCCATCTTACCTACTACGACCGTCGACCTACTGCATTCCAAATATCTCACGCCGACTTGTCGCCCCACTCAACCCTGGAATGTGCTGAGTCCCATTCTGCACAACACCCGCACATTATGAGCTCAGGCTCTCCCTCTGGCAGTGGCCGTGCCACTCCCTCGAACAGCTCGCCCTCACCCATGCGCCGCCACCCTGGTCGCCCTCAGTACATGACCGTCGGGAACGGTTCGACCTCTGAACACGCCGCTCGCCTTGCTGCCATGCTCGACACCGACTCTGGCTACGGAGGAAGCATCGCTGACGGCGCCACTTTCGATCCTACTTTCGACCAAGATCCCATGAATCACTTGGCCACAGCCCAGGGCGCTAGCTGTGAGCACTATCGTTACCTTTTATATGCATGGCAAAACTCTGACAGACTCGACAGCCGATAACGAAAGACGCGCCATCGCCAGTCATGTCCATCAACTACAATACAACCAAAACCGTACTGCATTGGGCCGTGCCATCTCCGAGACCGTCGACACCCTCAAGAAGTTGCAAGACATGAACTCGAAATGGCCTGCCCATTACCCAACCGTCCAGCGTCCTGTTGCCACGCCCCGCGTCCATGCAGATCCTCGACCTGGCCTTGTCCACACACAATCTGGCTTTGATAACCACCACGAACCCGAGCCGTTCACACGTCCCGCCCCTCGCCGCGCTGGTACTACCATAGGCGCAGATCTTGTCGAGTCCGAGTCCAGCGCAGCCGCCGCTCGTGCTCCAGCTGCAGAGCCCAGATTGGTCACTCCACAGCTGTCCCGCCAGTTTTCGGTCCTCAAGATCGAGTTGAAGATGGAAGGCGTACACCAGACTGAGTTGGTTCACTCTTTGGAAAAACAATCAATAGCCTCGCTTCTTGACGGCCAGATCAACAACAGTGTGCGACACCTGTTCTCGCTAAGGGATCGCATCGAGGACACCTCCAGCAAAGTCTTGATCACTGGAGATCTTAATGCTGGAAAATCGACCTTCTGTAATGCTCTTCTGAGACGTAAAGTACTGCCCGAGGACCAACAACCATGCACCAGCATCTTCTGTGAGGTTCTGGACTGTCGCGAAAATGGAGGCATCGAAGAGGTGCACGCCATACCGAACGGTGTCGACTACAACCGCCACGATGAAAGCACATATGCCGTCTTCGGCCTGGAGCAGCTGGAGGATATTGTGATCGACAACGAAAAATGGTCACAGTGTAAGGTATACATCAAGGACGTTCGCTCGGTGGATCAGTCACTTCTCAACAACGGTGTGGTCGACATTGCTTTGATCGATGCTCCTGGATTGAACAACGATTCGCTCAAGACTACCGCAGTCTTTGCTCGACAGGAGGAGATTGACGTGGTTGTCTTTGTTGTTTCCGCTGCTAACCACTTCACGCTCTCGGCCAAGGAATTCATCTTCAACGCCGCTCGCGAAAAGGCATATATGTTTATGGTCGTCAATGGTTACGATAACATTCGCGACAAGAAGAGATGTCAGGAGATGATTCTGAAGCAAGTCAACCACCTCAGTCCGGCCACTTTCAAGGAATCTTCCGAGCTCGTACATTTCGTATCGAGTAACGCAATCCCCGTCGCACCTGCTGGCGGTCCAGATGGCCCTGGTGGCTCTGGAAGCGGCTCCGGCTCAAGCAGCGGCGGCCCTAGTGGTGATCCTAGTCATGACGACGAGCCCTCGGACAAAAAAGACAAGGGCAAGGGCAAGGAGCAGGAGAAGATCGACGACTTCAACGAGCTTGAGGCATCTTTGCGCCGCTTCGTATTGGAAAAAAGAGCACGTTCCAAGCTTGCCCCTGCAAAGACCTACCTTCTCAACGTGCTCGGCGATCTCGGAAGCCTTGCTGGCGTGAACAAGGAGGTTGCTCAGAATGAGCTCGACCGTGTGACCAAGGAGCTCAAGGAGCTCGAGCCAGTATACGAGAAGTCCAAGAAGGCACGGTCGGAGGCTGGAGAAGGTGTTGATTTCACCATCGACGAGACTGCATCAGACATTTACAAGGCATCTCGTGACACCATCAACAACACAATCGCTCGTGTCGGAGAGCAAAACCTAGGCGTCGAATACCCTGGTCTGTTCAGCGTCTATCAGTACGCAGATGAGCTGAAGACAGCCATGCTAGAGCAGATTACGCAGTCAGTCCACGACTGCGAGGAAGCCGCCAGAGACCACACGGCGAAGGGAGTTAGTGGTATCAAGAACCTTGGAGTCCTGCACCTCGGCGATGATTACGAAGACCTTACCTTCAAATCTGAATTCATGTTCCGCTCACGCAGGGATGCTCTGACACGACAAGTCGATGTTGATGTTGAGGTTTCAGACTTTTTTGACCTGACAAGCCTGTGGGAGCGACAAGAAAAGGTCGCAGGAGCCAGTATGGCCGTCACGATCGCTGGTGTTGTTGGTGGCCGTATGTTCGGTGGTGTTGGTTGGGTCGACGGTGCACTCGGTGCTGCAAAGGTCCTCGGACCCAACAACCTGCGCAGACTGATGATTCCTGGTATCGTCCTCGCAGTCGCTCTTGGTGCTTCATACGCTTTGAGCTCGATCCCTCACTCGCTACCAAGACGACTCTCACAGAAGCTCTCAGCTCAGCTTGCAGAGCTAGATTATACACACGCCAACGCTACGCGAATCTCGTCCGAGGTCAGAAGAGCACTCAAGTTCCCTGCCGACAAGCTTCGTGAGGGCCTCCAGCGAAGCGTTGAGCAGCTGCTCGACGAGCGCAAGGAGAAGATCAAGCTCCAGAGCGAAAGTGAGGTCGCGAAGAAATACTTCAGCAACCTCGTCCGAGAAAGCGGCGACATTCGAAGCAGAGTGATGCGGGTCGACCTCGAAGGACCTACACCTGGCCATCTCGGCGGACATGGCGTCTAGTTGCCGTATCAATGGGCCAAAGTAATCGAATCAAACACTGGGAAAGGCGCAACAAGGCGCAAGGAGCAGGCATCCGTTCATCCTTCATTTCTGGGCTCCAAAAGGAAATCGATTGTACCTTTCAATTTTTGAGGGTAGCTCGAGGCATTGTGCACTTCTCTTCTCTTCCATAGTTCAATACCCCTCATACATGAAACAGTAATGCTATTCTACCCCTAAACACTTGCTTCTGAGTGTCACATGCCCTGTCGAACCGTATCATAGATATTTCCAGCAGCATGACGAGTAGGATAGATGTTTTTGTGGTGAGCCGAGGCACGCGAGCAGGCCCGAGCTGACACAAGCAGCACGTTTACAAGATCGTCATATGCAACTCGATCACCAAGGTAGTATCATTAATGGCGGGTGACTGAAGAACAACCTAAGTAATGGCCGATCCCAGAGCCATTGTCGCACTGGTTATTCTTCTGTTCATCTTCTTCTCGCCACCACCTGGACAGGAACCTCTGGTACTCGCTCGCTCCCGCCTCGAACACATCGTCGCTTCCGAACGCCATGACTTGACCGTCCTCAATCAGACACATTTGGGTGACTTCGACCCGGCACAGCACAGATGGCTCAATATCAGCGGATTCCGGGAGAACGACACGTTTGCGTGGCAAGCACTGCCTCTGATCAAGGAACGAGCCAGGCACCAATTCGCACATGTCTTGGGCCACGAGAACCTGGCGCGTCTTGACGGCGAGCATGCCGACCAAACACCACTACCACTATACCGAAATTTGACTGGAACCATGTACGGCGAATGGGTTCGCTCGCCCATTCAGACATCAGTTGTGCCGCCCAAGCTGAACATGTCTGAATATGCCGCCATCGGTCCATTCGGACCCATCCCGATTGATTCTTTCAGCAAGAACGTTACCGCAAAGTCTGGATTGCTCGAAGTCTGGTTTGAAGAGGCGGATACACAAGCGACACTGCTCTTACGTGGGGACAAGGGTGTGGCTAGGGAGGTCAAGGCCCAGGTCACGGTCAGAGACGGAGATGTGGGCGACTCGTGGCACAGCAGGTTGTTTGGTGTGCACTTCCTTGACACTGGCAACATCATGTTGGCTACAACTACGGACAAATTCGCTGGCATATTTGGCCTGCCACACATGGCTCTCTCGAGCCACAACTATCGCTCTGCACAAGAGTTACTCAATCGCACGCTCGCAATGTCTATCGAACAACAGGAAGACGGTCTCCTTCAGAACTTCAGACCGTGGGGCCCAGCTGCTGAAGGTACATCCGAGTCCGCGTTGGCTCCCATTTGTGACTTGGTTGTCTACTTGCAGCAGCACCTAGTTCCGGTGCCTGGCGTCAAGCCCGGGCCAGATCAGGAATCGCTTTTGTCCTTCATCGAGAATGAAATTCGATTTCCAACTGGTGCCTCGATTCCACCCACTCAACAAATGGTCTTCTCCATGGTGGCATTCTCGCCTGATTGTGGTTTCGTGATCGAGTCCAAAGGCCCACCAGATTTTGCTCCACAGGAAGCTAACCACTTGCGTGGCCTCAAGATGGAGGTTGAGTATGAGCGTGCGAGAAGTCACCTGCTGCTCTTCGCTGCCGTCGTCGGTGGTCAGCTGTTCTTCTTCCTGCGTCAGATGCGGGATGCAAGCACTCCTTCTACAAGAAGCAGAATCAGCTTTTACACCATCAGCATGTTATCTCTAGGTGACGGCTTCACTACGATGGTGTTCTGCTTGATCAGTCTGTTCGTCCAGGCTCTTTGGGTGCCGCTGATTGCCACTGCCTTCCTGGCTTTCATGAGCGTGAGCTTCTTCGGTATGAGGTTCCTAATGGATATATGGGCAGTTCAGGCACCCGAAAGGGAGCGTAGGGAGAGACAGGAACGACAACGGCAACAGCAACAGCGACCTACTGCTATACCTACAGCGCCGACTGTAGCTCCAACCAATACGGAGGAGAATACGCCTACTCAGCCACCCGCACCAACTCAGTTACCGATCATCACTCCCGCAGGAGCAGATACACTGCCTCAACCTGTGACAACAGGACGACCAATTGATACTGGAGCTACACCAATCTTTATACCTTCCGATCAGGACATGCAGGCCGAGGAAGATGCCCCCAACGCTGCAGCCACAGGAGTGGAAGCAGGTCAACGTGCTTCAGGCTTTGGCTCTCTTTACACCCGCTTCTACTTCCTTCTTTTGGCAACGCTTTTCCTCTCACTCAATGCAACCTCATGGCCGCCAGGTCTCCGGCGAGGTTACTTCACCATTTTGGCATTCTGCTACTTGTCCTTTTGGGTACCGCAGATCCATCGCAACTGCATGCGTAATTGTCGACATGCACTCCGATGGGACTTTGTGGCCGGTCAATCGTTGCTGCGACTAGTGCCTTTTGCTTATTTCTACGGCTATGAGCAGAACATTCTGTTTGCTGTCGTCGACTTGATCGATCTCGGTGTGTTGGCTGCTTGGATTTGGATTCAAGTGTTGTTGCTGTTAAGTCAGGAAATCATCGGTCCTCGTTGGTTTGTAAGTTGGACTTGGGTACCGCCTGCCTATGACTACCATCCTATTCTCCGCGACGACGAGGAAGCGAATAACTTGCCCATTGGAGCGACTACCTCGATGCCGTCTGCCGAACAGGAAAAGGAGGCCAAGGACAAAGGCAAGCGTGTCTTTGATTGCGCTATCTGTATGCATGAGATCGAGGTGCCTGTGCTGCATGGTGATTCTGCTGCCGAAGGACTTTCAACTGGATCATTGGTTCTGGAGCGCAGGAAGTATATGGTTACGCCTTGTAGACATATCTTCCATTCTAGCTGTTTGGAGGGCTGGATGAAGTTTAGACTCGTGTGTCCGATTGACCGCGAGGAGCTGCCTCCACTGTAAATTACTGTACATAGCCGTCGCATTTCATTGATTGTATTTCTAGCGATGACCATCTATCTCTTATTCGTCATCGCCGAAGGAAAGCTTTATCGGCTTGCCCTTTTTCTTGAGTTTCTTTGGCTTGCTTTCTTGTTTGCTCGTGTCGTTGGTGGTTACTTCGTCTTCATCGTCACCTCCGACCACTTTGGCCACTTTACGCTTCTTTGTCGCTTTACCTGCATCTATAGTTACAGATGCTCGAGCAGGAGCTTCATCCTCGTCCGGCAATGCACCCGAAGCCTTTGGCGAATCTTCCGTCAACTCTCCAGTCACCATATCCTTGACATCACCAAACTTGTCCTTTGCGTCGTCTTCCGCATCTCCTGCGGTGAGCTTCTCATATTCGGCTTTAGTCAAGGTCTCGGAGCTGCCTTCTACTACGTAGGTCGGTGCATCGTCGTCATCGTTGTTAGGATTCTTTGCTCGCTGGGCGCGTGCGATGGGTTGTTCGTGCCGGCCTGAGGAGGAGATTGCACTGTTTTGATCGCGCAGGCGTTGGAGAAAAGCTGGCTGAGAGGCATCTTTGTCGTAGGTGAGGTCTTTTGATTTGATGTTGCTCATGATTGTTGTGTTGTTATTTTTGATGACGTGGGGATGTTGAGTGTGTTTTCTTTTCCCCAAGGACTGGGTTGAGCTGGTATGACCCTGGCTTCGAATATCCTATCCTCCAGAAGTGTAGGAAGGGTTATAACATGACATATGCTGGTCGATAGGTGGTAAGGAGAACTCGTAGTCGTCTGGGAGTGTTGTTTCAGCTTGATTGGGTGAGGATGGAAGTGTTGAGAGTCCTTTGCTGGGTTGTCCTGCTGCTGTGCTCTGGTTTGATGCAAATTGGAGTGCCGATTTTCAATGTCCCGAGAATTATACAGATTGTGATGTCGCTTGATGATATGGCTTCGTGTAACAAGGACAATTCATTCACGTAACAAGACTTTGATTGCTTGACTCAAGATTGCGAGCCTGGACGTAAGCAATTGAGTGGTGGAGAAGTTGTCATTTCATGGTGGAGGCGGAGTGCGCGGTGGGCGGTGGGCGGATCAGCCATGCACCAAAACACCCGGGAGACGTGGGATGCCAAGGACTCTTGCGTAAGATGGAAGAAGCAGCCAGCCGTCGACATGTTGACCATATGTGGCAGCAAGAGAGACTTTGAAGGGTTATAGAAGACTGTTAGGCATTCTTTGAGCAAGCCGCCGACAGACGCGCTATCAGACCTTCCTCCCGACGAGAATTGACGTCGGTATAGAGGTTTTGAGCAAGACACAGTTCGGCCTAGTTCTAGCGAGCCTTTCTTTGGCTCGCCAGCCAGCCAGCCAGCCCCCTAATCATCCTTTGCGTGTCATCACACAGAGCGACAAATCGAATCACGACCCGCCGGAATCTCGTTTTCGGCCTCGAGTACTCCTCCACATGCGTCCTGTCAACGCACACCTGTCGACGTCCCCTTGAACCGCGACGTCCGCTTCGCTTCGCCTCGACCCGCCTGCCGGTCGCTCTCTAGCCGTCCGAAACAGCTTCGAAACGCCGCATACCTCATCGCCAACTCAATTCTCGACGACAAATCCTCGACCCTTGCTCAGTGTAGCTTTGCATCTGCGTAGCACCCGCTGCCGCCCTCTGTACAAGATGAATTTCCTCCAAGATGTCCGCAAGCGACTACCCACAGCGCAAAAGCTGCCTTCATACGACGACCTGTCCAAAAGCGCAGAGAAGATGACCCCGAGGTTAGCCTTCTTCCGCCGACGCATACGCCTGAGAGAGAACTCGCGCATCTCAATACCGCTGGGCCTGGTTTTGCTTTTCCCTTGCTTGATTGTAATATTAATACTGCTTCTCTTCGTGCGACACCCTACCGAAGCCGGTAGGATACTCATGCCCGCTGGGGCTCCTCCCTCCATCAGGTACGCTACTTCAGTTTCCCCCATTCTGTGTACTTGCGCTAACACCATACTCTACAGGAAAATCAGCGAAAAACACGACAAGGTCTTCGTCACAGGCTGTCAAGACCCAGCCCTCGAGATCGACCAACCACGCGCCAACGCCGCTTTCGTCGTCCTCGCCCGCAACAAGGAACTCGAAGGTGTGCTGCAATCGCTCAAGTCGGTCGAGAGACACTTCAACAGATGGTTCCACTACCCGTACGTCTTCCTGAACGACGGCGACTTCAATTCGACCTTCAAAGACGAGGTCCGTAAGCACGTCAGCTCCAACGTCGAGTTCGGCAAAATCGATTCCAGCATGTGGGGCTTCCCCGACTGGGTTGACCACAACGTGGCCAAGGAGGGCATCAGAAAACAGGGTGATGCTGCCATCATGTACGGTGGTATGGAGAGTTACCATCATATGTGTAGATTCTACTCCGGGTATGCCTACCATCTGCTTCGAACGTGCGGACGCATGCTGACGTTTACAGTTTCTTCTACAAGCATGAGCTTCTCCAGAAGTACGATTGGTACTGGCGTGTTGAGCCCGAGATCAAATACTTCTGCGATATTACCTAGTACGTCTTATCGCACCATCGACATCTGAACCGGCTTACTGACATGTTTTAAGCGATCCTTTCATCCACATGGAGCGTAACAACAAGACTTATGGATTCACGATTGCAGTCAAGGAACTCAAGGAGACAGTGCCCAATATCTTCAGATACGCCTCGGCTTACAAGCGAGTCAACAACATTACCTCGACTAACCTCTGGGACATGTTCCTCGAGCCCAAGCCGGAGAAGCCAGCGGACGAACTGCCCAAGGACGACCCCAAGTACAAGAAGCCTCTTCCCGAAGATATCCTTCGTACCGAACCTGGCGCAGGCACTATTCCAGACGTAGATCCCGAGTCCATGGAGGGTGAGACGTACAACATGTGCCATTACTGGAGTAACTTTGAGATCGCCCGACTCGACTGGTTCAGAAGCAAGGAGTACGAAGACTTCTTCCAGATGATGGACCGCAGTGGAGGCTTCTGGATGGAGAGAGTAAGATGCAGCCTTTTGTTTACGTATCTTGCAGATCACTGACTTCTTGTAGTGGGGTGATGCCCCCATTCACTCGCTCGCAGCAGGTGTCCTCCTGAATGTCTCTCAGGTTCACTACTTCCGCGATATCGGTTACCGACACACAACCATCGCCCATTGTCCTGCGAATGCAAAGGCTCGTCAGCAGCCCCGCCCACCTTATCTTGAGACGACAACAACAGACGAGAAGAAGAGGATCGAGGAAGATGCATACTGGGAGGAGTGGGATGAACCCAAGGAAAATGGCGTCGGCTGCAGATGCAGATGTGACCCCGAAGTTCCAGAGGTCGAGCTCAAAGAAGGCAGCTGTCTGCCCAACTGGGTAGATGTAGCGGGAGGTTGGATCACTCCAGGGCCGCCGGCATGATCGAGGATGTAATGTTGGTTGTTGTATACGCATGAGAGGCGCGAGTCGTTTTTGCAGCGATCATGGACGGCGTTATTTGATCGGTTTGAATGGACGGTACATGTGGATACAAAAAACCCGGATCCCCACTTTCAGTTGTAGCGCCTCCGCTGACCTCTGGTGTTCTTAGCAGCCTTATCTGATTCTTGATCGTACATGATATAGTAACGATACAGATACGAATCAACGGTTTTTATTCAAGATAATGACTGTGTTGTGTTATCTATGCGTGCTTTTCGAGTGCAAGAACCAAGGCGGGTCCAGTGCACTGCTCCCACGAGCATAGTCGTAATCGGAACCGCTGCTCAGAGGCACAAGAGGTCACTCAAAAAGCCGATGGCTTGTTTGCTGAGATGCCGAGAGGCATATCAAGGGGCTGAGTTGTCGTCACATGCAAGGCGGCAACCATCATGGTGTGCAGCTCTCAAAGCTTGTCTTATCGCGGGGTATCTGCACCACCTTGATATTTCTACTTTCCGCCCGGCGATAGTGTACATCGTACCTTCCATCCTGTCGTCGAGACTCTGCAGACTCGTCTTGCAAGCTTGCTGTTCGAACTCGTCGAAGCACATCTCTTAAAGCTGACCAAAAAGAACTCACATCCACGCGGCTGCTCGCCTCTAGGTTGAGAACAAGGCCCACCCGATCGGTCGACCCCTCCTCCCAGGCTGCAGCGGGCCGATAATCTGTGTGGTAAGTTGGCTCTCACCACTCGACAGAGCGGTCACAGATAAGACGTCGTCTTTCAAACAAAAGAGTTCCTTCCCTTCGTCAAACACAACTCACTGTCACCTTGGCTCGTTCATTTCTGACCGGGTTGCCAGCAACCCGAACCGTGACTTCTTCTTTCGGGCGTGATCTACGCACTCCAACCCACGTACACACGCAGCTGTGAAAGGTGGAACTTGCTACTGACACGCAGACTGTTCTACTCACAACACTACGACCAACACTTTGCGTCTTCATCACCGCGCTCCCTACAGCCTACTTCTCGTATCATCCTCTCTCTCATCCTGGTAACTTTGCATCACAGTCTAACATTGTTAGAAGACGCACCCTCCGAGCTCAAATCTCCGGTCACCATGACCGTCCACATGGAGCCCCTCGATCATCACGACGAGGCCCACGATGATTCTGTTGACCTGGTCTACTCTGTCGACGGCGTCTCTATCAACGACTTCACTCCTTCTCTGCCATCGCTCGTCAACCGCCTACCCGAATCCGACGCTCGCAGCGTCAGCACTGTTGGTTCCACTGATGGCGACACAATCAGCGACCACGCCAGCGATGCCGACTACGATGAGATTTCCTACAACGAAATCCCCGCTCTCGCTGGTCGTACTCGCGATCAGAGAAGCGAGCCGTCTGATGAAGAGATGGAGGCTGTCATGATGAGTGACAGAACCATCGTTCCTCACACACCTACCATGGCTCAGCGTATGCCACACCTCTCTTCGGAGTCTATTACCAAGCCTGATACCATGCCTGAGCACGTCCGTCTCATTGGTATGTCCCTGGCCGAGAAGCCCTACCAGCTTCCTGACCGCCCTCTTCGCTTGGTCTACCTGGGTGATGCTCTGAACACCAACATGGTTGTCCTCACTATCATGGCCAAAGCCTATGGTGCCCTGACCGGCTGTTCTTACGGCAAGGAGGCTATTCTAGACGCAGCAGCCAGCGATCCCACGGACCGTAGTGACGACGTCTTCCGCACCCTCGCCAATCTACGTACACCTGTCGAGATGATTCGCGCTAATCAATACAGCCCCAATGCTGAGACTGGTCCAGCAATCATGACAATGGACAGGCAGAAATTCGATCTTGAGGTCCTGAGACCCGACTTGGTAGTCCTTCACCACGCCGACCCTGACTACGCTTGGCTCCCGTTCATCAAGATGGTGGCTATGCACGGTATACCAGTTGTGGAAATCCAGGATGAGCTACGCCTTAACACTGTTAAAGTCGGAAGCCCGGTATGTGTTGTCACACAGACGGTTCAGGGCAACCACTGTCTTCGTCTTTCCCTTGTGTCGAGCTCCGAAGACAGGGACGAGGATGCGGTGTCCTCAGTCAAGGAAGTGCCTTTGTCACAGGACGCTTTCTATGCTTTGAATGACGATGTTCTGAGCCGTCACGTTGCCTTCCTCACTGACAGGGCCACGAAGCTCGAGGAGACTAAGGAAAACACGAAGGATATGGAGATGTGTGTTCATCCCGCAAAGCAGTCGGAGTCACCTAAACTGATGTCGCTCCTCACTTCCTTCTTCACCAAGACCGCCGGCAAGAGTCTCTTAGCACTGCTCATGCTCTTCTTCGCCACCAGCTTGCAAGTCTACTTCCTTCGTCAGGAGAGCCCTGCCTCAGAGTTGGCCACTCGTACACCTGTGCTCCAAGCAGCTTTGCACAACTCCGGATTTGCCAAAGTCAATGCAACCGACATCCTTCGCTACCCTGTCACCACCAGCATCGTTGGCAACTCGACCACGACTGCCGTCGCTTTCCCCACGGCTGTTCACGTTCATGTTGCCAAGTCTGATCAGCTTCTCGTCTCCCTTCCCAAGGCTTACTGGAAGTCTGGTCAGATCGGTGTCTTCAAGAACGGCAAGCCTTTGAGTAATGTCAGCAACACCAGAGTCATCGACGGAGTGCTCGCAATTTCGTTGCCTCCATCTGATGCACATGGTCAGATCCAGATCAGCGTCATCTCAACAAATGTGCCTCTCCGTAACGAGACCGTCAAGGTCGACCTTGGCAACCGTCTCCTCCAGCGTGCCACCTACGAGAATGCCGCAAAGGGTGTCCAGCAGGATGTCACTGTAGTCCACAATGCGGCCAAGCTTGCTCAAGCCAAGGTCGTCTCTGATGTTCACTCCGTCTTCAACATGTCGGCTTACTGCATCAGAGCCTTTGGCAGTAACATCCTGGAAGGTGTCAAGTCTACTGGTAACGCTATCGGATCCATGTCGAACCACACGACTCATGGCTTGTCTTACATGGGCGGTCTTACCTACAACAAGACCTCAGATCTTGGTTCTTTCGTCAAGAGCGCTATCCCCCAGAGACGTCACTGGATCAGAGCTCGCAACAACGCTCTCAAGATCAGAACAAGACTACTCCGCAAGTCTACCGCTCCCAAGCAGATTGCTGACAAGCCACACCGTGGAATTTCTGAAGTCTTGTCGTCCCTGAAGACTCAGTTCGCAGAGCTTCAGAAGCAGTTCCCCAGCTTCAATGCTCTTAAGAGATCAACTCCCTCCGAGCAGCGCAGCAAAGCTTCCCAAACAGCCAGCAAGGTCAAGTTGAACGTCGAGACAGTCGTCCGGCCCAAGATGAGGAAGACTGCTTCCTCGGCTACTGACACAGTCAAGATCATCAAGGCTCACAAGCGGTCCAAGGGCACTGGCAAGAAGCTCAAGTCATAGTGTCCTTAGTACATTCGTGCTCCGATTGGTGTTCAACGGGTAGGTTTTTACCCAGGCGTTTTCAGACGGTCTCAACTTACGCAGCCCCCAAGGGCAACAGGGACATGAACAGGCGCTTGAGAGGGATATTTCGGTTGTTGGCGGCGTTTCCAGCCATTTCTTTTCGTCTGATTCCGGAAGGAGAATCTGCTTCGGTAGGCGTGCTTTTTGCAAGGAGAGAAGAGAGAAACAGAGATTATTCGGAGAGAGAGTCAGCACGCCTTCTTGCTTGCAGTCAGTATATTAACAACGCTATGCTTCTCCTAAGATGCTTTCCAAACATTCTTTTCCAACGTCGAAGCCTTGAAAGAAGCTCGTAGTTCATGCAAGGTTAATCGTCTTGGCTCTCAGATTAGCCAAAAGTCAAAAAAAAAACAAGGTGTTCGTGAAGCACCTGCCGTTTGGTCGAACCCCCGCACTTGATAAATCGGTGGATGTTCTGAAAGAGGCAGATTCCAGCGCCGTGACAGCGATCCGAAGCACCATTTTGATGACGACGACTACATAAGAGCTAGGAGGTGGACAACATGGCAGAACGTGAAGTACCTTTCGTCTTGTTACATCCTAGGATCATCCATCAGACGAGCCAAAGCTCCAGATACAACTATCAAACGAGCTATACGTCCAACAATCATGGCTCACAAAAGCAATCCTTCTCTGCAGGTGACGGCGGACCACCAGATCAAGATGGCAGAAGCACCGATTGAGAAGCCAGGACACGGAGAGGTGTTGTTGCATATCAAGTGCACTGGTATTTGTGGGTGAGTTTTTCTGTCCTCCTCTTCCCTTCCATTCTTAGATATTTGTTCATGTCTATCTTGCTTTTTGGAAAGCAGACTATAGAAAGAAAAGCAAGATGGACTCGACACTGTGAATGATGCCATCGGCATTCTGTGAAACGGAACAAATGTTGATAAAGATTGAACTCATAGATCGGATATCCATTTCTGGAAGACTGGACGCATTGGCCCACTGATTGTGGAAAGCGATTGTGTCTTGGGACATGAGGCCGCTGGTATCGTGCTCAAGGTCGGAGAGGGAGTTACAGATCTTGTGGTTGGTCAGTTTTGCAATCTTTCTTTCTCTCTCTCTTCATGCTTCTTTTCTCCCCCAATCTTCGTCTTTTCGGAAGGAAGTGTTGTTTGAGAAGTGTCATATCTATGCGGTAGAATCAGATTGGAGAATCGAAAGAATAAGAGAACGGAAGTCTGAAAAGATGGCAAAGGGCAGGGAATCAGAAAGGAGCAGGAAGGAACGAAGATGGGTGATGAGCGGAAACGACTAACATGGAGCACAGGCGATAGAGTCGCAGTCGAACCCGGTGTCCCTTGCGAGAAATGCTGGCTCTGTAGAGAAGGCCGCTACAACTTATGTGAAGATGTACACTTCAGCGGTGTGTGGCCATATCACGGTACTCTCCAGCGATACAAGGTCCATCCCGCAAAGTGGCTGCACAAGTAAGTCATCCTCTCTCCTCTTCTCCCTACCTCACATGAAGATCTCCAGATCAAGGGTTTGCTGATGTTGGGATGATTAGGATCCCAGACAACGTCACCTATTCCGAAGGCGCCCTCCTCGAACCTCTCTCGGTCGTCCTCCACGGCATCCGTCGCGCAGGACTTGCTTTAGGTCGTGGTGCTGTGATCTGCGGCGCTGGGCCCATCGGTCTGATTGCCCTCCTCTCTTCCCGTGCCTCTGGAGCTCACCCTTTGGTCATCACCGATCTCGAGCCCAAGCGCCTTGCCTTTGCCAAAAAGCTGGTCCCCGAGTGTGAGACTTACCAAGTGCAACGCGACTCGAGTAACGAGGATAATGCCAAGGAGATCAGAAAGTTGTTTGGCGAGTCCGAGTACGGGTGTCCGGAGACTGTGCTCGAGTGTACAGGTGTGGAGAGCAGTATCATCACTGGAGCGTTTGCGGTCAGGAGAGGAGGCACCTTGATGGTGATAGGTGTGGGAAGGCCAGTGATCAACAACATCCCGTTCATGCACATGAGTTTGGGTGAGGTGAGTGTTCTTCTTCTTCTTCTCCTCTTTCGTATTTTTCCCCCTGCCAGCGGCAAGTCTTGCTGACAAGGAAAAACTTCGCAGATCAACCTCAAATTCATCAACAGATATACCGATACCTGGCCCGCAGGCATTGCAGCTGTCAAGGGAAAGCTCATGGATCTAAAGCCATTGGTGTCGCATGTGTTTGCGCTAGAAAAAGCAGTGGATGCCATGCACATCTGTGCTGATCTGAGCCAAGGCAGTATCAAGGTGCAGATTGTCGACGAGGTCGACATCAATCCCAATGATGTCGAGTGAGGTGCTTTTTGGATTATCAGCGGGAGCACCTTTTCCGATGTGTTTGTGAAGTTTGGAAGGATCTCTTGGATAGTCGTGGATGGGAGGTTGTCGGACGAGGAACTTTGAGTCGTAATGTCAAATCAGTATATCTGGCTGTAGAATGACGAAGTTGAATTAATCAGCCTCACTGTCTCGTGATACTCGTGCTATGTGTAGAGTACTGTCAATATGCACAGTATGCTCTACGAACAGAGACATATCCAGTGAGAGACGCTGACTCACAGGGCTTTCTTTGGACATGTGTCTAAACACGAAGTGCTCTGTGCATTTTTATGAATATTTTTGTTTGAGAGGATGGAGAGCCAAGCTCTTTCCTACAGAGCAACGATGCCCAACGAACACTGATCACATGCAAGAAGGAAAGGGTGGATTCCAGTTGACTTTTTCTTCATTTGTAAAAAAACCGTCCAGACGACCTTCAAAATGCGAAAGGTATACAGGAATCATCGCGATGTCAAAACAACAGAAGATATCTGATTATGTGCCTTTGCGCTGCGCGTTGCAGAAAACAACAACAAAGGAAACCCCTCAAGAGACAACGAAAAACATTGCTCGATGCCATGCGGCCGAGTCATATGTTCGTTTGCACTCTGTATGCTAAGAAAAAGAACCATGCAATATCGAAAACAGGTTGGAATCATCGCTAAATCAAAACATCAAAAGCAGAGAGAAAGGTGAGCCTTTCTATGCTTAGATGAAAAGAGCGGCGAAACCAGCAACACCGGCAAGGGCCATGCCGGCGTTGAGCTTGCCAGCGGCACCGGTGTACGATGAGGGCATGGCGCCAGTGGCAGAGGCGCCGAAGCCGGTGGAGGCAGCAGTGCCCTGGGGACCGGTGGCCATGGTGGAGTTGACCATGGCGAAGGGAGCAGAGGTGGGGACCTGGACGGCACCGGTGACGACGGTAGTGCCCACAGAGATCAAGCTGGAGCTGACTCTGGCAGGGCAGTTGGTGACATCAGGGGCGCACGAAGTGATGGTGACGGCCTGGGTGCTGTAGAGGGTGACCGTCGAGGGTCCAGCGGCAGAGCTGACGTTCTGGGCAGCAATGGGAGCAACGACAGACGAGGTAGGAACAACGGGGGCCGAAGTAGGGACAACAGCAGCCGAAGTCTGAGTTCTGGCAGGGCAGTTGGTAACCTCAGGACCGCAGGAGGTGATGGTCTCGATCTCGGTGGAGTGGAGAGTCTGAGTGACAGCAGGGGCGGCAGCGGCAAGGCCGGCGAAGAGAGCAGAGGCGACAAGAGCGAAACGCATTTTGATTGATTTGGTTGTTTGGTTTAGTGGGATTATGTGAAGATAGTCGGGTTGGTTGGAAAAAAGGCGGTGGTGAGTGCGTTTATTAAAGAATGTGGTGATAGTTGGTGTGTAAAGAGTGTAACGACCGAAGTCTGATTATTGTAAAGAGTTGGATGGTGAGAACGAAGAGCGCAGTTTGAGGCCGAGCAATGCTCTGGTTTATAACCAAGCCATGGTGTGTGATCGACCGTCGGCAGGGGAATTGTTTGGGAGATTGCGCCCTCCTGTTCGACAAAGGCTAATGCAGGTCCCACTGATCCGAGCTCATGGCCACGATGCAAGGGATATCGACAGGACCGTTGGCTGGAAGCTTCCAAATGATGTGAATATCTCTAGATTGCTGTCTCTTGAGTGCTGGTCAGCATCATTGGTTCGGCATTGAGTTGAGCCTTTCGCTTTCCTCAGCCTGCCCCAAAACTGGAAACCACCCCCAGCCCCTATACTGCAGATTAACAATAACAATCCCAAAACCAGCCGAACTGACTAGACTTATGCCAAGTTTGTAACAGGATATGCGACACGCGCGTCTTTTTGTACCGAGTCACGGAGTGGCTTATACTAGTGTCTTCACATGTAGAGAGCATCTTCATTTCGGCAGCCAGATCCAGGCATGCTGTGGGCGAGCATCTTGTGCACAGACAGTCACAATCAATGCACACACCTGTCTGTCGCCCGCAATCGATAGCCTGTCTGTTTATTCTTAGGGCTAGCAAAGAGACACTCAGCTGTTCATGTAATTGAAGAGGCTTGCATCGATCTGATAGTTTGGTAACTTGGATTTGACCGCTGGAAAGGGGAGGAAACGCAGACGCCCAGCACAGAGGAGGTGGAATCGTGGAACTTGTGGAGTCCTTCTCGGCGCAAGTCTGGACAAAGAGAAGCGAGCTCACACCGTTGCTTCTGTTATACATCACGGCTATCCATCTTCAATCTACCGACCGAAGAGATCAACAACTGTCCCGCATGCTCGTTATCGCCCGGGAGTCGACGACGCACACATCACCGTTTCTTGCTCAACGTCCACAAAAACCACTGCCGAGAAAAGTCCTCCTTGCAAAACATGTGACATGGCCAAAATTCAGGAGCAAGAGTGAAACCGATTATGGGATGGCCGACGTCACGCGGAGAATGGTGGGTGCAAGTGTGTTTGTTGTTCTAACAGCATTCTTCGAGTGGCTTTGTTTACTCTCCTACCGAAGCTGACTTGGTTCTTGACTCGACAATCTGGAATCTGACCGTCGATGCAAAGGAAGAGAATAAGCATTTGTGCAACTCTTGTATTCATTTCTAACAAGTAAGGTATAATTGGACACTGGAGCTTCCTGCAGCGCCCTGGTATTTTCTTCTTCTCTCGTGATATCGAGCACTTTCTAAAAGCAAAGATTATGATTGCATTGCGTCGCTGTAGCTCTTGGCAGCCTGGCTTGCGAAGAAGCGAACGTCGACATCGTCGTCAGTCATGAGTTTTTCCAGGTTAGGCATGATTTGTTCCCGGATGAGCTGGTCACCCTGGGGGCTACCAGTTCCAGCCTTGCCCGTCTTTTCGAGCGAGAGGACCGTTGACTCGGTGTCGGGCAGACGCTTGAGGACATCGATCAATACTGCGTATGACTTTGCGACATTGAATCTAATGTTGGGGATCTGGTCGACCACAAGGTTTGAGAGAATAGGGAAGATGGACTCTTGGATGACGGGAAGAGACAAGGCGGGTGCGAGGGTCTAGATGTTGTCAGCAGGTATCAAATGTGTGGTTCTTGAGATCGACTTACCGAGACTGCAAAGCAAGTGGTCATGCGGTACAGGTAGTTAGGATGGCCGCCCATAGCGACAACCTTGGGAACGATGGCCTCGTTGGCCCATTGCACACCAAAAACGTCTGTGAGCTTCTTCAGGTTTTGAGTGCTAGCCTCACGGATGCTGAAGACGGTGTCACCAAGCCAACCCATGCAAAGGTTGGAAAGCTTCTCATCGAAGAATTTGACCCCGAGCTGAGAAGCCAGGAGAGGAAGATGTTGGATGATTGCCAATCTAACACGCCACTGCTTGTCCTCTGCGAGCTGGACAATGGCAGGAAGGAGAGACTGTGAGAGGAGTTCGATACCGATGACGTCGTTGACAAGCTCGAGCTTGGAAATAATGTTCAAACGGACATCGGGGAACTCATCCTTGAGCATTTGGAGGAACATGGGCAAAAGATGCTCGGTGGTCTCCTGCTTGCCGAGAATGGGTGCCAGACCACTAATCTGAGTACCAAACGAGGCACGCACTTGCTGCGACGAGTCCGAGACGAGTTCCTCGACTGCGGGCATGACTTCTTGGAGCAGAACATCTCTCTCGATGAGGGCGCAGAATCCAGGAATTTGACCAGCAATGGCAGTTCGCACCTCGGCCTCGGTGTCTTTGAGAAGCTTGATGAAGGCGGGAACAAGATCGCGGCTGACAACCTCGTCGTCGACGGCCTTGGCAATCTACAAAATCATCAGTACGGCGAATGCGAAAAACAACACTGAAGATGACGCACCTTCTCGAACTTTTCTGCGACCATGTAGCGAACTCTCCAGCTCTTGTCCTCGAAAAGACTTCTTAGTGCGGTAAGAAGAACGCCGTGGCTTGATTGCTGCTCCTTGGGGACAGTCTCGGCGATGGCGACCAGAATCTCAACGGTGAGAAGACGAACACTGTCCTGGTCGTCGCCGGCGAGGTGCTGGAAAAGAGGGATCATCTCCTCGATGACAACGTTCGGCGGCATGACGCGCAGGAACTTGGCCAAGTTGATGGCAGCCTGTCTGCGGACCATAGGGGTATCATCGTGGACGAGCTGTGCGAATCCTTGTCTCAGGGACTCTTGTGTCTGGGGGTCGGTCTTGGTGTATGCGACCTTGTAGACGCCGGTGGACGAAATCTTTGCGGTGAACCAGTCTGCTTTTGAGAGTCTGCCGATGAGAGGGATGAAGTACTGATCGATCTGTTCGGTTGATAGTTGTTCGCAAATCTTGTTGAGTGACTCGACGGCCTATGGAATGGTTAGTAAAGCTGACATGGCGGACCGAGATCAGAGAGACTGACTTTGTCTCTGACGAGCAGCTCCTCGATGGCGGCGAGGTTCTCAAGAGGAGAGAGCAGCACGTGAGCGTACTCTGGGCCACCGACGTACTCGACAAAACCACCGAGCTCGTCACTCAGAGCGGTCAAGACCTCATCTTCATCCTCAACAGATTCTTCATGCAACGTTAGTAGTTGTTCTTGGAAGCGGACATGGCGTAGGCGCAAAAGGGCGTACCGTCAAGGAAGGGTATGAGCTCATCTCTGGTGCGCTCAGGACCGAGAGCAAGGGCAATGGTAGACAGGCGGCGGATGGCGTTCAGTCTGAGCAAGACATCGTCATGCTATGGAGCGGGTCAGGAGTGAAGGTAAGGCAACAGATGGTTAAAGTTTGGCGGACCTTGAGCTCGTCAATGAGGACGGCGATGGGATAGAGCTCGTCGTTCTGTTGCGCATCCATGGTGGGCGATTGAAGCTTTGATGTCAGGAAAAGAGCGTCGTGGGCAGACGTTCAGCCCGCGGTAGGTCGGCTTGGATGTTGTCAGCAGGTGTTGTCGCAGGTGGCTGATTGAGATGGGGTGGATGTTGCGGTGCGGCGTTGATGTTGTAATTAGAGAGGGGGGCTCAGCAGACGTGTCGGAGGAATCGTCTGGCGGAGGAGCGTACCTGATTACAAGGGCGACGACTGGAGCGGCGAAAATTGCGAGTAGAAGCTTGTCGAATTGACAAAGGCGACGAGGAGAGGTATGGGGTTGTGTCTGGGAAGATTGCGCGAGTGGTGGGCGGGTGTTTGGTGCTTGTTGGCGGTCGCTGGTGTGGTCTCGCTCGACGCTATTATTGCTGCTTCGGTCGGTCATGCCAAGTCCCGGATTGCTGTGTCCCACCAAGCGCCCCAAGACTGCCCTATGAATCACCCGCATACCGCTCTTGCTCTCTGAGAAATCTGTACACCCTCCCCAGCAGTTTTCCACAAGATGCCTACCATTTCGGTTGACAAGGCCGAGCTCTTCAAGGCTCTGGGCAAGTCGTACGTTACCGCCAGACCCCCGACCTACCATAAAACAATCTTGACCACTTTCTTTGCAGCTACACTACCCAAGAGTTTGACGAGCTGTGCTTCGAATTCGGTATCTACATGTCGCTTCTTGTTCAGAGACGACTTTGTACTAATCTCGCCTCGCAGGTATCGAACTCGATGAAGATGTACGCCTCACAAACCACCACTCTCAAATCTGACTGGACCCTTCCTGATGCGCTTCGCAGACAACCGACTCAAAACGCCCAATTGTCGATGGCGTCGAAGAGCCTCCTCAGCTCAAGATTGAGATCCCCGCCAACCGCTATGATATGCTGTGCTTCGAGGGCATTGCCATGAACCTCAATGTCTTCCTCGGAAACACCCCTCCTCCCAACTACCGCCTCGTCGCTCCCAAGGATGGCCAACTGCAGACCGTCACCGTCAAGGAAGAGACATCACAAATCAGACCCTACTTCTCATGCGCCGTCCTAAGAAATATCAAGTTCACAAAGGCCCGCTACGAGTCCTTCATCGCTCTTCAAGACAAGCTTCACCAAAACCTGGCCAGACAACGCACCCTTGTCGCTATCGGTACCCATGATCTCGACACCATCAAAGGTCCCTTCACCTACGAGGCCCTAAAACCAGAGGACATCAAGTTTGCTCCTCTGAACCAGACCAAGGAGATGACCGGAAAGGAAATGATGGACTTCTACGAGAAGGACAAGCACCTCGGACGTTACCTGCATATCATTCGCGACTCGCCTGTCTACCCTATCATCTACGACAGCAACCGCACCGTTCTCTCCATGCCCCCCATCATCAACTCGAACCACTCCAAAATCACCCTCGACACCACCAACGTCCTGATCGACATCACAGCCACTGACAAGACCAAGTTGGAAATCGTCAACCACATGATCGTTTCCATGTTCTCTCAATACTGCGAGGAGCCATTCACCATTGAACCTGTCAAGATCATCTCCGAGCACAACGGTGAGACCCGCGAGGCACCCGATCTCACCCCTCGTACCACCCAGGCCGAAGTCAGCTACATCAACTCGATCTGCGGCTTGAAGCTTCAACCTCAGGAGATTTGCGACATGCTCAAGAAGATGTGCTATCATGCCAAGCCCTCATCAACACCGGACATTCTCGATGTCGACGTCCCAATCACCCGTGCCGATGTCCTGCACCAGGCCGATATCATGGAGGATGCCGCCATTGCTTACGGATTCAACAACCTCGAGCGCCGCTTCGTCTCTGCAACAACCTCAGTCGGTGCTGCTCTCCCCATCAACCGTCTCGCCGATATCGTCCGCTTCGAGACCGCCATGGCCGGCTGGTCAGAAGTCATGCCCCTGATCCTCTGCTCCTACGACGAGAACTACACATGGTTGAACCGCCAAGACGACAACCTCGCCGTCCGCCTCCAGAATCCCAAGACTCAAGAATACCAGATCGTGCGCACTTCCTTGCTGCCTGGTCTGCTCAAGACCATCCGTGAAAACAAGCATCATTCTGTCCCCATGAAGATCTTTGAGGTCAGCGATGTTGGTTTGAAAGACGAGTCTTGTGAGCGAAAGAGCAGAAACGAACGTCGCTTTGCTGCTTGTTGGTATGGCAAGAGCTCTGGCTTTGAGGTTGTGCATGGCTTGCTCGATCGCATCATGTTGATGTTGAAGAGTGCTTTCATCACCAAGGAGGAAGGTCTCAGCAACCCTGATGTCAAGGGCTACTGGATCGAGGAAGTCGATGGTAAGCTCTTGTCTCTTAACACAACCATCGTTCATGAAACTAATCTTTGTGAACTACAGACCCGACTTTCTTCGCCGGCCACTCTGCTGCCATTTACGTCAAGCTCGGCGACAAGCCGCAGAGAGTGGGTACTTTCGGTGTCATGCACCCGACGGTACTCAAGAACTTTGAGCTGCCCTTCCCCGTCTCGGCCATGGAGGTTGAGCTCGAGTGGTTCTTGTAGAGGATTGTTGACATGAAGCGAGATATCCAATATTGTGTTAGCCAAAAAAGAAAGGAAGAGATGGATAGAGATAAGAAAAGAAATCTTGTTGACATGACTGACGATCTTTGTGGGTTTGTGCTGAAGAATAATTGACTCCTTGAAATGCTATGCTCCTTGTTTCGCTCCAGTAAGCGATTCCTCTTAACCTCTCAGGGGTATACCTGCTCGCAGTCCCTTTCGTGTCCCAAGATAAACGCCAATAATGCCAGTGCCGACAGAAGAAGATGAGAATCACTCATATGGAAGCAGCAATGGCATCAACCATGTCGACCTCCTTGTCCTCGCCATCATGCTGTCGCTCCTCTTCCACACGCACCTCTTCCTTGATTTTCTCCTCTTTTTCGTCCTTCTTCTCTTCCTCTTTCTCTTCCTCTTCCTCCTCCTTCGTCTCTGCCTTCACCACCTCCTCCTTCATCTCCACGTCTTCATGAGGTTTCTCAACCACCGGAGCCATCCCCAACGCCTTATCCTCTTTGTTTCCCTCTGGCACACTGCCACCATGAAATTCCACCGTACCACCCACACCACCAGCCCTAATCTCTCTAGCCCTGAGCCTCGCACGTTGAATAATCTCCCCTTCTTCCTTTTCCAAAGTTTGGAGCTTGCTGCTGTTAATACCAATCTCAAACTTGTTGTCTTCGGCGTGCAGTTTGGCCCACTCGTAGTGTCTGCTGCAGCGTTTTTTCATACAGGTGGATTGTTGTTGTGTGTCGGGAGAGGTGCCTGAAACGCCAGTCATGGCAATGTCGCCATCGATGTCTTCGTCAGAGGGGAGAGGTAAACTTCCGATTTTCAAGGCTTCTTGGCCGGCTTCTGAACATCTCCAGTCGTTGAATTCGTCGTCGTTCCAGGTGAGGCGCGAATCGTAGCCGCAAAGATCCTTAGGCTTTACATTTCTGTGGTCGGCGAGGCGGGAAGCGACGGTTTTGAGCATGGCGATGAAGCGGGCGCGATCTCTGAGGAGTGAGTGGTGGATGCGTGCTGTGGCCTTGAGGTGTGTGATTTGATCGATGCGTTCGCGTTCGATGTCGTTGAGGGCGGATTCGTGGGAGATGGCGTTTTCGTCTTCTGCATCTTCATCCTTCGAACCCTCGGGTGAGTAGCCGGGCATGGGAGAGACGGGACCGTTGTTGAGATTGTGCAATGCTTCGACGGTTGGGTGGGCGAGGATGACGGATTTGAGCTCGCTGGCGCTGATGAGGCCGCCTCTAGCTCCTAAATCGTCGATGGGTGCTTGATGGCCTCTTCTCGCTCTGGTTGTTGTGTCTGCCACTGGCTGGCGGGTGTGTTCTGCGACCAAATTCTGGAAGAATAGCCGTCCGCATCTGTCGGAGCAGAATTTCGTCTGCTTGTGCACTAGAGCAGGCATACCGCAATCGTTGCGACGGCACCTTCTTTTCCAGGTCGTCTCGCCGATGCCCTTTTCCGTGCAAAAGGGGCAGATGTATCTGTCGATAAGGGTCTTCCATTCCGGTACGATGCCCACGCATTTGCCGTGAAACCAGTCATCGCAGCCACCGTCACAGCCTATCATGAAGGTTCCCGTGTCAGGTTTGCGACAAATGCAGTAGAGATCCGTGTCAGAGATGACACCTCCATCCTCTTCCTCTCCGTCGTCGCCAGAGAAGTGCTGATCAGCATTGCCATCAGCGTCGGGGGACGATCTCGCGGGCGAAGAAGCGTCGCGGATAGAGCGAGGCGCCGGCGAGGATTGTGCAGGCGTGGCAGTTGAAGATGCGACGACCTTTTTCTTGTGGCTACGTTTAGCAGGTGCAGCGGTACTACGCTTCGTAACAGCGGCTGCTGCGACACCCTTCTTCTTGTGGCTCCTCTTAGGAGGCGCTGGAGGGGCAACTGCGGCAGCCATCTCGGTCGACGGTACAGGGACTGAGGATTCGCGCAGTGGTGATTGTGTGCGCGAGCTGTGTCCGTGTTTGAGGGAGGAGATGGTCGAGTGTTCAGGCGCCTGGCGTATCTGGGAGGTATGTGGTTCTTCTCGGGTGTAGGAAGGTTCTCGATTGTCCGAGACGTGCTGGGCTACGACGGTCGAATCCATGGAATGCACGTCGACTTGGTGCAACATGTGGGAAGTGTCATGGCCGACTGTCTGGTCTTGGACCGAGGCTTCTACTGGATTCGAGGGCGACGGAGTTGGTTGTATGGGTAGTGTCGAGTTTGTCTCTGACTCGACGTCTAGTGTTGCTCCAGCCGACGACATGATGGCTTGTATCCACTCACATGTCTTGTGTGAGAGTCCAGGAAGCATCCAAGGCTCGCGCATGTGAAATCGAGACGCTTCGAAGCTGGTCATTTCGCATGCTTTGGGTTTAGTTTGACGCGGGGTCTGCATAGATATGCACATGTGCATAGTCTTGTCATAACTCATGATATTTATTACAGGGGAGCCAATCGTCTATCTCTCGTCAGCTAGTCATCAGTCCGAGTCACTGCTGCCATCGCTACTATCGCCTTCCCCACGCATCTGCGTTCTGCGGCGCCTGCCCTTCTTCTGCGATTGTGCCGCCTGTTCCTCTCTTCTCTTTGGCGCCTCATTGGCCCCAAGACTGCGTTCCAAAGCTCTGGCAAGTTCCGCTGGGTCTGCGACTTCACCATAGACCTGATTGACCATTCCTCTGACTCCGCTGTCGCCGACTTCTGTCTTTCCGCGAGGTCCAACCATCCACTCCACGACTTCCTCTCCAGTCGAGTTGTCTCGAACTTTGATGACATATCCGTCTTTCTCCATGCGTTTGAGCAGCTTTTCTGTCTTGTCACCTCCGCTGTTCAAGATGTTGACACTGTTTTGTGCCGCTGCCTCTTCCACGTCGACTCTCTTGAGATAACGTTCCATCTTGCCATCTGGCAGCATGCCACCATTCAGGTAGATCAGTGACACGACAAAAGTATATAGTGCAGTGTACTGAGACTCGAGTTCAAGCGTCGGTGCTTGTGACGGAGGTAGAATTTCTGGTTGACGGAATCTTTCAGGCAGCACGGATGTCAGGATCCAGGTTGCACTGCTCTTTTGTGTAGACTGCGATTTCTGCGCCGCTCTGCGTTGTGCCAAGGTGACTTTCTCTTTCATAGGCAGTTCCGTCATCTCCATGCCGAAGGTTCCTCGAAGTTGGATCTGGGCTTCTGCGAAGACTGCTTTGAATTGACGGCCGCCGGTCGCTCCGAGCACTTTGTTGGTAATGTCGCCGCGTCTGATGGGGGTTCTTGAGTATTCGTATGCGAGAGCGAGGCGGACCATGTTTTTGACCATGACTTCGAGATTGCTGTCGCCTTGGGTGACACTGGCTTCACCAGCATAGTCCTCTTCCTCGGCATCAGACATTCTACGTCGCTGTGGTGGTCTGACATCTGCATCTGAGTCGTCCGGCTCCTCGTTCGCTGGCTACGGACTGGAGGTTAGTCTGTGTTTACGCGAATTTGAGTGTCAGCTACTCACAGCGCGACGCTTTCGAGTAGGAGGCATTGTGATGTCTAGTAGTCGTTATGTTGAAAGTGACTCGAAAATGTTAACATTCGACTGCTGAAGCTCGCGCGCGGGTCGCGACTTCCTCAAGGTTGACGCGAAGCTAAATTGCGCCGGAGATGGCGGGGATAAAGCAGACAATAACCCTTGGCGGCCATCTGGAGGAAGGAACCATCATCGTTCGCGAAAGTCATCGATCAACCACACAAGACTACACAAGATGGCAGACAAGCTCCGTACTACTCAGCAGCTCGAGGCGCTCCAGAACAAATACGTCGGAACCGGACATGCCGACACGACCAGATTCGAGTGGACTTCAAACATTCAGCGCGACAGTCTGGCCTCGTATGTCGGCCACCCGCCTCTACTCTCGTACATGACCCTGGCCCTGGGCGAGGGTACTCGCGAGGAGATGCGCGTCAAGCTCATCGAGAAGATGGTCAGACCTGTTGGTCCTCCGCCAGAGGTTCGTGCACAATCCGTCTTTTCGCATCATCTACAACGACTAACTTTGTTGCAGACGAGAGACCAGGAGTGAACGACAACCGAGGATCAGAACAATCGCGTTCGACACAATCAATACCACATCGCCGGCTGTTATCTACCAGCATCCAGCGCCGCTTCTACAGCATCATCACGACCGCCACGACATATACCGACTAAACATTCGGAACAAGAAACGCGCGTTCACTCGGCAAGCGTCTTCTATATCCTACCTGGTAATCAAAGGTCGAAGGGGACATGGACAAAGAGTTTTGAATGGCATCGAGCCGTAGTCTTGTCCGTCTATAGGCTTGGTTTATGCACAGATGAAATGAAGAAGATCGACCCCCCAAAAACGCCTAGCCATGCTCATGGTTTACCTATCCTGATGCTCCTGTGCTCCAGTACTATGATGCTGATAGTAGGAGAAGGTATACGTCTAATCGCTGTCACTGGCACTGCCAGCACCAGCATCGTCGTCGTCTTCTTGTACGACATCATCACCAGCCAACATAGTGAACTCTGCCTTTTGCAAAAGACCCCTGAGCTCGGTGTTGCGCGGATCAGTGAGGTCGATAGGACGCAGCTTGGCCTTGTTGCGTATCCTGGACAGCCTTGTCAGCCCTGTAGTCAACCGAGAACCGATACTTGTACGACATACCTGGGATCGCAACCAGCGTCGATCAAGATATCGACAATAGCCTGACCCTCCTCCCACTCGTCCTTGCTCAAGCTGTTGACATATCTCACTGCCTTGTGCAAGCATGTGTCTCCCTCTCTCTTCTCTACACCATCAATCTCCACACCCTCTTGATCCAGCAGCATGTCCAGAACCTCGTAGGCACCATATTGAGCACCGATGTGCAGGGCACCACAGCCCAAAGCGTCAGTCGCAGTGTTGAGGAAGTTGGCGAGTTCGTCGGTTGACTTGAAGTCTGATAGAACTGTAGACAGGAGATCGGTGTTGTTGCGGCGGCATGCTTCGAGCAAAAGTTCGCGGGATGAGGCACCCTGGGTGATATATATTAGCGGTTGCTTGGGGCTGACTGCCTCGTGTGTTAAATTACTTCGTCTGCCATGTTTGATGAGCCGTGTGAATCTGGCGAAACTGGTTGAGAAATGGAGTCGAGAGGTATGTGACCAGGTGAGAGAGAGTCGCGAGTGTTCGACAAGGCAGCCAAAGTTGTAGAGCAAAAGTGGATGGTGCTCCTTGACCCTCTGGTTGCTGTTCGGGGATGCTGCACGGGCCTTCAGTTCTCCGCGCATCCGGCCATTGACATCAAACGTCGATTCTATCAACCTCTCAAGCCGATTCTCTGACATGCTCACTTGTCAACATGCCTGTTCACCATACGACTTGATGGTCAGTTCCGAAGATGGACTCTCGCTGTGATCACTCCAGTGGTGAATGTGTGACCTCATACAGATGGCTGTTACCCTCAGGCAGCGACATGCATGAGACACGCAGCCACTCCTAAACAATTAGTAGCCAAAACACTAATATGACTATCATGAGTTACATGCATAGCTACTGGCTACTTGGTAAAGCTGAACCCAGGCTGGACAGGTAAGTCGATCGAGCTCCTCCACCAAGGAGAGACTTGTAAGATCAGCAAAAGAAGGTCTGGCGGTCTACTTCATAAGCAGAGGCGACTCAAGACCTACCGGGGCGACACTCGAGACTTACCGGGTCTTTTCGGCCGTCTGGATCCATCTTACTACCACTCTTACTGGTCTACTGTATCTACATACGATAAGCAGACATTTTGGATGCTCACCGACTCAGACCCATTCTAATTGATTCAGAAGGACTGTGAAACTTTCCTATAGCCATATGGCAGCGTGGATCTCATTGGACGTCGATGTGCTGCAGCTATACCGGGAAGCATGTTCCGGATCATCAGTGCAGCCTCCCGAGTCTCAGCTGCATGTCTCGAGACCCAGCCAACCGCGGATGATCTCTGCGACTGCCGTGTCTCAAGAATTTCTGGTAGCAATATGAACAAAGAAAGTTAGGTTTACACTGTTATCCATGGAATCTTAGTCGAAGGCCCATATATGATGCCTGATGTCTGTCGATCATTTCAATACTGTCGTTTACTCAATATCACGAAACATGTCTGCACCGATGGACGACTCCTTCTACCCAAACGACATGGACAACTACTCCCTCCAACAATACGCCGACTTCTCCGACAAACCCCCTTATGGCGGCGTGGATCCACGTCTCCTCAGCTCCCACCAAAACACACCCATACTCAGCAAAGAACAACGACTCTCACCCTTCGACTACACAATCTTCAGCGGTCATGCACACCTCAGCCCCACATTCTTCGAACCAGAGCTGTCTCCCCAGTCTTACGAGCTCATGCGCCATCAAATGCTTGGTCATCGCCGCAGTGTCTCTGTGCCCCCTGAAGACTTGATGCCTGAATCCTTACAACCACCTCCAGCTATGGTGTTCCACCGCGGCGGCACACCTCTGGGTGATTCAATGGGCGGCAGTAAGGTGAGCGGCAATGCGAACAAGAAGTGGTTGAAGAAGGCTGCAGCAACTCAAAAGAGACAGATGCAGAGGCATTCGCCCTATCCCACGGGAGGAGAGAGAATGCAAGGCAGGATAACCCTCGCTCAAGCTATGTTCCCACAACAGCAGCAGACTCACTCTCTTGGACCTACGAGTGCCCCCCAGCAGATGGCTTTGACGACTGAAGATCAAATCTCTCAGGCCGTGATGCAGGGTTTTGATATGAGTTCTTTGTCTTCACCACAATTTGTCGAGTTCAATGCTGTTGATGCTGGAGATCGAAAGTTCATTGTATCCACCGAGTTGACTGATGTTGACGCTTTGACTTTTGATGCGAGGGGTGATGCCGGCACTGCTGTACTGGGAATGCTTGGTTTTGCAGAACGCCTCTCACAGGACTGTGCAGCCATGCGTGAGTTTCTGGGAAGAGGCTTCAGGATCGGCGAGGAAGACGAGAGTGAAAGGTGAGACTTCATTCCGCATCGTCACATCTGAGAAAAAAGAAAAAGTTGTATTGACGTTGCTACTGTTTAGTTTCCGTCAAGAAAAACGCGCGATCAACCATCAGGCATCCACTCTTGAAGACGGCCTCGAGATGCTTCCGTTGCCGGACGCCAAGACTGAACAAGAGGTTACAGTGCCTGTCACAGGTCAAGACATTAGGAACCTAGATGGTAAGCTCACACTTTTGTTCTCATCCAGAGCTTGAAGCTAACACAACATAGATGACAAGACCGTCGCTTTGTTGGAGCTATACTGCATCCCGTTCACTGCAGACATGTTTCTGCATGACAAGAAGTTGGCTTACTTACGCTTCGTGGGCGCAAGTCGGGCACTCATGCATCTTGTGTTGGATTGAGACTTGCAACAGGGTGGGGAGTGGTAGTCTCAGATTGGCTGCGATGAACAGGGAGGCGAAGCATAAACAGCGCACAAAGAAAGAGCGATCATGGATACCAAAGCCAGAGAAAAGAAGGGTATACAATTTACGTCGATAACTCCAAAAGTACAATCTCAATCAGCCTTCCGTCGATTTTGACTATCCTCCCTGATCAAAGTATCCTGCGACTCACTCGACGAAGCATCCCTTGTACTGACTACATGGAACGAAAAGTCAAGCTCACCAACCAACTCCTTGATATCAGCCAACAGCGCCTTCAAATCATCACCAATACATTTTGTTGATATTTGCATCACCGCAAAAGCAGCAAAGCCTGGCTCGGCCATATGTCTCACGGACAAGATATTCGAATCTAGACTTTCGAGTTTCGCGCTGAGGCGATAGGGTTCAGGGTGTTGGAGGTAGGGTGGGAGGGGTTGTCCGCTGGCTACCGAAGCTGAGAGCAAGGAAAGTAACGTGGTAGATTCTTTGCTCGTAACGTCTGCTTCCTTGACGAGACGACGGAAGTCATTCAGCCATTGAGATTCCGAGCCATCTTTTTCTGTATTCTGCATTTCCGAGAAGGTCTGGGATGCGTAGCTGAGCAGGGAAGCAAAGTTGAGAATGTCTTGAATGCGAGCAATGATCCGGTCGTAATTTTGACGAGGGAAACGACCACCAATCGGCACATCAAACTTGATGAAATCTGAATGTGTGCGTAGGCCTTGCAGCACCAGTACAGATTTTGAGAAGACGGTCTGTCGGATCTTTTCGAGCTTCTTGGCTGGGTTATGGCCGTCGTCGAAAGAGTCCAGGTTGTGGAAGTCGCCTCTGACGCGGAATTTGACTGTCTCGACGACGACTGAGTAGTAGTTGGCGAGCAAGTACAAAGATGATCCAAGGTTGCGGCGAAGCTCCGAGTGTTCTGAGATGGGGTAGGGAATCACGGTCCACACCCAAGCCACAAAGATACCTGCAGCAACGGTGGCCAGACGATAAGGAGCCAGCTCATAGATGGGATAGTATGCCTGGCCATTCGTTTCGGAAAGCTGCACACCAATCTTTCTGACTTGTAACTCATACCCGATAATCAGCGTATTCGTGACCGAGTAAATCATACCAACCTGAATGAAGCGAGGATATTTTAGGACAATGAAAAAGCCCCAAGCAACGAAAAACCAGAAGAATACAAGTACTCCAGCAGTATGTCCGTCGACGATATACCAGATGATGAAACTGGTCACCATAGCTAAAAACGTGCCAGTAAGGCGTAGCACGAAACTGAACAAGCTTTGTCCAGCAGAAGGAGACATACTCAGGCCTACCATAATCTGAGCCCAGAACAATCGTTGCCTAACATAAAAGGTCTGAGTGTCATGTAGATAGGCGACGATGGCAAGACACATTGTAGCGCAAGCAGCTCGGAATCCGAAGGTGGATGCTGGTGAACGGAGGAAGTGAGCAATGCCACGAACGCGGTCTCCAAACTTCTCCCAGGCATTGCTGGGAGGCAGATGTTCAGGGTCTTTGCGCTTGTTGTAGGCATCGCCGAGATATACGTTAGAAGCATGGTTGCCATCCTCGTTCATGCCATGCTGTTCATCGTTGTATGCATCTTGCTTTCGGCTGTAGGCTGACTTGATCCACTTCCTCAATCGTTTGACACCCGGAACGATGAGTCTTTTACGACCCAGCTTTCCACTCTCGACCTTTGCATCGGCATATTTGACGAACTCGTGGACAGTCCTAGCTATTGAGTCCAGCAGGTAGTCCACGTACAGAACAATGAAGAGTCTAGCTCTATACGTCTGGCGCTCATCATTGTTCTTGACGCTGTGGTACCATTCGGGAGCGGTGAAGCTGGCGTCTTGCGCGTTCTCGAAGAAATTATCGGGCAAAACAAAACCCCTGAGTTCACACCAACGTCTCAGCAGCTTACGCTTTTGACGATGGTAGTCGTCCACTCGCTTGAAGTGGTAACTCTGGAAGTTTCTGTCTCCAGGGTGTGGCCGATCGCCCTCAGATTCGGGATCCGCCTCTCTCTTTGGTGGCTTGATTAATTGCAGAGTGATCAACACGTGCTCGAAGCCTTCGTCAATGTCGCCAACAATTCGAGCAAATGGTTCACGCATCGTCTTGAAGATGGCATGCCAATCTGCAACGGCCTCCATTCTGCTCCTCTCATTGGGATCGTCGAGTTCCTCAACCGGCTTTGCTGGAGCGGGATGATTCCAGTTTTTGTCTTCGGCAATTCTCTCGAACACATCAATTACACTGCTAAGACCTATGATGGGAAGCATAAGTCCTCGTAACTGTTTGAAAATCTCTTGTAGATCATCTGGACCGAGGCGTCCAATGGCGACTTCTCTTTTAGCGAAGCTCAAGTCGATAGAGAGCTTTCCGTGCAAAGCAGCAAGTCCTGCAAGCGTATCCTTAATAGCTTGGGCTTCCGATGTTCGCTTCGGCTTCTCTGGGATGTTTGTATCGCTCCTTCCGAAGAACATGTCTCCTTCTTCGAGGCTCTGGAGATATGTAAGATTGGCCTTGGTCATCTTGCGTAATAACATGATGTATCCTGTAAACTCCTTGAAGACGATTCCTCGCATGGTTATAGGGAAGATGAACAGAGAAACAGCTCCTCCAATCGCGAATCCTGTAAAGAAAGATTCGAGAAGTCGTTTGACAAAAGAGATTCCGGTCGTCATGGATGCGAATTGTGGAGCGTAAACCATGCTCACGTTCGCAAAGATGGTCGCAATGATACCCGGAATCATAAGCTGAGGATTTCTAGCCCTCATCGTGTTGATGATCCAGATTTCGAAGAACAGCCAAATACCGCTGACTGCTGCTGCAGACGAGTTGTAAGTGGATGTAGCTGCGCCGGGAGACGGTGTTCCGCTTGTGCCGGGTCCTCCTGTACGTACGGCCTTTTCTGTGTGAAGTCTGGCCTGGACTGCACAATATATGGCTAGTAGAGCAATACACGAGGCGAAACAGGTGGCCAGCATATTCAAGAACCAGGTTTGTAGGAATTTGGCTCTTGGCATAATTGCAAAACTCAATATGGAAACGACACCAACAAGATATCCTAGAGTTGTATAAATCTCGGCGAAGTTTGTGGCCTGGTATGCAGCCAGACTGATTGTTGGCGCAAGGGCGCCCCTACGATACGGTCAGATTCATACAACTTCTTTCTGATAATATTGCACTCACTTGGCCATGATTTTCATCGTCGTCACATCCAATTGTGTTTTCGCCCATAGTTTACCAGCTCTTTCCTTTAAACTGAGTTTCTTTGGCTTTTCGCTGTTGACTCGATCTCCGGCGGCTCCATCGTCGTGATGTTTTTCAGAACTGCCATTTTGACTTGGCGCGTCTGTTGTTGGTGGGGTCTGCGAAGATGGCGAAGGGTCGGACATTGTAGGTGTCGACACAGCTCAAGCAAATGGCTCTGCGTCAATGTAATACCAAGTTGATAGATGCATACTCTGATCGTCCTTGTGTAAGCAGGATCAGGAAGCTAAGAGGTGAGATCAAAATAATAGTAGAGATTGCGAAGACGGCCGCCCGCGGATTACGTCGGGGGTGGTCAGAGCGTGCCATGCTCAATCTGGGGTGGCTCCGAAAAGTCCGAGTACCAGGATGGCGGCTCTGTATTTGGCATTCATGTTGTATTATTCAAGCACACAAGAACAACGTTCATATCACACTGGGAGCCGTTCATGAAAAATCTGTAATGTGACCAACTTGTGACAGTAATATCGTCTGTCATCTGAATTGGTGGAATTGATATCGCCATACGAGCTTTCATTACATAACGCTGTGGCTGATTCGAATTGTCTTTGCAGAAACATATTCGAGTTGAAGAGGTTGGTAGTCTAGCCATGAGTATGGCACTCTGTTTCGAGAGCCTTTCGGTTCCATCCACTGCACGCTGTCGCACGACGTGAGTGGCTTTCGTAGTAACTCGCGCAGCATGGTAACGCAGATGAAGCGTGCTTTGACTGGATTGGACGCTCGATTTGTCCAGGATTGGCTGACATGCAACTTTCTGGAAGTACGAGTCTTGGACTAGGCCCAAAAGTTGGCTTTGAGAGGAAGCGGTCTCGATTGAGAGCATCTTGCTCTACAGGATCTCGTCATCGTCATCGTCGTTGTTGGTAGCATTGCTGACAGGGTCGGCAGTATTCGGTGCTTCCATGCTCTGCTCGACGTCGATGTCCTCGTCTTCGTCTTCGTCTTCCCACTCATCACCAGGCATGGCGAATACTGAGGGTCTGCCAGGGTTCTCTTCGTCGCTTGAGTTTGCGTCCATGTCGACAGCCTTGGAGCCCTTTGCGGCCTTGGGCTGGACGAAGCGGTTGGTCTTGTCGTTCATGGCCTCCCAGGTCGCCTGAGTATGGTCAGAAAGTGTCACAGTTGGTCAAGTGTGTTCAAGGGTACACACTCTTCGGTCGTCAATCCTCCTCGCTCTGACAAAGCTCTTTGCTTTTTTTGTGTGTAGAACATCCATGTTCGCTTCTGCGCGCTCCAAGCCCTTCTCTTTACGCATGCGCTGGGCACGGGTCATGGGCTTCTGCTTCTTCTTTTTCGAGATGCCAGCATCGTGTGCTCCGGGGAAGTAGTCTACAGATTCCTTGGTGGTCTTCTCGCCAGTAATGGACTTGTCGAGGTTGATTCCCGGAGATGCTTCACGGCGCGCAGCGCGAGAGCGAGTAGAAACGGCTGTGTTTGGATCAGAATGAGGTTGACATGAGAGCGAGGATGCCTACTCACGACGAGCCTTTGCTTTGGTTGCTTTGGCCATATTTGTGTTGTTTGAGTGTTATAATGAGAAGACGAGAATGTTGATCTGAGGGTGGCAGAAGGAAGCATAACGAATAATTTCTGTAGGCATGGCGAAGGCGGTGAATGGAAGGGCAGGGTGTGCACGGTCGAGACGGAGTCGATCTTGGACCCTGAACTTGTCGCAATGCCAACCAAAGCGTCCATGTCTTTCTTTTGCTGACCTGATCCATCTCATCCGAACTTTGTCTCGGTCGCCGCTCTGTCTTTTTGTCAAGACACCAATCCATGCTGGACCAACCCCTTCTGCCTCGCTCTCCGTCGTCTGCACTGTAACACAACCAAGGCGCACCATGAGCGCCTCGTACACTTATTCACACGCCTCCTACTCATATCGCAACGACCCTTCAACACTCGATCGTCTGCTCGCTTCAAACAAGGGCGCCTGGATTGCTGCTGGCATAGCTCTCTTCTACTGTGCCTACACATTCGCCCTCCCTAACATCCTTGCCGACCTTTTCTGGAATGTCCTAGTCCTGCTCACCCCTACCGCTCTCGTCCTTGCTGTCGACAAACGAAGGAATCCAGCTCTGTACCAAGACTCGACCGCATCTCCATTGAACAGCGACAACCATACCTTCAAAACTGAAGCAATGAGGAGAATCTTTGGTCTTGGTTCTGCCTCGGCTACCATACTTCCTGGCGCAAACTCTCTGAGAAGAGCCAGCTGGCTCGGCGGTCTCAGCTCCACATCTGATGCTCCGCCAGGCCTTGGAAACTGGGACAACTCTTGCTATCAGAACAGTGTCCTGCAGGGGCTGTCTGCTTTCCAGTCTCTGACCACCTACTTGGAACAGTCAAACGCAACTAGGTCTGAGGATGCCTCAACAACCGTGGGCTCATTACGCGACCTCATGGCAAAACTGAACGATTCTTCCAACAATGGCTGCCGAATCTGGACTCCGGCCAAGTTGAAGTCTATGAGCAGCTGGCAGCAGCAGGATGCTCAAGAATACTTCTCAAAGATTATGGATGACATGGAGAAAGAGACGACCAAAGCTCTGAAGACCGCACCAGGCACAGCGGGACTTCAAGAAGTAGGCTTGCTAGACATCGTCAAGGCATCCGGTTCTGTCAACCAGAACACGGCCGCACAACGACGCAATCCCCTAGACGGCTTCCTTGCACAACGAGTCGCATGCACCAGCTGTGGCTTCTCTGAAGGTCTCTCTATGATTCCGTTCAACTGTGTTACGGTACCGCTTGGCAGAAATTACAGTTACAAGATCGAGGACTGTTTGAACGAGTATACAAGCCTGGAAGAGATTACTGGTGTGGAATGCGCCAGGTGTACGTTGTTGCGTACGAAGTCACAGCTCGAACAAATGACGACCGAATCCGATCATTCTAATGAGCAATCTGGTTCTTCCTCGGCCTCTCTGCCTCCACAACTTCGCGAAATGGCCCTGCAAAGGTTGCAGGCAGTAAAGCAAGCGCTCGCGGATGGAGACGTTTCCGACGACACACTCAACAAGAAGTGCCAAATCTCCAAGAAATCTCGAGTATCTAGCACCAAAACTCGCCAAGCTGTAGTCGCCAGAGCGCCGCAGTGTTTGGTGGTACATGTGAATCGCAGCGTTTTCGACGAGTACACAGGTGCTCAAAGCAAAAATCTGGCCGAAGTCACATATCCCAAGATGCTCAATATAGGCCCGTGGTGCTTAGGCACTACCAAGAATGCTGGTGATCAAGAGGAATGGCGCATGAACCCTTCGAGATCGATGATTGGATCCTCTGGCAATGACGCCAGAGCCCAGTATGTCCTTCGAGCTGCTGTCGCTCACTATGGTCGCCATGAAAACGGCCACTACATCTGCTATCGTGAGCATCCGGAACACATAAAGGATGCCGATAAGGACACCCTATCAAAGCAAACACCTACAAAGTGGTGGAGACTCAGTGATGATGATGTGTCTGCCGTCAGTGAAGATCATGTTCTCGGACAAGGTGGTGTTTTCATGCTTTTCTATGAACGTTTGGACACTTCTGCCCCTGAGTCTGTACCGCACGACACGCAGAGAGTGCATCCAGAAGAACTGGTGACCAACACGATGCCTGGCATTCAAAGCGAAGAATTGCCTGAACGGCCTGGGGTGATCACGGAGAAGAATGAAGCTGATCCACAACATCTTGCCGAACCATCACCAGAGCTAGAAGTGGAACAAACACCACAGCCATTACCGAGCGTCAGAAAGACATCAACACCCAATAGGATGAGGACGGCTGGAAACAAGGGTCGACGCAGATCATCTGGATTCTCGACGCTCCAGGCGGTCGCTGCGACTTGATAGATCATCCATAGGGAGGGTGACGTGTCTATTAGCGAGGCGTTTTGATGCATATTCTGGACTCATTGGGGGCATACGGTCGTGGTTGACCGGATCACAGACTTTGGACGGGAAATATTTCTTCGGTCTCTACATAGCTTAATGATGAATATGACTATCTGGTGCGACGCGCATCACTATCACTGAACTCTGCGTCAATCTGAACTTTTGTGCAAGAGAACCATCGTATGACAGTAAAGTGGTGAGCGCAGTGGTCAACCTATCGCGGCACTAAGTATCGAATAATATTCTCTCTCCAGCTGTTGACAGCCAAAATTTTGAAAAACATCACCAAGATTGAACAACGACAGTCATCATGGAAATAATTGTGACAATAAATGTTCAGATGTTGAGCATGCAGAGTGAAGCGAGGGAAAGCAGAAGGGTTCTTTTCCAAAGCGGAAATAAGTGGGGCTGGCTGCACTAAGCGAGAGAAGCGCAATGCCAAGCAATGCGATGTGGAAAATTCAACGCACTTGAGCCTTGAGGATTGAGACGACTTGACCAGCGACCAACGACAACTCGCCCAATCCGACACAGTACGAATATACCACCCGCTCGCTCTGCCAATAGAACAACATCACTGACCTCGATTTCTCGTAAAGATGCCCGCCGCAAAGAAGCATGTCCCTATCGTCAAGAAGCGTACGTCCGCCCGTCAAAGGAGCCACAAGCCCGCGAGTCCTGCACACACCCAGACACACATCGAGAGAGCGCCGCCACGATAGACACGACGACCGAAAAGAAGAGACAAGGAGCCCGTCGCTGACAGTGATGGATTTGCAGGCACTTCGCGCTTCACCCGCCACCAGTCGGACCGCTTCATGCGCGTAGACCCCAGCTGGAGAAAGCCCAAGGGTATCGACAATGCCATGCGCCGTCGCTTCAAGGGACAGGCCGTCATGCCCAAGATCGGTTACGGATCCAACAAGAAGACCCGCCACATGATGCCCTCCGGCCACAAGGCTTTCCTCGTCAACAACGTCCGCGAGCTCGACCTTCTCCTCATGCACAACCGCACCTACGCCGCTGAGTACGACGCCCTTCCCACCGAGCAATGAGGCACAGGCCCCTTGCAACAAGCAGCATCAGTTCTAACATATCTACTTACAGGATCTCTCACGCCGTTTCTGCCCGCAAGCGCATCGACATTGTCGCCCGCGCCAAGCAGCTCGGTGTCAAGGTCACCAACGCCAAGGCCAAGATCACCACCGAGTCATAAATGCTCTAGGTTGTAGTGGTTCATTGGTACTTTTCTTCGGCGCAGACAGAGGGGAAACTTTAGTAGCACTTGATCATGCTCTCTCATTACGGAACCGGCCTTCTCGGACTGATAAAAGATCTGGGCTTCTGGGAGGGTGGTCGGTCAATAGGCGAACTTTTTCATCAACAAAAAAAACTTGCAATGAAAAACGTCTTCGAGGCTACGTTGTGTCGCGAACAAAGAACGAAAAATTGAGGGTTCAATCAAAAAGACATGGCTTTATGATCATACTCTGTTCCCTTTCGTGGTTTTGCTCGAACCTGTGTCCCACCTGTATGGTCAACAAGCAATTTGCTTGGTCTGAATTCCACAGTCCGCAAATGTCCCTTTGACATGCATGGCTCTCTGCATAATAGACATCATCAATTGCATCAAGACACCTCTGTAAAGTTACAGGCAAGTCACTTTGGTCCGAACATGCTTCTCGGTTCGATGTTTATGTATAAAATGATGGATTCTGAACACTTTCTTTTGGTCATATGAATACTAATCTAGACCCTTCTACATGCTTTTCTTCTGATTTGCACCAAGTGGAAACATGCTCTTGGACCAATCTCTCTCGAGAAATGGCAGGTATGTCGATTACAGGAAAAAAAAAAGAATAAACAAAAACACCCGACCATGTAATGAACGCCAGAGCGCCTCGCTCATGCAAGCTTTTGCCAGCCATGTGACCCCGGTTGTTTGCCGGTGTCTTTTCATGTCTTGCTTTCCCTCCCTTCCCTTTTGTTGTCCGTTTATCCTTGCTCCAGAGAACTGTCTACTCCTCCATGGAGTTGGGGTCCTGGACAGCGGTAACGTCTGCAGAAGCCTGGCTCCAGTAAGCCTTGACCTGGATCCTGAACTCGGCCATGGCGACACCGAACAGCTTGAGCAAAGCAGTCTGGTGGCTGTTGAGAGTCTTGCCTTCCTTGCAGAGCTCGTAATCGCCGTCGAGGACAACCTTGCCCTTGTCGAGCTTGGTGGGCATACCCCATTTCCTGATGGTGACTTCCAGACTGTGAGGCAGGGCGACGTCTTCTTCGACAGACAAGTCTCCTCCGCGCGAGTAGACGACACCAGCGGGCACGGTAAAGTCTCTGGTGGCCTTGACACCGGCTCTTGCGTAGTCGATCTCGGAGTAGTTCTCAAAGTACTCGAGGACCTCTGCGGGGTCGCGGTTGGACAGCAGCAAGCCGACGCTGCCTTCAATGTAGGGAGTGAGCTTTGAGAGGCCGGGTTGGTATTCCTCGGCGTCGGTCATGCCCAGGGCCTTTGCCATGACCTTGGTCTTTCCGAAAAAGATGCGCGAGTCGGCAAAGTGGGTGCGGACGTCCTTGAGGTAGGTGTTGCGCATGTTTTCGACGCCAAAGACGTAGATGTGGGAGAAGTTGTCGGCGGCATCGCGGACGTTGTCGAAGAGCTTTGTGCGCAGCTCCTTGTCCTTCTTCTGGACTTGGGTCAGGTGGACGACCTTGGATCTCTTTGACTTGGGCATGGTTGTTGTATTTGGTGTGTGATGTGAGTTCTGGTGATGAGATTTGGGCGAGATGTGCCGCTGGCGATTGGGCGTAACTGACAAAAAAAATCAGGATGGAGCTGCGATTTTTGCGGGGGAAAGACGCTGGTGAAGCTCCGACTTGCCGACCCTTTGACTCGACCTTGAATGTTTGATGTTGGTCGTCGCAAACATGATCTGATGCCAATTCTTAGCTGCTCGTCTCGTCATCGCCTAGTCTAGCCATGATATAGATGAGATGATCGAGTTCATGGACTATGTCCAAACTGCCTTCTATTCGGCTTCGCTGTGGGATCATGACAACTCGTACAGCACCTTGACGGCCACGGCCAATGGTAAAGCTGGCCATGTCTTGTGTCGTGCATTGCGCTGCTGACCATTGTGCAAAGCCCTTCTTGACTTCCAAACTCCGCATGGCCTTCGCCTTCGTATCTCGTCACTCTCGGCTGCTGGCTTTGCGACATCGTACACTCTATCCAACAGAGGCTTCGTCGATGGCTCCATCTCTTTCCTCTACTCGTCCCTGCCCATGCGCATTCCTTCGCAAAGCAGTATAATCGACTTGCGCAACCTGGTCAGAGGATACAGACACCTTCCCGAACTGCGCCGACCCGACGAGACATATCTGTGGGAGATCTGGCAGGCTGGAAGAAGAATCGACAAGAAAGACACTTTGTTGTACGGCCGTCTATACCTGCCTACGTCGACTCTCGAAGCCCTGTACCTGCGTCGCATATCGCCTTCGCGCCTTCTGCGGCTGTCATGTGTCTCCGACTCTGCTCTCCCTAATGGCGGTTCCGTCCTGGCACAACTGCAGAACGACCATGCCAAGTACTCGACCGAATACCTCTTTTCCACCGACAGCTGCTTGATGGGTGTCCGCGGTCTCTACAACTTTGGTCTCGATCCTCGCACTATCCCTCGGACCACAACGCCTAGAGGCAACGTCGTACCCGTCGACCCTCAAATCGGTCGTCTCAGCGCTGGTGCCGAGTTGTACTTTTCCCCTCTGAATAAGTCTGGAGGTGTATCCACTGCTATCCGCTTCACTACTCTGCCTTCGCATACTGGCTTTCCCTACACCATGGCCTTGACCTGCAATCCCCTCATGGGCAACATCTCGTCTAGCTACGCTGTCAAAGCTGGGGACGATGTAGCACTGAGTTCACGCTTCGACTTCAACATCTACAGCTACGAGTCCGACGTCCAACTCGGCCTTGAACTTTGGCGACGTAAACCTCTGGAGGTCGGCGAGACCCTACCCATCCAAGACAAACAGCAAGAGTCAGTCTTGGAAACAAAGTTGTCCAAAGACCTGCTTGGGCGAAACAGTACACAAGAAGTGGATAGTGTGTTCAAGGCTAGGGTCAATCAACTCGGCAAGATTGGCGTGCTGTGGGAGGGCCGCATCAAGGATCTGCTGGTCAGTATAGGTGCGGATCTGAATTTGAAAAGGAGAGACAACATCATCGGGTCCGTAGGGCTGGAAGTTTCGTATTCTTCTTGATCCACCAAAATCGAACATCCCCTCCTGCCATCCAAGATCATTCCAAATGCAAGCCAACAATTCAATTCAACTCTTCCTCTTCTCCTCCACTCCAACTAGAAAAACTTCTCAAACTGCTGACACCCCTCCACCTCACCCAACCACTTCGCCCTCTCACTCGTATAAACCTCGGCCTTGGGCTTCCCCTCCTCCAACACACCCGCTCCATCAAGCACACCCACTCTGATGACCAAAATGCCTTGCTCAGCACTCATGTCTCCTTCCCTCCATAGATTACTGCCGCAATCACCGCAAAATACAGTGGTGACTGTACGTCCCGAGTCTGCTTTTGCAGAGTACTTTTTGGGGGTGCCCGAGTCGAGAGAGAAGGAGGAGGCGAGGATCACGAGGTTGGTTGTAAAGGCCGAGCCCGAGATTTTGCGGCAGTCGGTGCAGTGGCAGATTGCCTTTGGGAAAGGGGTTAGTATGGAGGGAAGAAGGCAGGGTTGGGAGCACTTGCCTTGTTGGCTGGTTCTCCAGAGTAGGAGAAGGCGATTTTGCCGCAGTAGCAGGATCCTTTGCCCATCTTGTCGTGTGTATTAGTTTGTGTGGTTGCTTGTATTAGTGTTGCCCTCGTCGAGAGTTTGTGATGATGTCGGGCTTTCACGCGTTCGAAGTTGTAGTTTGGTAGAATTAGTTCTGTGGTGTGGGGGTGTCAATGCTGTTTTTATTCGTGACATGACGTCCATCTTGTTCTCAATCCTTCGAAACTCTGCATCTATATACTGCTTGTGATAGGTAGGAAACATGGCGAATTCCAAATTTGCACGGACGGACATCCGGCTCATCGAGAGGGGGTGATTACTGATCGGAGCGGTCTAGACTTCGGGGGTTTTTACAGATAAAGCTTCGAGCATCGCACGTGATTTGTTCTTGAGATATGTTGTTCAATTCTATAGTTCATCTGTATCGATGATTTTGTGATGTATAGGTATAAGGAAGCGGCTTGTTATTCTTGCAAGCATTCTTATAGAGTATTCCGTGTTGTTTCATGTACATCGGTGATTGACTCGTTGCATCAGAGGGCTATGGACATGCGGCGGTGGATATCTTTGCGTAGAGAACACGATTATCTGTTTTTAGCCGGACGAAAACAATCTTACGGACGCAGATAGGTATCATGTGTTTGACCCACGGATCATGAAATGCCTGGGACTTGATTTGCTTGTCCTCAGTCATGTGAAATGTTTCAAGCTTGCTCGAAAATTGACTTGATCAGGGTCATTAGTACGGCAAGCTGAAGATGCAAATTCACGAAGCACATTTCTATAGAGTCTTTAGCTTACTACATAGTCCTTGCAAAACATGTGTGCGGTAACCACCATAGCTAGTTTGGAGAATACGACAAGTGAAGTTGATCTATCGTAATAGCAATCATAAGTCAACAGTTCCTGGTCTCAGCTACAGAAATGGTCTCTCGATTCTGCGGTGCTCTCTCGCTTACCCAGCCGCCAGTGTTTTCACGGCGGTTCTGAATCTAGAGATCGTATGGTGAGATTGCTGTTCTCGTATATGCCGTAGCATTGGCATGTCGAAACGAAGCAAGATCCAGAGATGCACCAAAGCTTGTCTGCACGGTATGAGGTGAACAAGTAAGACTGAGAAAGAAATGACATCCTTGATCGTAACGGGAGATTAAGATGGATGATGCAAATCGAAGACACGCGGATCAGCAAACAGACAGAGGACAAGGTGGTGCAGGCAAGGGAAGGTGCATGTCACATTGACCAACCACTCTTCAGTCAGTACTAACAACAAAGAGAGACGTCAACTTTGAATCAACCATAACGTCCACTGAGATACTCGCTACTACAGAATCGTTCCTTGTGAGATGAGCTATGAACACTATGCATTGTCATCGTACGTTCTTCTTCCATCTATCCCAACCTCCTCATCAAACACCTGTTGGTCTGTCACATTGAAGACCCGAGAATGAGATCCATGCATCTTCACCTCGATAACCGGGTATCTTCGCAGTCGGGAGCTCAATGCGCATCGTGCCATCACCGAAGAACCACGTGTGCATGCAGATCGTGTCCTGATCAGAGCGATTTTCTAATAAGATTGTGATGTGAACAGGGGAGGCGCGCTTTGGTAAATCAAACTGCCTGATGAGATAGTCCAAATCGGGCTTTCCTTCCTCTCCCTTGAGATGTAGCTCTCCGCAATAGAAGATTCGACGAGGATAGCGATCGGAGTGGGTAGGCATGGCTTTGCAGTGACCAGGAGCACACATCTGATCTGGGATATCATGATTTTGGCGGATACTGAAAGAGAGCGAGATACCACCACCAAGGTCTGGATTGTGTTTCGCCGAATGGAAGCGCCATTCGCCGCCGAGTTGTTGAAGACGCTTGTTCGTACCCTGCTTGACCATGTTCTCTTGCTTCTGTACAGTGTCGATGATGGCCGCGACATCATCATCCAACTCATCGTTTGAGGCAATGGTTTCGGGCTCTTCAGCCTTGATAACGACAGGCTGATCATCGTTGTTCATGATCACATCTGAGTCTCCTTTCTCGTCCTTAACAGTCACAACAGTGCTTGGTTCTGTTCTAATGACTCGATCATACTCACCGGTCGCTTCGGCACGGCCGTTGCGCTCGACGCGCTCAGCAGGTTGATTACGAGTAATCGCGCCTGCTTCGTTGTCTCTGCTCTCGTCAGAACCGCCCATGTGCGCCTGGGCCTCGGCAGCAGATGAGTTGACAACAGTGTCAGATCGGAGGCCTGCAAATACAAACCGGGAATCGTTGCAATCCGCCTCACCGAGGACAGATGGTGGAATGCTAATAATCATCTTCCCCCTACCCCAGAAGGTCAACTTCCCTGCGTATATATTCTTGGACTGTCTGAATACCACCGACAATGGATGACCTGAAACACGGGAATGTGGCAAGATATTGGGAATAGTGAACGTCGTTGAGTGTCCGTGAGATTTGATGCTTAGCTTCCCACGATATCGTCGAGTCGTTGGGTGCATCTGCTTCTGTTTGTTTGTGGTATTCTCCCACAATTCTATGGTGTAGTGATCGACCGTACTTGAAACAAGCCCCTTGTTGTAAAGCACCCATTGTCCAGATAGATCTCCTACAAGAGGCGCATTCTTGTGAACCTTCTTGCCAAAATTCTGGCACCCATCCACAGCGCGAGCGACAAGATCTATCTGTGCTTGTACCTCGGCAAAACGAGCAGCTGCGAACTGTTCCCAAGCTCCATCAGCCTGGGGAAGATCTTCAGAATTGATGTCGTTAAAATCCTTTGCCGTAGGCGTGTCGTCTTGATCGCGAGCGAAAGTCTCTTGCTCACTTGCATCTTCGTGCTCAGAGTCTCTCTCAACATCGCACTCAGAGCCATCGTCATAGCTGTTCTCAGAGTCATGCTCGGATTCTTCATCGGGGTAGTTATCAGATCTGTTCTCTGATTCATCCTTAGATGCATCCTCGGACACATCATCAAAACTTCTCAGGGAGATGTTGCGCAGTTGTGGATCCTCGATCTCTGGGTGTTCTGCAAGATACCTCTGGTCGGCTTCGCTAGGTCTCCAGCTTCTTCGGCGCATTTGGGGATTTTGAGTCCAGCAGGCCTGATCTGTATGTTTCATTTGGACATGATCCGGCAGACTACATGGTCTGCGTAGATCTGGCTGAGCAGTTGCAGTGTGTTGAGTAATGTTGCCCACTTGCAGGTATTCAATGTCTGGATGTTCTGCAAGCCACATCTCATCGGCCTTGCTAGGCTTCCAGCCCAGGAAGCGTAGTCGAGGATTCTGAACCATACAGACCTGGTTCGTGTGGTCGCCGTTGCTATGATGTGGCACACTGCAGGGCTTGTGCAGATCCAGCCGAGCCGGCTCCTCGACTAGAGAGATGTTACGCTTTGGCGCTTGTTGTGATAGCGGTGCAGATGTAGAGGCAGATCCTCTTGCCTGTTCTTGTAACAACCGAGTGTGCTCGACTATAGCCAACTCGACAAGCTCGTCGAATGTCACAGTCGACCCATGGCCCAGCGCTAAAACATCGCGTTCTCTCAACAATGCTTTGCACCAATCATGATAAGCAGAGCCAAGCGAAACGAGAAGAGCCATCTTCAAGAAGTTTTCCGGAAGACGCTGCTCGACGTCATCGCCGACGAGTTGGTTGTACTGGTTGAAAGCATCCTGAAGTCCATAGGCGAACTCTTCGGGTGAGTGATCGAACTCATATTCCGTGATGAGGTCCTCACTGAATAATCTGAATGCTCGCTGGTCATCGGAGGCATGGTATCTGGATCTGAGACTGACATAAGTGTCGTGTGCGTTTGAGGCTCCAAGGTCAGTTAAGTCGATGTCTGCAGCGCTGCGCATAGCTTTGAGTAAGCTTTCGTTGCGAGCTCGCCAGATGGCAGTGCGCTTGACGTTGTCGTTCCTTTCTGTAGTAGTGTATTGCTTGCCTTCGAGTGATTGAGGGTGCTTTGCTTCGCCATTGAGGACGGTGTCAGTGCCAGCCATCAACGCGGCGTGTTGCAATGCATCGCTCCATTGTTGCCAATTAGCTTCCCCTTCTAGTTTGGGTAGAGTATTATAGTAACTTTCGTGAGCACAGCTGGCTTGCGCGAGTTCTTTGACCGACGGGTCAGAGAGTGCAAGACGACCGCGCATCGCGCTGGCTGCCATGGTGCGCGTTGAGTGGTTCGGGAAGATGTTCTGGTTCGGGTGTTGATGCCCCGAAAGCGCGACAGGAACTTTTGTGCGGCGTGCCAAGCAATTTGTCTGCTCTGCGCTTTTACGTCTCTCCGACGCAAAGGTTGTTGAAACCGAGCTGATACGAGTCCAAAAGGCCCCTTTGAGAGGGAGAGACGTCCTTTGAGAGCCAGTGTGTATATGTATAGTTTCTTGGTGGGAGTCTAGGCCAATTCTTTGTGCTGGAGACACGCTTTAACCTGCTTCTTCATTACTGAGCATTAATTATTCACGATTTGTGCATAGGTATTCCTCATCTAATCCTCAGAGCAACTTCACTCCATCGCAATTCGCTTCCGTGACTTGCAAACCCTCAAGATGTCATCTTCCAAAAAGCGCAAGATCGTCGAGGTACCATCGGCTGCAGGAGAGCCAAAAGCTCCCTCGTCTCTAAAGCCCAATGCCTCCTACTCAACGAACCACATCCCAAAATATGTCTACATGGCCCAGGAACTCAGAGGAGGCCCATACTCTTATTTCGAGCACGAAATATTCGGTGCTTCAAAAACGCATCGAGCCCGAACACGAAAAGTTTCGCAATGGCAGAGACTATCCCCACGTGCCGGATGAAGATCTAGAGGAAAGTTCGGACGGTCGGCTAGGGTGTGTCCGAAGACGCCATGATGGTGGTTTGAGGTTGGGCGCCAGCAGTGAATCAGAGACCTACGTTGTCTGGGTGGAGAGGAAGGAACTCGACTCATTTGGAACATCAACACCACCATAATCTGGAAGAAACAACTACGTCAAAGACGAAAACGAAATCCATAAGATGGTGGTTCATCATCCAAGAATGGTGAACTTATCTTCTAGCTTAGAAACCCTCTGCGCTCTGGATATTCGAATTCGACAGACTTTTAGTCAAGTAATCTTACGAATGGGTACAGGAAGTCTCATGCCCGCGCTGCGAGAGAGACAGTTGGAATTAAAGAAACGAATGCTTGTATTATCATATTCTACGGAGTAACTGGCCCTACCAGCCATATCATCATCTCAAAATAGTAGAGCCGACCAAGAGAACACCATTTACCTCTGGGTTCATAACCGAGTACCCAACAGTGAACCATCCAGTCGAAACCTTGGAATAAAGAATGCAGCCGTCGACCGACACCGGTACGATCTGCTTGAACACCAAATACATGCAGTATAAGACATGGTGCACGTAGAGCATAGAATGGGCGTAGAAATCATCAGTGGCATGAGAGAACGAATGTTGTTGGAGGTTATCTTCCGTGACAAAGAGCATGCTAAAGAGTGTCGCTCATACCCAGTAGGCATTGGTCCGGAGGACACCTTGCTCACTCAGGCATGGTGAGCTGAAAGTCTTTGTACTCATCGTCTTCATCGTAGAGCATTGAGAGCTTGTTCATAGACTCGACAGGAGGGTCGTCAACTTCCATACGGGCATTGCGTTCGCGAATGAGCTCTTCGACCTCAGCATCATCAGCCATCAAATTCTCCAACAGAGTCCTGGTTCTTTTCTCTGTAGGGGTAGCAGGCTTGTCGTGGAGAGTCGAAAGTGGGCGTCTCGAGGCAGCAGAGACAGCACGTCCTCCAGCATATCCGAGTGTGCTACGCGAAGTGGCAGTAGCATTGGCATGGCGAGCCGACGATGCGGTAGGAGCAGTCAAAGATGAGACAGGCTTGCAAGCCACCGGGCGAACGGTGTTGATCGTGCGTGAGCGAGCAGCAGCGGTTGCTGTGGGAGCAGCGAAGCGAGGACCAAGTGCCGTAGTTGATGAAGACCTCGACAGAGCACTGACAGCACGTCGGGCCGACAGGCTGGAAGGAGCTCTTGATTGCTGCTCCTTCTCCTCGAAGGCTTTACGAACCTTTGTAAGATCGAGGCTGAGGAAGTCGTCGGCTTCGAGGGCCCTGCGGATGATGTCTTGTTGTATCTTATCTGTACGAGCCATCATTTCGCGGTTCTTGCGTTCACTTGGACGCACGCCGTGCTCATCAGGGGCGTTCTCGAAGGCGCCCCAAAAGCCGGTGGTAGCATACTCGGGAGCAAAAATTGAATAGTCCCGTTCGTGAATTGTGTCTGGATGGTCAGGCAGGGCTGAGGAAGGTCAGTCTGTGGGGTAGCGAAAGAACCACAGGAGCACTTACGGATAGATCTGGGAGGCATATACTCAATGTCTGGCACACCATCATCTTGTGCTTGCTGGACGGGTTCGGCTTGATGAATCTTGACCTTCTGTCTGCGCAGGCGAGGACTGAGAGTCTTCTGAGCGGATGCCTTGACAGTCAAGGGAGCCGGAGTCTTTGCCTTGGCATTAGTTGTTTTCATGCCCAGCGGGGCGCGATTGCGTGGGCCAGCCGGTGTGATGAAGGCATTGGGATCCAGTTTAGCCTTCTGATTTGTCTTCTTTGTTGTTTTGAAGCCAGATTGGAAAGAGTCGTTTTCGTCATTTTGGTTGCGTCTGAAGGGCGTCTTGGGAGCCTTGTTGGCCGGAGTCTTTGCCTGCTGATTCAATGGTTTCGCAGCGGCGGCAGCTTGATGAGCATACGCCAGATTCTCTTGGTCAGCGCGTGCAGCGAACATGTTGATCTGTTGTCGTTAAGTGTCGGATCCAGGTGGAGAGAAGTCGAGAGATTTCCGGGCAATGCGTCACGAAGTAGATGTAGTCCGAGTGGTTGTCGAGGTGGTCTTTGTTTACGTCGGCTACCCTAGTCGCATGACGAAGACTTTAGATGAGCAATTGCGACCGTGTCGGTTGTTTCAACACTCGTGACAGGGCAACTGCTAGGAACTATTGTCCTAACCACGGTTGGGGAAGGAGGCCGTAAATGTCCACTGAGCCTGGCTCTGTTGATGCTCAGTCGTCGACGCGGCAACAAGCTCACACGGGCCAATCAGGTCGACCATGCTTGGCGTTGGCTGGCGGTCGGGAGTCGGGGGTCCAGGTTCTGGCAGCCTCCGCGTGGTCCAAGTGGCCCAAACGTCTATCACACCAAACTTCTCGAATCCCCCTCCCCCTTAACTTCTACTCTTTATACTCATAATACTGCAATCTGACAAGACCGCTCTCCCGACCTTCCTGTACATTTCTCCCAGCTTCAGTTCCACAGCTCCTTCGACCTTCTACCACAACTCGGTCCCTCCGTAATCACAACAAACACACAAGATGGATGCCATCAAGCAGGTGCGTGTCATCAACAAAGCTACAACACCTCCACCCTCCATGCCACGTCTACATGATGAAACTCAACGATTCCCCTTAATACACCGCAAGGTGCATGATTCGAAATCGTCCAAATTACAGTCTATATCTGATCACGATGTCGCTGCTGCTCACTTCAACTACCCCTCATGCCCCACCGCTTTTTCGGCCAAGCTGACTTGTCTCCCAACGACAGCGCATGAACGCCCTCCGCCTCGAGGCCGACGAGTCCGCTTCCAAGAACGAGGAGCTCAAGGCAAAGGTCAAGTCGCTTGAGCAGGAGAACCTCGCCAAGGAGCAAGAAATCACCTCGCTGAAGCACAAGAACCAACTCCTCGAGAGCGAGCTGGAGAAGATCGAGGGTGGTCTCAAGGATGCCAAGGCCGCCGTCGACGAGAGCGCCCAGCACGGTACCCAGAACGAGAGCTTGCAGAGAAGACTCCAGCTCCTGGAGGAGGAGGCTGAGGAGGCCGACAGAAACCTGAGAGAGACCAACGACAAGTACGTTCACAGATCTGACGCGCGCTCAACGCGTTTGCTGACATGCTACCAACAGGCTCCGCCAGACCGACGTCAAGGCCGGCCACTACGAGCGCAAGGTGCAAGCCCTGGAGGCCGCCCGCGATCAATGGGAGGCCAAGTACGAGGAGATGGCCACCAAGTACAACATGACCAAGAAGGAGCTCGACGACTTTGTCGCCGAGATTGGCAACATCTAAGCCACGTCTTCTTTTCGTCTTTGCATCCGTTCGCCGCGGCTTCTTTCTCGTATCTTCCCGTCGTCCTTTCTCGTCGACGTTTCTTCACCTTGGGTTGTCAGCATGGGCGTCATCACCGCTACGTAGAGAATGAAAGCATTCTCCGGGCGTTTTTTTCTGAACTTGTTACTCTTTCAAAAGAAACTTACCACCTCCCTTACACACGATACCACTGCTTTGCCGAGTTAATGGAAGCTTCTCCTTTGACATGTCTGAACAAACTGCTTATTTGGGTATCATGCGTGCTTGTGAAACGAATCGTAGTGCGTCCATCACTTTTCCGTCCTGGCCTTCTTCGCAGCGGCGTTCTTTGCCTTTTGCTTGTTGCGCGTCTCTTTTCTCTCGCCCTTGCTCTCATATCTGAACTTCTTCTTCTTGGGCTTGCTCTTGGGATCCACCTTCTTGCCTTTTGACCAGACCATCTTCTTCTTGACCACATCGCCCTCCTTAGACTCTGCATCCTCTTTTACGACAGTAGTCTGCTCTTCGTCATCCGAATCTTGTGTGAAAGCCTTTGCGTCGTCCATAGCCTCAATAGTGACTGTTGTGTATTTGTCTTCGTCGACGTATTCGTCTACACCATCGATGGAAGGTCTAGGCGGTGAAGCAATGCCACCCCATTCCTCTTCGTCTTCTGCACCAGATGAATCGTCGTCTGAGTCCTTGTTTGCTTTTCTGAGCAGGTCGTTTACTTCGGCGACATGGCGTTCTAGGTCTACTTTTCTCTGGTCGCGCATCTGAGGTTCTCATGTCAGTGTCTTGCTTTTGGGTTAGAATAGTTGACATGGAGAGTAATGCAAACCTCTTTCCTCGCCTTGACCTTCTCTTCCTTCTCAATTTTTGCGGATTGTTCTTGAGCGTGCTTGATGCGCTGTTGCTTTCTCTTGCGGAAACCCGTGAGCCACTCATTGCGGGCTTCTGGGTCGAACTTCAACTCGTCGACTTGAGTGGTTGTCTTGCGGCGTTTTGCTGGCGGTGCCCGCGGTGCTTGTCGTGGTGCCATGATGATTTGTGTGATTCGACGTAGGTTTCAACGGTGAAAGAAACACAGGGCTGGCTCAGACGAGAATATGCGACTCGACTTTCTTTGGTTTCAGGGAGAGATATGTGCTGGATCTTGACGAGAGTTGGACTGGTTGTCTTGTTAGCGGAGCAGAATCGAATTGCTGCAGAGACCAAAAAATCGACGCCCGTGCGTCACCGACCGTGATGATGTTCCCTCGGACGTTTGTTCGCACTTCCCACCTTGTTTACCGCACCTTGCCCTTCTGCTTAGCGCAGCCAGCATCAATTTCACCATGTGGCCGATACTGTTCCGAGATGCTGGCTCGGTCGCGAAGAAGTCATATGCCTTGATCGAATCAAGGCTATTCTCAGCTTCCAATGCGTATCTGAAGGGTGGCTCCTCAAGGAATATGGTAGAAAATGAGCGAAGGAAGCGACTTAGACGAACCAATCAAGAGTGGCATCAGAGAATGAACGCCTACAAGCGTAACTACATGCGCCGCGTGCATGAGATGAATCCAGATTTTGCAGAGAAGGAACTCGAAAGGCACAGAGAGCTATATGCCACCAATCCCCAGCACAAGCTCTCATGCCTCATTTCAGCATGGGTCAGAAACGACCGGTGGGCATGGGTTTGCGAGCTCCCTTGGAAAACGCATCGCCCCGTGATTCATACAACTCCAGTTCAGCATCGGTGTGAGTCTTGTGGTCTTACAAGACTACGCGGCTTACGCTTCGTTTGGCAGTCTATTACCCAGCCACATTCGTACAGCTGTCATGCTTGTTATATGAAGCAAGAATCCGAAGTCTGTATGCCCAAAGGATACGAGGACGTCCGCGGAATGAGAGCGCTTGTCGCGCGAAAGAGACAACTTGACGAGCTGAATTCTAAAGCATCACGAGCTGAAGACACCATTGACGGCGGGAAAAAATAGAATGACGAACGTCAAGCACGTTGATCCAGCAAAGACGGGACTGGTTGTTGCGTTCATGTCTACGGAACATCATTCTCATGTGACTCTATTCTCGTTCATCAGCTCTCTCACACCAGTCAGTGGACAAATGCCCTGCACGCCGTTTCTGAGTCGCCAATTTAAAAAGTCAATGTAATCATCGATGAGAGAGGCATTCTCCTAACACTATGCCCGCATCACATCTTCGATCTACCTCTTCTGGCTGTTCAACAGAATCAAGATGCATCCATATCCATCCAACCAATACATGCCCCCTTCGAACCCCGGTTGGAAACCAGAAGAACAATGAAGTTGTTAACGCGGATTGCGCCGCGGATTTTTGTCAAAGCTGTTCTGCTTGCAGACGCGTCCGTCTGAGATGAAGTTCATCAAGTTTCATCCAAATGCTACTAAACTACCTCCTCTTCGGGTTATTTCAGATGCGTCCACCTGCTTCCACTCTCTACGGCTGAGCAGCCTGCCTGCATCGCATCGCTGGTTGAACCTTATCACAACTACCTCCACCTACCCACCTACACCCCAGTCATCCGTTTGATTGGTCGGTGCTTAGATTCGATGTCGCTCGTTCATTCGGTGTCGCTCGTTCATTCGGTGTCGCTCGTACGTTCGTTCCGGTCGGGTCCGTCAGTCGTCATCGAGGAGAGTGGTCGGATGGTCGACGTCAGCAGCTTGGTATGGCTTCACCCTGAGGCTACTAGTCCGGTACACCGCGAAGAGGTACAAGCTGATTGTACCGGTGCCTGAACACTGTCAGTATGAAAATGGGGTGGATGCACGTACGTGTCATATGAGCAAGGGTCTGATGAGAAACAGAAAGGAAACGAGCGAAGTGGGCTTTGTCCATATATCTGCTCAGGGCGCTCATGATCACACATTTTGCTTACTCATCTTGTCTCTCGCCTGACAAGATCGATAGCGGTGGTTTTGGCCCAAGCCTGAGGATCACGGCTTCGACGCTGCTGCCTACCTATACCGATATTGATTCGACGAATCGGCGAAGAAGATCTGGCAAAACTTGCTCAAACCACCTATATCCGCCGGAGCAAAAGGACGATCGCAGAGAATCACGGAAGATGACAGAGTACGCCTCGCCGAAGTTGAACTTGTTCCAAAGAGCACGATCTCTCAAGTCTCGCGAATCACAAAGTCTGAACCACTTACGCCACACTAAATCCCATCCACATCTCAACTTCTCTGAACATACACTCATCAAAAATCCCAACGTGTTACATCACACACGAGTCAACCGGCCGATATTCCGCCAGGATGAACTTCTTCAATCTCCCGCTCGAAGCTCGGCTCATGGTATACGAGAATGTCTTGCAACAAGAACACCACTTCTTCCGCGACGGTGTACCAGGTCTACTAGGCGCCCGTCTTCAGATCACCCAAGAAGTGTACACACTCTGCAAGATCACCATCACAGTCAAATCCGAGGTTGCACCACTATTCATGAACGACCTGGATGCTATCAAGAGAAGAGTTGATAAATTCGACTCTCAAGCAGGCAACAAGGGTGTTACTATTCGCCTCCTTTGCAGACCGGAGCTTCCGAGCGACTTCGTAACATTTATGGAACGCGCAGTGTTGAAAACCATGAACGTCAACGCTACCATGGAACTCAGCGAAATCAATGGCGACTCTTTCTTTGAGAGCTATCTGAGCTGTCTACAGATGGGCCCAGTAATTCCCCTAGACCAGAAAAAGGCCTTCAAGCACAGGTGGCAAATTTTCTACAATCTCGACACAAGGGTGCCTGAGGGTATCAAGAACAGTATTGAAAACGTCTTCGAGGCAATATAGCACGAGGACTGTCTGCACTAGAAGGATCGGAGATATACATATCGCTGATATTTATGTAGCTTCAAGCCCTTCTTCCTAATGCTCACCATTTCTCAGAAAGTGTAGCTGCTCTCCCTTGTCTTGTAGTCCAACGTACACGACTCCGTCTGCTGCCTAACTTGCTCGTCCCATCTTCCCGCTTCATACACTCCAGCTGCATGAAGATCAGCACGAATCGAACAAAGCTTGCAACATTTCACTTGTCTTGGAGCTTTGTGCGGAAGGAGAGACTTTCGCTCGCTTCACACATCGTTGCAACACGAAAGATCAAAGAGCGCGCTTCGTTGCGCGATCCACAATCAACTTTTACCTCAACTCAACACGCAGAACAAGCAAGTCGCCAAAATAACAACAGCATTGCCAAATTGGAATACACCACACTTTATACAACAATACATCCATCTTCTCCTATCTCACAGGTATTGAGCGATTCGCGCCGCTTCCAGCCCATCATGGCTGTCGATTACATCAACTCCGCCGAACAGACCATGACGCTGGTACGGTCTATCGCAGCCCACCTCGCTGAAGAACCCAACCTCCCCGCCCCTGAAAATCTCACGCGCGGTGAAGTGGATGCATGGATCAGAGCGCTGGACACTGGAATCAATGGTCGAGTGATCGATATGCTTGCCCTACCTGTTCTGGAGTGTTTGCTATACAAGCGGTAAGTCTCCTCGTTGTTCGGCGTTTTCAATCCGTGTAACGGACATGGTGCTGACGTCGAATATAGTGGCAGAAATCTTGTCTGGAAAGTCAATCATTTGCGACGAGCCCCTTGTGAGAAGTTCCGGCCCGTCATTGTCAACCCCTGGATTTCTGCTGAGGGCGTTCCTTCCAACCACAACCAATTGCCTTGGATTCCGGGTGATCGTCTTCGACGTGTTGAGATCAACGGCGATGCAGAAGATCCTGCGGACCCAGACGAGGACGCCACTGCCGCAGACCAAGATGATGACATGGAAGAAGAATTTACAGAGATCGATGGAGAAGGCACACAGCTCGACTCACCACACAACATCGACACAGACAAAGATTCTACTTTAACCACCCAACAAAGTCTTGATGAACAAGACGACACTGTGCTGCTCGATACTGTAGCAGCCGAGACTGTTCAAGATATAAGATCGCCCTCTGTCAACGATGAGAATATCGCCATGCAAGACGTACTCGAGCAGAACGACTCTACAGCTGGCAGCTCCACACCTAGCGACACCGAAAACGAGAAGCCAACTCAACCTACCTCCCCAGACAGCGAAGAAGATTCGAACCCTGCCTCCGATGATGAGGGCCGAACAAATTGGTGCATCTGTAACGGCGAATATACTGGAAGCACCATGATCGAGTGCAAGAACTGCGAAGACCCTCATTGCAAAGGAAAGTGGTTCCATACAGCATGCGTCGAGCTGGTGAGACCACCTGCTGAGAATGTGGATTGGTACTGTAAGGACTGTCGTAAGAAGCTCAGACTTGGTGTCTACAGTAATGGCTGTGTCGACAAAGATAGGAAGCCCAACCAAGCCACTGGAAGAACCAGGAAGCGTTAAGTGCAAGTACAAGCTGAAAGGATCAGATGAGTGTAGTCGTCAAGGGTGGTAGTCTGAATGCGAGAGACTTGGGCTATTCTTCCCAGTAGGCTTTCCCAGAGGTTCCAATGACTCTATTGTCCTTCTTCGCCGAACTCCTGAAGTTTCTACACCATAATAGGCTTTTATATCGTTGCTCCGTTGTGATCAAGGTCCAACGATGAATGAATCGCTTTGTAGACAACCAGAGCCAGCTCTGAAAAGGCATATATCCTCGCTCTCGATCGTGTCTTGATCTCATGATCCAACCTTCGAGCAATAGCTCAAGACAGGTTGCACTCATCCCAAACACTGCATCCAGAGCACAATACTGATACTCAACAGTGCACCGCAATGTCTTCCAACACCAGCACAGAGTCCGACAAGGCTGACGAGAAGGCCACATCTACCAAATCCTCAAGAGCCGCTCCTGAGACCACTTCAGACTCTGACGACAGACTCTACTGCATTTGTGCTCAAAAGGCTTCTGGCACAATGATTGCCTGTGACAACGACGTGAGCACTCTTCTCTCCCTTCCCTAGATTTCGACTATCCAGACTAACATATTTCGGCAATAGGGCTGCAAAATCGAGTGGTTTCATCTTCCGTGCGTTCATCTGGCTGGCTTGCCCAACAAGAAGGCAAAGTGGTATTGTCCTTCTTGCCGCGTTGAGCTGGGAAAGGGCGTGTTCTCCTTTGGTATCGTTGGTGGAAACTTTTGAGAACAGACGACGGTGAAGCAACGCGACCGTCTTGGAAATGGCGGTTGAAGAACAAAGGCCTTGAGAATACGAAGTCCAAAAGTGTGTTATCGGAAGGATGATAAGCCCCTGAGTGCTCCTGTCAAAGAAGGAGCGACCCAGAGTCCATTGAGATAGAACCAAAGCAAAACAAAGAACTCATCGTCTATCAAACACCACAAGGAGAACTCCGCCTTGATCTCAAGTAAACCATTGTCCTTCACTCCTCAAGCTATATAGTTCAAGAAAGTTGGTCTCCTCGCATCCCTTCCCTAAATCCACACGGTAGTCTGGCTGAAGGGAGATCCCAGATCCTCTGTACAGGACGTAATTCACCGCCAACTGTGATAATTGTATACGCCGGGAGTAGTAGCGTCGGCAAATGCTACTTTTTGCTGCGGTTGGAGGTGGTGAGTTCGATCGTGAGGATTACCCCTTTTTTCTTTTTTCTTCGCTTTTTTCTTATTATTCTATCGACATCGTGGACGGAGCGGAATTTGAGTTGTTTGCTGGGCTGATTTGTAGGAGTACGTATTGAAAGAGAGGTATATGAAAGAGCAATGCAAGATTCTACAAGTCACAAGTCTGTGGGATGGCAATTTGTTCGTAGTCTTGAATTTGTTCTACTACCTGTTGCTTGATAACCTCGCTGGTTGGATGACGATGCCAACGGTGTCTTTTTCCTCTCGCTGCAATTCGTTCCACCGTAATTCTGATTCCCCTGTACTATGATCCGCTATCGCGGTGTACACGAGTCACGGGAGTCCTCTCTGATGACTCTTCACATGTTGCTGAGCTTCTCGACCAGTCCTTCCGCTAACACCTCATGTGATTTACGTGTGAAGAAATCAATGGCCATCTTCCTGGTGCGAGTTGTAAACTCACAGATGAACTCAGGGTTCTCGTCCACAGCCTTCCAGAGTATTGGACCGAACTCACCCATCGTCGCCTTATCGTCGCAATGGTCTTCGAAGAATCGAAATACTATGCCAGCAGCGACGTCACCCTGAGTGCTGAGTTCCAAGAGCTTTTCGAGAATGTCCTCCAAGATATTCTCAAGACCCACCGCGATGAGTTCTTTGCAGACTGGAAGAGTAGCCGTCTTGGACTCGGCGGGAATGTCTCCAGATGTGGAGGAATCAGGCGTGCTATATATCCATATCAGGATGGGCATACGTGTAGTTACGCTCAGACTTACGAGACCGCTGGAGTAGACTTGATCTTGTCAAGAGAGGTTTTGATGCCGGTGACGGTCTGAAGGACGGTGGAGGGTTCATCTATCGTTGCGTCTCTGATGCGAAATGGCCCTCGTGCCATCAAAAGTATTGGCCAGATTCGCATTCCAGCCGTCTCAGCCACATCCTAAGCGCCTGAAAATGAGCAGCACGACCTCCGAGTCCACTCTCGCCGGCGACGCTCCCACTATCATCACGGCTGGACATGTCACTCACTCTGTGGCATCCGAGGATCTCTCCAGCATGGTGTTTCAGGCCGCCGAGCTTCAAGGTTTCGCCAGCACGTGGTCCTCGTACATGCCCGTGACGATTAACGAACACGTGATGGCGGATTCGCTGAGAAACTGTGAAGACATCGCCAACAGTCTTCGTGACACACTCGAAAGTCTGGAAATCATACCTGTGAGCCCTGCTCTAGCTCGGGATTCTGAAGACGTCTTGCACAATTCTCCCAAGTACAACGACAATGCCGATGGTAACGGCTCTTCTGCGTACCAACTCAAGTATGTACGCTTCTTTACAGCCGGTAGCACCCAAGCACTAACAGTCTGGCAGAGTGGCCGAGACTCTCAAGTTCCTCGTCCAAATTGGTATCGAGAAGATAATCGACAAGCAATTCTCAAGACTAGCCAAGTTTGAAGCAACTCTCAAAGATGTCACTTATCACAGATGGTTCCACAGCCAGGGAACTTTGAGAGTCCAGATTCAGAAAGTCATCGAGGAGGATCCGGAACCACTTGCGGATTTTGAAGAGAAGGTCGAGCGTCACATTCAACGTGTGATGATGGAGCGCGCCATGAGCGAGTTCAAGCGCGGCTTAGAGGATCAATGGAAGAAGCACGGAAATGCTGTGATCAACACTTTAGCAGACACGAGCATGTATCTGTAGCGCGAGACGGATTATGCGACGGAGACGACTGGCTCGGCGAGAAAATGGGTTAGCTTGACGACGAGATGAAAAGTGAAAGAGCACGATTACTCTATGTATGAATGGAAAACCAACATGACTTACTTTCTGCAACACCTCGATTTCCACTGCAACACATCGATACGCGTGTCAAATCAAGCAAACATGTCGAACTCTTCCTCATTTAGTCGCCGTCACCCAAGCACCAACAGTCCACCTCGCAAGCGCGTGAAGATCGCTCGCATAGACCTTGACCGCGACCATACCCCCCTCAACTCGTCATCGCACTTTCTCAACCTCCAAGTACAACAACAATCCACTCTGCTCAGAACAAACGACAATACCATCATGACCTCCCCACCGCCCATCGCAAATACATACATCCCTCACAACTCTCTCGAGCCCATCTCCCTCAAGATAAAGAGACTGCAAAGTGATCTCAGTAGGGCAGCGACGGGCCAGTGCTGGGGACCAGACAAGCAGAAAGTGCTGGATTGCAAGCACGACGTCGATGCTTTGGCGACTATGGTGAAGAAACTTGATGTCGATGTTGTCGCGTAAGTTCGACTAGTGATTTCTACAGTTGCGCGAAATGTGGCTGACCTCTGGCGCAGCCGTAAGAAATCTCTCGATGTGTTGATGAAAGCAAATCTCAAGGGCATGTACGACACCTGCGTCGAAAAAGCCATGACGATGGTCGATAATGCCACAATGCTGTTGATTCAAGACACGCTTCAAAGTATCTCGGCTAGAGAAATCATCAAAGAAACGATCCAAAAAGGCCTCGCCAAAGAACCGGATGTGCTCTTAGATTTGGAGGCCAAGTTTGAGCGATACTTCAAGGAGGCTCTGGCTGGTGCAGTGGCGGACCTGGTGGCTCAGAGGAGCAGACTCAATGTCCTGAAACAACTCAGGAAGGCGTGAGCGTTTGTGATATATTGGTATCGATGAGGAGGACGACCATGGAAGTGACATAGACGGCATGGACGGCTTGAGAGCCAGATCGCCTCGATAGCTCTCTTGGATGTGCTCATGGTGCCGAGAGAATGGCGCATCGCTATGGGACGCTACAAAGACAGCATTGACTGATGATGAGCTTGAGAAATGAGGAGACAGACCAACATACCTAGTACAAATACCATCTCTCCTCCCCTATCACATGACGGACACAACCACAACAGCACGGATAAACGAAGAACAAGAAAACAGGCTTGAATCAAAATAAAACAGACTTCTCTTATTATTCTTACTTTGTCTCGCTTTTGACTCAATTACACTTTCACATTCGTCCTTTTTGTGTTTCTGGCAAGAGAGCCCCATCTCACTCCCAAGAAGAATACCCCATACATTCGTTTCCTTCTTCGCTGCGGCTCCATTTTGAGTGTGTTGTAAATGCAAAGATAAAAAAGAACCAACGCCGTGGTGATGAAACATAAGAGATGATAAGAGGAGGGGGTTGAAGAACAATAGGTAGAAACAGGTTGCTTTCGGCAGTGCAAAAGAGTAAAAAAGAAAAGACAAGAAGTACTAGGGTGATGGAAGAGAAGAAAAGGGGGGCTGGACAAAGAGAGAATAGAAGTCTATAGACAGTGTTGCCGAAGAAGAATTTTTCGGCGTCCGAGATAAGAATGGTGATTGTTGGTTTCGTGTGGCATGCTTCAAGGTCCTAGTTGAAGCCCTGGTACAGCTCCTCCAAAGTCTGCTCCTGAGATTTGCCGTTTGGGCCGCGCTTCTTGCGCTCTTCTCTCTTCTTGCGCAGCTGAGCCCAGCCTTCATCATCATCCTCCTCCTCGGGCCTGGGCTGGGGCGATCTGGGCGAGCCCTTGGGTTTGTCAATGACCTTGATGGTGGTTCGTGGTACGTTGCTGCCATTGGTTGCAGGAATGTTGTTGGGGTTCAAGAATGAACCGTTCGAAGCGTTCTTCTGAGGGAAGTTCTGAATGCCAGATTGGGAAGTCATGCTCGCAGTGCGGCTAGTAGAGCCTTCCATAGTCACAGGGCGGTAACGAGATGGCATACCGACGTTGCTGCGCTCACTAGGAGCGATTGAGGGAGTGTAGCCTCCGTTAGGTGCGCTGAGACTATAGTCGTACATTGATCCAGCATAGCCTGGAGGCTGCAGGTTGGTCATGGTGCTCGATCGCTGTTGCTGGTGCATGGAGCCTTGAGGACCAAGCATACCGGGACGCTGCCCATTGGGACCGCCCATAGACACAGGTCTCTGCATACCGTTGGGCAGCATGTTGGGGAAACCGTTCTGCATCTGCTGAGGGTGCATCTGGGGCATCTGGGGCATTTGCTGCATTTGACCACCTTGCATCGCCATCATCTGCTGCATCATCTGGGTCTGCATCGCCATCAGTTGCATCATTTGCTGCGTGTTCTGTTGGTCTGCACCCATCATCTGCGGCATTTGGGGCATCTGAGGCATGAAACCACCCATACTCATCATCGAATTTGATCGTGGCATCATCTGAGGCATGTTGTTGTTCATGTTTCCAGGAAGTGGGACTCCGTTTGCGTTGAAAGCAGGTCCGGCGTTGTGGTTGACACGTCTGGCAGCACGAGCACGCTCCTCACCAGCGATGACACCAACAAGACCACCACCTGCCTGAGGCATACCAGGCATTTGTTGAGGAGGCGCCATCTGAGGCATCTGAGGCATCTGATACATAGAAGGAGATGCTCCGCCATACACCGAGCCGCCAGAACCGAAAGCAAGTGATTCACGGTTGGCAGGGTTGACGAGACCAGCGCCGAAGTAGGGATCCGCGGGAAGATTGCGAGCAAAGACGGGAAGGTTGCCTCCTCCCATGCCGCCGTTAACCACCGAGCCGGCACTACCAGGAGTAGGTGGGGCGCTTGCAAGGCGAGTTGGAGGACGGTTCCTGCTTGGGAAGCCGTGAGCCTGAAGGATGCCTAGGGGAACTTCATCGTCCTCTTCCTCCTCTTGCTGTGCACCAAGACTGACATTGGAGAAATCCCTTGTGAGGCCGGGTGCGCTGTACGAGGCGCGGTCCAGACTTGGGCGAGATGTGGGCGAAGGAAGCTCAGAGGGATTCCCGCCTGCGACCTTCTTCATCTGCTGTCTGTATACAGACATGTTGGCCTCCTGCTTGCGCCTCTGGCGAGCAAGCTCTGCTTGGCGTTCGGCCTCATCGTCGTCGTCATCGTAACCTTCCTCCTCAGAATGTCCGGACTCTTCGCTCTCTTCAGGACTGACCTCTTTGCGCTGAGCTTCGAACTCCTTCCTTGTCATTCTTTTGGTGGGCGAGAACTGTCCAGACTGGCTTCTGGGGGCCACGGGGGCAGCTGCAGGGTGCATCGCGCGGCTAGTAGGACCATTGGGAGAGTGATCGAACATACCATCCGAGGTGTTGCTTGTAGGACGCAGGTTGTTAGCACGAGGAGTCGTGTGCTGGGATTCTGAGTTCGAGTCGTCTCTGCCAACTGCCGCAATGGTGGGGTTTCTGGTGGCTGGCGTGACTTTTTGTGGGGAACTGGATGCTGTGTACGACTCGACCAGGGGCGATCTGGTCCTCGAGATGGGGCGGGAAACATCGTCTTCGCTGGAATAGCTGTTGGATCTCTCGTGTTCGGGCTCGTTGGCAGGTGATCCGTAACGATCTGGTACGGGTTGGTATCCGGGTCTGAAACGAGCGAAGGTCGAGGGAGGGTTGAGCGGAGGCGAAGAGATATCGGAACCCAGGGCTGGAGACATTAGTCCATCGTTAGAAGTTCGGCTGGCCCACGAGTAGCGATTGGCCGACGCGGCAGACAGATTGGTTGGTCTGTGACGAGTCTCAGGCTCGAGCTCGAGTTCGGCCTCGGGCGAGGGTGTAGGCTGATTACGAGCTACAGGAGGGGTGGGCAAGGGCTGGGAGGCCTGTCGAGGAGGAGGTTGTTGGTAAGCGTTGTTGTAATTGCTGAAGCCTGGTGACTGTTGTCGACGTACCGATCTGCCGTAGTTGTCGTGTGCGGGTTGCGGCGCTGCCATGTTGCTCTTGGCTTGTCTGGGCGAGCTCAGTCCTTCGAACATGTTCATGCCAAAGTCGCTGCCAAAGTCTGACATGGAGCCCAAGTTGGCATCGAGCCTCGGTGGCACAGCGGTGCTGGCATTGCTGCTCATTGTTGTTGCGCGATCACGGATGAAGCTGTTCTCGGGCACATCAGGCATGTGAGCTGTTGCAGCAGTCATGGCGCCGGGGCTTGCGTTCTGCTTGCTTCTCAAACCAAATGACATGGCCCTGCCTGCGCGGGCCGAAAACGACGGTGGCTCGGGAAGTGCGTTGGACGCGGCCGAAGAGCGGTTGCTGCTGAGGTTGCTGTTACCGTTGGCGGCCGTCTTGCGAGGGAAGAGATCTTCGTTCTCTGCTTCGTGTTCTGCCTCGATTGATGAGGGAAGGGTAGACGAAGAGCTGTAGCGTGCAGAGGACGACGAATTGTCAAAGTAGCCCGAAGAACCCGAGAGGGCTGTTCCGCCACTACCCCTGCCCAATTTTAGCGCTCCGTACACTGTGTGCGGCCGAGCCTGGCTCTTTCCGGTGACCGACCTGTTTGCGCTTGTGATCAAGTCCTCCTGCGACTTGCCCGACTTTCTGTTCAAGAGGATGCTCGAGTTTGGGCGCCCGCCGCTTGTCCGTTTCACAGGACCTCCAGGGTATCCACCGTTGCCTACTGTTGCTGCCTTGTCAGGTCTTTCGAGGACGCGGAAGCTGGACGAGGCGGGTGCAGGTGATGTGGATTCCGAAGGGAGGTCGAGGACGTTTCCAGACGATTTGCGACGGGCAAAGTTCTTGAGCGGATTCTTAGGCATGTAGAAGGTTGTGCGGTGTGGTGTGCGTATTAGGCCAGGTGCTGTTGTCGTTTCCGACAAGGCCTGCGAGGCGGTGGGATGAGCGAAGGAGGATCGAGTTGGTTGAGCGAGCGAATTAAACTTTTGTTGATGGACTGTCGAAGATGCGGAACAGCAGAGCTAGACAGGAACGCCCTTGGAACCGGTATGTACGAATAATGTGTAAGAATAGGTAGGTATCAACAGGAATGTCTGGCTCGAGGTTAGTAGTGCTCGGCGGTTCCTGGCAGTGAAAGAGTGGTTGAAGATGATTCGTCGAGCAGGAAGAGAAAGGCGTTCTCCAGGGGAACGGGATCAGCAGCAGCAGCAGCAGCAGCAACAAGACGCGCCAAGTCGCTGAGACTTTCGAAGAAAGGAACGTCGAGTGCTGCAGCGATGTTGTGAAGAAGCAGACACTTCGGATCTCGAAGGCACCACGACCGCTGAACGTTCGCGTTTCGATTGAGAAGAAACCGTTGCGCCTCCTGCTCGAAGGCTGCTAAGAAAAGCGTCGGAACGTCACTGACCGGGATTGGGGCAGGGCTGTGGCCTTGTAACCGATGTGTTGTATGATATTAATTGGCGACTGAGCGAGGGGCTAATTTGCACGAGCAGCGACAGAGACAGAGCGATTGCTGGAGCAATTCAAAACGATACAGCTTATTAGGAAGGGGGAAAAAGGGAAGAAACAAGGTGGTCGGTCGTGCTGCTCTTCGTACTTTCGCTTCAGGAGATCGTAGAGTGGTTATGGTCCGACGATCCAGCACAGTCCTAAACTTCCAACGCTAACCACTTCCCGCACTCGCCAATTCAACCTGTTGTGGCTTCGGCGAGATGTAGACATGGGAGTCGGACGTGCAAGATGATGTCGCCCTCAGCCTCCCGCTCGAACGCGTGTTTATCCTGACCCAAACACACCACTACTGGCCGCACTGCCCGTTTGCCTCAGAGTTTGTCACCAACTTTACATCGACGTCCAACTTGTTTTGCCGTCTCTGATATGCGAAGCTTCAATTGAGCCCTCCACCTGAATCGGTCATGTCTGCACCGAATCTCCAAAGAGTCGACCACTACTCCAGGGGACTCCACACTCAGCATGCACTCATCTCCTCTGACTCCCTACAATTGCCAAGCGCTGTTCTAAAATAGCAACTCTCAAATGCTCGTCACCCAATCGGCCTGTCCATGTGTCTTTGCTTTGATCTATAATGAATTGCTGGTCTTTGGTCGTTATGAGCCGCTGTCTCTGCTTTGTTGTGTCTACACGTGTGATTCATGATGCAATGCAAATGTTTTGCAATGCGCTTGCGATCCTTTCAACCCGGCAGTGGCGCCATCCTGGTGCTGCCCATTGACCACACAAATTGGATCTGCGTCTGCATCTGCGACACGCTCCACGAGTCGAAGCAAAGAGAAGCTTCATTTGAAAGAAAATTTCCCGTCCGTCTCCCGCACACGCCTCATTCTGTAACAGCAACAGGGGGGAGCACTGTTCTTCTTTTTCTTTTCTTTTCTTCCTTGCCTTTCATTTGATATCCACTATCCTTTCGGCTTCATCTGAACACTGTCTCATCTCGTCAAGACGTTGCAGCGATCCCCGAAGGGAAGTCTCACATCTCGGACAATCCCACTGCAGGGGACTAGCTGCGCGTGAAATCTATACTAGATACTTGCCTCTGGTACATGTTACGACGCCTCCCCAGCAGAGAGAAATGCCGTGGACGCATTCAATGCATCTCATCACACCTCAAAGGGAAATCGGCCATCGCCGCACGTTCGAGGGGGTTGGTGTGGCTGTAGCCTGTGAGTCTGTTCGTGCAGCCATTTCGAATCCACTCCCCGCCGCACATCTCCCGAGCTTTTGTTGATGCTCTCCACTTCCAACCCGCATGATGATGCTTTGCTTTGCTTGACGTCGAACGATCGCGTTTTCCACAATCACTGCATTCTTCTTGACACTTTTGATCCTCGTTTACCGGTCAATCGCAATCAAACCCTGTGCTCGTTCTTCTTGAACAACTTCGGGCCATTATTCTCTCTGTACATACACAGATCATCATGACGTCTCCATCTGGTCGCATCAACCCCTCTGCGCAGAACGGGTTCAGCAATGCCGCCCTGTATGACAAGCATCGCCCTTCGTTCCCCGCCCACAGCGTCTCTGTCCTGCTCGACGGCGTACGTGTCGCCGACAGCCCTCAAGCCACAGTGGTGGATCTTGCGGCGGGCACCGGCAAGTTCACTGAGCTCTTGGCCGACAGAGATGAGGGGTACGAGATCATTGCCATTGAGCCGCATGCCGACATGCGCAAGGTTTTGGAGGACAAGCACCTCAAAGGCGTCAGCGTCCAAGATGGTCTCTCCACCGACATGAAGTCCTTGAAGGATGAGAGTGTGGACGCCGTTATAGCTGCCCAGGTAGGACATTGATCTGCCCCTCCCGCCTGCATCTTGCACTTAACCATCCCTCCATTTCCTCTTCCGGATCCCCATGTCACTTTCCAGTTTCTCCGTACCAAGAAGCCTAGGAGAGTTGATTCGATGTCATCGCTTTGAACCCTCGCAAAGCAAAATCATGAAACGCTACATTATTCAGGTAGGCTGACAATAGCATTTTCCTTTCCCGTTAGGCATTCCACTGGTTCGCCAATAGAGAATCCCTGGAAGAGATCAATCGTGTGCTACAACCTCACGGCGCCTTCGGTGTGATCTGGAACATTGAAGACTGTAAGTGTGAAACCTTCTACCCCTCTTACATGCACATCATACTTGCCATTTTGCTGTATCGATGCGAAAACAAACCGCACACCATCATACCTTGCATGTGATCTCTTTTTCTTTTCTCCGAGAAGCTCCTTGCTTCAAAGAAACGCTACGCGCCTGCAAAGTACCGCACACGACAGAAGCCACAACCAGACTCGACCATCAAGAATTCAAAAAATCTAACGCCCCCGATCCAGACAATGCACCAAAATCGCACTCTGCAACCACAGCCTGGGAGCAAAAACTCCAAGACCTAATCCTCTCCTTCGACGATAACCAACCTCGTTTCCGCCACGAGAAATGGCGCTCGGTCTTTGACTCGCAACTCTCTGGCAACCCTCTCTCCATCGTCACAACCACTGATCCTCTCTTCGCTCTGCCCCTTGCAGAAAACGTCGAGAGGTGGAGTGTTTGGTTGACCGAGGAGGCGCTGTGGGACAGACTTAGCACATTGAGTCAGATTGCCGTGTTGGAGGGTGAGGAGAGGGAGAAGGTGAGAAACGTGATCAAGGAGGCATTGAAGGGGAACGATGTGCAGAGGAATGAGAAGGGTGAGGTGGAGTTGCATGGTATGACTGTTGCGGCGTGGACGACAAAGATTCCGCAGAAGGGTGCTGAGAGTCTTTTCACTACCGTCAAGGACGCTTTGGCTGGCAGAACTTGAGGATAAATGGAACGGATATAGGACGCGTTGAGGAAGTTGCATTAATAGTCGTATGTGGTATGGATATGGAGTGGAAGGCACAAGCCTCAAGCATATCGCTGCTGGTTTCTGGCTGCTTCTTCCAACCATGTTCGGGGGTATGATTTGATCCCCGCCTGCTTCAGACTGGATCGTCACGGTTTCGAGCTGCCCTCTTCGTAGTCTTGATGACCACCACTCCACCGAAGATACGTTGTACGATCTTACCCCATCCTTCGAGTCCCATGCGTTTGTCCATGTCCGTTTCTTCCATTCTCAATCTATGAGTCGGCGGAGATGTACATGACTGCAGCAACACCAACGTCAGCATCTTCCTCTATGTTTCTGATCAGGCAGAGTCACATACCGTTGTTTCCTCTCACAAACGCATCTCCATAGTTCCTCCTGACCTTGCCATCCACAATCTCATTCGTTTGCTCAAGCGCAATGTTCATGTATCCATCAACCGACTGCAATTCACCTGTTCGTATTCCCTTCTCGTCAGCATAACATTCCCTCATCTCTTATCATCCTTCATCTCTTTTCCTCCATGCGCAAAGCAGTCGCAAAGGCGGGACCAGGGGCGAAACACACCTCTGTAGACGACTCCAGAGTTTAGCTTGACGGTGACGGGTGCGCCGATGATTTCGCTGAGGAAGCCGGAGGGGTCGCGCGCTTCGTTGACGGATGTGGGTGCTGCTGCTGCTGCGGCGGCGCTGCCGTTGTTGGTGGGTGATGCGCTCATGGTTGTGGTTGTGTCCTTGCTCTTTTCACTTCTTTTGCTAGCAACAAGATTGGGTCGAAGTGTCAGTCGGTAGGGAGTTTGTTGCGTTCGTGGTATCTAGTCGTTGCTTGAGTCGTTTCGATATGTGATCTGGAGATGATCGCTGGCAGCTTCACTTCAAGACGACGATGTCAATTCCTTGGCATGAAAGCGGAAGCTTGAAGGCCCGCACGGAGCCCACCCAGCGGTTCGGTCCGTCGATCCGAAAAAGGCGTTCCCAGCCTTCGGAAGCGACAAAACTCTCGCGACCACCGAGCCCTCTGCGCAGAGAAATTTGCCCTGATGTTTGACAGTCGCTCATCCCGGTTCTTCGTGTTACAGATTCAATGTCGCGTTCATGGTCGCAAGTGACGCGTGTCGAATACTCATACGCTGATCCCTCCGAAACGTCTCGTTACTTTTTTCCTCTCTGATCTTGCAACTTGCAGCAATCCCTGGTTGCATCCTACAAATCGTCATCTCGCAAGGTCTATGGAATCATGCAAGCTGGGAAGCTTGGTGTTCGCAGCCTCCTCCATAGGCTGACATGCTCTTTGCAAACTTCGACAACTCTTTCACCGCCACATGCGTCGAGCCCCAGTACCGGCCGCATGGGTTGAGTAACCTTGCTAGGGTCTTTGGGTCATCTCTCGCTCAGTTATCGGGCACACATGCACAGCACGTCAACTATCGTAGAGACTGCATCACCGTTGAAATCTTTCTTGCAACTGTCATAGGTTATGAGTGCATCAACATTCTCATCTGTATCTAGGGTATCGGTATAAACAATTAGGTGACCGTTGCCGTTGCTTTATCAGCCGTCCTCCTGCGCCTTTTCCCATCTTTTTTAACGTGTTGCAATTGCCATGCATAAACGCTCCTGCTTCTGCCAGTATACCAGTTTACAAGGCGTTGTACTCGCTGGCATCCTGGTACAAGTCGATCAGGCAACTAGCAGACCAAGCTTGAGTGGGGCACTGTCAATCATGTTAGTCTTCCTTGTCTTTTGCACGTCATATGAGTAATCACTTACCGAGTCGTGGCACATGGATCCCTTCTCGTTGGTGAGCTCAGTAAGTCCAGCCCAAGGAGAGTCGTGAATCATGTGTCTGCAGCCTGCAAGTCTGGTGGTGACCTGCTGGAAAGCCTCGACCTTGGCCTCCTTTGTCTCGCGGCGCATCAAGTCGAACTTCAGCAGTGCACGCAAGAAGAAACCACGAGGCCAGACCCATTCAGGACCTTGGTGGTAGTTGCGTCCTCTGGAAGTGTGGAAGTCGTTGGAGTCATCGCTGTTGATGTAGTTGGGGCGGTACTCCATGTCCGAGGGGTCCAGAGTGGCCATACCCTGAGGACCAAGGAGAGCCTCATCGGCGATGATCAGAGCTCCCAGTGCGTGCTTGGGGTCGAAGAGATCAGGTGCAACTGTCATGGCGATGGGGAAGTTGGGACGGAGCTGGTAATCGCGGTACTCCTTGTTGCACTTGTACACGTCCTTGTAGATGCCACGGCGGTTGACGACCTTGCTGTTAACATCGTACTTGGAGTCCTGGGCAGCATCAGCGGGCACGTAGTAGCAGTGCTCGAAGTTGTCGCGGATCTTTTGTGCCCACTCCTTGAAAGTGATGACCTTGTCACCCTTGATGCTGACGCCCGAGTACTTGAATTGGCTGTTCTTGTTGAGACCATCAACCCACTTGAGACAGCTGTAGAGGAGACCAGTGATCTCGACAGGAGCACCATCACGGGAAGTACCAGGGACACCCTTGTTGCCAGCGTGGTCACTAGAGCCCATCTTGTCCATCCAGGTACCGCAGTTCCACTCGTTGCCTCCGAATATGATACCAGTGTTCCAGTCAGTCTCGATGTCGATGTTGAAACCAGCATCCTTCATCTGATCGTCGATGCCGGGTCCAGCGTTGGCTTCGCGGAAGTGCATGCCAGTAGCGTGGCGCTGGAGACACTCCTGAACGACGTCCTCGATGGTCGAAGTCTGAGAGTATGCGCGAGAGTCCTCCCACGAGAACCAAGTGTCGTCGTAAGGCAGGAAGCGTCTGGCGACTTTCTCCTTCAGGATATCGCGGCCATTGGGGACCATGTTGCAGTAGTCTTGGATGTTTTGCAAGAAGAACCACACAGAGTCGCGAGAGTTGTATCTGGGAATCTTTCCTGAGCCGAGAAGGTTAGGGATCATTCCGTGCTTGACCACACTGGCAAAAGCCTTGATGTGCTCCTTGGCGTCCTCGAAACGACCAGTAGCAAGCAAAAGACCACGAAGAGAGATGAAGACATCACGTCCCCAGCATCTTGCCCAGTCCTGGGCGAAGTGAGGCAGGCCAGCTGCCAGAGAAGGGACGAGCTTGTCGGGCCACAGGGAGGCGTTCTTCATGAAGCCCTCGCATTGAACGCTGACAAGAGCCATACTCTTGAGGAAGCGCTGTCCTTGGCGAATGTTGGAACTCATTTGCTCGATTGCACGTTCCGTCGAGGCCTTGTATGCAGTCTGGATGACAAGTGCGAAGTAACGAGGCAGCAGGAAGCTAGGGAGCTTGCGAATGGCTTCGAAACGATCCTTGAGCCAGTCGGCAGGTGCAGACAGGCGAGTATAGCCATCTCGAGAGACAAGTCTCTCCAGACGGTTGACGATGAAGTCAAGAGCCCACTGACCCTGTCTCAGATGGTCACAGATGGGGTGACCAAGGTTGTTGTCTTTGATGACATCTCTCAAGATGCTCCACCAGCCCTGGAGACCACAGTAGACCAGCGGACTAAGACCGGGAATGTTGTAGACGCCATCAGAGCCGTTGGAAGTGGCCTTCTCCTCGGCGTCGGCGCGATAGAGAACAGCGTTCAAGTCGTTGAGATCACACTCCTTGAAAGCGTCTCTGGCGCCGGATGTAACGTACTTGTCAAGGCCCTCAGAGTGCTCTGCGCTAGGAATCCAAGTCTCGAAGACTGCAATACTGCCTGGAGGGAACTTCTCCGGGATGGTGATGATGGCACTGTCGCCCTGGTTCTCGATCTTGACACCACGGATGTCCTTGGTGTGTGCGTTGAGACCTCTCAGAACCTTGTCATTGATAGCAGCTTGCTTGGCCTCGTGGCTTTGGTCGACCTCAAGGTTCCAGGCGCCCAGAAGGGAGGCCTTAGATCCAGTAAGGTGTACGGGCTGGAAGCCGGCATTGCCGTTGCCGTAACCGGGGAATGCGGTGTGAGCAATCAAGTAGTAACCCTTGCGCGACTTGGGGTGCATACGGTGGACGGTGATGTACTCACCCTCGTGATGAACGTGGGTCTCATCGTAGTGGTCCTTGCCCATGATGGTGTGAAGTTGGTTCAGGAGGCGCTTGACGTTGCCAATGCCAGGACCTTCTCCAACCTTGAGATTCGACATCGAAGAGTAAGGTGAGCTGTATTGACGAGTCTCGTGGACGAGCTCAATCAACTGAGGGTAGACCTCGTCGTAACCAAAGACACTGCCGATAGAGGCGGCGCACATGGCCACCAGAGCGGAGTTGGAAAGGGTGTCTCTGGCGTCTCTGCGCTGAGCAGGCAACTCGTTGTCGTGAGTGCAGTCCATGAGCAGAGCGTGAACGGTAGCAGGGCGGATCTTGTGAACAACCTCCTTAACAGAAGGAGCGGGCTCAGTACCAGAGTTGCGCTTCTGTGCATCGGAGATCTCGTCAAGTTCGAAGCTGCCAATAGGGCGGCCGCAGTTCTCGTGAACAAGCTTGCTGATCTCTGCAGTGCCCCAACATTGCATAGCCTCGCGGATCAAGCAAGATAGACCAAGGCGCTCAACGTAGACATAGTCCATCTTCTCGTCGCCAGAGAAAAGCTCAGCCATGACCACCAGGTTAGGTCGAACACTTCTTGCAGCGTCAAGCATGTACTCGGCAAGGTGAAGAGGAGTGGAATGGCAGTTATCGATGCGGAAACCGTGGAAGTGCTTGGCCATAAGGCGGGTGTACTCGGCCATGAAGTTCCACAAGAAAGGACTGTCCTCAGGGTTAGCTCCATAGCGCAGCTTGACGCAATCGCCCCAAGGGATAAGCTCTCTGCGGAGGTAAGCCTTGGAGTTGGGACCAGCGTTGTCGATGAGCACGTTGGCGGCCCAGACCCAGCCATTGTTGGCCAAGGCCAGCTCGCCAGCCTCGTGCTTCTTTGTCGTCTCGTTGGCAGGAAGTCTGGTGAAGTAGGATTCGACCAAGGGGTGGTCCTTGTCGATGGGTTTGCCTGTCATGGGACCGCCTTCAATGCGCATGTACTTTGTGCGACCGTAAACCTGCTCCAAAATGGTAGTGGTGTCGTGGTTGAATTCTTCGTAGAAGGGTGCGTTGAGTTCGTCCAAGAAGTGGGTCATGGCACCCATGGCGCTACGCTCGTCCCTGGTGCTGCCAGTCTTTGTGTCGTACTTGCCGAAGAGCGATTGAAGAAGCACAGCAGCATGCTGAGGGTTGATCCTGCGGTGGAATCTCTCACCAAGGTGCTCAGTACCGGACAGAGCGTATTCCTTGAGCCACTCGGTCTTTTGCTTTGAGGACCAGCTATCGGTACCGACAAGATCAGGAGTCTTCTCAGGAAATTCAACCTGGTTCTCCATCCATGCCGAAACGGCAGCCTGAGCGTCACGCTTGACATCGATAACGTAGAACTCCCAGAGCTTGATGGCGTTGACAACCTCCACCTTCAGAGGCTGCATGACACGGAGGAGTTCTTGTTCGTTGTTGATCTGAGTGGGTAGACCGCGCTTCTCGAGCTCAGATCCGTAGTTGAGGAGGGCGGTGTCCAACTCGAAGGCGGCTTGCAACCAAGGGGCTGTCTTCATGTTGTAACCGGCTTCGGGGTGCTCTTCCAACCACTTGCTGTTGTTTGCAGTGTGGTTCCAGACAACGTCAGTGAGACTCAGAAGGCCGTAGTTCTTCTCCATCTTGGTGATCAACGTCTCGATGTCTTTCTCGCCATTGGCAAAGACCTGCTTGTCGAAGGTGAGCTGGTCGTAAATGCTGTAAGGCGAATTTGAGTCACCACGCATCATAAGCGGAGTGAAGTGAACCATGTTGTAACCTCTCTCGCTCATGCCATGCAAGTGCTTGTCCCAGTCGCTGGAAAAGTCACCCATGAACTTGGACAGACATGAGATGATGGACAGACTCTTGAGCGGCAAGGTCGAATCTTGGACCGTCAAGTGAGGGCTGACATCAAGGTACCAGACCTTTGTCTTTGTGGCCTCGGGAACATCGCTCTTGCCTGTCGTGAGCTTGGGTAGAGGAGTGTAGGTGATGTAGTAGGAGAAGGGACCGGCATGAGGGATCTCGATGTCAATCTCAATGTTGCGGTTGAAGTCGGGAGTCAGTCTGCATAGATGGTCAGTGATGAGGGCGTTGAGGGGCGTCGGGGTCGACTTACCTGTACTCGGTGTAGTTCTTGCGTACGAACTTCTGGCCCTTGGCCGGGATGTTGACCCAGAGGCTGCCTTCACGGCAGACGGAGCTGGTGCCCTCAATGACGAAGCGGATCTTGTAGGCAGGATCGCTAGGTGGTGGCAGGTAGATGTACTCGCCGGCTACGTCGGGTGAGCCATCGTCTCTGAGAGGTAGAAGGTAGATGGACTGCGTCTGTTGTAGAGTCGGGGCCATTGTTGCGGCAGATTAGGTAATGATGAGCAAGGCAGGCGTAGCGATTGCGTAGTCGTAAGTTGAAAGGTATAAGATGGGAGTCGATGGATGGTGCTAGTGAATAGCTGAGGGTGATGAATGCAAGATGATGGATGGGAGTTGACGAGTGTCGAGACTCGAGCAAGCAGCGAAAGTGATGGTGTTGGGTTGGGAGGAATTAGGAGCGAATGACAGCAAGCACGCCAATTGTTGACTGTCTCGAGGACGAACAGGCAGGAGCAACAAGGAGAGGCTGTATGTACACAGAGGAAGAAAGTGCAGGCGCGCGTGGCAGAAGTTTGCTGCAGCTGTTACTCGGTACCTGATGATCTCGGCGATCGCCCATCGACACTCCCGTCTTGCCTACTTTCACATGTGGGACTCGATAGCTGCTGCTGCTGCCCACAAACAAAAAAGCCGCCAACGTCATTCTTCTATCCCGCACTCGAGCTAACGCTTTCCTGACACCTGCATCCTCAACCAACACCTGTGCTTTTCAGCGGTTCAATAAGACGAAGGCACCTCGCTTGTTGTCCCCTCTCCCGTTAGCCAATTCTTTTATATTGCTCTCTGTGCGTGCGAAATGCCTTCATAAACGTGCGCCCTGGGTGCTCCGAGGAGCTTCGCAGGACGACCGAAGAACAAGGCTTTGGTTGACAGCTTCTCTCCACGCTCTCCGCGGCCGATGGCCTCAACACCGGGGACTTCATATCGACCCGAGCGGCTAGTTGCCGACGGTGTGCTGTCGCTTTCCGAACATATGGAGGGCCGAAGAAACGCCAGTCAACTGCTGTGGAGAGGGAGGAGACCGAGAAAAATGTAGGTGGAGACGACCGGATCGCTTTCAACAGCATCTTCTGCCTACAAAAACTTGGTATCGGAGCCGTTGAACAGCCCTATCGTCTATCTGAACCATTGGAACCGGTTGCTAGCAATGATATTCCAGATCGGAGTACAACGTAACATCGACTACTGCAAGACCTATGTTCTGCTCCAAACCGTGGTTATCAGAAGAATTTTAACCTCTGCTCAAATCTGTCACATCACTCTCTTTCTACAAAACACTAGAGTAAGATTTGAGCTATACAAACGCAAGATACATGACAGAAACAAAATAAAATTTATAGAGAGCAATGGCTCTCTCAGCTCTCTCTGGCCACATCTCTTATCTGAAGTCGACGGTGCATTTCTTTAGCTACAACGGCCTACAGCACTGAAGGAAGAAGAAGTCGGCACGCACTCCGTCCAGCTCTCTACTCCCTCATGGTCTGTCACACGCTGCCTCAGTAGCAAAGTCTCGGTCACCCAAAGGACGTTGCCTCTCTACCGCCTGTTTTTGACTGACACGTCGCATGCCGAAACAGTACTATCACCTGCTCTGGTCACTTCACCCCGCAAGTCTGGTCACTTTGGAACAACAGGAGTCACTGGAATCGATGTATGGCTGGTCAGAAAGCTTTGTGCATTGTGATGTGATGCTATGCAAATAGTGACCCAAAGCGCAGCCGTAGGCCAACCGTATCAACCAAAGGTAGATAACCAATTGTTCAGGAGGTAGGTGATCAATCGTCGAAGGGGCCAAACGGCCGTCAGAGAGAGGGTTCTATCCATGCCTCCCATCAGGACTCAATGTAACCCCTATCCTACTCCCTGCGGGAGGCCCAGGCGCGGAGGGGAATGGTGAATCCTTCTTCAACCTTGTGGTTGATCTTGGAGAGGATTATCTCGATCATGTGAGCCTTGAGTTCATGCGTGTTGTCAAGGACGCGCTCACCCTCGGCAGCGACCTTGTCTCCGATTTCTTCGGCGATCTCGGCGCGAAGGGCCTGACCGCCGGCACCGAAATCGTCCTCGACAAGGGCTTGCCAGAGGACGGCAGCGACCCCCTGAGTGCGCTCGAAGGCGGCCTCGAAGACCTCGGTGGTGAAGTCGTCGATACGACGCATGATCCTGTTGGACAGCATGATACTGCTCGGGTCTGTGAGTATGCTGCATTCAGGGAGTCATCCGATGGACGTACGTTGATGCTGGAGAGGAAGAGATGGTTGTTCTGGAGTGGTGGTGGTGGTGATGCCGATGAGATGTCGCGTGGAAGGAGGAAAAGAGAAGAGCATAAAGCTCTGTGAAAGAGGTCATATACCAATCGTTGGGGCCCGACCGCACGGGATCGTCGTCAATGTTCGACGTCGATGGTACCCGGTCTCACTCCTTTCTAGGACCAGAGAGTGGGTGAAGGAGCATCTCTTGTGCAGTTCCCGACGAGTGTCCGTTTGCACTGCACAACGACAATCCCACCTCACAATAGCATGCGGGATGGTCGTTCACTATCAATCGCCGGCGACAGTACCGTCGAACATCGGGCACCTTATTGACCGTCACTGAGGTTCGTTCGACGTACACAAACAGAAACACATTCAGAACACTAGCTCCTTCTCGTCACTCCTTCCTACACCACTCCACGCAACCATTACAACAACATTATTAAGATGTGGCAGCAAGTCAAAGAGTTCTTCCGCCTCTGCTTTGGCGAGCGCGACGACATCGACCAGCCGGCCCGCCCTCGTAACCCTACCAGACCTGCTGCTCATCGCTCTTCCTTCGACTGAAAGCACTACTCCATCACCTCGTGCCTCACCGACAAAGAACTATGAGAAGCAGTAGGTAGTGACTATTTCGCTTCGCGACCACGAAGGATGCGTGAGAGACTCATCGAACGCGCTTCAAGCACACTTCAAGGGCACGATCTGACAACGTGAATCTTTACAGTTGTATATGCATACAGCAGCACGAGAGATGAGATGAGGCAGATGTAACATATCCCATCTTCCAATGACGGTCAGTATACCACTATAAAAATGCAGAGAGACGTCTGCTGAACCAAAGTAGGCCAATGAGAGGCTAGTCCATGCAATCCATACTACTCTTGAGCAACGAGTTGATAACGCTCAGATCGACATAGCTCTCTCTTCCTTTCAAGCCCTCAGGGTCAAAGTTACTGGCCATGTTCTCATACCAATGCATCTTCTCCTTCTGCTCATCATTCGGCTTTGCAGCTCTGTAAGCATTCTTCAGCTCTTCCCAGCCAGGCATACTTCCAGCGTCCTCAGCGATACCGTGACCGTTACCATCAGTGCACTTGAAAGCATCGTCAACGTTGCCGCGTCCAATGATCTCAATCTCGTGACCCCAGTTGTCGCCGAAATCGTACATGTACTCCCACTCTGCGTTCTTCCACTCCTTCTTGTTGAACTGCTCGCCGACGTAGACCTTGTCTGCCTTCTTCTCAGGGGTCTGAGAATGCTTGCGGTCATAAGAGTGCATTGAGTCAATCATCTTATGGTCGTTGGGGTTGACAATGCGAATGAAGTTCTGACGAGGACCAAAGTCTCTCTGCTCGTCATTGTCTTGGACCATGCGACGCTGGATCAGAGCCATGATATCCTCCACAGGACGCTCTTCGGCAGTGGGATCGCGAGCAACGAAGTCATAGCTGTGTGCGGCGGCCCAGCCAAAGGCGATCTGGATGGCGTAGTGCAGCTCCTGAAAGGTGGCGTTGTCAGGGCAGACCAGAGTGCGCCAAATCTGAGGCTCTCTGGAATCAGGGATGGTGATCTTGAGGATCCATGAAGGCTGTTTCTTGGGCTGGCATGAGTGCTTGTGGGTGGACCAGTCCTTTCTTTGGCAAGCGGCACCTGTGGTTGAGTCAGCTCGGCCTTCTGGCGACGTGGTCGTTTCGAGAGTACCTACCGCAGTATTTGCGATTACCACAACGACCACAGGTAACGAGCTTGGGCTTCTCCTCGAGGCAGACTTCACACTTTTCGGCACTCATTGTTGTTGATGTCGAGTTTGTTTGATAAAGAGCGAATCGGTGGATGAAAATTTTGCTTCAAACGAAAATAAAGCGGGGTCAGACGGTAACACCAGAAGCATATTCGAGCAGTATGCGAGCGGGAAATACATACCAAGTGTGAGGAAAGATGTAATAATGTGTAGACTCTGGTTTGGAAGGGTCCGGCGACGGTAAACTGTTTCTAAAGTATACTTAGACTTGTTGGTAGAAAAAAATGGGTAACTAAGCATGAACATTGTTCGAACAGTGTTTTAATGTTTAAGCGCTGCTTAAACATTAAAACCGGAAGTACTCCTTGATCGATCGTTCGGCGTCAAGAGCTGAAGAAAATCTGCGCAGCGTCCGAACAATGTATGGACATATCACGAATCATGTGGCAGATCGTTCTGCAAAATTCTGAGCTTACCGATCATATGTCAACCTTGATTGTAAAACTGTTTGGAGATGTAATTTGCGGAGTGATTGTTCGAGGAAGGTTATACCCAGGTATACCCTATGGTATACCATGCGTGGTCAGAGCTTTCCTAAAGTGGAACACGTCCGGCGTGAGGTTCGTGGTTGCTATCTAAAACCTTGCATATACGTTATACCTGAGTGTCTTCTTCTCCTTTTCGAACAATCTCGAAATCGTGACCATAATGCCTCCTAAGCGTAAGAACACCTTCCACACGACGTTCAACACATTTTGCTGACGAAAAGGCTGCAGGCCGGGCTCGCGACGACAAGCGTCTGGATCGGAAGACAATTCCGACTTCTCTCCAGCTGCTGCCCCAAAGCGTGCGCGTGTCACCAAGAGAGGTGAGATATGACATGACATACTCGTTATTTCACGCGATGTTCGTTCTGATGTCGTTTGACCAGCCCCAGCACCAGCATCACACACATTAGAGTCTTTGCTCGCGCTTTCGCACGATGAGCTCGCTAAACATGCTCTCGATCTGCAAAACCAGCTGTCGACACTTCAGCAAGGAGGCAGCAGCGCGAGCTTCGGTGAGGTATGGACTGAAGAGAAAATCGCCGAACGCGCAAGTAAGACCAGAGATGTGTGTTCCAAAGAGATCAAGAAACAGATGAAGTGGCAGCCAAGCTGCAAGCAAGGAAAACCAGGTGGGACTACACTGGTATCGTGACCCATGAGGATGTCTTCTATAAGCTCTTCAAGCCCAAGAAGCCGTGGAAGCAGAAGGCAATTGACATGGTCGACTTCGAGCAACACATTGGTATCATCAGTGCTTCGGTAAGTTCTGCACGACTACTCCGAGAATCGCGGCATACTGATTTATATCAGACCAGGTATGGCTCCTTGAGAATCACAGGTGACAGCGTCAACGTTCACTGGGATCAAGGCGAGAAGACTCTCGGGTTGACGGGAACTCTATGGCTTGTGGCCAGAACCCGATGCATGTCTGTCGCTATTTCTATGACAAAGCCCAGAAGACTTGTAGATGAGCACATGCTCCTTCTCACTTGTGTACTTTGCAGAGCTCGAACCGCTGTCCATATGTTTGCGTGCATCCGCGTCCTTCTGCTTATGTGGACGCATCTCCGTTGCTTCGACGTTCATCTCGCGCGCAGGATACAACACCTGACTCAAGGAACAGGTGGCCTAATCCTGACGTGAAAAGAAACTCTCTCCTGTTAGGACACATCACACTCTCGGTTCAAGTCCGACTTTACCACGCAGTGTGATCACCAATTCTACGACGATCAGCTGTTGCTACTGCTCTCGCTAACCGCTAAATCTGCGCGCAGGAACACAAAACAGTGGTGGCGCCATGAAACAACCGATTATATACACTTTGCTCATCATTTTCTCTTGCTTGTGCTCTCTGGTATGCAGTAGCAGTGTCGCTTCATATGGTGTGGGATTCAATCTCGCTTTTGACTATGGGTAAGTGAAACTGAATCTCGCGATTCGTGCCAAACACTGACACATCGTCTTGTAGCACAGCAAGCATCTGGTACGCAAATGGTACAGCAGTCGATGTCGTCAAGCTCGAGGGAGGAGCCGCGTACAAGCAGGTAATGCGCTCGGTAAATGTTCTGTCTGACACGTCGATGTTGTCTACAGAACTAACCAGAGGGTCACTTGGGTTCGTGTCTCTCCAGGACCACCTACCATTCTGGACTGCTACAGAACCTGTGGATCCCGATGCCGGCGCTATCACATGGATGCTCAAAGGCTTAAAGGCAGCTACAGAAGCTCGTGTGGAAGAGCCTCTGGCCGCTGTCGGCATCAGCAGTTCTTTCTTGGTCCTACGAGGGAGTCAATTCGAAAACGCTTTGAGAACTGCTGTCGCATCTCTTGGCTTGAGCTACAAAGGTACAAGGACTGCATCACTCGCCATAACAGGCGTATATGGTCTCGAAGGACAATGTTATCCTGACATCTACAAGACGCCCAATCAGAGAGGGCCAGATGACCCGCCGCAAATCTATCTGGCCCTCGATTATAGCCGAGCTGGCGTATCATCATTCTTGGTAGAAGAGGAATGCGGTGTTACGGAAGTGCTCAGAGAGTATCATAACACGACTCTAGCAGCAGACGTTGACTTTCCTGGGAAGCGCGAGGATCTGGTACATGCGCTGCAACGCATGATTCGTGCTGTCGATGAGCGGTATCATGATGCTGAATTTAGCAAATATCCAGTCGAAGTTTCCGAGTTGATCATGCTCGGAGAGTCCACAGAAGATGCGATGCTACACGAAGTATTGTCGGAAGTTTTCGGCAGCAACTACACTGCGATGAGCGCTCGAAGTGACGAGCGAGCCAGTACACATCATTCACTATTTGCTGGTTCTAGAGCCGTTGCTATGAGTTGTCAGAAGCAATTGGAGTTTGAGCTGACGCACGAGTGGAACGAGGAATTTCAGGGATGGCTACTAAAAGACGCTTCAGCAGAGGATCAAGGATGGTGGTGGTCTCGCAAGCGAAGCACGTAATAAGCGCTGCTTCGCTGTTTGTCTTTTTATGTTGGGTATCTCTCTTTGCTCCAATGCTCTTGCCAGATTTCTCTGAAGCTTCCCTTCGCCACTGTTCCTCGGTACAGCTCTTCCATCGCCCCGATGTTCTGTCAGACGCTTGTATAGCGTTGCAACACCCTCCATCCCAACTTCCATCATGTTTGGAGATTTCTGATAACTTCCAGCAATGAAGGCGAGTCCTTATGCCTGAAGGACACGAGAATGCCCGCCCCGTCCAGCCAACATCAGAACATCGAAAAACACAAGTCAACCATTTCCGAAATCTTGCATTATGCTCCTCACTCCCTTGAGACTGCCTCGACACTCTCAAAACAGCGCATGCAACAAAACAACCAATCCCATCAACCCCATCACACCACCAACTTCCTTCTCCAACCTCCCAGCACCACTCTTCTCACTAGCGATATTACACATACCAGCAAACCCATGATACGAATCCACACAACTTTCCCAAGCCTGAACCGCCGCCTGATTGTCAACATGACACCAAGTCGCATACCCAGAAGTCTCGTTGTGAGCGCCAGGAAACCCAGAGTCGTAGTAATAAGGCACTACATCAGCGCCATTGCAGCACATGTGCATGATGGCTGTATTGTTGCCACAGGACCCCAAGGCGCAGAAACTGGAGTCGGTCATGTTGGATGGGTTTTCCAAGAAGTCGGGGCATGTTGAAATGGTAGTGTTGGCTGTGGTTGTGTTCATCATGTTGTACGTATTTGATGCTTGCGAGATTGGTTGGGTTTGCGGTAAGTATAAGAGATGGTGAGGTATGAAGTGAAAAGCCAAATTCTGGGTTGATTGGTGACTTGTTGATATAGAGCATTCGACTGTGCCTCTTTGATGCTTGAGCGGTCTAGGCTACTATAAAAGCTTGTGCCAGAGCCATGTATGGCCTTATATGTATCTTGGCGGAGTGCCCAATGAAGCTTGGTGGAGGCGCACGGTGGAAATTTGGTATGGACTTCGTATAGCGTCCCGCGAACATTTTTTCCCTTATCGCGAACTTTTACGTACGCAAAGGATTGCGGTATATATGCATTGGGAAGGTGCGAGGCCAGGAAAGAGGACATTAGATTCTTCGGCGACTTCTTGGGAGTTCGTTATGGTAGCGAAGGCAAGTGCTCACGACCGATAGCCAGAATACGCAATAGATGCCCTAAAGTCACGTTGCGAGCGACCTGGACCTTTTGCTGATTCTGTATTTGATTGAGAGACAACGTGTTTCTTCCACAAATAGCGAGAAAGTTGCATTTCTCGACTGTAAATCGTCTATCACCAGGTCGTGGTCGTGGTCGTGGTCTGTGTCTCGGTAGATATTTCATAGCATGCGGTGTGGTATGAGCTGGACGACTGTGATGACCCCTGGTTAATAGATTCGCTCGAGTCATTGTCGTGGTGAGTGGTCACTCCAGCTCCGGTTGTTTTTTCCGATCTGGTGTTGTTATTCGAAGTGCTGTCGTCGCCCTCAGTATGTGATAGATCCAGTTTTGAGAGTCCTTGTTCGGCAGACGTATCCATGTTGTCGTCTTTAGCTTTCTCGTTGCTTTTGGACTCCTCAGTCCCTGTCGCAACGCTCTCCGCAGGTTGCGAGCTCGAGTTTTGCGGTGTTCCTTCCTTCGTGGGTGTGCTCGGTACGACCTCAAGTTCAGCTTGTGCTCGCCTCTTCTCCTTATCCGCTTGCTCGCGAATTCGCGTGATCCTCTCTTCATCCGAGACCAACTTAGTCCTCCTCATCTCTTTCCTCGACACCTCGACCAAAAGCATTCTCTTGTCTTGCGTGCCCACTTTGCCTTCCCCTCTCAAGCCATCATCATCGCGGTCGAAATACAATGCCCAGAGATCACTGTCTTCATCTTCTTGTACAATGACAAAGCCTTCCCATCCCTCAAAAGTCAAGCGACGATCAATGGGTGTGCAATCCCATGGACCGACATGATGGGGTTCTGCTTCGACACGAATGCCATATTTGACCTCATATGTATTTCGATCCAGATACACCCAGTTTAAGAACGGTGGATCATCGCTAATGGTAGTGACCATCCCTTCGCCATTTCTAAATCCTGCTTTCTTCCACTTGTCGCCTATCCATGGTATAGGTAGATAGTAGCCAGAAAACGGATGAGCCATGTTGGCACCGAGACGAGAGTGCTCGGTGTCGATGTAGAGTTTGTTGTCTTTTAACACAATCATTGCTCCGTCGAATCGTTCGCTGTAGGAATTTCGGACTGGCAACGTGATGGTCAAATTTGACTTCCGGCCTCGATGTTCTTCGCGAGCATTTTGGCGTTGTCCTTGTCGGACTGCTTCGGTGGTGCCGACGATGGCTGGCACAGCTGCCACGGCTGCTAATATCCCAAAGACCATGGATTTGGATGAGGGTGTCGACTTCTGGTTACAAGGTACAGTTGTCAATGTTCACATATTTGCTCGAGTTGGCACCCGCAAAATATGGTTTCTAGCACGCCCGAAAAACCTCCGTGATGTCATTTTCTTGACGCGATTGCATTTCGATGGACATCATTTGCGCGTGTGGTATAGTTACACATGGTCACTTGCATTACGGTCGTATCAGATGCTTCAAATATGCAAACGTGTTGAGTGTGCTCCGATTAACCGTTCACGATATCTACAAGCCCTGTACATTCTACCCTTTCCATCAACATTACCAATGTCTATTAACATCCTCTACAAAAGACCAATAGTAATATCACCCTTGATTCTCGCGGTAAGATGCACCTCCACATCCAAATCCAACTCAATCTTGATCTTCAAACTCGAATCTCTATCATCCTTTTTCTTGCCATCTTCTGATTTGGCGTCTGAAGGGTTGCGTTGGCTTAATTGGTTGCCTGGGTTGCCGTTGAGCGGGTTGCGACCAGAGGGCAATGGCTCCTTTGCGACGTCGGGTGTGTTTTGTGTGCTGTGAGTTTTTGGTGTCAGGTCGTCTTTGATGCTACTTGGAGCTTGAGTGGTGAGCTGGAGTGGAAGGGTCAAGATCTTACACTTTGTCTGCCATTTTGTGTTTCTTATTGCGTGCCTTTTTTGGTATCGTGACTGATGGTAGCTGACAACTGATGCTATGTGCAGTGGTAGGAATAAAGAGCTATGGTAGATACTCAAGCCGAGCTCTTGGGGCTTTGCGTCTTTAATATCTCATCAAACCCAGCCTCCGCCATTCGACCTTTGGGAAATCGACGATCAGCAGAAGCGTCATCAAACAAGGATGTGGGCTTTCCTTCCCTTCTACAGCAAAACCCACCAGGAATAACCAGTAGTCTCCTTGCTGATCATGCTTTAGAGCTCTAGGAGCTGAAGAAAACGTCTGAAAAGGTCAACGACGGTGTAGGAGACGGACCGTACCTGCGGTTCCACTATTTGGGTAGATCCAACGTGTTTGGAGGACCTTTTCTCCACGATCTGCGCTTCCTAAAGCTCTCCTCTTGGGCATCACGGTGCATGTTCTTGCGCTTTTCGTAAACTTGACTGCATAGTGATGTCGTTTTTGGCCGTTAGTTTTTCGCCGATTACGAGCCTCCACATCCTGATTAGGATGGTGCACCAAAGTGGTCACTTCCTAGAGCGTTAAGAGCCTTCACAAGGATCTTATTGCTCTGAAGATCGCAAGTGATGTGCTGTTGAATTGCGAAGACCAGAGAGCAGCGTGTGCATCGCGCGCTGAAAGAACGTGTAAGGAATTCTTAAGTCGTAACTATAGAATGGAGGCTAGAAAGCCTAGATTTGAGCCCCAAAACTCCATCTAGAGATTGCTTCAGGGATGACCCTGTCCGCATATTGAAAAATCTATTACAAGCCCCCCGATGCTAAATCCTCAATTATTTGTCTTTGCATACATCCGTTGTCCTTTTCGGCGGATATCCTGTCTGTCAAGGTCCCAAGGAGCGTGGCTGGTTGATATATATTGTTCTTGTCTAGATAAGCAGTGTTGAGTGAAGCTACATCCAGGAGGTTACTCCGCAGACACACCAACACCTCTGGTCTTGATAGCGAGAGCGGTATTTAGTTATGCTAACACACTCGATAGAATACCCATAAACAGCAAGCAGTACTCAGTCAGATTTGCTGCACAAGCAAGCGATATCGTTGGCTCTGCCTATAATCATCTTCGAAATCAATAGAGGCACATGCTCGTTCAGTATTGCACAAATGTTGCACAAATACCATGTGCATAAAGAGAGTTAGTGCACAAGTAAAGGTCATGGTCGTTTCTTTTCATGATATAAACGCTACATTACAATAAAAAGTAAAAGGGAATCTTTTGTTATCAAGCCGTCAAAAAGGGTCATTACAGGCGACAAGTTCAGATCTTTGTCTTTTCGCCGATTGTGTTGAGGAAAGCAGTGTGGACGTGCTCGGTCAAGTCACTGGCCTGCAGCGAACGACCCTTCTCCTTGTATGCGAGACGAGAGCACTCTCTGGTGATGGCACTGCCGCCGAAGGCAACAAGAGCCATTGTCTCAGGCTCTGACAGGTCGTTCTCGTGGTCCCAGATCTTGTCGTGGTAGGCCTTTCTGTAAGCAAGGAGAGTGGCGAGGGAACCTGTGAGAGTGTCGCCTTGACCTCCTGAGCGCTTGAGACCACCCTCGTTGTCGTTGACAAAGGTGACCTTGCCGTTTGAGATGTAGTCCTTGGCACCCTTCTGGATGATGGTAGGGCCGCCGAATGCCTTTGCCAATTGCTCGCACAGCTTTGTAGGGTCACCGCTGGCGTCAATGCCCTTTGCCTTTGCCAGACGGCCGAACTCGACGACGTTGGGTGTGAGGATACACTCGGTGCAGCCCTCGACCAACTCGGGTCTGTTCTGGATGATGAAGAGACCGTCGGCATCGACGATGAAGGGAATGCCCTGCTTGCGAGCCTCAGTGATGACGCGAGCGCAAGTCTCTTGCATAGCCTCGTCACGACCAAGACCGGGGCCAATGACAACGACGTGGAGACGGGACAACATGTCGGTAACAGTCTTGGAGATGTTGTCGATGGTCTCGCCCTCCTTCATGTTCTTGCTCTGACGCATATAAGGGTGGACCATGAGGTTGGGAGAGTAGGTCTTGATGACCTGACCGGCACCGGGCTCGCAGATGACGTGTGACATGTCGGCACCGAGCTTTGCAGAGGCCATACCAGAGAAGTAGGGGGCCCCGGTGTAGTCCTCGCTACCACCAATGACAGCCACGCGACCAAGTTGACCTGTTGCACAAAAGTCAATTGGGTTTCTTGTCTAGAGTTTTGGGTGAGGCTCAAAATACCCTTGTGGAAGCTCTCCAGCATGGGAGGAACGATCTTGTAGATCTTGTTGATGATTTCCTTGCGAGATGCCATTTTGGATGTGTGTATGGGGTTCTGAAATGTGTGGTCTTCAGATATGTAGAGCAGAGTGAAAAACAGGTGAGAAGAAGAGGCCTTTGTACACGGTAGACAGCTCTGAGCCTCGAGCTCATGATGATCCATGACGTCGATTTTGGTGGGGAAAGCATGACGATGCGGGCGGCAGAAGGGCGACAAGCGACGACGACCAACAGCGACCTTGTCCTCTCATCGGCAGAATACCTCTTCTATTGCATCCCCTGTTATATTATAGACCCTTCCAATTGCTGCCGTAGTTCTGCAAACAACACTCACACAGAATCGCATTGCCCTCGAAACACCACCATCATGTCTTCCTCCGGTCTCGATCCCAAGGGTCCCTCGCAGCCCAACCTGGACGCAGCATACACGACTGCCGGCAACCCTGCCACAAAAGAGCCCGCAGAGCAGGCCCAAGCAAACCAACAAGATGACTCTTCCCCAATGTATGTGTCAATGTTGTAGTTAGGCTTCTCCAACACCACTAACGCATAACAGCGACAAGCGCATCCCCTCCGAGCAAGCACACTCTCAGTCCGAAGCCACCCCGACCTCAGTAGCTCGCGGTATCCGAGGTGCACCCGCTGGCGAAGAGGCTAAGGGCGAGACACATGAATCCGTCGGCAGACACAACGAACTCGATGGTCAACAAATGGCCGCTCCTGGCGAAGGAAAGGTCGCAGATATCGTCGAGAAGAAGCCCGGGGCCACCGGAGCAGCCCCTGACCTGGCGTCTGACTTGGATCGCAAGAAGGAGGAGCAGAAGGAGGCCAGAGACGAGATCAAGGCACAGAAGAAGGAGGAAGTCGATGTCGCCGGTGTACTCGGCCAAAGAGGTGGTCCTGCTAACCCCGTCGACAAGGGCGGTTACCCGAATTCCGATTACAAGTAAACAATGACTTTTAGGTCATCTACCAAAAGCAATCATCTGCTTGACGATATAACCATGCTACGAATGTCAAACGAGCAATTCTTCACGTCCTCCTGGCCGTCTTGTATGAACGCACACCTTGCCCCGCAAGCAATTACTATAACACAGCCAGCCTCCACAATAACGCCATGCTCGTGTGATATCTTTCCTGCATTTCACTCACTGATTCGTTCGTCGCGTTAATCCCGTTCATCACGCTCCTTTTCACATCATGTTGGCTGCACCCGCAGGACCCATGAACATGTTGTTCATGCTCGCTTGCTGGGCTTGTTGAGCCAACTGCTGCTGTGCCTGTTGCTGCGCTTGCTGCTGTTGAGCTTGTTGATTGTCCAGTGGGTGGACTTCAAGGTTCATTGACCACATCTGCATAGGATCTCCTTGAACATACGAGTCCCATGCACCCTGTTCTAGATTAGTTGTATGTCCAATGATAGTCATGCTGAGGTGCAACTTACCCAATCCACTTCTGGTGCACCGCTACCGAACAGCTGTGTGAATGGAGACGCGGCACCTTGGACAGCTTGTGCGCCGTTAACATCGACTCCACTGTATTGTGGTGTCAGGCCTGTGCGCTCAGACATAGGCTCGTTGAGCAAACCGGCCATACTGGCCGGGTATCCGCGCGTCTCCATGCTGAGCGAACCGGGGGCGTTTGAAGCAAACCCAGCATTGGGACTGACGCCGCCAGACGACAGCAGACCCAGAGTCATTGCAGCAGAGTGCTCGGGCGGAACCTCGTCTTCGACAATGTCAGATACTTGGCCGTTAGGGAAGGCGCCAAAGGAGTGGCCACGCATACCGTATTGGCTGGTGTTACGCATCTGCTGCTCTCTACCACCAATCATTGCTGTTTGTTGCTGTTCTTGTGCTCTGAGTTTGCCCAGCATGACGCGAAGCTGCGTAGATGCTTTGTATGCTTCCATACTCTTATCGCGCAAACTCTCCCAGATGGATGCACAGTGCTGGAGCGCTACGATCATCTGCTCTCTTCGGTCTTGCGTCCACACGTCTCCGCTCAGAGGGGAAGAAGGGTTAGACGAAGAAGTCTTGATCACACTTCTGTCAGACTCAGAGGTGTGGTATAGATCAAGGCACACAATCATGGCTGCAAGCAAAAAGTCGTGAGTTGTGAGCGAAGAGATGGACCACTTGACTGAGCGCAGCTTGCCTCCGTCTCGTGACTCCAGGTACAGGGTAGCTTGATGATTAAGCATCTCCATCGAAGCGTCAATGCAAGTTCGTCTAGAATATGCGTAGCGCGGCGAGTCACGTCCTCTAGCAATGAACTTGCGGTGTAACATGCACTGCGACTTGAGATAAATCAGCTCCAGGGCATAGGTTTGCATGATCAGGTTGGGTGCAGCTGTGGCCAGCTCCGAAGGAGACTTCATCTGAAGATGAGGTGGAATCTGGGTACGAGCCTCGCGAAGCTGAGCATCCAACTTCATGATCTCCTCATAGGCTGGCGGTGAGTTTACTGATTGAATGCGATCGACAATCTGGCCGAAGCAGGATATCAATCGAGCCTTGGCAATCATGTATGATGCGGGAGTAACCTCAGATTCTGGTCGGGAAGGAGGTAGAGATTTCATGTCCTCTGTAAACTCATCGTCAAAGATGTTGTGTGGGAGGTCGGAATCAGTGGCATCTGAGCGAACGATGGGAGGAAGACCAAATTGGCACGAGAAGAGCAAATCAGCCTGGCGAATGAAAGCCCAGACTCGTCGTCTCATCTCGGCCGTGAAGGGCGAAACATTGGGGTAAGGACCAGAATCTCTGTGGTAACCCATGCGCATGGCAAGGCGAGTGCACAAGTTGACGAGCAAGAGAATGCCAGTCTCGGCATCGTTGCTGCTACTGTGCTCGGCCTGGATATGCAGTATGAGGGCCTCGACCAGCTGTGGCATTGGAAGGGTGACGTCTGCAAGCACGATGCACTGTGCCGTGAGACGCTTGAAGGAGATGGACAGCTCGTGCGATCTACCCTGATACTCTGGAGGCTCGTCACCTGCTCTAGTGTACGATTGCAATGCGAGAGTCATCATGCCATATAGCAACGCGAGGAAAGTTACGGGCGTCTCGTTGGGATTTTGCCAGTGTCTGTCGTACTGTCCTTGGAAAGTTGGACCATGGATAATATCTGAAGGAGTCAGCTTGGAGAACCGAGCAAGATGTTTGTAGCGTCTACTTACGGACGGCTGGATCGTAAGATTGGAAGTAACGTTTGACCAAGTCATCGACAGCGTTCTTGTCGGGCATGGTTACAAGGACCTCGGTTTTGTTGTTCAGCTTCGGGCCCTTGAACAGGAACGAGCCTGAAGAATCGTCGTCTCTTGAAGCCTGGATCTTCCTGGATTGTTCCGAGAACTGCTCCTTGTGACTGGCGAAGTAATTCTTAACCTCAGCAATGTCGGACAAGATGGCGTACCAATGCGCATCGGGCACGAAGAAGGCCTTGGCACCGTCGATCTTCATGATACCGATGTCCTGCGCGACGTCGTTGATATCGCTGTCTTCTCCTTCGACTTCTCTAATGCTGTCTCTCTGAGGATCCAAGGGCATGCCAATCGAGGTACCAAGACTGTTACTCCTGCTCGAATTGATAGCAGCATGTGCAGCCGAGGGGCCAGCAGCTTGAGAGCCATTGGTCATGAGCGAGAGAACCAGGCTTTCGAGTCGATCGATGCGATTCTGCATGTCGTCTGGGGTGCCGGTAGGGACATGGTGGACGCCGGGCTTCTTGCGAGCACTGGGTGAGGCATAGACGCATGAACTCGTGTCGCCGCGTTTGGTGCAGTTGTCGCAAGGGTGCCCACGGTTGCACTTCAACCTCAAACAGCAGTCAGATGCCTGTAATCGAGTCTTCTGCGACAAAACTTACTTTCTATGTCTACACGGCCCACATGAGAGAGGGATTCGGTTTCTCTTGCGCACGACGCGGTACTGGCCATTGTCGGGGGACGCGCCGGTCGAAGAATTGGTCGTCGGTGGTGTGGGTGTCATGACCGCGACTAAGACGCTATGCGACGACCTGACGACTGCTCAAAAGATGGTATGGCGTGTATGCGCGCGATCGCGTCTCGGAGTTAACGCTGGTCCCGAAGACGGGTGTTTTTTCTCGATGGTGGGTGGATGCTCTGTAGAGACTCGATTGCAGATGACGAGTGATGTTCTCCTTTTGATTGGGAATAGAAGAGCGCACTCAAAATGTAAAGTCTGTTGTCTGGCGGAGTGGACAGAGTTAGAAGATGCCGGGCAAGAGCAGCTTCCTTCTCAGATCGACTTGCGACTTCCCACATTTCGGTCATCCTCGACTTCTTGGCGCTTTGAGCCGCTCTCCTTGCGAGCCTCAGCCACGAACCTGGCAGAACCAAGCAGCTCAACAAGCAGCAATGAAGCAGCGCGTCATCCATGGTTAGACATGTGGATACAGCTACAGACAGCTCATTGTGAGCACGCCTTCTCAATTCAGTTTCTTTGCCGAGCAGATGCGCCCAATAAAAGGGTATAAACTAGATTGATCGATACAGGATCTGAGGAAGCTACAAAAGAAGTGCTAAGCCAATATCTCTCTCTGCACATTGAGCTTATATGCTCTCAACGTGAGACGCACCCATACTCTCGAAATGTCGGTATTCATGAACCATTGATGCATAACACTCCTTCCTATGTCTTTGCCTTGCTGAACTCCTATCATCTCTTTTCTTCTTTGTTATTCTTCGGTCTTTCCGTCTTGATGCAACTCTTTCTGCACTTTTCTGCCATGTTGCAGCTAGACAGGCATGCCGAGTAAGAATAACCAGAGAGTGAGCAAATGAGAACGAGATTGAAAACAATGTACGTAGATATCCAGAAAACTTGACTCCGGATATTTCATTCGGTCCTGGCTGTTCAACCGCGAGAGGGGTCATATCTCGAAAATCTGTAACATCGTCAGTCAGCGGATCGTTGATGGTCAGGATGGTGGGATGAAACGAACCTCCAAATTCTCGCACGCATGTCTCCACTTCCAGTGGCGAACAAACCGCCTTGGACAGGGCTGGGTGCGACAGAAATGACCGAGTTCTTGTGTCCTTGAAGCATGAGCTGGGCGTCACCGGTCTGGGGGTTCCAGAACTGAACACCCCTGTCTTTTGAACCAGACAGGACCCACTCGCCATCAGGCGAAAGCGCGACGCTGAGAACAAAGTCCTTTATGGAAGTGTCAGTGTTTGATGTTCAATGCTCGAAGTGGGAAACATACCTTGTGGCCCTCGAATGTGCGGATACACTTGCCTCCACGAGGGTTTCTCGGTGGCATGTTTTGGGTGTTTGGGTAGTGGCTCTGGAGCTCCCACATTCTGATGGTTCTATCCAGACTGCCACTAACAAGTTCTCTGCTGGTGGGCGAGAATGCGACTGAGTAGACGCTGTCCTTGTGACCGGGGTTGCCTCCAGCTTCCTCAAGTCTCTCGAGAAGGTTTCCGCTGGCCAACTCCCACACTCTTACACTCTTGTCGAGACTACCGGCAGCCAGGAAGCGATTGTCTGGTGAGATGGCAACGGTAGTGACGCCATCCTCGATCGTCAAGCAGAGAACACACTGGTTGTTAGGAATATCCCAAACACGAACGGTACGATCGCCAGATCCAGATGCGATGTAACGACCATCAGAAGAATAATCCAGAGAGTAGATATCTTGCTCGTGACCAGCAAACGAATGACGGATCTGACCAGCGGCAATCTCCCAAATCTAGATTCATGAGTCAGCAGAGAGTCAAAGTGAGTAAGAAAGGTTGTACGAACGCGAATGATCTTGTCTTCAGCACCAGTAGCCAAATATTGACCATCAGGGCTGAAGCAGACGCTTCTGATGTAGAGATCACCATCTTGAGGCAGGCTGGTATCCTGCAGATGCTTGACCTGCTGGCCACTCTCGACGTCGAAGATCTGAGCAGAACGATTGCAACCAGTAGCAACGAATCTTCCATCACGGCTGAAACGAACACAGCAGACTACACTCTGGTGGGCCAAGTTATGGACGAGCTCGACGTCCAAAGTGCGACGAACGCGTGGGTTGAACACAGCGTACCAGTCTTCACCCTCGCGCTTGAGGTTGCTGGGAAGAGTTTCAACAGCCAAGTCAACCAACTGGTTGCCGCTACCACCAAGCTCTTGAACGTATTGCTGGTGTTGGGGCAGAGAAAGAGCCTGCTGTTGTTGAGCGAGAGCTGGAGGAGGAGTGGGGCGCGCCATGGCGGGAGAGCCAGGGTAAGGGTTTGCGTTGTTCTGCTGAGGGGTGCCGGGGATACCAGGAGGGCCGCGAGCATTGGTTCGCGGCTTGCCAGGGCCAGGAGAAGCTGTAGGCTGAGGTGGTGCGGGACCGTACCCTGCAAAGCTGTGTTAGCCTCATCGACAAGCAATTCATGTGCAGATCGTACCATTGACACCAGCTGGGGGCTGGCCGTAGCCGCCGAAGGGAGCATGTTGAGGAGGACCAGGAGGAGGGTTCAATCCAGGGGGACCTTGGATATGGGCAGGGACTCCCTGAGGCGGACCATCTTGAGGGGGAGGTGCAAGACCCGGGCCACCCTGAGCGGTAGCGCCGGCCATGATACCCTGGAAGAGATTGGCAGGGCCATGACCGATCGAGGGCGGAGGAGGCTGGGAGGGACCGGTGTGCGAAGACTGGCTTGGTCCTCCACGAGCCTCAAGATCGCGGCGCAAACGAGAGATGTCTTCTTCGTACCTGTGTGCAAGTTTAGTTGGCGCCAGTCGCGACACGCGGAGACAATGTGCCATGAACATACTTTTGCTTCATCTGCATGTGGGTCTGCTCGAGCTGGAAGATCTTGCTGCGGACGAGTTCCATCTCCTGGATCTGGTTTGCAACTAAGTCGTATAAGCTTCCATTGTAGTCGGTATAGACAACATCGGGATTGGGGAACGCCATGCTGCCAGTGATGGAGAAGAAAGAAACGAAGGGGGACCGCTGAACAGCTACAAGACCACAGCAGACGACACATGCGTCTGTAGGTGACGTCCTTGCGGGTAGGTGTTTGGCGGGACAAACGGGGACGACTCACGCTGATGCTCATACTCGTTTGCACGGCCGCCCTGGGCCTCGAATTCGGCGCGGACCTGCTCGAGCAGCTCGACAAGACGGCTGTTTGGCGGAGCGGGTGCGCCGGCTATGCCGCGATGCGCGTTGTACATGGCGACGTGCGAGAAGGGTGCGATGTCGGGTGGTGATGGATGTTAAGGAGATTGATGGCGCTGCACTTCGAAGCGCGTGTCGCGACTTTGCTCGGCGTCGCGAACAGGCACAGTGTCTAGGTGAGCCTAAACCGTACTACAACCGTCCGAAGATGGTTTCGCGCCAGAGACTCGAGATGGTGGCGCCTGACTGAGATGGATGCTGTGGAGAGATGATGATGATGATGATGATGAGAGGAGGCCGAAAGGGAGACACGTATTGCGAGAAAACGCCTGCGAAGCACAACCGCACAGCATGGCTCTCTCCGAATAGGAACCTCATAATAAAGCCCCCGTTCCCACAACTCTGTTCTTCGACCACTCGGCACCGGTTGCGCCAAAACTCAATTTGAGAGCTGGTCGTGTGGGTCCCCAAGATCAGCCACACCCGCGCGTGCCCGCAGTCCGTTGCATGCAAATCGGGGATAAATCTCAACTGCTTCAACCTCTCCACGTTTGTCCACCCGACCGACCTTTGTTTGTCGAAACATTGCGACAGTGTGACCGGCCATTCACAAGAGACACATGCACTGCGCGTTCCACCGCTGCATCGACTTGCAGGTACCAAAGTTTCGGCCGTGCCCCAGCGGCGACGTCGAAACCGTCTTCTCTCCAGATTTACCGGCCGTTGGTAGTGCGTCGTGCCTCCTGCAAACTCGGTTGACTCGCCGCCAGCCCTTCTCCTGTCAGACATGTTCCCTGGCCCGTGCGCCAAACGACGACAAGCCATCCATGGCTTCGAGTTTACCATGCAAGTCGCCTCTCTGCATTGCTTAATCCGAACACTGTCAGCTCTACAGGGCTCTTGCTGTCGCACATTTTTGTGTTTCACCCCCCTATCGGAACCGCAAGCTCTTCCTCAGCTTCTCCCTCAGCTTCTCGCCTGCGAGGCAATCCGAATGCAATCCGACATGCGATGATGCAAGTTTGACCAGAGCCCAATACTTGCTATGTTGCTAGTCAATCCCGGATGTCTTCCACTGGTAGGTCCCGAGTGAGTCTGAGCACGGAATAAGAGGGTGTTTGTGTTACATGAATTTCCAAGTTTAGCAGACTTCCTTCGTACATCCTCACATCAAGGGTCAGTATTCTCCGACTCAACTGTCGGACTGACATGGTGTAAGTTTGCTCGAACTTAGCAGGCCTAGTATCAGCTTCAAGCCAGAACAAAAAGTGGCTGGCTGCAGAACTCGAACTCTCGATGCCGCAGTCACCTGTATCAAGAGCTGCGGCGTTGTCACACCTATCATCAGGTAGCTGTCTCTTTCTTCTCTTTCTGCTCAATATCAAAGCTGAGACAACTGTCCCTTCACATCAATTGATGTTGGGTTTCTGGTCTGGAGGAGGCGTCTTCTTCCTTGGTGTCTGGGACTCGACGCTCTCATGTTCGTGGAGATGGTTAGCGTGCTTTGTGCATCCATCTTCCTCTGCGTCTTCCCTCACTCACCTCTTGGTTGTTAGCGAAAATATCGATGATCAGGTGCTTGTGTGCTCGCTAGTGGCAGAGACGTGTTTGTAGACAGTGCACTCCTCCTCCATCAGGTATGTATCTATACTACTCATCACAAGGTCTGTCTACCTCGTAGATCGTGACCGTAGGGTAGTAGGTCCTTCAGCGCGCCAGGCGCGTTCGTTCATCTCGTTTATCCGTGTTTACGCCTCAAAAATTCAAGAAACAAGAAACATAACTCCATTTCCCGGTTCCTCTCCTCGCTGCATACATTAGGTTGATATAACCAAAACAACCAGCAGTGAAAAGAATGATGGACCTGTTCAAAGTTTATATCAAAGACTGCGAGCCAGGCTGGCGCTGTCAAGATGACTTGTTTACCCCTGAACATGCAACCAGGAGTGGAGCACATAACAACATAGGGTCATATTGATGCAAGACAGCCATTATTCCATCGAACTGGTGGTCTGGCGCAGCGGTCAAAGTAGTGTTCCTTCCGCTCAGTCGGCCTATGGCCACCGGTTCGATCCTCGGCAAGGCCGATCTTTAATGCCATGAGGGGTCCCAGTAATCCTCGCACGACAAAAACAAGGAAGAAAACCTCGTGCGTTTTCTCTTGACCAATCTAGCAACACGGCGGCTAGGGGGTTTCGGTTTTGCCAGTCTATGTTGTGTTTTGTTTTGGTTGGACTGCTCTCATGTTACGAGGCATCTCTTGAGTGATTGCCGGTGATGCACAGGTTGAAGGGCCCTCTGCTGCTCGACTATCTTTGTCTCCAGTCACCGTATGACCCTCTTGTCACACGATCAACAGCTTTTGAGATGCAGAAGCGCCAGGAAAAAATTATGATACAGATTGTCTACTCGATACTCTCAGCACCCCTCAAGTCACCGCCCTTTTTCATCATCTCGACCTTATCTCCATCGTCAACAAGACTCTTGCTTACCACCTCTTTTTCAGTATCGTTGATCTTGGAGCCGGCGACACCTGCAATAAACTCGCACAGCATTTTCTCAGCCTCAACACTATTCCTCGTAAGAGCATGATCATCACCCTCGAAGTAATGCACCTTCCTCTGTCCCTTGGATCCATACATATCGTACAATCTCTCACTACACTGCGGACTCAACGTACGATCACCAGTACCGTGTAGGAGCAGTACTGGTACACCTCTTCTTCCCACCGCTCTGATTCCTTCTGTTTCTGCAGTCTGAGAAGCGATAGTGGCGCATCCCACAACCCTAGAGTCCTGGCCACCAACCGCAAACACAGGAGCACCGCCAAAAGACCAACCGACCAGAACAAATCTACCAACGCCATACTGAGCGGAGAGGTAGTCCATAGCCGCTAGTACATCGGCAACGCAATACTTGTTGCGAGCAGGGATGCGGTAATCCATGCGCAGAACAGGAAGACCATTTTGCAACGAGGCCAGTTTGTCCGCCATACTGATGTAGATACCAGAAGGGCCTGCTACACCACCACCAGCGCCCGAAAGTAAGATTGCGGCTGTGCTTTGCTGGTTTTGATAGTTCTTGGGTAGGTGTAGGAATGCAGGGACTGTGCCATCGGTGCCAACCTCGACTTTGAGGTTGAAAGACTTGACGACTGATGGTAGTTTGACGGCTGCAGGTAAATGCTTCAGGCTAGTATATTGTGGTAGTCTCGTGGGATGGTGTATTTGAGGGATTGAGGTGGTGGCGGAGAGGGAAGTGTTGTTGGTCTTTGGCTTGGACATGTTTTTGAGGTTCTTGTGGAGGCTGGAGAGAAGTCGACGCGCAAAGATGGGAAGTCGAGACATGTAGGTGGGAGAGGCTGAGTTCTGATGTGCTCATATGTTTATACTCGACTACTCGTGTACTTCCTATCAAAGCGGGCGTGATGTCAAACAGGGTCATCAATCAGTTGTAGCAGGCGACAAAGCCTCTCAGAGAGATCTAGACAAGGCATCAGACCCGAGTACGCATCAGACTCGTATACAAGGGAATCACCAGTCTGGACAGTTTGTAAAACAATCGCAGAATACATGTTTCTATATAGAAGATGACAAAGTAGAGATCAGCGGCTCGAGATGGACGAGAGGACGTGCACGGACGATGGCGCCCATCAAGGCCCTCGGAAATTGCGACCCTCGACAGAAAGACCATGTGCAACCTTTTGATCTGACCAAGAAGCCTTCACCTGCATCAAGCTTCACTTTGTCCCCAACATCAAATTCTCCAGTCCGGATCGCGACGACACCAACGACTGTCTCGAGTGCCGGCGCGTACAGCCTCCATACCATCTCCACTCTTCAGTCATCGGAAGGCTGCCGAGACAGTCGACACAGCAAAGACAAGATGCAACCCTTCAACAAACTCGCCGGCGTAGAAGAAGCCTCAAAGATCCAAAACCACCCTCCTCCACCACCAATCCCCGACCTCGAATCACAGCCCCAACAACCCAGCCTACACTCACGACCCTCACGAGCCTCTCTGCCCGTAAACCGCAAACCCAGCCGACGCACCCTACACGAGCAATCCAGCCGCAACTCCCTGCGTCCACCGAGTCTGCATCCCAGTCTGCTGCCTCCGAGTCCAGGATGGCAGGGCATTCCCAATATCGATTATACAGCCAGTGCACACAGTCACGATACTCAACTGGAGGATGAGCTTCCGTGGGGACCTTCGCATCCTTGTTTCCCGCATCTGAATCCTCACGTTGCTATCTCGTCTGCGGCTTATGCGACTACTCGTGTCATTCGCATACAAAGAGATTGGCTGGTCGCAGGCGACCTGTATCCAGCACTTCAAAACCTGTACCCGGAGATCCTGGACTTGTGGATGTCAGAGTCAGAATTCAGAACTGTTATTGAGACGCTGAATCCAATGTTGAAGCATGCGTTTGAGCCAAATACTTGGGCCAGTTGGTTTGATGCTTTGATGGGCGTTGCAACAGGCTTCTTGTGGGATAACTTTGGCTGGACGGGAGTCAAGCGGGGAGTCAGGGATATGGAGAAATGGGTCGAGGGATGGAACACCGAGGCTGAGAGGGAAGGCAGAGAGGTGAGGTTGATCGATCTGAGGAGGACGGGTTTCTTGAGTCTGGATATTCAGATCCCAGATCCGCATGTTGATGTTGGCGATGGCGATGTCATGTCAATTTAGGTGGTGACAAACACGTCTGCCTCCGCATGTGACGACTGTTTGTGATGCGAGGTCTGGCAGGCTGTAATTACGATGGGCATGGCTTTTTTCCTTCTGATTATTTATAGCTAGGAGTTGGGGATGAATACCCGTATAGGCATTGCTTTTAACGATAACAACATTATTCACGTATTAGACGCTGATTTCAGAGCAAAAACATGCAAACTCGATTCTTCGCGTGGATATGACAATCGCGTATGCGAAACAAAACTTCATCTACACCCTTGAAACGTCCTTTTTGTTCCGACAGTGCAGCCAGCCATCCTTTGGTATTTGACGCCGGTAATCCTTGTTGTTGGAACCCAAGACAGACCTTTCTACCCTTTCCGAAACTCCGTTGGGCTGCGGCGATGAGTTCGCGCCCTGATGCTTGCTTTCCTCCCCTCCTCCCGTCCTCCCCTGAGACCGAGTGTCTCGATCTCGTCCCGTGACTCGAATCGTGAAGATGATATGGGCATGAGCCTCTCACTTCTTTCCGGTACGAGGGTTCTTCTTGAAGGTCATTTGGTTGATGACCTTGCGCTTTTGCTTCTTCTCGATGCGGTTGCGCTTCTCTTCCTTGGCTCTCTTCTCGGCCTTGATCCAGCTTGATCTGGGAGCGTTGGTCAAGTCGATTTCCATGGCGGTGTCTGATGATGAAAAAGGCGGGTTAGCCTCGTTCAGACAGTCAACTGGCTCACTCATAGCCGCTGCCAAGGCTGCTGCTACTGCTGCTGCTCTCATTGTCACTTTCAGAGTCGGAACCGAAGCCTAAACAGATGTTGCCGAACGAGTCGAAGCCGTGGATGTCGGTCGAGACGCCCAGGAGGTGGAAGAAGAGCTGTTCGTCGGCGTAGTGTCGGTGGGCGGATCTGACAGAGGGTTTGCTGAAGTCGGAGATGTCAAGCGGTGGGGTGGGTGGAGGAGTGAGCATGTTCATCGAGGCAGCAGCAGTAGCGGGACATTGATGGGCGAGCGACTTTGGCACCGGGATTGCAAGAGCATTTAACGCACCATTTGCGTTGGTAGCCTTGGCCTCGGACGCGGCCTGCTTCGACTCTGTGGAAGGGAAAGGTCAGCCTAGGTGGTCGTGAGTCGCGACAAAGAAAATGCATACCAGTTGACTCCTCGACTTCCATTTCGGCCTTTGGGGGCTTTGGCTGCGAGGCTAATTCTTGCAGCTTTTGCGACAGACGCTCGGTGCGAGCAGCCTCGACGGGGCCGAAAACATTCTTCTTGAGCTTTCTATTGTTCGTCTTGAGGACGCTTGATCGTAGACCTTTGCCCATTTTTGCCGTGTGTGGGTGTGTTGTGTTGTGCGAGATTGCGGTGAAGGAAAGAGATAAATTCTCTTGGGATGGAACAGGAAAGCGGGCGGGTCAGCGGCGGGTGCGGAGAGGGAGCGCTCGGGCGACTGTTGAAAGCAAAAGGCAGCTGCTGCTTGTGCTTGTGCTTTGGAGCGTGCAGGGTCTGGTGATTCTTATGTCGCGTCGCGTGTGAAACCACAAGCAAGTGACTCAATGTGTAGACGGTTGTGAAGCAAGGAACAAGAGCAGCGGAAAGCAATGGTTGTAAATGCTGATGACTCGACTCTGCCTCGTCGGCGCCACGCTGAAGACGGCCGCTTTAGGCAATCGAGGTCCGGACTCTCGTTCGTCACCAAGTATCCGTACTTGATCCAGACGCACGGTCACGCTGTTCCAGAAGGCCGGGACATGTTTGCCTACTGAAGTCTGCCCTTGAAAGAGTGTATAATGTCTCTGTCCAAGCACCGTGAATGTCGTCCCCCTAGCATCGGCGCATAGAGCAGTCGATTCTCATGTCCATGTCGGTTCTGTAGATTCCGTCTTCTCTGTCTGTTTCATTCTAGAAGCCGCCGTCCCAATCGCCTTCGCGCCGCAACCATCACTCGGACATGACCACTCTGCCCTCAGCTGTTCTCACTTCGACGACAGAGTGTTTCCAGTGACGTGCTCCTCTAGACACCAGCTGAGCATCCTGACAAGTTCTCGGTTCTCCAGTTTTTCGGCAACCATCTCTGGCAACTGCCCCGGCACAAGACACTGCATGAAGGCAAGCAGGCACGATTGAAAGAGATGGCAAGCGATCCTGTCCGACTTCGAGACCTCGCGTCCTTCGTCGACCGCAGAATCAAATCACTCATCAACAATGACCTAAAAGAAATCTGCCGTCAGGAGGGTCTCCCGGTGTCTGGTGTGAAAGCCGCTCTGCAGAAGCGCATCTCTGAGCGTAATTCGATCCCACGAGTCCGCACAACACTTTCAACACATGGTGCTAACAACTCATCCGTCAGTCATTGCTCATCACCTCCGCAAGGGCGACGCAACCGCACTCGAGCGGTTACGCTACCGAGTCGAAAACCAAGGTCGCGATCCTCCAGCACAAAGTCATCAGCCTTCACTGGCCCGCGACACCATCACTCCCATTTCTCCTGCTCCCGCCGGCATGCCCGCCTACCCAAGGCCCTCCAACGGCATGCCTACATACCACCAGGCTCAACCGGCGCGCGCCGTCTCTGCACCCCGTGCCACGGTCAGGTTCAGAGAGAGTCCTTTCTATCAAGTCAAAGAAGCCCTCACAGCTACGAGAGAGTTATCAGGTATTTACTTGACTCTAAACTCCGCTTGTCCGACCACCATGCGAGACTGACTAAAGTTCCAGAAATGCCCCACAACCGTCATTCCCTCGACGAAAAGCTCTATCTCAGCGAGGCGACTTGTACATCCCTCAAGGCTGATCCTTCTCTGCGCATCATGCTTTACTGCGCAACTACCTCGACTCTCGGTCCCTACGCGTTCAACATTGACATTGCCTTCCCCAGTCAAATTGAGGTTAAGATCAATGGAGAGGAGGTGCGCAAGAGTTTCAAGGGCTTGAAGAACAAGCCCGGCACCACCAAACCTGTCGACATTACCGATCTCGTCCGCAAGACTTCAAGTGCTCAGAACATCATACACGTGACTTACGCGCTCACGAAGGAAGTACGACGAACCGTCTCCATCAAGTCATGCCAACCCGTATGCTAACTTTAGTTCAAGCGATTCTCTCTAATGGTTAATCTTGTCAAGGTGACGTCTGCCACCGATCTCGCAGCCAGGCTCAAGCAAAGTGGCAGCCGGATTCCCAGAGACACAGTCCTCCGAGAAAGTACGTTCATCAGATCTATGCGTATGCGCTGCGCACGACTAATTTCATACTTCAGTGGCTGTCAAAGCACAAGACCCGGACATTGTAACCACTTCCGCTGTCATGTCCTTGAAGGACCCCATCTCGACTATGCGCATCAGCATTCCTTGCAGATCCAACGTCTGCTCACACAACCAGTGTTTCGACGGCTCTTACTTCTTGCAGCTCCAGGAACAGGCTCCCACTTGGACCTGCCCCGTTTGCAACAAGACTCTCTCTTACCAGAGCCTCTGTGTCGACAACTATGTACAGGACATCCTAGATAAGACTTCGGGTTCTGTTGACCAAGTCACGATCGAGCCTGATGGGCAGTGGAAAGCAGTCGATCACGAAGACGACATCAACAACCGCCAGAAATCTCAGGCACGCGCAGCTTATGACAATGACAGTGACGATGACATTATCGAAATCGATGATACCCCAAAGAAGCCAGGAACCGTGGACAAGATCAAGGCTGAACACAACTCGGCAACTCCAGCTCTCGCACAACAAACACCACCAGTCTCCCGTGAAGCATCGACAGTTGCGCCTCGACCCAGCGCCAAGCGCCCTTCTGCGGCAGTCATCGACTTGACCCTATCGGACGACGAGGATGAGCCTCCACGGCCAGCTAAACGCACCAACACGAGTCAGAACACTTCCTACAATACTCCGGCGAGTCTACAAGACAGCAGGTTTGCTGACTTGACCAATAGACCGTCTAACGGAGTAGGATCTGGCTTACCACCAATGAATCCTGGCGACACTCTTGCACTACCTCCGATCAAACCACCCCAGCCGAATGGAGGATTACCACAAGACCAAAGACTACCATGGCCGTTTGGTGCACCGACTGGTCCGGCCTACAAAGACACACAAAGCTACAGCAATAGCTCCTCCAGGGGCTGAAGAAGCTAGGAGAGTACATGGATTTGACGACAGCAGCTAATGACATACGGCGAGCAACGGCGTCTTCTGGCAACATTGAAAAAGCTTGGGGGGTGTGGTTGCATTCTCTGGGGCGTATCATTTGCACGTTTCGGGGGTTCTTTGTTTTTATAGCACGGCGCGATAGGGAGGAGCTGACGATACCATGGGCGCTCATACTAGTTGATGGCGCTTTGCTTATTGAGAGATATTCTCGAAGGTCTCGGATGATCACGAATGACAAACACTTCAACTACTCTTCGAAGGACTAGTAGCTTGTAGTAGGAATTGGAAGACCAAGCACAATCTTGTTGTCCATGAGAGACGCATGATCAGAATTGGCAACAACAACGAGAATAAGGCCTTTTGAGGCATCTCGGAAGCTGTCATCTCCGTGATCCGAGTTATGAGCGTTGTGGTTTGAGAGATGAGACGAGGCGAGGGGAGATGGACGAGAGCTGACAGGGCTTGGCTGCAGATCATCGACTCAGGATGGAAACGAAAAACATACGAGTTATGGCGCTCGTATCCGAACTGGCGCCATGTCGTTGTTGTAGGATGCGCGAGTCGCGTGTATAAAAGCATGATTGGCTATCTAGGTGGCATGGCCGACACGTCGGGTTAGAGTTGACTGGTGGCAGGGGTTCGGAAGGGGCTCTTGGAAAGGCGTTCTGCTGAAACTAAGGAGGAGAGGTGCTTGACAGCGGGCGGCGGGACAAGGCGACCCTGGCGGTGCCCTGATGATTGTTGCCTTTCCGGGCAGGAGCGGGAAGCAGGTTTGGCTGAACCCTGATTCTGCGCGTCCTGCTCCCTAACCTCAGCGCTCAGCGGACGGCCAGGCCCCACTGATCCCTCATTTGCCTCTGATTGTGGTTCGATTTTTTGTGGGCTGATTCCGAGCTCCGCAGCACGCTCGCTCATTCTGCCACTTCTGATAGATAAACAAGTTGTTCTTTTTCAATCGCTTCCACGCGCCTGTCATTCTTTACCGGCTACTGCTCCTTCTGCTTTAACGCCCATACAATCCAATCTTTCCCATCCGAGCATCTCTGTGAACCCTTTTTCTCCTTTCTCCTCGCGCATCAACAACAATCCAAACTTGCACAATCACAACAGCGCCGCATAGCAATACCGCGACGATGGATGTTATCCTAGAGGTTCTCGACACATATGCCTTCGATCGACTCTATGCGACCGTTCTGCCCTTGACATCGTCAATGCTCGCCATGAGCACTGTCGGTGACTTTGCTGCGTCCCCTAATGCTACCTGGTCGACCATGGCCCGTGGTGGTGTTGCCCCCTACAAATTCGAGCCTGCCAGCCAGTACTTCTCGGTCGAGCCCAGTTCATATGCATACATGAGCCGATGGCCGCGAGACAACATGGCCAGACAGGCTGTTTCCTTGTTCCTTATCACATGGTATGCTTTGCGACTATCCAAGCAGATAGAGACTTCATCGCAGACTAACATTTTCTCAGGGTCTTTGGTCTGCTAAACTACTTCATCTGCGCCGGTCTCTCATACATCTTCGTCTTCGATAAGACAACGGTCAACCACCCCAAGTTCCTCAAGAACCAGATGCGCCTCGAAATCCAACAAGCTCTCTCAGCTATGCCCATCATGTCTGCTCTTACCGTCCCATGGTTCCTGGGCGAGGTCCGTGGCTACTCCAACATCTACGACGTCTTGCCCGCGGGCTCAGCGTGGAACCTCGGTGGCTGGTACTCGGTCCTCCAGTTCCCCTTCTTCGTCTGCTTCACCGACTTCTTCGTTTACTGGATTCACCGCGCTCTGCACCACCCTATGCTCTACAAGAAGTTGCACAAGCCTCACCACAAGTGGATCATGCCTTCGCCTTTTGCCTCGCACGCTTTCCACCCTCTCGATGGTTACGCTCAATCGCTACCCTACCACGTCTTCCCTTTCCTCTTCCCGCTGCAGAAATTCTCCTACATTGCTCTCTTCATGTTCATCAACGTCTGGACCGTCATGATCCACGACGGTGAGTACGTCGCCAACAGCCCCATCATCAACGGCGCCGCCTGCCATACCATGCACCACCTGTACTTCAACTACAACTACGGACAATTCACCACCCTCTGGGACCGTCTTGGTGGCAGCTACCGCAAGCCCAACGACGAGCTCTTCCGCCGCGAGACCAAGATGGGCACTGCCGAGTGGCAACGCCAGGTCAAGGAGATGGAGAACATTGTCAAGGAAGTCGAAGGCGCCGATGATAGAAGCTACGAGCCCGAGACCAAGAAGCTCAAGTAGACTTGTGTTTCTTCGGAATCCTTCTTTTACGACTCTTTTTGGGCAGGCGTTCTTCCACCTTTCTGGCTTCTTCACATTCGGCATGGCATCAAGCGTTGAGACCTTATCTTTGGCATTCCCCTTCTTTCGTTTTACCACCACTTCCTCTACATCTATAGATCTTCTTTCTCTCTCTACCTCAAAGACGAGGGTGTCAAGTACCTCTTTATAGGACGGCCCTCCGGTAATCACCTGTTTTTCTTCATTGCGAGAAAACAAAAAAGCAACTCTTTTCCATCAGACAACTGTTCCAGCTTCCCTTATTTGTATCTTTGTGCACGTGTGAGTATCACAGCAGCTGCTCCGTCGGGGGACCCGCTATAGGGACGGTCTGGTCCATCGATGTCTGGATCCACCATGGACGTCTCCGAGCTCTCTAGATGAACGTCTCGGGGTCGCTGAGCGAATAAGGGTTCATCGCCTGCCCTCTGCCTCTTTTCACATGCACGTTCCGGCTAGACCGATGGTAAATGAGATATTCGCTCATCCTCATCCTCTGCCTCTGCCTCTGCCTCTTTCTCGTTCTCTTTCTTTTCAATCAACACATCTAGTTCTCTGAGCGTACCGGTGCATTAAAGTCCAATGCCATCAATGGAATCCAATCTCCACCGCTAGAATTGGAAGCATGGCAGATGGGTTGATAAGGAAGAATTGCTATCGATATGATACACGTGTATGTCACAAGAGCATATCACCGACATTCCCGGAGCGACAGGCGCGAACGACCGGATTTTCAATCCCGATCTTTCCCTTGGTTTCTTTGAAGACGAGCTCGACACGTATGATTTTTCTCCTTTAAAATCAATTTGTAAAGATTTCTTCGATGATTCTATAAAGCAAGACCTTTGAACGCCCAACCGCTCGACAACCCTTGAACTATGGAAAAAGACGAACAAACATTATAGGAAGGTGGAAAAAAAAAAGTGAAAAGCAGAGAAATCAAAACCATTTCAAAGGTTCTAGTGACCACCAGTAGTAGGCAGACCAATCGAGACCTTGAACGAGTCGTAAATCAACCACTGGAAGGCAGTCAAAGTACCAATCATGACGATTCTGAGTCCAACACCCGACCACAGACCTCTGAATCCAATCTGGCCATAGATTCTGCTGACGGCCTGGCCAGCGCCTTCGCCAGCCTTGCGGTCACTGTTCAATTTACTGACCATGACATCGGCAGGGTGCGAGACAACAGCGCATCCGATACCAGCAATGTAACCACCGAGGAAGGAGACACCGGTTTGAGCAAGAGTACCGTAGGTTTCCTTGGGAGCACCGAGTTGCTTGTAGATCTGTGCGACGGCGGACTCGAAGGTTGCGAATTTGACCATGGTGTAAGGGATCTGACGAGCCCAGAGGGGGTACAGACCCTTGTAGAGACCAGCATATCCTTCTTGCGCGACAACCTTGCCCCATCCCTCACGAAGGTTGGATGCAAAAGGAGGCAGTGTAGTCTGCATGCGGACCTTGAGGGCCTCGAAGGGGCACAAGAACAAATCGGCAATGGCCTCTGCGGTGGCAGAAGCACCGAGATACACAATAGTCTTGTTGGTGTTTGGGAACAGCTTCTCGCCATAGGTGTATTTGAAGAACTCGTAGGCGCCGTACTTGCCAGCTCCCTGGAACGAGTATCCGATGAAAGTGGGAGACCAGCCGAAGAAGACGCCGCGGAGGCCTTCTTTACGGAAGATTGTGCTCCAGGCTTGGAGGTTGGACGAGTAGAGCTTGCTGTCTACTTGGCGACGGCATTTTACCAGATCCAGAGGGGTGACGGCTGTGTGGGTGGGTCCGCAAGCTGTGTTTGACGGTCAGTCACTGCCAGTCTGCTCGGGATGCTATCACCGCTAACCAATGATTCCGCCCAACGTGCAAGCAGCAAAGTAGGTGCCAGAGAATAGCTCAATGTTTCTCTTGGGAGTAACAGCGCCAGGCGCTTCGGGCTTTGTTTGAACCATTGTTGTCGTGTTTTGGAATTGGAGCTATCAAAGCTATGATGTAATGTTGGCAGCGGTCCAGTATAGAGAGCTGGAGTAAGCTTGACGAGAACCAGGCGAGGCGACAACACAACACAAGAACCAAGCACGAGACAAGAGAGGAGATGGACAACAAAGCAGGAAGTCGAACAGAAGCAGACTTGGAACAAAAGTAACTTGACGGAACGGGTGTTCTCCAAACCGCTTCTTCCCCTCGGATGCTACGGCGATGATGTCAGTCTGGAGCTCGCGCCGGAGTCGTCGGCCGTTGATGCCGACCACCGACTTATCGTTTTCCCAACCACTGACTGCATCCTTACCAGCCGTGTTGAGATAAAGACAAGCCGAGGTAAATCTCTAGCGATTGCAGCTGTTTCTGGCTGAATACTCCGTTATGGTCTAAATTTTGATATAGTGCTTATATGGTAAGGAATGCTTCGCTGATGAGTCTACTGCTTTGAAATGAGAAAAATGAATGTCTGACCAGAGAGACACCAAGAAACAAAACTCCTTTCCCCTTTCTCGTTCACCGAGATGATCGTCTCCCAATTCACCATGATCCGCCATGCCTTGAAAATCAACACCGTAAACGCCCCGAGCAAACCAGACTTTGTGCATCCCCGTGCTCCTGGTCCCCTGTCTTTCTTGAAGTTGTTTAGTCTCCTGACATCCTTGCGCCAATGCTTCCCTTGAAAACAGTCGTAAGATGCCTCAACGCCATGTCATCCCTGAGCGCGCAGCCTTTTCATGATGACAGGACCGGCGAAGATACCTCCATAGCCCGTGGGGTCTCGTCTGTCATGATCGTATCCTCGACCTGGTTCTCAGATGCATCCGCATCTGAGATGTGCATCGGCGAGGGTTCGCTGGCAGGCAGCATAGGCCTCGAGACGATACCAGGGCTCGACACTGTGCTGCTTATTACGTCCTCCGGTGGAGCAAAGCTCCAGACCTCCATGACTGTCTTGCCTTGCCTAGACGCAAGGACAACTGCTTTCTCTTCTTCGAATACAACACGCCAAACTGCCTCGGCGGGTTGTCCGAGCTCTCGTACGAGACATCCGCGTTGAAGATCCCAGACTTTGACGCGACCGTCGGATCCACCAGATACGATGCGCGACTCGTCGAACTGCAGCGACGTCACGCTGTTATCGTGCGCCGCAAGACGATGTATGGGTGTGTAGGATTGCAATGACCAGACTCTAACACTGCCATCGCTGCCGCCAGTCACGAGTGTGTCACCGCGTAGCTGCAATTGACCAACGAGAGACGTATGTCCTTGGAGGATTGCCAGGCATTTGCTGTAAAGTGTCAGTGACTCGTTTCAAGTTAGATGTCAGAGAGAGAGAGGCTTACCCATCCGCAACATTCCAGACACGGACGCTAGTATCCAGACTGCCTGTAGCAACACGCTTTCCGTCGAAGGCGACTGCATAGATCTGACTGAAGTGACCTTGTAACGTCCGGAGGCATCGTCCTTCGCTAATGCTCCAGATTCTCGCAGTAGTATCGTAACTTCCAGAAACGACCAGGTCTCCATGGATCTCGAGACAGCGAACACTTGCTTGGTGACCCATGAGTACGTGCTTGCAAATACCCTTCTCGATGTCCCAGATGCGAAGAGTAGTGTCGCGAGAGCCAGAAATGGCTGTGGTAGCATTAGACATCTTCAGACAACGAACCGTAGAAGTATGACCGCGCAGCATGTGAATAGGTTGGCTATCCGAAACAGTTAGCGTTGTGCTTGATCACATTGGTTGACACCAAGAACTCACCCGGTCGCCATGTTCCAAACACGAACATCTCTGTCGCAGCCACCTGACACCAAAGTGTCGCCCCAAGGTACCATTGCCCACACGCCCATGACGTGACCCTGCAGACATCTCAGGTGCTTGCCCTCGGTGTCGAAGACGTGTATCTTTGCATTATCCAGAGCGACAATGATGTACTTGTCGGTGAGATGCAAACTGGTTACGACACCTTGATCTGGGGTAATCTGTCTTTGGTCGACCTGGCCCCCCGTTCTCCAGGCTGTTTCGACCTGATATTTTTGCTTGAAGTGAGAGCGGTAAGTCATGGCTTGAGGTCTTCTACGAATGGCCGAAGAAGGCAAGACTGGAGCAGAGGTTGTTCTATCCAGACTTTTGACGCGACTGATGTCAGGGATCGAGGTGCTGAAGCTGGCGAGTGCGGGGTTATGTATGCGCAGAGCATGAGTGGCAAAGCTGAGAGAAGGTCCCGAGTGCGAGGGGGACGAATGTTGCTGCCTGGTATTGGTCGAAGGAGTGTCATCTGACATACGGCGATATGCATGTTTCTCGCACAGGCTCTTCCACGCCATGTCGTCGCTGACCAGTTCGTGCCATCGTCTTGAAACCTGTGATGAGCGGGCAAGTGTCTTGGCATCATCGATGAATGTGAGTATCTGTAGTCATGTTAGGATGTGGGCGATGAAAACAGGAGCAGGCTTCATACCCTCAAGCAAAGCTCATTAGGCAAAACTCCGAATGGATCTCTCTTCAGTCGAGGTGCAACAAAATTGGCAACAAAACCCAATAGTTTGCCGTCGCAATCGCCCAACAGCTCCGTCAAGATGCGTTTGCGTTCGTCGTTGTTCATGTCGGAAAACAGGTTCTTCATATGCCTGAGCCTCAAGCCTTTATCCACAGTGAGGGTACCTTCGCTTCCAGCGTCATCCAGATCTCCATCTTCTCTCATAAGCAAATCGAGAGACGGTGCTCTCGTAGAAGTCCAACTTGGAAGACGGCGTCCAGGCGTTGGAGACGGAGCTGGGGTCGGAGGAGATGCTGGCGCTGAGGGGAGTAGGTTGCCGGGAATAACATTTGGATTTGACGGGATCGGTATGGGCACGCTCGTCGACGAAGAAGATGATAATGAGCGTGCCGAGGGTCGCGAGACTGAAGCTGGGGGCTGCTTGTGATGACGCTGACCAAAGATGCGCGCTTCACTGCCCGACGCGGCTTCGGGGTCGTATTCGACAGGCATGGATAAGGGACGCTGGGCTTGTGGATATGAGGGGTGCCAGTCCGATGGGTCGTCCATGGTTGTTATGTGCTGTGCCGGGTGCACTGGGAGTGCGTCGCTCCTGTCTTTGTTCGGGCGCTGTCTACCCTCGTGGTCGAGCGGGCTTGCGATCGGATGGCAGATTGGCGGGGACGATGGCGATCACCGACGGCTCAGTGTTTGTCGAACGCGGGACCAAGACCGGGGTTTGGGGAGAGAAGAGACGCGATCGTTGGTGTTTATGTTGCGGAAAAGGCGTGATTGAGGGCGAGAGATGTAGGGAAAAATGGCCTCGTTGCGCAATGCGGACTAAGAAGGTCGAGGCCGGGAAACTATCAAGAGTCAAGACGTGCTTGCTCTGAAACACCACAAGACGCCTGAACAATAACCTCGCCCTACAATTTGCTGCCTCAAATCAACTCCTATATTGAGCCTGACTCGCACCTTTTCGTTTCGCTTCGACTTCTGTTCTTTCGTCTTTCTTTACAGATCGTTATCAATATCGATAGCCCATGTCGGTGGTAGAGACAACAATCAGTTGCAAACGGTCACCACTCTCGCCAAGCCACCGTTCTGGCCTACATCCCCGATTCCAACCCTGTTCTTGATGACGTGAAATGCGCCTCCCTCTAAACTCAATCTAACTATGATTTCTGTAGAGCACTCACGAGTCCACCAACTGTGACCAAACTCCCTTGAGGTCACTTCCACAGTCGAGTCTGTCCTTGGGTCAAGCAGCTCTGGTCACGCTGCATTCCGCATTCGTCCATGCCCAGTGACTGTGCAGGCCGTTGAGCCTCTCCGCACTGATACTGTTGCCCACCGGGCCTGCATGCAGCGAACTAATACCGCTGCCTGCCATCTATACCGTTGCCATTGTCCGGCCATCGCATTGTCCACGAGTTGAGACCTGTCTCGCGCAACTACGTCCAGACACACGGTTTCGCGAAGCCTGTGTCTCTCATCGATGCCTGAGCAAAGTGCTTGTTGCGACGTCAACTCGCCAATAATATGGACTAACATCTGTCACAAGACTCGAAAGGCATGATCCATCCAGATGGTAATTCATCAGAAAACTGTCAAATTTGACCAAGCATTAATCTACATGTCGACATCAATGACCGTGTCCGAACACTTGTGTCAGAAGTGGAAGCAGCATTCCGCCTACTACAGCCAGCGTGTCGGTGAGCACAGGACCTTCTTGTTTGTTCGATGCTGGCTGGTATCCGTCATACACGTTCGAGTCGCCATAGCCGTTGGGAGTGGCACTCCCCATGTCATGGCCATGTTTCGTGTCTTGCATGGCGTGCATTGCTACGTATCTGTTTGGTGCGTTAGAGGGAGAAACACAGTGCATGCTAGGTGACTGCTCGACTTACAAGAAAGTGCCTCCTGAGAACAGCAACAGCAACCCGGTGAAGAAACGAGTGCCGTGTTCGTTCTGGCCAATACCTCCTTCGAAGATGTTGACAAGTGCCCAAGTCAGTAATGCGCCGATCGGTGCGGCTAAGCTGAACACAATAAGGTGGTTACGTGCCCTTCTCTTGGAAAGTCCTTGTTTGAGCAATGCCGAGGTCAGACCAAACGCTGCAGGTGCCTTGTGTATCATCAAGGCCACAAATACGATGAATCCCAATCTTCGCGACGAAGCAGTTGAAGATGCTCCAAGCGCAATTCCATCTGCTGCAGCATGGATCACCAATCCTACAGTGGTTGAGGAAGGGCGTGATTGTTGCATAGGGTCCGGGGGCGGGCCGTCCAAGTCTTCTGGTTCAGAAGATTGGTTTGCAGATCTCTGGAGATTGAAGCGATCCAGCGCTATATGGAATCTCTGTGGTTGGTAAGAAGCTGCCGCATGGCGAGGCAGTTGATCGATCAGGTACATCAAGACGAAGCCCATGACTAGAGAGACGCCAATCCAGGCATGAGGCTCCCAATCATCGTGTTCTTCTGACCCATGCTCTTCTGCTTTGTGATCAGGCTCTTTCGGGGGTATATTTCCGTCCTCCGGGCGTCCATCATCGGGTCCAGTCAGATCCGTATCTCTGGTGTAGACTTGGGCGAAGGTTGTGAGGTCGCGTTGTGACAATGCCAGGGACGTCGCGTCACCCAACCCATCCTGACTCTTATATTCCAACGAGAGCGATCTTCCTACATGGGTATGGCCCACCTCGCGGGCACTGTACAGCGTCTCAATGCCTTCTGGTACGATGACAATCAGTGCTGTCCCTACGAGAACACCAGTACCAATTGCCGTTGTCAATCGAAGCTGGCGTTGAGAAAGAGAGAAGGATAGAGGTAGAGAGCCGGCGAGAAAGGAACTGGTCGCATAGTGTAAGTTCTCGTGGTTGTTTTGTGTACAGAGGGATGCCCACGTACGCAATTGTCATGATAGTGCTCAAGACGAGCAGCATGAAGAGTCCTGACCACATGTCGACTGATGGGGCTATTATGATCTAGGTGTCAAATCGTCCAAAACATGTCGCATTGCTGCAGACGATTTCTCGAGCTTCTACGGATGATGATGCCAGCTGAAAGGTGACGAGCGCAAGGTCCCACTCGAGCCTGAAACAGAGAAGCCAGGGCTGCCCCACCACCGTCTATATTTGACATCATCAGGATCGATTGTCCCTATTTCCCTATCGTTTCTCGTAGTATAACAAAGATAAATCGATTATGTTGCAGCTTAGCAGTAGATCTGGTGGAGTTGAGTTTAGCATAGACTATGGGAGGTCAGGTGGCGCCTTCCTTCGCATCAGAACCTTGATTGCTTTGTAATTGTGACGGTTGGACATATACCTCCTCATCTGCAACCAACTCATGACCAACTTCCATGTCCTCATCATACCATCTTCTGAACATAACCACATCTCAAATCCTTGATAACTTCTCCACCTCTTCTCAAGATGAAGCTTTTCGTGTGAGTGTATACAATATTGTTCACATAATGCACTGCTAACCAGCTTCCAACAGAACTGGAGCCACTGGCTACATCGGTGGTGATGCGCTTTATGCCATTGTCAAAGCTCATCCCGAGTACGAGATCACAGCGCTAGTTCGCAACAGTGACAAAGGTGCCCAAGTCGCAGTCGAGTACCCAAAAGTGAAGCTAGTCTATGGCAATTTGGACTCCTCCGATCTTCTAGAAGAAGAATCAAAGAAGGCAGATGTCGTATGCCGTAAGTCTTGACGCTGTACTCCATGTCTCTGCACCACACTGAAGAGTCATCAGACTGGGCAGACGCGGACCATGAAGTGTCTGCCAAAGCCATCATCAAAGGTCTCTCGACTAGAGAATCCGAGACACCAGGATTCTTGATTCATACATCCGGAACTGGCATTCTCATGTACACAGATCTCGACCAGCGAATGTACGGTGAAGACGCCAATAAGATCCATGATGACTGGGATAACGTCCAGGAGATGATCACCGGCATTCCGGACCATGCACCTCACAGGAACGTTGATAAGATAGTTCAATCGGTGCGCGATGGACACACCGTTAAGAGTGCCATCGTCTGTCCTCCGTGTATCTACGGAGCTGGCAGAGGCCCGGGTAACCAGACCAGCGTTCAAGTGCCCGTGCTTGCAAGAGGCACCTTACAACAAGGTCATGGCATCCAAGTTGGTGCTGGCAAGACCTTCTGGACTCAGATTCACGTTCACGACTTGTCAGATCTCTATCTCAAGCTTGTGGAAGCAGCTTCGAACGGCGGTGGATCTGCTACCTGGAACGATGAAGGCTACTACTTCTGCGAAGCAGGGGACCTCGTATGGGGAGATGTAGCTCGTCAAGTAGCCAGATCTGCTCACAAGCAAGGCTTCATCAAGGACGATCAGGTCAAAGAGTGTTCACCTGACGAAGTAAAAAAGATTCATCCCTTCGGAGCTGCATTGTGGGGATGCAATTCTAGATGTCGTGCTATAAGAGCCGGGAAGCTGCTGGGGTGGAAGGCTTCCTCTCCTAGTCTGAAGGAGGAAATTGATGCCACTATCTTGGCCGAAGCAAAGAAACTGGACTTGGTTGTTGGCCATGCTAAGGTTGCTGCTGGAGAAGCATAAGATTCGAGAAACTGGTTAAGGAAATCGCTCAGATGCAATATTTGAGAGGCATGGCAATTTAACGTCACTAGCAAGGCTCGTCTTAGGACCAACGGGGGGAATGAGAGCAGCTTCATATTTAGTACATGTGACTATGTTCAGCTATCAGCACTTTCGATCTTTGCTGCCTTGGCCCACTCTCCGTTCCCTGCTGCGCTTTCCTGGCGGATTGCGTACAACTCATCGATGAAAGCCGGGACGAAGGTGCCAGGGCCTCTGACAGAGTCCATCTTCGCAGCCCTCTCAGCAGCGATCTCATACATCAAGATACCTGTGACAGCGGCGAGCAGTTTGTCTTCTCTCTCGATAGCCAGCATACTTGCAATCGTCGTGCCCAATGTGCAGCCGCTTCCGGTTATCTCGCCCAGGTATGAGTGTCCATTGCCGATCTTGAAAGTGCGTTTTCCATCAGAAATGACATCTACCTCACCAGTCATTAGGACCACGTTACGCTCCTTTGCTGCAACAGATTTGACAAGTTCGACGCGGTCATCGAGATTCAAGGTGGAAGCACCACTGTCCACGCCATGTTGCTTGAAGCCAGTGGCCCCAGATACAGTGCGAATTTCGCCCTCGTTGCCCTTGATAACGTCGAAGTAGCCACCACGCATCAGTGCTGCAACACCTTCACGACGCTGTTGAGTAGCTCCTGCACCGACAGGGTCGAGCAAGATAGGTCCGCCAACACTGTTGTAAGCTGCGATGGTGTTCAAGTGGTGAGCACGCATCTCTGGGGTGGTGGTGCCCATGTTGATAACAAGACTACCGCCAAAAGACGCAAGATCGTTGGCTTCCATGCTGTTGTTCGACATGATGGGGCTCGAGCCGACGGCCAGAGCGACATTTGCAGCAAAGTTCTGCACAACCAGGTTGGTCATGTTGTGGCAAAGAGGCTTCTTGCTGGCCAGACGCTTGACAAGCTCGGGAATCCTACGCACAATGTCCTCGTGAGAGAGTGCTGGAGCAGATATCGAAGTAGCGAAAGGAGGAGGACTCGCAACAAGTTCGCGCAGATCAGAGGCTGCCTTCTTCGGGTCTTTGGCAGCCATGATGGCACTGACGACGGCAACACCATCAAGACTCTTCTCGGCTGCCGCAGTCTGGTAGAGCACACGCTGGCAGTTCTTCGCATTGATGCCACCGATACAGACTGTCTTGATCTCGGGTGTGGACTGAGCCAGAGCTGAAAGAATGTGCTGGACTCCAGAGGTTCCGATAATAGACTTTGTATTTTCCTTCGTGGGAGTAGCAAAGACAGTTCCCACGCCCAGGTAGTCGGCTCCTCCTTTGGCGGCAATCTCGGCTTCCTCTAGAGAGTTTGCAGTCACACCGATGATGGCGTCCTTTCCGAGTAGTCTGCGAGCAGATGCGAGGTCTGACATGCACAGTCAGATTTACGAGTCGGATGAGGAGAGCACGGCATAGATCGGAAGCTTTACTGAAGCTTCAAACTTGCTGAAGGACGATGCATGGTATGGAAAAGAATGCGTACCGATGTCATCTTGGCCAATGTGGACTCCCTCAACACCAGCAGCCAGAGCTACGTCTACCCTATCATTAATGAGGAGCGGGACGTTGGCGGGCTTGGTTATATCATGAAGAGCCTTTGCAATGCGAATCTGCTCGGCAGTGTCGCTGGTCTTGTCACGCAGTTGAACAATAGTGACGCCTGTTGGAATGTCAGATCGAGTGGGTTTTATTTATGACTGTTCTCGCACCTCCTTCTACGGCAGCACGAACGACTTCGACAAGATCCTGGTCGCCGAGGATGGCAGGAGTGTTGTCAGTCACCAGATATACAGAGTAATCTACGTGCATCTTGGGCTACAATACGATGTTCAAACAAGTGTAAGGGCAGGTTTACGGTTGGGAAGAGGAATCAACCGATCCCGGCGTGGAGTCACGGCAGAATCTAAATAGCTGCTTTGCACACCATCCGATAGTCGCTGTCACTGTAAAAGAGTTTCCATGTACTTCTTCACCCATCGGGACGGAGCAAAAGACCTGTCCAGTTCACTTCAGCCGAGACTTGAAGCAGCAGCACCGTAGCATAAAAATTGCAGATGCTGCCTACACGGCACAAAGATGAGTCTTTCTCGAAGCTTTGATGGACATGTGAGACTTTGAGACGACGATCAAGCTTCGATGCATGCCGGACAATCACAACGACTGCAGCACGTGCAGCACCAATAGCAGCTTCAAGACAATTCATAAACGCGTTCCACATGCATAGGCAGACTTTGAACATAGTCTACTTGTTGCTTTGATGCCTGTTGCTCGTGAACACAGACATGGTCAAAGGGTCATGCATTGGAAGGACAACGGTCGCGATCACGCGTTGTAGCCAAGCTCGAGCGCTCTTGCGGGGCGGCGGGACAAAATCTTCAGCCACAAGCGCACACTCAAGGCAGGAACTGGCTTTCGACGCTGCCTCTCCTCCTTCCTCTTTCTCTTCTTGTTCTTCTTCTTTCCTCTTCCTTCCACACACAACACGGAGACATACTGTGTTTGCTCGGCCTCTGAGACAACAGACCAACACTCCCTATCCTCACGCTCGCCCCTACTCCGGATCCGAGTTCAAACCCACCAAAACCCGCGACTTTCAGACCACCGCAGGCAGTTTATGTATTCGTCCCGCCGCTCTCAACGACTCGCAGTTCCGGACCCTCCCAAGCTGCAACCCTTTCGTATATTGCGAAGACCTTGTAGCAACCAACTCACCAACGACTGAGCAATTGCATGTTGTCGACTGATATCGCCAACCCACCCGCAATCTCCTACATCTCAAATTCTTCCTAAACCAATTTTTACAAACAACCACCAACAACCGCAACCATGGCTGGAGGTTCTGTCAACATCCGTCGCGTACGTACACTCCCTATGCCAGACTACCACTCGCATAGTGTTAACACCATCTGCAGGACATCAGCGATCCCTTCTACCGTTACAAGATGGAGCGTCTTCAATCCAAGATCGAAGGCAAGGGCAACGGTATCAAGACTGTCGTCGTCAACTTGAGCAACGTCGCTCAGCAGCTTGCACGCCCTCCTACCTGTGAGTCACTTCCGACAACTCAAATCATATCTGCCATATGCTAATCACATCTAGACGTCATCAAGTACTTCGGTTTCGAACTCGGTGCCCAGACCACCAACGACCCCAAGGATGACCGCTGGATTATCAACGGAGCCCACGAGGCTTCCAAGCTCCAGGACTACCTCGATGGCTTCATCAACAAGTTCGTCCTTTGCAGAAGTTGCAAGAATCCCGAGACCGTCATTAGCATCAAGGACCAGCGCATTCTCATGGACTGCAAGGCTTGCGGTACCATTACCGAGGCCGACCCTCGCCAGAAGCTGTCTTCCTTCATCCTGAAGCAGCTCCCTGCCAAGGGCAAGAAGGACAAGTCCACCAAAAAGGCTGAGCGCAGAGCTAGAAAGGAGGCCGAGCGCAACGGCACTGCTGTCAACGAGGATGGCAACGGCAGCCCCAACGGCAGCTCTGACCAGGACGACGATGATGGTGATCTCGCTCTCGATGCCGGCAGCGATGATGAGCTCACTCGCCGCATTAACGCTGAGGCACAAGAGCTTGACGAGCCTGAGGAGGAGAAGGAGGTCGAGTGGGAAATTGACATGTCTGAGGAAGCCATCAAGGCTCGTGCCAGAGATTTGCCTGCCGACCTCAAGCGTGCTCTTGTCATCGAGGGTGCCGAAGACGAGGACGGTGAGGGCAACCCTTACGACCAGTTCGGCAAGTGGATCCTGTCTGAGGGTGAAGCCAAGGGTGGTGTCTCCAAGCTTGATGATGTTGAGGTTTACCTCAAGGCCAAGGAGCTCGGTATAGAGACCAAGCACAAGACTGTCGCAGTTCTCGCTCAGACCATCTTCGACGAGAATATTGTCAAGCAGGTCGAGGCCCGTAGCAGCATGCTCAAGCGTATGATCTCTTCCGAGAAGCACGAGAAGGCTTTCCTCGGTGGTTTCGAGCGCTTCGTTGGTATGGAGAAGCCTGATCTCATTCCTCAGGTCTCTGCCATCCTTCTTCAATACTACCAGAACGATCTTGTCTCGGAGGAGACTCTCAAGGCTTGGGGCTCCAAGGCCAGCAAGAAGTACGTCGACCTGCCCACCAGCAAGAAGGTTCGCAAGAGCGCCGAGAAGTTCATCGAGTGGCTCGAGACTGCTGAGAGCGACGAGGATGATGAGGAGGAGTCCTCCGACGAGGAGTAAGTGGTCATTGCAACCCTACCAGAAATGTTACGGATCACAATTACCAAGTTACGACACTCCACTCTTGGATATGACGAGCTACCGTCAGGAGTCTTGCTTCGTGTTGCAGTATAATTAGCTTTTAGTAATTGCTAGTCTGTTCTGAGGCGCCTAATAAAGTTCTACTCCTCTCACATAAATCTTGTGCATTCGTAATATTGTGACGCTGTTAAGTGAACATATCACCTGTCGAGCATGATGAGTCGTGAAAGTCGTCTCTCCACGCTTCCTGAAATCACGAAGTTCAGCGCGCACCGCATCTCTTTTCCCAACCACAAAACTCACAACCAACAATGACATAACATATGCTCTCTCTCCAGTGACGTGTCGGCCACTGATCTCTAACAACCACCATCGCCATGGAAAACAACATTCCGCGCAACACACCTGCGCTACTCGGTACGATTCTGTCCCGCGCCAAACAAGAAATGCATCGCCAGATACTTACGCATGAGGACAGCGCGCATCGATCAAATACGCAACAGCTTGTTCAACAGATTTGAAAAGCTACTCAAACAAGCTCAGGTATGTAACGAGGAAGAACGAGTATCAAGCCGACGACCAAAAGGTCCTTGGGATTGCAGACATGGCTGACGTTTGAGATATGGGCTGACGAGTATGTCGAAAATACAGATTGAAAACAACGATCGCAATAGTACTGCTTTGAGCCAATATCAGATGCAGATTGAGACTGCCGCTTTGGTGAGTTTCGACAGTCATGCTTCTGCGTTTTTTCTGTTTCTTTCTGGGTTCTTTTGCTCCTCTTGTTTACATATCCTTTTTGTCTGTTGCCCAAACACCATTGTATTCTTGCAACAATGCGGTCTCAAGTCTTTTGGCGGAGATGTCAATCTCCAAAGAGGCAGAGGCAGAGACACAATCTTTGCAATGTATTCTAATATGCTTCTCAGATACGCGCGAGCGAAGACCTCTTGACCCTCACACGCCAAATGCAGGAACTATGGCTGTTTGGGCAGCTTAAGACATTGGACAAGAATGATATCCAAGGACGTATTGATACAGATGCGAAAGAGGTTGCTGAGATGCTTGCTGTGCTTGTTGGAGGCGAGCAAGAGGGAAACGCGATGAGGGTTGAGAGTTGAGATGATGCTGTCTTCTATTGATGCTCTGCTATAAGGGGGCAAATCAAGCTGAGTAGACACATCATGGTACTCTGCCATCTTCGGCTGGCATTGATTTTCCTCTTCGGCAAATACATCTTCCCTCAGTCCCAGCCATCAAAGGTGACCCTGCCGCCTCTTCATCTTCCAAAACAGCGTAACCACGGCAGACCTCGGAGCTACTTCGAACATACCGCGGCCCAAGTCGGACAACTCGCAATCCACAGTTGCATATTCCAAAAAGCTTCTTTTCTCGTCCAAGATCCGAGTCACAATAATTCGGCACCGTTGACATGTGTGTGTTTGTTCTCTCGGGCCAGAGGGGACAAGAGCCTCGGTAGAAAGAAAAGCCAAGCACACACCTTCCCCGGATCGGCCTTTTGCGGAGAAGCAGAGTGGAAGCGCACATGTCAGAAACGTCATCTTTGAGATGTTTTCTGCTGCAGTCGGCAATGGAATTGTTGCAACTGCAACAAGGACGAGAGGTCGACTCAATGAATACAGACGTCAATCTAGGAAGAGAGATTGCTATATCCAATGTCTAGAAAGAATGCATGACTCGGCATATTGGGATGGAGAGTTTCGATCTTGGATGGGCAGTTTAGGAACACACAATACCGAGGTGCATCCATTCGCCCATTTTGTCGTCTGGGCCTCCGAGAGGTAACCGATAAAACAAAGAGGGTCTTATGACTCAAAAAGTAACGACTGGGGCTCATGATGAGGTCAAATAGGACGTAGGTTCTCTCTCGCTTTTGTGTTTCCCCTTCATCCATCATTTCGTTCTGTTCCACTTGGTGTTTACTACGAGCGTGCATATCCCCTCGAACCGCATTGGGGTTTCCCGCGGATTGGACCACACTCAGAACAACACAGCTCCTCGAGACTCGAAAATCCCTCGAGAACGAATACAATAGGAAGGAAGAACAACCTAAGACCTCGTTGCTTCGAACCCAGTACCTTTGCCTCTCTAAAGCTTCAGAAGCAGCAAGAGAAATAGAAAAGATAAACAACCATGTCAGCGAAATCGACAAAAGGCCCCGGCGGCAAGAAACCAGCCTCAGCAGCAACAAACCTCGTCGCCGGCGGCGGAGCAGGCATGATGGAAGCTCTCGTGTGCCACCCCTTGGACACGATAAAAGTGCGCATGCAACTCTCGAAACGCTCACAGCGTGGTGTAAGTCTCCTCTCTGCCCATCTCACCCACACCAAACCATGTCTCTGATAAGAGTCACAACAGGGCACCCGTCGCGGCTTCATCCAAACCGGCGTCCAGATCGTAAAACGCGAAACCCCGCTCGCCCTCTACAAAGGCCTCGGCGCCGTCTTGACCGGCATCGTTCCCAAAATGGCCATCCGCTTCACCTCGTACGAATGGTACAAGCAAGCCTTGGCCTCCGAGTCGGGCGAAATCACCTCGAAAGCAACGTTTACCGCTGGCCTCCTCGCAGGAGTCACCGAAGCCGTTGCCGTGGTGACTCCCATGGAAGTCGTAAAGATCAGATTGCAGGCTCAACACCACAGTATGGCTGATCCTTTGGACATTCCCAAATACAGGAATGCGGCTCATGCTTTGTATACTGTTGTCAAAGAGGAAGGCGTGGGTGCTTTGTACAGAGGTGTTTCGCTCACGGCGCTCAGACAGGGAACCAATCAAGCTGCAAACTTCACCGCGTATACCGAGCTCAAGGCTTGGTTGCAAGAGCGCAGCGGACACCCTGAAGCTGGGTTGCCTGGTTGGCAGACTGCGTTTATCGGGTTGATTTCTGGTGCTGTGGGCCCGTTCAGCAATGCGCCGATTGATACCATCAAGACTAGGTTGCAGAAGACCCCTGCGCAGCCTGGTGAGACGGCTATTGGCAGGATCGTGACGATCGGAAGTCAGATGTGGAAGCAGGAGGGTATTAGGGCGTTCTGGATGGGCATTACACCGCGTGTCATGCGTGTTGCTCCTGGTCAGGCTGTCACGTTTGCTGTTTATGAGTACCTGAAAGAGATAATGGAGAGAGGGAGAGATATGCAACCGGGCGGTAGTTATGAGGAGTAAGAGAGAAATAATACCGAGATCTGAGTCCACCTACCGCTGCAATAATGGTTTCTTTCCACGCCTGTGCTTTCTTGCTGGCGATAGTAGCAGTGATGACGAATGGTATGATTGAAGTATGCCATTGGTTCATCGCAGGCGATGGAGATGTATATGCAAAGTATCTATCTTCTTCCAGGTCTCTTGGGTCTTGCAAAGGTTTTGCTTTCGACCTTTTGCTCTTGGAACTCCGAGGCCAGAGTGCTTGCCGACCACTCATCTGGCTCGCTGGCTTCGAGTCTCTTTGTGATGTTGAGGCCGACATTGGATGCCAGAGTAACGAGCTGCGAACGTGACGAAGCGTAGACCATGCGCTCCTTGATCTTGCTCTTGCCAGGGCAGCTGTACAGGAAGACGACGCCTTGCTGACCAGGATAGTTGTAGAACGAGTAGCGAGGTTCCGACGAGCTGATCTCGGAGCTGAGGCTGGCGGGCTGGATGTCCTGCTTCGAAGCATCGAGGTGTAGTGTCTCGGTGGGAACGTCAATTTTCTGTTACCACTGTTAGACTCACTCGACAGATAACGCACCGTGTCCGCAACTTACAATCATAACCAGAGAGCCCTCACGAGAATCCTTGAGACCCTCAAGGGCATTAGTAACCTCGTCGCCCAGGTTGAGAGCAATGCCTGCACTGGGCAGACTCCTACCACCAGTGCCTCCACTCTCCAACGCCTCGGTATCCTTGATGTGCTTCAAACCAGCTTCTTCCTCAGTCAAAGGCGCATCCAAACGGTTGTGCTTCTCATGACGGTCCCAACCCTCGGGAGTGAGCTCCTCAGCAGTAGTGCAGAACACAGTCTCGCGGAACCTCTCGACGCCCAATTCACGCACCAGCGTCAAGCGAGTGGACGCAAACAACATCTTCTGACGCACATTGGCGGTATCCGGGACGTATGTTACGGCAACGTAGCCGTCGGCTGCCGAGCCATCTTGCTTGAGCAGAATATATCTTGCTTCGTCTTTGCTGAGGTGTTGCGAGAGACCAGATAGATCGCTGCGGAAGTCCTGGTTGGCTTGGAGGGTCTCGAGGGGTACGAGGGTTTCGTTCTTTATGGTTGCCAGGAGGCCTCGTTGTGATGATGAGGACACGAGTTTGTTGAACGCATCGTGCAATTCTTGCGACGCTGTGAATTGATTGGTTAGTTCCACAGCTAGATAGTGAGTACTAATAGATAAGTACCTGATATTCCTGACTGCATTTTGTGTTGTTGTGTGAGTAGTGTCGGAGAGAGATGGCGGTCGACTGCCCCTCGAAGCTCAAACACGAATTCAAAGCAATGACGCGTTTCATCTTCTCCGAGTCAACACTGACTTGTTCACCTCATCTTTTGCCCTTCGGACTTCTCATGTGCCAAAGGTTGCAACTCCCACGCTTCTCCTACTGCCGGGTCTCAAAGCGATGGCCTCATTGTGAAAGGATACAACTGGGTTTTTGATCAGAGATGACACCATAGAGAGCCCAGAATGGATCGCATCTCTGTAGCTACACGCCTTACGACCCTTTACGTATGTACTGGATGCAACATCTGTTTGTTGTGAATAATTTGTTACGAATACATTATGTTCGTTACTCGCTATGTTCAATAATCATTACGCCAGTCCATGCCTGATATTACGGAGCCATCGTTCAGTCATCAGTTTCTCCTCCTGGAGTCACCTTCATTGCTTTGGTGGCCATTAGCCTGACCGCTCTCTTCATCTTGAGATCCTGGTTGGGGCATGGTGTAGCTTCCATTCCATGCGTCTTTCCTTCCACCTCTGCTCTTCTCATCCTGCTCTTGCTCTCCATCACCCAGCCAGTCCTCGAGTCCAGGAGCAGAGAACAAGCTGCCCTGCCAGAACCCTCTGTAAACTGTCTCCAGAGCACAGAAGAGCCACAGAATGGTCGCAATCACGACCATTGTCGCTGCCCATCCTCTCATGCCGTCATCGCGTAGGTCGCGAGAAAGGAAACACCATGCATTTGCATACGATGCGATTGGGAACACTGCACTCCAGTACGCGATGTTGAACTGAAGTTTTGGCAGCGACATGAGTATGCTCATTGTACCCTGCACCAGCCAGAATGTGGCATGGGCGATGAGGAAGAGGTGCAGGATAATGCCCATCCAATGGATCACCTCGGAAGTTGCGAGAAGTGTGGCCTGAGAAAGTGGTGGTGGGTTCACCTGCGTTGGTGCATAACCATTCTTGATGTATGTGGCCAGGAAAATGCTGAATCTCTGGATCGCAAATGCTCCTTGACTGAGAGCCGCCACAGGAAGGAAACTTCCGACCATCAGAGGCGCTGGTGGTGTCTTGTCTGCGATTAAGCGGAAGAAGTATATGGTGATGATCATGGTGACTTCGGCGATAGCAAAAGACCACGCCATGAATCCTGTGACGAGTAATGCTATGGCGCATTTTGTACTCTCCATGTACACAAAAGGCACAATGGAACTAGCGGTCGATGCCGTGACGAACAGAGGCACAGTAGTCATGACCCAGACTCCCGCCACGTCAGACAACTTCTGGGGCTTCGCATGGCTCATCTGGTAGATGACAAGACCAAACGATATGGCCAGGGACATGACAAGTGCAACCCAGTATAGAGCGAATGTTGCCCATCTTGCGGAAGTCCGATAATCATAGTACGATATGATGCCTTGAATGATAGTGTTGAAGGAAATCGGGATAGCTCCCAGGAACGAGCTCGTTGGGAACTCCATCATGTTCTTCTTCAGCAACACAGGATGCGTAATGTAACGCCAGGCCAACATCCCAGTGAAGAAGCCGAACAGTACGATCTCCAGAATCCAGAGACAGAAGCCAATGTCGCGGAGCCATCGTGCTGCACCAGTGATAGGGTATGGAAAATTAACAAAGCATTGCTGCAAGACACCAGTGCCTATGTATGCGGTCAGAAATGTTCCTCGCCTGTCAATTGTCTCGGGCATACATACTCATGACAATGGTGAACCATGATGGCTCAAAGTTAGCGATTCTCTCCCTCCAATGCCATCCTTTGAGGTTATCTTTGACAGGCATGCTGTAAAATTAGGGCTGGTTGGTATAAAAAATGAGGCTGATGGTGTCGCAAAGTGGAGACAAGCAACACCATGGGTACCTATATATCAGCCGCATCTTCTGTATCTACCGTTTAGTTTAGGTATCAGTGATGGCATTTTCGTCGAATTGACGTAGGCAAAAACCGATGATGCGCTCGCTGTGCGGGCCCGCGGGTGGAACGGCTGCACCCCAGAGGATCCACAGATCTCACCAGCCACAGAAACCGGGGGTCGCAGGCCAGGAAGCTCGACATTGATGTTCTGCATCGTGTCGCAATCGTATAGATGGGACTGTGGTTTTTGCTGTTTGATATTGAGGCTCAGTCGGATCTGGCTTATCGTTTCCATGGCGCCACGCTTATAAGAAACCCGCTGTGTTAAGCAATTACCTCCAGATGGGACTGCGATCGATGACGCATTATTAGTAGGGGTCGAAAGGTTCATCTGCATTAAATATCCCCAACCACTGCAGCGCAGTAAAATGATGCTGTGAACTTGTTTATTACTCTTGATTCTCCGCGGTCTATCTCAAACTCGGATCTTCTGACTGTCTTGGCCTGAAGAAACAACAATGTCACAAGAGAACATGGTCGTCATTGTAACTGGAGCGGTTGGTCAATCTCAAGTCGATTTGCCATCATCGTTCTCACAAGAATCAAACAGAACCGAGGCATTGGTCTGGCCATCTGCCAACTCATCTTGAAAAACAATCAAAATGTCAAGCTATATGCCGCGTCGCGTGCAGGAGCCGACCTTGGACTGAAGAGTGCTGGTTCAGGATCAGTCAAGTATCCCAGCCTAGACGTGACCAAGTCACAGGACATCAAGCAACTGGCCGAAGACATCAAGCGCGAAGAAGGCCAGATCAGTGTGCTCATCAACAATGCTGGAATCAACACTTACCCAGAACACACGCCTGAGAGTGTGCGAAAAATGCTTGATGTCAACTACCGAGGGACCTACAACATGTGCAAGGCATTCATTCCTTTGCTCTCGGAAACAGGACGTATCGTCAACATGTCGTCCGTAGGCTCGCAGTTGAAGATCTACAGCAAGCACAACGCAGCGCGCTTTAGAAACACAGAAACATACGAGGATGTCGAGAAGATCGCCGATGACTACATGGTGAGTTGCAATATGCCTCAGATAGTAGTCCTAGAGTATAGCTGATGATGTTCCAGCAAGCCGTGAAGAACAAGAATGAGCTGGAATCAGGCTTTGGTGACAAAGGTCAAGGCTACAGTGTCAGCAAAGCATGCGTAAACGCCATCACTGCTATCCTGGCGCGTGAGAACCCAGGCCTCATTATCAATGCATGCTGTCCAGGATGGGTGGATACTGACATGGGAGGTATCATGGGCAAGCCACCCAAAGAGCCCAGTAAGAGCTGTCCTCGCCTTGCTCACGTGTATGACAATTTTGCTGACTGAAAGTTTAGTTGAGGGTGCGAGGATTCCTGTAAAGCTTGGTTTCGGGGATATCTCTGGAACGACTGGTCGTTACTGGGCCAATCCTGGGATTGCGGACAAGGCAGACGGTCAAGTCATGGCTTGGTAATCTTTTTCTTTTATAGAAAACGATGTAATGTGATTCTCAAAATTTGATGAAGTACGGCGTGTCCACTATAAGCATGCCTATATCCCGTTCGATCCTGTATGACACTACTCTTGGAGCCAGTGAGTACTAAGGCATGACCTTGACATCAGTTCTCAGTCCAGCCTTCTGTAGACGCTCCAGGAAGGGTGCACCAAGGGCAGCAGGAGTCAAGGAGCCGCCTCCCATACCAACAGCCGGGGTCTCATCTCTCAAGATCGTGATTGCTGCTTCGGCCAAGAACACACCGGTCAAGTAGTACAAACTACCGTCCCAAGCCATACGTCCAGTGATACGCTTGGGGTCATTAGGGTCGGCAGTATCGACTGTGGCAATGGCGCGATACTCGATCCTGTCGCGGCGAGAAGACTCCTTTGAGGGTCCCTCACCAGGTTGAAACACAAAGCGCTTCAATAGCGAACGTACGGGTGAGAGAATAAGCGCAATCATGCCGAAAGCGAGGGCAAAGTGCACCAGAACACCAGTGAAGATGTTGCGAACGGTCATATAAGGGCTGAAGCGGAACTTGGGGCCGTAGAAGCTACCGTTCTCAAAGAGACCCCAACTCCTGTGAACGATGGTAGCGTCGGTAGCACCTTGGATGCTGCTGGACAGTGTTCCGAGATCGCGGACTTGACGAACACCAAAGAGCCTTTGGAGTAGAGTTGGACCTTCCAGACTACTGCGAGGAGGATTGGTTGGGCAGAGAGACCAGGGCTTCATAGCCTCAGAAGTTTCAGAGATGCTGTACTTGTCAAACAAGCCAATCACTGTAGCTAGGGTTCCACCACTAGGCTGGCCCTTCAGGTCGGCAACCGAGAAGACCAGCTCCGAGACACCAGCAGAGAGGGTACGTCTAGCGTGGTTGACCATTGACCAGGAAAGTAAATCAGCCGGAGCAGATTCGACACCAATCTGATGGATGATGATGGCTTTGTTGGCCTTGGCTGTAGCGTGATACTTCTTGATCATCTCGCGGACCCATGGAGTCTCGCCAGTAACGTCAAGGTAGTGAGTGCCATTACGAGCGCAAGCCTCGACAACGGGCTCAGCATACAGCATGTAAGGGCCGACAGTATTGATCAGGACAGTAGTCTTCTTGACCAGGTCATTGACGCTCTGCTTGTCGAGTCCAGAGGTCACGATTTCTGCATGGTGTCAACTATTGTCTTCATCGTGGTCTATGTGAAAGTCACCAACCTGGAGCAAGGCGATCAGGGTTCAGAGACTTGAGTTCTCGGACGAGATTCTGGAGCTTGCTCTCAGAGCGACCAGCAACGGCCCATTTGAGGTCGGTCGGTAGCTGCGAGACGATGTGCTCGCAGGTATACTTTCCCGTGAAACCAGTAGCTCCAAAGACGATGAGTTCGTAAGGACGAGAAGACATGATGTAGCAGAGTCACACTTGAACACTTGGTTGTAGACAAGATACTATTTGTCTTGTCTTGTGAGACGGTTGATTAATCGTCTAAGGGTGGATAGGCGAGCGGTCCCCAAGCGTCGCCCACTCCAAGGCGCGGGACTTGATAGACATTCTCGCTTGACTGTATTCCACAACAGATGGAGGAGATTTCTGATAAAAATTGTAGATTCTCAAGTCATAGATGTGGAAATGAAGACACTGCCATTATTCATAAATGAGACAGCGACTTCCAGCGGTTTCCATTGGAGTGAAGAGTTGTTGAAGTTCCACTGTGATATCAGGTGCCAAGACTCGCTAAATCCCCGGCGCACCCCGTGTCCGTGTGTAAAATTGATTTCGGGTGCGTTCACTTCTAGCAGGACTTCCCTCTTGTCAACATCGAGTCTTCAAACCAACCGCCAAAATGACCAAGAGAACCAAGAAGGTCGGCATCACCGGAAAGTACGGTACCCGCTATGGTGCTTCCCTCAGAAAGCAGGTGCGTCTCGACCAGGATCCATGAATGCGACAGTCGAGAGCGAATGTTTAACCCCTCCCACAGGTCAAGAAGATGGAAGTGACCCAGCATGCCCGCTACACTTGCACCTTCTGCGGCAAGGTCACTGTCAAGAGACACTCGGTCGGCATCTGGGACTGCAAGGCTTGCAAGAAGACTGTTGCCGGTGGCGCTTACACCGTCTCGTACGTTTCCCTCCTTTCAATCGCCCGGACGACGCCTCTACCCTCTGGACAACCCGACTAATACAAGTTTCTTCACAGCACTCCCGCTGCCGCTGCCACCCGCTCGACCATCCGTCGTCTGCGCGAGATTGCTGAGGTTTAAACAACGACCATCAAGTTATTACAGCAATCCATCTTCGGTTTTTCTCGTTACGAGGTTCTTTTTCCATTGGGCAATCGCGGCGTAAAAAATCAGCAAGGACTTTTGACGAAGGGATGATGTAGCTAAGAAGGAAATACCCATCCACGCTGGCTTCTCTATATGCTGGGATCCTGGGGACAATCAAATGAAACTCAGTCATCCTGCCCAAACACTCTGTCACGCTCGAGTCCACCTGAAATTATCGACCACTCTACTATACTCATCGATCATGAATCAACGAAACCTGTCATACCAGTCAGGATGTAACCACTCGAATATGGCACCGTTGCGCAAGATGTCTTTCGCAATCAAAGAAGAGGCACTGGCTGTATTTCAACCATCAGCGCGTACAGCCGACCCAAGTGATTTCTTTATTACCCAAATGCAGCACATGTGAAAGCAATCGAGTGACCATTGTCAGTCTTTCAGCTCTAGCCTCCCCCGCTCTGGCGAAATCACAGTTGTCACTGAAGCCATCAAGATGCATAGTTCTGTTGAATGGTAGCAAAACTCATGGAAAGCCGACGACATCGCGACTCTCGGCGGATCTCTCTATTCACCAAAGGAACTGTGCATCCTATAGCGATACGTAAGACAGGTCTCCGCACATAGGCAGGAAGGAGCAGATGCAGGCTATTTAATCCCTCGGCCTTGAGGCGCTTTGTGTTTATTCTGAAAGCGGATCAAGCACACGCCCAGTCATTCGTCACACGTGAATCGAAGGCAACGCGCCCTCACTCCGCATACCTTAATAGTATATAAAGCTCGCCCCTTCCTTCCCCTTTGCTCCATTCACTCTTTCATGTTCTCTCAAATCCACACGACTCTGCTTCGGGTGCCGTGATAATGACAGACGTGTGTATCGTCTGCTTGGGCGATTTTCGCCTCAGCCCTGAGCATGCCGATGCCGAGACAGATAGCATCCCCATCAAGACCGAGACCGAAACTATTGCGCCGCTTCCCGTGCTCCCTTCTGAACAAAGGTACTCAGATCCTGTCCACCGCGAACATTTTGATCCCCCGGAGCATCTTCGTCAAACCCGTCGATTCCTTGATCGCTTTGATCGGCTTGATAACACTTACATGTGCCGCCGCATAAGCTTGGATGGTGACGTCTCCCCCACCTTCGAAGACCTCCCGGGGGAATCAAGACTCAAGACCAGTGCTGACTATCCATACAGCAAACATCCCGTAGACGATGAAATTGTTGCCCACCTCCTTCCCTGCGGACACAATCTCCACGACTCCTGCTTACGCCCTTGGGTCGAGCGAGCCAACAGTTGCCCCATTTGTCGCGCAAGCTTCAATGTGGTCGAACTTCGCAACTTCCTCGATGGCCCAGCCCACTCTTCCTACATCGTCGAGGAAAAGCAACAACAAGCTGATGTCGATCCCACCTTGATCATCGACGACTTCCTGGAGGAAGAAGAAGCTCCATGCCTCATCTGTGGTAATATCGACAGCGGCCATGCAACCATGTATTGCGATGGATGCGATGGCACAGTCCACATATTCTGCGCTGGCTATAGCGAGGTCACCGCTCCCGAAGTTTGGTACTGCGAATCCTGCCATCGCCCAGGCAATCACGCTGCTAGTCCTCGACGTGCCCCACGAGCACGGAACCCACGACCAAGAAGAGTTGGAGGTAGAAGGCCTGGTAACGAAGCATGGGACAGAGTCTGGGCCAGTGTCTGGCGCCGCCTGAATTTGGACCTCGACTTTCCTCACGAAGAGGAAGACCTTACTGCCATCCATCGCACCCCGGCTCAACGACAAGAGCTTGCTGCCTGGACTCGCAGACTCCAAGTCGCCAGTCGCCAGGGTGGTGCAAACCGATTCAGAGATACCGCCTCCACTTTGCTGGATCGAAGAAATCTCGCTGCCGTGCATTCACCAGAGTCACAGGAAGAACTCCGCGCCTGGAACGCGCTTGACAAGGCCCGCGCACTCGACCCCCAAGCGCAAGCACCGCCTAGCAGGAAGCGCAAATCCGTCACAGGCTCACCCGCCTCGCCTCGAGACAACACAGCAGAGCGTGATCAGGCTGAGCCAGCACGCAAACTCAAACGACCAAGGACCAGGAGAAACATGACGATACCCACACAGACAGAACCTGGTCCGTCTACTATCGAGATACCAGTGCGTCCGATACAGACACCTGTCGAAGGACCAAGCTTCCTCACTCAGCTTCTCCAGGAGGTGGAGAAACAGCCTGCCCCCGAAGAGACGGGCTCACCAGACGCTGAAGCCATGTCTGGAGACGACCAACTCGGACCATCTAACTTAGCGTCTCCTGGAGCATCTCCTATCCACTCGGGCCAGGTTTCGCCTCCACGCGCGTTGTCTGTTACACCTCCACCCCAGCTTGCACGTCCCAGGCCTACTTCCCCTATGCCCCTCACATCGATTGTTCGACCTCTTGCTTCACCGACGTTTTCTCTTGCTATGAATGGCAAGGATGAGCGAGGTAGATCACATCGACGCCCCCAACAACAAGTCAGCAGCCCACCAAGAGACATATCGCCTGGTTCCCCCTCCCGCAACATGTCGTACTCGACTAAGACTGAGATCCAACGAATGGTCAAAGCTGTCCTCGGTCCTCGTTATCGTGGAGGCGAAATCAACAAAGACCAGTACACCGACATCAACCGAGATGTGTCCCGCATGCTCTACGACATGGTTGGCGATGCTGAAGGCCTGGCTAACCAAGATGGCCGTGAGAAGTGGCAGGAAGTGGCTTCGGCTGAGGTCGAACGAGCAATCGGGGCCATTCGCTCGCCGAAAGAAGGCCCGTTCGAACAGAGAATTTGGTTGAGCGGAGCGAACGAATAATGAGCATGGCGCTTTAAAGGCAACACTTGATTTTGGCGCACCGGGTTTCACTTCTGCCTTTTCTTAATTGAGCATCTTTGGCTTCATGGCGTCAGGGCGGGAAATGGGAGAAGCGTACAGATACCCCAACCTCGAATTTTACACCCATCATGGTTTTTCTTTGTTATTCTTCTTCCAGGCTATACTAACACTGTCTTATACTGTGATTCTTGAGTCTCATTGATATTGTGAAATCATAAATCGGGTCTTTGTTCCATCGACGTCATCGAAATGCTGGCGCGTTCACGTCGCGTCTTCCTGAGCGAGCATTCTCTCTACTTGATTCCACACCACATCACCAGAACCACAATGTCGAAAAGAACACTGGACACATTCTTCAATCCATCGCCAAAGAAGGCCAAGATTTCTCTTACGGACTCGAAAGATGCGCCTTCAAGTCACTCAACATATCCCTTCACCGTACCACAATTGCCACCAGAAATCAGCGACCTTCTAAACTTCGCCCCAGAAGCAGAAGGCAAAGCGATAATCGATCAACCGGACTTGGATCTCTTGTACTTCCAACCATATATCCCTGGCTCGATATCAACGCCTCTCTTTGAGTTTTTACGCGGAGAATTGTTCTTTTACCGTGTCAAGTACAAGATCAAGCGTGGACCCATCGAAACAGACATCAATACGCCACGCTTCACGACTGTATTCGGTGTGGATGAAACCTCTTCATTCCTACCCGATGGCTCCCTGATCGACGCGACTACCAGAAAGCCGATCCCAAAGGATCGCTACAAGACATGCAAACCACGACCGATACCCCACTGTCTTGACCTCCTGCGCAAACTCACAGAAGCAGCAACAGACCAACGCTACAACTTCTGTCTTGTAAACTACTACGCCACCGGCGACGACAGCATATCCTACCACAGCGACGACGAACGCTTCCTAGGCGTGGATCCCGCAATCGCCTCCTTCAGCCTCGGAGCCAAGCGCGACTTTCTGCTCAAGCACAAACCCACTCCGCCCTCTGACACAAAGTCGGCCGCTGCAATAGCCTCGGAAACCAAACCTCTGAAGCTTCCCCTAGGCAGTGGAGACATGGTGCTGATGAGGGGAAGCACGCAGGGTAAATGGTTGCACAGCATACCCAAACGCAAAGGAGGTGAAAGTGGGAATGGAAGGATCAATATTACGTTTAGGAGGGCTATGGTTGCGGGAGGGACAGAGAATTATTATAGGTATAATGTGGGTGATGGAGATGTTATGAAGTGGGATGCGAAAACGAAGAGCATGGTTGTTTGGGGTGAGAAGAAGGAGGGTGATGAGGTTGAGAAGAAGGAGGTCAAGGCTGAAGATGTGGATAAGGGATATGCTGCATTGTAGGAGTTTCGAGATCGAGGGACATACCTTGATTTCTGAGATATGTCTTCCCCGTGTGCAAAGATATGTCACCCATGTAGCTGTAGGAATGCACAGTCCTTGCGAGACGGTAGCGAGATCCATAGAGAGTGGATAGTTTTACGACTCTCAGTGAATGCCTGATATACAGTCAAAGAACCGTGCATTTCTATAGCTGGTCTTCTAGATGGTACCAAAGTCCAAGGAAAAACGACAACATCACGACTCTCTGTGGACAACTCTTTGTTACTAAAAACACCGTGCATTTCTGTAGCTATCTGCGTGACACATCTTTGCATGTAGGAGGGTATGAAGCAATCACAATTAACCCAGAGCTCAACAGGAGATGGGTCTTCATGAGCTGCAATAAGTTTCAAAGGTGACGAGTGGTCATATCAGCCTTCGCTGTAGGTATTGGTTAGCAATCAGTGCGTCAAAATTGCAGTGTCGTTATGCCCGAGAGGACTGAACGAACAAAACAAGGAGCCCACTTGAGGACGAGACTGAGCAGAAGACAAAACGAATGTCGCAGCCGTGAATCGAACACGGGGCTCGTGCATGGCAAGCACGAATTTTACCACTAAACCACTGCGACAGATGATTGGATGAAGTAAAATCTAAGTCCAATATAATACTATGTCTTCAAACGGGAAATCACAGCTGCTCCATGATATGCATGTGCTTCTCGAGCTTCGACAAAGAAGTCAACCTTGTCCACTGTTTACACAACCTCTTGATAATCACCTTCACCAAACACCGAACGAAAACTCGAAGCCCACACTAATTTGCCGTCCATGCATACACAACAAAGAAACTAGAGCACAGCCGCACCACAAGCCCTACGAGGCACCCATCACATCTCTCGACCCTCCAACCCTTTCACAACCATGGATCTCGCCAAAAACCTCCTCCGCATAACCGCCCGCGCATTCTACACAACCGAAGACGTCCTCATCGTCGACGCCCTCGGCATCCACAGCACCCTCACAGACGCCGACCTCGCCCACTGTCTAGGCACCAACAGAAAAGAACTACGCAAGCAATGCGGCAAGCTCAAAGACGCAGGTCTCATCTCTGTCCAAACCCGCGCTGAGAAAAAAGAAGATGCTCCTCCCCCATCTACAAATCCAAATTTCAAAAACAGAGAGCATGTCAAGCATGTAGATTGGTATTGGTTGCATTTCCACCCGGCGATTGATGCCATCAAGTATCGCTTGAGTAAGCTGTCAAAGCACATCGATAGTATGGGCGCGCCTACCACTGAGAAAAAGGACCTGGAATGCCCGCGGTGCAAGAGCCAGTATACAGACCTCGAAGTCATGGACAACATCGATCCGCTTTCTGGAAGCTTCCTCTGCCATCTCTGCGAACACCCTCTGGATCCCGTAAACGAAGACCTGCAAGAAAACGAGAGCAAAATGCGCCTCAACACCCAAGTCGCCGCCATCGAAGCCCTGCTCCGCGAAATCGATCAGGCGAATGTACCGGAGAATGACTTTGACACGGCGTTGTCATTGCACTTGCCTATCAACAGGGGTGACGCACACCCAGATCGTCCAACAAGAATAGCAGAGGAAGTCAAGCCGTCAATCGCAGGCTCCAAGGGCTTGACTCTGGCGCCCGACAAAGTCAAGGTACAACTCGAAGACGATGTCACCACGAAACCAGATCCGGAGGCCGCGCGCATCAAGCGCGAAAAGGAGGCCAAGCAAAACGCTTTGCCAGAATGGCTTACGAGGTCGACGGTTTCTGGCGACATGACAACGGCAGGTGCAAAGGAGCTGAGAGAACAAAGAGAAAGGGAAGCTCACGCAGGAGGTTTGTCAGTCGACGACGCAGCAGACGACAAGAAATTGGGAGGTACGCCAGGCAGAGACGACGCAGTCATGGATGATTACTGGGCCGCGTACCGCGCAGAGCAAGAGAGAGCAAGAGTAGAAGAGGAAGAGGAAGAAGACGAAGACGAGGAAGACGAGTTTGAAGATGTGCCTCCTGGCGCCAGCGTGCCGGATATCAAAGTCGAAGAGGCTGAGGGTCCGGATGCCAAACGTGTCAAGACTGAGCAAGAGGCTGAGGACGCTAAGCCGTTGGCTAGTGTGGCTCCTGCTGTGGATGCCAATGCAGAGTCGGATGAGGATGACATGGAGTTTGAGGATGTCTAGAGGGCACTCAAAGTATACTACGATACCCATAGACCATGAGATGAAAAACACAATACCAAGTATATTCTTACAAGACACTTTGAGATGAACACTTTTGAGTTACTCGACATTTGACGAAAAGAAAACTCGCTATGCTTTTGTTCATGATGCTATACATCCACTCCTCTCATCTCATCCTAATCCAAGAACCTCTTGATCTCACCTCCAACACCCTCGAGATCAAGCAAGAAGGTGTCATGACCGAACAGACTTCTGTCTTCTCCAAGCTCAACATGCGTGACCTTCCTGTTTCCTACCTTTCTCAACGCAGCAGCAATCTCCCTCTGCTGCCAAGCAGGAAACAGAATATCACTCGCCACACCCAACACCAACGCAGGAATATCCCTCAAGCCTTGCAATCCCTTGACCAAATCAGCCGGTGGCTCATCGGTCTTGACAGCAGCTTTGATGCTGCCAGTATCCTGATCCATGATTTCTGCAGTCGACTCTTGCTCTTCGTAAGGTGTATCCGGCAACGTCAAGTTACAGAGGTCTGCAGCCCCAACCTCTGGTTTCGGCGTAGGTTTATCAGCACCAAACTGCACCAACTTGTGCGCATTTGATGCCCTTACGCCCTCCAGCATATCCATGTGTTCCTTGCCCAAGTCAAACAAATCCATAGCTTTGGACACATATAACAAACTGTTGGCATCATACTCCAAACACCATTTTTCTCCCGCGTGATCGAGATATGTTTCGATCAAAAAGTCTGGACACAAAGCAGGAGGTTTGGAAGGGTCGGCGCGGCGGCGGCCGAATCGCAATTCCCATTCTGGACCGCTGCGGTAGGTTACGGTTGCGATTTCGCGGGCGAGTTTCATGCCGGCATGGGGTGGGATGGCGGAGTAGTAGTTTCCGCGTGTGGAGGACCAGGCTGGGTCGTTCATGAGGACTGCGGATGGTGTCAGCGTTGACCAAGGCAAGAAGAGAGAGTAAGGGATGGCATACCTTGACGTTGGGTATGGCGCATGGCTACGCTGTAGGGGTGACTCCTAGCACAGCCAGAAATACTAACGAGTTTGCCCACTCGCTCAGGGTGCAGGACAGACGCAGCCAAACTCTGCATGCCGCCCATACTGGAGCCAACAGAAGCGTACAACTTCTCAATGCCCATCCAGTCGAGCAGACGAAACTGCGCTCTCACCATATCCTGCATAGTCAAGATAGGAAAACGAGTGGCGTACGGCTGATCGCCAGCCAACGGATCCTTAGAACTAGGTCCAGTACTGCCGTAACAACCTCCCAGCACATTAGTGCAGATGACAAAGTACTTGTCCGTATCAATAGGAGCACCGGGCCCAATGAACTTCTCCCACCAACCCGGCTTGGAGTTGGCAGGAGTGCTCTTTGCATGGCTACTAGCACTCAATCCAGTATGCAGCAAGATAGCATTGCTCTTGTCGGCATTGAGGGTGCCCCAGGACTCGTAAGCGATGTCGAAGGAAGGCAATACACCGCCCCAGTCCAGTAAGAGCGGCGAAGGGCAGTGGAAAGTCTCGGTAGCACCGGGTGCGTACGACGGCTCGGGTCCAGATAACGATCGCTTGTTTGTCAAAGTCTGCGTTTTTTTGTCCAAAGCATCCAAGCAGGGGAAGCTGAGCGGTGGGTTCACGACTGGAATCTCCGAAGGTCTTTCTGCTTCGACTATGGGTTGGCCAGCGGCTGCTTGCGAGGGCAGTGTGGGTGTGCTGTGCAAGCTGCGGTGGATGGGGAGGAAGCGTGTTCGAGGGTTGGTTCGGCGGAACAGTCCATTGGCAAGTTGCCTGGCTGCTCGAGGTGTCGACATGATGTCTTCTCTGTCGTTTTTGCAAAGGAGGAGACAAGTGTGAATGATTACAATGCTCTCTGGTGGAAAAGTCATGGTCCTTGAATCTGACGCCATCAGCCGAGGCGTTTGTCAGCCTCCGAACTCGGGCTGCCTGCTCCAAGAGTCACCATGCCTTATCTCCCACCCATCACCACATGCTGGTTATTTACTGAATTTAAAGATACTGCGCATGACAGAAGACACCAGAGACGTGCCACTAATCGCTAGAGTTCTCGGGAATAGCTTGAGACGACAGCTTTTGCCGCATCACACTCATTGTCCTGTGCAATGCCAGTAAGCATCGAAAGCAGGACCATGCATCACATGCAAACTAGAAATTGTGGACATAGGTAGACTGTAGATGATGATGCATTTTGCTCGACCCGTCTACAGGTTTGTCCTGACGACCGAGGCTCGTCTTTCAATCCAACAAAAGGAGTAAGAGAAGTTGGAAACTATCAACTGTGCCCAAAAGCGATGCTGTTGACCATACTGATGATGAGCTTGATGATGGAAAAAGAAAAGGCGCCTACTCAAAACGGATGACGGAGTGAGACTAACAGCGAAAACAACAAGGAAAAGAAGAAAAGATTTGTCGACTCAACAGAGGTAAAAAGGTGGTAAGAAGTGAAGATGAAAAGGGGGAGAAGAAAACAAACAGTCCGCCCTCCAAGAGAACTCATTGCAATCGAAACACATGTGCGAATGTTCTGATGATGGCGGCTCTCATACAGGGTGCCGGAAACGAATGACTGACATCTTGCACGGTGGTAGAGAATGCGTGGAAACAATGGATATCATCGCTTCAGTTGTATTCAAGGTTACCACCGATTGAGAAGATATCCCAGCTTAAGTCACACCCATAGGCCTTGGTGTATACCCGCTGTTGCGGTTGCCGTTCCTGGTGGGACTTCCCTGACTTTCAGAAGACTTGTTCGGGTGCATGGCAAAAGGCGGCTGTGGTGGCAGGTCCGCTGCCACATGACGAACACTGGCCTCATTACCCCACGCGTTTGCCTGTTCGGCATCTGTGTCAACACGAGTGACGACGGGTGCACTACCCCTGCTTTCACGAGATTTGGGCGTCGTAGATTGTGGTGGTGGAGCTACATCTCCTGGTGTACTCGAGGGCCCCTTCGTACGGTCGCCATATCGCTTCAGGATTTCCTTGGTCGTGATATCGGCGCTGGCAGAGAACAAAGTGGAGTCGTTGAGGATGAGAGCTAAATCTTCTGGCACCTTCGAAGAGTGTTAGCATTATGGTAAATGTTGAAGAAAGGCATCGAAGACTTACCTCGCACATGTACTCGTTGTACTCAATGAGTGAGTGCACCGCCTCGATCGCGAGCAAGTTGTCATCCAAGGGGACATCGCGTTTCCCCAAGTGTAAGATGTTAGGTGCCATCACAGTGGCGAGATTGTGAACGTCCATCTTGCTGCCAGATTCTTCGTCAATGTGGGAGAACGAAGACACCCATTGCATAAAGTTGAACAGCACTTCCATCGTGTCTCTATGTGCTTTCGGCAGAAGACAGCATGTAAGGTGGAGTACTCGTCGCCGTGTCTCTTCGTCAGTGATCCCTGAATAGCGGTTAGTAAAAGGCTCCTGGCTGATGTGTGATCTGATAAACTTACTCTGTGAAATCAACCACAACTTGTGCAGTTTGAATGTCATAAGCGGGTCTGGCAGCTCTCGTAGGAACTTCTTCAGAAGTGCAGCGACTTGCACTGGGTTCTCTTTCGTGAGATCGACGTCCACCATTTCCTTGGAGTCAATTTCTTCTTTGACATCGTTGAGTCTCTTGATGTTACCGTTCTTGCGGAAAACACCCTCAACCGACATGTCCATCATTCGCATCGCGGATATGGCGTCCTGGATGAGAACAGGTATCCGCAAAGCACCGGGCCCGATGCCGTCTGTTGATTCTGCATAGTCTTTCTCAACCAACTGCTCGAGAGACACGCCAAATATGCCCCGCTTGTTGCCTTTGGACTTCTTGCCTGCCTCAGGCTTGAAGGCCTTTCCAAACTTGCCCCAGAACGTGGGTCTCTTTGTCTCGATAAGATCAAGCAATTCTTCTTGGTTGAAGTGGCCCTCAAGAAGAGGTTCCATCGAAAGTACGGCTACGTGTCGAACGATGAAATACTCAAGTGCTGAAAGCTCGGAGAAGTACTTCTTTGTCTTCAAAGCTCCACCTTCCCCAAGAGCTGGCTTATCTTCGTTACCAAGCGAGACGTGTCGTGTGTGACCGTTGTTGACAAGCTTTGGTCTTGGTTCCTGAGGTATCATCGGGCCACGATGGAACTTCGAGGCGTTTGGCCTTTGCTCTCTCGTTTGCTGTGCCTGCACAATCCTCGGAATATCGTCCAGGGTCATGGATTCATGGTTTCCGAATTGAAGTTGCGACATGCGCGATCCACCGGCTTCACCATCTTCAACAATCTGGAAATTGCCGGTTTGGCGGCGTTCGAATCTGTCCTCCGGGTTGCCATGCAGGCCTTCGGGACCATCGATTATTCTGGATGTACGGGCCTTGTGATTTGTTGTTGAAATGTTCTTTTCCATGCGCGTAGATCGCAACCTTCGGATGTCTCCAAGTGTCTGTTCGTACGATGGTGAGTGCTCACGCTTGGTTGATCCGGCATAAGACTTGGATCGGGTGTTCGACCTGAGCAACGGCGGGTCCATGGAACCCTTTGGTGACACACGATGTCCGCGGTTGGAATCATAGTCTGTAAGGTTTGGATCATCTGAAGTATGAGGCAAAGCACCGCTTGTACGTAGTGTAGCAAGTAGCCTTGCATGAGCGACACGAAGAAGATGTACGTATTGTTGAAGGCGCGTGACAAAGACGAGATCACCCTCGCTCGAGCTCCCGGCATGGCGATCGCAGAAGAGTTTTTGAGAAGACTCGTCCCATCTTGCTAGTGAATGTTCGTCGGGGAGAGGTTTCGAGCACTTGCTGCAAGTAAGGCATTGTGCATGAAATCTTCGGTCTCTGCGTACAAAGCACTTGTCCTCGACTGACTTGTCGCAGACAGCGCAGTTGTCAGCAGATCGTGCAACGAAATTTTCTGTTCCACTTCTTGGGTCTTTGTCTTCTTCGATAGCGAGTCTGTCGTCAAGAGCGCCGATCTCGTCCAGGAAGTTGGTTAGCCCCTCTTGGCTGTTGGTTTCGCGTTCCAACTTCAAGGCGCCCTGAAGACAGATGCGGATTAGAAGCTTGAGATAATGCGCCAAACCTGTGACAAGGGACAGAAGCTCTTGAGTGACACCCAATCGCCTCACGCCAGTCTCTTGGGATTCAGCAAGCAACTGGAAGAACGCGACCACCTTCTTGCACAGAAGTTTGGCCTCTCTCGAATAGGAAAGACCTGGGAAGAGTCAGTAAGCATGAAACAAACTATACGACAAATGAACGTACCCTTTGCTGTGTGAGACTGCAGGACTTGATCTAGATTGTCCGCTGCGGAGAAGAGCAGGTCGACGTGTGTAATGAATCTCTTGGCCGTCATGACTCCATCAACGTAGGCGCCATTGCTGACATGTAATAACATATCAGAGATGCATGTCGCTGATTTCTCTTCGAAGGATGAGAGCGTGCGCCATATCCAAAGTACTTTTTCCTCAACGCTCTCCTCGCTTTCTTTGACAATCTTTCGCATCTCTTCTGTGGCATTCTCCTCAGAATCCAGAGGTTCATCTGCAGAATCACCCTGATGCAGCCGAACGTTCCAGTATTTGTGAATCATATAACACTCCGGGTGCCAATGCTGATTTTGACCATTGCGGAAGATTTCGACGAACTGTTTCAAGATGGCGGTGTGACAGCCATTGCAGCGTTGAGCGAATTTGGTCGAGTAATGGTAGTGGCAGTATACGTTTCCCTCGTGTTCGTAGTAGCTGTCCTGAGCGCCAAAGACGGTCGGGCATACAGAGCAGGTAAAATGTTCGATGTGGTATTTGCGGTCGAGCGCAGTGATGTAGGATCCGCGGAGGGCGCCTCCACAGGCATGGCAGAGCAAATCCAGTCTGCGGAAGTAATCCGTTTCGCAAAGAGGGTATTGATTCGGAGGCTGTTCTGGGACGGGGAAGAATTTAGATGCGACAACTTTACCGCAGTCCTAAACACAGTCAGCAATTATATAGAGATTCATATTTCAGATGTACGGACGTGGCAGGTGAAGCACTCGAGATGGTAGGTACCGCCCAAAGCGCGGACGAATTGGCCGGTCAGGTGGCCACCACATTTTGCGCATATCCTGTTAGACTGTTTTCCATTGGGTCGAGAGCGGTCCCGCGAAGGTGAGATCTGAGTGTCGGCAGGCCGGTCGTCCTTGACGTCTAGGCTGCGCTTTGGTCTGTGACGAGACGCCAATTCAAGCTGAGATTCTGCGTCTGTAGCGGGTCTTGAAGGCGAGTCGCTGGGAGACTCAAAGGTGTTGGTGCGAGATGGTGGTAACGCGATGTCGGACGGATAGGGATGATCATCAGCGTCGTGCTGGGTGGGGTGGTCGGTGGGTAGACCCATGGTGTATTAAGAGAGATTGCGAACACAGGAAAAGAGCGAGCGTAAGGTAGCAGCGGCTACTTGGGTTGAAGCGTCGAGCGAGATGGGGTTGAGTAGGATATCATCAAAACAAGGACAGGCAGTTGCGGAGGGTCAGGAGGCGGCGGGCGATTGTGTGTCTTTAGTCTGGGCGGACGCAGCGCCTGCTCGTTGGAAGACTGGATAGCGACCGCATGGGACGTTGTTCCAGGAGTCGAGGTAGAGAGAGCCTGCGTGGAGCGGCCAAGAGTGTAGGGTGTTTGTAGGTAAATAGTCAAAAGCACGAGCTTCAAAGGAGGAATAATGCTCGAGAGAGCCCCGGGGCGCCAAGGACACGCACGAGAAGAAGTCGTGACTCGCAAACGCTGTTTGGCTGAGAAAGCGAATTCCACGAGACACAAGGAATCTGAGGAAGAACCAATGCAGATTCCGACCCTAGCCCTGTTGCTGCCACTGTTGTGTCGAGCCCTAGCTTGCTACTCGGCTGCAGCCATACTTTTGCAGCCATACTCTTGCATCAGCTCTTCGTTTGGCTCTGAATGCTTGCCCTGACTTCCAATGCTTGGTGAGCGTGTTGCACACGCGTGGAATCCATGGCGCCGAATGGCCGAAGCTCCATGCAAATTCCCCGTATTACTCGTCCCTGACAGTGCCGATCTAATCTCTCCATCCTCTCCCCATGCACATGTCCGGGTCGCAGTCACAGTTGAAGCACCGAGTACACAGTTTCAAACAAGTGTCTCCTGAAATCACAAGTGTTTTCACGAAACCTGGTCATTCATGGATGAAGTTGCACCAGGCGGAAGCCCAAAAATTCTATGCATCCTACCTGCCAAAAATCCAATCACTCCAAGATCGTGCCAGACGGCTATCAATGACTGCGCGTGGGTCGAACGGTCTATACATCAGATATCTCTGCCACCAAGTGAGATTACGAGGTTGGTTCGGCAGACAATTGCTTTGTACCGTCGTGTTCCCACACATGAAACGAGCGTTCCAATGTGTATGTCCGAATACCCAATTGCTCACTTGTTCGTGACCTCTCCACGTTCGAAAGGCATCCAGCGTATTACTGCAAAAGCATTGACTCACAGCGTTGTTCTCGTGCATAGGATGACATGTGTCCTTGAACGATGGGGCGTGATGAGTGAGTATGATGACCTCCTTATGAGGATCCGTGTCAGCAATGTGTCGAAGTGATGTACGCAACCACTCGACGTCTAGCTCATGTTCTCTGTTATGATTCTCGATGGACCAATCCCTGATACATCCGAAATCTTTGTTCAATTGAGCGCAATCGGGTTGAATGTGAGAGTGAAGGGTGCACCCCAGCACGATGATATTGGATCCTGCTAGGTCGATTCTCGTACGATTCAAAAACACCAGCTTCTTTTGCAAGGTCGGATCTTGCACCAGCATGTTCGCAGCATCCAGTCCTTCTTGTCGCGACGAGCCGTAGTATTCATTGTTGCCGGCAACCAAGAGTACACGATCAAAAATCTGACACTGAAGTCTTAGGAAACCGGCATAGTCGTCGTAGTCACAAAAGCGTCCAATATCTCCAACGAGGGCCAGATGGGATGCAGCGCAAGGAATGTCGTAGTCGTACTTGCGTTTTTCCAAGTGAAGGTCTGACATGAATTGTATCCTCGTAGCCATAGTGATATACGGCCATGTGAAGGAGTGAGGGATCGGTCGAGGAGTTTTGGAATTCCCGTCCGCGAAGTCCATGCCAAGAGCCTCTCGCTGGCGCTTTGAACTTGAAATCAACAGTGGCCTCCAGACACACATCGTCGTCGCACATCACATCATTGTCGTCGATCATCGCATCCTTAGTCCTCAGTCGCCGCCCTTCGTCGTCGACCGAGTCCCCTCCATTCCAATCGCTCCAGACAAGATGGCCAACCCCGGCGCACCCGCTGAACAGCCTCGCATGATCTCGCGTCCAAAGAGAGCCCCCACTGGAGACGAAGAGGCTACTGCGATCCTGCGTCTGGGAGAGTTCCAGCAGGTGCCCGCGCTGAACTTATCCGAAGCCCGTACCATCATCAACGCAGTCACGACTCGCAGGCGCAACATCAAGCAAAAGGTCACCGAGTCCGAGACACTTCTCAAAACCCAGGAATACCTCGAGTTGTTCGCGCGCTTCAAGCAGCAGGAACACGTCACTGCCGTCGAACAGTTGCTCACAACCCGCACCGAGCTCGAGCGCTTTGAGCGCAGTCAGCTCGGTGAGTTTACTTGACTACCGCTGTACCTGTTTGTTTACTGACCGTATCAAAAGGAAGTCTATGCCCTGATTCCGCTGAGGAAGCAAAGACACTGGTGCCCTCACTTGAAGGCAAGATCTCAGATGAGGAGCTGCAGGAGCTACTTGACGAGATGATGAAGCTGAGGAACTTCGTGCAATGAGAGACCACCCATCTTGGTTTTCTCACACACCAACACGCCTGACGACTTGTCACGTACTGGCCCGCGCACCGATCTCGTCAAAGCCTTGAAATTAATGGAGTTTGCTGCGGGAATGGATGCATCTTTACTGGCGTTGGACATGCATAATGCAGCTCTTTTCTTCGAAGCGCGGAGTTTGGATTCCACACGAAAAGCGAGATGATAAAGGTATATCAACCAAAGGTTCAGGCGCCTACGGTACTCACAGGACGGACTTTTGAAAGGCTGCTCGGATCCCCCGGCAGGAACGACCGCAACTCGTTAGTGAGGTTCGCTTCGCGGAACCATGAATGCAGTCACCCATACTTGCAATGGTCTTGGAACGCGCATGCGCGTATTCAAAGAAGGAGTGATAATACAGCTTGGGCAGACTATCCTCGACCAAGTTTCATTCTATACACCACTTTCGTATTCATTTAGATGCGCGACGAAGTAGTCAGCGCAATCGAATGTTTCGTCTGAACCCCATATGATGTTCTCGAAACAAACAAGATATGATTATTGTCATAGTGTCGGGTGGTTGTCTAATGATCGTGAATGTCGCCTCAAATTTCCTGCCCATGCCTGCTTCCACATCACGACGGATGTTACACTGATATCATGCAATCTACTTTTGTGCCTTGCCTACTATCGAGTGAATGATAATCTTCGTAGTTCTCTTCAACTACTGTATAGTCGCATTTATATTCAAAGTGCTTCTGATTGGATCGTCCTCCACGCTTTGCGCTCGGGCCGGCAAAACCGCGCCAAGGACGATTCGACATCACTCGACTGGGACCAAGAGAACGACTGGCTAGCATAGCGATTGGGCTTGTCTACACCACACAACATGCAGGCCTTCAGAAGAAGCGCTGCGCAAACTGCGCGCGCAGTTACCCGTCAGCAAACAAAACGCCATGCCCACCACGAAGCCCCAGCCGCCGGCAGCATCAAGTATCCTGAGGAGGAGAAGCTCGGAGTACGTGTCATGGGAGGATACAAGAGACTGTAGACTGATGGAGGAGACAGAGCGGATTCTTCATGGCCTTGTCCCTCGTTCCGATCGGCTTCCTCATGTACAAGTTCTCTGGTCCCGGCCACTACGAGCACAAATACCTCACCCGCGTCATCAACAGCTACGACGGTTACAGAAAGGACGCTGCTCACATCGCCGCTCTCCACACCGATGCTCTTGAGCAGGCTGCTGCAGACCGCAACCTGTTTGCCAACACCCAGCGCGCCCAGAACGTCACCTTGAGGTTCCCTGAGTACGTTCGAATCTCTTTGCACTTCCCTCCAACACGGCATCAGGAAACACAGGTGTTACATCAGGAGAAAGAGAAGGATACTATGATGCGAGAACAGATACAGGAAAGATACGCGAAGAGAATTGGAAGGCTAACAAAGTTCTGTCGGCAGAATCCTCAACACTGGAGCTCCTCACAACGTGCCCGCCGGCCACTACGCCGACATGTCACAAGTCATTGCCAAGTTCGAAAAGGAGGCCAACGAGGCCAACGCAAAGAAGCTGCAGCAGATCAAGGACAACAAAGTCCCCAGCGAGCACCCTTTCAAGGGCCACCTTCCCACTGGCGTCGAGACCGTGTTGATGTAGATATACCATGCCAAACAAGCGAATTTCATGTTTTCCTTTTGTATCTTTTGTAATTCGTGGCTCGTGTGAAACAAAAAGTGTTGCTGCTGCCACCGCTGCTAGATCGAGGCAGGCTTCCCATAACTCCATTTGCGCCTTGCCCATGCCGGATTGAATGTACAGGTGGTGATACAGATTTCGGATCGGGTTCGATCCAAAGTTTACTTGGAAGCGACTTGTCTCACGTTGCTGGTGTGAGGAGCGTGGCCAGGAGTGGCGGGTGCATCGGGAACGACGACATCTTCAAAGTCATCCTGGGCGACGGCGCGAATGGTGAACGAGTCTGCGGTGGCGGGTCAGTCAAGTTGAACCGGACAGATAGAGAGGAGGCAGAGGCAACGAACAAACACCGATAGCGAAGCCAAAGATGGCCAGACCGGTCAGGGCATTCTTGATAATGTACGGCTGACGGGCACGGTAGAGAGCGGCGGTGGGCCTGTTGTACTTGTCGTAGTACGACGACTGAGGGATCCTGCGGTCGAGTCAATGGGCGAGATTCTGTGACGAGGACCAGACACTGCGTACTTTCCAAGAGGCATGTTTGCTCGAGTCGTAAAATAATTAAATCGGACTGCAGAGGGAAGGCACGATTCACATGTTCGAGAAGGGCAAGTGCCAAGCAAGACCGGCGAGGGTCGTGGCTGCTTTCCCGCGCGTCGAGCGAGCCTCAAGTCGAGAGCAAGAGAGCTTCATCACATATTCTTCGACCACATCGCATTGCGCTTTCCATCGCCATTCTTCCTTGGTCGCCTGTCGACACGGCCGACTCCACTTCCACAACCTCTGGAGAGCCCTCAGAGCTGCTTGACACGTGCCTCATGTCGCATTGGACTTAGCTGTCACTGAACTCAACCCCGTCTGCGTGACGTCTTCGGCGCGTCTTCCGTCCTCCACTATGGCTGCTCAAGCAAACGTCGCCGACACAATCAAGCAGCTGAATGCTGCCCGGAACCTTGCCCTCGCCGACCCTGCTCTCTATCCTCAAGTCGTCCCTGGCCTTCTTCGAATCGTGGGCGCTGATGCCATCCTCGAATTGAGAAGATGGGGCGCCGACTTCTTCGCCGAAACATTCGCATCTCCCGTGCTCGCCCAGGAACACAAGCAGAGCTTAGGTCTACAGGTCCTGGACACACTCAAAGCTTTTCTCGAGCGCCCCAATGAGGACACTGCCGTCATCAAAAGCGTAGTTCAAACGGCCGCGAGCATCTACCCTTTCATCTTCCGCCAGACTGTCACAAATCCCCAGGATCCCTCACCATGGCAAAAAATGGCTGCTATCAAGTCGAGCATTCTGCGTAGGATGCACAACGCTCCTCCTGGTATTCACATTTGCTCGGTCAAGTTCATTCAGAGAGTGGTTCAGGTCCAGACTCCCGGCTTGATCGCGGATCCAAGACGGCCTGAACAAAATGAGGTCTCTCTTGCTCTGGTCCCCCGCGATCATCCCGTCATGTCTCCTTCTACATTGGAAGCTGAAGCCTTGGGTTTGCTCGACAGGTTACTCGGCGTATTGCAGGACAACAGCACCGATGCCTTGCTTGTAACCGCTACTCTGAACAGTCTCGGTTCTTTGGTCAAGAGCCGTCCTTCTGTCGCCAACAAGATCATCTCAACCGTCCTCAATTACAACCCCTTCAAGCTCGCTACCACAACACCTGTCTCGCCAACTCACAAGGTTATGATTCGATCCATGACTCGCACGACAACTGCTTTCTTGTTGAACATCATCAAAAAGAACCCCAACCACCCTCTCGCTGGTCGCATTCAACAATGTATCGAGAGACTCAGACATATGCTTATAGAGGTGTTCGATGAATCAAGCCGTAAGAGGGCGGCTCCTGCCGAGCCCACTGATGGTCTGTCTGAGGCAAAGCGACAGCGTCTCAGTGCACAAGTGCCGCAGCCCAGTTCTCCGACTTCTCAGATTCCGCCGCTACCACAAGGACCTATCAGCCTTGCACAGCTTTTCACTCTTACGAGTGACCAGGGACTGCGGAACTTTGATGTAAACGTGATTCCTTCCAATGTTGTTTTGAGCATCGTGGCACCACTTTTGAAATCTATAGATAAAGCCAAAATGGACGCTGCTATCAACGCTGTTCAAGTAAGATACTTGTCCTTGGCTGCGAGGCCCGTCACGGCTTCGAGTGCTGCTCAAGCAGTTACAGGTACTGGCCCCGCTCAGACCGACGAAGACGAGGACTATGAGCCTGGTATGGAAAGTACAGACCAAATCACCAACAATCTCGATCAAGCTCCTCCAGAAAACGACCGAGCTCCGGTGTCTTTGGGACCGTTCAATCTGCCTCCACCACCGCCATTGACTGCAGAACAGACTGCGGAGTATAGCAAAGGGGCTGTCAATCGCGTATTTGGCACCTTGAGCGCAATGGACCAATCTGCACCGAGTAAAACTCACAAACCTGGGTTCAATCGTCTCGCGGCAGCCAGCCACGATCGAGATGCCTGGATCACGATTGTCACTCGTCTTGCCACACGCGCTCCTGCTGGACTAGATGATAGCAAGCTCAAGTCCGAGTCGAGCAGTCTATCGAAAGGCAGGTTTTCACTTAATGACGCCGTACGGGATTCATTATACTTGTATGTCGTCGATGATTTCCGAAAACGCATCGATGTTGGCATCTCCTGGCTCAACGAGGAATGGTACAACGATCGTATACAGAAGCAACAAAACGAGGGAGCAGAGTATATTCCGGAGCACTACGAGAAGTGGATGCTCAAGATTCTAGATGGAATCGTACCTTTCCTGGACGCCAAAGACAAACTCCTCATCAGGTTCCTTTCAGAGATCCCCAGCATTAACCAAGATGTTCTCAAGCGGGTAGTCAGGCTTGCGAAGGATCCAGAGAGAGTGCAACTTGCGGTTCAAGCGCTACATTATTTGATTCTGCTCCGACCACCGGCAAGAGAGATGGCACTCGATGCTTTGGAAGATCTCTACAGGAATTGTATGTTTTCACATGCGCCCCTTTCATCTTCACATATACTGACAGAATTCGACAGACGACGAGTCGCGACCATTGGTGACGAAAATCATGCCTAAATTCCGACCAGAAGCGTTTCAGAAACTGCAAGAAGCGGTGGCAGCCTAGCTTCAAAGAATTTCTAAGCCGTCGTGCTTTGCTCACAGCACACACTTTGCATGCCGCATTCAGCATCATTTGACATATTCTGAAACATGACGGACAAGGCTTGCTAGAAAAGTAGTCGGAAATCGAAAGTAGATACTACACAAACACACAATCAAGATAGCAGCTTGGCTGAGCACACTGCTGTATCGATCAAGACAAACGGCCTGCTGAGATTGCTGCTATAGATAGTGATATGAGGCAGTGCTCGGATAACAGGGGTGGTTCACGGTCGATTGCGCGCGTGCTGGCTGTCTTTGAGGGTGGTAAGAGGGCGTTGAAGCCTAACGTGCTGTATCCCTAGCTGCCGGCGCAATGTCCTTTTTAATTTAGACTTTAAGATGGACACTCGGCGACTTGCATAAGGTCTGCGGCCATGCCACTACTTCGCGCGCGATGCTTTTTGGCTTTGCTCCACAAGTACGGCAAGGAACCATAGGAACCGATTTTGGCGCCTGCTGCTCTTCCGTGCCCACGGACACTTTGACACCTACCTGTGTGGCCGCTGGAGACGAGCATGGCCGACGAGAGGACGCAAAAGCCAGGACTCGGACGACGAAAGTCTTCGCTCGACACACTGCGACATCTATCGCAACGGTTCAAGCAAGCTGGGCGCAAGACATCGGAAAGTGTCGAGGAAGAAGGAGAGATTATTGGCGGTAAGTTAAGTGGGCACGTTCCAGTTGGCGCTGCTCTCGCGACTGCTTGCAGCTTCAAAATGCAGGGTCTTTGTTGTTTTGTCCGTCACTGCCGCAACGTTCATCGCTCATTTTACATACCCAGATGTTCGATTCTCTATGCCCCCTCACCTGAAGATGCCCGACTTTGCTCCTTTTGACTCGGCCTCTGCCGCCGACACTGCATCCCAAAAATCAGCTCTAGACATCGATTCCGCCTTGTCGTCACCGCGAACAGCTCAACCTCCACAATCAACAAACACCCGCGATAGCGTACAAGAACGCCTTTTGTCACCAAATCCATCCAGCAACGAAATGAGTACCACAACGACATTGCTGGAGAGCTCTCCAATTTTCTCAGACAGTACACCTTGGGTCGGCGGTACAGGTCTCGGAAATGCAAACCTCGGAAAGTCTGGCAGGGTCATTGAGAAGCTCATGGCCGAGAACGACAAACTCAAACGAGAGATCAAAGCAGAGGCCGCCAAAAGAGAAGAGTTACAACGCACAGCAAACGCACAAAAGCCACGACTGGAAGCTCTGCAAGCCGAGAATGCACGACTCTCACACTGTAAAGCTGTGGACGAGAGTGTCATCAAGCGCCGCGACCGCAAGATTGAGGATCTCAAGGCCGAGCTTGATATTGAGCGACAGAAGAGAGAGTCCCTGGAGCATCGAGCTCAAGAGGCAGAGCGCAAGATGGGCGAACATCAAGAGCACAGCAACAAGGAGGTCCAACTGGCTATCGAAGAGGCCAAGCACGCAACCACACACGCTTCAATTCTCGAGACATCACACCGCCAGCTATCTTCCGAATACCGACAGCGTATCGCAGCAGCGAGTAAGCAACTACGAGATCTGAACGACGATAGGGAAGAGGATCGGAAACGCCTGATCAAACTAGATGTCGTCAACCACCAGATGCGTCAAGAGTCTGAGAAAGCGAGAAAGCTGTATAACGAACTGCTGGCAAGCTCGGACAGATACAGAGAAGCGAAAGATTCGGAGGTTGATCTTGTCCTTGGAGACATCAGAGAACTCAAAGGAGGCATCAGTCACCGTGAGATGAAACTCGAGAGCACGCTGGAAGAGATGCATGAAACATTGAATCGCATGAAGTGGCTCATGAACATGCAGAAAGTCAACAGCGAGAATGGCGTAAACTCGCCTCCGCCATCACCGCCTTCCTGAGCATCTCACCCATCTCAAGAGCTGGTTGAGCAACAAAAAGTGAAACACATTTGGAATAGAGAGGAGATATTCTTCTGGCATGTTTATGTTGTATAGAGTGGCACTCCCCACTATACAGAGACTTTACGAGAGGCGTTTTATGGGTTGGTTGTTTTCGGGAACGATTGTTAGCAGATACCTACTGCTCACGAATGGCTGCATAGCGAGGCGTTATCGGGGGACGAACTGAGCATAATGCAGATATCAACATATCATCATCTATGGTACATGAAGACTATATGATATTGTTTGCTCTTGAGGGGATGTTGTGGACTTCCGAAATGATTGCGATGCTGTATTGGCACCCCCTGCCAAAGATTGATCGTGCCTGTTGTTTGTATCAAACCAAAGATTCCCATCGCTTCTTGCATGCACATGCAAGGAAGGCACATGCAAACCGACGGGACCTTGCAGATTGACCAACACAAAAAAAAAGTCCACACGTATCCGACCTTGCAAAAGCGTCAATGTGGTCATTCAGCATATCAACACCTTTCTCTTCACTTTGCTCTCTCATCTCATCCTTCCTTCCTTCCTCCTCGCAAGCCATTATTCACTTGACGCCTTCTGAGCTACACATTTCTCTACTCGCCCAACATGGCGTGCACTTTCTTCCACAGCACTTCGTGGAAGTTCCTCGAGCCTGATGAGCTCATCACCACATTCGATCAGATGGTGCAAGATGCCAATGTCAGATGCACATACATGTTAGACAAGCAGGTAAGCCAGGCGCAGTTCGTCCATTCTCTTGCGCCTCTGACAGAATCCAGATGTTCCGCATTGAGTTCCCTGAGCCCGGCCATGAACAGATCTACTTCGAGTTCATGAAATTGTGCAAGAACTACATCGAAACGCACAGAGATGGTCCACAGGATGCCATGAGCGATCCCAAGATCTTCCGCCCGGCCGAGACGGGTGGAAATGCAAACGCCGAAGATGAACTTGAAGAACTCCTGAGAGAAGACGACGTTCTGGACGATGAGCCTCTCATTGAGGCCGCCGATCCTTCATCCGAAGACGAACAAGACAAGCCCTTCTGGAGTTCAAAGAATCCCAAGACAAACATCGCGCTTGTCCTTCCGGACCGTCTGCTACAAGAGATTGCCCAAGATACCACCTGCTCACTGGAGTTGAGCGTCGAGAAGGCATGTATCTACATCGGCAATGCATCTGAGAACAAGATCCAAACTGTCACCAAGAAGCTGGACAACATTGAGAGGAACTGGGTAAGTTTGACTGATGTAAAGCAGACCGGCGCCCAAGCTGAACATAATTCTCTAGCATCGTCCAAGAATTGACTCTCACTTCGTGCGCATGGAAAAGGAGTCTGACGGTGTGCTCCAACTCCATCGTCTACAATACCTGAAAGACGGAACTCTATTGCAGACATTGACTCCTGAACATATGAAACTCATGCTGCCTCGCCAACGTGTGGTCCGCTTGATGCGCCGCGATACCAATGGTCGACTCGAGATCTTCAGCACACAGTCTTCGGAATATGCTCACGACGCAACACTGGCTCAGAAGTGGGGCTCATTGCCGCTTCCACATTTCCTAAAAGAGGGCATGCATGACCTTCTAGTGACTTCCGGTAATAACGCCGTTGAGGCATGGGTGCAGGGAACCATTGATTCTGCGCCTGACGAAAGCGACTTGTTGAGTCGGGGCATTGAGGCCGTGGATCTTGGTGAGCAAGTTAAACCACTCGATCCTGTCAAGGTACCGTTCGTACAACAGGAACAACATCCTGTGCAGGACCTCTGGATTCTTGAAGACGAGAGGGACTCTGACAGTCGCCCTAACTCGTTCGCACTCGTAGATGCTGAGGTCTTTGCCGATCCAAATATCCTCATTGACTTCGAAGGTCGGCCTCCGTCTTCGTATCCGACCAGCCATGCTACAGAGTCCGTCCATACTCCAGCTCCCAGCTCAATCGCTGCTGGTTCTGAGTCACTGCAGGCTAGGGTGGCATCTGGGATCAAGTTTACTGACAAGCCACCCAAAGCACAATGGGAGAACATTCCCCCACTTCCGGTCGTAACTGATTACAGTGCTCAGTCCACAGCAGCTTATACGGGAGATGTTACCGCTGAGCCGTTCCCTCCTCTTGGAACACAGGGTCCCCGACCTCGTGTGCAGCGATTGCAGCCCTCGTCTACTCCTGTTGCACCACCAGGCTTGTCAACTCGACGTGGCCAGTATTCTCAAGCAGTGCTTTCCCAGTCTGCCGAACCTACAGACGTCGTGGAGAGACTCCAGATCGTAGATGAAGTCGCTAGCAGGAAATACTATCACACAACCGCTCATCGCAAGCCCAAATCAAAGGCGAAGGGAAAGGGAAAGTCTGACAACTCATCTTTCAAGGTAGAACTACCTGCTCCCGATTGGGATCCAAGATCGAACAAACAGCCGGATGTGCCTGATCAGAAGAAATCAAAGGCCACCAATGCGCAAGCCCCACCTCCAACTACCAAACCAAACCCCCTGGTTCTTCCACCCTGTAGCAAAGATGTGCTGCAGATTCTGGATATCGCCCGAGCTTTTAGGGGTCATCTGGATATGGAGATCTTCATCGGCCGCATTCTACTCGAAGGTTTCAGAGAACCTGAAGCAAGAGAATTTGCTGCCTCCAAGCCAATGCATCCCATTCGTATGATAGATGGTATCAAAGAACATCTTTCTTCGGACCCGGAGACCATCCTTCATTTCGTCGAGCGACTAACCACAACTACTACTGAAGCATGCCAGATCCCGACCCCTCAATTGTTCCATCAAGACGCCATCGAAGAGTGCTGGTATGAATTCCATTGCGAGGATAAGTACCACAATCAATTCATTCTCAAAGTCAAAGGGCCCGAGGATGCAACGATTGATCTCATTCCAGTCACCATTGGTCAAGTCTTCTTCCACTATCCAAAGCGGAAGTGGGATGCTTGCTTTGTTGTCAAAGGCCGAAAGCCATACACACACCGCAGGGCAGTCAAAGAGTTTATGGAAAGGCTCTCGGCCGAAGTCCGCAACTCGAAGGATGAACGACTCGTCGACCTTCGCTTCCGTGTCACCAGCGACTTGAAGATCCACAGCGCATACACCAAGAAGCGTCTCTCATTCAGTCACATCAACAATGACCGCATCACTCTGCACCTCACAGAAGTACAGGACTTGATCAGAGGCTGGATGGGAGATGATACCTCGCTTCATCAATTCGCATCCAGAGAGAGAGCCGAGATGATCGCAGCCCACCGTCTGTGGTTCGAGGCAAAGATTTCGGTGTCAGCAGAGTCTTTCTTCGACCAGAACTTGAAGATAAAGACAGGTGATGATGCTGCTTGGGAGGCAAAGGATGTGCTCGACGATAGGATGCTGTCTGACATCCAGAATGTTGTCGATAAAGTCGTCATTCGTATGGATGGTGTTGGTGTTTTGAACAAGGGATGGCGAGGTAGCGAGGAGGATATGGCTGAGCTGGAAGCGTTCGAGCAGGGATGCAAGAAAGAGGGTCGTCCTGGCCACTGGTGAGAAGGACTTGATCAACCTATGACGGCAAGGCTTTTCCCAATTACCGGCGTGAATGCCTCGACCAGTGATCGAAACAGGTGTTGCGTAGATATGACAGCAAGAGCTCGTTGTTGTCTCTAGCAGGTGTGGTGATGCAGGAAAGAATTGAACGGCAGGCCAGCATGTTCGATAGATCGTGTTGTAATCTTGCTAGACCAGTGCTTCGGCGAGATCACAGATGGTTGTTGAAGAGAAGAGGTGATCATCCAAGTACGAAACAAGGAACTCATAGGAGTCAGGTAGCGAAGTTCGACATGAGATGGCCATGATAGATCACAATGCAATACTTTGCACATTCCGTTCGACGTGTGTATTGATCCTATCGAGAGTCCTCTGATGGCAATATTCGCAACTCGTCATATCTGTATTCGTTGAAGATTTTGTGGATCGGTGTGACTTTGCAAATGCGGTAAGGCTCATCATGGCGCCTTGTGTTGGGTACAATGGCGACAAGTGTCTCAGTCAATCTCCTTGAAGCAGTGATATCGAAGGGCACAGTGGTGTTGACAAGTCGAATGCTAACCTCATGCGAGGGAGGAGCTTTGAGAAAACACAATGATTAATACAACTCATCTATCGTACACTTATACTAATACAAATCCAACCCTCCTTCTCTTACTCTCCCATTCCCTCCTTGAACCTTCGCCCTCCCCAATCAAAAGTAAACAGCTTCAGGCTTATGCACAGCAACCTTGCCCGAAGACTCACTCTTCAACACAATCCTAGGGTCCTCTTTCGATGCCTTGACTTTCTTGCCATCGACTTCTTTTTCTTCATAGGCGATTTCTTGAACGGTTCCCTTTGTCCAGTTGCCGAGGGTCTTCCAGTGGACGGTTTGGTTCTCTCTGGGGAGGCGGGACGAAGAGGCGGGCTCGCCGTGGGAGTCGTCTTTTGACTCGTCCTTGGAATCCTTGTCCTTGGTGTCTGTGCCGTTGGACTTTGAATCGTCCTTGGAGTCATCTTTGGTCTTTGAATCGTCCTTGGTGTCGTTGTCGTCAGACTTTGACTTCTTCGATGGCGACGAAGTTTCCTTTGCAGCACCGTCGTTTTGCCTCTGCTTCTTCGACGGCGAAGCAGATTTAGAAGAACGAGTGCGCTTATCACCAGCCTGTGCCTCTTCCTCTTCCTTCTCGTCACCCTCCTTCTTCTCCTCTTGCTGCTTCTTCTCAAATTCCTCGTCTTCTTCTTCATTGGCTTGCTTTCTGCTTTCCTTTGCCTTGTCGGTGTTGTTGACGTGCTGCTTGCCTTCTTTGCTTGCTTCTTGTTTCTTGTCGTCTGTTTCTTTCTTCTCCTGCTCGCTCATGTTTTCCCAGGCCTTTTTGGGGAGGTAGCGGTGTTGGGTGCCGTCATCGTCTTTTGCGTTGCCGGACCCTTCTTTGGTTTGCCAGTCTTCTTCTCCCCATTTGGAAAGGTGTTGTTGCGAGTCGTCTTGGTCTTTCTTGTCAGTCGTGTACTAAAGAAGGTAGAGAGGTTAGTGGGATTTGCGTTTGTAGTAGGGGGGAGTGATAAGAGGAGCTTACACCACCGCCACGCTTCTTGTATTCAGAGGCCATCATTTGGGCTTTGCGGGCTGACCATTGGCCGGGCGCGCCGCCCTTGTCGCCATTGTGGATTTCCTCCTTGACTTCGTCGCGAAGCTCGGGGTCGGTATACTTGTCCTTGGGAGGCATGGCTGAGATCGTTGAAGGTATAAACGTTCTGATTGGAAAAATTGCTCTCAAGCGGGTGGTATTCGAAAAGTATCTTGCAATTGGTGTTGCTCTGGTCAATTGCATGGTTCATCTACCTCTTATATATTTCAGCTTCTGGGGCAGGAAAGCAATATTTCGATCATGCCAGCCCCCAATTGGCGTTTCGAGTCTATCGTCATCGATTTCATTGAAGCATCGTGCGAGGGGTGTTATGCTTCGATAAAATGACATCATGCGGTCGGTTTTTTTTGGACCGTGATGGTCTTTCGCAGAGGAGGCTGGGAGATCTGCGAGGAGGTCGTCCCTGATCGATCTGGTGGAGGCTTGGCGATTGAATGCTTGGCTTTTGGTCGAGCTCGAGCTCCGTGGTCGAATGTTGATGTATCTTCGACGATTTCGTTAATGTGGAGTAGAAGGTCGATTTGAGCGATATGTGGAAGTATTTGAGAGCTGAACAGGTGCAAATCACCGGTCGGGTGCCCTTTTTCCAGATCGCACTGTATAGAAACCGGAGTTGGTTCCTTGGAAACACGAAAGCTGAACCGAAATTCATGGTCAGATTGAGAAATCGTTTAAACACGATTGATTGCATCCAAGTTGTTGTGAATCAGCTGCAGTCATATAGAACAGGTGCTATAGAGCCCGATACATCATATATCAGGCATGTTTCGTCCATTAGACAGGTGTAAGCGATGGTGGAACTCCAGAGTCAGGGTTGTACTGTTAGCATAAAAGTCTTGGTCACAAAAGTGCTTACACCAGAAGCTATTAGGTAGCTCGGTAGCACCCCGTACTACGCTCAATGCCGCACCACCCGGTTACAACGACATGGCGCGGAACTACTCAGGATCCGACGCCGCCTCGCGCCTCGCGCCTCGGCGAGTTGAGCGGGACGACAGAAGATGTTGCTGCATAATCATCGGTGCAGCTTGCTGCAAGATGCGGATGTGGATTACGAATTTTGCAGCGAGACGCGAATTGTCGTAATATCTAACGCGAAGCACGTCGCCAGATGGCTCGCAAACGACAGATTGGATGTATGGAGCTCGGCACCATCACGCGACTTTGTAGGGTACACAGCAGACCCTTGACTAGGATGCTGGTAAGCTGATTGACATGTGAGATAGCGAGAAGCAGGAAGTGCACATGTCAGAGTCTCATGAAGGAGTTGATGCAAATTCACAGATAATTACGAGTGAGATAAGAAGACATGGACTCGTAGCCGGCACCTGCAAAAATCGACCAAAATCATTCGAGCATGGGCTGGCAGCCGCGAGGAAGTCACGAGTCGCGAGATAGCGACGGGAACGACCGAATAAAACAAAGGTTTAGGGACGGCAATGCAACGCTAGCGGCTAGCGGGCGGGAGGAGGCGGGGCAGGGTGAATGGTTGGTCATAATCACTCGACCTCGTTGTCCAAGCCTAACTATTGCCATTCCCAAGTCGCTGCGCAGTCCAAAACAATTTCACCTCTGGCCCTACGCAGTACCAATTCACCGCTTTGTCAATCGCTACACCCGACCTCTCATCCAGTCGTCCGTCGAGCCCTCTTGGAGCCCACGACGTCTGCCTCCTCCGCCGCCGTACCGCTCGAACTTGCAGCTAGCAGCTTGCACCGCTATCTCGTCCCAGTTCATCGTCTCTCAGCGACCCGATAGTGACTCCCAGCCGGCGACAGAGCCGCCAACAAGCGCTGGAGCGTCCGTCTTGATCCTGGTCACGATGGTCATGGTCGGATCGCGCATCTAGCGAAGCCTCAACTGGGCTGCCCTGGCGGGCAGGTGCTCTGCAACGATTCACATCGTCACGTTTACACAACGATCATCATGGTCGACTCACCAATCCCAACAATGCTGGCTCCGCCTGCCGTTGTCGCTTTGAAAGAGGATGCTGTCGGAACAAAGGATTCCGGGTACAGAGGAACTATGGAGAGAACAGTCAGCATGGATATCAGAGAGGAGCGCGAAGATCTCAAACGAGCTGCCGAGCAGTCTGTCAACGCAATCATGGACCTCAATCTGGACGGAACCATTCGCTGGGCAAGTCCCTTTTGGAAAGATCTCAGCGGAGTTGACCCGGAGTCAATTGTCGGAAAACCCATGTCTGATATCATTGTCGACCACAAGAACATTTTCACAGATGCCATTGCTCTTATGAGAAATGATGACACAAAGAGCCGCATTATCCGCTTCGCAATCGCATACCAGCTCCCCGTGGGAGTCAGTCCCGAAGTCACCATCGAAAGCCCCCATGCAGAACCCGTGGCTTTCATCACCGAAGAACAAGACTGTCATGAGCATCTAGTAAACCTCGAAGCTCAAGGTATCATGGTATACGAGAGAGCTACTGGAGAAGAGAGTCACGTAAGAGTTCTTACAGCCAGCGAGACACGAGTAGCACTAACGCCCTCACAGACAATGTGGATGATCAAGCCTGCAGTTCATCGTGAGATTACGATAGACCTCCCTGACGTCCTTGCAGAGTCTCTAGGAATTGGCGCTCACGTTTTGGCGCAATATTTGACCCATTTGGCCGAGATCGGCAGTGACGACCCAGCTGATCATCCGCCCCCGCCTCCAGTATTGTGCCGTATTTGCGAGCGCCAGATCACTCCTTGGTGGTTTGAGAAGCATACTGAGTTATGCATGCAGGAGCATAAGGCCGAAATGGACGTTCAAATCGCCCAAGAAAATCTGACCGAGCACCGTGCTGCCATTGTCAAGGTTTTGGACGCCCTGGAAGCCCAAACCCGCCATGGCCGTCATAGTCCCTCTGATTCAGGCTCTCCGGTACCAGCTCCACTGTGCGACTACAAAGGACATCCCATCGGACCCGCCTCTCAGCCTTCATCTGGTCCTTCATCCGGTCGTGCATCGCCCGCAGGACCTCAGCTCAAGCCAAGAAGCTCCTCACGATCAGGTCTGAATCACCAAAGAGCCCGGTCTTTTGCGGTTAGACGTCCTCTGGCTCGTATTGTTGAGCTCGTGCTCGATCTTTGTGACACAGCTTTGGAAATCAGTCCCCCCGCTGTAAAGGACGGTTCTCAGGACGGCGAGATCAGAACTCAATCTCCTCAATCTGAAGGCCGGATATCACAGGTACTGCAATGGCAGCCTCCAAACACAAGTACCGTGGACAACGAACATGGTCTTGCGCTGCTTGCTGAAGACACTTCGGGCTTCTGCAAAGCCAAAGTCGATGCCATTTTCCGCCATCGATACATTTTGGAGTACTCGGAGCGCCTCCGCATTGAATTCCATATTTTGGTGCAAGAGTGCATTGACGAAGCCGTGGCTAAAGCTGCACGCATAGCCAATGGTGAACTCAGCTCAAGCGAATCATCTTCATCCACTGATATAGAGAACGAAGAAGAAGAGGAAAACCAAGATCACGACAAATTCAGCCATATCGGAGATGCTATGTCTGATATAGATGGACCACCTCCACGCCTACCCGAAGGCATGCAGGAAGACTTCTCGATCAACCCAAATGGGTCGCCCGTTGCACCATCGGCCATGACCATGGCGCTACGCAACATCCCAGAAGCATCTTCCTACCGGAGAGCCTCCTCGACATGTGGATCTTCGCGCTCAAACAGTCCTCATGGTGCTCGAACGCCTCGGTCGTACGGAAGTGCCCTCAGCACTCTGATCCACCAGAAGAGAGCAGCGATGTTGGTACCAGAGAACGACGCTGGTGCAGAAAGCGATAGTAGCGTTCGTTCCTCGTTGGCCTCGATACCTGTGCGAACCGACTCACCAGCTCCCGAGTTGAGTCTCAGTCGGGTTACGAGCAATCGCGAACATAAAAGAAGGAGTCTTGTGCTTCCTAGTCTAGCAAACACTAGCCGACAGCAATCTCCTACTCGCAGCATCGCGCCCTCTTCGCCACTGCGAGTTGCAAAACCACGAGTACCAAGTGGTGGAGAAATTGCTCCTTCGCCGCTTACCTCTCCTATACTTTCGCACGATCACCATTTCCATTCTCCGATTCTGCGAGCCCAATCACTGCATCATCACCACCACAGACGGCAATCTTCGGCCACTGCATATTCTGAATCATACCGCGGACCGTCTTCACCAAGGCTGAACGCTGTGAACAGCAACCCGCAGCCCCGAGCAGTTCAAACCTCTATCAAAGACTTTGAAATTATCAAGCCTATCAGCAAAGGTGCTTTCGGTAGTGTCTACCTTGCGAAGAAGAAGGTCACTGGAGATTACTATGCCATTAAAGTCCTCAAGAAGGCTGATATGGTTGCCAAGAATCAAGTCACCAACGTCAAGGCCGAACGAGCGATCATGATGTGGCAGGGTGAGAGCGACTTTGTTGCGAAACTGTATTGGACCTTTGCCAGCAAGGACTATCTCTATCTTGTCATGGAGTATCTGAATGGAGGCGATTGTGCTTCGTTGGTCAAGACATTGGGCGGATTACCTGAAGACTGGGCAAAGAAGTATCTAGCCGAAGTTGTTTTGGGCGTTCAGCATTTACATGACAGACAGATTGTTCATCGCGACTTGAAGCCAGACAATCTTCTTATTGATCAGAAAGGGCATCTCAAGCTCACAGATTTCGGTCTCTCGCGAATGGGTCTCATTGGACGTCAAAAGAGAATGCAAAACAGCAAAGTCGGCGATGCACCAGATTTGCTCAAGTTAGGCAAACGAGATCCGTCCATCGTATCGTCACGATCTGCCTCTTTCGACTTCAACGGCGGTCAGTCTCCAGCTCCTACACCAGGACTGACACCTGCCCTAGCTGGAGAGCTCGGTCAGCCATCGTACTTCAGTCTGACGAAAGGAGAGTCCCGTGAGCCTTCACGACGCACATCCGGCCAACGCAGCGACAGTGGAGAGAGTGATGCTCTGGCAAATATGTTCCGTCGCTTTTCGATAGTAGACGAATCTGCTAGCAGCTATCAGAGACGAACACCGATCGAAGAAGAAACTGCTAGTGAAGGCGAATCGCCAGAGCCTTATCCATTGCAGCCTGTTTTGAGCCACATGAGTGGCCTGGGCACACCTCCTGGCCAATCTGGAATGCTGCCTCCACCGATGGCTTTGTTCGACCCCGAGGACAGTTCGCGAAGATTCGTCGGTACGCCAGACTACCTTGCTCCTGAAACGATCAACGGAAGTGGGCAGGACGAAATGAGTGATTGGTGGTCACTGGGCTGCATCCTCTTCGAGTGCTTGTATGGCTACCCACCTTTTCATGCAGATACACCCGATCAAGTTTTCCAGAACATCCTGGATCGCAAGATCGACTGGCCTGATGATGAAGATTGTCCCGTAACTTCAGAAGCCAAAGACCTTATGAACAGACTTATGTGCTCCGATGCCAAAGAGAGACTTGGGTCTAATATCGACGAGAAGTTCGCCAACGGTGGAGATGAGATCAGAGCCCACCCATGGTTCGCTGATGTTGAGTGGGGCACGCTCCGGGAGGAGGAGGCATCCTTTATCCCAGCACCTGCAAACCCTGAGGATACAGAATATTTCGACTCGAGAGGTGCCACATTGCAGAACTTCAGAGCCGAATTTGAGGATCAGGTTTCATCGCCATCTAATACGCCTGGCGCCGACTATCCAGAACGACCGCACGACGCCTTGTCGAGGGTTAGAAACCAGGTCAATTCTATCAAGAGAGGATTGATGCCATTGCATATACCCCCACACGTTAGAGACGGCCGCAGTCGAAGGCTGAGCGAACCTGTTGCAGCGGATGACTTTGGAAACTTCCAGTTCAAGAACCTTCCTGTCCTGGAAAAGGCAAACAAGGACGTCATCCAAAAACTTCGTGCCGAAGCAATGCAAGCCCAAAGTAAGATTGCTCAAGGTCTTGTATCTCCGTCGCCGGTGGTAGTTTCTCCCTCTCCATCTGTCGAATCAAGCCCAGTAGGACCCGCACCACTGAAGCGTACGCTTTCGTCGAACAAGGGAAACAATAGACCTGCTTCCCCTTCGCTATTGAGCAAGACAAATTCATCGCCAAGCAGGAACTCCCAGCCGTCATCTCCTTTGTTGGTGTCATTCAGCGCAGGAGGTCACCACGAACGTAGGAAAACATCAACGTCTTCCTCATTGGCTCAGCAAATCAGCAACTTGCAGCAGAGTAGCAATTTGCTCGATGCTCCAAATTTGCCTGCTGGATTCAAGTCTTTATCTGCAGCTTCATCTCCCATCAAAATCCCAAAGAGTCTGAACGGGCAAAGCTACATGCCAGAGAAGTCTTCGCTATCGAACGGAAGAAGGGGTAGTATTTCGTCACCGCGACAGCGCTCGCACACCATTGGCTCTCAAGACGATGATATGCCACCCGGACCGATATCCCAGTACAAGCGAAGGAGTATGGCATTCGATGCCTCTCCATCATCGTCAGACAACGAAGATCAACGCACGAAAGCTTTGTTGCGGGTTCAACGCCGAAGACAGAGTGCACGCAGACTCTCCCAGGTCACGTTAGCGGAAGGACCTGCGTTCAGACCACTGGATGTGCTGATATGTGAGGACCATCCTGTATCGCGCCTTGTCATGGAGAGGCTGCTCGAGAAGCTTCGCTGTCGCACCATTTCGGTACAGGATGGCTCTGAAGCCATGCGTTATGCTATGAGTGAAGTCAAGTTCGACATTATCATGATGGAGTTCAAGCTACCTCAAATCAATGGAGCAGATGTGGCACGCATGATACGAGATACTAAGAACGCAAACTCGCACACGCCAATTGTTGCCGTCACAGGATATCTCAAGGAGCTGCAAGCACCGCACTACTTTGACGCGTTGATTGAGAAGCCCCCAGATACAGCCAAACTCACCGAAGTCATGAGCAGACTCTGTCAATGGAAGCCACCTCCACCGGGATGGACACCAGCACAACTGCCCATGATGCCTTCTTCGAGTCTACGTCGAGGATCGCCCTTGACGGAAGAGAGCCCAACGACCAGTTCAATGTCTGGTTATGGTATGCTCACCAACAGCTTCCGCGGATCTAGCAGAGAAGACTCGATAGGATCAAGTTCAATACCCGAGATCGGCAGCCCCTATGATTCAATACCGGTCATCATCAGTAGACACACCAATGATTGGCAAGAATCCGAGCTCGAGCGCCAGTTCGACGGATTGGGCATCAGCCCAGAGGAAGTGGTGCACGCGAGAACGAAACCTCCGCCCGAGACTAAGATGCCGGGACTGACAGAACAGATCTCTGCACCAGGGCAACTCGAGAGCCAGCGTGACGTTTCACCCCGCAAACAACGAACACCCGAATCGATAGAAGCGAGAAAGAAGTCTTTGGAGATGGGAAGGCACGAGTGTGCAGAATCTGGAGATGATGAAGACGAAGAGCTGGGCAATGCTCAGATCCGCGCACGATCGCCCAAGTCTAAGATACGAGGAGCATCGAAGCTGGGGACTGAGATGTTGCGCACCAACAGCCAGGGCAGCGTCGTGTCGAACGAAGAGGTCATGGCGACGCAGAACCTCAAGGCGACGGCGTCACTTACAGGCAACGAGGAAGCGGCTATTGAAGAGGAGGGAGCGACGTTGACGCCGCCAGAGCTGTTCTTGCCGCATGGCAGCATCCAGATCGTAGATATGGATAGGACGCCGCGGCCGCACTATACAAGCGACCCCGATCCTGATCCGACGCCTCGAGCGTCCACATCACCGACACGCAAGGAATGATTGCTAGGAAGTTTGATCAGCGAGGCGGACAACACGATGTCAGTTATTATTTTTGGGAGGCATGGTTTTCTTTTTTTTTCTGTCTTCATTTCTTGTGTCTCTTTTGTGCCTTTTCTTTTACATGATACAAGCAAGTTTTTCTTCAGCTTCAGCCAGGTCGTAATACCCCCTTTTCTTACGCATGATTTCTTTCTTCCTCTTTGATTCCGAAAACGCCAAAACTCCATCGCTGTGTTTGATAGACCAATATGTGTGAAATCGTGATAGAAGAAAAGAAAATCAACGTCTAGGAGCTAGACCAGGCACACCGCTGTATCTCTCCTCTCTCTCGGTCTTGAAGGTGACCTGAACCCAGAACTCCTTGTTGTCCTCGTCGAACCAAGTCCAGTACTTCCCCTCTGAGCGATCGATTTCACGAGCTTGGAGCTTGAAAGCACAAGTCTCGTAGGGCTCAGCAGCGACCAGCAAGTACTGGAATTGCTTATCCGGCTCTTCGACTTTTTGCTCAAAGGCAGACATGAATCTGACTCTGGGCTGCACATCCTGCGAAATCTCGGGATACTGCAACTGAAACAGCAAACCCAACTGTCTGGTCAACGGATCCCTCGTCTTCGTAATCTTATACCCCGGTCTTCCAATCTTTACCACATTTCTCTTGACCTGCACCGTATTCAAGCCCGTCAAATTCTGATCTCTGTCTTTGCCTAGTTGTGCTTCTCTGGCTGCTCTCCTGGCTAGATTGGTTTGATGTTTGCGACCTTGGGTGTGAGCGAGGTAGGAACCGTCGTTTTGGTGTACGGTCAGACAGAGGCGACATTCGAAGCTGCCGACGTGGTTTTTGAAAATGTAAGGGTCTTTGTCCAGGTCGATTGTTTCGAGGGCGAGTTTGCGGAGGCGTTCGCGGCGGTCGGCGTTGGTTGCTGAGGCGGAGGCTACGCCGCCACCGCCGAATTTGGAGCCAGCGCGGTTCTGGGAGGGAGAGGGTTAGTGGATGCGTGGAGGGTGGAAGGTGTAGAGGAGTGCGTACCTGGTAGTCCATGGTTTGATGCTTGGATGTGAGAGTGCGCGCGTTGCGCTAGGTGTGTCGCGTTGTTCGAAAGTTGGTTGAAGAAGGTGAGATCGTTCGGTCCAGCGATCGGGTTGACGTCAAGTGATGCACGCTTTGAAAAGGTTGTTGGTATGGTTTGATAGAGAAGCGCAAAATGATGGATGAGTGTCGAGCTACATCTTGGGACCGCCGCACGGGCCACAATACCATTGCGACTTCCTTGACCAAGTTTGACTAGGTATTGTTCTTACAATAACATCTTGATCACGTCCAATAGATTTCATTCTACTTTGCAACACTTTATACATTCATAGGAGGGTAGTGGAAGTGATGGTTTGTGGCATGCATGGAGGGGTCAGAATCCGAATTGCAGCCACCCCTTCACCCGTAGACAATAGCTCAGCTCGAGGCGGTCTTTCCCATACTGCGCCTCGTTTGCATCCTTGAGCACACTGTCCAACTGTTCTTCACTTGCTTTCACATCATTGGTCGATTGCTCTGTCCACATCACTTCCCATTTCCATGTCAATTTTCTCTATATCACTTGCTACTTCAGACAATTTTGGACAAGTACCGTACAAGTTCCGACCTTCCAGTCAAATATTCAAATCTTCCGCTTTCATCACACTTCTTCTCACCTATATATCTAATACCTACCACTACCTTTTCCTTCCACTTCGATCATTTTACCTTACCACAACGATCACCACTCAACATCATATCACACTTCCAACCATCAAACAACATCAACATCATGACTTCCTCTACTACCAACGACACCTCTGGGCCAGTCTACTTCTTCAGCGTAAGAGATCGCGTCTACGGCATCTTCTCTCAGTGGCAGAAATGCACCTTCACCGACCCAAACTACCCTGACATCAAGTTCAACAACGCCGAACAATACATGATGTACGCAAAAGCCCAAACCTTCAACAACCCAGACATCGCCGCCGAGATCCTCGTCGCGAAGACGTCGAAGGATCAAAAGGCACTGGGTAGAAACGTCAAGCCCTTCAGTGACGCAGTGTGGGATCCAGTCAAATTTGGCATTGTGGAACGTGGCAACTACCTCAAGTTCTCCCAGAATGACAGATTCAAAAGGGTGTTGCTGGATACTGGAGACAAGCTGCTTGTTGAGGCTTCCAAGAATGACAGCATTTGGGGCATTGGTTTCACTGCTACAACTGCAAAGACCGTCCCAAGAGAGAAGTGGGGTCAGAATCTTCTCGGCATCGCTCTGATGAATGTGAGAAAGAAAATCAGAGATGAGGAAGCCGGAGAAGAAGACGAAGAAGGCGACGACTCCGATCAGGAAGCCACTGATGAGGAGGATGACGAGCAACCTGAATCCGCCACCAGAAAGCGCAAGCACGTCTCTATCGCCAACGAGGACTCCGATGACGAGCCAACCGAGCCTGAGACAGCAGCTTCCAAGAAGGCTCGCATTGGCATGGTCGCAGAGGACATCCTTGGCGGAATCAAGAGCAAACAAACTGAAGTTGATTTGCTTGAAATGTTCACCAAGAGGGCCACCGAGGGCTCGATGATCCATGGAGCAGAGTAAACATCTGCGATCCTCAATACTTTTCTTCGTCGCAGTATATTCACATCGACCCGAACACACAGCAAAACACTAAGGGTATGCCGACCACTAGAGAACGGCGCCCTCGCTATATCATGGATGCAGCCACGACTTTTGATTGCCACATCCCAATTCTTTGACGACAACACTCACCATTTACGACTTACGGCCTTTTGATTTTTCTTTTTGCAAGTTTCATCCAGAATTCTTTCTATGCAAGACGACGAAGAATGGTTAAAGGAGCCATGGAATGCCATGTTCTCCAGGAGAGCGATATGAAAGCAAAGAAGAGGTCTTCGGCGGCAGACATACTCATATCCATCTGCAATGACATTCAAGTTTTCTATGTCGTTTGCTTTGTGCCTCGAGATTGAACTCATCAGAACTGTCTGTCTGTTGTTCTCGTGCCTCCGAAGGGGTGCGAATCTGAATCTTCGTTTCGCGGTGGTGTATTTCCTTTGCTCTGACTGCATCGCGATTTCTACATTTTATTTTCATCGATCTGGCTCAGAGATCGATGGTCTGTAGAGACCTGTTGCGTCTGTGGTATGCCAGCTTCCACGGCTGATCACGTAAGGAAGGCACTCAAAACTTGATATGTGCAGCAGCACCTTGTTAAACAATGAATCCGCAATGAGGAAAGGCGCTAGGAAGTTGTGCAAAGACGGAAAGCATACGCAAGTCCACAACACCGTATCGGTATAAAATCCGGTGACGGCGAAAAACGTTTATAAGACGTTTCTTTCTTCGTCCCAATCACATGGTACAGCCTCGCAAGCAAGAAAGCAGGTTTTCCCGAGACCCTTCATATTGGCGCGTTCTGAGTTTATTATGTCACGAGGATGTGGTCAGCCACGAGTTCCGCTGAGCTTGGCCATTGTGAGGTCTGAGTTCTGAGCTCAGGAAGAGGCTCAGGGCAGGGAGCTTGCAGGGCAGCAGTGTCGGGTTTGTCAGCTGCAGTGAACCGGTCTTCTTGACATTGGCCAAGGTATCTGCCCACCGTTTGCATCTGCTGACGATAGTTGCAACTTGATATCGTGTCTCGGCGGTTTGGATTAATAGCTGTGAGAGAACCTTTGTGTCGTGAAAAGATTGAAGAACGACTCTGCTATGCTGTGTTATAGCGTTTGCAGCCTTTCAATAGAGAAACAGAAAACTCAGCAATGCTGCTGTGATGCTCTGTATCATTGTTCCACTGTTGGCGATTGATGTTAGCCTTACCTTGGAGGAGTTATAAATAGAAACAGAATTTGCTGTGAGATGGCATTGCCTACACCTCTCTTGACCCTTTGTAATCAACATTCATTTACCTGTCCTTACCATCTTACGTGTTCTCCCAGGGACGATTGTCCCGAGGTGCCGTTGCGGATGTTGTTCATGCTTGCCGACGTTCCGACTTCATGATTCGAAGACAGTGAACAGCCACACCGAGAACGGAAGCTTTCCAGAGTGAACACTCCACCGCGGAATTGACGACGAAAGTGGCCGTTTCCGCGTCGCTTTCATGTCCAGATATGCTCCGAGGAAGCCGCAAAGAGTTTCAGGGGGGGTGGTTTCAAGGATGGGAGATTCGATTGCGACTGCGCCATTGCAGCGTGACGGAAACCCGGGGTGTGCAATCTGCGGGTGTCTTTTTTGTTGTTGGAAGGAGAATAAAAACGCAAGGCTCCCACCATGCCACTTGCTTTCAATAGCAATCTTGGTAGGGTATACCGTTCCGCGGGCGGTTTAGATCTTGCGACGATGTGGGTTCGCTCGTGCTTTCTTTGACAACCTGTTTATTGTGTTCGCAAACGATATGTTGACCCGTAGGGGCGAGAACAGCTATGATGATAAATGTTGTTTCCGGTGCGGTGTGAGCTTTTGTGTAGACACGGCTCAAGGGTCTCCTCGTCATAGAGTGCATGCACTTTTCCGGGGGAGGCTTGCTCCAGCTTCATCCGGATTGCGCTCGCGTGTGCTTGTGCTTTTTGGCAGTGGCTTGAGCTGTTCCGCAACGGTGTTTTTGGACCCAAGGTCAGGCCCTCAGCACTAACGTTGACAGATCTCGATGGAGGCGCATTGAAAGTTGGCTGGCATTAAGGAGATGTCAAATGCCATGTTCTCGCGTTCGAGAAGTGTGAGGTCTGTCTATCGCCAAATTCAAGGCCGCCTGATAGTGGCTCTGACAGAGTCTGGCTATCTGCCGGCTGAGCACGTCGGAGCTGAAAGCTCTCGCTTCCAAATAGTGCGGCATGATAGAACAACGGGCATACTGAATGTCGACATCATCATTTGAGGTCTCGCCCACTCCTCGAAGGCCGAGGCGCAACCATTGTGTTCAATAAGTTGATACGGAGTGTCATCCGTCAAGGGGCACGAAGAACGAAATGCTCTAAGGGTTGGCGCCCGCTGTTATTGCCATGGACCAGGGTTGATCATGCCTGCTAGATTTAAACTCTCGTACGGAGCGTTGACCGGATGAAAGCTTTACAATCCCAGGAGTCAAGACATGTCATTGATGACGACCACCTCCTCTGTCTTCTTGTTTCACGACTCGACATAATTACCATAGCGAAGGCGTATCGGGAAGACGAGGCTCAAGCAGACTCTAAGCCACCGTCGCATGTTGTCTCGGATGGCAGCCTTGATACCAAGTTACCTGCGATGGGATACTTGAAAGCATGGCAAACCCGTTTTTGGAAATGGACTTGAACGGTCACGAGCCGGCTGCGGCGCACGCACGCGTTTCCATGACACGCTATCGTGCTTACTTGACCGTTTGATGCTTCTGGAATACTGCCTTGATAGTCGTCTCGTAGCCTGTTGTCTTGACGACTGGGAAATTGGGAAGAGTAGTGGTCACGATTTCGTCCGATCAGGTGGAGGACTTGCTTGACAACGTGACACTGGAGACTGGAGAGCAGACCAAGGATCAGCAGCCCCCTGACTTTGCGCCAGGAAAGACGGATGGGTATCAAGTCCGATTAGGTTCGGCCAACTCTGTTGTAAACATGTGTTCGCTGCTTCAAAGATGATGATCAGCAAGAAGAGGATGAGAAAGTTTTGCGGCGGGCAAGCAACTCCGACGTAGTGGAGCGGCGGTGAAAAGAGACAGGGAGAATAGACGACCGAGTCATGTCTGCAAGCTCTCACTTCGGCGCGAAACGGAGGCGAACGGCGAATATGCGGAGCGCATGAAGACCAAAGCGAAACCTCGTGATCGACATGGACAAACCCGAACGAAGAACGTGGTTGCAGATGAGTCTGTTGTGACAGTGAGACGGTAGCTTGGCTTACGTCTGATGAGATGAGAATAGTTCGGCGCGAAAGATTGGCGATAGCAATGAAGGTTGTCAGCCGATGATGATATGCGTTCAAAGAGCGTCGCAGGTAAGGCACTGTTAACAGAACTCTCTTGAGGGCCACCAGCAAATGAAACCAAGAATCTAGCCAAGCAGCGACTTGATTGGATGAAGACTTGCAGGTGTCAATATCTGTGTGATTGAAAGAGGGTACAGCCAAGCCGGTAGCACAAAAATGTAGTCCGTAAAGAGTGGAGATGTGTATGAGAGAGGGCAAGCAAGCTGATTGTAGAAGACGGTCCGAGAAGGCAACAGTCGGGGGTCAGTGACAGGAATAATGGACGATCCTGTTTCGTGGCCTCTTGTTCACGAGGACAAATTCGGGGGCAAAGACATGACACGAGAGATGATCACAAATTCAAGTTGTCGAGATGGTGCTTTGGTAAAAGAGGATAGGCAAGGCAGGCCGCGGGGCGTATGATTCAGCGAGCGGCAGGTTGGGGTGATGTTGCAATTGGTGTGGTCAGGGAGAGCAGATCTTTCGGATGCTACAGCGCAGGATGGGAAGATCAGCGTGTCAGTGTAAGCTCGTTAGCCTGGCTGCTGAAGAAAGGCATTGAGCCGGTCGCGTTATACACAGTGGACGACGCAAGCCACGGGAAATGAAGCAGCAGCTGGGACTACAGCCGTTGATTTGTGTCCATCTGACAGGCCCAGATGGCATAGAGCAGAGCTGGAAAGCAGGACAGGCAGGTGCAGGGAGAGATGGGATTCGAGGCTAGGGTTCACGGACCCGCATATTATGACGAAGGTCGGAGGGTCTTAGCCGAGCTTGGATCCCATCGCTCTTGTCGTCTCGGGACTCGCTCCAATTGTCTTTTCAACGCGGTACAGCGCCTTCTATTTGACAGTTCCACTTCCCTTGTCCTTGTTCGTTTTTCGGCCTCTCCCGATTGCGAACTCACGCCTCGCTCGACTGCGTCCGAACTCTCTCCCAGCTATCACTCTCCAGGAAGACATGTTGTTTCACGCGCTGGCAACCCTCTCTTAGCGCCGCCGTCTCTCCGAAACCACCCATCTCACGCTCATCTAATCAAACACTACACACCGCCGCAACAACCTCCACCTCCACTACCACTCCACGTCACTTGTGTCATCTTGAACGTCTGTCTGTGTCTCTGGTTATACAAAGAGACAAGACACCGTCTATCATAATCAACCCTCTCACCACAATATGACATCGCTCGCCTACCCACCATACACAGTCAACTCTGCACCCATCTCCGCTTTCAGTGAGCCTCCGTCCATCTCCTCCTACTCTCCACCACTCTCAACCACGTCATCCGACGACGATATCCCCACCCGCGGTCGCCTAGACGCTGCCAGACCAAGACTCGGAAGCCGTAAAAGCAGCGGCACCATGATCATTCCACGAGACAGCCCGCGTGTCGAAATGGCACCTGGCGAAGAAATATACGAGCCCGATGATGTCCGAAGCATGAGCCCCAGACGCACAAGCGAGGTCATCGAGAAGCTGGGCGAAGACGCCCGACGCAGTCTCGTCGAGTATGTTACAAACCCTGCATATCCCTAGTTTCGTATTGCTGACACGACTCCTCTCAGACAAGCACAAGCACTCAGAGCAAGTCTGATGGCAATCGTCGACCGTGTCGAGGCCGTCAAGATTGAGCACGAAAAGCTCGAAGGCGGCAACAAGTTCCTCCAATCGTAAGCATCAAGCCTCGCTTCACGCATTTGCGACTCTCTTGCTAACATTCCATCAGATACATTGGCGAATTGATACAGACCAGCAAGATCACATCGGCAGCTCCACCCAAGAAGGGCAAGAGCCGTAATGTGAAATGATGACCACGACCTTTCACTTTCCAAACACATTTGTCTTCAGTTTAGCGGCATTCGGCTTACGGCGTATCGGCAAACCTGGATTACCATCAGCATGGGGGGAACTCACTCGATTGAGTAAATGCAGGATCATCGGCGCATGGTCGGTTTCACGGCGTACGCCATCGATTCATTTCGGTGTGGCTTTCTTACTACTATTATTATGTTTACTGCTGCATTTCGGAAGATACCAAGGGCAAAGGCAAGGGTTCAGAGCTAGCAAGGGTGCATATCAGGCACATCCATCCGTCGAGATTTCTCCTGCGAGCTGGCCACTCCTCGCATGACCTTTTTCTTTCATTAACTTTCTTGTATCAACAATTTCAAAACATTCTTAATACTCGGCTATAGGCTCGCCCCCTGATCGAGATCGAGCTCTGTTGTTCTGCAGTCCCAGTGCGACTATTGAGAGTTACAAGGGAACGAAGGATGTATGTGGGCCCGCCTGCAGACTTCTAGAGGATTACCGAAATGGGTAGTCGCCGATTAGGGTTCAGGGGGACTGTAGGAGCGGGATGGCCTTCTCTTTCAGCCAGCCCTCTCACAGTCTCTCCTCTCGAGGACTGAGGCTCAAGTTCTTGCCAGCTGTGGCCCCCACGAGGTGGACATGTAAAGCGTTGCCAAGGCCTAGGAGATGTCTCGATAGGGGCGACGGTTTGACGAAAATCAATTGCTGAGAAACACATTTGCTGCTGTGTTCCGTTATAGATGCTGTGACACGCAAACAACAGGAGGGTGATTACTTGAGTCTCGTCGTCGCTACTCTTCCTTCTTTCGATCCTTTCTGGTTTTCACAAGAGGTTATACTTCTCGGATAGTTTTGTGGTATGCCGCAAGCACGGACGATGGCCGGACGAGTGGGAGCTCAGGGTAAGCATACGCAAGAAATCCATTGCCTTGATGACCATTGTACCTCGAAGTTTCTCATCAGACGGCATTCGCTGACAGCTGAATGTAGTATGCGATCCATGGTAGACCATTCTATGCCAGTAATTGCACTACTAACCACATACAATAGTGTCGTCTATTAGCTCTGGTCGTGCTCATCACATTCGGAGTAGTGACATTACTACAATCACTACAAACAACACCCAGCATCCATGACATCCGAAGCTCAATCCGCGGACACAAGTTTGGAGGTCCAGGAGCAAGACGCCATCAATCCAATCGAGTCCGTATCAAGAAGGTGACTGCATTGTTTGGAGAGCCGAATTATCTGTATGAAGCTGCTATCGCGACTCATGAACGACACAATGCTTTGCATGGGTATCAGATGCAAGTGCTACGCCAAAGGATCCATGCGAGCTTTTTGGCCAAGCCGGCGTATCTGATGTCTGTTCTTGTGGAGGAGTTGGCCAAGCCGTGGGATGAGCGTGTGCAGTGGCTCGCGTAAGTCGTGTTGAGACCATATCGTGGAAGAGCGTGGACTAACGCTGAGTAGCTGGGTTGATCCGGATACTCTTGTGTTGAATCAACAGGTGCCGCTGGACCTCTTTATACCTCCGTCGGACGAGGAAATCAACCTAATCGCAACCCATGATGACGATGGATACTTTAACGGCGGAGTCTTCTTTCTGAGAGTGGATTCATGGTCGCTGGAATTCCTGATACAAGTGCTTGCAGTTCCTCTCACAGACAGAAAACACCACGTCTCGCTGAACAAAGATCACACTGCGCTCGAACAAATCATGGAGAGTCAAAGATTCCGCAGCAGAGTAACTTACCAACCACGACTCTGGTACAATGCATTCGACTCGAACAAAACCTTTGAAGGCGAATCTGGAGACCTAATGGTGCATCTTCTCGACTTGGGCGGCGACAAATGGGCTAGAATGGACAAATACCTAGGCAACGTGACGAGCAAAATCAACCCGTACGAGATGCCGCTGGAACAGACGAGATACGGCAAGGAAGTGCAAGGATTCTGGAAGAGAATGGCAGACTCGCGCAGGATTCTCAAGGAGGCAAAGTTGAAGGAAAAGGGTCATGATGGCATCAAGGAAGCAGCGAGGAGGTTGCGATTTGCATTGGACTTTGAGACGGATAACGATGTGGTGATGAAGGATGCTTATGGATCACTGCTCAGGGCATTGTATGAGAACAAGTAAGGGGCTGCTGATTATGGCGGTGATGGAGCGCAGGCGTACTGGAGAAGTGGCCAAGTCAGCCAAATAGACATATCTTGGAAGTATCTGATGCAAATCATAAAGATTACTCGAAATAGGTGACTGCAATACGAGTAGAAGATAGAGGATGTTGGAAGGTGATGGATGCCAAGGACGATGCGGGCGTTTTGGATCGTTTCGAGTTGGCAAGAAGACACGAATCGCAATTGCATGTGCTCTGCTGTCACCAGCTTCGAGTCAACTCTGCGAACCCTCCTTTGTCTTTTTTCCTTGCTCAGTACACGACCTTGTCAAGACGCAGCGCGTTTGACATTCCACTAGACCCATTCCCTCTTTCCTGCTGTTCACCGGCTTCTTTCTCTTGCTGGACCCGGACCCGCATACAATAGAAGGGCGCCGCCGCCATGTCGACCGAATACAACTATGACGAGCAGGGCCAGTTCTTCCCTTTCTTCTTCGTCACAGTAGCTGGTCTGGTCACGCTACCAGTCACATATTCTCTACTCAAGCCTAGCAAAGGTGACCCTCAATGCACCCTCTCAGATGTAGCTCCCCACTTATCCGCTATCCAGACCTCGAGAACACAGCGACGCGAATCGAATCGTCCTACACGCCCGAACATGCAGATCTCATCGATGGACACAGGAGACGGCAAAAGAGGAGGGAGCGCAAGATCAAGCGCATGATCGTCGCTGGTGTCGGATGGACCACAATCGCCCTCATGGTCTACCTCATGGCCGTAACACAGCGCAGCACACCCAAGATCTGGGACCCCTATGAGATTCTGGGCGTGCCCATGTCATCCACCGAGAAGCAAATCCAGAGCCGCTACCGCAGACTGTCAGTCACCATGCACCCGGACAAGGCTGTGCCCGACCCTGCAAAGAACGAGACCTCCGAGACTGTCAACGAGCGCTGGGTTGAGGTCATCAAGGCCTACAAGGCTCTCACGGACGAGGATGTGCGCAGAAACTTTATCGAATATGGAAACCCAGACGGCAAGCAGAGCACCAGCTTCGGTATTGCTCTGCCCCAATTCCTGATCACCGAGGGCAATGGAAAGTACATTTTGCTCGTCTACGGCGCCTTGTTGGGAATCCTGCTGCCATACTTTGTCGGCAGCTGGTGGTACGGATCGCAAAAGGTTACGCGCGAAAAGATTTTGGTCAACAGCGCTGGCAACATGTTCAAGGAGTTCTCCGAGCGCATTGACGACCACGGTGTTGTCAACTTGCTCAGTTCGGGTGCCGAGTTTGAGGCTCTCCTTCACGGCCACAAGGCTGATGCCGGAACTGGACAGCTCGAGAAGCGTCTGCTTCAGGAAGCTCGTGTTCTCACCGAAAAGGACCGTCGCTTCTTGCAGGACATGGACGACACTGTGCGTCGTAAGACTCTTGCGCTGCTCTGGGCTTACCTTGCTCGTGTTGAGCTCAATGACCAGACCCTGAACGACGAAAAGTACCAGCTCGCCCCTACCGCCCTTACCCTGAACGAGGCCTTTGTCTCTGTCTGTCTGGCCTATGGCTTCACCAACCCCGTCCTTGCATCCTACCGCACCTCGCAAAATCTGATCCAAGCTGTCGCTCCCGAATCGCCTCCACTTCTGCAACTTCCCCACTTCGACGAGCAGACTGTCAAGGCCATTGAGGATCAACTCGACCAGCGCAGCCATCTGACCATCCAAGCCTTCATGAACTTCCCCGACGCCCGTCGCCGTGAACTCGCCTCGTCTGCCGGCCTCTCGACACCTCAACTCGACACCGCCATCAGCGTTGCCTCTCAACTCCCCCGCCTGGTCATCGAACGCACCTTCTTCAAAGTCACCGGCGAAAAACACATCATCCCCAACTCGCTCGTCCAATTCGTCGTCAAAGCCCGCTTCATCCCCCCCGGCACCCGCAACATCCCCGACGTCCACTCCTCGGACCTCGAAGACGTCGATCCAGATGAGACCGACACAAAAGCAAACGCCCGCCCTGACCCCGCCGAGCAAAAACAACATCAACCCCCTCTCACTCACGCACCCCACTTCTCGCGCGACCACTCACCCCGCTGGCACTTGTTCCTCGCTGATGCCCGTCAAGGCAAAGTGGCTGTTCCTCCGTTCACGTTCACCACCTTTGACAAGCCTATTCTTGATGAGGCTGGCAAACCTACCTTTGCTGTGCAAACACTGAAGATGCAGTTTCAAGCTCCTCCGCAGCCTGCACACTATAAATTCCAGATGCACCTTGCTTGCGACAGTTATATTGGGTTTGACGACAAGAGGGACGTGGTGCTTTCAGTCGAGGACCCGAGTAGCATCGAAGAGGCTGAGTGGGAGGATGAGGACATCAGTGAGCCTGAGGAAGGTGAGTTTTGCTTTCCCCCTGACTGTCTGGCTGGAGATGAAATGGGTGCTAATGCGAATATCACAGATACTATTGCAGGTCAAATGGCCACTCTGCGCGGTAGTGCTACGAAGAAGGCTTCGAGCCCGAAGATCAAGCAGGCCAATGACGATGACAGTGAAGAGAGTGGTACTGACGAGGAAGAGGAGACGGAGAGTGAGACGGATACGGACACCGATACCGATGAAGAGTAGAAGGCCGGATCAAGGAAAAACGAGTAGTACTAGACAAAGATCACTTTGCGAGTGATGATTGCTTGTTTCTTGATAGCATTTTGACCCAAACACATTTACATCCTTTTGACATTTTGGACTCGGTGGTGCACCGTTTTGTCTTTTTCTACTTCAGGTCGAGGTCACCGTTCATGGCTTCAAGAATCGAGGAGAGTCTCGTGATCATGGTCTTGAGTCCTTTCGAAAGACAACTCAAGTAATCCTGACCCCCAAGCCCACGCTTCCCGTCTTGAAGCACTCGACCCCTCCACTCCCCATGGCCTCTTCCAGTATCCACTGAAACTCGACTCCGTAAAAATCTTTCCATTTCTTTGTTCTGCCGGGCAGCACACCGTTCCACTCTCCCCTGGCTCTTTTGGCTTTGGTCTGTGCATCATCCAAGGGTATACCTCCATTCCATCTTTCCCTGAGCATTTCCTTTGTGCTTTCCTTGTATTTTGGTGATGACTTTGTGAGGAGGGAGAGGAGGTGTGTGCGTGCTTGGGTGAGGAAGCGGAGGTAGGCGCCTGTGTGTGGAAGCGCGAAAGTGAGGGTTTGGGTTTGGTGTGCTTTGTCGAGGGCAGAAGGGGAGTGCAGACCACGTCCACCGCCGCCGTTGAGGTGGACGGCTGAGGAGCCCCCGGTGGCTGCGAGGGTGCCTGTTGCGGCTGTGTTCCATGCGTTCGCTAGTGATGAAGTGCCGGGCGAGGATACTTGGCCAGGTAGGGTGAAGAGAGAGTCGCCGAGGACGCTTGTGGAGGTCATGAAGCCAGCTGCGATGAGTTCTTGAACTTCCTCGGTAAGAAACAGTGATGCTGGTACGGTGTAGGAGGTTGTATTCTCCTCTAGCACCTTTGCATATTTTTCTTTGAGTTCCTGAGACAGCGCTGGGTGTTGCTGTATAATGTTTATCCAATCTTCAACCACCACCACACCTTCACCAATCGCAAAGCCGCCTTTTCCTCGCCCGGGAATGTTTATCTTCTTTACAATGCCAGAGTGTATCAGAGTAGCGAGTTGACGTTCTGTGGTGGTGGTTGAAGTGGATATTGCATGTAGATGCGCAATCGAGACTATCGGAGGCATGTTCTTTCGGAAATTGAGGACTTCGGCTATCCGCATGGAATTCATTCCTGCAGCTCGTTCGGGGATGTCGGTCCATGTGTGGGATTGGATGTAGCGGACCAGGCTGACTACATCTTGGGGTACTTTTGCAGGTGGTAGGGTTGTGACGATGCCGGTGTTGTCGAGTGGTTGTTCGGTGCTTGTGCTGATCTCCGTTTGGCTTCTCTTCAGTCCTGCCTGTGGTGTAGATGCGGCTTTGCGGCGTGGATGGTTGCCGAAGGGTGAGGAGGCTGATCGGAGGAGTTGAATGGGCGATTTCTTGGGTCGCGATTGTAGGGGCTTCGGAACGCCGGTTGCGCTGAAAGACATGATTGTGTTCTAGATGAGTGAGTAGCTCTCACAGTATCGACACTGGAGAAACGAGTGTTGGAATGTCTGCCTTGTGGCAAGAGAAGTACACGTGATCACATGAGCAGGCGAAGGTGAGATGCAAGTACTCAGGACTTGACAGACGACTGTGATAGACAGGTCAGAGTGTGTCATGTCGATACTACTGGGTGTGTAACAGATGCGCGAAGAACGTTGGCATGCGATGTTTGGTCTGATATTGTGAGGATGTTCGGGGTGGAAACAAGGGAGCTCGCTGCGGAACGTGCATCGAAGCCCGATCGACGACCGTCTGCCGAAAAGACTTTTTGATCCTGCAGCTGCTTGCCAACCACCTCTCGTTCGTCTGATTCCCGAACCAACCATCCATTGCATTGCTAGGCAGTCAGATGTCTCTCCCTCGTCGATGTTTTCTCTCATCAGGAGAGCTCATGGTCAGACATGTCAAGTGTGCGTCCGTTGCATCATGTCATATCGAAACCATGTCTTGAGCCGAGCGTGAATGCTGGCTTGTATCATCACCATGTGAACTGGACAATTGGAAAAATAACCTTATGGATATCGGCACCGTCTTGAACTTGGCTCTACGATTCTGACAGCTTCTTGTATACGGCATGTCTTCCGGATCAAGTCTTTGCTATCAGCAAGAGCCCCATGGCGGATGAAGGCCCGTGAATACCCGCTATTCTTATCTGTGAATTTTCTATTTTGTCCACGCCCTACAACACAGACGCTTCACGCCCAACCCACACACACGCCCTGCGCGCCCTAGGGAGTCTGTATCAGAATATTTTGTAAGTCATGCGAGCGAAAATGGACAAAACCCATGCTTGTCCCGGAATCATCTCTTGTAGGAGTCTATATTTCACAATACAACATTTCTTGGCCTACTACCATCGTCACTTGAATATTCTATTGACCTGCACAATACTAAATCTAACATGTCTCCACCCGATGAGAAGAAAGCAATGCGAGAATCTGTTTACGAGGAAACCGAAAAGAGCTCTGCGTCGTCGAGTCCGGATCTCACACCCACACCTTCATCATGGTCCGAGAAGAGCATACGAGAGCCCCTTGACGAGGAGATTGCAGAAACACCTCGCCCACAATCTTTGGATCTGGAAAGGACGCCCACAAATGTCCTCAATAGGATTGCGTCACATGTAACAACACATTCTCTCGCGGAACCTGGCCCTCCACCGGATGGCGGCACCAGAGCTTGGTTACAATGCGCCATGGCCTGGCTCGTAGTCTTTGCATCGTGGGGGTACTGCAATTCCTTTGGTACCTTTCAGACATACTACACGCAAAGCCTTGGAGAAACTCCCGCAACGATCTCGTGGATCGGCTCGATTCAGGTTTGGGTACTGTTCTTCCTCGGAACTTTCGCTGGTCGTGCTATGGACGCTGGATACTTTAGACCTACCTTCGCTGTCGGTGCTATCTTCCAGCTCGTCGGAATATTCATGACCTCCATCTCTACCAAATACTGGCAGCTTTTCTTGGCCCAAGGCGTCTGCACTGGTATTGGCTCGGGCATCTTGTTCACACCCTCCATGGCACTTCTGAGCACCTACTTCTCTAGCCACAAAGGCATCGCCGTGGCGCTGGCAACTACTGGTAATTCGGCTGGTGGTGCTCTGTACCCACTCATCGCTCGCCAGCTTCTTGCCCAAATTGGATTTGGATGGACTATGCGTGTCCTTGGTCTGATCAATATGATTTTTCTGGTGACCGCCGGTCTCGTCATGAAGCCCAGGCTTCCACCCCGCAAGTCTGGACCCCTCATCGACTTTGCCGCGTTCAAGGAGATTGAGTATATGCTTCTCAGCATTGGCTTGTGCTTCCACATGTCAAGCCTGTACTTTACAAACTGGTACATCGCATCTTACGGCCGCGATATGCTCGGTCTCTCATACGCCAACTCCATCATTCTGCTCATTGTCCTCAACGGCGTCGGTATCCCTGCTCGCGTCCTGGTTGGCTATATCGCAGACCGCTATCTCGGCGCCCTCAACACCCTCATACCCGTGCTGCTGTACGTCAACGTCCTCGCCTTCTGCTGGATGGGAGTCACTTCTCAAACCTCCCTCTACGTCTTCGTGTCCTTCTACGGTCTTGGCCTCGCAGCCTTCCAGTCCCTCATCCCCACCACGGTGGCTAGAATGACAAAGGACATCAGTAAAGTGGGCACGAGGATGGGTATGGTATTTACCTTTTTGTCGTTTGCTTCTCTAGTGGGTCCACCTATTGGTGGTGCGTTATTGTCGGCTGACAAAGGGGCGTACCTTTATGCTCAAGCATGGTCTGGGGCTTCAGCTGCTGTGGGCACGTCTTTGGTGCTTGCTGCCAGGGTCTATGCGTTTGGGTGGACCAAAGTCAAGTGCTAAATTGTTCTCTTGGTATTGTTTGGGGGCCACTAAAAAGCTTTGAAGCGGGTATTGGGTCTAATGAACGCGAAAGGAATGGCATACAGATTATATGATAGAAACTAGATGAATAATGAATACGTTTAATGTCCTAAATTGCAGCGTTGCCTGTGTGCAAAGTATGTGACGCATGTAGCTACAGAAATGCACAATGTTTTCCAGAGGTAGGGCAGTAGAATTACTTACTCGTTGCTCTCAGCATACTTCTTGTACATCAAGTCATACAATTTGAGTTCGTTGATAGCATCCTCAGCACTCGTCTTTATTTCCTTGCCATTGACCAAGCAATCGTGCATGTCCTGGAACTCGCTCGCAAAGGCGTCTTCAAATGAGCTGATGATTTCTCTCGTCTGCACTTCTCCGGACTCATTGACTTCTTGCACCCTGACCACTACAGGCTTCTGAGTCTTGATATACGGCGAGTCATAGAAGATTGTGACGCGCTTGTTCTCACCATAAACCGCGAGATGAGCATCAAACTCTGGCACACCGTCGATGCCGGACTCGTAGGTCACGTAGAATGGATCCTTTGCGCCTGATTTGTTGCGCAATTTGAAGATGGCGGAGTAGAAGGGTTCGTTGACGGTCACGGCTGTGACTTGTTCAGGGAAACCGAGGGCTTCTCTCATCAGAGAAATGTCGTGGCTTCCCAAGCTACCGAGGAACCGGGCATAGTTTACTTGTTCGGGTGTCGGGTCTGTGCCAAAGGCTTCGTGTAGAAGGGCGTTGACTCGTTTGGTTCGCTCTTCTCCTGCTGAAGGTGGGAAGTCGGTGTTCTTGACAGGGAAAGTGCCTGATTGTGAGGTAAATTTGCCATTCGCTGTAGACACATCAGTTAAGTCTGCATCTTCCAAAGCAGAATAGGCGGACTTACGTCCTGAGAAGTCACGAGATCTGGCATAGAGAATCTTTGGGATGGACTCGAGCTCACGCTTGAAAGCATCTGTGAATGTGCGACTGTGACGTCTCATGTATCCCACCCATACACGACCCTTGGATTTCTTCTCGGCATCGATGATACGTTGAGCAGATTGCATTGACAGGGTGATCGGCTTCTCAATAAACACATTCTTCTGTGCTTCGAGAGCTGCGATCGCATAGGGCTCGTGAAACTCATCGGAAACAGAGATGAAGACGATGTCTACATCTGAGCTGTTGAAGATATCCTTTGGCTCCGTGGTTGCCGTTTGGATATGGTACTTTGCTGCGCAATGCTCTGCATTTTTCTTGGACAGGTCGCAGACTGCAGTAATTTCGTAAAGATGCGAGAGTTGACAAAGTGTTGGCAGATGAATGATTTGGGTCACTGATGTTCATTCTGTCAATGCTACAAGCTCCTTCTACAACTTGCCCTAGATTGCATACCTTCTCCGGCACCGATGATGCCAATACGCAGACGTTGTGATGAACCAGACATGTTGGATATGAGGCGGTGTTCTCGCCTTCAAGATGACCGTTGCGGAAGTGTTTAGAGAAAGATGTGCCCGTTCCATTGTGTTGAGTCTCTGCCAAAGAGTTGCGGGTCACTGACGTAGCTGTTGTGTTGCCGGGTCGCGAGTCATGCTGAGTCGACTCCTCTGAACGTTTCTATATCGAAAAACAACGGCATCTAGACTTTTGAAGCCACTGTCTTCTTACTCGTACGAACGGTCTTGAATTTGCCCTATGAGATGTTTGCAATCCCGTAAGCTAGATTCGATATCGTGGAGCGCTATAGCTTCCTAGGAAGGAAGTTGAGTGTTGGTCATCACTTTTGGCCATCGAGACGCTGTGAGCACCGGACATCATCATGATGATCGTGTTCTCATGATGCCAAGAGTGGATCCTGATCAATATCAACACCTTTTGCAATCTTGCACACTTGAGTATCGACCCAGAACATCTGGGTTTTCATCTCTCATACGCGTTCTCATGAGGTCGCAGGCGTATTGAGCCTCTCGCTATCAGAGTCATGCAATTCGACATGCCCTACCGGATGGAGTTCATGGCTTGTCGTTCGCAGAGACAAACGTTGCGCCTACCCACAGCCTCGACCGAGCCGCTATAGCGATCCTTCTGCCCTACGCTATAATTGGCCTAATGGCTCATCGATATGGTTACGGGGCTCAAACGCAATTGCTAATTGCCTCCTCTAGGTTAGGATGCCGAGAGGCTGTTTTCAACGTTGTTCTCAAATGCCGTGCTACCATGCAATCCTCTGCCAGAACAGTGCCCAATTCGGCCGTCATTCCGACTTCCCGGTCAACTGTCCGGGTTGATTAGCACTCGTAGACACAGTAACTGACATCCGGCAGTCAACCAAACGTCTACGATTGCTTCTCGTGCCCGTTATGATTATTGGCCTAGGTTACACAGTTTCTTTTGTCGGTTCTCTATGGGGAGCAGAAAAGAAGTGGCGTCGCGATTGTCTTATATGTGCAATTGGATCCATGATCTCGAGTTCTGGTAGGTCGTGTGTAGTCCTTTATAGGACCTGTGATACCCTCCATCTCTTGTCTTTTGCTGTGGTGTTTGGTTTGCTGCTTTCCATCTTGACATTCATTCCTTAGTTCTTTAGCGGCTTTGAGCCGACTACTGACCGGCAAGATGCGTCTCTCTTTTGCCCTTCCAGCACTCCTTCTCACTCCTTTCGCCCAAGCGGCAACCACTGCGGTCAAGACTACTTGTATGTATTACATTCTGTCACACAACCATAGCAAGTTTACTAATATCGCCAGCTTGCTCCGCCACCGATCTTAAGACCTTCAATGGAGATGTCAAGTATGGTGCAGCATTCTGCGAGTTCTGGCTCATCATCAGCCGTAACACGTCGCCTCTTCCCGATCTCGCTGCCAGCTCTCTTACAAACGTCTGCAAGTGTGTTGTTAGCAGCCAATCTTCAGCCAGCAGCACATCTACCCATTCCGTAGTCAGAGGAGCAAAGCTTATCTCGACATCGTCAAGATCTACTACCAGCAAGAAGAGCACTGCAAAGGTCTCGAAAAGGGCTGTTACCACCAGTAAGACGACTAGCACAAAGCTCGTTTGTGTCAGCCAGGACCTCGCTGCTGTCAAGGATGATATCACGCACACTACTCCGTTCTGTAGTTGGTGGGCTGCAGACACAAGGACTAATTCGCCCATCCCCGGTTTGTCCGCATCCCAGGTGACAAATGCATGTAAATGCATCTTGAGCTCGGCAACAAGCACATCAAGCACCAAGTCATCAGCTGTCAAGACCACTTCAACCGCGGCAAAGTCTTCATCAAAATCCTCCTCCAAGTCTTCGGTGTCATCTTCCACAAAAATCTCGAGCACTTCCAGCAGGGTTTCATCTTCTAGTGTCAAGAGCTCGAGTACCAAGGCCTCCGCTACGGCAACACGTGGCCAGGTTTCCTCCTCAGCCGCAAAAAGCTCGTCATCAAAAGCCGCCAGCTCTTCATCGAAAGTCTCATCCAGTGTTTCTGCTGCACATCCTAGCTCATCGAGCTCAACGTCTAAGCTGGTCTCGTCCAGTATCACCAAAACAAGAGGAGTAGTCGCCAAGTCTTCTTCGATCGTCTTGTCGTCGAGTGTAGCAACTGGTACCGGATCGATCGCCGCCGATGATCAGGCTTCTTCATCGCAAAGCAGTCAATCCTCCTCGCCGCTTGCAAGCAGTCAATCATCCTCGTCATCGACTAGCTCAAAGCCAATTGTGACTCGCACTAGAGGTATGGCAGGTGTGCCAGGCACGAAGCCTACAACCTCTGCTACTACTGAGTCAGTCGTACAATCGCAAGCGGCATCGAGCAGCTCGTCTGCGAACGCACCTGGGTCTTCGGGCTCCAGTCTTAACGCTCCGGGATCCACTGGAAGTGTATCTGTCAGTTCTGGCTTGCAATCATCTTCGTCTTCTTCCCAGGCGGCAGTGACCACTAGTTCATCGACAACCACCCAGCCTCGTATCCGTGGTAGCAAGGTTCCTATTGATAACGTATCGACAGATCCGGTATCTGCAGCACAAACCACATCTGCCGGTTCCCCAAGCCAGGCTGCCTCGATCTCTCAAGCTATTTCTGCCTCGACTCAGTCTTCTTCTATATCTCAATCCTTGTCTGTCTCCTCTCAGGCCTCCTCATCCCAGGTCTCCACATCTTCAGCTCAGATCACTTCCGCCTCCCAGGTATCTTCGTCCGCATCTCCCGCGGCTGTATCGTCTTCCGCCAGTGCAAGAGCTTCATCCGTCCCTGAAAGTTTCTTTGTCTACATGACTACATCGTCTTCGAAGCTTCAAAACAAGAACGGAAACAGCACGACGAACGACAATGGTGTCCTTGGCTTTGACCTCGGAGACTCTGCAACTGTGCAACAGTTCAGCTTCGATCCATCCACCAACCACATTATGTTCGGCAACTATGTAATGTCTGTTTCTAAGAAGCACACCATCACTTCCGATGAAGCTGGTAACACTGCGACCTACTACAATGTCTTCGAAAGCACACCTAACAGCGACGACTCTGTCCCTTTGACTTGCTCGTTCGATACTGAGCTAGGTATGACTTGTTCTGCACAAATGGATGGTCAGAGCCTCGTCCAGATGGCGGTCGTCGATTTCAATGGATCCTCCTTCCTTGTGATGCGCGCAGCTTCTGTGCCGGCTAACGACCTGGACACGACTGATGTCAACTTGTATGCTGCTCCACAAGCTACGAGCTCCTCATCAGGATCGACCTTCTCAAGCACTGTGTCAAACAGTGCCAGCTTGTTGGCCTCTTCATCAGTCATCTCTTCTTCAGCTGTCAGCTCGAGCTCACAGCCTGTTGCCAGTAGCTCGAGTGCTTCGGTATCGCAGGTTCAAAGCTCGACCGGCGTTTCGAGCGTTCCTCAAGTGGCTTCTAGTAATGAGAGTGTTGTTTCGGCCTCGCCTTCCGACTCATCGGTATCTGCTAGTAGCACTTCGGTTGCTATTCTCAGCTCCAGTTCATCGGCTGCCACAGATTCAGGATCCCTGCCTGTCGCCTCCGGCTCTGCCATATACAGCCCCAGCCCCGTCGTCAGTGAGAGTGCGACAAGCTCGACCGATTCTGTATTTGGTTCGTCCACTGCCACTAGCCAAGCAAATTCATCGGCTGCCTTGCTCCCAACCGAAACAGCAAACGAAAGCACTGCAGCAAGCTCCCAGACCAGTTCCGAAACCTTGTTCAACAGCGCAACGCCTACTCCCGAGAGCCGAGCTGTTGGCGTCTATGCTTCTCACTCGGACACTTCGGCTGACAGTACTGCTCTGCAAAGCAACGGCTCTCTCTCAGGCTTCAATTGGGATTGGCAAGCCACTCAGCTGAGTGTCAACAGCATGGGCTGGCTGGTGGACTCGGACGGCAACTCCAAAGTGTTCCAGGTCGACGACGACACGCCTTTAGATATGAGTTCAGGCCCTGTCATCACACTGTCTGACAATCAAGTCCCAGGCTACGCCTACCTTGGCCCCTGCAGTGTCGACTCTGATGGATATTTGACATGTAAGGCTACCACATCGGACGCCAGCACTGACATCGAGTTCTTCCTTGTCGCTGGAGAAATGGCTGACTCGTGGATCTTGTATGCTGGTTTCCATGATCTCAGCCATCGTGAAGTTGACCTGCAATTGATCGCACCGTCCAGCGCATCTTCATCTTCCACAGTTCTTGCCGCAGCGACGTCTACTTCGAGCCTTAGTGCATCAGTTTCTGGGGCTTTGACCACTGAGTCCTCTGCAAGCCCTACTGCCAATGTCTCAACCAGCTCGCAAGACGCTGTGGCCAGCCCCACCAGCCTGCAGACGGTCGAAGGCACCACGAGCAGCTCTCAAGATATCGAAAGCATTTCTACTGATGCCGCACTGTCTAGCACGAGTGCTCAGGCTACCACTGTTCAGTCTGTTGATGCTTCTCAGACAGTCAGTTCCGAAACCATTTCTGCTACCTTGTCGGACATCGCTTCCCAAACACCTGAAGCCACTTCGGACATGAGCTCCTCCGCCTCCTCTGTAGACGCTTCGCAGACTGGTGTGTCATCTTCTACAAGCGATAGCCAAGCTGCAAGTGCCACTGGTGTAGTTTCCAGATTTTATCTCTACGCTACCAACTCATCGTCATCTGCCGATGAGACCAGTCTCGAAACCGAGTACAACTCTGGTTTCGTAGGTTTCAACATGGCTAACAGTACCTACGACATCCGCAACTACACCTTGGACTCATCATCTGGTCACGTTTACGATGGCGAGACCTCGAGTATGTTGGCAGTGTGGCCCGGACACGGAAACAATGTCATGCTAGCATCGTCTGAGGACATCGAGACCAACAGCTATATCCCTGTCGTTTGCGTGGTCAACGCTGATGAGACCTTGTCTTGCTCTTACCAGCAGGGTGGTGCTACTTTCTCAGGATTCTACATGGACACCAAAGGCTCCGGCCAGTACCTGAACATTGGAGCGGAGTCCAACTCTGGCTCAGCCGCATCGTCTACAGACGGAGTTGCTGGCTACCAGGGCAACTCTTCCTATGCCACCCCGACTACTCAGAGCGCCTCCACTGCAGGCTCGCCTACTTCATCGTCATCGGGCTCGTACCAGACTGTAGTCTTGAGACTTTCCTCGCAGCCAATGACCGTGCAGAGCTCGTCTTTGACAGCGACTCAGACCTCGACCGAGTCGTCATCGACCTCATCGAGCGAGTCCAGCTCAAATATCACCAGTGACCTACAGACAGAGTCCACCTCCTTCTCACCGTCTGCTAGTGATGCAACAATCAGTTCCTCTGACATGGCGAGCAGCAGTGCAACCGTCCAGAATACCTCCACCACTTCGGTACCCACTACAGACTCTACCGCTGTTCCGTTCAACATCAGAGACGACGGCAACAACTTTGTTGCCGTCTCTTCTGGACAGGATGGTGTCAGTACGTTCGTTGTGGACCAAGACTTGGCCACATCGTTCTACATCGACCAAACCACTGGTTACCTTGTTGAGTCGGGCCTGAACACCACCTATGCTGCCAATCGCAATCCTAACGATACTCCCGAGGTCGTCTACTTCAGTACCGTCATTGATTCTCACGATTATATCTCTTGCACACAGATTGAGCAATCGGGTACGCTGGAGTGCAAGTCCAACAATGTCGTTCAGCAGGCAATGACTTGTGGCAACGATGGCAAGCTCTACTTTGCACCCCAAATTCCTCCTCAATGCTACGGGTTCCCTCTGTTCTACCTGCCTGTCTCGAGTATCAACCAGAACACCGCTAGTGCTACAGCTGTCTTGAGCAACAGCGCTCCTGCGAGTGTCTCGGCTTCAGCCACCAGCGATTCGTCGCTGCCTGTGCAATCAGCTAGCGAGACTGCCACCTCAAGTGACTCGAAGTCGGGTGCCGATGCGAGCAGCACTTTGGTGACTGCCTCCAGTTCCGCTGAAGCTAGTACTCAGTCGTCTTCGGATGTTTCAATGACCACAAGTTCCGACTCAGCAGCCGCTACCTCTGCAGACGTCTCGTCGAGCGCCCAAGTCTCTCAGAGCTCATCATCCACAGGTGTCTCTTCGACCGACTTGTCTACATCTGACGCATCATCATCTGCGACTGACGTGTCGACTAACGACAGCGCCACTTCGTCTACTACTGACGCCTCGTTGACACAGTCGTCGTCCGTCGAGAGCACTGCTTCTTCAAGCTTAGCATCAGCAGTCCCGACTCAGGTCCTGCAAGTCTCGTCGACTCAGTCTTCTTCGACCGACGCTGGAACATCCTCGAGCAGCGTTTCATCTTCTGACTCTGTCTCTAGCCAGAGCGCCACCATTGCATCAAGCTCTGGTGCTTACCAGACCACCGACTCGAGCTCGAGCAACGTTCCTGTGGCATCGAGCACAGCTACCGACTCGCAGAGCAGTACTGTTTCGAGCCAGCTCACCTCCACAAGCGACTCGTCCGTCATCGACCAGTCGACACCTACCACAACCGATAACGTCGCATCAAGCACAGCTTCTGCAACAAGCACCGGGCTCCCTATGGCCTCTCTTTGTCCTTCTTCTGATGGACAGAACGTTACGGATGCTTACAGTAACAACTACACTGTTCACTGCTTCTCTGACTCTACCGTTACCTCGTACTCGTCTGCCCAAGCTGCGGTCAACTATCTTGACTGTATGACTGCTTGTGACGATGCTTCGGCAAGCGGCTGCACGGGCTTCACATACGTCGGTGGGGAGAATGGTGACGCTAGCGGCATCTGTTATCTCAAGACTTCATCTGGTAGCTTCACCACAGCCGGTGCCAACTACATCTCTGGTCAGTTGTCATCTGTCAACGCCACCAGATCTGGAAATGCCGCTGGTGGGAGCTCGTCCAGTGCTCTCAGCAGCCCTAATTCAGCAACCTTCTCCACGATTGTATCTTCTGATGTCACTAGCATTCAATCCGCAAGCTCGACCATGCCTACGGCATCTTCATCAGCTTCAGATGTATCCACCTTGGCTAGCGTCTACAGCAGCACTGTTGACTCAAGCGGTACATCATTGACACTCTCAGTCAGCAGTGGTCCGGTCAGTACATCAGCATCGACCACTAGCAGCTCGGATGCTCAAGCTACGTCCACGGCTGTAGACTTCAACGGTAACCACGCGTCTGTCTCTGCTCTTACCTCCGATCAGAGCAGTCTCTCGTCCTCAGCTGTTACAAGCGCAAGTTCCACAGTATCAAGTGCTGCCAGCGTTTCTTCGAGCACCATGGCTTCGACTTCAGATAGCTCATACTCTGTTGGCATGCCTAGTCCCTCTTGGGCATCTTCGTCTTCGAGCAGTCAGAGCGCAAGTCCTTCGTCAGACTCGCCTAGCACGAGTGCTGCTACTTCTTCGACTCTTGCCAGCCAGAGTTCTAGCAGTTCTTCGGTTGATTCTAGTCAGAGTATGACCTCGTCAATTCTCTCTAGCCAGAGTCCTAGTGCTTCTTCGACTGCCTCTAGTCAAAGCGTTGTCTCGTCATCTAGTGTCATTTCCTCGACTAGTACCGCCAGTGTTCTTTCGAGCAGTACTCAGGGCTCCTCATCCGGCAGTACTCAAGGCTTCCCATCCAGCATGAGCCCTTCTGCATCGTCTTCGCTATCTAGCAGCATGACCAGCTCCTCAGCCGTCTCGAGTAGTGCATCAAGTGCTTCGTCATCAAGCATTTCTGCTAGCCAAAGCTCGACCGTCAGCTCTGTGTTCTCGAGCTCAGCTGTTATAACCCCCAGCAGTACTTCCGCAAGTGCAAGTCCCTCGGTATCGACTCAGGCAAGCACTAGCTCTTACAACTCCCAATCAGCCGCCAAGTCCATTATCGAGGAGTCAAGCTACCAGCCTTTCTGTTCGACATATCTCGGATACAGTTCTTCGACTCAGACTGTCACGTCAACCAGCACAGTCCAGGTTGTCGCTACCGCGACGACTACGACCACTTCTCTCATCGCTCAGACCAAGCAATACAGGAAGCGTGATGTTGAGACACCGAGCGCTACTTGCGATTGTGAAATGCACACCCACGAGCTCAGAACTACCAGCTCTGCAGATGCTGTCTCCACGACCGTCCTCCGTCGCAGAAGTGGATCTTACGCAGACACAGCGACGACCCAACTGCAGCGTCGCGCCACTACATCCGCTTCAAACACTACGCCCACCCCTCTCAGGACATTCTCGTCGACTGATCTCAGCTCGGCATGTAGTTCAGAAGTCACGTCCCCTGCAGTCTCGACAACTACTCAGATGAGCACAGTCACTCAATCGACAACCTCCACACTCACCCAGACGGTCACCTCTACCACAGTAATTTCCGTGGCATCGAGTGCTCCTACTGGTGTGGTCGGCTACATGTCTTTCAGAAATCCTGTCAACCCTGGTGGTCAATACGCTCTGTCCGATCCCGCTACTCACATGACGGATAACTACTATGCCAACAGCACTCGTGAGAGTTTCATCATCACCAACACCAGTCAGCTTTACTCTGTCACACACAACGCCTACTACTATTACCAGACAGCTGCTGGAGCCGACAAACTTTATTGGGACTCGAAAAACACTACAGGATCCACCAACTGGGTCGCTGGTAATACTACTTCAGATGGATACACACAACTTTTGATGGTCGATACCCGCTACACCGCAAAGACATACTACAAGTTCTGTTTGGCCAAGCTTGGAACCAACGATGCCAATTCTGCTACTGGCTACCACGTCTACTACTACAACAGTACTGCAGTATTGCCGTCGACCTGTGGTGCCACACAACTTTGGTTTGCACCTTCCTAGTTTGCATGACATCTCATCTCACATCTCTGTTTATTTCTTTTGTTACCATTACTATCTTTACCCGTTGTCTTTAGACACGACATAGAATATCTCGCGGCCTACATTGCTGATCAACCATCGATCTTTTTTTGTATAATCTTTAGTATATAGTCAAACACACATATCATAACATCCACCGCAAAACTCTTCGATCGTGCCTTTCCTATCATCGCACCTTCCCTCAAAGGTTGGATGCTCCGCTTCACATGATCAAGGAAGCTGCAAGTCTGGAATGCATCTTTCCTCTTTTGTCGTCACCGACATTTTTCTGTTGCGCCCACTTTGGGCAGGTACTAGCGAGCCAGGAGTCCAGCTCCGCGGCGCTGTTTCTCCATTCAGCTTGCCCATGAATCATGACCACAAAGCATTCATCTTAGACGACAGAATTGCATCCAATCAAACACAGCGGAACGAAAAGAAGCGATCACCACGCTTCGTGAAATTGGAACACACCCAAAAGAGAGGGGTGCAAACGTCGAAGATTCCAAAAAAGGAATAGAAGGAAGTGTGCTCAAAAACTGCAACGGTGAAATGGAAATGTGGTTTTGCTTTGGGTGAATTTTGAGTTTTTTACGTCTTGACAGCTTGGGGATGTGTTGTTTTGTCTCGTTCCGGCTGCGAGATGTTGCGGAATTGATGTCCTGGTTTTGAACTTACGTGCGAATGGATGTGCGATGTTATATGAGTGTCTCACATCTCCATCTCGAAGTGGAGCGATGAATTTTTGAATGGCTGAGGAGGACAACAGCTTTTTCGATACACATCAGTTAGGCACGAGAGAGGGAAAACAATGAGTTTTATCAAGATGAGTGCATGCTGTCTTGTCTGCATTGAAGTGTACTACAGTTGATTCTAATGAACATTATTCCCCTCTTTTTTGTTGACTCCTCCGTCCCATGCTGATGCTGTCGGGAGTTATATGCAATTCGTAACAGTCGTAAGTGTGAGCTGGGAGCGCTCCGTTCCAGCAGGTCATTCTCCCGGACTCAACGATTAACTTTTTGATTAGATGTTGTGTTTGGAAGATGCGAGCATGATCAGATCCAACCAGCCTTGACGCCTTTGCTCACGCGCCAATCTGTATTGTAACCGCCCATCTCGACATCAGGTTCTGCACCGTATCTTCGGGGTAGCGCGTGGACTTCTGACACGAGGTCTTCTTGTTCGGCACCTGCTTGCGAGCTCCAGTTTGACATTGCACTGCCTTCGCGAAGGGGTAGCATGTTCCGTTGGCTTGATGCGCCTGAGGCAGAACGTAGAGGCACTCGTGAGGGAGTGGTAGAATGTGAAGCAGGCATGCTAGTGCCGTCGTATCGATCGACAGATTCATCGCTATCATCACTGACACGTCCTGAGTTGACGATGGTGTGCATTGGTATCTTGTCGCTATCGATGTCCCGAGTGGACTTCTTGCGGTTGTGCTGCGAGATGACGGTCGATCGGGTGATGGTGGTGTCTTCCAGTTTGGTGCCACGAGACGAGGTGTTACCAGACCCAGTCACTGTACTGATCATCTCACTGACGTGTGAGACCATTGGAGCAAAAAGAGGCTTGAGTGATGGAGCGCATCCGCAAAGAATAGACAGATCAATCTCCACTGTTGCGCAGATGTAAAGGGGCATCGAGTCCCAGGTCTCGTCGTAAGTATCCATCAGTGTTCTCCAGATGTAGTACGTGCGTACAATACCAGCTACTGTGACTATGAGTCCCAGAGATAACAGTGCCGTTACTCCTAGTCGCTGCTTGAAAGGCATGTTGAGACCCATGATGATAGGGATGGGCAGTATGGTTACAGTCAAGTCCGAGATACAATTAAGAACTCCAGCCACTAGAGTTACAGGACCTTCGTCTAGACATCTGGCGTTCTTCATGAGCGGGAATACCCAGTAAGCTTCGACTGGCCTGTTATCATTGTTAGACAGGTCATCGGAAGTGAGAGAATTATGAGACTTACGTGCAAAGGAACACTGCAAGAATGACGAAGATGATACAAATGGCAATGTTGTACGCGAATGCTGCCCAGAGAACATATTTGAAGATGCTGAACCCCGTGTCCTTGATGAGGCGGAAATAGAAACAGATGAGAGAAGCGCGAGTAAAGGCGCCAGCAAATGTGAATAACAGCTTAGAGGCAAGTGCTATCTTAGAAGCAGATTCGAACATGGTGAACTCAACATCCCATAGATGACGATTCCACTGGAAGCGGACATTGGCAAGGATAACGATGACGCCGAGGGCCATGCCGCAGACCTATATGCATGCAAGAGTCAGCAGGTGTACAATAATGTCGGACTGGGTCAGCAGTACATATGCGAGTCCCATATTGAAATCGTCCCATCCCAGCCGGCCTTTGTTTACGTATCGACTATAAAGACGAAGTGGGACGGCCAAGCTTATCAAAGCCATGAAAATTACATTGACAATGACCAGTGGTAGCCCTTGCGTCTGGGGATCTTCGTAGTTTGGTGTTGGCCAGTTGGCCAATACAGATGGTGGCGGCAACTGCATGTTTGCAATGTGAAAGAGAGAAAAGGAGAGAAGGCAAGAGAGAGAACTCCTCAGGCGACTGTTCAGGCCTTTCGGCGGCGAAGGGGAGGAGAGAACGAAAAAGAAGACAAACGACGATTAAGATATAGTAACAGACAGAGATCTGCAGAACGAGGCGGCCTTACATCTTAATAGTCGTGAGCGGTGGGAGCACCTGGCGGAACAGCGATGCCGTGCTGAGGATTTTGGTTAAGGTTGTCGCACTGGCCTGTAACACCAGCTACGGACGATCCCATCGTGGGGTTGGAACGGGTATATCCAAGGTCATAGCACCTCGAAGTTCGCTTGTCCGAGATTGTGATTGGTGGCGCGAGTAAGTTGCTCGAATGCCCAGTAGTCAGACGCGGCCTTACGAGGCAAGGACCTTCCATGAGACACTTTGGGGGATATGTTCGTTACACCAGGCCCTGGGCTACCGACTGCAGAGCATGGCGTCGGCGGCTACGAAGAACGCTCCAGCCAGGGAGAAACGCCTAAAAAAGCTTCTCTTTCTCCCTTGCAGTCAAGAAACACTCTTTTGGCCGAGGGAAGATTGGAAGAGAGCAGTTTTCGGCGAGGAGGATGTACGTAAGACAGGTCTGACATGGTCAGAGTCTCCGTTTCTGGACAAGCCTTTTTCTATGATTGCAGCGCACATACTCATATGGCTTGATCGTCGAGTCTCGCGACAGAAATTATGGCTGGTGTTCCGCCAGCCTCGATGCTGCGCACCGTCGGCACGTCCCTGCTGTGATTGACATTGTCAGACGCATGAATACCGTCCTTGATGTTTCATAGAGAAAGGCTCGAGTGACATGTCAATTGTAACATAGTATTCAAGAAAGTGGCATGTCGTCTGTCGAGCGGAGAAGCAACAGATCCCCCAACAGATCTTCCCAATTTGCCGGGACGTTGTTAAAGTAAAATAGATTGAAGCCAATGTCACACGTGGTGGCCTGAAGCCGACTACACCTTTCCTTCTCGCTTGAACCGATAGAGGTCAGCCGGACCAAGAATCTGTACTCCGACCCCATTCTACGCTGAATGTGAATTCGTCTTCTGTCTTGCCGAATTTCGCTCTGTGCGAAGTAAAGAACGGTTCTATTATCGAACCTTTGCAGGGACCTTCCGAAGCTTGAAATGAATCGTGGAGGGAAGGATCAAACGAGATTTGAAAATTGACCTGCGGGCTAGTCATCGATGCGTGAAGAAGCGAGTCATGTAACAATCACGCATATGTACTCCTACAGTAATCTCTACGCCTTGTAACAACGGCTATCCTAAGTATGTAATGTGGATTCTCTTCATTCACGGAGGCAAGATTGTGCCTCTCATTTGCAGTCGAGAGCTCGAAGCTGCAACGTCTACTCGAGTGGAATATCCGACTGTGTCGAATCGAATTTGAGATGATCTGAGTGCATCATCTCTCGAGTCGCGTCTCGAGTCGGCTCAGAGCGGACGAGTCCAGGAATATTGTATGTGCCAAAACGTTCAGCCCACTGTGCAACCAGACTGGTACATGTCTTTTGACTTCAGTGAGAATTGAGTCAGCGGTCGCAATATTTCGTGTCTTGGTTGGATGGTGAAGCGGAGTCGGGACTTGGTCCGATCTCGTTAGAATCTGATCTATACAGCGCTCCTTGGGCGGTATACGGGTTGTGATCCAGCCCTATGTTACAGCTGGCCCTGTTCCCACGTGGTGTGTAACACGATCTCGGCCATTCTCGTGGCGCCGTCGATGCGAATGCGACCTCTCGACAGCTCCGTGAATGGTTGTTTGAGAACTGTGATACGACCGCATTGCGAAAGTTGACAACGTGCGACAAGTCAATTGTGGTGCTTACTGTGCAAGGGTCGGCAGTTCGCCAGATCTCGAGCCCTCAGCTCTGCTAAAGCTATGAATGCCTTTCGGTAAATGATTCCTACGAGTACGACTGCCGTAGCTACTCCTCAACACCATATCTCAACTCGTGCGCCGCCCGGACACAACCCATCGGCTAGGTAGGCACGGAGTCATGACAAACGTCTACCCTCTTCCAGAAGCTGATCTGAACACACTTATGATCGTTTCCTGCACTGGCTTGCTATCAGCTGCTCGACCATGCTTCCAAAATGCTTCGCTGATCTGTCTCATACCAAGAACTCACAGCTCACATAGGCGCGCGAGCACCAAGCGCTTTTCGTCGGTCAGTGATCAAATGGGCCTATAGCGTGCTTATAGTGCAAGCTCACATCTAAACACGATTCCCGAGTGGGAGTCATCTGGTAGATCCTCCGATCAAAGCAATCCGAGGTCTTCGCTCTCTATGCGAGTAGGATCTCGTTTGTGTCTCGCAGGTCTAATGAAGTCTCCGGTGCCGTGTTCATTCTCATGTTCTATTATCAAAGGTTATGTGGATTTGTCTAAAAGTGGTGTTGCCAGCTGCCCATGTAATACTTCCTGTAGCATTAGTCATGGTCCAAGAGAGCTTGCCTGGTCCAGCAGGCGTCCAGCACTAATCATAGGCTTGATATGCAACAGAATGAAGCCAACTGGTGTTAGTAATGAGAAAGCTCTCTCGAGTGCTGATGGGATAGTAGTCTGCCGAGATCCACCTCTACGGCCGTATTTATCTATGCCATGATATATTCGAAGGGCCGGTCACGCTGTCAGGGTGTCAAGTTCCATCGAAATCAAATGGAGGAAGCGGTCAAGTCTTGAAACGTGCTTTCGTTTTGTTTCGTCGAGCGGTCTGAATCTGAGTCAAGTACCGAAGGCGCCAAGAGTCTGGCCCAGTCCTTCCTCTCTCTCAAAGCTCAATCTTGCATCTTATTTGTACCCTGTGTACACTGATTCACAAACGCCTGTCGTCTTTCGAATCGATCTGAGATGCCTTCGGCAGTCGGGATCCTCGGCGTAGAAACAATTTCACCTTGGTAGTCGTCTGGTCTCAGAGCAACGAGACATCCGTGAAAAAAATTCATAAAGCAACCTGCCGACATGCCTCCATGCTGAAATCTTTGGAAACAAAGCTTTTACCATCATGGTTGCGTCTTTGTGTGGTCGGTGTCCGAGCGAGCACTTTCCACTGCCATTGACGAAAGCAAAGGTGCTAGCTAGGTAGTTCATTGACGCTTTGTGGTAGATCGCTTGGGACGATGCACTCGACAGCAGCCACAAGTAGGTAGTAAAGATACCAACGGTGTTAAGCAGAGATACACCGACACAGCAGATGCTCCAGTCGTGATTTATCCGGGTTGCCCTAGCTCATCGCTACCACTCGCAAGCTACCGTATGCAGACAATTGTTATTTGAGACCGAGAATATGGTCGGTGTTCGGGACAAAGACGATGTTTGGAGGGTTCCGACGGGGCTCCGGTGGTGCAAAACCGTCCGGGTCCTGGCTGTTGGTGCTGAAGCTCTCGCAATCGAGGAGGGGAAAATGAGGGGGGCTGGCGAAGCTCACCCAGAGAATGTTTACCAGCAGCCCGCAAAGGCGGACGAGATCAGTGAGAGGGGCTCCGATGATGTCTCTGCCCCTTCAAAGCAGTGTCACCATGTCCTACTTATATCACTCGGTGCTCCGATCATCTGGGAAAGTATCGCCTCCCCAGCTTTTCTCAAGCAGCTCACACCATGTTCGCCAAACAGGACAACCGTCTCGTCTTTAGCTACGATGCCGACAAACTCTGGATCGAGCCGTGGGGCAAGAATGCTCTTCGCATTCGTGCGACTCAGCTGAACGAGATGCCTTCAGAGAATTGGGCTTTGGAAGGCTCATCGGGACCTGATGCGAAGATCGAGATTGGAGACAAGTCAAGCTCCTTGACCAATGGAGAAATCAAGGCTGTCGTTTCGGCAAAGGGCAAGTTGACCGTCTACGGTCACGGCGGCAAGATCATACTCGACGAAGCCGTCCGAAACCGCCGTGACGTCTTGGACCCAAAGTGCAGCGCAATCGACAGAGAGGCTCGCGAATTCCAGGCTATACCCTCCACCAATGACTACCACATAGTCTGGCGCTTGGAGTCTCTCGACAAGGATGAGAAGATATATGGTATGGGCCAGTACCAGCAGCCCTATCTCGATCTCAAGGGCCTCGACCTCGAGCTCGCGCACCGAAACTCGCAAGCCAGTGTGCCTTTTGCCGTCTCTTCTTTGGGATATGGTCTACTATGGAATAACCCCGGTATTGGAAGAGCCGTCTTTGGCAAGAACGTCATGTCCTTCGAGGCATTGAGTTCCACTGTCTTGGACTGTTGGCTTGTGGCTGGAGAGACCCCTGCCGAAATCGTTCAGGCATACGCTGGAGTCACCGGCACTGTCCCCATGATGCCCGAGGTCAGTAAACCTGGAGCCTATTACCAGCGCCATTTCCCTCTAGGAGAGATGCTAATTCGTACCGTAGTACGGTCTCGGCTTCTGGCAGTGCAAGCTTCGCTATCAAACACAGGAAGAATTACTTGACGTTGCAAGAGAATACAAAGCTCGTCAGTTGCCTATCGATCTCATCGTGATCGACTTCTTCCATTGGCCCTTGCAAGGAGAATGGAAGTTCGACCCTACCTACTGGCCGGATCCTGATGCCATGGTGAAAGAGCTGAAGGAGATGAACATCGAGCTGATGGTGTCGATTTGGCCTACCGTTGACCGGAGATGTGAGAACTACGAAGAGATGGTGGAGAAGGGTCTCTTGATCAGATGCGATCGCGGTACAAGAATTTCACTGGACTTCGAGGGCAATACTGTCCATTTCGATGCCACCAATCCCGAATCTAGAGCCTATGTTTGGAACAAAGCCAAGCAGAATTATTTCAACAAGGGGATCAAGACATTCTGGTTGGACGAAGCCGAGCCCGAGTACTCAATCTATCACTTTGACAACTGGAGATACTGGAAAGGATCTAACGTTAGCATCGGCAACATCTACCCCAAAGAATACGCTCGTGCCTTCTATGAAGGTCAAGAGGCCGCAGGACAGCAGAACATCGTCAATCTTCTACGATGCGCATGGGCTGGTAGTCAAAAGTACGGTGCCTTGGTATGGAGCGGAGACATTGCCTCATCTTGGTACAGTCTGAAGAACCAATTTGCTGCTGGACTCAACATGGGCATGGCCGGCATCAGTTGGTGGACCACCGACATTGGCGGTTTCCATGGTGGCAATCCCGACGACGAAGCCTTCCGCGAGCTGTTCACCAGATGGTTCCAATACGGAGCATTCTGCCCTGTGATGCGCCTGCATGGAGATCGTGAGCCCCACCAACCTCAGCACGGTACCACTGGCGGTGCAACGTGCTTGTCTGGAGCTCCAAACGAGGTCTGGTCGTACGGACCAGAGGTCTATGAGATCTGCAAGAAATACATGAAGATCAGAGAAGATATGAGAGAGTACACGCGGAGTCTCATGAAGGAAGCCCATGAAAAGGGATCTCCGATCATTCGACCTATCTTCTATGACTTCCCTCAGGACAAGAAGGCGTGGACAGTGGAAGATCAGCAGATGTATGGTCCCAAGTACCTGGTAGCGCCTATATTCGAGCCAGGTCAACGCAAGCGAACGGTTTACCTTCCCGCGGGTGCGTCTTGGAAGGCTTTCGAGAGCGGTGAGACGCACGAGGGTGGTCGCGAGATTGAGGTCGAGTGTCCCATTGACGCTATGCCTGTTTTCGTAAAGCAGTAGGCATGGTTTTCTAGACGGCATGACCAGATTGATTGCAAGCCTAGCATAGAGTAGATACATATCTTGTATAGAGATGGGATTGATAATTTCACTTCTTGATACCTGCTTCCACCGCGATAAAAATCTACACAGTACTCATAACATCAGTAGAAGGGCTATACATCTCACCTGACCGTCAAGGACTGCCTCGCGGGTTTACATGTCTTGGGTTGAGCATGACTGGTGACAAGCAGGGTGGCCCCGGCGGCATGGCTGACTTGAACATTTTACATACTGGGGCTTGTGTTGTCGACTTAATTTCATCCATACTGAAGACACCTGCGAATATCGAACCCAAAGTCAACATTTTTTCATGTTCAGTGTCCTCAGAAAGGTTCTGTTAGATATTCGAGAGATGTTGATGTAGCTCGTGGGCGACGAACTCAAGTGCTCCATCCAGCTTGGCTTTCCGAGGTGAGCCACCAATTTAGCCGCGGCGGCGCACGAATTAGGAGTTTCGAGTCAGGTCGTCACGAACACCTCGATACCGTCATTATTGTCAACATCGAGGTATATATCATCCGCAATGCCCGAGAGCGAGCCTCATACGACCCGCGATGAAACCCAACGAAAATGCTCGACCTGCAATATCGTCTTCCAGAGGACAACACACTTACGACGCCACATGTTGACGCACACACAAGACAAGCGTTTTGTCTGCTCACAATGCGGAAAGAGCTTTGTCAGAAGGTCCGTACTTTGTCTTCCCATGCCTTGTTATCATCAAGATTTTGCAGCAGTGGATGTACGCTGTCACCTCTTTGGAGGTCCAGGCGGATCTGTTTCCGCGCCGTTGTTCTCACACCAGTTGACTTGAATTTTAGGGACACGCTTCATCGACATCAGATAACTCATCGCACGAGCTCCATTGGGAGCCACGCTGGACCTGCTGATGCCCTCTCTTCTAGAGCTTGCAAGGCTTGTGCCACTGCCCGTGTGCGATGCACAAGACAAACCCCTTGTGACAGATGCAATTCAAGACGGCTACAATGTATCTACGAGGAATCATACCAGAGAGCCGAACCAGGGGTAGAGCAAGAAGCAAGCATGATGTTAGTTCAACACCAAGAGAAGACTTCAAGCCTCCCACCAGATCGCCCAGGGACCACGAACAACGATGCAGAGCGCATGGTTCATCAAGTACAAGCGCCAGCACTCGGCGAGAACAACGCATCTTTCTTACCCGCTTCAACTTCACAGGTTGCGAGACCACAAGACGGGCCTTTGATGAATACTACATGGGTAGCACAAGATCCCGCATCAGTGTCGCCCTACAACTTTCAGGATCAAAGAATGGTTGCATCATACGTCGAGAGCGATCCGCCTTCATTACCCGCCACAAACTGGCTACCGTATACCAATGGCATGAACTGGGACTTCGATTTCTACATGACTCAAGCACTGAACAACTTCTCTCCGACCATGGGCCTACATCAGCCAAACATCTGGTCTCCAAGTGCAAATCCTCTAGACAGCGCTCCGATGCACATCGGTATGAGCCCTGGAGGCGGGAGCAAGGGATCCGTTGCAGAAGAATCCCCTGCCTCTATGTCTGTTACCAACTCCGTGACTTCTTCAAAGCGGCATGGGACATTCTACGCAGACGGGGAGGTGAGTCGACTGGCAAGACATCGCAATGCCGAAGTCTCGCAGACTCAAGACCATATAAGCAGTATGGGAAGTGGTCTTGAGTTCAGCTTCGTAGAGGCAGAGCCGTTGACCATAAGCGCATCTTCTCGATCGATAATATCAGAACACACCTACAACTGCATACTAGAACAATTCGATGATCTATGCATGATCGATCATCCAGTGCTTCTCTTCGAGAGATTCCGATCTGACCGATTTCCTTCTCGACAAGCCCTGGAAACATGCATCGAGCTTTACTTCGAGAACACCAGCACTATATTCCAAGTTGTTCACCAGTCAACAATTAACCTAGAAGGCGAAAACGACTGGATTCTTTGTTTGGCAATGGCCGCCTCTGGAGCTGCCACATCTTCTTCCGTATCATTGGCATCCAATGTTGAGGCCTTGAGGACATTTCTACAAAGGGCAATCATTGCGCGAAACATGATCATTGCCCGCACCAGGAGTTCACCAGAGCTATCTTTTATGCAAGCTTGTATCGTCTACGATGTCTTAGAGCTTCATCTGCAGCACAGCATCCATGAAGAGGCTTTGGCAGGCACTCGGTCGTTCTCGGATTACTGCACCAACATCAAGAGATCGCGATGGTTGAGCCTCGACGAGCCAAACTGGGATGGAACTTGGACGGAAGAGAACTGGAAAGCATGGGCGCATCGCGAGAGTCAGCGGCGGGTGGCATACTGTGCCTGGCTGTTTGACAGTTGGTGTCTTCTGACATCCGGCAAAAGGCTCTCGGCAAACTTCTCGCTCAGCGATGTTCAGACAAATCTGCCTGTCCACGAAGCTCTTTGGGTGGCGACTTCATGGGAAGAATGGATGAGACTCAGACCGACGCACAAACAGCCGATGGGGTTGATTCCCCTACTAAGTTCACTGTATCAACAACAGCCGCTTACTCAGGAGCTTGGAGATTTCGCACAGACAATTGCTGTCCATGCAGTCTGCCGGCGGACACTGGAAGTGGGTTCTCACGTACTCGATCCGCTGAGCGGCCTTGATGCGGGGCAGCCACAACAACAACGTGGCGAGTCCGTCAGAGACATCTATTGGCTACCCTCGGATCCTGAGTATCAAAAATGGCGCAACAAAGCCCTAGACTGCCTGGATTCCCTACATTGGGGAACGCACGGCGTCATAGCTCGTCTCCAAGGTCTTGAGCCCCCAGTGGTCTTGCACTTGCACATGTCGCGATTGGTTCTGCTGGTCCCTTACCAGGACGTTTACGATCTGATGTGTGAAGTCGCCTCATCACATGGTAACGACGCGTCCTTTGCTCATATTGGCGGTTCACGGTCTCGCCGAGAAGATCTTGTGGCCAAGATCTGGTTGTGGATCTCCAAAGATCATTACAAATCCAGACTAGCTATCGTGCATGCCGGGGCAATGTTCTGGTATATCCGGCATCATGGCACAGGCAATATCCTCGAGCCGACAAGTCTGTTTGTGGCCAGCGTCATATTGTGGGCATACGGGTCGTTTGTGCCCCTTTTGCAGGCCTCAACGGATGAAAACCATACTGTGGTCCCTCGTGTGGACATAGATGAACAGTATGATCCGAAGATGATACAGATTGACCGACCTTGTGATGATGAGCTTATTCAGATATTCATCCGTCGAGGGAATTCTATGCAGCCGCACATGCTAGGCGTAGGCAATATATGCCAGGCCGGTGGAGCGCTCGGAGTGCTCAAGGTTGGTGCGAAGCTAATCAAGCATCGTTGCTCAGCATGGCCGATCTCCAAGACATACGAGAATCTCCTCCTTCATTGTGCCCAAGTATCGGCAAAGATATCATAGACGCGTCAAGCATGATATGGTTGCAGGTAGACAAGATAGTATATATCTATGGACGAGATTATGTCGCAGGTGCTGCGAGTAACAAGTCGGATATCTGATCTCATGTTCCAACTAGCGTTTACGACAACTATTATGCCAATGCGCAATATCATGGAGGGAGTTAAACCACCGGGAGCACTCGATTGTGAGAGACCTTTAGAGCACGCCGGAGCTCGACTGACTTGTCATCTCCCGATGAGTAGCGGTGGCCGTTAGGGCAGGGCCAGGATGAGCCTCGGAACACAAGCTCCACGGGGTCACGCACATATCCACAGCTTCTCCGGAAAGTATGGTCAGCGTGTGGGAAGCAACATACCTCACATCGCGTTCATCAAGGAGCTTGTATGAATCAGCCATTGAAAGCGAGCAAGGCCAAGGCTATTTCCGACGCAGTTACTTCAAAAGGCTGACCCGGCCAAGCAGCCCGACGGGGCCCCGGAGGGGCATATCTGCCAAATCAGGAATTTCCGCTGAAGTCGTCGAAACCTCTCAAATCGAACTGTCCGGTGGTGGCACATGGGTTCTCACGTGAAGTACCCAGTCAACGTGGGAAAGCTTGTAGGTCTCCCCGGACTCTCCACATCCCCCCTCTTCACACTCTCTTCCCCATGGGGCACGGGATCGCGGCCGCGTCTATCAGTATGTATATATAGGCATCGGCTTGATCGGCATGCAGTGGTATATTCCCCAGGACTCACAAGCACCTGGTGATCGTTACACCCTTCCTATACCACGACTACCAACATAGTTTCGCAAGACTTACACACCATGGCAGACGAGAAGAACGACATGGTTCACATCGAGGACCGATCCGGCTCCCTTGTCGGAGATGAGAAAGCTGATCATGGGCTGGCTGCTGCTGCGAACGACGAGGAACACAAGTTGACTCTGATGCAAGCCCTGAAGAAGTATCCTCAGGCTTGCTTCTGGTCAATCGCCATCTCCAGTTCCATCATCATGGAAGGATACGACATCGTTTTGATCTACTCCTTCTTCGGACAACCCGCGTTCGTCAAGAAATACGGCGAGTTCGATGCTGCGACTGGAAAATACTCTCTCTCGGCTGCCTGGCAAGCAGGCCTCGGAAATGGCACGCAGATTGGCACGGTCATTGGCGCGTTCCTCAACGGTTATCTCACCCACAAGTTTGGCTACCGCAAGGTCATGATGGCATCGCTGCTCTCCCTTCTCGCACTCATCTTCATCCCATTCTTCGCCCCTTCCGTCGAGGTCCTCTTGATCGGTCAAATTCTCTGCGGGTAAGTGTGCAGTCGGTCTACACGTTCGTCTTGCAAAGTACTGATGTTGCTTTACAGGATCCCATGGGGCGTGTTTGCCACGATGGCACCAGCTTATGCATCTGAGGTCTGTCCAACAGCACTTCGTGGTTACTTGACGGTCTATGGTAAGTTCTTACTCGCCTTGTGTGGACATGTCACCATCTGGTTGTGAGAATGCACAGTTCTTTTAGTGGGTGGAAAGTATCCGCCCAGAGTCATTGATTAATGGCTCTCTGTGGTTCTACTCACCTTCTAGAGATGACTGTGCATTCTGACAGCTCGATTTCTGCCCTCGTGTGGTTATGAGAGAAAGTATGCTAATCGTCGTTCAATCTTGCAGTCAACCTTACTTGGGCCTTTGGTCAGCTAGTCGGCGCCGGCGTACAATCCGGAGTCTCTGGCATCACAACACAGTGGGCGTATAGAATCCCTTTCGCCATCCAATGGGTCTGGCCACTCCCTATCGCTCTGCTCGCTTTCCTCGCTCCCGAATCTCCTTGGCATCTGATCCGCACTGGCGACAACGAGGGTGCTTTACGCTCGATCCAGCGTTTGTCTTCTGGCAAGACCGATAGTGAGAACAGAGCTCAGCTCGCAATGATGCAACATACCAACCAGTTGGAGATGGATATCAGTGCGGGTACATCATACTGGGACTGCTTCAAGGGCATCGATCGTCGCCGTACCGAGATTGTATGCATGGTCTTCGCCGCTCAACCATTCTGCGGCAGTGCCATGGGTGGCACGCCTACCTACTTCTTCATCCAAGCCGGTCTCCCCACCTCCATCTCGTTCAAGATGACAGTTGGTGGACTCGCCATGGCTTCTGTCGGCACAATGATCTCTTGGTTCCTGCTCTCCGCCTTCGGCCGCCGCACTCTCTATCTCTGGGGTTTGGGCCTCCTCACCGTCGTGCTCACCACAACCGGTGCCATCAGTGCCGCAGACGCCGCCAGTGTTGCTGGAAACTACGCACAAGCCGTCATGATGCTCATGTGGCTCTTCATCTACTACCTCACCGTCGGACCCATCTGCTACGCCATCGTCGGCGAAACCTCCGCCACACGTCTCCGCAACAAGAGTGTCTGTCTCGCTCGCATCGCCTACTACATTGCCAATATCGTTTGCGGCGCCGTCAACCCCTACTTGCTCAACCCTACCGCGTTGAACCTCAAAGGCAAGACTGGATTCTTCTGGGCAGGCACTTCACTCATCTTCTTCATTTGGACATTCTTTAGACTGCCCGAGTGTAAGGACAGAACGTATGAGGAGTTGGATGTGTTGTTTGCGAATAAAGTCAAGACGCGCGAGTTTAGGAAGTTTGACGTCAATGTTTATGCTGAGGATGGAGAGACGCTTGTTAAGCAAGAGTAAGAGTAGGAGGGTTTATGGAATATGATGGCGAGGATTACGTTTATGTCTGTACATGATTTGATGGATGGTAAGGATGGGCATATGGATGAAGTCGAGTGTTGTCAAAGTAGCACTCTGTATATAGTTGTACCTGGTACTGCGATATTTCTCTTCCGAGCGTCTCCAGACAACTCTTTTGGCTGTAGTGTACAAGCATGGTTTGAATGTGGAGACAGGGAAAGAACCTCTTACCAGGATGATACTCATGGAGTAGGTCGGACGAGTAAAACAAGTAGTGAATGTCACCGGCGTGTATCGTACTTGACCCTTGCACGAGGGGCTGTGAGCCGTTCGGTGAATGAGTTGGCAAGCCTCGCTGATCTTGCTTGTTCAATCAGATTCGACTTCCTGGATGAGAGTGGGCGGAGAGATAATTTGTTCGATTCTGTTGTTGCACTTGCCGCCAAAGCCGAATGAAACTGGCATCGAGTTTGTATACTAAGTACAAGGCGTACCACATATCTTCAAACCCGAGCAAGAATCGGGAAAATCTGTCATAATATGAGGACCGAACTCGGACGTTTTTGGTAACAGAGCGGCTGTAGATGAGAGTCGCGATAGGGGCTATCCATATCAAAACGCACAACGGTATGAATCGGGTCTGCAAAAGTACGAGTGTTTAAGTATATTGAGGTTGTTATAGATGCGAGGTCGATAAGATTCAGTCGAGATCAGGCTTCGTATCAAGTCGTGAGCAACCGATTTGGCGGCAAGAACGAAGCGTGGTAAGTCCGTAGATGATGAGACCAGTTCATGTCACTGAGAGACTATCGAACATACGACACCATTGCCGGATTCCAGGAATGTACATGGCCGCGCAAGGCTCCACGGTACACAACATCTGGTGATGAGTTTGGTGAGCCGACATATACTGTCGCCTGCCACGACGGTATGATTGTATCTCCTGTAAAAGCTCGCAAGACTAGGAAATGAGTTATTTGGTTCCTTCTGGCAGTACATCTAGCCAGGCTGGAGTTGATCCTGTAAGGTTAGCCATGGGTCCACTCAGGTAGAAGCCATCCCAGACTGCGAGGATGGGTTCGAGCTCGAGATCCTCGCACCAGTGAAGGGTTTCAAGCAATTCTAGACCGTCAGTGATGCTATGTGCCCACGTGCCTTCTCTGCCAGGTCTGTCCTTTAGAGGACCACTGGTCTCGTTTCACTTCCAGAGGTATGGCGGGTCGTGCGCCGGCGGGAAAGCCGGCGTTCCCCGCAGGGAAAGAGGCCGGAGCACACGTCGGCAAATGACGCTTCAGCCGACGAGGTTGCCGTCGCTCGCTATATCTCTCTCCGGTCGCGTTACACCAGCACGAGACCAACTACTGACTAGCACGCATTGATTGTCGCCAAACCTCCACAGCACCACACTCCAGCAAACGCGTTCACTCAGTCAAGAATGGGCATATTCAAGACTTTGTCAAAGGCCGCCGCGTACGGTACCGTAGCCGGAGCCGGAGGATGGGCACTTTACACACGAAAGTCCAACTTCGTGCCTCTATCACCTTCCGACCACATTTACAACACAACTTTCTATGCTCGCAACAACCCTGAGAGGAACCCTGCTACCGCCGATCTGTGCGTACGCAGGGTACCGCTGAGCGAGATCAAGCCCGAGTACCTTGAGAAGGAAGGAAAGCTGGTCGAAAAGTTCTGCGCCGGCGTTTGGGGAGGCCTTGGTGAGTGCAGGTGCTTCGAGACGTGCGTCGGTCCACTGACACGACGCTATAGGCTATGCATACCAACGTCAATACCTCGAGAAGAAGTACCGCGACGCCGACACGGAAGAGCAGCTATGGGACACCAAGGCTCTCCTCGACTCCGAGTACCCCGTCGGTACACAGATCACAGACCACTTCGAGGTGCTCACCAAGACACCTGAGTCAATCATTGTTCGCTGCGGAGACTCGCCTCGCAAGATGGAGGTCAGACCCAGCGATGGACTGTTTGAGATGAGAGCAGAGATCTTGAAAGACGAGGGTGTTGCCGAGTTCCAGCTCAAGAGTGTCTTCTACCAAGGACTCGGCAAAGCGACTGGCGCACCCATGCCTGCGCACATCGAGTTCTTGCACAGACAATATACCAAGTTGTGGATGGAGACTGCAGTCAGCAACGTCACACGATGAGCATCCGGCAACAGACTGCGCAGATATGCTAGAGGCACAAGCAAGACAGATTACAAAGCAAGTTGCTAGATAGGCCGAAAGAAGTGATAGTAGCATAGTGAGACGATTCTTAATGATGAAAGAGCGACTGTTTACTCGAACGCACGTGAAAGCGCAAGCAAAAGCGCGTCATGGGTCAAAGCTCTCGGTGGTTGTTGCCTGCAGTTGAATCGAGCTTTCCCATCTCATGTCGACCTTGCCATGAGCTAATGCCTTGACCTGGAGTTGAGACTTGTCCAGTCCCCAGACGACCAATGCAACCATCATCAACACGGATCCGCAGGCACTATGGCCCAAGGCCGGCCCCGCCGTAAAAAGACCGTCTTGTCGTCCGACGATGAGGACGACTCAGCGCAGACAGTTCCTGTGGAAAGCCATGATGCCCCCGACACCAAGCCTGCAAGACGATCCTCGGCCTCCAGACCAAATTCGTCCAACTCGGCCCCGACCAAGTCCAAACTCGCCAAATCTCCTTCCAAACCACGCCAAACTCGCCAGCCCACCAAGCCTGTCGCCGAAGCACACCCCAAGCCTGCGACTAAACCCATCTCCTCTTTCTTCAACTCTGCTACACAGCCTCATCGCCCTTCGCCTCAGCACTCGACTGCGCCAACATCGGACAAGCCAGCCTCCCAGGACATAGACATCGACGACGACGACATCGAAGCCGATGATGCTATCCTGTCTCAGACTTCCCGCATTGCCCAAGCTTTGCGCAAGAGGAAGCTGATCACAGACGACATTGCTGATACGAATCGAAACGGCCCACCACCACCCTCGCAGAAGTTCCGCAAAGTCTCTGCCGCCACCAAGCTTCCCACAAACTCGGCACCCGTTCCCACCGACACAAGACCATGGACCGAACGCTTCGCTCCAGTCGACTTGTCCGAGCTTGCTGTGCACAAGAGAAAGATTACAGATGTCCGCAATGTCCTAGAATCCGCTTTGTCTGATCGAGCCACGCCGAGATTGATTGTTCTGAAAGGCGCCGCCGGTACTGCCAAAACAACTACTGTCAGCCTTCTGGCCAAAGAGATGGGCATTGGTATAACTGAGTGGAAGAGCCCCGTCGGCACTGATGCTGCGAGCAGTGCTTTCACTTCGTATTCGAGCCAGTTCGAAGACTTTGTCCTAAGGAGCGGCAACTTTGCACGTCTTGATCTAGTCTCTACTTATGGCACGGCTCAACCAGCTCCTACCGCAAAGGATCATGCTAAACAGATCATGCTCGTTGAAGAATTTCCCAATACCTTTGCCAAGTCCTCACCAGCTCTGCAAGCCTTCAGGAACACCATCCTGCAGTACTTGGCCGCACCGTCATCGTCCAGTCCCGCACCTATGGTTATGGTCATCTCGGAAGCCCTGCTCTCGACCACGACTGCCTCTGCCGACAGTTTCACTGCTCATCGTCTGCTCGGTCCTGCTATTTTGAATCACCCAAGGACCGCCCCGATCGAATTTAACAACATCGCTCCCACTATTCTGACGAAAGCATTGGACACGATCGTCATCAAGGAATCTCGCAAGTCAGGCAGGCGTTTTGCTCCCGGTCCTGCTGTGCTCAAACATTTGTCCGAGACTGGCGATATCCGAAGCGCTGTATCCTCTCTCGAGTTCCTGTGCCTTGCGGGGGACGATAGTGGTGCCTGGTCATCAAAAGTCGCTTTCACAAAACCCAAGGGTCGTGCTGAAGCTGCTCTGACCAAGAAAGAACAAGAAGCTCTGAAGTTGATCAGCAACCGCGAGAGTAGTCTTGGCATATTTCATGCTGTCGGTAGAGTAGTGTACAACAAACGCGTTGACCCTCCTAGCCCTGTCCCTCAACCTCCGACATACCTACCCCAACATCGGAAGCCAAAAGTCCCGGAACACGATCCTAACAACTTGATCGATGAAGTCGGCACTGATACGTCAACATTTGTCGGTGCTCTACAGGAAAATTACGCCTTGTCTTGCTCGTCCTCTTTGAGTGAAGATGCACTGGATTCGTTGAACGGCTGTATCGATGCTCTATCCGACTTTGACATGTTATCATGCGATCGATTCGGCTTTGGAACACGAATGTCGTCTGGTTCTGCTCAAGACAATCTTCGTCAGGATGACATGTCCTTCCAGACGGCGGTTCGTGGTCTTCTGTTCTGGCTACCCACTCCGGTCAACAGGCTAGCAGGCTTGCCACAAGGAGCCAAGCGCGGCGATGAGTTCAAAATGTTCTTCCCATCGAGCTCCAAGCTGTGGAAGGAAAGAGAAGAATTTGAGGGCACCTTAGAAGGTGTGGTATCGACGATGCACAATCTGGCTGTTGGCTCGAGTTCGGAGTCGACATCTACGAGCACAGAAGGCGTGGCAGCGTGGAAGCGCCAGCAGACATCGGATGTGGCTTTACAAGACGATCAAGATGCAGCTGTGACGACTACACCGCTCTCAAACACCCTTTTGAGCTCTGGCGCAAAGACAGAGTTGCTGCTTGAGCGTCTGCCCTTCGCCTCCCAGATATTGCCTCGGCAAAGAGACGTTCCACAATCGCTTATCAAGGGCATACAAACTCTGACACGCATTTCTGCCTCGAACCCTGTGTCTACCAGTCTCGAAGATGCAGCGCTGGAAGGGATGGAGGACAACGAGCTGGATATGCAGCAATTAGAGTGGACAGATCGTCCAGATGTAGAGTCTGCCATTACGAAAAGAAGCAAGAAGCAGCAAAGCCAAAAGGGCGAGTTCGAGGGAGGTGGACTGCATATACCCGTCGAGCACGCGGTCGAGAAGCTCGTGCTGAGCGATGATGACATCGAGGATTGATACCCCTTTGTTTGAGTAGCTGATCACTTTGTACAAGATTATGAATAATTCGTTCGTATAGCTCACATGACTGTCTTTCAATGCTGCATTTCATTGACATACTGAAATATCCACATACTCGAATACAGTGGAATAGACATGACTACACTATACTCCTTATCGACGATTCGAGAGCATCAAGCAACAGTAGACCTCCTCTTCATGCCCACCCAACACTCGAGCGGCTTCCTCAAGAAGCCCTCTCTGGTCTCGAGTGTCTTTTGATACAGTTCGAATTCGTAATTGTGGAAGACGGTTGCGACGATCAGTGCCAATTCCATCTCTGCGACGTTGCGGCCAACACAGGCACGTGGACCGTAGCTGAAGGGTATGAAAGCCGATTTTTGACTGTTTTCGATCTTGTCAGTGATCTTCCTTGGAAGCTTTTTTGGTGAGAAGGGAGGGGGGACAGATGAAAAAACTCACGTCTCGGTGACTTTTTCCCATCGCTCTGGTTTAAAGTCATCGGCATCGGGACCCCAGATTTCTTTGCTGTGGTGCATGGTGTACGCTGGCACGCTGAGTACCGTTTCAGCAGGATAATGTCTACCGCAGACTTCTGCTCCACCTGCAGGGACTACTCTAGGTAGACCCAGAGAAGAAGTACTGTGGATACGCATGGTTTCCTTGATCACAGCATCCAGGTAAGGTAAATCGCGCACTTGCTCGAATACAGGGACTTGAGTGCCTTTGGGGATTGCTGCGTCGAGTTCTTGCTGCAGTTTCTTGACGACATGAGGGGTAGCTAGACAGTGGTAGAGTAGAGCACAAGAGGTATTTGAGGTGGTGTCGCTGCCGGCGATGAGTTGCGTCAATGCTTCGGCGGTGAGTTCCTGGCGTCCTAGACTATTGCCGTGTTCGTCCTTTCCTTCCATGAGTCTGGCTAGCAAGTCTACGCGATCAACGCTATCGGCATTGTCGAGTCGTTGCTTCACGCGTGCCACGGCGATACCAGCGAGGTTCTGCACGGCCTGTACGCCCTTGGTGAAGAAAGGGTCAGGGAGGTACTTTGCGTATGGCTTGATGTATGGCCAGCAGCCTATGGTGCCTGAGACTTCGCCGCGGCGGTTTAGGACTTCAATGGCGGGAGCGAATTTGGGAGGTGCGTCTGGAGACTCGCGGATCTCGGCGATGTCTGCGCCTTTCTCAAGCATGCCGAACGGAGCGCCGAATGCGAGGTCGCCTGGTTCGAAGGTTAGTTTCCTGAAGTGCTCAAGACAGGCAGAGGTGAAGTTTGGATACCGATGATGTCAAAGGCCGTGTAGTTGAACCAGTTCAAAGCGTCCATCTTTGCGTACTGGCCATCTGCCAACTTTGACATTTTGTTCCATTGCTCGACCAGCAATTCCAGGTTATGGTGCATATACTGTTCAAACTGACCAATACTCTTTGAGCTAAAAGTATGCGAAACAGTCTTTCTCTTTCTCGTATGTTCTGCTCTATCCCTGGTATTGAAGAGACCACGCTGGATGCTAACGAAAGCATCATAGTATTCGCTTTTCAAGAAACCCGTACCGTGGCCATAGACGACGGGGATGGCAGCTGGGTCTGCGATGGAAACGTGGTGGGGTTGGATGCGGACGAGTTTGCCGTACGTCTTGTGGGCTTGGTCTACGGCGAGGTATCGTCTGCCTCGGCGGCATTGGTACATGAGCCAGAGGTTGGTGAAGGCTGCGGGAAAGGGTGAGGGCACATCGCGGATGGACCAGTTTCGCAGGTAAGGTAGGAGGTAGAAGAGGATTGGTATGGCTAGAAGGGTATAAGGCGTGAAGAGGAGCTCGATTAGACCCATGGCGACTGCTTGATGGATGGACCGATTGATTACGGTGAGAGTAGTACAAAGGTCGAGGCAGGCCTGGCTGGGCTCCAAAGACTCGCGGGACACGTCGTCAACTTATATCAAATGCAGAAGCAGCGAACGAGGGGCATCGTGTGACGCAGCTACCTTAACCTTCTTGCCCTCTCCTCTTCCATGCATCCTTGGCGTCCTATCCATCTTGCAACAGTCGCATGGCCGTCTCTTCCGCCATACGTGAGCTCAAAGGTCAGCAATCCGCACCCCGCAGCCCCCTCATCTTCGGACCGTTCGTTCCGTGCAAGAGCTGTTCGGAAGCTGCACCAGAAAAGACAGAAGATGAAGCTCATTCTGCGGAGGAAAATGCGGGCATCTCTTGATATCGGATGTGCACCGTGCACTCGGCAGAGCGATATCATTTATTCGGCTCTGCACTCCGCCAATCCTGTCTTCCTTTTCCATACCACAAGACACCGAACTTCGGTCGATCTGACAATGGCTCGCGATCACGACAGTCATATGCAAATAGATCCGCGAACTTGGTTTCTTGGTCACATTGCCGACTTAACCTACTCATCCGTCATGCCACCCCTTCTTGCATGCTGGTCTAGAAGACAACCTCCTTGAAACCCTTGGGTACATCTCTCTTGTTGTGTCCAGTACCCTTCCAGCCACCAGCGCTCGATCCCCAGGAGCCGAAGCTAGGGGTCCATCCGCCGAAGCCGCCGTGGCCCCAAGCACCACGGTGTCCGCCCCAGCTGCCTGCCCAGTATGTTGCCCTGCCGTGCACTTCCAGCACGCTGACACTGAGGTTGGGAAGCTCGAACTTGAATGTGCCATCACGGGAAGCTGTGATGGTCGTGTTTGTCGATGTTACGACCTGAGCCTTGTTGGGGGCGTTGTAGCTGTCGTGGCTTGGTGCAGTCAGCACCGTCAAGGTTGCAGTGGCACCGCCAGATACACCATTGAAAGAGATGGAGACGGGAACGTTGCTCGTGGCGTTGTACACGGCTGTTTTGAGCATGTGAGATCCAGTCTGGTTGTTGTAACCGGCCACGTAGTAGGCAGGTCCGAAGTTGCCGCCAGTAGTAGGCAGAGTCTCGGTAATGAGGTGGTTACCCATGAGCCGGAGCATGTGCCACGAAGTCGACAGAATGTCCTTGGTAGGGTCGGCAGTGAAGCTGATCATATCAGGTGTCCACTGGTAGCTGTTCAGGTTCTGCAAGGTTGGAGCATACGATGCACCAATGATCATGTCTGAGTTGCGTTCGGCTCCGAGAAGGAAGACTGCTTCGGCGACACTGCCCTCCCATGATGGGAAGGCCAGTCTTTCCCTGTTCGAGCTCCAGTCTACCGAAGCCATAGAGGCGTTGTTGCCCTCGATCACAGCGTATTCACCTGCATCTCCGTCAGCTCTGCTCACTGTAAGGCTCGTCTCTCCCGTGTGCTAAGTATTGTAATGCACACAGCTGTAAACATGCACAGTAGTTTCGAGAAACGAGCAATCTCCATCGAGAAGTGACATCGCGTCGAATCTCTTTGGAATCGTCTCCACTGCGAAGATAATGGTGCATTTTTATAGTGAGTGTCACGCTTATAGGAGGAGCGTAGGAGAGTTGTGATGGTCACAAACTTTAGCACACGGGGAAGATTGACCAACTTACCAATCAAGATAGGGTGGCTTCTGTTGTAGTGATCAAAGAGACTGAACTCGTGCACAAAGTTGTCGGGTCTGGAGTACTCGTGGTAGTCGAGAGAGATGTCGTCGGGAATAGGGTCGACTTGAGGAGTCGATGCAATGATGGTGATGTCAGGGTAGGCTGCCTTGATGGCGCTGGTGAACATGGGCAGACGGTATGCTGAGTAACTGGCATTGCCGCCGCCGAGGTTGTCTTCGTTACCGATCTGTTTCAAACATCAGTAACCCGTGACAAAAAAAAAATGAGACTGGAGAGATAAGAAATGCTCACCTCAACATAGTTGATCTGGAATGGCTGAGGGTATCCGAGAGATGCTCTCAATGCTCCGTACTTGGTACTAGTCGAACCCATCAAGAACTCAAGCTCGTCGAGAGCATACTGGATCCAGGGTTGGAGCTGATCCTGTGGAGTGACGGGTCCGCTAAGGTAGAAGCCATCCCAAACTGCGAGGATGGGTTCGAGCTCGAGATCCTCGCACCAGTGAAGGTATTCAATCAAACCTAGACCGTCGGTGTTGACGTAGCCCCACGTCCCTTCTCTGCCGGGTCTGTCCTTTAGAGGTCCAATGGTCTCGTTCCATTTCCAGAGGTATGGTGGGAGACTTCCCTCAAGGTTGTTACCTGAATCTTGTCAGCTCGTATTACCCAAACATTGCCAGCTATGCTCAAACCCACCTCCAGGGAATCTCAAAAACTTTCCATTCAACGCCTTCAATGCTTCAGCAAGATCCACACGAAGACCATTGGCTCTGTTCTTGTAGGTAGGAGGGAAAAGACTGATCAAATTGAAATCAAGCGAGCCTCCAGAGATACCAGACTTGTCGAAAGTGAGGTAGAACGAGTTGTTCGAGTTCGGTGCTGCAGAGCTAGGGGTGAGGGTGAAGTTGTGCTGCACCCACTCGTTGGGCGAAGCCTGTGACTGCACTTGTGTGGTAGCGAAGGTCTCGTTGTTGATGTCAGATTTTAAGGAAGCGGTGAATTTGCCCTTGTAGGATCCTCTGACCCAGAAAGAGCCAGTGTAGAGTTGGACTTGGACACCGATGCCCCAGTATCCGCTGTGGCTATGTCAGTGGGTGTTTTTGTAGACTCAACTGTGTGAACTCACGTATTCGAGAATCCAACCTCGGCCTCGGTGGCCTTGCCAGTTGCAACATTCATAGAGGTAGGCAAAGCACTGGACAGCGGTTGAGACAAGTTCTTCAGCGAAAGAGTCGAGCCTCCCACAGAGCCGTAAGCGAAAAGGCTCGATGGATGTACAGTGCTGCCTTGGAATGCTCTGTTGCGGATGAGCTCGGCGTAAAGTCCACCATCGCCAGAGAAGTTGATATCCTATGACAGTCAGTCAAAGTCAAGAGTTGTTGTGCTGGGACGAAATACCTCGAACATAGTGCCATACTGCAGAGGAGATGTAGCATTACCGCCACTAGCAGCGACCTTGAGGTTCAAAGCATTCGCAGCAGTAGCAAAAGCTGCCACAAGAACACTCGAGAACAACATTTTGTTGTATGATGATTGACTCGATGTGTCGACAGTGTTTCATTTTGAAGGTGACACTTGCCTTCTTATACTATCTCCAACGGTTCGTCTTTTCCCTGTATTCGGCACCATTCCCTGATCATCAGGCAACATTCTAATGATCGACTGTATATTATCCTAGAACTGCGTTGGCGGTTCGTGTTCGTGTGTGCCGCAGTCACGACTTGCATACTACCCACAGACGATACCGGAGAACCGTGCATATGGGTAGTCTGCATCTCTCGCGGGTTCATAATTTCGGAAACTTTGATGATATTGCCGGACTGCGAACCTTGCACAATACGACCTCAGAATGCAACAAATCAAACTTATATAGCAAAGTGGAGGAAACATTGTTTGGTGTGTCCTTTCTTGGTCAGTCTTCAGGTTTCCTAGAGTCCGCCTCGTGGCAAGCTATGTTGTCAAGTTTGTATGCGTTGGATAGAAAGATGCATTTGCATCACGGTCAAGGTCATTGACCCCGCGCGGATCGTGTACAAGTGTGGGGTGTCCGCTCGTGTGGGGTGAGGGGTATGGCCGGTGGGTGACGACCTGCAGCAGTAGATTCATGCACTCAGAGGCAGGGATGAGAGACTTCTTTGCTGCTTTGACTATGGAGAGTATTCCCAGCTCTGCACGCCGTAGCAAGAAAAACATGAAGACAGGCACCAATGTTTAGCCTAATCCTGTGTGATCTCCACTCGGCCATGCACCTTGCTCATGACCAAGATCGACAAGCATGCGGGATGGGTCAACGTCGAGCTTGTTGCTCGCTTTCGGAAGCTCTCGGCCGTCAGAACAGGAACAAGCAAGCTGGGTAAATATCATTACCGAGATGGAAACCCCCATCGACATTCTGGATCTAAACAACTGACATCAAGCTAACAAAGACATTCTTCTCACAGCCTAAAAGCGGTCGAGAACGGATCAGTTTTCTCTCTGCAAAAGCCACTCTCTCCACTTTGGTGAGCATCTTCGCCTCCAAGACTTTCCGTATATGCTCATGGGTATTGCGGCGAGCATGGAGCAGAGAACGCACAGACCGAAGAAGAGAAAGGCGTACCCGTAGCCAGCTGCTTCAATAAACGGCTGCACGCTATAACTGATGGCGAAATTGATGCAGGATGAGCAGATGGCAAGGACCACTACCAATTCTCCACCAATCCCTGGGAAGCATTCCATGGCGTATGTTGTGGCAATGGAACAAGCAGAGACCTGGTGAGCAATCATACAGCCCACTCCGAAGGCGATTGTCATCCAGTGTGCCCCTGCTTGGGCCCCAAATCCGTACATGAAGTATCCGATGGCGGCGTAGACAAAAGAGAAACACAAGGTCCAGAGGCGCATTTCAGGCTCCTTGATACCGCGGTTCTTGCGTGCAAGATATAGTACAATCCGATCCGAAAGGACACCGGTCAGCCATCCGACAAAGTTGCCGACAAGAGCAGCAAGGAAGACAAGACCTGTAGATGAGGTGCTCCAGTCGTAGGGCGGTTCGGTCAAGATCTCTGAGATGGTGTTGAACGAGACGATACCAGCTATTGCTCATTAACACATATGACTCGAGAATGCCGGGTGTGATGAACTTGCCTGTGCAGCCGAATGCAAATATGCAGCCAGAGATGACGACGTTGGGGAACAAGAAGAGGGCGAACGGACGACGGAAATACTGGAAGTATGTCGTCTTGTCCTCTGGAAAATATACCCAGAGCTTCAACTTCTGAGCATATGTTCGGCGAGGGAAGTCACGCTGCTGCAAGTCGGGGGCCTCGGACTGCACAGTAGTGATGCAATTGAGATCTTTGTCGTCAAGGTCTTTGCTGTCAGTGTTTGACTCCGCAGCACTGGTCCTACCTTGGACCACGGGAAGAACTCCCTGTATGTGCTCAAAGATAAACCTGGGGAACAGTGTTTCCTCAAACGTGAAAGTCAAAAGGACCAAGACACCGGCATCGATTATTGCAACGCAATACTGAGTCCATCTTTACATACGTATTAGCGAGTGTTCTCAGCAGAATCGTGTTATGACATACCTCCAGCCCAAATGATCTGAAATGATACCTCCAGTAATCAGACCAAGAATACTACCAAGTTGTTGACCAAAGAGGTAGAAAGACAGCATCATGCCGCGCTCATGGGCAAAGAACATATCAAAGACCGACAGCTGAATGACGGCTTGATAGGCACTTGTCCCAACACCGTTCAAGCTGTTTGACAGGAACCATTGCGCAGTTCCATGGACACGACCTTGCCATACACCCGCCATACAACAGATGAGCGTGGTGAATAAAAACACTGGTCTTCGGCCCACTTTGTTGGCAGTGCTGATCCACCAGATATTGCAGAGGCCGAGCAATAGGTAGTTCAAAGCACTGCCTCCGTTCATGTTGACCAGCGAAACACCAGTATCCTCAGATACAGTGGTCCAGGCAGCGCCCAGTGTATTCTCTCCGAAAGAGAATGCGCATGCGTACAACGCAAGCAAAAAGAGCTGGTACCACTTCTTCCATCGAGACCATGTAAGAGGGTCGGAGCCGCACTCTGTTGGGCTTGGGATCAAAACAATATCCGAATTGCCCTGATGGGCAGCATCGAGGTCATGGTTGACTGGAGCGGGATGAGAAGAGCCACAATGCGGATCAGGATCGTTCTTACCATCAACAAGTTGTTCGGTACCCGGCACATCCAAATCATAGTCCTGATTCGTCATCATGATGCACTTTGTGTTGTATCAGAAGTGGAAGATTGATCGACCCTGTAGGACGATGTGTCCTTTCTTATATTCAGCAGCCTCGATGAATGTCCCATGTCCAGTATATTCTCGCATGTACACTCACGATCGAAGTAACGAGGTCCCTCTGATAGACGGACGTTGATGCGGAGAATTTGAAGGTACAAGCGTGGCCAATAGGAAATGCAGCCATGTGTCCGATAAGCTCTAGCCCCAGACATCGACCCGTGTTCAAGCGGCCACAATCAGTCAGCGTCTAATCTGGGGTAAAGATAGGCCTCGTTGGATATCATCAGCGCCAGCGAATCGAAGGTACACGCGAAGTGTGCCGTGAGTCGGATCAACCTTACCGGCATGTGTTGATATCGACAACATTTCACCGTCAGTATAGCAGACATCCAAATTTGGACAAGTCTAGTCCGCAACTATGGACCTGCCTGAACTGGAAGAAGATAGGGCGGACAGACTCAGGAGGGTCTCTATTATAGTGACCAGAGACGACAAAGGCGTATGCGTCAAACAGCTTGACGCTGATAACAACTCCGTCCTCAAGCAAGACTCAAGCCACCACACAAGGGAGCGATATAGCGCTCCCAGTCGTTCTGGCCTTTGTCGAGGCCTTCGGCTTGTGTGCTAGAGAAATCATCATAACTCCTGTTCAGCCATACTCTCTCAATGACAGATCTCGTTTTGACTATGTTGGCAATAGCATTCGATCTTCCGAGACTGTCCAAGGCATACAAAACAAAGGGTCGAGCATAGTTTGGCACCTCATCGGGTAGATCTTGCTTTTCGGCCCATTCGAAATCCTCCATGGGGTCGAGTTCAACAGCTGCGACAAAAAGAGGCCAGCTCAGGCCTGCAAGCACTCCATGCTCGAGTAAGACAGAGACAAGACGAAGAATCTGCTGTACATGACCAACAACAAGAGGCATCGCGGGAGTTGCACCGTTGAGAGCACAATGCAAGTAAAGCTCAGCTGCCAACCTTTTCAGCTCGGCAGACAACTGAAGTAGGTTGTCATCTTCATCAAAGACCCTCTGTCTCAGGCTGCAAAGCCGGCGTTCCAAGGATGCCGCCTGAAATTGAAACTCAGGTAGAAGACATACGCCTGGCTGTGATCGATGTTGGCGGCTAAGTTCAGTGATCTCGCACAATATTGATACAAGACCAGCAGAGCAGCCAAGCCAGGCATCAGTGTCTTCGCCTTGTGATGTCCAAAAGTCACTGCCAAAGATCGGTTCCTCGCCACACGCAGTTCGACCGATGACATCCTGAAAAGCGAAATACTTCTCAGTAAATTCGACAAGCTCATTGGAAGACGGCCCAGCCATGAGGTTGAGTTGAGCATGCCTTCGAACTCGTATCAGATCTCGAGCTCCTTTCAAGTGGACAACCCAGCGTTTATCACACTCGTTGATGATCTCGTATTGACACAAAATCATCATGATGACCAATGTTCCAGGATCCATGGCAACCTTCAGAGGATTTTCGGTGCTGAGCCTTCCGCGTAGAGTGCGCAGAACATTGTCTCCTAGTCTCAACGAAGTCGAACGAAAGGCGATATCCTTTTTCGATCTGTGACAGGCTGCGAGAGCAAGCAGTGCGTCCAAGACAGCGGGAGAAGATGACATGGAGAATGGAAGAATCAGATTGGCAAAAGGGGATTTGTTGACGGAACTTGGAACGGTAAGGGGACATATCTTCTCCAGGTAATACGAAAGTAGATTTGAGTGCATTGGGCTGGGAAGATCGGGCAGCATCGGCAGTGCAGATGGTATAGAATGTTGACGAGGCAAGAACACGGGTTGTCTAGCAGAAAGCCATGGCGACAAAGAAGCAGTACTCGAAGTGTCGTCGCGATCGTTGGTGCGAATGACATCCAATGCTGGTGTGGCTTCCAGTGCGAGATTCTCCAGAGTGGTAAGCTGTTCGACATTCCCTACCGTAGCGTTGATAAAGCTGTATGAAGAAATCAAAGGAATCTGTATCCAAGACACTTCATCCTCGGTAACATGGATGCATGGCGAAGAAGCGCTCGATTTATCAGCGGCGTTCTTGCTCCATAAGCCAGTTCTCCCGAATGCTCGTCCAGCACTGGTATAGTCTTGTTCCCACTTGAGCTTGATGCTCGTTGAGCAGTCAAAGCCCTTGGCATGACATTGGCCGCAAGTCGGTTTCTGCTCATCACAGCGAACCTTACGAGCACGGCATCTGTCGCAGCCACTTCTTTTGCGTTTCTTTGCGGGCTCCAGAGGATTCACTCGTTTGCGGGGCATGACGGATTTTTGGTCAGAACAGGTGGGCCTTAAACATGATGCCGTATCCGGTAGAACGATAGGGCGACCGAGAAAGTCAGGAAGGTCCAAGTCAGGCTTCGTCTGGTGATGACTTGGGGTACGATAGGCCGAAGAGAAAATGCGGGTGAGAGGTTGGGGCGGCCGAGGGAGGCACGAGTCATGGGCTTGAGCCGCATGGGCCACTTGGGTTGGACCTTCCCAATGTCCACATCTCCCCGCTGTCACCTTGAGGTGAATTCGATACCGTTGTGTTTTCAGACGAATCGTTATAGGTCAAGTGGCTGTGTATATCTATGTAGGTCTCTGCTTGTTTGGCAGACTGGACACCACGACGCTCTTTCCTCTTGTTCCTGAAGCCTATCCACAAAGTTTCTCGCAATGTCTAGCTCTCTATCTTCGGACTCGACAATTCTCATCGTCGGTGCGGGTACCTGGGGCATCTCTACAGCTCTGCACCTGAAAAGGTCTGATGAGAACAATCTCTGACATCACGCGTGATATTGACTTGATGCCAGACGAGGATACAAGCACGTCACTCTTCTCGATCCTTACGCTGTACCATCCCCCATCTCCGCTGGCAACGACGTCAACAAGATTCTCGAACTGGGGACTTTTGCTGCTGGTGCCGATTCAAGCGAACGCTACGTCGCAAACACATTGATCAACGAAGCAACCAAAGGATGGCTCGAAGATCCCGTCTTCGCACCATACTTCCACGAGACGGGATGCATCATTGCTGCGACTTCAGATGTCGGACGTGCACACATGAACTCTGCCAGTGGCCCCAGCGAGGATGCGGGTTGGTTGCCGCTCAAGACCAAGGAAGACTTCCAGGCGACTATGCCAAAAGGTGTTCTCACTGGAGACTTTCCTGGCTGGGAGGGTTGGTGGATGAAGAAAGGCTCCGGCTGGATCCACGCGAGAAAATCCATGGAGAGTGCCGCCAGAGAAGCAGAACGTCTTGGCGCTGTGTTCATCACTGGCGAAGAGAAGGGTAAAGTTGAGAGTCTGATCTATGAGGATGGTGACGTCAAAGGAGCCAAGACACTGGATGGTGTCGAGCATCGGGCAGACCGTACGATACTCTGCGCTGGCGCGAACGCAGGTATCATATTCGACATGAAAGACCAACTGCGACCCACAGCCTGGACACTGGCTCACATCAAGATGACAAAGGAAGAATTACAGCTGTTCAAAAACCTACCAGTCCTTTTCAACATCGAGCGAGGCTTCTTTATGGAGCCTGATGAGGACAAAGGCGAGTTGAAGATGTGTGATGAGCATCCAGGATATTGCAACTGGTCGGTCGATCCACAGAAGTAAGTCACCAAGCCCTCTCCATGGAGCCTGTTCCATAAACTGACACATAGAAGCTCTCAACGGTCGAGTATACCTTTTGCAAAGCACCAAATCCCTAAAGAGGCAGAGGAAAGAGCTCGAGGGTTTCTTCGCGAGACAATGCCACACCTCGCCGATCGACCCTTCAGCTTTGCACGTATCTGCTGGTGCGCAGACACTCCCAATCGGGCCTTCCTCATATCTAAGCACCCCGAGTATCCCAGCCTTGTGCTTGGATGTGGTGCTTCAGGCCACGGTTTCTGCCACATTCCAGTCATTGGAGGATTGTGAGTAAACCACCTTATCTGGCTGTAGTAACATGCTGACCATATACACAGTATTACAGATGCGATGGAAGACAAGCTGGATCCTCGTATGAAGCACAGCTTCCGCTGGCGTCCAGAGACTGCAGTAAATCGCAAGTGGGAAGATTTACAAGATCGATTTGGCCCAGAAGGATCGAACAGAATGATGAACTTTGGCGACATTGTGGAATGGACCAACATTCAGCCAGAGATTGCAGAAGCCAAGCTCTGAATCTGACAGTAGGTAAATTTACTTACTAATTGTATATCAAACATATACCAGTAGACGAATAAACCCGCAAACATCAGCACAACATTAACCAACGATCTGCCATCCAAATTCACACTCCTCGCTCGACTCCATCTAACCTCGACATCACTGCAATGTAACCTCACACTTGTGTCCTTTGGGCACAATCACAAAGTAATTCTCCAAATCCATACAATCAGCCGCCATACTCGGAGCAATACGCATACCCTTACACTCTCGGAAGAGGAAAGCAGTAGCATATCTCAACTCCATCCAAGCAAGATTGATGCCGAGACAGCTGTAGGCACCGGCTCCAAAAGCACAGAATGTACTTTTGGCTGCAGCGCTCTGGTGTTTGCCCTCGAACCAGCGGGTGGGGTCGAAGCTAGAATGAATGTCAGTGATTCCGGTACCAAGAACGCGTGCTACTGCACTTACACATTGGCGTTTGGCCAAAGATTTTCGTCTCTGTGCATGGTGTATGCTTGCGTGCTGACTGTTGTGCCTGGAGGAACGAAATATCCATCGAGTGTGGCGCCACCTTCGGGCACTACTCGAGGTAGACTGCCTGGTACAGCACAGTACAAACGCAGAGTCTCGTTGATGACTGCATTCAGTAGAGGCAGCTGTTCGAGATCGGCATCAGTGAAAGTGTCTCCCAACTGGGCGACTTCCTCTTCCAGAGATACACGCAGTTGAGGTCGGGATACGACTGCCCAGGAGAGGAAAGTCATGGTGTTGGCAGTCGTTCCCGAACCTGCGAAAATCAGTGATGTCGATTCTGTCTTGACGTCCATGTCATCGACGTGTGCTTCGCCCTTCTCGGCTTCCGCCATGATGGTGGCCATGAGGTTGGAGTCGTGGCCACCTTTGCGAGCGTTCTCGACGGCCTTGGTACCGTAGCCTAGAATGTATGCGCTTGAGTTGAAGGCCTCCTTGAGTGGCTTGAACGGTATGCGACTTCCGATGGCACGGAGCCATGGCATCTCGGCACCAATCCCGTTGCCAATAAGAGCTGCCTCGAGTACTCGAATATACTCGGTTTTCTAAGAACCTCGGTCAGAAAGGTACTAGTGCTTTGAACGAGTTACTGGTATACCTTGCCAAGTTCGAGCATACCAAACGACTCGCCGAAGCCAAGTATACCGACGATATCAGTAGCCATGAACGTCCACCACTTGAGCAGATCTGCAACGCCAGTCTGAGCATCGACCTTGATCTTCTCCACCGCAAGCAGAGTCTTCTCACAGACGGTAGGTTCCCAATGTTCTCTGAGATATGTCTTGCTGAAGCCGCGAGCAAAGAGCTTCCTACGCTGGCCATGTTCACGGGGGATACGCATGGTAAAGACGCTCAGCCGGGGGAAGTTGGTCAGCTTCTCGTACCATATGTCCTTGGTGAACTTGGAAGAGACGGCATGGATTTGCTTGAAAGCTGTGGGGTCTGCTACAGCAACTTCTGTTGGCGAGATGCGCACTATTGGCCCATACTTTTTGTGTAGGTCATCGATGTAGAAGATGCGGCGGCCTCCGGTGACAGCGAACTTAAGTTGCAGGTTGGTATAGCGGCTGATCCATGGACCCGGCACATTCTTGAGTGGCGATGTGAGCGAATGATACACAATCTGTCAGTAGAAAGTTAGTAGAGAGACTTTTATAGTGTATCTCAATCGTATACGCACCTGGATAACCCAGAGTAGTACTGCGAAACAGATTCCGAGCAATACAAGAGATCCTGATAGAGCAAGCATCTTGGAACAACTTGTGAAGATCGGATGCAGCTCGGTTGGCAAGAGCAGCACGGGGCTACTTATGATGCACCTCCACTCACCATATCATCCACTCACTTAACTTCCAGCCATGCGTACTTCATTGTCTTCATTGAATACATCCTTGCAAGCATGAAACCAAGAGTCCGCATGTGCATTATCGCCTTGTGCATATTGAAGTTAATCCTTCCAGCAAGTAGTATTGTGGTAGTACCAGATGGTGCGGCACGCGACCTCAGCTTGCAGAGAAGAGCAGAGGCCATTGAGGAGTTCACGATACGAGGAGCGTTCCTTACAAGGGTTCGTATCCAGCATCCTATTCTAGCACGCAAGTATCAATGTACAGACCGAGACAAGAAGTGATTAGCAAAAGGCGTCCTGAGGAAATGGTATACCCTTCGGACAGTGGGGATTTGCGAGACGGTAGGATGCATCAACAGCGGACGATCTAGGGAAGACGAGAGATACAGGATAAGGCAGCCTTGGGTCCAGATATGGATGGCATCTGGTTGGTAACCATGTCACTGGACCTGAAGCTTTCAACCAAGCAATTGATGTGCAACCTTGTTGCGGAGGTCTGAGTGGTGAAAATGTCCCGCAGCGCAGACCATCAGCTAGGCAGGGTCTTGATGTATGACCGGGGTCTGCTCGAGAGTTGTATGGGCATCTACGGCCGAGCGCGTTCGACTGATGTCGCCTGTAGTCGTACGTATGAGCACATCTTATCGTCGTGTACTACCGGGCATAAGACAGTGGGGTGGATGATCATGGCGCTCCTAAGATGTACACTGTACAGTACTGAGTAAGCCATTGATGCTGCAGTTTACTGCAAGTCCCAGGATGCGTGGTTGCGGTTTCTCGGTCGGTCTCGGTTCGACTTGCCGTTGACAGCCAGACCATGGCCCATGCCTCTTCTTCAAATGCAGTCCTCTGAACGACAACACAACCTCGTCTGCGATTGTTCATTTGCTCGGCTCTCCGCAATGAGATCTTCTTCTGCGCTGCCTTAGTCGAGTACGAGTGCGACTCTGTTCGATGGATGAGTTCTCATGACGAGGAAAGAGTATCTGCGACTTGATCATTATTCGCGTGCATGATGCTGCAAAGCCAATCCATCGTTCCTGCCATCTAGCATAAACAGAGTTGTAACGGAAGGCATGGTTTTCATCAGCTCAATCTCATGAATGCTGATACATCCTTAGCCTTCACCCATTACTCACCTGCATCAACGACCTAGCATCACCAGTAATTCTACTGATATATTACCTATCCATTGATACCAAGCACTTTCCAACATGCCCGGACCCAAGCCCATCTCACCGCAGGGCGTCCTTGGGCTCTTGTAAGGCGATATATACTCGTCTGACAGATTGCATCTCACTCACCACCACATGCAGCCGTCAGCATTCCGATATTCTCTCTTTCTTTGCCGTTACCGGAGGCCTTCTCTGGGTACTCAGATCCCGATCCATGGTCCGCAAACCCATGGAACAGAAACAGGAGAAGACGGAAAATGCAATCAAGCGCGAAAACAGCTCAATTTTTGGACGAAGCGTGGAAGAAAGGGAATCGCGCACACGGTGAAAGCTTTGTCAAAGACGTGGGCTAAAGCATTACCCTGACAACACCTCAACACTCCTAGAGTTCGGCATGACTTGGAAGAAAGTATTATGAATATGAGCGTTATGTTCGTGCGAATAAAGTGGCTGCGAAGCAAGCCTTGAAACAGCCAGTGTGGCCTGATGATGTAGAAATATGCCATGCTTTGACCCGCGGCTCCTAGTCCAGTGTAGCCATCAACGCCTTTGGTTTCCTGCAAACGCTCCAAACCAGGATATTGTGCAGAAAGGAAGATCCCCAACCCGAAAACGCCTCATTCCAAATCCCTAAGACATGCTGACGCTTATGACTCTTGTTTTAAGCCGTGCTTTTGGTAGTCCTTGGTGAGCATTTGGTCTCTGGCCTCGTAGTGGCCTTCCATTCTCCAGCGCCAGCTCTCCATATAAGGCTTGAGATCTTCAACCTCGGGCGACCACCACTTCTCGTGCAGACTTTTAACTCCACCAAGAAGGTCGTCGACCTTAGGGTAGTGGATATTCCACTCATTGCCGAGCTTAGTCCAGGGCATGTTTCCATCCTGGCGGTGGGCGTAGTTCAGCAAGTTTTGCTCGGGGAACTGAGGGTCGAAGCGGCCGTTCAGCTTGAGGAGCGACATGTAGTAGTCGAACATTTCGCGCGAAGGCTTGAAAACGAAGAAGCCAGCGTTGAGGTAGCCGACGTTGGGATAGTCGTTGTGTTCTACGGTGGGAGGGTAACCGTGGTCGCGATTCATCTCGGGTACACCAGCAAAGTTGTACTCGAGAGGCATGACTCCCTCATCGGACAATGTGGCAGCAGGCTGGGTCAGAGTGCCACGAGTCTCGACGGCCTCGTCAGCGAAGATGGCGTCCAAAGGCTCGACCAGGACAGTATCGCCGTCGAGGAAGCAGATGCGCTCAAACTGGTCCAGCTCCCACAGACGCAGCTTGGTCATGACGTCCTGCCACGTGCTGGTCTCGGTCTTGACCCAATCGGCCTTGATAAAGTCTGCGACAACCACGACCGCTCCGTCCTTACGCAATCTCTGTCTCTTTTGTTCCGACACATTCTCAGTGACCAGAACAACGAAGGGAATCGACTTGTCGCGAGATGAAGTCTCGGGCGCATGCAACAGCTGGTATGCGAGAATGCGCGTAGCGATAAAATAGTGGTCGTTCTCCCAGTTCTCGTCCTGATCGGCATTTCCGGCGAGGAAAGTTGCAAAAGCGTATTTTGCCTTTACATTGTCGAGGTCGGTAGGATGCCAGTTGTCGGACGAGAGTACCGGAGGCAGAACGTCTTTGGCTGTGTCTGTGATGGACTGGATGACGGCATCGCGGTGTTCGTCGTACGTGCGGGGCAGAGGGGTGAAGAAGATGGACAAGAAAATGACAATCGTGACGAGCGGAATCCAGAAAGTCTTTGTGTTGCGAAACGTCGGTCTACGGCGGAACTGGGGAAGCGGCGAAGGGGGAGGGAGAAGATGTTCTTGGGCCATGACGACTGTGTCCGGTATACCGGGCGAGAGCGAGCAGTTGGTAGACAGTGGGTAGGCGAGAGTGATTTCACCGCCGCAGCAGGCTACTCGAGCGAGCGTGGTTTGAACGAGTGTCGGGTCGGAAAACGAGTGACGAGTCGACGATGCGAGGGAACCAAGAGATTATTATTGTCCGAAGGAAGGAAATTGACCAACGGCTGGAAAAAGGGACCAGCCAAATTATGACATAGCGGCCAACCAACATGGGAACGTTGGTTCGCCTTGGATGTCTCAATCCTCGATACGAACCACAGCCTCTCAATCTTGGATGCTTATTGCTCAAGGCAGAGTGGCGCTCGTAGCCTCTGCCGATAAGGATGCCAGGAGTTACCTGCCAAGGTAGATACGAGCTACACAAGACCACCTCCTTGCTGACTGCAACCCCCTTCAGCGTTTCCCAGCTGAAGTCTGCACAACGCCGCTGGTCACAAAGTCCCTACAAGTGGGAGGGAGGGTGTGCATCCTCGATCCTCTCAAAGCGCCTGTGCACTGCTCTATGATGATCGCGCAACACCTATCAAACAGATTGCGATAAGCGCTGGCTTCACGAACACGTTCTCGAGTCTCCATGAAAACAAAATCGTTTTCTGTCATATCGATGTCGAGTCGAAAGCTATCAGCCTGTCACGTCTGGTCTGTCGCTTGACATGTGCGCCTCGCATGTTGTTGGCACTCTGGAAGGATCTTGAATTTATTTCTGTCCTGCTCTTGGCGACGCCGTCAAAGCTAATGCTATTTTGACTCTGTACCCTCTCACCAGAGTCCAAAGCGTTGGGCATCTCATCGAGGCTGTGAAGTTGCAAGTCTTCAGCTGAGTGAAATATTCGTGTTTTCTCATGTCCGGGCAGATACGAGGAAGACAGTTGAATCCTGATGCATCAGAAATGATACCACAAACAGCTACCAGCACTGCATGGTGCCAAGTCGGTGGCAGGAAATGTCGCCATATGACTTCACAATCCTCGCTTCCACATCCGGCTGCTCCTTTCCAATGACTGACACGGGACCACTGCAGCTTGAGGCCAGATAACTCCCTGCGGCTGCCTTCTTTGTAAGCTTGGGGGACTTGATTACAAATGAACTCGTCGAAGGAGTCGCAGAAGAGCGGTCTCCAAGATGATGACTATACGTGCTAACATGGAGCGGGGAGACTGTGTCTCCGCTTCTACTGTGAGGAGAACGCTCGAAACACACTTTCCAGAGATCGCCAGTTCGGCTTGAAAGTACAAAAGGTGCGGGGCGACCGCTTCACCTGAGACTAACAGAACCACAGCAGCATACCTTTGAAAATTTATCACAATGTCCGGATCAGGAATCAAGACCGTATTTGGCGGAGGCAGCGTCGGCTTTGGCGTCTTCAAGACTGCAGAGGAGTGCCAGGATGTCTTCAAGATTCTCAAGGAACACGGTGTCGAGACTATCGACACCGCTCAACTCTACGGCGACTCTGAGAAGATCCTCGGAGAAGCAAAGGCCGGTGACCAGTTTATCATCGACACAAAGACTCCTGGTGGTTTCGGATCACAGGCCCACACCAAGGACGAAATCATCAAGAACGGCCACGAAAGCTCGAAGAAGCTTGGAGCTCTCGATGTCTTCTATATCCACGCACCATCCAAGAGTGAACCCAATGGCGACGTCCTCTCGGCAGTGAACGAGCTCTACAAAGCTGGCATCTTCAAGAGACTCGGCCTTTCCAACTTTTTAGCTAGTGACGTCCAGGCTGTTTACGAATACTGCGAGAAGAACGACTTTGTGAAACCCTCGGTCTATCAAGGCAACTATTCACCAGTAGCTCGTCGCCAGGACACCGAACTCCTGCCCACCCTCCGCAAGCTTGGCATCTCTTTCTACGCCTACAGTCCATTGGCCGGCGGCTTCCTCACCAAAACAAAGCAAGATGTCCTCGATGGCAAGGGCAGATTCTCCAAGGAAGGAATTGGCGCTCTCTACAGCGGCATGTACGCCAAACCCGAGCTCCTAGAATCTCTCACAGAATGGGAGAAGATCGCCCGCGACGCAGATATCTCGCGTGCTGAGTTGGCATACCGCTGGGTCAAGTACAACTCTGCTTTGAAGGCCGAGCATGGCGATGGAATCATTGTTGGCACAAGCAGCCTCAAGCAGTTGAAACAGACGCTGGAGGGTCTTGATCGTGGACCGTTGCCTGCTCAGGTTGTTGAGAAGATTGATGCTCTGTGGGAAACCATCAAACATGTTGCACCGCTCGACAACTATGCTGATGGTGTTGGAAAGACCAAGTAGGCAGATAGAGCTTAGCGGGTGCTCATGATTAATATCACGTTTATACCATATTATCAGAAGCCAACACCAGTGAAGCTCATGGTCGTAATAATCTCTCATGGCCGAAGCGCAGTACAAACATCGCCTGACCGCAGACCAAGATCAATCACGTCTGGACACGTAGCTGTACTTGAGTTCTTGCAACGATCCAGATGGCCGAGTGAACGACTTCGATGTGTGTTGATAGTCTCTGTCTTACCTCGAAACTGAGATTCTCATGTCTTGCTTGTAAGTCGTCACAAGAGATAGGTGATTATCTAAATTTATACTGGCTTTCACACATACCAGGACATCATCACCGCATCGGATACATTGTCCACATATACAGCATTGCATCTTTGCTCTCTTTCATATGAATCTTGTAAGGGTACATAGTCAGCAGCGGGTGATTACGCTTCATTCGTTGGCTTAGCCGATGATGAAGACGAAAATCCCTGGCCATTTCCGACTCTCGGATTTTGACGCAATGCAACAAGTCGATACTCGCAGTAGTCAAATCTAGCACCAACGCAACTTACAGACAAAAAAATGATATATACATAAACAAGTTTTCGCTATGATATCGCAAGTCAAAGGTAACCATTTCTTAGTGGTGGACACACCCTGTCTCTGTTTCGCCAAGGCCATCATCGGGTAGAAAATATCTGTACTGGAGGCGGCCCGCCACTCGCTAGCCACTGATTAGTCGATGTAGCCCTCAGACATGATGAGCTAGGGCTATCCGTTCCGTGTCTTGCTGCGAAGATTCGATGGTGATGCACTGGAACAAGATCAAGCAAGAATATTTGCACATAAGCATGCTAAGGATTGCTTAGCGATGATGGGATCGGCGTTTTCAACGGGCGAGAGGTTGTCATGTTTATTTTTGTCCAGGAACAACCTCTTTGAGGATTGTTGCAATCGGTTGCGTCCTGAAGTGCAGGAGCGACTCTCAGCTGGTCGATGGCTGGTTTGTCGAAGTGCAAGTAGAAATCTAAGGGTCGGACCGACAGGAAAGAAGCAGAAGCAGGATGTATCAGCGCGCAGAGGGCTGGCAAGACACGGGACGCCAGCGCTTGCGTGTTATCGAAAATCAGGATCAACAAGGAATCCACACCCCTCCGGTCTCGACACCAATGAGAAATGTGGCATGGCTTGGAGTCACGGTACACGGCGACTTTGATCACCGTCTGCGCGCTCAACACAGGCAGATGAAAAAGCGGGCCCCCGGAGTAGTGCTGAACAATACGATATTCATCAAAGGGCTGGCTCTGTTTCAACTTTGAGTGATACTCGCGCACTTCGTCATCACAACACCTTGATCTCGTTCGCTCGCTGTCACGAATCTCGAAGGCTGGTCTTACTGAACCGCCAGTCCGACGCCACCACTTTTCGCGTTTCGCTCGATTTTTCCGTGACACTACTCTCGCTTTTGGTTCCTCTCGTTGTTCACACCGTTGCCCTTTCCAAACACTTGCATTGTCGCGAACCACAGAGATGAAACCGATATCTTCGTCATGGCTTGTCAACGCGTTGTGTTTGACAGCACAGTTTGGGTCGGCACTACAACTCGATGTCAGTAGTCCGGGTAAGATTGTAGCAGTACCTTGACACAAGGTCACCAAAGGCTGATGCCATACAGACTCGATCAGGTCAACGGCTAGCGTGGTCGCATATGACTTGATGTCGTACTATACCGGCAATCGCACAGGAGATGTTCCAGGAAATCTACCAGCCCCGTACTACTGGTGGGAAGCGGGCGCCATGTTTGGCGAGATGATCGAATACTGGTACTACACTGGTGACACGACATACAACGACGAAGTCAAGGCCGCTCTGCTGCACCAAGTTGGAGACGACAAGGACTATATGCCCAGAAATCAGTCAAAGTCATTAGTATGCATTCTCAAAGAGCAGTGCTACACCACTTTGTCACAGGATGGCTGATACGATAATGAACAGGGTAACGATGATCAAGTCTTCTGGGCATTCAGTGCCATGTCGGCGGCCGAACTGAAATTCGAGGACCCTGGAGCCGGTCAGCCATCGTGGCTCGCACTTGCACAGGCTGTATTCAACGAGCAAGCATCAAGATGGGACGCAGGAACCTGTGGCGGAGGACTGCGCTGGCAGATCTTTACCTTCAATGCTGGATACGACTACAAGAACGCCGTCTCAAACGGTGGCTTCTTCCAGTTGGCTGCACGCCTGGCCCGTTACACGCAAAACGAAACATACGTCGACTGGGCAGACAAGATGTGGGAGTGGTACGCCGGAACACCTCTACTTGAGATCGACACATGGCAGGTCAACGACGGATCCAGTACGCAGAAGAATTGCTCGGATGCCAGTCAGCTGCAGTGGACATACAACTATGGTGTTTTCATCGCCGGAAACGCATATCTCTACAATTACGTGAGTCGTCCCGCACGATATGCAAGATGCCATACTAACATGATATCAGACTGGTGACGCAAAGTACATGGATCGCATCGATGGTCTTCTTAACGCCACACTAGCACGGTTCTTCCCTCAGAATATGGGAGGAGTCATGGTTGAGGTTACGTGTGAGCCCCTGGGCAATTGCAACAACGACCAGCCGGCGTTCAAGGCGTTCCTCACTCGATGGCTTGCAGTGACAGCACAACTGGTTCCAGAGCTGTACGAGCGCATCTTCACGTACTTGCGCAAGTCGGCTGCCGGAGCGGCAGGACAGTGTTCAGGAGGCGAACTTGGGAGGCATTGCGGCCGTGAGTGGAACACGACGACGTGGGATGGCAGATCAGGAGTGGGCGAACAAATGTCTGCTCTCGCAGTCATTCAAGCCATGATGATGGATACGACGGATCTAGCTGCGCCTGTGGGAGCAACAACTGGAGGAACAAGTCAAGGAAACCCAAGTGCAGGCACAGGGACCAGTGGTACGACGGGTAGCAATGGTATGCCGGCGGTGAATCGAGACAAGATCACAACTGGTGACAAGGCTGGAGCTGGCATACTGACAGCAATAGCACTGCTACTCACGATAGTCACTGGAGGAAGTTTGGTTCTTGAATAAGTGTTGTTGCTGGATAGCATGGCGTAGATGGTCAAGAAACGACCAGGAATTGGATAGACATACGACTGGCTCCAGGATGGAATGCACAGCACAGATGATGAAAACGACATGACTTCCTCTTTCTAAACTTGTATCTGTGTGTATGAATGGTAGTTGACAAAATTGAGTTCATGATGGTGTCTGGATAGAGCTGACACGTGATTGGTCAATAGCGTGGGCGGCGTCGCTGGAGTCGAGGATTATTCGAACGAGCCTCGATTGTTCGACATATCACACACACAACCACAAGATGCCGCCACGACTCAATTTCCTCTCACGGGCATCGCTATGCCGGCCCACAGCACCTCACGCAAGCGTCGCCTCGCTGCTGCAACCATTCCTGCGCAGCGCCCAACAGCCCGCCCAACAGAGAAACGCCTCGATTCTTTCATCGCTCTCGGACAACTCGGGCGCCTACAACAAGAAGATCAGAAGAGGAAGAGGTCCTTCGTCCGGCAAGGGCAAGACATCAGGACGCGGCCACAAGGGTCAGAAGGCTCATGGAAAGGTCCCGCGCAACTTCAATGGTGGTCAAACGCCTGAGGAGGTCGTGCATGGTGTCAGAGGTTTCGAGAACCAGTGCGTTTTGCTTCTCTGTTGCTGTGACCATATGAACTACATGGCTGATACGTGCTGTTCTCAGACACTCGATCGAAATGACACCGCTGAATGTCAACCGACTCCAAGCCTGGATCGACGCAGGCCGTCTGAATCCAAACGAACCCATCACACTCAAGGAACTCGAAAGCTCACGCTGCGTCCACGGCATCAAAGACGGCATCAAGCTACTCGCCCGCGGCTCCGACAAACTCACCACTCCTGTCGAAATCGTCGTCTCCCGCGCCAGTGCCTCGGCCATTGCTGCCGTCGAGGCCGCCGGCGGAAAGCTCATCACTCGCTACTACACCAAACCCTCCATCAGGCGCGTTCTCAAGGGTGACACCGATCCAATCTATAGCATCCAAAGCGCTGCCCCTCCCACACCCCGCCCGGACTTCAAGTACAGGCTTCCCGACCCGGCCAGCAGAAAGGACATTGAGTACTACAGAGACCCTGCGCACAGAGGTTACTTGAGCCATTTGTTGCAGGAGGGCCAGGGTCCTAGTTTGTTCTTCAAGACTCCTGGCCAAGGCCGTGTCGGCGACCACAACAAGAAGGCTGCGGCAAAGGGCGGTGCCAAGGGTGCCTCCAAGGGCGAGAACAGGGTTTGGTGATTTGTGTAATACAGTTACAAAACGAGGGATGCCAATTGCTTCCCGTGTATCAAATACATTTTCTTCTTCATCTTTACGTTTCCTGGGGAAGGTGTCGTGTTTGCTTGAAAAGCAAGATGGCTTTTGAGTAGGTGGAACGACAAGAGATTCTGCAGTGACAGCCTCCTGTGCAGATACTCTGATGCTTACACATATTTCTTTCTGTCCATGTTTCCTTCTGTCTGTACAACTTGATGAACTGCGTGTCACCGTAACCATGTTGTATGGGTCAGCGAAAGTAGAAAATCAAGGATCAACAGAAATCAAGAACTCTTCCCTGTACATGAACGAAAAACACAAGGTTAACATGCAAGTAAACCCCCTTGTCACTTTGCTTGATGTTTTTTTCCCCGTCCCTATTTTACTTCTGCAACAAAGTCAAGGGAAACACGCTACAAAGTCTGAAGTCACAGCCGGATTTGGTGCGTTAGACTTGCAGACTTTGCTTGTTTTTTGGAGCTTTGGTGACAATAAACACCCTATTTGCCGTTTGACCCTTGGGTTTTTTTTACAGACGTGATAGATGCGTGTGCAATCTTCTCGGACGGCTGTAAATCACGTCCCGAGGAGCAACGAGAGCCCATCGGTCGCTTACAGCACAAACGAACAAGTTTGCGCTGAGAGAAATATGCGCTTGAGTGCATTGATTGGCATGCAGAGACAGCAGCTGAACGGGAATAAGATGGCTGGCTGGCTGGCTGCGCTGACTGCAGGCCCGAGGTCTTGGACCCAACAAGTTTTTTTTTTCTTATGCTCGTGTACGCAGTAGGGGTGCGGTTTTGGATGAATTGTAGAGAGAAGGCAAAGAAAAGGATACCTGCAGGAAAAGCGACCTGACCTACATTTCTACATGCTTACGCACACACCGCTCAGAAGTGACTCCGAAGGGTTGGGAAGGACTAGATACGGAAGAGACCAGAAGAGCCTGCAGTAGCCTTGCTTGCTAACTTGCTTGCCGCTGACCATCTTTGACCTTTTCGCCTGCTTTTCACGGCTGGTGTCTTTCTAGTCGTATGTGTGTCAGTGTGACCACTGCAGACAAGAACCTCATCAAATCAGTAGTGTGGCATGAGCTAGAGGTGGATTTACTCTAGGATGTCGGTTGGGGTGCGTCAATGGACGTGGCTCACTTGCGTCAAAACGAGTCGGGGCTCATCTGACTTGCAATATAGGACAAGAATGCCGCCGCGTAAGGTAGAGTAGGGTTTAGTTATTGTGCAAAAAAGAGGATTCAGAGGCGGTTTGATGATGTGTTCTCTTGCGCCTGCCTCTGTTGGAGAGAGAGATCAAAAATCCATCTACAGGGAGGGCATCACGAGACTTGTTCATGCACAGATGTTGGAATCTAGACGACAGCGGGTTGTTATCGAATCGTCGTTTTCTCCACCCTTTTGTGGAATGCATGCTTTCAAAGCTGCAGTTCGTCCTCGGCAGCAAATGATCGATTTTTCTTTCCGCTGAGCTGGTGATTGCGTCTGCCTTGTGGATGACGTGTGTGCGTGTACAATCTTGGAACACTATGCGTCACCTGCGTGTGCCTTGTCGTTCCATCTGTTGCTGCACATCTCCACTCTGCAAAGCCCGCATATCGAACCATTTCATGAAAGGAAAGGGAAAAAAAACCACCCGTTGTTCGTTTGCCGAAGAGCAAAGAAACGCCATCTCGCTTGTTTTAGCTTTCCAAGATCTTTGAACAGTCGATCCTTTTCTTTAAGTGCATACTTTTTGTCAACGTGAATGGGAACGCCCGTCTTTCTTTTCAGCCCTCACCAGAATTCTAACGGAACGATTATTTTTGCTTGTTTCTAGGAGCAGGAATCCGAGGATCGCTTTCGAGAGACGATGTGGTCATCCGCTTGCAGGGCTCGAGAAGTAACTTTAACGCCTCACTCGTGATACTTGGTGCTTTGGTGCCAAATGCCAAAATGACACTTTCCAGAAATGCGAACCAACTTTCCACAGCTTGCGGCTGTTGATCATACAAGGATTGGCGAACCGAGGATGTGTGGTATGTAAAAGGACAGCGAAGCCACGATTCGCAGACATCTGAGTTGTGGCGGGCGCATGATGCGTCCATTCGGTTCGTTGGTTTTCTTTTCTTTGATACAGGATAAATCTCCTAAGGCATATCGCATATCGCAGCCATCAGACCCAGTCAGCCGGGTTGCGGGAAGGCGAAAGGCATGTTTCGCAGAGTTTCTATTGAGCATGGGTGACGGACGAGCCTTGGGAGGCTCGGTCACGGAGCTATGCTGCCTACCGGACCCCGGTTGCTCGCATGTCCGCTGGAAGCACTGAAAAAGAGCCCCTTCCATAACAGCCGCCTGCCTTGTGTTGTTGATGGTATTTTGACTTTTGACCGCTACAAGCAAGGGGGCTCTTACCTTGCGCGCCGGCGTCCGCCGCCTGGAGCTGGCCTGCTGTTGGAATCAGACTGATGAGACATGCGCGAGGGTTTGAGATTTGAAAGCAAACAGAGTTAACTGCTCCACAGGCATGCCGTGGAGAGGAAATGTGGCTGGGCCTGTTCGTTGATCTTGCGGTGATGCCGGCGGGTCGGCCGACCGCTTTCGGGTCTGCCACCTGAAGGTGCAAGCAGAGTCAAAGGTCCGTTGTGGCATAACTTCTAATTCGGATGCCTGAGTCCTTGACCTTTCTCCTTTCGTATTCGATTTTGTGTTTCTCACCGAGATCCGATGATCAATATTTCAATTACCTGGCTCAGCTGGCTGCGCTGGCTTCTCGTACGAGCCGCTTTTTCACGCTAAACGGAAATCCCAAAAGTCGTTTTCGTAAATCCTCTTATTCGCAAACACTTGTCAGCTGTGGACCACGCGTGCAAAGATGATCATTTATTGGCATATCATCGCGGGATCCACACCTTTAGGTACGAACAAACGATGTCAAAGTTTTTTTTGCTTGTCGGTTTCTGTGCCTCCACTATCGCGGCACGCAAGGGTAAACAACGATAGGCAAAGGTGGAGAGAGCAATAAAAATAATAAAAATATGCAGGAATGGAGCATGTCGTGTCGTGTCGCTGATTACTAGTCCACATGATCTCGGACTGAAGGAGAAAGGATAAGCGGCGGGTAGCTAAAACGCAGGCGAAGACAGCAGAGAAAAAAGGCCTAGACAAGAGTACGAACTCCCCATGCTCTCTTGAAAAGAATGCACTAGCGAAGAGCGAACGAGAAACGGGCAGCGACAAGCGTTGATTGGGTTTGTGTGTATGGACGACTCGCGTCCGTCACTCGGGATGTGATGGAGGTGGATGAAGCAAGATTTCAGGATTCTTTGGTGAGTGACTGTTTTGCCTTTTGGGCTCCTTGTCTGGTGCGCTCCACCAACGACTTCTCCGTCGAACCCGTCCCGCTGCGCTCGCCCGTGCGGTGTCTCTGCTTCCCTTCAGATGAGTCGTAAGGAGTCGTTCAGCGGGAAGGATGTTGGATGGTCAAACACAGGAGACCGGCGGTTATGCGAGCAGAGTAAGAAAAGATTGTCATCACGAGGCTGCAAGCAAAACAGAAGATCGAGAATCGATTCGTCCACGGTCCGCATCTTTTGCTCCGTAACGGCTGCACTTTTGAAGCACCAGCTGTTCGCTCCTCTTTTGATGACGAATTAGATGATGTAGATACCTCCTTGTTGCCGCATCTGATCTGACTTTTCCACACCCTAACCACAGTACGAAACTAGGAGGTCGCATCATGCATACAACGAGAATAGCTAGAAGCACAGGCTGTCACTCTGAAGCACCTTCTCACCCAACGTCCAACCCACATCCGGGAAAAGCATGTACGGTAGGTCATCAAACGACTCGCCAAGATGATGATGCGAACGCGTTTCGCGAAATGGCGTCTCGTCCCGATTCAATCAAACTTACTCATTTGGAATAGCGCCCCTGACCCCACACATGAGTCCACCACGATGCCCACCCAAGGCTGAGTGAGACCTGTGCTTTTCGCTAGCCCTCGGATATACGGTCTCGGGGCTCGCTCATAATCATTGCTCATGAATCGCAATATCAAAGTCCTCGTTACTCGACACCAGGCATGGGGACGCGAAACGGGCGGCATGGTCCATGGTTGTTGTTATCATCTTGTTTTTGATGATGTGGTCCCGCTCCGCCTGCGTGGCTTATTCGCAGACAAGGACAATCGTGTCAGCTGCTGTCTCGGACATTCCACCGAGTGGGTACTGGACAAGCATGTTGTAACAACCGTACCCTGTACTGCTGATGGTTACTGTGCAAATACACTACCTGCAACGACTCCCGGTGCACCATCCATCGCTCAAACATGCAACTCAAGGTCGGGCAGCGGTGACGATCCAGCAACATGGTCGGACATGCCTTTGATTAGTCTAGCCACCATCATGGCTGATGTGGCCACCAGTTGTGACTCGCAAACAAGTGGCAACGGCTTTCTGATGTTAGAGCATGCTGATCATGGTATTGAAGTCCCAAAGGCGGTCACGCAAGGCGCCTAAAGTTTTTCGACATGCCGCGCGTGTGTGCGATGCTTGAAAGAGACCGATAGCCAAGGGTGCATTCTAGCGACGTGATGCAGTCCTTGCAAGGGCCAAGCGACCGTTCAACAATTCTCAGGCCAGCTGATGGATGCTAAGACATGATAATGCGACGCCCTCGGGATGGAACACGGTCAACGATAAATGGTTTTTGACTCGTCACCGCTTAATAGGCTTCGTGTATCGCGTTTGAGCAGCATGCTTGGTAAGGCAGATGAGCATTGAGGTAAAGGTGTGGTTCCGGGAGATGAATCCAGATTCCTCGCTTGCTTGGGTAAGGCAATGATTAGCATGACCAAGCCCTGGCGTGTGGTACAGCCAACGAACGGTTTTAAGAAAAGTAGAATTGTAATAGTCGCCGTGCTGTGCCCATCAGACATCTGCACCAAGCGTGACAAGACAAAGATAGCGTTCGCTTGCTGGAAGCACTGTGCACCAGGTAAAGAAAGCCAATCGAGGCGACCGCGACGAGCGACGGCTCACGGCAGTCACGGATGGACAAGCAAGAGCTGTAAATCAACCATGCTACGGGGTGCCACTCCCTCGGCTTTAGGAGACGGATTCCAGAACAAGATGATGTTGCTGCTTACTCGAGACCTTCCTTTTTTTCAAATTAGACATGGTGGGTCGTGATTAAAAGAAAGGGCGGAAGTTTAACGCCGACGGCAATAGTCATTTAGGGGAGGAACGCCCGTAGTGTCATCGGCATGATACCTATTAAATCGTCAAGGCATGAGGTGCATAACACGCTGGCCGGGCAAGTCGGATATCGTATCGCTTGTCAGTCGCCCAGGCTGCGTGTGGGTCAATTGTATGCAATACGACGGAGCGCGGGGTGAATTGTGAGATACGGACTGGTCCGATTAAATTAGCTCGCCAGACGGCACAGCAGTTTGGGAGTCTTTGAGACTTGAGTATAATCTTGCTGGATGTTGCGCAGGTGGCACCAAGACCGTGTGAGACGGACGGAGCCAGCCAAGCGTCGTCTCTGGCCTGCGTCGCCAGTGCAGCTAACGCAACGATGGCTTGGGATCCGTGATTCTTTCCCTTGCAAGGTTTTTTTCTTCTGTCAGAGGAATTTTTTGATTGCTATTTGCCGGCCCTTTTGTGGCTGCCAAGGTTGGTGTGTCGGTTTAACGAATCAAAGGCAGTGCAAATGTGCCCTTGTCTTTGATCATGATAGGCAGAAGATGCTCGAGCCGCACAAGCCGCGGAGGTCATGCACACTCGTGTTCGAGCATATACGCCGCCGATTCCTGTATGGATCGGTCGGGCGAAGGATTGGAGGTGACTACTGATAAGTTGTTGCATACATGGTTTTATCCTTGAAGTTAATTTTGACGCGTGAGCGGCGGGACCTGGCACAGCCAATACTTGATCCAAATTATCGATGATGGGGGATGGATGCGTTCGTTACGTTGGGTTGCTTGGTCAGGCCGACATCCGTCGGGGCGCGTCGATTCGCTCGCAGCTCGCAACAGGCAGGAGACAAGCAGCAGCCACCGACACCAACTCCCGCAAGGAGCAGCGGCATGGAGCATGGAGCATGGGGCATGGGTGTGATGAATAACGGGAGGCATCGTATCACAATCATCTCTCGTGCTGCAAGAGCTTGCGAGGGATTCGTGTCGGTCGGGCCGGGCGCGGGCTGAGGGATGGATCATGGACTGTGACGGATAGCAGGATTACAGCGTGTGCAAATGACAAACTCTCTGCGCACGCAGGGGCTATGCTATCTATGCTGCTGGGTCGCTCGTGGCAGCGGGCGCGCGTGTGTGGACGAGACACAGCGATGATACAGTAGCCAGGTATAGGCGGCCTAATGCGGACTGCCCTGGAATGGGAGGGCACGCAGAGCTTCGCCGAGGGGCCCTTTTGGCCTTTGGCCCCGGCAGCTTTGGCTTGATGAAATGCTGGCCAATAATACAGTATCGGGCGAGCTAGCAGTGCTTGGACCGCAGTTGATGTCAACGTTTTGGCCTGACTGACCCTCTTTTTCCCTTTCGCATCTGCGCCTCTTTGCGGTCAAGGTCTTGGGTCCATGTCTGGAACCTACCGACCACTGATTCACACTTCACGCCGGGCAATCCTCACGAACGTTGTGGTTTGCCAGCGCCGCCGGGCTTTCCGCCATGATCATCGGAAGGCTCTTCGTTATTGCTGGCTGCCTGCGTGCATCCGTAATGTACCCTGTGCTGCTGGTGCTTGACGAGCTGGCCTCCACCAACTCCGCACTGTCATAGCCATCATGGAATAGCCTTTGCCTTGGTCTGACTTGTCGTCGTCGTCTTGCCAGATCTGCCGTCCGCTGTTGCTGTCATACCTTTTGCTCGCTCTACATACCTGACCTCTACTCACAACTCATCTCTCCATCAAGCTCCTTGCTTGACTGCCCACACCTCCCCCACCTGGATAGCACGAGCCTCGACTCTGCCTTGTTGTCAAGAACCTAACCCTGGGCGATGCAATAATTCTTTTGCCTTGACCTGATCTCGCTCCCGCTCTCGCCCTCTAACTGACACGAATCTGCTCATCTCCATCACGCCTTCCTGTCTACCTCATGCTGTCCATGTATCCGCCGCCAGGCATCTACTTCCGCAACCCTTTTGTCGACTCATCGACCTCGACATCTCAGTCCTTCAGCCACTCACATCACAAGCTCCCTCTCGACATTCAGTCTCCTGCTGGCTCGGCTCAGGTCACCTTCTCGTCGACGAAGCCTCTCACTCCACCACCGGATATGAACAGTGTTGCTGCCCATGTGCAGCCCCAGCACAGCAGCTACTATGGACAGACACCGTCTGCCGTCCCTATCAAGTACGAGCACCGCAAATACGACCAGCCTACCTACGACCAAAACCAGACCCAGAATCAAGTGCAACTGCCGAAGCCTGAAGTGAGCGCCGCAAGACCACCCAGTCCAGTCTACCAACCACACCCTGTGCACTTTATCGACCCTCCGAACTCGAAGCGGGACTCGCATATGAGCGCGATCGCACCCTCACTACAGATTCCACGATCAGTGAACAATAGCCAAGGAAGCATCGCTGAGCTGGCAGCACAGGTTAGCAATTATGTACTACTCGAGCATGTCAACCCGCCACTGACTGAGACCAGATCACATGCTTATTCTGGTTCGAGAGCTCGAGCACATTGGACCGGGCTGACGACCCTGCAACGACGTACAATGTGCAATCACTGGTACCCGAGGCAATCCCTACGACAGGCTTCCGCAAGTGGGTGACTACCATTCTCTCGACCACCCAAGTCACACAGAACGTCATCATCCTCGCCCTCCTGTTTGTTTACCGCCTCAAGACACTTAATCCGAGTGTCAAAGGAAAGCCTGGTAGCGAGTATCGTCTGCTCACGGTAGCACTCATGCTCGGTAACAAGTTTTTGGACGATAACACATACACAAACAAGACATGGGCCGAGGTTTCAGGCATCTCGGTCGCCGAAGTGCACATCATGGAAGTCGAGTTCTTGAGCAACATGAAATACGCTCTGTTCACATCGGCTGAAGAGTGGACTCAGTGGCAGAACAGGCTGGGCCGTTTTGCCAGCTTCTTCGACCGCGCCTCGAGACCCATGCCTCAACTACCACACACTCTCCCATCGCCGCCTGTCTCGAATCACGCCTCGCCTCCATACTACGGTGCTGGTCCCCCCGTCACTCAATCGTTCCCTCAGTACCCATCCTCCCTCGGCCCGCTCCCTGATCTGGCATCGCAAATTTCACGGAAGAGAAGCCTCGATAGCCACACCGAACCTCCGGCCAAGAGGATTGCTCCGGCTTATCCTCCCCCTACCCAAACCCTGTCACAATACGTTCCGAGACCCACTCTTCCAAGCCTGCCTCTTCCTCAGCCTTCACAGCATCTGCCACTACACTTGCCTCAGCTACCTCCTCTCAAGTACTCGCAACGCTCCGTGAACAACGTTACTCAGCCTCCTGCCTCGTGGACCGCAGCAACATCTATGCCGGCCGCCGTCTCGCACGCTTCCACGCCTCTCGCCATGGCTTCGGTTCCTCATTCTGTTGCCCAATCAAGACACCAGAGTCCCTTCCCCACTTCCGCCGCCGGCTCTCCCACCGACGGTCAGTATCAACCTGCAGGTCAGGCCCACATGTCTCAGTTGTCGCCGTCCTACTTCTTGGCCCAGCGTAATAGTCCTTACCGTCCAGTCCGCGGTGTCTCAACCCTGCTAGTCCCGCCTCCATCTCGCGCCATGCAACAGCCCCAGAATGTTCAGCGCGAGCAGATGCATTATCAGCCTCTTGGACGCCCTCAGGAGCGCCAACAAGGTCGTTTGCCCTATATCGAAAGTCAGTGGTTCGAAGGAGACCCTTCGTCTACCAATCAGTGGTATTCGCAAGCTCAGCAACAGCAGCATCTTCCTCCTACCTCCTTCTACAACAGGGCTTAGTTCGCACCTGGTGGTTGAATTCGAGGCTGGGTTGAAGCATCATTTCAATTCTTCTGTACCATATTCCTCGGGATGGCCAATTCATGGTCTCTCATACTCCTTTATTTCGTTGTTCTTCTGTTACGGCTCACGCATTGCATCGCATCTGCATCCATTCCCGGCGTTCTAATCCTTCCCTGTTTTCTTTCTTCTGTTTTTGTGTTTGGTTGATTCAAATGCCTATGTACAAGGGCTGTTCCACAGAAAGCGAGCGATCATCACAAACGGCGTTTTTCTCCTCCGTTATCTTTTTTCCAAGGGCACAATACCACTTTTCCTTGTTTCTCGCTGCTCGCCATCAGTGTATCGACTTTCCCCTCAGTCGTAGCTTCCTCTATTTTTCGGCATGCAAGATCCTGCTAGAGAGGACTTGCCATAGAATGATGAGACAAAAATCCACTTTTCAATCTGAACTCGGTTATTCTCCCAAGTTTCTATTTGTTTCTAGGTAATCCTCGGTTGTAATGTGACTGTTCCTTCCTCGTATGGAGAAAAAAAAACTTTCCAGAGAAACGACAGAATGGATACCAAAGAGATCCATTTTCCATCAATCTGAAGTTGATAAAAAAAATTATTTTGTTCTCATTATCTGCTTGTGATGACCGTCTGTGCTGTTTATTTCTTTCGTCTGTGCCTTCCTGAATTCTCTCCTTTGTATTTTTCTTCGACGGATGGATATTCGGTGGCTCGTGTTTTTTTTTTTTTCATCATGGTGCTCACGGTGATGGCATGATTGTCTGTTGGCTTTAGGCATGATGACTTGAACATCTGATGCTTTCTACTTGCCAGCCGAAGTGATACACACATCGGTCCATAATACACATCGGTCCATAGCAAACCTTTGCTTGCTTGTGTTTAAAAAGCATGGTTGGTCTAATGGTGTCGCGTGAAGCGTCTGCAGAAATCCTCATTGGTTAAAAGGTCCAATGTGCCAAAGCGGCCGCCACCATGGTCATTGGTACTCGAGGCTGATGCTTGATATCCCTCGAGTACCTTTAGTGCATGCAAGCCAGTTAAAAGGAGTCACAGAGGACGAATCAGAAGAGAACAACGATAAAGGACTTCAAGTATAAATGTTGATGGGACAACCCTGATCTCGATGCCTCTCTATTGCACTTTCAACATCGAGATGAGCTGCACAAAGAACGATTGAACTTGAGCTTGGGCCAGCATGAACAATACACAGAGCTAATTGATTACGATATTACAAAGTGGTATCTTGGAAATCTGATCAAGCATGTCCTTATCCCGACACGTGTCCCCCTATGCTATCATAACCTCATTACAAGCGCATAGGTTGCATCACATTACTTGAGCGCTATCATTCCAAGCACTCGACTCGAATCCAGTCAAAAAATGGCCGGGTCGCATGGAACTCAACAAGTTGTGGATCATTCCATCGTTCCTGATGCCGTCAATCCGTTGCCAGCTGCCGCGTAGCGACTCTTCAGGACCATTAGAGACATCTCGAATGCTGAGATCGTCAGTCTCTCGTTGATGTTGTTCCTGCCCCTGCCAGAGAAAGCAGCAACCCGGACTGAACTGGTCAGAGCTCTTGAATGGCCTTCTGACCAGTTCGTTGAGGTCGCGAGCCGTCTTGATCACATCCTGACCAAAGTCGAGTTGTCCGGTCGCTGTTGAATATAGTGTAGCATAGAAACGGCTCAAAGTCGAATGAAACTGACCAGCAGCTACATCCTTCTCGCCACAGACGCTCAGGAAGTCGAGGCAGCCAAGTGCAAGATGTAGCTCGTCCTCTAGCTTGCCTACCGATCGACCTCCCGTATGCTGCTCGTAGAGCATCTCCGCCACATGATGGAGTATTAGTACACAGCTAGAATAAGCTTGGAATCTGCTCGTTTGTCAGTACTGCTTCAAAAAGTAGTTCATATCTCGGCATTTCATAAACTCACATGCAGATCCAACATCTTTTAACGATGCCACCTTCAGCGTAAATGCGTCTAAATAATCTGGCAGATTCTCTAGCAGCAAAGTTTGCCTGGACTATCAAGTCGTTGACTACGGTTTCGTCTCCGACAAGCAAGTTGCTTTGCTCATGCATACTCTGGAGAACCCGTCGCAGAAGCATGATCTGCGCTCCGAAGTAGAGAAAGTTGACGTAGTAAATGGTCCTCCGTAGCTCGAAAGATATATCAGGGTTGTTGTCTAGTTCGGGTAGGCGCATCTCGGGCGGTAGATTTTTATGCCAGTATTGTAACTCGTGGGTGATGGTCTCGACCGTAAGGGCGCTCAGGTCTTTGAATTGCAGACTAAGCCGTAGCATGTCGAACTTTATGACGGCGATCTTGATCATTTCGGTCGTGACCTTCTCCTCGAGATTGACTTCGCCTCCTGTCTCTAAGTTCCTAAGGTCCATGCTGTCTTTTGGTAGCTTCAGTCCCGAGACGTAGCCGAGCGTCGAGGACAACCAGGTTTCGAGAAATATCAGAACTCTCCATACTTTTCGTCGTTCCATCCACTGACTGCGCTCCATATTAGATGGACAAACCTGTGTGATTGGAGGACGTGATAGAAGACTCAGCCCCATTTCTGCAAAAGCCCTGTTAGGAGAAGCACAAGAACACGATCGAAGTTATTGTCAACTCACCCACGAACGTCATAGCAACCTTTTGCTTGTTCATGATATTGAACATACCAAGCATGACACAGACCTTTGCCGCTCGGGTGGTATCGACAGTGACGACATCTTCCAAGAGATGCTTCGCGACACCGTACAAGTTCTGTTCAGTTCCTTCTGGAAGGGATTCCTTGATGTATTGAGAACCGAGAGCTGCTACGGCACAGAGTTCGCAAGCAGCCAAGCGCAGTGCTTGCTTATCAGCCTGACCTGCTAGGATGTGAAATTGTGCCTCAGTGTGGCCGCGTGAAAAGACATGGAACAGCTTGCCGGACTCATTGTAGAAAGCATCGATACATCTGTGAAGAGCATCGGTACTTGGCAGAGGTCGGTCAAAGTCAGAAAATGGTTGGTAGGGCGTCTCGACCAAAGAAGTATCGTCGTCCAGGGTGAAGGAGGGAAGAGATTTATGATTAGTGTTTGTACTCCGAGAACGTGAAGTATGCGGCGTCTGGGCTGTGTCGGAATTGGAGGGAGGCGATGGGCCGGATGAGATGGACGAGGTAGAATTTCGGTGATGTAGCGAGTGAGTAGGGCCATCAGACCCGGGCAAAATCAGGGTAGAAAGCAAGTGATCAGCAGCAGCAAGACCATCATCCGAAGTGCGGAGATGACGGAGCATGTCCTGGGCTTGAGAGGCAGAGGCGGAGCGCAGAGCGTCGATGAACTTTTGCATGCGATCCGACTCTGTTACAAGAGAAGCGTTTTTCCTCTTGAGGGCAGTGAAGCGAGTCTCGCCGGGATTTACAGGATATTCGCAAGAGTCAATACCCTTTGAGATGCAGCGTTGACAGCTCGGGCGCATGCCGTCGCACTGTCCAAATTCAGCATCAACGTGTTTGGCTGCGGGCATATGGCATTCTGCAAACAGCATATGGCAATGAGAATACCTTCAATTTTCTCAAGCGACATTCGCGGCAAGCGGCGTTGATGGTGCCACGCCGTGATCTGGTCGACTTGAGAGGGTGATTGCTTTGCAGAGGCTGCAGACCAGAGACATCGGGCACCCTCGAAGGCTGGGGCGCCAGTGGTCGAGCGATGGCGAGCACTGGCGGCGACATGACTTGCAATGGAGCAATCTGAAGAAGTAGACGGAGGAATAAGAGGGTGTCGAAAGGGGACGGAAAGAGAGACGGAAGGGGCTCCGAACGAAGGACGATTTGAGAGCGGCGGGGCGGCCGCCGTCTGGAACAACGCCACTTCAGGATTCACGCCATGCCCGTCGGACCTTGTCCTCGTCGTTCCGGCGCAGCAAAGAACAAGCAAGCAGAAGGAGCCACCGATAACGTGCTGCTGCAGCAGGCTTGGAAGCAAAAACGGACATGTTGGCGAGCCCGGTGTCCAGTTGCAGCGGCACGGCACGGCGACGCTTTGCTCCGTTTTGGGGACACCACGACACGGTCAGGGTCGCGGTGAGATGTTGTTGACGCATGGCCATCTATGACTCGATGTACTCCGACAATGTGGGGGAAGTCGAAGCTCCAACCACCTTGATATTCCTTGTCTTTCTTTTGCAATGCACAGCGAGAATATATACAATCACCTCAGCTTGGTCTAGTTTCTGATTAGACACAATGGCGACGCGAAACGACCGCTACAACAAACTGTCCCCGCAGGAGCGCCGCGCTGGCGAATCGGTATGCGCCTCGCCACCTTGATGCTCTGCCACCCAACCAACAGCTCTGATTTGTCATGGATACAGGCCCTCAGCGACTTTGCAGACTACGTTCAGAAACAGCAAGCCAAGCGCCGCCATCCTCAGGACCAAGACTCTACCTATGGCACCCAGTCCGTCGTTGCAACCGAAGAGCACGCCGAGCTCGACATTCTCGACTCTCTCAACCTCACCGACGAGCCCGTCAGCCCGGCCTTGAAACACCTCTTCCTTGACAAGTCCGATGACGCCGACGAGAGTGTGAGCCTCTTGACCGGCTTTGTCAATGGCCGCCTCGAGGAGGGTCATGGAGAGGCCCTGTTCGACCTCGGCTTGGAAGACAATGGAGACTCTATGAACTTTGACAAGAATGACTGGGACTTTGCCCTGGCCAGACTCCACTCGGTCACCGAATCGCTAGGCGCCGACTATCGCATACTCATGACCAAGAATGTCGGTGGCGACGACGACGTTGATGTCAGTCCCAAGGAGAAGGCATGCAGCGGAAAGTTGATGATCAGGCGGCGGCCCAACTCGGTCGATAATGTCATCGAGACGCGAATAGCCGTCGTCGGCAACGTCGATGCTGGAAAGAGCACCATGTTGGGTGTGCTGGTCAAGGGCGGCCTCGACGATGGTCGTGGAAAGGCCCGTGTCAATTTGTTCCGCCACAAGCACGAGATTGAGAGTGGACGAACGAGCTCGGTGGGTATGGAGATCATGGGCTTTGACAGCAAGGGTGAGGTCGTCATGGCCCAGACTGCTGGTCGCAAGCTCTCGTGGGAGGAGATTGGCAATAGATCAGTATGTGAATCCGATCAATCCGCCTACTCTGCTAACAAGTTTCCAGGCCAAAGTCATCGGCTTCACCGATCTGGCTGGTCACGAACGCTACCTCCGCACCACCGTCTTCGGCATGCTCAGCAGTGAGCCCAACTACTGTCTGCTCATGGTCGCCGCCAACAATGGTCTTATCGGCATGAGCAAAGAGCATTTGGGCATCGCACTAGCCCTTAACGTCCCAGTCATGGTGTGCATAACCAAAATCGACATCTGCCCGCCGCACATTCTTCAGCAGACCATTACCCAGTTGACCAAGATTCTCAAGTCACCTGGTGCCAGGAAAATCCCCATCTTCATCAAGAACAAGGAGGAATGCATAAACACCGCCACTCAGTTCATCAGCCAGCGTATCTGCCCAGTATTCCAGGTCTCCAACGTAACTGGCCACTCTCTCGATCTCGTTCGCACCTTCCTCAACATCATCCCACACCACGGCCACTATGACGCCGAGGCTCCCTTCGAATTCCACATCAACGACACCTTCTCAGTACCATTTGTTGGTACCGTAGTATCTGGAGTCGTCAAATCCGGTGTCGTGCACGCTGGAGACACCGTATTAGTCGGTCCCGATGGACTCGGCAACTTCACAACGACGAGCATCAGAAGCATCGAAAGAAAACGAATAGGTGTCCCCGCCTGCAGCGCAGGTCAAAGTGCCAGTTTTGCCCTGAAAAAGGTCCGCAGAAAGGACGTGCGAAAAGGCATGGTGTGTCTGCTCAAAAACGACGACCAGCCACCCAAGGTCCACCGCGAGTTTGTCGCCGAAGTCCTCATTCTCAGTCACGCAACCACCATCAAGACGAAATACCAGGCTATGCTGCACGTCGGCCCCATCTCTCAGACATGTGCCATCATCGACATTGATCGAGCATACATCAGGACTGGTGATCGTGCTACCGTCGCATTCCGCTTTGTGCAGCGTCCAGAGTTCCTCGCCGTGGGTGATCGGATATTGTTCAGAGAGGGCAGAACGAAAGGTCTCGGTATTGTCAAGGCCGTCGGATACGATCCTAGCAAACCGCTCAATCCTGATGCTGGCAAGCAGAAAGCTGTCGCGACCGATGCTGCAGATACTGCCGCTCCTGCTACTGCTGCAGCGTAATTTCTTGTTCATAAGTAGAATGGGGCTTTTGGGATCAAGGCTTCTAGGGGTTCAGGCGCCATCGATCGCTCGCAAAGGCGTAAGAGGTGTACTCTTCTTCTACTGTATTTATCAATGACTTGTTCCAGGTAAACTGTGAATACAGAAACAATAATTGATTGCCACAATCATCGATGCCACATGTACTCATTCTCCTTTGCCAAAGTGAAACCTCCAGAGCGACCTAGATATATGAGACCAAAGAAGGAACAGAGGAGAGCGCACATGAACTAGACAAGAAGATTGCCTAGTCTTGTTTACAAATCACAAATGGGGAAAGCAAAATCTACTCAAACATTTTCGTGCGAAAGCAAATATAAAATCAAAAATCAAAAGAGACTTTTGAAAATTTATGATTATTGATCTCCGAACGAAACCAGAAACGCCATCGACTCAAGCGTGTGTATTTAGAACAACCCATCCTGTCCAATTGCTAAGCCTTTCTCTCTCGCTTTTCTTTTTCCTTTTCCTTTCCAGCATCAGTGTTAGCATCAACAATCTCTTTCGTCTTTCCAATATCAGCATCAGCACCAGTAATCTCTTTTCCTAAGCAAGGCTTCATACCTGACACTCTGCTCCCATCTATTCATCTCGTGTCAAGTCTCTCTCGAGACCGATGTTGCGAACGACTTTACTTTTTTTTTTCTTTCGTTTTTGTTGGGGCTTTTGTGGACCTTTGCAGTCTTTGTCAAAAATTTTTTGTTATGGGGAAGGTGGCGGCTTTTTGTTGTCATGTATGTGTCTCGTGGGATTTGAAGTAGTGATTAAGGAGAATTGGACTCGGAAACGGATATGTGTGTACTCTTGGAGGTGAGTATGATGGTCATGATTACTGTTTGACGAGGAATTTGGTGCACCAAAGAGAGAAGATAAAGACAAGTGCCAATAGTCAAAGACTCGTGAACAATGTTTGGAAAGAAAAGGGGTTATTGCAATGGACAAAGTCTACCAAGAAAGACAAGAACATTGTACTCTCGACGTGGCCAAACAATGGACTTATGTGATCTGGTCTCGGCAGTGTGACGATCGATTGTTTTCGATTTGAAGTAGAAAGACAGGAAGAAGCCATACGACGTGGCTGTGATTTGGTGGCTAGACGACAAAGGTAGACATGGCCACAGCAAGGAACGAGCCAAGCAAACCAGAAAGGGGCGATCAGACCAACGAAAAGTCACCGAAAGCGCTGATGGAGAGAAAAGAAAATCTGAAGCCTACAAGGAAGGAACGATCAAGTAGATTCACAACACCAAAACATGAAGCAGTCACGACAAAGCAACCAAAAGGCAAGGAGATAGGGAAAAAAAAAGAGAATACCGTGAGCAGGATTCGAACCTGCGACCTCCCGACCGTTGAGAGAGAGTATTAGGATCTTAGGTGAGCGAGCGTAGGAACTTAGGATACCAGGTCGGGTGTGCTGACCACTGCACCACCACGGCTTTTTCGGGTGGAGAGGACATAATGTCCAGAGAATATAAAGGTTGAGGAAGCGAGAGGTGGCGGCGAAGTTGGCAGAGGCACGAGGCTCGACTGAGGGAATTTTGATGACAAGGTTTGATAAGGTCGCGGGAAGCAGCGACACAAGACATGAGCACCCAAAAAAAAGGGATAGAGCACCGTGGGCTGGATTCGAACCAGCGACCTCCCGACCCTCGAGAGAGAGACTTAGGTTTTAGGTAAGCGAGCGTAGGTGAGCGAACGTAGGTTACCAGGTCGGGTGTGCTGACCACTGCACCACCACGGCTTTTTCGGGTGGAGAGGTGTCACAATTCTTCGATTATAAAGGTTGAGAGAAATAGAGACGGGCGGCGAAGCCCGGGAGCTAAAGCTTGATAATGAGCTCAGGAGAGTTGTGTCAGGCTCAGCTGATCTTGCTTGGATATGCGACACACGACACAGGTCTTTCGCTGCTGTGCGTGTCTGGTCCGAGGAGCCGAGTATGCCTGCGATACTCGACTATGCTGTTGTCGGATAGTCTGGTCAGACTAGTGGGAGTTCAAGAAATTCGGGTGTATGTGATCGAATGTCTCGTCCATCAATTTGGCAGCCGAAGGCAGTGGTTGCATGGGTCATGCGATATATGGACGCATCAGGTAGGGTCTATGTTCGTGTCGCAGGCTCAGTCTTCTTTTGGTTGTTCTTCGATGACCTCCTGTTTTGGAGATATCACTGTTTGTGCAGTTCCATTGAGAACACGCTTTCTCTGACTTGACATGGCCTTTTTGTGTCGTTTGCTGTTGACATGAATGGTCCAGTCACTCTCCGTAACAGATGTTGTATTGCAGACTTCACAGTGCTTGCGACTCCAAAGATCTGAGCGAGCGCTGGTGTCGGGTTTCGAGGCCGTCAGCATCTCAGCTGCGAGCGGCGATAGACTTGCAGGATCAGGCAGCGTGTCTTCTTTGAGGAAGCTGTCGACCAAGTCAAGTCCAGTCTCTGATACATTTTGGTTCCAGCTCGCCAGATCTGATCCGTCAAGCATGAAGAACGAGCCTTTAGCTCCAGCTGTATCGATAGCATTGTTGAGCTTGATGCGAATCCATCGAATTTGACGCTTTGCATACTGTCGTGTACCGGCTTTGGTCTTCTCGATCGCTTCTGCGAGTAGCTTGTTGAGCTGCTTTGGGCTTGTGTCGCCTTTTCGCAAAGCAGCTTGGTAGTCCAAGAATTCTTTGTACCCGATGGCTACCCAGATGCCTCTGGTCGTATCGATTGACTCACCGTCTGCGATCCTGCTGTCATAGAACTCTGAGAGGGTGGAAACCTCGTCCAGGAGGCCTTGTGTAACCATCTTGTCGACACGGGCATCCAGACGTTTGGAGAGTGTGTCTGATTGAGCGCCGACCCACAATACGAGAGTCCTCATACGGAGAAGAGACGCGTCTTGAGCTTCATCCGAGAGCACTTCCTGGCCAGAAGCTTCTCGTCGTGTTCTTTGCTCTTCGTAGATGTCCGAGGCCTTGCGACCAGTCTGCAGCCAGATCTCAAGACTTCTTTGTATTTTGCGGCGGTCATTGGGGTGCCATCTGTCAGCCATTACTGGGTCAACCTCTCTAAGCTTTGCAAGGAGTACTTCAGTAGATTCTTCAAGAATAGCAGGTCTTTCTGGATTTGAAACTGGCTCTTCATCTTGAGATTTGTTCGCGAGTGCGTCGTTGAAGAGTAATGACTGTGTGTAATAATGTGTGCCGCCGACCAAAATAGGCAATCGGCCTCGTGCTCGAATTTCGCTGATTTTGGCAAGCGCATTCGAGACGAAGTTGCCTACAGTCCAAGTCTCTTCGTTCAAGCCTATACACCCGAGGAGATGGTGAGGTATACCAGCACGCTCATCTTCAGGCATTTTATTTGTGATGATCGGCAAGCCCTCGTAGAGTTGCATGGCATCGCCATTGATAATTTCACCATTGAATTTACGAGCAATGTTCACAGCCAACTATTTGGAACATGTGAGTAATTACGTTCCTTCGTTTTGTAGCAAGGTGATGGAAAAAAAATGTCTAGACTCACCTCAGACTTGCCTGTGCCCGTAGCACCAACCACTGCGACCAGCGGCGCACGCGCTGCAATGTTGTTGGCCATGCTAGAAAATCGACAAACGGTTGCTTTCAACATCAACCCGATGTTGACATATTGATTTGCGCTCTGAATCGAAAACAAAGATTTGAGAAGCGCGCGTGTAAAAGCACGTGATCTCCATGACTCTATCCACTTTCCATCTTTCGTTTCGAAACAACAATGATTCATCATACATTTTGACGATTCAATTCCGAACGAAATGGCACCTAACGAGCGTCTCTCACCAAAGGTTGATGTCAATAACTTGACTTTTGCATTCCCGGATGGCAGTACTGGTCTTCAAAAGGTCGCTCTGGAGCTGCCCGCAAACAGCAGGACCCTGCTGATCGGTGGTATGTGTTGCTGTGGTCTACGATACACGTTGGTATCTTGTTCTGACAAAAGCTGTAGCCAACGGTGCTGGAAAGACTACTCTGCTTAGACTGTTGTCTGGAAAGCGCATGGCACCGAAGGGAACCGTCAGCATTGCAGGCATTGACCCCTTCGCCGAAGGTCTCGAGGGTGTGACGTATCTGGGCATGGAGTGGACCTTGAACTCCATCACCCGCACTGATATCGACGTACCAACACTGCTCTCTTCGGTAGGTGGTGATGCTTACCCCGACCGAAGAGACGAGTTGGTCAAGATTCTGGATGTGGACATGAAATGGCGCCTCCACGCCGTTTCTGACGGTGAGAGAAGGCGCGTGCAATTGTGCATGGGTTTGATCAGACCGTGGAGCGTCCTTTTGCTGGATGAAATCACCGTCGACTTGGATCTTCTTTCTCGCTACAACTTCTTGCAGTTCCTGAAGAGAGAGACGGAGGCTCGTCCTTGCACCATTGTTTACGCAACACACATTCTGGATAACTTGGCCGACTGGCCTACACACCTGGTTCACATGTCTCTCGGTAAAGTGAGACAGTGGGGTGCTATGGAGACTTTCAATGTCGAAGGTGTTCAAGGTGGTCGCACTGGCAACAGTCTTTTGGGAGAGCTTGTGTTGGAATGGCTGCGCGAGGACCTTGAAGAGCGTGGCCCACGCAATGGACAGCAATCGGAGGGCAAGACATACGATACACACGAAGGAAAGGGTGGATACGGTCAGCTAAAGGCACCTCCACGCGAAGCTTAGGTGGTTTCGAAGAGGAGTTGAGATGACAGTTACGAGGTAGAACGACTAGAGGAGCCAATTCAACATGAAGGCATGAAGCGATTAGACACGATATGGAATACACGTTTGCAAACTTCTTGAAGAGATGAAAGTAATTTTGATTGTCATTGCACTGTTGAAGCAATGAATGTAATAATGTGTACCCGAAATCTAGTTGATTGTCCCTTGAACTCCTCGCTTGTAGCCCTGGTTTGTCAAACGCCTCGCTCCATGGCGGTAGACCCAAACGCCGATTCCGCTTGCCAAATCAAAGCTTTTACCATAAACTCGTTGCAATTGGGTATAGTGTGCAGAAGAATGCAGAAGAATGAAAGAATAAAAGAAATAAACGCCCGTCATGCAAGAAGAGAGAAGCGAAAAGTGCTCATGAGAGGCGGAGTTGGTCGACGTCTTCGTTAAGTTCGGATCCGTCATAGTTGTCGATCTCGTTGCGGTAGCCAGGAGGGCTGGCGGGGATATCCTCGTAAAGAGGAGGTTGTTCATCCTCCCAGGCAATGCCCATACCGCTACGCTCGGTGACGTTGATATTGAATTGCGTGCGCAGAACTCTGGCGGCGCCGGTGGGAGTTGCTTGGTTGGGCTTCTTGTTGGGGGCCCACTCTTCGGCGATGACCAGCTCCAAAACCATGACGTGGTTGATCTTGAGGCCAGAAGGACTGTCGACGTCGCATTGAGGCTTCAGACCGCTGTCAATGGAAGCCATGAACTCGCCCTCGAGCTGACCGTCAGCGAAATCCGTCTTCCAACCCGACTTGAGGTCGTCGCTGCCGATGTCCCTGGTGTGCTCGTGCATGATGCCTCTTCCCTCACCACCGACTTTGGCCATGTGCTTGGGGCAGGCTGGCGAAACAAACTTCTCCTGTTCCTCGATGCGCCATGTCAACTTCCTTAGACGCCATCTGATCTGTGTGTCTTCTTTCTTGGTGGTAATGCCGGACATACGGGCGTACACGGGAAAGTCGCCAATGGGGTGAATGACCGAAGGCAGGGTGACGTTGAGAGTGAGGTTGGTGGGAGGGAAGATTCTGACAGAGTTCTTGTCGTTTCCAGGACGGATGGCGCGGTTGATAACAACTGGGCGGACGTACTCGACGACTTCGCCGTTGGCGGTCTCGGCACGAGCGAACAGCTTGTAGTCGATGCTGCCAATGTGACCATGGCTGGTGGTGGGAAGGTGGCCGGGAATAAGGTAGCTGAAAGGGAAGTCGTGGTTGCCGGTAGCCAGTTCGGCATTGTCGGCCAAGAATTTCCACTCCTTGATGTCGTTGGACTTGGAAGAGCAATCTTTGCAGTGATCGCCTACGGGACGCTTGGTCGAGGTAGTTGCCCTGAATGCGAGGGTGAACGATTTGATGGTAGTGGGGAGTGCACTGGTTACAGCGAGTTGCATGCGACCAGAGAAGAGGGAGCCCGACGAATGCTGGGGACTATCCAGGAACAAGACCGGAGGAGACTCGACGACCATGTCGAGCTTGATGCTTCTGGCGACTGGACGGCCCAGACTCGACTCGCGTCTGCCGTCCTTGTCCTTCTTGTCGTGCGAGTGGCTCTTGCCAAAGTGGGGGCGTCTGAGATGATCCATGCTGTCGTGACGAGAGCCGTCTGAGCGGACTGATGATGCGCTGCGCTTCTTTTCGGGGACTGGTCTGAGGAGAGGTGAAGGAAAGTCGAATCCCAGAATACGACCGGGCATGACTAGATGACCAGGTAGCTGGCTAGCGACTTGGTTTTTGTAGCAACAAGATCCGGGGTAGCTGGCTGATCGACGCTTGTAGATCTCGCAGGAATGAAGCTCCGTCGTAGAACAAGAGTGGTGGACTGGATCTGAGTGCGACTGTGTGTAGAGGATCGATCGAGGGAAACAAGGAGCAGATTCTCTTTTGATCTCCAGGACTGTAGCACTTATTATGAAAACCGTAAATAGTCGGGGTTGGAAAACTCTGTCATCATGACTACCGAATTTCTGTGACTAAGGTTTGCTCGGCCATGCACTAAAGTGACTTGGACCTCATGATCAGAAAGCCACTGAATTCCACCATCTCAGTTGGGCGCATTCGGCTCCCCTTTCTCGGTCGCCTGACTGCCTGGCCACAGCTGCATCTACATCAATCCACAACCGTCTCTATCACCCTTTGCTCACGAACGGCGCACACTGCCATTATCTCTGTATCTGTGAAACATGCTCGCTCTTAGCTGACCCTAACGGTCTTCTATGGACCTTTCGAAAAACCAACTCTTCTCTTGGCTGCCGTTAACACGTTTGGCCGAGACAGGATCAGACCGATCTGGACAGACAGATTTAAGCTGTCGACCTCAGGAGCGCCCGCCCATCACACGTTTCACACCACTAAAGTACTCCTTGGGGATCATTGCCGCTTTCCGGGCAATGTAACACTCAAGACACTCTAACGATTCTGCTGCATCTCCGGCGACATCGCTGGTCTGATGACAGACATTCAGCTTGTACTCTACAGCTCTTCGTTCAGCGCAATGACTGCCAGCGAACAACCATTGACCTTGGTTGTGGCATCCCCGCGTTCGACCGCTTGCGGAGCCGCGGGCCTGCATTGCATGTGCATACTGCCATGACTCAGAGATCAAGCCGAACTCGCTGTTCTACCGTAGTGGGCACTGGGCAATATCAATGTCGCAATATCAACATATGGACGCATCACAAAAGCGGTCGAATCGAAATATCATTGAGCTGACGCAGCTATACCATTGTATGACGCGAGATCCAAAATGCATACAGCAGAATGCGAAACACACAATCCTGCTTTTCGAGGGTGGACACGAGTCGGCCAACGATACGTTTCTCGCACGTTCCTCCTTTACGAAGAAAGAACACACGTGGAAACAAATTTTTCTTCCGACCAAGATACAATTTTTCCCAACGATCACCGATCTGACAAGAACTTCTTCAGGGTAAAGAAGTCGTTTACGCCCTACTGTAGCAAGGGAGATTTTTTCCTTTCACCGCTCATTTCCGCTCCCTTTGGTATGCTTCAAAGCCGACTCGTACCTTCTGGTTTGCAAAGGACGTGCTCGTGAACTCTGGCGTGATTTGCGCTGAGCATTTACGATCTAGAAGCCGTGATATAGAGAATCAGGAGAGTGTGGAGCCTTTCTGCCGAACAGGTCAAGCATTGAGAATTTTTGAAGATCCGGAAGGATGTCGCCATGAAGACTATTACCTAAAAATTGGCCAAGCTGCTATGAAAAAGCCAGAGCCAAGCAACCACCATGATGGACTTTGGGGACAACCGAATGCTGAACTGGAGTCAACGGATTGCAAAAGCACGCCATGGAGTTGCAGTTGGGGCAACACGATACAGATCCATCATGGTGCCATATTGCGATGTCGCGATATTCTGCTGTGTCGCAGCGCACATCGCTATAATACGAGAAGTAGTACTGAGTGTCCGCATTAGGCACCTCAACCCGACGCCTGTAAATCCAAAAAGGCTCAAGACGGCCACCGGCGGTCTCCACGTTTTCTGGAAGGCGACTTCCATTCGAGGAAGGTACCAACACCGACGACGAAATATGTGTCAATTGACCGAGTATGCCAGGTTTGCAGCTGCAAGCATCGCGCCTTGATGTGATAATAGGGCGTGATGTTCCCAGCAAGTTCTTCCGTAGTTGCCACAGCCGTAGGGCGTTGCGGCTACACGTGCGATGGTACGGACATTGCTAGACGGTGCAACCGGCTCGCGAAAATATCAGAACTACACGTGGGTCCGTATCGATAATGTCCGCGCCGCCTGCACAGCCTTCGACGGCACAGTGCGATGATGGCCATCAATAATGAGACCACAGACAAATAACACGTGTTCTGCTCGTTTTCGATTGACCGCAGATAGAGCAGACGAACGGTACTGGTGCTTTGTTGCAAGAAAGCAATCTCACGATACAGGCAGGTCGATCTTACGGGCGTGATCAAGTGATACGTTCCTATTGAAAGAGGGAGAGATTGACAGATGGTGAATCTTGAGAGCGTGAATGCGCATGTCAGAACACACAATGAAGACCACCGACACTACGACATCACATCCACAGCACGCAGTAGTGCAGTATTGCAGCATGCATCTGCGCCGCTCAAACACCATCAATGCTTCGATATCATATCGGCGCTGTACAGATGTCGATGAATTTCATTGCTGATCAAGTTCGAGTCAAGGTTGCTGCCCTAACGAAATCTCTGGCAGTCATTTATTGATGAAGGCACCCTCACCTCCTGGCAAAATCTTATTGAGCTATTTGGATGGCCTGGTGGTGCTTGATTTTGTTACACATCGTCTGCTCTGCCCAGAAGCAAACGATTGATGTTGGTTTTTTACAGTCTCCACTGGTCTGGTCGCTCCTGAGACTGTACACTTCTGGCGACCAGATCGGAGAAGAACACTTCATTGACTTGATCGTGTCAAACCAATAGTGATAGGACTAACACTGATTGTTGACAAATCCGCCGACTCTCCTTATAGCCCTCCTTGCACAATGAGACGAGATCGTTATTGGCAACTGTCCAAACACACTCCATTCCGTACCATCCTCTGCAGGCGTATCAAAGTAGTTGAAGGTAAACCGGGTCGTGGCACCGCAATTTTGAAACTCGCGTTCCAAAGCAGCGCCATGATCGCTGCTCAAAAACCCGCCTCCTTTGATGTTGATGGCGTACAAAACACCCCAATACTGGGATTTGCAGTGACCGACGGGAGCACTGGGGGGCGGTGGTCGGGCTTGTGTGGGTGAGATCTTGTACGATATGTTGTTATTGTCGGAGATGCTGCCGCCGTGCTTCCAACTCATCTTGTTGTCGTCACCGGGGAGGCTGCAGCCGTTGCTATAGGAAAAGAAATGATGGTTAGGAGTGCTGCTACTGTGGTGCGGTTACGTCCGAGGAACAAAACCTACTTGATGACGTTCATGTAGTAAAGACATTCTTCTTTGAAGACCTCGTATTTGCGGTCACCCTTGGGCCAGTACGTCGACAACTCAACTCGATCTGGCGTGCCGTCGTTGTACACCTGCGAAAAAGTCGAGTCCGACTCTGAAATATTCTGCCCAGCTGACTTTGCGCAGAAGTCGTCAATATTAGATGCCAGACTCTCTTGATCGAGATAATTGTTCGTGTCGATGCCGTTGCATTGTTGACCGCCAGCCTGACCGCCATCCCATATCTTTCTCATGACGAGAGGCTCAATCTTCATGGTGGCGTTCAGCTTGGTGTTGGTGTATCCAATCAAGCCGCCGTGCTTGTCGTTGCTCTGGCCGGGTTGAGGGACGTTGCAGCCATCTGTCACGATATCAAGCCATGTTGAGCAACTATGTTCGCTGATGACGGCGGTATCGTCGCTCTCCCAGCTTATAGATACATTCATGTAGTCAAACTCTGAGCCGAAGGTTGCACTGCTCAAAGCGCCCTTTGACCCTCTTGTGTTATGCGGATCTGTGAGGATGTCAGTATGATCATAGCAGTCTGATCACATGCAATATGATGGCGCTCACCTGCACAAAAATCTTTGACGGCCGAAATCATGGCATCTCGTCCAGCCCAGGTATCAGTCGAATCTTGATTGCAGGCAGCGCCTGGTAGGTCAGGCCAGCCATCGCCTGTTGTGTAGGAGATCATTGGTGGGATTGATGCAATACCTGTTCACGGTGGTCATATTAGCATGGACACTGCTTGTTCTATCGCGCGAGTACAACAGTATCGAGAATAGCTCAATCTGTCCCTCTCACCGATGAGATCTTGTAGTGTATTCTCACCTAGTCGTCGAGCATTATCTGCTGCCATCTGACACAGGATCATGTTCGCGATCAGAGCATGTCCGCCCTGGGTAGGATGGAACACCCTCGAGGTTTCGTCACCAACAAACAACTTCTTGATGTTGATTCTCGCCACTGCCTTGTTTCCAAACAAGACATGGGTCCGGTTGGCAATCACAGTGCCCATAGACGATCCATTATTCAAGGTTGTGGTGTTTGCGAAATGCATGTTCGTGTGTCCAGATATGAACGAGGAAGGAGCCTGGGAATTTCCGAGAGATACTTTAGAGCCAAGGACTGGGCCTTGACTGACATTGTGAGCTGTAAAAGAACCAGAGTCAGGGTTTTGCGTGACGTTCCAAGAAATGGTCGTATTTTCGCTGCGGTTGACCAGCCTCATCGAGCCAGGCTTCAACAGTGATGCAGACCGTTTGAGAAGGCTCGATTCTGCGTCTTTAACCTCATCCTCGATTTCGATATTCCCGTTATCGTCTTGTACAGCAGCATACCCATCCTGTCCGTCATTGGCACTCTCTCGATCGCTTTCTGCATCAAAGCGCCATACATGCCGCCTAGAGTGTCATTCGTGGGAAGGATGTCATCTTCTTCGATGAGACTTCGCTTCAGCTCGTCGTGGTAAATGGCATCGCCGACATCCAACCATGGCGAGTCCAGCAATTTCATTTCGTAGAAGAAGAGATCCTCCAAATTGGCTCCTCGACCACTATTCTCATCTTGACCAGGTTGACAGTACCTGCCTCTCGAGACACCAACGTCGTTGTCATAGTCAATAAAGTGAACTTGAGGGCCTGCTCGCTGGACTGCAGAGGATAAGGCAGTGTTCATCGCTTCTACCAGGGAGTTCATCTTCTCTCGACGATCCTTGGTCAGATATTCTCTGGTAAACAAGTTGAGCCACACATGCCAGGAAACCTTATCACAAGTATTGTCGGTAGCATCGAAGAACTTTGCATAACCGGCGTAGTATCTATCCTGTGTCAGTATAAAGAACGTTGGTTGATATCGGGATCGGAGTCAACCACGAACATGTTGCCGTTCGGCGTCAGCTTCGATTTGACGAGCTCAATTAGTGCATCCAACTTGGCAGCGAACTGGTTGCCCTCGATTATAGACCGCGAGGCTTCGAGGGCTTTCTCACAACTAGGATGGCTCAAGCCTCCATAGAAACTGTAAACGCATGAGTTCAGGATGTCGGAAAGTTTGGCATCGTTGCCTCCCTAACAGTATGTCAGTGGCCTTACAGCCTGACAACGATCTCAACAACATACCGCAGACATAATGACGAACTCCTGGCCACTAGAGAGCGCCTTGGCCTGTTTTGATATGTCGTCTACAACTGCACCACTACAAGCAGTATACGTGAAGTCCAGCTTATTGCGATCCACTCCTAGTTGGAGTGATACTAGGCTTGCGTATGAACCGTCATATCGAGAGCAACTCCAATTTTCTTCGTTGCCCGCTCCAATACCAGCAGTATATCTGTATAGAGAGAGAATAGCGTTAGAGTTTTGAATACACAAGTGTCTTGGGTGGGGCCTTACGAATCACCAATTGCGGCACCTTTCGTGTAGAAGGACAGGTCAAAGGGGTCTTCGTCGTCAGCAGCAGAAACCGGTGCGAGGAAGAAAGCAAAAAGTGAACAGTAGATACTTAGAAGAAACAAGGAGATCATCATATTCGGAAGTGGTAATCAAGGCAGGAGCTGATGAAGAGACTGAGAGAAATATCTCTTGCACGCATGTGGATGCCTTCAAGATATACATGAACTACTTGCAGGCATCCTTGCAGAAAGGAAGTGTCTCTGTGCGATACTCATGCCATCTAAGTTACACGAAGATTCAAATTGCAGTGCAGGTTTCAGAAGTGATGGTGCGACATACACGCTGGGTCTGGTAGAGGGAGTTGACCAACGCCCACGTTGTCGGAATTCGAGCTTGCATCTGGTCATGGTAGATTGCGTTATTCCGACAGCGACGCCGCAGTTCTCAGGGAATCACTGAGCGCCTAACAGCCCAGGCACGATACTTGCAACACTTTTGATATCGTAAGGGCGAAGAACCAACATGTCATGTTTTGCTTGACGCTGCACCAGTTCCTTCGCGTGCTTTACAGCCGCGGAAGCACTCCTTGGCAGAAACAAGCTACCATGACTCCAAGCCCTTGCCCTCAACCACTTCATTGAACAATCATCTCATTATCCACGACCTTGCAAAAATGACAGTCTCGACGTGGATTTACATCTGGCCACACAGTTGCGATCTCCCTGTGACTTTCGAAAAACAATGCGGTTGATATTGGATCGTTGTATCATCCGATTTGGGATGCATATTTGCAGCGTTGGTGCCTCGAGCGCATGCATCGAAGATAACTTGGACAGCCGCCGGCGGCAGCGCCTATATCGAGTCCGGCGGTGACACAGCTCACAGAGCCTCTCCTGGTCACATACCGAAGGATCAATGCTGCACCTCAGGTTTCATCAGTTGAGCCACAGTACAACATTTCTCACCCTGCCAATATGCCAGAGCTTAGTGCTTCTTGCCATGAACCATGTCCCTCGGCGCTTTGATATCGTTCCTTCAATCTTCCACTCAGGTAAGCATGATTCGCTGCCCAGCGTTTCATGCGGCACCGATTCTAGGATGATTGAAAAGCACCATCGCTGCCATGTATACTTGTACTGGCATCCAACCTCCGTCTTTTCTCGCTGTACAGTCGTCGTTCGTTATCCTTCTTTTGACTGGTGTTTCTCTCCTTGGTATCTTATCCTTTTTGCGAAGCCTGCCCTGGGCCGGTTTAGTTCTTTGAGCTGTCTGATTGTCTTCTTTACGCTCTCGTCTGCCATACGACCAGACCAACTAGGTAAGAAGCATGAGAGGAGATAGGGTCAACCAGTCTTCTAACTGGCAAGACCCCATCGGAGACAGTGTATCGAACAGCAATTTAACGCACAACAGATATTCAGCTGAATGAGTCTCTGTTCTATGGCTCCCCCAAGATGATTAGCTATGGCCTTGTCGTCCAAATCGCCGGCCTGAGCGAATGGGAAGATAAGCACATACTCGACCTGGCCTTTGTTGCGCATGAGCAGTTCCTGACCCAGTTCGCGAAAGACGACAATGCCAAAAGATATAAGAGTCCCTCGTTGAGTGCGAAAGACAAGCCGCGAGTGACCACTACGATGGTCGTTGACAACACTGCTTATATTGCGACCTCGCTGAAAGGCAAGGGTGCTTACATCTACGATTTATCCAAGTCCGATATCAAAGGCAATCATCCGTGTGAGGGTCCAGTACTCGAGGGCCTTCGCCGTTGTCAACAGAGATCTATCGACCTCGATAACACCACGCAAATGCACCGTACGAAGGCCAAATGCGGTACGTTCGTGGTTGATATGTAGCCCGTATCGCAGTCTAACATTTTGAGCAGGAGAGTACATGGCAGCATTGGCTTTTTGCATTGATACCCGACAGCAGAGAGAACTGTCGGACGCCAAAATCGTGTCAATCTTTGCCAAAAGCCCAACCGAGAATGTTTTGATCCCGCCTTGCGATAAAACCAGTTCGGGCGAGAAGGGCGTAAGTGCTGAATCGGCCAACAATCAGAGTATGCCATTGACAATCGCAGGTGTGGAATGAATGGGGTTGTAATGAGTTCACGCAGGATGTGAAGATGCATGTGATTACCGATAAAGATGGGCGAGAGGCCAAGGACGTAGCTGATGAAGATATTCAGCAGCCGAGCGAGCAGACTCGGTATCCATGAGTAAACGCGTGTATATTGTCAAGCCAGTCTGATTTCGCGTCCCCGTACATTAGATTTGTATCTATACATGAGCCATAGTGGTCAGGAACTCTAGGCTGTTCGGCGCATTTTATGATAGGATGATTCGAGCTGCGGCGGTTGGCCACCAGGCGGTCCCTGCTAAGTATTGTATCCTTGAATTGCTAGAGCCAAGTCGTCGGGATAGAGGACAAGATCGCCCCGTGCTAAAGAGATGACATCGTCCATATAATGCCAAGCGTCCTGATGCATGTCGTGATCCTCTTCATTAAGTGGCGGATACCTCAGATCCATCGGCACACCCTGACGAATTGATTCTTCTTTGTTGTAGTATCCGACGATGAAATTGCGGAACTGGCTAATTCTCTCCCTCGTTTCTTCAGAAGCTGACAGAAGCTCTTTATGCACCGGATCTCTCAGCTGCGGATAGTCGAAAGCGAGAAACACTCTGCGTATGAAATACCAGTGAGCCGGTGAAGCAGGAGAAGTCATGGGCGTTTGGCGCCATGGCTGCGGAGGGTCAACGTAGGTGTCGGCAGCTTCTTTGGCGCTGGCACAGAGTCCGGCATTGCGCATCAAAGTCGGCAACCAGAGGCTCAGCGGAGGTTGTTCATTGCCGTCGAGCGAATTCCGCAGACGCGTCTCAAGCATGGAAAACTCGATGGCTATATCAGCTGCCGGAACAGTCGCTTGTATGATGCCTTTGACGATCACATCCGTGTGTTGGAGCCATATCGATCGCAATTGCTTGTTGACGCATGAAAGTTGCATTGCTGTTTGGACAGTCGGGCAAACCGTGAAGATTTGGATGAGCAATTCATTCGATAGCGAGAACAATCCAGGCATTTTGTGAGAGTTTAAAAGTCCGAGTGAAGGTTTGTTGTGTGAGTGGAAAAAAGACGATGAAGTTGCGAGGACTCATGGTTGAATATGCCTTGAACTGCCATTGACACGATTGTAATTTCTAGTGGTGGAGGATCAATGGTGAAACCATTAGGCGCCGCGGTATCAATGAGACGACGACAGAGCTCAATGCCGAATATCTACCGACAGCTATAGGTAAACCATGTCAGATTTCAGTCTATTTGATAGAGCGCAAATATCAAATGTGCTGTATAACTTGACTCATCGTTATCAGAATCAGACTCGTCTAGAGGGAGCCTGATCCTGCGACATCCGGTTGATCACTTCTCGTACTTGATAATTATGACATTTTAAAACCTTTGCTTTTTGGTTTATGTATCGGTTTCGTCCATAGCAGTAAAATGAACAACAAACGCCATGGCGCCCGCCATATGCTAGTAAAGGTACATACAACATCCAAGAGGAGGTCTAGGTATAGATATACAGATGGTGTGGTCTCTTGATCACACCGCGATAGGAAAAGGCTGGAAAGTTTGAAGAAAGGAGAAGCGTAGAATCAGAAGATGTTCTACTGGCGAGCGGGGCCAAGACCGTCGGCAGACTTCTCCGTCAATTGCTCGTAGTCGGCGGCATCGATCTCCTCGACACCCTCGCCAATCTCTTCGACCTGGCCTTGGCGGGCATCGCGCATTGCCGTATATTTGTGACTGATGTTGCGCTGGATCATATCTTCAACGGAGAAAGCAGGCTCCTGATCGATCGGGGCGGCGGTGTGGCGAGCCAAACCAGCAAACTCGTGCTGGACGGCCGCAGGCCATTCGGCAGCGAATTCGGCATCTAGAGGGTTGGTCCATCGGATGATGACACCCTCAGTGGTGTACAAGGGTACCTGCTCGCTTGACTTTGACTTCTTTGACTTTGGACTGAGCTCAGGCGGAGGATGAGAGAAGATACGCGGGGGCTCGATGACCAGAGAGATGGCATCCGGAGCCCTGCCACGGGCGTCGTCGGACTCATATTGTGTCTGAGCCTTGTTCTTGGCGTCCTCGATGGCCTGGCTAGCAGCGCGCATCTTCTCGAGCCTGAGTCGCATCTGCTTCGAGGCGAGGATAGCCTCACCAATCTGCTTACGCGAGGGAGCGTCAGGACCGCCCTGCTGCTGCATTTGCTTCATACTGTCGATAGTGGCCTGCTGATCTGCGAGGGTTTGCTCGAGCAGCTGCACACCACCCTCCTCGGCTTCCTTTGACAATGCCAACAGTTCCTCACGAATGCGATGTTGGTTTGCTTCGTGTTTCTCTGCCATTTTCACACCCAGCTCTTCCTGTCCGCGCAATACCCAGGCAAGATCGGCGATCGAGTTGGCCTTTTGATCCATGATAAGACGTCCACGCTCCTTCTTTACAGGTAGCTTGCGGGCGTTCGGGTCGGGGTGTTCCCAATTGTGTTCGTGCAGCATACGGAGCTCGCGCAGTTTTCGGAAGGCGGCCAGACCTTGTGACGGCGAGGGGAAGGTGGCAGTGAACAGCGGGCGCCACATGTCCTTGCGCAGAGCCGAGGGAAGGGTCTTCTTTCCAGCAAAGGTGAGCTGCTTGAGGACTTGGTTGTTCTGTCGGACCTTGTTAGACTCAAGTGGTATAGAATGCGCAGCGATTGGCAACGCACGTTCATGGATCGCTCCAGTGAGTAGACGACCTGGTTGGTCCATATTTGGTGGTAGACAAACAGATGGCGACCGTGGTCGGCTAGCCGTTTGGCCAGTCGCTCGGCCTTGGACGACGACAAGGACATTGTGATATGCGATGGACGGGCAACAAAAAAGAGTCGCCATGCTCATTCGACATGCGAAATCGACCCCCGGTCTTGGCGCCGTCTTCTCCGCTTCCCGCAGCTGCTGCAGCTGTTCATCATCGTCACATGCCGAAACAACTCTCGCAAAGAAAGTATCCCAATTGCATACATCCTTGTCAATGAGAGCTTTCGGTCGCTGGTGATCTGTTCTGAGTCGGCACAATGCCAGACGCGGATACCAATGCCCGGCGAGAACGACCGTGGCTCCTTCCATCTGTATGCCTGATCCCCCGCACCCTCACCTTCCCTGCTTCCAAAACACAGCCGGACAAGACTCGCACCTTCTCTGTTTCGGCAGCTCGTAACTTCCTTGTTCTAATTTGAGTAAACACAGAACAGGAAGGTTCGCCATCTGCAAGCCGTAACCCTTCGCAACCTTGCCTTGTCTCATGAAACAAACCGGCCCCGTCGAGGCACAATTGACGATGATGCTCTGCCGGCCACCAAGAAGTCGCCGGCTAAGATACTTGCCTTGCGCCATGCCAATAACACTATGATCCATTCGAAGTCCTCCGATGACCTCCGTCCGATTCACGAGTCTACCTCGCCCCTGTCAAACAGTCCTGCCAAACAGCGCACCCCACCTCGTCCTTCGTTCGCCAAATTACGCAGACGAAGCACTCTGGAATGGGCTGCCTCAACCTCGCAACAACGTCAGAGACGCCTACACGATGTGTCTGCCCAGAGAATGGCCGACTTGTTCTACTCTATACACATTCCCAATCAACAAGGTCGGTCAGTGCTGCCGTCCATATCTCTCTCGTCCCTCCATTGACACGTCAAAGACCCAATCTATGTCAGCGAGGTGGCTGAGAAAGCCATGAACCCCAACTTCAGAAACATACACTTTGACTCGAACAATCCTCAACTCCTGAGACTGGATGAGTTGACCCTCAAGTTCTGGGCAAAGAGCGAGGCCATGTCGCAATACTGCTTGTTGATAGACATGACCTTGAGCATGCGTTCGCTACAGTTCATCGGCAAGAGTGTAAGACTTTCTTATGACCATCTCATACTTGTCCATGCTTATCCTGTGCATCTAGCTATCAAGCTTCCATCACCCTTTTCCACCAAACTGTATTGTGTTTCATCTGACCGATGGCTTCTATACTGCTTTCACCGATGCTCGAGTCGAAGAGCCCTTGAATCCTTTTCATGACGGCCCAGCGAAGTTGACGACCTCTCGCACATTGCCAACTTCATCCTTTGATGCTCTCTTACGCCTCTCCAAACTCGATGACAGCGTTCAGGATGCCTTGGCCTTGAGGATACAGCTCGCTTCCGAGCTGGAACAGACATTGCAAGACAACAAAACGTCGCTGGATGAGAAGACCCAGCTTGCGGAAACGACCGATTTCCTCAAAACCATCGACTTTGCTACGGCAACCGTAAAGAAGCAACTCAAAGCACTAGAACAGAAACGCGATCAAAAACGCAACTCTCTCCAGAACCGTAGAGACTTGATTGCACGCGATTCTGCACTGCGAAAGGAAATATTGACCCAAATCCTCAATGGCAAAGACGCCGTCTCAGACCTGTCCACTCGACAGACCAGCGTGAAAGCATCAATTACCCAACAACGCCGCCGCATCGCCCACGACCTCTCCAAAATCTACCCAATAGCGCCCGTACCGAACCAAAGCCTCGCCTTCACAATCCGTGGCATGCACCTCCCAAACTCAGAAGCACTAGACACCGCAACACCTGAGTCTCTAGCCGCAGCCCTCGGCCACGTCAGCCACACCATCCAGCTCCTCTCTCTCTATCTCGGCGCTGTGCTCCCCTACCCCTGCCGACCCCGCAGCAGCACATCCACAATCCTAGATCCAATCTCCATCCTCAACACCACCGCCACTGCTTCCAAAGCACCCTCTGATGAACTTGCCGCGAGAACATTTCCTCTGTTTGCAAAAGGTGCTGTGCGGTTTCGGTTCGAGTATGGAGTCTTCTTGCTGAACAAGGATGTGGAGATCTTGTTGTCTACGCATTTTGGGGTCAGGGTGTTGGATATCAGACAGACATTGCCAAATCTGCTGTATGTATTTTATTGCGCGACGGCTGGTGATGGGGAGTTGCCTGCGAGGAAAGCTGGTGGTGTTAGGGGGTTGATGAGAATGAAGGCACATGGACGTGCCAGTGCTGAAGAGGAGAGATGATGGTACTGTATGCAGCATAACGTAACATAGCATCGGCATGGTGTGGCATTTGCGTGGTGTAGTTTCGCATGTGTAGCTCATGTAACTTCCTTTCTCGCAACCTCATTCAAATCTATGCACACGAATCGACACCGAGACAAATAGTTGTGGTATGAGAATATAATCCAATATAGTGGAAGATAAGATAAAATAAAATTTCAGACATCCGCAGATTCAGATTCGCCCTTTTGTGTCCTGCAAACTCCCACAATTGCTCCTGATTTCCCCAATGCCAATGCAAGCGAGTGTGTTATGATATATATGAACTTGTTTTTTCCACTCTTTTCGAGATGCTCTTTTGTTTTTTTCTGTCTTCCCTATTCACAGAACTTCCTCTCCCTTTTCTTTTTTGGGGTTCTCTTGACCTGAACGCCGGGTTCCCCTGTTTTGCATACATGATGTGATGATTACAGCTTTGTTCGAAGATATAATGTTGATGTTTGAGCGAGTGTGTAGAAGATGAGTTGTCGTCGCTTCGTGGGTCGAGTTCGTTAAAGTGTTCCAAAAGTAGTGATGAGCGTTGTTCGCCATCCTGACGTAAGCACATAGAGATTGAGATTGGCAGATCGGCGAAAATGTTTAGGCGGTGATAGAGGAATCGGCGCGGTGATCGGCGTGGTTTGCCTGTGTTTCCAGAGCACTGGCCATTACATGGGTGACTATCGCATCGGTTAACTCATGAATGAGATATCATGCCAGGAGCGAGTACTTACCAGGCCAGACAGCCGCCTTCTCAAGCATCTGCGCAGTCATGCGCAAGATTCTACTTCCCAATCCGCATTTCGACAATCCATTGAGTCTGGCCAATGAAGACGGGATGCCCATTGTTCCATTGGGATCCAGAGAGTCCATCTCGTGGGCCAACATCTTGGCTTGTAGAGCCATCTTCTCCTCCATGACGTTGCAGATGCTTTCCATCTTCTTCAAGAGCTCTACGTCCTCAGTGTCGAGCAGCATAACAGCAGGCACTTGACTATAATCCACATCAATTTGACCCAGCACGCCGACGTATCGACCAATGCGTTCCTGAACAGTGGTCTCCCATTCGGCCAGGACTTGGGCGCAGTCGAGGAAGCAGATAGCTGATTGAATTGGCAATTCGTGAGCAGAGGAATCTGCGAACGTCAGGTTGCACTTGGACGAGATGACCAACGAGTCAGCTGCATAGAAAGCAGCTTTGCGCAGGTGGCGTTCGCGCTTAGAGCTGTGTCCTGAGATTTGCATTTGGCCGTGGTTGTAAGCAGCTTGGGGGAAGTCTGGCGAGCTTCCAGATGAACCGTTCGACGAGTTGTCAGGAGAGCCTGTTTGGGCGATGTCAATCCCGCTGGCCAATTCTTCTGACATGGCCTCGAAGTCGCGCTGCCAGAAAGCCTCCTTTGAACGTCCGAGATTGACAAACAGTCTCACAAATGCCAGATCCAATAGTGGAATGCTGTCGGCTGCCAATGGGCCCAAACCGAAGGGGTTGGGACGCTGCAACTTGTGGCGGTCGTTGGCCTTCCATGCAGCTTGCCATGCGTTCAATGCCGGCTCAATGTGGGCTACCATGGAATCGGTTTCTTGCGCTGTCCATTGGCGTCCAATGTGCCTGCTTCTGGTCTCCCAGATGTAGTTATGGAGAGCATTGATCAAGACCAGACATCCAAATGTGCTTGGTCGAAGCTGGGTACTCAATCCATGAGAGTCACCATTTGGACTGTATCGGCTGTAGCCAAACACGTTTTGTTGTCTCTGGTTGGCCGTTAAAAGATCGCTCAGTGCTGCAGAGAACGACGTGGCATTGGCTTCAGCTGCTTGAGCGCCTCCTCTGGCAGCCCATTCCCGAGCACTATCCGCCGTCCAGAGCTCTTCATCGCAGGGTAGCGCAAGGAGAATCTCAGAGTTGGTGATAGCCGGTGTTTGGTTGTATGCAATAACAAGCAGACTGGAGAGGATGAAAATGGCGAAAAGTGTTCGTTTGCGCTCCTCTGCCTCCTTCCACTTCAACCATTGCATATGGACGTTTGTGTGACCGTGGAATGGAGAAGAGCCGTCATCCATGTGAATGTCTGGTCTCTCCTCTTTCACTTCGCTGGAACCATCCTGGTTTGTAGCTGGATGAGCCAACTCGGCAGCACGAGCTAGACTGACCAAGGCTGCACAATGATTGCTCGCAATATCAGCGGCGGTCTTATCACCACAATAGTGACCGTAGATGACATTCAGAAGCATCGCCTGAACCAGCCACAGTGGTGTGTTGTGGGAAGAGCTCTCCGGGCTAAAGTATTGGCCGCCATTGACAGCTGCAGACATGTCGGCCTTGCGACGCTCTTCGAGGTAGAGCTGGATCATTTTCTTTGCGGAATCAAACAGCTCTTTCGAGGCCTGGTGGTCATACTCGTACAAAGCGCCAATTGCAGCCATTGCCAGAATAAGGCAACCCCCACCTCCGACCACGCCACTGTGGTTGGCCGAAGCCTGAGAACCGGCGCTTCGCAGATTGGTCATGTATTCAGGCGAGTCGAAAGATAGTGTGGGGACGTGGAGGAACGGCAGGTGGGAGTGGAAGTACTGGATGTACGCGTTGATGTAGCGCTGTAAATCGGCAGTAGATGGGAGGCTCGGTCCCTGGGGCCTCGGAGATAGAGGTGAACTGATGGATGGTTGTGAAAACTTTCTGTGGCTGAACGCGGATTGTTGCGACAGACTAAGGAGCAAAGCTTGACGAGTAGCGTCTGTGATGGAATCTGTCGAGATGGACGTTACGGAGCTCTGCCTTGCGCTATCTGGTACCGACGATGAGGAGATGCTAGGGCTATCCGAATCAAAGTTGGAAAGAGATGACTGCTGGAATTGGTTGAAATGCATACCGCTTAGAGAGTCAGGCACGCCAGAGTGCATCATGAGAGTGTCCAACTTGCTGTCAGTTGTGGATGGATCAAGCAAGTTTTGAGGCGATATGGTATTCATTGGAGGATCAATTGATGGCAGACCGGTACCGAGGATGTCCAGATTCAAAGCTCCGGGGGTCATCAGAGCTTGCATGTCATTGGGGTTCCAGCCAGCCTGGGATACATTGATGTGGAAAGGACCGTCGGCCAAAGTCTCTGAATAACCACTTTGACTAGCAGTACTGAACTGAGATGGCGACGACTGATCAATCGCATCGTTGTTGGTGTGCGACTGCAATTGTGAGTCCCAGTCTCGCATCCAAGCAAAGTCATCACCTTGACCAAATAGATCGAACTGGTTCATATGAAAGTTTTGGAGGTTTATAGGCTGCGGTGCCGAAGCAGCAAAGTGTAGCTGGGCGGGATTCACTGTATTTCCTCCTGGGGTAAAGAGTTGTTCTAGGTCGGGTACCTGCATGCCTGTGTAGGCTGGCGCCGTGTGGATGTGTGTCAGAGGCTCACCAAAGTCTATATGAGAAGTATGGGTATCAACACGAGAGAGATCAAAGCCGTCTTGTTGACCCATGCCATGGTGTGTCATGCCGTTGATGCCATTGAGGTCCAGGTTCGATGGCCGCTGTTGTGCGTTGCTCATGCTCATCCGGTGGTGTGCCATACTGGCATGAGTTGGCCTTTGTGCATCAACAGGAGAGACGACTCCCATCAACCCAAGGGATCCTAGGTCCAGATGGCCAAGTGTGTTTGCTCGGGGCCTTCCTCCTGCAGTTCCGGTAGTGATACCGGCATTGGCTATTGAGCCTTTCCTTACACGGCCTCCATTGACGGGTCCGCTAGTACTCTCGCGCCTGTTGTTCTTGGGCCGGTTGGAGGGGTTGTTTGTGAAGTGTAGCTTCTGTTGGTGTCGAAGAAGCAGGTCTCGACGGGCGAAACATCTTTTGCATTCCTGGCACTCGAATGGCTTTTCCTTGGTGTGTGAGCGTTCATGTCTCTTGAGGTGCTCCAATCTGGCGAATGAACGGCCGCAGGTTCCGCAGACGTGCGGTCGAGGCTTGTCTGTCTTTGGCGGGGGGAACTTGGCCTGCGCTTTGGGGGGTTGGTTCGAGGGGGCTGCAGTTGTGTTAGCGGATGTGATTCGAAGCCCAGTTGGCAGTTGTACCATTGCCAGCGACGGCAGGATCGGCGCTCGTCGGTGAGATTGTGTCAGGCGATTTGTCCATGGTCGGGAGCTCGATGAGCATTGCCAGTGTTGGCTGGCTGTGGATTCAAAGAGCGCAGCTCCGGAATGTAGGCGGAGAACACAAGTCCGGAAGAGGAGGGAATCAGAGACGCGCAATGGAAGAGGCAACAGGAAACAGGTCAAGAAAGCGGTGTGGGGTGTCCGGTATAGCCGGGATTGAGCTTGAATCAAAGCACAAGTCTTGGGCAGAGTAGGAATAGAAGCTGTTAGGCAAGAAGAAAGAGGCTATGTTTGGAGATCAAGCGTGGGGCGTGCCGGGACTTTGCAAGGAGCACAGCAGATCCGAACCTAGGAGGAATAGATTGGTAGATTCGAGCCTGACGCTGCTAGAGTTCGGCCGGCGTAACGGGGGAACGCCTTCGTTCAGGGACCCTCCAGACACCAGAGCAGGTGCAATTTAGCTCTAGCCTTGCAAGATAGAGAATGGCCTCGCCGGAGCAGATCAATGCAGAAGTCACTGGGACGGTGGTCAAGAATGCGTTTGTGATTGAGAGGCAGGAAGGGAAGGTGTGGTGCAGAGTGGGATGGTCCTCGAGCGAGCAGCAGATTGGGGAAGGCGCGACGGGTTCGCGGCGGCGTTGCGCAAGAACCTGGGGTCGGCTCAAGTTTGGGGAAAGACAAGGAGGTCGGCGGTAATATTGGACAATGATGCGCTCGGTCCTTGCAATGTCTTGAGCCACAGCAATCACTGCACATATGACCGACGCTGGATGCTGGTCTGGCAATTGCTCGCGGTAGAGAAGCAGGAGCCCTGACGACAACTGACAGCAGTGCTAGCAGCAGCCCTCATCTACGATACACCAGCTAGCCCACGAGCTCAGCGGCGTAGCATGATGTGCAAGCAAGCCCTTGGCGACTTGTAACTTGTGCCGCCGTGCGAACCGCTATCCCTGTCCGTCCCAGGCCCTCTAGCCTCAGCCTGGCCTAGTGCGCTCCAACACATCCGCTGGCCGGAGCCTGGCGCTCGACGACCTCATTTCTGCCGCAATTCTCTCTCTCATGCTCCCGCGGGGCCTGCATGTTGATTATCGATGCTGTTCGCAATCCGCTGTTTTTCGTTCCCAACTGTCGCAAAACCGAATCCTGCATGCCTATTGATTGTCTGTACATCAGAGGCACGGTTCGGCTCTCACCACGCCGATCCGGCCCACTTCGAACGACCGATTCTGGCGACTGGTGATGTTGACGGGTGCTGCTGACGATGATGATGATGCTCAAGGTGCTGTTACGAACCAGTCTCCTTGTGCTCGACACCCGGAGCAGCTGACCGCTCCACCACGTTATAAGCCTCCTGGACTAACAGGCTAGATCGCTTGTATCACCTCTACTCTATCTCCTACTTGGACTCGGCCAGTCCGAGTATTTCCCAAACCATAATTATGCGGTTAACGGGACTCCACAGACCACTCAAATTCACCCGTTTTCATGCTGGCCGAGGCCAGCAAGTCCATGAACTTTGGAGGGTCCTCATGCAGGTGCAAGAATACTTGGTGACATCTCGTGCGTTCATCGGGCGTCTCTTGCCATGCTGTGGTCGATCTGTGCCAGTCTACTGAGGTACAATTGTGAAGCGTGTACGAACCTCCAGGCAATTCGATAGGCCCTCAAACCCACGTCAAGGCGGACTCCATACTCTGCGCCGAAGTCGCCGCTGTTTTCTCGCACAAACGCAGGTGATTCCAAGCCACAACAACTAATGGCAAGCGCGAATCTTCGAAACGTCATCCAACATCCGGAGATGTGACCGGATTTTTGCCAGTTGCAACTTGCAAGACGCTGCTCGGCAGCATCCGGACCTACGTATGTATGTCTGATCTGGTGGCTTTGTTGTGTGTGTTTTGTCAAACCATGGTTGAAGATTTCTGCCAGTGTCCGTCAAAGATAGTCTCTCAGCTCAGCCTCTAGCCCATCATGCCTGGCCATATGTGAGCTTCTAGGGTGGGATGTCAGCAAGCTAAGCGCAGCCAAAAACATGGAGAACACGGGGCCGTCTGGGGGCCGCGAATGTCACGCGCACGGTTTAGCACCTAAAAACACAGGCTACACTTGCATCAAATGGGCAAGGAGCGAGCAGCCTCTAACCACACACTGCCCTGTGTGCTTCGTCATCCACAGGCAGCACCTTCCTCATCCAACTCTGTTGTCGCATTGTCAGCGTGCCCTGCTCCTTGATGCATGAGCCTGTGTTAGCACAAGACATGCCATTCGTCTGCTGCATTGTCACTGTACAGATCTCCCTTGCCAATTCTTCTAGCACGGTGCTGATCCGATCTGTGTGGAGGTGGCTGAACGCCAGCTTGATCTCGAATCCTCCGAGCAAATTTTGACACCTGCGAGTGCAGCATCAAAACGGATGCGGTTCGCGGCTAATAGACGATCACACAGCCCGTGTGTCTTGCACATCGCAATTCTTCTCTCCATGCAATGAAAGCCTTGTTCAATTGAAGGGGAAACGCGCTGCTTCATGCTGACGATTACAGTTAGGACCTGCACGAATGTCTCCTTGATCATGGGGGTTGTCTGCTGTCCCTGCATCTTTCTCAGTACAGGGTCACTATAGCGACTCGATAGTGTATGGAAAGCGATGGCGTCTCTCGTAGCGAAAGTGCGTTTAATTAAAACCATACTGCTCATACGCTTGAAAGCGTGAACGGCTCACGGTGCTTTCCACCTCTCACCACCTTCGCGCGGGATCGCGATCCACTCTTACATTGAAGCGGCAAGGGTGGCTATCCCGTTCAAGTGTTTCCAACGAGTATATGCTCCCTGCCCCCTTAACCCAGGCCCAACAGCAAACTCCTAGATATTGGAGCGTCCAATCGTTTGACGTCGGCAAATGACTGGCTCAATACCATGTGCATGAGCTCGACCTCAGGAAGTAACGCACGAAACGAGCTGCTTCACTACTGCAATGCATCCCACTTCGCGTTGTGCGACCAGTGATGTGGCAGATCATCGCCCCACTAGCACTGCAAGGCATCGCCTTCTTCACCTTTCATCGGCTTTCCTCTTCAGGGATACAGGGACAAACCATGCATATGTTATGAGTGACTCAGACTGAGTTACTTAGCAGCTATATTCAAAACGATTGGCATGGACAACCCATGCTGTTAGAAGGTACAATCGCTCGCCCAAAGAGTGCTTGTCGTACATGCTCGATGCTGAGAGAGCATATGGGCACACTCTTGGGAGAACCGTACGCCCTACTCGGATTTTATCATCCGGCAGAGACCTTGGCGCATGAATTCGTACAAGCGGTTGAGAGCATGCCACTTCGGCACCCTGCAGGAAATGGGATTGCTGGCGCCCCTTACAATCGCGAGGAATCGTGGAATCGTGGATTGAATATAGGCCGGGGACACGCATGAAGACGAGCAATCGAGGTCCCACCCGACGACACGCCGTCGCCAAGTTGAAAGTCCAAGCGGCCGGGTACTGCTGTTCTGCACGCGCGAACAAAGATACGACCTCAGGCAACACTTGGTTCCACAGTATGACCGATGTGCCTGCGAGTCTGGGTCCCGAGAAAAGTGCCAGCCAATTGCTGGAAGGTCCAGCAGCAGTGCGCTGCGCTTTTTCGCGAGAAAGGTCTACGAGGTTTCGGTAAGTCGGCCTCTGAATTGAACAGCTGCATGCGCCTCTTCGCGTATCAGAGACGAGCCATGCCATTACTGGTGTACTACCTGCTTGCCTCGGTCAGCACTACCTGCAAAAATGGGTGCCGCCGGCGGCCACAACGTCGTGTATTATTCAGAGACACTCGTCGCACCTATGTCGACCATCTGAAGAAGGTCTGCCGAGAGCTAAGACGTGTTATGGGATCCTTCGAGCGTCCGAAGAGTCGCGTAGATCGATTCGGAGTTGCGATTCGGAGTTGCATGAACGTGATTCCTTCTTCGATCGACAAAACAGACATTTCGGAAGGGCTCCTCGAACCAGCTAAGAGTGAGATCGTCAACTTCGCGAAGGATGCAACTCTTGGTAGCACTAACATAGCAAAGCACGAGCGAAGAGTCTCGATGTCACGCACAAAAGCAAAAGAGAAGCTGCTACGCTGGGTCGAACAACGGACCTTAGGATAGTTGCAGAAACTGCAATCCCACGCTCTACCACTGAGCTACAGCAGCTCGTAGGATTTTTTCTATCTACTTGATATATAACTTTTCGATCATACCTCTTCTCCGTCCTCGCATCATGGTCCATTTTGTCACGCTTTATGTTCAAGCAAAGGCAGTAAATATTCCCCACGAGCGACCCTACCTGGTCATGTCGTCCTGTCTGTCGAGAGCAACACAACTGTTGGTTTCCGCGGACATTTGCAACATGACGCAGCGCACTAAAGAGTGATCTACCCGTGCTGGATCCTCCAAAGATGCAACAGTACGGAAGGCTTACCGAAACAAGACCAGCGCTCGTGTGGCCGCCGACCTCGTGGTCACACCCGTAGCTCGCTTCCCTGTCGAGATCATCAACGGGACGGTGACGCAGCGGAAGGTGCTTCTCCTGGTATGCAAGAGGATATCCGCCACCGCCCATGTGATATCTCCTTCGATTTGTGAGTCCGTCTCGACTCGCGGCCGGGCGTTCGGGGTGGCATTGATTCTCTCTTGCTCCACAATTACTGCTACCTCGGAGGAATTCCGCACGAGCATTGAACCGAACGCCCTGCGGCAGACCTGCCTGTTTGGGGTGGCCTGGGTATGCAAGTATGATATTGATGGCACAGCAAAAGATCAAGAAAATCAGCGACTGGCTCAATAAAGGTCCGAGTCGCATTTCTGGGGGTGAACGCAATCCGAGTCACCGAGCGTTTGTTGATGGTCTAAATATGAACACCTCAGCAGGTGACAAAGATCATCATGGCGGGGAGAAGAGCGTGGGGCAGTGGAGAAGGAAATTTGACGAAGCAGTTTGTCACAGCTGCTGGACAAACCACCCCCACCTACTATGTTCGCGTCGACATTTTGTCTGTACATGCATCCTTTTGATGATGAGCAATGGCGACCTGCAGTCTTCTTTTCTGTTAAATGGTTAAATCGGGAGAGGCGACAAGATCACTCAGACACGAGGGCCGCGACTTTGTACGCGCGAATGATTCAGGCGGATGACGCTTATCTCTGGCTTCAGGACGCCCTTATCGCGGCCAACAGCAGCGAGTCTGGCCATGTGATGTATTCCTCTACTGGGCATCAAGACCATTATCAGTAAGAGTAGCGTTGAGCTATGGGGTTTGTATGATTGTTTTTGAAACGTACCAGTCTTGTGAGCAGCGCTTCTAACACCCGTATCTTTAATCGAGTTCGTATCGAGTCACCTTGCACATGTCCATCACTCGTGACTCTTTGCTTCTTTTCGACTCAATACCTACACTCTATCTCTTGCACTCCTCATTGCTTGATTACCTGACTACCTAGTTCTCCGACACCTATCATTGAGACGCCGTGTCTTCTCTTCCGACCATGTCATGGCAGGCTCTCACATTCCAGCCTGAGCTGCCGCAGTACTGCACACCGACAAACGACTTCCTCACACGCTTCTCGAGTACATTTCACACATGTGTGCCGACACCTCTAGCATTCCTATCAACACTACTGGGCACTTTATCCATCGTATCGTGGCTCTTCGCCCAGATGCCCCAGATATACAAGAACTACACCATCAAGAGCACATCCGGTCTATCCATATTCTTCCTAGTGGAATGGTGTGCAGGGGACGTCAGCAACTTACTCGGTGCTGTCTTCACGAAACAAGCCACATGGCAAATGATAGTAGCAGGATACTACTGCCTCGTCGACTTTCTGCTCGTCGCTCAGTGGGTCTGGTACGAGCGACTACGACACGGCTACACGATTCGCCAAATGTGGCCAGACAGAGATGACAACAATGATACTGAACGAGGCCAAGAGATGGTGATCGAAGGCATGCCAGCCATGAGCCGCGAAAACACATTCGAGGATACCAACAGCCCGGGAAGAAAGAGCTCGGCCAAGGACATCAAGTCGCCTGGTAACGGCAAACAAAGCATGTGGCGTATGCCAGTCTTCGGAGACGTCAACGAAAAGTACGGCTCCTCCAGAAGCCCACGGGCCATCAACCGCGTGCAGGCTTCCTCGTCTTTCCAATCGCCATCTCCACGTACTGTACTGCTATTAGCCTGCTTGATCTCTCTCGCCCAAGGCTCACCTTTACACCCTACTTTCCACCATCCTTCCCACCACTCACCTGATACCAAGACTTCCAATCTGGCCGCCGCCGGCACAGTCCTCTCCTGGCTATCCACCCTTCTCTACCTCGGAAGCCGCCTACCCCAACTCTACAAGAACTGGGCTAGAAAGTCAACCGCAGGTCTCAGCGCCCACCTCTTCATCGCCGCCTTTTTCGGAAACCTCTTTTACAGCACCAGTATGCTTACGAACCCTAACCTTTGGAATGATGCACCTGCCCATGGTTTGCACGGCTGGGTGGAAAACACACCCAATGTACGTTACGATTGGCTCATGCGTGCATTGCCATTTTGGCTTGGCGCTGCTGGTGTGTTGGTTATGGATGCAGCTGTAGGTGTACAGTTCCTCATGTATGGCGAGAGTGAAGATGCAAAGGTTGTTGTGCTGGAAGAGTCTGGACGTGAGAACTGGCGTTGGAGAAGAGTTAGTGGGTGGATGCGTGGTTGGGTGCCTAGCTTTGGTGAGCCGGTTGGCAGGTCTGAAGATGGAGTGCATGAGAGAGAGGCTTTGTTGCATCAGACCTCGACTCAGGATTATGGAGCTGCTGCTAGAGCTTGATTAGATGATGGATGACCTTTTGATGATATGTATGAGGGTTTCTTGTAGGAGTGCGGTTGCATTTCTGTCATTTCGGGATGTTACTAGGGCATTTGTATGGTGTTATTGGGCCCAACTGCGCTTGGGATTGGGAAGGGCACACTGCCGGTCAGATGACGACGAGATTCAGGACTCTAATGAACAACTCACAAAGCATTACACGAAGCACGCTGTCTACTCGTCGATTGAACATCAGTACCTGCTGGTAGAATCTCTTTGTGTGCATGTAAAATGGTCCAAAAAGACCAGTGCATAGAATGCGTGACATTAATTGAAGACAAACATGCTCTGGGAAGTCTACATCATTAGCGGACATGCATCACGTTACATATCGACTTTTCGAATATTCACAAATCTTCACATCACTCGCATACTTGTGCCCCATATACTCGTCTGGAAATGCATTGGATACCATCGATCTTGTGAAGGAAAAGGTATGAGAGGATAGAAACATTAATGAGTGTCGTGTTGTTGTGTTCTTCGAGATGATCATGGTAACATCAAGCTGACCTTCTTCTCATGGCAGCCAGTCCCACACTTGATGGTTGTATCTTCGTTGTATCTTCGACCTCTGCTGCTTCTGGAATGTCTCGAAAATTGGCAATAACTCCAAGATCATACTCTTCGGCTGGTGCAGCGTCTGGGTCTCGAAAGTTGTCTGAGCACCATCCTGACATGATATGTAGGACTTGAATAGTCGTTGTCCTCCTCCAGCCATGTCCTCAGCCAAGAACCAAACTCCTCCAAGCTGTCTGATCCGAGACCTGACAGGGCGGCTGCTGCGTGTATGTCGTCTAGTAGAAGGTCCATGTCCTCGCTCAATTCATCATCGCACTCCATGGAAAAACTGTTACCACACACAAGCTGCCAGTGCAGATTCATGAGCTTGGTTCCAACTTCTGGATTGAGCTCCATGGCCTGATAGTCGATGAACAGTTTCTTGCCTAATTCGACAACAACTGAGATGTCTGAGATTTCGAGGGTCAGTCTGATAGTATTGAGCTTCAAAGGAGATGGAAGCATATCGTCGAGTCCTTGTACCGTCAATCCTTTGTCGGCCCTCTCTAGCAGTGATGCCGTTCCGAACTTTGCGTGGAAAGAACAGCTCGAGTAAAAGCGGTCTGAGAGTGCAGATCGGAGAGATTTGCAAGTCATCAACAGTGAAGGTTGTGAGATGACCAGAGTATGGCCTGAGCTACCCCTGTACCTGAACCGAATCAGATAGTCCTCATCGTAGAGATGATTTCTGCAAGCTGCGTAATCGAAGATCATGATTAGAATCTCAAGCGGCATGTCGAGTAGAGAGACAGCTTGTTGTGGTATCTGAGTGGCCATTGGCAGTAGTTTGGTAGTCGTGCGCTGGGGTTCGGTTGTCTTGCGTGGTGAAACGGCAGTCTCGACTGTAGTATCAGCACATTCTGTAGTCGATCCCTCCATCACGTTGTCGTCGAGTGTGTTCTTTGACAAGGTGAATTGCGATTTTGAGTTGGCTAAGAACGGAGTCAGCGAGATGGAGTAACGAGGACTGGATATCGAGACTTACTCGCAGCACATTCGTCCTTGGTCTCATGTTTGTCCATGGTTGAAGAGTCGGGCTGACTTTTGTTCAATGCCTTGATGGGCGATGCCGCGGCCGTAGATGGCGGCATGGTGACTGGATTTGTGTTTCGTGCTATGGTGGTCGACCTGTTGTGATGAAGTGGTGCTACGAACTGTTGAAGATGATGTTGGCTGGATGGATGCCAGTCCAGATGGTTGTTGGAAAGAAAAAAGTAGGACTGCGAAAGAAGTGATACAGAATATATATCACGTGAACAAGTAGAGTTGTAGGGCAGGAGCTGAAGTGAGCGAGGGAGAACTCACTTTACGCCCGACTTCGTTCCTTCTATTGAACAGAACTCCGAACAGTTGTGTCACTTTTCTAATCAACATATCACTTACAGTGTGAGTGAAGGTCGAAACCTACAAGGAAGTCGCAACACAAAGAAGTCAGAGAAAGACGCAACTTTCCAGGCAGGGAGCAAAAAACCATCTTAGCTGTTACAGCTATGATGGGAAAACCCCCTCCTACTTGCAGAGTATTCTACCTTTGCAAAGAAGAGAAAGAACATAATGTTCCGCTACATCCGAGGGTCAAACCCAAGGACTTCTGGGAGTTTTATTGCACTGGAATCACAAGTTGGTCTTACCGATTGAGCCAACTAAACCGATCGCTGAGGGGAAAGTAATCTGGTTGGGTCATATGGCTACGGTGTCGGAAGTGAGTCTGGGTTGGTGAGTGAATGATTCAAAGCACTCACTTCTGGATACTGACTGTCTGCACAGAGCAATGTCAAGTACTTACTGTTCCAATCGCAGCATACCCAACCCTCTTGCCTACTCAATACTCCAAATAATGCGCCCACCTCTCAAACTCCACCCACATCCCCAACGGATCTCTATCAATCTCCCTCAAATTCTGCTCTCCCACACCCTCAAAGACTTGTCTCGCCGTCGTATGCACCATCATCGCCAACCGACTCCCTTGTCCATGACTCTTGATCACATCCCCAAGAAGTTTCTTCAACAACTTCACAATCGGAACCACAAAGTCAAACTCGCGGCGGAACAGCTCTTCCACGCCTGCGTCAACGGTGGCAGAGGGATCGTTGGGTGAAGAGTAAGCTTGAACAAGCGTCTTTGCGAGGTTCCAAGTATGAACCACGCGGACGGGGTGGAAGTCTTGCGGATACAAGATGGGATTGATGAGGAAATATGTCTTTGCCATTTGGAAAAGAGCAAGACCAAGTCGGTTTTGAGATAACATGCGTGAAGTGATGTCGACTCTGATGTTGGCGTAGGGTTGCCTAGTGATGGGCCACATCTCTGTCTGCTTGCACGATCGCATGACATGCTCGAGTGCCTCTGTGGCGAGTGTATCATCCTTTTGGTTGCGTACGGGCTCGTAGTCGTGATATATCCAGCTCTGCAAGATGGACAAGTCTTTCTCAGCTTTGCTTTCGCCCAAGTAGGACGCTGCGTCGGCAGAAAATGTGGTTTTGCTGTCCATGAGTTCGGCCAGGCTGGACCATTTAGGAGCGAGCTTTTCCAGTGGTTGTGCCCAATCGTCTTCTCTGCCGTTGGTACCGTATTGGCACTTTGGACATTGACACTCGAAGCAGTATCTTTGCTTCAATTGGGTTTGCCGACGATAGTATGGATCTGTGTTGTCGATGTAGGAGATGAAGACTTCTTCACCTTTTCTTATGGGTGACAACGAGCGCATCATGAGGTAGGGTTGATCGAACAGAACAGTTGCATTCGGCTCACAAGAGTGATTGGCCGAACAAACAGTTGGGTCCAGAGCAATACCCATAGGATCCAAGACAGGCGAAGTCAACGTCAGTGAATTGCGAAGGATCTGTTTCTTGCTTAGCACTGTACGAGTAAACACAAAAATGGTCAAGTACCTTTCCTACATAGCCGCGTATCTTGGATGGATCATTGCCGGTGCGGGCGTACAGATCGCTTGCCGCTGTTGTAGTCACTTCGTAGTTCATAACTTCGAAGGGTGTCTGGATTGTAGTCGCATCGTGAGCTCCGAGACGGAGCACGCCAGCCTTATCTTCCTCAGACATAGCACTACTGTCCATGAGGAACGCTAGTTGCAGTGCCGCTCGCACAGAACTAGGTATAGGCGGGAGATTCGGGTCTCTCAGAAGCTTGCATTCTTGCTTGTGGTATCTGGTCCAAGCCTGCTTCTGGCATGCCTATACGAAAAGCGATATATGAGTAAAGTTCCAACCATGTCTGCGGTGAGGAAAACATACCTTACTACAATACCTAACCTTCTTACACCCCGTACAAGCTTTGATCCCAATAATTTCACCCTCACTCGCACACCCCTCACAATCAGGATATCTGCCTGGATAGCGATCAGGCTCACTCGCATGAACAGCACAAACCCTAACAGCCTTGTGTGACCACAAAAAGCAATTATGACAACTCTCTTCCAGTCTCGGTAAGTCCAGTTCACCGATCAAAGGTCGCGGTTTGAGTAAGATTGTAGAGCCAGCGGGTATGTCTTTGGTCGCGAAAAGTCCATTGCCCGAGGTTGGTGACGGGCGCACTTCAACATGGCATTCTGGTGTTGGAGACGATAGATTAGAAGATGGAGGTGGTAATAGTCGGGACGTCATCTTTGCGCAGCATGTAGGTATGCTTGATAGCAAAAGATGATCAGTAGCAAAAGTTGATGTTATTGCTTGCACATGTCACAAGCCAGCGAGCATTGAAGTCGGAGCTTTTTCAAGCTTTTATTACGTCACATGGGAAGTGCAAGAGCAACACAATCAGGACAAAAGGCCAAAGTAGGTTCTATTCGACTGTCCAAAAGAGAGCAGTCGTGCTCATGGTATGTAAAATGACTCGCTGTGGATATCCCGCGAAGAAAATAGGAGGAGAATGGTAACAGAAACCATGAAAGGCTAGATGGGGAAAAGAATAAAAGCAACATTTCTAAACAAGGGACAACGAAAAGAGGTCCCAAGAGCACGCTCATGTGCAACGTTTCAGTTCGTTTCAAGTTTCTTGGTGATCATTCCTAATCATCATCCATCGGCTTGTCTGTCAGTTCGACACCGCGGTGGGCCAATGCCTCTTCCTCGGCGCGCTCTGCAATGTCAACGGGGCTGTCAACAAAATCAGCTCCAGGTGCGGCTGCAGCACCTGACGATGTGGTGCCTACGCTACTAACACTCTCGCGCTTGGCGATCAAACTTTGACGCGACAGACTGCTTGCGGTGCCCTTGCGAGCAACACGTCCCATCGATCGATTCAGAGAGTTGCGCTTCTCAACCTCGACAGATTGACGGTTGTTGCTGATACCCGAGCTCGGCTCAGGGCCGATGAAATCGGCATCGCTGCCAGCTTCGTCGCCTTGTTGCTGTTCTTGAGCGTGAGCAAGATAGTCAGGAGCCTCGATCTGGGCACCAGGGGTCATAATGACAGAGTTGGTAGTATCACTGCGTTGACGAGTGATGGGAGCTGCAGCGTCGGCAGAATCGGAAGAAGATGGCAAAGAGTCGGTCCTACCATTACCCTTAGGCGGCGACTGCAGCAAAACAGGAGCGCGGACTGGAGAGCCAGGCACCTCCAGACTGCCACGGTTCATATGACGATCGGCAGTGGGAGTGCTTGATGCAGAAGGAGTAACAGGGAACCTTGTCTCTGGGCCTGAGCTGCGCTCTCTTTTGTGCATAGATCCAAGAGGACCGCCAAAGGTGGACTTGAAAGGACTGGATGCGCGACCACGAGTTTCGGCGGCTGCGATGATGGCTCGTTGACGCTCCTCCATGTGCTCACGGCGTCTGCTCTCGTCGGTACTAATAGCACGAGGTCTCGATGCGCCAGAATTGGTGTGGGTCAATGAGGATTGGCGCTTAAGCTCTCCAAAGATGGTGTCCTTGTGTGCAAAAAGATCGCGTACAAGTCTGTAGTTGAACTTCTCGTTGAGTGATAGGGTGTTTCCTTGCTTGGGACGAAGGATGCAGGGTGCAAGTGCAGTAGAGAGGGCTGTGATATATGCTTCGTCGGCCGAAGTCAGCTCGATCAAACGTGTGAAATGTGTCGTGATGGCATCCAGAGTCGCAATGTTAGCAAGTCTAAGCTGACCGAGCGTACTCTGGATGACAGACATGCGTGCACTTTCCGAGGTGTTTGGTGCTGTGCTTGTGTAGATTGTCTTGATGATTTCGTAGACATGCGCAGAGACCAGAGAGTCGGGAAGTTCAAGCAGATAGAGCTTCAGAACGGATGCAACGATCGGAATCTCGTAGCGGTCCAGGGTATCCTGAGAAACTGTGTCTTTTCCGGTATTGAGAATGGTGCGCAGATGGTGAGTAGCAGCCAAGGGGACGTCTACGAGCCAGATGCTGCGACGGGCCTCATCGCCTTCAAGCTCAGGGTAGTGGTTATCGAGAAAAGTCAGCAATGTGGTAACGATCAGAGGAACGCGCTTTCTGTCAGCACGAGCGCGAGCTTCGATATCAATGCCAAAAGTCTGCTCATCAACATTGTTGTAGTAGTTCTCGTAAATGGTGACCTTGGGCACGAACGGACCAGTCCTGTAGTTCTCCAAGAGATAGCGCAGATCTCCCAGCGGCTGAACAGTTTCCTGGAAAAGCATCATGTTGTCGACAGTGCTTTGCAAGCTAGGAATGACATTGCTGATCGCTCCAGAGAAGTCCAGGATGACGCTCTTGATAGCCTTCAGACGGTCGAGCTCACAACGCTCCATGAACTTGAGATGATCGACCATGGCCTCCTCGAGATTGCAACGAAGAGCATCGAGTTTCCTCACAGCACCCTTGTAGCGTTCATCGGCCTCGCGGGCTTCTCTGCGCAACTTGGCTGCAGGAGTTTCGCCCGGATGAGAATTGTTCAATGGGTTCCATCCGGAGAAGAGTTCTCCAACGGCGCCAACAGCACCGGCAGGCGAATCTGGGATCGAGCTGACCGAGGACACAGTGGCAGATCTATTCAAGCCTCGTCTTTCGGGAAGGCCGGTGAGCTGGAAGACCTTAGGACGCCACTGGTAGTTCATGCGACTGCTGTTGGCGAAAGTGCTTCCAACATTTCCGACAAGTCTCAGGAACCCGTGGCCGACCATATCCTGGCCGATGCGTTCGGCGTAACTGACACTGGTGCCACCCATGTGCTTCTGGATGTAGTCGGTGATGTCGGCTCCGGTCGAGACATTGTGGTATGTGCCGAGGATAGGGACCTTTGTCTCGCCCAGCTTGATGGTCTCGAGCATGTGGTTGAGAATCTTCTTGACTTGTTCGGGAGTGTATGTTTGGTCACCAATATCGATAGGTTCCTCGTCATCCTCCTCTTCAGGTTCAACAAGCTTGACGACAGGAATTTGCGAGACAGGCTTAGGACTTTGGGCAGCCTCGCTCTGGGGGTCCTGGAAGGCCAGCTTCTCTTCTTCGTCCAGATCTTCGACACGGCGGCACTTGTTGTAGTACTGACTGCGGTAGGTACGGACATAGTCGGCCTGTCGGTCGTGGGCTTTGATACGGGCTTGTAGGTCGTCCTGTGAGTTTTGGACTCGTGCGGCGTGGGCATCGCACCAACGGGCGAAGGGGCTGACGACAAGCTCGCGGATGTTGGATGCTATCTTGCGGTGGTTCTTGGCCGCCTCACTCATCTCGGAGCGCATGCCCTCAAAGGCCTGATTTCTTGTTAGTCGTCTTGGTCTGCATGTATTCTAGAAGCGACTCTGGTGACGCACCTTCTTGACACTGGCACCGTCATCTTTCTGGAATCCACCCTCGACCCTCATAGTAGCAGCATCGATGTCGGCCAGACGTTGACCATATAGATCCTCGGCTTCAGCTCGCATGCGCGCAATAGTCAGGACCTGCTGGTTCTCCTGCACGCCCTGCTGGAGCTTGCCAAAGAGGACTCCCAATCCTGCCGACAAGTTAGCACGAGCCGACAAACGGATATATTGAACACACCTCCGGCATAACTCTGATCGGATGACCAAAAGGAACTTGCGAAACTCGTCATGGTGGACGTTTGTCGACCACAGCTCTAGTCGACCGAGGCGAAACAGATAGAGGTGTCGCGGTTGGTATAAATCAAGGGCCTTCCCCGGAAACGGTCTTGTTGACAACGATGACACCAAATGTGCAGTGTCTAACTTAGCGATTCAGACCAGCGAGACGAAGCAAAGGACGGGTGAAGATCTTGCTCGAAGGAAGCAACCAGGCCACCGGGCAAGTTTATTGTGATGACGAGTAAGAGATTGAGCTCGGTCGAGGCTCGAGCGACGGATTGGAAAGGCTCCCTAAGTTGAAACATCGTATTCTACCCTTGGCGCAAAGAGACCCTGATCGTGCCTCCTTCATCCAACGTGCCTGCAGCTACAAGCCATTTGTATCCCTTCACAACCCTAATCCACCAAGCCCTTTGCACTCTGTCCTCTGCACTGCCTTCTGTTGCCATACAACTCCTCTCCGCTTCCACTTCAAGGTTGAGGGCACGAGCCAACGCTGGTCGTATGCGAGAAACCACGCATTGGCCGCGTACCTCAGCTTCTCTCCCGCCTCGCCGCTGAGGAGGAACAGTACCAAGCTTCACGAACAAGCATGTTCGACATTCTGATATGTTATAGCAAATCCATGTTTAGTAGGTCTTTTAGCTAAAGTATCTTGACCCTAATAGTCTGATTTCATTGGTGATCCGGAAGTCCTTCTCCTCTTGCGCCCATGTGGCCCTGAAGCTGATAAAGAGTGCCTGTACCATCTGGTATGTGAGGCGCCCCGTTGCTGCTTGCTCCGCGCGTACTCCCAGCCTGTTGTTTCTGACCATTCGCCATCAATACCAGCAAATTCGAACCCGATGCAGAAAATCACTGAGAAAAAAAAACACCCGAGACTTGCGCCGCCGTCGACCTGAATCCTCCCGCGTGCCGACGGTCCAGATATGCGTAAATTCACTGAAGCAAAGAGAAAAATGAAAAGACTCCCCGATATACTCCCATGATTCGTAGCTTGCGTGTAAAGAGCTTGTCCTTCGTGGTGGATCTAATGTTTGTGCTCTTATCGTCTATCTGGGTGATGTACCCATAGCTGTGCCCGGCGAGGAGGATGTTCTTGCCATAGGCCTAATCGTAGTTGTCGGAGTAGGCTCTCTCGACACGATCTGTTGTGTGAGTTTGCGGCGAAGACCATCGAGTCTGCCAGCAGTACCTTCGATCACTACACATGAAGAGTCAGTATGGTTAAGGGTAGAGCGGAGCTGCAGAACTTACGCTTGAGAACGGTTTCGCGATCTTCAGTGTCGATGCCATTGATAGTGACACCAGCTCTGGCCTTGTACGCGCTGTGCTTGGAGAGTAAAGGCTCATCATCATTCTCAAGAACCGCTTCCAAGAGCATGATTGATGTGATGTAGCTAAGCTCACAGCCCTTGAACTCTTTTCCCATCAGCTCGTTGATGGCCGCACCACGGCTCATCTCAACAGCGCGGTCGAACATCAACTTCTCGGCTGTAACGCCGCTGGTGAGTTGAATATGATCAACAGCAGCACTCATGTTGTTGCCGCTTCCCGAAGTCTGTGACTGGGCGTGGTTGTTGGGGTGTCCTGGGTGGCTAAGTGGTAGCTGCTTCTGGGCTTCCATCAACAGGCGTCCAACCAATTCAGACTTCTCGAGACTCTCATTGAAGCGAGTGCGAGCCCATTGAACAACACTGTTCATCTGCTTGCTCATTTCAATAGAGCTTTGCTTGGCGTCACTGAGTCTTGACGGAAGCGATCCGGGTGGAGTGTCGAGCCTGCGTTGGCGATCCCACCAGTGCTTTACGAGATTAATGGTCTTTACCAAGATGGCCAAGGCCTTGACGTAAAGGACAAATGCCTCCTCTGCCAACGCCACGATAGCGGTTTGAGTAAGATCATCGTTGGGGTCCTCGCCAGTGTTGGGAGGCTGCTCCAGCGCGCCGATCTGCTGAATCATGGGTCTGTCTTGTGCTGAAGGTGTCGCGGGAAGCAACTGTCTGTACTTGACTTCGGCAAAGCCGTATACGACGTCACTGCGAGTTGCGCCCTCCTTCACGATTGACAGCAGTCGACTATCCTCGTCGCTGTTGCTTGGCGAGTGTCTTCCGTCGCCCATTGTCAGTTGGGGAGGCGGTGCTGAAGATGCAGGGAACCCAGCATATCCTTGAGGTGGGGATATACCTTGGGCCTGTCCAGTCCATACGGTTCGTAGACGATTGTTGGCTGCATTCAAAGCCTTTGAGAGATAGTCTGTAGGTGTTGGACCCTGACCACGTAGGTCGAACGAGGGACGCCGACTGGGAACGGTGCCTATCTGTCTGCCGGACACTGCCTTCAGTGCATTCGACACAATATTGGCGCCAGGCACTCCCGGAGCCGTGGTACGACGAGTCATACCACTTGTGTTGTTCTCGGGCTGTCTGTTGCGATCCGCGAGCTCATCGGCGAAAGCGTTGACTTCGACAGCTTTCTTTTCAACCATAACATACTCTTTCTCGAATGTCAAGTCGTGGGCTGTGTTTGGGTCGCGCGACTGTCGAGACATCTTGTCGTGCATAGGTGATGTTTGAGGAGCCGAAGAACTGGGAGACGGAATGTGACGTGGGTTGCTAACTCTGCCGTGGTTCAGAGGAGCTGCGTGCTGTAGCTCTTGGCGCGAAGGAGCAGTCGCAGTCGGAATCAGAGGCGGTCTCTTCTGCTCGATCTGGCCAGCATAGCGCTTTGTGTCAACTGATGTTGACGAAGGGATAGCTGCTTCAGTCTGACGACGGTTGATAGGCATCTCGGGTCTCTTGGTAGGTTCAACGCTCGGCGAAGCAGCTGCAGCTGTGGGCTTTCTGGTCATGGCGGAGAAGGGGTCGCGAAGAGCTCGACCGGCACCAGCTGTGTCGATTTCTTGCTCAGGGCTGTTTATGGATTGCTGCTGCAGACGGAGACTCAACGCAGACATGGCTATGTCAGATTCAGACGCATCAGCAACACGAGGTTTGTCCTCGTCAACAAGACCTGGAATTTCGCCGACGATTGTGGAACTCCCAAAGAAACGGTCGAAGCTGACACGCTGAGTAGGCTGCCTCTTCAGCAGCGATTTGATCGTGTCCTTGAACTCGCGCGAGACAACCAGACCAGCTGGAAACTGGATCACGTCCTGTGCTTGATCAATCTTACGAAGCAACTCAACATGGTTGGTCGCCTTGAAAGGAGGTCTTCCAGCAACCATCTCATAGGCCACGGTGCCGACTGACCACAAGTCTGCCTTTGCATCATACTTCTGATAAGCCAGAATTTCCGGAGCCATATACAAAGGAGAGCCACAAAGAGTCTCAGCCAGCGAAGTACTAGCAAGGTGACGAGCGAACCCAAAGTCAGCGAGCTTCAGCATGGGCAAAGAAGCCACACCGACGGCAGGGATGAGCGAGTTCTCGCTTGCTGCCAAAGGCACGTCCTCTGGTCTTTGTTGCTGCATGTAAGTTGGTGGCGGGTTAAGCAACAAGTTCTGCGGCTTGATGTCGCGGTGGATCAAGTTGTATTTGCGCAGATACTGGAGAGCGCTGGCAATCTGCTTGAGGAAGTGGCGAGCCAGGACTTCGTGCAAGCCACCGTTGGTCGCGTTGGGATATCTGTCAAAGATATCGCGCGTCTCAGGCAAACCGGCAATGCGGGCTCTACCCTTCATGAACGCAGCAAGATCCGACATCTGGCAGTACTCCATAACCAGATGGATGTGCTGGGGGGTATCGACGCATTCGAACAAGGCGACGATGTGGGGATGCTGGAGCTTTCTCAGGATGTTGATCTCCGAGTTGAGATTCTCTCTCAACTTTCCAGTCAGCTTTCCTGTGACGACCGACTTGATGGCAGCATATGATTTGCGCTTCTGGAGTTTGAGTTAGCACCAAGAACTGTGCGAAAAGACAAGATCTGGGTTGTTTACCCTGTGAGATGCGAGATAGACAGTGGCGAAACTGCCCTTGCCAATCTCGTTCTTGCGGATAAAGTCGCCTACAGCAACCTCGACGACTGGGGCCTCACGACGGCTGTGGCCCGCAGAGGTGCGGTGTGATGCCATGTTGAAGTAGCTCGGCAGGGCAGCGTTTGAGGGACTGAATGACCTTGAGCAAGGTGGCTAGCGATGCATCTGTGTGATCCGAGGTGGATGGCGCGAGTGACGGTTGCAGGAAGAGAAGTGGTGTTCGACGGAGGGGCAAAATGTAGAGACTCGGGCTGTTCGACGAGCTGTTCGACGAGAATACGGGGTTCGCGGGGGGCTCGGCGACGGTTCGACGAGGGGTGTACGTCGACAACAATCGAGTAAGGGTACGAAGTGATAACAGAAGCGAACCAGGCAGAAGCGACGACGAGGGTATGCTGGGTCAGATGGCAGTCGAGTCAGTCGGTAGAGAAGCCTGGCTTCGACAGTGCTGGATTGTGACTCCGCGAGACAGGATACACGTTATAGACAAGGACTGGGCACGCAAGAAAGAATGTAAGAGGCAGCAAGCGGCGAGGCGATGGGTATAATAGAGTATGTTCACAAGACGGTCGTGTTGTAGGGAAAGTAGGAGCTTGTCCAACTCGCAAATGCACTTTGAAGCCCGCCATTAGAGCGCGCGCCGATCGTTGCGGCGACCCGCTCTTTTGGCACAAGATCACGTCTTTTGGTCACGACCGCAACCACCCTGAGGCACCGATGACTCCTCTTTCTTCTGCTCTTTTTACTTTGCCATTTGTTGTCATCCATCCCCTCCAGTCTGATGAACAACTGAGTCGCCGCTATCGACGGTTTACGCGCCAGTACACTGATGCTGTCACCAACAGAGTGTATCGGAGCTTGGAGGAGATAAGCCTGCCCAAAGATAAGCATGTGCCCATCCAGGTGCTCCGGAAACTCTAGCCTCGACCTGCTCATAGCTGCTGTTGCACTTGGACCGCATGAGTGGGTGGGCTCTGCTTGTGACTTTGCGTCTGTCGTGGTTTCTGCTCATATCCGTCTTGCCTCTGGAATACTCATCTGTTCACCTGGGCAACAAGAACCATCTTCTCGCCTTGACGCTGGAAGATTCGTTTGTTGGAAGTCATGTGATTGAAGCCCTCTATTGGGCCATTGCAGTCTTGACGTCGCAGCTGCCCGCGTGTCTGAAACGGCTCGGTTTTGTGATCCTCTCACAAGATATGACCAGCGGAGTTTGCCAAGTGACAATGAACGCTGTCGTGTGACTACTTCAGTACAGAGAAGAGACGATAATAGAAGGAATATGTGATCCAAATATTGCAAGGCTTCATTATATGTTGCTATATAGTAAATTTCAATCTAAGAATTAGAAACAAATCAAAAATCGTGCATCGTGAATCAATGGAATCATGACAGAGATTGCCAGGGCGCAGGGCCATGACTGCCTTTTTCAAGGCTGTTCCTGTTGATAAAAGTCTGCTGTTTGTATCGAGGACTCCTTGAGATGCCTTGGTATTGGTATTGGTGTTGGATTTGGAGGAAGTCAATTTACGCCGAGGATAGCACCCTGGCTTGGCCGTCCTCATCCGACAACATTGGTCATCTTCGAGGTTTTCCACGTAAAGCCTCCCAGATTTCGAAAATCGGAGCAGAGATATAGCTGTCACCGGATAGACGTGTCGATGTCCTCTTTGTAGAGTTATAGCGAGACCTTGACTTTTTCGGGGTCTGACTTCGCTGTATGCCGTGGATTACCACGCGAGGTCGCTGCGTATCATCCATCGTTCTAAAGAGTGGGTACAAGTCGTGAAATAATACGGTCGTGATTGCATATCATTCATGGGTCTTCGTAATCAACACCATCGAACAGATCCAAGACAACTTGAAGCATCAGAGGACAGAGGTCTCCAGACTCATCTCCTTCGCCATCACCATAGTACTGCATATGGCGAACCTCATATTGGTCGTTCAAATGATATGAAGTACTGTCCTGGATGGCATGATGGAGGCTAGATCGTTCAGAGCAGAAACTCATGTCGTCGTTGATTGTGGCCTGGATAGTCCCAGGCGAACTTGAAGGCGATGTAATGTCGATAGATTGATGACGAGCCTTCTTGTTTGGCCTCAGTCTGGTTCGACGTCTGTTGTGTAGTTTGCCCATGTTCGAAGAGTGTTTGAGGTATGGTATGCGTGCAGAAGGAAAAAGGGAAACTAGAAGAGAAGGACTTTGAAAGGAGTGTTGGATCTACTCATGATTGCTACCTTAGCTTTATAATGTTTCTTAGTTGTTAAACAGTCATCCCCGAAGTCGCTGATCGCCACTCGCATAGAAGCCTAAAGAATTTTAGGCCGCGAAGAACCGTGTGAAACCACTTTGCTCGAGTCGCGAGATAGCACGCGAGGCAGTGACTCATTCGGAGTTCTGGAGTCTTCTCCAGATTCTGGGGGAGTTGCACAGACCATCCCAGAGCATTCTGGCGATTTCCTTGACAACCACGATACCGTGGGTGGTTTGTATGGTGCCTGCTGCCTGGTTGTGCTAATGCCGGAGTCATCGCGGTGTTATCAGTGGGCGGTAGTGATCGCAGTGTTTGTTATCCTCATTTAGGTGATGGAAAGAGGTGGGATAGTAACGCCATCACTGCTGCCTTCACGCTTGCGTTTGTTTGTCGTGCTGTAAAATCAGCTTAGGCTATCGAACTAGAAATCCAGAAGGCTGCAGAATGTTGAAGAGAAGTCGTAACTGTCACTCCAGAAGGTCTCTGTTGATGGAAAGAACACAACAAACTTGTCGCTTCTACCAGTCCCAAGACTTTTGACAATAACCCCCAGCATCTCCAAAGCAAAAAAAATTGAATTTATAAATTTATCTTACAACCATTCCAAAAACATGACTGCAAAACAACTTGCCTCGTCAGGGCTCTCGTTGCCGAACGATACATACATCTACTCTTTGGCTCGCACGACAACATTGTGTGCTGCCATCTCGTCTGATGATTCACTCCGCTATTTTGACCCTACCAACCTCTCGCTTGTGCATACGGTAGCCAAGGCACACCAGGGCATCACATGTCTAAAAGCCACCTCCGATGGCAAAGTATTGGTGACAGCGGGTAGAGATGGTACAGTCAGATGTTGGGACGAGAGGGCAAACTCTGCTGGAGTGCAGATGACTGATCGTAGGTTCTTTCTTTTTCTCATATCCTCGTCGCTGCCTAGATTCTTGTGATGGGCCCTGTTCTGATGATTGGTGTCTGTAGCTCGCGGAGCTGGTATCTCTGCGTTGGCGTGCCGTGACACGTTCATTGCTGCTGGCACTGAGAGCACCAAGGAAGGGCTGGGCGACGTCAGTGTGCTTTTGTGGTAGGTTGCCATATCTTGACGTGACAGGATTGTTTTGTTGAGAGCTTTCCAGGGACACAAGAAACACTTCCAAGCCATTGCAAGCATATACCGAGAGTCACACCGACACAGTCACTCAAGTCGCTTTTCACCCGACACAACAAAACACCTTGCTTTCTGGATCTACCGATGGCCTGGTATCGATCTTCGATACAACAATCTCGGATGAGGACGATGCCCTGGTTCAGGTGCTGAACCATTACGGAGCCGTGCACTGTGCTGGCTTCCTGAACGCCGAAGAAGTCTATGCTGTCAGCACGGATGAGCAGCTCTCAGTATACACATTGAGCAAGCCCACTGATGCTGAAGATGCCACTCTGCCAGTCACTGCATTTGGTGATGTCAGAGAACAGTTGAAGAGCAGCTACGTTATCGACGTTTTCCCAAACTCGCCTTCTGCTTATATTGCTACTGGAGACACAGCGTAAGTACCGCGATGTATGACGCCGAGGAAGAATCACTGACAAATATCCATTCAGTTCTTCTCGCCTTACTCTGGTACCACTGAATCCTAGCTGGTCTTTCGACATGGCTGGCACGATGGACTTCCCTGGAGCCCATGGAGATGAGATCGTCCGCGACTTCCTCATCGATAACCACGTATGTCACAGCACTGGATGTTGGCTCTTATCAAAGCTGACAGCATTTACAGAACCAGCGAGTCATTACTTGCGGAGAAGATGGTCAAGTCCGTCTATGGGCACAAGAAGCACAACCCTCATCTGCTTCGGCAGACGCAATGGACATTGACAAGAAAAAGAAGCGCAAAGACAAGAAGAAGAAGGAGAGATTTAACCCATACTAGGCAAGTCACACACACATCACAAACGATATTGGTCACGATAGCTTTTGTGATTCTGAATTGCAAAACTCTTGATTACTATACGAACCCTGTTCTCATAGCGCCTTCGGCCTCAATCTCAATCTGCATCTCTCTGTCCTCTTCAAGTTCAAATCTGTGTCTCTCAGTCCTCTTCTATCCCAAACCTGTGTCTCTCCGTCCTCCACTATTTTGGTTGCATTTTGTGCTTTTCACCTTTTTTCTCAACTTTTCTGGTTTTGTTTCCATCCCCCCTTTCTCACTGCTCAAAAGCATCACCAACCTACAGTGTTACCTGTCCCTCACCATCGCACCCAGCGTCTTCCTCTGTCCAGTTGTCACCGTTGCGCTCAGCGACACACTCGGCAATACATCCGAAGAAGTGCTTTCTATAAGCCCAGAAGAACCACATGGTCTTGGCACTACATTTGATTTGAACCCACGTGTTGTTGCAGTGGTGGTTGTCGTTGTCGTTGGCTTCGCCGAGTTGACCGTTGTAGGGGAAGTCATTTCTCTTGCTCAGAGAGACGGACGCGCTGGCGAGTTTGGGAGTGTCGAGAGTAGTGTTGTTGTCAGCGGTCTCGTTGTCAGATCTCTTGGTGATCACGGCATCACTTCTGTGATCTCTGAGGCACTGGTCAATACACTTCTCGTATGCCTTCTGACGGTGCCAGTGCCAGCTAGATTTGGCATTGCACCATGCGTTGGCCCAAGTGCCGACGTCGCAAGGACCTCTTTCATCTCCGGCTTCCGTGGTTGCAAGGTTGACTTCTGTGACATTCTGAGCGGTGATTGCCTCATCAACAGCTTCCGATCTCTTGGTGAGCAGAGCATCGCCTTCTTCTTCAGGTTGACCGTAGTTGTCACCATTGTGCTTGCGGACGCATTTCTGGATGCAGCGGTTGTAGTGCTTTTCCTTGTCGAAGACGTGGAAAGAGGCTTTGTAGCGGCACCGTCTCTGCACTGAATCGTTGTTGCAGTGGTGATTATCGTGATTGTCACCTTGGACTTCTCTTTCGACGATGGTAGAGTTGAGAAGAACAGAAGAAGAAGCATGAGGAGCCGAAGAAGAGACGGTCCTGAAGCTCGTCTGGAAGCCAGTAGACTTGACCTTGTCATCCCACTTTGTAGTGTTAGCTGCAACCTCGCTCGTAGTCTTAGTCTCAGGCTTGATGGAAGGAGAAGGTTGGTTAGTCGTAGCCAAGTTCGTCCACACCGTAACAGTAGCAGCAGCCTCCGTGATCGTAGAAGCAGCAGCAGCGGAAGTAGCAGTCTTGGAATCAGCCCCATTTCTGACCCACTCGTCGTACTCCTCCTGCGACATATCCAGATACCTGTCCTTGTAGTAGATGTAAAGGTTCAAGCCACTGCGCTTACGACAATCTTGGATACAAGCGACGTAGGTGAACTGGCGTTCACCGAAAGGGTTGTCCAAGAAGGAATCCCTGTGACACTTGACGTCTTCGCTGAAGTCCTCGCAAGTGAGCTCGAGTGGCGAGATGGAGCCGGGAACACAGTCGTCGTCATCGTCGGATTTCTTCTCGAGAGCTGGTCTCTTTGCGAGAAGGAGGGAAGAGTTGTCAGAAGGTTGAGGAGAGAAGATGGTGACAGTGGCACCTGTGGGCTTCATGCCATCGCTGCCAGGGGTACCAGCTGCAGCCAAGGCGGTGATGCCACAGACGGACAGCAAGATTGCTTGAGTCTTCATCGTGGATGAAGTTATTGTGCTGTGGTTGGTATTAGTATTGGTGTTGGTCAAGGGTGTCGAAAGGTGAGAACTAGGTATCAAAGTCGATTGTTCAATACTCAGAACCTTTCCAGCCGAATTTGGTGAGAAGAAAACTGTATTGAAGCAGAGATTTGACATCCTTATATACCATTCTCAGCAACTACGAGTCACAGCAATGACTCGAAGAAAATTTCTTTCGTGAGTCGCATACCACGCCTTTGCCACGATATTGAGTTAATTAGCGCTTGTAGCCATTGGCGTGGAAGAACCTCTTTCATTCGGCTCTTCGTTATTTGCGGGAGTTTATATCTCCATCGTCGTATCCCCGTCATTCATGTAGCCGTGGTAATACATAGTAGTATAGACATTATGACATGAATCCAAAGAGAGCCCGAGAGTGAGTAGCTGTTGTGGGGCCTTCAATGGATACTGCTTCGTTCTTTCAAGTCGTTGTGCATTGTTATAGATGCTTTGTTGCTCTCGAGTCCGTGTGGAGACTGTTAAGCATGTCAGTGTGCAGTGTCTATTGAATCTCTGTCAGATCTGCGGCAACAACCCTAATACATTCCTGTTTTGAGTTTCATGATAGCAGCAGTTGAAAGGACGGCAAAGATTCACTGGTCTGCGTTGACCTCATACCAGCTTTGTTGTCGTATCTGGCGTTCGAACTATGCCTGTAAGCTGTTACTCGCTCAAACGCCGCATACCTCCAGAATTCGCCAAACATATGAATTGAAGGTGAGATTTTCTCAAGCACCGGAACAATCCGGAAGATAGCAATACAAAACATCCCGAAATAGCGGTGAAGTGGTTGCATTGGAGCTGTGTGTTATGTCCTGAGATGTACAGAAGAAGGACCAAGGGCGTGCAGTAAGAAACCTCCAACAACAGAAAAGAAAACTCCCTCCCCTCATGAACTCCAGCCAATGCGTGGCGTCGTTTGCGCCATGAGACCGAATGCATGCGTGTACCTTCCGCTTCCAATTTCGCCTTATTGTAGGCAATCCCTTCTTACGTTGACAAATGTGCCAGCTCCACCGTCCGAACTCAGCATGTCTACCAGAACTTCTGCTTGAGCAACAACCTTTTCGAGGGCAGCGGAAGATGGTTTGCCGAGTGACACTAAACTTGATCAGCAAAATCGTGACAACAAAGAGAAGAAAGCGAGACTTACCCAGTATCGCGCTGTTGACCTCTTCAGCAATCTCCACTCGGCCTTTGCCTTCCATGAGCCCACCTACGATAGACTCTCGGGCATCTTGGTAGGCAATCAGTGCAAAGGTGTCGTCTAGCGCCTTTCTGACAGCAGGACGGGGGTCGTCGCTGAACTCGGCCTTCAATTCTTGACCAAACTCGAGTGCGTCCACAAGCAACTGTTCACTATCCGTAGCCGACGACACCAGTTGCACACCATCAGGCGCGGTGTCCATTGTGTCATGTTTTCCATCAGCACCGTTTGCGCCATCACCAAAGCGTAGCCCAGGATTAAACGGTGACGGGACAGGCATTGGTGGGATGATTGGCGCACGCGATTCCCGGTGTAATTGATCATCGAGCTCCATCTGATGGTCAAACGTCGTACCGTTAGAAGGATGAGGTAGCTTGCCAGCTGCTTTTGGTGCAAGTGGTGGCGGATCCTGGGTCGAGAGGTCGTTTACCCGACAAATCATCTCGATAAACTTGCGACAGCGAAGCTTGAAGTAGACATCCCTGTTCTCTTCCCGTTCCAGAACATGTGGGTAGTAGGTGTTTATGAAGTTTAATGCCTTGTCGATTTCTCCTTCGAGGATGGCCGAACGTATGCCTCGGAACTTGTCAGCATAACGGGACTCAAAACAAGGGAGACAAGTCAGACGTACTCTGTCGCTTGGTGGCGTGGAGATCCTGAGAAGGGTCGAATAACTCTACGCCGTCGGAGTCCATGTGTAGAGGCTTCCGCTCGTCCCTGACTTCCCTATTGAAGGCCCGAGCGGTTTCAACGTAGCCATCATGAGCGAGATATTGCGCGACAAGCTCCTGTACCAACATTGTTTCGTCACGAGCACTCTCCAATGTGTCCGCCGAAGTCTTGTTGATGTCTGCCTTTACCCTATTCCTTTGTTTCTGGACTTGGTTAGCAAAGTCGTGACCGAGATGAGGCAGGATACTTGCCTCCATCATAGAGTCGATATCGAAAACGAACGGAGCACTGCCAAAATTTACTCGAAGATGTTCGTTGTTCTTCTTCATGCCCACTGACGGGTACAGCTTGTCACCTCGCACGTTATGAAACGCTTCGCCTGGAGTACTATGTCAGCAGAAGTCCAGGAGCCACGGCCAGACTACGCACCTAGAAAAACACCATTCTTTGTGAAGAAGGCACTCCCTGTCTCGAAGTTGACACCACAGCCTACAACATCCCAGGCGGCAAACTTGGGACCGTATGGTTTTCCGCTGGCAGTGCAAGAGAAACTGAAGCCGTCGTCACCGTGGTAGGCCCATGATTCAGGCTCCCATCCTGGTAAGCGATTGAGGCTGGCCTTTGGGCCAGAAAAGCCGATACCGATCAGCCTGCAAGATAGGCAGTCAGTATGCTGTGTGCCGAAGCGGTAGAGAGAACGTACCCTTCTTTCCCTCGGGATAGGACGGTGACTTCGAAATAGTATATGCCAACCTCTTTCGGCATGGGGTGGTCACTGCGTATGGCAGCAGCCTCGTCGCTGGTCTTTGTAGAACCAGTGAATTTGACCTCGGTAGCGCCTGCTAACAGCTCGAGCCCAGGCCATTTGTCTATGTCACTCCAACAGGTGGGCAGCTTCTTCGGGGCGTTGGTCCGAAGCGGATTACGAGCGATATAGTCCTGAATGAGGTCCTTTCTTGATCTGTGTATGGTAGCACTGCCGATGTTTGCAGAGAGGTCCTGGGAGGAGGAAGCGGACTGAGGATGTCGTCGCAGTTGATCGAATTCGGCAAGTTCGACGGTGTGTTGTGTTTCGAGTCTCTCGACATGACGCGAATTGCGAAGATATGAAGGGCGGATAAACAGTGGGGGCGATGGCGGGGAGTCTTGGTCGGGCATCTTGGTAGAGAGATAAGGTCTGGCGGACCACGAGTCTGGGGATTTGGTCGAGGTCATGTTGGAACGTGTCGGAGGATCGTCTTCGGGGTGCAGGAGGTGCGAGAGGGCGCCGAAGCGGGCGGGTGAGGATTGGGAGGTCGCGCCAGCAGCGACCGAAGCGTACGACGACGAGCTAAGAGATTGGTTCAGGCGACGATAAGATTGTGGGTGCGAGTAAGGATCAGTCATAATGGTGTGGGAGGGACTATGGGGGTTGTCGAGGTCGAGACACGCCGGGAGGGCGTCTTGTCGAGGTGGCAGCTGTCGAGGTGATCAAGGTAGAAAGATGGAGCCAGCAATCATGACGCTCCAGCTGGCATCCTGTCGGCCGCTGGGTTTTCGCTGCTGGATACACAACAGGTCACAGAGATATCTACAAAGCCTGATACAGCTCTTTTCCCCGTGCGTTCCCGCGAAGTCGGCAAATGGGAAGATGAGAAGATTGATAATAATCGTCCTTGTTGCTGGATACACGAAGCAGCTTGTCCATGCAACCGCGCTGCCGATGACGCTCCTTCTGTTGCCAAGACGAGTAGTCAGAGCTCCTGATCACAATCACATGCCGCCAATCGTCAATCGATTACTTGCATCGAGTACAATAACATTGCTCTGTGTATCAAAAGGGTATCCATAGCTACCGTATCATCAAAGCTCCTGTCCTTGACCAAAGTCTCCGTAGCCCCATCGCCAATCTGTCCCCCGAGAACTCCAATCGGCCTACACGCGGCCAAACCATCACGCTATCCTCTGACCATCATTGCGCCATACCGAAGTTTTTCCCAGAATAACAAACGAGATGCATTGCTCAAATGCTAGTGACCTGCTATCAAGATGCTTGGGGTACACATCACTGTACTGGGGTATTAAAACTCTTGTTTTGTAAGAAGAAGAAACTGCACTGCGTCAGTGACCGTGTAGCAACGCTGCGAGTTTGTCTAGACTTACAGGTTTGTTCATGCAGCTTGTTCATGCTTCGACAGGCATTGCTGGCGCAGGCGAGCTCTCCAAAGCAGTTTCTGCCTTGGCTGCTCCACCGCTGATGCTTCTATCGCTCGGAAGTGCACTGCTCGCCAGCCTGGCGTTGTCTGCTTGACTGTCGGACGAGTTCTCGCTCTTGACGTCGCCGCTGAAAGACGAGTTGTCCTTGAGCGGTGCCGCCCATGATCCTACCGTCCATGCAACACCAGATATGCTCTTGAGTTGAATGCCCTTGCGCTCCCATCTACGGCATGGCTTGCCTGATCTGTCCAGTGCGCGGAGGCCGGCGTTGATAGCACCTGTGTTGGCCTTTGGTCCTAGCTTGTGTGTAGCAATGGGAGCTACGCCGCCGAATGGACCCTTCTTTGTGCCCTCGGCAGTTCTGTCAATGGTTCCGTCAGCCCTGCACATAAGTGTCAGTATAAAAAGGGAATGACGAGGTGTGTGAGTGTGCAGGTTACGTACAGACGAGGCTTCTTCTTGGGGCCAGGCTTTCCTCTAGGCTTTGCATTCGGACCTGCCTCGGCCTGAGCAGCAGTTCTCTTTGTTCCAGGCTTGGGACCAGGAACACCCTTCTTCTTGCCGTTGACTGCCGGAGGAGGAGCTAGCGAGTTGTTGTCTGTGGCAGCAGCATCGGCACCAGGAGCAGGAGTGCCATTCGTCTCGGACGGGTCAGGTGCTGGAGCGTTGATGAGGGGAGTTGAAGCTGGTGCAGGAGAAGCGGTGGGTGATGGCTCAGAGGCGTCTTCGGATAGCGGGCTGAACTTCTTGAGAAGATGGGGAGCTAATCGAAGGATGACGGTCTTGTTGGGCTTGACAGACGATTTAGCTGATGATTTTTGCGACGGTGTGGTTGCCATTGTGGTCGATGGGGGTGATGGACTATGGACGACGACTTGGATTGCGCCCGTGGTCGGTCGTGTGGGTGGCTTTGTCTCGTTGGATTTGTGTGGTGGACCAGTGGCAGGGCTTTAGGGAATGTGGGAGCTTCTGGTTTATCGGCGGCGGTATATCAAGAAATGGAAGGGTGGTGATGGTTGTGTGATGGATTTGTATGGATGCGTGGGAAAGGGATATAGAGTGGCAGGCACTTTGACTCTGTTGTGCGCTGAGCGAGCATTTTGCCGGCCGTGTGTGAGGCGTTGGCCTTCGCCATTTTCTTGGTCCAAGAGTGAAGGTCGCGCTCACTATTGTGAGGAAACGACAGCCGTACCCTTCTGGACCACCTCTCCAGCCAATCACAGCCCGCTGCCCGACTGCCCAATCCGTAACTCCTTCCTCAGCTGCTATCCCAGAGTTTCGATATTCTAGATTCCATCACAAAGCGTGTCCATATCTATCACAGTTTCTGTCAGAGTGCAATCCTTTGCTCTACATGGCCACTTGTACACTTGGGCTCCTTGGTTCCATCGCGCTGCACCCGCGCGTCTTTGTTCTAACTTCTGACGCAAGCGAACTTTCTCCGTACGCCTACGCGAATCGCCCACCCTTTGATAGCTTCCTCCAATTTGACATCCGCGCTTCCGAGCATCAAAGGGGCGTCTGTCCTCAATCCACCTCGATTCTCGTCATACAGGCTTCCGAACACGATCAGACTATTTGCTTGTCCCAAACAAGTCTCGCCGGATGCGGATGCGACTTGTCACACATCGCTCTCTGCAGGCGCCAAGCCAGGTAGCTATACTGCTCGGGTCGCTACGGGCGATATTGGGAATGCACACCTCCAACAGCCTCCCCGTTAATTATCCCGTCAGCAACGCAAATTCCTTCTGTCAGCTGTCCACTTTTCGCCATGGCATGATCCACCTCTCCAACCCACTTTACGCGATTCCACGCGACGCTGCCCAGGAATGTCGACCATCTCTTTTCTTCACGTCCTGACTCGTATGGTATACTGCATTTCTGCGTGACCATGTCTGTTCCCCTTGGTCCCAGCTAAGCAAAACCCATTCTTCGACAGCCTCCTGCCTCTAGGCTATTGTCTCAGCGTGATGAATATATACCTTTCGCCACGGCCACCATGAGGTAGGTCGACAGACAAATCCAAGTCATTCGCTATCATGTTCTCGTTAAGCATTTCCCGCGTGTTCGTTTCACTCATATACCTCGTCTGCACTGTACAGTCCTTACACATACATCGCCGTCATAAGAATGGTATCATTCAGCGCGATGCCACGACCGTCTCGTTGCAGAGCGAGCCTAGCTCAACACCAGAGACGGAAGCTGCTGAATTGCTGGAGACTGTCACTTCTATTCAAGAAGGCTTGTCTGATCTGCCCCAAGATGTTTTTGAGTTCCTCCAAGCGATTGACGATCGCTTGCATGCACAAGAGGCATTGTTAGCGAGTCTGCTTGCTGTATTTGCAACTGCATCCGGAACGGCATCGCCATCAAACACACTGGAGATCGCCAATGCGACGACGACTGGCATGCTTGTTCCTTCTAGTACGAGCATCGAGATCTCCAGCTCTGCGACCGTTGAGACTTCCTCTTCTCAGACTACAGCAACTGCATGCCGTCGTGGTGGAGCAGGACCACTCGTTCCCTGCTCTTCCTCGCCTGACCAAGCCTCTCGAAGCTTGACCGCCACCTCTTCAATCTCGAGACCTCGAGTCACTCGAAGTCTGACCAGAACAACATATGTGCCGCTGCCGGTCACTACTTTCGCTCAACCCGTACCGTACTCAAACACCACAGTATCCGATCTGCCAGCTGAACAAACACCATCCACGTCTTCCATACCTGTGATGCCTGTCCCCTCAATTTACATACCTCCAGACACCGACAACTCGAGTACCATTGCCACCGTGACCACGGCAAGCTCACAAGCCATAGCACCCTACAGCTCTATTCCATCACCAACAAGGGCAAGCTCACAAGCCATAGCACCCTACAGCTCTATTCCATCACCAACAAGCACCAACTATGTTTTCAAGACCAGTCGTCAGAACAATGTTGCTGTCTACTACGGTCAGACACCCGACACAAAGACCGGCGACCTCTTGCAACTCTGCCAAAACTCCAACGTCGACGTCGTAGTTCTCGCCTTCGTGACCTCCTTCTTCGCGAACGGAGGTATGCCAAGTGCCAGTTTCGGTCCTGGATGCAAAGGCAGCACAACAGCTCAACAACTTCACGCTCCCGGGTTGCAGGATTGCACAGACCTCGCACCTGAGATTGTAAGTTGCCAACAACTGGGCAAACCTGTGTTGGTATCTCTAGGTGGCTATTACAGCAATGTGACCTTCGCCTCGGACACTGAAGCTATCCAACTAGCTCAGAATCTATGGGACCTGTTCGGCGCAGGAGACGGTCTGGACGCCTCATTACGTCCCTTTGGATCTATCGTAGTCGATGGCTTCGACCTCGACAACGAATCCAAAGATCCCACCTCCTACACCACTTTCGCACAAACCCTACGCACACTCTTCGCCTCCGACAAGAAAAAGAAATACTACCTCTCCGCCGCACCCCAGTGTCCTCGCCCTGACGCCTCCATCCCTGTGTCAGCAATGGCACTCTGCGACTTCGTCTTTGTGCAATTTTACAACAACCCTTCTTGCGAGCTTTCCTCTGCTGGCTTTGCTGATTCGTTTGCTGGGTGGAGCGATGAGTTGTTTGCTGCCAATAACAATACAAAGCTATATATCGGCGTGGGAGCTTCAGAGGCAGCGGGGAGTGGGTATGTGGATGGTGCTGGCTTGAGACATCAGATTAGTCTTGCGAGACAGCTGTATACGAAGAACTTGGGAGGAGTGATGTTGTGGGATGGAGTTGAAGGGTTGGGGAATGTGGACGAGTATGGGAATGATTATTTGGTTTATGCCAAGGGGAGTCTGGAGTAGGTGAGATGCTGATGGAGCGGGAAGGTGGGTTTGACGATGATGAGTTGATGGCTATTTTGTCCGAGTATTATGATTTTACGAGTACGAGATATGTTTCTTTGCAATCATGAACTCTTCTTCCAGTGGATGCGAGGCAGTGGGCGCGTAATGATACAAGATGATATATTGGCTTTTTCGGTTTGTCTATTTTGGCAAAAGCTATAAACATCGTTGTCGTGACTGCAGAGCAGCACTACAGGACAGGTCAAAGCAAAGCCTTTGAGTCTTTGCTTGCGTCCATACATTGGTCTGGGAGCTTCTCCTTTGCACCTTTACTCCTTCTTCCTATGTCTTTCCTCTAAAACATCTCTCCTCCTCTCCTTTCTTCTTCCACCTCGGTGCTGGCCGCGACTGTGAGTCGCGATGCATCAGTAAGTCAAATGTCGCATCCGGAACAGGGCGACACCAAAGGGGGCCAGCAGAGGTACCAGAAGGCTATTGTATCACAAAAGGGCCAGCCTAGAGTAACACGAAAGTCCTTGCTGGTTACTCTGCTTACCACATCCATCCAGAAAATGAAGGAATAAAAGTCAGAAAACCAGAAAATGTGGATGTCGGTATTTGGCGGCGAATGACCGCCGTGGTAAAATGAACGTGAGTTGGCCGTCTCAGGCAATAAAACACATTTTTGCAAAACAGTCTCAAAAGGGTGAAGTGAGCGGTCTCAACGTCGCACAATCATTCCTTGTCGTCTTGTCGTCCTAGCTCGATAGGCTTTCTCGTCCTCCTCGCTTTCAGACGAACACTCACTGCCCTCATCACCACAAACCTTGCCTCCACAATCAAGCTTGACTCTCGCACCCGACCGCGTAATGCCAAAGCGATTGCAAGTGCAACAACTGGTTGACGACGACCTTGACGATGAAGTCGCAGACGACGGCGAGGAGGATCCACTGCTGCGAGAACTGCGAGAGGAAGTCAAGGATGGAACGTCGGAATCGCTGTCGCTGTCCGAGTCAGATTCGATACGAGTCGTTTTCAGACGAGTGGTGAGGCGGTCAACAGAGGATGCATTGTATTGTTCGCGAGTTATCGTGCGGGTCTCATGAGGGCGGTTTGGACGTGGACATTCGATCTTTGAGGGGGACAACGAGCGACCTTTGGGAATGTGTTCGCTGGTGCGGCGGGAGTGTTTGCTGTGCCCGTGACTGGAGCGTGAGGACGGTGCTGGAGCTGAGGGTGCAGAGGACTTCGCTTGCGGTATATCGAGAATGTTGAGTTTGCGGCCTGTGGTTGGTTCGGTGGTGGATTCGCGGGCTGGGTCGTGGGAGACGTGGTAGCCGTCGATGATGTACTGTGATTGTGTATCAGCATGGGTGTGAGCAGGGTAAGCAGAGTCCAACATACATAGTACCAATATCTCGACCCAGGCTTCAAAGTCGACCCTTGGAATCTAAAAGTGCCTTTCCAACCACCCTGTTTTGCCGAGTCCTTGGATAGTGGAAGCTGACTCTTGTAGCTATCCCATGATCCGATGAGATGCACCGTCTTGCAATTAGACGACGTCCTGAGTGTAAAGTTCAATTGTACGGCTGCCATTGTCGTCGTGGATTCTGGCTACTGTTTCTTTCTTCTGTTCGAATGAAATGGGTTGGTGATATGAGAAACACCGGATTGAAAATTAACAGATTTTGAGCAAGAAGAGCTGAGTATTAGTTTGATTGATCTTTCTAGTCGACCAGCGACAAGAAAAAACGGGTGAATATAATAAAGCGTAAGTTGCCAAAAAAAAGTGATTAGTAGGGGACAGTGGTGTTATGGGCAAGTTTAATCGATAGTATGAGTTTTTGTGAATTAAGAGCACCAGGCTCAATCAGTGGAGAATAAAGAAATAAAAGGGGAGTAAAATAAAAAAAAGGACAAACTAATAGTCAGCTCCGGGCTTGACAAGTCTCGCTGAAAGAAAAGAAGGAAAAGAAGTCGAAAAGAGCGAACACAAGTATACTTATGCCAGACACCAAGGCACACAAGGCACACGGATAGGCAAGCAATACGCCATGCCGCATCGCGAAAAAAAAACATGGCTCGTTGCACTCATCACACCGAACAAGGAAACAACCCATCATGAAAGGGCGGGGCGGGAGCTCGCATAATCGTCGTCTGTTTCTGGCACTATTGAAAAGCCGCATGTGTGACTGCACATCTGTGGGAAAGGTAACTGGATCGCAAGCGCTTGCAAAGAGATGGTGAATGGAGGTGAATGGAAGGCAGAATCCAAGGGCGGTTGTGTGGTGAGGCTGATTGGATCCAAGGATTCGCGCGACGCTCCAATCAGCCTTCACGACATATGATATGCACACTGCGGGCAGGGAACACGCACAATCGGATTGCATGACACCGCCATGGTCTCTTTGGCTCAATGCTTGTCGTTCGCTGACTCTCGACAAATGATAATTTGCCGTCCGGCACCCAGAAAAGCTCTGGATGCTTGACCTCTGCACGAAGAGGCTGGGAAGGAGGCATGTGCACCATCAGCGACCTGTCGTCACCAGCAAACTAAGGGTGATGGGTGTGATGATGGGTCATAAACGGTCCGTAAGCTTTCAACTAAGGATATCGATGGGTCGTCTCTTCGTTCTTCACTCCAATCCCAGAAGATCCTCCAATTCTTCCGGACTAAGGGTGCTCTTCCTGCGCTTCGGCCTGCCTTGAATCTTGGTCTTCCTCGCAGGACTTTGCAGCTTGACCATCTCCTCTTTGAGTTCAATGTCGAGCTGCGATTCCTCTTTTGTGCTTCTGTAAGAAGAGCGGCCTGCAGCCTCGGCCTCGGCCTGTGCAAGGCGCAATTTGTCCTCGACAGACATACGGGGATCCTCTTCGTCCTGGATTCCTTCGTCTTCCCCTTGCGGCAACTGCTCATCTGCAGCGTCCACGGGTTTTCGTAGCGGTGAAGAGCCGCGTGATCGAGAAGGCTAGGTTATCGTTAAATTGAAGTACGAATGCAACTAGGTGATGTACTTACGAGTCTGTCATGTGAGCCAGCAGACGAACTAAGGTCTAGCTGGCGGCGTGTGGGAAGCGAGGATCTGGTCGCAGAACCTTTGGTAGAGGTGGGCGTATCGAGCTTGGCTGGGGTTGATTCGGCGGGATCGGTATTCTCTGAGGTACTCAAAGCAAATGCAACCTTCCGTGGTGATTGGACGTTGTGGCTCATCTTATTGAGTGTGCGCTGGTGACCCCGAGGCTTGAGGTTGAAAAACTCTGGTGGGTCTATGCTCCTTTGCGACTTTGCAGTGCTCGGTGGAGCTGTGCGCGTTTCTGACGGAGTCGGACTCAATGTATGGACGCCACTGTCTTGGTCACTATCAGAGTGAGTATGCTGGCTGGCACGGAGTTTCTGGGCAGTCGGCGGGGCTTCAAGGCCAACACCCAGACCGAGGCCCTTCTTAAGTTCATCGAGGTTGATGGTATCGCCGTTCTTCTCCAGTCTCGTGCACCAGCCGTTCATCATGAAGAGCAGGTCTCTCCACCTTGCCTCCATTTGATCCCAGCCTTCTCTCAATCGTGCTATCTCGTCATCTCTTGCTTCCACTTCGTCCATCGAAACAAAGTTCGGATTTGTCAGGACGGTCTTGAGCGTTTCTAGCATGGACTCGAGCTCTTCAGCGAGCGATCCGTGGGCAAAGCCTATTGTACCGTCTTCGTTCTCAATGCCGTCAACTGTGTCGTCCAAGCTCTGTTCGGGCACGCCAAGTAGTTCTCTCAGTGTGACCAGTGTGCCGCGAATCATGTCGATCAGAGCATCGTTCTCGTCGCTGAGCCCAGAGCTGAGTTGTGTGAGGAAGTCGGTCGTCTCTTGCTTGAGATTGTACTCTGGATCCGAAATGTCTCTGACTGAGGCGTTGAACGAGTGTGGGCCTCTTCCACCGATAGAGATGGAAGGAGCGACGAGACCACCTTTGTTGCCCCTCTGTTGACCTTGGAGGTGCGATTTGAGGCGTTCGATGTGCATATCGCGCTTTCGTACGTCGTTGGCACATTGTGTTTTGATCTGCGAGACGGATGCTTTTAGTCGTCCAAGTTGGTCGTTTAGTGCTTTCGTGGTCGACTCGATTTTGCGCATTTCGATCTTAGCGTTTCTGGCTTCGGTCTGGGCCTGGAGCAAGACGCGCTCCTGGGTGTCGAGACGGGTCTGTAGGCGTTCAAGGTCGCCATCCTTGCGGGTCTGATCGGTTCGGAGGGTTCGAAGGGTCAATGCAATCTGCTCACGGTTCTCTTGGTCGCGATCGCGTCGTAGAAGGAGGTCGTGGACAAGGTTGATGATCTGGGCTCGTGTATCTCGAGTTGGTTTGGCGAAGTCGAGAGGCTTGCTGTCTCGAAGCAGACCGCGGGCAAGGAGGAGATTGTTTAGATAGGTTGACGCCGTATTAAGCGTGTCATGATCCATTGTGCACGATGATGGTTACTAGGTGTGTGTTTGGTCTGGACGCTGTGCATTGCTTGGATTGACTTGTCTGAATTTGCTGTTTGGTTGCTGACGCCGACAAATAACAGATTGCCCGATTGGGAAGATACCTACCGTTGCCCTCATCATGATCTTGTGCGTTTCTCTTTCTCGGCCCTCGAGCTTACATGCGACCATCCACCCTGCTGAGTTGCTCCTTCTACAGAAATACACAATGGCTAGCTCAAACTCGGGTCAGACGTGAATTCTCCGAACCATGTGTGTCCAACACATTCTGCGACATTTCACGTCTCGCTGCTCGGCCTTCGCGTTTGCCAGCTCATGACGCGTGCCATTCGAAAAAGAAATGTCCGAAGCGTGAAGCGGGGGATGCTAAAAATGCCGTCCGGCTGGCTTGAGCCCTGCACCTTGATCATCTTGGCAATTTATCGTGCTACATCTTCTGCCCATCTCACAAGGCTCAGATGGTTCTTGGAGAACATTGGGATCATGTAGACTGGAGGTGGCATATCTGGCATCTAGACTTGTAGCACCAAGAGTTACAGAGGTTGGAGCTCTGGTCTGAACAACATCAGTAAGTCGGCTGGTACCTGAGGATTGCTCGCATCAGGTACAGCCCTTCGGCCCCCCAGACAACTCCGTTCGGACATGGTGGGGCAACAACATATTCAATGTTTGAGACTCCCGAGATCAGAACGTCTCGACTGAAGCAGGTATATAGATGTAGAGCTGCTCGCTGTGATCGTTGGAGTCCTACCCATAACACTTTCACTACTATCACAATGACCAACTACCCATCACACGAGGGTATGTGAATCCCAACCATCGCAAGCCCTTGCAGACGTCCGCTATTGAAGAACACCATCTTCAAGCCTAGTGTTCCGAGCAAGTGTCCTTTTGACCAGATCAGAAATGCTGATAACTTGCAGAAATGCTTGGCTGCATGGCCGCCTGCTTCAATTGGGCAGACAGCTACGACACCAAGGTAAGCACACCCGAGACTTTTTTTCGAGCATCACAGGGGCTGACAATCGACTACAGGACTGGAAGAGACTCGAGACTGTCATCGCACCCGAGCTCATCATCGATTACCGTTCGTTCCTTGACAAGATCTGGGAGGCCATGCCTGCCGAAGAGTTCGTCAAGATGGCTTCCGACCCCAATGTCCTCGGCGACCCTCTTCTCAAGACCCAGCACTTCATTGGCGGTACCAGATGGGAGAAGGTGTCGGACACCGAGATCATTGGCTGGCACCAGCTCCGTGTACCTCACCAGAAGTACACCGATGAGTCAAGATCCACCGTCGCTGTCAAGGGCCACGCCCACAGCACCAACAAGCACTGGTACAAGAAGGTCGACGGCGAGTGGAAGTTTGCCGGACTCAGCCCCGATATCCGTTGGTTCGAGTACGACTTCGACAAGGTCTTTGCCAGTGGCAGAGATTCTTTCGGCGAGGCCAAGCAGGCTGCTGGTAAGTCGAGACTTAGCTTGGGTATCTTCAGGACATGATCGCTGACATTGCTCGCAACAGGCATCCCCGAGAAGGCATAGATTGGCGTTAGTAGATATCCCCTTTAAGTGGTTACACCTTATGCATGGAGCCCGGCTGGGCCAGGGTCGACTGTCAATTTAGCGAATGAATGAATGAACATCAAGTTTTAATTGCCCATGCTTGAAGCTCCTGAGCTGAGATACCTATCACTAGTTATCGACGTGTCGGCGTTAGCGTGCGAGATGCCCTGTGCTCGAGAGACCGTCCCGATGAACTGCAACCGTCTCTCCTCCTGAATGCGCAATCGTGGCTAAACCTTGGCAGCAATATAAAGACTGGAATGATGGAAAGATTCGAGATTGATGAACCCGAATGCCGGTGCCGCCCCTATCTTTGACGCAACTCGAAGATCACCGTGGGGAATGGGTCAGGCAGGAGCGATCTTTAGCTTGAACACGTCAGGGCAGGAGCGATCCAGCTTGCACTGGTTGCACACGTGACGACGAACAACGGTCAACTTGGCAGTCGCTCTGTGTCTCGACGTTGCTCGATCAAAGCTCCTTCCTCTCCGACTCCCTTTCGCGCGCAAGCAAACAGCATCTTTTCCTTGTGCTATTCCCGCGGTTCCTTTTTCGTCTCGTCCTTTGCTTCCCGCTCCTGCTCTTATTTGCACCCGTGCTGTCGGTATGTCGCTTTCCACTTTACTCGTTCGCAGTCACTTTCCTCCCGACACCCTGGTAGCCGATCTCTATGACCACCTCGGTTTCGCCATCTCGTTTGGCGTCGCCATGAGGAGCTGCATCTGTCCAGTTCCGTCCTCCATCACCCAGCCCATCTCAGCCGCCTTGTTCGGGTCCCCGAGTCACACTCTGATCAGCATTGTCGCTACTGAGCTCGTGAGCACTTTGACTCTGAGAGCTTTCGCGTTGCTGCCGCGAATCCTCGACCCCGCCGAGGCTGCCGAGCTGGCTTTTCACCACGCTCCCGTCACATCCACTTCCCAATGCCGCCACCGTCACTGCACTACACCTTGCTTCAGCCTGCTGTCGCACCCCTTCGCCTAATTCACGCTGACCCCAGTGACAGATTCGCGAGTGAATTATCGTCAACGGACATTCCTTCGGCGCAAATACGACTCGTCTGAGCTTTCACCATCTACAAGCAGGAACTGCATCGAACACTCACGAACGTCTTCGATTTCTCACCTGTCTTTCCCACGCCATACATCTCCTGCTTTATTAAGCTTCTTCATAACTTGCGTCGATACTCCATCGCGACAAGCATCTCTTACCCATAACACCGCACGATTTGTGAGTACGCGACAATCCGCTCCTACAACTGTCTCGAGTCCCGTCACTGACTCTTGCTCTTCAGATCTCGGTGTTTCTAATCTATCTCGACTTTGCCACTACATCCATCATCGAAAATGAGCTTCCAACAATTCGGCGACTCTTTCCAGGGTCAGCAACCCGAGGAATCCGGCGCTCCCGCCGCTCAGCCCCAGCAGCCCCCTATGGGTCAGCCAATTGAGTCCCAGCAGGGCCAATTCCCTCCTACTCCTTCCGGCGCCCCTGGATCCGCACCTGGGCCTGGTTCCCAATCGGGCGGCGAGCCCAAGACCACTCTGTGGTATGTTGAACCACGAGGATGAACAAATGTGCGCGCATCAGCTAAGACAAGATACAGGATGGGTGAACTCGAGCCTTGGATTGACGAGAACTTCGTTAGAAGTGTCTGGTTCGGCATGGGCTACCAAGTCAACGTCAAGATGATCCGCGACAAATTCTCCGGGTGAGTAGCCTGAATATAGCTCGAAAAGAATGGATGGCTAACCGCACTGGCCTAGAAGTAATGCTGGATACTGCTTCGTCGACTTTGAATCCCCCGACGCAGCCACCAAGGCTCTCCAGCTCAACGGCACCCTCATCCCCAACTCGAACCGCCCCTTCAAGCTCAACTGGGCCTCTGGTGGCGGTCTCGCTGACCGTAGCCGCGACGACCGTGGTCCCGAGTACTCCATCTTCGTTGGTGATCTCGGCCCCGAGGTCAACGAGTACGTTCTCGTCAGCATCTTCCAGAACCGCTTCCCCAGCTGCAAGTCGGCCAAGATAATGTCAGACCCGATCAGCGGCCTTTCTCGCGGCTACGGTTTCGTCCGCTTCTCCGACGAGGCAGACCAACAGCGTGCCCTTACCGAGATGCAGGGCGTCTACTGCGGTAACAGACCCATGCGCATTAGCACTGCCACTCCTAAGAACAAGAACCAGCACGCCGGTCCCGGAGGCATGGGCGGTATGCCCGGCGGCCCCGTTGGCATGTACGGCATGGGTGCCCCTCCTCTTGGCTTCTACGGTGCTCCCCAGCCAATGAACCAGTTCACCGACCCCAACAACACCACTGTCTTTGTTGGCGGTCTCAGCGGCTACGTCACCGAAGACGAGCTTCGCTCCTTCTTCCAGGGCTTCGGAGAGATCACATACGTCAAGATCCCTCCCGGCAAGGGCTGCGGTTTCGTCCAGTTCGTTCAGCGTCACGCTGCTGAGATGGCCATCAACCAGATGCAGGGCTACCCCATCGGCAACTCGCGTGTCCGCCTCAGCTGGGGTCGCAGCCAGAACAACTCTGGCCCCGCCGGTACTCCCTACCGCCCTGCTCCCCCACCACCAGTCTACCCATCCATGGGCATGCCTCCCCAACACCCTTACGGTGGCTTCGCTCCCATGAAGGTTGGTGGACAGCAACAACAGCAGCAGCAGCAGCAACAGCAGTTCTGGTCGCCCGATGCCTCTAACCATCAACAGTAAGCAGTTTTTCCTTGAGCCTTGAGTGGTTTTTTAGCGGGAGTTGGACAGGTTCATGTGACTGGCTTTACTTCGACGAATCTATCCTGCTTATTGCATGCCCCCCTCACGACCTCCTTGTTCTTTTTCCCCCTCTCGGCGTCAGTCATTTCAGCAATCACACGAATTCAACACAGTCATGCGGCGATGGGATGGATGGGGCTCTTTACAAAAAGTTGCACGCTCTGAACTCGACAATGGCCGTGTTCAGTCTCTTTCTCTTTTTCTTATCTCTTTTATTCTTTTGTTTTGTCCATCGAGCAAGCACAGGAATGTCTATGCTTGCCTCGATGGCAAACGCCAATGTAGTTATTTGCTCGTTTACTATTACCCCTGCGTTTTCCAATTTTCTTACTACCCAAAAGGAGGGCGAAAATGGTATGAGTTTTGAATCTTTGAACGTTTTGAGCACGATCGTTTTACAATGTCGTCAGCCTCTTTGGGGCTTGATCTTGGGACTTGTCAGAGCGTTTGATGTGCCTTTGATGAGCATCTGAGGTATACACAGTCCTTGGAGTATCATGTCCGGTAGTACCGCTTTACATTTGTGTAGGCAATTTGGATTGACTGGTCTTCTGTAGGACAGATAGCTCAAGCACATAGTCACGTACCAATAGCTCGCTTATCTCATCTCAATCCACACAATGTACTAGTATCAATCAGATATCTCTTGGAGAGCGTGACGTTATGTGCTGCATGGCGATCTTGCTGCAACACACTTGTCAGCTCCATGTTCCTAAAGCAATATGAAAACCTGCATCGATGGCCCTCTTGCGTTCTCTCAGAATGCAATGTTTGGTTTTCAATTCTCTCTTGTCACACTCATCAACGTTCAAAGCCGTTCGTTTGCTTTGGTTTGTGTTTGTGTCAACATTGGTCTTGTTTGAGTCAATCGGTTTCAAGAAGCCTTTGGGACACGGAAGCCCTGCACCACTGCTGCTTGACCCCGAAAAGAGCCATTGCTCAGACGACAGCAGCGGTGACTGGATACCAACAAGCTGCGAGCTTGACAAAGTGATGGACATCCAGTCTGCTCGATGGGCAAGCAGGGTCACACTCCAGACAATCAATCCATGGAACTCTTTTGCTCCCAGCTGTAGATATAAACAGCAAAAACCACTGTTCAGACGCAACGATATCAAAAGACGACTATCCAATACCCTTCCCATGTAACTTGGAACGATACTTTTTCCAAAATGGAGTCATTTCCTCTAGCAAGTCATACTAGGTTACAAGCTACCAAACCGCACAATAGTTTTCCCGAACAAAACTCTAGCCAAAGAGATACAGGAGATGACGTTTTTTTTCTTCCATAACCCACATTCTCATTTACAAAGTATTTGCACGTTCCTATAGCTTAGCAATGTTGATAGCTTGTTCTTCCTAACGAGCCAATACTGTTTTCTGGGAGCTATGAAACCGCACAATGGCTTTCCCTGGACAAAAGTGTGGCCAAAGAGATTTGAGAAGTGACGGTATCTCCGTGGACAATGCTCCCATCCAAAGAAAAGCATCGTGCATTTTTATAGCTTGCATTTTCATGGCTGTCGACATGGTGAGCGGATGCTGGCTTTTAGAGCTATACAAACGCACAGTGGCTCCCGGCATAAAAGCGAGGCCACTGAGATGCGGTACACAACAGTATCTCTGTGGACAGCACTCGCATCCGGAAAGTATCGTGCGTTCTGGTATCTTGCATTGTCAGAGTACGTATCATACAGGGATGGATGAGAGAGCAAAAAGCATCATTTGAATCGTTATCTCATTAGGTACAAGCAATAAAACTTCGCATCCCGCGGACTCTGTGATTCGCACTCGCTGCCTCATCTCAACTATCCATGCTCAAGCGTAGCATCTGTTCGTCGGGAATGATACTGATACGGGTGTTCTTCGCAGGGTAGTGCTCGTGGACGGACCCGATCCGCTTGCGACCTCTGGGGACGTGTGCGGGACCCGAGACTGGTTTCAGAGGCATGTGCAGCACATTCTTGCCATCGCAAGCGTCCATAACGCAGGCAGGATACTGATCGCACGCTGTGTGCATGCTGATGTCGGATATGTTTCTCGTGTCTGAAGAGCCGTCGAGCATGCTCACGCCACGTTCGATCAATCCGGGAACGATAGCATTGGCAATCTCTTTGACTTGATCGCTGGACATTTTTGCTGTCTGCAGATGAGGAGGCGCATGAATGGAATCTGATAGAGAAGCTCCGAAGGTGTAGTCTGAAAAGTAGTCTGTAGTCAGATCGCTGAGATCGATATGACTCGTGTCTGTGACCATCTGGTCGGCCGCCTGAGTGTCGACAGACGTGTATGTGAACGGTTCAACCATGCCAGAGGTACCCATAGTAGGACAGACGAATTCACTGCCAGGCTTTTCGACGGGATAGGACATATGAGGCAGATGATTGTATGTGGAGGCGTCCTGTGGCTTGTTGAAGAGCGTAGCATTAGGCCAGGCAATACCTGCCTTGCGAAGAAGGTCCTGAGGAGCATGGATCCATTTGAAGTTGACAATGTCCTTTACGGGACAGAAGTGAGGTTTGCCGGTACCATTAGCCACGTAGAAGTATCCCTCGGACAGACCGACAGTGATGCGGCCAACATTGTCGGCAATGTGAAGTTGGAGTTGATTGCGCATGGCTCGACGAAAAGGAGGAAAGAGCAATTGGCTGGTTGGCGTGTTGAGGACTTGGTGTGGGAAGTTGCCATCTGGGTTGATCCTCTGAACTCTGCAGCAATTACATTATTAGCTTTATGTATGGCTTTGGATTGATTGATAGCTTACGCGACTGTCTTTCCGTCGATGGCGACGTGCATTCCCAGAACGACTTGGTGGCCCCTCACAAACTTGGGCGAGGACAGAATTGGCTTGGTCCAAGAGTGAAGGGAGATCTTGAAAGGCGTTCCACAGGGCAGCGAGGGGAGGTAAGTGTTGAGTGTTGGACACAGACCGATCGCTAGGCACACCGGTCAGCTTTGGCGCCATGAGCGCAGGCGTAGGCAGACATACGATTGACAATGCCATAGCACTCGGTTCGGAACTCTTGAAGAGGAGTGCCAGACGACCGCGGAAAGAGCAGGATGTCCCAATTCTCGAAGCGCATGATGAGATAATCAAAGTAATACGCTATGGATGTTTGGCGACACGTGGGATCTACACGTGGTGGTTGAGAAGGAGGATGGATGAGATGGGTTGAGAAGAAGAAAATACTTGGGTCGGCAAAAAAGGACAGCCTTTCTCAAGGAAGGTGCGATGCTGTGAAAATGCACAACTCTTTCCAGCCATTGATTACCGGTAGATTCTCGAATCTCGTTTCAGTATATCTCTCATCTCAAAACCATGGTGCCCTACTATAGTGAGAAAGTTGCTCTGGACCATCGTGAGAGGAAGCTGGGATTATCTAAGTAGGAGCCGAATATCCATCAGCCACATCTCACGCCACTTGAGCTCTTTCCCCATCGTGACAGCCATCTTCACTCCGAGTTGAGAGCACGAGATTGTTGGAAGTCATGGTTAGGTGATAGACCAAGTGGTGTTGCGATCGGTTTTCAATGGTCTTGCGTCACTGCTAATGGAGACGGGCTTCTGCAATGATCATTAGTATCTGATTTTGGTGGCAGTGTCGTGCACATACCTTCAGTGTTGACGATTTACCATGAAAGCAGCTTGCTAGAGAGTGAACTTCAAGACAAAGAACAGTCCCCTCTTCGACATGTTTATGTTGTCACGAAAGAACACTGCTCGTCTCTTGCACTGAGTTCACTCCACCTCAAACTATCCAATTCACCTGCAAACCTCTCGTATGAAACATCGCCTTGGCTTCTTTATCCTCTTCTTCTTCCTTGTACCACAAGGCGGTCGCACAACTGAACGTCTCAGCACGTTTGGAGTTATCCCTCTGGTCCCATTCGCGGCCACTAGCGTCTATCCCGGTTTCTGCTCTGGTCCGCACCATCGACCCTCGGGTTCATATCGTGCTTTTGTGTTGCTTTGCTTTCGTAGCTGGGACGGATCAGAGAGTATAGTATTGCATTCAATCACAAAGCCCTTAGCCCCTGTGCTACTTGATACTCAAAGTGTAGCGGTGTAAGGCACGAATGCCTTTCCCCTCAGATCAGCAGCAATCTGCATCGCCAAGGTCCTAGATACGAATCTTGCATGTGCAGTCCCACCCCCAAAGTACCATATACCTGGGTGACCGATGGGTTTGGCTAATCCTCTGATTTCACCCTCTGCATCCAGACCGAAGAAGTCGTCGAGGTGAGATGCGGTGTCAGGGCCGATGATGGAGGATACGCTTTCGCGAAGATTGCCTCTGAAGCCCGTGGCAAAGACGATCACGTCAGCGTCGACTTCTGTGCCGTCTTCGAAACGAAGACCGGTCTTTGTGTAGGAAGTGGGGAGAATGCCTGATTTGATCTTTGTCTGTTGTGATTGAAGTCTGTTAGCTCTTGCAAGTGTTGGGTAAAGGGAAAGGATCGAGTATATACCTTGCCAGACTCAAAGACCGAAGAAACAGAACCATGGTCGAGGAGATGTCCACCAAACTTCTCAACAGGGTTTGAAAAGAGGTCAGGATTTTGGTGGAAACTAAAACCGGCTTCACGAAGATAATCATAACGATGTGGTTCTTGGGCTTGGAGAGCTGCTGCGCCTGCCATGATCATCAATCGACCCATCGCATATGGACCTGTCAGAGACATTCTGTCCGATAGTCCTATATCGGTTTCAGGGTTGTAGAGGGCATCCTGAATGGGGTAGAGGACCGTGGATGACATGACGTGAGTAGTGCTGCGTTGAACAATGGTTATTTTTGACAAGTTGCTGTCAACCATGTTCTTGGCAATGTCGAAGGCGCTGTTGGCGGAGCCGATGATGATGCCTCTTTTACCAGTGAAGGCGTCTGCATTTCTCCAGTCGACTGAGTGTAGCATGGTGCCCTGATACTGGTCACGATTGGGATACTCAGGATACTTCGGAACGTCCAGACCTCCGCCAATGGCCATGACGAGGTGCTTTACTTTGATATGTTTGGGCTGTCCCTGTTTGCTGACAATTACGTGCCAGCTCTTAGTTCCTTCGTCCCAGCGTGCTTGGTTCATTGAGCTCGACAACCAGACTTGGATGTTGTGCATGTCCACGTATTTCTGCATGCCTTCGGCCAGATCTTTACTGCTGAGATTATATGGCTTGTCGGCGTAAACACGTTGGAATGGCATCTCACTGTAGCTATTCGAGAGATGTATATGTATGGAGTCGTATCGTTTGGTCCAATTGTCACCAACAGAATCGTTACGTTCGACGACGAGATAGGGGATGCGTAATGCATGCAGCCTGCCTGCAACACAAAGACCGGCCATACCGCCTCCGACAACAATGCAGTCGATCTCACCATCATCCTCGAGGTTCGCAGCGGGTGCAAACTTCGGGTCTGGGAGACTATCTGGGTTTCCATAACCGCCATGGTCTTTGAGAGCCTCGATGAATGTGCAGAGGACCCAGATCTTGTAGTCGCCATTTTCGTCGGGGACAATGTTGACCGAGCCCGAGCAATTAGCAGGCTGTGCTCCATTGGTCTCGAACGAAAAGACGACAGTTATCCATGCAGGGTGAGGTCCCAATCTGAATATTTGTGCCGTGTGTGGTACCAGTCTGAAATTGTAAGGCTTACAATTGGGTCTGAGTTCGTTCCAAACAGCGAGTATAGTGGATGCATTGTTGAAAGTCCGCTGATGCCCAGTAATGCTGAGAGAGTCTCTCCACATTGCATCTTCAGTCAGGTCGCTTTGCTGCAAATTCTGTAGACGAGCGATACATGAGGTGGCTACTGCATTGCAGTCGACATCTTCGTTGATCACAGCTCTGGGTAAGGCTCCCTTGAGCTGGCTGCTGGTGATCACTGGCGTTGGGAAAGCACGAGTCTGTACTGCTGCCATCGTTCAGATACAGGTGTGACGCGTTTGTCTGCCAGAAAGATTGAGGGCCTTTGGCCGTATTTATGGCTTCAGCATCGAACCTTGCCATGCATGCAGCTTACCGGACACAAGTTATCATCCCGTGTATCACTGACCGTAGATCAGAGGGGGTGCTGCTTGAGCTACGCATTAGACCTGTAGAGGAGCCAGCATGAGCGGCGAATATGCACCCAGAGGATCGGGATCGAGCACCCTCTTGGAAGGTCTAGGTAAACACAGTCACCGGTCTGGTCAACCTTGTCGAATGGGCTCCTCGCGGATGGATGCAAATGAGACAGGAGCAGCTACACTAGGGGTGTCAGATTGACGTAAGTTTACTGGTTTTTAACGTTCGTCAGTTTACTGCGTAAATTACCTCATATCCATGTCAATTTACCTCTTGAGCTTGGCGCACGACCTCTGGTACCTGCTCATTAAGCTCCTTATCGCTATATATAGCAACTTCGAGCTCAATGTTAGCGTAATAGATAGATGGTTCGATAGGTAGGTAGAGGTATAAGTTATAGCACGAATTTAGCATGTTTCTTAACTATTAACCTATTAATTTATTAGCGCTATAGCTCGTAAGACCTTATATAAGAACGATTAGTTTAAGGCTACTATTTACTATAGCAAACTATCTACCCGATATAAGTACTATTATATTAAGTACCTTATAGGTAACTCGTCTACCTATAAGGGTAATTACCTAAAAAGTTATATAGCGTTTTACTAATATATCTAGGACTTATTTAACTAGCAAAAACACGGTATCCTAGATGCTTACTACATAATTTAACAGGTTCTAGGATACTTAGTTACTACTACTAGGTCTAAGATTAATAATAGCGAAGGTAGTAGTAGTAATAAGGTTATTTAAGTACCTTAATAGTAGGAATTACATCGCTTATTTAGTTAAGCTATATATTAATCTAGTATGCTATTTAACTCCTTTATTAATAAGAGTTAGAAGGACCTCTTTAATAGGCTAAATTATATCCTACTAAGTAGGCATAAGTTAAGTAATAACCTACTAACCTCTACCTATAACGACATAAGGTATAAGGTAACTAATGTCATTAACTCGTAAGGCTATAGATGTTATCTAAACTTTATTAGCGATAAGTCTAATACATTAAATAAGAACCGGATCTTAAACCTCTTAGTTAACGCTAGTAAAGGCTAGGCCTTTTACCTTACTACTATTAGTACTAGATCTATACGCTATAATTATAAAGCGATATATAACCTAGTAGTATTAAAGATTAAGGATTAGATTAGTAACTTAAGGCGCTAGAACTCGCTATATATAGATACTTATATAACTTAGAGAGTAGTTTATAATAAACTTTTACGCTACCTAGAGACGAGGCATATATTTCTAGTTCTCTATAATGCGTATAGCATCTAATTACTCTTTAAAGACCTTCTTTATAGTAAAAGGACTATTAAAGTAATCCTATACTATAAAGAGGCTATAGAGTAAGCTTAAGTAATTAGTAAAGTCTTTTAAGGCGTAAATAAGTTATATAGTTTACTAGTTAATATAGCATCTAAGGATAATAAGAAGCTACGCGCCTTCGCTCTATTAGTAATTACTTAATAAGGTAGTTAGGTTTATGTTATTAACGCGCTAATTAAGAATAAACCTACGCTTAAAGTAGTTACTTAGTAATATCTAGAGGTGTTTAAGGAGTTAAAAACTAGTACTACTACGCTTAGTTATATACTAAGTCTACACTTCTAGTTCTAGCTTAAGCACCTCTATATGCTACTACTACTAATTTACTATACGTAGATTACCTCTAAAAGCGATAGATTAATAGTAGGTATAGTCTTACTACGCTAGTAAGACATAAGAGCTAATTTCTATAAAATTTAGCCTTCTCTTTCTTACCTTAAAAAGGTAATATAGCGAGTTAATAGGCGTCTTAAGATCTAGAGTTATAATATCTACTTTACTATAAGAGCTATTAACTACTTAGATCTAGAAGTAGCTTAACTTCTAGCTACTAACTATGCTTATATAGTTAAATTCTTTAAGCTATATATACTCTTTAAGAAATAGAACGCTTTTTTTAAGTAATTTAGCTAGTTCTAACGCCGTTATAAGGCCTTCTTAAATGCCTTCTTCTAGCATAAGTCTTTAAACCTAGAGCACTTTTAAGACTATATATCGGCATTAGCACTAGAGCTTACTAAATTAGCTCTACGCTTATTATTAATACTAGCGAATTTAGTCCTATTAAAGTAAGCCTTCTTAACCTTTAGTTTTATATAGAACTTTTTTAAAACATTAATAAGTACTATTAAAACTAACTAGTAGTACTTTATCTACTTAAATTTAAGGGCCCTCTAGCAATAACTATAAATAGAAGCTAAGAAGCGTAAGCTTAGAAGGAAGTAGCTTAATATTACTAAAATATAAGGTTAGGAGAGAAAGAAGTTACGTATAAAATACCTTACTATCTTAACTAGGTAAAAGGAAGTACTAATAGCGTAGTAAAACATACTAACTAAGGCTACTATCTAGTAGTAAGAGGTAGTATCTACTCTTAATTTATATAATATCGCTAACTAGCTACCTTCCTTCCTATTCTTTAGTACCTTATTTACCTTATTAACCTCCTTATTAGTAGCGCTATATATATATAGTTTATAGATGTTAACTTAAGGGAACTTATAAGCTTAACCCCTCTAGATTAACTAGAACGCTTAATACTATTTACCTTATTATAACCTCGTACTAAGCTAGTATACTATTACTAGTTAGAACGTTAAGTAAGAGGAAGGGCATAAATCTATTAATCTGTCGCTATATCTAAGTAGGAGTGCCTCTTAGAGGTGCGTAAAACTCTAAATTTAATAAGAAATTAACGAGATTCTAGAATTTTTTCTTATAAGATAGTTAACCCTAGTAGGAGGCCTTAAAACATCGATTTTATAAGGGAAAATAGGGTGTTTAGAGCCCTGTAGCGGGCAGCGTTATTTCTCGCGTGAAATCGGCGAAATCCGAGGTTTATTGACGTATGCGTAAAAAGCTTCTACGGTAAACAAGTTATTTACAAGCGCCACCCCTAAGCTACACCGGTTGGTGATCATCGTTTGGAGGAAGCCTCGGCACGACTCCCCGCTTCAACCTCTCTCCGCATCTCTTGACCTGCATTCATACCGGCACATAGCCGCCGTGATGAACTTTATATCCGTATAGAAGACGATGCGGTAGGTACATAGGTATCTGCATCTGTTCAGTTCATTCTGCAAAAACAACGTACACATTATGTCGGTGCCTACGCTTACCACACCTCTAACCACGCTGCTGGGGATCAAGTACCCAATCCTACTTGCTGGCATGGCTCGGACCTCATCTGGCCCTCTTGCCGCTGCTGTCTCCAATGCTGGCGGCTTAGGCACCATTGGTGGATTGGGGTATAATCCTCAGCAGCTTCGCGACATCATCACAGAACTAAAGTCACATCTTTCTTCTCCGGACCTACCTTTTGGCGTCGACCTGGCTTTGCCACAAGTAGGCGGCTCGGCACGAAAGACGAACCACGACTATACCCACGGACAACTGGACCAGTTGATTGACGTGGTAATCGAAGAAGGTGCGAAGCTATTCATCAGTGCCGTGGGTGTGCCACCGAAGAGAGTGATCGATCGCTTGCATGAGAATGGCATCTTGGTCATGAATATGGTTGGCCATCCTAAGCATGCTGTCAAAGCACTTGAGGCTGGTGTTGATTGCGTTTGTGCACAAGGAGGCGAGGGAGGTGGCCACACCGGCGATATCCCCGGCAATATTTTAATTCCAGCTGTCGTGGATGCGGCCAACAAGTACAAGAGTCCGCTGACTGGTGAACCTGCCTTGGTGGTGGCAGCGGGTGGCATATACAATGGACGGAGTTTGGCAGCGGCGTTGATGCAAGGAGCTGCTGGCGTGTGGGTCGGCACAAGGTAAACGTTGGTCAAACATGAAAGGATCCCGGAAGCTAACAATGATACGACAGATTTGTGGCAAGTGAAGAAGCCGGATGCTCGAAGCTACACAAAGAGGCCGTGGTGTCAGCCAAGTTCGAGGATACGTTGCGCACACTAGTTGTCAGTGGCCGACCACTTCGCGTGCGCATGAACGACTATATCCAGTCTTGGGAAGACAGGCCGGAAGAAATCAAGCGGTTGACTGAGCAAGGCATAGTGCCGATGCAAAAGGACATGGATGACGATAAGGACGTCGATTTGCCATATCTGATGGGTACGGTCGCCGGTGTGATTGGAGATATCAAGCCCGCGAAGAGTATTGTCGAGGATATGGTCAAGGAGGCTGTCGATATGCTGAAGAGAGGGCAGAGTTTTGTCGCGCGCGACAGCAAGTTATAGATCGAGAAGTCTTGTATATAAATCAGTCAGTTTCAGCAACGACACCATCTCAATATGTCCTCTTCAGCACCTGGCTCAAAAGCCAGAGAGCAGATGAGAAAAAGGCTCAGACCCAGAGCAAGCTCCAGGCCCGAAGAAAGTTTCCAAAAATATACTTGATTGCTCAAGTTTCCAACAGGGAATATTTTGCAAGGCCCCATGAAAATCACCTTGTGAGGGATTACGCACCGAGTCCTTCGACAGCTGCCTCAAAGGATCAACTTCTCAGTTCCCAGTGCTCACTCTGATACTTCCCTCCTGCCATCTCAAAAGTTGCCGAACACTCTAGAGACCCAAGTTAGCCACGAAACAGTAAGAGCGTTGTTTCCGACGCGACTGCCTCCAAGAAAGGTGAGAAGGAGCTGTCGCTGGTTCAACCAGATGTGCAAAGCACAGGAATGCTCGTCGCGCCAGATCACTCTTGCAGCTTGTTCTCCCATAGATCTCCCCGCCACGGAGCGAAGTGGAGGGTATGCGGACAGTGATCGCTTCAAACGCCATCCAGAGGTATGAGGACTGCCGTCACTTCAAAAACCAGAACTGGATAGCGCACGGATTCTCGTCTCGTTATACCAACCCTGTCACCCGGGCCGCAGAAGTAGCGAGTGAAAGGAAAACCTCACGAAAACAGAAGAGAAGTATGAAGAAGAGAAGGAGAGAAAGGGGAGCGAGCAAGATTTTATACCTGTGAGAGCTGGCAAGACGGATAACTCCGGTGGACAACATGAGCCAGCAGATATGAGTTGATTATGAGCACGTTTCTTACCAACACCTGACCTACCTTGATGGCACATGACACAGTGATTGGATGTTATTAGTCGACGTCCCGACCAGAACAAGGAGCTAGCACGAAGCGATTGAATATCACAGTCAAAGTGTTTGGCTGGACTGTGTCTGTTTGGTCGTGAGAGATCGCCTGGAGTTCGGGCGAGGTCTGAAAATGTTGACGTGAGCTTTCGGGATCCGAGCTGCAATGGTCGATTGGCCAGAGTTTCAATGTTGACGCAATCCAGGTAGATGCTGGCAAAATAGACGGACCGCGTTAGAGATGAACAATAGTAAATTGCCTACCACACCCAGACCAGACCAGAACGCCCATGACTTTTGTGTATCGCATAAAATCGTCCCTGCCTGTCAGCACAACGGACGCGCAGAACATGACTGGGGAAAAGAGGAAGATATGAATTGTCGGCGAAGCTTTTTGTTTTCGTATTTCCTTTTTTTCTTGTCCAGCTCCTTGCTAGAAGAAACTACGCAGCAGCTCCCGACCCATCAAAAAAGACTCCCACGCGACATCATCGTAATCAGAGAACTTTGCACTTTTGCGCCCGCAACGAAACTCCCCTTCAGCATCTCCCCAAGCCAGCGGTATCATAGAAGAGGGTTGAGGTGAGAGAGGTAAACATCGACGAGAGGGTGGAACAGTCGATCGATCTTCGGAATAGAAAGTGTTGCGGTTGACGGTTTTGGAAGGGAGGTACGCGTTGGTCGCTTATCGGAGACGGCGGGCCTCACGCTCGGACTCGAGCAGGCAGAGGATGTCGTCCTCACGGACTGGAGATGTGGTGTTAGTGGCTGAGATTGACAGATGCGCTCGCACAGCGGCGGCATGGGCGAGAGAATCGTACCGGGACCCTTGACGTTACGGATGATGGAACGGGTAGTGTCGTCCATGAACTCAACGCGGACCTGGGTAACACCACCACGAGAGCCTGTGTCGCAAGAGATCCGTCAGTAATTTGTTCTGCAAATCGTGCAATCCTCCATGACCGTGTCCGAGTTGTCCAAAGTGTCTTTCCCCAAGTGCGCGCTCCTCTTCTTTCCAATAGACTCTTCCCAGACTCTTTCTCTCGGCGGACGATGGAGGATTGTCGTTGTTCTGCTGAGTGAACGTACCGGTACGGCCGAGGACGCGGGTGACCTTGACGAGCTTGACGGGGACCTTGGCGGATTCCATTGTGAAGTCTTGTGTGATGAGCTGAGATAGTTTCTTCTGTAACTGGGCGAGGGAAGGAAAAAGGCGTCGACTGGGGATCGAGAATCTGCACACGGAGCGAGCGTCTGACTGGGGGAGCGCCCACTGAAAATTCGAGGCTTGGCGCTTTCGGTGTGCGCCCTGGGCCGGCGCTTTAACCGATGTCTTTCCGTTCTTCTTGAGGCCCGTGCAGACTCGTGTCTTGACGGCAATGACGGAGTCGGATGCGGCGAACGCGCGACAGCTCGGGGAAGACAAGTGGCCGTACACGTTTCAAAAAAGTTGCCGACTATTAGATCAAGACTCATCCAAACACCTGTCACTTTGTCAAGAGTCATGTCGAGTGCTGTTCTGAACTAGACTTCTGATCAAGGACTCTCCTTCTTCTCTTCGCCTGGACTTCTGTATCTTGTCCAGGAAGCTATCGACTATTCTATATTTCCCCCCTTGAGACCCTCGCCAACATGGCCAGACTCGGAGGAATCACCCACCCCTTTGTCCTTTTTGCGATACTGTTCGTCGCATTTGCCTCGACAGCATCTGCAGCGTCAGCAGTACTTGGAATTGATCTCGGCGGTGCATATGTCAAAGCAGCAATCGTAAAGCCAGGAGTTCCCCTCGACATTGTCCCCACCAAAGACTCGAAACGCAAAGAAGCCGCCGTCGTTGGTTTCAAACCCGTGTCTGGTTCCGCTCTCGAATTTGGATCTTACCCCGAACGACTTTATGGCGGAGATGCTCTGGCCCTCGGTGGTCGCTTCCCTGGCGATGTCTTCACCAACCTCAAGACCCTCCTCGGCCTCGTTCCTGGTGAACACGCCGACTCTATGATCAAGAACTACCACGCACGCCATCCCGCAGTCAAGTCCAACTTTGAGCAAGAGAAGGGAGCTGTCTCGTTCGTACCCAGTGCCTTTGGCTCGTCTGAAGCACCATGGAGTCTCGATGAGTTGCTGGCCATGGAGCTCAAGAATATCCGCGCAAATGCCGAAGCAATGTCTGGCGGCAAGGGAAGCTCTGTCACTGATGCTGTCATCACCGTTCCCGTCCACTGGACTGCCGACGAGAGACGTGCTATCCAACGTGCCGCCGATCTGGCTGGTATCAACATCATGGCTCTCGTCAGCGATGGACTGGCTGTTGGCATCGACTACGCCGTCAAGCGCACTTTCCCCAGCGTCAGCAAGGGTGAGAAGCCCGAGTACCACATGGTCTTCGACATGGGTTCTGGTTCGACCACTGCCACCATCCTCAGATTCCAGTCCAAGGACGTCAAGGACATCGGCCGCTTTAACAAGACCATTCAGGAGGTCGCCGTCATGGGCGCTGGCTGGGACAAGACTCTTGGAGGAGATGAGCTCAACGCTCTCATCGTAGATTACCTGGTCGACAGCTTCGTCGCTAAGCCTCAAGCCGTGAAGGCTGGCATTACCGCCGAAGAAGTCAAGACCCACGGCAGAACCGCTTCTAAGATTTGGCGTGAAGCCGAGCGCGCAAGACAGGTTCTCAGTGCCAACTCTGAAGTTAGATCGAGCTTCGAGGGCTTGTACAAGGATATTGACTTCGCCACCAAGCTCACCAGAGCCGACTTCGAGAAAATGGCTGCTTCCCACGCTGACCGTATCCAAGCCCCTGTTCAACAGGCTCTGGATGCTGCCAAGCTGTCTTTCAAGGATCTTGACTCTGTCATCCTTCACGGTGGTGCTATCAGAACCCCGTTCGTCCAGAAGAAGCTCGAGTCCATGACTGGCAAGCACACCGAGGTTCGCAGCAACGTCAACTCTGATGAGTCGGCCGCTTTCGGTGCTGCGTTTAAGGCCGCCGATTTGAGCCCCAGCTTCCGTGTCAAGGAGATCAGAGCTCTTGAAGCCGCTACCTACCCTGCAGGCATCAAGTACCCCGCGGATGGCAAGGAGAGATCGCAAAAGCTGTTCGTCCCTACTTCTCTGGCCGGGTCTGCCAAGGAGATCACCATCAAGAACCTTGACGACTTTACTTTTGGCATCTTCCAGACTGTTGGCAGCGTTGATCGTCCGGTCACCGAGGTCATCACCCAAAACTTGACCGCTTCCGTTGAGACTCTGTCCACCAAATTCGGTTGCTCCAAGGACGAAATCTCTACCAAGCTCAAGCTTCGCATCAGCCCTGTTGACAGCATTCCTGAGATTGTTTCTGCTTCAGTCAGCTGCGAGACTGAGGGTGGCAAGGCTGCTGGTCTCGGAGACTCGGTCAAAGGACTTTTCGGATTTGGATCCAAGAAGGGCGACCAAGAACCTCTCATCGAAGACGAGGAGGTAGAGACCGTGAAAGAGTCTAGCTCATCATCGTCCCGCTCTTCCTCCAGCACCAGTAGTGCCAAGTCAAGTGGATCGGCCACCCCTGAGGCTGATGCCAAGAAGAAGCGTACTGAGACTATCCCTATCAAGCTCACCACTGTTGTCAAGGGCCTTCCCCAACCTGCACTCGAAGACATCAAGTCCATGAAGGAGCGTCTTGCTGCCTTTGACCGCTCGGACCTCTCTCGTACCCAGAGAGAAGAGGCTCTGAACGTTCTCGAAGCATACACCTACCGCACTAGAGATCTCCTCGAGAACTCTGACTTTGTCGGTGCCTCGACGGAGGCTATCAGATCTCAGTTGACTTCTCTGCTCAGCAGCACTAGTGACTGGCTTTACGGGGAAGGCTCTTCGGCAAAGGTTGAGGCTTTCAAGAGCAAGCTTGCTGCTCTCAAGGCTATTGTCGACCCCGTCCAGAAGCGCAGAGAAGAAGCCGCTGCACGTCCCGAGATCCTCAAGTCGCTGCAAAGCTCGCTCGATCAGACAAAATCCATGGTCGACGCCATCGGCAAGCAGATTGCTGCCTCCATCTCTTCCGCCTCCGAGGCAGCTCTATCAAGCAGCACCACCACCACCAAAGCAGCCCCTAGTCCCAGCTCTGCCGACGACCTTGACGATCTCGAGGATGTCGACGCCTCAAGCACCTCTTCATCAGCCAAACCCAGCGAATCCCCTGCCCTGATGCCCTACACCTCAGACGACCTCACCTCCATCACCTCGGCCTACGAGACCGTCGCTGAATGGTTGAAGACCAAGATCGCCGAGCAAGACAAACTTCAAGCTTTCGAGGACCCAGCATTCACGGTCAAGGAAGTGGAGGCCAAAGCCAAGGAGCTCAACAAAGCGCTTATGGATATGGTGACCAAGAAGATGCAGATGCCCAAGCCTAAGGCTAGCAGTAGCAGCTCGAAGAAGCCGAGGGCGTCAAAGAGCAAGAAGATGAAGTCGACGAGTAGTGAGACGGCGACTGAGTCGCCTTCTGCCAGTGCTTCTGTTGTTGTTGAGGAGGAGGATAAGCCTATTGAGCATGAAGAGTTGTAGAGCATTTCTGTTTCAGCGTAGAAGATATATCAAGTTTTGCCTTTTTACCGTTTTACATCCTGTCTGAAGTCACAAGCATTGCCAAAGTAAAGTTCTATCCAGTTGTGTTGTTATTTTGCATGATATCTATTTCTCCCTTGACCCATGTTCATCTCGCACCAACAGCACCATGCGGCACACCCTGCCTCCTCCTCGCAATGGCCTCACCCATCGCATTCCTCACCTCGACGTTACTCCTCACAGTATTGTCCACCAAGAACCTCTTCATGCGACCTCTCATCTCCCTCATCGCTGCCTCATCACCAGCAAACGGCGTCATCTCCAATCCCATCAACATGTTGGCTTCATTCTCAAGCGCTTGTCCCAAAGCACTGATTCTTTGTAATTGCTGCTGAGACACCTCATCATTTTGGTTGGAAGCAGCAGCAGCAGCGGCTTCTGGAGAAGTGATCAAAGGACCGATTTGAGAGAAGGCGATGAAAGCCGTGAGGATGAGTTTTCTGAGCAGGGAAATGAGTTGCCAAGGTAGGAATTGAGGATGTGTGGGTATGATTGCGAATATCGGGTTCGCCATCTGCATCAACAAGCGAGGAAATGTTGGGTTGGTTAGGCAATGCACTTCAAACACCCCCAATGCTGCCAGTGCCAGGAATCTCCAAAATGCAGCTTGTTTGATGTATCCCAGGAAGCCGAGAAGGGTTAACACAGCGGCAGTGCCTGAGTAGTAGAAGAAGAGGTTCCGAAGGCCGATGGTGAGGAAATCGGGGATGGAGGTTGGTTGGGGCCGCCAGAAGAAGATGTCTGGACCGAGGCGGTCGTAGGCGAAGCGTTTTGTTGGGTCGATGAGAATGTCGCGGCAGAATTTTAGATGGACGTAGTAGGATTCTGCGGTGGTGCGGTCGGAGCCTGGGGATACTTTGTCCGGGTGGTGGAGCAGTGTTCTTTGGGTATTCATCAGCTTTGTTTCTTTCGTCGAAAGGTTGGAGGGGCAGCGATAGGGAACTTACAGTCTTCGGAAGCGACTGTTGATTCCTCTTTCGTTGACATCGAGGCCTACACCGAGGTCTTGGTATAGGTTTCCTGCCGTGCGGAGTTGAAAGTCGGCTTCGTAGATTGTGTAGAGGAGGTAGGCTACGATGACTAGGATGTTGATTCTTCGGCGGTGTTGAACAAAGGCCCTGCTTCCAGGCTGTGGTTTGGGGTCACCTGCGCGTATCCAGACGGCATAGAAGGCTGATTGGACCCATCCTGTTACCAACTGTAGAATTGATAGTCAGCCATCGATTCTTTGTTTCTCTTTACTTAATCACAATGGATGATCTGACATTATGGCAGAGGTAGAAGTAGAGTCTCGAACGGAAGAAAAATATTGAGGACTCGATGGTCTGGTCCCCTGCAAAAAGCAGAGGATGGTCGGGGGGAATATGCCACATATTGATGATTCGGGGAGTGGAAGATATTGCAAGATGGGAAACACGAAAGGTACACTTACATTGGGCAGGATATACCAACCAGCTAAGGAAAGCAAATTGTCAGACATGATTTATTAGTCTGAGCAGGATTGCGAGTAGAATGGATGGTTCGAGGTCGAGTAGACATGGACGTGTAAACTAACGCAGCCCCCGGGGGGTCAAAGAAGCCTTGACTCGCGGGTGTGCACGGACTCAGAACTGCTTTGGCATGTGAAGCCAGCGAGTTTGAGGTGTCGAGTGGAAATTCTTTTTTTGTTCTCTCGCGACAGCAATAATATCCAATTGCCGCTCAACCACACGACATACACACAACGCACATAACGCACATAATGTCAACAGATAACACGGCAAACACACCAAAGTCCGCAAAGACGAAAAAGAACAAGGACGACAAGTCAGCAAAGAAGCGACGACACGACGAGCAAGCCACAGCACCAGGAGCAGAAGCATCAGAACCCACAATCGAGAGCCTACCAAAGCGTCCGCGCATTGCCTCGCCAGCTGCACACGCGGACGCAACCAGCACATCACCTTTTGTCAAGCAAACCTCATCCTTCTACCTCCCTCTGTCGCCAATCTACCACGCCTTCCCCGTCGACGGCCTCTGCGCAGAGCACATCTCCCCTCTACTCCTCACCTACCACCCACCCCTCGGCGGCGTTATCCTCTCCTACTCCAACCCACGCCTCTCCAACACCCCCGCCAACGCTCCCTCCTCGCGTGACGGTCCAGATGCCTCTCCCACCGTTCTCGCAAAGTCAATTGACGAATACGCCGTTTCCTTCATCTGGCTAACCGTCGATTTCATCCTGCTACGCCCCACCCCAGGCGCCGTCATCGAAGGCTACGTCAGCCTCCAGAATGAATCCTACCTGGGTCTCGTGTGCTGGAATTTCTTCAACGCAGGCGTAGACCGCAAGCGCATTCCCTCGACTTGGAAATGGGTGCCCAATCACAATGCCAATGCCGGCACCAAGAGCAGCACCGATTGGATGAGGGGTTTGCGCAACAAGAGTGACGAAAGCAGTGGTCATTACGTTGATGAGAATGGCAACAAGATTGAAGGAAAAGTCAAATTCACAGTCAAGGATTTCGAGTCTGCGCCCAGCACGGAGCGTGAAAGAGGCTTCTTGAGCATCGAGGGTACGCTGTTGAGTCCCGAGGAAGACAAGGCGTATGACAAGGAGCTCAAGGCTGCGAGAAAGGTGCCGAAAAAGAAGAGGGTGCCTGCTTTGAATGTCAACCCTGAGTAACGAGAGAGAGGGTCTCTATACATTTTTACTTTCTGTTTCTTTTTTCGTACATGAGCGTCTCTTACATGTACTCACCATGCCCATCTATATCCTGCGACAAAGCCATCAGATCTACCTTTCCAATTCATCCGCAAAACAGCTCCGAAAATCCCATGCATTCAGATAGCAGAGAGTTCACAATCATTGAAGAAGATCAAAACTTGTTTACCGAACTCGCCCAACTTCCTTGATTTTATCGGCTTGCCATCCGCGCTGCCGACACGAGTCAACACTGGTTACTTATCATGAAGAAACAGAAGGTGTTGTTATGATGTTTTGAAGATTTCTTTATTCATTCTTCTCGAGTTCGCGAGAGCTCTACTCTAACTATTTACGTCCATCTCTTATCTCGAAAGAGCCAGTCCGGCCAATATCCTCCTTCTCTTCAGCCCAGCTAAAGTACTTTTTGTCTTCTCTCCCAATTCAAAACAGAGCCAGTCCATAAGAAGATAGAAACATCCGGCCCGTGGGCATCGCCATGCAATCGCTAATGCTAAAAATCAACAGACAAGCAACAATAAAAACAAGACATGTAGAACATGTCGAACAAAAACAGAGAAAAGAACAAGATCATGCAACAATGCCATCACCCTCGATCATCTCCTTGAGAATATCACTGCCTGGTCCCTTGAGAGCCGAGAGCAGCTCAGCGTGACCAACACAAGCAGCCATTCTCTTGTCATCGCCCATTGCTGCACCGGTGAATCCAGATTTGGATCTTCTGCTGGGTGTACGCGAAGGTGTCAAGGGCATGGAGAAGGAAGAGGCTCCTTTTGCTTCCACAGCAGAGACGAGTGAGAGTGTCTCCAGGCCACTGACCACGTCCCTAAACTCAATGCTGCTGAGAGCGTGTAACATATTCTCGCGACTGCAGAGGGTGCAGTAGGCTTCGAACAATTGCTTGACAGTCGGCGCGGAATTTGCATGCTTGGAAGGTGTCATTGGAAAGGTGACCACGCTGGGTGCCTCACGCTTCTTCTTCTCCAAAGCTGACAAAGCGCACAAGACAGCTTTCTGTTGCAAGTTAAGAGATGCCAGACGTTGAGATGCTCCATTGCTAAAAACAGCGGCAGTAACTTTGGCGACATGAGCAATCGTCGCTCTCGGCGCAGTCTCGAGTGTCAAGTGACTGATAGAAGGGAAGAGCGTGGTCTGGCGAGGGTCTTTGAGCGCCGACTTCTGGAAGGCTGCCAATTTGACGGCGGGAGATGCAATGTTCGGGTTCTCCTTCAGCGGCGTCTTCGACGGGCTGTCTTGCAGACGAATGCGTGCTTGCTCAACCTTCGTCTCAGACTCGATCATGTCGACAGCTCTCCTGCAGATATCGAAGGCCTTTCGGAGATCACCAGTCTGAGACGCGACCTTCTTGGAGCAGAATTGAATGGCTGCGGGATGTAAGAATGGAATGAAGTTGGGATCTGCCAGAGAAGCATTCAATCCCTTGAGTTTCGATGTGATGATATTCGCAATTTGAGGAGCGGTGTATGGCATGAATGGCAGCAGATTTGGTTTGAGATTGCGTGACTTGAGGCGAGGCAGAAAACGGTCAGTTAGATCGAGAGCGTTAGCAATGCCAATAAGAATGAGATTTGACGAAGGCTCCATTGACCACTCAAAAAGGCTGTACAACAATTTGAGATCCAGATCGACAAGGCGATCGATTTCATCCAGGATGACAATGTACTTCTTCTCCTGCTCAAAGAAGTTGGGGCGTAGGATATCGAAATCTGCGGCGCGCCCAGAAACGCTGTCCAGACCCAGGTCTTTTGACAATGTGTTGGCAAGGTCTTTGGCTGTTTTGACACTCATACAGTTGACAGTCGAGATGATCATTTCACGTTCTGACTCAGATGCAAGGTCTTGACAAACTTGACCAACAAAAGCACTCTTTCCGGTTCCTGGTGGTCCTGAGATGTAGAGACATCCGGCATCTGCAGAGTCGAGGCGCTCTGATATAAATATAGACAACTGTTTCTTCTCTTCCTCTCTTCCAATTAAAACGCCAGGGTCCGTACATCTTGAGAAGATCTGGCGGGCTTGGTTGTACACATTGTTGGCGGCACTTGATGGAGTGTAAGGACTGCGAGGAGTGTCGGGGCTGCTAGAAATAAGATGGCGGTGCCTTGGTGTGATTGTGATTTTTGAGGCGAGCGCATCTCGGTGTCGTGGTGTTTGCGGTGTAGCAAGTGGGCTTGACTTTGCGGGAACAGATGATTTGGTAGTCTTCGAAACAGAGAAGTGGGCACTGATCTTATTTGGTGACGATACTACGCGTTTCGAGGGAGTGGGTTTGAGTTGTGTTGCAGGAGAAGATATTGGGTTGAAGAATGGGTTGTCGTTTTCGTCGTTCCCTAGGACCAGAGTCTCGCGGCGCTTTGCCCGGGTCTGTATGCTGCTGTCTGATGCTGTTCACACGATCAATATCTGAGCACGCGTACAGTGCTGATGATTTTTACCATTCGCTGAACTCCGGGTACGTTTGCCCAGGACAGAAGCTGACATTGCTAGTGATGAGAGAAGTCGCGACTGTGATTATGATATTATGAAAAGGAGAAGGTGTAAACAATATGATCAATGTGTCAATGTTCAATGAATGGGAAGGAGCGACTCGAGGAAGGCGCGTAAGGACGCGGCACGCACAAAGTGCATTTTTAGCGCGAAACGAGCCTCACGCACGGACTCTCTACACATTCCATCGACGTGCTGCATCGCGACAGTCGTCCACAATCTAGACTCGTCGAGCAGTCGCAAAGCCATGGCCTTTGGCAGAAGCAGTCCGCCGCCTTCTCAACCCTCGGCCAAGAAGCAGCAGTCCATATCCAGCTTCTTCACCCCTAAGCAGCCCGCTGCTAAGAAGGTCAGCGCGCCCACGCCATCCACGACCAAAAGACCATCGATATCCAATGCACCTGAACCCACAAATGATGCTCGAAACACCATTGTGAACAGCAGTCCGCCTAGGCCGAAGCGTCCGTTTGAAGAGTACAGCGACAAGGAACAAGACTTGCCGGATCCCAAGAGAACGCGTCAGGATGGTAGCGACTGGGAGAACGAGGCACCATTACCCGCTGTGTCACAGCCGTACCGACCTGCCGCTGCCAATGGATCTGCGCGTATCTCGGACCGTACAGCCAAGTACATCTTCTCAAGTTCTCAGCCCGACCAACCTCTGCCAAATGACAAAGACGACGATGCCGTTCGCAGACAGAAAGAGCGTTTGCACCAAAAGTTCGTGAAGAAACTCGGCAGACCTGACAGTCTTATCGACATCAGGCGTCGTAATCATTTCATTGACGAAGAACAACCTGACGGCGAAGATGATCCTGACGAAGAAGAAGAGGAAGTCCAAAAGCCTGCCAAGGGTAGAAAAGGTCCTGCCGTTCGAAAGACCGCCAGTAAACTCACACCTATGGAGAAGCAAGTCATCGATATCAAGAAGAAACACATGGACACTCTCCTGGTTGTCGAAGTGGGTTACAAGTTTCGTTTCTTTGGTGAGGATGCCCGCATCGCTGCAAAGGAGTTGCAGATCATGTGTATACCAGGAAAAATGAGGTTCGATGAACATCCTTCCGAAGCACACCTTGATAAGTTTGCTGGAGCGAGTTTTCCTACTCATCGTTTGCATGTTCATGTCAAGCGTCTCGTCTCTGCCGGACACAAGGTTGGTGTCGTACGTCAACTAGAAACGGCTGCATTGAAGAAGGCTGGCGACAACCGCAACACGCCGTTCGTCCGCAAGCTCACGAATCTGTACACAAAGGGCACCTACATTGATGACGTAGAAGGTCTGGATGGCCCTGTGGCTGCACCAGCTGGAGGTGCTCCTGCAACCGGTCATCTACTTTGTCTGACCGAGATGAACGCTGGAGGTTCAGGGACTGATGAAAAGGTGCGCCTCGGCATTGTCGCTGTTCAGCCCACCACGGGCGATGTGATCTACGATGACTTCTACGATGGCTTCATGCGAAGTGAGCTTGAGACTCGTCTTCTTCATATCGCTCCTTGCGAGTTCCTCATCGTTGGTTCTGTGTCCAAGGCGACCGAGAAATTGGTCGAGCATTTGTCAGGAAGCAGAACAAATGTTTTTGGAGACTGCGCACGTGTAGAGCGCACGGAAAAATCACAGACATTCGCCGCTCAGGCGCACACGCACATATCCGACTTCTACGCTGGCAAGATGCAGTCGGACAATTCGTCGGAAGAGAAGTCTGCCATGCTCGACAAGGTTCACCAATTGTCTGAACCTGTCACGATGTGTCTTTCGGCTATGATTACTCATCTGACTGACTACGGTCTTGAGCACGTCTTCGATCTCACCAAAAACTTTCAGTCTTTCAGTGCGCGCTCTCATATGCTTCTCAATGGTAACACTCTGTCATCGTTGGAGATTTACCAAAATCAGACAGATCACACCGAAAAGGGCAGTCTGTTCTTCATCTTGAATCGTACACAAACTCGCTTCGGTCAACGTCTTTTACGCAAGTGGGTGGGTCGTCCACTACTCGACCAAGAACAGCTTCAGAAACGCATTGGCGCTGTGGAAGAGCTTCTCGATACTGATCGTGCTATTCCCACTGATCGTATCAAGAACCTCCTCGCTCATGTCAGGGGTGATTTGGAGAAGTCATTGATCAGAATATACTACAAGAAATGTGCCCGTCCGGAGCTCGTGTCTGTTCTCCAGACGTTACAAAAGATCTCGAACGAGTACGCACATGTCAAAGCTCCGAAAGATTCTGGTTTCGAGTCACCACTGCTAGCTGAAGCTATCGCGTCATTACCGCTCATATCTGAAGATGTTATATCTTATCTCGAGAGAATTGACCTTCAAGCGGCCAAAGACGATGACAAGTACTCCTTCTTCCGCGATCAGTATGAAACCGAAGAAATCACTGATCACAAAGTCGGCATTGCTGCTGTCGAGCATGATCTGGATGAACATCGCACTCAAGCTGCGGAGACACTCAAGAAGACTGGCAAAGTCAACTACGTGACCGTCTCGGGTATTGAATTCTTGATCGAAATTGAGAACATCCATCTCAAGAGAGTACCTGCTTCGTGGGCCAAGATCAGTGGCACCAAGAAGGTGTCTCGCTTCCATACACCAGAAGTTGTCAAGTTGATTCGCGAACGTGATAGAAGCAAGGAAGCCCTTGCCAATGCGTGTGACGCTGCTTTTGCCGAGTTACTTACGGAAATTGGTGCCAAGTACCAGACCTTCCGCGATTGTATCCAATCGTTGGCGACACTGGACTGCCTCCTCTCACTAGCCGATATCGCGAGCCAACCTGGCTACACAAAGCCTGAGTTCATCACCGACAGCGACGAGGTGCGAATCGAGGTCAAAGAAGGGCGTCATCCAATGGTCGAGCAACTTCTTCTCGATTCGTACGTGCCAAACGATATTGAACTATCTTCCAAGGAAAGGGCTCTTCTCATCACCGGACCAAATATGGGCGGCAAGTCATCCTACGTCAGGTCAGTGGCGTTGATCGGTATCATGGCACAGATTGGAAGCTGGGTCCCGGCGTCAGAAGCAAGGCTAACTCCGCTGGATGCGGTCTTCACACGTATGGGTGCATTCGACAACATGCTTAAGGGCGAAAGTACTTTTATGGTTGAACTTTCCGAGACTTCAGACATTCTCAAGCAAGCAACGCCCCGATCCCTCATCATCCTGGATGAACTGGGTCGTGGTACGAGTACTCACGATGGTGTGGCAATTGCGCAAGCTGTGCTGGACTATGTTGTACGCGAGACTAAGGCACTTACCCTGTTCATCACCCATTACCAGGCACTTTCGCGAATGGCCGAGCGATACGAAGCGCGAGAACTTCGTAACGTCCACATGCGCTTCACTGAAGAAGTTGTTGGCGACGATCATACAGACATTACTTTCCTGTATGAAGTTGGCGAAGGTGTCGCACATCGCAGTTATGGCTTGAATGTGGCAAGACTTGCTGGGCTGCCGAAAGATGTGCTTGACGTCGCAGCGATCAAAAGCACACAAATGGAAGAAGAAGCAAACAGAAGGAAGATGGCACACTTGTCGAGATTGCTTTCCTCCACCCTCGAAAACGACCAGCCACTCAGCACTGAGTTGCTCATGGCTGGCCTTGATATGATGTAGAAACAGCCTGGGACAGGCGCATGCTGTCAAGCAGCCAGTTTTGAAGCTCGATATTGCTTGATCGAAGATACCCCTTTGCTGTGTTGTGGTATGTATTATCCATGGCTGCTTGCTCGAGAAATGATAGACAAGACAAACCCAGTCATTCAAACAACCAGCACTACCAGATCATGTCGCCGATAGAAGAACTGTAGGCCTGGTCAATCGTTGGCACACATACATCGGTAGGTCAAGTCCCAGCATTATAGCGATATGTCATAGTCACGTGTATACACATATGCACTCACAAAACATAGCGCTCGCACACAACCCGATTACCCAAGGACAGCGTGCATACTGCCTCAGGAAGAGCTGCGGCGTAAGTCGCCAATAATCTTGGTCATTCAAATTGACTTCCGTCTTACTGGCGTTCCTGGTCAGCCAGGCCGAGGTTCACTACTCAAGAGCGATAGATCCGTTCTCGATTTCAGTGGTGTGAAATTAGCATACCTATCAAATGCTCGAAAGGCATCTCAGGGTTACAGGCTCATCCGCGGCTGATCCCATGCTGCGGTCAGGCCCAAAAGGTCACCTGCTTCCCGCAAGCTTTCCCAAGTTTAAGCTTCGCTCCCGCTATCTCGCTCAACCTTTATATTCGAAGAACATTGACACCTCTCCACCCAAAAAAGCCGTGGTGGTGCAGTGGTCAGCACACCCGACCTGGTATCCTAAGTTCCTACGCTCGTTTCCTACGCTCGCTTACCCAAGATCCTAATACTCTCTCTCGAGGGTCGGGAGGTCGCTGGTTCGAATCCAGCCCATGGCGCATATTGTCTTTTTTGTGCACCAACACCACGATGACTTGGTAAACATGCATTTTGCCACTGACAGAGCGATGTAGAGATGGTCCTCCTCCAACGGACGGAGTTTTCGGCCTCCAGCAACAGTCGCGATCGTACCTGCCTTCCATAACTGTTGATAGTTCGCTGACGATGCCAAAATATTCGAGGACACCGCAAGCTCCGCGCGTCCTGCTTGAGATGAGTCTTTGAAAACATAATCAACGCGAATTTCGCCGTAAAACACAACGCCTCCCCAATTACTCGGACTCTGTCGCGTATTCTCCCAACATATTGGCACATAGCGACAAGTGGAATATAAGAAGGCATAATGGCTCTGAGGTCAAGATCCGTCTATCGATAATTGACGAGACGACGATTCTCATAGAATGCCGCTCTATGTCTTGAGCAGCTGCGCGTTCCCACATTTATGGTTATGACTGGTTATAGCACGCGGAGAGGTATTTTGAGCCGGTAAAGAGAGTTTCCCATGGACGCGGATGGAATCAGTTATGACTGGTTGTTGGCGATGAGTAAGAGTGTTGATATATATCCATGCAATCTTTTCCTGTATTCTCCTTTCTTTTCACACAAAACTCCACTGCACAGAAAAAAGCACCACCGAATTCACGCAACAGAATACCATCTTCCACTCAACAACCTTTACATTAACACTCCCTACATCCAAATCGACAACCTCTACATCTAACAACCCTCGCATCAACATGGCACCACTACCAGTCCAGTTGAGTACAGTAGTCGCCTTCGCAGGCACCCCAGTCCCTACACCGTGCACCTTCCATCTAGCAGGTCACTCGCCTGTTAATTTCCAAGTCTCGCCTGTTGTCACCTCGTGGCAAGCTGATCTACCAATCCACAAGCGCTGGCTTAGTAACTCTATGGTCAGTCACGGTGATGACGATGATGGTGATTATATCACCGTCGAGGAGACTCCTGTTGGCGGCGATGATGATGACGACGAGACTTCCAGCAAAGAAACTCCTGATGGGCTTTCTCCTACATCTACTGAGGAAGATGACGGCGACACTGGTGATAAGACCTATACCAATGACACGACCATGCCGGTCGGATCAGCAGGCACTGAAGCCTCCGCCGAAGTTATAACATCCGAGCTGGTTGAGAAGTATGGCACCATGCCCACTACCATCGACGACTGCATCAACATCGAAGACGCGGCTGTCACTCAAACTGACGAGAACGATAACAACACCGTAACCATCAACTGCACAGCTTTGACAAACATGGAAACTTGGTACCTCTTGCCTTGCGATGATCACTGCCACAATGACCTCGAAAAGATCATCCCAGGCGTTGTTGTCGGAAGCGGAGCCTCTGGCGGGCTTCTTCCAACTATCCTCAATAACCGCGGATTGTGGAGTAATAACGCTGTATCGCAAACTGCCATCATCGACTGGCTCACCACTCATCTACAAAATGTCCGCAACCTTCTCTCTACTGACGTCTTTGATTGGAGTCGTGTACAATCCAACATCAAAGACCTCATGCAACACCCACCAGTAGACCTTCCTCTTGAGAACGACGTGTTCCCAGCTCCTGAGGGTGCGCCAGAGCCCGCCAGTCCAGAAGCCATCGAAGCTGCCGAAACAGCGGTAGAGGAAGCTTCAAACGCTCTCGAAAACCTCAAGCACATGACAAATGACCCTGACGCTCTCAGATCAGCTGAAGAACATCTCGCCGACCAACAAGAGATACTGCGACAGCTCAGAGAGAGTGAAAACGTCCTACCTGGCGACCACTTTGGACCAACATATACTCCGGAAGAGATTGCCGTCGAGACAGTGAAGCTCGAGGATGCCGTCCAGGCTGTGGAAAGAGCACTCAAGAACTACAAAGCGGCCAAGGGTAATCCCACTTTCCCAAAGCGCGAGCAAGCAGCCCTCGAGAAAAAGTGGCTCGACGCAAAGAAAACCCTGAAGCAAGTCAGAGACCACATTCGCGATAACAACATCCCCGTTGACGATATCCTGGAGAACACTGTTTCGGAAGAAGTTCCACGCTGGACAGAGGCTGAGATTAGGGCTTCGAAAGAAGCAGTCAAGAACGCCAAAGAGGCTCTCAAAGAGGCCAGGGGAGTGACGGACGATGGAGACGTGGTTGAAGCATTGGAACAAACAGCCAAGAATGCTGCAGATGCTGAAAGATTCATGGAGGACGACGTCTTTGAAGTCAAGCCTAAAAAGACTGTCGAAGAGGCTCAGACTCAACTCGATCAGATGCGAGAAATCAGCGACAAGGGCCAAGAAGAACTCCAAGCACTCGACAAAGACCTCCAAAACATGATGGACAATATACCTGAGGGTCCACCAGAAGCAGTCGAGGCGTACCAAAAGGGACTCGAAAGCATCGAATCCTTGAAGAAGTTGACAACCGAACATATGGCCAAGGTCGCGAAGGACTTGCTCAAGGCTGAAAGGGCTCTGAAGAGGGCCAATTGCGAACTCAAGGTGACCTTTCCAGATGACCCTGTCGAAGGCGAGCAGGAAAATCCATACAAGCCTGATCGCGTTTATGATGAGGAGAGACCTGATTTGAACGGAACTAACGATGACGATGATGCCGACGAAAACAAGGATGGCGAGGAACCTGCAGATGGCGAAGAATCTACTGAGGAGCCGATTGATCCCGACAACAATACGGAGACCAACGAAAAGACTGAGGTCACCGAACCTACCGAGACCGAAACCACCAAGACAGACGAATCCGCCGAGACCAGTGAGCCCAGTGAGACCGAGGCGAACAGTGAGGGCGACGAGCCTACTAAGACCGATGAAACTTCCAACGACAACGAGCCCTCTGATGATGGAGAGTCTATCGACATTGGTATCCTTCCTCCTGGCGAAGTTCCTATCGTCCCTCCGGGTGCCGTTCCTCCAATGGTGATCCCAATTCCTGGCGTGGGAGACGTATCTGCTCCAACAAAGATTCTGCAAGAGGCAGCTGGAGCATTGAAAGAAGCCGCAGAATGGCTCGCTGGCCTCAATGACAAGAATGACGATAAGAAAGACCACAAGGCGATCAAGAAGGCTGAGAGGAAGGTTAAAGAAGCTAAGAAGAAGTTGAAGAAGGAACAAGAGAAGGAGAAGAAGAAGCACAAGCAAGAGAAAGCTGACAAGAAGGAGAAGGAAGAGCAAGCTAAAGAAGATAAGAAGAAGGAAGAGCAGGCTGAAAAGGACAAGAAGAAGTCTAAATCTACTTCCACCAAGACCACCTCATCCAAGACACCAGAACCCACAGTCCACCACAAGCAGCACGAAGCCGAAATGACATTCCGCGGCGAACACAAGCACAAATTCGAGCTCTACGGCAAAGATTGGGCCAGAGGCAAAAACGACGCCGACAAACTGCACGACAACATGGAAAACTGTGGCATGAAGATCAAAGACTGGGAATTCTCCTACGCAGACGACAAGCCCGAGATCAAGACTTCAGACTGGACTTTCTACGCCAAAGGCGAACTTCTTCGCAAGACCGCTGCTGATGTCAGATGTCTGAACAAAGTCATCCAGGAAGCAAATGGACCCAAAGATCTCATCAGCGACACCGATGGTGTCGACGAAGCAGAAGTTGCTACTCAGTTCACGTTCAGTGACAAGCATTTCACGGTCTATGGTAAAGGGTTTGCTGGAGACAAGGATTCTGGAGAGCAGTTGAAGGAGAAGATGGCAAAGTGCTCCAAGGTCAAGGATTGGAAGTTCTACACACAAAAGAAGGATCACGGTATGAAGCTCAAGGAACAGGGTTGGGACTTTTACGCTGAGGGAGAGGTCAAGGATGTCAAGAGGAAGTGTTTGAACGAGGTTATCCAAGATTTGGGCGGCCCTATCGAGGCTATCGCAGAGGGTGATATTTAAGCTGCGGTTTATCTCAGCTAACCGTGCGAGGAGAGTGTCGAGAGATGTTGGGATGGAATAATGATTTGAGTTAGGTGCAGCCAGCCAGAGTATGCAGATATGCGCTGTACTCGTACAGGAGACCAGAGCAGGAAATGAAAGCGTCCACGGAACGTCCCATCCAATTGATCAGTGATAGTATCTGCAGCAAAGTAGCATGAGGTGGCTTGTGTGTGTGGCGTGAGCAGGTTTACGCAACTTTCAAGGCGTGATCACTCAGAAGGTCAAAAGCTTGTCAAAACTCTTTTGCAGCTCATCACACGACCACACAGCATCGAGCTGCTCAAACAAGGGGATAGAAAACCTCGTTGTGGACCTGTTCTTCTCGTTCCTTCTCTTTCATCGTGAAAAACACAAAGCTTTCCAAAGTACGTACGAGCCTCCAAAATCCCAGATCTGATTTTCCGTCGAGACCAAATCCTAACCACCTCCAGCATCTCCAAACACGCCAGTCAAATACCATGGCACCACTGTCCCACTTCGCCATCGCAGCCCTCGCAGTCGTCAGCGTGGCAGCTGCACCCTTGCTCACCCAGCCCAGCTCTAAAGCCACACTCGAGCGACGTCAAGGTAAAGGTGGTTCCTTCAGCAACTTCATATACGACCTGATCCAGTACTACGCCGAGGAGGAATTCATGAAAGGAGTGGGTGAGATCAGCTACAAGCCTGACATGTCGAATGGCTTTGATTATGAGAAGAAACTCCAGGACGCCCCTCCTCAAGCCGGACAGTGAAAAGGTGTCTGCTGGGAATCTGCTCAAGTGGATCCGCTGGCCAGAGTAGAAAAGGGGCTCCAAAGACCGTGTGGAAGTATCGTGCGGCGTCGCAAGAATGGCTTCGTGGAAATGCAATGTTGAAGAGTGAGGAAGGAGGGATGCTGATATAGTCTTTGTATTGTATGCTCTCTCTTTCTCTATTGCCTAGCTCTTTTTACATTCTGAACTTTCTCTCCTCTTCCTCGCGGAGCTGTGCTGTTGCCTCGCGGACCATCCACTCGCGTCTGTCTTCCTTCATGGCGACAAATACCCAGAACCAGTGGAGTGTCTCCATGAACATGAAGGTGAAAATGAACGAGTTCTTGACAAGGTCGAGGGGGTTTGAGGTGCCCTTGAGGGCTCGGATTGTAGAAGTGGTAGTGTCGTCACTTCTGGTGAGGTAGATGTAGCCGGTGCCGACGAACAGCATGATGAGACGGAAAGGCAGGACGTTGGACCAGTATTCGAGGCATGAGCGTTCGGGGAGGCTGGCTGCGATCAAGTCGCTGACACCGAGGAAGGCTAGGAAGATGGATGCGAGGGCGGTGATTTCTGTAGGCTTGCTGAAAGCTGATGTTGCAGGCTATGGATCTTGTTAGCTGTGATCAGTGGCAGGCAGACATTGCGAGTACTTACCACTTGCATCGACTCGCCCAAGATGACAACAATGTTCTGCTCGGCCAGGACATGAGGCCTGTAGAGCAAGAGGTATGCCGCGGTAATGTGGGCTAGCGACACAGCCTTGATGAGCGTATACGACGAGATTCTGAAGCCCATGTTGATCTGTGTCTTTCCAGTTGCTTGCGTATGTCAGGAACTTGCCTCCGAGGGGCTCTCCCAAGATTATCGTAGCTCCTATGAAACGCGCCTGCCGAATTAATCCCGCCTGCATGACGTTACTTTCTGCCACTTTCCTGTCTAGGCGGGCGGTGACCCATGGCGCGCTTACCAATTGCTATCTATCGCGCTTGCCATCTGTTGCTCGTCGCAATCAACCCATTGTCTATACCATCAAGATGGAGAAGGAACCTTTGCTTGGTGAAATGCCTCGACAGGCTACGGTGCCCAAGTCGCGCCGTATTCTGACAGCCATTCGTGTACTCGCATTTACATTCGCTGCCTCATTTGCTGCCTGTTATTCATGGACTGGTTACTGGCCTCTTGATTATGTTATGTACTCGCCAGCTGAGAGAGTTTTGATCAGGAATCCTTTGATTGGTGTGTATCTTCTTTCTTCCGATTGTCTGATCCTTCTCGGTCCAGTCTCATCGCAAGCTTCGGTCTCATGTGCTGATTTGTTCTAAGATGGTCACAATGACTTGTTGATCTTGATGAGAGTCTTGTACGGCAACCATATATATGATGCCAGGTTCACCGACAAGATGGAGGACGGCGGTCTGCAGGGCCAAGTCGACATCCCTCGTATGAACAAAGGCAAACTCGGAGGTGCATTCTGGAGTGCCTTTGTGCCCTGCCCGACCAACGGCTCAGACTTCTCGGATGCTGCCTATGCTCCTTATGTCAAGACGACACTCGAGCAAATCGATCTCTACAACCGTCTCACGGAAATGTATCCACGCTACTTCACTCCCGCCAAAGATTCTGCCTCTGCTCTGCGTGCGTTTGCTTCGCATCAATTGATCTCGCCTCTGGGTATTGAAGGTCTGCATCAGATTGGCAATTCTGTTTCGACTCTTCGTCTCTACCACAAACTTGGAGTCCGCTACGCGACCCTGACTTGGAACTGTCACAATGCTTATGCTGATGCAGCTCTCATCACTAACTCTGACAATCAAACCGTCGTCGCACCTCCCTTGTGGGGCGGTGTTTCGCCTGCTGGCAAAAAACTGATCAACGAGATGAACAGACTAGGCATGCTGGTTGACCTCAGCCACGTGAGCCAGGATACCATGCTTCATGTCTTGGGTCGGGGTAAAGATGGCTGGCAGGGCAGCATTGCACCGCCCATCTTCAGTCACTCGAGCGCCTATTCCATCTGCCCTCATCCTCGCAACGTCCCTGACCATATACTCCCACACGTCAAGGCCGCACGTGGTATTGTAATGGTCAATGCGAACCCAGACTTCATCAGCTGTCGTGCTTCGAACAGCTCCTCGGGCCTGCCTGAGTTCGTGCCCGAGACCTCAACTCTGCAGCAAGTGGTAAAGCACATCAAGCACATTGGAGACTTGATCGGCTACGACCACGTAGGTATCGGTACCGATTTCGATGGCATTGAGAGTACACCAAAGGGCTTCGAGGACGTGTCTAAATTCCCCAATCTCGTGACCGAGATGTTGAAGCAGGGTATCAGCGAGTCGGATGCTGGTAAGGTTGTAGGCAGAAACATTCTGAGAGTCTGGGCCGATGCTGATGCCGTGGCTACTTGGATGCATAGAAAGGGTGTGTTGCCGCTGGAAGACGATGTGAGACATCCTTGGGAATAAGTTTGTGATGTTGTTCGCTGGTAGGGTCTAAGTGTCAGCCATTTCTGACATTGGGTTTTTTTGTATGTCGCATAAGATATAGTAATACAAGCTGTTGAACATATAAAAGGATGGATGTGTGAAGATCATGGTCATATTTGTCTGCTGATCAACTCGCGAAGGCGGCTGACTGGAAGGATTCCTTGCGTTTATGACCGGTCAACCATGCCGCGTGGATATTACTGGCGCGAATCCTTGATCCTCGGTCTCTGTACCTTACTGCTCTTCATCGTTTTATCGTCAAGTCATGTCGTTTTTAGGACTATCCTCAACCTCTCCTTTCGCGCTCAACCTTGGAGCTGCCGCCGGCGTCTTCCAGCTCACGCTTGGACTCACCGCCATCTTCCAGCCTCGAGTGATGCTTCAAGAGGTCTGGGGTTTCAAACCTGCCTCGACACCTGGCCAAGATCAAGTCCTTGTTGAATCCTTGATGCAACTTTATGGCTTGAGAAACATTGCACTTGGATTGATGATCCTCACTGTCAGAGCTCTTGCTGACAGTAGGACGCTCGGCTGGGTTCTCATGAGCGACATCCTTGTCGCACTTGGCGATGGATTCGTGCAGAAGAAATGTACTGGTGGAGGTCAATGGAAACATTGGGGGTTCCTCCCTATCGGAGTCGGTATGGGTATGCTCTTGCTGGGCTACTTCGATTGACCGGTCTGTGTATCGCATGCGTTTCCATGCGCGATTGGTAATTTGCTGACACTTAGGCAGCCATACAGATCACCGAGATATTCTTGGCACTTTTATACGAGCCTATGGTAATTGAAGGAAGAGGATATTATATTGTCTTATGTCTTGGTGGGTTGATGCTTACTGGTGCCTCGGCTTCGTCGCTTCCTGCGACCAAAAGGATGCGGACATGGCATGAGCTTGGACATTGCAGCTTCACGAGACATATAAGCACACATCGACCTCTTTGTTTTCTCAATACGTATACATCATACCATTGAACAATATGCCTTCATTTTCTGAACACGATTTGGTCTACGAAGACGGCAGCAAAACGCTGCACTACCTCTCCGCCGGCCCCGACAATGGAGATCTTATGATTTTTATGCACGGTTGGCCTGGTATTGGCAAGACGTGGCACGACCAGCTCACCGAGTTCTCAAAGAGAGGTTTCAAAGTTGTTGCTCCTGATATGCCCGGTTACGGTGGATCAACCGCCCGCAAAGTCGCTACCGACTATGCCCAAGAAGAAATCACCAAAGCCATGTTGGCTCTCTTGAAGCACCTCGGACACAACCAAGCCATTTGGGTAGCTCACGACTGGGGATGCGGTACTCTCTGGACTCTGGCAAGAACTCACCCTGAGGTCTTTAAGGGAGCTTGTGGAATGACCGTTCCATACGGTGTTCTCGAACTTGGCCTGGAAGAGGCCCTCAAACATGTCGATCGTAATGTTTACCCCGAAGATCAATACAAATACGGTCAATGGAGTTATCAAGCCTACTACGAGCAGAACTTCGAGAAGGCTACTGAGTGGTTCGACAAAGACCCTCGTGGTTTCTTGAGAGCTGCCTTCACGAAGGGTAACCCTGCAGCCGTTGGAAAGCCCGCACCCATGTCAAGGGCAGTCGAGGACGGAGGCTGGATGGGTGGTATTGAGAGGCCCATACCCGCGAGCGCAATCCCTGACGAGTACGCTTGCATCGACAAGGAGACGTTCGAGGAGCTCGTAGCCGCAATGGAGAAGACAGGTTTCTGGCCTGGTGATGCCTGGTACATCAACCACAAGGCCAACCGTGCCTACAATCTCAAAAACACAAAGAATGATGCTCGCCTCAAATTCCCGGTCTTGTTCATCGAGGCCACATACGACACAGTTTGCGAGACTGTCAACTCCACTCTAGCAAACCCGATGAAGGAGCTCTGCGAGGACTTGACATATGTGAGCATTGCTGCAGGTCACTTTGTGCCTGTCGAGAAGCACGAGGAAGTCAACCAAGCGATGGCAGAATGGCTCGAAGCCAAGGTACGTGGATGAAAAACGGAGTGGGTCTATAAAGCAAGAGCTTCTGTCGTTGTCTATACAGAAATGAAATCTTGATTTCTGATCAACGTAGAAGCTTTGCAATATCAAGACGCATCTATGATTCAAGACTGTTCGCGAAACTAAAGTGGGGACAACAGTTGAACGAGCGACAACAAGGAAGAGCGAACATCTGAGCGTGAACACCCGATCGTCAATCGAGTCAGGGTCAGAGTCAGGATGCAGAGAAGAGATCTGCTTTACTTCTTGGAAATGTTGGGAACCGAGCCAAGTCATGTTGCTTATCAGTGAGAGTATGGCGTTGCCATCAGTGAGATACCGATCGTCGTGTGCTGTTGCCAACAAAGCTGAATCGAGGTTCCACAAGGATATAAGATCATCGTCATCCCCTAGCGTTTGGTCACCTAGAGGCTGTAGCAATCTTCAAAACCAGCCTGGCTCCGAAGCGCGATCCTTGCAAGACACGCGGACACTGCGGGTTTGCAGGAACAGGTCCTGTAGACAATCAATCCCGCCGTGTGACAACCCAGAAAGTGTTGACGCATGAAGATCTTTTCGATCATCCATGCACTTGTATCCCGACCCGAAATTATTGCAACCCGGAAAATGCAGCAAACATGGTCGTACAGTAAGAATGCCCTAATGATCCCAGCATATCTCCTGCTCTCTTATAAGGCAGCGGTGCCCTTTCGATTGCGTCTTTCGAATTGTCTCATCTGTTTGTCTGTCTCTTTCCCTACGTTGTGCTTTCTATAAGCACGTCCAATCGTTTTTGCAGTAATGCAGTTTTTGACCTCTTTCCTTGTGCTGTGCGGCAGCACTTCCGTACTCGCTCAACAATATGCTGGAGATATCATCAGCGCAAATCTTCCAACTATCAACAATGCTGAGGTCGCATTCTTCAAGATTGACGACCCTAGTGGCAAAAACGACGCGCTGACTTTGATCAACTACTACTCTCACGGTACCGATGGAAATCGTATCGTGGAAAGCAACATCCAAAGAGCTGTTATTGTTCTTCATGGTCTTTTGAGAGATCCTTGGAACTATGAGAACGATGTAAGTGACTCGGACATCATTGATACCTCAGACTGACAAGATTGATAGATGCTCAATGCTCTTGCAATGGTTCAAGACACCAATGTCAACCGTGATAGTGTCGCTGTCATGGCCCCATACTTCCCCAATGGCAACGACAAGAACTACGGCTACCCTTGGACGGATGGCCAGAAGGCAGGCCAAGGCTCTACAACCAACGCATTGGTCTGGTCTGGTTCACAATGGTCTGCTGGCGCAAACAACCAATACCCCCACAACAGCCGGAACACATCCAGTTACTACATCCTTGACGAATTGGTCCGTTACTTTGACGACAAGACTCTCTTCCCCAACATGAAGCAGATTGTGCTTGCTGGACACTCGTTGGGTGGCCAAATGCTACAGCGTTACGCTGCAGTTGGTGACCAACTCGAGACTGAGTCGCCTGTTGTTCTGTGGATTGCCAACGGAGATTCTTGGGCATGGCTCAGCGATTACCGCCCTCTGAACATTCCGGACTGTCCCACTTACAACGATTACCGTGAAGGTTTCGCTCAATACGTCGAGTACGGCATGACTTACGGTGCCAATCTGGTCGCCCAAGGTCTCGATGCTATCAAAGCAAACTTTGATAGCAAGCAAATTGCTTGGGCTCGCGCTCTCCAAGACTTTGGTAATCATGCTTCAAGCTGCGCGCCCGAAACCACTGGCCAGGACAGAAACGAACGTTTCTTCTTCTTCATGAAGTGGTTCCAACCTAGCTGCCTTGACCCTTCCAGTATCAACTGTGACACTGTCGATTTGGTCGATGCTCCCCACGATAACGGACAGATGTTCCACTCTGCAGCAGGACTTGCCCGTCTCTTCACCGATAACTTCTACGGCGACAAGAGTCGCGCGTACGACTTTGGTTACCCTCGCAAGCAGCAGGGTGACGATCCGTTCCCGGATCCTAGCCTTGTCAGCACTCCTGCAACAAGCAATTACAACACTTATGCTGGCGGTCTGACCTACCAGGGCTGCTGGACCAACCAAGCCCCGACAACAGCAAATGCACTCTCGACCTTGTTGTACGATGATGCAAGCAACACAATCGAGACATGCACATCTGGCTGTGTGAATGCAGGTTACAAAGTTGCTGGCATGTCGGATGCAACCAAGTGTTGGTGCGGCAATGAGATGAGCTCTGCATCTGCTATCCTCACTGTTGATATGCAGTGCAAGTCTCCATGCCCTGGAAACACCGCTCAGATCTGTGGTGGTATCTCCCGCCTTTCTATCTTCTCTGCTGGATATCCCGCTTTTGTTTAATTGTCAATGTTCCACACTAGAGTTACAAATGTAATGAATCTCTTACTTTACAAGAACATGAATCTCGATGATATGTGCAGACAGAACATTCGTGATCCTGACAAACGAACTCGGATGACGAGTGTGGATAGAGGAAGTTGCCATCGAGTTGTAACTGCCCTCCGAGAGCTGTGTTGCTGCAAAGGTTGAAATACGTGTTCGATACTTCCTCACGCGTGAAAGGAGTCCCTTCCCTCTATCGTACAACGCTGATCGACAATCAAACTTGTGCTTCATCTGTCGTCAGCGCACCACAGCCATCTCAGCATTCGCCATGGCTCCTTTTATTCTTCCAGCATTTTTTCTCCAAAGCCGCCATGGAGGCGATGGCAGCGTTGGCTCTCCTGGAGCTATTCAAGGTTCCGGTAGCAAAGGCGCAGACATATCGACCAAAGTCGCACTCCTCATTGGAATCCTCGCCTTGCTGGCAACAATCTTCCAAACTTTGCAACAGTACATTGGTACAGCAGACGGCTACAGACGTTGCGGCCCCGGCGTCATGGGTCCTTGGGGTCGCAAGACACGATTGCGATGGCGATGGAGAGAGTTTCGATTCGAAGTTCTCTACTGCGTCCCCTTTGTCGAATACAGCCTGGTCGTCAAGGGCGAAGACGGTTCTCGCACTATCCGACCGTTCTGCGACCAGCCGGAACTCACCACTTTCAATCCCAATCCACCAGACAAGCAAAGAGATTGGAATGCTGAACTGGCGGGATGGGTTCATCTGATGCACAATTTGGGCCTACACGATCAGTCCGTCAGACAACGTATTGCTCCCGTCGCTCTTCGCGATGCAGGTCGGATGGCCTACTGCGATTGGATCCGATGTGCACATGTGGAAGAAGCATATCGTAGTTGGGATTTTGTGCCCGACGACGTCCTGAGACCACTGGCTATCACAACTCTTGCAGGTCTAGCAGCTACTACTCGTCGACTGGGACTAAGCTAGAAGCAGTTTGAGCCCAACATTGGTACTTTGCAAGCTGAAGGCAACCATCAGGTCATCACGTCCACCGTAATCCGAGGCATGGGAGTCATCATTCACTACCTGAGAGATCCCGACCTGGACGCGGACGCTCTCGGACAGAAATATCTTTTCAGCACCTCGCCCTTGAGCCAAGCTGATGAATTACTATTCGGACGGATTGCACATTGCGACATGTTCAACACTCATCGAGCGCTGCCCCATCTGATACTGCACATTGGCACCCTGGCTGACGTCTCGTCCACACTGCCTGCCCTCTTCGCCGACTCATCAGCAGCCGACAGCATGATTGCTGCGCTTCGTGCTCGAAGTGATTCAGGAGACAAAGATTGGATGGAGTGTGCCAACGACATGGTCCCGTTCCTTACCCCTTTCTTGGGCATCTCTTCTGATACTCGGCCTATCATCCCCTGGCCAAATACATCAGCACGCGGCATGACACACACAGTCTTCAAACCCTTTCGAGATGAGCTCACTGCACTTACAGGACGAAGAGGAAGCATGATCTCAGACTCTCACAGACTACTTGTACTCTACCTGAGTTTGGAAGCTCGCTTTCATCATCCGGCAGCTCAGCGAGACAGGAACTTCAGTTGGGAGATACCCAAGCTGACATTCAAGAGCGAGTTGGTGACGACAGAGTCGTACGACGCAAGAGCAATCTACGACGTCTTGAGCGAGTGCGAGTCGATGCTACAGGCGAACCCGGTCATCCGCGCTGGCAGATACCATGTCCTCGTCACACAGCATTTGACATACTCGACGCGCATCGAAGCTTCGGCTACAGACGCCGACAAGATGAAGCGTATGTTTGCTGCTCTTCCGGAAATGGCGCGTGCTTTGAGACTGGAATGGGACGACGTTACAGGCGAGATCTTGCAAGCTTTTTCTTCGACTGCGGGTGAGGAACTGGGTGGGAAGACAGAGTGGATCAAGAGACCCAGCGAGGTGGAAGTCGAAGATGCTTGGTTGGCTATGATGCTGCGGGCGATGTGTTGGCAGAGGCTTCACATAGTTCAGCCAGGGATGCCTTTGCCGATCGAGTATGCGAGAAGTATGCTGCCTGTGTTTGTAACCTAAGAGTTTGGATATTGGAGGGGTCGCCAACTGGTTACCTTGCTGGTATGAAGGAGATATTGTTATGCAGTCCATGAATCGATCCTTGTGGCTGAGATTGTCATTTTTATCATCTCGCTTTCTCCGCAACTGTCTCTTCTATGGATTGTAGGGCTGGTTGCAGTGACGATTTTATACATGGTGGTCTTTGCTACATCTTCCTCTTTTATGAACATCCCAACCCCAGTTGAACGCCGCGTAGTTGTACAGGACCAAGTCGACGTGATCTTCCCTCTAGTTGATCTGCTTTCCGTAGAAGGGAACACCGAGTGTGCTGAGCAGCAATCTAGCGTCTCGGTCGTTTGTGGCGGTAGTGTGGACAGTAACGTGGAAGCCAGGAATCATCTTGGGAGGGTACCTTTTTTATCTCAGGGTCAGTCCCTTGTCATCTCCTCATGCCATCACAGAGAGCGCAGAAGACTTACATGTCATAGTTGATTTCAACCTCGGGGAACAACGCCGTCTCCTCTGCGCTGAAGCCAAACGTCAAGTTTCCACTCGAGTCTCCCGAACTTCCCTTGACACCCTTCCACTCCTTGATCTTTGGCATGACGATATCAATCACTTTGGCGAGGAAATGCTGCATGTCTTCTCCCCTGAGCTCTGCAGTAACCGACACATACTGTCCTGCTCTCAATCCAAAGCCAGCAACGTTTTTGCGAGTCTTGTGCGTGGTGACACGGATGTTTGAAATTGCCTGCATGACCATACCCGCCACATGCAAATGTGCAGAGTCGTCCAAAGCACCCTTGACCATGGTGTGCAGAGTGATTTTCTCGAGTTTGGGGACGTTGCGGAAGGTGATTGGTTTGCGCAGCAGACGCAGCACATCGGAACCTCTGGGCCCTCTCAGCGGACGGTTCTTGTAGTAGGGTGACGCGCCTTCCCAGGGTCTCAGACGTGGTGACTTTGCGGGTGCTTTGTAGCCTGGGGGGTGATGCGCGTATGCCAGTGTCATGAGATCGGACTCAAAGGTACTCTGATAAGTCTGTTCCAAGCGCGGCACAGAAAAGGGTCCAGGAACAAAGACGCGAGAAGCAGGATCCGAGTTTGGAGGCGGTTGGTGGGGGTGCAGGGGACCGCGGTAGTACTTGGGAGGACGGAACTTGTATCTGCTGGCGGGCAATTGTCTGTTTCTCTTGCTGGCGCGGCCGACGGGGTCGTAGGTTGTTGCGTGGCCGTCGATGTCGGCATCGAGATTGCGCAGAGAGGAGCCGCCTTCGAGTTCGGTGATGGTGTCGGCGATGTCTGTCGAGGCGTGGCGGAGTTGTGAAGTGATTGGGGTGTATGCAGCTCGTGTGGCTAGGGGCCTCCAGAGGCGCTCTAGCGAGTGTGTGAGCGACATGGCTGGTTGAGCGGTGCTGGAAAGCACTTGGGTGTTTTTGTGTGCTGCACTTGCGCGACGGCAAGGTTCAAGGTCGAAAAGTCGATGAGCACGGGCCAGCCGAGGGGATCAGAAATACAGGCAGGGTCGCCTTTTGAATATGTACAAAACAGACAGATTATCTACACCAAAAGAACGCCATGCTTTCGTCAAAACGTATCCAGTGAACGACAGAAACAACCACATGTGCAGGTCACAAGCCTCGTTCTAAACAGCGCCTCTTCCAACTTTTTTCATGCTGCATTATTACACCACAGCTTCCTCTTCGTCGGGTACCTCTTCCAACGTCTCACTCCTCGACCCCCTGCGACCTCCATGGAACATATCACTTAGCGTAGCACTCAAACTCCTGTCTCTCTTCCTCGAAGACCCCGGTCTTTGCAACGGTGCACTAGTGCCTTCACTCAATGCTTCCATGGCTTCTGTGCGCGACCCTCTGCCAGACGCCCTACGCCGACCCCCAGTAGACGGCGTGTCCACGATGCCTCGAAGCAGACTATCCGCTACGATAGCTGATAACGAAGAAGAAAGCGGATTCGTGAGAGGCCCAGGCAGAATTTGTGTCAACGTATTTAGACGGCCTGGTGTTGTTTCGCTGGGCTCGATTTGACGATAACGTTGTTGTGATGGCGACAATGTGTTCGGACTGTCAATCGAGGGGCTACTAATACCTCGATTGGGTGTTGTCGGTCGTCGCGGACTCAACTTCTGAGACGATATCGTCGGAACGACAGGAGCCGACGTTGTGGCGTGCATGGGTGGGGGATTCTGTCGTCGTTGCTCAGCGGCTACGCTGGCATCTGAGCGTGGGTGGATGGACGAGATGTTTGCGGGTGCTAGTAATGTCCATGGATTCTCGTTCAACGGTGAAGAAGGTTCGAAGCTGAAGGGTTGCGTAGGACTGTCATCCGAGGTGATGACAAAGGAGGGAGCCTCAGAGCGAGACGATTTCGGTCGTGCTGAAGATGGTCGCAGAGAACCACGACGCGCATCACTGTCTGATCGTTCGCGAATCTCGGGTTGTTGGTGTTCTTCGTCTATCAGATCGATTGCTTCGCCGTCCTCGGAACCCTCTTCCTCATCTTGCTGCCTGCTCTTTCCACGTCCTGACGTGATCAGCCAGACTCCTGAGAAGGTCAAGGCACATCCCGCGAAGAACTTGATGGCATCGTCTGTTGTCGTTCGTTCAAAATCGCGGTAGAGAATTGCACTGCCAACAATGACCGAAAGCGTGAAGATGACAAACTGGACCGGAATGACTTGAGTCGAGTCAAAGTGCTGGAGAGCGCGGTTGAGATACTTGATCTGCAAGATGGCCGTTGACACCAGAACTGCGACCAGGAGGTATGTGATGGGGAAAGTAACGACGTGCCAGATGGTGTTGGAGAGCAAGGATGCCACACCTTTAGTCGAGAGAGCTGTGTAACCACCTGTAGACGAGCATTAGACGTATTGTCATTTGAGGAAGAGCAGTATGCACTCACCAAACAAGCCAACAAGACCGAGATCAATCAAAACAGACTTGTGCCCATACTTGGAGCTCAGCGACATCAGAACTAGCATCAAAAAGACAGTGATACCAAAGTATGTCTCAAACTCCCAGGTCGAGATGAGTTCCCAGATCTTGTCAGGCCCCAACTTCGGGTTGTTGTCGCTGGCGCTGAGCACGACTGTAACGCAGCCGCCAACTGCAACTATAACACCGAATCCATCTCTTATCCTGAACTGCTCGTGCAGCAACAGAGGCGCGATCAAGCAGTTTGACACCAACGCAACGACACCAAGAGGAGACACAATAGAAGCGGGCGCAAAGCCATATGCGAGGAAGTTTCCTGCCTCGCCGACAGTCATGAGGGCAATGCCCAACCACCAGATAGGAGACTTCAGGTACGACTTTGGTCCTGTGGCTGGCGACTTTTTGTTCGGACGGATAGTCGACTCGGAGGAGGTCGAGGCAGACGAAGGAAGCAGCGGATCAGACTCGTTTGGCTCAACACCATTGCCATTGAGATTCTGGGCTGCTCTTTCCTCAGCTATGCGCTCCTGTTGAGAAACACGACTCCGGTTGCGTTTGTCGCTTTTCCTCTCTTCCTCGTCTTGATGGTATTGGCGATTGAGACGGATATGGGCATATCGCTGCGTGTTCAAGGCGAACGAGATGAGGACATTGCCAATGATTGCGGTCGTGATGCCTATAATCGAAGACCAACCGCCGTTGACCTTGTCCAGTGGATTTCCCATATGCAGAAAGTCGAGCAGCATGACGGCGTCTGTGTTCGGAGCGTGCGGGGACCGCTAGAAAAGAGTCCTGGGTTTTCGTTGTATGTTTATCGCTCGTCTCTAGCCATGGCAGTATGCAAAAAAGCAGCTCTATCAGGTCAAGGAGCACGCAACCAAGGACGGCGACGAGAATATCGACGACGGGGCCATCTTCACATGCATGCACGATGATGAGAAGGCACAAACTCAATTCCGCCGGCGAATCATTTGCCGATCTTCCGCTCGTGTCGCCCAAATCTCCGCCTGCCTCCTATTCACGCATTACTCAGTCACTGCTATGAGGATCATCAAGTATTATTGGAAAACACAGAGATATGAGTCTCCTTATTCAATCATGTCTATCTACCAACTTTGGTGCCCAATTTTCCTGTTGATACATCCCTTCCGAATCTTTCACAAAAAAGCCACCCTGATTAGTAAAAAGTGGGTATACCTGGACCTGCCAGAAAGAAGATGACAAAAAGTGCGTCGCTATGCAATATGGAAAACAGAAAAGGCTCTCGATATCTTAGAGGATCAAGAAGGCCATGGCGGCTCCGACGGCGGAGAAAAGGCCAGTAGCGACAGTGTTCAAGACACCGGCGTTGGTGCTCTGCTGTGCGGGCTGGCTCGAGGTGGCCGAAGCAGAAGAACTGGAAGATGAACTCTTAGATGCGGCGGATGATGATGCAGCTGCGGTAGATGAGGTGACTTTGGCGCTGGCACTGCTAATGACAGAGCTCAGTGTCGACGAGGCAGACAAAGTGAAGTTGGAGGTGGCAACAACAGCATCGCTGCCCTGAGCCTGAGCCTTCTTAACGCTGATGGCCGAGGTAGGAGCGACGGTGTTGAGGCTGTTGGAGACCACGGCAGTAGACTTGAGGGCAGTCTGTGTGGCACTCTTGGAAGCTGAACCGCTGCTGCCAGATGCCGAAGATGCCGAAGATGCGGATCCAGAGGAACCAGAAGAAGATCCGTCGACCAGCTTGATGCTCTCGTAGCTGCCAGTCTTGTCCGTCCACTGGTATGCTCCGGCCGGGTTGTAGTTGGTGACGCTGACAGACTTGACGTACATGGTGAAAGGAGCCTGGGAGAAGTCCGTCTCACCACCAGCCCACTCGATCGTACCCTTGGCGTTGGTGGCCGGATCGCCAGCAATCCAGTTGCCCAACTTGAGGCGCATAGGGGTCTGAGGGAAGTTCTCACCGCCAACGGCATCAGCGTACTTGAGAGTGCGAACAATCACGCCGTCAATGAGCCAGTCAACCTTGTCCTTGGTCCAGTCAAAGGTGTAAGTGTGCATGGTTGTCTGAGGTGATGACACACTCTGGTAAGTACCGCGATCGTATGAAGTGGTGTTACCCTTGCCGAAGTAGTTAGTTTGGGCCTGGGTAGTATCGCCGCCGAGCCATTCCCAGTCAATCTCGTCCAGATCCTCGGATTGGAGAACCATACTGCTCACAATGCCAACACCAGGAGCTGCTTGCATCGTAACGTCGACACGTCCGAAGAAGATGTAGAAGTCAGACGAGATGGTTGGTGCCTGGTTCTTGCCATTGATGACGAACTGTGCACCCTTTGAGCCATCGTAGGTAAGAGAAGTTCCGGTCGCAGCACTCCAACTAGCAAGAGCCGACTTGCCCTTGGTGAAGTCGCAGGCAAAGCTAGCAGAGTCGAGTCCAACATCGTTAGGGCATGTCTTCTCCATAGGGTTGCAGGTGGTGTAAGTCTGAGCAAAGGCAAGGGGGATGACAGCCAGCCCAGCCAGGGCAGAGTTTCTGGCGAAGTGCATCTTGTTGTTGTTGTCGTCGGTGGTGTCGATGAAACGTCTCTCGATGATAAGGAGAGGGAGGACTTGTGTTGGATCTTGGCCTTATGAGGTCAAAGGATATGAATGTGATTGTTTGTGGATAAGAGGAATGTAGGTCGAAATTATGCACAGAAAAACAGAATCGATATGTGGTGTGAGGAATGCTGTAACAAGGGGGAACGGCGTTCTATTATGTACTCGACCTCCGGCCCAGCGCCAATGGGCCATTGACAAGGTGGACTATTCGTATTATAGCGAAGCACAGATTCTGATACTCACTAGCGTGCCTGCGCCACCTGCTGCCACCGTTTCGTCCGTTCACTGGCTGGCAGGTTGGTCGTCACCGAAGAAGATCTGGAGATATGCAGATGACACAGCCGCTGCCTCGAATACAGTCGCCTGTCTTATTCTGCCTGAGACCGAGATGTAAGAAGACTCTATAATAACTCAGAATCAGGGATCTGCAGCAGAGCGCCTCGAGTCTCAAAGGTACAGCTTGCAGAGTAAAAGAGGTGGTTGGTAGCTGCGAGCGGTGATAGGGTCTCCCCAGCCCTGCCGTCACCCGGCAAACTGAACCTTAATCTACCGGCCCCAGCCATCCACAATCGATGTTCGTCGTTGCGCCCACGAGGCAACCGCGCAATCGACATGACGACGCCCTGGAACTGCCAGTAGTGTTTCTACCTCTGCTCGTGTCTCCCTCGCTCATGTCTCGAGATTCCCGTTTCCTTCAGCAGTTTTCTGTCTCTTCCTTGCTGTTGACCTAGTGATGCGCCCTGAACCCGTCCGGTTGCTCGCATCCAGAGCCAAGACGGCAAGCTTTTTCTAATTTCAGCACCACACCGCTGGCGAGTCTGTCGGCCATTACGACTCTTTACGAAAGCACCTATCTTGGTCTCCTTCTGCCTTAACAGTCCAGCTATTTTTGATCTCTGTCGTTGTGGCAAAACGCTCCTTCTACTGCGCCTGTATACGAAGTACCATTCTCTTCATCCAGCTCTTGCAAGCGGCCAAGACCAGCAACCGCCCTCGCCTAGCGCCGAGATGTTCGGCTTCATTTTCTGGTCCTCAGCCCAAGACAGTGCCGACGCTTGCTGAGATGAGCGACCTCTTTTGAGCAATGGTTGATCGGTCTGAGATGACACTCATCTGAGTCTGACTCAAAAAGGCCATACGCTATACGCTATACGGTGTCACTTTGAAGGGTTGCATCTGCATGTCTACGACCAGAGGTTATACTACCCTACCAAGCGCATAGCCACAATACGCATACGACGCGCGTGTCTTAGCATCGAAGAAAGTATGGTGCCCCTATAACAACTGTAGGTTTACCAAGGAGGTTTCTTCTGGAGCTCAGGAGCTTTCAAGCAGAAGAAATCCCTCAAAACTCATCCTTTCAAAGACCTTCTTCTGTCATACCCCCTTGGCGCTTCGCATACTTGGTCTTGGAAGTATGCCAATCTCCACCTCGGCTCTGAAGGATTTCAGACTCCACTGGTTCATGATCGGTGATCTGCATGTTTCGTTCGTTCCAAGATGCACATGCAGGATATGAGACAGTGTACTCTTTAGAGCGGATCTACTTTCTGCCTGCGAACCAGAGGCTGCAACCCGTACTCTGATGTGTGAGTTCTACAAACATACAGGCATTCCATTGTGAACATCGCATCAGAGACACTCTTGCATTTCAACACCGTTTTTGTCTACTAGATTTGAAACCCTTTATCCCCCCATACAGGACATACGAGATACCATACGAACCAACCCGTCGTTACCCTCTGAACCTCACTTCCCACCATCTCTACCACGATAAAACCCCTCCATCTCCGTCCTCTGCTCCCTCCAAATTCCCTTGAGCACTTTATCATGACTGGGGTCCGTATCCCAATACTTTGCATGAAAGCTCTTCGCACCAGCCCTCCAATCCTTTTCCGTCGGCCAATTGACATTCCACCCATGCCACAGCGGTTTCCAAGGCATATTTCCTTCTCTTCTGTGCGCGTAATTTATCAAACTCTGCTCTTGCATGCCCATGTCAAAACGACCGGGTACTGCTAAGACGGAAAGATAGTACTTGAACAACTCCACTGAAGGTGTAAAGACTGCGAAGCCGAAGTTCATGTAGGTTCCTTCGGTAGGAGGTGGGTAAGGGTGATTATAACCCCAGTAATCGGTGTGGGCAGCCATCATGTACGTCCTAGGCATTTGAGCTTCATCTTCATGCTGGTTGACCGTATCCTGTAATGTATGTTGCGTAATCGTCGCCTCGTCATAGAAAATCCCATCCAAGCGATCTGTAACCAAGTGATCGGAATCAATGTAGCAGATTTTTGAATACTGGACAAGCTCAAATAGTCGCAGTTTGGTCATCATGTCTTTCCAGCGTGGATCCCCTGGGACTGCCCAGCCGGGTGATATACGTGACACTTCAATCACTATAGCGCCATCTTTCTCCAGTCTTGCGCGTTTGCGTGGGTGTGTTTCGTCCGTGACGACAACCACGAATGGGATACTGGCATTGGTGCCCGCGGTCGGAGAGTGCATCAACTGATAACCCAGAACGCGAGTAGAAACGTAGTAACCGTCATCGTTGTCGTCTTCCGGTTTGTTGGGATCGATGCCGCCGGTGAAGGCGCCGAGGAAGGTTACGAAAGCTACATTGGGTACGTTTTTCTTGCGGTCTTGTAGGGATGGGTGTGGTCGTTGGCGGCCGTAGGATGTCGATGGGTTGGAGCGAAAGGAGAGGGTTAGGAGACATGAAGCGAGGAAGAGAAGGGCGAAGAAGCCCAGCACCTTTGGCGATGAGGTGCTGATCTTCGACATTGCTTGAATAATCTTTTATCGAGTTGACACAGCGATAACTGACGATGTGAGAAAGAAAGCGATATCAACTTCCGGGAGGGGTCGCCAGTTCGCGACTTGGCCATTTCTTCTCGAAGCAAGGGTTGATCTCGCGTCTCAGTCAAGCTGCTCACCACCTTTCGGATTTGTCGCATGCAACGGAGTTCTGAAATGGAGACACTAGACAATGTGAAAAGATCGTAATACGTGAATTGAATAAATAAACTGTACAGTGCTTGTCACAATACTTTGTTGAACGCCCATGCAGGTATACTTGAAGCCGATGCTTCGTCCCAAAAACCTAGTTCCTTTGAACGCCAGAAAATTCGCTTCCCAATGCTGCTGTTACATGGAGTGTAGTTGAGAGTTGAACACTAGACGAGTTGACCAGCGAGTCCGATGAAGAGAGCTTGTGCCGCTAGTTGGATGGTCCAGAGACCAACTTTCTTCAATCTTCGGGTGCGGGCTCCGTCATCGACAATATCTCGGGCAAAGGCTTCGTACGTCTGGAACATGTTAGCTGTAGTTGAGCAGATGGTTTGTAATAGTCACTAACCTCTCTCGATAAATCGTCCAGCAATCCGCTGTCAAACACTGTCCAGCTTCCATCGAATTCGCTAACTCGCTTGACCACGCGGCAGTTGATTGGTATGAATGTTCGCTTCGAGTTGATGTATGCGACAATAGGTCGGATGAGCGCGTTGTTGACGTACGACAGATCCCTGGTGAAAATTGGGACTGCAGCTCGAACATCATTCAGGTGAACACGAAGATCCATGACGATGAATCGTTTGTCTTCCTCATTCTCGTCTGCTACTTCTTGCTCATCGTGGTGATCGCTAGTATCGTGTTGATGTGTAGTATGGAGATAATTATGAGCGACGGTTGCTTCCATACGATCGTAGAAGTCAGACATGACCTTTGCGATTGAGCCATCTTGATCTGCTGGGAACATGATGTCGGCAACAATATCGACATTTCCCTCGTGAATCCAAGAGAAGGGACCTTCGACACCTCTGTTCAGATGGTCAATGTTCAGTCCGTCGATGCGCAGGCGACTGTGCTTCTTCCAGGCAGAATGATCGCCGTCTTCCTCGTTGATGCTCAGCCCAGTATGACTGTGCGTTTGTCGAGGATGAATAGTAAATAAAGAATCGTCAAAGGAGCCAGAGATCATGTTGGCAGACATCAGATCGTAGAACAGCCATTGTTTGCGGAAGCGAGGAAGGTCGCACGAGAAGATGGACACTGAGAACGGACGGAAGTCGTTTGGCTGGTAGACAGTGAGCAGGACATCTGAGACCTTGAACGAGCCAATCTCGAAGTCTCCGGTTGTGTGTTCGTGTCGATACGATTTGGGATCGATGGTTGGATCACCCGGCAATATCGAAGTACGATCGACTACTCCTCGTACGCCCTTGATCTCGACGTCCTCCAGCAGGCCCTTACCGTTGAACCATTTTGTAAAGGACAGAGTGACGTTGACTGTGTCTATTGAAACCTCGTACTGTGTGTAATTGGTGTCCTCGTCTTTCTGTTCCTTGCGTTCGGGCTTGCCTGCAGAAGCGGCTGCTGCGGCAGCGGCGGCGGCACTCGCAGAAGAGCCCTTTGTGACATTCGAACTCCCCTGACCCGGACGCCTCGATACGAAGACGTTCTTGAAGGAGATGACACCATCGTTCCAGCGTGGGACAATAGCCGACTCGAAGACGACCTTGACTCCAGACGACTGAGTCAAGTAATTACCAACCCAGCCAGCAAGAGTCTCTTGAGCAAAGACAGTGTTCATGAAGAAGATGGCAAGCGAGACAAAGGTTGTAGTACCGAGTATGATCCAGAGAATGTGGCCGAACAGGATCCACGACACGAAAGCGCTAATGTCATCCGAGTTGAAAGGACGGGCACTTCGGATGGAGAACCACTTGAAGCGGATGCCGAGTCTCTGCCAGAAACTTGTGGCCGCAGCCAACAGCTCGTCTTTTGTTGGGCGGTGCAGGTGCGGTAGGCGGTCCATAAGATGGTAGTGATGATGTGTTTGGTTGGAAGGGCGGGCATCTTGGGGTGTCGTAGGCGGAGGCTGCTCGTGTGCCTTGTCTTGGTTGTCCTTGGTCTTGTTGGGATCAGGATGGGCATTGTCGCTCTTGGACCTGTAGGTCGGTGTATGGAACGAATCTTGCAGGTGTCGATGCCGTAGGATCGAGGGAAAGTGATTGTTACGTGACGTGTGAGAGAGTCGTTTCAGCGACTGCGCGCATTCTCGAACGATACTGCACGGCGCTGTTGTACGTCGAATGGAAGGAATAGTATGACCAAGGCCGATCGGGTGTCTATTCTCGAGCGAAGTGCTATAACATCGCGTCAGAGGGTGCACATCAGATGCGACAGAGGCTCCAGCGACGCGCCATAGCCGGCCAGAGCTGAGGGCCGCTGTCGATACGGCAGTCGACCGGGATGCAAAGATGGCGGCAAAGGCATTGCGAGCTACATAGTGACCCATCGTCTACGCTCTGCTACCGACTCAGCATTGTTGAAAGTGCCTCGATTTGGTCTCAAGAACAACGGCATGCCTTGCCATCCCGCTCGTCAAAAATCGTCATAGAAATTCTGCCTTGGCACGCGTGCATGTGAAAGTGCACGGCTCCTATATCCTTTACTATATCGCTTTCTTGTCTCGAACCATTGCTCTCTTGAACATGCGATCACAGTGGATTTGAAAGTCAAATTGGGTCTTTGGTCAGTATGTGGTGGTCAACTCGATTAGCGGCAGGAATACAGTGTCCAATGCATGTCTCAGTCGAGGTTGACAGATCCAGACGTTTGACGGTAGTTGTTGCTGTGGAAATTCAAGAACATGATATACAACCACAAATCGCGGTCAACACCTCGGAGAGCTGACAAAAGTGGGCTAGTAAGTGTACATGGTCTCTGATTATGTACCATACTTGTAGTTCGTGTCCTGGTGTTGATGTATGGCCAGTACATGTCCAGGATATGCTTGAGCAGGGTGCTACCATCAGCGGAGCAGCGGCGCGCGGCTTACTAAGCTGATGAGCACAGGCCATGTTCAGTTTCTCACCTAAATCTCTTGTGCGTCTCTCGACTCTTCTTTTCTCCTTCATGAACAACGCAAAGCGCGGAAAGCGCATAACACTGACGTTAAAAGCATTTTCGATTTGAGACGCCTCTTCGTGATGGCTCCATGAAAACGAAAACCGTCTGTTCAGTGGAGAATAGAGTAGTATAGGGTTATGGGTGACGTTCTCTCCTGCCTTCGGGCTCATGGGGGGAAGGTCAATGACCTTTCGCACATCCTTTGTCTAGACAACAGCACTTTCTTGTAGATCTAGAATTCTCGTGCTTTTCGTGTCGAGCATGATGATCTGGCTTGCATAAACCTCAGAAACTCCAGTCTTCGAGGCTCGAAAATCATGCAGGAACACTCTTACCAGGCCTCATGCCCTATGTTTGATGATCCCTGATCGACTGCTGTACAAAGACGTGAGCACTCGTGCTGGGCCACGCATCCGCAATTGATCGTATTGCTGGTACTCGAGTAGTCTGGAACCAAACCATGTTTGACTTGGCCAGGATTTGACGAACGCGGCTGGGGCATGTCCACAAAAGTGGTACGCAACTCAACTTATGTTCGTATATCAAGCGGTTCAGCTACGTAGGTTCGTCACAAACTGAGTCGCAGGACGAACTGTATTCTTCTCTGCCCAGATACGGCTGCACTTTCTCAGTATTCCGTCGGACGCCTCTGTACGATCCAATGGCATCATATCCACGAGTGCGGGTAAGCTCACTACCCGCCGAACGGTGTACATACCTTATTGTTGTAGATGTTTCAGCGAGGAAGTGGTCCAAATTCTAACGACGTTTCAGACAGTGCTCGCACCTTCAGAGCTGCAGGCGAGTGCAGGCAAGCGGCGGGTTCTGATATCTCGGCCGCAACCGAACAGACTTATCCCTGGACAAGACTCCGCGTGCGAAAAGTCAACTCAAGTCTGCCCTGCTTTGGCGTTTGCAAGATCTGATAAAGTTCGAAAGGATTCTCACACTCGGCTCGTTTGCCCTATACCAGCCACTCGCGGACTTTCGCCCCAATGTGTCTCCGGGTCATTGGCTGTCGGTACTCTGGAACTCGGTCCTGCCTGTGAGCCTTGTGTGTTAATCTCCAATCACCATGTGAATGCTCTTCCTGGAGTTAGGTGTCCCGTCGATCTGGTACCTGGATTTGGGGTACTTTGTATGGGTTTTCTTTCATGACCGCCTCCTGCTCCAATTCGAGCCTTTGCGAACATCTTGGAAAATTATCTGTCGTGTTTGAAACCACAATCCAGACCTGTTCTCTGTTTGCACACCCTTCAAACGCTCACAATCATATGGTGGACCACCGATCGAACTAGCAGTAAAGAAATCCCGTAGGAAGCAGCCTCTCAGAGATAGTGTTGACGTGGGTGGTGTTGGCACGGCCTGCAGACGAGGACATCCTACAACACCCGGGCCGATAGACATACCTTATTTTACTTCTGATCGTGTCCTAGGTCTACGTTTTAGCCCTACGGATGTGCAAATCTAGCCCGCAATGGGCATGGACACGTCCTGTACACACGCAGAGCAGGGCACAGGGACATGACTTGGGAGACTCCATACACCCTAACGCCGTTGTCGAACTCTGTGCTCCCCTTCATCGTACGTAAAGAGATATCCAGTACCGTCGGCTCTTAGCGCATCACATTTGGACGATTCTGGGCTGAGCTGTAGGCGGAAAAGATGTTCTCTCGGCTCCAGGAAATAATCGGTCTTCAATGTACATATTCTGAGGATACCTCAGCTACGGTAAGTCTTATACCGATTTTCCTTCGTTAATCGGTTCTGCCACAATGAAGACTTTCCTATCAGACAGCTTCGAGCTACAGGAGGTGACCCGAGACGACCTCACCATCGCATCATTATGCTGGGGGTATGATGGATCCACGAAGCATATGACAAGGACCCCGAGATCTGACCCAATGACAGCTTCACGCTAGGATTTGGATTCTTGACAACATGGAAAGCCATGAAACAATCAACAGCTGTGTATAAGCGATATGGCCTTGGTAGGCTAAGCAATGCGTACTTGTGGATGTAAGTAAAGCGAGATTGAAGCTAGTACGGATAAAGAGCCATCAGATGGCTTTTTGATGCCGCCTGTATCTTTGTCGCCCTTCCACAAGAAACGTTCTGACTGTACCCTTGCTCTTAGGATTTGGGCAGAGATTGCCGTATGCCTTGCTTTCAGTATAGCCTGTTGGCTACATATAAGAGGCATCATTGCTCCTAGGTACGAAGGTGAACCTCGGTCATATATCATCTCATTGACTCGGTTTCAGTTTCGCGTTCTACTTCAGCATTCTGACGCTATGGGCTCTACAAGTTCAATTCCTACTCCAGATCATCATCAACCGTGTTGGCGTGCTCATGCTGGATCGCAAGAAGGCAAGAAACCTCAAGATTGGTGTTGCTGTTCTTATCACGCTCATCAACATATCCGTGTATTGTATCTGGGTAAGGACTCGAAACAATGATTGACTGATAATCAGATCTGACTCGTTGACAGATTCCCGCAAGACTTCAAACTAACGAGACATACATCAAAATCAACGACGTATGGGACAGGTGCGAGAAGGTCATCTATCTCATCGTTGATGCCGCTCTCAACTATTTATTCGTTCGTGTCGTTCGCCGCAATCTCGTTAAACCAGGTCTGAAGAAGTATGAGAGCCTGGTGAGATTCAACCTGTACATCATTGGCTTCTCTTTGGCGATGGACGTTCTCATTATCGCAATGATGTCTCTGAAGAACTCTTTCGTATACAGTAAGTCATCCGGTGTGGTTGCTGAAGAAGTGCGAGGACTGATACCAACGTAGTGCAATTCCACCCTCTCGCATATATCGTGAAGCTCAACATTGAGATGACGATGTCAGAACTCATCTCCAAGGTTGCACGAGCACAGAACAACCCTCATGGTGCTGTCATGCCGAGCACTACCACTGGAGATCACTCCGGAGGACGATCTCGCATGACCAGAACTGGAGACGACAAGACTCTGACCCAGTCAAAGATCCATGCTTTCAGCGGCCGTTCGGAAGATATGGAGATGGGTATCCTTGAGAACTCAGGCCCACCGCACAATAACCTCCACACACAGATCGAAGCAGACAACTCTTCGACCGATGGCTCTGAGCGCGATGATGAGTCGATTACAAAGGCAACTGGCTTCGTAGTTCGGAGAAAGCAAGAGTTCCATGTTCGCGTAGAGCACGCGACACCATCTCCGGATGCCGACGCAGATAAACGATTGGACGATGGAGGGATACAGTCGTCAACTGAAGGAGCGCATCAGAAGGATGCACAACATTGGAGATCCTATTAAGACCACAGCATAGCCGGATCTTGGTAGAAGGTGGGAGTCATAAGGCCACCGTACTCACGAGCGACCAAGCACATTTTCCTTTGTCAGATTCACCATATACCCGCATTTAGGACATAGAGAAGTACATTGCATAAACGCATGAATGATAAGAAGATGACTAGCTTTTCAAGAATTTCACTACGTGCTAGACAGGGCAATTGTCTTTCACAAAAACCCGGCGCTGAACATTCCCTATCTGGGCGTCCCAGATTCTTGAAAAATCTCGCGTTTATTCCATGGCTAAAGTTCGGGTCCTTGGTCGAGATAAACTAACTTATGTGGCTTGTCACTGGCTGGAGATCTGCTGCACAACGGCACAAAGTCCTGGGGATAAGCTCTCATAGACTCGATGTCGTGCTTTTGCGAAGCGGGTGGATGAGGGTGGAATTGGCCGCCAACCTGCCAGTTTGCCAAAAGTTTGGGCAGGAACAACCACTGCGTCGAGAGCATACCAACAGTTCATCCGACCTCCCCCACAAACCCCTCTCCCGAATTGATTCCCCCACCCGGCGGCATCATGCCTATCATTGATACTGGCAAGGATTTGTCGGCTCTCTTCTCGAAACAGGTGAAAGAGACGCCTGATGCCATTGCTCTCGAGGACGAGTCAAACACTTATTCGTACGCCGAGCTCGACCAAATCGTTGAGGCTCTTTCTCAACGTCTCCGCAACTACGGCGTCAGTCGCGACACACTCGTCGGTGTGCTACTTCCACGCAGTGCTGACTATGTGATTGCCTGTCTCGCTGCACTTCGTGCTGGAGGTGCATTCCTGGTTCTCGAACTCGCATACCCTCCGGATCTATTGGCCGACGTCATTGACGACGCTAGACCGGCAGTTGTTGTCACTCACAGATCTGAAGTTGGCAAGATTCAGGAAGGCGTCCCAGTCCTGGCTCTCAACGACGAAGCACAAGAAATCAATGGTGACCAAAAAGAGCCAGCACCTCTGCCTGCTGAAGATGATCTCGATCGCCTTGCTTTTGTTGCTTATTCGTCAGGTACCACCGGAAAGCCCAAGGGTATCGCCAATCCCCACAGAGCACCCGTACTCTCATATAATCTCAGATTCGCTGTCTCGGACCAGCAGCCTGGCGACCGTGTTGCGTGCAATGTCTTCTTCGTCTGGGAAATCCTGCGTCCCCTCCTGCGTGGAGCCACTGTCGTCGCTGTCCCTGACGAAGTCAGCTATGACCCCCTCGCCCTTGTTGAGATGCTTGCAGCCAAGAAAATCACAGAAACTCTCATGACTCCCACTCTTCTGGCCACTGTCCTCTCACGTCACCCTGATATTGCCGAGCGCCTCCCTGAGCTGCGTGTCCTGTGGCTCAATGGCGAGGTTGTGTCTACCGACCTCGCTCGCAGCGCCCTCAAAGCCCTCCCCAAAGTCCGCCTACTCAACTGTTACAGTGCCTGTGAAACACACGAGATCGCCTGCGGTAACATTGGAGAGATGCTCGAACACCTCGATGAGGCCGCCCTCTACTGCCCAGTTGGCCCCTCTCTCGACCCCAAGCACACCTACATCGTCGATGAGGCTGGCAATAGAGTTGAGGATGGTGTTAGCGGAGAGCTCTTCTTTGGTGGAGACCTTTTGGCTCGCGGTTACCTCAACCTGCCCGAGACTACCGCCAAAGCTTTCTTGAGAGATGAATACGATTCGACTGAAGGTGCTCTAATGTACAGAACTGGAGATCTGGCACGTATGCTTCCTTCCGGACTCCTTGAGATCACTGGTCGTGTTGGATCCATGATCAAATTGCGCGGCTACTCTGTCGTGCCCGCCAAGGTCGAGAACTCCATCATCACTCACCTTGCTGTCAGCACGTGTGCAGTTATTGCTCACGGCGAGGGTCTCGACAGACAGTTGGTGGCATACATTGTACGCGACAAGGAGGGAACCAAGAACCGCAAGTTCCCTGAGATTCTCGAGTCAGGTCACAGTCCCGAAGCTCGCAAAGCACTTTCTGAGGCTTTGGCACAGTACATGCTGCCCTCATTGTGGGTCGTGCTTGATGAGATGCCTCTGCACGAGGTTTCTGGAAAGGTCGATCTCAAGAAGTTGCCGGCACCCGTCACAACTCCCGCGAATGGTGCCAATGGAACCAAGGCTGCTCAGGCTCAGGATCCCATTGGCGTTAACGACGTGGCCGAAATCTGGGCAGCCACTCTGAACATGCCTCGTAGCATCATTGATCCTTCGAGCAACTTCTTCGATCTGGGTGGTCACTCCCTTTCGCTTGCTAACCTGGCCGCAAAGTTCTCAAAGACTTTCGGCTTCCGTGTCCCTGTTGCTCGTCTTGCTGACCCTCCCACTCTTGCCGGTCACGTCGACACCGTCCGTGGCGTTAGAGATGGTCATGCTGCAGCAGTTCAAGCAGATCTTCCTGCTGTGTTACGTAAGGACTCTACGCTTGATAACGATATCCAGGCCAACGGAGCCAAGTTCTGCCCTCTTAACAAAGCCAAGACTGTACTACTGACTGGCGCAACCGGTTTCTTGGGCGCTTTCCTTCTCAGCGATCTTCTGGAGCACACTTCCGCTCAGATAATCTGCTTGGTGCGTTTCAACAACCCTGAAGGTAGCGACTACTCGGCTGGTATCGCAAGATTGAGAAGACATCTTCTTGATTTGGGCTTGTGGCGAGATTCTATCATGGAGCGTGTTGAAATCCTGCCCGGTAATCTTTCTAGTGAGCGCCTTGGTCTCAGCAAGGATCTCTGGCAGGATTTGGTCTCCAGAGTTAACGTCATCGTTCACGCTGGTGCCACCGTCAACTTGATCTACCCCTACGCCTCTCTGCGTGGCGCCAACATCGAGGGTACCAGAGAGATTCTGCGTCTTGCCTCCCAGGGAGGTGCTACTGTTCAGTATGTTTCCACAAACGGTGTCTTGCCTCCTTCCAAGCACGGTTGGCCCGAGTTCGCTATGCTTGACGTAGACTCTGTTCAAGACAAGCTCCTTGATGGTTACGGCCAGACCAAGTGGGTCGCTGAACAACTTGTTCACGAGGCTAGTCGCCGTGGCCTGCCGGTCAAGATCTTGCGTGCTGGTACTATCAGTGGTCACAGCTTGACCGGTTCTGCCAATGCCTGGGATTTGGTATCTGCCCTGATTGTTGAGTCTGTTCATCTCGGCTTCCACCCAGATGTTGAGGGATGGCGCGCTGAGATGACCCCGGTCGACTTTGTCAGCAAGGCCATCATCCACCTTGCTAATCAATCTCAAGCCAAGCAGCTCGTCTTCCATCTTGGAGACCCTACCCCTGTCGACATGAGCTCTGTATTCGAAGATCTGGACAAGCTCGGCTACCCAACGAAACCTCTTGAATGGGAAGAGTGGGTTACCATGTGGATTGAGAAGAGAGGAAACGTTAGGGGCGGTGATGGCAACTTCACTGTTGACATTCTTCGCAGCGGTATGCCTAGCGTCGAGTTCCTCAGAGGTATTGTCGTTCTCAACAACGAGGCCACAAGACCTTTCCGCTCCGTTGTCGAACGCCCCAAGGTCGATGCTGTTCTCCTTGAGACATATGCTCGCCATTGGTTTGCCAGAGGATGGCTGCCTCGCCCTCCTTCAGGTCTGAGCTCTCTTGGTGGTGCTGCACACATGCCTCGCAGAGGACCCCTGAGCGGACGCGTCGCCATCGTTACCGGCGCGTCATCGGGTATCGGTGCCGCTGTCGCAGTCGCTCTCGCAAGAGAAGGTTGCCATATTGCTCTTGCTGCTCGTCGCACAGATGCTCTTGAGGCACTCAAGCGCAGACTCACAGTCCGTGAAGGCAAGGTCATTGTCCGCCAGACCGACGTCACGAGCCGCCAACAGATGGAGGCTCTCGTCCAAGCTACTGAAGAAGAGTTGGGTCCGGTCGACATCCTTGTCTCGTGCGCTGGTGTCATGTATTTCACCATGATGGCCAACGCCAAGGTCGACGAATGGGAACAAACCGTTGACGTCAACTGCAAGGGTCTGTTGAACTGCTTGTCTTCGATTGTGCCTGGCATGCTCTCCCGCGGTTCTGGTCACATTGTTGCCATCTCCTCGGACGCTGGTCGTAAGTGCTTCCCTGGTCTCGGTGTATACTCAGCCAGTAAGGTCTTCGTCGAGTTCACTCTCCAAGCTCTGCGTCTCGAGACCGCAGGCAAGGGTCTCCGTGTCACCGGTGTTCAACCTGGAAACACACAAACCGACCTCCTCACCATGTCCAGCGATAAGGAGGCTGTTGAGAAGTACGGCGAGCCTTCTGGCGCTCAGATCCTCGACCCCGAAGATGTCGCCAACTCGATCGTTTATGCACTCAAGCAGCCCGCTCACGTTGCTGTCAACGAGATTTTGATCGAGCCCCGTGATGAGCCCATCTAGGTGGAGAAGAGGTGAAAGAGAGATGGAAGAAAAAAGAGGAGCATTTCATTGTAATATTTGCTGACGGACTGTATATTTTGCACGGCCTATACTGTAACACAAACGCACACATCTAAGTGGAGAGAGGAACACTCGTTTGCTACAACGCTACTGCAGGAGTCGGGAGAGTTTGTTTGTTTGATCATGTCTTTCTGTAACATATAAAACATCAACAACGGCAGATTTCTGGGGGTTGTTCTCTTGTTTCCCTTTGGGAACCAGTTGTTTTTGTCACGCTTTGCAAGTCTTTCTGTACTAATCAAGCTGGCAGATACCATCCAATCGCGACAAAAAATACTAATTCGTCATACTAGCTTCACATCTGTTGTACCTACGCAGCTCTCAGATTTATCGATCCACACCTTCTTTCTGCATGAAGACAACTCAGTAGGTGAGTTCTGTAGTCAATTGTGTAGGGTGGGGCTACTTTTTTCCTGCTCCACTAACTTGACCACAAATATCCAGATCAAAGGCTTTGTAACAAGGTAAGGCGAGGTAGTATACCTAGGGCAAGATGGATTCATGTTACTGGCTTCTAGAGATCACAGAACTACTCACACTTTTCATTCATACAACAAGCGATTATCAAACGAATTCAGTGCTGTTCGGCAGAAAAGCAGAGGTCCCCGAAACGTAGCAAATGGAATGCGAGCCCACCATCGAAGGAACACACACTCCACCTAGCCTCGAAACCCTAGAACATTACCTCATCATCTTCAACACTTGATCACAGAATCACCACTCCATATACAAAGCAATTGGGCAAAGAAAAAGAAATGTAGCCGGAGATGGGGACATGGGATGCGGACAGAGAGAGGATAGGAAAGCAGCAGGGCTGGGCACAGATGAGACTGGCACTTTCCATGCCTCGAAACAGTAGGCTTCAGTTCAATGATCCATTTCACGCACTGCGATCCAGTCTTTGATCTTGAAAAGCATAACCATCGTGTAATCTGTATACGATGTGAGCCGAGAAAGCAACAGAACTTTTGACGTTAACTCTTTTTGTCCTGTGACACTGGCTTCCATTTCGCTTTCAACTCCCCAAGCCCCTGCTCAAGAATAAATGATAGCATAACCGACTCGCAATGAAAAATACAACCACTCCAAACACACCAGCCTCCCATGACCTCTATCCTGTACCGCCATTGACTTCAACAACGGAACCATTCATGTACCTGCTCTCATCGCCCATGAGGAAAGCCACCACATCAGCAATCTCGCTAGCCTTGCCCATACGTCCCATGGCAACCTGATCCACCGTCTTCTTCAACGCCTCCTCGCCAGCCATAACCGCAGAATTCGTCGGCGTTTCGATGTAGCCGGGCGCGACAACATTGACGCGGATACCCTTGGGTCCCAACTCCAAAGCCATGGATTTCGAGAAACCAATGATTGCGTATTTGGTCGCGCAGTAGATGGCCATTTGCTTGTGAGGGTGGATGCCGCAGATGGAAGACACGTTTACAATGGCGCTTCCAGAGCGCAGGTAAGGAATCGTGGCTTTGGTGACATTGTAGACGCCCTTGAGGTTCACAGCAACCAGTTTGTCGAAATAGTCTTCGGAGCAGTCGACCAAGTCTCGGGCAGTGGGGTTGATGCCCGCGCAGTTGAACACATGGTCGACACGGCCAAAGTAGCCTATCACATCCTTGACGGCTTCAATGCAGCGCTTGTATTCTGCTACGTTGAGCATGTTGACTTGGTGAGGGCCTCCGGCGCATTGCTTGGCGGTTTCCCGACATGATTCGATGTTGATGTCGCTGAGTGCCAGGCGTGCTCCTAGTTTGCTGAGCTTGAGTGCTGTGGCTCGTCCAATACCCGAACCGGCTCCAGTGAGAAAGACGACCTTTGCTTCGATGGTGTTTTTGTTCATTGTGATTCCCTTTTTTGTTGCACTTCTTTCGCGGAAATGTTGTCGATCGGGAAGTAACCCTAGTGGGTGATGGCTGGGGTGTGCAAGCTGTATAGCTTGGCAGAGGTGTCGTCAGTGATCGTCGGTCTGCAGCAAGCGTCGTGAAGTTTTGTTGATGGATGGGGAATGTTGAGAAAGATGGAGGAAAGTTTTTTGGATTTCTCGGAGGGCCCTGCGCGATAGAAACAGAATGCGTTCGAAGATAAAACAATTGCACCACATGGCAACTCCCAGCAATCTGTATGGTCTGTTGGGCGCTGTCAACACAAAAGATAAGTGGGGCCATGCCGATAAGCCTGCGGAAGCCTCATGGCGTTATCGGGCCGTCTGGGCAATTGCAGCAGTCACGCGTTTTGTCAAACTTATGTTTCAGAAATTCATATAAGTATGCGTTATTCGGATTGGGGTATCATTGATTTACTTTTGGGGTACGTCGTGGCCAGTGAGATGGTGGAGATTACGGAAGTGTATCATCACATCATCGCCTAGCTTTCTTCTTGTCTGGCCCATCGTCTTCTTCATCGCTAAGCTCGGCGTATATCGTCTTTGGTTGAGTGGTAGCCCAGGCATTTGTAAACAGAGGATCATTCTTAGCCTTGTCAGCATACTTGAGAAGAGCCTCTCTGGGATCTTCTTCGCGCATGCCACTGAGCGGAATATGTTCCTTGATGTAAGCTGCGTCTGCATTACTCTTCGCGAACGGTGTGGTATTGGGGATGTGTGGCCGTCTGGGATCTCTCGATTTACCGGAGGCTGTCAGTCCAATCGTAGGATGTCTTGAGGCGAAGGAAGCAGCCGATGGCGCAGAACCTCCAGGCAGAATGACAGCATCGCCACCAATGCCGTGAGATAGATCCATGGTCAGGTTGGGGTCATCATCAATGTGACGACGCTTAGGAGCCTTGAGCATGACAGTCTTTGCACCGCCTTGTGATAGATTGGGGTTGTATAGCACATGCGTCTCTCCGTTGGCCGAACCGGTTATAATCTGGTTCAGTTCCTTGTGCCAGTAGACGCTGATCAGAGCAGAACCTGGTGTTACTGGGGTCACCAGTTCGGATCTCAAAGTAGCAGGGTTCAGAATGTGGAGGTCGCCGGTTGCAGAGCCAGTGAGCACTTCGGTACCTGACGGCGACCAACAGATGTTAGACGTGGGATATTGGCTAGAGATCGAAGGGAAGTCGATCGTCCTGAGAGGTTGCTTGAACTTCCTGGTGTCCCATAGCTTGATTGTATCATCACCTCCGCGAGTCATGACAAGCTGACCAGTCGAGCTGACCTGCAGGCCGCTAGTCCAAGTGTCTTTTGTATGAGCATCGCGGATCTCGGCAGCAGGTCTGGTGTATGGACCGTTTCCATCCCACATGACCAGACTGCCGTCAAGAGCAGCGGCAACAAGAAGGTTGGACTGAGGGCTTGCAGACCAAGAGAGAGCAGTGATACGCGTTCTTCCAGCAGAACCAGCAGCTCTCGACTTGTGTACGATGACGTTCTTCTGTTGCCTAGGGTTGTTTACATCCCAAATGCGAACGGTCGAGTCGGTTCCTCCGGTTGCGCAGATGTTGCGATCTTGAGGATGCCAGACGCCGCAAGTGACTTCGGAGATGTGACCCTTGGTGTGATGCATGTCGCGCAGGTACATATCGCCCTTGACGAACTCGGCGAGTGTTTCTCCATTGCGATCTAATATGCGCGGTTGAGGATGTGCGGTTATGGCGAGGATTGTACTGGGCGAGATTGGATTGAACGAGACTTGGTTGACAGGATGGGTTTCGGTTGAGGCAGAGCCTTTGACGGACGAGGGATCGACTGATTTAAAAGCGCGGATGGTAGAGGGGGTGAGGGAAGCAAAGTCGTGGAACTTGAGCGTGCAGTCGTTGGAGCCCGTCACCATTCGTCCTCCCGACGCGTCCAGTGTGATGGATGTGACTGCGCGGTCGTGCGTCTTGAAGACCATCTCGTGCGAGACCGGGTATTCATCTTCTTCTTCATCCGAGTCGTCATCGTCATCGTCATCATCGTCGTCCGAATGCTCGTCCTTGTTGCTTGGTTGTGGAACTACTGGTTGCTGTCTCTTGCTCTGCTCGAATCTGTTGTCGGCTTGGGCGCCTTTGGTCTGCTTGCCAAATGACGTCGTTCCGAGAAACCTCTGGAGCGCCTCTTCGTCCTCGTCAGGTACCACAATCTGAGGTTCCGATGTATCTGACATGGCGGCGGTGGTCGGAAATTGGTTTACTATCATTTGGTTTGGTCCAAGTTGCGTCAGTCACGTCGACTTTTGTCCCTCGGGCTCGACGTTTCGCTGCCCGCAACGCCGCAACCTTGACTGACTCTCACCCATTATCATTACCAACATATCCGAGTACTCGTCTCACGAAATCACAATCTCCAAAACGTGTAGCTCGTATCGAGTCTAGAACAGTTGCTGACCAAGTTATCATGGCTGGGGCTAGCGGCGCTGCTATCTCTGTCCTCAGGGGCACAGCGCCGTGATAGGCAGGTGTCCCTATCCTACCATCTCGCTTCTCTCTGGTGCCTTCCAGAGCATGAATCGCGCAATTTTATCTCCAAGCACAACCACGTCTTGTCAGTCACGGATGCTGCTCATCATCGTCCAAAATGTTTCTCGACAATGCTTCTGATTCGAGCTTGAAGCTTCTCTTCGCGCCTGCTCAATCCATCCTCGCCCTGTCCTTTGCAGCATCATTGTGTTTCATCGTCTCCGCCTATCTAAGATGGCATCAGTTGAAAAAGTCTTGTATCAAGATTGCGTCAAATCAACAAGCCGACATCAAAGTCGTGAGTTGCTAGTCATTAGAGCACATGCGAGAAAATATGCTCACTGGTCGCAAGGCTTGCAATCTGCTCTTGCTGGTCTTTCAGTCTTCTATCATAGGCATATCCACATCTGTGCCAATTAAACCCGAAAATGCTCTGGTTGAAGTCGTCCATCTTGTTGCAGTGCTTAGTCTCGTGCTCTTGTCGTCTCGAGAACACTATCGATCAGTGAGCCCGTCGACGCCTCTAGTCATCTACCTGTCTACACGAACCTTCTTGAACATTTCAGCATTGTTACTGGTACATGAAGGAGGCTTCATGGGAATCCAGGTACTGCGAACAATCATAGAAGCAGGAAATCTGATAGTCGAGTCTCAGAATAAGGGAGCCTTCTTACTCGAATCTTACCTAGACATTGCACCCGAAGAGACAGCCGGATCATGGAGCAAAGCTAGCTTCGCTTGGCTTGCTTTGATGCTCTTCACTGGGAAAGATATCCTCTCCTCGTTAGAAACACTGCCCCAGAATCCTCGCCGATTCGACCCTTCGAATCTGCGTCGAAAGATCCTGCTGGTTTGGGACCAGAGAGGTAAGCTATTCAAATGTATAGAGTGCATCAAGCTGACCGACCCTGAAGCGAAGCCAGAAAGCCGATTTACGTTACCATTGATCTTGGTACACTGTCTGATGCCCGACTTTGCTACCGTCGCAATCACAAGGTTCATGCTCATCGTCTTCCGTTACGCTCAGCCACTTCTCATAAGCAAAATCTTGCAGCTGTTGGCCGCAAACGCTTTGTGCGGACAATCTTATGAGCTCTCAAGCACCATAGTCATTATCTCTACCGTGGTGTATATCGGACAAGCGGTGAGCAAGCCATCTCTGGTCATTGCTAGCTTTAACTGATGCATGTGCAGATCGTTTCTTCAAGGTATAGGCATGAGCTCAATCGTCTTGAAATCATGACCAAAGCCGCACTTGTTGAACTCATCTACGAAAACACCCTCAATGCACCTTCTACTACGCACAAAGACTACAGCGCCGTTACTTTAATGAGTACTGATGTTGATGCGCTTGAAGATTTCAGCGAGATGTTCCACGAGTCTTGGGCTCAAGTGTTGGAAGTAATTGTAGGTATGATTTTACTGGCTCAGCAGATCGGATGGTTCTGCATTGTTCCGTTGCCAATGATTTATGGTAAGTCGAGAAATACACCGTGTGTTCGAAACTTGTACTGATACGACACAGGCTGCTCCCATATGACTCGGTACGTAGCCCGGAACTTACGTCCCAAGCAACTTATCTGGAATAAAGCCACACAAGACCGTATCAATAGAATCGTCTCTGTGGTTAGCAAGGTGAAGATTATCAAGATGCTTGGTCTGACGAACGCCGTCAAGAGTCAGGTAAGCAATTTGAGACAGGCAGAAATTGGTGCTTCGAAAGATATGCGCTGGGTATCCGTGCTCGCCAATGCTAGTGGTATGTTGTCCTCAGTACACGTCGAATGCCTTGACATGAAGATCTCTAACTAAAAATCAGCAAACGCGCTTGGTCTTTTCACGCCCCCGGTCACCATCGTTCTGTTCGCTGCTGTGGGAAGCACGAAACTGGACGCAGAAACAGCTTATACAACGCTTGCAGTGCTCACCATGGTCACTCATCCTGCGAACATGATCATGACAATTGTTCCCCGAGCAATTTCATCCTTGGCCAGTTCTCAGAGAATACAGGATTTTATCAGCAAACCACATTTCCAGGACATCCGTCTGCACCAAGAATGTCTGGTAGGAGCGACCTCGGTGGATGCCAATTCTCAAGTCGCAGTCGAGTTCAAGGATGTCGAATTGACGCTGGCAGGCTCCACAAAACCTACTCTGGCGAACGTCAATCTTCGCATTGATCGTGGTTCTGTCGTTATATGCACTGGATCTACTGGTGTAGGAAAGAGTATACTAGGGCTAGCAGTTGCTGGAGAAGTTGTACCCCACAAGGGATCTATCTCAACTATCAGTAAACGGACAGGGCTATGTACTCAGTCGCCATGGCTGCCAGGACAGAGCATTTCCGAAACGATTCAAGGCTCCTCTAGGATATCCGCTCTACATGACGATGCCTGGTACCAGCAAGTTCTTGATGCTTGCTGCATAGACAATGACATTCTGCTCAATCCCGCCGCAAGGGACGCTGGCATTGGGCATGCAAGGCTCTCAGGAGGGCAGCGACAGAGAGTTGCTTTGGCTCGTGCTGTGTACCAGCGACATGATGTTCTCATCCTCGATGACCCTTTCTCGGCTCTCGATCAACGTACACAGGAACGCGTGACTGGCAATTTGCTAGGTCCTGATGGTCTTCTCAAAAAATCACACACGACAGTGTTTTTGATCACGAATGCTACTCGAGCATTTTCTTTCGCAGACAAGATTCTGCTGTTGAAGGATAGCCGCATTCAATTTGATGATGACTACAACAGCTTCCACGCATATTCAGGTACACTGGCAGAAACATTCGAGAACGATGACAAAGCAGAGCCAGATGACCAGAAGAACGCGCAATTGGATTCCATCGAGAAGAGCAAGCTAGCTGCCAAAGACGATCAATCGTACATTGACAGCAGATCAGGCGACATGTCAGCTTATCGATACTATCTTCGGTCAGTCGGCGTGACGAACATGCTCGCACTCTTGACATGTACTGCGCTATTCTCATTCTTCTCAATCTTTCCGCAGTACTGGATCAAATGGTGGACAGAAGCAGGGACTGGAAAAGATGTCTTCTACGTCCTTGGCTACCTGCTATCCGCTACTATCGCCTGGGCGGCGACCAGCGGTACGCTATGGGTCAACTTTATCAAATTGGCCCCTAGATCAGGGGCTGTGCTACATTCTAACCTTTTGAGCACAATCCTGGGAGCACCGTTGTCTTACTTCAACCATGACATCGGATCCATAGTCAACAAATTCAGTCAGGACATAAAGTTGATTGATCGAGATCTCCCATCTGCGTTGGCAGCGCTGTGTACTCAAATCTTCAAGATCCTGATGCAGTGTTCTCTGCTTCTCGCTAATCAGAGACTATTGGTATTCACCTTGCCGATATACTGCTTGCTCATCTACGCCGTTCAGAAAGTGTATCTTCGCACCTCGCGACAGCTCAGATATCTAGAGCTTGAATCTAAGTCTGCTGTCTACTCGAGCTTCCTCGAGACAGTCGAGGGTTTAGTCACCATCAGAGTCTTTGGCTGGCAGCAAGCTTACCTTGAGCGGAACACAAGAAGTCTGGATCTTTCACAAAGAGCGTGCTATCTCTTCTTGTCTCTTCAACGCTGGCTCAATGTGACTTTGGACTTGGCTGTTGCCTTTATCGCTATCATTGTAATCAGTCTTGCAGTGTTCTGTAGTACCGAAGACGCCAGTGCTGACGTGGGAATCGCGCTCAACATGGTCTTGGTCACCAACACCACTCTGCTGAGATTGATAGGGTCTTGGACGACATTGGAAGTGTCGGTTGGCGCTGCTGCGCGTCTCAAGGAGTTGGAAGATCGTGTGCCGAATGAAGAAGACTGTGCAGTTGAGACTATTGTGCCGCGTGATTGGCCCCCCGCCGGGTCGCTCACATTGAAAGGTGTGCGAGTGTCTTATGGGTAAGCAAACTTGTACATGTTGTCGAAGAAACTTGGCTAACCACGTACAACAGTACACGCACAGTTCTGGAGAACGTCGACCTAGATGTGCAAGCTGGCAAGAAAGTCTTCATCTGTGGTGAAACAGGCAGGTAAGTTGAGCGTAAACCCAGCTTTGTTTGCACCTTCTAACCCCAAATGATAGTGGTAAGAGCACTCTGATTATGGCGTTGTTGAGATTGTGTCAAGTACAACGAGGCTCTATCCAAGTAGACGGCGTGGAGATCTCTCAGGCATCTCCTTCGATCATCCGTGAGCGCTGCTTCATTGCCGTGCCGCAAGATGCATTCAATCAGCCTGATCAAAGTTTACGCGATAACCTCGACACACTGGACCACCACTCAGCTCAAGAAATCAAGCAAGCATTACAGAAACTACATCTCTGGTCTCACTTCCAAGGTGCTAATTCTGGCCTTGAAAATGACGAGGAGGACAGTCGAGTGCTCGCGTTACCTCTCTCTTTCTTCTCACCACTGTCGATGGGACAAACACAGTTACTGTCTCTTGCATGTGCGATGCTTAAAGTTAGGTATCACGTCCGAAAGGGACGAAAGCCCATCATACTACTTGACGAGCCTGCTGCCAATCTTGACGAGGACTATGAGAGTCTCTCGTCTACGATTATTGAGGAAGAGTTTACAGAGAAAGGACACACTGTACTGATGATTACGCATAGCTCCAGGGACCTGAAAGAGCGTGTTCGAGCAGGTAAAGACGTCGTTATCAGGACACGCAATGGGACGATGAGTGTGGTCGCTGCTGGCGAATAGGAGTCCGTACGGAAGCATAGCTGCAGCAGCCTCATCCGGAAACGCGCCAAGCCACAGACCAAGATATTTGTCACTTTCGACTCGATCGGAGTCAAAATGCCGCTTCTTTGCTATTCATGTAGTTTCCTTTCTCGACCTCGCACGCACGCGGAGCATTAATCGTGCAGTCAACGGTTGAACCGGCTTACGCCCGAACCTTGCCAATAAATCACAGCTGCATTTCCTAATTCGAGTCAAGTCATCATTCAATATGCATACCACTCCAGCTTGCGCGTCTACCCATCAGGCTGGGAGAATGCCATCAAGCATGGACTTTTGAACTATCTGCCGTCAGGCGTAAATGCGACGAGATTGGCTCCCTGTTATTGACGGTGGTTGTCTGATAAACTCAAATCCCAGCCGTTCACATCACGATCTTGAGAAGTCTGGTATGGTTCAATGGGGGGTCTCGGCCACCGTCCAGCGTTTCAACCTCGATGGTGACGTAAGTCATTATTTTGTTGCTACCATTGCGTATGTCCAAAACATAGAGAAGCAAAGAGCAAGCAGTGTATGTTGCCTTGATTCGCTTTATTATCATATATCCTGTTGCTTTTGTGTTGGTCATCGACTTCTTCTTCATCTCTCTCGACTCAAATCATCTTCAATAATCAACAGACAAATCAATCACAAATATACCATTGCAACAAGACAATGTTCGACTCCACATTCTCACATGCTTCCGCCGAACCTCTCTCGAGAGCAGCGTCCGACCAAATCGCAATCCGACTCATGCATGATGTAAATGTCATCCTGCATTTGAACCCAGACTGCAAGAACATCAAACTCGTCTCAGACCCATCAGCAAACCCACAAGAATACAAAGTCGAAGACAGCCTGGCGTTCGTACCCAAGAAGCTATGGAGCGGAGGTGTCTGGTACACGGCATTCTTCAAGCCTGTTGAGGATGGCTGCGACATCATGATCCAAGCACCCGGTGGCTTTACGTCGACGAACAAGTGGCGCTTGATCAGGAAGGCAGATGGCACACGAGTCGTCTCGATTACGAGCGATGCGAAGTGCAGCAAAACCTTTTCAATCTTTGTCAAGAGGTTTTTGGAGAGCTCACATGGTCAGATGCAACGGGCCTTTAATGAGCGAGTCGAAGCGATTGCGAGACCCGGTATGCCCCGACGCAGGTCGTCAATGCCTGGATCTTTCAGAAGCGCTCGACAGATGGTGGTCGTGTAAGGGCAAGAGACGTTGGTACAACGCCCGGATCTTATGGCAGCCGAGAGACAAAGTTCATCAAATCCCTGTCTTGAGGATTCGCGTTCCTGCACTCAGGGAGCGTTTTTTTGTTTGTTGGAAGGGAATTACATATGAAGGGTGATTTTTTCTCTCGAGCGAGCGCCGGACGGAATTCACTTGGTGCGGTTGCCAGCTCGTTGCAAAAAAAGGCATGGTCGTCTTCGATGGCAGGGCGGTAAATGCAGGATGTACTTATTATATGTATATATATCACGACTTTGATGATGATAACAACAGATTAGATCCATAACACACATTTCTTCTTTCAACATTTATGGTTAATGAACATGCTTGCGGCTTTGTGTCCGGGCATACGTAGTACGGTGCTAGTAAACCAAAGCGCTATAGGGCTAATCCGTAGATTATGCATATCTTGCCTGATGCGTCGTCGATACGAGTGGGCAGCGAAGGATCTCCGCAGAAGATTGGATTTGTGCCAATCAGTGTACGAAAGAGGGGCCAAGGTCTCGATACAGCACTTTGAGCATTCGGTGAAGTCACAAATCGCGAGAGATGGTGAAGTGAGCTTTTTGAGGATACAGGATTACGAGACGGGCAAAAGATGCGAATTGGTGGACGGGCAAGTCGAATGGTGCATAAGCTCGTCCGGCAACAACGGTTCGCCAGACCGCACCTCTGGCGGCAAGTCGCCCGCTGCCGCGACGGGGTGACAAGGTAGGAGAGAAGGGGATGTGCAGCCGAGGTTTGTTAGGGCGCAGAGAGTGCAACTGCCCAAACCAGCATGACACGCGCGCATGCTGATAAATCTAGGCGACTGCTTGCAATCTCGACCGGCCTGTGCAACTGCTCGCTGTCCCTCCAGACACGACCTTTTCGACAACAATCGCAATATCCAGCTGGGATAAGAGGTCCGGCGCTGTACCGACGCTCTACATGAACGTCTGATGCGCGCGACGCGAGAGTCGAGTGCAGAAAAGTCTTTGCGCCGTCAGCCTCGCCGCCGGGCATGCAGTCCAACAACAAGGCGGACAATGGCGGGCTCAATTTCGTCTTTGAATCTGGCTCTTCTGGACGCGAAAACAAAAAGTATGTGAGGTCGCATGCTGCAAAGGTTGGCTGGTCGCAGAGGAGCCGCAAACAAGCACAAGCGGCGAACCACGACGACGTCGCGACCACCAAAGACGCAGCCCCCAGGAAGCGTCGTAAGACCACAACCAAAGACGCAAATGTCCAACAACATGCACAACGACAATCGAGTATATGCTCGCCTCCTCTGCCTCAACCTGGTGTGAACAGACCTGTCCACCTTCGACCTGAAGCTGGAGTTGAAGCCTCCAGAAGTCCTCCAGTGCTATCCACAACACAACTTCCGCCACAACAACATGCATCCAGTCGACATGGCCACTTCGCTGCATACTCGGCCTCACAGGCTCCTGCTCCTGCTCCTGCAATTCTAGCTGCCAATTATACCGCAGCTTCATCTTCGTCCTCGCCGCCCCCTCGCTATCTCCATCGTCCAGGCCAACCCGCTTCTGTGCGAGCCCAAGATGTGGAGCCGACCTCTTCGACTCGAATAGCCTCAGGTCCTCCTCAAAACTACTCTTTCACCCAGGATGCCTCGCACTGGCACGCGAGGCCAGAGCCTGTTCAGCCTGACCCGGTTGCACAGCAATCAGTTGTACCGCTCTTTCGGCCAGCTGCATCGCCAGGGCCCATGCACCCGCCACAGCTCATGTCAGGAGCCGACATCCATCGCCCCGTATCACAAATAAGTAGTCCGATGCCTTCTCCACGACTGCCTCCTCTCGCAAACATGCCTACCTCGCGATCCTCGTTGGCAGGTGCCAATTGGAGACAATACGACAACATGCCTGCCGTCAATACTGGAACCTCACAGCCCTCTACGCCAGCTCCCGGTACACCAATCAGGCACCATGATGAGAACGCTGAAGCCTCTGCAAGGACACCGCAACCATCATCACCGAAGAGAAAAGCAGCGCCCGCATTCCTTGAAGTGGTGCTGAACGAAGAATGTCCCATGTGGAAGAGTGCAGACTCTGGCAACGACTCGTTTGGCGTCTTCCCTGTAAGATGGCAGCCTTTTTATGGCCGGCTCCTCCAGAATTGTGGGTGCAGCAGGTCACGTTTGATCAAAACAAGAGCTCCGGCTAACCATTGCAAACAGACCGCTCCAACATGCTCGTTCAACTCGACGAAATCCTCACAGGCTGGACCCCAGACCAGAAGCTAGACTTCAACCAGATGCCGCTACGCCTCGCCGGTTCAGAGCCCTGCCTCTTCTACTCGCTCCTCGCCAATGCTGCTATCATGATGCCGCCCGGTCTCATTTCCCCAACCATACCACGATGGCTACAGACTCGCACCGCCGAATGCCTCAATCAAGCCTTTTCAGATCCCAAACGCGCATACGCCGACGCTACGATTCTGACATTGAACATGGTAGCTCTCTTCGAAGCGCTCAACGGCAAGGCAAAAACAGCTGGTTCCACTCACCAACCTGTACTCCGCCGTATGGTCAACGAACGCGGTGGACTCGCCCGTATTGCCAGCAGGGACAACGAAGACTCGAAGAATATGGTCAGATTCTTGGTTTGGACCGACAGGGTCATTCACAGTCAGACTGGCAACCCCCTGATGTTTGAAGGCTTTAGGGAGGATGAGAGTGTGGCTAGGACAAATTGGGATGGCATTTGGGCGAGGATGGAGAAGAGGGTCGAGGAGAACGAGCCGCAGCCTATCGAGGAGGTGCCTGATTGCTGAATGCTTTCGTCCCATTCTCTCATCGATTGCTGTCTCGCTACCAACACTCTGTCGCTTACTAATTACTGATACTTGGGACACATACTTTGGCGTTTTAATGGGTGGGTTTCATGGTTTGTCTTTATTGCTTGTACAGTCATTCGTTTTGTTTTGTTTTGTTTTGTTTTGTTTTCATGTTTCTTCGAACCCCAAGAAGGTTCTTTTTCCGCAACCGTACATAGCAAGATGATACCCTGATACCATAAATGCAACTCTTTTTCAGTTTTTTTTCTTATACACTATGTACGGCGATGATTCCTGGGATCACTGCTATTCACCTGAAGCCTCAAGCTAGCACCACGTTGTATCTCTATACGCGATGATGTGGAAGAAGTGTCTGAGCATGATCGATGTTGATATAGTATTAGCCTTTCTATCCAGGTCACACCTTCCCTATACTCGGGATATTTTCCAAACTTCTACAAGCCCAACACGCTCTGCACGCCAATGCTTCTAGCATCCTCCCTCATGAGAATATATGGCTTCAAGTCCGCCTTTTCTATGTGTGCATTATTAGCACCAGTGTTGTCCCCACCGGCACCATCCAACCCCTTGATTCTGTCCCTCAACGCCTCGGGCCCAATGACGAACAAGTTCGCAATCTCGGTCAACGTGTCCAAACTCTCGATGAACGGTCTGGGCAAAGTCTTCCAAGATTTGAGCAATTCGATATACTTGGCCATATCTTTAGAGACGATCAATCCGCCAGTGAGAGACACGGGGTAAGCGCGGAAATGGGCGAGAAGGAGAGCGCGAACACCCAATGCCAGTTCCAAAAAGATGTTTTCGAGCACTTTGCCGCTGAGGGCTGTTTCGGCTCGACTGTGGACTTTTGTAAGGAAGTTGAAGAGTTGGAGGCACGTGGGTGTTTGGAGTTGGTCGAGTTGGAGTAGGGCATCGTCACGAGGGCGAAAGTCTGTTTTCTTCTGTTGGGAGAGAATGCGTGATGAGTATGATAGAGTTGCATCGATGGTTTTCTGCAAGATGGTGTCGATTTTTGACTCGCAGCGGTCGATGAAGGAGTTTGTTGTTTTGTCGAGGTCGCGGCGGATGGTGAGGTTGCTGGATGCTAGAGGAAGGAGCAACGTTTGGATTGTGGCGAGCAGGAGGTGCAGGATGCTGACTGCGACTCGCAGATCGACGAGATGGCCAAAGTCTGGTTCGGTTTTTGTGCTGCTCTCGGCTGCTGTGGCTGATTCGGTGACAGCGTCCAGCGCTGTTTCCAGATATATTTCGCCCATATTGGCGATGAGCAGGCTTAGTAGTTCGCGGACATCTTTGGGTGTCTCATGGCCGTTGGCTAATTCAAGGCCGCGGCCTACACTTTCGGCCAGCCATTTGAGCATGCGTTTGATGAATGGTAAGCTCAGTGCACCATCTTCCTCTGACACATCGACGTCGTTTCTATTTTGTGTATGACTGGCGGAAGGATTGAGTCCAGCAATTCGTAGAAGAGTCGACTTCTGTGAGGCTGGAATGTCAGAGTTCTCGAGTCTCTCGAGATATGTATCACGTGTGGAAGAGATGAGTTCCCTACTGCGCGCAGATAGGGATCCAAGATACGACGTCGGCATCTTTCGTCGGCGTGTGTGGTATGTTGTGAATTTGAACAGAAGAGATGAGTATAGCTCTTCCAAGCTTCTCTTCTCACGCTCGATATATGATGAGCCAGAGAAGTACGGTACGAACAAATCTTCGAGTTGTTGATCGAGTACAGCAGCAGTCTGTGCAGAAGCAGGTTCTGGGTGCTCGGTCAAGCCATGTGCTTTTAGGTCTTCGACCAAAGCAGAGATGTAACTCCTGCTGGCTTGTAGCGAGCGCAGGAAAGCCAATGAAGATATCGAGTCTGCCTTGTCGAGCACCATTTCGAGTTTTTGTTGGATGGACTGTTGAAAGATTCTTTGTAAGAAGCGAACCAAAACTTCCTCATGAAAGGGAAATGCTTTCTTGATGATAAAGCTCTCTTCTTGCACGACAAGTTTCACCTCATCCACCAAGCTCTGCAAACTAGGCTCGACGCCTGGTGGTTCTGTGTCTGGATCGGCAAGACGTTCCCACGTTTCTGAATCGGCAGCCAGATCTTCGGTGATGAGCTGACTGCGATCAATGAAGAACTGATGCTGATTAACGAAGAGACCCATGACACTAGCACCATCGCCAAAGTCTTTCAAAGCAACAGCGCATTCTCTCATCCCATCGAAGTTCTGGCGTCTGTAGAAGTCATCAAATTGTTTCAAGAGATCCTTCTCTAATGACTCAAGGAACTTCTCAATCAGCTCCGTGGGCGTGTCGTGGCCGTTGAGACCATCACCATTTGACATGGAGTTTGACGAATCGAGACGTTGGCTGATCTTGAGCAATTGACGAGCAATATGGGCGCAGCGCAACTTTCCCTCGCTGCCTTGGAGTCTCCTGACATCATCAAGGCTAGACAGATCACGACGCTCACTCACGTCGATCCAGCATTGCAGGATGAACTTTGCGTCCTGGGCGCGCTGGCTTTGACGATCGAGTTCGTCGAGTCTCTCTCCAATCCTCACAGCAGCATTTCCTCCTCCCTGGTCAGCATTGTCCAGACTCGTCTCTAGGCGATGGAAAGAGTCGACAGCGCGTTCGAGTTCCCGTTCTCTAGCCGAGACATTCGTGTTGTGGACAGCTTCTGCCTTTCTTACACCAGCGGACAATTCATTCTCTTGCAGTTCCAGATCCTCACTCAAGAGCTTGAGTCTGTTGAGGGCGAGCTCGAATGTACGGATCAAGGGCTTGGGGTCGAAAGCGACAGCATTTGGGCCGGCACGTCGGCTCGGAGGGATGGCAGCGTCGGAAAGAGCTTCGACAAAGTCCTTGACTATGAAATCCTGGCTAGAGAAGGTGTCGAGGGTAAACTGGGGCTGTCGCGAGGCACCGAAGCGGGAAGGGGCAGCCGAGACGCCCGAGAAGATGGATGCGTTGTCGGCAGCGGAAGGCATTGCGGTCGTCTTGCTCGCGTTAGCGGTCTGTCGACGAGAACATGACAGTGCAGGATCGATTGAGTTATGTCAAGTCTACAAGGACGGACATGAGCAGCGGTGGAGACGCGTCGGCGGGACCAAGCGTGAAAGCACGCGGAGAGCGGAGGGAGGGGGGGCTGACGTCGCTCCTGCCTGCAATTATTCTGGTCAATCGCACCTTCCAACCAGAGTCGAGCACCCAACCAGAGTCAAGCACAATGGCTGGACTGCGCGAACAAGAGGCCCTTCGTAGCAACGTCGGCCCTGACGGACGGCCACTGTCGGCACAAGAACGCGAGCGACTTTTGCAACCCTATCTCCCCGATGCTTCACCTGGCAAGCAACAGCCGACGCAACCGCTGCGACAGCTGATCAAGGCTGCCCTGCACCTCTTGCTGTACAACCTCATCCATTTCGCCTTCTCCGTCTACCACCGCTTCCGCGTCGCATACCACAATCTGATCGACCGCCTCTTTGCCGTCCTGTACTACCACCACCGTACCCCAGAGTACATCCAAAAAGATGTCCACCGCCTGAACAAAGTCCCCAAGCACCTGTCAGTCATCCTCGAGCTCGATGACAACACGCGCGACAACTCGAGCCTGGAAACTCTGATCCACAACGTTTGCGAGGTCGCTGCTTGGTCCGCCTGCGCTGGTGTGCCCCTGCTGAGCATCTACGAACCATCCGGTACCACGCTCCGCCCATCCTGGCCACGTCTCCTGTCTAACCGCTTCCAGGTCTCCTCAAGCAGTCTCTGCCACTCGTACACCGCCGCATCTCCCGTACCTTGGCCGCTTATTTCGGTCATGACAACCCAAACAAGCCAACCCTTTCGCTCGGCGCTCCTCACATGCAGTCTTTCTCGCCGCCTGCTTCGCCCAAATCTTCTCTGCACTCCACTTCTTCCAAGTTGCCCCCCCATCTCTCCATCCTGCTTTTGTCCGCTTCGGATGGTCGTGGCACCCTCGTTGACTTGACAAAGACGTTGGCTGAGATGAGCCAGAAGGGAAAACTTGCTCCCAACGATATTTCTATAGACCTGGTTGACGCCGAACTCACCGAGAGCGTCATGGGCGAGCCTGACCTACTGATGTTGTTCGCTGATAGTGTCCACTTGAAAGCCTATCCTCCGTGGCAGCTGAGACTCACCGAGATTTTGTAAGTCACACCCTTTGACGAGAGACGAGGCTTCCGTTGCTCCACAAGCCACCCAAAAGCTGACATATTCTGATCACCAGCCATGTCCCTGACAACAACGGCGTTGGATACCAAGTCTTCCTGCGTGGTTTGTACAAATATGCCCAGGCTCAGATGAGGTTTGGAAGTTAGACATCAACCCCAAAAATATTAACCAACGTCACCTGCCGGTCTACGGCCAAGGTTTGTTGAGATCCTTGCTGTACAAACAAACGTCACCTCTCTTGCGCCGAGGTTGCAGTCGACGTCGTGGCACTTAGTAACATGGCTTGGAGGTGTCAGAAGACCATGTGTCATCGAACTCGACTCTTATTCTGACAACCTTCCGTCCACTCAATCTTTGTAAGTCTTAGGCCCAAAGTTGCACCGAATGACCGTCATCCAAAGACATTCGCGAGTTTTATGGCTAGCTTCGATCATTCATGGTATAGTTTTCACGATTCAATCCATTGGCAACCGCCTGATTTCATTCTTGATTTTGTGATTCTCATGCCAGTCGTTCCTGCCTATTTGAGATGGCCGCCCTTCTCCTAGATCTAGTGCGCCTCGTCTCTCTCAATTCACTCTCCACAAGTCGTCAACCAACATTCGACACAAAGCACAGAAGTGCATTTTACACAACCAGATCTAACGCATCGGCACATCCGTATTCAACCACTTCCACCATGCAGCACCCAACTTCAGAGCAGGGTCTCAATCTTCTCGATCTGCCCATCGAGCTCCTTGACCTGATCATCCTCTACTGCGTCAATACCGAACCCATGACTGTCAATCTGGCACCCAATGCAGGCTCCTTGACGCGCACTCTGTTCACCTTCATCCCTCGTCGCAGACGCTACACAGTATCTGGTTACCCACGCAACCTGCTGCTCATCAACCGCCTGATCTACCGCCTTGCTTTCGACAACATCTGGACTCACAAGAGCCTTGTTATCTCTCTGACCCCATCGGATACGCTCTGCTTCCTCTTGCACGCACTAAGCCAACAGCAAAAAGACGCGCTCTGCAAAATCCAACTCCCCAGGTTCCTACTCAGCTGGTCTTTCCCCGTCAACTCGGACATCTGGCTGGTTGCCGACAAGGAAAAGGGCGAAAGTTGGTACGAGGGAGCCAAGGTCCCGGAAAAGGAGGTCAAGGGCAAGAGATTTCAAGCATTGGTTGGCATTCTTTGTAAGCGCTATGCCTGCCTATGTCGGTTGTGGAAGCTCAACATCGGGCTTATTCAAGCGTGAAACAGCTCAAGTGCCTTTATCTTCTGCGCAGCTGGTTTTCGCCGAGCAGTTCAACATTGGTTGATAGCTTTACCGGATATTGTGGCAAGCTAGACCTGGATGCATGACCGGAGGAATATCCTTCTTCGACTTCTCGATGACCTCGCTTGGACGCTGCATTCTAAATGGTTCTTGTAAGTAGGGTCAGCGTGTTGCTAAGTTAGATGTATTTACTATCCTCGTGCTAGATTAACAAGGCTTTCCTACTTTTCTCATCTACTCTTCCTGGCTGGTCAGAGAATTGATACCTATTCTCACGGCACGTCAGGTACCCTTAGCTATTACCAATCATATTTTCAATTGCCTGCAATTGGCTCGTATCCCATAAATGGATATTCTGTTCCACCATCAAGCTATCATGCTGTTACCTCTCCATATGCAAAAGCACATAGTCCCAGTAGCCATGGCAATATATAACGCTGTCGAAAAACGGAATATAAGCCACCGAGAATCGTTGATGATCGAGTGCGAGGATGATGATACTGGGTGACATTGAGATTGAATCATGGGGTGCTGTACTTCAAGTTTCCAGCATGTGTACCGTCATGTCTACCATCCGAAAGACTCTTCAAAGTACTCCACACTATGACATCCACGTTTCAGTGAACGGTGAACAGCTAATCTGGCTTCATCAGCCATAGCAGGCGGACCGCAGACCAACACGGCCACCTTCGTCCCTGTAATTTCCGCTCTTGTTGCAGCTTTGGCAATTGCAGCTGCCATGTCTGGTCGTCCATACTGCAACTCGGGCATGTCCAGGACTTCGTCATCTTGCCTTCCAGAGTCTCCTTCAGTATGCTTCGGACCTTCGCTCTGTCGTGTGAAGAACAGATCAGCCGAGAAGTCATCTCTTTGTGTCGCAATACGGAGTTCGCGAGCGAAGACCTCTTGGATAAAAGATGCTTGTCTGGCTGTCCAGATCAAGTGTATATGTGTGGTGTTTGTTCTACCTGCTTTTGACAGTGACATGTGTTCGAGGATGTACGGTACCGCTGATGCGATACCAGTGCCGCCTGCGACCAAAAGCACCGAGTCGAAAGACGAGGTCGGACAATGATGGCCATATGGGCCTTCGAAGAGGATTGTTGGAGCAGAAGTTCGGGTAGGTGACCTGAGACACTCATCTCGCAGACGTTTGGTCCAGCCATCGTAAGGACGGATCCAGAAGGTCAAAGTTTGAGTACTACTTGAATGCCTCAGATCAGAGTCGTACTGATCGAACTCATGAGGAGCATCAATGTGCTGCATGAGGGAGCTGCCAGCCTCATCTGATGCGGAACCCTCCAGAGACCATGCTCCGAGTGTAAATGGGTGATTTTCATAGCCCTGCCATGTGGAAGGTTGGTAGAGGTAGTAGAATTGCCCAGCAGCAGGCTGGACAAAAAGTGAATCTGTTTTCACGTCGAGTCTAACCACACCAGACTGTTTGCTGTATGAGGCAATTGTGTGTGTACGACGAATGACTTGCTTGCCAAGACGGACTTGAACATTGCAAGATATAAGACGTAGCAAACGAAGTGCGCGATCTAGCACCCACACGACCACGATTGGCCAGAGATATGCGTCGTATCTTGCGTCGAAGATAGAAGTGTGTCTGATTATGTAAGCACTTGAACACAGTAGCAAAAAGAGGGGCTGGACTTACAAGAAACATCCAACCAGGGTAATCACAGAAAGTGCAACATGGAGGATCAGGAAGACCTCGTAAAACTTGATACGAAGCCATGACACAGAGAGCAGCAGTAACAGACTCATAGTGATAGTCGCCTGCATCAAGTCAGTCTGTGAACAATTCGACAGGGTCGGTCTGATATCTCACCACTACACCAAGTAGGAGCCAAAGCTGAGTGAACTCTCTCGCGAACATTCCCCATCCTTCTACTGTTCGTTAGACTATGCCGAGAGACAAGAAATAAGTTTTCAACATACCGAACTCCACAAACAGCATGATATATACGACTGAGTGTACAATGGCTAGTATCGTACCAGCTCGAGCGATATGTCGGTGGTAAATATTGAATGCTTGATACGAAAGACCTGTAGCCCACATAAAGACATTGTTTCTGCCAGCGAAAATCCAGATCCAAGGAAGTGTAGCGTATGCCATAGTGCCAGTACGATCGGCCACATATCGCCAAAGTTGATGAGACTTTTCGTCCCAGCTGTTGATTTGTCAGTCATCCGTTTGATAGAAGAAAGACTATATCCTTACTAGATGTTGTTAGATATTAGACGATAATGAGATACTGAAAGATATGTCGTGAACATATAGAAAGCCGTCACAATAATGCTCTCCATGCGTGTCGGAATCGTACACCAGTACAGAAGGCGCTGGTGATGCAAGCCGAATGCGGGCGGAACAATCAAGTTGACTCTTATCCACCTCCATATCGAATGCATCAACTGCACTGTCCTGCTTGACTGTGTGTGGGGCGATTGGGTCGACATATTGCTGGAGATGAGGAGGTTGGCAATCGCTGAGACACCTAGAACGACACCCCAGAATCCATAGAGGGCGAAGCCAGACTGATGGTGCCAATTCATCTCGTACTCCCAAGTCATCTGTCGAAGTCAACCGTCTGAGCCTTCACATTGTTGCGGTAAACATACGAGGGTGTTGTCAACTCTTTGGAAAAACGATTTGGCAAGCCTGACAGGTTCCGTAACATTTGTGCCACTGGGTATCTCATCAAATTCGACTAATCTCATTCTAGCGATGTCGCTGTCGGTGATGTTAGCGACGACATGACGCCAGTCCAGGAACTCAAAGTCGTCCTTCTCGCATTCTCTACGGATCTTCTCAAAGCCAATCTGTATCTCCTTGTCTGTACACAGCGTTTTTCCAGAAGCGTATGTCGAAATTGTTCGCAATGGGTTGAGACATTTGGGTCCATAGTATGTGTTGTACCCTTCCCCGGAAAATGTTAAGTAATTGTATGAAACCGAGACTGAATGTATGCAGTACTCGTCCGAAGGCATCAAGGTTTTTTGAATAGTTGATATGCATAATCCAACCCCGTAGAACAGTCCAAGCAATATTGTCGTGTTGAGGATGAGAGAAGCCACGGAGTTCCAAATCCAGTCAATCCATGGTCGGGTATATGGTGTGCCTCTCTTTGGAGGTCTTCGAACCAACGAGTCTGTAGCATCCCTTTCGTTCAATAATGGAGAAGATGAAGTCAGCATCTTTCATAGGCCGGTAGCAATGCCTGCTTGACAGGAGCTCGATCGCTTATCAATCTAATCAGATGACGCGGACAATCCAAAGGTCAATGTCGACGGATGAGTCGGATGCTGTCAGGACAAAACACTCTGGAAGCCTGATCGTCATATGAGGGATCCGTCGAATGAAGCCAGAAGTACTTGTGGTCAACGTGTAAAGTGGAAACAGTTAATCACGGACAGCAGGGACGGGCGAGTGCTGAGATCTCCAAGGCTCGGCAGGAGGACTTGGCGATAAGATAACGCTATCATCGCGGATCTAATCAGCACTCAGCAGATTGGAGCTTGAAGGAAGATGAAGGAGTAGAAATTAACGCAAGTATATGTTCTAATGCAGTCGGCGACTGTCAAGTCCAGTCAACCTCTCCACAGCTATCTGGCGCATTGGCGATCCAACTCTCTATCGCTGTTGTCTTCCACCCAGAGACCCACAAATGAGTGTTGGTTGCATTGTCCTTGTCTACCCAAGACTCCTCTGGTCTCTGGTTGCCAAATCGAAAGACGCTGCTCAAATAGCAAACTCCACCGCTATGTTGTTTCTTGTCTTCTACAGTGGTAAAGTTGAGATGCGCCCACTGGAAACATGTTTCTGTGACCTCGCAAGCAGCATTGCATGCGTCAGGCGAAGAATTCGGGTCCTTTTCGACGGTGGGCTCACCGACACGCTCGTCTGGCTTCTTTCGTGCCTGATCTTTCGTGCGAGGAGTTTTGATAGTGTAGATATTGTCTTGAGACATGTTGTCCCACTCCTCGCGTAGCTCAGGAAACTTTACACCAGAGAGTATGTCTCTGAACAAGTGCGAGAAACGCAGATGCGGTGTATTGCTTGAAGACGAATTTGTGTAAAAGTCTTCCTCCAGCATCCACAAGGTCTGAACCTCTTCAGATCGGAGGTGGTGCTGGGTGATGACAGGGCGACACCAGATGCCAGTGCCAATGGGCAAGCTCATAGGCTTGTGTCCGCTGAACATGGGCGCGGCTGAGGTCAAATTGAGATCAAGCTCTTCTTTGAGAGCTTTGGCAACGACGTAGTCGCCGAACCATAGATCGGGTATCCTGGCATCCCAACGGCTAGCAAGTCCCTTCTTTGTGACACAAAACTCGTACATGGCAGCACGCGACAACACAAAGCCACTGCCACCATGTGCGAAGTAGAAGCCATCTCCCTCCTCTTTCTTCATTGGCTCGCCCCGCCCTAGGTACAGTGGCTCGCTTGGGTCGAAGTTCTGTAGCCATCGCACAAGGTTGCGCCACACGATATAAGTGTCAGTCTCAGCAAAGACATACCACTCCTTGTCTGGCTGTAGTTCCCAAGCTCGCTCAATCATGTGTAAAAACTTGTATTTGTCCAGAGCCCACGCAGCGTTATGGCCAGCAGTCCGCCAGTCGGAGTTGGAGTCTGTCATGGTACTCAGTGTTTGAATGTCGCGACCCTCGGCCTGATATTCTTTTTGCTTGCGATATAGTTCGAAGTCGGCATGGTTCTCGAGGAACTCGGGATCGTAACGGGAGAGCACATCATGGATGTGTAGCGAGTGGATATCTTGCTCCAGGTCGGAGAAGAGAAGAAGAGTGTCGGCACATTGCAGGATAGTGAGTAGCTGGGTTGGCAACTTGTCGAAGGCCTCTGTCGCGCCCGTCTTGATGGACAAGACGATATCGCTGATGGCTGATGACGGCGGACACTGAGAGAGATGCGGCGCTTGGGTCGAGCTCTTGATGGAAAGAACATGCGGATTCGAATTGGAAGAGGCATGAAAGTAGAGATAAGTCAAGAGGAAGATGGCCGAGATGGCGGCCAGCCCTGTCGGAAGGGACGCTCGAGGGATTGTCAAAAGCATTACGCCGACACTTCAATCAATGCAGACCTACCTGTGATTGTAAGTCCATCTCCCTTTCTCCATACTCAGACATCAGGGGTTGTCTCATCAATCCAAAAGCTCGCCGTTTCTTCCAGCTGAGACGACAAGACACCAAACTCGGCACCGCTAGCTTCTTCCACCCTAGCGCTGAACTCTCTTGACCATGAGCAGTCTTGTGGCTTTAGTCCTGATTTGGTGCGTGACGAGCCAACATGTTGTTCCTCTCGAGTCGTTCTTGTTGTATTAACGAACCATGCCCTGATACGAAAGCAAGGGACGCTGCCCCGGTCGACAACTTCGGGGGTCTAGTTCCCGCCACAAAATTCGACTCCGACTGTAGGCCGGGCAAATTCGATGCTCTGGCTATGGGCGACTGGACATGCCAGGACTGCTGACGACCGTCTATTGAGACTCTTGATACCCATATCCTTGGTTTGAGAATGAAGTCGCGAATGACAACCAGCATGGTCTCGCGAATGCATCAGCCAGTCTCGAACATCGCATTCTAGATTGCTAGTTCGCGAAAGATTTGGTTCATGATTCTGATATCACAAAAAACCAATGATCTAGTCTCCTGACCAGCATCTGCAACCGATATGCTCCTTGTTCTGCTAGACATGCCGTCAATTACTCCTACAACTGCGTATAACCCTCATTTCTATTCTTCAATGTCTCAATCCTCCAACTTGTGGGCTGCCGACGCGCCTGACCCTGCTGTGGTTGGTCGTGTGTCTTCTCGTTTGAGCTGATAGAATTTAGCTTCGTGTGCTTTGCCATGATACTGCATGAGCAGTTTACCACATTCATCACTCAATGCTCGTGGCTTTTCAGGCAGCGTTGCTACCGTTTTGCTGTCTGCTTACCATCAGCATCGTTGCGAGACTTGACGAAATGAATGACAAAGGCCAGGCTAGATGGGACAGAAATCAAAAGAGCTTACTTGTTAGGTTCGAATGGGTTGGGCTCCAGATTTTCCTTGAGCACTGTCTTCCCATCAATTATGCGAATACGAGGTGTTCCTGGGGAGTGATACTGTTGAAGAACATCAGGCGCCGTGCCATTCACGCGTAGCGACCGTGTCGACGTCGCACGCTGACGCTCCAAGTCTGCAGGGTTCGGGCCTGAGCGAGCCATACCGCTGAAAGGGCATCTGCTTATGCCATCTCCAAGATGTGTTGCTTCTTCGATCGGACGACCCAGTGATGTCTTGCCGCTGTCGGAGCTCTTACTGCTGCCGGTACGACTTGTGAAGACGGACGAGCCATCGTCCCCAAGAACTTTCTTGCCATGTAAATATCCCTCGCGCTCGTCCTCTTGTATTTTTCCCAACAGCGTGTCGGCTTCCTCTTGTGTATATTCGGAACCATCTGTATTGTGCCATCTCTCGATAAGGTCGTTTTGGATCCAGATGACTTTGCCGAGAGCTTTGACGATGGCGATCTTCCGGTGCATCTCGAGACGGGGGTGTGAGAGTATGGCTTCGAAGAGGGAATCCTGGATGAAGCCTAGACACGCACCCAGGAAGACGTAGTCGACATGCAGAGGGTTTTGGCGACCTCTGCCAACGTGCATCAAACTGTCGTACAAACGTGAGTCGAGAGTTTCCGGATCGACATGGGACAGCAATATCGTGTTCATCAACTTACCCAACCTTGTCTAGATATTCCTAGAAGGTGTCAGCAAGAGTCCCGCAGGTAACGGAGATTGATAGTTACCCAGTAGTCCATTCGTGTACAGTCAGAGTTGAGCTTCGTCAGGTACCATCTCAAAAACTGCGATTGGTCAGATGTGGATATACTCAACCCTTGGCAATCTAAACCTACCATCTTTCTATGCTCGATCTGAGCACTATCTTCTGTAGGCCAACTCTCCACCGGACCCTCATCTCTACTGTCCCTTGTGGTGAACACACGAGCCGTAATGTCGTATTTGAGAAGCTTCTTGTATACTATGTTGACGATGGCAGGAATGACTGCTTTGATATACTTCTGTCCAGATATCAAGGCTTGTACGTCGTCTGTCCCAAACTCTAGAAATGAATGCAACCACTGGACCCTAGCTGGTAGCGATGTGAAGATATCACGCCGGCTTACGCGCTCCATGGATCTTGGCGGGTCTGCATACATGGTCGCGGTGGGGTTAAAGAGGGTAGTGTATCAGGCCAAGATGAGTGGGAAAAGACGATCAGATCTGAACGGCGTGTGATGCTGGGAGGTTGAAATGCAACGAAGAAGCGTAGAACAACGATCACAGAGCTAACAGGTTTAAAAGAAGCAGGGGAAGACAGGCAAGTCGGAAAAGGATTGATTGTGCTAAGAAATTGGCATCTCTCACTGACCAAGCCGAACAGTCGCAAGACTTGCATAGTGCGAGTATTCCCGATACTACGGGTTAGTAGGCATGTAATACGCAACTTGTCCTGATTAGCGTAGCCCTGATTGGCACATGGCACTGATGATGCAGGTTGAAGGAGTGTTAAAGGAAAGCCCTTGGGCCTTGTGGTTGACTTGCTCCCGCACAGACGTACAATTTTGGAAGCCCAGGGTCCAAGCACCTCACCTGATGTCTCGACTATTTCTTGTGTCTGCTGTTTCGAAGCACGCCACTCACAGGCTATATTCGTCGTAGGAAGCTCGCGGATGTCAAAAGTATGCTCAGAGCCTTTATCGCCCGTTCTTTGGCAATACGATCGGCGAAGATGCTGGAACATGAGCTAGCAAATGGGCGACGCAGGGGAACGAGGCTGTCCAAAGTCCGGCTGCCTGGTGCCAGGTCCTCGGTGCGGCAGAGACTCGTCTTCGGTTTGCCGCTTGCTTCTCCACTGACCATGTCCAATCTTTTTGACAACCGATCTTCCGCCGGGCGGTGAAACTACTGCACCGAGCTCTCTAGCTCCCTCCCTCTTCCGCTGACATCTTGACTCTTGACAGGCGGGCCCCACTGTCGTCTGCAAGAACGAACGTGTGAAACGTGACTGAACAACCCATCCGACGCAGGAACCACATGGCTGATGGGAGCGCCTGGGCATCTGCATGCCGCTTCGAAAAGAATGTTATCAACTGCAAGGGTGCCCGCTATCCACTCTCGATTCGAATGAAGCCATGTGCTGAGGCAAAGAACAAGGGGTGAACCAATGCTGTGTTGGTCAAGCTGCAGACTTCGGAAAAACATAAGCGGATCAAGCTCACCTTAAACAAGCACGCTTGAGTCGTCAATCACACATGCTGACTCGTATCTCGCTTGCATATCTACGTCTCACGAGTCTACCAAATTACGCTTGATACACGAGATTCTGCGCCTTTGAATTCAACTACGCCGATCATATCCGGCTCTTCATCACCACACTAACACCTCTGCTAATGCTGCCAGAGGGCAAGATGTGTGATAATGCCGTCATCCGTAACAAGTCCGTTGGTGGGAAGTATAAAACACGAGCGTGCAAAGATATATATCTGGCACAGAGCATGCTTTTCAATGTGCAGGCGAGACACGATCTACTCTATCGACGAGCGGGTTCGAGATGAGCTGTGGCGGTTGCGTGATCTTGTGTTTAGTCTAACACGAAATAACTGTCCTCTCAATTCATTACTATTGTTTGATCTGCTGATGGGAGATTGATGCGAGCCTTCGACCAATGCTTCTCGAACGAAGGATCTCGAGCATGTTTGCGGAAGACGGAAGCTGCCTCCCGTCTGTAAAGTAGATCAATTTATCAATTTCGCTAGGGCACGAAAACAAATTTTCGGCCGTCAGTAAATTGAAGAGCACATGGTCCTGAAGTCTGTGTCGATGATACCAACCCTAGGCCTACTCGTACCTGTTCGCTGCTGGTTGGTGACAAAAGCCAAACAGCAGACACCACTAACGCAAAAAGCACATACTGTGGGGAAACCTCAATACCTTCCCTGGTCACGGGTTCAAGCCATGCGTGGACAATCCATGGCCGAGAAGCAGCAGTGTGATACAGCTTTTGCCGAAATGAAACTGATGGAAAAGTGCTGAGATGTTGGATTGGAGACGTGGCAGATTCTTCGATGGATCACGGGGTGTGATTTGCAACTGGCAAGCATCGTGCCCACGGAGCTGAATGACAATGCGGAAATAAGCTGGGATAAAACGAAGTGGATATTGCAAATTCAGCCCGGAAGACGACATCGGTGCCTGACAAGCACATAGAAACCGGACGCTATCGTATCGAGACCATGTGTGAATGTAAGATGCACAGTTCTGGAGATACTGTCTTCTCACCTGCGGATGTGATATCAGATAGCCTCATGAAGGGGTCCGGGTCTCCCCCACGAACAACGAAGCTTGGACGTATGATGCGTCGTCACATGAAGAAAAATATGGAGATGCTAAGTGGAGTAGACAACCATCAATGGCAATGCAGAGCCTGCTGTAAGGACTATTGCTACTTCAGTCTCTTTGTTTTCTTCTGTCGCACTGTCCTGAGTACTGACACATCCTACGCCTGAGCTACGTCAAGACTGTTTCCTTCCCTACGATATCCCGTCAGCATTCCTTGGAGCATTGGAAGCTACAGCCACCGTCTGGATCGCTAGTCACACAGACGGCTACATACACAGATTGAACATGCCACCTACATACGCGCCCACCTTTGGCCCCGAGGATGCATCCGACGATGATAGCGAATACGAGGTCGACACTAGAAGTGAGATTGGCAGCGACGTGGTAGATGACGACAACGACGACCCGAGCCTCTCGATGGTGGCATCTAGAAGTCTGTCGGACAAGGCGCCCGACATGACAGCCAGCATGACAGCCAGCATGCTCTTGGAGCGAGAGGAAGAGCCCGAAGGCATGCTGCCCAGAGACAAGCAGCGTCGCACAACCCACTACAACTCGTCGCTCGAAAAGGCTATGAGCCACTCCGAGGCAAAGCAGTTCTACCAACGACAGCGCGCCGAGAAGCTCGACACTCCAACCATGACCAAGTCGCGCACCCTCAGCTCCCACGTCGCGCCCGAGTCCACCACCTTCTCTCCGCTTAATCCGCTCAGAGCCAGCAAGAGCAATGCCAGCCTGCAAGCGAAGGATGCCTCGTACCAATCCGCCCTGCCCATTGGCATGGCGAATGCTGCGAAGCCTCCCACCAGCGCCGAAGTTCAGACTCCTGGTCTCGGCCACTTCGATACTGCTCGCCACTCTTTCTCCCAACAGAACGATGCCCCTTCGCCCCTGATCCAAGCCGACCGCGACGCTCGCGCTCACAACCACCATCCCAACCTACCCCATGAGCAGAAGCCTTTCTTGGAGCAACAGGGCCTACATGGTGCCGGCGCAGGTGTTGGTCTGGGAAGCGGCTCTGGAGGCTTCGCCGTCGACGACTCAAAGGTCACTACCGAGCTCACTGCCATTTACAGCAACATCCAGAAGGTCTTGGATCTGAGACACAAGTACATGCGCTTGTCGCTACAGGGCGCTACAGACAACCCCAAGGATGAACCTGGCTGGACCATATACCCCCCTCATCCAGACCCTTCGTGGCAAGAGTACGAGCAGAACATGACAGAGAGTCAAGACCTCAAGACTCCGCGTAGAAGACCTCGTAAGATGGGCCAGAACATTGGTGAAGACTTCGAGCTTGACGACCTAATGCCCCTCCCTGGCCCCGGCGAGATGGCCTTCCGTCTCGACTCCAACGGCGTCTACCAAGTCTATGAGAACAACAAAGCCGCCGAGCACGACTCTCCCATTGTCCATATCCCAACCATCCGCGAGTTCTACATGGACCTTGACGCTATCTTGACCGTATCCTCGGACGGTCCCAGCAAGAGTTTCGCCTTCCGTCGTTTGCAGTACCTTGAAGGCAAATTCAACTTGTACATTTTGCTCAATGAGTACCAAGAAATTGCAGACACAAAAGCAGTACCACACAGAGACTTCTACAACGTCCGAAAGGTTGACACTCACGTACACCATTCGGCTTGTATGAACCAAAAGCATTTGCTGCGCTTCATCAAGAGTAAGATGAAGAAGAGCCCTAACGAGGTTGTCTTGTACCGCGATGGCAAGCATCTGACTCTGCGAGAGGTCTTTGAAAGTATTAACTTGACTGCTTACGATCTCTCGATTGACACACTCGACATGCACGCTCACACCGACTCGTTCCACCGCTTCGACAAGTTCAACCTCAAGTATAATCCAGTCGGAGAGTCGCGTCTGCGTACCATCTTCCTCAAGACAGACAACTACATTCATGGCAGGTACCTGGCCGAAATCACAAAAGAGGTCATAGCCGATCTCGAGGCAAGCAAGTACCAGATGGTGGAATGGCGCATCTCCGTTTATGGTCGTGACCTGGAAGAGTGGGACAAGTTGGCGGCATGGGTTGTGGACAACAAGCTGTATTCGCCTAACGTGCGGTGGTTGATTCAGATTCCTCGCCTGTACGATGTCTACAAAAACTCCAGCCTGATGGAGAACTTTGAGCAGGTCATTCAGAACGTCTTCCAGCCTCTTTTCGAAGTCACGCAAGACCCATCGTCGCATCCGAAACTGCACATTTTCTTGCAAAGAGTCATTGGCTTCGACTCAGTTGATGACGAGAGCAAGACGGAGCGTAGAATCTACCGCAAGTTTCCTCTGCCCAACGAATGGAACACTGCTCAGAACCCGCCCTACTCGTACTGGATCTACTATCTGTTCGCGAACATCTCGTCGCTCAACGTCTGGCGCAAGCAGCGTGGCTTCAACACGTTCCTGTTGAGACCTCACTGTGGTGAGGCTGGAGACACTGACCATCTTGCTGCCGCTGTTCTGTGCTGTCACAGCATCTCGCACGGTCTGCTGCTGCGCAAGGTACCTTTGCTGCAATACATTTTCTATCTTGAGCAGATCGGCGTCGCAATGTCGCCCTTGTCCAACAATGCCCTGTTCCTCGCTTACGAGCGCAACCCTTTCCTGTTATACTTCCGTCGCGGTCTGAATGTCTCTCTTTCTACCGACGATCCCCTACAATTCGCCTTTACGAAGGAACCCCTCATCGAAGAGTACGCAGTGGCTGCCCAGATCTACAAGCTCAGTGCAGTCGACATGTGCGAGCTCGCAAAGCACTCGGTGCTTCAAAGCGGATTCGAGCATTCGGTCAAACAACGCTGGCTTGGTCACAACTACCATCTTGCTGGGGTTGCTGGAAACAACATGGCAAAGGTCAACGTGCCAAACATCCGCGAGGCCTTCCGTCATGAGACTTGGTTGCAAGAACTTGCCATGTATGCTAATCTTCCTAACGGCAGAAGGTCACCCACATTTACTGATTTCCCGCTCTAGGATTGACCGCTATACCGCAGCAAGCGACCCGTCGCGCAAACTGTCTATGTCAAATCTCAAGCCTAATCACCCCTTCTCCGCCAACCTTACCGCACCTGGTTCGCCTACAGCCCATTCGATGCAGACCAACCCTTCAGCCACGAACCCTCTCAACCACTCCGAGTACTTCCAGACCAGAAATACGCATAATGGAAACTTCCAGCTGCCTGCCCCGGCTGCCCACCACCACTATGTTCCCAACGCTCAAGCTGCCCGCATCTCTCAGTCCCCTAGCATGGTCAGTCTGCCGGGCCACAAGCACACGCGTTCATCCAGCATGGTTGGTCACGGGTCACCCGCTGGTGCACCCGCACCGACCGCCATCCCACCGGACATGGCACCCATGCCCATGTCCTCGCTGGACGCTTCCGAGCCTCGCCTATTCCCCGGAATTGTGAGTAAAAGTCGCAAGGGCAGTATGGTGACCAGCAGATCTGGCGTCGATGTCAGCAGTGAGGAGAACAACGTCCCTGTCCCTGACTCTATGACACAGAGTCTGCCTGCTATCGCGCTTGGTAGACCCAGACCCAGCGACGAGAGCGCGGCGATTGCAGAGGACGAGGATGAAGTCGGCGAGACCGCTTGAGGGCTTTGCTTACGAGTCGATATTGGGTTTATGCATTGTCATGCTGCGCAATCGGGTGACAGATTGCGCTTGTCATGAGTTTCTGGTGTATGGTTGGCTACACGGTTGCGTGGAATAAGGTTCACTCACTACAATGGGTGGCTATTGAATGAAGAATGACCAGGCGTGTCTGAACGAAGCACGATGAGAAGATAGAAGATAATCAATAAACATCATTACTATCGTAACAGCTTCTGTCTTCAATCGATCCTGAAATATACCACTCAACATAGAGCCTTCCTTCCAAGCGCTTAGAAGCTGTGCTGAGCGATGGTAATCTTGTCGACCTTGAAAGTCTTGTTGTCTTTGGTGACGAGACTACCAGTAGCTCCGTTCTTGACCAAAGTAGCAGCGAAGTGAGGGTCTGCAGCAGCGAGAACAACAGTAGTGTTGACATACGAGTGCTCATACACAACACCTTTGAACTGATCTTGAGCCTCCTCGGCTGTTCCAAATCCAATAGCCTTGCCGGACTTGGTCGATAGAGTGGAGACAACCTTGCCGTCGACACTGACGGTTTGGGCGGTGATACCTGTTGCTTGATCATACTTGTCTGTGTTGCTTGCTTAGCAGTTGTCAATGTGCAAGGGAGAAGGGGTTACTTGCAATGAATCTTAGCACCCTGGTTCGAGTTGATGGGGAAGGTGGCGCCTTGGAGTTGTGTGCCACTTTGCAGTGCACTGGCGAAGACACACCATTGACCACTCACATGTGGTTTACCACCACAGTTTTGGCCTTGGGCATCGGTAGAGCCCAGAACGATCGCTTGGATGAGCTGGCCCTGATCAGTGCCCATGCCGGGCCAGAGGGCTAGACGAGGTGTATCGCCGCTTTGGGTCTTGCCAGGGTAGAGAGTGGTTTCTGCTTCAATGATGTAGGAGGTTGTAGCGCCGAGGGAAAAGGCATTGCCGAAGCGGACGTTGTCTTGGGCAACAACGCCAGTTACTGTGGCAGCAAGGGCACCGAGAAGGAAGGCATGGTTGACCATTGTGGACGCTGGTGGTTTGAAATGGTGCAGGATAGCACGGTGGTAATAGAAGCCAAAGGCAAGAACGAGAAAGTTGTAGGGGCAAGTGTTTGGATGACCAGAGGCAGGAACGAAGGGTATATATGAACATTCTCGTACTGTGAGCCCTGTAGTAGGGTCAGAGGAATCCATAACTACGAAACATCCGATGGTCGCAGTAAGCAGAGACCTTGTATAGGGCATCGTATAACCTGAAACACGTCGCTTCGGGAGGCGAGAGAACAAGTCTCGTCAGGCGCAGATCCAAATGCTTGGTCCGCCAGTCAGAAGCAACCCTTCTGGCAGGCGCAGCTGTATGACAATATTCGACATCGTATTACCCCTCTATTTGATCTAACAGCGTGGTGCCAACAGACGTCTGGTTATAGACCGCAGCTGCAACTGACTGTTATTGCGAGTTTTCGCATGATCCGTCTATGCAATAAAGCGAACATCCTCGCTGGCCATCAGATGTGGTTGGAGTCTGTATACCCAGCTGTCAGAATATGCAAAGCAGTCGTATCAGTTCACGGACATCGATGTGGACTGATGAGACGCTGAGGGTACGGAGTCGATGAGTGCAATCCAAATTCTTCTCTGGACCTCCAGCACTATTGACCACTATGCCTTGGAGACTGGACAGAGGCCTTGTTCATGACTGCCCGAATGGGGTAGGTGCGAATGCAGCATGCCCGAAGTTCATCCAGGCCTCGGCTTCTTTTTCACTCCTGTTCTCTCGTTGTCCTGGCAGCCACTATGCCTACTTCCAGCAACGTGGACCTTCTCTCGATTTCATATGTGATAGCGGTTGTGATCGTGAGACAGTCGCATAGATCATTGTGACTGCGTCGGCATACGACGGATTGTCAGAATCGACCAAACGCCGACGGCATTTGACGGAAGATTGACGATCTGGCATCAACAGCGGGGTCGTTGTTGCCGGCTACGTGTGCCGTTGTCATGTTTGCGAGCGAGCAAGCAGAGCTGCTCTGGGATTAGAAGGTATCACCCGGCTATCGACGGTGACTCTCGCCCTAACCTCATGTGCCCAGTATCAAACGTGAGTTGCTTTAAGACTAACAAGTAAGACGACCTGCAAGAGGAAGTGCATCGAAATCAATCCAAACCATCCAACGATATACGCAAAATGCACACCACAAACGACTTCCCTCCTGTCGAGGTCGACAATGAGATCAAGGGAAGACTAGCCTTGATAACCGGAGCTTCTGGTGGTATCGGAGCTGCATGTGCACGACAACTCGCAGCTCAGGGCGTGCATCTTGCTCTCACTTACTCGTCAAACCTCAAGTCTTGCCAAAGACTAGCCGATGAGCTCGCGGGCATTCCCGAGAACAAGGATCTCAAGATCACCATTCACAAAGCAGATTTGGCATCGATCGAAGAGACAACAGCTCTGTGCCCAGACGTCGTTAAGCAACATGGGCGAGCAATTGACATTCTCGTGTCCAACGCTGGATATGGTGTCAGAATCCAGAATGTGTGGGAGATTCCTCTGGAAGAATTCGAGCACACACTCAACGTCAACCTCAGGGCAACATTCTTGCTTGTAAAGGGTGTTGTCGAAGGCATGAGAGATCAGAAGTGGGGTAGAATCATTTTCATCTCCAGTATTGCAGCTTATGGTGCTGGTATCAACGGATGTCGTAAGTTGAGCTCATTTTCGGCAAGACTTGTATTGTCTAACTGATCACTCCAGATTATGCTGCTTCCAAGGGTGGACTGCAATCTATGATGAAGAACCTCTCATCTCGCCTCGCACCTTACAATATCTCAGTCAACGATGTCAGCCCTGCAATGGTAGGAAGCACTGGTCTTTTGCCTTCTGCCGACAGTGTTCCCGGACTTGTCGACAACATTCCACTTCACCGCCTTTGCGCTCCGGAGGAGGTATGTCAAACCATTCCAATTCGTTGCTGGCGAAGATCGATGCTAAATTGAAGCCTTCAGGTTGCAAATGTTGTGTCCATGTTTGCAAAGACTGGGTTTGCTACTGTAAGTGCACATTTCTGCCCATGTCATGATCACATCGATACTCACACCTTTTTTAGGGTCAATCTCTTATCGTTGGCGGTGGTCTACGATAAAGAATGCGGTAGTATCTTGGCATATCAAGGCGTTTGTACTGCTTTTCTCACAATTTCAATGTAGTGTTCATGATAAGACAGTCTGGTTCCTCGAAACATTATCGCGATACTCTCATGTGCTTTGCTATGCTATGTCAAAAGGTCAAAAGGGAGTGATGAGTAAGGTTCAGCGGAGCATGGCGGATCATATACGTTCAACATGCTGTAATCTAGTGGGCAAACAACATGCTGTAATCTAGTGGGCAAACAACATGCTGTCACCGCCTTGCACAATCATAGACAGCACAATATTCGTTGATCACGCATACGAGCAAGGGGATTGGGAGCCGGACCTGGATAACAGATCATTGGTATGTGGTTCCTCAAGGCTTGTCACAATCAATGCCCATACCTTCCAACAGAGCCCCTCGGACCGATCGCGCTATCTTTGCCACCCAGAACTTGGTTTCGTTCAGCAAGAATAGTTCCCCACTGCGGCCAAAGCAGAAATTCGCGACACCACCGGGTACTAGAATCTTGCCGATCAAGGTACCGCCGGCATTCCAGACGTTGAGACCATCACCACATCCCGAATACACGTTGCCGACTGTATCGCACTTGATGCCGTCTGGGATCTGCGTGTCTGCCATGGCAAAGAGCCGGCGATTGGCCAGAAAGTCCGCCCCTGAACGGCGAATCACATCGAACGCATAGCTGCCGAGCTGTCATTAGCATACTTGGCTTCCTGGGGCCTGATCCAAACTCACATAGTAGAGGCGCGGGTATCGTCTGTGGTCCCGTCGCCGTGAACCCAATCTGTGTCGGTAACATAGAGTGTCTGTTCGTCCGGCGAGAAACACAAGCCGTTCGGCCGTCCGAAACCGTCGGCGACTGCCCTGACGCTCCCGGTCGCGGGCTCGAATCGGTAAAGTTGGTTTGGCAACTGCGGCTTTGGGCAGAAGCCTTGCTCAGAGCCGTAAATCGGGTCGGTAAACCAGATCGACCCGTCCGACTTGATCACGACATCATTGACAGAGTTGAACCTTCGCCCATGATAGCTGTTCACGAGCATCTGGGCTTTGTAAGGGGCATCGGGTTCCATGGAGACGAGACCACCTTTGGACGAATGATCTCCTTGATCGCAGAAAAGTATGCCGTTTTGGTAGTTGATGCCTCCGTTGGCCATGACTATGTCGGTCTCGATCCTTTCTTTCGTCCAGGTGCTGGCATTCTCTCTTCTCAGCTTGTGGATCATGATTGAACCGCCATCGTTCTGGTTTGATTTGCACCTGTTGCTGGTGACAAATAACGAGTCTTGGTTGGGGAGGTATACAGCAGCTTCATGGGCAAATGGAAAATCGTCTTCCAGCACACAGTCCAGACTTGGAGAAGTGCCGACGATTGCTTTGAATGAGCTGTCGTAGATGAGAAATCCGTGGCCAATAGCAGATGCTAGGTCACGTTGTCTCTGAAAAGCTTTCTCAGAGGGAGACAGTTCCTGTCCATTGTCAGCATAAGCACAAGGCTTCAAACGACCAAACGTTATACCTTCAGTAGCATATGGCTTGCCATGTCTCTGGTTACTGCTTAAAGCGCTTGGTAGTCGCAGTCTGATTTATCTTTGCTGCCCCTTTGGAATTGGCAAATATGTTGGTAGCTTCAACGCAAGTGCCGATACTGAGGACAGTCGGCGTCTGCTATAAGGTCGACTCGATCGATCTGTCACTGTAAGGAAGCTTCTTCGTTCACGCAATTTGTCTGAGGTCTGCTGACGACCACGATATTGAGAATGGACACAAATAGGCGACGGAATCTGACGGCATTCGATGGGCTAAGGACACAGAGGCCGTCAGATTATGGGTTCACGCAAAGAAACACATCAAACTATATCGGCGAATGACGGTCGGGTGTTGGTAGAGGTGATCAGGTGTGTTGGAGCTCAGCTTCTAGACTCTCGGCTTCTGGCGGAAAGTGACGGTTTGACATCTCGAACATACGAGCCCAACGGTGGAAGGTACGAGGCAAAACCTTGCTCACCTCACGACCCCAGGTCGTCTTTCCCCAGACCACCCCCGTACCACGCGTTACAATTGCGAGGCCCCGCATGCGCTCGACCGGATACCAAAAGAGCCTCACTGATTAGAGTGGCGTCGGTCTTTGATCTACTCTATATAGTCTGCGTTGCTCGACTCCGAATTTCTGCTCAGAGCTTCAAGATCGACAAACTCAACAATTCTCCAACATGGCCATCCAACTCGAGGGCAACACCCTTCTCTACACAGTCACCACACTGACATGTCTTGGTTTCCTTCTCATCGGCTTCGACAATGGTCTGATGGGCGGCTTCATTAACAGTCCCGCCTTTCTCGACACGTTTGGTATAGACCACAAGTCAAAGAGTGGAACCAACATGATTGCACTGATCGTGTCCATCTACGAAATCGGATGTTTCATCGGAGCTGTCACTACCAGTTTTATCGGTGAATCGCTGGGTAGACGCAAGTCTGTTTTGATCGGTGTCATCATCATGATTGTTGGCGCCCTCCTGCAATCTACTGCTTATCATGTCGCCCACATGATCGTTGCAAGAATTGTCAGTGGAATTGGCATGGGCTTCATCAACTCGACCGTACCAGTCTTGCAAGCCGAGTTCTCGCCCAAGGCAACTCGTGGCAGATATGTCTGCGCTCAGTTGTCCACGCTCAACTTTGGTGTAAGTTGAATCCCATCTCCCGCTGTACTTGGCCCTAACCCCGTTTCCATGTAGATCTGCATGGTATATTGGATAGATTACGCCTTCTCAACTCTAGAGAACGGTGTGAGAACAAGCTACATCTGGCGCGTACCCACCATCCTGCAATGCATCTTCCTGATCCCCATGATCTTCATCGTCTGGATTATTCCAGAGACGCCTCGCTGGCTCGCCGCTAGAGACCGCAACGAGGAAGCTCTCGAGGTCTTGACTCGTCTGAACAAGAACAAGATGAGCCACGAGGAAATCCAGAGCATCCACAGCGATATTGTCCGCACTGTTGCCATCGAGAAGTCGATCGGTGCCGGTACTTGGGGCGATCTTCTCAAGAACGACAGCATCCAGAGCAGACGCAGATTCCTCATTGCTTGCAGCATTCAGGCTTTCCAACAGCTTGGAGGTATCAACGCGCTGGTTTACTACTCTGGCACTCTGTTCCAGGACAGCTTGGGCTTTGATGCACACCTCTCTGGTCTCATGTCTGGATTCTTGAACACTTGGTTCTTCTTGGCTTCTTTCATCCCTTGGTTCCTGATCGACAGAGTTGGCCGTCGTCCTCTCCTGTTGTCCATGGTCAGCTTGATGGCAGCCGTCATGGCTGTTCAAGCAGCCCTCGTCTACAACACACAACACGCAACATCCATCGCCCGTAAGTGTTTACCCATACCTGTTTATTGAAACTGCAGTCTGACATGACCACTAGATGGCGCTGGTATCGGTGCCGCAGCTATGCTCTTCATCTTCCAAGGTGCATTCACCGTTGGCTTCCAAGCCACCGTCTGGGTCTACCCTTCCGAAATTCTCCCTCTCCGTCTTCGCCAGAGAGGATCTTCCATCTCGACCGGCACAAACTGGATCATGAACTTCCTGATCGTCTATATCACTCCTCCCGCCATCCAAAACATCAAGTGGAGAACCTACATCATCTTCGCCGTCTTAAACGCAACCTGGGTGCCCATCATGTACCTCTTCTACCCTGGTAAGTCTTCGTTGCAATCTTGCATGTTTATGACAGCTGCTAACGTTTCTTCACAGAAACCAAGGGACTTGCTCTTGAGGATGTCGACAGACTGTTCACCAAGCCCGGCTTCGAGGAGGGATTTGACGCCGCAATGGATGAGAAGGCTGTCACGTACCACACTGACAGGCTCGAGAAGGTCTAAGGGTTGGCGTTGCGATCAAGAAATGTGCGGCGTACCATGTGGTCAGCAAACCAATTTGTATGAATGAATTATGTCATTTTATCTTTACGAATCTGTAACTTCATAAAAAATGGAGAGATGAGCTTGTGCATTTGGTCAACCAGGAAGCAGCGTAAATCAGCAGTTACAGGTGAGCTTTATCGTCAGAGTCAGGGTGGTAGAACCAGTCATGGTTCCAGTAGCAGCGATCGAGAAGAATATGATGTACAGTATCTTATGCTTCCAACCATCATGAAGGAGCCCGTTCTATTATTCAAGCAGAATGTTCCTCATGATCATGCAACCTTCTTCTTGGCGGCCTCTTCCTTCTCCCTCTTTCTGGCCAAGAATCTTTCCCTCGCCGAGCTGATGTCCGTATCCGTTTTCTTGCTCTTGCTGGCCTTCTCGAGCCTCTCCTGTTCCTCTTTGTCCGCTTCTAGAGCCCTCTTCCTGCTTTCCTCCAATTGCTGCTCCATCATTCTCGTTTGTCGCTCTCTCACGCCATTGTCGCGTTTCTTGTTCCATTGCGCCGAGTCGTCCTGTTTTTGAGCCGTGGCAGAAGGTTTCGGCGGAGCAGCGGGAGAGGCCAGGATGTTGAGACCAGCGGTAAGCAACTGGCGTTTGTCCGCGACTTGACCTTCGTCGTTGAGAGTAATGTTGACGCCCTTTGCAGCCAATTCTGCCACACGGTCCTTTTCTTGTTTTGTGTCTGGGTCATCTGCAATGTCGTCGCCGGCGAGTTTCCGCTTTTCCATCTCGGCGGCTGCCTCGAGGGCTTCTTGGTGCCTTCGATCGCTATCGGCCATGACGTTGCGGTAGAAACCTTGCATACCTCCACCCATCTTTCTTTTTCTTTCTTCCTCGACGGCAGCTTTCTTTTCTTCCTCCTCGCGCAACCGTTGGTTCTCCTCCTGTTGTGCTTTGTAGGCTCCCGTTACGAAGGTCTCCTTGTCTGCAAACTCTTCGCCTTCGTTCTCACGTTCCTTTTGCAGGAACTTTTCGCGAGCGACTTGCTGATCCTGCTTGCGTTGTGCGGCTGCCGTGAGAAGGGCGTTCATGTATTTCGGCCCTTGGTTCACGGATTGTTGCTTTGCTGCGGCTTTCCGGACAGAGGCGGCCGAGGTAGCGGCAGAGTGAAAAGAGTCGTAGTCGTAGATGGTAGGATCCAGTTCAGTGGCTTGAGCAGCATAAGCAGCGCTTTCGCGCTGAGCCGAGAGGTCGCTAAACTCGTCGAGGTTCCCGGCTTGAGGCTTCCTTGTTGGAGGCTTGCCAGGGGCGGAAGTAGATTCTGGCTTGTTGAGAGGCTTCTTGGTAGGTGGAGGTTGAGCAGAGGGTCGTGATGGCTTCGAGGCATTGAACTCGGTGAGCTCCTCTTCAAACACGGTTGCCTTGGGAACTGCTGCGGCCGGAGTATCGTCGTCCGAGTCATCGCCTAGCACGTTGGTTGCGACTGGCCGTCTCTTGGATTTCGGAGGTGAGGCTGACGCCTTGGCCTTGGTGTTGAGGCCGAATGAGAGCGACATGGCCGCGAGTGATAGAATTCTATGAGGAGAGTGATTGTGATGGGTTTGGTGCGTGCGTGATGCAGCGGGCGAGTGTTGAGACTTCACATGGTGATGGCTGAAGGTCGAAGAATTGCGCAAAGTCGACAAGAAAGCAGTTCGAATGGTCTGTGCGGTCTTGATGGAGGTGCATACCTACCTACTTACACCTGTTGTCCTTGTCCCGAGATCTTGCGCCGTCCGGCTAAGGTACTCTGATCATACGGCCACGAGGTTATGGCACAAGTTCCGAGGAGAAAGCTATAATCACATAGCGACAGGGCAGAATCATGGCTTTGTTTGAATGCTGCCCGTAAACTTCGGTGGTCAACCCGAATGGATATTTGTCATTGCTCATGATGTCACAATTGCAGGCCCCGCATCGACAAGCTCCTCAGTTTTGTGATGGCCGGCGGGCAGACGGATCCAGAGAGCTTGAATATCTGTCCTGCACCACTCTGCCACTTCTGTTCAGTTCAGAATCATAACCAAATACACCAAATCAAGCCAATTGCACAGTCCACAATGTCTACCGGTGTTGGAATGTCATCGTGCTGCTTGACTGGCAAGGTCCAGGAAGGCACACCAAAGGGCCATGTTGAGACCATTGCTGGCCTTCAAACCTACGTTGCCGAGCCCAAGGAAGCCGACAAGTCCAAGACTATCATCTTCCTCGTTGACAGCAAGTCACCACCTACGACCCTCGCACTCTCAGACACTAACATGATCCAGTCTTCGGATGGGAGTTCAAAAACACTCGTCTGCTCGCCGACCAGTATGCCGCCAACGGCTTCACTGCATACATCCCCGATGTCCACGAGGGCGACTCACTCGACATCGACTTCCTTCAGACGGTTGAGCCCCAAAAGTCGGAGCGCGACTCTCGCTCTCTAACAGAGAAGGCGGCTGCCACAGCAAAGACGGGCGCAACTCTCGGTCCCTGGCTGCTCAAGCACCGCGAAAGTGTCGCTCGCCCCTTGATCGAGAGCTTCATCAAGCAAGTTCGCATGATCCCCGGAACAAACAAGGTCGGTGCCATTGGCTTCTGCTGGGGCGGCAGATATGCCATCCTGGCCGGAGACAAGGACTTCAGCGGTGCCGAGGGTATGGGGGTTGACGCCGTATACGCCTGCCACCCTTCGCTCGTTGCTATCCCTGGCGACTTTGAAGGGCTCGCCGTCCCTGCGTCATTTGCGCTCGGCGATTCTGACAGCTTGCTTGGAAACAAGGAAGTCGACCAAATCAAGGAGCTCATGGCCAAGAAGAAGAGCGAGGGTATCGACACCGAAGTGCGTGTCTACGAGGACCAGGTCCATGGATTCGCACTGCGTGGAGATTGGAACTCGGAGAAGGACAAGAAGGCCATGGATCAATCGTGCAAGCAGGGAATTGACTTTTTCAACAAGCACCTGTCATAAGGCAACTGTGTGGGGTATCTTTGTAATCTAGACGAATGGGACGAAAGTCGTGCGCTCAAGCCGAAGCTGTAGCCTTTTGGTTATGCTGATCGTGCTGGTCGAATTTTTGTTGGAGTGGAGCAGCAGAGTCGAGGAACTTTTCAATCTCCTTGTCCAGAGCGGCCAGTTCGTCCTTCTTCTTGTTGTTGTCGTTGATCAGGCTTTGCTTCTTCTTGAGTAGTCCCTGGCGTTGCTCTTCAAGGGTTTGACGTTCGGCGTGTTCGTGGTTGATGCGAGCGACCATAAGGTCGTGTTCGTCTGCTTCGGCGAGCTCAGGGTTGGCAGCGAGGATCTCATCGACGGGGACTAGAGGTAGAGACTGGTACTTGTGACTGTGGAGGTGTTAGATGTGGCTAAAGCAGGCCATGTGGGAGATGACAACGCACTTGTAGCCCTGGCAGGCGGCAATATCACCGATGAGATGGCGCTGTTCGTAGTACAGGTTCTGCAGGTGGAGGTGCAGCGAGTCGATTTCGGACTTTGCTTCCTGAGTTTGCTGTTTGGTGTTGCGGGTTTCGAGAAGAGCGCGGCGGTTGAGACCGCGCAACTTGGCCAGGTTGGAGTGAAGGAGCTTCTGCTGGCGACTGAGCTGCATTTCGGCATCTGGGTCAGGCTGGGCGGCGCGGTTCTGGTCGATAAAGTCGAGCATGTGCAGACATTGTTGGCGAGCGTCGGCGGCAGCTTGCAAGACAGATTGGAGGAAGGCGTCGGTCACGAATGCGCCAGCGTCCATGGGTGATTGGTCGGGCATGATAAATGACTGGTACGCGTGTGGTGGATTGTGGATAGTGATTCGCGAAGCAGAGGGTCGCAAGTCGGATGGTCACATGAAGAAAGACAGGGTCGCTAGTCGGAGATGGTTCGCTTGAGCACGTGCAGCCAGCCCTGCACTGAATCGATTGCCTAACTCCCAAGCGTCTGAGCTTTCGTATCCGGCACCAGCCAAGCGACTATTCCATCAAACTCAATTGGCGCTGCATCTTCTGAACTCTTCCACAGAGAGATGCGTGGTTTCAAGAAACATTTTGAACGTGGTACCCACAAAGAGGCGACCACTTCAGAGACACAACAATCCACTGATGACGAGTAGCTTATCTACCTGAAAAGCAGAGCCTAAGGCCAGCAAGCAGGCACTCGGTACGAATAGGCCCAGCGTTGATTAGCAATACCAAATACTGTTTGGGAAGGTGGGACAAAGCCAAGGCCGTCGTCACTCTGTCAGCCATCTCCATCCGTGCCGCTCACGTCGCCCTCTCCACCTACGTGGGCCTCTACTTTGGCTCTGATGCCGTATGCCTCTTTTTTTCTTGCATGGGTCCAAGTACATACAGAACCTGTCCCTCCTCTCACTTTCTCCTCCATGCATCCATTCCCCATCTTTCATCCCACCTCATGCCCACCCGTCTCCGTTTGCCACGCTTGACTCTTTGACATTTCATTTCTTGCCCCCAACTCGGTTGCCCCGGCGAAACTCTGATTGCACCTGAATCGCCCGCCAAAGATCAAGATCACCAACCACAATCTCTTCCTCCTCTCTTGACACTGCAGTACCAAGCACAACATCTTTCGCTTTCTTCGTAGCAATACCAACAACACTCTGCTTTGACTCCTGCTCTGCCCCAACGCCCATCAACAATGGCTACGGCCACTTGCACCACGACCATGACTGACTCACACGAGGAGCCCTCATGCGTTCGCCCTCGCCTTCGCGTTAGGGACGGTCTTAAGAAGCGCCGCCATTCCTCCTATGTCCCTCAGTCCTGGTCAGCCGATACCGACGACGTTCAGTTACTGGTCGACAGGTTCCTCAAAGAACTAGGCCAACGCCTGGAATTCCTAGACTCCTATGGCCACCTCAAATTCGACTCTGGAATTGATCGCGCATACAGCACTCTCCACGCTGTCCACGAGTCTTGTAGTTGTGTGTCGGACGAGGTCATCGATGCAGGAAGACGTCGCGCCAAGATCATCGTCAACCTGCTGGATGAGCGATATCGGGATGCATTGGCAAAGAAAGAGACGCTGGAACACAAAGTCCGCGAGGGCGTTCGCTTGATGGAGAAGATTCTGGTTGACTTTGAGACTCGCGCTTATGCCATGCGTGATGCTGGATTGGGCGCAGTCGCCTCGGATCTCATGGACTCTGGCCGAAGGAAGATGGACGAAGGTATGCAAGTCGCTACTGAACTTGTGGATGAGGGTATCGACAAGGCTCGCCGCGCAAAGGAGGCTGTCAAGGATGCTGTCAAGGCCAAGATCGACGAGGCCGTCAAACGCGCAAAAGAGCAAGGCCTCATTACCTATCACGACCTGCCGGACCCGTGGAGAATCAACCCGCATATCACTCGTGGCTACCGCTTCTGCGAGACCAAGGTCGACTGTCTGCGCTCCTGTCTGTCTTTCTCCAACGAGACGGTCAACATCTATTCTCACTTCCTAGGTCTGCTGGTTGTTCTCTCCATCGCCTTTTACTTCTACCCTACCTCGGCTCATTTCTCCATGTCAACAAAGTCGGACATCTTCATTGCTGCTGTCTTCTTCTTTGCTGCCTCAAAGTGTCTAGTCTGCAGTACTGTTTGGCACACCATGAACTCCATCTCCAACCAGACTCTGCTGGAGAGATTTGCTTGCATCGACTACACTGGAATCTCTTTGTTGGTCGCCGCGTCCATCATGACTACAGAATACACGGCCTTCTACTGTGAACCTGTCAGTCGTTGGATCTACATGTCTTTGACAGCTGCACTGGGTGTCGGAGGCGTCATCCTGCCCTGGCATCCAACCTTCAACCGTAACGATCTCGCATGGGCCCGCGTCGCCTTCTATGTGACTCTTGCCGGTACTGGTGGCTTACCTGTGATTCAGCTTGTCTACACTCGCGGTGCGAGCTGGGCAGCGTACTTCTACGCTCCCATCTTCAAGAGCTTGTTTGTCTACTTCACTGGCGCACTGCTCTACGCTGCCAAGATTCCCGAGCGCTTCGCTCCAGGCTTCTTCGACTACTTTGGTGGCAGCCACAACATTTGGCATTTCGCTGTGCTGGGCGGTATCTTATTCCACTACAGCGCTATGCAAAGCTTCTTTGCAGACGCTTTCCGTCGCGCAGAGAATCAGTGCACCATTTACTAGATCGCATTTTTCCTTTGTCACAACTTACATCTCCGCTTCTCTTATTGAGGGCTCTTGCGCAAGTGTTGACAAGATGTCCCTGTTTATGCGTTTGTCTTCTTTTAGCCCTTCTTTACCTGGCACGTCTTCACCTTCGCTTCTAACCTATATTTCTACAAACGAGCGTCCATATGATTTTGTAAATACGAAGAACAATGAGAAACCACTGTTATCAAATATTTGTATCAGATAGTCCAGTAATTTCTGATTGATATAAATTAGACTTCAAGCCGTAGCAGCATGGGCTCCGAGAACGCGTTCACCGCAAGACAAAGATATAGTTAAAATCTGCTCGTTCCCACTCAGATTCTTTGGGAGCAACAGCATGAGTTCAAGTCAAGATAACAAAAAAGCTGGGTGACATCGCCAAAGAACTTCAAATTCTGCGACCAATTCTCAGCAACCACAATCTCCTTCAAAATAGCGCTCTCTACTTAAGATCAACACATATTTCTCGCAAAATTCACCCATGGGTCCAAAATTATTATCCGTGGATTCCACCAGAATTCCAGGCTTCCCTGGCGCGCCCATCCATCTGGACAGAGCACCACTTCGAATAATTGACGATGCAGACGCGAATTTCGACAAGGACACCGACACCAACGATCTGACCACCGCCATTGGCATCACAAACGTGCTGTACCGCTGGTGTCCCTTCGCGCTGCACGCCTTCCTCGACATCGATGCCTGGTTCTCCTTCACATGGACCCTGACCATCCAGGACGAGATGAAGATCGAAATCGGACGCGTGGAAAACCAAATCACCATCGGTACACTGGACGCAGCAGGTGAAAAGTGGACGTTGATGTTGACGTTCAACATCACCACCGAAGGACCACAGAGGGGAGCTTGGGTGCCCAATCCTGGTGAAAGCATGCTCGGCGACAACGACCTCACTGACCCTGCACAAATCGACAGACTGGGCAGAGAATTTGTGAGGGATCTGTGTCTTAAAGAGCGTTGGACGACGGGCAAGAAAATGCAGCATCAGTTGTTTGTCGAGTATGCACTCATGGATCCCTTCAGCGATGGCATCCCTATGAACCCACACTGGCTCTACAAATCTCTGGACCTCAGTCTCTGCACCAAATGTGGCATCCACAAAGATGCCAAGTCCTTGCAACGTTGTGGTAGATGTGGTACAGCAGCTTATTGCTGTCCTTCACACCAAAAACAAGATTGGCCTGTGCATAAAAGCATCTGCAATATGAGTTTGGAAGACAGAGGCCAGATGTTGAAGATTTCTCAGAACGATGGGTTGATTGGATGGGATTTGTCAAAGACGGTGTTTGATGAGGATGAAGACGACGAGGAGACTTTGTGCAAGAATCCTAACTTTGTGACGCCGCAGTTGAAGAGGGCACGTCAGACGAATGCAAAGATCAGTACTATGTAAGGAAAGATTGTATCGTAGAGCTTGGAAATGACTGGTGAGATGGACTATGCTACGCTTAAGCCACACGAAGAGTGCTGGACATTGATTGTGATTTCACACCGACCGCTAATTGACAAGGCATCAAAACCAGGGTATTCCCTAGAAACAACGCGAGAAGCGCAGCTCGCAAGAAGTCCTTACTAGCTGTATGTGGCTAGCCCAGCCAGAAAGATCCCAGAAGGGAAGGCGTGACTACTGTGTTTGTTCTGCGGTCTTTGTTCCCATTAGTTCGTTTGTTTCTTGAAGAAATTTATGTATTGCTCGTTGTCCTTTGATGAAAAGATTCGCGAGTGATGGACATACCCCAGAAGAAATATCGGGTGGAAGATTGCCGACATGGCTGGTGCACTACGGTTAAACATGCAAGTTCGGCGCAACTCAATTTACCTGGATCTGGACAAACAGCTCACCCCACATTTGCTCGAGTTTGCTGGAAACATTCTTCCTGCAACACCAACAATGGACTTAGATACTGAGAACTGTTGTCCATGGACTTGAAGGTATCCTCAGAACTGTGGCCAATCTTGCTTTGTAAGATTGAGCTGCCTACCCTCATTTCAGTGTCGAGCGACCTCTGAGAGATGCTTCCTCCTCTACAGCAAACCATGGTTAGACGTTCTTGCAAGCATGTGTGAATAACAGTTAAACAACACGAAAGCCCGATGACTGCCTTTGCAGACACTTCTGGTCCTCGACAGAACGATGACTTGCCTCCAAGTCTACCTGCCGTACATGACACCAAGCAAACAATGCTAAAATTCGCCAGTCAGAGACTCCAACCGACGGGGATCGTACTGTTTGACCGAGCAACGCAGCTAGTGCTTGACCGACCGCCCTCACATACGAGCTTTTTCTGCCAGCCTATATCTCTGAACAAGGTGTTTGCGGGACGGCTCCGCACTACACCTTAGCAGTCTTGGAGTTGATGCTTGTTTTAGCCGCACCACGAAGATGGCTGGCCTTCCCCACCATGATCGACATGGATTGTGTTCACATCAGGCACGGCACATTTAGCCAGAAGTACTCACTCCATATCCAGGAGTACTTCCCATTGCCATGCGGGGATATCCAGGTCTGCAGGACGACTAACAACGCGCCAGGTCCAATCTGTGGTTGATTTGCCGATTCCCGACCTCGCTTCCTGCGATTCTGTCATGTGGCTGCCTCCAAGTTGTCCCATTGTATGCCTTTACCAGGTCATCCGGCTAACGATATATGCACCTAGCTAGACTTCTCCAATGCTCCGTCCCGTATCCTTCAAGGCGGGGCACCAAGAGAGTACTGTAAGTTGAGTCGAATGCTATTTTGCCATAACACCCGCACTGGTATAAAGTTCTGAGGGTAAGCCGCCATTCTACATTTTCTGTAAACCCATTCGTTTCTTGCACTACCTGAAAGGCTCAGACCCAAGATGAAGACTTCTCTCATGCTGAGCGCTTTTACGAGCGCTGTGACAGCCAATGCATGGGGCCCTCCCAAGAGTCCAGCTCCCCTGACCTTCGATGCCACAATCAAGGTCAATGCTGAGCAGAGATACCAGACTATGCTTGGTGGTGGATGCTCAGGCGCTTTTGGAGCCGCCTGTACTACCAATTCTCTCTCGGCAGCCGATCAGGACACCATTGTCAGAACACTCTTCGACGAGAACGTCGGTGGTCTTTCAATCCTCCGCAACCTGATCGGATCCTCCCCCGGCACAACCATTCTTCCTACATGCCCAGCAACTCCTGCTGGTCCATTCAATTACGTCTTCCCTACCGCCAACAACGACAGCTGCCAACTGACCTTGGCACAAAACGCACTCAAGTACAACCCAGATCTCTACGTGTACGCGGATGCTTGGTCGGCTCCAGGCTGCTTCAAGACCACTGGTCGCGAGGCTGGCGGTGGTTATATTTGCGGTGTCAGACGCTCGAACTGCACCTATGACTGGCGTGAGGCTTACGCCAACTATCTGATCGAATACGTCAGACTCTACCAGCAGCGTGGTGTCAAGGTGTCTCTGTTGGGCGCCTACAACGAGCCCGACTTCAACCCCATCACTTACTCTGCGATGTTGTCTGACGGCTACCAAGCCTACGACTTCCTAAGTGTGTTCTACCCTATGGTCAAGAAGGCTTTCCCTAGTCTGGCTGTGTCCTGCTGTGACTCAACCGGTGCCCGCCAACAGCGAAACCTTCTTTACGAACTCGGTCGCCTTGGTGGACAAAAACTTTTCGATGTCAACACCTACCACAACTACCAATCAGACGTCAAGAGACCGTTTGACGATCTGTTGGCCGGCCAGCCCACCCTCGAGACAGAATGGAGTGACGGTGGCAACACTTGGACTGGTACCTGGGACGCTGTTGGGCAGAACTTCGAAGGCTTCCAATGGTCTATCGTAAGTTTTTCTCCTACCTGTCTCACCAACCATACAGCATCACTAACCAATCTCACAGTACATGCACAATGCATTCCGCAACAATGTCGCAGGTTGGAGTCATTGGTGGTGCAGTTGGACAGCTCCCACAGATGCCTCCCTCGTCCAGGTCAACGGCACCTCTTACCAAGTCTCCGCTCGTCTTTGGGCATTTGCTGGTTACTTCCGTTTTGCACGCCCTGGTGCTGTGCGTCTGTTTGCCGACACCAGTGTTGAAGAGGTCTACGTCACTGCATGGGAGAACAAGAACGGCACTATTGCCATTCCTGTCATCAACTCTGCACACTACACGTACACACTGAATGTGCACTTGGCTGGTACAAATGTGTCCAAGGCCACTGCTTACCTGACAGACAATGAGCACAATGTCACTCAAGCTGGCCAATTCACCTTCCAGGGTGGCAGATTCACTGCTCAAATTGAGCCCAGAGCCATGAAGACCTACTTCCTGGAGGAAGCTTAGTTTCATACGAATCGGTCGGTTCTAAAATACTGGAGTCCAGTATGACAGATATCGAGAATGTTGGCTTCCTTTACGTTTCGTCAACGCAGATATAAAACAAATAGAATGTTGTCTGTTGTGAGCCATTTTCGTTTTCTAGCTTCGCAAACCACAAGTCGTCTCAGCGGACCACAGATGTAACCCTCCTGCCCGTTGATTTACAATTAATCCAACTTTGCGATGACAGCGAAAGAGCGAGTTGCATGCATATGATCGGACGAGACACTTGCAGAGTGCATTCTTGCGGACAAAACCAAAACGTACAGCAGCAGGGATTCCCACGTGGTCACCCACCGTAGTACTAATCTGCCGTTCAACTGCTTATGTATGGCAGAGCGGACGGGATGCCCAGTTTTCAGCTGACTATGGCCGTACGTGCTAAAATTGATGCCATCTGTGTTCATGACCTATCTCAATCCCCCTGGTTCCAGCTTCTTTCATAAACATCCCTCAAGCCCCACCGTCGATGATCTGATGCGAAGAACTTCTGCCTCTAGTGCATGTCTGTCAAGAATGGAAATCTCGTCTCGGCTCGGCTCAGGTAACTGTCCAACACGAGCATACTGTATGCTCCCCCCCTGTCATTATCAGAGACAGGAACTGGCTCACACATGTTGGCAAGACGGCTGGTGAATCCACGATCAAGCAGAAATCCCAGGAGCATCGCCGATCTGATCGTATGAATTTCTGCATCATCGAGATCTGGGCCAATCTCTGCTTTGAGTGTTTGCCAGAAAGTATCGTACAGTGTGTCGTAATTGGGGTATCGAGAAGCGCCGTTGCGAAGATGAAATTTGCTCATCAGGTTCTCGACTGCATAGAGATTGAGTCCGAAAGGTTCCATTTTAGCTTCAGCCCAATCAATGACACCAAGCAGGTGGCAGGTATCGGGATCAACAAGCATGTTGAAGTCACCAAAGTCCTTGTGAGCAAGCACTGTCGGTAGAGCCATGATGGATGGTAATGCTCGCAAGCAACGCCGGATCGCATCATGGAAGCGCGGCGGCAGTGCAAGGAGGAGTGAGCGAAGGTCGCGTTCATACTCTTGCTGTAGTTTTTCAAGTTGTGCCTGCTCAAAAATCTGTGGAGACTTCCACGACAGTGCGAAGAAGCTAGACACGATTACATCGAATTATAGGAATGGCTAAGACGATGCTAGGATAACTTACGTGGCAGCGTCCTTGATTAGGGTTAGGCGCGCATCGCAACTCTTTGGCGTGTCTTCGGGAAAGCCATAAGCAAGAATGAAGTCAAGACGACTGATGCCTTGCATGCGAGACATTACGTAGACGACAAGAGCCTCTCTTCCATCATCGTCGTCCTGTCCGATCTGGCCTTCTAGTGCGACCTCGGGTGCAAGTGTGCCGTAGATTTGATGTGCAAGCTCCATCGTCTTCAGTGGCAAGACCAGGGACTTCAAGCGGAATTGAATGACTGAGCCGAGTTCGGGGCCAGCGTAGACTGTATAGCTACAGGCGCCTTGTACAGGCACAAGTTGCAATCCACCATCGACGAGCTCTGTGGCGCGCAGGTCGCAAGCGCTTCGAGTCACTGTCGTCTTAGTGAAGAAGGTTGCAACGTCCTGCTCCACGTCAAAATTCTGATCGCTCATTGATGTGATATGAGGTTGGTTGGAATGCGGATTCGTTCACAAGCATATGGGGTAGGTCAGTGGAGAGTACTGATGAAGCAAATTTGGTACGATCGGAGAAGGGTGCAGAGTTGATGGCGATGCAAGGAATAAGTTGTATTGCCAAGGCCTTCATAAAGCGGTGAGGACAATCCAATCATCTGTAGGATGCATTGTCCGGGTAGCTGGCACTGCATTCGCGCGATTGTGTAGAGCGGACAAAATCGCAAGTTACGCAGCATGCTACAACACACTTATAACCGCTCACATCCATCTGTGAATGCTCAATATTTGGTAATGGCAAGGGCTTGCTCTAATGAGCATGGTACTCATGTTGATGCTGATGGCAAAGTTCATGAGCAGTGTTGACCGACGGATCGGACGTGGAACTCTTCATCTTGTGCGCACGTCTGAATAGGATTATTAGCGAGATGGTCGGTGGCCAGGTAGTCTGTGAGTCTGTTTCAAGCTGAAATAGATGGATGCCCGTTCCAATAACAGTGTTGGGATGATGTGCGAAGAGGAGCAGACGATAACATGCTTAGTCAGCCGCGGGGCGCGGTTATCACATTCATCTTCTTGACAAACCTCTAGGTTGCTATTGACCGCAAAACCAGAGACTTGACCTGTCGCCTCGCTCGTTCCTTCCTGTCGTTGAAACTGTTGTTGAAATTTCACACAGCCTTCCCTCTGAGGTATCTGTGACTGATTTGAACAAGGCAGCGGCTCACCAGACCATACTGTACATTCCCTCAAGTCTATTTCTCGTACCTGCGTCGCCTGGCTCCGCAAACACGCCGAGCTTCCTGTTTTGTCAACTCAAGTCTCTGGGAACCCTTCACTTGCGCTCAAACATCGAGTTATCAACACTGCTGCGTGGAACGAATCTCATGATTTCGTGACTCGCGAATTGCTTCCGCAATCAGACAAAGCAGTATCGCCAAGCGCGCGCGATCAAGTACAGTAGGTGTAGTTGATCTTACGAAAAAAGTGCTTGATTGGGCAAACTATCGCCCTGGCCATTTTGTATTGGCTTCTACTAAGTCAGGTCGACCAATCCTTCTAGGAACATATGTGCCCCAGTTCACCTGATTTGATACAGGAGAATCGAAGCGAGCAACTCTTGTAATTCTATAGGATGGACGGCTCGTAATATGCAGGGCAAGAGCAGTAGGTTAACGGTGGTCGCAAAGAGTAACGCTCACACTCTGCCGTAGTGTCGAAGCGTCTCAGTCCCTACCATGTCGATCTTTCAACTTTAGCTTCAATCCTTCGTAAGGATGTTCCTACAAGAGAGCGATACATCTCTGTTTGACTCTGTATCCTTCATTGCAGGGAAATAGAATATATCACTTTGGACAGTATGTTGCTTCTCCCAGTAGTGGTCGCTCTCATGAGCGCATGCCATGTGCAAGCAAAAGCAGTCTTCGCCCATTTCATGGTATGAATATGCTTGGAGGGATGTTGATATCAACGCTGACATGCCATTTAGTTGGACAATGTCGGTTCATGGACTGTGGCGAACTGGCAGAGAGACATCCGTCTAGCCCAGGACTCCCACATTGATGCTTTTGCCTTGAATTTCGCCAACAGTGGTGGCGGCTACGCCAATCAAATGGCCAATGCATTCTCGGCGGCCAACTCCCTAGGCTTCAAACTGTTCTTCTCCTTTGACTACGCAGCCCAAGGAGCATTTGCACAGCAGGAGGTGATTAACGTCATCAATCAATATGGTTCCAATGGCGCATACTACAAATACAACGGAAAGCCGTTTGTGTCGACTTTTGAAGGGCCTGGTAGCTCTGGTGATTGGAATGCAATCAAGTCTCAGACTGGATGCTTCTTCATTCCCGACTGGTCGTCGCTGGGCGCTCAAGGAGCAATTAATCGCGGCGTTGTGGACGGCCTCTTCAGTTGGGAAGCGTGGCCCACAGGCCCGAACGACATGACCACACAGCCAGACGAATCCTACAAAAGTGCTCTTGCTGGTAAACCCTACATGATGCCTGTCTCTCCGTGGTTCTTCACCAACCTACCCGGATATGGTAAGAACTGGTTGTGGCGAGGTGACGATCTCTGGTTTGACCGCTGGAATCAGGTCATGACCATTCAACCAGACTTCGTCGAGATCTTGACCTGGAACGATTGGGGAGAGTCACATTACATTGCCCCTCTTGATCCTAGCCAATACGGGTTGTTCAACTCAAACAACGGCAAAGCGCCTTACAACTACGCTGATAACATGCCTCACGATGGCTGGCGACAATTCCTCCCCTACGTCATCGATATGTACAAGAACGGCAAGGCTTCCATCTCAGCTGAAGGTCTTGTCGCATGGTACAGAAACGCTCCAGGTTCTGCATGCTCTGATGGAGGCACCACTGGTAACTCGGCGAGCCAGGGCCAGCAAACATACCCGCCAGCCCAGGTCGCGCAAGACAAGGTCTTCTTCTCTGCACTGCTTACATCTTATGCCGACGTGACTGTGACCATCGGCAGCACAACCCAAACTGGAACCTGGAGAAACACTCCTAGCGGCGGCTCTGGTATATACCATGGCAGCGTTCCATTCAACGGCCGCGGTGCTGTGACTGTCAAGATTTCTAGAAACGGCAAACTCATCATGCAAATGAACGGAGATTCCATCACAGACTCTTGTACCAACGGTATCGAGAACTGGAATGCATACGTGGGTAACGTAAGCGCTACCAGTCCTGGATCTGGCGGTGCATCCACCTCAACTTCCAGCAAGGCATCATCTACCACGATATCCAGCAAGACCTCGTCGACTCTCAAGACTTCGACCACTGCTCCTGCTTCCACGCCCAGCAGTGGCAGTGGCTCTTTCTGTATTGCTGGCACTGGCAATGGTAACCTCGCAGGTCTCTGTAGCTTCTCCTGCAACTATGGGTTCTGCCCGTCAAACGCTTGTACTTGCACCAAAAGAGGAAGTCAAGTCGCTCCTCCTGCCACCTCAAACACCCTCGGCTTCCCTGTAGCCGGTCAAGATGCCGCGCTCTACAGCGGACTGTGCGAATTCACTTGCAGTCATGGCTATTGTCCCTCGGGTGCCTGTACATCTGATCCTTCCAAAGCAGCCGACGGTGTTAGCACTTTATGTACTGGTGGTACTGGAAATGGTAATCTGGCTGGACTTTGCAGCTTCTCTTGCAACTATGGGTTCTGCCCTAGCAATGCTTGTACTTGCACACAAAGAGGTGGTCAGATCAACCCTCCCGCTGCGTCCAACACTCTAGGTTTCCCGGTTGCTGGCCAGAATGTAGCTCAGTATAGCGGTCTGTGCGAGTTCACCTGCAGTCACGGGTACTGCCCTTCGGGAGCTTGCACTTCCGATCCTTCTAAGGCAGCTTAAGGACAAGGGCTGATTCCTCAGAAGAGAATATACATGAAGATTTTCACAGCATTACAGTATGTCTATACATCGATAGATGTATAAGTAGTGGGAAAATTGTATGTTAAGCAAATGTTTTCCATGTCATCAGCATGTATTTCTTGAATACCGTCTTCTCGAAAAAGCCAGAATAGGATAAATCTAGTTCTCCATAGAAAGAAGACGCATGAGAATGATAGATCATGCTGGGGCCAAAGGGCTTCGCAAGAGATAGACCACAATTTAGAGCGCTCTGTAGACTTAAGCACCCATGTTCTGGAGCCAAAGACTACGACCACTTCAGCATCAATCCAGCGCTTCTCAATTCGTCCTCGACTCCCTGGACAGCTTTTCTTCTCTTGGCGTTGAACTTTTCCAGCAAATCCTTTTTGTCCGCGTGGAACTTCTCCAGCAAATCTGCTTCTGTCTGTTTCTGTGCTTGCTTGAGCAATGCACCTCCAAGATGGTAGTCAACAGCCTCGTTGATCTCTGGGATGAGAAGACGATGTTCTCCATGGGGGAATTCGTCACCCTCGAGGACCTCTGTCTCGATGTCTTGTAGAAGTTGGGACTCGAAGTCTGTCTGGGCGAGCAGCTTCTTCATGGCGATACTTCCGACTCCTTCCGATTTCAACATTTTTGCGATGACTTTGTCGACCTTTGTGATAATGGTTTTCTTGACCGAGGCGTCCATGTACTGGCTTGTCCTATCAAGGAAAGTCAGCAGGGACCTTGTCACGATCCGTTAGTTCGATCTTACTTGAAGGCCATGGGAGCGGCATCTCGCAGACGACGTCTCATTGTTTCGACGGCTCTTTTATGATGGCAGAGAGTCGACTTTTGAACAGAGACAACATTGTCGGTAGAGTCGTTCACAAGTCCTTTCAGCCAAGCGTGGATTCCATCAACCTCGTTCTTCAAGCTACCGAAGATCTCGACATGACCCAGTTTCTTGGACAATGGCATCAGTTCAGCGAAATTAGTGTTGCTGTGTTCTCCTTCGTCGTCGCTCGCGTATCCAGACTCGGATTCACTGCTACGGCCCTTGTGACCAGATTCCTGTGTTTGAGATAGTGCACCGCTCTGATCGAGGAGGGCTGTGTCCCTGGACCTGTCTGACATGGCTGATTCTGGCGGTTTCGTGCTGGCGATGTCATGATGGGTTGCGTGGAAGGTACGCAGAACAAATAAAATACAACCACCGACGACAGCTTGTTTTCACACCATCATCAACTTTCCGTTCGGGGTCGTGTGTTTGTTTGCTTTCACTTTTACTTCGCTTTCACTTTGGATACAGATTGCCGTACATCTTGGTATAACATCATTGAGTGTCTAGACTCTTTCAAGATGAGGCTTTCGACAACAGATGCTCGACGGCCTTGCGCAATCCAATCTTCATCACCTTTCCCGACACATTGACTGGGAACTGCTGCATGCCCAACTCCTGCAGTGTGAACACTTTGCTGATTGGGTAGTCCGAACCCAAATGCTCCACGGTCAGATCTTGCAGTCTTTGAGAAGTCGTTCCAGTCAAGTCTGACACGACTGCGATCACTTCTGATCCTAGCTCAGGATTAGGAATATCAAAGATCGATGCCTTGAACTTGTCAGTAAAATCCTTGAGGATACGAGACTCAAGTGACCTACCTGGACACCACCGAATTGAGCAAGCACATTCTCCAACAGAACTGGCGGTATCGGGATACCAAGGCGCTTCATGATGTCCTTCTTCCTTCCCACCACATACAACAGGTTCTCCTCATCGATGAATCCAGTGTCACCAGTCTTGAACCACCGTCCTTCTTTGTCCTCGTAGAAGGCATCTGCAGCCGCATTTCCGCGGTATGTGTTGATCATGACTGGACTTTGGATGTGGATGTCTCCGGACTCTCCTCTTTTCACGATATCGCCTTCGTCGTTGACAATCTTGAGGACGCTTCCGGGAAGAATCGAGCCTGATGCAACTATGCCCCTGGAGATTGGCAGAGGGTTTGGGGGTTGAGAAGAGGGCCATCCAATGGTCCAGTATCCTTCGGTCATTGCGTAGCCAGGATAGAGCTCTGTAGCTGGGAAGTATTCGGTGATCAGGTCCTGAATATCTGCTGTTGATACATCACCGCCCACAAGGGCTCTTCTCAAACTCTTGACCCTCTCCCTGGAGAACGATGGATGGGTCACCAAGACCCTGAGCATTGGTGGAATAAAGATGGCCTCCGTAATCCTTTCTTCTTCAATGACCGACAGCAGTCCTTCGGGTGTGAAACCGCTGCTGAGGTATACCATCGTGCCTCCGGCCAGCAAGCACTGACTACTCAGGGTAAGATTGATAGCTCGCGAATTTGCGAACATCATGACAAGTTTGCAGCCAGCGTAGATGGGGTTGTGATGAGACCAGCCATGGATGAGACCTCGTTCGCTACGAGAACAGCCTTTGGGCTGACCGGTTGAAGTGCCCGAGGTGTATAGGATCGCAGCCGTGCGATCGTAGTTTGCATGCTGACTACCGGAAGCAGAATCGTCCGTCGTGAGAGAAGAGTCCAAATTTGCTAATCCATACCATCCCGATACGTCTTTGGCGTTATCGAGAGCCATTCTGCAGTCGATTTCATGCTGTAGCTCTGCACAAACTTTGTCCACCGCCCGGGCCCCACTAGACTCATGGACAACCACAATGCCCGGCTGCAGAGAGCAAATGTAGTAAGTCAGTTCGTCCACTCTTGCTGGCTCGAGGGCTCTCTTATCGATAGTAACCAGCGTGACTCCAATGCGATTCGCCGCCAGCCACAGCAGAGGCCACTCGGCACATACAGGTGGGAGGAAGATTAAGAGGACAGAGTTGGGCTTGGCTCCATGCTTCTTGAACACCGAGGCGATGTTCAGAGCACCTTGGATCAATTGCGAGTACGTCCATTCCAGACCAGTGCTTGGTATATTCGGAGAGGTGCCAACTATGGAGGCTAAAAAGTCTGTTGGCTGGTCGCGCGAGATGACAGCGATATGGTCAGGCTTCTCTTTTGCGACATTGACAAAAGAGGACCAAATCGATTCTTTGATCGGACGTACAGCTCCGCCGTTCAATACTGCGTAGGATTCTTTGTCGCCGCTCATGGTTGAAGTATATCTGACTAGACGTTCAGAGGTAATAGACGCTCGATCTTAGAAAATGGTCAGGGTCTGTGGATACTTGAAAATGACAGCCTTTGGGGGAGATGAACGTGAGATGATACAGCAGACCGTCCTTGTTCGTATATATGTCCAACCTTAGTGGTATTACTTATTAAACGGACGGCTCGTTCTTCGTTGACCGATTGAAAGGCAACTCCTCATGCGTGGTGCAAATCATCCGAGTAACCGGTGAGGACGGCTGATGCGATCTTCGGAGGTGATTGCCGCAGTTTCGACCATCTAAGTTTGCATTGAAATCCTACGGTCGCACTGCTGCTGTCATTTGACTTGATCATCATCGGAGACATCACCAATCACCTCTTGGAGAAAGCATCTCACGTGCTAGCGCTGTACGGTGCCAAAGCCTACATCCTCCCACGAAGTACATCCAGTCAGCACGCAACTCAGCTATTTACAGATCGTTTGACAGCGACACAGTCATGCTCATACCTTACACCCAGTCCGGCCACATTAATCCGGAATCAGCAAACTCTACTCTCTCATCTCCAAACATCGGGCCTTCGGCTTCAGGAACATAGCCATTGTGGCAGTAATCCCACTGAACTTTGATCTGCGCCTCGTAGAACCCATCGAAACGCTCAGCCATTGCATCCTTCAAGTTTTGCACCCGACCGTCTGGATGCAAAGACTTCCAAGGTTCTCTGCAAGTTTTGCCCTTACAAGATTTCTGTGCCATCAGGAGAGCATCTAATCTCTGTACCACCTTGCCGATTGGGAACCCGAACAACGTGTACAATTTCCCACCGTCTTCAAGCAGATTATGCATCTGCCCTGGATCATTACTCATGTCGTAGAGTTCGTGCTCGTTGGTACACCAAATCTGATAGTAGAGGTTACATTCCTCTGCCACGACTCTAATGCCTTTGAACGTGTTGTTCTGATGTAATCTGCGATCGTAGATCCCTTCTCCGCCAGCGAAGCCCCAGTATTCGACTTGCACGTGTTCGCGTCTTTTCGTTTCTGCTTCTTCGATTGCTTTTTTGCTCACGGGAATGGGACTGCCGTCAAAGTCTTCACGCAACGGAATATCGAGCAGGGAGAATATCGTAGCTGCAATGTCGGTGTGGCTGGTCACGAGTTGCGTGGTCTGATTTTGAGCGACGTTTGGGCCGCGAATGATCAAGGGAACATTGATGTCCTCTTCGCAACCAGTAGATTTGCCAGGTTGCATGCGGTGATTGCCGATGTGGAAGCCGTTATCGCTGCTGTAGATGATATATGTGTTTTGGAGCAATTTATGCGAATCTAGGCGGGAAAATAAACCATCGACCATTTCGTCGACCGCTTGGAGGGCACGAAGGCGTTGACGGTGGAAGTGGTCGTTCCAATTGACGTTGGTACTATTTTGTTTTTCCAGAGAGCGAATCCAGTTTGCTCCCGAGGGGATGTCAGGGTTGAAGTTCGCCGTTCTCGGCACTTTGATGTCTTGGAACATATTTGCGTGTCTGGGTGCTGATACGGGCGCGTCAAAGGTGAGTGAGCCGCTGTTATTTTGTATGTCGGCATGAGGAGCACTTGGCGCGATCATGAGGAAGAAAGGTTGTTTTGCATCCACAGCTTCATCGAGGAGACCGTATGCCTTTTGAGCTAGCACATCTGTGACATATTCGCCTTCATAACTCTGAGGTTGATCTTGATTCCGTTGGAAGGAGCTATTCATGTAGTTGTAGGTAAACGGGTCCAGTAAGAAATCCTGAGAAGCTTGTAAGTTTTTCCATCTGCTAGGCTGATTTGGAGACTCCTACGTGGGTTGTGAAACCGGCTGGGTAAGGTGAATTGTAGTTGTCCACATTGTGAGCATTGAACAATTTGCCAGTGTAGTAAACATTGTATCCAGCCTCTTGTAGCCACACAGGAAGATATGCCGAGTTGAAGCCTTGTCTGACGAACTTGGGGTAGCCACCGTAGGGCGGGTTGACGTCTGTGATATTTGTGTTGTGGGCAGCTTTGCCTGTCATCAAAGTGACTCTGGCGGGACAGCACACGGCTGTTGTGCAATAATGCTTATCATAATAAGTACCTTTGTCAACCAAGTGTTTCTTCACCAGCGGCATGTAGTCGAGAGATGACAGACGAACATCTTGATCATCGGTCAAGATCAAAACTATGTTCGGAGGGTCTGGTCGCTGGCCAAGTACTTGCTGTTGGCCTGTGACGCCAATGACGGCGGCGCACAAAGCAGCCACTGGTGTCAACTTCATGCTGACACTTTGTGATTGAATGTGAATCAGAAGGAGAGATATGCTAGAACGATGATGAAGTCGCTAGCGCTTTGTGTAGTCAGGTACCCCGCTTCGATGATGACGGACCTTGATGGCGTGCTTGGACGGCCTGGGCGTCACATGGAGAAACTGATGTCGACATGGAAGGTTTGCGAACTGAGGTCGGTGTTGTTACAGGGCTAGTGTACATCTATTTTGGTGGCAGATTTAAATCTAGAATTTTTCGGCCTCCTCTAGGAGCTCTTCGATCTTGAAGCTGCTGTCTCCCTGGCTGAACTGCTCCATCAGCTTCCTTCGAGGACTCTGCTCGGCAGCCTTTCCGTAGAATTTTTGTAGACACATCAACAGCCATTTGGCCTCCTCGACGGTGATCTGTTTGTCCTCGATGACGGTGCCCTCGAGCAGAACGAGGCCCTTGTCGTCGGCCAGATCCAGATGGTGGGTGACGGTGGTGTGGGGCTGAGCAAACTCGCCCTTGAGCTTGAACTCGGCCAGAGCAGTGAAGAGCACGGTGCATGTGGTGGGCGAGGGGAAAGTCCACTGCAAGAAATGGATCTCGGCACCTTGACCCTCCTTGGGCAGAGGCAGAACAAATTGAGGATGTTTACGAGCAGTGCCGGCAATGTGGTGGTAGATGGGAGTGGGCACGACAGCACACAAGGAGCTGGGAGAGCTAGCGTGACGCAGCCTCCAGATGTATTCAATCTCCTTCTGAGGCAGCTCTTTTGTCTTTGCCACGTCGATAAAAGATGCTAGGGTCTTGATGCCGGCCTTCTCTTCGGCGGATGCGGATGACTTGGGCGACTGCTGTTGTTGCGACTGAGGTTGAGGTGGCGGAGGAGGTTGGAATGGAGCATTAGGTGTGGTGGGAGCGTCTACAGAAGTGTGCAGAGGGGCGTTGGCGCCAGGGACGATGGCCTGCTGTCGGAGCTCGACAATCTTGTCCTTGTAGGCCGACTTGAGCTTGTCGACATCGCCGTGGCCCTCCTGCTTGGCCTTTTGCTCGAGCTTGGCCTTGTACTTGTCGAGGACTCTCTGGTCAGGCTTCTGATGGGTAGCCAGGAAGCGAATGTCGTGAACCTGAGCCCATCGTCGCTGGGTGAGTCGGCTGGTTGGAGCGAATACCCTGGCGATGTGCCGCGTGGGTGATACTAGCGATGCCATGTTTGAACCCGGAATGCTGCTACCAGGAATTATTCTCGATGGCGACATGATTGGCTTGCTATTGATGCTATCCTTGGCGGATTACCGCTTTCGGACATGGGTAGCGCTAGCGATGCAAAAGCTGTGTACCGCGGCTCTTGCACGCTCCCCCGGGTCTTTCGTCGTCACCGTTAAGCCTCTCCGCAAAACACACACCCACGGTTGTTGTGCTCAGATGCGGGGCTGATCTTTTTGCCAGTCTGCCAGTGACGAGATGGCTCCAAGATTAAGCCACTCGCGGGTCCGAGTGCAGAATCCTGGCTGTCTGGCACATGGCTATGCCTGGCCGTCCATAATGTCTTTTCTCCTGCTTTCCAATCCGCTATCTTTCTCTCTCTTCCCTCCCTGAACCCGCCCACCTCTCCACCGCCATGCCTACCGAATCCCCATACCCCCGCATGCAAGTCCCGAACGTTGGCCTCTGGGATTTCTTATTTGAACGAAAGGACAAGCCCTATCCAGACGACCATGGTATGCTTTCCAAGCCACCCTTTGCGCCCATTGTCTAACACTCCTGCAGTCGTCTTGCAAGATGCATACACCAAACGCTCATATACCTTTGCACAAGCTCGCAATGCCGCCATTGACTTCGGCAAAGGCCTCAAGGGTGCTTGGGACTGGCAGAAGGGAGACGTAATTGCCATGTTCACCCCCAACTCCATCGACACTCCAATCGTCATGTGGGGTGCCCACTGGGCAGGAGCCACCGTCTCTCCCGCCAACCCCGGCTACAGCGCCGACGAGTTGGCTTTCCAGCTTAAGGACTCCGGCGCCCAGGCTCTCATCACTCAATGGCCTGTCATTGCCACTGCTCGGGCCGCCGCAAAGAAGGTCGGCCTACCGGAAGACCGTATCATTTTGATCGGCGACCAGAAAGACCCAGAAATGCGAGTCAAACACTTCACCTCTATCCGCAACACCGCCGGTACCAACCGCTACCGACGCACAAAGGTCGATCCCGAGAAGGATCTGGCTTTCTTGGTATACTCTAGCGGCACCACCGGTCTGCCCAAAGGTGTCATGTTGTGTCACAAGAACATTATTGCGAATACCCTCCAGGTTTCCACAGCCGAATCTCCCTTGACTCCGGCCGACAGGATCCTTGCTTTCCTTCCATTTTTCCACATCTATGGCTTGACCGTCATCTTGCACGTGAGCTTCTTCAAAGGCTGCCGAACAGTCGTCATGCCCAAGTTCGACATCGAAGACTTTTGCAAGATAACACAAGAGGAGAAGATCACTTTCAGCTATGTCGCACCCCCTGTAGTCTTGCTTCTGAGCAAGCATCCTGTTGTCGACAAGTACGACCTGAGCACGATACGCATGATGAACTCCGGAGCTGCGCCTCTGACCAAAGAGCTTGTGAACGCTGTTTACGACCGCACAAAGCTCAAGGTCAAGCAAGGCTATGGCCTGAGCGAGACATCACCATGTACTCACACTCAGCAATGGGATGTCTGGCAAAGTACCGTAGGCAGTGTCGGCGTTTTGCTACCCAACATGACTGCCAAATACATGTCGCCCGAAGAGAAGGAGGTACCTGTCGGCGAGGTCGGTGAACTATGGCTCAAGGGACCTAATATTTTCCTGGGCTACTTGAACAACGCCGAGGGTACAGCAAACGCACTGACATCGGATGGCTACTTCAAAACTGGTGATGTGGGCTATCAAGACGAGGACAATAACTTTTTCATCACCGATCGTGTCAAGGAGTTGATCAAATACAAGGTTTGTTACTCCACGCACTCAAGATAAGACGCAGTCCTGACATGATTTGTACAGGGTTTCCAAGTACCACCAGCAGAACTAGAAGGCTACCTGGTCGCACACGAAAAGATCGACGATGTCGCAATCATTGGTATCTACAGGGAAGATCTCGCGACAGAAGTTCCTCGAGCATACGTCGTGCCACGCAAAGGTGTCGAGGCAGGCAAGGCCCTTGAGGACGACATTGTTAATTGGATCGGCGCAAAGGTCGCAAATCACAAGAAGCTGAGAGGTGGTGTCAAATTTGTAGACCAAATTCCCAAGAGCATCAGTGGCAAGATCCTGCGACGAGTCTTGAAGGCTCAGGCCGAGGAAGAGGCGAAGAAGGGTCAGAAGGCCAAACTGTAAGCTTGGGCATGCTTGAACGAAGATCTGACATTTTGGGCGAACCATCATGAGAAGCTAGTTGATGGATTCAACACTCGCCAGATATCTGAAACAATGTAAGATTAGATATATGTATAGGCAAGAGCATACGACCGCTCACATCAGTCAGGCCGTCTGCCGATCTTCCGAGGAATGTTGACTTTCGGACTTTCTTTGACACCCACTGACGCACGCTCGCTCCTTCCTCTCGTTCGACTTATAGCCCAGCTACAACACAGCCTTTGTTCTTTATTGGCGGCACCATTATTCAACAAAAATGGTTTCCATCGATTCACGGCGTTCGGGACGCACATTCTTTGTGGACATACAATGTCGCTGTGGCCGAAAGCAGTTGATGTCTTACGACTCGAACGATCAAAGAAATGGCCATATTTTAGAACACCGAAGTCGGCCGAATCCGGCTCGAACAAAGATCTCATAGAGATGTAGAGATATATGATGGCATTGGATGAATGCCGTCCTACTAATGTTACAGGCTCTTCTTACGTACTCACTGACAGTTACTAATCATGGCACCAAAACGAGATCGGGAGAGCGACGAGTCGGCAGCAAGGGGAGCCAAGAAACCTCGTAAAGATGAAAGCATGGATGACGATGACGATGAAGAGATGCAAGATGCACCGCCTGAGGACGAAGGCCTCGATGAGGCGGACGATATGCCTACTTTTGGCGCTGCTGGTGGAGAAGCAGTTGGAATACCTCGTATTGAACTTGAAGACCTCGATTACAGAGACCTTCCCTGGGATCTGAACTATGACAATAACGGATCGGTTCACCCAAACTACAGCGACAAGACCGCCAAACCGACTCAAGCAGTACCTAAAGGACCTATACCTGTCCCACCCGAGTCCAAGGCTCCACCCGCTCCCAGCAAAGCCGCGCTCGAAATTGCTTTGGACTCAGAGAAAAGAAGGGAGGAAGCAAAGGGCATCAAAGCTTTGTTCCAGGCAGTCAAGAGGCTAGATGGAGGCTGGATTGGTGTGAAGGGAGAACTCGGAAGCGGTGGCCAGGGCTGTGCTCGACTGTTCGTCAGGTGTGACGAGAACCAAAAAATCACTGAACGCATCGTCATCAAAGATTCCTGGAGCAAGACATACTGGGATAACAAAGATTGGTGGGAGGAAGGCAGATACCGTTGCGATCCTCGGGAATCAATCACGCACAGGCTGTTGACCCTTCCGACTCCGAACAAATGGGAACGACATCTTGTAGAATACATCAGTCATTCTGTCAACTTCACTTGGCAGACCTGCAGGACTTACATGGAATACTGCGAAGGTGGTGATCTCAACGGTTTGAAGAGGGCACAGAAAAAGAAATAGTAAGTGTTCAAAGGCTGCATGCACATGGTGTACAGAAACTGACAATTCGACACAGTCGGCATGTGTTCAGGCAGTCTGGAGCAGACTCTGGTAGTGAAAAAGGCTCTGGGAGTGAAAAAGATCCAGCCACGGTCAAGACTTCGGCTTCAGAAGTGGTCCCCGAGCCATTTGTCTGGTACTACCTGAAGCAGATGGCTATTGCTCTCCATCGCATGGAGAACATACCATTGAAACGGTACATGGAAAATTACGTGGTTCATCAGTAAGTGACGATTACCACCACGGTTGCATGTCTGTGACTAACACGCAATGCAGAGACATCAAGCCGTTGAACAGTCAGTAACAGCGAATGGCATCAAGTCGAGTCTGCTAACACACAATTAGTTTTCATGACCAAGCCAGACCCTCAAGAGTTTCCGAGATATCCAATCTGCAAGGTCAGTGCCTTCGTCACACACGTGGTTCTCCAAACTTGAATTCTGATGTTTTTCACAAAGATTGGTGATTTTGGCTCTGCACGCATAACGACTCCATTTGATGAAAACAATCCGGGTTGGGGCGATGCAGTAACAGATGGCTTCATTCCGCCAGAGATGGATCGAGGTGTATCAATATGGAAGACGTCTACTGCTACGAACGTGAGTTGTACCTCTCGCATCTACGGATTGGAGAAAAGCCTAGTATATCCAAGATTCGGGAGCTGACCTTGGACGTCGCGATAGGTCTGGCAGATTGCACAGTCGATTGTGGTTCTCATGAGACTAGAGGACCCAGAATCTAACGATTACACGAGTTTAGATTTGGATGAAGACGAGTACCTGGACTCACTGGCCGATTTGGATAGCTGTTACAGTGATGCCCTCAGAGACCTGCTCAGGGATATGTTACGCGCAGACCCAGATACACGTAAGTTGACCTACATGTCCAGGTCCCATACCTCAGGTGCTGGTATTTGCCTCATTCTGGACGGTGTGTCCTAGAATGGAAGTGGACGAGCTCGTGCATGGAGCGCAATTGTGTTGTCTTTGCAACCATAACTTTACGAGACTATGCTAATCACATCTCTATCATAGGACCTACTCCAAGGGACATCATCAAACAATTCTACGATAGCGAGACACATTGGAAAGAAATGGCCACGGCACCGTCTTGCAACGAGTTTGACTTGTGGCCACAACGGCTGCACTGGGCGCCGAGTGAAAAGTTGCAGATCAATGACTTCTTTGATGACATCCCATCTCTGCCGAAAGAGAAGAAACCAAAGGCTAAGAAAGGAGGTTCGGCGGGGCCAGACTCTTCTGATGACGAGGATTCTTCGGGTGACGATGGTGGAGATCAGGATCCAGGGGATGCAGACGACGAGGCCGCAGAGGAAGATTACAATGATTACGACGACGATCCGATGGAGGGCCCAAGCGGATCAAGTCTTAGTAGTGAGAGTGAATATGTACCCTCTCGCCCGAGATAGAGACAACGGTGAGGGTGATGCGAACGGTGGTAGTTATAGTTCTTGAGTCTTTATGTTGACGAATGTGTTTATTTTGCTTTGCTTGGGTCATGGAATTTCCTCCCTTCTCACTATGTTCTGAATGATGCTCAGCTAGCGACACACTCAACGTCAGACTGCATCATCGTTGCTGTCTCTTGTCACCTTGGAGTTGAACGATATCCTTACTCCGTACAAACACATGAAGATTCTGTCGCGAGATATTATTGCACAGGTTCAATAAAGACGAAGTCGCAAGTGTGCATAGAGGAAGAACTGTATCAAAGAAGATATATTTCTATATGTGAACATCTAGATATATCGAATAACTGTCTCAAGATATCTAGACCGTGACTCGAACCAAGCTCTACATCCTTTGTTTTTCCCCTATTTTTCGTAAACCGACCGTACAGATTCGCAATGCTACCCCCTAGATCTCCAAGAGGTGATCAACCAAGAACTCTAAACAAGAACAACCAAAAACAATACTCCAACTACCGGAAAATGCAAGACAAGAAGCAAAGTAGATCAAAGTAACATGTATACACGTCTTACAAGACATTCTTCAACCAAACCAAGCCATCGGTCAGAATAGGAAAGCAGAAGAAGAGAAAACTGACACAGCATCCTCTCCCGTTTGGGAAAGAGCTGCGTGGAGAAAGGTGAAACAGAAGGGATAAGCCTTGCAAGGTGTCGATCATGGAGAAAACGGCTTGCCGGTCATGATTGTTGGTGGCGCAAGAGAGGCTGAAACATGAAGAAGGACCCAACCTCCGCGCCCGAATTGTGTGACCAAGAGATGTGATCCCGGATGATCCGCGACAGAGTGATCGTTACGCCTTATGCACATTGCTCAAGCCTTTGAGGGTATGTTATACATTAGATGGGCTGTCGTGGAGAAAGGCTTGCAGCTGAGGTCCCCACCCCACAGAAGGAGCAACCTCTAGATTTGGAATGGAGCACACTCAAGCAGACTGATTACCACGTCTGCTCTCAATCAAGCGCTCGGCAGCAACGTACAGCTCATCGAGATACCTCATGGCGTCGGGATCCTTGAGCATCTTTGAGACTTGCAAGCCGGCAGAAATGAGCTGCAGCACGTTGCGATCGTCCTTTAGAGGTCTGCTCTGATGTTTTGCTGCATGGCGCATTTCGAGCGAGTTCTCCAACACGGTCACCAATTGTTTGATCTGTCCGTTGTAGAGAACGCGAGCTGGGATGCGGCGTTTGGTCGCTAGGCGCTTGAGCAGGTAGCACCACTCCGTCCATTCGCGGTCGGCAGGAACGCGGACGGGTCTCTTGTCGGGCTCCAGAGGGATGGGGAACTGATATTTGGCTACAAAGTCGTAGGCGCATTGTGAGAGGCGGTCGTTGACGCGCGTGAGTATCGAGTCCTGCTCTTCAGCATAAAGAGATACAGGCAGCTGGATCAGCTCTGACTCGGGGGTCTCGAGGTGTGAGTTGGTGGGCTTAGCTAGCAGTTGGTGAGGTCCGTCGAACTCGTCACGGCCTGAGGAGCGGCGGTGCGAGCTACCAGGCAGCATTGCACCTCCGTCATTACCCATGGCGGCCGAGTTGTAGTTAGGGTGAAGCATTCCCGACTGCTGATGCTGTTGCTGCTGCTGAGTCTGCTGCTGCTGCTGTTGAAGTTGTTGGAGTTGCTGAAGCTGTTGCAGCTGTTGGGCGTTGTTCAAGTCTACTGTGTTAAGTCCTGGGGGTGGTGCTGTCGTGTAAGGGTTTGATGAGATGAATGAGTTGTTGTAGTAGTCCGGCGATGGAGGGAAGACGGGTAGGTTTGGCGATCTTTGAGAGCCAACTGCCAGTCCTCCAGCCGAAGACATTCTCGAGGAGCCCACTGAAGAACCCGAATCTCTTGGGTTAGTGGTCGGCCATGGTGATGCAGCCCATGAGCGGTCGCTCTGCTGCAGGCCAGAAGAAAAGTATGACCTGTTTGCTCGTGAGGCTTCTGGAGAAGCGGGTGTGTACCTGATATGATTAGATTAGCTTTGGGCGGTGAGATAAGCATTATATATCGTGGACGTACAGGCCAGACTGTTGGAGTAGGGTAGGACGCCTACTTAGACTGGGTCGAGAGGTTGGCTGCGATTGCTGGAAGTTGAACGAGTCCTCCAGCGGACTACGAGCAGTGTACATGATCGGAGTCGATGTAGGGGAGTATTTTCTAGTAGGTTTGACCGAGGCACCGGGTTGGGAGGAAGAAGTATCGGGCAGTCGAAATGCAGGATTGAGAGAGGGTTCTGAACAAAGCCGAGCAATCATAACCGATGACATACCGCCACTAGTTGTGTTGCAAATGGAGAGGGGGTTCGAGGCAGTGGGGATGTGGATCTCAATGGCTCGCTGGAAAGAAAAAAATGTGTTTTTGCGGTAGTCGAGGAAAGTGCTTAGCTGATATAAACAGAACCGCAGCCCCTCCCAAATGTGCCAATCGCTGCAATTGCGGGCGCCTTCGTCATCACAACATGTGAAGGAAAGCAGAGGGATCTGTCTTGTTACGGTGCACTACGCACTGAAATGAGCAGGGGACGGGTGTGGTGTGTGCACAACTCCAGGCACGCCTCAGAGATGGGCATCAGCGTCGCAGTGCACCAACACACGTCTGCCAGAGAGGGCAAAGCCGACCGAAAAGCTTCGCACAAGACGGTCTGGGATCAAAAACGCAGGTTCCATGTTTTGGTGGCCTGGTGCTGCCCGACAATCCCCTGGCCGGAGACGGGTCGCTGAACCAGGCCGAGAGATGCCCAGGAGAGTCGTGGGTACTACTCATGTCCACCACCAGTCTGAATACGACACTTCCGCCTGTCAGTCACGGCTGTGGTACGCGATTGCTTGCGTGTGATATTATGGCAACAGCCTGTTCTATTGGAGCAAAAGCCAAAATGTGGCAGACAGGGCCGAGCGCTGATTTTCTTTTCGCAACGTCCAACGTCGATCCCTGGAAACACGTACATCCACGCGATGCGTCCGGCTGTTACCTTTGTTCCAATCACCACGCCTTTGGGTCCCTTGTTCAAGCCGAAACCCGGCAATCTCGGGCAGACGAGACGGCACCGTGGCACTGATACAGCGCCGCCGTGTGGTGGAGGGAAGAGGGACAAGTCTCGGAGGACAAGGTTGTTTCATCATGACTCAAGGCACGTTTCCTGTGCACAACGGCTTTTGTGGGCTGACGGCGGCACCGGGAGAGGCTTGACGAATTCAGGAAGGAAGAAGAGGACATGGTCAGCAAGACAGTAAACGGCGCCCGGGCTCTGCAAGAACTCATGTTCGCTGCCATGTCGAGCAAGTACTCTCTAATCAGAGCAAGAGCAACTGCTGAGTCTGGTTTTGAATTGAGCACGCTTTGGATCGGTGATTGAACAAGTCCTCGTGTCCACCGTCGCAATCTATCAAGGTTGTAGGCGCTCCACGATCTCCAAGTCTTCTTCAGAGGAAGATCTATTGCTGTGTATCGATCAAGTGTGATTGGGCCGCGAGAACCAAACTCTGGCAAAATCGGACCCCTCTTTTTGGGTCCGCTGAGCAATCATAACCCACGAGACAATTCAACCTGGCTGTTGATATTAGTCGCACTCTAACTTACCTTTCCCTGCCTCACCGATAGAACATACATGGGGCAGCATCGGCACACGGCGGGTTGTGCAATGTTGCCGTGATGCCACCAGCACAAGCAGCAGGGGAAGAAGCCACGAGGTAAAAAGAAGTCGATGCTTCCGAACAGAGCCCTCAGTGCTTTCTTCTTTGCAGCGGCGCGTGGGTCTGTTCGCGAAATTGACAAGGAGGGGCACCGACGTTCCACAAGGCTTCTAGAAGGTGAGCATTTGCGGCAAGAGCAAGACTGCCTCCGGTAGACCCGCGAGCCGTCGACTCCCAGACACGACAGGCAAGCCCATTCCAAACGCAATGCTCTTGAGCTGGTCTCTGCCTCGGTAAGAAGAAGAAGAGAACACGCGAAGCGCGCTAAGCGATCTCTCTTGCAGCCCAAAACAACAACCCGCATCCACACGGACCCGGATGTTTGCAGCAGCGGCTCACTTTGTAAGCAGAATTCCAGGAATCCGGTCAAGCATCAATCTTCCTTTGTTTGTCGTGCCTATACAATGTCCAATGATGTATCATACAGACAACTATATCCGGAATGAACAAGTAGATCACATTGCGCGATCAGGCATACCATAATATCCGCACGCCGCTGTCCGAGTGAGTGATGGTTGACCTAACCCGCCCGGCAGTGTGGAGGCAGCCCTCTGTAGTAGACTAGATGGAAGGCCTAACAACGAAGCCCTTCTAGAAGCCAAAACCACGTCGTGCCGTTCAGCCAGCTGCCATAACACCATACGGTCGGCCCTGCAATGTCACCACGATTCTCCCGCCGCGGACCAAGGGTTATGGTAATCTCTCTTCTATTCAGCGTTTGACGACACCTGCTCGGAAACAGCTTCTTGTTTTGGAAACCAACGTCCCTCTTCCCTTTAGATTATCTCCGTCTCTATTCCTCTATGTTCTTCGTTCTAGAAGTACCAAAGGCTACCTTCGAGGCCTTCCGCCCTAAAACTCCCCGGAGATTGTTATTACCAAGATTCCAATGCGTGGGTACCCAACAGACAGCCGCCGGCCAACAATAAGCCAAAAAGAGAAATCAAGAAGGCGTTCCACCATCTTGTATGCCTTGTTAATAGGGTATCAAAAGAAGAAAAACCCGCGATGATTCGCTAACACATCACAATCCCAAGCCCTACACTGGCTCGTATCCTCGGCCGATACCTCTATGGTTCTTCCTTTCTGACCGGTAACTTGTTATCCACTCAACGCTCAAAAACAAAATGAGATGTTCTGCTCCTTCCGCGGACTCTGCATCCAGTCAGCGAAAGGGAATAGTCACATCAGGCAACCAACACTCGTCATATGAACTGCGGCTTTTCGAATTGCAGAGCAGCCGCACCTGCTTCAGCGTCATACGAGGGTATAGCCTCGTTGCCTGCACGACTCATGACTGTGTCGCGCTTCACCCGCAAGCTGCCTCTGTCACCGCGGATCACATGGCCAGTGTTGACCTTGTCTTGGATCATCTCATCCAAAAGCTTTGTCATCTCATCCACGGTTCTCCTGGTACCAGGCGCGTTGCTAGCGCTCGTGACTCTTGCCACGTTGATCGATGACTCGGCGGCAGGCCCCTTGTTGTCAGTCACTTCTTCGACTTCCGTGTCAGCTGGTCGAACGGAAGTGGGGTGCTTTGACAATCGGGAGAAGTTTTGTACTTCAGGAGGCGGCGAACTAGGCGGTGATATCTGGTTGACAGCACTGACAGGCCCACTGGCACTGCGGAAGAGTTCTGGTCGACTCATGCTGCGGAATGGTGTGCGTGTCTCCCTTTTGTCCGGAGATGCCGTGGGGCTTTGTCTGAATGCTGGGTGTTGAGACATAGCCCCAGAGGTATCGAGCACATCGCGTTTTCTGGCTGCGTTTCTGAGTGCGTGCACCATACGAGTCTGATCTTCAAGCTTTTGCTTAAGTCGTTCGATCTCATGGTCCTTCTCCTTGATAACGGCATCTGCGTTCTGCCCATCTCGAGAAGGTACACGGCTGGCAAGAGGTGATCTTGCGCTGCTCGCTTTGCTGTAAGAGTTGTTGCGAGTCTGCAACAAACGCTTCTCCAGAGTCGCAATGTATCTATCCTTGTCTGCGAGATCGGCTTGCAAAGCACTGATTTGGCGAGCCGAGGAGGCGCTCCCGGGGTTCAAGGCGTCCTCGTCAGCTGCCATCTCCTCATCATCGTTCTCGTCTTCTGATGCCGAAGCCAGTTCGATTTGCGAGGTCCGTGCTATGGGAAGCATGCCCGCTATGGTGGAGCCCGATTGGATGCGACTCGATGCGGTCTGACTCCCGCTACTTCCTGGTCTCCGGCTCCTCGGTCGTTCCAAGGTGCTCTGTGTGCTCGTTCGCTGGAGGATTGGCATGCTCGAACTGGCGTTAGAGAAGCGGCCCGAGTTCACCCCTAGCGACTTGGAACTCAGAATCAGTCGGTTCAGATGGGCGATGCGCTCTTTCAGGGCAGTCCTGGCGAGCTGCATCTCCAGCATTTGCTCTTCGTGGCGTTCGGCACTCTCGCGTTCTCGTTCTCTCCAGCGCTCCTCTTCGATCTCTACTTTCTCGGCCTTCTCGGCCTCATTCTTGATTTTGCTTTGTTCTTCCAGTTGGCCCCTTAATTCGATAATCTCGAGCTTGTACCTATCCAGCAAAGCTCGACTTCGTGGATCTGCGCCATCGGAAGGATTGGACTCGTTCCGTTTCGCATGGCTGACAAGGTTGTTTTTAGCTCTGCTTGCGAACTTGAGTGTGTTTAAGGTTTCGGTCGTGTGCGAGGAGGTTGCGGCAGCGCTGCTCGAAGCTGAAGACAGCTGCACGGTGCAAAGGATGGAGACCAGAGAGTTCCCAGAAAGAGCGGGTTGTAGAAGACGGGTGAGCTTGCTATCTCTGTAGGGAAGATGCTTTTGATCTTTGTCGGCGATTTCCTTGTCGCCGGACAGACGAGCGATAACAGTACCTAGCGTTAGCAAGGACTTGTTGATGTGACCTCCTTCGGTGCGGCGCTCCTTGCTCTCTGCTGCTTTTTCGGAACCAGCAAGATCGATCAGGGATAGGGTCGACACCAGGACGCTGCCCGGTAGCAGCTTGTCCCGCCTCGTGTCGCCGACAGGGCCCGCAGAGCGTTCACGCGACTCGACGACAATTTGCACGACAGCGTGAGAGCGTGAAGAGCGGGCATTGAACTGGGTACCTGCCACACGCCTCTGCTGGTCACCTCGCGCGATGACTCTGAGTAGCTGGTTAGGGCTTTGTACGATCTCTTCCTTCAAGGGTGTCGCATAAACACCACGTCGGGGGTCTTCTCGCAGCTTGATTTCTTCGTTTGAGTCCGGATTCAGCAGATCGTAGATCTTCTCGTTGTAGATTTCGAGATAACTGACACGCAACAAAAACTCGCGAGCTGGGTTTTGGCGAATATATGAGAAGATATCGGTGATGGCGAGCGGGATAACACCAGGAGACATGGCAGTACCCTGCATCGAGAATGTTTTACCAGTACCCGTCATTCCGTAGGCAAATACAGTGCCATGGTAGCCTTCCATGACACGGCGCACCAAACGTTTGGCGGCAGATTCGTATACTCGGGCATTTTGATCGTGTGGTGAGAATACATTGTCTGTGGCGGAAAGGATTAGCATAAGTTGACATTGGCAATTGAGTTGGGATGACGCACCATAGCGATACTCTCCACTTTCGTAGCTGATGAGGGAGCGCCGTCCATCGACCAGCCATTCTCCGTCGGGTTGGGTGTCTGCTGCAGCGTCGGGGCGCACACGGACGCTGACGGTGATGTTTCCCTTTGCCTCTTTATCCTTGTCGGCATTGGATGCTTCGAGCATGGTACTGTCGGCCACGGGGGTGTTGGGGGTAAGAGGGGTAGCCGGGGAGACGGGAGCCGAGGACGAGCGACTCCCGGGCGGAGAGGGAATGCTCAGCAAGCTCTCGCTCTTGGACGTGCGGACGGCGCTAACGACGGTGGTGCTGAGCGAGGCAGTAGAGGTTTTGGAGCGCAGATTGCGAAGAGACGGCTTGGATTGTGGTTTGCGCAGTCCGCTATGGGGTTGGGCAACGGTCAAGGGTAGGCGCGGTACGGCAGAAGAATGGGAGTTAAGCAGTCGAGGACTCGAGGCCTGCGAGGAGCTTCTCGGGCTGGACGAAGGCAGTTGCGCAAGGGGGCTGGCTGAGCCAATGCCACTGGCAGGGGGCCGCGAGAAGGCTTCGATGCTGACGGCTTTGCGCAAGTTGGGCGTCGGCACTCGCGACGGCGACGGCGACGGCGAGGATGCCTGGGTGCGCAGGGTAGGGATAGATGGCGACGAGGTGATGGAGCGAGGGATGGCGGTCGCTGCAGGCGGCCTTTGTCGTGGTGAAACAACAACAGCTGCATATGCGCGCTCCCGCTCCTTGTCCGACGCTGCTTCTCCAGCCGGGTCGGCTCCGCGAGGCCTCGTCATAGCTGGCAACGGCGGCAGCGGAATCGATGGCGGCGGGTGCGCCTGCGGGCTGAGGAACTGTTGGTTTTGGTAGTGATGCTGCTGTTGTTGTAGAGATGGTGGATCCGGGCGAGGATACAGGTAGTGCTGCGTCTGCGAGTGCCGTTGTGCTTTCTGCTCCTGGTCGAGCTTCAAAAGCAGCTGCACTCCTCCTCCTCCTGACATGGTGCGCGACCGAGTGCCCCTGCAGCACTCCTGTGTCTAGACCGTTGGTAGATTCACACTCGTGAGCAACAACAACAACAACGCTCACAGCACATGGCATGCATCCAACAACGGGCTTTCTGCGTGGGAATCAACTCGCGAGAAGAAACACCACACACGTCTCCGATCATCTATAAGGTCTTACGCCCTCTCCCTTGGGTTATCAAACAACCTCATTCCTTCCCGTCCTGGCCCATCAAACCCTTACTCACTACCACCTTGACTTTGCCATGGTCGAGCCTTATGTGCAATCTGAGCAACCCGCGACCCATGCGCCAACCATAAAGAGCCATGCTCCACACAGGAACAGGCAATGATCTGCAGCCCTCCAATGATTTTCTCTCGACATATGAATTGTGTCGACAGAGACCGGGGCGAACCTGCGAAGTCATCCTGCGCGACTACATTCCGTTCCGCCGACAGCTCATCCCACTCTTGCCATTGGCTTCCCCATCACATCTCGTGCACTCCTGTCTGACTCTATGTTGCTTGCTCGAGTCATCTCTCAACCAACTCACAAAGGTACTTGTAATGGTCCTCCGTACTCACCCGTTGCCGAAAATGGCTGCGTGTCCGGGTATTGTACCGTGCGGTGGGCGTTCATCCAAGCGTTCATCGTCTGTAGCCGTGCCGCCCGAACTGCTCTGAGATCATAAGTCTTAACCTTCGTGGCCATCTTTTGCGCAACCGCACTTCTTGCCGCCTGTCAGGCAGAACTTCCTCGGCTTCCGAGTACGAGGAGCTTCCATGTTGTGGTAGCTTTCGACCCAGCTTCGACATATCTGTCATGATGCCCACCGCAAACTTTGCGCTGGGCGTGGGCCAGCATTCCTTTCTCCACTGAGTATTTGGATTCATGAACTCTACGCGATTCTGTCACGCTCGGTGCCGCAATAAGGCAATACGCGGCTGATCAATAAGATTCATATTGACCTGCAAACATGCCCTGCGCTTATGGTTCACGAGCTGAAGCCGGCGAGTGTTAGAGTTACCGTACAGCCTATAATCGATTTTATGAGCGATAAGGCTATGAATCCAAGCTTGAGATTCTACGTTGCTATCATTGAACGAAGAATAATCGAGGAGTGCTCCGCTCAAACAGTTTCACCGTCGCGGCTGTGCGTGGCTGATATACTGCCACCAACGAGGCACTCGGTCTATATGTGACGGCGTCCAAGCATCGAAAGTAAGGCACGTCGATCTTCCAATAGACAGGCCATCACCCCTGCTAGGCATTTTCATTACAAGCAGTACATAGCTTACAGCTAATCACAGCGAATTTGCTAGCGTCCTCGTAATTCGTAGCCATTAGTTGTGTATAGTCAATTACCTTGTCCAATAGAGAGGCTCTGAAGAGCAAGTACTCCGAGCTGAAAAGAACGCCTGAAGAGATCACAAGTATTTGTTGCTATTAATAGTGTCCTTCGATATCATGGACCTACGTCGAGGTCCTATGCAGCATCCCTACTAGAGCGATCGACAACCATAAGAAATCAAAATCGCAAGACAACTTCAGGATCCATCCTCCCCGTGTGCAAAGGGTTGTAACGTATATACCTATCAGAACGCACAATGTTCTCGAGGACTGGATCATATCCATCGAGACGCAGTGTTTTCTAGACTCTCTTTGGATCCATCCTTGATCCAGAAATCATTGTGCCTTCTGAACAAGGGATATTCCTCGAACCACCTGAAGTGGCTGACAGCGCCCGTTCCGACCACCTCATGCTCCGGAGTTGAGCAAACGCAGAGCTTCGAACGCACGGCGGCTTTTTTCTTGTCCATTCTCAGCTTCTGGCAATAGGAGATGAACTTATCAAGAGTCGAAAAGTCGTGTGCCGCATCGGTCTTGCTTTTCTTACAATGATGTCTTCGCCAGATATTGGCGCAGATCTTGCACAACAACGGATACTGCTCTGAGCATTCGAAAATCCCGACCAAGGCAGTACCAGTCACCTCATCCTCTGCTGTAGAGCACACGCAGAGGTTCTTGGTGGCTCTTGCTGTGGCATCCTTCTTTGACGCCTCGTGGGTAGCCATGTGAGTGTCTATAAAGTCTTGAAGAACTTCCCAGGTGTAGATCTTCCTGGTTCTGTTGCCCGAGAACTGCGTCAGGCACTGGTTGCATATGACGTCTTTATCGTCGACCTCATCCGGAAAGAAGTCTTCTGGTAACGACCGCATCAGGGTGGTCTCTGCTGTTGCTGGACATGCAACACACGATCCTTTGTCTCTTCTGGCCTTGTTTGATTCCACCTTTGCTATCCGTTCGATAGTCTCCGACACGAATTCTGTCCAGAGATCCTCGCATTCCTCGGTGCTCATGTCCTTGGTGATAGATCTGGCCCAGTCACAGTCCCCACTCCAACCTCTCCATCTCTGAGAACACCTCGAACAGGTCACGTGGCTGCTGTCGTTGAGGAATGCACCTTCGTCGCCGCAGCTCTCACAGGAACCTTTGCCATCAAGAGATAGGTTGCGGTCTGTCCAGTGGCGGTCTTCCATCTTGGTATCGAAGTAGTCAATGGCGTCTCGTAGATCCTCATGAGGATGATTGTGGTAGGCGTGTTTCCATGAGCACTTGCACAATGTGCACATGTACACCTGTTTCCCTTCCAGAGTGTAGACCAGTGAGGTGGCCGTTGCCTTGCTCTTTGTACTATCCTTCTGCTGACATCCTTTGCCAATCATAGCACAAGGAGGGCTTGTCCCCTTTTTCCTACCCTATGTAAGTTCATGGGCGCGGTCGTTTTCCGTACTCCACAAAGAGATGAGCTTCCGAAGAGTCGAGAGGTCATAGGCAATGTCGTGACAACAAAGGAGCATCGCCTCACTCAAACATACCCATGTGCGTGTGCCGGTGGAGGCTTTGACTTCCGGGGCCATGTATCGTAGCGGTCTTCCCGCCTCCCCGGGTGCAACAGATCTGTAACGTTTGTGGCTGTGAAGACATACAGGGACTTCGAGAGACGGGACAGGGTCCGTCAACATATGTCGGCTCTCTTTGGGCATGTTGCTATCCCGAAGGTGATCGTGTGATCCTATAGTGAGTTCGCCGCTCTATATATTTGTAGGAGGAGCATAGAAGTTGACGATTGTGCCACACAAGCGAGTCTCGGACTATCTTTTGGCTGGCGACGTCTAGCATATTGGAAGACCCTTCATTACATATGAATGTACCTGTTCATGATGACAGCGGTTTCGATAATATTTGCCAAGGTCAGCGTCAGGGTCGAGATTTCTGACGGAAAGCATGTGCCGCGACTGCCAGTCACACTTCAAGGAAGGAGCAAAAAAATAATTTGTATCAATAAATCATCAGTAATTGGATATTCGTAGCTATGTCTAGCTTGCCAAACCCTTTTACAGGGTGGTTCGTCTATTCAAGTATTATCACATATGCGCCTTCCCTGCGCCGAGAGGTGATGTCTTTTTTTGTTTCAGCACATCCAAGGCTGTGGTATCAAAAGCTTTTTTTTTTTTTTCCTTCAACAGGACAACAACCCAAATCATGGAAAGAAAAGGGTCTAGCAGCACTCGCCGCCTGACTTGAGGCTGGTGGCACCGTTGGTGGTGGGGTTTGATACACCGTCAACACCCTCGGGGCCACTGGCCATGTTCTCAGCGGTCTTCTTGCCGGCGGGCTGAACACCATCCTTGACGTCGTCGTTGATGACAGACTTGCTGGCAGAGTTGGAAGCGTTGTTCTCGACCTGGGTGTTGTTCTTGGTGTATCTGAAGCAAAGGTACAATTAGCATGTGTGGTGGAAGAACGGATGTAGTACTTTCGCGGCAAGCCAGCTCACAATCCGAGCCCAACATCAACGAGATAGCGTCCAGGACACCATCCCATCATTGCCAGTGGAATTTGCGAGATTGGCCCACTGAATCTGTACTTTGGGCTTAACGTACCCGGTATCACTGGAATCCACAAAGGCCTCGAGGCCCTTGCCCTGGCGGGGGTAGGACTTCATAATCTCCTTGTGCTTCTTGAGAGCGGCATTCATCTCGCTAGCCTCAACGTCGTTGAGGAAGACACATGAGCCGAGAGGGCTGGGAACAGCAGCACGAAGCTTGCCATCACGGGTCTAAGAAAAAATCGTTGTTAGTCGAGAAATTTTTTCAAGGATACAAAAACATCAGCTTACCTTGAGGATGGCCTTGGTGGCCTTGTCGAGGATGTCCTCGGTGAAGTGATCATCGTCCATGGAAAGACCGACACGAGAGAAGAGGTTGAGAAGTCTCTTATGCTCCTCGTCGCTGAGGATGCCTCTGATGTTGGCAAGAGTGGCCGAGTAAGCCATGTCGATGGAGATGGCGTGACCGTGACGAAGAGGCGGGTCGGGGATCAGCTCGTGAAGAGGAGACCAGCTTTAATCATGTCAGTACAGTGGTGATGGATGAGATCTAGAATTGACTTACGTGTGACCGTAAGCAATGACTCTGTCAAGACCAATCTCGTGAAGGTTGGGGGTCTCAAGCTTCAACATCTCGTGGATACCGCCGCGGTTGATCTTGTCGGCAGCGTCGCGGACCTCCTGGGGAGCACCCTCACGGCGACCGAAGCCGGTCTCAATGAGCTGCTCACCGTACTTGTCGAGCAAGTTGAAGGTATCGAGGTGGGCACAGGTGGAGATCTTGATCAACTCTGCGAAACCGTTGCGGATCTGGGCATCGGGAAGAGAGCGGAGGAAGGTGAAGTCAAGGAAAGTGTTCATGGGAGCATGGTAGGCACCAAGACGGTTCTTGTAGTTGTCGTAGTTGACACCGACCTTGATCGAGACGGAAGCGTCAATGAGACCAATAACGGTGGTGGGAACACGGATGAAGTTGGTGTTTCTGCGGTAAGCAGCACAAGCGAATCTGTAAACGGTTAGTAACGTGTTCAATGGCAGGAATTGACCGCTTAGGAGATATTGGCCAGAGTGCCTTATAGATCTATGGCGGTGGATCATTGTGTGTGTATTACCCGGCAACGTCGGTGACCAATCCACCACCAACGACCAGGACGGGCTCCTTGCGGTAGACACCGAACTTGTTCATCGAGTCAACGATGCTCAAGAGGGTGTCAATGGACTTGGCCTTCTCGCCAATCATGGTCTTGTGGATGGAAAGCTCGAGCTTGTAGTGGTCGAAGTACTTCTGGATCTCGTCTCCGTAGACATCGAAGATGTTGGCGTCCATGACAGCCAGGACTCTGCCCCAACGCTGGTAGCAGTCGGCGAGCTGGCTGTTCTTGGGGCTGAAGACACCGTCAAGGAACTCGAAGTCATATTCGATCTTCTCGTAACCCGAGACGTGGAAACCAGCCTTGGTCTCCTGGACGGTAGCGTTCATGTCAGACATAGTTGCGGTGTTGTGTGCGTGTTGAACAAACGCAGAGGAAAAGTTGAGAAGAGGATGAGGGTTGATGAGAGTGGAAGAAGGAAGGTGAGGAGGTGCAAATGGCCGAGGAAGAGGGGGGTTTTCATATATCCTCGCCAACCACGAGATCGGCAGGTATCGTGGAGCACGGCACTGAAAGCTCGAGTGCATCACGTCAATAACCTCTGAGCAGACTGACGCTAATTCAGATCCAGGTACGAAGACTGCAGGCGAATCGCTCCGATGCACCTCTGCCACGACGGGCGTGCGTCCAAGGTCAGCCCCGTTTGGCCGGCTCGAAACTAGCACCACGAACTTGCACCGCCGCTTGCGCCCGTCGAAGTCGGAAACATGTCAGTGTCTGCAACACGCAAGCCTCGCGGGCTTTCTGCTGCCATGGATTTGGATCCCAGCGGCCATGGCAAACGTCCAATGAGCATCATCGACTAGCAGCTCAGCTGCCGTGTTAGGATAGGCCCGTGGGGTTCATGTCGTGGGAATGAGATCCGCCTAAACCATGTTCAGTTTAGTGACCCACCACAGATCTGATGAGTTCCTGACATCAGGCTTTTAGACTCGGAGCTTTTCTTGAGACATTTTCTGGGGTTGCCGTCTTGCGGCTTAAAATGTCGTCGTCGAAGCACCCATCATGACAAGCGCATATCAGCCTGGCTCGTGAATTGGATCAATTTGGCAGCAGATACAGAGTGCTCGCGCGAAGCTGCAGGGCCGAAGTGGATCTCTAGATACCAGATAAGTGCTGCCAGCGAGGTCGAGCTGTTTGAAATTAAAACGATCATGCTTGGGCTTGTGTTGATGCGGGGCTCAGGTGAGGGGCAGATCTGGCTTTTGCGTCAGTGCTTCCTCCTTCGGTGACGCTTGCATGATGATTGGACTCTCCCGTTTGAGAGTCTAGCAGAGTCTTGCAGCATTACCCCTCCTCTTAGCTCGTTGAACCGCGTCGTCGCGAGAAATGTCCTGTGGCTCATCAACAGATAGTGGGGCTCGTCGCGTCACCCCAATAGCTCAGCTCTTGGAGCTCCTGCCACGTAGTGCTTCGCTTGGAATCCGAGTGAATTGGAACCATTCGTTTTGTGCAATTGCTCTGGAAACTCATCCGCTCGATACTGGAAACTCGTTATTCTTCAAGACACCACAAGAAACACTACAATGGCAGAATTTGATCAGAAAAAGGCCTACGCCCAGCAGGAGGAAGTTTTCTTCGACGACGGCCGTGAACTCGAGCTCCTGCACTTTGTCTACGGCAAGGCAGACATCGAAGACATCCGCGGCAATCCTCAGAAGGTCCTGGCCGCCATTGATGAGTTCGCAAGGACGAAGAAATACCTCATGAATGTGGGAGAGGACAAGGGCAAGATTGTCACCAACTTGATCTCAGAAGTCAAGCCCGAGACCATGGTACGATGCATTCAAGACCAGTCAAGAAACCAACAGAAAACTTACCGCAGACACAGGTCGAGTTGGGAGGCTACATTGGTTACTCCTGCATTCTTTACGCCGACGCCGTGCGCAAGGCTGGTGGTAAGCGTTACTTCAGTCTTGAGAGAGACCCTGTCTTTGGTGCAGTCATCGCCTCGTTGGTTGACTTGGCTGGTCTGAGTGATCTGGTCAAGGTCATCATTGGTTCCAGCGCTGTTTCGATCAAGAGACTGCACACCGAGGGCACCCTCAAGCACGTCGACATGATGTTCCTCGACCACTACAAGCCCGCCTACAAGACCGACCTGAAGCTTTGCGAAGAACTGAAGATTGTGACTCCCGGAACCGTCCTGGCGGCCGACAACGTCATTGCACCCGGCAACCCACCATACCTCGAGTATGTCCGCAGCAGTGTTGCTGAGAAGCGCAAGGCCGCGGAGGCCTCCTCGGACGAGAGCAACCCCGACGCCAGATTCGGAGACAGAACCGCCAAACAGTACGCCAACAGACAGACGGAGGAGAAGTTGCAACAGTCCAAGGGTAACCCCAACCTGGTCTACGAGAGCAAGCTCATCAACAGCTACGAGCCCTCAGGCGTGCCGGTAAGTTACAAACTGGTCCGCAAATCTAGGAGAGAAGCACTGACAGAATCGCAGGACGGCGTCGAAATCACTCGTTGCACTGGCGAAGAGTCCCCTTAGAGGAAGCCCGTGCTTCATAGCAACCGATCACACGGGAGCAGAGCCTCTGGGGGGCGACCACGACGATTTAATGTATATACGCGCCATACGTCCTAGCATATGAGTCTGGTAGAGAGGGAGGATGTGAATGAAACGGATCATATAGAACTGGCTCAGCGGACTACAAGAGATACCCGAGTGTGTCATGAGTAAAAAGTTGTTTGCTCTTCAAAGAAATCTTCACATGCGAACTTGCACAAGCTTCGGTATGCAGAGATGTGAAATTGTGCAAAGCAAGCTGAGCTGAGCTCAAGCTCGAGCTGGAGCTTTACTGAAATTTTTCCCACAGCAGAGCTTCCCCTCCCTCCCTGTGCTTGTTGAACTGCCGTTTCTCTTGTCTTCCATGCTCTCCCAACGATCGAGCCCTTTGGCGCCTCGGTTGTCTTCTTGAAGGAAGCACTGACGCGATCGTACTCAACTATTTGCAACCAAGATTCCGTGTATCGTCTCACTATCAATTAGGCTTCAGCCGCATCTCGCGCGATTTCCGAGGTGTTCAGATCGTCAATGACGTCTGAGAACTAGTGGAAAGCATGTGAAAACGGGGGGAGCTATCCACCGAGCTATCGCGAAGCTATCGTGATCAACAAACATGGCTTGCATGGGTGGTCAAATGCCATGATCCAGTCGTGACAAGGACACGCAGGCTCCATCCTCTCGCGACTGCTTGGAGCTCCTTCGTCGAGGCGTCTCTCGCTCCTTTCCCTCACGCAGCCACCATGCTTACTGCTGAGTCGTCACGCTTTGCCCATGCGCTGCAGAACGTAAAGTTGATTGCTCTGAGCTTCTTCTTCCTGCCATTGGATACCTTTGTCCTCTTTTTCAGCTATGCGATCCGCATCCTCGTCGCCTTTCCAGCGACCTCACACCGCGCCCGAGTGCGATCAACGTACACGCGCTACTTCGAGCCCCGCACCGTCTTGGTGACTGGTGTTGGCATGACCAAGGGCCTCGTCCTCGCTCGCCTATTCTTTATTGCTGGTCACAATGTTATCGGCGCTGATTTCGAGCCGCCATTCTTGCCAATCACTTGCGGGCACGTGTCACGCTCGATAAAGGCTTTTCACCGTCTCGCGAAGCCTGATGGCACCAGAGAAGGCTCGTCTAGGTACTGTCAAAGTATTCTGGACATTGTCCGAAAGGAAAAGGTCGACTTGTGGGTCAGCTGTTCCGGTGTCGCGAGCGCTGTTGAGGATGGCCAAGCCAAGGAGATGATCGAGCTGCTCACAAAGTGCAAAGCAGTGCAGTACAATGTAGCCACTACACAGAAGCTGCATGAAAAGCACTCTTTCACCGAGTACACAAAGTCTCTCGGCCTCACGGTTCCAGAGACTCATACCATTACCTCCAAAACTGCCGCTCTACGAGTCCTCGAGGATGTGCGACCTTCGGGCAAGAAGTTCATCATGAAGTTCATCGGAACCGATGATTCTGTTCGAGGTGACATGACCTTGTTGCCCTTTGACTCGGTATCTGCAACAAAAGCACACATCTCTCGCCTTCATATTTCTGAGAGCCGCCCGTGGATTCTCCAGCAGTTCATTGATGGCCCCGAGTACTGCACTCACGCCTTGGTCGTTCGTGGCGAAGTCAAGGCTTTCACTGCTTGTCCTTCTGCCGAGCTGTTGATGCATTACGAAGCACTTCCCCCAGATTCCTCTCTGAGCCGCAACATGCTGCGCTTCACACAGGAGTATGCAGCAAGCGACCCCGAGAACTTCACAGGCCATCTTTCTTTCGACTTCTTGGTGGACCGAAAGGATGCTGAGCGTGCACAGAGAGACCCCAACATGGTCGTCACGCTGTACCCGATCGAGTGCAATCCTCGTGCGCACACCGCCGTTGCTTTGTTCAACAGCACACCAGAAATGATTGAGAAGGGATATATGTCTGTTCTCGAAGAGCCCACGACACCCGTGAAGGAAGGAAGCAATGGAGCTTCCTACACACCGCCCGTATATCCCCACCAACCCGGCAAGTACTACTGGATCGGTCACGACCTGACAACCTGTGTCATACTACCCACCCTTTCACTCCTCAAGATCCACGGCAACAGCTTTGGCGAGGCTTTTGAACACTTCGGTACCTTCCTTGAGCATCTGTTCTTCTGGAGAGACGGCACTTACGAGATCTGGGACCCACTTCCAGCTTGGTGGCTGTATCACGTCTACTGGCCGTTCCAGTTCGCTAAGAGCTTACTCACAGATTTCAAGTGGAGTCGAATCAACGTTAGCACCACAAAGATGTTTGGCTGTTGATGGGACATAAGAGGAGGAGTAATCTAGTTGATGATGATATACACGAGACATGGAGTACGCTAGCTCATGCTGCTGCGAAGACCCACGAATGAGGAATGCAGCGGACACAGTTGAGTCCAACGATGCCAAGATACAGTCATAGAGGTAGGTTGAGATACACCAATATTTGAGCTCATAGATCAATCGTTAGTGGTTGTGTAGAACATTTCGTATATTGGACAGTACTCGATCATAAGCGATTTGTTTCTCAAATTCCAGTTGAAGCAACCATTTCGCACATGACTCGTGCAGTGCATCAAGCTGCGGATGTATCTAACCGGAGCTACGGATATACGAATTGACCTAACGCCGCCAATTACATTGTCAGCTATGACATACTCGAGGATAATAGATATATTATACTTCTTCTGCCTCGACTCGGCTCTTGTTCTGCTACGTCGAACCAGATCCTGTCGTTTTCCCAACTACCATCATCCAACCTGTTGCCAAAATGTCCGAAGCAATGATGCACCATGCTGGTACGTAACGCTCGGACTGCGAACAGTCCCAAGCCAAAGAACTGACCTAATCTTTCTACGATAGGCTTCAAGTTCACTCCTACAATTCACAATGACACTTACGACTTCATCTCGACCAAATCTCAAAACTTGAAAGGAAAGCGTGTGTTCCTGACGGGCGCCTCCAAGGGCATCGGCAAGGAAACGGCTCTCTCCCTTGCTCGTGCAGGTGCCTCTAGCATCGCACTGGGTGCTCGCAGCTCTCTCTCACAGCTAGCAATAGATGTGGAGAAGGCAGCCAAGGAAGCCGGCCACGATGCTCCCAAGGTCATCAGCATTGAGCTGGACGTAACCAATGTATCGAGCACCGAGGAAGCAGCCAAGACCGTGAAGCGCGAGTTTGGTGGTCTGGACGTACTGTTCAACAACGCTGGATACCTCGAAGACTTCAAGAAGATGGGCGAGAGTGACCCTGACGAATGGTGGAAGACTCAGGAAGTCAACATCAAAGGTCCCTACCTGGTAGCTCGTGCTTTCATTCCCGTTCTGCTCGACACCAAAGATGGCGACAAGACTATCATCAACACCAGCTCTATCGGTGCCCACGTCATTATGCCTGGCGCTTCTTCATACCAGACTACCAAGCTCGCACTTCTCAGGCTTGGCGAATTTATCCAAGCAGAATATGCCGATCAGGACATTCTCTGTTTTGGAATCCATCCCGGTGGAGTGATGACCGAATTAGCCAGCAGAATGCCCAAGGAGAGCCATCATGTGCTCTGTGATCAACCGCAGTTGGCTGCTGATACTGTTGCTTGGCTCATCAACGAGAAGAGAGACTGGCTGGCTGGTAGATACGTCAGCGTGACTTGGGACATGAAGGAGTTCTTGGACAAGAAGGATGAGATCGTCAAGAAGGATTTGCTGAAGGTCCGCATGATTGTGGATTAGGTTCAACTTTTATAGAGTACTCTTTTGGTACAACTACAAACACACGAGTAATGGATGAACACGAACACATCAGACACAATATCATAAAAACGTGCTCTTTTCATGGAATTGTTTGGTGGAGTCCGTCATAAGATTTTCTAAGACCATTTGATGTGGGCATGGTCGAAACGACCAAGATTTTGGTGCCACCCTGGCGATGTTGTGCCTTTTTTTCTTCCATATGTGTATCCTTGTTGGAGAGTTAACTGGAACAGCACACAGTACATAGGTAGAGATATCATAAACAAGTATTTCAATTCGTGTCTGAGTTTTGTACTCTGTATTGCAATGTCCTGCAAGTCGAAGGACCTCAGATTGTGATACTCGTGAAGAAGCTACAGAGATGTAGCAGTAAAAGTCTTTAAATCGCCATCGACGGACCACATCTGTCAGCAAGAACTACATTCCACCGTAGCATACACATAAGTACTCGATGAAGTTATGAGGCAGAAAATAGGTCAGAAAGTCGGGTTGTGCAGTTGATATTGGAGTACTAGTCTTTGGGATGCTTGTCAGGGGTACAACCCTGGCATACAGATGAGCCAGGTGTGTTCAAGATGTCCAGATATGTCCGCGCTTACTTTGCATCATGAAACCAAAGCAATCATATGGATACGCGATGAGGGAAATAAACATTGCAGTATGTATATGCACATCACAAAGGGACGCCGCCCGGTTCGCTATCAGTACTGGGAGATGGGGGAGCAGGAGCTGGAGGAACAGGAGCAGGCGCCGGTCCATCGTTCCACCTATCCGGTCCAGTACCCCAGGCGCCCTTGATTATCCCCAAGGGAGTCCACATTGCTGACCAGTCGTGCATCTCAGGCATCCGAATAGCATCCAGGCCAAAACGATGAATCTCATCATGCCACAATTGATTCGAAAACATCTTGTTGACGTGCGCTTGAGGGACTGGTGTGATACGTTCGAGAGAGCCGATGTCGACGGCATCCATAGCTCTTGGTTTGACACCGACGTTGCCTTTATCGAAGATCCATCTGTCCCATTTGTCAGCCCACCAGAGCCCCAGCGGGCCAATGTGCTGTTGTGTCCAAAGGGACGTAACATCCTGGGGCATGTTCCAATAGCATATTCCGAGGGGATTCCCCCGCCAAAGGTATGATGACATGGCATGCCCAGTCTCGTTGCAACGGTCACCGCCGAAAAAGGGCTCGTAGACCTGACTATGCTTTGGCATACCAGAGGTCTTGATCAAACCTATATCGAAGTAGGCACCACAGATCGCATGCGTGAGTTCATGAATCAGTGTGTCCACGAACAAAATTGTGCTGCGTGCGAAGGCCGACTCCTCTTCGATGTTGATCCTGTCCTCCAGAGGTATTGAAGCAAGGTGTTGTGTGTCGTTGACAAACCTAGCTAATCCAGTGCGTGTTGGATCAGCATCAACGTACATTCGCACTGCGTCAACGTAGCCTCGGCTCATCAAAATGACACTCGATCGAGTTCTAGAAGAGAAATTAGTTGATTACAACCGAAGCCAGAATAGACCAGCACGTACCCAGGCCCTCTTGCGCCGTCACAAACCATGCCGTTGCCATCAAGTCCCGGCCTCGTAAGCCCAAAAGCAAAGTGTGTATCTATCATTATTTCCATATCCACCAAACCCCATGCCATATAGCTGCGCACATCCAAGAGTTTCTTGTATGTGTCTGCTTGTGCATTCACATCAAGTGGCGGGCTCGGTACAAAGCGAGGGCATCTACCGATGTGTGGAAGGTTCACATACGGCATTTGATCGCTGGGAACCATCAGTCCAGCGAAAAAGCGTAGAGTTTCGGGGTCGTCGAGAATGGCGGAAGCTAAACGCATCGCGGGTTCCATGAGACTGTATTCGCCGCGCTGAAGCCCCTGCCACATATCTTCTCTGAGGAGAGGATGGATTGGCCCGTGACCCGTAGCTGCAGTAAGGCGGCCTTCAGGCATTTGACCCTGTCCAAATCCACCATAAGCTGTACTATTGATAAAGCCAGCCGCTGAGAAAACTTGAAGTCCCCATTTCTCTAGCAGAGGATGCCAATCTGAAACTCGACTGGGCGGACCGACTTTTAGTTCTCCTCTAACGATGGGATCTATCGAAGCAAGCTGCGAGTATTGGCCTCGTAAGCGAGGATGTATTTCGAATCGATTCGCGACGCAATTTAGTCGTGCAACATAGTTCTCTGTGTTGAAGCCATGAGGGACCACTGGTGGCGGATCCGGGATACCATAAGGCGACATGTTTAGGAGGCGAGTCAACTCGAACAAAGCTATGAAAGTTTGTGTTGCTGCTTGATCTACAGAAAGAGATATCGAGTTTCGCTTGATCGATAAAGTCCAGCCGGATTCGGAAGCGGAAGCCACAAAGAACGTTACTTCAACTTTGTAGACGATGCCAGAGATCGCCTGCCTAGTTCCTTTGTTCGCTTTGTATCATCATAATCCCGCGACTTGAGTAACAAGTAACGCGTTGCCGATGGTTTTCACAAAACACTGCGGTGAGCCGATGCCAGAGGTATGGCTGTACGTGTTCCGAATGCGACGGCATAGTTGTTCATGTCGTCTAGCCATCCTTGGGGTATGGTCGCAACAAAGGATTGTCGTATGCCGAGACGCCTCTCTTTGTTGCGGAACGTCAGCCAGAACAATTCGCCAGAAATTGTTCGTCCCTGAATACCTGGAGTAGCATGTTTGGTCTTCAATGGAGTCAAAAGTCTTAGATCCACACCAGATGACTGGTCCAGCAGTCCAGATCTGGATCGTGTCGCTTTCGAATAGCTTCCGGGACAAGGGTGCATGTATTTTCGTAGGACTCAGCGGATGCGGTGACTGTGGCGCAATTCCCGTCATTCTGTGCCACCGAGACAAGCTTTGAAGAAGGACAGTAAAAGCTCAGCTTGCGGTTTGGATATCCTGCTCTCCATCTTCTTCAACTCCGAACAAGACTTTGAGCCAAAGACTGCAACCCTTGCAACCGGTGACGAGCTCTCCGTAGCGCGACTCATTCTCGAGTTCATCTTCCGTAATGATGAAGCCGCGATCCTGGCCACATCTACATCCTCTCCACCATTCACCAGTCTTGTCATCGTAGTCCAAGTCGTCCAGATCTACAATATCAAGTCCGGTGTGGAAGATCTTGTCGCCGCCCTTGTTGCGCGCATGCTGCAAACGTAGTTCGCGATCATAATCAACTTTGGCCGTGGGCTCGGACAAAGTTTTGTATGCGACCGTGATGGAATCCACGCTTCGGGCTGTGTCTCCAGTCTGCGCCTTGTCCGGATGATGTTCGAGCAGAGCTTTTCGGTACGCCTGCTTGATGTCTTGAGCAGTCAGGCTTCCATCGAACTGGCGGTGACCCAGCCCCAACGCTTCGTAATGGTTTGCCATGCATAGAAACAGACCAGTTCCTCCCGGTGCAAACAGCTTTTGTCGCAGTCGTTAGGGTTTGGGAGCAAGACTTTTTCCGTCGCCAACTTGCCAAGCAAATACTGTTGCCCCGCCCTGGGTCGGAAAAGGCAAGGCGTTCCTGGATCGTCCAACGCTACAACGTCAATCGGCAGACCATGCCGCCGTCACACGCCGGCTGAACTGCAGCGTCATCGAAGCAGTGCGAGAACGTGGATGAACCTTGCCGTCGCACAGCAGATCGTGCATGCAGCATGCCTTGCAACCTGTTCTACTATATCGAAGTGCTGTTTGCCATATAACGAGACCATTCGCTAAACATGTCAGGAGGACACTGTCCATATATAGCTCCACCAGACTATGAGAAAAACCATTGACGCGAATACGATCCTTACCGTCACGCTACCATATGATCGTCCTCTTGACATCCTTCTCGTAGGTACGTCGCGTTCCGCTTTGCCCGACTGGGGTTGAGTGTCTAGCCACGACATCCTTTGGCGGACAGCGGCGGCCCAACAAAGGCTGTTCTGCCTTCCGGTCGATACTTGGCCGCGCGGATCCGAGATTTTCTCAACTCTGTTGACCGAGCCCTCCAGGCGATGATGGCGTACCTGCAGTGGCTGGGCGTCATGGTGCTATTTTCGGCGCCCTTTCACCACCCACACCATGCACTAACCCATTATTTCCCCACAAGAGACTTCACGCTCTGTGGCGGAAGCACGGCAGGATCGATGCAAATCGTATGCTTTTCTATGTTGTCGTCACAGAGGCCCACAAGGTACAAAAGAGCTCGGTTCCGTCTTCAGCTCAATTCGCATTTTCTTCCTCTCTCCAAACATACTTCTTCCGTAGGATATTCATCGACATGAGATCCGCTATTCTTTCCCTCGTAGGAGGTGCCTCGACCGTTCTGGCTGCTGCCCGTGGTTTCAACTATGGCTCGCAAGGCAACACTCTCGAGACTTTCGAAGCTCAATTCCGCACCGCACAAGGTCTTGACACCACCAGCGGCTGGGGTTCTGCTCGTCTCTACACCATGATCCAAGAGGGCACTGCCAACACTGTTATCAGCGCTATTCCCGCTGCCATTGCTACCAACACAACTCTTCTCCTTGGTCTCTGGGCATCATCAACCCAGGATGTTTTCAACAACGAGCTCACTGCTCTCAAGAACGCCATTGACCAGTACGGATCTGCTTTCTCCGACCTCGTTGTTGGTATCTCGGTCGGCAGCGAGGATCTTTACCGTGACTCGCCCACTGGTATCCTCTCCAACGCTGGCACTGGCCAGTCACCTGACATCCTCGTTGACTACATCGGTCAAGTCAAGTCTGCCATTTCCGGAACTGTTCTCTCCAGCAAGCCTGTAGGCCACGTCGATACTTGGCAGACTTACACCAACTCGTCGAACGCTGCTGTTGTCGCTGCTGCTGACTTCCTTGGTCTCGACGAGTACCCTTACTACGAGAACACCAACGAGAACTCGGTTGCCAACGCCAACACTCTTTTCTTCAATGCTTACAACGCCGTCGCTGGTGTTGCCAACGGCAAGCCCATCTGGATCACTGAGACTGGCTGGCCCACTACCGGCCCCACTGAGAACCTGGCTGTTCCCAGCGTTGACAACGCCGAGGCTTACTGGAAGTCTATTGCTTGCGAGTTGATCAGCCGTAACATCCCCACCTGGTGGTACATCCTCCAGGACTCTGCTACCCCTAGCTTCGGTATCGTTGCCTCTGGTGAGCAACCCAAGTACGACCTCTCATGCCCCAGCGTTGCCACCAGCAGCTCTGCGGCCCCTACCAGCTCGGTCGCTAGCGCCACCATGCCTACATCTGCCGCTGCCAGCACCACTCTTGCCATCAGCAACGCTGTTCCCTCTGCCGGTTACGCCTCATCCGAAGCCTCTAGCCAGGGTGCCGTCTCATCCGCCGCTTCGTCAGTTGCCTCGATCGCCCCCTCGGTCTCTTCCGCTGTCTCGTCTGCCTCGTCGGCTGCCAGCTCCGTGATTGCATCCATCGCTCCCTCTGCCTCCTCGGTTGCTTCTTCTGCTGCCGGAACCACCGTTGTGCCCGTTACCACCAAGGCCGCTACCTCTGTTGCTGAGGACGGCGAGACTGTCACCATCTTCTCTACCACTTTGATCACCGTCACCAACTGCGGTTCGACTGTCTCGGACTGCACCAGCACCGGCATGACCACTGTCATCTCTGCTAAGCCCAGCGTCACTTCTGCCGCTGCTTCGACTGTCGTTCCCAGTGGTACTCCTGCTGCATCAGGCTGTCCTGCCGACATCAACGGTGCTTACCAGTACCCCCACTTGATCGTTCCCGTCGATGCCTCCAACCCTAACAAGGCCTACGGTACTCAGTACAACGGCACCATCAACTCCAAGGTCTCTACTATCTTCAACTTCGACATCCCTGCCTCGTACGCTGGCAAGACCTGCTCGACCGTCTTCCTCTTCCCCCAGCTTGACCAGCTCGAGACCTCCAGCTACTCCTTCAACGACAAGGGTGGTTTCACCATCGCTGTTCTTAACGGTGTGGCTGACGAGTCTACCACCTACGCCAACGCCCCCGCTGTTGCCAAGCAGGTCGGCTCAGTTGACGCCCTCAAGCGTGGTTCTTCCTACACTCTCAGCCACGACGCTTGCCCCGCTGGCACCAGAGTTTCCTTCGAGGTCACCGCGACTGGAGGCCTTGATTTGAACTACTTCCAGGACTACAATCCTTCGCCTCTCGGCCTCTACGTTCGCGCCTGTTAAGCGTGTGTATCACGTTTGATATGTACCAGACGCAAACCCTTGTTGTTGGACATTTTTCTCATGTTTTACGTCCAGCATAACGAAAGATCAAAAGCACGCACACTTATAATGTAATCACTTCATTATGTGGCATGTTTTACGAAGCATTACCACCATCTGTACATTTAAATACAATTTCTCAAAGAAATATATCAATTTAGACCCCTATGTTGACCACCCATCTGCACACTCTGCACGAAATCTGTGATGAACTTGACCAACATCTAATGCATACACGAATCCACTGATAGCAGAACTTGGTGACGATTCAATACATGTTCCTTGCAAAATGTTTTCAGGTTGTTGTAGGTCTAATATACTAGAAAAGGAAGTCGCGCTAGTGTCAAGCGAGCAGCTTCGCCGAAGCCTCCTGCCCACTTCCATTGCTTGTATGCTTGGAACCTCGAGATATCTCTGCCAAACAACCAATTCTCGAACCAATACGTAGAAGTGATTATTCTGTTCCTCCAAGACACTTCCGCAACTTGTTGCACCCATGCCTAAACGCCCGGCTAGGACTCCAAGGGCCGATGCCCAGAACAAGACCAAGTCGAAGCTGCGCCAAGATGTCGAGGCCCTTGTTCGCGACCACTTTATGCTCATCAACGACAGCCCCGACCGTATCCACGAAGCAGTGGCTTCAAACGTCCAATCGACTACTGTCACAGCTTTCTCGCATAAGGTTGTAGACCCTCCCGTGTGCTGAGGTTTGCAATCCTAGTCCCCTTGACTCCTTTCTCCTACGAAAGCACAAAGTGTAATGCTCGCTATAAAAAGGCACAGAGATTTCTAGACTCGGACAATGTCCAAAGAGAGCCCATGAGACGCCGCATCTCTATGGATGCGACTCGACTCTCGAGAACCCTGTGCATTTCTGGAGCTGGACGCGTTACGAACCTTTGCACATAGGAAGGACGGAATACCCGACTTCTTGCGAGATCAGCTCAATGAAGACAAAGTCGATCTCGATGCACTTACAGCAAGAGTCAGCGTCGACCTACAACTGCAGCCTACCAGGGGTAGACGTGGCACATACCTACATCTCGGCAGACTACGAGTCCTCGTCCAGACGAAAATCGCTCTTCCCGCTACTACAGTCTCTGGCGTTCGGAGGACAAACCGCAACCCTGGAAGAAAGGGGGCCCTCTACGGTGGCAAAAGCGCCCAATGGAAGGGGATTCCCACCCGGACCTCCCGTCACAAACAAGGCCTGACTGGCGAGAAAGACTTGCAAATCTACCAGACAATGGAGGACATGAATCTAGAGCCGATTACAGTAAACTTCTGGCTGGCAAAAGATGACGACGAGGATCCTATGGAGGTGTACACCATCGTGGAGACGCTATTGACCAGTAGATTTGGTCTTTACACGGACAAAGTCGGAGCACTGAAGAAGGACCTTGCAAACCTCCCTTCCTATGGCATTTTCCAGTGTCACCAAGAGTTCGTGCCCTCAAACGAACAGTTAACCATCAACTCGGTCGCAGGGGAGCTCATCGACAAAGCATCCGCTCTCGCCAATCTTCGTGATTACGAGTATGAGAGGCGCAAGGTCAACACCGGTCCAAGGCCTCAGGACCATGAAGACAGATACCAGCAGAGGGCGGCGGTGCCTGTGGCTGATGGCGATCCCTGCCCCGTCGAAGGCTGTGGTCGACCCCTCATGCCTGAGAAGCGGCGCTTCCATCGGGCAACCAACCAATGGATATGTCAAACATGCAGCTGACGAGCCGACCAAAATGGCGATGTGCTTCGGCCAGTGTTGAGGCCAAAAGCAGTAACATCCGAAGAAGACAAGGCGAGTGCCGGAATGGAGGAAAGACAGACGGACCTGGGTTCGTAACGGCTGCAGGCTATACGATTTGGCTCCTAGGGGGATGAGTTCTGATAAGGGTACATCTGACACTGCGGGCGCGAAGGTATAAGTTTCCAGTCGATCAACGGCCTGATGAGATATAGCAAAAATATGCATAGAAGACATGCATCCGGAGTGGTGGAGGAGCCTGAACCGCTTCATACCATCGCGTTGAGGAAGCCGGTCAGGGGCCAAGCCGGCCACTCCATTCGAATAATCACAAACGCCCACCAAAATAAGGTGATCGATTCCGCACCCCGACTATAGCAGAACCACGCCTGTAATTGAGATTACTCGCTCTTTTGCACTTGAATCTTCGGGACCAACAGTGGCAGCATCTGACTCCCAGAACAGTTTGCCAGGTAGCTTGCTTACAAGGGTTTTGTCCTTGTTGAGTTCGATTGAGAGCATCTGACCATACGCACCCCTTCGTTTGTCGGCCTTTGTGTATGGTTTGAATGGTGTACCGATACGACGAATGTCGACGTGCGGATTCCATGCAAAGAGGGCAGCCACCTCTACAAATCTGACAGCATTTTGAGGGGCCCCTTTGAGGCCTCCATGACCCCAAGTTGCATTCCAGTTATCGACCGGAAGGTCTTCGGGAAACCTGTTGAGGATGTCGCAAAGGATGGTACAGAGAGCAATAGCATCGTCCTTGGTCGGACAAATGTGCAGTTCGAGACATCCATCATCCGGGATAGGATAAGGGCCGTGCCCAACAAACACTTTGTTTCTCGTGATCCGTTCCCTTGCTCCACGGGGATTGAGTCTGTATGGGACTATAGTATGGCTGCCTGGTCGTGACAAGTCCTGTGGAGTCGCCCACCAGACGGGGAAGGTGTCATCGCCGCGAGTGATGTTACGGGTTTCGATTTGGATGATCTGCCAGTCACGTCCTTGATTTTCAAACTCAGACACATGAAGTAGACGTCCGGGGGTCGGTGTATAGTCAGATACTGCTCCTGAGCGTAAGCTCATGCCGCACTTGTTGACTAGAACGTCGAGATTGCGCGAATTCCTGCCATCAGTGGAGTTGGAGCCTTCGGGTGTGTTCTCCTGTGACCCTCCCTTCTTAGCGTGTGCGATAAGGCCGTCCATGAGCTTCTTCCTCTTCTGGCCTGTTGGGGATGCACGGCGTTTCTTGCGGCCTGCTGGAGGGTCCTTCTTTGTACGCCGTTTTGAAGACTGTGTTTGTACTGATGTTTCTTCTTCCTCGTTGATCCTTGAGCGCCTGAATGGTCGTGGAGGAGGCTCGTAATCGTCCGACTCGATAGCATTGTCGTCTGACTGGATGGGGTCTTGAATGTAATCACCCTCCTCGTCGTCACTGTCAAGGATGGTAGTATGACGGAGCATCGTGATGATGTCTGATGTGCGGTGAACTGGCAAATGAAGCTTCAATGGGGTTTTGTCTGACTATGCTGGTATTGAGAACACAGGAGAGTTTGTAATCTGGTTGGGCTCGTCAATGTGGAAAGCCGTATCAGGCGGCCGCTCCTTCTCCCACTGCTCTTTCCACAACCCACTTCGTTCATCAGCCCCGCGCACGCAAGCATCTGAGCGTTCCTAATTATGGTCGTGAGTGATGTCAGATGATAAATCAGGCACAAGTGGCTGTAGTCAGATTCAAAAACATGCAGCGTTCAACAAATGAGTTTACAGAGCATTTTCCTGGTGTCGGATTTTGATACGTGTGGAGGTTTGCACAGAGTGCAAGGGCTTCACGCCAAAGACGTGGAGGAGTATGTGAGAGCGTATATACCTAGTACGATGCATATATTCTTGTAGTAGGAACAAGCCAAGAAGTAAAATTCTAGGAGAAATGAATCAAATCTAGTATTGTTGAGTAGCTAGAGGATAAATTTAGTGGTTGTAAAGATATTACAAATTGAACGTCGCGGTATCAAAGTGGCCAGCTTCTACGTCTGACCGGCTTCCTCATGTGTGACGGTAGTCACTGAACCATCACTCCCTACTCGATGTACAAGCTATACTTTCGAAGGTCTAGTATCCTCTGTAAAGGTCTTGTGTTGTCAAGTTGTTGGAGGCTTGAAACCCTACAAAAGATACAGTTGCGCTGAGGCTTGAAATCCTACGAAAGATACAGTTGCGCTAATATCAAGCAATTGGCTTCTTGTCAATTCTTTTTGATTGTACTCAGAACCTCGAGATATCTCTGCCAAACAACCAGTTCACAAACCAATATGTAGGGATAAGTATCCTGTTCCTCCAAGAAACCGACTTTGCGAGGTACGCTCCCCTCCAGATCAACCAAGCGACTCTTCCACTCACGTCTCCGCCCGAAGATTGCATTATAGCATTCCAGTTTCCCACATATGCCATTACTCCCAAGTCCTTGTAGGTGAAGGCATTGCTGTCGATGGTATCGCGGTTGAGCTGTTTGGCCAGCCATCGAGCTTTCTGGTTTGCAACTTGAGCTGTAGCAGGGTACGCCGAGTTCTCCATGATCGCACAGTCGCCCAGGGCGTAGACGTCGTTGATTATTGCTCTGCCGTTGACCTTTCCGCCGACTTTTGCTTGGTCAGAGGGTTGCATGATCACGCGTAGGCGGTCATTTGTCATGATACCACCGCTGCGTGGGTGAGTGGAGATGTTCCAACTCTTTGCATCCGAGGGTGTTTCGACTGCAGCACTGGAAATGGGTATGGTGTAGGGTTTGGCGAGCGACTTTGAGATGAATGGGTTCATCATCAAGCCTGTGCTCCAGACCACCATGCCGACGCCTACTTCGCCTTCTTCCTGAAGCTCTAGAGTGTAGCAGCTCGTGTCGTCCTTGACTACTTGATCACCGTCTGCTTCTTGTAGTTTCTTGGGTGAGCCTCTGCGTAGTGATTTGACGTGGTGAGAAGTCTTTACGTCGATGCCTTCGCGGGTGAAGCGCTCAATGGCGTATCTGGCGAGTTTGTCGTCGAACATGCTGAGGACTTTCTCGGCCACATCGTACACAGAAATCTTGTAGTACTGCATGAGGTCTGGATAGATCTTGGCCATGTCTTCGGCGATGAGATCGTGGAGTTCGGCAGAGAACTCGATACCAGTGGGACCGCCTCCGACAACAGCAAATCTAAGCAGCTGTCTCTTCATTTCTTCGCTAGTGGTTGGGAGAGAAGCCGTCTCAAAGCCTGTAATATGATCAGTGATACGAACAAAAGATTGTTTTCCGTGAGGATCTTACAGGAAAGCATTCTGTTACGGATCTTTCTGGCATCACCAACATCTTTGAGGAAGTATGCGTTCTCCTTGACACCAGGTGTTCCAAAAGTCTGAGAATAACATCCCACAGCTACAACCAACTTATCGTAGTTCATCTCAAACATTTTACCCTTCTTCGGCTCAGCACCTTTCTCCTGCTCCAGTTGATTTGCATTCTGATCCTCGCGGCCATCAGCCGTCAAAGCCATGGCTTGCCATGGATTCTCAACAGCCTCCTCGACTCTCAACGTCTTGGTCACAAAGTCCACGGAATCAGCCCAACCTTGGAAGAATTCTACCTTTGTGCGACGAGAGCGAACGGGCTCGAGAGCCGTGCGGAACTCGAGCGTACCTGTTGAGGTTGAGGCGAGTAGAGGGGTAAAGACAAAGTAGGAGCGAGGCGATACAACGACAACTTGATATTTCTTGGGGTCAAGGTCACGGGCAAGTGTATAGCCAGCCCAGCCTGCGGTAAAGGTGAGATAGAGCACAAGTGATGGATACTAGCAGCAAGAAAACTCACCAGAGCCTAGTACGACAACCCGTTCTCGATCTAGGTTCGTGTTAAGGCAATTCGTTGGATATGGCCAATGTCTAGACATGATTACACACCTCCTTTGCTGCTTTCAATGCTCCTTGTGAAGAACCGCGTTTGTATTGTTGAAGTCAGTTGACCAGCATTGGTCGTTCTTGAAATAGTGTCCTGGCCATGACCTCTCAAGATAGCGGCTGTAGCACTGGAACTATACTGGCCGGTCACACCGAGTGTTCGCGGCAGAGTCCTTGAAGCTAGCATTATAGAGTGTGAGTTCGGATGCAAGAAATATGAGGAACCAAAGCGAAGAGGGTCATAGAAACCACCTATCTATCTATTCAGAACCACGATCGAGTATTGGCCGAGGGTATCTACTCGACCACCGTTTAATTGTTTTTGGCCGAGTCAAGATGACGATGGTTCGGAAGCCGCGGTTCCAGTCGCCGAGAGTCGCTTCATCCTTCCGCCGTCTCCACAAGCCCAACCACCCTCCTTGGCCGTGCTCTGTATCCGTACTTGAACGAGAAATCCCAACGCTCGCTCCGAATGATACCCTAGCAAAAGATGCCTCTATCGTGGGGACCGCATACACAGGTCAGAACCGTCTCTTGTTAGTATACACCCTGCCTGCTAGTGGTACACGAACGTTGTTCTATTACACTCCATAATCATTACCTAGACAGTCTATAGTTTTGCTCTGGTATGCCCCGAATAACTCCTGACAGCTAGTCAACCTCGGTCGTGAAATAATATAAAAGGGTCATTGCTTCATGGGTACTTTTTGGATTCAATGCGCTCGGGAATGTTCTCGGCCTTGTCTTTGCCTTCAAGAATATCTGCATCGTGTTAGCGTCGGCTAGTTAAGCCATGTAGTAGGTTGGTATGTTGCTTACTGTAGATGGCAGTGAACAGAGGGAACTCGTCCTCAAGACCCTGCTTCTTCAGGAAGTTGTTGACATCGGCAGCAGTGCTGGTTCCCTGCAGCTTTTGGCCGTTGAGTTCTTGCTCCTCGACTTCGTTGATGGTCATGCCACGCTCGACACTCATCTTCGCACAGCGGAAGTTGCGACCACCGCTGCAGCTGGTGATCAGATCTGCAACACCGCAACTCTCCTCGGTGAAAGTCTCTGTTCGGACAGAGTCGGCAAAGAACATCTTGCCAAACTTGACCTGTTCCAAGATACCGACACGCATGACGGCAGCCTTTGCATTATCTCCCCAGCCCAAGCCATCAACGAAACCAGCACCCAGAGCGACAATGTTCTTGAGCGCACCACCAAGTGACACGCCGGCGACGTCTGAGACCATGCGGACGTGGAAGTAAGGGCGATGGAAAATCTTCTTGACGTTGTCGTGACTGAGGGGAGGATACTCGCTAGGCAGGGGGTAGAGCTTGATCTTCTGATGCTGGTCTTGCTTGCCGCTGAGCTGGGAGAGATCAATCTCGGAAGCGCGAGGGGAGCCCCTGGGGGTAGGCTGCTGGCTGTCCATGGTAGGGGGGTCATATGCGACGGTGGTTTCGGAAAACTTCTCGAGAGCAACCTCGGTAGCAATGTTTGCTCCCGACAAGGCGCCACAGTAGATATTTAACTTGCGGCCAATCCACTCAGAAAAGAGCTCAATGCCATTGTCGTTGACTTCTACACCTTTGATGCAAGAGATACCACGAGCATAAGGCAGGATCTTGCCCTGCAACGTGTTGCATGTCTTCTCGATGAACTGGTGAGGCAGGTTGAAGATGAGGATGCTGGCGTCCTTGACCGTGTCTTCGAGCGAGGCGTTGGCGATGATGTTCTTGGGGAGGGCGACATTCGGCAGGTACTTGACGTTCTCGTGTATGTCGTTGATGATGTGGGTCAACTTTTGCGGCTTGTCATCGCCCTTGTAGTGTTTTGATTCCTTGGGGACGGGCACCTCCTCTTCAAAGACCCACATCTGGACATCCTGCTCGAACAGATCGCTGTTGGCTTGGGTGTTCTCTGCGACAACCTTGGCGATGGTAGTGCCCCTGGGAAGCGTCAGTCCCTCCGGTCTTCAGCTATGACGTGGGATCTGGGTCGGTCAGGGTTGCTGTTCACGTACCAGTTGCCAGAGCCGACAATGGCGACCTTGTGCTTCTTCTGATATGCGCCGAGAGTAGCCATGGTTCGCGGTCGTAGGAATGAGGTTCTAGGGAGTCGAGCTGCAAAGTTGGGGATGGGTGAGAGGGGGAGATTGCTGGGGAAGCGGTGATTGGAATTGACGAAGGAGCGACGCAAACAGGACAGTACAAATATCTCTGGCATTCCCACTCAATGTTCGTTGGGACTAGCTGACACGCAGTAACACAGACAACTCACTGCTTTTTGCCGTCGTCTGGGAACTTTTTTGCTGCCAGCTATGCTGCACTCCACAAAACGTCACTTGTTGTTAATCAAGCGTGCCGACCTACTGGTCGAGATCGCCGCCAAACGAAGCAGATCTAGATGCCTTTGTTCCGACTTCATCTCTCAGACAACTCGACTACTCTTTTGATTTCAGATTGTCAACACCCATCTACAGTTTACGAATGCAATACCATCTCCATCCGACGGTCTCATATGTGCAGACACCTTGTCTCGGGCTCCAGCTGTCTGTGTGACATTGACCTGAGACTTCCCCGGCTTCATGCTGCCCCGTGCGCGTATCCAGCCCAGATTTGATTGGTTCGGCCGTCTGTATCGCCGCGATACACATCACAACAATTAAAGTATTGAGTGCGTTGCTGCAATGTGGGATCAATGTTGTTTATTGAGTCATTAACTACTGGGGGAAAAGAGGCATCACTACAGATGCATAGAATATAAAAGCCCGTTCGACCCAAAAGAACAACTCCGTCGCTGGTAATGGTGAACAAAAACGCCTACTCTCATGCCCGGTACCATTCGTATACTGTGCCGTTATTACTTCCACTCGGGGTATCCATCGCTGTCACATAATCCGTGTCAAGGCCATCTACTGACCCTGCTTACAGAGCGTAGGCGAAAAGACCGAACAGAGAGGCGACGAGAGCACCGTTGCCGACGGTGACTGCGGTGGCAGCACCAGTCGAGACAGCGGACGAGGCGCTCGAGGCAGCCGAGGAAGCGCCACTAGCGACAGCGGAAGTAGCGCTGGCAACGGTGCCGCTACTGGAAGTAGCAGAAGAGCTGGAAGCAGAGGTCGAAGAAGAGATGATGTTGGAGGCAGTCTGGTTGCCGCAAGAAATCTTCTGGCACTGGTCCTGAGCAGTGGCGTTTCCAGCGTTGGTGGCGAGGCACTGGCCCTTGTACTCGTTACAGACGAAGGTAGGGATGGTGTTCTGGTACAGCGACATATCAGGGCTGACACCATTGTTGCAGACACAGGTGTAGGTCAGGTCGGACTGCGCAAAAAGTCAATACAATGGTCGGTGAGGTGAACATGATGGTACTTGCCTGAGTGCAGGTGTTGGACTTGTAGAGGTTACCACCGCACAGGATAGGGCAGGTGTTGGTCTCGGCACGGCACCAGTTGGCTCTGGTGGTAGAGTCGACCGAGTTAGGGTCGATGGTGTAGTTGCCAGACTGGACCTGGGCGGCGGCAAGGCCAGAGAAGGCCGAGGCGGCGAAGAAGATGGTGGAGTAGAGCATGTTTGCAACGAAGATCTACGCAGGCTCAAGCGTTAGATGCGACAGCTCTGGGGGAGAAGATGGAGGAGGATTGCGCGTCCATGCGAGTCATAGCACGGGCGTGAATGATTTGCATGCGCTCGGAACATGAGAGGACTTACTGTGTGATTAAGAGTCGATGGTCTGGTGATGTCGTCGATTGTAGAGGCAGAAATGCAATGGAGAGTGGGTTATTGAGACGGAGAGGAAGGAAGAGGACGGTTGACGGGGACACCAGGCATAAATACAGGAAAGAGGGCAGGAAGCATCGTGGATGCCGCGCCGGAGGACCGTGGCAACCGCGCTAACCAGCTCGTCTATTCTCATCTCCGCCCTCATCTACTGCTACCTGCTTTTGACTCTTTGAGCCCTCTAGTTCTTTCTGTGAAATTGTTTGCTGCTACCGGCCTTCTCCTTTCGTCGCTCGCATAATAACACAAGCGATGCCCTCAGGACACTCGCATCTCAAAGGGCGGCGTTGTGATACTCCCAGCCATCTTTTCCATCTTTCCCTCTTTTACCACGCGCCTTGCATGAACTTTATCCTGTTTCTTTGCCAATGGATCTGCCTCGGTCCTGGACTTGGCGGCCTTTATCGCGCAAAGTTAGCTAGCTCGACATCCAGCGGGGCAGTTGCTGGTATCTGCGGCTCAGAGCTCTACCTACTTTTTTGATCAATTCTGCCCACCCGATCTTCCTCTTGCGTGACCATGATTGAGCGGCCGAAGTCACGCCCGTCGTCGCGCATCCTGTCGCACAGGTGTCACTGTTATGCAAACGCTGCAAGCTACTTGTAACTTCCACCATGTTGTTGAAAAGCCAAGGGCTGAAACGGCCTTGTCAACTTGATGCATCGGTAAGGTTTGAAGCATGCAAGACAGACACACATGCATACGACCACTCTGGCCAATTTAAACTCCCAGCCTGCGTCGTGTCGTCTGAGAACGCGAAGACAACACGCAAAGAGCCACCGTACTTACGTACGACGAAAGATTGCCACACTCGCATCGTGGTTGCTGAGTCGCTTGGCATAGCATCAGGATCTTGCTCCGAGGGGAATGCCTTTTTTGGTACTGTGATCTGCATGTCATTCTGCGGCCAAGCCGGAGCACCGTGGTGATATATCCGGCGAACGACTCTTGTCCAAGAGACACGGTCTGATAGAGCATTCGGACCGGCATTCATAGAGGGGATATAGCAATGTAAATACTTCACTCATAGCATTGAATGAAATTTTCCACTCAAGAAAGCTGCTTGGCCGAGAAAGAGACAGACTTCTTGCTGTATAATAGTTCAGAAACCATGTGGCATGACGTGAAATTTGCGGCTCTCAGTCATCAGTCACAACGTCGAGAACCACAGCTTCGCTAGAGCTGTCACCTCGCAAACAACGTTCACTGCCACACAAAACACAAAGTCAGTCATCATGGGCCGCTTGGCTACTATATCAACTTGTCAGCTCAATCAGTGGGCGCTTGACTTCGATGGCAATCGCGACCGCATCCTGGAAGCTATCCGTCAGGCCAAAGCAGCCGGATCTAAGCTGATACTCACTCCGGAACTCTGCATTCCCGGATATGGCTTGCTCGACCATTTCCAAGAGCTAGATACATTCTCTCACTCCTGGGAGGTTGTGGCCGAGATCATCAGCTCCCCGGAAACCCAGGACATTATCATCGATCTGGGCCTACCTGTCCGCCATAACGATGTTCCGCACAACGCCAGAGTGCTTGTTTTGAATGGCAAGATTCTCGCCATTAGACCCAAAATTGACCTCTGCAATGACGGCAACTATCGCGAGATGCGTTACTTCACTCCATGGACCAGATATCGTGTCGATACATACACGCTACCACTCGAGATGCAAGAACTCACTGGACAGACTGAAGTACCCATCGGAGACATCATCTTCCAGACCTTGGATGCTACTTTCGCTTCCGAACTTTGCGAGGAGCTTTGGACGCCTGACTCGCCCCACATACAGTATTCTCTTAATGGCGCCGAGATCATTCTCAACTCTAGTGGTTCTCATCATGAACTGCGTAAGCTTGACACACGCATCAACCTGATCACGAATGCTTCCAAGTCTGGTGGCGTTTATATGTACTCGAATCAGAGGGGTTGCGATGGCGATCGCTTGTACTACGATGGTTGTTCTCTCATCGCAATCAACGGCCAGATGGTCGCCCAGGGCAGTCAGTTCTCTCTCCGCGATGTTGAAGTCATCACATCTACCATCGATCTTGATGATATCTGGTCCGCACGCCAATCTCGCAGCAGAGGAATGCAAGCAATGAAGGCGCACGATTTCGAGCGGGTCAAGATCGACTTCGCCATGACGCAAAAGAGCCAGTCTAACCTCAACCTCCGCATTGCAAAGACGATCGAGCCCCGTTACCACAAGCCTGAAGAAGAAATCGCCCTCGGTCCTGCTTGTTGGCTCTGGGACTATCTGCGAAGATCTGGAGCTGCAGGTTACTTCGTCCCTCTCAGTGGTGGTATCGATTCTTGCGCGACTGCAACGATCGTGTTCTCTATGTGCAGGTTGGTCATCGCAGCCATCAAGGAAGGTGATGAACAGGTTATCAAGGACGCAACACGCCTTTGTTCTGGTAGCGAGGTTGACGTGTCCAAACTGTCCGCTCAGGACTTTTGCGGCAAAGTGTTCTCTTCTGCCTTCATGGGTATGAAGGAGCAGTCCAGCAAGGAGACTCGCAGCCGTGCCCAGGAACTCGCCGAAGCAATCGGCGCCCACCACATTGACTGCAACATTGATGAAGTTTTCAACGCTGTCAAACATCTCGTGTCCACCACTCTCAACTTCGAGCCCAAGTTCAAAGTCCACGGAGGAAGTCAGGCAGAGAATCTTGCGCTTCAAAACTTCCAGAGCCGCACGAGGATGATTCTATCATACGCATTCGGTCAGCTCCTGCCTACCACTCAGGGGCGTGCAGGCGGCTTGTTGGTTCTTGGATCGGCCAATGTCGATGAAGCACTTCGCGGTTACCTCACCAAATACGACTGCAGCAGTGCAGACATTAACCCCATAGGTGGCATTAGTAAGACAGACTTGATTCGCTTCATAGCATGGGCGGAACATGCATTCGAGCTGCCCATTTTGCAAGAGTTTATCGATGCCACCCCCACTGCCGAGCTGGAGCCCATTACGAGCGACTACGTACAGTCCGACGAAGTTGACATGGGCATGACATATAAGGAGCTGTCTGTTTATGGCTACCTCAGAAAGGTCCGTAAATTCGGAGTCTACTCGATGTGGGAGAAGCTCTGCGTCGACTGGCAAGACCAGCACACTCCGCGAGAAGTGTACAAGAAGGTCCGCGACTTCATGTACTACTACGCCGTGAACAGACACAAGATGACAACCATCACACCAGCATACTACGCAGAGCAATATGCACCCGATGACAACCGCTACGATCTTCGTCCGTTCTTGTACCCACGCTTCACTTTTGCGCACAGGAAGATCGAGAACGAGTTGAAGATGATGGAGGCTGGAGAGGCCGGCGGCGCAGGAAAGAAATGATAGCTGCAGGGGGCCTCAAAGCAAGGTCGAGAGACTTTTATACTCTGCAGGGCAGATGGCTATTAGACAGAATCATTGCAACACCTTAAAATCGCACAATCAACTCGACATAGTATCTATCGTTTTTTCTGTACGTTCAAGCATCTCTGGGATGTTGAATGTGAAGTGTTACAGGACAGAACTGGGGATAAAATCCCCGACGGCGGTCCGAGGCGAGGGTCCCTGCAAGCAGGAGGCTAATCGAGCACCGAATCAGCTAGTGGCTTTCCGCAGAGACTATAGAAACGTTAAACACTTTAACTTCAAGTCACGAAAGTCGATGAAAGTGTTCAGCTTCAGGCAATCGAGAGTTGGCTGAAGCCACTGAGGCACAAAGGAAACAATCGTGCTGCATGGAACATATCAGAAACAAGAAATAAGGTCAGAGGTGGTTGCGAGTCGCACAAGCCACAGAGGGCTACTCGAGACGAGGACGGCGAACAGGTCAGAGACCCAAGTGAAACACCGACGTTGCAACAGACGGGGTGAATGCCGAACTGCTTGAAGTGCAGAAAACTGCGTGGTAGAAAAGAAGGACGGGGATGCAGGTGTAAGGCGGATGCAGGTGCAAGGAAGCGAGACGTCCTGAGGGCCGACACGGGTGAAGAAAGGAAATGAAATAGATTGTGAGATAGATGAACAGGCGTGCGGGTAAGGTACTCGGTTGTATGTGGCTTCCTCTGGCCGTTTGTGGTGACGGTCGAGGCAGGTGCGTTGGCAAGAGAAGCCCGTTCTTTCCTCTTGCAAGACGTCCACACTGCGACAATCACGACTGACATTGTACGCCCCTTGACACCTACTCATATTTTTCGTCGCCGACCACCAAGCACGACGGGCAACACGAATATCCAAAGGCAAACCTGCATTTTGCCGACCTCCCTATCAAAGCAAACGCGAGCAACGCGGCCTGGTAGACTACATCATCGCCGACCAGCTACAAAGGCTTTACCAACGCCAGAGCAAACAAGCCTCACAACACCCGCCGACTACGACCTCGCACACGTCTGCACACGCTGCTTGTGCTGCAATCCTGCCATGAGCATCCGCTGAGCAGAAAGCAATGCACCCGGCGCCGCTATAGCAACTGCCCCCGTATTCGCCCCGGTCAACCACTGAGAAGCACGACACCATGGATCCGCCCTCGTCCGACACCGCACGTGCGGCCTCCAACCCCGTCGCAGCCGCGACGACTGCACCTCTGCTCGAAACGCCGCGATCTCTATCCACTGCCACATCCCAACGATCTATTAAGGATCTCGTCAATCGTTTCAACCAGCAGTCGACCAAAGACCAAAAAGTCCCACAACCACCACAGATCGCTCCACGCTCCCGTCTCCAGCGCCCGCTGCGCTCGCCCACTCGCAACCGCACTGCTTCCTCTCCCCAAGCCCGCGCTTCCACCGCCCAAGACACCATTTCACCGCTGAAGAGCCCCACCCGCCGCAGCAAGATCCGCCCACCCGCTTCACTTTCTTCTGACCAACTCCTTTCCCGCAAACATGCTCCTCATGACCCGGCTCATGACAGCTTCTTCTCTCTGGCACCCCGTCGAGGGTCTGATGGTAGTTTGAGCTCCTCCTCGGCACCTTCGTCCAACATCCACAAGCGATCGCACTCCAGTGTCGAATACCACCTACCCGCTCCTCTGCACTCAGGTCGCTCACGCCCCAGTACCGGTCACAGGCGAGTGCGCAGTGACTTTGTCGGTCCTGAAGCTGGTTCTGCTCTGTCGATCCAGTCCATCCCGTACAACTCGCTTCCTCGCAATGCCTCGACTTCGTTGGTCAGCCCCTCGCGAATCCCTGTCAGCAGCTCCAGACGTGCTGTCAGCGTGGAGCCTATCTCTCCAACAACCTCACGCCACATCTCGCAGATGGGCCAGTCGATCAATCACTTCCCTGCTCCTACCTCGCCTCGTTCCCGCCACACGTCGTCTCAACGTGCTCCTTCTTTTGGCTCGAGCCCCCTAAGCCTGCCCACACTCGGCAACACACGGTACGATCCTCCTTTGCATCAGCAATTTAGTCTTGTGGGCAACAGTCTCCAAGCCTTCATAACTGCACCCCCTCCTTCAAAGTCTCCTCCGCTAAGAAGTTCACGACCTAGGCCTCCCATTTCGTCCGCTACTACAGCTGCTTCACGTGCCCGATCTGGCCAACGATTTGAATCCTCACTTGCTTCGCAGAACAATGACCCTGGAAGATTCCGAAAGAAGAAGATCCCAGAGCTGGACAACATCAACCTTGCTGCGCGAAAGGAGAAGATTCAACGTGCATTTAGCGACAAGTCAGCTGAGGCTCTCGGAAGGAGCAGTCTGAGTGGTAGCGATTCGAGACGTGGAAGCAATGTCAATGACGCGGCCAGCGATGATCGAGAAGACCAGAGCGGCAATGGCCACGACATGGACTCTTCGTTCGAACACACAGATGCAGAGTACACCGACACGGAACAAACCGAAGTCGACAACACCGACACGGATCTTTTGGAGGCCTCCGGTCCACTGTCACCAATCACCCCCCGCAATATACCTGGATCCTTTATCGATTACGAGGATTCACCACTCTCTACCAAGCTTGTCAGTACCCCTGAAGGTCCTGCGCATCCTGGATTGGGTTCCAGCCCGCCGAGTCATGGCGCTGATCACGCTATCTATGAAGAGGAGGACGAGGCAGTGGCAGACAGTTGCGACGAGTCTTCAGCTGAAGAAATGGCACCCGGCACGCTCCTCAGCCATGTTATGAAGATGCGGGAGAGAAGCTTATCGAGTGCTTCTCATACTGACTTTGAAGAGGGCTCTTCGTTCACACCTTCGGAAGACGGAGATCGTGCTTCGGTTCAGATTGCGCCTCGAGACGATGCTGCACCGGCACGGAAGGCCGAGGATTGGTCTTCTGATTTGCCGTCTTCTCCTGCACCCTACCAGGCTTCTGGGCAGTCAGAATCCTCTCCATCACCACCCAGTCAGCAAGCTCCTGTGTCTCACCGTATTGACTCGGACGAGGACAGCTTTGCCAGCGATGTCGCTCAGGTCGGACTTACTTCTCCTTGGCTTGGACAATTACCACATGTTGCACACCTGGAAGAAGCGGAGCCTGAGACGCCCAGAAAATCCGACTTCGTCAGGGCTTCAACCTCAGCAAACCTCGTACCGGATGAAGACAAAACGCCACGCCAGTCAAAGCGTGCAGGTCGAGCTTCGGCGTTAGCCATCCTGCCAGACTGGAATGAGGATGGCCAAGCGCGTGAGGCTGTGAACCGTATCACTAGCCAGTATCAGGAGGTTGGCTCTGTGTCGCCTCAGATGCTCCACGACTTCCAGCAACACGTCGTTCCACTTTCTCCCAGCCTGTCCAAGGCTGAAGCCAACGATGCAGACTCCGTGGGGTTCCTTCTTGACAGCATCCTGCGAGAACAAGCCGGTTCACCCCAACCGAGGAAATCGACAAGTGGCTACCTTTCCCCAACGTCATACAATCCTTCTGATCGCATCAACATGGAGACACCGGAGGAGGAGACTTGCGGCACTGCGATTGTCTACAGCACCACATATAGACGATCTGCTGCAAGCTTGCCCAGAGCCTCTCAGGATGCCCTCAACGACAATTCTTACCTGCAGTCTTTCTCGCCTTCTAGTATCATGGTCAACACTCCTGCATCTCGGTATGATCTAGGCACTTCTGCCTCTGAATACTCGGGCACTGTGACACCAGTCTTGCCAGATACTGCACCTGGTGCAACCGACGACGACGACGACAACGACGATTACCGTCCCCCACCTCCACCAAAGGACTATGGTTACTCGCCCCGATCCAGCACTGGGCAGCTGTCGATGAGTTCACTGAGTCAGGCATTGCCTTCGTCTCGTAGCAGCAGATCTTCTGACAGACTTCGGCTTCCGGAAATTTCTATGGGCACTGGGCTTGGACTCACCATGTCGAACTCCTCCGCGGACACTACAAGACCACAGCCACCGTTGCCGGAACACTCGCCTCCCCCACCTCCGTTTGCCAGCAGACAAGAGTTGCCGTTCGAGGTCATCCTCACAGACGCTTCTCCAGGGCCCACATTCACCAGTCACCCAACAAGTCCGGTATCAACGCGATCAAAGATACAAGATGAACGCCACAGAAATTTCTCAACGCCCGCACGCCCATCGATGGAGTCAATGAAGCCTGAGATGGTCCCGTTACCTCCTTCACAGTCGATGTCTTCATTCCAATCTTCCTCCGTGCGACCATCTGTCGACTATGGCCCACCACCTTCAACAATGCCGCCTACTCCCAACCCCGAGACTGAGCGCCTCACCAAGCGCAGGCACATTGTCCAAGAGATCATAGACACTGAATACTCGCATCATCAAGACATGAAAATCATCGAGGACATATACAAGGCGACCGTCGGCGACATTATATCTTTAGAAGACAGAAAAACTCTCTTTGGCAACGTCGATCAAGTTGAGAAGTTCTCACTCGAATTCTATGATGCGTTGCGCAAGGCTGCAGCGCCTATCTATGTTCCGCCCAAGTCTTCGCGCTGGCAACCTAAGAGGGGCAGCTTCTCGACCTCGAACGGCGACGGCAATTCATCCAGTGTCATCATAGACGATGACAAAGACCGATTTACCCAGATTGGTGCCGTCTTTGCCAAGCATATGGCTCGCATGGAGCACGTCTACGAGGTCTATCTGAAGAACCATGAGAATGCCAACAACTGTCTGAAGAGAATACAAACGGATCCCATCGTACAATCCTGGCTTACCGAGTGTCAAAACATGGCAAGCGACATCACAGGTGCCTGGAACCTGGACTCATTGTTGGTGAAGCCCACACAACGCATCCTTAAGTATGGTCTTTTACTTGGAGACTTGGTCAGACACACGCCCGAGAATCATCCCGACCGTAAGGCGCTGAACCATTCGCTCGAAGGCATTCTTGCAGTTTGCAAGAGAATCAACGAGTCCAAGAAGCGTTCGGAGTTTGTGCAAGAGGTACACAGAAAGCGTGCCAAGTCCAACGCCCGCAGTGCTCTTGCTGTCTTCCTCGCAAAGAAAGACACCGTCAAGGATCGTGTTGGAGCAGAGGAAGCCTACAAGGATCCAGAATTCGACCAGGCAGTTCAAGCGCTTAATGGGCACTATCTGAAGCTGCAAATCTGCATGCGAGACATACAGCACACCCTGGAAGAGCTCGAGAAGCCTGTCGCCCACTTCATGAGATTTGCCGATGCACTGCAGAAATACATAGAGTGTGAGCCAAACAACTGTCCCGAGATTGAGAGTAAGTTCCGAAAATTCATCCTCGCCATCAACGAGCTCTGTACCGTCGCTCTTCCGGACCACAAAGCCCGCATCCAAGCACACGTCGTCAATCCAATGCTTGAATGTCTCAAGCTCTACGCTGGTCCTCAACACTTGATAGCAAAGCGCAAGAAGCGTGTCGCAGATTACGCCCGACTTCAGGCGATGCAGCAAAAGGGTCAGAAACCCGATGCCAAAACCGCCGATGCCGCAGAAGTCTACGAGGCGCTCAACGAGCAACTCAAACTCGATCTTCCTCGACTCTACACGCTGCAGTCGGAATTGGTCAGAGCTTGTCTGAACACCCACGTCTACCTCCAATCTCAATGGTGGTGGCTCTGGAAGGAGAAGCTCGCACCGGTTGTTGACTTTGCATACGCTCGTTATACCGAGATCGAGCCAGCCTTTGCCGAAGAGTACGAGTTTGTTCACTCGCAAGTGTTGTCTCTTGGTGTTTGTAACGGTGCATTGCTTGCCGACACGTTCAACTTCCTGTCACCTCAGACCACTCTGGTTGGCGACGAAACCGTTTCCTCTCAAGCTTCTACACGACGTCCCTCGATCTTGCCCAGCGGTCATAGGACCATGTCCATCGGCAGCGAGAATCAGCCGCTTTTTACTCCCACTGACTTCAACAAGTCTTTCAATTCAGCAACGGCATCTCCGGTACTGCCTGATTCGGGCCAGCCCGGCGATTACGGTAGAATGCGATCTAGTTCATCTCTCTCTACTCGTGGTCGCGCTCCTAGTGTGGGTGCAAGCCAGAACAACAGTCTTCCTCCATCGCGTATGCCCAGCATCGTACCCAAGGCTTCATTCTCTGCCAACAGACCATCGACCGCACAACGTCCTGCAGATCTAAAGAGCATGTCCTCGCGTATGAGCTTGGACACTACGAAGCGCAGTCCTAGTGTACGCCCTGGCTCCGCGGTGAGCTCTCAACAGCAGCAACAAGAACCTCGCTTTTCTGGAATGTTCAACTCGGCCATGCCTATGTCTGACATCCCTGTCAGTCCCGGCCCAATGTCACCACAGCATGCACCAATCGACACGCCCGTGATGTTTGTGGCCGCTAGTCTTTTCGAGTTCAATATCGACCGAGCCAGACGTGAAGCAGGCTATCCGTACTTGACCTACGTTGAAGGTGAAGTGTTTGACGTCGTAGCGCAAAAGGGCGAGCTGTGGCTTGCAAAGAACCAAGACGACCCAACAAACTCACTTGGATGGATCTGGGAACAGCACTTTGTCATCCTTTCCCAAGAATCTTAGGTAGATTCGAGTGGAAGAAGAACAGTCTGGATACCTCCTTGGCTACGTGATCAGGTTCATCCTGATGGATGTCGCACCGTCTGGTCGTCACGAGAGCTGCGTAACAACTATTTCCAACCTGATTATCTCCGCGACCAACAACCGCCTAAGACACCAACATCAGTCAAGCCCAGACCAGGATATATTGGACGCCCCAAACGACATCTCTGCATAAGGGATGCTCGCGCGCATTATTGATAGCGCGGTCACTCCGCAGATCATTCTTCATTAACATCGTCCTTTCTGCATACTTCATTTCACCATTGTTATCATAAATTATACCGGACCGGCTCCTTTTTACGTTCGATTCTCACTCATGATGTTTCCTGAGGGGTTTGCATCCCACCTCTTTCTGAGGTCGAAACATGATCACATGAGTTGAGGGAGATCGTCCGTCATCTTGTTGAGAAGATGCGGCGTTGTTGTTGTTCTTGACGAACATTTGATTCTATTGGCGAGGAGTTTTGGTATTTTCGTTTCTGAGATGGTTTCTTTGGTGGAATCTTCACATTGTACCAACCTTTTCTTTCTCTTAGGGATCTTTTATTATCCTTGAAATCATGGTCGATGGTCTTCCTGTCCTATCTTTTGGCATGAAGACCTTTGGCCTCATAAACAGTTCTTTGTACTATACAGGCAAAATTCGAACAGCGATGAATAAACATCATTTCCACATGAAATCATTATCAATTCTCGTTGCGTCTCTGACTTTCCCTGGTACTGACCTGTAGACTGTCAGAAGAGCTGTGCAGGTCTGCGGTGACATTCTGCATAGCGGTGCACGCATTGGGAAGGTGGCATTTTTGTGCTAGATAGTGACCGACAGCCGTAAGCGGCAAGTGTAAGCGCGAAGGAGCGGGCAACCTCATCCCCCACGTCTCTCACTGTTATCAAGGCAACAACATGTCTGCCTTTTCTGACTCTTGCAGCTGCTGTCACCGTGACATTCTCTTGGACACTGGTATCGAGATAGATACTACGCTTCGGTCGTGCTAGTCTATAAGGACTGATCTCCAATCTTCCAACACCTGGTAATTCTTTGAATCCGCGAAACTGAGACCGACCCTGACGTTACGTTGAATCTCGAGAACTTGGGTCGTTGCACAAACACACAAAAATATCAGAGAGAACATACTCTGAGTCTTGCATCCTAGAAAACTTGACATACACTCCTCGACAAACAACGATACGAAACACCAAGAGAACGACTTGCCCATACACGATCCGCCAAAATGCCAATTCAAATCCGTGAGGTACGGCCGTCAGATCTGCCCGCTCGCGAACGTATCTTCCGCGGCGCCTTCTCTGCCGGCCTACGCCCTCACATCTTTCCCAATGGCCAGACCGAAGCAGATCTCATCCATAGTTTCACCGAGAATCTCGAAGGCCTGAAGACCAAAATGAGCACTTCGGACGACCAACCAGGTCAACGCTGTTTCGTAGCTTTCGATACCGATACTCCTGCCGATGCTTCTGACCTTGTGTTTCCAGAGGCTTGGGAACACAAGGCAGAGGTTGCGTTGAGTGAAGAGGAAAAGAAGAATGCCAAAAAGGTGGTGGGAATAGCCATCTGGGTTCTTCAGCCGGTTGCTCGCACGCAAGAGCAGTATGACAAGGAGGCTGCTGAGAAAGGACCAAACACTCATTCTCCCTCTGCTAATGGTGCTCTACTGGATGCAATGGACGCCGCAATGACTGCCAGCAAGAAGAAATATCTCGGTCTGGAGCCATACCTGTATCTCAGGATTTTGGCTATCGATCCTGCGTACCAGCGTAGGGGTGTTGGATCTTTGCTATTGGACCAAGGGATGGAGATTGCGGATCGTTGTGGTATTCAATCATACCTGGAAGCTACAAAGGTGGGAAGACCGCTGTATGCAAAGTATGGGTACGAGGATAGGGAGAACATGGACTTCGATGTTGTCAAGTACGCACCGACTGCGAAGGATGACCCGCCGCATCAGTTTATGGTCATGATTCGACCTGTTGGAGGAAAGAAGTCTGATGGAAGGGCATAGGACGATAAAGAGGAGAGGACTATCATGGCCTCTGGAACATAGAATCAAGAACCTTCTATTCAATTGTGCAAAAAGAACAATGGTCATCTCCGAGGATCGAACCTTGAAGCAAAAATAGCGGTTGCCGACGCTGCTACTCCCGGCGTATACGATCATTGCAATTGGCGGTAAATTACGTCCTGTACAGAGGATCGGGGATCCCCCTCCAGCCAGACTACCGTGTGGACTTGTAGAAGGGATGTGTGGAGATCAACTTTTCTACACTATATAGACATGATGCTGCTTCCTTTCACTGTTTTGCTTTGATACTTGGAATATGTCATGAGCAACTCATCTCGTCTTTGTTGTTATTTGGGAGAGTTCTCGTCACAATGTCTGTCCGAGATTGTCTCGACGATTTGCGGAAGGCGTCGTCCGTTTGAGCATGGGACTGTGACACGCATAGATGTCTTTGATGACCACCTTCTCGTTAACACTTCAGTTCTTCCATTCGAGACAGCCAGGAAGGAGCAAACGGCATGTCGAACAACCGACACCTGCCTCAGTAGCCTTGATTGCTTTCAACTCATCCCGCTTTCTAATTCAGGCAACCCACATAGATCTGGAAACCACGAGTTACTTTCACACTTTTCTTCTTCACCCAACGCACAGCAGCTTTCCATCAACCATGAACATCTTCTCCACACGCTTCCAACGTCGTTCACGCTCTCATCTTCGTACTCCTTCAACCGCTCATCAAGTAAGTGATACCACTTGCTCTTAGTTAACAGCAATCTTAACAATACCAGAAGATCTCCAATATGAATTCTCCTTATCCCGCCAACTCCAATGACAGCATCGCCCCCAAAACCATCGCCGCCCACCTAAATCACGAGCCCAACCTTCCAGGCGCTGAGGACCTCGATGCGGATCTAGTCAAACAGTGGATCGTTGCCCTCGACACTGGTCTACGCAAAAAAGAAATTAAGCGTATGGCTGCCAGAGTCCTCGATGAGCTGCGTGCCATGGAGTAAGTGTTTTGAAGATCTGCTTGCACAGTTGTATTGACATTGATGCAGCGGAATCACTGCTGAACAGGCAACCAGACACCAGCAACGTCGCCCTATCACGCGTGATCTTCCTGAACCCATCTACACCTGGAATGGCAATGGCTCTTTGGGAGCCAAGAAAGAACTACTGTCGAACGGCTCCAACAGTCAACTCAGTGCGTTTGAGGTCATCGCCAAGAAGAAAGGTACCAAGCATGGCAAGGGCACCAACCCGACTGTTAACGACATCGACGAAACTGGCGGCGTCAAGCTTGAGGACACTTCAGACCAGGAAGAGTCAGAGCAGGCTGTGGACGGCGCCATGGCTGAGGCAAAGGCAGACGCAAAGAGGGCAAAGAAGGCAGCCAAGAGAGCCAGAAAGAAGGCAAAGGTTCTTGAGGAGGCTCGCAAGGAGGCAAAGCCACCTGTTGGTCCAAAGCCAGACGACATCGAGGACAGTGGAAATGACTCTGACTGGACTCAGACCAGCTGGACACCTTTCTGGACTTCGGACTCGGAGTAGGGATGATTTCAACATACCTCATCTCTCTCGCGTCTGTTGGCGAAGATAGCAGTCCATGGAAGGAGCATGCTGCGAATGACTCAACCAGAACAAGGTTTATTGTTCTTGAATGAAAGGAGGGAGTAGCTACTGCTCTACTCCACAAAGCGTTTGTTTCTTGCTGCATGTGGCTTTTCTCTTTCTACTACATTTTCCAACATAGGAGCAGAAAGAATAGATACAAAGACTTGACAGAACATCACTCACCTAGCCATCGTGTTTCTGTCACGAGCTCTCGCTTCTATTAATCATCAGTGATTTGCTTCGGCCGTTGTTTACTGCGTAAGGAGTTTCTCAGTCAACATGAACAGTGGTAAAGATTCACGACTGTCGTTGCAAGTCTTCTTGTCATTTGTGTCGTGGGTATCTTTCTGTAATGTGAGCAAAGGCTTAGATAATACCTTAGTCGGCTCGAATGGCTCCTCTTCCGTGCCATGCATTGTAATGTGCTTTCCCCTTCCATTGTCCTTGGTTTTGTTACAGCAAAAGAAACGCCCGAAACTCCATTATTATCATGCTTTTTCAGCGCTTCATTTCCTCAATTCCCTCTTTTTGTCGTTTGGTGATCCTCAAAGTCCATCACGGCCTTGACCAGCGATCTTCTTGAGTTCCCATTCCTTGGTGAACTCCTGATCCAATCTCTGCAGCTCTTGAATCAAGTCTCCACAGGCTCTGATGATGGCATCTTTGGGTGTGAGGGATCCATCGGTCTGGACGCGCAATTCAAAGGTAGCGAACAGAGGGTGAGGGACTTTGTAGGCGGAGAAGAGAATGTTGGGCGACTTTGCGAGTTTGGCGCGGAGGAGGTTGGCGAGGGTGTGGTCTTCCTTGTTGAAGGTGAAGACTGCTGCGTCGGGGACACCTGGGTGATCGAGAAACGATTAGAGAGGGAGATTAAAGAAGGGAAAGAAGTGAGTCAGCAACTTACGGGTTTCGGGGGCCCAGGTTACTTTCTTCTCGCCGTCGCCGAGGAGGAAGAGCTCGAATCTTGTGGGGACATCGTTAGCGACGTTGTCGTGGGATGCTCTGTGGACTGAGAGGGTGGTGCAGGGGGTGCCCTTGAAGTGGTAGTTGTCTGGAGCCATCTTGACGTGGAAGTGAAGTGCAGTGGAAAGTGACGATGTGGTTTGAGTGTGTTTATAGCAACCAAGAGTCGCGATCGACTGGGAGGTCGCGATCGCAGTTGCGACAGAGAGGAGTGGTGTTTGTGAGAGAGCCATTTTATAGATCCGCGAAAGGCAGGCACGGAAAAGTGAAGGAAAGCAGCCTTGAAAGTCGCGTCCGACAAGCGATCCAGAGTAGAGTTCAACAACCAGGGAAGGAGCGAACGAAAGGAAAGAGCGGCGCATACCTGTCGGGAGCGTTCATGCTTGCAGTAGCACTCGGAAGTTGCTATCGAGGGGAAAGAATATATCGGCTCTTCAAGAAGGGGTTCTTTGTCGCGTGTATCGGTATACAATGTCGAGATTAAGTATGCTCACGCGATGGGTGATGGAGGTTAATGAGTATATCGTGATAATTAGTGATGCTCTCTCAGTCGACAACCAAGTGAAGCTCAGCATTGACGATCGTGAATATAATGCCGGGCGGTCAAACCTCCGTCCCCCGGCGGATCTTGCGGGTGTCCCTTTCCCGCTCTCGCCGATTGTATCACCAGCAGTTTTGCGGAGAAGCAACGACATTCCCGAGGCACGGTCGAGAGACAGATAGATCTAAGAAACATATATAACTGCAAGAGCGTAAGAACCAAACTTGTACAATACTCAGAATCACTCACAGATCAAACACATCTGCTCTACTGCCGACATGGCCTCATCTCTAACTGCCACATATCCATGGACTAAAGTCCCACTGATCAGCTGTGCTCCAATGCGCCTGATAGCGAATGCAACACTCGCAGCCGCAGTCTCCATAGCCGGCGGTCTTGGTTTCATAGGTGCAGGCAGCGACATCAGCACTCTGTCCTCTGAACTCTTCCAAGCGCGTGACATTTTAACCAAAGCCAACATATCTACGAACACCGGCGTCTTACCCATAGGCGTTGGCTTCCTCATCTGGGGTGCACCTTTGGCAGATACCTTAGCCGTCCTCAGGAAACCAGAAAACATACCTGCAGCAGTATGGTTGTTTGCTCCGAGAAATCCAAATCAGCTCAAAGACTGGACGGAGGGTGTTCGCGAAGCTACAAGCAACAAGACAAAGATCTGGATCCAAGTGACCAGCGTCCGTGAAGCCCTCGAAGCCGTCAAACTCGCAAGTCCCGATGTCCTGGTAGTCCAAGGCACCGATGCCGGCGGCCACGGTGCGGCTCAAGGCGCCGGCATCACCTCTCTGATCCCCGAAACCATCGACGCGGTGACAGAACACTGCAAGTCTTCTTCCTCAGCACCATTACCATTTTTCGTGGCAGCAGGTGGAATCAGCGAGGGCAGGGGTGCAGCAGCTGCACTGTGTTTGGGCGCTCAAGGTGTATGTCTGGGCACGAGATATCTCGCTGCAAACGAAGCAACCATCGCATCTGGATACCGAGATGCAGTGCTCCGTGCTTCTGACGGAGGAACCACTACAATTCGCTCATCGGTGTACGATCAACTTCGCGGCACTACAGAATGGCCTGCTGGCTACGGTGGCCGTGGTGTTTTGAATGCAAGTTATCGAGACCACGAGGCTGGCGTGACATTCGAGGACAACAAGAAGCTGTATGACGAGGCGGTCGCATCGGGAGATAAGGGCTGGGAGGGCGATAGGGCGAGATTGACGACTTATGCCGGTACGGGCATTGGTCTTGTGAAGACAATCATGAGTGCAGAGGCGATCACCCAAGAGGTGCGAGATAACGCCTTGAAGGTATTGTCAAGCGTCTCTGTCTCCAAACTGTGATAGGTAGTGTATATGTATTCCTTCTTATCGCAAGTATGTAGTCAAAGAACTGCCTTCACAATCTCACAAGTAAGAGCGCTCGAATCAGTATTTCTCTTCGGAAAATAATATCTCATGTGCCTTTGCAGGCGGAAAGAAGCTATGAACAGTTCCTTCCTCTCTCTAGTACTCTCGCACATGTCCATTACAAGTTACCCGCAACGGAGAAAGGAAAAACAACCAGAAGGATCCGCGACTCTTCGGATCCCCACCCACACAGCAACCGTTTAGGAGTACCAACAAAACAAAGAGACAAGTGACGATGCTGCAGTAATGATGATGACGATGATAATTGGTGATGGTGATGAGCAACAAAGGAAAAATGGAGCAAAGGTAGGTTGGTGATCTTCTTTTCAACCCATTCTTGCGAAGTGGTTGTGGAGAAGGATTGGGAAAGAGATACAGAATAGACATGAAGCTGAAAGAAGCGAAAAATACCGACAGCAACGCAAAGAGAACAACAGGAAACCAGACAACACCCCTTTTTGCTATTTCGTAGACACATTACCGTAGGAAAAGAACCAGCCTCCTCATATGTGTGGAAAATCTTCGTCTCTTGATGGAAATATCAGCGCACTATCGCTTGTTGCCATTGAGATCGGGAGTCGAGCTGTGGGGAGAGATTTTGCCGGCTTCACGGATAGCCACAATGACTTGTTCTTCCTCAAAGTCTAGTGGACGAGCGCTCCAGCCAATAAGAGATAGAAGCTCCTCTCTGGGTCCGTAAAGCCTGCTCTCAAGCAATGCCAGCACACCAACTGCTGCACGAACAAATGTCTTATCGCCTTCGAAAACGGCAATGTCCCAGAGACGACTGCAGGAGTCCGGGCTGAGCAGCTGTGTACCGAGGGTGGCAAGGAAAGGATGCAACCACTCCTCGGGACCCTTGAATCCAGTCTCGGGGTTTGTCAGGTGTTCGTGTAGACGAGGCATCTTATACTTGAGCGTAGAGAGAACAGTCGAATAGATTCGTGACATGGTCGCTTGATCGTTGATCAAGAAGGCGAGAGCCAGCGGTCGATTCAGCATATTGGCAAGGGCAATAAAAGCAGCCGATGCACTCATGTTGAGCACGAGTAGACCAGCAATCTTGTGCACTCCGTAGACATAGCCAACATCACTGCGGTAGGCGGAGTAGGCGAGCAGTAGGTCTTCCAGGGTCGAGTGGAGAGGTGCACCAGGACCAAAGATACCAAGCTCAGGGAAGACGGTAGAGACATCGCGTGAGATGGCTGCCAACCAACCTGCGTCAGCGTGCTTGGAACGTTCTTCTTCCGGAAGGTTGTTGACCGAGGATTGCAGTACACGAGCGCGCTTGAGAGCATTGGCGTACGAGGCTTCGGTCAGCGACAGCTCATTACCAACAGCTTTGCTCCAAACAGTGCCTCTGTCTCTAGGTGTGACACCGCGCCACCAAAGCTCGCGGGTTCTGGGCTCTTTGATCACATCGTCCCAGTTGGGAATGACGTGCTGTTCCCAGATACGGGCAATATTGGATTCGACGTGCTTGCGTTGTTGCTGTTGTTCGACTTCCTTTGCAAGTCGCTTCTTCTCAGCCGCCTCAGCTGCGGCCATCATCCTCTCCCACTCTTTGATATGCTTCTTCTCCTCTTTTTGACTTTTTGGTGGAAGCCACGATGGACGTGTCCTTGTGAGTACGGCCTCCTTCTCTTTGCTGATGGGCAGCGGGTCGATCATGACGTTTCCTTTCTGCAGCGGTGGCAGCTCCATAACGCTAGTCTTTGTTCTGAGCTTCATCGAGGGGCGAGGAGGGCTGCCGTTGGTGCTGTTGCGAGTAGAGCGACGTCGTTCTTGAGACACGCGCTCAGCATGCTCTTCCAAAGCAGCAGCGACCTCGCGAGCTTCCTCGCTGAGGTCTTCTTTCCACGTTCTGCCACGCTGAAGTCTGGGCGACGAAGGTTCTGGAGGAAACGCGCTGACGGTAGCGCTGTGATGCATGTTGGGCCGTGTGGCAGAGCGAGGGGGTTCTTCTGTTGACGATGTGTTGCTGGCTGCCGACTTGAGTTCTGGGGTCAGACTGGTAGAAATGGTTCTGGTAGGGCTCGAGGGAGTCGAATGCATCGGAGGGCGTGGGGAGATGGGGACATTCCAGATGACGGCATCTTCAGGCACATCCTCGTCGGAATCGTGATATTCGGCCTCGAGTTCTTTTACTGATTTCCTTGGCCTCAATGCCGGCCTGGGGGCTAGGGTCCTTGATCCTGCAGATGTGGGGGAAAGGCCGCCATCGCTAAGAGCCTGACCGTTAGGAGAGATCGATCTTGAAGGACGAGCCTTTGCCCCCATGACGAGCGATGGCGTTGAAGGACTAGTAAAGCCTCGACGCATGGGGCGAGCATTGAAGTTGGCAGCACTGACATGCGACTTCAGGCTTGGGTAGCGAGGACGATGGGTGTTGGTCGCATCGCGCAAGACGTCAGGAGCTGAAGGGCTGCGGCCATTGTGAGCAGCGGCTGACACTGTTCTGCGAGGTGGAGATGCCCGCGTATTCGAGAGTTTCCTCTGTGTGATTCGAACGTGTAGGTCGTCGGCCTCGTCTCTGCCCGAGTCGGCCAGAGCGATGTCCTCAAAGTGCGACAGGTTGTCGTGGCTCGGTTGACTGGTCAAGCAGGTAGAACGGCACGAGCCCGACGATTTGGACGACTTGGAGCCGGTCAGTTCTGGTGGAGAGCCGGGGCTGTGGTCTCGGTCGGTATTGGTGGTGGTGGTGGTTGTGATGGATGTCGTGGTAACATGGGTCGTCATTGTCTTGTTGTCGCTGGCGTAAGGGAGAAAAGAGTGGACGCAAGGCCGGGGCGTTGCTATTGTTGATGGAATCTGACTATGCTGGAGAAAGGCCCAATAATCATGCTTGGCCTCTACGATGGGCAGCTGGAAACGATGCACAGAATTGAATGTCAAGAGTTTGGGCACGGCGGGAAAAACAGAAGAATGGTGGGAATGATGATGATGATGCGGGTAGTTGAAAAGAAAGACGTCTAGTCCAGAGGCTTCGTCGACTGCCTCCAGACGGCGGCGTGGATCATCAACAAAATATGTCAAAGCGCTGGCCATCCTTGAAGTGCTTGAGGGCTCAGCCGTTTGTTCCTGGCGCCAAAAAGGAGTTGTGTTTTGCGGATCCGTTTTTGTGAATCTTGTGCCGAGACCGAGACCGCTGCACGCCTGGTGGTGCTGATTCTCCTGGGATGGATAAACGACCCCTGGTTGCTGTATATATCTCTTGGTCAGGGGGGGAGGGGAAGCATGGCTTTTGACTCTTCACATCTGAAACTGTTAACTTTTGCAATTGTCACAAAATCCGGGTTTAAGCATCGTGCATGCTGCTGCCAGCTATGGGGTGGCATGAACACCGCTGTCATTTCTATGATGCGCCTTTCCACCTCCACAGCCAAGCTCCCGCCATTATGATCAAGGAAAACCTGCAATCGCAAAAAAGGCAAGCACCGCAGCACCGTTAGATATCGAGATCGTGCGACTCGTGTCTTAAGCGCGGGGCTTCTGGCTGTCGTCCGTATTCATGCCAGCCAGTCTTGTTCCTTCTGCCCTGTCCACACATCATGCGCTTGTCCATCTGATCCTCGGCCTCAACCTTGCAAAGCAGGACCACCACTCCGGACGCGGATGCGCGAGGTTGATCAACCTGTTTGACTCTGCACACCCGCCTTCTCAAGCGCCTGTCTCTCTCTAGCTTTCAAACTCAATCCAGCTTCCGCCATCTCCCGCTGTAGCCAAGCCAGCAAGCCACAAAAGCCCGTCTGACGTCTTGCAAAGCACTTTTCGAACGAGTGACAAGCCAGCCTGTTTGGTGGTGGTTCAAATCATCAGCACATCAAGTTTTCAAGGCATTAACAAGCCTCAGCGATCAAGTGGGGTCCCTTCCTTCCCGCCGCGGCATGTGTGATGCTAAGAGGAAAAAGCATCGACGACGGCGTTAAAGCCCATGCATTCTCCGCCCTTATCGGACTCTCTCCATCATTCACCGTGATCGCCGTTGCAAAGAACAATATCGAATGCAGTATCATTAACTTACCAACGTGTTTGCGCTCTGCTTAGAGCGCATGCGTATTCAACGTCGCTGCTCTGCTTCTTTCTCTTGCGTTTCATGAGTCCATAGCTGACATGAATCAAGTCGTCGATGGTCTCTGCGTTGCGCGGTTCGAATCAGCGATGTGTTACCGAGTCAAGACATAAGATCAACAAATAATCGACGTGTTATGTCGATCAACGCTCATGTCGGAAAATCTTCTCGGAGATCAACGTTCGCAATGAACGTATCCATGAACACATTGTGATGTTTTGGCTCGAGCAACCATATCAACAAACGAACTTACTGATTATCAGAGCGGAGGATGGCTTCTTCGTCCGTGAAAGACATCGGATGTAGTTGAAGCACCGTTCCGCCGTGTCTGCAAACATGCGCGATACATTGGCGATCACGGTTCCGATGTGGTTGTGCTGGGTGCACAAATGCATGGTGTGCATATGCAGTTTCAGCATGCTATCACAGCAACGTCAGTCGGTTTCAACATCTCTGCCCTGCCGCCCTGTGCGACTTGAGCGTTATGCAGTGTCAACCTACCTGAACGTCTTGCGGTAGAAGTTCTGTCCTGGAGATCTCGAGAAGTCGACTGTCGTGGCTGCCGCTATATCTGGGCGCTTGTCAGTACATGAGTGATATCGTGTGCTGTGTTAGCGCCTACTCTTCTGCTGTCGTCGAGTCTCATCCCTAGTGATGTTCAGATTGACCGTGTTGATAGCGTTACCGCAGTATGGGAAATTGGTCACTGCAGGTAGTCTGGACACAACCCTACCGTCGACCTGTGCATCGAAATTGACCTTCGACTTCTCTTCTTTCACCTTAAGTCCATACTCCGGAAGTCCACGATGCATGACTTGAACAAAGCGGGTCGCATGCTCGTGGTTAGTCGTGATAAGCAAGAAGTCATCGATCAATCGAAGGAGCAGACTTTCGCCATCTTGCAAGAAATCTAGTACTCTTTGTTCCAAATCCGCGTAGAAGAAGTTACACAACAAGCTCGATACGATCGAACCCTGCGGTATGCCAGTAGTCTGCCGATAGAACTTCTTTCCGATCTGAACAATATTGCGTTCAATGTGTTCTCTGAGTAACGCAAGAATCCCGGCACGACTCTTGTGCGTCTTGCCCTCGAGGTCCACGAATACAGTGCCTAATGCAGCTTCAGCTTCTTTCTGGGCATGAACCGAGAACGTCTCTTTCTGGTCAATAATGCGTGCCTTGCCCTTGAATTTCCAAGAAGCTCTGGGTATGATTGTGGGCTGGCTTTCGGAAGAGCTGCATTCTCCCAGAGCTTTGGCTTGAGCATATCTCGTGATTGTGTATCCCTCTGCGCTGATCAGAGCATTCAGCAGTCTCAGCAACGGCTTCTGAGGTATGCTATCGAAGCAAGACTGCACGTCAACCTTTGCAAAGTAAAGTGGTTTGCTGGCGTTCCCAGACTCTCGTAACTGGTTTCTAAATCGGTGCAAGCGCTGGTACATCTCGTCCGAGGAGAACATTGAAGATCCTAGTCTTTCTGGCACAATCGACTGTGTTTTGTTAGGCACATGGACTCAGGTCAACAGGGATGTATCCTACCTTTTCCAGATTCAAAACATGGAATGCTGGAGTTAGGATCTTGTTGACACTCTTCCCGAGTACCAGTCTGCCATTTCTCTTTGTCAGTACCCTGCGCTTCAGGTTGATGATCGGTCGAAGACCTGTATCCTTGGGAAGTAAGCGAATACGGCCGGTACCGATTGACATATTTGAGAGTGTCTTCCTCGCTTTGCTCTGCCCGACCTCCTCGAACATCGATGTCCTCAAACTGGCCAAGGCTGGCTCAGACAACTTCTGCCATACATCATGGCGAAAGTACAACAATCTGTTCCGGTAAGCAGAAGACTCTGTGGCATAGAAGTTGCTGCTGATCAGAGGAATGAGGAATGAATCAAAGAGATAGTAAGAAAGCTCAGCAAATATCTCCTTCCGTTTTGCGAAGTCGGAAGCTGACATTTTGCCATCTGTTGGCTGATTTGGTGGTCTGAGCCAGGCGATGTTGGAGATCTGTTTGGTGGTCAGTGGTTGTTCAACTAGATTTCTACCTTCCATACCTTTATGCTATGGGCTACCTCATGTAGCATCAGGCTTTCATATCGCCCCAGTTTGATGAAGAGATCGATCTGATGCATGATATGTGCTTTGTTTACGGCTCCGATTTCGCCTTCACCCCATAGCCTGCCTGGGAATACTTTGGCTATCACGGATCTGCAGAACGCTGACACCTGAGAAGAAGACGTCGCGAATCGCATGATACTGTGGCTCTCAGTATCCACACCATTGTCTTGTGACCATGGGTCAGGACAGTAATACTGCAGTAACGCAGAGTAAGCACATCTCTCATGCCGAGTGTGCAGATGGCTCGCTAGAGCCGCACACTCTCCACGCAATCGCCTGGGCAGTGGTCGCTGCTTGGACTTTTTGTTCACTGCCTTTATCTCCTGTTCTCGTAGAGTGTAGTCTTTGAATGGTTGCGCCGAGTTTTTCGTGTCAATCGCGTGGGTGAAGACATTGTGAAGTCCAAATTGGCGTGGAAAAATGTACTTCAAGAGGTGTGCAGTCTTGTCGACTTCTTTGTCGTATCCAATGCGATTCAAGACATCTATCATGTGTCAGACGTTGAGCTGAGTTGTGGAGTCCACAAGACATACGGATATGAGGGAGACCGAAATATGCCCCTCCTTTTGCATTGAGGTCGGGCTTCCTGTACAAAATACGGTGTCGTACGAACCGGATTGTATTAAGGGTATTGATCTCGTGCCTGGATGAGAACCCAGTACCGTCAGTGTTAGCTACCTCTAGAGCTGCACCACCATCTGGTTTCTGACCACCTGTGGGGTTATGCTTGTCGACAGTCCGGAGCTCAGAGAGATCGACTCCACTGATCTGTATGAGGTTGTTTCTGCCTCCTTCGAGAGGCATGAACATGCCGCAATTCTGCAGCAGCTGGATGAGCGTGACAGTACCCTTTGATCCAACCAGCCTCGTCAAGCCAGCCCAAGCATCTCCTTTCAACCTCTCGACATGCTCATTTGGGTCCAGTGGAACGCCTTCACGGTTGGTCGTGATTGTTTTGATCGAAGTTTTGACATCTCCAAGGCCGTCGTAGTAGTACCCATGGCAAAGGACGTGTGGTGGTCGATGTCCAGAAGTATGCTGACGAAAAAGTCGCCAGGTGACGAAATCCACAATCTCTGCAAAGGAAAGTTGTGTTTGCGAGCCGCTAGATCTTGCTGTAGATCCAGACACCTGCGTTGAGAACACGCTGAGGTCGTTGTTATAGTCGGTAGTATTTTGCTCTTCTTTCTTCGCATCGTGACAGCCAACGAGAACACTATCCAGAAGGTTTGCCAGATCAGAATTGGTGCCTTGAGAGCTCTTCACGTTATGGTCCCCATAGTTCTGGATCTGACGTTTTCTGTTCTTGGACGGATGGGCTTGCAAAAGGTATTCTCGTAATGTTAGAACTTGAGGATAGTATAGTCGGAGAATGGAAGGTATGTGTTGAAGGTTGCTTTTCACAGCACCGTTGCTGGTTTTCGTACGCTTCAGAGCTATGGGCTCAGGTCTACTGGCTCGCTTTCGTTTCATCATGCATTACTGCAAGTCTAGTCATCAATCGCAGATGTTGCGGATAATGTTGTTGGAAGACGTGATGCTACACGAACATCGCGCGCTTCGGCTCGAGTTGCCCTTTGACCGTGTTGATGCGGTGCGTACGACCCTGCTCCTTTGCATCACTATCTGTTATAGATCCACGTGTTGGAGTATACCTTTCTAGATACATAGAACTATATATAGACTGCTAGAGGAAGCTAAAGCGGAGTACCAATAGACGTGTACATCTTTTTAAAAGCTCTCCGCTGCAGCAGAATGCAAAACATGCACAAAGCTCGAAGTGGTGACCAAGCTTCCCTCTGAATCCACTGTTCACGATTCTGTTGGACACTGCGATGGACCGTGGTTATCACCATGCAAATCTACAACAGAGTGTATTCTCGACCGTTCGACATGGAGTATCTATGCTCATGTACAATGCTAGCTAAGACTGGCCAGTCTCTGCCAATGCTCGATGTTACCTATGATTCGCGTCCTCTTCAACGCATGGCCTCCTTCTGAGCCCGAGTAATCATCTCATCCAGATCCTCGTATGCATACTTCTTGCTGCCACCTGGATCTTCGACCTCACCTATCTCCAGATCGGTCTCGGACTTGATTAGAACACCACCGCCGGCCTCATCGACGGAGGCCATCACCAGATCCTCAGGCAAGGGAGGGGTAAGGACTCCAGATCGGATACGCTTGGAGTCCTTGGGGTTCTCCTCAGACCTGTCTTCCGGATCGTCATAATCAAGGAAAGAGACGTCCCTCTTCGAGCCAATGTGGTCTACACGCTTGGAAGCTTCGCTATTGGATGACCAGTGCGAGGACATAGGGGTCGAGGCCTGGCTACTGCGAGAACTCTGCATAGCAGACTTGTAGCGTCTCTTGACGGGTCCCAGAGGAGCACAGTTTGCTCCCGAAGAAATGGGACCGACATTGAGATCATCCTCAGCCATCGAAGTGTCGCGTTCGGTCGGAGGGTTGATAGCGGTCAACATCAGAAGACGTGCGGGGTTGAACGTGTTGTGTTCAGAGAAGCCATCGAAGGTGAGGGATGTGTGATTCTCCGGGACACCGCCGAATGCAGTTTCCGGAAGCTATCAGTGTTTAGTGCTGTCCGGCATCGACCGTCGATTAACATACCTTCACAATGGGATCTTTCGCAGCAGCAGCCTTCGCGACTGGAGCATGGAAAGGACGTGAGCGTGGAGCACGAGGAACTGCGACAGGCTTTGGCATGGGTGGCTGTTGAGAGGCGATATGTGCGCGTGAGAGTTTGAGATTGGCCTTCTTCAACTGCTTCTCTAGACGGTCGAGAGCATCGTCCTTATCCTTCTGGTGTGCACTAAGTTGCTGCAGATGGGAGCGACGCAGGGTCTCGAGCTGGGCCCGTAGCTTTTCGATCGTGTCGTTCTTCTCTTGCAGCAGACCACTTTGGATCTTGACAGTGCTAGCAAGACTGTTTAGGCGCTTCTCGGTCAAGGCAGGGTCTAGGTGGGGTGCGGAGGGCGGCATAGCAAAGCCGGGCTCGATGGCATGGACATAGTCGTATGCCGCCAGCTGGTAGAAGATTTCCTGAACGGAGTGGTTCTCGCTGAACGCGGGCTCAGCACGTCGTTCAGCATGGCGCCGAACAGTGGGGTTGTTATTCAGAAGCTCGAAGACGCGGCCGTATGGATCAAGACGGCGCCACATCTTGGATAGCAGCTTATTGCTGTCCCTGAGGCGACGCTCGTGCTTCTGAATGAGCCAACCGCGCTCCTCCCACTTGCGGTGAACGGCCTCGAACGGGTCAGAGGCAGAGGTTCCACGCATCTTGGTGGGGCCAGTGACCGATGCAGATGTGATGGGGCCTTTCGCAAGGCCAAACTGGTACATGGCAGACTCGTGGAGCTGTTCGCTGGTACGATCACGAGTGTCTTCCCACTGAGAGACTGGGCGCATTGGCAAGTTGAAGGGCTTAGTAGTGGTCGCACGATGGTCATCGAGGCGTTGTCCTGCGGGCCAGCCACTATCGCGTGACATGTTGGTGGTTGTGATGGAAGGAGAAAGGGACGCGCACACAGAAGTGCAATGTTGATGTCTGAAGTCAGCCAGGAGAATTTGATGGAAGGAGCTGACGCGCCGAAAGCGTGTTGCGCTTGCTGGTCGACAGGAACCTTCCGTTTGTGGACAACTCCTGTTTGTCAGTCGTCGCAACACGCAATGGAAAGAAAGTGCAGTCTCGTCTGGAAGAGCGTGGAAAAGGCCGCCGCTCGACCGACCCCGACAGATTCTCAACTAGACTATGCTGTTTGATAGTCGAATGAAGGCCTCCAAATGCGTTTAGAGGTTTCAGCTTAAATGTCGGAGATAGAAAAGTGTTCGTAAAGAAGGAAAATGAGAAAGCTTTTTACACAGTGATACTCCCCTATGATGCATGATATCCTAGACATGACCTGAACTCCAAACACCTTGCAGAAGATAAAGACACAGTTCCATCATGAGTCCATCTGCTGCAAAGTCCAGAGCAAGACCCACCTTTCCTCTGCCATCTTCTCCAGACGTCCGTAGTGTCGTTCCGTGTACGCCTTGAGACCCTCCAATACGTCCTTGACATTCTCGTTCTTCTTGACCTTTTCCTTGACCTCAAGCGCACCCATACCCTGAGCCAATTCATCCTCGTCGGCCACGGGAGGCTTCGGGGCTCTCTTTCGCCTTAATTGAACGAACTTCTCCTTGGGATACAGACGGAAGAGCGCGTAGAGAATGCGTTGACTGACATGAGCGGTGCGAGCATTGGCGTTCCAATCACGACATCTGAGTAGGAGCTTCCAAAGCTGCTCCTCGGACAACGAACCCAAAACCTCGTCAACACCCTTGGCACCAGTCAAGCTACCTTCGTCCTTGTCCTCTGACTCGAGGACACGTGTAAAGAGGTCTAGTAGGCGTTTGGGGTGGTTGAGTTGTAGCGCTAATACAATAGCTTCACGGTAGTTCTTGGCATGGATGTGATTTTGCAGCTCCTGGTCTTGTTCCACGCGAGCAGTGGCACGAGATGCCGAAGCTTGCGATGTCACCAGAGTAGTGTCGGTCCAGAATGTGAGAGTGGCATCTGCAGAACCAGAGATGAGCTCAACAGGAGGCTCGGGCGCTTCCTCATCCTCATCTGCGGAGGCAGCCTTGACAGTTCCAGATCGGTTGGACTTGACGGCCAAGGCCCAGACTCTGTCAATGTGGTTGTCAAGAGTAGCAGCACATTCGCCACTCTGAGCATCCCAGACCTTGACGAGACCATCACCTGCTGCACTAGCTACTTGCAAGTTACGCTCGCCACGCTTTCCGGGGTTCTTCGAGATGGGAAGCCAGATGACCTTGAGAATACTGTTGGTGTGGCCTTCGAATGTTCGCAAACATGTGTAGTCATTCAAACTCCAGATCTTGACAGTCTTGTCACCACTTCCGGTAACAGCCATGCCTCTTGTGCCACTGCTAGATCCAGAATCGCCCGCGATCGCTGGGGTACCAGGAGGAGCAAATGCAACAGACCAGACACCACGCTTGTGGCCACGAAGTACACCGACAGACTCACCAGTCTCCAAATCCCAAATCTTCACCGTGCGGTCCTGAGAAGCAGAAGCGAAGAGCGTGCCTTGCTGGGAGTAGGATGTGTCGATAGCGTTAACGTCCTTGTCGTGAGCCTTGCGTGTGTATGATGCGCGAACTGCCTTGGCCTCGGAATCCGACTTGGCCGAGCTGATGTCCCAGCGCTTGATGGTCTTGTCCTGACTACCAGTAATCAGGTAGGTTGGCGGGTGCTCTAACGGCTTGCTGTGGGCGTTTGAGCCGACAACAGGGATGGCATGGGGCAGAGCGACGGCACTGATTGACTCGGCATGACCAGTGAATGTGGCGTAGCAAGTGTACGAGTTGTTTGCGGGATCCAGACGCCAGAGTTTCGCAGTGTTGTCCTTGGCTCCAGTTGCGAGCCAGTGGCCTGACCAGTCAGTGTCGATGGTGATGATGATGTCGGTATGACCCTTGAGGAGAGCAACGTCGGCACCAAAGTAAGCGGCGTCTGCGATGCTCGAGCTTTCGTTCTTGCTCTCGGTGTTGAGGGTGATCAGGCGGATGTCTTCCAAGTTGGTTGCCAGGGCGAGCATAGAGTTGTCTGTGCCTACGTATGCCATGTCGATGATCTCGTCGTGGGTACCAGAGATACGGCGAATAATGGGTAGCGGGGGGATTGTGGCGTCGACATTTGTTTGGATGAGCGGCTCCAGCGAGTGCAGAACCAGTGTCTGGTCGACGTGGATGGAGAGCAAGAAGGGCAGATCAGAGTGATGAATTATGTCCAAAATGGCCTCAGTTTCGACCCCAGGCTCCTGCTCCTCTGTTCTCTCGTGGCCGGCCATGTCCCAGACACGAACTCTCGCATTCTCTCCACCAGTAAAGAAGAAGTCACCGTTTGCGACAAAGCCAGCTCTTTCAACAGTCTCCAGGATAGGCGCCGTCAATTTCGACTGCCATGTCTTTGCGTCCCATGTAATGACGGTCTTGTCTCTGCTTGCGGAAAGAAGTAGTTGGTGCTCGGAGGAGAAATCCAGACTGCGGACAACCGAAACGTGCGAATCCAGAGTGGCAACAGGCTTGCGCTTATGAAGGTCCCAAATTCTGACCTTTCCATCTTCGCCTCCTGATGCTAAACGGTAGCCAGCAGTGGCATCTGCAGCATCCTCATCGGCCGACCTGCTCTTTCTCTTGCGCGACTGGGTTTCGGCGGCGGATGCTGACGAGTCGACGTGGAAGAAATGAAGTGCAGAGATGATGCCGCTGTGACCGTGGAAGGTGTGTGTTGTGAAGCCTCCCTTGATGTCCCAGACTTTGACGATACCATCAGCGCCACCAGTTGCTAGGAGAGTAGAGGTAGGATCGACTGCTGCGACAACGACGGGCGCGGTATGCGGCTTGAGAGTCCTCAGAAGAGTGGCGTCTATGGTGTTGTCGGCGGTAGGAGACGTCCTCAGGGAAAAGATACGCATGGAGAGGTTGCGCGAGCACAAGACCAGGTACTTTGCATCGGGGGTCATGGCAAGAGTGGTGATGGATTCACCGTCCTGCAGAAATCTTGTGTCAACTCGTCAGTGGCACGCTGAGAGGGCGCGACAGTGCAACTTACGCCTTCGATTCTAGCCAGATGTTCGCCGGTGGCCAGATCACTCAATAGAGCATCTTCTCCCACGCAGGATGCGAGAATGCGACCATCCTGGCTGAGGGCAACGCTTCCTCCGGTATAGATGGGTTGAATGACACGTCCAGGCTCGAAAGTCGTCTTGTATTCGGCCTTGTAAGCCATGCTGGATCCAGATGAGAGTCAGACAGACCCTAGTCGATGTGCGAAGGATCCAAAGAAGAATTATTTGACCTTGTCGCAAAAAAGTTGATAATTGATTGCGGAGAAATCAAAAAGATGGCCGCCAAGCAAAAGTCGGCGGTTCAGGGACCGACTGCGCATCATCGCCCGTGTCCAAGAGCTCGACGCTCGACGCTCGACCTGGAAGCTAAGAAGCCGCACGCATACAACAACCAGATCGTTCCATCAAACACACTCCCCATATACCATCTTCATCATGTACGTGATCATGCTCCCTGCCAACCACTCTGTACTGACAGCTTCACAGGGACGTGCTTCTCGGCATCACTGGCAAAGACTTCACCATCATCGCCGCTTCCAAGGCGGCCATGCGCGGCGCAACTGTCCTCAAGGCCTCGGATGACAAGACCCGCCCGCTGAGCAAGCACATCTTGATGGGCCTGACTGGCGAGGCTGGTGACACCAGTATGCACAAGCCCTACTCTTCCTATCCTGCCACTTCCCTGTTCTGACCACTCGCCTGCAGTCCAATTCGCCGAATACGTCCAGGCAAACGTCCAGCTCTACGGCATGCGCAACGACATCGAGCTCAATCCTTCAGCCACCGCCTCCTTCATCCGCACAGAGCTCGCAAAGGCCCTGAGATCAAAACGCCCCTACACCGTCAACCTCCTGCTGGCCGGCTACGACACAATCAACGACAAGCCCACTCTGCACTGGATCGACTACCTTGCTTCGTCCGCCGCTGTCCCATACGCCGCCCACGGCTACGCACAATACTACTGTCTCTCGACACTCGACAAGCACCATCACCCCGACATTTCTTTTGAGCAAGGCATGAAGATTCTCAGAATGTGCACAGACGAGCTCAAGAGAAGATTGCCTATCGATTTCAAGGGCATGATCGTCAAGGTCGTCACCAAGGACGGTATTCGCGAGGAGGAGTACAAGGACGATGAGCCTGTCGCTTGCCCGTAAGCGCTCGATCGTCATGCATGGATGGCGTTTGGGCGTTGAGCACAAGAAGCTCTTCTGGCATGGGCCTGTACAGGTAGCATAACCTTTTCAATTCAACCTTTGACGATGACATGATAACACGCATTCCATCATTCTCAAATAGTGCGATTGACTGTACGACACGCGGAATTTTGCACTGACCAAGCCACCTGTCGAGCTCTCGACTACCTTCAGACGTTCAACATCAGACTTTTGTTGCTCTGACAATCTTTGGAGGCCAGATTCGTCTTTTCAAATCTCATCTCGCGCCAGGTCCAAACGCTGAGCTCCTTCACTTCAGTCACTACGCGCCTGCATGCTCGACCAGCTCCCCCCACTTCACTTCTGCTCTTTGCGCCTGCCTGCTTCGTCGCTTTGCCCACACTAATCTCAACACTTCCTCACTCTCATTTCACACCCGACGTCACACTAGTGCGTGTCTTCTTTTCCTTCTTCCACCCCCTCGCCCTCCAATCACTAACAACCCGAAGGCACTATGGAAACCAACATCGCTACACCGCCCGACAGTATTGCCCCTAGAGTCGTCACTATCGCCGAGGGTCTTGACTTGACTCTTCGTGTCACTGAATACAACAAACCTCTGCAGGCTGGTGAAGATGGCCATGACAAGATCAAAGCTATCGTTGACTTCAACGTCACCCGCCAGTATTTGGTTGACAACTCTGAGTCCGAAGTCATCAAGAAACTCTTGACGACGCGCGAGTTCGCCGAGGCTGGCCAGAGCATCATCAACCTGGACGAACACAACCCCCTTGCAGTCGAGGCCATTCTCTGCGCCATCTACCGCAAGAACGAAAGCTGGAGACTGTCTACTCTGGGCGAGGAAGTCACTGCACGCACTTTGAACCTTGGATTGGACCATCGTATCCTCCAACCGTTTCCTTATGATCGAGTTCTTCCACCTTGACATGCGGTTTCGCCTCTGGTATGACAAGAATGGCATCCATCATGGAACCAAGCTGCTGTATCCATGCTTTCAGTTCAACCACATCGAAGGCTTCCTGTTCATCACCGAATACCTGGTTTACAATTCTGCTCATGTCAAAGAGTACAAGAATACGAAGCATCCAGATCTGCATGTTCCGCCTCGTGTCATCAGTAAGTTATGCATTCGCAAAACCGTTTCCTCCAGCTGACTGAGTTACAGGCGCACTCAACTCTGCTCGCGGCCATCTAAGAGTTCTTCTAGCTAGATGGCTCTGGAATCCGATGGATGATGTGTTGAAAGCCAAATGTCGTTGCAAGGAGAAGACCGTCTTCCAGTACCTCAAGGCACTTACAGATACTGATGGATGGCCCGTCGACCAACAGAGCCGCAAATCTGTCAACGAAGTCTGTGAGGACCTTAAGACCTTCAAAGAACACTTCAGTCTGCCTGCATCTCACAACATCTGCATAAACTGTGGAAGAGACTGGCACTTTGTGGTCGCAAATGCGATCGCCGAGATCCAGGGATACTTTGACGGCATGTGCCTTGATTGTATGGATCACACACAGCCTAAGTTCTTGGACGAGCACACAGATTACTGGAATCATCTCGATCCAGAGGAGTGGGACGCAGAATGCCGTGTCCATCATGGACAGGCTACCTGGTATTCGTCTTTCAGTAAGTCACCAGTAAAACTACTCTCGCAGATACCAGTACTCACAAGTGTAGTGGGACGTGCAGACACCAGAAACGAGCTGCTGTCGCGTGTGAGATCTCAAAAGCGTCGCAACTACTAGTGTAACAGTATTCTACAACTAAGATCTGCAGCCAGGCCTCAGGAGTGTGTCACAGACATGGTGTCTTTGAAGGGTGTCTGAAGGGAAGACTGGTATTAGTGGACCCGAGTAACTCAATATGTAAAATAGCTCAAGAGGGAAAGCAGACAGAACTAGCTATCACCAAGAAATCGTCCCTCTCATCTTATTCTATACCCACCTAGCTTACGTAGTGTGAGTGAATCGAGCGCGCCTTCTTTTTCCGTTCTTCGCTGTCGATGGTTACATCTCCCTTTACTCATTCTATTGTTGTATCATCTACCCTTTGAGCTTGGCTAGCTATCTGACGCCTCTCTTTACCGCAACATCATCGCAAACCCCAACTCTCGTACAGCATCCCTGCAAACGAATAATCCACCCCTCTCTGTGATCGAATTCGTCTTCTTGGATCTTGCCACTCTAAGATCACACACCGAGAGAAAGGCGCAGCCACAAAGTTCTGTCCACCTTTTCGACGACAGCGTCACACCTTGACTGCCTCTAACACCTTCACAACCTAGCTCACAAACGCACAATTCATCTTCTCTTCACCTGCATGACCATCATCCTAGCACGAGGTGGCATTCACAATGGTACTCAACGACAAGGCCAAGCAGACGGCAGAAAAGCAGCTCCAGGCGCTGCAAGAAGAGTTGCAGGCGCTTAGAGAAGACAAAATCGAGGTTGGAGCAGAGAATGAGGAACTCAGGCTCATACATATGCGCCAGGAGGACAGGATCGACCAACTTCGCAAAGACATTGATGGTTTGATAGACGACAACGAGACTCTCCGCGACGACTACGACGAAGTAACAACAGACAACAAGACCCTTCGGGACGAGTATGACGAGGTGAAAGCCATCAACCGCACTCTACACAACAACATTGCAGATCTCAACAACAACGTCTATCAATGGGAGAAATACGCCTTGGAAGAAAGTGATCAACTCACAAAACTGAACGCATACACGGACGAGCTCGAACAGCGCCTGAAAGAATCCAAAGCTCATTCCGGGGACCTCGAGGAGCGCAATGAAGAGCTTGAAGATCGTCTGATTACCGAGAGAATAGAATCTCAGGCTTTAGAGGTTGAGTGTGAGGACCTCGAGCGCAAGAACAAGGCGTTGTGGAGCACTGTCAACTACCTTGATGGATTGTCCGAGGAGGACCAGATCGAGGTGATGAGAATGCGCAAGGGAGTTATCAAACTCAAAAAGCTCTGGGAAGCCGGTGAACTGGATTGACAGCAAAAGGGTGTTGCTTCATGAAATATTGGAAACCAGCAGCAACCACACCTAGAAGATTCGAAAGATATGTGGGCCGACTCGGTGGAGATTGTGGCTCGGTTCTCGTTCGAAGAGTCTTCATGGCTGTGACCTCCATCAGTAAGTCCGTCAACACTTGATGTCTCTATGCCTCCTAACACGACTGTCAGGTTCCGATACGCATGACAAACCGGTGTAACAATTTCATTGGGCGGATGCCTTGTCAACACATCTGATCAGAGTCCGCTTGGTGTTCGAGATCAAAGATTGTGGGTCTTTGAACTTGAGGAGCTGCAGGCCTCCTCCAAAGGAACTCGCCGTGTTACAAGTCAGCAAGCAGAAGCGTAGAAGCATAACTGCAAGGAGGTGGAAGAAACTACCCCGTCCTTTGTCGAGTCAGTCAATCATGTATGCTCAGAGTCACGATGGAGGAAAATTCGGGGAGTAACAAGGAAAGGGGTATCTTCTTCTTCTGCTGGTGCGCACCAATTCTATAGCTTCCAATCATAAATTAACCACGTCTCTCACAGCTCTACAAAACACGCTTGACCTCAAGCTCGTAGTCAGAGCCATCAGTCAAAGCAGTGTAGGTCTTTGCTTCAACCCTCTTCAGCCACTTGTTGCTTTCGTAGCGGCCAGTGAAGATGCTCATCCTTAGTACGGGCTCTTCTTTTGTCTCGGTCTGATCCAATGTCCACATCCAGCGGCCAAAACTCCAGTTCAAAATATATCTCTTTGGTGTTGCAAATTCGGTATCCTCGTCTGCTGGTGTACCGTCGCTGTTTGCAGGTGTTTGTGTTGTACGCAGGACAGCTTTGATACGGTAGACTTCGTCTTTGGGTGCTGTTTTGAGAAGGTTGGCGAGCTTCGTGGTGTCCAGAGATGCGGTAGATGGAGAAGCAGAGGTGAGGGTGACGCTCAAAGCTTCCATCTCCTCGTTGTGATCGTGTTTATGCCCATCCCCATGCTCATGCTTGTGGTCATGGCCATGCTGCTGGTTCAAAGCAACCCAATCTCTAGCCATCCTCTCGTCAATACCGAACAGCAAGTCCTTGCTAATCCAACCCTTGTCACTCTTGATATGCGGCGTGTCCACATCCATATCTCCAAGCTTGTCCAACGTCCTCTCAAACGCCATCTCAGACAGACCTTCCCATTTGTTCAAGACGATCAGATCGGTCTGCTGAGCCTGCAGTTTTGCCGTGTACGAAGTAGATGCATACCCATCCCAGTTTTCCACATCAATCACGCTCACCACGCCATCCAATGCGTATCTCCCCGTCTCCCCTGCCAACCTCTTCAACTCCACCATCAATTTGATCGGCTCTGCACTTCCTGACGTCTCAATAATAACTCTGTTTGGCGAATACGTCTCATCCAATTCTTTCAATGCATCTCCGATTTGTCCAACGTTTGTGCAGCAAATACATGCACCCAGCAATTCGGAGACGCCTGTCATTTCGGCGGCGGATGCGAGTTGGGAGTCGACGTTCAAGTCGCCGATTTCGTTTTTGATGAGGGCGAGTTTGTAGGAGGGGTTTTCGGCGCGGAGTTGAGGCAGGAGGTTTAGGATCATTGTTGTTTTTCCCGAGCCAACGAAGCCGGTTATCACTGTGATGGGGATTTTGGGGGTCGCCATGGTTAAAAAGATGGAGGTGGTAATTGTGGAATCGGGTGTGTGAGTCGGAAAGAATTTGAGGCTGGTAAGGTGACGGATGGCACTTGATCGAGATTGTAGACTAGCTGCCCGGATTGAATGGCACAAACGAAATAATGCTTCTATCTCTCACCAGACTTCAGGATTGAGGTGGGATTTATTTGTGTTTGTCTTGTTTGAACTCTGCGTCATGGAGTAGCTTCTTTCCTTTTTCTAAAAGCGAGCATGTCTGCAGCTTGACTGACAAAGATTCGATAGCTAAAGATGCTTGAGTAGCTATGGACTTTCGGACAAATCTGAAGAGGATATTGCGTTGGCATGAAATACGATGGCTGACGGTGTGACATGTGGCTGACAGCTGTGATGCTGATGGCTGTGCAAGCTCTAGACCACCAACCGCCGTCTGTCCAACCTTGGATGTCCAAAAACAAGGAAATAGACTCTAGGTGCATGCCGCTCGCTTGCCGTTGTACAACGAGCTTCCCCTCGTCTATACGATGGTATAGGAGCGTACTCGAAGTATACAGACTTTTGCAATTGCCGAACGTAGTCTCTCGAGTAGTTAGTTCAAAGTATTCAGAAGCCGTGGGAGTATCCTCACAGGGGTCCATCAATCACTAACAGCTTGCATATCATTCCCACCGATCCGGAGCAGCGCCAAGTGATCAGGTGAAACGACAGAAGCACTGCCACGATTCACGCGATCATAGCGGGGTCCTTCCTGCCCAGCTCGATACGTCACACTGCTCTTCTGCTCTTGTTCATAAGCACACGACCTCCTCCGACTCGTACCTGAAGATCTCCTTTCTCATCATCAATCACACAACACTACTCAAATCAACCAACCGACTCATCAACCATGGACTTTGTCAAGAAATTCGCCGGCGGTAACAGCAACGAGCAGACTGCTCAGCAGGGCAGTGCTCAGCAAGCTCCCACCCAGCAGGGCGAGTCTGGTGGCTTCCTCGGTGGCATCGGCAACAAGCTCAACTCGGCTGCTGGCGGTGGTCCCGAGAGCGAGAAGAACGAGGATTACCTTGACAAGGGTAAGCTCTCAGCCACATCCATCTTTCCTTTATAACCATACTAACACATCCTTAGGTGTCGACTTTGTCCAAGAGAAGTTCCTGGGCCAGGGCCCTCAGGTACTTTTCATTCCTCCCACTTGTGACGCGCCCCATACTGACCATCCTCCAGAACAATGAATCCGCCATCGAGCAGGCCAAGGACGAGCAAATCTCCGACTTCATCCGCAAGCAATGGAAGTCCACCAGTGGCTCCGACTTCCCCATCAAGGACAAGGAGACCAAGTTCTAGAAGAAGAAAGAGGACGACCATCACGACAAGCCTGAGGGCGCCCAAGGCTGGTGCAAGATGGTAAACTGAAATGATACGAAGATCATGACCCACCACAAAGAGACCTGAGGCAATGCGTGTGCAATAAGATGCAACGCTGGTTATGCTATGAATGAAAAACAATATTTCTCTTACCTACACATCAAGACTCCTCAATCTTGCTGTGACTCACCGTTGATGCCGTAGCCTCGTCCTGTTCACGAATCGTGTCGACGAAAGAGCCTTATGGAGATGACAATACGCCTGACGGAAGACTCGAACACAGGGATATCAAGTGCATATACACAGAGAGTAGAGATTTGTACATCGAATCCGAAGTCATGATCCAGGGGCTACAAGACAGTTCAAACTTCAAAAGTAGGAACCGACCTCTCAACAGCGCGCCATCCATCTTTCAACTTGATGCAAGTCATGGAATTCAGCTACAAAAGGTCACAAGTTGTGTTCCAATCACACATTCCTACGAAGGAATTCACTGAATAGCTCATCAACCAGGACACCCTTCATTCTTCTCCAGCGCCCCTAACTATGCCGGCCTTTCGCCCTCGCGTTCGAGCAGTCTTGAATCAGCTCAGCATGGATATTGATGTGTGGCATACGTGGTCGTTGCAGTCCATGTGCGTATACATCAACGCCATCTGCGGACAAAACGACCCTTCTCCACTCGAAATGCTTTTTCTGGAAAGTTTCTTCGCTTGTTGTATCCTCTTCTCGACACTGTAGCTCAATCTTGATTCGAATCTTTGGGCACATCTGAGCTTGTCTGCCATTGAGTTGATTGCAGCAGTAAGGGGTTCTGAAGGGTTCTCCCTGATACTGGAGAACTATTGCCTTCCATATGCGTTCTCCGTTGCTAGCTCCACGTGTGCTAAGGTTTGTAATGTGCCCAGCTGTAAAGATGCACAGTGACTTCGGGGATTAGGAGGGATCCCATTGAGAGTTGTGAAATCCGTAGCTCTCTGTGGGCTTCTCCTACCTTTTAAGATAGTTTTGCATCTCCACAGTGACTATCACGCTCTCAGCCTTCATAGGAGAACTGTGAGAGGACCGTGAGAGGTACAAACCTTAGCATCCGGAATCTCTTCTGGCAGGCAGAGTCTGGCGCCATCTCTTGACCTTCAATACCAGCTAAGTTTTTCAATTGCTTGTATCATTCGTTCGAGATCAGCTTCGTCTTCCAGAGCTTCCACGTCCTCTGCTTCATCATCGACCAGATAGTCGGGAGATTCTCGTTGTCTTCTTGTCCGTCTTCTGAGCTTGTGGCATCTTCGATTGGCCTTTTGAAGTTTCTGATTGAGTGCGGCTCTGCAGCAAGGGCTAGCTCTTCGGTACGCTGGGCTCGTCTCTTGCTTCTGATGAGCATCACCCAGGGTGTGATTCTCGCGACCTGGGGAGAATATATACTCTGTCAAGCAAAGATGATAGTCCACAAGCTTTGAACGTGCCTTACTGAATGACAAAGACCTGCAACTAGCGTAAACTTCATCATCCTTCGTCTTAGCTACTGGACTGACGGGCAGCTGGCAATGACATGATCCATAACGTACACAGCGGGATTTGCACAGTGATTTTATTACCAGATGTAGAAAATGACGAGTGTCAACATGTTTGCGGAACTTAGCCATCCTACAGTAAGATATTGGAACTGAAATGGAGATGTATGTTGGGGATAGGTGAAAGGTCGATCGGCGAGATGGATTGTTCATGTTGAGTAGTGCTGGGTAGAGAGATGCCTAGTAATGCGATGATCTTCTGATGATGAAGATCGAGATTATCGTTCTTCTTCCTGAGAGGAAATAGGATTGTGAAGTAGGTTTGGAAATTAGGTGACCAGAGAAAAAATATCACAAAAAAGTTTGACGAACTGCATGAGAGGTGGCAGTATTCGATAATGCGAATGGAATGATGCCTATTAGATTGTGAATATCTATCACGAAACGTTGTAACGAGCGATTGTTCACAACGTGCAACGACACAGATCCTTGATATGAGAGGTGATCAGCTTCGAAGAGCATTCCACATCTCAAGCGGAATGTGTCAGCCATCGGTCATAGCTAGACATTGAGAAGGGCCAACCAAGAGGTCGAGACATCATGCTTGATACATAAGCACGGCTGACACCGTAAGCGGGACGCACGCATATCGCACATGTTTCTCCTGATCTATGCCTAGGCGAAGTTGACAAATCGAGTGCATCAAAAGGCATCTGAAGAGATGTCGACGACCGGCAGATGATTAAGTGAAGTCGAAACAAGCGCCAGATGTCAGACCCGCCTACATTACCGCTCCTGCCGCCTACCGGGCGCCTCTTACCGCCACTGACAGCGCCCGTACGCGCCGTGTTGCTTGTTTCATTTTCGCCAAGGAGAGCCCAGGGAACGATCAACTGTTCGAAGATAAGGTCCCCGGCACCATGTCAATCGACCGTCAAGGCTTGGTTTGGTGGCTTCATGCATGGACGATTGTGTAGGTTGCTTCCTTCGAAGGCTTGTTCTCCGGACCAGACAGTGTGGGCGTTTCTAGGCTTGTCATTGGCTTCCAGGGGTCCAACTCCTGCGACATGACATCTCGAGGGCTGCTAGGTGACGAAGAAGATGCATAAAACGCGCGTTTATCGTACCGTCACAGGATTCATCAACGAGATTTGATCTGTTGCTACGGTTGCGGTGACATGTACGCTGCGAGCGAAGCAGGAAGAGGAATTAGCAGACTTGCTGGAGAGCTACCCACACGTTCGAACGCCTCTGGGCAGCAAACGGTTCGCACGTGTTCTTGCAAATCCGTAGGCGTCTCGCATGGCTGCTTGATCAATTCGCGAACCCGATGCTGGTGAGCTCAATCACATGCAGATTCGATACACTCCCGAACCTTTCTCCCGTCTGCCGCTACGAGCATACGATCCCTCCTGCAACTCGTGCCGGTCTTTCCGGACGATGGCAAGAAGATTTCGTCCATGACTCCATGGCAGACGACACAGCACCAAGCTTCTGCCGAGCATGCAAGCACGTGGGCTACTGATGGGTAAGTTCTCGGACCGTTCCAACCAGACACACTTTACCTCCAACAGATGGTTCATGCTCCGGCCAGGGACTGCTCGTGTGAACATGTCGTTGTTTAATCTCAGTCTGCGACAAACGAGATGAAAGCTGGAAGCTCAACCAAAGCTATTATCGTTGTCTGCATCGATGTGGATATCAATCTCGAAGGCCAGAAAATTGAACCCGAGCGAGGATGTCACTGAAGCCTAGGGGTTTGACCTGCCGAGCACCAACTCGTTTCCCCTCAGTTTGGCCAGGAGGCCCCCGGGATCACCATATATTAGGCGGAGCTGACCGAGCGTTCGTCCTCCATGCGTTCGCTGTGACAGACGCTCAAAGGCATGACTACCGTATGTGATATAAGAAACGGAAAAGAGGAACGGCATGATGCCATTACCGAGATTCGCAAGACTCGAACGAGTCAATCCCGAGAGCAACAAAGACCAAATCGATAAAAATCGTCGTCGTCGCTCGTGTGGAAGCAAAAAAAAGAAGGAGATGATGTCTCTGGATGAATGATCGGCGCTGCACCAGACCCCACGCCACATGCAGGGCCGAGAAGTCTTTCCGCAAGGTCTGGAAGCCTTCCCGACCAAGGACTCGAGCACGTTGTCGGAACGACGCTTTCTTATTGGTCGACCACAACCTCTGACCTTCAACCTCAAGATTCGATCTTCTCAACTCACTTGGCAGTTGAGGCTTGCCAAAGGCACGGCAATCGTGCTTGTTTTCGTCATTGGCAAAGCTTTTTGGTGCCGGTAATAACTGCTTGTCGACATCATAATCCTTCTCGAAAAACGCGTTCGGAAACGAGGTCTGATGGATGGAAAAGAGCGTGTCGGGATTTGGCGGTGCTGCAAGGCCGGCTTCGATTCAGAAGTTGGATTTGGACTTTGTCGTTAGAATTCAACGCGATTGCCCCACGGTCGCTCTGATGCCCCGAATCTTTCGATGTTTGGCGCTTGTTCGGCCCACCAGACAGACGCTTTGGGCAGCTCAAGCTGGCAAGTGCTCGCGTGTCCACCGGTAGGCGAGCGTTCTGGCGAAGAGAAAAAAAACTGGAGCTCTCGGGTTGAGGGTGCTTGGACATCATCCGCGGCCTGACATGTCTGAGCTGGTTTCCTTCAAATGTAGATCTCCGCCGTACTTTCTCTCTTTCCTTTGACCACTCACGTTCCGCTGTGTTGCACGTTCTGTCCAGGGTTCCGCGTATTCCGCTACCTCACGCAATTCATACCCACCTTCCTTCCCTCAAATACGGCATCGTGCATCCTACTCCAGTCGATTCTTCCACGAGCACCTCGTGCAGCTGCCGCTTCCTGCTACCACTCGACCCGTAACACCCTCAGGCATTGCAAAAGAAAATCTGCCGCCTACCACATCCGTCATCAATCGCCATCTCATAGCTCAAACTATATCTTTTTAAGGGAAGCTGATTGACGCTTCGCCTTCTTCAATACACATCACACAACTGCAGTCCTACAGCTACAGGACAACACCAAAATGTCATCATTACGCGACTACGGTCTCGCGGCCCCTCATGGACCCAACATGGACAGCCACCACGTCGCGACTGAGCAGCTCTACGCCATGAGCCAGAACGAGCAGGGTGTTTTCCAAACCATCCTCAAGCCTGACGACAGTTATGACGAGCACGGCACATACTGGGCCGACATGCCTATCATGAAGAGAATCGCCTTTGTCAACAAAGTCAACAACGCAGAAGCCAAGAAGGAGTGGAACGCGACATGGGCCATGATCAAGAAGGACCCCCTCAGCCCTCTCGGCTACTACATGCGTAACATGGTCATTCCGGGTATGGGTCTGCTCCTCGAGGGTTACGTCCTCTTCTCCATCGGAAACATCAAGCCTCTTCTCCAGGCTGCTTTCCCTGCCTGCTGGAAGCACGAAACCGTTTGCAACGGCACTTGGATCGCTGCTCTCGACTACCTCGAGATTGTCGGTATCATCTGTGGTCAGATCCTTGTCGGTATCATCGGTGACTGGCTGGGTCGTCGTTGGGGCTTGATCCAGGATGCGACCATCATGTTCGTTGGTCTTCTCATGCTCACTGCCTCCTGGGGCGTCACCCAGAACGGCTGGGTCATCTGCTACGTTTGGTCTCTGTTCTTCTACGGTATCGGCGTTGGTGGTGAATATCCCATGACTGCCACTTCCGGTATGGAGAACGCTGTCGGCTCTGGGAAGGTCTCGACGAAGGAGGATCGTCTCCACCGTGGTCGCAAGGTCACTTCAGCCTTCTTGATGCAAGGTTGGGGTCAGTTCCTCAACCAAGTCATTCTGATCATTCTCCTGCTCATCTTCCACGGTTCTGGTAACCCGCCTTACTCCAAGGTCTCCTCTCAGTGGACTTACCGTGTTTCCTTCGCCATCCCCGCCGTTGGAACTCTGTGGCTCGTCTACTTCCGTACCTACAAGATGCGCTCTGCCTCCAAGGTTCTCGCTGCCGCCAAAAAGAAGTCCAACGTCACTGGCTACGATACCCAGTCCTTGAAGCTCACTCTCACCCACTTCGGCCCTCGCCTCATCGCTACTGCTGGTGCCTGGTTTGCCAACGACGTCTTCTTCTACGGTAACAAGCTTTTCCAAGCCGAGTTCATCGCAGTCCTTCTCCCTGGCAACAAGTCTGTCATGGTTGGCTGGCTGTACAACCTGGTCAACGTCGGTGTCTCGCTTTGCGGCTACTACCTCGCTTCTTTCCTGATCGACAACAAGCTCTATGGTCGCAAGTGGATGCAGATCGTTGGTTTCCTGCTTGACTTTATCCTCTTCGTCGTTCCCGCATTCAACTTCAAGTACTACACCAGCACATCCGGAGTCCACGCTTTCCAGGCCATGTACTTCCTGTCTTCTTTCTTCAACCAGTTTGGCCCCAACTCGGTCTCGTTCCTTGTTGCCGCCGAGGTCTTCCCTACTCCCATCCGTGCTACCGCTCACGGTTTCAGTGCCGCTGTCGGAAAGCTCGGTGCTCTTCTTGCCGCTGTCCTCTACAACTACATTGACACTCAGACCAAGTTCTACGTCGTTCCCTGGTTCGGTCTTGGTGGTGCCATCGTCACCTGGCTTTTCCTTCCCGATACCACCGGTCTCGATCTCAAGGAGCAGGAGCGTCGCTGGGCATTCATCCGCGTCGGCAAGGGTGACGAATACCGCGGTGTCGCCATCCACCCCAAGCACTTGTCGGTGTGGGAGCGCTTCCGTGGCATCGGCAAGAACTACGACGCCGAAATTGACTACCAACAGCGCGTCGAGGAGATGCGTCACGAGTGGGAGGAGACCATGGCTTCCAAGGCTGCCGAGAAGGAAAGCAACATGGACCCCGACGTCATCGATGACGAGGACTGGCACAGCGATATCTCAAGCTTCTTCACCCGCACGAAGAACGGTCCCCGTGGTGCTCAGTCTCCTCTCATCTCCCCCATGATTCGCGGCAACGGTGGCAACAACAGCACTTTGCCTTCACCCATGATGCGTGGTATGGAGAAGAGATCACCCATGCCCAGCCCCATGATCCGCGGTCAAGTCAAAGAAGAAGACGAGTCCGATGAGGCCCTGAACGAGAAGAGGTAAAAATGCCTTCTTTTCTCAGCTTCTTTCTTTCTTGTCTTGTGCGGTTTAGCGGGTATACCATAAAATTGGGTTTGGCGTTCTGATGCTTATCTATACATGCCTCTCTCTTCATTGTTGGATATTGATGGTGGAGGGATTGAGAAGATGGAATTATACGAATTTGTAGTTTTGGAATATACACTTTCTTCATGACTTTAATACAAAACAATCACAACCGACTATAAAGACTTTTTGCTGGTGCCATGTCTGATTTAAAGTACTGCGACCCTTGGACTACTCTGACTCCTACATAAGATGCGTTCGTCATAGATATGTAATGATCGTTGAAACAGGTATACCGTGCTCTGCCTTGTGTATAGAATACACACTATACATCCTTGTCCTTTGCGAAGCATTTGCATCGAATCACAGTATTGTTATGACATGACATGTGGTCGGCAAAGTGCCCCTTCTCAAATGACTTGGTATGTATTACGGTTTCGAAACATCTAAAATGAGTAGCACACAGATCACGCAACAGCCAACGTACGCTGTTATTATGAAGCCCGTCGTAGATATCAAGCTATACCTTCCCAGCATCTTCTATAGTGTTTGCAGGATTGTAGACTCTCAAGTTGTGCTTGCATGAACGTTGTAGAATGACATGTGAAGCATGGTGTTTGGGGGGCGACCCTGATACCACTCGTGCCCTATGACGAGCATGAATGTTTTCAAAGAGAGTGCGAAAGGCCAGTAAGGTAATGCATCAGAGCATCGATAACAATGCTCCAGAGTCGAAAAGACCCGTGTCTGGTGTCGCTGCATAGCTATGTACAATACTCGCTCTGTCAAGAGCAACAACCCACGTTATCAGTCATCACCTCTCTCTCAATTCCACAGCAACAGCCGATGATTTATTTACAAACCACAAAACCAATACCAGATCTAGCCTTCAACGCAGCTTTCTTGAGTTCTTGCTCCTCGACATCAGTCCACTTGATGGGCAACTCGTCCCACTTCATAGTCTGAAAGTCACGCTTGTATTGCTGTTGCATCGACTGCAGACGACGCATCTCTGTGGGATCGCCACCACCCGAGTAAACGATGAATGCAGTCTTTGGTGGTAGAGAGTCATAGATGGCTTTGACAGATGCAGTTGTTCTGATCACAGCGTCGGCAAGAGCAGAAGTGCTGATGCCTTGGCCTTCAGAGGCGTTGTTGTCGGCTAGTGTGTTTGCGAGACGAGCTGCTGCGTCGGCAGAGGTGGTGCGGGTCCACCAGCCACGCAAAGCTTCGAGTTCACGGAGGCGTGCCCATATAAAGTCGCAGCCGCCGATGGGGATGTGTTGGCCAGGTGTGTTGGCTTCTTCTGTAGTTTGGGGCCCAGAGAGGACAGTTTGGATGCCAGCGACTACATCTGCGTCACTCTCGCAAGACACGGTGCAAGTGGCTGAAGCGCCGAAACCACGCTTCGGGTCGCCCCAGTCAACGACAGCGCCTGTGCGACCAGTCTTTGCTTGTTCCTTCTGCGGCTCATCCAACATGCCGCCTTCGTCTTTGTCTTCTTCATCCACGCCCACACGACTGAGGCGCTTGAAGATACTTTCGCTGGTGGCTTCGGAAGTGCCCCAGGTCTTGCCCTTCTCGCACTTCTGCTTGACAAGATCGAGACATGCTTTTGCGTCTTCAACACTGTCGTGGCCTTGGGGGCCGCGATTTTGGATTCCACGAGAGAGGTATTTCTGAGTAAGCCACTTGAGAGAGGATTTTTGAGGAGGACCTTTGGGGTGAGGGTATATGAGAGTTGTATCGACGATGAAGGGGAAGGACATGCGAAGTGCGCGGAGATCAGAGTCGAGCGAGTGACCAAGTAGAATGGTGCGAGGCGTCAGGACATCCTTTAGCTTCGCTTGTAACTCGGCAAGCGTTTGCGTGACTGGCTCCATCATTTCCTTTGTGATGCCAGAGTATTGGGTCAGGTAATCTGTTACGGTGCCAGGAGGTTTGACCAGCTCATCGAGCACAACGTTGCCGTCCCAGTCTATGAATGACACACGAGCGAGAGCGAACCTTTCTTCTGACGTGCTGATCATTTCACAGTCGACAGTCAATACATTGCGACCTTGCAGAATGCTGCCTTGCTCAATCTCGTCTGATGGCACGATGGCTTCATCGAGAGATGATATGTCGGGCAAGTTGATCCAGCCATCCTCCTCTGATTGGCAGTGCTTGTGACGTCTTGCCTTCTCGGCTGCACGCTCGGCGTCTGTACGCAAGTAGGCAGGGTGAATAGCATATCCATTGTCCAACATCTCTTCTCTTGTTGCTAGGAAGTCTGTTATGGGGGTTCTTTGATTCTGCCATTTTGCGCCTTCTCTCGGTGGTTTCGGGCCCTTTATTTTCTTCTCGTCCTTTCCCTTGGGTAAGGGCGATGTCAACAGAGCCTGTAGGGGTGAGTGCATGCGATTGAAGTCTCCAGGAGTCTTGACAGGCCAGATGTGAGGGAACATTTCGGCGAAAGGCTGTAACGGAGCGGGTAGCTTTGGCGAGACAAGCTTGACGGGATAGTAGTCATCAGGCGAGATGCTTATCTTCGTCTTCTTAGTTGGAGGTGTGTCTTCGTCGGCGACTTCTGTCTGCTGAAGGGCAGGTTTGGCGAGCGTGTCTTGAGTAGGGTCCAGGTTGATGTTGGCATTGAACATGTCTGCTTCGAGTCCAGGGACCATGAGACAGACGACACGCTCAATGTCCTTCTTGTGACGCACACTAATCCACTGGGGGCCGCCACCATCTGCGAGCAGATACAGGATGAGGTTTTGCAAGTCTGGGAGTTTGACGAAAGACTGCAGACGAGCGTTTGGCGCATGCGTGATTTGAGGGTAGTTTTGGTGGAGGCCCTTCTTTTGGCGTTTGGAGCTACGGTCGACCGTCGTCCATTCGGCGCCATCGTCGCTTGCGCCCTGTGTTGCAGCGGGCGAGTCTGTTGTATTCTTGGTCGAGTCCGGGTCGCTGTCGCCATTGAGTCGCGACAAAGTGGCGCCGGTGCTGAGCAGTTCTCTTCCGTCTTGCTGGTCGAGCTTGCGCTTCTGACCACGACTGTGGCTGTCTCCAGACATGGTTGCGACTTGTCACGGGTGCTTGTCGTGGATGCTGACGTCGAGGCGACTTTTGCGACCAGCTTCTCCAAGAATCGCGAGATGCGACAGATGTCGGCATCTCGGATCTAACCGAACGGGCAAGAGCAGTCTGGTCACTGCACTCCGAAACGGCCGAGCCTCAATCGCCGAACATGAGCGCTTGGCGTGTGACCAGTGCGCCAAAGCGATTATATCGTCTAGACAATCAACTCGTCGCCCGACAGTTCCATGTCTCAGCATAACCCATGAGACTTCTACCGCCCAACTGGGAAGGGATCCATCCCGCCTACCCCAGCAGACCTGCCCCGTACAATGAGTCTGCCCTGACCAAAGCCCCCTTCTGGGCTGGAGGCGCCGGCGCCATTGTCGCTGGTCTCGCCTTGCTCACAAAACGTTCACCAACCCAAGGTCTCAAGACCGCTGCCTGGACCACCATTCTCTTCGGTATCCCTACTGTCGGCATTGAACGCTACGCCGGCCATCTCATCGCCAGACCCTACCTCGAGAGCAAGGGTCTCGATATTCCAAAGTCCAAGATCATCGATCGCCCGTTCAGCATCGATGCTGACAACTACATTCTCCTCGGTGGTCTCATCGGTGTTGGTTGTGCTGCCTCTGTGCGCAAGCCATGGGCCCTTGCCGGCTGGCAACGCTGGCTAGGTGCTTTCAGCTGTGGCGCCTTTGCCGGCTCCGTCTTCAACCAGGCCTACCATTTCAACACCCGCACCTCTATTGCCGAGACCATCTCAAGACAGCAGGCTCAACGTAACATGTGGAGAGAAGATGTCAAGCGTTTTATTGAGCACAAGGCCATCCAAGACGCTGGCCTCCGTCCGGATACCGCACAACAGCCTGGAATGACTTCAATGTCCGACATGCTCAGCAAAATTGGTGGTGCTCAAAACGCAATGATGAAGGAGGCTCATGCTGCTGCCGAAAAGGCCGCCCAGGTTGCTCAAGAGGAGGACATCGATGAGCAAGATCCACAGCCACACTTCAGTGAGATGCGCGAAGGAGAGCGTGTCTTCTTCCCCGAACCAAACTACAAGTGGCAGCCTGGTGCTGCAGCTGTCGAACAGATCGAGTCGCATATTCAGAAGCTAAAAGAGAGACGGTCCCGACTGGCAGACGAAGCATCCATGTTGTTCTACGAACTTGCTTCCAAGCAAAATCAATTGTACATGACCGACAAGGACGACTGGGAGAGGGAGCAGCGTCGTGTCGATGCCGAACTCATGGGACATCTGCATACTCAGACTTACCTCGAGATTTCGCGACTGGATTGGTGCATCGCCGACTCGCAAAAGACAAGGCTGCAACTCAAGGCTCTGGAAAATGGGAAACAATGGTTGCCTCAAAGGGTCGAGAACCAACCAAAACCGCAACATGCTCGCCGCCTGCTCGATGACTTTGACCATGAGAATGAGGTTGCACGTGCTGAGATGGACATGCTCTCACAGCAGGCTGCGGATGCCCTGCGGGATCCAGGACTCGGCGCCATCGATATGAGTACCGGCAAAGTGGTCGAGGACCCCCACTCGCAGATCAAGAAGGATCTGCAAGAGCTGAAGCGCGTCCAGAAGGAATCCGATATGATCCGCGAGGCTATCATCAAGCTCAGAAAAGAAATGGGCGTCGAGAAGAGAGACGATTAATTAGTCTCGCTGTAATTAGGGAACCAAGAACCATATTGTACACTTATCGACCAATTCTTTGTTCTGCAATGTCCTCTTCCGATGGCGCTTTCCTCTAGTCCCATATAGCCCAACGTTTGTCGTTGCCATAGAAGAATCCGATCAGGATCTGGCCAGGGGCTGGCACGGAACACGTCTATGGGCACCTTTAGAATCAGAGCGTAGCAACAAAATCGCTGCACTCTGCTCGAACTACTGGTGGGCATCGGCGAGGCACTCTACGTTCAATCCGCCGATATCACCCTCTTCTGTTCTACTTGTCTTGTCTCAATGAGCACAAAAAGGATCAACCCAAACTCCTTGCTCTTCCCAAGGAATACAAAGGTCCTGGACAACAACAATGCGACAAAACAACAAGACTAGCAGGTATATCCTAGTAACATCACGTCACCAGCCGCATGCAATCACGAACACAAGCCAAGCAAAAAGAACCAAGAGAGCTTGGGGGAAAAACTTCCAAAGTCATAATCGCGACCAACCAAGGCTGAGGATTGAACTCACAACCCCTGGATTCTATTTACACTAGACTTTGTGTTGTTTCCATCGAGTGGTACATGTGAGCCATAGTACCGATCTCTGTCATGAGCAGGATTCTGCTGGAATACGTAGTAAGTGAGGTGATGCTGAGAAGTGAAGGAATGACAAGAGCTTTTCATGAGACAGCTGCATCACAGACCCTGCAGCAAGTTCTTTTATTCTCCTTACACGAGATTGATTCGACATCCTGTTCGGCGCAGTAAAAAGATGTTCTACGAGTGAGACATCTAGTGAGGCAGTAAGGCTTGAAAGCTCCTTCTCAGTGCGCACAGCAATCTCGGCGAGTGCTGCGACTGCCTTTCTAGACAAGACGCGGCTCGCATCAACCGCCTTCGCACTTGCGAGTCTTCGTCTTTTCCACCACTCTGCAACAGACTCACACCGCCTACCCTTCGCTGGATTGCATCTGTTTTCAATCGCCAGCTCACCTACAAGCTATCACTGCTAGTCCCCAATCAATTACAGATGGCCCCAATAAATACCTTATCCCCTCTACAGAGTCTTGGCTCCCGCATTGAGAGTATGGCCATCTTCTACCACTGTACGATGCAACTTGTGCTCACAAATTGCTGGCAGATGCCTATCGCAGTCGCAGATGGACCAAGATCAAAGGAGCAAGACCTGATGTCATCTTCGACAAAGACACTACGTGGTGGACTTACGTACAACCTGAAGAGTATCCTCCAGTGATTGGCTGTGGTACTACGCTCCAAGCGGCCTTGCAAGGCCTTCTTGATCAGCTGCAAGTGGGTCCGCAGCAATGGATGGCCATCGTCCGTAAGCATATGTTCGCGAATCAAGCCACCGATCGCAGCCCAGGAATGACACCACATCCGGGTCTTTCTGTCTACCCATTCGCGCAAGGATCTAGCTCCAACTCTGGCAATTCCTCGTCATTCACTTCAACACTACCCAACCCACTACCGCATAACCCGACGTGTGTTGCTCCACCTGCCGAACGTGGTCCGCTCTTACAAAAGGTACAGCAGTTGTGTAATTCTATACGAGAGACGATCCCGGATGTCACAACCTTCATCCAGCGCCCAATAAGCAGCTCAACAACCTGGGCTGCTCCGGTCAAGCTCCATCAGCAGATGCCCACAATGACCCCCAACTACATGGGACCTCGGCCATCCAACCTCCACACCTCCGCCGGCTTGGTGTCACCCACTGTTCCAAACGACAGAGTAGTTCCAGCGGATATGACCAATCCGGCAGTGTCTCAACCTTTCGTTCAGGGAGCGCTCACTTCAAGCTTCTTGAATCAGACAACTTCGGATCAGATTGGTCAGCCATCTGCCCCCTTCTGCGAAGCGACTCAGATCGAACATGACTTATCTTCATTGCCGGCCCACTATACGTCTGTCAATATTCCACAAGTTGACCAACCCAAACAAGGAGATGAGATGCACGGTGCATCCGGCCAAACACCAAACCCAGGTACTGGAGAACGAGCTCAAAAGCGAACCCAAGTCGAGGAGTACTCTCAAGTAATCAGGGTCGAGCCGCAGTCTAAGGTGATCAAGTTCGAAGATCAGCCTCAAAAATCCGATTCCGAAGAACAGCTCCATGAAATCAAAGCTGAAGAAAGACCCTCGAAGAAGATCAAGATTGAGTACTCAGATTAGCGGCCAAATTGCTGGTCAACAATCTCGAGATGACAGCATCTTTACCAATCGTGCTCGAGTTTGCTAGGTCGAAGAGTCATTCTGTCATGGCGATACACAACCTCAGTTTCATACGGCGGTCGACTTGTATTGCTATTGAGATTCTGTGCCTTGTATCGCTATGGAATCGGAGCATCGGATGGCTTCAAGCTGATGGAGAGGACTGAAAGCTCGCTTCTGTACAAGATTGTCTACGCAGAATGACTTTCATCGTTATATGAATATTTATAACTAGGTAGTCTCCATGGTGTCGCTTCTACCCATGCAGGAACAAATCCAGATACATTTTGCTATATCGTTAATTCTTCTGCTATCCCATTGCAGTGTCTCATCAAGCCTCTTGCTTTAGAGAGTATCAATTCCAAAATACACAAGCCAATGGACGGACATTCACGCTACCCATGTTCTCAGTCGAGTATAACTATATTTAGGCCTCTCTTTGTTCTACATGTCCCGCATTAGACATCAGTAATCGAGACATGAATGTCTAAGACAGTGCTTTTATCCATTGTGTTGCGGCCTTTGTTCAGAGACTGTCTCATATCGGCATCGACGACTTCTAAAATAATCTTCGTTGAGTGTAGAGCAATATAAGAGCTATCCATAACCACAGCAGAACGAAAACACTACCATCACCATCCCTCCTATCCTGCACAACCCTGAACAACAAACTTACCCACCCACCTTAACTTAACGATGTCTTCTTCCACCATGGATAACCCGGTCATCAAAGCCATTCTCTTCATCCTCACTCTCGGCGGAACAATCACCATCAAGCAGCTCCTCCAAGCCATCTTTGAATTCTTCATGCAAAAGTCAGGCGGTAGCGAGTACAGCCGCATGACAAAAAGGACAAATACTACGAATACCGTAATTGAAGAGTTTGGACCTGCTTGGCGTTGGGATTGAGAAGGATTTGGATACTGCTACTAGTGTGACGGTCTGATAGTGTCAAAGGTCATGGGCTGGTCCCTGAGCTGCTGTCTAGGATGAAATGGAAGACTCAATCGGGAGAATCGGGCAGGAGTTCAATAAAGGATATATTGGGATCTGTAAATCTGGGGAAGGATATGTGCTGGGGAAGAATGATGGTGGGATAAGTTTGGGTACTTTGCAGAACTTTGAGTCATCCCTCATTGGATCTTCCACTTATCAGCCTTTAGTTTGGTACTGATGTTGTTCATGTGATTTACCCTCGACCTTCTCATAGCAGCTGCAGCAACTCTGACCCGTCCATCAACCCAATGCTTGTTCATCTCACTCCATAAGTTTCCGCAGCATCAAATCTGGGCGCAATGGTGACTGTGATCTACCCAGTACGCCCTTCTCAAGCACCCGCATCAGACGTAGATCCAGACCCACGATTAGACTCATCAATGAGGACAACCGCAGCGCGTTCACAAGTCCTGACAAGAAGATTGTGGAGGGCGGCTTCGGGATCAGACCCAGCCATTCCAGCTACTCTGTCATTGTTGTTGAACGACTTGTCGATGACCCAAGCTTGGAAGTCAGTTGTGGAGATTTTGGCAATCATGATGTAAGGGTCGCTCTCGTGGGAAGCTTGAAAGAAATAGTTGTCTGGTGAGTTCGTCAGTAAGAGAGACGGCGGATGCGAGGACGATGATTTAGTATGCCGTACCGAGGATTTGCTGACGCAGGTCGGTGAAGTCGGACATCTTGATCTTTCTGGAAATCTGATCTGTGCTGCTGCTAGTTTGCGAATGATGTGCTGTTTTTTTTATATCAGGAAGTTGTTGGGATAGTGGGAAGAGAGAGAGATGCATTGCCAGTCCGAAAATCTTATAGACGTTCTTGATTGCTTGGTCATGAAAGTAGACAGATTCTAGAAGTCAATGGAGAATTCAGAACAGCAGAAGATTGTGTTTGTTACCTCTGAATCTTTCCATTTTTGCGTTCATTTCGATGCTTTATTGTTCTCGCGTGCTTATTTGATAGACTCGAGAGTCTAAGCGGATCAATGTCTCAGTGTGTTCTTAACAAAGACTTCCAAGGGTAACTCTATCTTTTAACAAAGATGAGAAGAGTTTGATATCAACTACCTCAAACTGCTCGAACTTCTTGCGGACAAGTCACAGATACCAGAAGAAGGAGAGAGAGCATTGTGCAAACAATACATTGGAAGAAATTTGTTTTGCGTAAAATTCTTAGTGACGAAAGGACAATGATCATCAAAGACAACAACTTTTGTGCTTGCTCCGCATAGAAACACATCCTTCCTTCCCTTTTACATCGACGATCTTGTAATCAGATACTGGTAATGTTGAGGAGATCCTCAAGGGCCTCCTGAGCAGTGCTACCACTAGCACGCGCGATGGTTGCACGCTGGGGTCCAGCAACGACGTAAGCAGTGTGTGTCTCGAGCTGACCGCGCTTCATGACTGAGACGGTGATGGTGAAGACATCAAACTCGATGAATGATAGTTCGCAGTTGACTGATACACGCTCAGTGATGAAAACATGTGGAGGAAACTCCTATACACGGGTACCACGAATAAGATAATGGAATGTGATAGATGAAAAGCACTTACGGATGATTTTGGCGCGCAGGTCATCGATAGAAGACATGCTGTCTGTTGTGACTGCGTATACAGGCGGAGGATCCGATATTGATACCGAAGAGAATGACAGTTGTGAGTTGTGAATGGCTAGGGAAGGGTGATCTTATGTAGATTCATGCAAGTGAGAAGGGCATGTACGGATTGCAACTTGAACAAAAAAAGGAAGGTGAAACGGCAAGCGAGAGAACATTAGTAGGCATGGACGAAGAGGCGACCCTTCATGAGAATTACTCAAACTACGTTGCAATCGAAACCCAAAGCCGTCAATTGAGGCGTGAAATTCCGCTTTGAAGTAAATGGTATTGCGACCGGACCCGTCAGGCTGCTTCTCCCCTATCAAGCTTCTTTGATCTCTTATTTTCAATTTCACGGCCAAACATTGCAAGTGTGACGCATTGTCAAGCGCGTATAACAAACCATATCCCTCGTCAACCACCTTACTCATGCAAGAAAAGTCTACTTCCAAGCGCCATCGCCTAAACGACTTCAAGACTCCTCACCACCATGTCACTTGCCTTTGCCATTCCAATGTGGCTGCTCTTGACTTATGTGCTGATCGCTTGTGTCTCGCTTACTGACAGAACTGTCCCACTCTGCGTGCGCCAGCCTCCAACACAATTGCGCATTCGCGAGCACCAGGAGCACTACCAGGGGATCTTCTTGCAGGCTGGCATTCACTCAGCATCGCCCATTCCAGTTCTCACACTCGGTTCTAATACATCCTCATACCAATCCACCAACAACACAATAGTGTTTGAGCTGGTAAGACCGGCTGGCAACACCTACCAACACCACACAGATTTCGGATAGCTTGGGTGATCTGCGTCTGGCAACGGGAACTGAAGACTCTGGAGTGGCCCCCAACGATGAGCAGCATAACGACACGAGCAATGGACTAGGCGAAGAGGTATGTCCAGTTGAGATTGACATGCTCGACTGTGATGAGTGTGGTGGACCAGAACAGACTTGGGAGATAGCCCACAACGATTACCACTGCAAAAGTGCAAGTACCCCTGTGACGCATAGCTACCGACAGTGCTGACTAACTCTTCCAGATCGAAGCCGAGTACTGGAGATGGAAAGATTGCTCCTGCCTCAATTGGGACGATCCATCCAATTGTCGCCCATGATGCACATTCGACTCCGGTTCGGACGATGATTCTTCGCAGGATGGCAAAGACTCAGATGATAATTCCCGACATGCCTCCCACTCGAACGACGATACTAGCCATACCACTGATTCGAACGACGATACTTGCCATGACTGTGCCTGCGAGGCCGAAGGTTAGTAAATCCGTGTGGTTTCCCCAGCCGCAAAAACTTCAGCAAAAGTTCAAGAAGCACCATACCGGCAGGTGAAATTATATCAAATAGACCTGGGCACTTTTCTATGCATTACTTCCTCTGCCCGTCACACCAACACAACGATGTAATCGAATTTCCCAAGAGCACTCCATTCATCAAAGGCGAGGGGTCGAACAGTTCGATAGGTCGGCTGGAGATACGTCCAGACGCTGGTCCGGAAAGGCGTGTGTTCAGATCCCGATATTATTTTGCTCTCGAAGAATTTATCAGGTCGGCAAAGAAAGGTTGAAGGAAGGGTTGACGAAAGGATTTTCGGCAGCCCGGACGTGGAATCTGTGGGTGGAAGGAAAATCAGGCATCGAGAAAGAAGACGACTTGTTTTGCTGTGACTGGGAAAGTAATAGACAAATCGTACATCATCGGCTGTTTCCCTGATTGGCGATACACTTACTGCCCCTCAAGAGCTTCAGCATCTTCCAATCTCTGCTGATTGATCAGGTACCATCGATCCCTGCCGATCATGTGAATCAGGATGTTGAGTGGACAAGTGGTCATATCTGCCTCGTACATATGCGTACATTGCTCAGCCCATGACACCATGCTTGGACGAGGCCTTGCACGAAGCGGGTACATCGAGAGGTGAAATGTGACAAGAACAAGGCAGACACAGGCACAACAGCTTCATGAGGTTATCTCTCACAACTGTCGCATTGTCCTCCAAGGCTGAGTTCTGTGACTGTGTGGATATAATCTCCAACGGACGGATTTTGTGCCGAGTGGATGGAATGTTTTTCGAAGGATCGATAGAAGGAACACAGTTACAAGATGTCAGACTGTAGGATAACGCTGCCGAGTACTCCGAGGCCTTTTCTTGACAATGCTATAAGCAGTGCAAAGCAACAAAGTCGCGCGAGACTCTGTGAGCAGTGAGCACAATGGAGGCTATACCAAGATACAACCTCGAAGTTTAGGCGAGGTTTACGACGTACGACGAAGTGTCAAGTGTTCAAAGAGGGCGCTAGTGGCTTGGCCAACCTTTCCCGACCGATCCGCCAGCACCTTCCCGTTCGTGATCTCGGAAAGGTGCAATTAATACTGACCGGCCTTGAATCGTAGAAAAAGAGCCAGGTAGGTGTAGATTATGTTTCTCTTTCTCCTCTCACTTCTCATCTCCCGCATTCGCTTCTTCATCGCTCACACAGCAAGAGACACCACCCAGCGTCGTTTCCAATCTTCCACGAGCCCTGTCACTGCCCGGATCTATCGGCTTCCTACAGAAAAAAGACATTTGACAGCCGACACGACAGAACTGCCATGGCTATCGGATCGGCTGGTTGCGTGCCATACAACCCAGCGCAAAGGACAGCATATGGATATGTGCCTTCGCTGGCTGCTGGCATTGTCTACTGCGTCCTCTTCGGATTGTCGATGATTGCGCACACCTTCCAGGCCATCAAGACGAGAGCACTTTGGAACCTGGTCTTTGCTGTTGGTGCTCTGAGTACGTTCGACCCCTCCCCTTGTCGTCAGCAAAGAGGGTCAAGGCATAAATCGCTACCTCCTCACACGCAATATTCTCCGAGGATGATCTGGCTGTTTCAAAAACACGAGCACTGTGCCGATGCTTCTCCCACTGTCCCTCTCTGCTTATCGGCATGACGTATATTTCACCATTGGACCGATCCGCTGACGGGTTCTTACAGCGGAGGTAATAGGCTGGGCTGCCCGATCCTGGTCAAGCGAATGTGCCTACAATGCAAATGCCTTCCTGATGCAGATCTGCACGCTGATCATCGGTATGATTCTAAAAAGCTGTTGATGCCTTGGCTTTGAGCTGACGACCTGCACAGCACCCACATTCTTCACTGCTGGAATTTATGTCATCCTTGGACGCATGATCGCCATTGCCGGACCCGGAGTCAGCCCCATTGGAGCTGTCTGGTACCTCTGGATCTTCTGTACCGTTGATGTCATCTCTCTTGTCATCCAGGCCGTCGGTGGTGGTTCAGCAGCTGTTGCGTTCAACTCGGAGCCTCAGGGCAACACCAAGATCGGCACCAACATCATGGTTGCTGGTATTGACTTCCAACTGGCTTCGGTTGTCGTTTTCAGCGTTCTCTTCTTTCTGTTCCTCTACAGAGCCTCTGCCAAGCTGAGCCTTCCTGCCTTCAAGAACGACAAGGATATGAAACTGCTTGTGCTCGTCACTTCATTCTCGATCCTTCTTATCATCATGAGAAGCATTTATCGTACGATTGAGCTTGCTGGCGGATGGACTGGACATGTCATCGAGACCGAAAGATACTTTATCGCACTCGATGGCGCACCTATGGCGGCTCTTGTGATCGCCTTCAACATCCTGCATCCTGGTGTCTTGCTCAACCGCATCATCGCTCGCAACGGTGTTCAGATTGCGAAGAAGCCATCGAGACCAACAAGCGAATCAAGCAAGCATGACATTCCCATGTCGGACTTATCTGCTTGATGCTTTGACAATACCGACTCACACGTTACACATGACTTTTCTATCATACCCCTTTTCTTTCGCACACGGCAAGATACTCCATAATGCTTTTAATCTCCCGGGAACGCGGACGGATAGACTGAGCAAGCGGCAATGGCCCAGTGGGCTCGGCATGATGGCTGGACGACCTTCAAATCCTTGTTGCTAGCCAGGCCGGTTCCTCACAATGATACTCTTTCTACAAACCAACATTCTATCTTCACATGTCATTTCCATAGCCCCGAACCTCAAGCAGATCATTTCCATAGCTCCGAACCTCAAGCAGATCATTCTGAATGGATGTTTGCTACGTGACCGTTGTTTTACACTCAGAGATGTGTTATATATTCGAAAGTCTATGCAAAATGGTATCCTGAAGAAGAATAGTAGAAACGTCTTGCAAACCGTCCATGCCCACCAAATGCTCATGTCAAATGCATGCTTCTTTGCGCCCCAAGAAAACTCCCGCTATGAACACGATTGCGCATGTCTCTTTTTCAATCATCGGCCTCGAGCATGCTCAAGACATCAATCTCGGTCTTGATGATCCTCTCAAATTCTTCTCTGCCCATGCCCACGCTTCTGGCAAGACGGAACATGCTCTTCATTTCGGTACTGATGAATTGCTTCACGCCAATCTCTGCTCTTGTCATGTCCTCGGCACCACGTTCGAGAACGTCTACGCTGCTGCCCGGAGATGTAGGTCTCGGTGCTTCCAGCTCTTGTTTTTGTGATTGGAGTGTCTTGTTGAATTCGTTGTTCTCGGCTGCGTACATGGGGGGAGCGGGGTTGGTGTTGGGTTCTCCTGCCGTCTTTTTCGTACTGAGCTCACCACCGCGCAGAGTCGAGTTTGCGGTTTCGGGATGCTCTTCATCGGGGTCATGCTCGTCGAGGGCGGGCTGGACTTCAGCGGCGTAGCGGGCAAAGTACTCGAGTTCATCGTTGGTGGGGGCGAGATTCGACGAAGTGCTGGTGCCAGGCGCGGGGCTAGCGCGTTTGGCAGGTGTTCGAGCGGGAGTTCTGTTGTTGGGCGTTCTGTCGTAGCTGGCCCAGTAGTCGTCATCGTCATCATCCTGGTCTTCGGCCGTTGCTTGTTGAGGAATGGTTGTTGAAGGGGCGTTCGGGTGCGACTTTGATTCGAAGACATCGTTTGCTGCGTCGATGGAATCGGACCATTGGGCAACGTCTTCGCTGAGGTCCTCGAGGGCGCGCAATTCTGCTAGCCTCCAGCCAGTTGTGCCACCGACTTGCCCACCTTCGGCATCGTTCTCGCACCACATGTACACAGGCAATAGTCCAAACTCTTCGACTTGCAAGCAGCACTGCAATGTTTCCTCATCTACCCTTCTGTAGCCAATCTTGTCAATGTCCTCGAGTTCGAGCTCGCCAGATACGGGATGGGCTTCCAGTTGCAGGTTTTCAGCTTTGGCGCCGAGTTTCGAAGAGCGGGATGACGACCAGGAGAGTAGGTTTAGCCAGCCGCCTTGGCCTGAGGAAGCGTTGGCAGCGAGGAGGTTGACTCGTTGACGTAGGATGGGCGAGAGCAGAGGTAGCAGCGCTGGCGGAGGTCGCGGGGACATGAAGGCCGTGGGTAGACATGCCAGGAGCGGTGGGAACAAGGTCCGCGGTTCGGGAGGTGTGACGATGGTCGACATGGTCAACGAGTGTGAGCTTTGGAGTGTCGAGGTAGAAGAGGAAGTTGTTGGCAGGAAGCTAGGGAGACGCAGATTGTAGATACAGGGTAGCGACGGCCCGACTTTCTTCTCTGCCCGAGGACCAGTGGACGGGTCAGGACGCAGCGATGGTTGCTTGCTTGCTTGTCCGAAGTCCCAAGCCGGTCGTCCGAACATGTGCTCCGCTGCTTCTCCACCACAATCCAATTCTGCCCCACTTCCCGCGATACCGTCACTTTCCGTGTCATTCGAGTCCGGATGACTCCCAACCTCTCTTATACCGCTTCTCATCTGGTCATCTTATCAGCTGCACATCGACGGCAGTGTGTAGAGACGAACACTTCGCCGAGGACAAGCTTGACCATGGCATTGATACACAGTGTGGATATCACTATCAAATCGGCTCCCAGATGGTCGTTCGCCGAATCAGATCCAACGTCTGCTCGGGGATACTCAACCAAGGACAATGACTAGCCTCCAGATACTCGATCGTAAATTTCCCCCCAGGTTGACTCGCCATGGCCACTTGCGCCTGCTTCGGTATAAAATTGTCGCGTGTGCAGACAATGTACGTCGAATCAATGTCCTTCCACGCAGCATAAGTCTGCTTGCTCTCGAAGCTTCCTTTCGCCTGCAGATCCAACTGCCCACTCAATCCCTCCGCCTTCTCGCTGTCCAAATCATTGTAGAAGACATAGCTTGGGTTGACGGCTCGCCATTGTTTCGGGTTCACCGACTGCCACCAGGGTAACGCTGTGTTATTGAAAGCATCCATCAGACTGACTCCCGTCTCGAGCGCAAACGCGGCCATGTAGATCATTCGTATCACGCCGCCGCCTCTAGATACTTCCTGCTTGGAGTATCCTTGGACTGCTGCGCTGCCTACCATACCGCCGTACGAGTGCATGAGTACCACTATTTCGTGGCCTTGGAACACCTCCTCGGCAATAGCTCTGCGGACGATGTAAACGTCATCGTAGAAACTGTCGCATGTCCCACCGATAGATGGAAGGCAGGGTGCTATGACAGGGAAGCGTGTCCTCCGGAGACCTTCCAGGAGGCTTGCGTAGAGATGAGGCTTGTGCCATGCTCCCGTCACGAAGATAATGGTCGGCTTCGAGTTCATGTCTGTGCCAAACATGATTTGGTCGATATGCATGGTTGCGTGTGATATTCAAGTCCAACGCAAGGGTCAATCTTTTCTGGTGTTGGTCGTCGAAGGTTAATGATGATGATGATGATGATGATAGACACAAGAAAATAGAGGAGCTTTGGGGAAATGGCAAATTGAGCCAGAAGACCGAGCGGCGCGAAGGCATCCTCAGCTCGCTACTTATAGTCGAATCGGTATAGAGCGCAGATACGGCTCCGATACCTGCTTTTCACTAGCTATTTAGAGTTCATGTCAAGTCTGTGGCTGGCCGCTGACATTGAGGGGTCCTTGCAGGATCACCAAGCTATCTTGGATCAGCGCATCAAAGGTCTTTGTTCTTGTGTCCTCAACAGCTCGATTCTTGTGGACTGTCACAGCTTCGTTGTGAGTGGCGAACCTAGCTTCCTCAACAGCTTGTGGTTCTGCGGGCACGAAAATAGCTAAAGTCGACCTTTTCTGGTGGTGTAAAGAAGAGGTCACACAACTCATGAAGCTTGCTTTGCTTACGCAACATCGGAGAGCTGTTTGACGATGCTGATCGACACGGAACCCTGCAGACGTTCCCACCTCGTAAACACCAACCGATAGCCCCCACTCTAGAAACCATGTCCATGTGTTCATCGCATCTGATTTGACAGTAAGATCTGGCACAGCTGCACGATAACGGGGCAAAAATTCGTCGACGACAAAGAAGCAATCACTTGACCGCAGTAAACTCCGTCGAAGGAGTTTCGAGGGATGGTACAGGTACCACTGGCGCCACACATCATCTAGTGACCTAGCCCTTTGGCTCTTGCCTGCTCAACATATGTCCAGTATCTTCTCGCGCTATTCTCGCGGAGCCGACGACCGAAGGGAATGACAAGAAACATGGTGCTGTTCAGCACGAATGCTATTACAGCTGCAGTGATAAAGGTGTTCTGTGTGCCCATACCGTCGATCCACGGATTTATGCCGTAATTGATGGCGAAACTTGAGTCCTTGTGTTAGCGTCTTGCCTATACGTGTGAAACGATGGATACTTACCTCAAAGTATTCCGGATGAGTATAATGGTCGTGATCAGTTCACCGCTCAAGTCCCTATATGCACTCGTCGCATACTGGATAGCTGTCGATAGGCAGAGTGTGCTGGAGATGGCTAGGCAAGCTTGAGCAAAGACCAGCCCGAACCAATGTACATGGTGTTGAGACCCGACTCCCCACAAGATCAGCGCGAACGGCACAACGACGGCCGAGGCCAGAAAGAGCCATAGAATGTCCTCAGGCTCAGAGATACCACCTCTACGGCGAGCCAGTCTGATAACAAGCTGTGGGCCTGCAAGCGTTACCCAGAGCGAACCTAGTACCATGCCCACCACGGCCGCAAAGTAAGCAAAACCTACTGCGTCACTGGAAAAGTGATAGTGGCTGTTTGTGTAGATGACGCTGGCTGTGGCGTTCAAGATGCCGGGATAGACTAATCCTTGGAGTCCGTACATGAATCCGGCCCAGACCACCACTGGAAAGGTGAAGAATTTGAAAGGCGCCCACATGATGTCTAGCATGCGGTTCGGTCGTTTTTTGTCAACGACGCTAAGCTTCTGCCAGTACGTCTTTCGTGGGTATGCGACTTGTCCTAGCTCCGCAGCTGCCACGTCTATAGAACGCTGATCTTCGAGTGTTTTCTTGTCGTACGAGAAAGTAGGATCGCTGACTTGAACACCATCCTTGGCAGTGACCTTCTCAGAAGTAGATAGGTCAGGCTCGTGAGCCACTTCGAGACTAGCCTGCGAGCTGGACAACGACGATGTTGTTGTGCGCCTGTCGTAGTTCGTTTCTTCCATAAACAATAGGCAAAAAACGAAAGCAATCCCGATACCTATAGCGCACCACCACTGTCTGTCGTCAGCTTTGTGTATCGGAAAGACTGCCTGGGCAGATCACGAACCAGGGTCCATTCCCACCCCATGCCACTGTTGATGAAAGCACTAAACACTGGAGCTAGTTTTCCAGACGCGCCAAGAGAAACACCGTATAAGGCGATATAGAGGGGTCGCTCGTGGGCAAACCACTATAGCTTGTCAGTCAAGGGTCCTCCGTGCGACCATGATGTCAACCACACTTACAATGTCGGTCATGCTGATTTCACAAAGACTCTCGACCGGTCCTCCAAAGAACCCCTGCCATAATTAGTACAACAATGCCATATCTTGCCGAAGATGATAGATTACCTGGATGATTCTAATTGCCAGATAGGTTCCAGAAGATCGACACATCGGTGCAACCGCCAAAACCACAACTGAGGCGGCCGAAGAGATCATATACACCGGTCGCTTGCCATACTGTAGCGCAACTGCTTGCCAAAAGATCGTCGACCATCCGTAAAGAAGAAACATAACACCAGTGCCTCTGTTGATCGTCGTGATGGATATGCCGGTAGAGGTGGAGATGGGTTTTGCCACGGAGTATACGGCAGCGCTGGGAAATACCAACATGACTGTATAGATGACCATACAGGCAGTGTGCAACAACTTTCGCTTCTTTGTCCAGTTGAGGGGGTCTTCCGGATCATCTACCACAGAGTCAGTCATCGTCCAAAGGAAGTCATGATTTCACCTGCTGACCGGATGGTGTTGGCACAAGAACGATGTCGCCATGGCCTTTGGAGTGCTTAACGTTGAGTTCTCCATTGGTATCGATGAGCCTGACCGTGCCAGGCGCAACTTCTTCACCATGAACGTTATTAGACATCTCGATTGTCAAACTCGAGCGGTTCTGAGAAGGAAACAAAATCGAAAAGGCCAATCAACCTCTTCATATCTATTATATCTCATACTTTGGATGAACAAACGACCTACCTACATGGATGCCTATCGTGTCTTGATGCGGACATGCCGGCTTCCTGAGCAAGATAGGCCTACTACAGATATGCAGCTGCCAAGAGATATCGACACAACGGCATCCGATAACACCTGTATCTGCACAATCTTACCGACTGTCCATGAGCTGCAGAGAGGTTGAAGTCCTCGTTCAATCCGTAAGAAGTTGAACGCCGACGCCAAGATCCGGACCCACTCATTCTCCAACCTCCCCCTCTCTTCTCTCATTCGATCAACACTCTTATCTTCTCGCTATCGATTGACGTCTTGTAGTAGAGTTGGCCGTGCGAAGGCCTATCATGAGACGGTTATCTGATACGTATACCTCGGGATTCGAGTGGAGTAGCCTCCATCGGCCAAGCTACCGCATCAACTTGCCTAAAATGGACGTCCAGCCGGTAGTGCAGTACAGGTGATCAGTTATCTTTTCACTCTTCACTCTTTCTTCTACTTTCCGAGCACTCGAAAGACATCTACCTAGCTTTCATCACACCACCAAATCAACACATAATACAAGATGCCTGCAGCAAAAGACTGGGAAAGAAAGGCTCAAATCTGCCGTGACATTCTCGAGAACTCAATTCCGAAACAATGGCTTCTTCCTGCAGATAAGCTTCCGACGAAGCAGCAGCATAATGTTACCAACGTTCCTTATACATGTGGCATCCTCTCCGCTGAAGAGCTTGAAATGACTGAACAGACCGCCGCTGGACTCCTGAGCAAGTACCAGTCCGGTGCATGGAAGGTCGAGGATGTTACCGTTGCATTCCTCAAACGGGCCACGATTGGTCAACAGCTCGTAAGTTCACTAGTCGTCTGAGCAAAACATACCGTGGTCTGACAGCACACAGCTCAACTTTGTTACCGAGTTTCTCACAGAGGAAGCATTGGCGACAGCAAAATCTCTCGATAAGCATTTCGAGACCACAGGCAAACTCATCGGTCCGCTCCACGGTGTGCCTATCAGCGTCAAAGAACATGTCTCCTATGGGGGCAAGATCACGAACGCTGGGTTCGTGAGTCAGATCGACAACATAGCCAAGGAAGACGCTCTGCTTGTCAAACTACTCAAGAAGGCAGGTGCAGTCATCACAGTACGGACCAATCAGCCGCAATCCTTGATGCATTTGGACTGTGAGAATAACATCACTGGAGCAACATTGAACCCTTATCATCTCAAGTTGTCCCCCGGTGGGTCATCTGGCGGAGAAGGAGCGTCGATGGGCTTCAAATGTGCTGTTATTGGTGTTGGCACGGACATCGGTGGAAGCATTCGTGCTCCTGCTGCATTCAACAACTCCTACGGACTCAGACCCACCACTCATCGCAATCCTTATATGGGTCTTCACGGCGTGCTCGGCGGGCAGGAGAGTATCAAAGGTGTGATCGGTCCTCTTGGTCAGAGTATCGATGATCTATGGCTGTTCCAAAAGACGTTGATCGACCAAAATCCTCATGATATCGACACATCTTTGATTCCATTGCCATGGAGGGGAGAGCTGGATACTCCTAAAGACATCACTGTCGGTATCATGATGACTGACGGAGTAGTCAAACCTCATCCTCCTATTCTCCGCGCGCTCGAGACTGCCAAGTCGAAGCTTCAAGCTGCAGGTGTCAAAGTTGTCGAGTGGGAAAACTTCAAGCACGACCATGCGTGGGACATTGTGTCAGCCCTCTACTTCCCCGACGGAGGCAAACGCGTTGAAGATGCTCTTGCAGCTTCTGGCGAACCAATGCTGCCTCTTACACGCCATGCTTTGAACTACTCCAAAGCAATCTCTATCTCGGAGAACTGGGAGCTCAACGTGATGCGCGAAAACTACAGGCGCGAGTATCATGCTTTGATGAAGGAGAGAGGTGTAGATGTCATCTTGTGTCCTGCATATGTAGGCGCAGGTGTTAAACAACACGGTGCAAAGTACTGGGGCTACACAAGCTTGTGGAACATTCTCGATCAACCAGCTGCAGTGTTCCCCACAGGCATGACTGTCGACAAGAACGTAGATGTTATAGAGGAGAACTATGCCCCCTTGAACGAGAAGGACAAGGAGGAACATGAAGCTTGTAAGTCTGATCAATTTCCGATACCTGAAGCGAATGCTAACATGATATCTCAGATGACCCTGAGCTGTTCGATGGTGTTCCAATCACTCTTCAGCTTGCGGGCAAGCACTACCATGATGAGGATGTTTTGAGGGCAGCGAAGCTGATTGAAAGTGTCATCAGAAGCTAAATGCTGTCGTTGAACATATCTGAAATGATATTCCAATTTGAACATCGTTTAGATTCCATAGCATCGAAGCGAACGATTCTTTATCAACTTTTGCTTGAAATTATATTGAAACGCTATCTTGTGGAGTCTTTCTTGCCTTCGCGCAACTCTCGCGGGCACCTTCCTTGCTCTTCGAGGTCGCAGATACAGTGCTAGACCTTGTCGGTCGTGGGCGTTCGTACCTCCAAGCTCCATTTCGTATAGACAGCCCCACAACACAGACCCCTGCCCAAGTAGCTTTCGGCTGCCCGTTGAACTTACAGTACTTGACATCGTCTCCACTCTACCTCTCCCATCATCAAAGATACCTCAATCCTCTTCCAAATAACTCCTCCAAAAATGCCTGCAGCTGCAAACAGCGGACCTGTCACTCGCCGACAGAGCAAGAGGAAATCCACTGCGATCACAGAAGACTCTGCCGAGTCCGCAGAATCTGTAGCGAAGCGTGTCAAAACCGAAGCCGCGACACAAGATCAATCGCAAATCGAGGGCGAACCTGGCAATGCTGATGAATTCGAAACCGTTGTTGCCGAGATGATTATGAACAACATCAACAACGAGGATGGTTTGTCGCCATCATCAGAAGAGGAGCCAGAGATACCCGCCAGACCGGCCACCGTCGGAGAACTTCTGAATCAATATCTGCTCGAACGTACGCAAACTATCAACGGCATCTCGCAACAGTTCAACCAGCAGTTCTCCGATGAGGCAATGTCGAGATTCGGCTGGACCAAGGAAGGCGAAGTGGTTGAGTGGCCTAGTGATGGTGTTCCAGCCCTTCTGCCTGAATGGCAGAGAAGCTATGCCCTCAAACGGGACATTGAGGTTTTCAAGGGATATAGCAGCTACAAGGCGAAGGAGGCCAAACATGCTCTGCAAGCTGTCAGAGCCCTCGAGCAATGCAAGCGTGCAAAGGACCGAGTCATCGGTGACGAAGCATTTATCAAGAAGTGGCAGCTGAGATGGCAAAGGGAGATTTTGGCGCAGTCCGAGCTCATGTTCAATTCGATATTGAAGCCTCTTCAGAGCCACAAAAGGACTTTGGAGGTGACGGGACAGAACTTGAGTAATGAGATCACTGGGTTCGCAAGGCGTCAGACTATGTAAATACCAAAACTCACTCAACGCTCGAAGGCTTTCGACGCAAAGGAGACTACCGGAGAGGATGGATTCAAAAGATCTGTACGTTCGAGTCAGCCATACATCTGGCCAGCAATCGACGTGACTACTCCGACGGTCAATCTATATACATGTTTGTAATGAGCATGAGCTATCATCTCCATATGCCAACCACGAACTCAATCAATTGCCCATCTTTAGCATCCATGGTCCTAGCAAAGCGTATATTCAGCGCTGTCTCGCTCCGCATGTACTATTGAGTCAACAAATCGGGCTTGTGATTCGTAGAAGGTGCTGAGCAACGACCAGCGGATGGAAAAAGACATTGGGACAAACAAGCGTTCCTTGTGGATGTGAACTATCGGCTAATCTGCCTTGAGAAAGAGGTGTTATTTATTTACAAAATACTATCTAGCACGCATACCACAATGTTCAACCAATAACATCGGCAAGCGGAGGGACAACAGGAATGGTGACATTCTGAATCTTCCAAATCTTGCCATTGTCGTTGGTGACAGGGTTGGTGTTGGTAGCATTGTTTGACTGGTAGAGAGTGCTACCAAAGTTCTTGTCGGCGCCAGACAGCTTGATGGTGATATCCTTCCAGTATTGAACATCAGTCGGAGGCGTACATGACTGACACTCCACTGCAGTATTGACCATTGTCATGGTCGGCGAGGTCTTGTTGTACTCGGCGTACAGCGCTCCCGTGCGTGCATTGCGAGCAGTCTGGTACCAGCGTCCGGTCTGCTGGTTGACCAGGGTGTAATTGAAAGTGATTCCGTCTTCAGGAGTTGCAGCTAGCATACGCTCTTCACCGACATACTGATTCCACTTATTCAGTTTCGTGTCCCATCCATAGACTTCTGATGAGATGCACCTGTGGCCATTGATTAGTGCTCTGCCCGGTCTTAAAATTTGTGAATCTGCATACCATAATGAGTCTGCCTTCGCTCCCTTGCATTCACTCTCGCCATGACTGTAGGAACCGACAATGCCCTGTACCAAGTCTCCATTCTCGGTCTCGTTATTGATTCCGATCCAGTTGTAAAGGCCACCGACTTGAGTCTTGGGCATCTGTCCGGGATAGATCGTGGCAACAACGCTCGTAATCTCAATACCGTCGGCAGTAGGTCCAAGACCTATGAGAGGGCCCCAGGTAATCTCATCCTGGTCGATACGCTTAGAAAGAAAGCCTTTGGGAGCAGCGGCCGCCAGCGACAGAAACGACGAAAGAGCGATCAGGATTTTGTACTGCATGGTTGTGAAATGAGTGTGATGGACCAGCCCAAAGGAGTGTGTGTTGGGTTTGGAAGGAGCGACCAGGCTGGAAGAAAACCAGAGTTGCACAAGCCTAGGGCTTTATTGTCGGTGGAGAGAAGGCTGTGTCTAGTCATGACGGAGACGTGCTACACATGATTACAGTCAGGCACGCGTCAACACTCAAAATCTTGCGAGCCAAGGTGTTTCTCGAATGTTTGAGATTGAGAAGTGACAACAGCCCAAGCGCAAAGTCTCCAGGTGCGATCGACAAAGGGCTTCGCCGACACCTCTGTGTACGAGAGATGCCGCGTGTCAACCAATCTTACCCTTGCACAGTGCTTGTCAGATCTACTATGGTACATTCATTCGTCATACTAGCTCAAGAATCTCGCTTTGTCAAGTTGTTAAACCGAGTCAAGACGGTCGTGTTGAAACGCGACAGAAAATCCAGCTTGGCCGCCGAGTCAAACACGCGATTGAAGTAGAGATCGTGATTTTGGACAGCGACGACCTCAGGCCACCTTCAGCAGGGTCTGAGGTCTTTATGTAAGACGGCAGCAGAATCTGTGTCGGCTGAAGAGCTGTTATGGCTACCTAGGCATGTTTTGTTGTGGTGTCTGGCGAAATTGGTCGGAGAAGCAAACCCCGGCTCGGAACTCACACGTGTCGCTCTTCGCGTGACGCACGCCTTCCCTTCCATGAACCAATACATTTGACGGTTACACCTGCGAAAACTAACCGCAAACTTCTAATCTCAATACTGTACATAGGCGGTCGCATGGTACCAGGGCTATTTTGGCTTCGTCTCGACTTCCAAATCACGTTTTCATGCCTTGACCATGTCCCTGATCTTTTGGCCATAATACATTGTCTCAGCACCTCCCGCCAGAGCCCTTTGCAACTGAGGGAACGGCAGATGCTTCAAAAACCAAGGCTCCTTGATCTTCTCGAGTTGCATGCCCGCCTCTGCATCACTGACTTCTTTCTGAGCCTCGATACCAACCACTGAGCAAGGGAAATCTGGGACTGTGGCAGCAGGTCTTCCAACTCCAATCATGTCGCAGCCCTTCGATATCAATGCTGAGTTCATACCAGCTCGTGTGCGGAAGCCGCCTGTGAGCATGAGTTGAAGTGTAGGATGTCTTTCGCGGACCGCGAGGGCGAAGTCGAGGAAGAAGGCCTCTCGTTTTTGTGTTCGTTCTGACTTGGCTGGAGCCTCATCACCGCCAATCATCTACGTTTGTCAGTCCTCAGTTCGGTCGGGATGATCAAATGTGCTTACTCTAGGGTTCTCATATGATCCTCCACTGATCTCGAGGAAATCAACGCCTTCAGCGACAAGCACATCGACTTGTCTCAACACTGCATCAGATCCAGCATCGTGTTGTTGATCCGACGAGTTCATCTTCACACTGACGCTGAACGTCGCTCCCACAACTTCTCGGATGGCTCTGATGATCTCTACGATGATCCTCGCCCTCTTCTCTGGCGTGCCTCCGTAGTCATCAGTCCTAGTGTTTGACTTAGGCGATAGAAAGTCGCTGAGTAGATATCCATGTGCCGCATGAATGGTAACGCCATCGAAGCCGGTCTGCTGAGCAAACTTCGCAGCATCCACGAATTGGTTGATGACTGTCTGAACCTGAATAATGGACATCTCGGCCGGGGTTCCGAACAGCAACTTCACTATCGTTTTGACGACTATGCTTTCACCGAAGTTGATAGGTACGGCGCTAGGTGCGACATTCTTCTCCAAGAAACCGCGTGATCCTGCACCGGCTGGTGATTGACGTCCTGGGTGGTTGATCTGCATGAGAGCGAGTGCTCCCTGAGCTTTAATACCGCTGGCAATCTTGTGCCATTTCTCAATCTCTGCAGAACTTTTGTTCTGGATAGCAGTGTCTTGCGGCGAGCCCATGTATTTCTCATCGACCATGACATTGCCTGGGTTTCGATTAGTTTGATTATGTACCAACACTGAAGCGGCTTACCAGTCATGATTGCCCCCCAACCACCCTGTCCCCATCTTTCGTATACTCTCACCAGATCTGAACTGGCTTGACCGTTCTTTGCAAGTTGCTCAGCCATGGCTGCTTTGACTAGCCTATTCGACAAGACCAGCCCCGAAGGCAAAGTCAATGGGGTTGCGACTTCTCCGAGTTGATTCATGATGACTGCAGGAATACTGTCGGTGGTGTATGAGGATATCCCATCTCCAAGATTGAGGCCATCGAACTCCTTATCTCATTGTTCGCTTAACGGGTAATTGAATGTTGACAAACCACTCGTTCTAGAAGCCTCGCAAGAGTTACGATTTTAGGTCTAGCGTGTCTTGTATGCTTTGAAATTGACTTATACTCGGACGAATTGTTGACCCGATTCTGCTTACGAGACTCGTCAATTGAGATCAGGTATGCCATCTACAGTATTTGTGAAGCGGTAGGTGAATGAACGTGCAAGAAGTAAGGATATCATTAAGAGTCAAAGGTGTGGTTGGGCTGTTTCTCCATTAATCATCCTACGCAACTGAATCTGCTTAGAGCTATGGTCCCCGGAGCGATGGTTGTCCCACCTTACCACGGGATTTCCTTGCCATCATAATCAAACATCATCTCATCCGTCTTGGGCACCTTGATGTTGAGGAATTTGCCATTCTGTTCCTTGCCAGTCTCCAATATGAGCTTCTTGACTGCAGCAACACCCTGCTCAATGCTCAGATCTGCATGTGCAGTGCCCATATCTGTTTTGATCCACTGTAAAGTGTCGTCAGTCCAAGAATCTTGTATGCATGTCTCTGGACTACTTACACCAGGAGAAATGGAAACGATGGTAAAGCCAGCCTCAGCGTACTGATGTGCCCATCTCACGGTGAGCATGTTGAGCGCAGTCTTGGAGATGTTGTACGCATCAGATGGCATTGACACGACATGAGGGGCATACGCAAAGGAGCCGAGTCCCGAAGATCTGATGAACCTCGTTAGCTTTCTCAACAAGTGCGGCTGTTGGTCAAGTACATACACGTTGATGATCTTCTTCTGTGTGCCTTGCTCAAGCAATGGAAAGAATGCAGCAGTCACTCTCTGTACGCCAACTACATTGACATCGAGAATCTGTGTCAGTTGGTCAAGCTCCATGTCTTTGATCAATCCCTTGGTTTCACCGCTGATCCCGGCATTGTTGACGAGGACATCAAGCGACTGGCCATTCAACTTGGCTCTCACGGCCTCGACAGCGTGTTGAACGCTGGCGGTGTTGTCGACAGAGGCAGATACAGGATAAAGACGATCGGGATATTTCTGCGAGAGTTGTTTGATAGCATCGGTTTCAGCGTTGCGAGCGACTGCGAAAACTTTGGAGACCTCAGAGGTTGGCAGTTCGAGCAGTTGTTTGGTAAGCTCGAGTCCAATGCCTCGGGACGCACCGGTGATGAGGTAGGTTGCCATTGTTTGTTGATTGAGGTCAACTAACAGTTATGAAGTGAGATTCAGTAGAGCCGGTGTCTTCTTGGGAGAATGTCTTCCTCGGTTCATCTGCATTACAGCTTCTTATATCTCCTTGCCCAACGGACATAGGCAGTAAGCACGTCCGGAGGAAGGAGCGCGATCCTGGTGTTCCTCCGCACCCGGTCGCGATTTATCAGCCCATCCCAGATCATTGGCAATGCAGCATACCTTGGCTTGGTCATGAGACTCTTGCAGTCCAAAAACGAGAGCGTAGGAATATAGATTGATTCATTGGTTGAGACTGTGGTCTTGAAATAGCATTCGAGATAGCATCTAGAAGATTAACGATCATCACAAGCTACTTTAGCCGAAGCTCGTGCGTCAGGCACAAAGTTTGGCTGCCCGAGCTAATAGAGCGGGCTCTTATTGCCTTGCCTATCTTCTGAGACAACTCACACCATTGGATTTTTCTGGAAGCAACGACTATACAAGCATGGGGTCTGTTGCAGGTCGACATCTCAGGCATTTTCACCTCAATTTTGCACGCATACTGGTACTGAGGCCTGAGGCGCTAATGTCATCTAGCAGTCAAAGCTTCTCTGAGAATCCTTCTTCGAGCAAAACACGAGGCCAAGACGGGCAACCGCATCTCTTAGCCTTTGGATTCATGCGGCCTACATGAATAAAGCGTCATATCAACAAACGATGTATGTTATCTTAAGATGTAGGATACGGCGCCGAAGATCATCACGGCCGAGATATTGGATTATAAAGAGAGGTCTTTGTAGGTTTTCTGCTGCTTTACTACCTTACTCATTCATCATAACCACAAATCATGAAGACTTTTACTCTGGCTGGCCTGTTGGCCTCTCCTCTCGCAGCCATGGCAGCACCTGCCTGGATCATGCACGCGTTCAACGAGAGCGTGCCTGAGATTCACGGCAAGCCCATCAATGCCGACAGTGGCTACTTCTGGATCAACAAGGACGCGGCAGCCGTCTGCCCCGACTACGATCCCGAGTGCCCCGCCTCGAACACAACAATCATCTCCGGTCCCGTCTACGGCCACTGGTACATGGGCATCCTTCAGCAAGGCGGTCAGGAGGTGGCCACTGCAGGCCTCGGCAGCGGGTCCGGTGGTCTGCCACTCAAATACACCGCCGTGGGTGCCGCGGACAGAGGCGTTGGCGTTTGGGACCTTGCTCGCAACTCGCCTGACGGCTTCCACGTCGACAACAGCACCGTCAGCGACCTCGGTGCTCCTGCTCTCCGCCTGAATGGGGGTGCCAACAACAAGCCCTTCACATGGATGGCCTGCCCGTACCCCAACCCCCCTGCATCCCTTCAGGAGGTCGACCTCACCAAGCCGATGTTGATTCGCGACATTGCCACCGAGAGCGTAGACCAATATCCCTACTGCGTCCGCCTCGAGATCACTCTCAAGCTCACCACTTTGGCTGCACCTCAATTCTATTACTGCAAGGGCTGCCAGTGGAGATGCGATAACATCTACGGCCAGACCCCCTGCGACTACAACGGGAAGCCCGCTTGCGTCGAGCCCTTCTGCGGTGCCTACACTCAGGAAACCAAGGCTGACAAGGTGCAGTGAGCACTATACAGCATGCGGATCTCGACAGAACATCCGACAAAAGACTCGAGGCTACTTGTTTGCTCTAAAATAATGAAATGAGAAGTTCTGATTGTCCGTTGTCATGTAATAGTTCCAACGGTCCTCTCACGCTCAGTGCCACATGGTCTCGGTTTTGCTTGGGCATTTCTTCAACCCCGTCCTATACATGACCTAGTTCAAAGGATTAAAAAAAAGGGGCCATGCGACCCATACTCACGAGCGACGAGCTGCGATATACAAGTTAACAAAAAAAAAGGCTCTCTTTGGGAATATACACTGTTGTCTAGTCTCTCCCCGTCATCATCAACATATACCTACATGAATTTCAGATCTCAGCCTATTCCTCGGCATCTTCGTCCTCGTCATCATCATCATCATCAATAACCTCTACGGCACCAATGACATCCCATCTATCGCCCTTGGCACTCTCACTGACATACTTGACAAATCTCAACACACCGCGGTCTCTCAGAACCACAGACAACGTATTCCAGTTCGCCGGGTTGGAGAACAGAATGCCATCGTCCTCTTCATTGCCAGCTTGATAGATAGCGGGATCCGCAGCCTTTTTCTTGTGCTTAGCGATGCGACGGTTGCCAGCTCCTGTTGCTGAAGCAGCGTTGGGAGGGATGTTGACGCCATGATCAGAATGTGCGTCGTCGTCTTCATCGTCTTCGTCTTCGTCGTCATCGTCGCCGGCCATGTAGAGTTCGTAGCCGCCTACATTGTCGTCTTCGTCTTCTTTTGTTGTGGCAGCTTTGGCTTTGCCCTTTTGTTTTGAGCCGTTCTTCTCAGCTTTGGTGGAGTTTTCCTCTTCCTCCTCTTCTTCCTCGTCGGCGCCCCAGCCCTTTGATGGTGTGACGTTCAAGCAGTACTCGAGTTGTGCATCGGACTTGTTGTAGCCAGTCGCCAATGTGTAGTCCAAGCTCTTACGGAAGCGGCGGGCGAGAATACTGCTCTTCGCCAGTGTAAGACCAGTGGCCAGACTCAGCCATTTGCGGAAAGCAAGAGAAGGCAAGAACTTGTTGAGGAGCTCGTCATATGCGGAGGCGTTGTTGGTGGCAGAAGGGTCGGCGTGCTTGAAACGGTAGCGATGTTTGTGTGGAGGGGTCGCTGTGGCCCAGCCATCAGTCGCAGGCTCATTTTTGCCATCATGAGCTTCGATGTCTTTGCGCAGACGAGCGCTGAACTTCTTGGAGAGGAAGTTGGCGAGTTGCAGACTTGACTCTTCGGCGAAAAGTTCGGACAGCTCCTCGACAGTGTCAGGCGTGAGGTATTGAGGTGTCATGTACTGGATCAGGAAGTCCATATCCTTCTCGTCGAACTCGACCTCATCTTCCTCGGCATCATCAGCCTTGTCTGCAGACTCTTCGTGATCAATCCATTGTTCCTGGGGCAAATCGAACTCGTCATTCTTGCTCTGCAGCTGTTGCAGAGAACTGCGCTCAGCCAGCTTCTCCTCAAGCCCTGGCTCAAAGCCATCCTCTCCTTCTTGCGGAATGTGGAACCAACCAGAGATAGCCATACGAATACGACCACCATCATCCTTGGCCTCGCCCTCCTTGTGCTTGAAGACTTCTTCAACATCGTGGAAACTCTGGCCAGGCTGGACGGTGAAGAAAGACAGCTGGTTCCAGGCGGGCGGGATGACCTTTGTGAAATCGTAGTGCGGAACTCTGACCTTCTTGCCATCGCTGTCTGTCTTTTCCTCGGTGGGGTACAGACGCAATGCGCCACCCCAGTTGGCCTGCCACGGGGTATCCGGGTCGGTCAAGTAGAGGATGTAGCTGACACGTCTGGTACCAATGACATCGTCATGACACAGCAAGTGACATCCAGGAGCGTACACGTTAACAGCCATGTCCGTCTTGGTTCCCGACAGTGGGCCAGCGCCAGAGACCTCCGAGACCCATGCGCGGAATTCGGGAGAGTAAAGCGAGTCGCGTAGGGTGAGCAGCGAGGGCAGCAGCTTGAGGGCAGAAGGATCGAGACCGGAGAGGTTGGCGAGGTCACCAGACTGGTGGATCTTGTAGATGTCTGTTTCCTTTGGCGTGAAGTGGACATTGTCGATGATCTCGCGGCGGACGGAACGGAGGAGGGAGTCGTTGATCAAGCCAGAGACGACGGTATGTAGATAGCTGTAGACTGTCAGGACAAGGCTTCCGAGTTGCAATTGAAGCGAGATGCGACATACGGTCCGCTTTTCGCATAGTCTTGACGGTATTTTGTGACGACATGGTTGTCGAAGAGCTTGTCGCCAAAGTTTGCGTGGACTTCGGATTGCGACTTGGCCGTCTTCTTGACGGGTTTGTTCGAGTCGGCCCCGGTGCTATCGTGCTTTCTCTTGACCATTGCGGCGGTTGGTATGTGTGAAGAATGGTTAGAGCAGGCAGACTCGAAAAAAAGTAGATTCGAGGGTCCAGCCCGACTCCACACGCTGCGCTCATCAATCACCTGAGTGGACACGCCATACCCGTCACATCTCTTGGCTATTACTGCCTTTGTTATCTTTCGACCACTTCTGACTGACGCCAACGACTCATTTGATCAAGGTCACACAAACTAGAAGGTGAATGTAATAAGGGACGCCTGGGCGCGCTAAGCAATGGCTATGGTACTGATCGATTACTGGCGCTCGCCTAGACTAAGGAAACATAATTTCGTCAAGTACAAAGGAGAATGAGGGGTTGCCCTAGTGTAGGTCGCTGATTGTAGACGAGAGGAAACAAGGGGAATGCAGAGGGCAGTAGTGAAGCCTCCAGGACAACAAGACGTGCTGGTTGTGCCATATCCCCTTTCAAGTTGGCATTATGCACACTGCTCTTCCCCTGCCGTACGCGCATCGAGTCCGGACTGTTCATGTCGCAACTTTACAACGTGTTCTGTTGCGGGTTTCGCGTTTAGCAGCAGTCTTCTGCGCATTCGCCTGTGTCGCTAGTGTCAGTCGCATCTCTCTTGAATGCCCGTAGCATCAGAACTTACAGCAGTCGGCGCAGCACTCGCATCCTTCCTCGCACACAAAACAACAGCACAGAACTGCCAAGCAGGAAGCCAGGCATCCGCGATCCTTCTTCTGGGGTGCTTGCTGCATGGGAGGAGGTCCTTGCTGGTAACCCATCTACACATCGCATCAATATACTGTTTTCATGTCTTGACCAGATTCGAAGCATACTTGTTGTTGAGGGGGATAGTACTGGCCCTGAGGGGGAGCGCCATATTGACCTTGAGGAGGTCCATATTGAGCCTGTCCCTGAGGGGGGCCGTAGTAGCTATGATGCCGTCAGCGGCTATTCGAATCGAAGCAACGTCTTGATGCGCGACTTACGCCTGCTGAGGCTGCTGGGGGTAGTAGTTGGACATTTGGAAGCGCTTTGCGTAGGAGTGGTTATTCGCAGTGAGGTCGAGTCGATTGTATGCGAAGATGAAGAAGAGCGAGAGAAGATCTGTGGCGCAAAGACAGTCGAAACCCGTCAGCGTTCGGTCCGCCTGATTTTAGATGATTGGAGTACGCGTCCCGCCGTCTTGTCGTACTGGCCAATACGATCTTGGGCGGCCGCTAACCGGCATGAACCCCTTGGCGCCACATTCACGACTCACCTCTGGAATGTTCACTCTGTCGAGCAAGAGGTGAGAGAAGCCGATGAGAACAGAGATGCGATTTCTGCTTCAATTGTGATCTGATCGTCCGATGGCCTGCTGACTCTGGTCTTGTGCGGAGACTGGCTCCAACTGTGATGGACACTAAGGGTTCGATATGACGATTGTTCGCAGCTGTGGCTTCCCGAGAAAGCTTGACTTGCTTGTCTTTTGTCTTGGGATGTCCGAGTTGATGTTTTTGTGTACGAAGAGTGTTTACTCGCAAATGTCAAAGGACTCTACCATATATATGGGTGAATGCAAGCTGTCGACAATGGCTCACTGTCAAACCGCCAGCCCGTCAGCAAACGACAAACGTCTCGTACAAATGCCACGCTGAGCCACGATCCCAGCTGCGCCCACCAAGCCACATCGACGCTCCCAGGCCTTTCTCACATGTTCTTCGAGCCTCTGGCAGACACGCTTGTCTCCTCTCAAAGTCTCACAGTCGGTTGCCGCGGCCACCGTAGCTAGATACGCTCACACGGCACTTTGGCTGCGGCCGTACTTTGTTCCCTAGACACATGAAAGTTTATCGATACCATTGTGGATATATTTGGGTTGACTCGCGCGCCTATCAAGACATTATCATAGCTAAAACGAACAAAACAGCTGATCGATCCTCCCTTCTTGGATTCGCGTCTAAGACTGTCGTGAGACGCCGCCCGAAGTGTTGTCCACCCGAAACTGAAGACAAAAACGACCGCCAGAAACTCCTACCACCAAAGAATCAAAAGAAAGGAAAAAGCAATAACAAAAGACAGTCTACCTCAGAGGCTGTGCGCGCTACTGATGCCACCCGTATGTTGGATAAGAATACACTCCAGTATGCGAAAAACTCCATATGTTGGTCCCCTTTGTCGGTAACAGATGCATCCCATCCGAAAAGTATAAGACTCCGTCTTGCGCCCCATTATCGTCGTCTGTTCGTAACATCCTACTTTGGCCGGCGAGTAGGCGCGGTACCTTCCCCAGCGCGCTCGCTTGCGTCTGCAGATTGATCATCCTAATGGTGTCTGGAAGCGTTGCCGTACTCTACACCCTGCATCCCCTGTGAGCCTCCAGAGCCGCCACCGGATCCAGTGTAGGCTTGCGGGGGCGGAGGGCCAGCGTTGATGGATGGCAGAGGATACGCTTGAGGTTGTCCACTGGCCTGAGCTTGAGCATTGTTTTGTGACATGTGCGCAGTGCATGCGCCGTAGACGTGGGGATTGCCAGGGTCCATGAGCCTGAGACGTTCCTGCATGACTGCAATCTCTGTGCGAAGATTTTTGTTGTCCGCTTCTGCGTCGCGAGCGTAGTCAGAAGCGTCACGAAGACGGTGGAGCTCATGTACCATTTGTCTCTCCTGAGCTTGAGCGGTCTTGATGTAATCGATGGCTATCCCTACGTTAGCAGCGCTCATAGAGAAAGTCTTGCAGCTGACTCACCCTTGGTCAAAATCTCCCATTTGCTAGCCTTTGCACCACCGTTTGTTGGCACGGCTTTATTGAGATCCTCGAAGAGATCCTTCATCTCACTACGGCGTTTGCGCTCTGCAAGTTTGTGACTGACTCGCAATTCTGGTGTGCGGCTGTAATTTCCACCACTTGACATGTTGGCCTCGTTTTGAAGTGCAGACACCCTGTGTTGGCTCAGGCTGTGGTGATGGTGTGTTGGTACGTCGTCATCGAATCGTCTCTGGCCATAAGGAAGACCGTCGCCCTGAGAGAATATGCTGCTCCTGATGGAAGACGCGGCGTAGCTGTTGGTTCTGGAGATGCTGTGGCGCTGTGAGTCGTCACTGCTTGATTCGCGCCTTGATTCTTCTGCGATGGGGTCGTCAGGGAAAGCCCAGGCGTGACCAGGTGTCGGCTTAGACGCCAATGGGTCAGGAGCACCAGGAACGCGGGAGCCACCAGCAATCGGAGGCGCGACTCTTGGGCCTGTACCGCCGCGAATGCTACCGCGGCCGCTCATAGGTGACATTGGACCGTTGAGCGGTCGGCGAAGACTGGCGGCCAAAGAGACCTGTGAGCCATTCTGGCTTTCGTAGGGAGACGTAGGGTTGTTCAGACCAAGGTTAGAGATACCATTGTGAAGGACACGGCTGTCAACGCTACTTCTGCGCGAGTCAAATGCTTGATGGTAGTCCACACTGCCACGGTTCCCCACATCGAAGGTCTGGTTGATCGACGGCAAGACCGTGCTTGGTTGCTGCTGGTGCTGAGAGAGCCTGTTTGAGGTTGGCGTGTTTGGTATCGAGGTCCTCGATTGGGAGTCATCCGGGTTCAGAAGGGTGGCCACTTGTAGGGATTGGCTGTTCATGTGGGGCTCAACTGCTAAGAGGAATTAGCTTTGCTCGGACCAGCTCGAAGTATGTCATGAGCTCTACCAGAGCTATAGCGGTAGCTCTGACAGGCGCCCACGGGCACAGTGTTGACGGTCCTGGGGGTGTGGGCAATGAGGAGCTTCGGAGCTGACTTACGCTTCATCTGAGGATGTAAGGATGGCCATGTTCCCGAGTCTCTCGAAGGAAGATGAGAAGGCTGACGGTTTGGAGGAGAGTACTGGTTGGAGCTAGGCAGCCCGTTGGTCAGAGCCGCGATGGAAGGCAACATCTGAGATGGCGAAGGTTGCTGAGACTGATGATTTTCCTTTTTCTGCTGGTCGACCATGCTGTGCGTGTATGCCAGGAGGATGTCGTATGGCAGATTCGTGTTCAACGTCGAAGCGTGCAGATGAAGGAGAATGGTGTTCACGAGCGACGGTTAAGAAGGATGGTCCTCACGAGCGGCGGGCAGGAAAATGAACAACGAAAATCAAAATCTGCTTTTGTGCAGTGGAGCCTTGGGTCACCTGCTTGAGGTAGTTTGAGAGTGACTCCAGTAGCGAGGTCACGAAGCAAAGGCAGATTGTGAAGCCGTCCAGTAGAGATCCTGGAGAAAGTAAGTGGTCTGCTCAAATAAACGCTTACGTGCTCCACCCGCAAAACCAAAAGAAGAATTGGCACGAGACAAGACAGAAAACACATACCTTTATGGAAACTGCAAACAATGACAGGATGAGAACAGGATAATAAGGAAGAGTCGTGGAGGCGCCGATAACGTGGAGAGGTGGATGAGGATCCTCGAAAGCGGATGTGGCTGCAGAGATGGCGTGTGCACACGCAGAGAGAAAATGTATGCGGCGGTTTTCAAACGGTGTTGCAATAGGCGTTCATGAACAGAATGCCAACGCTTGGTTCCGAGATCGATGTGGTGATGTTTAGCTAGCTGGATCGATTATCATTCGAATCCTTCGACAAGCCTCGGGCTAGGTGGGGAAGAAAAGAAGAAAAATAAGGACAGAAACCGCCTGGGTGAAAGGTCTCGCGTTCAGAGACAATCAAGAGGAGCAATTGATCCACACAGAGCGCTGATCGGAGTTTGAAAAGAAGATTGCAGCAGAAGTGGCAGTAAGAGCATCAGACCCGGGCTGCCGTTTGACAAGAAGAGGCGATTGGATACACGGGGGTCCGTCGTGCTGTCCAATGTTTGGCCAGGTGCTGGGATGACTAGAGCGTGGTGTAAGGGGGTGCTGCCTTTGTCCGTCAGAGCGTGCCTTGCATTCGACGCTGGCCCGACTTGCGCAACGCGCGAAAGCAGAGAGAGTCGAGTGTTGCGGAAACTGAAACAACTGAGTCTCGAAGCGTGCGAGGAGCAAGCGGCACCGTCACGAGCTGCGGAGTCCGGGTAAATTAGTGCGTGGAAGGGACGATCGGGAGGTCCTGAGGAGTGGGAGAAGGGAGAAATGGTTCACAAGAGTTACGCCGGGAGAGGTGAGCAAGAGTTGTAACGTGTATCGCGCGAGAAGAGGAAACTATGCAGACCTCGGAATGGTCTCTGTCTGGGATCGGCAACGAAACTCACAGCACGTGGATTCTACACTAGCCCCGTCTGCCCTGCGCCCGCGAAAAATAGCGGGAACCAAAAAGGCCAGGCGGTTTCTCTTGGGCTCCTAAAAGCCATTCGGCCGTACACATATCGAGGCTCCGCTTTCCATGTCTCATTGCCGTGACGTGCACGGGATCTGCATGACAGGGACAAGACTGGTGATTTGGAAGATGGCGTCTTTTTGCTTCCCTAAACATTGACTATGACAGTATACCAATACTTGAGGGTACGGAATACTCGACACCCTACAGTATATGCACCCGGCAATCTCACGAAGCGTGCATGTCCTGTGTACATGTAGGCTGGCGGTCGTTGCAGCCGACACACGATGCAGCATGGCAAGTCTTCGCGGCATGAGGAAACAACAGTCTCGAGTGGTGCTGCAGCGGAGATTTTCCGCTGCTGATGCTGGTTCTACTGCTTGGTGCCGATCAGACGGCTCTACCTATCCGAAGCCAAGAAGGGCAGAGCGTGGAGAACAGGGAGAATGCTGCAGCACCTCCTTGGAAGACCATTCGTCCTTCAGTCGCAGGATGGCCGCCTTTCCCCAGCGTTGGAAACGGTGAGCCAATCGGCAGGGTTGCGCACCAAGATCTGCTGTTCCCGCGCGAGCCGAGCAGATTGGATAATGGAAAATCAATTCATCAATCTTCTTGTTGTCCTGCTGCCCGTTGGCAGCGCGTGAAAGCATGAGCATACAGCCCGGTTCTAGCCCAGCGCACGCCAGGGGTCGCGGGCTGGAGAGAGGGAGGGCGGTGATCCACTATTGTGCACCTGAATGGTCACGACAGGATGGATGCATTGCAGGCTATCATTTATCATCCTGGTAGCCGGAAGCAAGACAGTGTGTCACAGGCAGAGCAAAGAGAGCAGGGTCAACCGTGCCTTCTGCTGCTGAGCCATCGCAGGCGTCTTGCTGAGGCCTCCCCACCTTGCCTGTGTTACAGATACATGGACACCTGCGGCGGGCTAATGCACGTCATCTGCAATCGGAGCTGTGGTGTTGGATTCCTCGGCCAGTCACGGAAAACCTAATGATTCAAGAGATCATGGGGGTGGTCAAAGTTACCAAAGCAACACGACTCTGTGGACGTCTGTTTCTCCGGTCATGTCGCACAGAATATTGCGTGAGCTCCAAGTCACCAAGTGGCGCGCCCGATATGGCCTCGGAGACGGACTCTGATTGAAGGGCAAAGACGCCCCTGTAGGTTAGAGAATCTGCATGGAGAAAGTATATGCTTTTTGATCCTTTCACTCTTGACGTTCCTCGGCAGACACGGCTCGTATAACTTATGTCATGATACAAAGCAGTCACGTTTGAGCAGGAGATCAGCAAACACCATGAAAGTCAGTGATGAACAACGTGGGCCGCACGCGGCGAAGGGGGGCGATAAGCCACATGTCCGAAAACAGGACCGACGGAACTCGAGATCGCCAACCCTTTTCGCTTTTATCTCTGCTCTCTCTCGTCAGCTCGGCCAGACAGACCCGGATCGGCTTTGCTCCCGCTGCTAAGCGTTTGTGCCCTCGCGAGACTGGAGTCCTTCCTCCCCGATTGAGAAGGTGGTGAACCTGCTCTGACTTGGAAAGGGCAGCGAAAGCCACATCCGCAGCACATGGCCCAGGCTGGTCGAAGGTTGTCGGTCAAGGCCGGACTCTCCATCTGAGAACAGCCTAGTCTCTGGTGGGAACAAACTCAGGCTCGTGGGCTTTACCAGGGATCAGAAGTTCAACGGGGCAGATCGAAGTAAGAAAGGTACAGTATTCTTATATATATGATTAAGCGCACGCCGCGACTGATTGACATTGACAACGTTCGAACCGAAGAGTCACTAGTCCAAGGGTGAGTTGGGCTAGCTCACATGTATTCGCTGTTGGGACCACATGGGCGGACATAGAAGACTATATAGAAAGCAGCTACCGGTAGACGACCGGTATGATTGTCTTTAACCATGAAATGATGAATTCAAGCTTAAGCAAGGTCGTTGAGTCAAGAAGTCAACGGTTCGGGTATGGTCGGTCGGATTCATGATTCACAAAACGAGCGTTGAATGACAGGGGTCTTCTGTTGCCTTCAAACACGAGGCTGTTGAGTGGAAATTAGCCAACATCAGAGACAGACAGCCTTATGCCAGGCCACCCACGCATGTGGGCACACTTTTGCGGACTTTTCGATGGTGATACACTGGTTGTTGCACGCGCGGGCTCGTGACATGTTTTGACGTGCAGAAGAAGCATTATCAAGAGCGGGACGGACCGCGTCATGAGGGTCATTAATCTCGCGTCGGTTTGAGCGAGCAGAAAGCGGCGGCAGCGGGTCAGAAGCCCACTAGACCAGCAGGCAAAGGACTGTGGTCAGAGTGCTTCTGACCATCAAGCTGAGAGGAGCGTGGTCATGAGGGTGTGGAGGTGCGTTGCTGGGCGACCTGCAGCTAAGACGATGGTGGTGGGCGAAGTAGAAACGTCGGCCAGAAAGGCGAAGGTCGTGCGCAGGCGAGCCCGCGTGGAGCGGTCAAGAGAGCTGGCGGGTGGTCAAGGACGGATCAAGTAGGCGGCCAGAGCTCTGTCAAACTTGTCGACGCGAATGGGCATCTCGAGACTGTAAAAGGGGTTGGCCATGACGTAGTCGGCATAGATGTCGTAGCATCTGCGAGCAATCTGGTCTGTGTTGGGTTGCTCGGGGCTGGTGAAGAGAAGGAACTTTGTGCCGGTGGGAGTTTGGAAACAGGTCAGACGGAAATGCGACGACTCGAGCGACTGGATGCCGGTGGCTTGGTTGGCGCGATTGCCAGGCGGTGCAGGAGGGGGTGCGACGGGGGACAGGGAGCGCGAGATGGCATGGATGCCGTGAAAGGTACCGGCCAGAATGAGATAGTCGTTGGAGCTGAGTTGCTGGAGGCCCGGCGCAAAGTTGCGGTTGTAGATGAGTCCGCCGGCCTTGTTGATGACGAGCAGAGCGAAGACGACCCTGCCGTGATGATGTTAGCCGTGGTTCATCGTGCTTGAGAGCTGTTCGTGTACTGACATGGTGAATGCGCGCAGCTAACAACCAAGCAAGCTCACACTCAAGCTGAAGCTGAAGCTGTCTCTATCGACAATCAACAGAGAGCGCGCTTGGGCGGTGTGGAGCAACGAGAGCTTCGGCCACCCGCCCGTCAAGCCGTCACGTCCAACGCCCTTGGTTGACCATCATCCCTTCTCGCAATCCCAAAGAACAGGTGAATCTGTCTCTCCTCCGGTCGCTGCTCTGCGACAGAAGGCCAGCTGCCAGCGTGGATAGATCCAAGACGTATATATCTCAATCTCACTCACTCACTCACTCTCACACGCGTGTCTGGCTGAGCAAGCGGCGTGCCTGCCCCGCCGAATCGTCGCAGTAGTTAGCTCGCACAGCAATCAACCCACTGCTATCAACCAACACACCTACGCACCCGCTTTGCAGCACTACCACTGCGAGTCCGCCTAGCACATTTCCTTTGGTCCTTCAACCCTGCCATCTGAAATGTTCTTTCGGTACCAAGATAATCCCGTCTTTCCCACTCACTAAACTCGCTCGCTCGTGTCTACAAGAATGCCACCCAAGATGGCCAACAACTCATCGACTATTCGCATCTTGAGGGCAAGTATACAACTATCCTTCACTTGTCACTCCTTTGACCGTTCATGTAGGAGATCAAAGAACTCCAGACCGGCTCAGATCTTTGTACGCCTGTCTTGATCCTCTACTTCGAATATACAAGCTGACCACGCTAGCGCTTGCCGTTGCGCACCTCGAGAACGACGTCCGTACTGTGCGCTGTCTTATCGTCGGTCCTTCCGATACGCCTTACGAGTTTGGTTTCTTCGAATTCAAGGCCAAAATCGGTCCCACCTATCCAGTCCAGCCTCCATCCGTGAAGTGTTTGACCACTAACAGCGGCCGTTGTCGTTTCAACCCCAACATCTACGCTTCTGGCAAGGTCTGCCTCAGTATTCTCGGTACGCATCAGTGTTATTGACATTCCCTTGGCTTAGCACTGACCAAGTTCAGGCACATGGCGTGGTGAGCGAGGCGAACAGTGGAGTATTGCTCAAGGATTGGAGAGCGTGCTTATCAGCATACAATCCTTGATGTCATCCAACCCTTACGAGAACGAGCCTGGATTTGAGACGATCAAGATCACTGCCAAGGAGGCCGAAGAATATGCACAAAAGGTCTGTTAAGTCTACTCATGCTCATCTGCCTCTCGGTATTGTGAGTGCCGATCTGGTGTTCTAGCGCTTGTGTTCAAGCTTCTACGGCTGTCTGAAAGAAGTCCACTGAGGTCTTGGTGTAGCCGCATTCACGATCGAGTCGTGTGGAGTAATTGCTAGTAATAGTACTGACCATTGCTTGTAGATACGCCACGAGACTCTCAGAATCACAGTTCTCCAGCGTCTCGAGCATATACTCCAAATCTCCGATGGTGACGATACGACACCTGCCGTAGCCTCGGACACACCACCTGCTGACTATGACGACGATGACGAAGTTGTAGCAGAGTCGAAGCCTTCGACCTATCAGAAAGAGGACATTGAGGAAGCCAAATTCTATCCTTTCACCGACCTGTACAAGCGCCGCTTCCTCTGGTACTACGACTCTTATCTCAAGGCGATTGATGGTGCCTCAATAAAGGTCAAAGACGGCAGGCAGTTCGAGAACACACCATTCGAGTACGGCACTAACGCTATGTGCGGCAAGTACGCCTACGCTTCCCTCAAGACCCGCTTCCAGCGCGTCTTGCAAGCTCTCGAGACCGAGAAGGACACTTGGGCCAGAGATGGTAGACAGCTGATGGCGAACCAGCACGGTACGGCCTTGAACCTCCAACATCAGTTCGAGTCGCTACACGCTCATTACGCTGGAAACAACGGTCCCTCTGTCGAAATTAGCCTCGTCGATGCGAATCCTTTCGTGTGGACTCTTACCTTCTTCGGGCCCCAGTCCACGGATCTTTCAGGCGCGACCATAAACACTCGCTTACATTTTCCCTCCGATTTTCCAGAAGAGCAACCGCGAGTCACCGTTCTCACGCCACTATTCCATCACCGTATCAGCGCCACTACAAAGGCACTCTGCTACTTCCCAACCAAGCTCTATGACGTGCAGAACCACATAGAAAGCATCATGGCTGTTGTCGTCGACGAAACTCCAACTTACGATCCGCGTGCGTTGGTCAACCCTGCTGCCTCTGCGCTTCTCTGGGGTGATGAGAACAGCAAGAAGATGTACAGGCGTAAGCTTCGCAGAAGTGTGCAAGACGCCATGGAATCATGCGATGAATTCTAATTACGAATCCACGAGGATCAGACACAGAGTGTCGTTGCAGTTCAACATACCCCTTCTTTTAGCGATGGCGTTTGGCGGGACAAAAGGAAGCTCTGCATTTATCAAATGAGGCGTTGTGGGCATAGCAAGTCAAAAGGCTAGATACAGTTCAATTGATTCTCTCCGCATTGCTCGCCATTGGTAACATTAATAGGAGGAGTAGGAAGAGTTTGAATGTAGCAGTTCGTCGCGGTCCCGGTGATTTGTGCATGTGGATTAGGCTGGATGCTTGGTCACTTGCACTTCAACAATCATAAATGGAGACCATGGCCCAACAAACATATCATTCAGCCCAACAAGGAGCCCCCAGAGATATTCAGGCGTGATGCAATGCTCTGTATGCTGTCAAGGTCATTGAAAGGCGCAAATCGCGATTGTAGCATGTCTTCATGTCTCAGCACCCCTTGCTGCATAGACAACCCTGACTCTATCCTGAATTCCATCGATCTCTTCCGGCGCACGACATGTTGCACCAACTTTTCTGACCCAGCAACGACCAACACAAGGAACCTGGTTTCAAACCAACCTCTAATCCTCCTTGCTGAGTGACGGTGCACATATATCCGGAATAGAGGTGACGTGCGCCATGCACAAGTGTCCCATGTCTTACCATTGGCCACCGCGAACGACAGATTGCTTGGTCACAACCCGTGCGCGTGAACGTGTCGACTTGACGGGAAGGGGGACGAGGTATTCAGGCGCGTAGGCGGTCGTTGCACCAGAGAGGTAGGCAGGCAGGCTTCTTCCCTTGCGCGCGAGGCCATGGCGTAGTGCGCGCTTGGATGGGGATGATGAAACAGATGTTGTGACTCGGTTTGAGGGTGTCCGTGTCTCTGTCGGCGGCCCAAAGACTTGTCTTGGTGGGTGGGTAGGACAGCGGAGAGTCAGCTTTGAATTCAAAGGTTTGATGGATTTCGGCTCAATCTTTGAGAGTCTAGTGGACTCGCTGTCGTTATCTCGTACTTATACAACTCACGGATATCTTGCTCGCGTTTGATTTGACGGCTCGAGACTCAGCAGCTTCTTCATACCAGAACTTGGCGAAGCCCACCATGAGACTCAAAGCACTGTTCGTCATCTTTTCAATGGCAGTGCATATCTGCATGGGCACACCTGTTCCTCCCTGTAACATCGCGCCCCTCACCACTTCAGACATCATCACCATCGCGCCTGGAAGCGCAAATTGTACTGGAGCTCCATACCCTGCCGAGTGCGCGATTGCTCCAGATGCTGCGTCATGGATCAATCTAGCCTTCCACGTCTTCGGCATACATGCATTCGGAACACAGGCTGCCCTACTCTCACTCATGCTGTATGAATCCGGTTCTTTCAAATACAACATCAACCACTACCCTGGTGTGCCTGGCCAAGGCACTCGCAACATGCAGAGTCCAGCCTTAAACCTCAAATACGCCCGGTGGCTGGCTGCAAATATGACGAACTCGGGTATAATGCCACAGCAGGTGGATGAGGCAGAGGAAAAAGGTCAAGTGCAGATATTGGCGCTTGTGAACGGGGAGCGATGGGGTTTCGCGTCAGCAGCGTGGTTCTTGGCCACGCAATGCAATGAAGAGATTAGTCAGGGACTTGCGACCTTGACAGAAGAGGGATGGAGAACGTATCTGACCGACTGTGTTGGGACGACTGTGACGGTCGATCGGACTGTGATCTGGAAGAGGGCTATCGCTTTGGGTAAGTGGTAGTCGTCGATGGTATCAGTTTCTACTATCAGTATGTTTCTCCCGCTTTCATTGGTTTGAATACACCGTTGGCGCGACTTTTCTCTGGCGGGAGCGATCGTCTGTCTCAAGTCCGTTGTAAGGAATAGCTGAGACCACGAGCATATCTGTATGACCCCATATTCCTTTCTCAGTCACAGGAGATATCAGAAATGTTCCGCGACTCAATGCTTACAGAGAATGGGGTGCTCAAGACAAGGTCCGCAAGCCTGCTTCCAACCAGCACTTCATTCTGCTGTCTGGATCTGCACCATGTATATGAGAGGACGATGTATGGAAACAACGGATGGAACTCGTAATTACTGGTGGTCACAAGGGCGGCCAAGGTTGATCGCGTTTCCCGTGAGTATGGGAGATCGCATAATGCTTCTAGACCAGTACGAGAATGATATCTGTTGAAAGGCTTTATAGTGTTTCTTTCATTTGTATGCTCACACGATTTCTTGTCTTCTACATCGCCGTCGGGCTCTGGAAGGCACTCCAAGACCTGCCTTTAAGCACCTTTGTATACTCGTCCGCCAGAAGCGTCTAGCAGTGAATGACAGTAACCAGCGACTTTGAGGTAGCAGAGGCCATCACAGCAGAGCAACCATACAAAAACAAGCTCCTATTTCCATGTGAGTGAGGAGTCTTACACTGATCCAATTGCGATTTATATACCAAATTCGCTCCTCTTCTGCTGACACCATCGGTTCCAACCTACACTTCACTTTACTCTCACCCGTCAACTGTCAACAGTACGAGCTTCTTATATACACTTCTGATCTTTCGGTCTCAACACTCTCCTACAAACATCCTCCATCTTTCGTCTCACCTTCCATCTCCTTACACGACACGTCATCCCTACCAGAGTCATGACTTCCACATCACCCCCACCTAGTTCACGCTGTACATCTCCTTCATCGGATGACTGGACTTTCCCAACCACAGCCCATGACATGGCATCCTGGGGCATCGATTGCTTCAGGTCCCATATCAGCAAATCAATCCTCGAGCAGTAAGTGTTTCACCGAAGTTGTCTACCCTCACGGCTAATTGATTGAAGGCTGTGGGACGATCGCGACCGTGCCGACTTCGAGATTCGATGCGGCGACAAGAGTCTGAAGGTTCACAGAGCAATCCTTCGTTCCCACTCAGAGGTGCTTGCTAAGGCTTGCGACAATCACTCGTTCAAGGTACTTCTCATCGCTCAGTTGCACCATAGCGGCCATCTAAAACATGTTTAGGAAGCGGTCTCTGGTATTCTCGACCTCAAGTCTCAACCTTACGGAGGCAATCTCGACAACCTAGGCGATGGAGATGACCCAGAAATCGTCGAAGAGATGATCCACTACTTCTACCATCTCGAGCTATCTCCTAAAGCTCGAGTGATCTCGCCCTGGGAGTGCGAGGTTGTCCACGTCGAGCCATCCCTTGTCCTTCTGGCCCGAATCTACGTCCTTGCTGAGAAGTACTTCATCGAAGCGCTGAAATCCAGCGTCATGGTCGGCTTCCGCAATAGTCTGGAACGCGAGCTGCAACATCCAGAACTCATTGAAGCGTGCCACATCATCTTCAAGAAGACCGTGGAGCCAGCGGGCGAGAAGGGCTTGAAGACGGTCGTAGCAAAGTTCCTGGCAGATCATCTGGAGAAGGTCAAGAAGTCCAAGATGCATGACAAGCTGTTCCAAGAAATCCCTGAGCTCGCTTTCCGTGTGCTGAAAGAGATCCCTAAACCCTCACCTCAGGCTCCCCACCACTGTAAATGGTGTGGTCTTTGATCTGGAGGATACTCCAGAAACTGAAAGATGGAAGTATAAAGAGCAGACTGATCCGGTCTGTATCGAATCTCCCGAGCGCAATCAATGATGATCAAGGAGACAAACTGGGGACATGAATACAGACACACTTACTGAGCGAAGGATCTTATTGAGCAAAGACGCTCGAATATTAACGAAGAAGACGAATTGTCATTTTAGTAATAACCCATATCTTCTTTGCGCCTTCTAGAAATGCTGCTCAAGGTGAAGCATCGTCGCTGCCCACGACCCAGCCTTTGGCGGGATGGTAAACTTTGATTCGCGCCGGATGACATTTGCTCTCAAAGCACAGGTGCCTAGCCAGCAAATACAGAAAATTTCCATCACATCTCAAGGACATGTCGAGGGAGGAGAGAGCCAGGTGAGGTCAGACAGATCTATATCGGCAGCCTCGGCCCGAAGAATCCTCCGCCTCCGTCACCTTCCTGATCTGACAAATCAACCCGCAGGCCTATCATTCATCTACTTGCTTCTCGTAAACTAGTCATTTCTCTTGGATCAAGGTCAAGATTTCGTGCCACAGAGATATTGGATTGTTTCTCAACCTCCAAGATTATTAAAACAACTTGAACCCCTTTGCATCTTTTGGTTCACGGCTAAATTCCTACGTTTACTTTCGTCATCGATATCCACACCAAACTTTCGCGTCAATTGTTTACCAGAGGGACTCGGAGAAGATTCAATCCTGGATGAGTGCTACCACAAAGCCAGTGGACGAGCGGGCGCCACTGCTCGGTCCCCAACCGAGTACGGTAGATGCAGGCAATGAGTACCTCCCCGACAGTGAGATTGAGGACGATTCGGGTCGCATATCTGCAGCAAGAGCGGCAATATGTGTCGTTGCTCTGGGGTCGTTGATCTTCTTGCAAGGTGTGTACTACGGTTGTTAGAGACCGAGAGAACGAACAACTGACACGCATCAGCTACGAACATCTCTCTCCTGACTACAACACAATCAACAATCGCAGCCGATCTCGATGCTTTTGAGAAAACCAGCTGGTTTACATCAGCATATCTCATTGCGGTATCATCTACATCACCATTGACCGGAAAGCTCAGCCAACTGTTCAGCCCAAGAAACTGCATCAGTGCTAGCGCTATGGTGTTGGGTTTGGGTGCTCTTCTTACTAGTTTCGCGCAAACATTTGCCAGCTTCATTGTTGGGCGTATTATCACGGGTGTCGGAGCTGCCGGTGTTTTCACAGTATCCATTATTGTCGTACTCGAGCTCAGCGGGCCAACCAAGCGTGGAGCTGTTATCGGTCTCTTGAACTCTGGCTTCACGGTCGGTGTGGCAGTAGGAGCAACAGTTGCAGGTGCATTGGTAAACAGAGTCGGCTGGAGAGCACTCTTCTGGATGCAGACTCCGCTTGCTGCTGTCGCTGGTGCAGCCCTCTACCTGGCAATCCCAACTCAATTCTCTGCTGCTAGAGGCAACAGCAAAGAGAGTATCTGGAAGAAGCTAGGCACGTTGGACTACCTCGGTGCTCTCACACTGACCGTTGGCATTGTGCTGCTTCTTTCAGCACTCTCGAACCCTCGTCGCATTCCCATCTTGCCCATCATCTTCAGTATCATCGCTTTGGCGACGTTTATTCTCAACGAGATCTATCTGGCTACCGACCCCATCATCCCAGTCACGCTGCTCAAATCTCGAGGCATGGCTTTTACCTGCCTAAGCACGGTCGGCTTCATGATGGCCCGATGGAGTGTTCTCTTCTTTACCCCTACCTACACTCTCGCGGTACGTGGCTGGGCTCCCGCCGCTGCTGGTAGTATTCTCATCGCCACGAACGGTGGCTTTGCGCTCGGAGGCATTCTTGTGGGCGTCTTCCACATTCGTCGCCAGGGCAGTTTCTACCTTGCCTGTGTGACGGTGTATCTCTTGTTCCCCTTCACGCTGGTCGGCATTGCACTACTCTCGACTGCTGCAGCATCTTCTTCGCTGTACATATTGCTGCTGTTCTTGAATGGTCTCACCGTTGGCGCAGCGATGAACTACACACTGGCTCATCTTCTACATCTGACGCCAGCTTCGACACATTACATCGCCACCTCACTTATCGCTACTTTCAGAGGCTTTGCTGGATCTTTCGGCAGTGCGATTGGAGGTGGTCTCTTCACCCGCATCTTGAGAAAGTCGTTGGAGGATAAGTTTGACGACAGCGATGCCGATTTAATTCGCCGCCTTTTGGGCAGTCCAGCTATGGTCAGTCTGCTGAAGGGAGCGAAGAGAGCCAAGGCTGTCGCTGGTTACGAAGACGCATTGAGAGGATTGTTCTTGGCCGCTGCTGGTCTTGCACTTATCATGGTGCTTGTACAAGCGGCTACTGGTTGGAAGGGTGTGGAAGACGAACCAAAGAGTCAGGAGGGAGAAGAAGAAGTCACTCCATAGTCACACAAAGTTCCATGAGATAAAGGGATGTTGGATAACTTTGATGTAGCTATATTGCAGCTGGATAATCCAGTACACTGTCGAGAAGATATCGAGTCAGATTTCATGCCTCTCTTTCGAGGCAAACCCGTGATGCGGAGGAAGCACGCAATGCATGTTCCGATTGTCATGAGACACCACATGTTTCAGGACTCGGATTGGAGCTGAATCGTATCAGTCGACTAGGTAACTGTTTTGACGGGCCTAGGATACCAGCAGCCGAGTGTCTTGGAACTGGAGCACAGGGTGATCGTCAATAGCCTAACTTCACCTCGGTCCGACCCATGAAACGGTCCCATGTTGAGAGCCGACCGAGCTTCTCCAAGGTATACAAGAACTCTTCTGGAGGTATATTTTCTCTGAAGAGCTTCTCGCGTGAAAGTATCCTCCTCATCATCAGACTCCATTTCATGCTCTGTTTTGGGGCAAGCTCTTGGCCGATGTCGAGTAAGGTCTCTCTCCTGGTCTTCTCTTGTGGTGATGTCGTGGAAAATGGATCTGCCCGGTGTTTTGGTGAAGGACGAGTCGAATGTGTTGATGTGTCTAATAGATCAAACCCGGCTTGGTTTCTCTTCAGCGCCTTGAAGGTGATTGAAGACAGTCCAGATGGAGCATCACCATGGTCATTCCGACAGTGGCGATGCATGCGATATGCTTTTCTCGAATACTTGGCTATCTGCCTCAAGTGATCCCCGTTCTCGGTGACAAGCTTGTACGGGAAAACGAGTGACGTGCCTTTCTTGTAAGCACGACGACCCACACTCTGGTCAGAGTCCAGCTTATCGCAGAAGGAATCAGTCCTATGACAATCACAACTTATGCTAACGATCCAGACGACGATATCCGGCAATGGTAGAGCCAGGTTGAGCCAGCTCCCGTCAAGCGTAAAGTCCTTGGGAGTGTGGCCAGTAGCCGAGAACCACATGTCGACAGTGACTCGACGTCGGCAAGGTTCGCCAATGGTGTTCATGATGTCGTACATCGAAATCAACAATGGCGCTGGAGCATTCTTCGGAAAAACAACAGTTCCAGAATTCATGAAAAAGCGCTGTCTCTGCCAATCCGACGTCGAGGTACTGAGATCGAGCTGCTTCTCCATGTAGAGCAGATGGTGATCTTCGCATTCGACCAGAGGCATTTTCAATCTTACAGACGCATTCGTTTGCTGAGCTGCATGTCGGATAGTGCGGGAGACAGCCAAACAACATGAAGTGTCATGAAAGTCGAGGTGGGCGAAGATAGCATCAGCAAGTTCCTGTACAGCGAAAAGCCGGTCGCAAGCAGAATTGGCATGAGTGGATGTTGAGTCCATGGAGCGAGGCTGTTTTTGATCAAGCCAATACGATATGGACTTTCTGGCCAGCAGTTGTGCCGACTGGCGGGTACGGCGTCTCACGTATAATCTTGTCGTTTTCAGCATGTTCTCAGCGAGCAATTGATTGAGAGGGGTGAGGCTCGGTCGGCCGTCTAGCACAACGAGCTCGGGGCGGCGGCGTGTTGACATGGTGGAGGACTCAAAGTTCAAATCAAAGTCGTAGTCATTACAAAGGTGAATGAAGCGAACTGGGATTGGATAGGTACGCGGCGTGCGCAGCGATGGTTCCTTGGGATGGCAAGCTCACGCTGGAAGAAGGGGATCGAAACATGTCAGAAAGGAAAGAGCTTCCAGAGTTATAGATGGCTTCAGCATGCATGCAGTGTGGCACAGATCGCAATTAAGAATGTAAGAGCAAGGTTGATTGGCAGACGTGAGGGGAACCAAGCGAGATAGCCCTGGGCTACGGCAATGCGCGGCTGGAACATGAAGTCGGTATCGAGTAGGGAACGTCGACGCTGGTTCATTGAGCAGCACAGCACACTTCGTTGGCTTCCAGATGGAGATGATGTAGCTGGATACTGCTCAGGATCTGTGTCAAAGTCAATGGAAGTAGTATCACTGGAGTCATCGGCAATCATCGATAGTCGCAGACAAATCACTCTCAAGTCAATGTAATATCGTCGAGAGATGGGCATACATACAGAGCCTGCCAAGGCGCATGCTCGATAAGAAAGCTTCAGTGGGGGTTAGCTAGTCGCATGGAACGGCCGCGGGACAGCGTCATGGCTGGACGTTGAATACTACACCCATCTCTGTTTCTCGCGCTGGAAGCACATCTCTGCGTGCCCGTCGACTGTCTGCAGACGCTCTCGACCTCCTCGGACGCGCAAACCACTCACCCACATCTATCGCTTCCTTGCAATCCTGCGTCTGGGACTTGTCATCCTCCCTTAATCCCTTCTCGACACGCCGTCGACTGGTTGCGCCTGTAACCCTCCGGCGACCCGCTGTAAACACTTCTCCTAATTCTTTCAGCCTCGTGCCCTCACATATAAAATGGCGTTTCTCGGTGTATACCGCGCCATCTACGACTATGTGCCCCAGAGCGAGGGCGAATTGACCCTGACCGAGGGGGACCTGCTCTTTGTTTTGGACAACAACTCGGACGACGATTGGTGGAAAGCAAAGAAGAAGGCCATGTCGGATGAAGAAGACGAGCCAGAGGGCTTGATTCCAAACAATTACATCGACCAGGTCCGTCACTACTCTAAGCCCTCTCTTGCTGGCCTTCGCTGACCCTTCTCTCCAGGCGCATCCTCTGTACCAAGCCAAGGCCCTTTACGACTACACCAAGCAGACTGATGAAGAGCTCTCATTTCCCGAAGAGGCTCGGTTGGATGTTTACGACACGTCGGATGAAGACTGGACGCTTGTTGGTCTGAATGGACAATACGGCTTTGCTCCCGCCATCTACATCGAGAAGGCTTCAGCCGCCGCCGCCGCCGCCGCCGCCTCAGCCGCTGCTCCTGCTATGCCCGTACGACCACAAGTCGCAAGCCCTGAGCCTGAAGAAGCTGAATGGAACGAGTCCCCGCCCGAGAGTCCGGTACATAACCCTGCCGCTGCTCTGGCAGGCATCATTGCACAAAAGACTGGTCAATCACAAACCCAGGCGCGCTCATATCAAGAACCTATGGATCGTGGACTCGCTTCTCCACCTCTACCTTCACGACCTCAGTACACCCCAGATGAGTCCGAAGACGAACCAGCACCCAGCATGCCTCCACGACCTATCTCAGCTGTCTCACGCGAACCTGTTCGCTCACCCATGTACTCGCCAGCTGAGCGTGAGCCGCAAGGTGTCAGTACCTCACTTCCATACAACAGAGCCATGGCTATTGAGGACGAGGAGGCTGCTCTTAGATCGCCTGGTGGTTTCCGTTTATACAACATCTCCGAAGTCGTCTCGCATCTGGGAAAGAACAAGAAGATGCCTATCACTTTGGGCATCAACCTCGCCAAGGGCCTGGTGTCGCTTTCTCCTGCCAAGGCACGAGATGGTCCATCTCAAGAGTGGTCAGCCGATCGACTTTCCAACTACTCGATCGAGGGCAAGCATGTTTTCCTGGATCTGGTACGCCCTAGTAAAAGTGTCGACCTTCACGCTGGCGCAAAGGACACTGCTCAGGAAATTATTGGTATTTTGAGCGAATTAGCCGGCGCTTCAAAGGCTGAAGGCCTTCGTGAGGTGTGGGCAGCGAGTTCTGGCACGGGCGCCGGCGGAAAGAAAAAGGGTACAATGCTTTATGATTTCATGGCTCAAGGAGAGGACGAAGTCACTGTGGCCATTGGCGACGAAGTGGTTATTTTGGACGACACCAAGAGCGAAGAATGGTGGATGGTCAAACGACTCAAGAATGGAAAAGAAGGTGTTGTTCCCAGCAGCTATGTTGAAATCACCGGAACTCTGCCTGAGCCATCCTCGGCCTACACTGGTCTCAACGCTGCTCGTTCCACTGTCGAACAGAACAGACTCGAGGAACAGCGCCTTACGAGGGAAGTAGCGAGGTCTTCAACGATACGCGAATCGGATGATGGAAGCAGACCCGAGCGTCACAGCAGTTTGGCCAAGGAAGACAACCGCAAGAGCAGGCACAGCAAGAGTGATAAAAGCGATAAGCCGAGTAAGTTTTCCATCAGTTTGATCATCGGCGTAACGATCTAACAATACACAGAGCCAAACGCTGCAAGAGTGCGCACTTGGACAGACAGATCTGGTTCTTTCAAGGTTGAGGCTGAGTTCATTGGCCTCAAGGATGGCAAGATTCATCTTCACAAGCAAAATGGTGTCAAGATTGCTGTCCCTGTCAACAAAATGGCCATCGAGGACCTGGAATATGTGGAGAGAGCTACCGGTGTCTCTCTTGACGAGGACAAGCCGCTCTCTGAGATCAAACGCAGAAGCACTGAGAAGCGAAAGGACCGACCAGAGCGACTACAGCAATCCGGTGCCACATCAGGTGCTGTCGTTGAACAAAAGTCTGATTACGATTGGTTCGATTTCTTCCTCGGCGCTGGTGTCAACCCTCAGATCTGCGAGCGTTATGCTGCAGCCTTCAGTCGCGATCAATTGGGCGAGGACATTCTGCCGGATGTCGACACCCAGTTGCTGCGCACACTCGGCCTCAAAGAAGGCGATATTCTTCGTGTGATGAAGTACCTGGACAACAAGTTTGGCCGCAGTGGGCAGAAGAAGAATGTCAGTTTTGGCGACGACGATGCAGATGGTGCAGCCGAGGGCGGTCTCTTCTCTGGACCGGGCGGCGCTCTGAGAAACAACACACGAAAGGGAAGACCTGCTCCTGCCGTGCAGACAAACGATGTTGTCGATGCCGATGCATTCAAGCAGAAGGACGAGATATCCAAGGTCGAAACACCTCTTGCCTCCGCACCAGCCAGAGCTGCTGCATCCGCTGGATTTGACGATGATGCATGGGACGTGAAGCCGTCAAAGACTGCACCTGAAGCAGCAGCTCCCGCACCGGCCCCTGCAAAGGCTCCTTCGCCGCCACCTGCTCCTGCTGCTCCTGAACCACCGAAGCTTACTCAGAACATGTCAGACCTGTCTTTGCTCTCTCCCGCATTGCAACCGACACCTGCACCTCAACCTACGCCCCAGGCTCCTCCTGCCGCTCCACAGCAGCCTGCAAGAACTGGAGCCGACCCCTCTTTCTTCGACAAGCTTGCTGCTCCCTCCCCTCTGCAATCTCAGATGACAGGCATGAGACAGCGTCCTGCAGCACCGAACCAAATGCAAACAGGCAACTCGATTATTGCACCGCCACCTCAACGTGCAGCTTCTGCTCCTGGCCTTCCTCAGCAAGGCTTTGCTCCACCAGCTCTCCAACCCCAGATGACTGGCTACCAGGCACCTCCTGGCCAGAGCCTGCAGAGCATGCAACAACAGCAGCAGTTCCAGCAACAGCAGATGACTGGATTCTCCCAGCAGCCTGGTTATCAAGGTCTTATGCCTCAGGCGACAGGATTCATGCAGCCCCAACAGACTGGCTTCCCAGCACAGTACCAGATGCCACAGGCTACAGGCTATGGCCAGCAACAACCCTACCTCAACGGCCAGGCCACAGGCTCGCCTTTCGCAGACCCTACTCCTCGTCCTGTTTTCCAGTCCCAGCCTACTGGTATGAGCCAATCATACATGCAACCCCAGCAAACAGGCTTTGGTATGCCTCCACCAATGCAACCTCAACAGACCGGTCTCCCACCAGCCCTCCAGCCTCAGCGCACAGGCTTCACACCTCAGAGTCAATTTGGCCAGAGTTACGCTCAACAACAAAATGGTTACGGCGCGTTCGGACAACAGGCACCGCCTATGCCTCCAATGCCACCCATGCCTGCTCAACCCACCGGCCTGCAACCTCTTGTACCCCAAAAGACTGGTCCTCCTCCACCAGTCCGCTTCGGAGTGCAGCCTGCTGCTAGACTGACACCGCAACCCACTGGCAGAGCCAACCTGTCCAAGGCGACGCCACAGAATCCCTTTGGCTTCTAGGAGCGCCGGAGATCTGATACGTGGACATTGAGAAAAGGCTGAGGGTTTGTGGTTCTGGTGGTGTATTTGTTGGTTGTTGTTTTTTTGCCCCTCCTATTACTAGTAGAACACGTTAATAGGCTTTAGATAGGCCCAGAGTGTGTATATAGTCTTGTTTCGTTTATCCATCTCATTTTACTACATGTCCTGTGTCTTGAGCACTCTGTCTAGTACCTGCTGTTTCCCCTTACTGCGGTGTGGTTTTGATGGGTATCCTGATTGAACGTCTCTCGGTGCACACAGGTTGGCGGTACGACGTGTGTCAAAGACGGGAGACGGGAGAGGAAAAAGAAAATGGTGTTTCCGCTATAGCACAGATGGATCTATTTACACGGCTCGAGACTCTCTGCAAAAACTAAAAGAGTCTCGTGTGCTGTTCTGTCTTTTGGTTCCTCGTTTCCACTTCTCCAAAAACTTCCCCTCTTCAAGTCAGCTTACAAAGAACCTTCAAACCTCAAATCAATGAGTTTGATGAATTTAAGCCTTGGAGACGATGCGCTCGACGTCGGCAACGGCCTGGTCGAGGATCTGCTTGAGGGTCTTGGGGTTCTCGAGCTCCTTGCCGATCTTGGCAATGATGGAGTCAGCGAGCTCCTTTTGCTGGCGGGCCTTGACGGCACCCTCGTAGCGGACCCAGGAGTCGAGGACGGTCTTGGCCTCGTGGGCGAGGTTGACCTTCTGCTCGAGCTCGTAAGCCTGGGCCTCGAGCTGGGCGGTTTCCTAGCGCAGCAATGTCAGTATGTTTGATGAGACATTTTGCATATTCTTCATTGCAGCAGTACCTTGGAAACGGCAAAGAGCTGCTTGGTAATGTCAACGACACCGCCGAGGTCCTGGACGCTCTCAATGCGCTTCTGGACGGCGTCGGTGTGGTCCTTGCGGGCAGCGTTGAGGATGTTCTTGATCTTGTTGGTTTGACCCTCGGCCCACTCCTTGTAGGCGGGACCACCGTAGACGGCGATACCGGTGTAGACGGAGAGCAGACACAGCATGACGATGGACTCCTCGTTGACGACGTAGAGCTCGTTGCTGATGGCGGCGATCGAGACACCGGCACCGGCGGAGAGGATGGCGGTCTTGCTCAAGAGGTTGCTGCCGGGCAGGGAGTCGAGGATGCTCTTGGCCTTCTGCTCGGGCGAGGGAGTGGGCTGGTTGCTTTGCAGGCGGGCTTGGACGGCGGGCACGGCGGCCTTGTTGAGCGAGGAGATGGCGGCGGTGGGGCGCGCGCGGGCGGCGCCCATGACGGAGCGAGCGACACGAGAGGCCATTGTGCAGGATGTGAGTGTGGAGAGAGCGGAGGGGTGTGTGGATAGACAGCAATTCACTGGACTCGTATGGCTGGCCCAGCGGGCAGCGCGCTTCAATCGGCCGTCGTCAAGCTCTGAGCAGCGGCGATTCCCGGCCCTGATTCTTCCCAATCGGGCAACCCCCAAAGAAATTATTTTGTATGCAACCAAGAGCGACCGACTTCCGCTAGCACCTTCCTCGAAATTAGAAAAAGGAAGTTACGGACAGACTGGATAGCCCAATATGCCTGGACTCGTCGAAAAGAAGCGCAAGCGCACCGATGCCACCGCCGTCGCAAAACCTACCAAGTCGAAGAAAGTAAAGCCTGCCAGCAATGGCGAAGACGATCCTCAAGCACAGATGCTGCTGCTAGAACAACAAATACTCGAGTCGCCGTCGAACTACCCGAACATCACCAGCCTGATCAAGTTCCTCAAATCAAAGGATGCAACCCAGAGAGTTACGGCCGCCGTCGCTCTGTGCCGAACCTTCTGCCGCCTGATGGCTGCCGAGCGAATGGTCAGGCAGAAGACCATGAACGAGGAAGAGATTGAGCAGGTCGACTTCCTCAAGACACAGTACAAGGAGTACGGCCGACAACTGGGTCGTCTGCTGGCAAGCGAGGAGCTTCAGAGCACTGCCCTGACCCTCTTTATGCGCCTGGTCAAGGAAGAGACATCCCAGGACGGTCGCCGTGCTGAGCAGGCTTGGAGGACTGGTATTTTTGCAGACTTGATCCTGGGACTCGTGGCATCGGCTGATGCTGCTGGTGCGCGCGAGGAGTTCATGGAGAAGTTCGTCGAGGAGCACGATGATGTTCGTTACTTCACCTTCTACGCCGTCGCAAACATCCTGGCTCGCTCACCTGAAGGCTACGATCGCCAGACACTCGTCTCGAACGCTCTTTCGCTGCTTCTCCTAATCGAGAATGCTCCCGACTCGGACTCGCAACTCGAAGACTGGTATGGACAGACTCCCGAGGGCCGCAAGCACGCTCTCCTGTCTCTATCATCGCATCGCAAGACAGCACAAGAGGCATGGCTTGCCATCTTCCGCTCCGCTCTTACCAAGGACGAACGCAAATCTATTCTCCACCACTTGACCAGTCGTATCGTACCCTGGTTCACCAAGCCCGAGTCGCTCATGGATTTCTTGACAGACAGCTACGATGCCGGCGGTGCCACTTCCCTGCTTGCTCTGTCCGGTCTCTTCTACCTTATCGCTGAGAAGAACCTTGACTACCCTGCCTTCTACACGAAACTCTACTCTCTGCTCGATGACACACTACTGCACTCGAAACACCGCAGTCGCTTCTTCCGCCTTCTTGACACCTTCATGAGCTCTACACATTTGCCCTCGGCTATGGTCGCCAGTTTCATCAAGAGATTGTCAAGACTAGCGCTGCACGCGCCTCCTGCTGCGATTGTCGTGGTTGTGCCATGGACCTACAACATGCTGTTGCGCCATCGTACTTGCACATTCATGATTCATCGCGAAGTACGTGGCGCAGCGCAACTCAAGAAGCTCGAAGTCGAAGGTATGGATGACTCGTTCTCCATGGATGAGCTCGATCCTATGGAGACTGGTGCAATTGATTCATCGCTTTGGGAGCTCGAGACTCTGGCTTCACACTACCATCCCAACGTCGCAACGTTGGCGAGAATCATTCAGGAGCAGTTCACAAAGAAGAACTACAACATGGAGGATTTCTTGGATCACAACTACCAAGGTCTGATTGATGCCGAGTTGGGCAAGGAGATGAAGAAGACCCCTGTGGTCGAGTTTGAGATCCCGAAGAGAATCATCACGACCGAGGAGGGTGGCTTGAACGATCTGGGTAGTCTGCTACAGACCGCTGTTCAAAAATTGTAAATTATTGGCATCAAGCAAGGCGTTTGGGCGGCTGCTCATGGACACATCTATTGATACTCGAATTTGCTTGTGAAGTTTTACGTCGTTTGATTGAATGCTATGCTATTCTATTCTTCCGAATGCTTTCTCGACTCTGCTCGTAATCCCGGGGTATTTCTTGATCCTCTGCGAGATGATCCGTATCGCATTTTTTTTATTGTCAGAATGAAGTGATCAAAGACACAAATAGATTCCTCCCACTCTCCCCCCAGTCAGGTTGATACAACTCCGCCAACACCGGCGCCATGCACAAAGAAACAAAAAAAAAGGTTCGTCCTGAGAACAAAAAGACGGGCGCTTAAACGAGCAAAACAGCGTTCAAGCAGCCGTCGTTCTCGGGGTTGTTGGTAACCTGGGCCCAACGACCCCAGACGACCTTTCCACCAGCGGTGACCAGACCAAGTTCCGAGACGTTGACCTCGATGATAGTACCCTTGGTCAAGACACCGAGCTGGGTGTACATGGGGTTTTGAGGGTTCTTCTTGACGGAAATGATGGGGAGCTGGACAGTGACACCGAGTTCGGGGTGGGTGACGTTTGCCTTCTTGTAACGGAGACCCATGGGACGAATGAATCTGAAAGTGTGTAAGTACGGATTTCGCAAGAGTAATTGAGGAGGGCAAGAACAAACCTCTCGTATTTGACGGGACGACGAGTAAAGTCGGGACCGACGAAAGTGGGCTTGGTGATCATTCTCTTCCAGCTCTTCTTTGCAGTCTTCTTTCCGGTCTTGACGACCTTGAACATCTCCTCCTCGGCAATACCTCTGACCTTGGGCAGAGGCACGCTGAACTTGGCAGCCTTCTCGGCTCTCTTGTTCTTGATGGCCGAAGAAAGAGCCTTTGCATTCTGCTCGTTGCTGCGGTCGAGCAAGTAGGCGGGCAGAGGGGTGTTGGAAGGCTCTGCGGCTTCGCTGGACTTGACGTTGCGCTCCTCGTGGGCTCTGATCTGCTTCTTCATCTGGATCTTCTCCTTGCGGCGCTTCTCCTGGTACAGCTTCGCGCGCAGACCGCGGTAGTTCTGCGCCTTCTCGGAGCCGGCGTGGCCCTCTCTGGCCTGTCTCTTGCGTTTGCGCTCATCGTGATCAAGACGCTTGCCATGCTGCTTGGCAAAGCGTTCCATATACTCATTCTGAGGCATGGCGGCGGTTGGTTATGTGTCGTGGTTTGGCGTGGGTTGTGGTAAAGAATTGCGAGTTGGAAAAAAGATAGAAGTGCTTTGCGGGGAAGGCGCGAGCGAGAGGCGGCGAAGTCCCTGCGAAAGTCGCAGCGCAGCGCAGCTTCCATTTGCAGGCTGGCCTTGGCATACCCGCTGTCGACAAACTTCTGAGCGTCAATTGCACAAATCCATCGGACACCAGCCAAACCCACACGACATGTTTCTCTCTCGCGCAGCCAAACGGGCGTGCTGTCTGGACTCACGACTTCTGCCGCCGACCTTCCTGCTCCCATTCACAGCACACCTGAGCAGCGTTTCACACACGACAGACCCATCAAACACTCCCGAAGTCCTTCTCAACTCCTCCGCCGCAAAAGTCGACTCTCCTCCCACGTCGACAACTCCTACATCTACTCCCGTATCGGCCAGCCATGCTCCAGCATCCGCCCCCAAGCTACCCACACCTTCTCAATCGCCTCCGGCCTTGAGCGATTCTGTCCGCGAACTTTTGCCCGTACTCCGCGCCCAGGGCCCTCACTACATCACCGCACACATTTATGATCGTCCATATCTTCTCACCGAGGGCGACACTCTGCGCGTACCATTTCTCATGCATGGCGTCCAACCCGGCGACATCCTGCGCCTGACCCACGCATCAGCACTCGGTTCGCGAGACCTGACCCTCAAGGCGGGCACCCAGCCTGGCAACCCTCGTTCGCCAACCGCATCCACCATCTCGGTTGTCGATCCTACACCTGGTAGCGTCTTGACCACCGAGAGCAGAAAGATGCCTGACGGAGGTCACTTCGTGCCACATCTTGCCAAAGGCAAACACATCTATGTCGATGACAGACTATTTGTGTGCAGAGCTACTGTCATGGGCACCGAAGCTGAGCCCATGCGTATCAAGGAGAAGACGAAGCGTAGACAGAGAAGAGTCAAGACGGTCAAGAGCAAGCACCGATTCACTGTACTCAAAATCAAGGAGCTTAGGATAAAGGGCTTGGACGAGATTGAGAGCGGTCTCGATGCTTGAGCTTCTATCTAGTGAAGTGATGCGGTCACGAGACATGACTATGTGAGTTGTGCTGATGCATGGAAGGAAAGACCGATTGGGCGTAGGCGTTTCAGCCTTGTATACCAAAACCTTTGTACAAAATATATTCTCGTTCTTGTCCTCTGAATTTATTGTCTCTCGCTCCTCTATCGGGGCCGCATCTCTCTCCTGGACATCGGTGTTTCGTGAGACGTTCAGGGGTGTGTCTCGATTCTGCATGAGATTGTAATTATTGATTCAGTTGCTTGTGCTCGACGAAGGGAGTACGAATATGCTTCTGGGGCACGGAACGCACAGGGCAGCCAAAATCTCGCCGACCAACTGCCGACAAGTGAACATTGTCAATCTTCAGTGTCTCCACTGTCTTCGCCAAGTGCAGACCATATAGAATTGGCATAGACACAGGTGCGGTTTGTGCCATACCAGCACAGTATCAGATCCGATTCTCGTATCGAGAGACAGTGGTGCAACACCCGTTGTACCGTAGGCAGGCTAGACTTGCTTGTTTGCTCGATCCATGCAGACTGGGGTAGCAATGTTCTGCTGCCGCGGATCTGGCCAGACTCCAATCGGCACACCAAGGGAGGATCGAGGAACAGGATAACCCCCAAGCAGGGTCTGCACAACACAGGTAACTAAGTAAGCAATTAATGTCAACCGCTCATGTCGTGCCGGCTCTGTTTCTCTTCACTCAACATACTCCATCACGTCCTTTGCGACCATGGAGGACTCCACACAACTCGACAACGCCTTGTATCAAGCTTGCATTGCGGCAGACTTGCCGAAAGTCAAACTTCTGGTCAACAAGCAAAATGCTCAGGTTAACAAAATCATCGGTCCTCCTGGTCAACTGGATTACTCCTTAAATTATGCGACTAAAACTGGTTCGGTACCTTTGGTGCGCTTCCTCTTAGACCATGGCGCGACTGTCAACGCAGCAGCACTCCGAATCGCTGCTTTTGAAGGAGATCAGCCCATGTTGCAACTTCTTCTCGAGCCCGTCAAAGCCCTGTTGGTATCCTCGGGCATGTCTAGGAAATGGCGAGTGGATCTCGCTTCAATACTGGTCGGCACGACAAGAAGGGGCCGCAGTGAGACAGCCGAACTTCTCAAAGTGTTCCGTTCAAGAATCGAGGAATTCGACAAAGCTGTTGACGCGGGACTTCTTGCGGCATGTGCTGCTGGCGACATGCGGTCCGTCAAGTATTTCATCGACATGGGTGCTGGAAACAAGGTCGAAGCTTTATCCACCGCAGCCGAGTACCATCAGTTCGAACCACTAGGATACTTCTTGGAGAACCATTCGTTCGAGCCTGAGGAACTCGTCGATCCATTGACCTCGGCAGCTGGTGGTGGCCACATGCCATCAATCCTTCTACTCATCGAACAAGGAGCAGAAGATGAATCAGGTGCCGCATTGGCTCGAGCTGCGAAGTTCTCTCATGCCGAAGTCCTGAAACACTTTCTAGGCATCTTCAGATACACGAAAGAGAAGCTATCAACAGCACTTGTAGCTGCTGCTCGTGCAGGTGATACAGCTATAATGGAAGTGCTTATCCGTAGGGGTGCCCATGGCTCCGGAGTACTTGTATTCACCGTCCAGAGAAGTCATCTCGCAGCAACAGAACTCTTGATTCGCGAGCTTCCAAAAGACCAAGCAGAATTATCGAAAGCGCTTGAGAAGGCCATGTTCATATGGCTGCGACCAGTGCAGGCACGCAAACCTCATCTTTCGAGAACGTCTAGTCATTCTTCAAGAAGCACAGACAGCGACATCGAACCTACAATACCAGAAGTTCTTCGCGATCGGGAAGAGTCGAGAAGACGCATCGTTGATGTGCTTCTTGAAGCAGGTGGTCGCTTGTCTGAACTGTACTACTGTCGCCTATTGGAAATGATGATCCTTACTCAAAATCAGTACGGTGTCGAGCTACTGCACGATAGCGCCAAATTTACGACGGTCGACACACTACCTGATGATTATCTGGTCAGCCTGGCAATATACCACCAACAGGACGAGATGGTAGACCTCTTGCTCGGCTTTCCTGTAGCACATAGGCCGAAGCCACCGGAGTCCACAGAGCTAAGCAGCGTGCAACCAATCGTTGATGACACCTACACATGGGAATCAAACGTCTACAACCCCATTCCCAGCCCGCTCATATTGGCAGCGAAGTTCCGCAATGAGCATTGGTGTAGAACGTTGGTTCGTCGTGAGGAGACCGATGCCAATGAATGGTGTTTTTATAAGCCGAGCAGAAGACTTTTGAGCTTCTACGGTTCCGACAAAAAAACACATACGCCAAAAGAAGAACAGTACGAAGAACTTGGTTGTCCATTTGGTACCGAGTCTTTACACGACTGTGCTCTATCAACGGCTATCAATTCGAGAGATGTACCTATCATTCATCTACTTATCGAGAGCGGTGCAGATCCATGGGCGAATCGACAACGTATCTCCATCTTCGAGCTGGCAGCCAAACAGAATTATCTACGAGACATTCTGTCGTTCCTAGAGGAGTTCGCTACAGTAGACATCGATCGAAGAGAATGGCATGGTGGCAGGAGCATGTTAGCCTGGGCTGCAATATACGGTAACGGGGATTTGGTCGACATGTTCTGCAAGAAAGGGGCTACCATTGATCTTGCGGACAGTTTGTTCAGGACGCCGCTACACCTGGCTGTGGCAGCCGGAAATATCGGCACAGTCAAAGGTTTATTATGGGCTGGAGCCAGCACGTCGCGTAGAGACGTAGATGCTTACCTATGCGCAGACGAGCTGGCCGCAAAACTGGCACAGGAAGCTTCTTGGTCGGATCAATCACGAGCAGTCAGATTTGAGATCATTAGGTTCCTGGAAGACTGGATCAAGAACAACATGGATCACCTCGATGCTGCCAACATCCGACGGGAATCGAAAGCAGCTGAGGAAAGAGCGAAAGTGGAAGAGGCCTCAGTGGTAGCGGAAGATGACTTGCTAGACCATTTCAGCGACGATGATAGCGTGCATTGGAGCGATGAAGAGTGATTTGGCAATCCAGTGAGCACTGGTTCGAAGACATATAAGGCGTTTGAATCTGCCAGCTATAAAATGACAATTTGTTTGGCATGAAGAATTTATCGAGTGATGATGGAGATGATATGCAAATCGTGGAGAGGAGCCGCTGGCCCCCGGAATCGGTCGGACTCGGTCGGAACTTTTGTCTTGGGTGTCAAAACAGCTGACATGCGGTGACTCGGCAGTGAAGGACTGAGCTGAGCTGAACGGCACTGTAAGCTGGACGAGCTGGAGAGACAAGGAATCAGCAAGCCGGATTGTTTCCATTCATTGCAAATGGAACAGAGAGAGATACAAATGCGTGATACAAGCAGGGCTCACAGAGCTCCGAAATTCAAAAAGCTGCCAAAACAAGTGGCCAGTGGGGCGCTCGGGCCACCCAATCCGAGTGCTTCGCTGCGGCAAATCTCGTTCAACCTCACCCTCCTCCTAGAACCGACCTCTCATCACCCTCTATCTCCACTCCATCCTACATTTCATTGGGACCCGTCACACCCATCGGGATTCTGAGAAATTTCTGTCATCATGTTCAGAAGCGCCCTTCGCCAGAGCGCCCGCGTGGCCACCGTCGCCGCTGCTTCGTCGAGAATTTCAGCTGTACGTTTCAACAAGCTCCAACCACTCGCCGACACCTCGCCTGCGACTACAAGCTCCAAGGAAGCGCTATCCCTGGCCAACTTTGGGCCCTACAACCATCATTGGCCCTGTCGCCACGCCCAATGGGTGCTGTCTGCGCGCCGTGTTGGCTGGTCGCGCGCTGGAGCTGTCGCTGGCGACGTCGAAGCTTGCTCGCCTTTGCCAAGTCTTGCAACACACAACTAACATGTTTCTACATACAGGCCCGCGCCGCCGCTCCCGTCGCTGCCTCCATCCGTGGCTACGCCGACAAGGCCTCCCCCACTGAGGTCTCTTCCATCCTCGAGCAGAGAATCCGTGGTGTCCAGGAGGAGTCTGGTCTCGCCGAGACCGGCCGTGTCCTTTCCGTCGGGTACGTCTTCGACAGCCGCAACACCATCATTCAAGACGCACGGGAACTGACATACAACCAACAGTGATGGTATCGCCCGTGTTCACGGTATGGCCAACGTCCAGGCCGAGGAGCTCGTCGAGTTCGCCTCCGGTGTCAAGGGCATGTGCATGAACCTCGAGGCCGGCCAGGTCGGTATCGTTCTTTTCGGTTCTGACCGTCTCGTCAAGGAGGGTGAGACCGTCAAGCGTACCGGAGAGATTGTCGACATTCCCGTCGGTATGGGTCTTCTCGGCCGTGTCGTCGATGCTCTGGGTAACCCCATCGATGGCAAGGGTCCCCTCAAGACCACCGAGAGACGCCGTGCTCAGCTCAAGGCTCCCGGTATTCTTCCCCGTCAGTCCGTCTCGCAGCCCGTACAGACTGGTCTCAAGTCCGTCGACGCCATGGTTCCCATCGGCCGTGGTCAGCGTGAGTTGATCATTGGTGATCGTCAGACCGGTAAGACTGCCGTCGCTCTCGACGCCATGCTCAACCAGAAGCGTTGGAACAACACCTCTTCCGACGAGTCCAAGAAGCTTTACTGTGTCTACGTTGCTGTCGGTCAGAAGCGTTCCACCGTCGCACAGCTCGTCCAGACCCTTGAGGAGAACGACGCCATGAAGTACTCCATCGTCGTTGCTGCCACCGCCTCCGAGGCTGCGTAAGTTGAAAGCCTCAGCATCTGCTTTGCTCCGCTAACAATTTCTCAAAGTCCTCTTCAGTACCTTGCTCCCTTCGCCGGTACCGCCATGGGAGAGTACTTCCGTGATAACGGCAAGCACGCCGTCATCATCTACGATGACTTGTCCAAGCAGGGATGGAACAACTTTTCGACATTCAGAAAGCATTCGCTAATTCTTTTCACAGGCTGTTGCTTACCGTCAAATGTCTCTGCTCCTCCGTCGTCCTCCCGGTCGTGAGGCTTACCCCGGTGACGTTTTCTACCTCCACTCTCGTCTCCTCGAGCGTGCTGCCAAGATGAACGACAAGCTTGGCGGTGGTTCGCTCACTGCCCTGCCCATCATTGAGACCCAGGGTGGTGATGTCTCCGCTTACATTCCCACCAACGTCATTTCCATCACTGACGGTCAAATCTTCTTGGAGGCTGAGCTCTTCTACAAGGGTATCCGTCCCGCCATTAACGTCGGTCTTTCCGTCTCGCGTGTCGGTTCCGCCGCTCAGCTCAAGGCCATGAAGCAAGTCGCTGGTTCGCTCAAGCTCTTCTTGGCCCAGTACCGTGAGGTCGCCGCCTTCGCCCAGTTCGGTTCCGATCTCGATGCCGCCACCAAGCAGACCCTGTCCCGTGGTGAGCGTCTTACCGAGCTCCTCAAGCAGAAGCAGTACAGCCCCATGGCCGTCAACGAGATGGTTCCTCTCATCTACGCCGGTATCAACGGTCACCTCGACAGCGTTCCCGTTGCCAAGATCCTCCAGTGGGAGGCCGACTTCCTTAACCACCTCCGCACCAACGAGAAGTCCGTCCTTGACCAGATTGACAAGGAGGGTGCTCTCAGCAAGGAGCTCGAGGCCAAGCTTAAGGATGTTATCAAGAGCTTCACCTCCAGCTTCTCGTAAATTTCTCACTAAAAATTTATAACGGGGAAAATTGCGAGATGGCCGAAGAAGCCGTGTGTATAGTAGAGCGAAAGTAGCGTCTCATTGAGTTTTTCTTCCAAATCTTTCAATGACAAAGTGTATAATCTTCGGTCTTGCCTAATACATGTGAAGCGCCACTTCAATCGTTCCTGCCGAATTTGCTTCTTTCTAGCAGATTGATCCGAATCTGGTATCTACTTACACGAAGACTCGGGAAGGTACGACTCGCCAATATGGAAGTCATGACTAACTGCTCTCGCAGTCTCTCCAAGCTCGAGGCTGATCTGTATCATGCTATCAAAAGTCACGATGCTTTACAGATCGTAGCATGGCCCAATGAGAGCGACTCCCTCGCCTTCTCTCAATGGAACTGCTTCAGCAATAAAGCACACTGTGCACTTTGATAGCGTCAATTGCCAGAGGTTTTCCGAAGAGAGAGTCTACTATGCCTCTACATCGATCAAGAATGATGACTTGTCTGGACAGCATGATCAAGAGGTTCAGTTCGAACACCACTTCCACAATACAATCATCCGAAGCTTTGTGTTGTTCTCGAATGGTACATCTCTGATATCATACACACCAGACTTGAATATTGCTCTTTCCTATTGAGATCATGCTACGCTCACCATACCTCTCAACTTTTCATTTGATCCGTCAGATATCCTCGAGTCTGAGTTATGAACAAATAAAGACTTCTTTCTTCTTCTGCGTTCTTGTGGCTGAAGCACTCTTCTGAGAAGTCTAGGGCGCGTGATACATTCAACATGGCTATAAGTCATATCCAATCTTGATGTAGATCGACATTGACTCCCTGGATCGATTTGTAAAAAAAAAAACCTCTTCTGGCATTAGCTCGGAGTTGTTCATTTTGATCTGGCTGGGATAGATGCTTCTTGCAGCATGATCATGCCTCGAGCTGTGATTTTTTAAAACGAAGCACGAAGAGGCGGTAGATCGGATCAACAAACGACTCAACAGGCGAAGATGTGGTGCTCTCGATTCATATCTCAGATAGCAGCCAAATATTCGAACACCTAATCACTTCCTCCCATCACTCCACCTGCTCTCACAACCACAACCTCCGTCCTTGTAAACCAATGTCCTGTAATGGTGGATGTACATACACCTAATCAGAAGAAATAATGCCATACCATATCTATAGATCGAAGAAGGATGTACCGGGTCTGATCGAAAGTTAGTGGTGTAACTGTGAGTAGCAGTTGAAAGAGGAAGTGTGCAAGATTGGAGAGTTTTCTTCGTATGTGTGTATGATTGGGAGTGTAGATGAGTGCAGCAGCGATGCGAGAGTTGGATGTTGGTGACTTCGATGATTTCGGTGATGGCTAGCAAGCTTCTCAGACTTGATTGCAGGAGAGCGATGCAAAACAGTGGGGCACGGTTTCTTGTGTTTTCAGTGTTTGTGATTAGAGTTAGAAGAGCAAAAGTGTGTTCTTCACAGCTCAACTCTGGGACAGGGTGAAGAAGACAGCGACTCAAGGACAAATTCGGGATGTTCAACCGTGATCACATGTGGTAACATACCTCATACAAAGGCGGGCAGAAAGATCGATATGTAGTGAAGTGCAATGTGCTTGCATGTGGTATCATGTATTTTGGATGAAAGAGAATGGGGGAATGGTGACAGATCCAATGTCGAAGTGAGAATGAGGGAGAAAGGAAATCGCTAATCCAGAAACCCAATGCATGTGTAGAGAAAGAAAAACCGTTACTTGAGCTCCGTCTTGCCCATGAGGTCCGCGAGCTCATCAACTGACTTGTCCTTCTCTTGGGCGACGTTCTCTGATTCGGCTCGATCGGCCTGTTTAAGGACTTGCTCTTCTTCAGCATCGTCGTCATCGTCGTGGTCCCCCTCATCTTCGTCGTCACTGTCCTCTTCCAAGTCGTCGAGCTCGTCGATTCCCCATGTCTCGTCATCTTCGTCGGCGTCTGGGGCGTTTTCCTCTCTGCGCTCATCGAGCAGAGACTTGAGAGCCTCGACGTTGGTGTCTTCCTCAGAGAATTTGTTGCCGTTCAGCTCAACACGCTGAAGGGCGGGCAGGGCGTCGGTCTGGCCAACCTTGCACAGAGCTTCGACGCCCTTTACATCAATCTCGTTGTACTGGAGGCGAAGCGTCTGTAGAGTCTTGTTCTTGCCAGACTTGAGGGCGTCTGCGAGCATGACAGCACCACGGGCGCTAAGCAGGCAGTCGCCGACACCGAGCTCCTTGATGACAGACCAGTTTGCAATGACATCGGCAAGGGCGCGACCACCCATGGCGGTAAAGGTGTTGTCCTGCAGGTCAAGGACCTCGAGAGCGTCGCACTTGCTCAAACCGTTCTGCAACAGGGCAGAAATGCCTTCTTGACGGATGCCGTTCTGAACCATGCGGATAGTCTTGATCTTGTTGTTGGCCGAGTATGCTTGGACCCATGCGTTCATGGAGCCGTTCTCCAGTCTGTTGCGACCGCAGATGACAGTCTCAAGATCAGGCACTGTCTGACCATCCTTGCGAGCTTGCTCTTTCTTTCCGGCGAGAGTGGTGAGAGCTTCGGCGACGAGGGTTCCGGCAGCAGGACCGAGACCGTTGTTGTTCAAAATCAGGTGTTGCAGAGGCACGTGCTGCGAAAGGAAGGGCTGCAAGGGAGCAACGGTGTTGAGGCCAAAGGCATTGTCGGAGAGATTGACAGTGTGGAGATGGGGCAGGACGAGCAGCGAGGTGAGCAGGTGAGTCAGAGCATCAGGAATCTCGGACAAGAGGCGTCCTGTGAAGATGTCGGCAAAGTTGGCGACCTGCAGAGCGTCAGATTTGACCGTTGCGGATTCCGATATGATGGTTACCTTTAACTTCTTCTTTGATTCGAGCACTTTGGCCAGAGCCTTGCAAGCGTCGACACCCAGTGTGTTTCCCACAAAAATGACTTCCTCGACGTCGTTGTTGGTCTTGAGGTCGGCGATGTGTTTATCCATGTCGGCAGCCGAGTCGAGTTTCAGGGCTCTGCCCTCGAGCGAAAATGTTTGTGCCATGGCAATGTGAATGCGAGGCAAACAGAGGAGATGTACAGAGAGCGAACAGAGGAAAGGTGCAGAGAGAGGGCGGTGTCAAGCAGACAGGGTGTTGACAGAGAGAAATTGATGTTTCATGTCGCCAGTCGAGGCTCGACCTTCCTTCCAGAAGCATCGCCAAGCAATGACTCGCTTTGCTTTGCCCATCTCATGCTGACGAATTGCCTCATGGTTCGTGATTTGACCATTCCACTCCAGTCGCAAACCACTCTCTGCTCCTTCTTCAACTCGAATCTCGTCAACATGTCTCTGCGTACGTTCCTTCATGTTACGCGACTCACGCCTGCCAGTTTCTGATATAGTCCCAGCATCGTCCACCACCACAACTACCAACAACCTCGCTGCCGACCTCAAGCCCAAGGGCGAAGCCGCTGCAAAGGCAAAGGTACATACACGCCACAACAATTTCGAACAACACCATCTGACCATTCACCACAGCCATGCTGTGTCTGCAAGGATGAAAAGGCTGCCCGCGACGAATGCATGCTCTTCTCCAACGCCGCCGATCCCCAGGCCGACTGCCAGAACATGATCCAAAAGTACAAGACATGCATGCAGGGCTACGGCTTCAGCCTGCCATAAACTCTCCACATTCGTCTCCTTCTTTTCAGCATTGCGACCGGCGTTATGGGAAAATGGCTTCAACCTCAGACTTTTGAATCCATGTAAAACTAGTGTACAATAACACCACTTCTCTCGGTCCCTTTTGGCCACCAATCACAACGTCTTATGTTTGTCGTCTGTTGTCTTGCTGAATTCCAGGAACCCACTTTCTGCTACAAGGTGCCATAGACACCAGAGATAGCACAAGCCGAATCCTGCAGCACCTACACAGACGTTGCCAACAACCCACAGATCAGGCATGTTGGCAGGTGCCTGCACGAATGCCTCGGCAACGTGCCATCCCATCATTGCTACATAGAAGAGAATATGCACTGCCTTGACGGGGAACGATAACCAGACACCTTGCTCTCCGATGTAGGCCGAAAGTGTTGTTGGCGGAAGCCCCATGAGGTAAGCCCAAAGAAGCGTCAGAACGAAATAGGGAATCCTGAGTTCATCCCTCTTGAGCAGGGGGAACATGGTCCAGCAAGCCAATGTGTTGGCGAATCCAATCCATGCTCGCAAATCAGGTCTTAGCCCACCGTGTCCAGCCATGAGCATAGTCATTGGCAGCAAAGGCAGCAAGACGTTCTTCTCGTGCACTTGGTAGCTGCAAAGGAAGAACCCCCACGCTGTAGTTGCCAACGCCCATGGTACAAGCTCCTTCTTCGGCTTGAAGAAGATGACCATACATGGCGGTAGGATCGACAAACTGGTGAGCGCAAGAGCTGCTCGAGATAGCAGACTGGAGTCGTACCGGTGAAGCTTGTGCACTCCAGATGCATGCACAGCACACCAGATGTTTGCCACCTTATCCTCGAAGAGTCCCCGAGCGAAGGGGAAGATACGGTGGATAGATTGTGCGAGCTGGAAGACGAGTGGGTAGTACCATGCCTTGGGGGACATCTGCACCGGGAGGCTTTCGAGTAGCGGAGGAGTTTGAGCATCAAATGGCAAGAACACTCCCTTCCACGAGTCATAGGCCACACCAAGCAGGAAGGGCAGAAAGAGAGCTGCGAACGAGGCAATGGTGACAACAGCTATGCTCAGCAGCCTGCCAATGTTGATCCGGGGGAATACACAGATGCCGAGTAGGTAAGCAAACACAGCTGGGGCATAAAATAGTGCCATCTGCTTGAAGCCAAGTGCAGCAACGAAGTATACGCAACTCCACAGATGGCGACCCGCAAGCATACTTGACATGGATGCAAGCATCAAGCCAAGCATAACCGTGTTGTATTGGAAATGTCCGTGATCGATGAGCATAGTTGCTGGCTGCATGAGCACAGCAGTGAGAGCGACTGAAGACTCCCATGTGGTGATTCCGCAAATCTTGCCCATGTGACGGATGAAGATGACTGCTGCCGGCACCAGTATGAGATACTCTGAGACAATGACTGTGGCACGCATGAATATTTTCAAATCAGGATCGTCAAGTCCTCGAGAGCCGTTCAGAGCAAACCATGATGGGTTTATGAAGTCGCCGCTGGTTGAGTCAACAAGTGGATAGATAGGAGAGCAATATACACTACTCACACTTTACCAAGCACCCAGCTATGGTACGCTGTCAATGGTGGATAGTCCAAGCCCCACCATTGTAGGTCGTGGAAGTACCAGTGTGAGACAGGTAGATGGTTGGTCAGTTCCATCCAGTGACGCTGTGCCTCGAAGTCGCCATGCATAGGGGGTTTGTCAAGACCTGAGTGGCCGATGATCAGTTTTTGAAACTGGGAGATTTCCCCGGGTTCAGAACTCACCTGAATAGCCCCAGAAGCCAGTAGCCCATCTGAAAAGTCCTACCGCCATAAGGATAAGTGGCAGCATCACCCATTGTGACACGGTCCCCTTTGCGGGCAGTAAGAAAGATACTAAGGGGAACGCTGGCTTCTGTTCTTTGGTGTCTGAGTCTGTGATGATCAAGGCATTGCTGCGAGGACCAGAAACCTGGTCATCTCTTCTCTTCTTACGGGGGCGATGTGATGTAGGAGCCATGTTTACCTTTAGCAAACCATCTCCTGTCCACGCTGGCAACTCCGAGACCTGTCGGGTGCGGGACAGAACCCTTGGCTGATGTGCGGGCGGTGAGGCGGGCCGGGGGCGTTCGAAGCCGTGCGCGATAAAAAAGTTGCAAAAAATTGGCAGAAAGTCTAGCGCCAGACGCTCGCTGCGGTATAACTAGCACGTCCTACTCTTGAAGAGTTCTCTTTTGCATCCTCCATCACTCCATCTCAACTTTCTCTATTCGACTTTTTATCACAACTAGTGGGTTCGTCGCTCCTCTCATCAGTGGGTTCAAGTCTTCTCTTTGCGTTAGTGGTTTTGCGTGAAGCAGACTGAGATGTTGCCATCTCTTTGACGTGGGTAGTGGGCACATGCACAATCAGAACGGCTTTTCATCAGACCATCTTGCGCGCAGACTCATGGCTTCTTGTGGGAACACAGTGCCTTGACATGCGTGCGAGAGCAGTGGGCTTGAGGGCTTGTTGGCTTCCATCACCTCGTGTGATCATGGGTTACTGAGGGCTTTGCCGCACACTGCGACCATCACTGGTCGCACACACCATTCATGCGTGTCGTATCTGCTGTCGCTGTTGCAATCTGCGACAGCTTGACCGATCGACCATGCACGCCACCACACGCGAACCGCCTTGCCTGCCACCTCACCAAAGGTTCCGAACCTTACTGACCTCGACCTCCAGAATACCAACACATCACAATGGCAAAGGACAAGAGCACCAAGAAGGCCGCCGCCCCCAAGGTCGAGGCCACCAAGGTCAAGTCTGGCCGCGTCAGCAAGGCCGAGGACCCCAAGAAGAGCAAGGACGTCGCAAAGAAGGTCGTCGAGGCCACCAAGAAGTCCAAGAAGAGCAAGAAGGAGCCCACCCCCGAGCCTTCCAGCGACTCTGACGAGGAGATGGACTCTGACAGCTCCTCTTCCGACTCCGAGTCCGAGGCCGAGGCCAAGCCCGTCTCCAAGAAGGCTGCTAAGAAGGAGGAGTCCTCTGACTCTTCTGACTCGGACAGCTCCGACTCCGAGGACGAGAAGCCCGCCGCCAAGGCCGTCGAGGCCGAGTCTTCCGACTCCGACTCCGACAGCAGCGACGACGAGGCTGAGGCCAAGCCCGCTGCAAAGAAGGCCGACTCTGACTCTGACGACTCTTCCGACTCCGACTCTGACGATGAGAAGCCCGCTGCCGCTAAGGTACATACGCCTCGCACCATTCTACTTCTATCACATATACTAACATCTCATCTCAGGACACTTCCGACTCCGACTCGTCCGACTCTGACTCCGACTCTGAGGAGGAGGTCAAGAAGACCGAGGAGCCCAGCAAGAAGCGCAAGGCCGAGGAGGCCCCTGCCGCTTCCTCCAAGAAGGTCAAGGTCACCGCTGAGGGTCAGTTCGGTGAGCCCAGCAAGGTTCTCTTCGTCGGTGGTCTCTCATGGAACGTCGACGAGGACTGGCTCTCCAAGGAGTTCGAGGAGTTCTCTCCCGTCTCCGTCAGAGTCATCACCCACGCCGACTCCGGCCGCTCCAAGGGCTTCTCATACGTCGAGTTCACCGACGTCGATGCCGCCACCGAGGCCCTCAACGCCAAGCACGGTACCGACCTCGACGGCCGTACCCTCAAGTGCGACTTCAGCACTCCCAGAGACAACAGCAACCGCAGCTACGACAAGAACCAGGTCGGTGCCCGCGCCAACACCTTCGGTGACAAGCAGCAGGGTGCTCCCTCTACCACCCTCTTCGTCGGCAACGTTTCCTTCAACACCACCACCGACTCCCTGACCGGCTACTTCTCCGAGTTCGGCAGCATCAACAGCATCCGTCTGCCCACCGACCGCGAGACCGGCGCCCCCAAGGGCTTCGGTTACGTCGAGTTCGGCTCGGTCGACGAGGCCAAGGCTGCTCTCGAGGGCCTGAACGGCGCCGACGTCGACGGCCGCAACATCCGCTTGGACTTTGCTGCTCCCCGTGACAACAACGGCGGCGGTGGCGGCTTCGGCGGCGGCCGTGGCGGCGGTGGTCGCGGCGGCAGAGGCGGCTTTAACGACCGTGGCGGTCGCGGCGGCGGCAGAGGCGGTCGTGGCGGATTCGGCGATCGTGGCGGCCGTGGAGGTCGTGGCGGCGGTCGCGGTGGATCTACCAACCGTGGCGGCTTTGGTGATTTCCAGGGCAACCGCATGTCCTTTGACTAGGCGATTCGCTGAACACCTCATCGGTTCATGTCCATTATTACAAAAAGTTTGGCGTTCACGGATACCTGGGATAGCATGATCATTCGGTCATTTATACGGCAGCGAAGGACATGATTGCTCTGTACAATCACGGCGCTAGGTAGGTGAGTTGTAGCTTATTCGATACCGTAGTAGTATCATAGCATGTTATGATCAAAAGATATACCCCCTTCACATGAGCGGATCGTCCAGTGTCACATGTGAAGTGTGTCTATAGCGGGTGTATGATCCAGGGTCCTGCAGGTGATGTCCAGCATGCAGGTGGTTGGGCATTTTCAGCCTCTCGAAGTAGCGACAGAGACACATGTGAAGACTCGGGTGCAGCCACGATGGTCAGAACAATCATGACACGGTATAGGCTACTCCTTTATTGGACTGCAGACGTGTTGGAGAAGCAGGTGTTGAAACAAGACACAAAGGGGAGTGAAGCTTAAGTTAAGGGTGGGCACTTGATCAGACCGTTACGTGACGCGGAGTGGGGTTCCCTCGATTCACACCGACTCGGATCGCATCATCGACAGCGACCCCAGTTCGTCTCCTGCCAACCTCGACTTGCACCATCGTCCTCTTCGGCCTCGACGGACTGGGCTTTCTGTCGCATGATTCGTTGGTGCCTGTTTGCTTAGGAACATCAGGCTGCACTACTACTACCTAGGCTATCTCTCCCTCCCCCAGCGTGTCCAGGTCCAGCCACCCACCCTTCTCCTCGTGCTACACTACCGCCCATCATCGCCCGGCTTCGCAAACCACGTAGGCCTCTGATCGCGGCGACATCAAATCCCATACGCGCCATCATCTACCATGTCAAACCACTTGAACCCTGGAGGCAGAGGTCATGGACTGACGACAGACGCCGGCCGGACCCGGTCAGAAGGTAAGAGGCAAGCGTGTGACTCGTCGGTCTTCTTGTACTTATCGCTTGTCTTTGCGTATGCTTGCTGTGCTTGTCTGTCTTGAAACGCTTTTACCTCTTCCTTCATGGCTGGCATGAACGAGGGTCATCAAGGCAGCGCTGACGCCCATCGACTAGATTCGTGGATCGACATCTCCTCGCAGCCTTCATCGTCGTCGCTTTCCTCGGCCGCCGACGAGATTGTAACCACAGGCCTTCGTGTCCACCACATGCCCGCTTCATATCGTCGAAGACGTCAAAGACCCGGTCGACCCTCGCGCCTCAACATCGCCAGTCGCACTGGTAGTGCCGGTCCTGCTAGCAGTCAAGAGGAATATGAAGAGAGTGAAAGCGATGATGATCATGTCATAACATCATCAGCCGAAGGGCTCACAATCTCTCCCACACATACTAGAGGCGTTGTACTCGAGTCTTCGGACGATGACGAGAACAGAACAGCCGTCAACTACCCTATCAACAACGATAACGTCTTCACACCTCAGCCGAACGCCTTTTCTCATCCTTCGGGTTATTCTGCCAGACATGCCAGCCAACCTGTACCAGGCTCATACTTCCCTGCTCAGCCAGAGCGCCGTCACTCGGCCAGACACTCGTACCCTTCTCGTGCAGAGGCCAGAGTTCAACACTCGCCCTTCAACATGCTCTCGCCGAACCACAATGCAGCCGCTGATCACGAAGCTGCTCTCCGTGCTAGTCTCTCTACTCTGCAATCTTTTGCTGCCGCTGCCCGTGGACTGCCCAAGTCGAACTCTCGCACTCCAGCTGACCCCGCTCCCCCAGCCTCAAACAGGATTCAAACGAACACGCTGCGAATGGTGCCTGCCTCTGTTCTCGAACACAACTCACCTCTTTTAGCTCCAGTCACCGAACCGACTTTCCAGCCAACCATCAGACGAACTTCCACGTCGACCTCTGCCTCTGCAGATGTTCATTCCACCAAATCTGAAGCTAAGCGGAAAGGACCTTCTGGTCGTGGCTCTTCCAAGGAGAGTAGACAGATAAAGAAACGCCGCAACTCTGGTGCTGTCTATGGTGTCGACGACATGACTGTCAGCCCTACACTCTTTACGTGGGTCGTCAGTGTGGGCGTGGTGGTCGTGTTCAGCGCCATCAGCTTTTCCGCTGGTTACTCCATGGGCAAGGACGCCGGCAGATTTGAGGTTGGCTTGCCGGGCACGGGCGAGGGAGCCACGGCCTGCGCACGAGAAGCTGGTAAGAGCGGTCTGGGATTTAGGAAGTCCAAGTTGTTCAGCATTGCCTCTGGTGTCGGTGTTGGTGCTTGAGCGAGTTGTGGATGATGATGGAGATCTGAGTCGTGATGAGATATTGTGTTTACGTGATTTATGGAAGGATGGATGAACGCGAATGCGCATGAAACGGATTTAAGGAACAGAGGCGTACAGTACCTGATTCAATGGGACAGAGCGAGGGCATAATACCACTGTGTTGATTTTGAAATGGATCAAGAAGGATTTGGTATACCTGGTCAGGAGTTACTTGATAAGCATAACGCATGAACTTCAAACCCTTTATACACTTTGCACGTGTTCCTTGTTGTAAATTTTTCGCCATTCTAGTTACTTATTATCTTGTGTTATTGCGTAGTCTTATGATCAACGTGCGGCGATAATCGGAAGACTGTTACGCTGCCAGCACCAGACACTGTCTCCACCATGCAATGTGGATAGAGAAGTGTATAGATAGTCAGACTGCACCCATGAAGCACATCCAGGTTGGTGAGTGCAGATACAAAGTCGGCAGAAGTAGAAACATGCATCTTGATTTTGAGGCAGGGTCATACTCTCGGCAAGTGACTTGGTCTTGACTCGATGGAGAAACTCGAGACTTTTTTTTTTTTGGCACAGTGATGGATTAGCAGTTGGATGAGCAGCAAATATAACTATACTATAAAGACTGCAAGCATGAGCGACTTCAACTCTGACGCGCGAGCGGTTCCTCGATTAACGAAAACATGTTATACTCTACTGCCATCACCCTGATATCCCACGGCGAAGAAGCCAACACGGAAGAGGAAGCTATCATTGGCTGGATCCGAAAGAGCAGCCTGAGTGTCACTCCAAGATTCATCTTGGAGGTTCTGCTTGACCGTCACGCTGTCTCCGAATGCTGAGGTTGTATACTGCAACAGAAGTTTGCTCAGGTCGAGACCCAGGAAATGACACCTGAACTGGACCCGGATCTGTTCATACAGCAATGGCTCCTCAGTCATTTGTCGTGGATCCTTTCTTAGCTTCTGAAGTTCGGAAGGAGGATCGACGTCTTTGCATTGAGCTCGACTCATGGCGTGCTTGATCTCTGATCTCGTGCACTCGGTTTCCAAGTCATGATCCCAGACGACGGCGAAAGATCTCGGAGTCGGAGAGGTGGTGACAGCTGACTTGACTGGGCTGGTAGTATCGTTCGACAAAGTAGGTCTGGCGGTGAGGGGGTGGCGAGGTTTCGTCTCGATGCTGTATATAGTCGAGTAGTTAAGAGAAGCAGCCGATTGACCAGGTATAGAGAGACTTGCGCGCTTGGCGGCAGTGAGATGGTTTCCTCTCTTTGGCACCGTGGAAACTATGGGTGGAACATCCGAACGCATCCACGTCGGCTTGAATTCATCCTTGACGGGGTGACCGGACTTGAAGTTATCGTTCTTGTATCGAGAATCAAAGACCTTGGTGTTCAGTATGTTTCGCATGTGGCGAAGAAGCAAAAAACATCTATTGTAAGGTTCGAGGAAGTCCTCTCCTTCCAAAAGGGATAGAATTGGAGGTCTGACAGGGTAGCTGATCAAGGGGCAAGCGTGGGTGGGGTATATCACGTTGAATTTATGGCAATCATGTTGGTGTTGCAGCTGATTCTGCTTATCCGAAGCGGCGGTCATGGTGGCCAAATCGGATTTCAAGTTGATCAAGACAATAGCGAGATGCTCGGCCTTTCTGGCATTGGACAGACCCTTGCCATCAGAAGTGAGCAGAGACCATTGCCCGTCGATTACTGCCGAGTCTCCAATGCGCTGAGCGTCGCGGATCAGAGAGAGCGCCAGTTCTCTGTTGAGCTTGTGGAGAATGGGCTGAATAGCGACGGTGGCGCGTAGAAAGGGCCATGAGATTGCGCAGATGTGAAGTTCAGGCATAGAGATGTAGCCGAGATAGCCAGCGAGCTTCCTTTCGGCCGAACAATCGAAGAATGTCTCCGGACGCGCAGGGTTTCCTGGGCTGTCATACAGAGACGGTGTGGGAGTCTCATTCTGAACAGCAGTGTCAACGTCGTCTTCATCTAGTCTGACACGTTTGGGCGGCGGGAGTTGAATGAGGTCGGATCGTGAGCTAGCGATGGTCGTTCCTGGTGTGCCTACGTGCTGATCCTCAGACGATGGTGCCAGAGGCGGAACGAGAAGTAGTTCGGCCATGTTGAGTTGGTTGACGGCCAGAGGAGTGAAAAAGGGTTATGTTCAAAACAGATTTAGATAGTGACGCGCGCGTGAGCTATATGCAGTAGGGACGATCAGAGAAGTTCCTTCCGTTGCCGAGTCTCGAGAGAAAACGAGCTGTCACAATGCACGATCGCTTCAGGTTTAGTAGTAAACGCAACAGGAAGTGACAGCGACAGGGCTCTCCATGGAGATTCAAGTTGCTCGAGCATTAATTGCGCATTCTAACATCTACCAAGTAAGCACTTTAGTTAGTCGAGATTGCGGATCCAGTAAGCTCGTTCAGCACGAGAACGAGAGGCAGGCCTTGACAGGAACCATGACGGGTCCCGCAGTCCCGAGTATGTGGTAGGTATAATCTCGGGCTGTTCGCGTGGGAACAGAAGTTGGGTTGGTGGAGTCGGTCGATGGACACATGTCAAACGAGACTGGCAGCAGGCGGCAGGCAGCCGCTATGGAGCATCGCTTGGCCGAGGACTCGAAGAGGCAGTTGCCCGTAGATCGTTCGCGTCCAGATTGACCGCGATGCGCGACTCGCGACTGTGCAACTGCCACACCTCTCTGTTCATTCTGTCGCAACCAACTGAGCCAGCGTTGTTCACACCCATTCCGTCTCGAACTACACAGTCGCTAGAGTCGTCGCCGTTCATCGTCTGTTAGCCTGCAGTCTTGTGGTGCCCGCGACAGACAAGTTTCAGCAAAATCTGGGGAGTACCCGAGACATTCGAACCATACCGCACCCATTGCAAAAGCATCTCTCTCGTAGCAAATAGACAAATCATCAAGAGCCAGGACAATCAGATACAGAGGCGCGTCGTTCGCTTCGTCGCCATTCTCTCGAGTCCCCTCATCTCAAGCCCCGGCCCTGGCCGCCTGTGGGCTACGGCTGGGGTTCTTTAATCACTCGACACACTCCCTCTTTACTCTTACATATCGCTCCACCAACCACCATGGTCGCGGCAGCAGGAGCTGCTCACCGGGATCGTACGCCCACGCAACGTCAACCAGGCCAGCAAGAGACACAATCTACTCAGCAGGCCACCCAGCAAGCTACTCAGCAGGCCACTCAACAAGACGAACCGGAACTCGATGAGGTCGAAGTTGCCGATGTCGTCTGCATCCTCCATCCATGCTCGCTCGCCGCCTATCAGGTCGTTGTCAATACCGCTCTGAGAGCGCCTCAGCACGTACTGCAGAATGTCTCCGCCAGCACTTACAGTGATGGTCTGAGCATGGCAGATCTCGAGAAGGAGGAGACTTTTCCCGCCCCTCCAGAGGATCAGAGACACCCTCTGGACCTCGCTCTGCGCATGTCTGCCAAAGTCCACAATCCTGCCATGGGCTTCGTCTTCGGTCGCAACCCCAATGCTTGCGACATTGTCATTGACACCGACACTGTCAAGAGAGTCAGTAACATGCATTTTAGGATTTACATGACTGACGCTGGTGTCTGTATGCTTCACGACATGTCCACCAACGGAACAATCGTCGACGGCAAACTCCTGAGAGGTAGAGGAAATAACAATTCCGCTACCATGATGCTTACGGCGGGCTCGGTCATTCAGATTCTGTCGACTAAGAGAGACGAGACTTTGAAGTTCATCTTCCGCAGCCCATCACGAGACAATCACTATGAAGAATATGGCAGAAGATTCGCCACCTACCTGCATCACGTCAATCTCGCAAAGACAAAACAAGCACAAAACGGTCAGACTCAGGCCGCAAGACCTGGTGCGAAAACCCAACCAACGGTCCCGCCCACCGTGAAGCCTATGCTGCTGCAAGGCAACCCTTTCGGTATGCACTGGAGCGGCGGTGAAAAATACAACGTCACTGGCCATCTCGGAAAGGGCGCCTTTGCTACTGTGTATCGCTTAAATAGCAAAAGCAACGGCCAAATGTTTGCAGCGAAAGAGCTAGAAAAGAGGAGGTTCATGAAAAACGGTGTCATCGACAAGAAACTCGACAACGAGCTGCGTATCATGAAGGGAATCAATCATCCACACGTCGTACAGTACATTGATTGCCACGATGTCAAGAACCATTTGTACATCATCATGGAGCTTGTACCATTTGGCGACCTACAACAGTGGCTTGGAACAAATGGTCCCCTGCCCGAAGCTCTTGCCAAACCGATGGCGATTCAAGTTTTCGATGCACTTGCCTACCTACATCGCAACATGATCACCCATCGAGACATCAAGCCAGACAACATCCTCATCGCGGACACCAATCCTCAATCCTTCACAGTCAAGCTCTCTGACTTTGGACTTTCGAAGGTCATTTCCGATAACGAGACTTTCCTCAAGACCTTCTGTGGCACGTTACTGTACTGCGCTCCAGAAGTCTTCCCTCATTACGATGCGCATTTCAACGTCAAAGGACGGAAGCGCGACCGCAAAGGCGCTTCTCAACAACGAGGCAAATATCACTCATACAGTTCATGCGTCGACATATGGTCGTTCGGCGGAGTGTTGTGGTATGCTATGAGTACAAAACCGCCTTTCGAAGGCATTGCAGACAACACTGGCAAAGCCATGTTTGAACGAATTGTCAGCACTAGTCTGGACACGACCGTTCTCGTAAAACACCATATCTCGGACGACGCCATCGATTTGTTAGAGGACATGCTCAACACCGATCCTGCTATCCGACCTTCTGCATTGCAGTGTCTCTCATACCCGTGGCTTGGCGGAGAAGCGAGCCAGATCCAGGAAGAGCCTCCATCAGGTCTCTTGACAATCGAAGAGGAGGATGCAGAAGGAGGCGCGGCCCATGATTTGTCTCAATTAAGCATTCATGGGAGGTGGAACACGACAAAGGGCGTTGGCGTTGATTCTGGCGACTCAGACATCCTGGACCCTCGACAGTCGAAACGTTTCAAAAGTGGACAAATAGCTTCTCAGGCATTTGCACCTTCACAACAGCCAGCCCACCTCTTGCATCCAGCAAACGCTGTCGAGGAACCTGCCGTCCAGGAGCTCTCAGCAAATTCACAAGTCCCACGCCTCTTCGGCGAGGTCCAGCCTTCGTTGGTCAAGAGTTCAGGCGTGTTTGGCACTCAGCTTCAGAGACCTATGTTCGCATCGCCGCCAGGACAGCCGAGTATAGACCAATCAAAAGCCCAGATCGCACAGAATGAGCTGTTCACGTCTGCCGCCAGTCACCAGCCAGACGACCAACTGGAAAACGGTAGGAGGAGGGCTCCGTTCGAGAGCGACTTGAATGCTTCTCACGACTTTGCAAGTCTCGTGGGAGCCGAATCAGACATGCGGGACCTTAACATGGATTCCTCGCAGTCAGCGTTCTCGACGACGGCTGACGAGAGCGAACCAACCACTCCTACCACGCCAAATGACCCACCTCAGGCGTCTGTAGGTCAGACTGGTGGAAGTATGGAAGAGACGCCTCGCCCAGCTCAACCAGTTGAGAGAAAGATTTCCTTCAATCGACAAATAAGTCTTCCGCTTTCTGCATCGTCTTTCTACGACCCTGCAGACCCCAGCACACATTCCCTTGAATATGCATCTTCCGTCAGCGGCCATGACTTTACAGGTCACAACCCTTTACCCGGAGCAAGTTTCCATTCACTACCACCAACGACAGCCAACTCTGGAATCGACTTTGAATATGATCGACCACCGCATACAGTTGCGCAAACACAGCCCGAATTCATCCGGCCCGCACCTCGCCTCGGTCGTCTGACAACAACCCCTGACTCGTTCTGTGCTCTGACACTTGACCTTGCGACCCGTATCACGACATGGGGCCGAAGTCCGTTGAACACCGCCGTCTTCCCAGACCCATTGGACACTCGCGTGCCCAAGCGCGGCATCATGATTTATTTCCATGCCAAGGGCATCGACAAAGTGGCGAGAACTGGCGGAGACTGGACGAAGCTGGCAGACCTGCATTGCCTGATTGCCACGGACAGTAGCAACGGCATTTTCATCAACGATGTCAAGCTGAACGCCAAAGATTCAAAGGGTAAGCAGCTCTACGGCAGGGTCTATACTGGTGACGAAGTGACCGTCTGTCAAGGACATCATCTGTTGAGATTCACATGCTCATTCAATCATGGCGAGGCGAAGGAGCCGCGAACCAACAATGATCGAGGATTTGAGATTGAGCAAATGGGACATGACTAGAAGAAAGGAAACCACAAATTATGTATATTTCACGACCGGCAATAAAGGTGGGAGGGCACTTATGATTTTAGAACACTGCAAAAAAGGATGGGTAGTCGCATGTCATTTTCGAACGTTCTTTCTATTTTGAGCAGCGATGTAAATGACGCATAACATATTCAACGAATGTATTCAAAGCAATCTAGAGACTGGAAGGTACGACTCGCGCTCTTTATCTATGAACGTTGGAGACAGAAGTAGGAAGTTGTTATGAACTGTTCTTTCTATTTGTGAATGTGTAAAATTGATGAAATAACGCCGCTAACAATGCTGAACAACAGTAAAATGCAACTGTACTCGATCTACAAGAACTCTACTTCTCAATCTGCGCCAATGGTGTGGGATTTGGTGTCCTCAACCACTCGCCATTGAAAGCGTTGATGAGCCAGTTGTTCAGTTCTGCAGTACTTGTCAGCACATGATGAGTGACTATCAGGAAGGAGATCAAACTTACTCTCGTACACAACTCTGTTAGCATTGTGGAAGTAGATGCTGTGATCCGAGTCGGGGAAAAAGTGCACGTCGTAATTCTGCACATTCGCTAGATCTAGTTTGTCCAACAGACTCAACGTGTTTTGGAAGTGCACATTGTCATCAGCAACACCGTGCATGACCAAGAACCTGACATTCTTGGAGAGTGAATCCACGTCTGAGATGGTCGAGTTTTCGTAGCCGATGGGGTTGTGCTGGGGTGTGTGCATGTAGCGTTCAGTGTATATGCTGTCGTAGTATCTCCAATCGGTCACGGGAGCCACAGCCATTCCGTACTTGAAAGTACGGCCGGCGTCTTGCTCGAGGGTCTTCAGAGTCATGAAACCGCCGTAGCTCCAGCCCCATATGGCTATGCGTTCGGCGTCAACATATTTCTTCGCGGCCCACATCTTGGCAGCGGCGATTTGATCGTGCGCTTCGTAGTGTCCAAGGTTACCACGTACGATACAGCGGGTGGCGCGGCCGAGGTGGCCGGTACCACGGCCATCAAGAGTGACGACTATGTAGCCGAGAGATGAGGCAACATAGGACTGGAAGTCGAGATGGAACTGGCGATCGACTTGCTGAGAAGCAGGGCCGTTGTAGAGGAAGAACAGAACAGGGTACTTCTTCCTCTCGTCAAAGTGCGGTGGGCGACGCTCGACAAGGTTCAGATCGAAGCCGTCAACGTTGATGGTTTGGTAGACATTGATGGGCAGTTCTGTTTTGGTAACAAGCTCCCTCAAAGGCTTGTTCTCCTCAATGGTCATCTCCAGCTTGTCGCTATTGCTAGGAGTGTTGATGACCTTCTGCCACGGAATACCAGGACCTTTGTTTGTCAAGAGCAGGTAACCACCACCCTTGGAGAATGATCCAGAGTAGTATCCAATCTCGCTATCGTTGGTGATGGATTTGAGGTCCGATGCATCAAGCTTGACGCTGTAGATGTGGCGCTCGATAGACGACTTCTTTGTGGCCACAAAGTAGACGAGATTGTTCTTGAGGTCCAATGCGGATGGAGCGTCAACGACTTCCCATTTGCCTTGGGTCAGCATGATTGGCTCAGGGTTGTCCAACGGCGTGAAGTACGCAAGGTGGTCGTAGCCATCATGGATGACAGTATCGATGTAACCATCGTGTGCTCTGCCATTGGCGGGATCGGACGGAATATAAGTTGTTGTTTGAGAGACTTCAAACCAACCTCCATCGAGGGCGTTCACATCGAGCTCTCGGACGGTCTTCCCTTCTCTTCGCTCGGCATCGATCAGAATAAGTTTTAGTACATCACTCTCACGGTTGGTCTCACGGATGATGACCTTGCCACTACGGCCAGCCCATGTGACTTCGGTGATCAGACGGTCTTTGTCCTTGAAGTCACCTTGGATGGGAACAGTAAAGACCTGGCCTTGAGCAATGTCGTATAGCTGCAGAGTGACGATAGACATAGGAGCACCAGCTTTAGGATACTTGATCTTGCGCACTTCTGGGTAGTTCTCCTCTCCTGGCTTAGGTTGCTTGCCACTAGGTCTTGAGAAGAAGTACTGAACAGGATATTCGGGTACAGCAGCCTCGTCAGTACGGAGGAAGGCGAGGTATTTGCCATCGCCAGACCACCATGTGGCCTTGTTGCTCGAGAAGACTTCTTCTTCGTAGACCCAATCCGGAACACCGTAGAAGAGTTGGGCACCGCCATCGGTTGTGATAGATTTCACTCTGTTGTCAGAGAGGTTTCGGATGTACATGTTGTTGTCTCTAGTGAAGACGACGGCATCGCTATTTGGGGACCATGAGGCGTACTGGATCCTCTTGTTGGGTTCGGCAGGATCAAGAGGTTCAGCAGTTTGACCGTCGACGTGGAAGATCCAGTACCTGCCAGTGTTCGAGTGTCTCCAATTCTTCTGAATGTGAGACTGGATGAGAACGTGTTTGTGATCGGCGCTGGGCCAGACGTTACTCGGGCTGATGGCCTCGCCGTCATGGTAGAAGCCGCCGTTCTTCATCAATGTCTTACTGTGTTGGCCAGAAGCACTGGCATCCTGCATGTATCTGACCTCCTCGACAACCAAGTAGTCTCTACCTTTTTCCCCCCACTGTAACAACAGACCATCCTCTCCTTGAGCACCATCGATCCATGATATCCCGTGACTCTTAGGGTAGTATTGTCCTTGCAAGACTTGTTCCAGGGATATCTTCTGACCATGGCCAGCCGTTTTGGTGGCATGTGGATCGTGAGGGCGACTGGCAAGCGATTTATGGGAGCCGGAGCTGAGGAAGAGGGCTAGGGCAGCAAGCCAGCCTATAGCGGCTATGGAGGCAACGATGTATAGAATGCGACGAGCCTTGGAGTCGATGCCGTGGGTCTTGTGTCTCCATGCTGCTCTGTCGTCGAAGTCGAACTCTTCGGACCGCGGTTGCGAGTATAGAGCTTCTTTGGCCTCGACGGAATTTAAGTGGCTCGACAGGTGTTCTAGTACCAGCGAAGTGGTGGATATGGATGATGCCGAAGGCCTGGGCTGGTCACTGTCGTCGGTCTGGTTGGCATCGTGCCTCGTCAAAGGCAGCGCCTCTTCGTCGTCTCGGAACGCCATGACAGGCGAATATCTTTAAATTATAGAACACAATATGTATAATGTTGAGTATCGAATTAGAAGAGAAGCGATCTAGCAAGACGAGATTGAACACACGAAAAGCGACATGCAAGTTGAACAGCGAGACTCCTATCCCGATTCCTACAACGGGCAGCCACCAAGGTCGGTCGGTCCATTGTCGCGTCGAGTCTTGGCGTCGTCCTCCATTCAGCACCTTTTGCGGCCTCCTTCTCCGTCGCAGAACCCAATGCTTGCGGAGGATAGTCTCGGAAAATAAAGGGAAAGAACTGAGAACATGAGTCGATGCCTTGTGGAGCTCAACAATGACGACCCAAGGCCTTGTGAAGGTGCAGGGAGCGTGTTTGTGCCGGGTGACATGCTGTCTTGGCTCCATTTCACCTCGGTATAGCACATGCCAACCAACGCGAGCGTGTCTGGGCCTGTGATTGAGTCTTCGATCAACACATTGCTTATACCATTATTACACAAATTACACCGTTTGGCGTTTGCTCAAGTCTTGCCTTATGTTGCTCGGCCACCTGGCAACAATTTATTATTGAACTGGCACTGCTTCCGAGTGAAGCCGCTTCTTGCATCTTCTGCTCCGCTTACGCACCTCTTGTTCACTGCGCCGGGTCAAGACAATTGAGCACATCCAGCACGGCCACGAAGTTTGAACATCTCGTCAACTCACCGAGCTCACATCGTTCCTGCTTCTGACAGACAACAGTCTTGCTTGTTCAAGAATCTCTACCTCTCGGCGCACCCGCAACGACATCATGTCTCTCAATCTCGAAAAGCAGCTTCTCTTTGTATGTAACTCAAATAACTGACTCTTTTGAGTTACTTCGCTGACGATCTCTGAAGTACGGTTCTTATCATCACAACCCCGTAAGGTCTTGATCAAACCTTCGAAAGAATATTGGATTTCTGACCTCAGATAAAGATCAATATCGCTATCCACATCACCTGTGTTCCTCTGATCTTGTTGACCGCCTTCCTCTTCGTCAGTTTGATCAATCTTGCAACGATGAAGACTTTTTGCTAACAGTCTCAGTGCACCAACACCCCTGCTATTCCTCTTCCCGATGCCATCACCATCCCCAACTTGCCCGCCAATCTAGGCACCATCGTAGCCACGCTCTACTCAACTCTCTATATTCTCATGGAACCTGTCGCTGGAGGAATGCTGGCTCCCCTTCTTCTCTCCGCCACTGCTTACGCCAATCACCTCACCTCAACCTACGGCATGATGGCCAATTACTATGCTATCGGCCTGCACGTCTTTGCTTGGATTGCTCAGTTCGTTGGTCATGGTATCTTCGAAGGTCGGGCTCCTGCCTTGCTCGACAACCTCGTCCAGGCTCTGTTCTTGGCTCCTTTCTTCGTCTGGCTGGAGATCCTGTTCTTCCTTGGATATCGCCCCGAGCTTAAGGCTAGACTCGACCAATCTGTCACCAAGGAGGTTGCCAAGTTCAAGGCTTCAAAGACTTCGAACGGCAAGGCCAAAGCCAACGATACTGCCAACGGTGCAGCTCACTGATGCAGATCATGCACCTTTCAGCCCTGTGCACCAACCGATCGAACGTGTCACCAATCAGACTTATCTTTCTTGGGCATATGCTGGTAATATACTCAGAAGAGGAAAGTTTCATCAATGTGTATACAAGTTGGATTTATGGGCACAGCTGTTGACAGGAAAGCGAGTTAGTGGAAGCTTGGTCAGGCGGCTGGCGATGTAATGGAGCACGGGCTTCGATACACATAATTCTAGCAGAAGATGAAGTGCAGACATTGTGGAGAAGAATGCTATCCACATTCGAAAGATCGAGACACTAACAATGAATCACACGAGCGCAATGGCGCCTATTCCAATCTGCCATCGTTCTCATGTTTTGTTCACTTAGTGCTTCTTTGGTGAGATCAGAGGTGATAGAACTCTTTCGATTGACGCCAAAGTATGTGGATTCTATATCATTCATGTCCGTAACCCCCTGGAGTCCAACAACACACCAATCTTGCTGGTCAACGTACTATGTCGTGGGACTCTAAGCGAGCGGTTCCTTTGGCAGACGGGTCAGTATCTATACCTATGCGTTACGAGTTTAGGAGGATTTTTACCAGTTGAGTACGGGTTGCGACTGCTTCTTTGAATGCCTGGTTGATGATACCCCGCGTCCGCTCGTCACGAACCTTCACAGTTACCGGCATGTCATGGCCTGGATTACCAGGCATCTCTCCAGCAAAGTCGCGCGGGTCAAGAGGCAGCTTTGCACCGGGACTAGGAGTAATCTTGAATCCCCACAACAGACGCATGATGGCTACTGCAAGAGAGCGTTCGGCCACATGGTACCCAGGACACACTCGTCGTCCAGAGCCGAAGGCGAAATGATCTCTGTTGCGCACATCGCTCGCGTTGATGCTCTGCATGGTGTTTGTGTGATCGTTAGAGTATCTCTCGGGCCAGAAACGATCTGGATCTTCGTGACGGTCGGGATCGTGTTGTATAGCCCATGCATTCAGGTGTAGTCGGGAGCCTTTAGGGATACGGTAGCCGCCGTACTCGAGATCACGAGTCGTGGTGTGTGGATGTCCGAGAGATACCGGAGGACGCCATCTCCATGTTTCCTTCATCAAACATCGTACATAAGGTATCTTTTCAAGATCTTCGTATACGGGTAGACGATCTCCAACAACATTGACGAGTTCTTGGTGACCCTTTTCCTGAACCTCTGGATAGGTCATCATGGCTTCCAAGAAAGACCATGTGCTCATCTTGCTGGTGTCCGCGGCGCCGATGATGAGTTGTAGTGATAGATAGGCAGCTTCCTCTACACTGCCGAAGCCGAGATTTTTCTCATCCTCCAAGACACGCGGCAAGAAGGCATCTTGCATAACGTTGCGAGACCTTCCTTTTTTGATGCGCATGAGACGTTCAACGCACCAGTCCATATCTCGCTTGAATCTTCGGCGAGCATTGCGCTCCCATGGCTTGAGGAACATTGGGAGGGTGTCTAGCCATGGCAGAATATCAACAATATGATTGCCGGGTAATGTACCCTGGATCTGTGCCAAACCAGTCTCGAAGATATAGTCGATCGTGGAATCATTGGTGTCGGGTATGTCCAAACCGAAGGTCTGTGAAGCAAAAGTGCTGTAAGTATAGCGTCCAATAGCGGCGAAAAGTTCCTTGCTCTCACAGCCAATAGTCGGGTTATTGGCAAGCTCTTGCATAAACTTGGCAGTTTCGTAATGGAGGAATGGCAGGCCAGCGTCTGCTCTCGGTATGCTAGTCAGACCAGAGTGTATGACTTTGCGTTGGTGCTTCCAGCGAGGATCACTGGCGTTGAGCAGCAAGACATTGAGTTGATTGCATATCTGCTCGTTGGACACAATCCAGCGAGGTCGTTCGGCCGTTTGAGCGGATGCCTTGTCAAAGATCTCCTTGACCGCAGCATCAGAGTTGATGAAGTACTCTGTGAAGGGACCAACACGGACACGGAATATTTCTCCGTGTTCCTGAGCCCAGCGTTGGAAGAGCAGATGTTGCTGACCAACTTTGCTTGCAGCAATTACTTCAGCCATATTGCCAACCAGGAACGAGCCAGATGGCTGTGGCGGCAAAGGTAGGAGATTTCTTTCATGTCGGTAGTTCTGTAACTTTCTAACGAGGGCCAGAGTTCCAATCACTCCCAGAAGAACAATGCCGGCTTGGACGGTGATAGGTAAAAGAGTGATAACGTCCATGTTCGAGAAGGACAGAGTGATTCATCATACTTCAGTCCCCTTGGTACTGACCTTCTGCTTTATATATGTATATTTGATGTTTGACCTAAACATACTCGACATACGTAAAGGGAGCTCGGGTTGTGAAGATACCGTTCCGGGTGGGTTTAAGGTTGCTTCTCCGCCCACAACTCCAATGCGGGGCTGTGGGGATAGTAGTCGAGACAGCTCTCCTTCACAAAAACGGCGGTTGCAAAGACTTGACCTAAACCTCACGGCTGTGAGCGATCCGATTTCCGAATGAGCTGTGAGTAGCCAGAAGTCGAATGTGTAGGTCAGCTTCCGTTTGCTGGCTTGCCTCAGAGTTTGGCGTTGGTGTCTCTTTTCACCAGTAGATTCTCCATTCTGTTTTGCCATTCCCGGATCATATCCTCATCGATAGCATTCCCGTCGTAAGAGACGTTCGCAGCGATGCCATCATCATCGCCCCAGACTCCAACCAGGAACTCACCATCGCGTGCGCGGACATTCTGTTTACTCGAGCGGTAGTCTGCCACAAAAGCATCTTCGCCCTCGCCAAGCTCTCCATCGACATTGAACTCTCCTTGACGCCATCCAGACCTGCCCACCGAGCTCACACCGCAAGTGGCCATACTTCCGTTCTGTGCGGCAGTCAGTTCGCCCTGAGGGCTGTGGTTTCCTACGGTGTGTCGAAGTTCTTCTGGGAGTTTTGACCGTAGTCGTTCCATTGCTCCGACGTAATTCATAGCGATGACCCTTCCTGCGCCTCTGCTTCCCATGTAAGCAATTGAATCTTGTTCCTCTGCTTTTACACGCTTCTGGTACAATCCCAGTTGCCGATGTGCTTGCCTAACCAGAATCTTGAAACGACTCTCTAGGTCGAGTGATGATGGCAAGAACGGGAGTACCACTCCATCCGAGAATGCTAGCATCATGGAGTTGGGAGCTTCATGATGCTTGAAGAACGGCCGTGGATTGATTGGGAAGCTCCCAACGAAAGGACGACGCGATTCCGGCGCTTCATCTGGGTGCAGATCCTCGTGGAGAGACATCATTACCATGGCGACAAGCACAAAAGCACCTGCGCCAATACTCGTACCCGCATCGCGACACCATCTGTGCAATCTCTGAGTGGCAAGTTTCGGAACCTTGGCCATGCATGTGAAGGTGTTCAACGGAGGCTTAATGTTGTAGTCGAGATATGAATCATAGGTCGGAGGCATTGCCATGGCTTCTTCCAAAGGAGTGACACGGCGCAGTGGGTTGGGAAAGGCTGCTGGCATCGGCTTTTTTACGTGTCGGAGTACGAGCGTCAGAAGCCAGAACCAGCGCCTCTTCGCTATCGAGCCAGATATACGGGGATATAGATCTTCTTGGGGTAGTGGAAGTCGAGTTTGTATTGATGTTCGATGTGAAAGATCATTGACGGCGTCTTCGAGAACCGCCGAAGGTGTGTTCAAGAGCTTGACGAAGTGGCTCAGCCAGGTAAAGTTCGTCAATCCATCCGTGATTTGATGGCCCTCGACGAACAAAAACTTCAAACTTGTCTTCGAACCTGCAGTATCATCTATCGGAAGTACAAACAGCTTGGCAAGAAACTCGTTGGCGTTTACGACGCGGCCTGTGTTCTGGGCATGTCGGTAGAATGTGGCAAGTCCATGGTCATCCATATGCGGCTCAACAAAGGACAAAGCTTTGGTGGCGTCTGCGATGGCATGGTGAGAGCCCTCAGGAGGGCAGATCATGAAGAAGCGTGTCTGGGAAGCATTTCCGGCAGTCATGAAGGATTCTCGATCCACGGCACGAGCGAGCAGCAGAACATGGGACAAGCGGAGGACAGTCCATGCCAGAGTGATTCTCTTGCGGAGCTGCTCCTGTGACAGGCGATGATTGGCCTGAAGTTCGAGCAAGGCGTTGACATCGGCGCGGCCTTGGTAGTACACTCCGTCAGAGTCGAAAGCTGTCTCTACGATGCCCAAAGGACGGTAAAAGCAAAGTTTGCCATGATTGCGTGCCTGGTGCCATTCATGATAGCTCGAGGCATATTGATCGAGCCAGTGAGCTTGTTTCATGGGTGGTGATATCTAAGCGACAGATTGTTGCGTGTGTAGAATGTCGTCTCTCGGTTAGTCACAGTGTTCGTGTCGGGTGTCAGGTCTGTCGAGCATCATGGAAAAAACACCTACTTAGCCCTCGACACGATGAGGTAATCCAAAATTTAGCCGTCGACATATTGATACCATCATCATGGAGCAGAGCATTTGGAAGCACCTCATTATAACAAAGGGAGGTCCGTTTGTTATCGACGAAGCGACTGGGCCCACCACAGCGAACCATCGACAAACACAAGGCGTTCAGTGTGATCAGAAAAGAGCTTTCGTGACAACAAGGTGGAAGCGTCCAGAAGCGGAAGTTTGGCGTCGGGCGCGCCTTCTTTCTACGCAGCTCCGCATTCCTCGTGCCTTCACCGACTCGACCACCTTCCAGTTTGACATCTTGAACAACACCACGACTAACATCTTTAACCCACTCGGTATCAACGTCTCTCTACCCTCTAGTCGAGCAAGATGAGCGAAGAGGCAGAGCTTCGCGCCAGAATCGCCGCACTCTCTGGTAAGGAAAGTCGCATCTCATTCAAACATGGCCCTAACCTTGCCGCAGGCCGCATCAACCAGCAACGACAAGCTGAAAGCGCACCTCCCACGCCGACCTACGCTCCACCAGCTGGACGTGGCTCGAGCCACTATCCAAGAGGTCGTGGCGCTGGATGGACTGGTCAACACGCGCCTGATCGCTATGCGCCTTACCATCACCCTCGCGGCTTTTCGCACAAACCCGCCTATGCTCCCTCGTACCGCAACCGCTCCCTCGTCGTTAACAGCTCCGTCGGATCTCATGCTGGTCAGCAAGCCTCTCCTGCAACGCCTGCCCTCATCCCTTCCGACGGCTTTGTCCTCAAGCGCGACCGTCACATGCAGCTGATCAACACCTCTGTCTATGACCAAAAGACACAACAGCGCCAATCGGAAATTGAAGCTACATTGCAAGAAAAACAGCGCCTGCGAAACGCAAAAGAGAAGGCTAGGGTTATCAACGCCTTCCAGCCTCAGCAGGCTGCCTCGACTACCTATGGCGCTCCTTCAACTGCAGGGCCCGCTGCCGTGCGCGACATCCAAATCAATAACCTCAGATTCCGCGTAGCTGCTGATGGAAGCAAACTAATCCGAATGTTCGGTGAGTCGACCCACATCGACACCCTCGCGCACCATCTCACCTGTATAGATGACTCGAACACGGATCCCGGAGCGACACCCAAGATCACCAAAGTAGCTGGCGTCACATTCCACAGGAGTAAGCACGGTAACCTTTACCGTGCTGGTCGCGTGAAGAAATCGATGAGGTACTGGAAAAAGAGTCAAGAGATCTGGGAAGGACAATTTTTGATTGATCGGGTGACAACAGGGAAAACAACACCAAGAAGAGCTCGGAATTGTGTCCAATATTCACTGCTACGGGTACCGAATACTCCAACCGCCATACAAGCTGGTCCTTGCGCGACGGATCTGAACGAGAGCGACCATCTCAACATGTCCGTTGGTAGGCCTTTCGTATCTTTACTGACTCTTTCTCACAGGTATGTGCGCCCACGGAAACCGCTGCCGCTACACGCACGATCCGAACAAGATCGCCGTCTGCAAGGAGTTCCTTCGAACTGGCCGTTGCGCTGCTGGTGATGCTTGCAACCTTTCCCATGAAACCACCCCTTACCGTGTCCCTGCTTGCACTCACTTCCTTCGTGGCAACTGCACCAACCCAGACTGCCGCTATGCCCACGTTGCTGTCAACCCCGCTGCGGCTGCCTGTCGAGCCTTCGGCACCATTGGCTATTGCGAGAAAGGCGCTGAGTGCACTGAGCGTCACGTGTTTGAATGTCCGGATTACGCTAACACAGGTATATGCCGTAACAAAAAGTGCCGCCTTCCACACGTCGACACTGCTGGCAACATGCGTAAGGCCAAGTCAGCAGAAAACAGAATGGACGAGGCAGAGACGTCGGATTTGTCCAGCGACGAAGAGAGCTACGACGGAATTGACTATGACGATGTAGACTCGGACAACTTCAGTGACAACGAGGTCTTGGGTGGCACTAGTGAGGGCGACCATGAGCTCTCCCAGCAGCAAGATTATGTTAGGTTCTCTTGATCCGGTTCGCCACGAAGCCTTGATTTTCCGACAAGCATGTCATATCAGATGGCACAGTATAGATGTTTCTGGCGGATCGTATACCAAGCATGTTGGTCAAAAGGCCGACTCGCATTTTCGGAGGGACAGCTTTGGATTGCAAGAAAGATTCCAAGAATGGAACGACGAGAAAGACAGAAAGAAATTGTTGATCAAACAGAGAAAAACAATGATAGCAAGAAAGAAAAGGAAATGTAATTCAATGAAGATTATGCTGCATCTTGATGAGTCGTGGTACTATACAACAGTGACGGATGTTGGGTTCCCAGCCATGTTACAACCCGATATTGTGAAAAGGATCTAGCTGCCTGCATGTTGGTGTGTGCGGGAGAGGGTTCATGAAGTATTTTAGGATTGTCGTGGTCAAAGGATGTTGGATGAAACGACAGAGTACATCAAGGAGGCTTGGCCGGATCAGCACAGCCGCAAGCGCTGCCTCTGACCAAGTCACCACCATGGCCAGCACCCATTGCCAGTCTGACCTGTCCATGGCTTCCATACAGCAGACGGCGAAAACGAAACCACCCATCTGCCGACTCTATCAACATTTTCTGAGGACACGCTGACACAACCCTCCATCTCAACCCGCCTATACCAACTTCCATCTCCATCTCCACCATGCCGCTGCGAGACGTGCTCAAGAAGCGCTCCAATATTCAGGGTGATGCGACAAGTACACGTAGTACGAGCTCCAACTCTTTGCCAAACCTTCCCAATCCCCTACCGGAATTCACTTTCATGCGTACCACGACACACGAACAAGAAGTCATTATACCTCCTTCGTATCCTGGCGACGAAGTTCCAACAGCCCCCGAACAAGTCCCCGCCGAGAAGAAGCGCCGCAACATCTTTCGCAAGAGCAGCTCCAACTTTGTCTCCACCCTCTCCACCAACAGTGCCCTACCATCTCACTCCGAGGAGAAGGAGCCTCCAGCTGCACTTCCAGTACGACCCAAGAATGAGCGCAAGCTCTCGGAGAGACTGCACTTTGGCAGGTCAAGAGGCCTCTCCAAGAGTGAGAGCAGTAATCATCTGCCTACCGATCTGGGAGACGCTCCCCAGAACACTCCAGCACCCCTGGATCCCCCAGACGCTAAAGGCAGAGTCAAAGAGACAGAAACCAAAGAGAACAAGATGCAGCGTGAAGCACAATGGGAGAAACGAGCTACCATGATGGCCCTCAAGAATCCTATACTGGACGGCGAGAGATCAGAGTCGGGCGAGAAGAAAGCCCACCGACGGAGTACCTCGCTCGAGGAAGGTGAAGCCGACATACAAGAAGCCATTCGCTTGCACGAGGAAGGCGATCTAGAGCATTCCACGCAGATCTTTGGAAAACTGGCAGATCCCAATGGCGCGAACAATCCACTCTGCCAGGTTCTCTACGGACTTGCTCTGCGGCACGGCTGGGGCATCACTCCATCTGCAGATGCTGCAATACATTACCTGAGTCTGGCCGCGTCAAACAGCGCTGCCATCGAATCTGCCGCCTTGTCCTCGGGCTCGAAAGCAGGCGGCGAAGCAAAAGGCGAACTGGTCCTCGCTATCTTCGAATTGGCCAACTGCTTCCGCTATGGATGGGGTATCAAAGTCGACAAGGTAGCTGCGAGGAATTACTACGAGGTTGCTGCCAACCTCGGTGATCCTGACGCGTTGGAAGAAGCAGCCTGGTGCCACATCGAAGGCTTTGGCGGGCCCAAAGACAAGGTAAGCTGCTCTGACTATATTTTTTCAATGAACATTGTGCTTATACAATTCTACAGTTCAAAGCAGCGCAGTATCTGCGATTGGCTGAAGGCGCTGGCCGCAAAAGTGTCGGAAACAGCTGGATCTGGAAAGACAAGTATAACTCACCAACGAAGTGACGCTCATAAGCATTGATATGATACTTCTCTACTATGCCGAAATACAACGGCTATCGTAACACTGTCACAGTACTAGAGGCTGCCTCGTGTTGTTGTCTTTGGGAAGGCGTTCCTCGCGTACTGGTTCTCGTGGCCAGGCTTCATTGCGCTACACGGTGCGCCAGCTGCTTCAGACAAGTGGTCGGCCTTCTGATAGCTCACGCAGTATTGCTGAGGATCTCCATGTATGTTCAGCGGAAGCATGGCGCAAGATGACCTCGATCAAAGTACTATATTGCCTGGAACTCTCAGGCAGATGTGCAAAAGACGACCAAAGGCAGAATTTGCTCCAAAGCAAAAGTATTATATAATCACTTAGCTAGCAGTGTTATAGTGAACAACAAGGATATCTCTAAACGCAAAGCAAAAACGCAGACTACATGATTAATGCAAAATAAGAACCGAAAAAGTAGTATGAGGACAAAGCAACAATTCAGTTTTCCTTCCCTGCATTGTCTTTGGCCTCTTCTCGGTCATGTCTCAAGTCCCTGCTCCACTCTCCTGCTGTGGTGTCGACCTGCGTGGGACTTACGGGGCCAGAGTTCTTGGAGTTGGCATTCGCTTTACTGACATCCACGCCCATGTCACGCGGATTCCTCTCATCGTAGAAGCTGTCGGCCAGATCGCCATCCTTCTTTTCTTGGTCTTCTGGCTTGTCTTCGCAGCCAATTGGCGTCCGGCACTGCTCGCGAGCTTCTTCTGATGCCGTGGCCCAGATGACATCCTTGACTTCTTTGCCGACCTTTTCGATCACGTCCATGGCCCAGATTACATCGAGATGCTCGTATCCTTCGATGATCTTTTTGTGCACGACCTTAACGTGAGGTTCGCGGCCACGATCAAAGCGTCTCAAGAGGCGTCGTCCATCAACCAGGTCATCGTTGCCAGCAACCCACATAGCCAGCGGAGGGAACTGCTCGTTATACCAGGCATACTTGCCTCGCTCTTCGCTCTTGTCGCGATCCTGATGAGGAAGATTTGAATGATCTCTGCCAGAGCGTTCTTCGCCACTCCTGTCGGGAGACTTCTCGGTGTCGGTACGTTCACCATCGTAGTATCGACGAATGACTTCATCCTCTTCCTCGTCCTCCTCGTCTTCCATGCGGCCCTCTTCCCTCGTGGCAAGAATACACTTCTGCTTCGCAAAGCACTCTCTTCCGAGCCACCAGCGCATACTCTCAGCACTGACATAGACGGGCGCAAATTGGAACATGCGGTCACGCAGATCAATCTCCCATCTAGTGTCAGTCCAGTTGAAGAGGAAACTGAAGACGCGATAGCCCATTGCACCGTAGAGTTTGGCCGGCAGTAGCTTATGCATCCGCATCATAAACGGAATGAAAGCGTGAATGCCAAAAACACATCGGAAGAAGTTTGGATTGATCATGCGCATGAACTTGAAGTATGCCTTGCCGATCAACGGTCCAGCATAAGCTGCCGGTGCTAACGCGCAGAAGACTGAGATTTTCTCGCCAATATCTGGACGTTGCTCTTTTGCAAGTGCAACTAGAGTCTGTGTAGTACCTTGACTGTGGCAGACTAACCCGAGCTTTTCGAAGCCGGTCTCTGAAAGCACGCGCGAGATGAGAGCGGGGAGATCCAGAACGCCCATCTGACGAATGTTCCAAGACCACATGCGCGGATCGGCGTAATCCAGTAAGGTGTGTCGCGGCTTGAAGCCACATCTGTTGTTTCCTAGCCAGACGTCGTAACCACTCTTAGCGAGGTAGAAGGCGAGACTATCGTCATCGGTGCAACAGTAAGCACCGGCACTTTGCAATAGGCCGTGGATCATCAAGACGGGGTACTTCTTGTTTCCTGCGGGGAATGCACGTTCGGCCTCGCCAAACATGGGATCTGTTTTGGTAGTTTCGAAGACATTGGGTCCACGAGCGCCATGGGCAGCTGGCGATACTGGACGATACTCCCGGGGGTTGAACACGTGCCACAGCTCAATGATGAAGCCATCTTCGGTTTCAACATCGAAGATCTCGACGTCCAGACCCACACGGCGGGCATAGTACCCAGGATCGCATACTAGAGGGTCAGGGCCGCCTTCTGTGGGAACAAATGTACCGTCTTGTGGAGGCGATGTTTCGACTGCAGCCGGACTTGTAGCAGGCTTGCCCTTTGCCCAGTCGCGATTCTCTTTTGCACGAGCTTGTTTCCGTCGGTGTTCCTCCTCAAAAAATGGCCTCCTCTTATCGGGATTCTTGAATTGGAGTCGTAGTCGGATGTGTTCGAAAGCGAGCGGGATGCTGGTGAAAGCGGCACCTAGAACGATGACCAAAAGGAACAGGAAAGACAAAACAGAACTTGTCGTTCTGAAAAAGGCGCAGTGTAGTGTCCTTAGAAAACTCGGGGGACCGTAGGTGGGGAGAGGTGGGAACATGGGGTTCGTCCGCGAAGGTGGCACGGCTGATCTCAGAGGGGCGCTGGGTTCACTGCTCTGCCATGCACCATCCTTCTCGAGGATGCCATGGGTTGTGCCATCTCTGGCCTGGCGAGTGCTGTATTTGACAGGAATGCAACCATCTGACTCGCGGTCCTCGAGTTGGTCCTTCAAGCGATTGAGTTTCAGTGCTTCGTCTATAGGGACTGCAGGCAGGCGACTGCCGTTAGCGGTAACGATGACTGGGTCCTGAGCTGTCACGAATTTGGCTTCGACAGCCTGAGTCGATGCGGAACGGCGTTTGCGTTCCTGCTCGGGCGTGTACTGAGCAAGACGCTCGGCCTGGTGTGCGAATTCAATAGCGGCCTCTGCTTTTGATATGAATTTGGTTGAGTTGGGCTCGGCGTCCCGTTTTGAGTCGGACGAGACATGTGGCATGTCGGTCAAGGTGATTATGTACAGCCAGACAGCGGTATAGGAGAGGCCGACATCAGTCGAAGGAGGAAGCGAGCTGGTATGTATGAAAACAAGGGGAGACAGATTAAAGAATAGGAGGCTCCGGGCGGGAAGAGGCAGGGGAGCATAGGTAGTTCAGATGCACAAGCAGCAACAGTGCTTGTTCGTGCCGGTTGGAACTTGGAACCAAAACATGGCTGAGCCGCATGTACTTTTTCGAAGAATGACGCACGCCGCACTCGACTCGATCGCGTTGATCACCAGCGCCTCGCTTGAGTGTCGAATGTCGAGTGTCTCGTCGCAGACTCTGCAGACAGTGGGCAGCCGTCTTGAACCAGAAGGCAACAACAGAGCGTGGTCGTCGTATCCATGCTTGGATGCTTCACATGTCAACGAGTCAACGACCACGCTGATGGTTATGTCCGGATCTAACGTCTCCACAGATGGCCCGCAGATGGAGCTAATCACATAGCCTCTTTGGGAAGGCGCCCGCCGCCGGCTGTTTACGACTGGCATGTCACTTTTATTAGGTTGGGCAGTTCTCGAGATTCGATACCCGTCATTTGCTCTTCAAGCCCATGGCCTTTGGTCTTCTTGTCAGGGCGACAGGTAGGTTCAAGCACTCGATGGCATCTGATGGCCTTGTCCTGTCTCGGTGGTTCAATACTGCAGAGAAGAGGAAGGAGCGGCGATGAGCGCATGTGCCTACCTATCTCGCCAGGCCGACCTCGGCTCTTCGGGAGAGCTTCCCCATGGTAGCTAAGTTACCGAGCCCTACGAACGTGTGCACTTGAGCAGTCAGTCGCCAATATTCAAGACACATCAACGCACATAGCTGAATTCCAACTTGTCCAGCTGCTAGTCACCTCGTCGCATGGCTATGGCCCACAAGGAAGCGGCGCCAGGCTCCTTGAAGCGCAAGAGACGGCCCACTAGGAGAGCAGACAAAGCGCACATCTCTGGTCATGCCCACCTCGACAGCAAACTCAAAGGAGAGATTGCCCTGCTTTCTCATGACCTGGTCGACGACTTGTTTCCTGCCTCATCAGCAGACTCTGGAGACATCTACAATGTGGCCATCACTCCCTGGGCTCCGTCTTCCGTCGTCGCCGACGCGGCCACCCAGTGGGTCATCATACCATGCAGAAGACTCCCTCGAGGACACCCCGATCTGCCGCACTCTTCGATCAGGATATCCATCTTCTCCCACGTAGCACACGCTCTCCAGCGAGCATTACATACCCAATCACCCAATCGTTCTCTGCGTCCTGCCTCAACCCTCGAGATCTGCCTCACCCAAGTCGTCGCACTACCCCTGGACATCGTTTACGTCTCGCTCGACTCATCGCCTTCCGAGAGTGCCAATAAACCCCAGAAAAGTAATGCCAACGGGTCTCTGCGTGTCTCGAAGGCTGGGAAAGATAAGGCCTCGGCAAGGCCAGCCGCAGTTGACTCTGATCAAGCAACTCGCGCTGTACGAGACGCTTTGGATGTTGTACGAGTCGTAAGAGCTGGTGACGTCTTGTCCCTCACGCTGGCGCGTCCTCAAACACAAGCCTCTGCTTCGCCTGCCTTGATCACAGCCTGTGAACCTGTCTCTCAAGGACTCATTGCCTCGACAACACAGATAGTCGTCGTCTCACAGAACGAGCGTCGTAAGAAAGCGTCTCGGTCGGTAACCTTTTCCCAGCCAGACGAAGATACTGCCAACGAGTCATTCTATACTGCCGCTGAAGATGGCGCGCTTTCATCAGCAAACTCCCCGCCTGCTGATACTGTGCAGGACTCAGACTTGGCTTCTGAAGACGCTCTGTCTGATTTGGGTGATCTGTCGGATGATCCCGATGATATGATATCTTTGAGCTCGCCTTCCGTTGGGTCTCAGCCCTCGGGCATACTTTCTGCCAGATCCAATGCGACCCCAAAACTTTTCGGCAATCCGCGTGGCATCAACACCCCTGGATCTGTATTTTCATCGATGACCTCGACAACTATGAGGGGGGCGCAAGGAGGACGGACCAAAACTTTCAAGACACAAGGGCTTCTGGAACGCATTCCAGATGCCTTTCTTCATCCAAAACCTGGCTCGCAACAGGATGAAGAAGCTCGGGTATACGTCGACACGAGTGCTTTGGCAAAACTTGGTTGCTTTTCTGGTGATTGGATTCAATTACAAGTGGCGGAAGATCCTGCCAGCGCAAACTCTTTAATGTCGTTCTTCCGAGATCCAGAGATCGATGAGAATGCCATCTGGAGGCCACTCAAGATATACGGACTACCCGAGAGCCTGTCGGTCAGGACACAGAAGTACCCCTTGAATAACAAGTCTGGCCGACGCGATAGCATTTCTTCTTCACATCCTATCTCTGTCGCTCCTGCTACCCTTCATCTGTCACCTGTTCTGCTGGCCAATCTTGGAAATCCCGGTCATGTGCGGGTATCGTCCTTGCGAATTGCAGATGTCTCTAACTTTCTACGTCCTGGACAAACCAAGTCAAGGTTCCAAGGCTCATCCTTACCACCTACAGCTAAGGAAGTGACCTTATCCAGGCTATCAACACCTCTCTCGGAAGAAAAGTCAACTCAGCCAAGTTTGTTCGCCCGACTACAAGATCACTTCAAGCAAAAGCAGCGCATTGTGAAGTCTGGTGATCTCATCGCCATTCCGATTGACGAAGCCTTAGGCAAAGCAGTGTTTGAGGGAGGTGCCGCAGACGAGACAAATGATATATTGACTCATCTTGAGTCTTCTTTGGGCAACGGCTCCACCAAAGCCCAATCACGCGCGTCAGCAGTCGCGTGGTTTCAGATTGGTGATGTAAGTTCGCCTTTCAACAGCGACGCTCAGGATGCTGAGGAGGTCGGAATCTGGGGGGGAGTTGTGACCATTGATCCTACAGAAACCAGAATGAGTCAATCGGGAGCACTGCAGAGGAAGCTGCCACCCACAACCCACAACTCGTGGGAATTCTATCACGGCATCAGAAAAGTGCCCCGGACGGCTGTTAGTGCAAGCTCTCATCTTCGCACACCACCGAAAGAACATGTGCCGTTGTTGCAGCGGCGTATACGAGAGCTTATGGCAGCTGCTATGAGCCCTCGTGCTGTCCACCTTGGACTTCCGCCTCTCGCCATCCTTTTGACATCAACTCAGAGAAACATCGGCAAAGCCTACACAGTCTCTCGTGCTTGTCATGATTTAGGTGCTCACGTCTTCTCTATCGATGCGTACGAGTTGGTTTCTGAAGGAGCTGCCGGAGGTGGAGACACCAAGACAGAAGGCTTCCTCAAGGCTAGAGCTGAGCGAGGATTGCATTGTGGTGCGCAGCACACATCGCTCTTGATTCGTCACCTCGAGGCTCTCAGTTCAGATCGCATGGCTGGAGCTTTGAAAGATATTCTAGCGGATTGTCGTGTGTTGATCGCTACCTCGACAGAGGTAGACAAGATCCCAGATGCCATTCGCGGCCTTTTCACCCACGAACTCGAGATGACTGCGCCTGACGAAGCAGAAAGGGAGGGTATCCTCCAGTCAATCATCGCAAACTCGGGTCTCGTTATTTCGCCTCTGGTTGATCTGAGCACTGTGGCAGTAAAGACAGCTGCCCTGGTCGCTGGTGATCTCGTTGATGTGGCAGAGAGAGCTGTGCTCAACCAGGCGACTCGCCTCGAATCTCTAGCAACTGCAGCTACTGCGTCTCGCGAACAAGCCATCTCTGTCAGAGACATTCAGCTAGCTGGTGGGGATTCAGCTACCTCGCTAACGTCTGCGGACTTCGACAAGGCAGTCGATGACGCCAGGAAGAACTTTGCTGACTCGATTGGCGCTCCCAAAATTCCTAATGTGCAATGGTCGGATGTCGGAGGTTTAGCTAATGTCAAGGAGGCTGTCATTGAGACCATCCAGCTACCGCTCTCACGCCCAGAGCTTTTCGCAAAGGGCCTCAAGAAACGTAGTGGTATTCTGTTTTACGGTCCGCCAGGAACCGGAAAGACGTTGCTGGCAAAGGCCATCGCAACAGAGTTCAGTCTCAACTTCTTCTCCGTCAAAGGGCCCGAGCTACTCAACATGTATATTGGTGAGTCCGAGGCGAACGTGAGACGTGTCTTCCAAAGGGCTAGAGATGCAAGACCTTGTTGCGTGTTCTTCGATGAACTCGACTCAGTCGCACCGAAACGTGGCAACCAGGGCGACAGTGGTGGTGTCATGGATCGTATCGTCAGTCAACTGCTCGCCGAGTTGGATGGCATGAGTGACGGGGATGAAGGTGGTGGCGGTGTCTTTGTCATCGGTGCAACAAACAGACCAGATCTGCTTGATCAAGCTCTTCTGCGCCCAGGCCGCTTCGATAAGATGCTGTACCTTGGTATCAGCGATACGCATGAAAAGCAGCAGAGAATTTTGGAGGCGCTCTCAAGAAAGTAAGAAGAAGGCTGCGCGATCAGACGCGAGATATCTTGCTAACATTAACCTCCTAGATTCACACTCGATCCGGAGCTAGATCTTGGTCGCGTAGCAGAAAAGCTTCCGTTTACTTATACAGGTGCCGATCTCTACGCTCTCTGTTCTGATGCTATGCTCAAAGCCATCACCCGATCCGCTCGCATCGTGGACAACAGAGTGGCTGAGATCAATGACGAACGAGCAAGACGTTCTCCACCTGAGCCTCCAATATCTGTTGCTTACTTCTTCGACCACTTTGCTACTGAGGTAGACACGAGTGTCGTCGTGGCCGAGGAAGATTTCATGGCAGCGGAACGCGAACTTGTTCCCAGTGTCAGCGCCGATGAACTAGGCCACTACGAGCGCGTCCGTCGTGAGTTCGAAGGTGGCAAGGAGAAAGAAGAAAAGGCATCTCAACAACCCAATGGCACAGGCAGTAGAGATGTTGCACGGGAGCAGATTACCCAGATGCTTCGTATGCAGATGCAGAGGACCAACCCGGAACCAGGCAGAAATATCAATGGCAAAGGCAAGGCAATCGACCAAGAGTTCACTGACTCTGTTGATGAGGATTTTGTTATTAGAACCGACCATCTGTCGATCAACGGGTCTGGCAAGGGAAAGGGTAAAGCGAGAGCTGAGATCCCGGATGGGGCACGGTTTGGGGAGGGGGCTGATGATGAGGACATGTACGCATGAGACCTAGAATTTGGAGCTACCATATCTGTCCATGGATTTCTGACAAGTATCTCATGACTGCTCTGCATTGAGTGGTCTGTTAATTCCTTGCGTGACTGACCGACGATGGACATAGCAGCGTTGGTACTGACAGGGTCATACCCCGGACAACAATTTTATGATTCGACAGGCAGCTGGTTGGCGATTGCTCGAAATGAAGACGATACATGACTTGGTCATTGGTATCCCTATTAGACTTGGAGTAGCAGCTATCAGTCAGGTATATGGCTGGTGACTTCTTGATGTCCACGGGTCAAGTCAATTTTCTGCGTCGACATTTATCTTGGACAAGAACCCAGTGCGTGGACCGGCGCTGTGATGAAACCTCCCAATGTGCACAGTTATGTCACGTGGGCCTTTAGAGATACAGAGTGCTTCAGCAAATGGCAGGCATCCATTGAGAGTCGTAGTTTCATCGGCTCTCTATGGACTTTACTGTCGCCTTATAAGAACTGTGTCTTTTGATAGCCTTAGCGCCGCCTGCATGTGGCTGTGTGAGCAGAGTAGGAGTGACAGAATTCAGCACCTGGGTAGGAAGCAAAAGAAAGCGCACAGCATTCAAGCTAGGATTCAGAATATCACTTGAGTTCCTGTGTCGGGTTTAGCTAGCTGAGCATTGCAATCCCTCGAGACAGACTGTGCAATAGGCGCCAAAGTGAAACAAGCAATGTCAGATCGGCCTACAAGAACAACCGGTGAGAAAGAGTGCAAAGACAGCTAGCGCCTGTAGAGACTCTCTGACGGCTATCGTCCTCAACCTGGCGGCTTTGGGGTTTGACGCGGGCTACCGGCCTACCACTTCCTCGCTCGTTCGTTGTCCGAAATCTTCGGCAATGGACGGTCAAGACGTCGCTAAACTTGTAGAGGTCATTAATAATCTCTGACATGAAGCATTCACCGAAGCGGAGAAATCTCGCGCCAAGCCGTCACCAGGTCTGTGACATTCTTGTGCCTGAGAGCCCGGTAGAATATCCAGAGCAAGCGGAATGAACGACCGGTGGAGGACAAGATCAGGCTGAAGAAACGATGGCTTGACGGAGAAAGTGCAGCGTGTCAACGACGAGCGCGTAACTAGAAGCCAGCTAGGAAGAACTATCCAGCACCAGACACCTGCCGCTTGCGTCCTCGGAGGTGTTTCCAACGCGCATGTCCCCAGTCCCTAGCTGGCTGGCGTGCCGCACAGGGTTAGACCTGTTCAGCTGCGCGGGAGGAGCTCGTCTGTCGGTTAGAGATCATGGTCTCCCTTTCAGCTGTGCGTATGAGGGGGCATCTCAGACGATATTCATGGATGCGAGGAAACAGCAGCCAGCTCTGAATAGAAAAGCACCACCGCGCGGTATCAAGTTCCCTTAGCTAGCGTTTTGGGCGGGTTCGGCATCAGCGGAGATACTGATGCAGTACCCGGCTCGCCGTCGGACATTTCGAAGGTGCATTGACCGAGTGATGTGCTTGTCCGGAGTCGGACTCGAAGAAGAAAGGGATTGTCGAGTGGCATTCATAACAAGTGAATTCTCCGACTGTTGGCGCGCTCTCTGGAATTCGAATCTCTTTGTTTGACTGTTGCATCGATACCATCTGAGTCGCATAGCTTTGTTTGCACCGAAAGCAGCTGTCGAATCGTACAAGTTTTGTGACGCGACCTTTATTTCAAAGCACACTACGAAGACGTCACAGACGACTCGGTCCGTCCTCTCGATCGCTCTGCCCCTCCAGAAGTTCGGCCGCCAAACTTCCTCAACCGATAGCAGCTGCACTTATCCTTCGCCCTGTTCCACCTCGACCTACTACCTTGGACCTCATCACATTTCTAACTCTCGACAAAATGGCTGACACTGTTATCACCCCGGAGGTCGAGTCGAACGCGTAAGTGTCGCATCCTGCCGGCTTGTGGCCTTTCCCCCAGCACTTTGTTTGCCGTCACTCGTGAGGCAATGCACCCGCCCACCATCGCACTTGCGTCCATGGGGCCCTCCTCCCCGACGCGCGCTCGATACGCCTGGAGATCTCTACACTCGCAAATGACTAGAGCTAATCCGAGCACACAGCGGCACCATGGAGCTCAAGGACAACACCGTCATCGTTGTTCTCGGTGCTTCGGGTGATCTTGCAAAGAAGAAGACCGTAAGCTCGCTGAACCAGTCAATTGACCTGCACGAGACGATGCTAACCAGTTCTGCAGTTCCCTGCTCTCTTCGGCCTGGTAAGCTTGCATCGAGCACGAGCTCTTGTCGGGCCCTGACTGATAGCAACGTATAGCACAGGAACAACTTCCTTCCCAAGGGTGTCCAGATTGTTGGTTACGCACGATCCAAGATGGACCACGCCGAGTTCATCAAGCGTGTCAAGTCGAACATCAAGACTCCCACAAAGGAGGTTGAGGACCAGCTGAACGAGTTCTGCGGCTTCTGCACATACATCCAAGGCGATAAATACGAAGAAGACAAATACTACCAAGGCCTCGAGAAGCACCTCAGCGAACTCGAGCAGAAGAACAACCAGAAAGAGACTAACCGCATCTTTTACATGGCTCTGCCCCCCAGTGTCTTCATCGTCGTCTCTGAGATGCTCAAGAAGCACTGTTACCCCGAGAAGGGCATTGCCCGCATCATCGTCAGTGCCTAGTGCCTTACCTAGTCGGAGCCAGCGCTGACAGCCGTACACAGATTGAGAAGCCCTTCGGTAAGGACCTTGGCAGCTCCAGAGAGCTTCAGACCGCCTTGGAGCCCAACTGGAAGGAGGAGGAGATCTTCCGTATCGACCACTACCTCGGTAAGGAGATGGTCAAGAACATCTTGATCCTCAGATTTGGCAACGAGTTCTTCGGCTCCAACTGGAACCGCAACCACATCGACAACGTCCAGGTATGTTGGTGTAGCCCTGTCGACCTGCACAAGTGACTAACGGCATCAAGATCACCTTCAAGGAGCCTTTCGGCACCGAGGGCAGAGGCGGCTACTTCGACGAGTTCGGCATCATCCGTGATGTCATGCAGAACCATCTTCTCCAGGTCCTGACCCTGCTCGCAATGGAGCGTCCCATCTCTTTCTCTGCCGAGGACATCCGTGACGAGAAGGTTCGTGTCCTCCGCGGCATGCCCCCTATCGAGCCCAAGAACGTTATCATCGGTCAATACGAGAAGTCACTCGACGGATCCAAGCCTTCGTACAAGGACGACGAGTCCGTTCCCAAGGGATCCCGCTGCCCCACCTTTGCCTCAATGGTCGCTTACATCAAGAACGAGAGATGGGACGGTGTTCCCTTCATCCTCAAGGCTGGCAAGGCCCTCAACGAGCAGAAGACCGAGGTCCGCATTCAGTTCAAGGATGTCACCTCTGGCATTTTCAAGGACATTCCCCGCAACGAGCTTGTTATCCGCATCCAGCCCAACGAGAGTGTGTACATCAAGATGAACTCGAAGCTCCCTGGCCTGAGCATGCAGACCGTGGTTACCGAGCTGGATCTCACCTACCGCCGCCGTTTCTCTGACCTGAAGATTCCCGAGGCTTATGAATCCCTCATTCTCGATGCCCTCAAGGGCGACCACTCCAACTTTGTCCGTGACGACGAGCTCGACGCCAGTTGGAGAATCTTCACTCCTCTCCTCCACTACCTCGACGACAACAAGGAGATTGTCCCTATGGGCTACCCCTATGGTAAGTGTTCTTCTCGTACAAGCTCGGTGACCAATACTGATTCGAATTGCAGGCTCTCGCGGTCCCTCCGTCCTCGACGACTTCACCTCTTCGTACGGCTACAAATTCAGCGACGCTGCCGGCTACCAATGGAGCAACCTTCCCGAGAACAAGCTCTAAAAAGCAAAATGATATATACCCGAAATGAAAGAAAATTGGATGCTGGTGTGCCGAGCAAGGGCAAAAGCATATCTAGCAGGATAACAATGGTAGAGAGCTGTCCTTCAAGACACCTTCATGCCACGAAGGGCGGCTATGCATGAACGCATCTGAAAGAAACTTAATGACTCGTCTTCTTCGCTCCATAGCAATCAACTAAACTATTACGCAACTTTCAATCCTCTGTAAATGTGCCATGCTGTGATAGCTGTTTGCCGGTGGCTGCTTGCTGCTTGCTGCTCGATGCTTGCTGCTCGAGACTCGGCCTAATATTTAGCCTGAATGTGCCTGGCTCTGTGGCTGACGGCCGTGCGCCCAGGGAGCGATCAGGACCCCTGTGGCTTGCTTTTTGTTACGCATCGTGTGCTCACCTGTCAGCTCACAATTCGATCACCGGGTTATTCATCTTCGAACACATTTGTGAGCCTCCATGCCAACTTAGAGATCGGTCGGAAGAGGAACGATGGCACAGGCGCAATGGCAGGGGACACCTCATGTCAAAGGCTCGAGCGAGTCCATGCGCATGGTGCTTTTGACATTCAGCTTGATCGGTTTGCAGTATGTTCACGTGTGAATGAGGCTCGATGATGATTCTTGATTCTGACAAGCTTGACAGATTCACATGGGGAACTGAGATGACTTACTGCACTCCGTATCTGTTGCAGCTCGGTCTTACCAAAAGCAAGCTCTCGCTTGTTTGGATAGCTGGACCATTATCAGGACTGATCATGCAGCCGATTGTCGGTATCATGGCCGACAAGAGCACCTCGAAATGGGGTCGTCGACGACCTGTCATGGTCGGTGGTACGGTCATTGTGAGCATCTGTCTACTGATTCTGGGCTGGACGAAAGAGATTGTTGCTGCATTCGTTGAAGAAGGGGAACTGGTTGGTCAACCCCAAGCGCCAGATTGCAATAGGAGAAACTCGTTTTGACATTTCACAGCGCCGTGAAGCCACCATCTTTCTGGCCGTGTTGTCGATCTATGCTCTTGACTTTGCTATCAATGCTGTTCAATCTTCATGTCGCAGTCTCATCGTAGACACTTTGCCCATCCCAAAGCAACAACTGGGCTCTGCGTGGGGTAAGTCTTCACAGCATCGTCTCTGTCTTGTTGATCTAATGTCTTGAAGCAAGCAGAATGGTGGCTGTTGGTCATCTCATCGGCTATGGAGCCGGTGCACTGGATCTGGGCTTAATCTTTGGGACACTTATTGGTGACACACAGTTCAAACAGCTCACTGTCATTGCAGCCGTGGCTCTCATCGTAGCCATTGGAGTTACATGCTGGGCTGTCGAGGAGCGTGTGCTTCTGGTCAGAGGGTGCGATCTATGCTCTCTTTTACCGAGCCTATAGCTGACTGAATCACAGAGAAGGTGTAAAGGATGAGGGCCTGGTTGCGGTGCTTACGCAAATCTTCAAGACCACCAAGAATCTACCCAGGCGGATTCAAATGGTATGATCTTCGAGTATGAAGCAGTGAGTTCAGAGAAGAGCTGACAAGTGATAGATCTGCTGGATCCAGTTCTGGTCATGGATAGGTATGTAGTGATCGGACTTCCCCTGAGCTTCCAATCTAACGCTGCAAACAGGATGGTTCCCGTTCCTCTTCTATTCCACAACCTGGGTTGGAGAAATATATCTCAGATACGATGCGCCTCCAGATGTAAAGAACTCGAAGGATCCGCTAACCGACATCGGCCGGGTGGGAAGCATGTCGTTGATTGTGTTTTCCATTGTCACATTCATTGGCTCAATCACGCTGCCATGGATGGTCAAATCTCCAGAGGATGAGAAGCCAGATTTTACGCCCAGACCTCCTGCAAGCATTGCGCCAATTGTGAGGACTGTGGTGGAGCGCAAGCCCAGCCTGTTGACTGCCTGGACGGTATCACACCTCATCTTTGCAGGATCCATGGTCTTTGCTCCGTTCGTCACCTCGTTACGTTTCGCGACAATCTTGGTTGCGGTTTGCGGAATGTGAGTGGTTCACAACATTCGTGCTCTGCTGCTAGTTTACTGACCGAAAACAGACCGTGGGCTCTCGCTTGCTGGGCTCCTTTTACCTTCATGGGTGTCGAGATCAGCAAGCTCGGCAGCAGCTTACCTACCGCAAGACGCGGCAGTCACCAATACCAGAGAGTACCGGACGATTCCATCGAGATGAGCTCGGAGGCTAGAAGTGTCGGAAAGCACGAGGACTCTGCCAATGGTGAGCTTGCTGGTATCTACCTAGGCATCCTTAACTTGTACACCACGCTACCCCAGTTTATTGCTACTGGTATCTCGATGGTGGTGTTCACAGTGCTCGAGCCTGGCAAAAGTCCGGAACTGGCAAAGGATGCCCACCCGGATGAGCATCACAGTACAGAAGGTTACAACGGCATAGCGGTGTGTTTGTTCATTGGAGCTCTGTGCTCTGTCGCGGCTGCAGTCGCAACTCAGAGGTTCAAGAATACCACATAAATAGAAAACAAATGCACAAACATCGGATACCTATACCAGTTGACGAAAGTGACGGGTCTGTATACACTACCTGCACAATATTTGATATGCAGAAACTTGGTTTCATAACCATCTACAAATATTATCGGGCTTTGGAGTTGCACCGGAAGCCGATGGACTCACGATATCAATGACGTAATCTTCCCAATTCGAGCTCAATGGTTTGGTGGTGAGGTCCAAGCGTGTTGTGGGTGTTACTGAGTCGTAGGAGCAACGTTACTGATGCGATAGCCCTCTGCTTCTGTCTCCAAACGATTGTTGTCTTTGTCGTGATATAGCGAGAGTTGAACGATAACCATGGATTACAGTATGTTGACCCTTATGGAGCCTGCAAGAATGTGATCACGCGCTGATTGAAGCAGACACTATGCTTGAGAAGCTGCTGGATGGCGGTTACCTGCCCACGACGGTGATTCGTGCTGGTATCCGCCAGCAGCTACGCCAGCGATTGACCTCTATCGCGTCGACATCGAATGCATCTGCTTATGATACCAAGATGAAGTATGTCGAGCTCCTGCGCGAGAGACCAATTGCGATCGAGACATCGAAAGCCAACACGCAGCATTATGAAGTCGGCACTGGTGTGCTCAACAACATGCTGGGCCCGAACATGAAGTATTCATGCTGTCTCTATGAGGGCCTCAAGCCTGGAGAAGGCCTCGGTGAGGCGGAGCTGCTTATGATGGAAGACTATGTCAAGAAGGCCGACTTGAAGGATGGCATGACCATGTTCGATCTTGGGTATGAAATCAGAACTTGTCAAACAGATTCGACAAAGAAAGCTAACAGGGAGCAGATGTGGATGGGGATCGCTCAGTTTGTTCCTTGCAGACAAGTTCCGCAACTCCAAGATTACTGGCTTTTCGAACTCGCGTACGCAAAAGGAGTACATTGACTCACAGGCCAGCAAACGAGGCTTGACCAACTTGACGATTGTCACGGGAGACATTGCTACGTATGAGTTCCAAGCACCGCTGACCGGGTCTTTTGATCGAGTGTTGTCGATAGAGCTGTTTGAGCATATGAAGAACTACCAGCTTTTGCTCCGCAAGGTATCAAGTCTGCTCAAGTCAGGTGGCAAGCTGTTTGTACACATTTTTGCGCACAAGGACAGCCCGTATGACTTCGAGGATGGATGGATGACGGAGCACTTCTTCACGGGCGGCACAATGCCCAGCGCAGATCTGCTGCTCTGGTTCCAGGATGATTTGAGATGCCAACGCATGTGGTGGGTCAACGGCAAGAACTATGCGCAAACTTGCGAGGTAAGAGGAGCAGAAGAAACATGGACAAGACAGAATGACAAGCTAACAAGTGCAGGACTGGCTATCAACCATGAACAAGAACAGAAAGGTGCTCTGGCCGCATTTGGAGGAGACGTATGGAAAGGAGTTGACGCTGACGTGGTTCCACCGATGGCAAATATTCTACCTCGCATGCGCCGAGCTGTTCGCATACAACGGCGGAGAGGAATGGGGCGTGTGCCACTACTTGTTTGAGAAGCCATAGACGAGGGAATTGGTATTGTGGTATAGAGATGAATAATTGAAGAAGTTGTTGAAGAATGGCTCAGTGGTCCCAGGGGTGCTTCCAGCCGAGGAGAGCAGGGCCGTCCTTTGGTCTTGTCAATTCGCGTAGACGAGTCGGGGCGCGGGAGAGTAGGTACCTTTCTGGCTCTGTACATCAACTGCGGAGGAAGTCAGGCTTGTCGCATGGAATCGAAGAGTTTGGCAGCTTACGAAGAACCACATGCTGGCACCGAGACCAGTGGCAGCGAATCTGTAGAGAGGGCGGACGGGGTGGATGTGGATGGGGTGGGCGCCGTGGGCAGCACCGGGACGAGTGGGACCAGCCATTGTGTCTGGGCGCAGTCAGAGAAGCGATCTAGCTGGGCTGCTCTAGCGATTGGGCAGGATGCATACGTGGAAGGTGGTGGTTCGGAGTAGCGTGTGTAGACGTCGCTGTCGACGAAGTGAAACGACAGGTCGTTCTTGGCAAGCAGCAGAGTCGACGTGCGTCGGGCGTTCGCAGGCCAGCGACGCAGCGTGGAGATGCAATGACGCTTGGTGTTTGTCCATCCCATCACTCGCGATCCACCCAGACTTTATTCTCCTTCTTTTCCCCCCATCCCGATCCCTCCCTTCGCGCTTGCCGCTCGGACTCGCATTTCTCGCTCTCAACAAGTACGCACGCTTCATCACCAACTCTCGACACGCACGCGCTCTTTGCATGCCATGACAATCGACTGAAGCCCTCGCAAAATGGCCATGACCGACACGAGCCAGCGCCGATTCCGCGGATGCGCTGGCATCGACGACTTTGAGATTGTCCAGAAGCTGGGTGAGGGCACTTTTGGTGTCGTCTCCAAGGCCCGCTCAAAACGTTCCGGCGCCATCGTCGCCCTCAAAAAGATCTTGATACACAATGAGAAGGATGGCTTCCCCATTACCGCCCTGCGCGAGATCAAGCTGCTCAAGATGCTGTCCCATCCCAACGTCCTGACCCTCCAGGAGATGGCTGTCGAACGCCACAAGAGTACGCCTTGAAACCTCCGACAAGAGTCCACCACATCCTAACTTCGACCACAGAAGACGTCAAGAAGCGCGCTACCCTCTACATGGTCTGCCCATACATGGACCACGATCTCTCAGGAATGACCACCAACCCAGACATCTCCTTCACAGAGGCCCAGATCAAATGCTACATGCTACAACTTCTAGAAGGCCTGCGCTATCTGCACGACAGCCACATCTTGCACCGCGACATGAAGGGTAACATACTCCGCTCCGTTTGGTCTTGGTTCTCTCTGATCTGACTCTCAAAAGCTGCAAACATTCTCATCAACAACCGTGGTCTGCTACAAATCGCCGACTTTGGTCTCGCCCGTCACTACGATGGTCCTGTACCCCAGCCTGCCCGAGGCAACGGCGATGCAGTACGTGATTACACAACCCTCGTCGTGACACGATGGTACCGTCCTCCAGAGCTTCTCCTGCAGCTGAGGCGATACACTCCGGCTATCGACATGTGGGGCGCTGGGTACGTTGCTCTTCTCGCTTTTGGCATGGCCTTTTCTGACAACAAACAGCTGCGTCTTCGCCGAGATGTTCGAAGGGCGACCCATTCTCGAGGGTAAATCCGACCTCAATCAGGCCCAAATCATTTTCGAATTGGTTGGTTCACCCAACGAGGACAACATGCCAGGATGGTCACAACTTCCAGGCTGTGAGGGCGTCAAGGAATTCGAGCCTCAGCGTGGCACTCTCCGCCAGAGATTCCGCAAGTGAGTTCTCCTCGCTCCATTGGTAGTGCGCCACCTACTGACACAGACACAGCCTACACCCAGAAGCCCAAAACCTGCTCGCAGAACTGCTCAAGCTGGATTGGCGCAAGCGTATCAATGCTTTGGATGCTCTGCAGCACCCTTACTTCAAAACCCACCCGCTTCCTTCTCGCCCCGAGGACCTACCGCGCTTTGAAGAGTCGCACGAACTAGATCGCAGAAAGCATCACGAAAAACGCGCTGCCATGCCACCTGCCCCCGCTGGCGGAACAGTCGGTATGGGCCCAGATGAGGCTTGGGGCGCTGGTGGTGGCCGCAACTACGGTCCTCCAAACGGCTATTCTGGTTACGAGCGTAGAGGTCCACCTCGCGATCAAAGAATTCCTCCCCCAGCACGAGCCTACGACTCGCGTCCTCCCTCACACGACACCCCTCCGCTAGCAAGAAGACCAGCATGGCAAAATGGTCCCGACTCGCGCAGACCACCACCTCCGCATACCAACGGCTCATCACATCTGCCACCACCTCCTCCAGACAACCGCCTTCCACCTCGTCCTCCGCCACCTCCAACAGATGGTCGACTCCCACCTCGCCCTCCACCCGCGAACGCAAGAAGCGGTCCGAATATTGATACATACATTCCGAGCTATTCTGCTGCGCGCCGAGAAGACGCTGCACCACCGAACGGCAGGCGCAACTCCCGTGATCACGGATATCCTCGAGACCGCCCTCCACCAAACGGAAGAGATAGAGATCGAAGGACTCGTAGCAGGAGTCCGGATCGTGAGCGTCGTGAGAGGCTGCAAGATAGAGAACGCGAGCTGTACAACAGTCGCCGTTGAGCTTGGTCATCACACTGGGGACACCTTTCAGAATACATTCTTATCAACAACCACGAATAGAGCTCAGAGACGGCATGACATTCGGGTTTATCAGGCCCATAACATTGATATTATAGCGAGGCGTTATCGGTTTCTGTTTCCAGAGCGCAAAGCATGCGAGCGGCAATCTTGGGAGGGGTTGTTTGACGTAAGGGAGAAGCACTTCTCACTACAGATGCCCCCCTCCATCACATATTATATTGTCAAAGCAACCAGATACTATGCAACAAGAAAACTATTAGGTGAAAGGTATTGGATGTGAGTGACTATTCGCAAGTCTAGATCTGAGGCAGATCCTCACGACGCGAGATCCACACTCGAACATCGTCGCTTGTAGTGTAAACCCCAGTGGCTGGCTTGTATCGTGGCATCTTCCAAGCACCGCCCCCAACAGGCTCCATATCCCACATGCTGATGAACGCCGCTGTGAAGACCAGAGCCTCTTTCTGGGCAAATGCTCGACCTTTGCACATAGAGTGTCCACCACCTGTAGATCTGTGGTCAATATCATCTCACCAAAGGGAATTGTTTTTCTTGACTTACCATATGGCCGGATGGTACCCATGTTCACAGACACCTCTTCATCTCCTTGCTCTCGCTTGATATGCCTATCAGCCCTCCACACCTCCGGATCATCAAAATAGGCAGGGTCTGTGTGATGGATCGAATGAGCGATATGAGCATAAGTCCCCTTCTTCAACAAGAACTTCTCCGCATCCTTCTCTCTGGAAGCTGGGAGAACTAGATTTTCCTGCATGACTCTGAAGCTCCAAGGTGCTGCATCCAAGCGTAATGATTCTATGTAAGAGCTTTTTAGCAACGGACATTTGCTTGCTAGAGCTTCGTGATCGAAAGTGTCGATGCGGGGCGGTTCTGGTACGCCAAAGAGCTGTTCCGGTTGGACGGCGTGGACGAAGGGTGCGATCTCCTCGCGTAGTTGGGCAAGGACTGTCTTGTCGGCGTAGATGTGGTTGAGCATCCAGAAGACCAGCATGTTTGCATTGGCGTTCATGGCCCACAGTAGAGACAATTCTAAAGCTGCCCGTTCGTCCATTGTGAGGTTGAGTTGACGATATAGCGTCAATCTCTGAGTCAGGACAGGACCAACGTCTTCGAAAGACTGCCATTCTTGACCTGGGTCATCTCCATTCACTGCCTTCTCCATCGCTTCTTCGAAAGCAAGTACAGCATTAAAAGCACGACTGCGAGCGAGTTTTGCTCTCCATATGGGAGGAATGGGGAGCCAGGCGGGGAGTCCAGTGGCCAGCCATTTGAACCCTTTGTCCATGTCCCACAGATCCAGGAAGAATTCGGGATTATTCTTGACAAAGTCAGAGCCGATGAGAGATGGGTTTGCATTTGCAGCGATGAAGTCTCGGATCAGGTTCATCATACTGGCCTCAACAACTTGCTCTCCGTTGGCTTTGATGATTGTCTCTGCATTGCTGCTCCTTTCCCATTCTACCTGATCGACCCTGCTCTCAGAAAAGGTGACTAGATTGGCGATGTTGCGTCTCGTCACATCGATGGTATTCTGAACCATCTCTCTCAGACCAGGGTCAGAGAGCAGGTGCTTGTAGCATGTATTCAGACCCGGTAGTGCGTCCTCGTACCGCTGCATGGATGCTTTCGACTTTGGGTAACCAAACACAGCAGTCATGACATGTTTTCCCACTGAGTCCATGTTCGCGATCGAATGTTTTTGGTTCATCAATGAGCCGCCCATGGAAGGTGAGAATATGATGTTGTGTGTTGTGCTGCCCAGATTCAGTGCGAAAACACCACTTCTGTAAGTATCGCGCGCTTTGTTCAGCAAAGTCTGTGGTGAAATGCTGAACTGTGGTATGTGCCCGAGAATGGGTATCCAGTAGGGAATCATCGGTACGCTTCTTGACCCATCTTGAGCAGGCTTGGAGCTTTCGAAGAAGCCACTAATGAATCTGGTCGTGATCGCCAAAAGTAGCAATGCTACTACTGCGGTTGCCCATGTTGTGTCCAGTCTCTGCGATGCTGTCGGATGGGCTTGCAGCCTGGCGACGGGTGTCGCGGTAGCGTTGGGATCCATTGGCACCTGGTAAGCTTGATAAGCGGTAACGGTTGGTGGTCACCCTGGCGCAGGACAAGACTGGTCCGGATGGTGCTTTAAGGATTCCTGTAGCGGATGTTCCAGCATCAGCATGTCCCGATACCAGCTCGGGAAGTGCTAGAGATTTCGAAGATAGAAGAAATGTACAGAGACAGCTAAGATGACAGGACCGTGAACAGTCGGTGACTTTGTTTGGGATGCCGGTGACTTTCTATTTCTTGGCAAAGGAAAGATTTCTTGAAGACTATCATCGCTGAAACAAACGACACATTAATGATAAGAACGACACTCCGACCATTTGTTACACTCTATCACCGAAAGAATTACTTTTCATCTTTTCCCGCAGCAATGGCACCCAGGCAGCTCAATTTCATCACCGGCAACAAGAACAAGTTGGCCGAAGTTCAAGCAATCCTCGCCCCAACTGGAGTGGACCTCTCCAACCAATCTGTGGACTTGCTTGAGATCCAGGGCACCATCGAGGAGATTTCGAAGGACAAATGTCGTAGAGCAGCAGACACAGTATGTAGTAACAGAGTCACAAGAGAGGGTTCAACAGAAGATTTATTAAGTTCGATTTTCTCTAGGTTGGTGGCCCGGTGCTTGTAGAAGACACATGCTTGTGCTTCGACGCCTGGGACGAACTCCCAGGCCCATATGTGTAAGATTGCTCGCAATCCCAAGTTTCTCAAGGGTACCGCAAACTAAAAAATCTCTTCAGCAAATGGTTCATGCAGTCGCTCGGCGTCAAGCAGTTCCACAAGCTTCTTGCTGGGTTTGAAGACAAGGGCGCCCAGGCCGTATGCACATTTGCATACTCTGAAGGCCCTGGCCACGAACCCATCATCTTCCAAGGAAGAACCAAGGTCCGAGTTCACACTCCCAATCTCGCTGATGAGTGTATACTGACTGATACGACAGGGCAAGATTGTTGAGGCTCGTGGCCCCACCGACTTTGGTAAGCTTGCCGTCTGCTGACTGACTCGGAGAGAAACTGATTTGAACCACAGGATGGGATGCCTGCTTCGAGTATGAAGGCCAGACATATGCCGAGATGCCAAAGGTCGAGAAAAACAAGATCTCGCACCGCGGCAAGGCGTTGGCCAAGTTGACTGAATGGCTTGACGCCCACACTGAGTAGAAAGTCCTCGAGCAAGTTGATGGACCAGGCGGCGCTCCGTATACAATAGATAGACCAAATCGCGTTCAACGAAGATGATACACTTATGCCTCAGAGTGGTCCTTCTTCCAGTTTTCGATCCAAGTCTGAATGCGTTCAAGATTCTCATCAATCTGGTCGAGATCGTCACTCTGCAGCTCGACGACGATTTCTTCGTCGTAAGAATCGCGAGCCTCCTGCAGGAGCACCTCCATGATTTCGGCGTCCATGTTTTCGTCGAGCTTCTTGTCGCTGTAGCCACGGCCCTTCAAGCGATCGAAGAGTATAGTGCTGTTACAGCGAACGACAACCACGAGATCGATCAGAGATTGAGGAAACATGTCACAAGCGTGCCAGTCGATGATTTGACCGCCAGCCTCGAGATCGGGCTCAATGGCGTCCAGCAGCTGCCGACGTGTTAGGGAATCATTCCAATAGCAGCTGTATACGTGTTTTATGGCGTACCTTGTCCTCGTCGACAATGACACTGTTGAGCTCATCGTCGAAGCCGTCCTCGCAGTCACGCTCTTTGACGACCTTATTGACATTGAGATGGGTGAGACCAGTGCTTGATGCGAGCTGCTCGCAGTGGGTAGTCTTGCCCACGCCGGGGGTCCCAGTGATGATGATGTTTGGCGAGGTACGCATTGTTCGTTGTTTGTCAGATGTTTTGTGGATGAAGATGACCTTTTCACATGTAAATTGAGGATGAGAAAGTTCCCCACCTTCGGGAAACAAGCTACCGATGCGCCGATCACCACTTCACTTGTCGAATAATTCTACCACTCCAAATCTATACCGCTCACTGTCGTGAAGCTCATGCAGGCAGTCTCGATCACCAGGCTTATCGCAAAGGAAAGGGTGCGCATCAAACGCCTTCATCGGATCAGGACAAGAGATTTGCTTTGCTGCCAATCTTGCCGAGCATCGCTACGGGCTGGTCTGGTGCTGCAGCGCAAAGCAACAGTCCTAGCCCACAAAGAAGGACAGGACTGATCAAATAATCGGAAGCGTGTAGCATAATACACTGAAAACCATAAGAGCATAACAGCCCCCGCTCCAATTGCGTCAACCATGACAGCCATCCGGCCAGATACGGGGGGTCGAGGACGGTACAAGTGCCGTAGTCCTCGCGTGTACATCGACTAGGTAGGGGATGTATGTACATGATTTGTTCGAGATCATGTGAGTTGCACAAAACGAGAAAATTCACATGTTCTCGTAAGAGCTCTTGCGTCCCACACTGTGTTTCTTACCAGTGCCTTACCTGAACGGGCTAGCTTCAGTGACCCGTGACTTTGCGACCAGCCTGCCGTTGAAAGTTCGAGCCCTGAATACAAAAGAAGTGAGAGACCTACCACTCCTCGAGCTCAGCGATTCCTGGTAATTATGTGTTGCTCTGAACCGAACCGGCTGTCATTCCGCGAAAGATAACACCATTGAAGATCTGTGGTGCTGAACGACCATGGCTTGAACTTCAGGTTGTGAATATAGAACGATAGATGGCTCGGGCGTTGCTCCCGCGCTCGACGGCCCATCGCTGTATCTGTGATATAGGTGGAATCTACTGAACCACACACATAGTCACCAGCTGGTTGTCTTTATGAAGCATGTTACTCAGAGGCATCGCGTCAGCTCGGCCACCTATGTGGTTTAGTAGATTCTCGTAGGCAGGGAGGTTACGGATGCTCTTGTCCGCCCAGTCAGCTTATAGTCAGATGATAGGATGACTTCGAGTATGGCCGCATGCTGCGTAGGCAGACGTGGCGACTGCTTTGGCTCTACGGGTTGTGGACAACAGACAAGGATAGAGTCATCTCGCATGCTGGTCTCATTCGAGCGGGGCAGAAGATATGGGACCTTCATTGTTTTGTGTTGGGAGCGCCACGAGTACTGCTCTGCTAGGGGTTGAGTCTTGTAAAAACGTGGTCTTGTGAGGGCTATCGACCCTTTTGAAAGTTGGATGGCGTGGGCGATGGCTGGTAACAACATGCTGTCGTGGTCCAAAGCATGATCAGAGGCAATTGGGACTAGAGAATGGTCATCCTTCCTCTCCTTGCTCGAGTTCCATTGCTAGAACACTTCAAACGCCACCCACTACCACTCGCTCCACACTTACGACGAAAGTGGTTCTACTCTATGGCTTCGGATTTGTAGCCGTAATGGTCGATAGAGTACGGAAACACTGCATCGAGCATAGAACATTGGGCAGAGAAAGCAGTTTTTACGTTCAAAGATGGCTTGGTGCGGGCTGTCAGGATTTGGAAACACTGCACGAGGCTTTGGTGTTTGGCAGGGAACGAATGAGCTATACCAACCAAGCTGCCCTCAACTTAAGCTGGGTCGACATCGAAAAAGCTCTCCTCGATAGCTCCGCGGTTGGCTGTGAGGTAGATAAGATAATATACGGGGATATTGCGCGAGTGCGTTCATATCAGGTTGGATATGTCACTTTGTTCCGAAAAGTTACGTTTACATAGCTAGACAAGAACAATCTTCAACATATGGACAAGCTGGAGAAATTTGCCCAGCCGATTTGCAAAAAGAAAGTGACAATGCAGGTGACGTGTGGAACCAGGTCTAAGATTGTGATTGTTGCTGAACTCTTCCCGAGAATACGTCCACAAGATCGTCCTCCACAGGAGCTAGACACCTTCTATCCCTGAAATTCGGGTTTGTGATCTGTGATCCGTGATAGCATATGCGTTCACTGGAGCATGTTCCAGAAAGGTTTGCAGGCCGCCATTCACTGTGTCAATGTTGGACGGCGACATCGTCGCGGAAACTCAGGCTCCAAATACATAGAAACAGCCATTCAAGCCCATCTCTGCCACTCTCTTCCGTGTTCTCCTCACTTCGCCTGAGGCGCATTCTGGACATTGTCCTTCAGTTCTGTTCCACCGACGCTCCAACATCTTCCGCCGGCCCTCTCTTAATGCACACTGCTCATACGAGTCTGCACTGTTTCATCCTCTTCCACCTACCTTTCCTTCATCCTCCATTCTTCGCGACCTCCGCCCACCATGTCATACTCATACGCCACAGCCAAGGCTGTCCTCAGCGACGTCGACAAGGACCGTATTCTCGCCATGCATCTCAGCCAGTCTGACATCAGTAACGTGAGTCGACAGTAGAATCGAGGGCTCACAAATCATTCGTTTTGAGTACTGACTTGACATTACAGGTCGACTGGGACAAGGCAACTCAGGCTTACGGCGCCGCCAGCGTCGAAAGCATGAGAGTCTCTTACCGCAACCTCCTCAAGAAGATTGAGAAGGCTGGCGGCAAGACAGACGTTACCGCGCCACACACTGGAGCAGATGGTTCCGCTTCTTCTTCTGCTCCCAAGACCCCCAAGACACCCAAGACTCCCAGAGGCAAAGGCGGTCGTCCTCCCAAGCGCAAGGCACACGACACCGGATCTGACGAAGATGAAGACGCGCCCAACTCTCTTCGCAAGAAGGCCGCCAAGAACATGATCAAGGCTGAGGACGAGGACGAGGATGATGATGAGACTAACAAGGTTCCCAAGAAGGTCGGTCGTTCTCGCAAGACTCCTGTCAAGCATGCTACAAAGACCGCCTTGAGAAAGGCTGCCGATGGTAACGAGGACACCGCTGACAACTCCAACGACGTTCCTGAAAATGTTGAGGCTGCTAAGGAGGACGATCAGACTCCTGGCATGATCAAGGAGGAAGACCAGTCTGAGTATTAGTGTCTCCAGTGCACCTACATGGCCGTTGATCATTCGGCAGAAGGCTGCAGTCAGATGGTTCTATTGCGCCGTACAACTCTGAAGCTACTGCGGAGGCTGGGGAAATACTTTGTGTTGCAAAGTCAAGGGGCCAACACACCAAACCAAGGGCTTGAGCTGGCGACGAGGACATGCTGAAGATCGTCGCGATCTCGGAAGATTGCGCTTTTCATTTCCACGGAGCTGCTCAGAAATACAGAACTTCTCCATTCAGAGGCAAGACACCGTATTAATGCGAATGGAAACAATTGATAATCTTCGAGGCCTCTTCTCTGTTCGATTTCTATTGCTGAGTGACGTCTGTCCTGAATGTGGGGAGATGGATTATTGTGTTGTCTGGAGTAACGTGGAGCACACACTAGCGGTTGTTGAGGTCCTGACAATTATCGCGGACATGATGACTATCACGGACAGCTCGAAAAGTCAAAGTATTCGTCATGTAATGTCGAAACAACTAGATGCAAGAGTCAGTATGTGGTGAGCGGAGAGAGTGAGGACGACGTGGATGCCAAGACGCTAGCCGGCTAAGTCCTCGGCGCACTTTGACGCCCACACCCGACGAATTCGACCCGACCTGCTCGAATTTCCGTGTGAGAGACGAACATCCGTGAGACGACACGACTACACAACTCGACACTCGCCGGGACAATTCAAATCGACACAAGATGCCATCCGAGCAAGGTCACCGCCGTGAGTTTCCCTAGAGTCTGGAATCTGGTCCTGCGAAGACGCCACCTGCCAGATTGAAGATGAACGCCTTGAAAGAAATGTCTGCTAACGCGCTACAGTCTACGTCAAGTGAGTAAAGAGCCCGAATCGCTGCCACACCTTCATCTATGCCCATCTCGCTGTATCCGAACCGATCGATCTCGAACAATGAACAAAAACACCACATTCCATCCACAACACAACAACCGACGCATAGCGCACAGAACGTATATTGATCTCTTTCGCATAGGGGACGTCACCTCAGCTACCAGAGAGGCAAGCGCAACACCAACCCCAACACCAGCTTGATCAAGATTGAGGGTGTCGACGACTCCAAGGCCGCCAGCTTCTACCTCGGAAAGAAGGTCGCCTTCGTCTACCGCGCCTCCAAGGAAGTCCGCGGCTCCAAGATCAGAGTCATGTGGGGCAAGGTCACCCGCGCTCACGGTACATATTCCCTGGACAGCAGAAAGAAACAAGGAGCACATCTGACGAAGAAATCACAGGCAACTCTGGTGTCGTCCGCGCTCAGTTCCGCAACAACCTCCCTCCCCGTTCGTTCGGTGCCACCGTCCGCGTCATGCTTTACCCTTCTTCGATATAAGTGCGGCAATGACGGAATCGATGGGATAACGAGCATGATCAAGTGTCGCAGCGGTGTTGGTTTGCAGTCAACCTGGTCTCTATGACAAAGCCAGTGGTTCAAAAGGAAGGCGTTTTCTCAGTCTGGGAAGGGAAGCTGCCGACTAGTTTCATGTCCACAAAAGAATCGCAAAAGCCTCCCGGCGTGGCGCAATAGCCATGATGAGATAAACTGGTTCCCGTCGTCTCGAAAATTTTAACGTTCCAAACTCGACTGCAACTCAAGCGTGAATCGGCCTAGATTGTGATTCTTATAGTATACTAGAACTAACGACTCTAGAAACAGTCAATAGAGCTACATGAATGGGCAGACCAACACGGACAGGGTCGTGGTGGTTATGGCCCTGATTGCGTGCGTTCATACCCACTGTGGAATTGTGGAGGGCTTCGGCTCTATAGCCCCAGATCGTTTCCCGAACAGGCGTCATTAGCCCGTGTCTGCCGCTTTGCTGCAGGCATGCTTTCTTTTTGCTCGTCGTGACGACTTTGTCCATTCATTTGCTTGCCCAAGAGTTGCGACAGTCGCGGTTGCTTCTCCCCGACAAACAGCAAGCCTCATGGATCGCAATGGCTCGAGAAGCCGCCGGCGCTCGTCCGTCACCGTCGACGACGATACGCCCAGCCGTCGTCATAACTTTTACCGTCGCGAATCCAACATGAGCGAGTTAGTATATCCACTTTTCAGCCCCAACACCATGCCCCTCGTACTCATAGAAGCAGGGTTAGTTTCCTCAGCAATGTCGGCATGGCCAACGACGAGATCTTCTCAGGCCCCATGTCCGAGAGCGTGCCCACTGCCAACAGCTCCTTCGCCCATCGACGTTCGCGCGCAGACTCGACTACCAGCTTCACCTACTACGACGATGCGGACGAGGACCGCGACATCTCTGACGAAGAATGGCTCCAGGAAGAAGCCATCATAGACGAGGAGGCAGAGATCGAAGAAGGCCGTGCTGACGATGCTGAAGACGCTCATGCTTTTGCTGAGCCCGACATGGACCTAGAATCCAACCACCGCCCCTCTCTGCACAGTCGCAAATCCTCCGGCTACTCTCGCTCATCTGCGCGCAGCCCACTTTTGAGACGCCGTCGTTCTTCGGATACAGACAGAAGCGTTAGAAGTGGTTATGGCTCAGGCGGAAGGACGACCCAGAAGATATACATTCAGAACGAGGACATGACTATCGTCGTTGCTGGTTTCAAGACTTCTGTTCTCGGATACGCCATCTACCTCTGCATATCCATCTGCACCCTTGGTCTTGGCTTCTTGCTGTTCCGCTGGTTGCCACGATGGCGCGTACGATTGACTGGCTCCTCAGCCCCTTTGCATAAGTGCGACTGGCTGGTCATCGAGAATCAGTGGAACGAAATGGTTGTTCAGCAGCTAAGCAAGCAGAGTTTCGAGCTGCCTCTCTCTTCAGTCTTTGGCATGCCTGGCAAGGGTAAGATGCGCGAATTCGACGAATATAACGATCCCATCCTCGATGAACTTCGCATCATGGACTACCGCTACATTCGTTTCTGCTTCCACCCGTTCAAGGACAAGTTCATCCTCGGAAACACCTGGCAAGATCCTGCCTGGACGGACGTAGTTACCATCCGCGCTGGTATTGATGGCGAGGAGCAAGAGAACCGCGAGCGTATCTTCGGCAAGAACATGATCGACATCGAACAGAAGTCAATCGGTCAGCTCCTTGTTGACGAAGCTCTGCATCCGTTCTACATCTTTCAAATTGCCAGTCTGGTTCTTTGGTCTGTTGATGAGTATTACTACTATGCCGCTTGTATCTTTATCATTTCGATTGTAAGTATCGCTTCGACTTTGATCGAGACCAGGGCAACTATGGCGCGTCTTCGCGAGATCTCACGCTTCGAGTGTGACATTCGTGTGCTTAGAAGCGGATTCTGGCGCTACGTCCAGTCAAGCGACCTGGTGCCGGGAGACGTCTACGAAATTACGGATCCTAACCTCACTCAATTCCCTTGTGACAGTCTTCTGCTTTCTGGAGATTGCATAGTCAACGAGAGTATGCTCACAGGAGAATCTGTTCCGGTCTCCAAAGTCCCAACAACCAACGAATCGCTGGAGCTCCTCGATCTTAGTGCGTCATCTATCCATCCCGAGGTCGCAAGAAACTTCTTGTTCAGCGGTACCAAGATCATCCGCGCTCGCAGGCCCCAGGAAGATAAAAGCGATGAAGCCGCCGCTCTGGCTCTAGTCGTTCGCACTGGATTCAACACAACCAAAGGAGCATTGGTCCGCTCCATGCTTTTCCCCAAGCCTTCTGGATTCAAATTCTACCGAGACTCGTTCCGTTACATCGCAGTCATGGCAGGTATCGCCATGGTTGGCTTTGTAGCTTCGTTCATCAACTTTGTTCGTCTTGGACTTGAATGGCATCTCATTGTCGTTCGCGCATTGGATTTGATCACTATCGTTGTCCCTCCCGCACTACCTGCCACTCTGACTATCGGCACCAACTTCGCTCTATCCAGGCTAAAGAAGAAGTTCATCTTCTGCATCAGTCCTCAGAGGGTCAACGTTGGTGGTAAACTTGACGTGGTCTGCTTCGACAAGACTGGTACTCTGACTGAGGATGGTCTTGACGTTCTGGGTACTCGTGTGGTACACCGACCTGCGAACAGATTCAGCGATATTCTTACTGACTCTACTGCTCTTCTACCTGGCGCAACCTACGAGCGTGACCCTACCGTCGACTACAACGCAAACAAGGCAATCTTGTACACAATGGCCACCTGTCACTCTTTGCGCATTGTCGATGACGAGTTTGTCGGCGACCCTCTGGACCTCAAGATGTTCCAGTTTACTGGCTGGCAATACGAAGAAGGATCCGAACGACCTGGCGCAACTGACGAGGATGAGCAAAACTCGTTGTCGCCATCTGTAGCCCGCCCTCCACCTGGTATGGAACTTGATCTGGATGAAGACGAAAACTCACCCAACAATAAGCGAGCAATCGAACTGGGAGTGCTAAAGTCCTTCGAGTTTGTCTCGCAATTGAGACGCGCCAGTGTTATCGTCCGTCAATTCGGCGACCCCAGCGGCAATGTTTACGTTAAGGGCGCACCTGAGTGTATGAAAGACATCTGTCGCCCTGACAGCTTCCCGCCAGACTACGAAGAGCTACTTAGCTACTACACGCACCGTGGTTTCCGTGTCATTGCTTGTGCAACTAAACACATCTTCAAGCTCAACTGGTTGAAGGTGCAAAAGATGAAGCGTGAAGAGGCCGAGTCCAACCTTGAGTTCGTCGGATTCATCATTTTCGAGAACAAGCTCAAGCCTACTACAACGGGTATCATCGAAGAGCTTCGCGATGCAAACATTCGCACCGTCATGTGCACCGGAGACAACATCCTGACTGCTATCAGTGTCGCCAGAGAATGCAACCTGATCGATAGATCTGCTCACTGTTTCGTTCCTCACTTTGTCGAGGGCGATTCACGCACTGCTCTATCTCGTCTGAGCTGGGAGAGCGTGGACAACCCGGCTTACCAACTGGACGACAACACTCTGAAGCCTTTGCCTCCGCCCGCCGAACATGACTCTTCTTTGCCATACGACGTCTCAAATCTGCGCAACTATTCTATCGCTGTCAGTGGTGATGTTTTCCGCTGGCTCGTTGACTTTGCCTCGCCAAAGGTTCTTCGTGAGATGCTAGTCTGCGGCCAAGTCTTTGCACGAATGTCGCCCGACGAGAAGCATGAACTTGTGGAGAAGCTACAGAGCATCGACTACTGCTGCGGTTTCTGTGGCGACGGTGCCAACGATTGTGGTGCTCTCAAAGCTGCAGATGTGGGTATCTCCCTCTCTGAGGCTGAAGCTTCAGTCGCTGCACCATTCACCAGCCGTATCTTCGACATCTCATGTGTACCTGAGGTGATTCGCGAAGGCAGAGGTGCGCTTGTCACAAGTTTCAGCTGTTTCAAGTACATGTCCCTGTACTCGGCCATTCAATTCACTTCTGTGAGCTTCCTTTATGCCTCTGCTTCTAACCTTGGAGACTTCCAATTCTTGTTCATCGACTTGGCCCTCATTCTTCCCATCGCTATCTTCATGGGCTGGACAGGTCCATACCCTGTCCTCTCCAAGAAGCGCCCAACTGCTAGCTTGGTCTCTCGCAAAGTTCTCACACCTCTCCTTGGCCAGATTGTTATCTGTGTCTTGACTCAACTCGTTGGCTGGGAGATTGTACAACGTCAACCCTGGTATCAGCCACCGGTACTGGACAGGGAGCACTCGAACTCAGAGAATTCGCAGAACACAACTCTCTTCTTGATCTCTTGCTTCCAGTACATACTTTCGGCCATCGTTCTCAGTGTTGGTCCTCCTTTCAGGCAGTCCATGACACAGAATTGTAAGTACTTATTCATTCGCAAACACAAATGCATCTACTAACATGGTCATAGTGCCCTTCGTTATCACCATGGTGACTGCCGTTGGCGTATCCGCCTACATGCTGTTCGATCCTGCCCCATGGCTTGTCAGCCTTATGGAACTCACGGATATGTCATCAAGCTTCCGCATCTTCATCTTGGTACTTGCAACTGGAGGCTTCGCTTGCTCGTACTTGGCCGAAAGAGTGGTGTTCCCTCCTCTTGCCAAGTGGATCGGTAAGGCCAACGCCAAGCTACGACCGAGCCACCAGAAGAAGAGGAAGGAGTACAAGCTTATTGCTGAGAGCATGCGCATCTGAGGAAAGAATGGAGGGTTTCTTGTCTATTCTTCACTGCTAGATGGATGACCATGGTTTTGTTTTATAGAGTACATATATGCGCAAAGCAACCTATACGTCTCGATTAAGCCTAGTGGTCCGAACTAGAGCTATTCCTACTATTTTCTCTTCCTAGCTCGATTGATTTTGTGCTTACGCTCGAGCCGTTCGTGACTGTCAGAGACACGACAACTCCGTCCACGTTCAACTCAGGCTTGTGGTACCAGAGAATCGCATCTCAGGAGAGCATAAAACCCCAAATATGCCCTCTGTGACAGAAGATTTGTCTTCTTCCAAGTCTTATGGTGATTGGAAGAAACACGTCTGAAAGACAGGGTCGTCCTCCCGGCATCCTCAAACCAAGTTAAAAACATGACCATCTTGCGAAAACACCCATGAATGTGTAGCATAGAAAGAACAGCAGTAAGCTCGATGTATACGTATCGATAGTTCAAAGTAACCAAGACTAGAGGCGAATCCACTACGGGACGAAAATGTATCATGACATATGACTTATGCCCTGACAGATATCTTGGAGCCAGTGACGGAGACTCTGGTAGCCATGACCAACATCGCAGCACCCAGGAGAGTGGCGCCTGAAAACACTTGCATACCCATCCAATCACCACTGCCAACCAACAAACCTGCGATTGGTGTACCAATGAGAATGCCAAAGGAAGCACAGAATGTGTTCATACCCATCCTTCCGCCGACTGTACTGAGGTCTTTGGTGATTGACGCCACAGTAGTGGGTTGCAGACTGACAAAGGCACCAGAAAGGGCGCCGTACAGTAGAGCCCAAACGATCAGACCGCCAGCGGTATGCTCAATGGCTATCCAGCAGAAACCGAGTATACTGGCACATGAAGTACAGCAACCGAGTACATTCAGAGCACCGACTCTGTCCGCAATGAGACCGGGGATGATTCGACCAGCGATCGACCCAGCGCTCATGATGGGAAGCATGTAGAATGAAAGTGTGTCTTTCAGGCCGGATACATTTCTGGCATATGTGGAAATGTAGAAGAAAGGAACGTAGAGTCCAACGAAGCCGACAAAGCTGGCAAGACTGAACAGAGCGTAGGCAGGTTCTTTGAAAGCAGCACAGTCCAGCAGCTTTCTACGTGTCTTTGGAAAAGCACGAGCCTTGATGCAAAAACAGGGAATGAGCAGAGTGACCAACGAGATGAAGCCAATAATGCGAGTAGCCCATCCAAACCCGATTTGAGGCTCGATACGACGGAATATGATGGGATAGACGACACCGCCAAAGCTCGATCCCGACGCAGCGATGCCCATAGCGAAAGACTTCTTGGTTGTAAAGTACGAAGGGATGATGGCGATCGAAGGAAGAAAAAGACATCCAGCTCCGAAGCCAACGCAAATTCCTTGCGCTAACATAAGCTGCCAATACTTTGAGCAGAGACTTGTCATCATCATTCCAAAAACGACAAGAACAGAGCCAAACACAATAAGTAGTCGAGGATGTCCGCGATCGTAGATGGGTCCAGCAAAGACAGTCGCACTACAGAGCAGGAAGGCCTGTATTGATCCAATCCACGAGATATTCGAGTCGCTCACATCAGGTATGAGCGTGCTGCTGTAAAAGTCTTGGAATACACCGAATCCGTTGACCAGACCCCAACAGCTCATGAAGCACATGAACCCAGACAAGACTTGTAGCCATGCCGTGAATCCGCCATTTGGTATAGTAGATGCAGGATGACTTTCAGAAGGCTGTTCCTTGGAGTTTGATTGTGCTTTCTGATCCAGTGACCCTGTGGTCTGACCTGGCGAATGACCGAAGTGTTCTTGTTCTGAGTGTCGTCCTTGAGACTCGATATCGGATTTGGCGTCCGATTTGACAGAAGAGGTGCTTGATTGTCGAGAGCTCGTCATGTTGTGGTAGAAGTCGGATGTTGCAAAACTCGCTAAGAATGTTGAAGGGCTAGGGACCTAGACACACATGACAGCGAAAATCTCGTACCTACATGATTGGAGTCGATGGAGTCTTATATTCCGTCGATCGCCTTGCAGCTATCATCAACAGCCGGGATTATAGCGTGCAGAAGCCGGTGTTGTCACAAACAAGCAGCGCCGAAGTGCTTCCTTCTATCCCGATGGAAGTTGTCAGATGCTTGATCGGGATCCACTTTAAGTCGCACGAGTTTTGAACTTTCGAAATCCCGGCGCAGGACAATCGTACACATTGAACGGAATATCATGAGGCGTATGTCCTCGTTCATTTCTGATGACGCTGTACACCCAAGATTATCAAATTGCATTGGAACTTGACAAGTTCAAGCGTTTTGATGGTTGTGGAAGGTGCACTCGAACATGGGTCTAAATTGAGATTAGTCGCAGATCTTTTCGGGATAGCGTCGGGAGAAGCCTTAACTGAAAGGCTCTAAAACATCTGCCGGGACGAGAAGCAAGGACGAATTCATACAGTCACGCCAGAGCTCTCGTGAGAAGCTGCCTTTCAGATTGAAAGTTCGGCAAACATTCAGGGAGATGTTTATGGGACTCAAGACTCCGGGAAGAGCAAATCAGTTCTGCTTAGTTCTTCTTTCTGTTCTGAGGTCCTAAGTCTGTCTACGATGATGGCGCGAGGGGCCGGCGCTTTTCCCTGGACGGGTTGGCAACTATAATCCGCAACCATGCCATGTAAGACAGTCGTTTCTTTCGTGGGAGAGGACATGAATCGCTCGTGTGTTCTGTTCAAAACCAGGCTGTAGTGGGCTTCGTAGGGTATCTTCTTTATTTCTTGGTGCGATCGGCGAGTTCTCCGGTAGCAGGGAGCTTAGGAGCAGCACCTCCCTTGGTCTTTGCCTCGCCCTTGGCCTTCAAGCTGGTAGAGTCCTTGGGGAGCTCCTTGGTGAAAGGTAGGAATTCGGGCTGGCCAGGAATATACTTTTGCAAGACCTTGGGGACATTAATACCGTCCTCAGTCTGGTAGTTCTCAAGGACGCAGCACAGGGCTCTTTCGGTGGCGCAGAGAGTAGAGTTGAGGGCGTGGACATAGGCCTTCTGGTAGCTCGAGTCGGTCTGCTTCTTCTGGCCGTAACGGATTTCAAGCTCGCGGGTCTGGTAGTCGAGGCAGTTGGAGCATGAGACGAGCTCCTTGTACTCGCCCTGGAAGGGGAACCAGGCCTCGAGATCATACTTCTTGGAGGCGGCGTTGTTGAGGGCGCCGGAAACGATGGCAACGACGCGGTAGGGGAGGCCGAGCGACTTGTAAAACTCTTCAGAGGTGTCGATCATGCGGTCGAAGTGCTCCCATGATTCTTCAGGCTTGCAGAAGATGAACTGCTCGATCTAGAGGTAGAGTAAGTATGAGGAAGAAGAAGAAGCAGGATTGCGACTTGATTGATTACCTTCTCGAACTGGTGGACACGGAAGATGCCCCAGGCATCCTTGCCGTGCGAGCCGGCCTCCTTTCTGAAGCAAGTGCTGTAACCAGCGTACTTGATGGGCAGGTCCTTGTCCTGCAGCCACTCAGCCTCGTGGAGAGCGGACAGAGGCTGCTCAGAGGTTGCAATCAGGTACTTGTCGGTCTCCTTGGAACCGTCCTCGGTGACCTTGTACAACTCCTCGTCAAACTGCTCGAGCTGGGCAGTCTTTGCCATGGCATCGCGGTTCATGAAGAAGGGGGGCATGTTGGGCTTGTAGCCCTTGTTGAAGAGGAACTCGAGGCCGTAGTTGATGAGAGCGAGGTTGAGGAAGAGACCGTAGCCAGTCAAGCAGTAGCCTCTGTGGCCGGCGACCTTGACACCGCGCTCGGGGTCATAGCCGTCCAGACGGGTGAGAACTTCGTGGTGGGAAAGGCAGTCCTTCTTTGCGACCTCAACACCCTCAGGGGTCCAGTCGCGGATCAGCTGGTTGTTGTCCTCGTTGTCGCTGACAGGAACGGAATCGTGAACGTAGTTGCCAATTGACTTTGCCTTCTTCAGCAAAGCGACGTGCATTTCCTTGGTGCTTTCCTCCTGCTGCTTGTGACGGGCCTGTAGCTCGTCCTTCTTCTTGAGCAGATCATCGGCATTGCCCTTGGCCTTCTTGATCTGGCCAATCTCTTTCTGAAGTGTGTTGATCTCGGTCTTGATCTGGTTGGCGGCGTACTGGGCTGCGCAGAGACACGGCGTCAGCAAGATTCGCTGGGCAGTCGGCGACACGAAATGACTTACACTTTCTGTGGTCCTCGAACATGGTAATGACCTCGTCGACGGCCTCTTCGGGAGCATGGCGTCTACGCTGACTCTCCTTGATCTTCTTGACGTCGCCGCCGCGCTCGGCGATAAAGTCGTTAATGTCCAACATGGTTGTGTCTTGCGAGTGTGTGATCAACCTTTCTTTGCTTTGCGATGCTGGAGGGGTTCACGAACTTCACTTTGACTCATGCGCCGCCGTAGCCCGAGTCAGTCTTTTTGCTGTTGCCAACGCACGCTGCAAGCCTTGGAACCCGACCGTCTTCTCAGGACCCGACTTCTACATTCTTGACACGAACCAGCGACAGGAGACCACTACTTGTATTTTCTCAGCGTATAACAGTCGTTCTTACTCATACACGTTTACAAGCATCGGCACTAGATATTACAGACTGGCCCTCTTCATCCCTCCGTCTGCTCTCACTCTCGAGCCAAGCGATACCGCTCACTCGCTCTCTTCCATATCCTTGACGGTATACTGGTCGCTCAAGCTCATTGTCCATTCACTCAGGACCATCAGCCACGGCCTTCTCTATATGCTCGGGGCCAGAATGTCCATACAAGCTGACACTTGACTTGTGTCCTCATGGTACACGGGTCTTGGCCGCTTCGGTCTGGCTTTGGCCTGGCCTTGGCCGGAGAGACATTGCCTCAGAATTACTTCGTAGGTATGCCCACCAAGAGGGTGGTCTGCGAAGCGCTGATATGTCGCTCCGGTCCGACTCATGGCCATGTTGGTTACTTCAATGACCTCTTAGAGGCGTCGCAACAAACATTCATCTCAACCATCTTGACGGCCATCATGTCCAGATTTAGGATCTTGAGGCTCACACAAGCGATCAAAATCCGGGAAGCTGACATAACCTTCTGTTTCACGTTAATAGTGTACAACACCACAGTTATTTAAGTGGCTCACCATGACGATTTTCGGATAACCGACGGCTCAGCACATCCCACTGCACTTCTTGCACGTCCACAGGACATTGCCTTGGAGATGCTGGCGGGCTACTCCTCGGTGACGTCTTGAGAGAAGCAGAAGCAACCTTGAACAACAGAGATGTCGCTCCTCCTGGTGGTGACACACTGCACTCTTGACGAGCAGTATGCGAGTTTTGCCGGTTCAGAGAGGGCGGGCTGGTGGTTGATCTTGTGAACGGTCCACGCATGAATATGCTAGATGCTGACGATGACGACGATGAGCGTTGAGATTCCCTGGGCATTATGGAGGTTGTGAAAGATGTCGACGATAGGTTTGGTTGAGTTTGAGTACGAGTACAAATGGTGAACTGTTCCTGGAGGGCTTGTTGTTTGTTCAAGAGGACCCGGAGTTATATCAAGTAAAAAGCCTTCGTCCGCGGTCGCGTGAGGAAAGATACAAGAATTTCAAGGTTTGGTCTGGCAAGTGAGGGGTGGTGGCGCTGCTTTGTATACCTACGCCTCCGGTAGAGAATCATGGTGACGCCTCGCGTACCTGCGGGGCCTAGCTCTACACAGGGGCCTCTTCAGCACTGATTGTGCGAACCTTTTCCAAGTCGATAGTCGCCTGCTAGTCAGCCTACGTGGATGATGACTTTGACTTTAATCCACGAAGCTCATTCGCGGAATATGCCCTCTTGCCCATCGGCCAGACCGTTAAGTACCCGCGCGGCCACTGTACATTGATATGGGACCTGATCCTACTACGTTTACGTGACATGCACCGACAGGCCACCATCAGAAATGGGTCTAAGCAGCCCACAGCATAGTAACGGTGCCCAATCTTGACCCAGGAACCTGGCAGACTTGCAGGGACGGGCGATGTTCCGCCCAGCGGTGTGGCTTTGACCGTTGTCTCTGCGTATGGGGCATTTCGGATCCGCTTACTAGCAAGTGTTCGCGCGACTCTATGACTCCTGGGTGAACATGGTTGAGCTCGTTGCTGTTGTTGTTGTGTGCTTTGTTTTATCGACCCCACAGGCTCACCAACGTGTTCAGGTTTGGATGGCTCGCAATAAGGCAGATGACACCTCGGTGTAGCCGCCTGATGACACTCACCTAAATCATGCAGAACAGTATCTTGTTGCACAGTCGCATGGGTAAATACCCCGGTGGTCCCACGAGTCGAAGCAGCGTAGATACCGAGACTCGGGCACTGTCGGAGACTTGGAGGAAGCGCGCCAGCGCCAGCGCATGCCCTGCTGTGTCGTTGGGTAGACTTCGATCGTAATTATCTTGCTTTTCCTGCACAGGTTCGCCAGCCTGCTGGCGGGCCGTTCCTACGGCAAATCGCCTGCCCAAGTCGGTAATTCACGCAGCGATCTCGAGTTGAAGAAGATCGCCTTTCCCAATGTGAGGATGCACAATACTCTTGAAGCCAGCAAGATCGCCCGCGAAGAGGAACGACAACACTTTGATGCATACAATCGTCGTGCTTCAAGAACTCATGTCCATGTGAACTAATGTGCAAGGAAAGAACGAAAGCAGCAAAGCTTTATGGAAATTGAGCGGATCAGGTTGTATTTTCTAAGCAGGCCTATATTCCTTTTCCAGCAGGAAGTCGACAGCTGGGAGCTTCTCATGCAAGTGTAATCTGTCAGCCAAAGATAATATACTCCGTCATGCATGCATGTTTCTATGTCGATTCTAGACCGGGGCTCACGACAAGCTCAGCAGTAAGGGACCCAAGTAACCATGATTGATCAGTGCTAGAGAGATGGTCAGCCGAGACGATGTAACCAAAATTGTAAACACTCACATCGACGTCCTCCCAAGCGCGACCCTGAACGTTCGACAGCTCGTCCATCGTCATCACGTTGCCATTGGTGAAATACCCTGCGGCTATCTTGGCATCAATTTCTACTCTGCTGTCGGCAGGAATCATCTCATCAGGCAGTTCGACTCGCTCGTGAATTGGGATGCCCTGTTCGACGATGGCGTCGTGCTACACAAATCGTCAGTACTGAATATGACTGGTCGAGAGTATCCTCTGTGAACAAGTGGATGACTCAGAGGAGCAGAAGGCTTACTTTCATGCTGCACAGTCAGTTAGCCACATATTCAATACAATCAGTAGACACTGCGAAACGTCAGGGGTTGGTCATGGACTTACTTTGACATGCTCAACCTGAAGCAAAACATCGTCAGCAACTTGCTTGTTCTGGATTGGGCAAGAAAGGGATGGACACATACATTCGATCAATTTTGGTGATACCAAGCCAATGTAGGATATCCGGCATCAAAGCTTGCTGATAAGTTGAGAATGTGGTTAGCATCTTTCCTACACAGAATGTTCCCCAGTCACTTACGAAACGCATGTCCTTGACTCCAGCGATGTTTTCTGTGCGCTTGAAGTATTCGCTTGCACGGTCGGCGCCACGCTTTCTTGCATTGTAAACAAGGTATTTTGTGACCTATATCTGTCAGCAGTATTCTCTCATAAAACATCGCCCATGAGCAACTCACCTCTCCGAGAGCTCTGCCTTCTTTACGGAAGTATATCACAACTCCTGAACCGCCTTTCTGGGCCTCTTTGACTGCCTCCTCGATTCCAAACGTCAGGTAAGGCCTGCATGTGCAGATATCCGAGCCGAACACATCCGAGCCATTACCTACTCAACCGTCAGAAAAGGCTTGCTAGAAGACATATTCAGGCCGAAACTTACACTCGTCGTGAATACGTAGAGCAAGTTTAACGTTTGGATCAGACATCTTTGCAGGGTCTCCGAAACAATAAACAGTCAAGCCTCCGATTGGTGGCAAGAAAGTCTTGATGTCTCCTCGCGTGATAAGCTCTGGGTAAGAACCCCCAGTTTGCTCGAACAGAGAACGTCTGAGAGTACCTTCATCAATACCAAATCTTTCTGCAACCCCAGGCAAGTACCAGACCGGCTCCACAGCGAATTTCGTCACTGCGAGTTCACCAGATGCGTTGAGGCATATCTTACCATCTGGTACCAATCTACCTGCCTTGACACTGTCTTCAAGTTCGGGAACCTTCATATGTGCTTTGGTGATGGCAATAGTGGGTCGGATATCTACGTCTTCTTTCTGGATGATATCCTTGAACAACCAAGGAGAAAGGTGGCCTGCCGACAAATCGTACCATTAGCATGTCTTGCACGTAGAATTGGTGTGTTATCACTGAGTAAAAGAAACAGACACGAAGAGCAATCCATCAGATTGCAAAGTGTCGTCCACATTTAAACAAACGCAATCAGTATCAAATCTGGAAACTCGTACCTAGTGGATCCATTGCAACAATCTTCTTGGGATCGGACCACTGAGGGAAAGGTCCAATGTTGGCTGCTGGCTCAGTGTTGGTGAAATCCGGGCGATGGTCGGTATTGAGGTTCTTGCTAGCTACAGCGAGAGCATTGTCTGCACATGAAAGAACGATTAGCATCAACTCTACGACGTGCGATGAATATCTGCAGATCCTAATTCCCATCCTAACATCAACCGTCGAGGAAGCTGACTCTCTACTCATACATAGATTGGACAAGCATAACTCCTCGAACACGCAATCTCACACAGAGAGTGCGATCGCTGACGTTCGAAGAGTGATAGACTAGGAGCAGCATAGGATTGAAATAAGAAGGAAATCGGTGTTGTATACGTACATATAGCGTAGGAACCGCCATGAGCACCAATAGCATTTCGTCTTCGAATTGAGGTTGGATTTCTAGAAACGACCACAGGACCTCGAATGGATGGATCTTTGTGGCCCCAACTCATAGGCAGAGGATCAACGCCAGCCTGACCTGGGTAGGAGGTAAGAATGATCTTAGAGGTCACACTCGATCTACGTCCAGACTCTGGCACACCAGACAGATCAGGACTTGAGGGTGTGCTCCCAGTAAGAGTGGGAACAACAGGATCTGCGTGGTGCTGCTTGTTTCGTTCGACGGCGGTGGGGTCAACAGTCATGTCTTTCACCTGCTTGACTCCGGCAAGAATATTGACCCGGCCGTTGATAGCATCGACAGCAGCAGCAAGATGAGTATTCTCTTGCTGAATGGTCTTGAGACTGGCTAGGATCTCATGCAAGAGGGTAGCATCTCCGTTTGTACCGTTCGTATTTTCCATGGTGTGAGAGAGGTTATTGGTCGGTGATGGGTGCCGATGGTAGGAGTCGGAAGGATGGAGATTAAGAAGTGAAAGTGAAGACCTCTTGGTACAAAGGGGTCATGGACATCAACAGCTGTCTCGGAGCATTGTTGGCAGTGGTCATTCCCCGCTATCGAGGAGCATGTGATTACGATAAGGTAAGGTTACCTATCTAGGCACGGATATCGGGTACCTGCCTTCCTTCGTCCATAGGCAATTACGCCCTCGGGCAAGAGCCACTAGATACGGCCATTGAGGATAGTTAATGTTACAAATTGAACAGACCGAACAGATAACACACGTGTTCATGCTATGGAAGGAAGCTGGACCAACGGCCGGAGGGGCCTTGAGCACCCGACCGCTCAGCTCCGATGGCAGGTCTTATCAACCCCGCGGCTGTGGAAATCATCCAACATAGGTAGGTACCTCGTCGATGCCTGACGATGGTTTCTGTATGAAGAGTCGATGATCGAGTTAGCGAGAATGCTCTGCAGAACGAAGTCTTGAGATCTGTGTGTAACCCCGCTGCCTCGTGCGAGTGAACATTCCTCAAGAGTCTGTGTTGTTTCCAGATGCTGTGACGCTCGAGCGGGGTGGCTGGTACTGCCCCGCACAGATCAATCTGAAGACGAGGTCGGAGCTAGCGTGTGTAAACGCCGATTGCGACAGTCGAAGCGCTACGCGTAGGCGACGTCAGCCTCTCATTCATTTGAGCCTTGCGAAACTTCGTCTGGACTTGCGACTTGTTCACGCACATCATACACAGCTACCATGGTAATCATTTGTTCTGCATATCAGTCGAACCGCGTACACTCACACACGACAGGGTAAACGCAAGTCGGCCAGCAAGCCAGAAGGCAAGAAGAAGGTGCGGAAACCACGTTCAGTCGGGCGCGCACACGACTAACGCCGCATCAGCGCGAGACCCTATCAACCACCTTCCAATGCCTGTTCTGCAACCACGAGAACTCCGTCTCGGTCAAGATTGACAAGAAAGCAAGCACCGGCGAACTTACGTGCAAGGTCTGTGGACAAACGTTCCAGACCGTGACCAACTGTACGTTCGCAAAAAAAGATAGAGAAGATTTGCTACATCTAGGGACTTGAATAACACCTATCCTACAGATCTCAGCGCACCCATCGATGTCTACTCAGATTGGGTGGATGCTTGCGATTCCGTAGCCAAGCAAGCTGCTCAGAGCACATCACAACCGAGAAGAGATGCATACAACGGCACCGCGTCGCAATCACGTTCGCAGGCTGCTTCAGGCGCTGCCGCCAACACTGCAGCCGACGACGGCTTCATCGACGACGACGAGCTTGATGCAGAGGCAGACTATGCCGACGAGTAAGAAGTCGAGTGAAACAAAAGGCTCGGGTTTTGAGCAGCGCGCGGGCACACCAGACGAGTAAATTCGAGCTCGGGGGCCTCCGGATCCGACGATTTGGAGAGGAGTTTACGGCATGATACACCAAGGCGCTTGGCGCAACACACGGATTGACACAGATTATGGCATTGGGGTTCATCATATGGATTTGAGCCAGAGGCAATAAGCGCCGACGCTTTGTGGCCTGTTCTACAAAGGGCGCACCGGGTCACGAAGCACTCTAAAGAGTGTAGAATCGATCTCCGAAGTCTCCAAGACCGGGAACGATGTAGCTAGTCACAGCGATTAGCAAGCTTCGCAGAAAGAGGAACAGACATTGACCTACTTCTTCTCATCCAAGCCTTCATCAATGAAAGCGGTAACAATTCTCACTTTGGGGAACTTCTCTGCGAAGTTGTCGGCACCCTCGGGGCTGGCGATGAGGTTGAGGAAAAGGATACGATCCTCTGGTACGCCCTTTTGTCTCAAGACCTCGACAGCCATCAAAGCAGAACCGCCTGTATGCAAGTCAGTGAGAGGACAAACGAGGACATGGAATGGCAGGATGTGCGTACCGGTAGCGAGCATAGGGTCCAGCAAGAGAACCCATCTATCTTTGATATCCTCAGGCAGCTTCTCGTAAAAGAGACGAGGCTGGCTCGTCTCCTCGTCTCTCTGGATCAGAATCTTGCCGATGCGAACGCTCCTGCAGCAGTCACGGAGGCCCTGTTCCATGGACTCGCCGGCGCGCATGATGCTGACACCGCAGATCTTTCCCTCGAACTTGACACCATTGTAATGACGACCGACGGGGGTGGTGATCTCTTGCTGGATGACAGGCAGGTGGTTCAAGCCTTCTTCGACAAGCAGACGGATAATACGGTTCGAGTAGAAGATGAAGTCGGCGCGGTTGGTGCGGTGGTCGCGGATCATACTGCTCGAAGAGTTGGCGGGGAGTGACTCGGATTGTTTTCACCAAGGGACACACCTACGTCAGCAGAGCGATGAGCTGAGGCGTCTGCGGTAGGACGTGAACATTGGCGTGGCCGACTTTCTTGGAGACGGTGGCCGTGGGCTTTTCACCCTCGGCGCGGTAGGTCGGACCCAGGCATTGGGAGGGAGCAGAGTTATCAGACATGATGAAGCAAAGGAGCAGTAAAGGATGATGAGCAAAGAGGAGAAAGGCAGAAGAGCGCTGGTGTGGATGGAGAAGGACAGAAGAGCAGCTGACAAGTGAATAGGAATAACTTTCCTTATCAGCTACGGGTGTCGTGTGCCCCGCAGTGAGCCCTGAATAGCTTGTCAAGATATAATTCGGCTACTCGTACTCGGTGACGGCCAAACTCGAATCGTTTTCGACACGGCTGTGGCTGAAGCCTACCGTCGTCCAAACTACCGTCGTCCAAACAATGCGACAGGGTCCAAGTTGCTAAGCACTTGGTGGCGAGCTTCAACATTGTTCGTTTCCGTTTGCGCCATCTTCTACCAACATCCACTGCTGGATCGCATGCTCATCTCGTCCACATAGCTCATGTCGCACTACCTACTGCCTCCGATTACGCTATGAAGCATTATATCTGAGCACCTTACAAGCGCCTTCACTGCCGCCGACTGACTTCACTTCCGACTCGTCGACCATACCTTGGTTTCAGAAACGCCGTCTCCCTTCAATGTCAACTCGACCGCCGTCTTGAACTCTTCTCCATCTAATGAAACACTTTTCAATTCTCCCAGCCAATTCTGTCTCTTGCTAGACGTTGCTCGTCATGACAACCATTCCGGGCACCTACGCCAACGGCCCTCGTCGCAAGCCGCCTGTCGTTACCTATGGGAAGCCTGTGCGCAACTCGACCTTTTCGACCACTGGTACAAAGTCCTTCTACGATGACTCTAGGATTCCTGCCTCACAATCCAAGCTAAAGCGCCCCACTGCTAGCGCAATCAGAAAGACAAAGGAAGCAGACGATGAATTCGACGTACCCATGTCCGACGATGAGTCCACGCCCGTACCCTCCAAACCGAAGAAACTTCACAAACCCTTGGTCAAGACCAGTCCAGTTGCTCCTAGCGCTGGCAGCATCGGCAATGGCCATTCAGATTCGGACTCACCACGCAAGCGCAAAAGGACCGTTTCACAACCTGTCCAGCCTCCGGATGTCCGTCCCGCCGCAAAGGCCAACAAGGTACAGCAGGACAAGACAGAGGCTGAGCAGACTGCTTTTGATGCTCCACAGCCACGACGCTCTAGAAGGCAAGTCGCTGGTGTAAATTCTATCACCTCAGCTCCGTCATCCCACAGATCCGATCGCAATGTAGCACAGACAACACAGTCCGTAGGCTCGAGTAGGAAGTCTGCCTGCCCATTGTCTCCTGCTGTTGCTTCTCCAACCAGTCCCGCGGACTCGATATCAAGCATTTCTACGACCCCGAAGCAAAAGAAGCTATGGCATGAGCTGCTTCTCTCCGATCCTCCTGATGAAGACGTCCAAAACTCGTCTCTCAACTCGGTACAATTTTCAACAAACCGTGCTTTAGGTCGACCAATCGACTTGACTCCGCAGCCCTGTGATATTCAAGATTCGGGCGCAAATAAAGCTCGCCTTGTTGATCGTCTGAAGGGAAAGGCTGTTTCTGCTCAAAGTAGTGACGAGAGCTCCGAGGACGAAGCAAGCGAGCCACTGGAGGAGCCGACATCTCAGCATACAGAAGTCCTGAGGACCGTCACACAGTCTGAACCTCAGGACTCTACGCAACACTCCCAGTCACACAGTCGACTACAAGCACAGCTGTCATCGACTAGCCAAGGCGCTAAAAGGGTGACCTACGCTAGGTCACGCACGTACTTACAGGATAGTCTGGAAGATATGATCTTTGGAGACCTGCCTATCGATGCGATTGAACGACCTATTGCAAGTGCTCGACGAACAAAGGTCTCTTCGGCAGCCACATCAAAGTCGAAGCTCATTTCCAGCCACGAGTCAGATGAAGAGACTTCGCAAGGCATTCGAAGCATACACGACCTGAGAGCAGCCGGTCACAAGAGCAGATTCTTGGATGATATCACACGACTCCTTGACGATATTAAGAATCCGAAACCATCAACTCGGTCACAAAGGCGTATGGCACTCATAGAGCTCTCTGGGACGCTGACTGACAATGATTTTGCCTCGCGTTTCATCGAGAATGGATTTGATGCCAGCATTGTTGCTCAATTTCAGTTTGCTGGCATGGACACTTTGGCTGATATGTTAGTGTGTGTCGTGCTTACACGAATAGCACAAGCTTCCGCTTCCCTCCTCCAAGGAGGTGTTATGGAGTTCTTCACTCCTTTTCTAGACGAGACCAGGGACATCACCCAGATCGCGAGGGAAAGGAAGAGTAACATGTCCAAGGTCGCACAGTCTGATTACCTTGAGTTCATGGAAAAAGTCAGGTCTGCTGACGTTTGGGAAGACTGTTCACCAGAGTGCCTGTCTCCTTGCTCCATTGCTGTCATGAGCATCGACTGCATAGTTGTCACTCACAGGCGCAACAAGAACAGTGGCACCATTCTCTCTCCTCATACCGCGGCCAAGCTTGTCAGCTTAGCCACCGGTCATGCAACAGGCTTTGAACACGTTTCCCAAGCTGTCACAAACCGGGCACTATCTGCTCTTGAGGCTGCCACAACTCTTGACGTGGAGAGCGCATCGTCAGACGTCTGGTCGGTTGCCGTACTCGCACAAGTTGCTAGCGCCTTGCCCCAGCTCCTTTGTATGACAAGCCGTTCACAGGAACTCGCGCTACGGTTTTGCTGCTCTGTAACCAACGACAACAAAGACAACAGCAGTGTGTTCTGCGACCCTCTCACTATTCAACTCATTGTCTCGTTGATTATCGACGGCTTCAATTCGCGTAAGACCGCAAGCGAGGTGGAGCTTGGCTCTGACCATGACATTCTAGTACTTGCTCTCGGCTTAATGATCAACCTGACCGGAGTGAGTGAGGTTGCACGCGAACGCGCCGCTTCTGTCAAAGACGAAGGGCTTGCTGCACTAGTAGACATTTTCATCAAAGGTCAGAAACAAGCAGCTGAGAGTCAATCGGAAGAAGAGATGCAAGCCCACATCCCGCATGCTTGGCTGACAGTCCTTCTCGGCTATATCTGCTTGGATCTGAAGGCCAGGGCGCGGGTAAGTGACTGGTTGCCAGGCGAGAATGGCACTGTCCTCGTGGATGCTGTGGAAGGGATTGCTTCGATGAGCCAACAAGTGGATAGTCAGGTCGCAGAGGAGAAGGGAGAGATCTCGTCAGGATTCACGCAGAAGCTCCAGGCACTTGTCGCGTGTCTGCGCGACGGTGTGTAATCAACGGAAGGAGAGACATGGCGAGGCCACAATGATACCCATTAGGATGTACCTTGTTAGATAATCAAAACGTCGAATACGCACGTTGAACAAGATGTCCAGCCAGGCTCGGAACGCCTAACAAGCAGTGATGGAATCTTCCAAAGATCATGCCTAAGTACATGCATGGGAGGGAGAGCACAAATGCAGCGATTTCAACAAACGAGACTCGTAGAGTATATAAACAAATGTTGAGCGAGTATATAGTTTCGGTCAAGTAATGGAGTCTTGTTCTGACCACTTAAACAAGCGGTTAGACTTAGTCTGGTGTCACGGATTCCCCAATAGCGCCACCAATCGGCTGCATAGCCCCAGACTTCTTTTGTTCATCCAAATGAGCAGATCGTCGCCGACTAGTTCGAAACCTAACATATAACGAGAACGAGGTCCCTTCTACCACGACTGGCCTACAGCAGACGCTTGCCACTATCGCACCCTCCTGCGCCATCAGAGTGTTTCCTCCAGACACGCGACCACCATCAACAACACCCCGAACCTGCAGTCTATCGCAACAGTGACACGAATTAATCAGCTTGCCTCTCGCTGAACCAACCACCTTATACTTCATACACACGCCCACACTTGTCGTGTGCAAGCAGAAAGAGCTCGGATACAATGCCTCCACCACAGAAGCAGCGAAAGATGGCCATTGTCGGCAGCAGATCCGTGGGTAAGCTGTTGGCGGCAGTACCACGACTGAAGCTCGCAAGCTGACCCATCCCAGGCAAGAGTTCTCTGACTGTTCAGTTTGTCGACGGCCACTTTGTCGACTCATACTACCCCACCATCGAAAACACCTTCTCCAAAGTCATCAAGCACAAGAACCAAGACTTTGCTGTGGAGATTATCGACACTGCTGGACAGGTACGCCTCGACAAGCATGGAGAGACATCACAAGAGTCATGCTGACAGTCAAGCATCAAAGGATGAATACACCATTCTGAATAGCAAGCACTTCATTGGCATCCATGGATACATGATTGTCTACAGCGTTGGCAGCAAGCAGAGCTTCGAGATGGTGAGAATCATCCGCGACAAGATTCTGAATCATATGGTATGCCCCTCCTGAAACGTCGGTCTAATGAAGCCTCTTTAACATGATATTCTAGGGTGCCGAAACAATTCCGCTCATCATTGTCGGCAACAAGTCAGATCTTCGACCCGAACAACGTCAAGTCAAGGCTGAAGATGGTCGCAAGCTGGCCGAGGAGCTCAACTGTGGCTGGACAGAAGCAAGCGCCAGATTCAACGAGAATGTTGGCAAGGCATTTGAGGGTATGGTTGCCGAGATTGAGAAGGGCCAGGAAGCTGGTCAGCCCAAGGAGGGCAAGAACTGTATTGTCATGTAAGGGAGTCGCCGCTGTTAGAACACCATCAGGGACAATTCTGGAAGTCGGCAATACCATATTCGACGGGCCATGGCTAGTGCAAGTGCTTTCTCGCGTCTGACGAGGAAGGGGAAAGAGAGGATATCGGGCTTGGACTGAGGCTGGGCAACATACACATCATTGGGGTGCAGGCGTATCGCTCTTTGGCATTCGTTTTAAGTGGAGTTTATAATGGGCGTAGTTAGGGACAGGGGCATGGACACTAGGGGACTCGAAGGTATTATACAATGGCTCACGTCAAGACTACAGTCCAACTCGACGCTATCAATATGTGAAATGATTGAGTTGGTCTGAAATCCGAGGGCGTAATTCAGTCGCTTCTTGGTCAGCATTGAGCAAAGGGTGTCCCGGAGGTGCGGTGTCTCACACGACCAAGCAAGATGTCGACAAGCAAAGCACTTGACCGATCATTGATGCTAACCAGGGTCCAGCAGTGCTGCGGAGGCTAGGTAGGCAAGGCGACACAATATACATCGTTTCTACCACCTTTGTTGTTTTCCAAGACGCCGGAGACTAGACTGGTCGAGTAAATCATTACAGATGCAAATACAGAACGAAAACAAGTGAATATAGTAAATAATGGTGATGGACAGGAGTGATAGTCGGAGAAGGGCAGCGAAGGACCGAGCTCGTTCGGGCTTGGTAGTCACGTGAGCCTCCACGAAGCGACGACGCACAACCCCCAAATTTGGCTGCACTTTGAATATTCCTTTCCCTTGCGACCGCGACCTTTTCCACACCAGTCTTAATTGCCATACAGAGACGCAAACATGGCTGTCGGCAAGAACAAGAGATTGTCAAAGGGCAAGAAGGGCTTGAAGAAGCGCACCGACCCGTGAGTCAAGACGATTCGCTGCACCATCCGACATCGACGGCCCTTGGCCCCCATCAACACACACACCTACAACCGCGCGCATACCATACAACGAACCTTTGACTGACACGACTGCGCCTATAGCTTCGCCAAGAAGGACTGGTACAACCTCAAGGCCCCTTCCACCTTCGCCATCAGAGAGTACGTTTATTCGCCAATCCCGATCTGCGCCCGCCACTGGACGGAAAAGAAAAAAAAATCTTTACTAACGCCTCCAAAGTGTTGGCAAGACCCTCGTCAACCGTACCACCGGTCTCAAGAACGCCAACGACGCTCTCAAGGGCCGTATCTTCGAGGTTTCGCTCGCCGATCTCCAGAAGGATGAGGACCACTCCTTCCGCAAGGTCCGCCTGAGAGTCGACGAGGTTCAGGGCAAGAACTGCCTGACCAACTTCCACGGTCTCGACTTCACCTCGGACAAGCTGCGCTCGCTCGTCCGCAAGTGGCAGTCCCTGATCGAGGCCAACGTCGTCGTCAAGACCACCGACGACTACCTCCTCCGTCTGTTCTGCATCGCCTTCACCAAGAGACGCCCCAACCAGATCAAGAAGACCACATACGCCCGCAGCTCGCAAATCAGACAAATCCGCAAGAAGATGACCGACATCATGTCGCGCGAGGCCAGCAGCTGCACCCTCGCCCAGCTTACCCAGAAGCTCATCCCCGAGGTCATCGGCCGCGAGATCGAGAAGTCCACCCAGGGCATCTACCCTCTCCAGAACGTCCACGTCCGCAAGGTCAAGCTCCTCAAGTCGCCCAAGTTCGACCTCGGCGCTCTCCTCAACCTCCACGGCGAGTCCAACACCGACGAGTCCGGCCAGAAGGTGTGTTCAATCCCGACATTCAAAAACACCCTCTGCCACATACTGACCCGTCACAGGTTGAGCGTGAGTTCAAGGAGACCGTCCTCGAGAGCGTGTAAGCATTTGATGAATGGAACAAGATGGGTTGGGGTCCGCATGACACGTTGCTGCCCGGCGTTCGACGTGGAAAAGGAATGCTTTAGGCATCTTCGTGTTAGCTACTTTTCATGGCAAAAAAAAGAATCGTCAAAAGCCTTCCGAATTTTCCAATTTCAATTTTATGATACCACGCACATTCACACCTTCCGCAATCACGACCCTCTTGAGTGACCTTCGAACATGATTTATTTTTGGCTTCTACATGGCTAAATCCGCCTACTCTTTGTCCTGCAAAAACTCGACGACGGCTATTGACATGCATTAGTCCATGACGTACGAATGTACATTGTTTCGACTTACCGTTTCTGAACTCTTGAGGCTTCTCGCTGATGACCCAATGCCCACTATCGACATCTGCAACCTGGAATCTCGGGAAGAACCTTCCAATGATGGGCAGTGTCTCGTCTGCCACATAATGGCTCTTTGTGCCTCTGACGAACAAAGTCGGACCCTCCCACCGCGCTTGGTCTGGATCGGTGAAGGGAAAGTCGGCCATGTTGTCGAGAGCGTTCGCAAGGTACTTGACAGGGATGCGGAACCTTTGGATGCCGTCCTTGCCGCGGGCGAGGTTGGTGAGCAGGAATTGACGTACGCCGACATTGGACTCGAACTCGGCCAGGATAGCGTCGGCCTCGGACTGCTTTTGTACGTTTGCGTCGACAATCTTGCGCATGCCCTGGATGTACTTTCCAAAGTCGCTCTTCAGGGCTGCATCGACGGGTGCATTGTCGACGGGAATCAGACTGGAGATGGGCACTTTGCCGCGCAAAGCTACTGCCATGACTGTTTTGGCGCCCCTTGTCTGGCGTCAACGTGGTTGCGCAACATCAAGGAGTGGTGTAGTGGTGTACAACGTACATGGAATGGCCGATCAGAGCAGGACGCTCAATCTTGTGCTCTTGCAGGAAGCCCTCGACATCCTCGGCGAGGGCAGTGTAATCGTGTCTCGGATCGTGAGGCGATTCGCCATGGTTGCGCAAGTCCTGAACGATTGGTGTCAGAGGTGATGGTCGCAAGTGCTTCCGGGAGGGTGAGGTACGATAGCGTAGACGGGACGGTTCAGATCACGAGCAAAGACTCTGAATTGGAGTTAGCATCGCATGGGGCAAAGTGTAACAAGTGCGCTCACTTGCTCATGCTCCGGTTGTTCTTCTTGGAACCAAAGAGACCATGGATGAAGACAATGGGGTCCTTCTTGGTGGCAGGCTTCTCGGCTTCGTAGAAGTCGTAGGCAAGCTTCAACTTAGCATTGATCGGGCTTGATGAAAAAGCGCGTATACGGAGCGGTCGAGATGCTTGCCGCGACTGGGCGAATGTTCTTGTTGCCAGCATCTTGGGATGCTTGAAGATCACATGGTAGCTGATCCTGGACAAATGTTGAACGGAAATTGTTTCGGATGCTAGGGCCTATCCGGGGCCACGAGCGGAGGCAAGCGCGGGCCGGGCCGCCGCTAGAGCTGCTTCATCATCATGGTGCATGATCATGATCTGGATGTTTCTTTTCACATGCTGAAGCAACTTTTGTCGACATCCATTTCCATCAAACCCGTCCACAACATGAAACGTGCCTATCCAAACGATGAACATGCTTCCTCAAAGCGTCAAAGAGGCTACGCACATGACAATCAACCAGATCATCGTCCTCGCAACGCTTACTCTCAGCCGCGACAATCTAAAAGCTCATCACAACTGAATCATCAAACTGCTCCATTGCCCGATTCCACCATACATCTGGAAGCACTACTCAAGGCACTGGTTAATCGCCGGGATAGTACGAGGCAACTCCTTGGTCATGAGGCATACGAGAGCGCTGTCAAACTATCCAAATCTTTCTCTTCAATCAATACGGCTACCACATCGCTGGACTTGTTCCAGCCTTCTACCATCGAAGGCGCCGAAGTCGGCTCTCAAAACCCAACGACATCTTTCTCATCTGCGTGTCAAAACTTCTCACTGCCTACACTGCCTCAAGTCCCTGATGGGCCCTACTCACGGGCACCTTTCGTTCACAAGTCCAGCAGCCAGCATGACCGTACTTCTGCGGTCGGTGACATGACATACGAACGGCTCGAGTTCCTGGGAGATGCTTATCTGGAAGTCATCGCCACTCGCCTCATCTTCTCACGCTATCCCCATCTTGCCGCGGGCCGTCAAGCACAGATACGCGAGCGCTTGGTCAAGAATGACACACTAACACAATTCAGCATGGCCTACCACTTTCAGGACTGTCTGAAAGCTGGAGAAGGCGAGCGCGAACTCGCAAGGGCCTCTGGCAAAATTCTAGCCGACGTATTTGAAGCATACGTGGCTGCTGTCATTCTGTCCGACCCGGTGGATGGCTTCAAGCGTGCAGAAATTTGGCTCACGGAGCTCTGGGCACCGATTCTACTCCGAGAATTTGGTCCGATAAGTTCAGACGGCGGAGCGACATTCAACGAATACAACCAGAATGCAAAGCAAGAGCTCCAGCAAAGGATTGTCGGCAAGGATGTGAAGCTCGAATATATCGAGAACAGACCTATGGAACAGACCAAGCACATGCAGAGGTACTTCATCAGCTTGTTCCTAACGGGCTGGGGCCACGAGAAGCAACTTCTTGGCTCTGGTGAGGGTCAAAATAAGGTCGAGGCAGGAAATCGTGCCGCCATGGATGCTATGGTGAAGAGTAAGGATATCGTCGATGAGGCCGCCCGTAAACTTGGTGTCTTGCGCGAGCAGAGGAAGTTGGAAGCTGCTGCCAAAGAGACCAACGCGGATACGGTTCAGCAATAGGCTGAACAAGTTGTTGTGCAAGACAACTTCGCAAGATGACTTTACTATCAGAGAGCCAAGTTTGATCCGACCTTTCACCTAATGCATGTCCTGTCGTCGATACTCAAGTGTCAGTCGTTACAGCTCAATCCAAGTTTCAAGCTATTGGCACGCTAAGTAAGTAGTCATACATTTTTGTTACAAACACATTGCGCATTACGCTCATACGAGCAGCGCATAACAATTCACTAGAGATAGAGTTGCACCTCTCCGTGTGCAAAGATTTTTTAACGAGTCTAGCTATGAAAATGCACAGTGTTCTCGAGAACTAGATCGTATCCATCGAGATGCGATGTTGTTCAGGCTCTCTTCGGATACACCCCTGATTTCCAAATCACTGTGCCTTTTTGTAGCGAGCATTGCGCTCTGTAGCTTCGTGGGAGAGAGGAGTGTAGGAGACAACGAGTTACGAATCGCAGCACACGGGCAAACAGTATCCTCTGATTTGTAGGCATTAACACTAATTGTTGGTGCATCGTCTTGATCAATTGCGGCACATCAACCTCTGCCAACTTCTTTCCTCAGTCTGCCTGCTGCACTGGTCGGTGGTGCTTCTGGCCAACTGTCGACTGCTTCTTCAACTTCGTCCAAGAAGCTCGCACTGTTGTGAATCGAGGTTCCTCCCAGCACCACTCTTACACCCGGACTACTCGCGTTTACCTGCGCGACCATCTTTGCCTCCTCGTATGTTGCGCCACCGATCATAAATACAATGATATCCTGAGGCTTGTCCCGTGTGGTACCGCCACCTTCAACGAAAGGATACTGGTTGTCTCGGAGACGGCCCTTGATCAAGTCCTGTATTGTTGTCTCTAGTCGAGGCGAGTGCTGTGTATACACGTTCTCCACGCCACCAAGACCTCTGTTGAAGCGCTCCCTGGCTCCTTGAAATATAGAAGATGGTTGGAACAGATCCGGAATGGCGCCAGTCTGTGGTAGTGACTGCAAAGAATGCGCATAGGTAAGGAGTTTTGGTATCAGGTTGATACGATGGCGAGAGAGTCCGCCGGCTACTGCCAGGAGGTCCATAAGTGCTGGTGTCGAGTTCGAAGGATGTGAGGCGTATCGAAGAGCGTAGATGGCCACCAATCTGAGCTTGTTATCTGGAGGTGTTTTGGGATCTTGTATTAGGCGCTGTAGGGCTTTGAGATCGTTTGAGTGATTCTCGTTGCAAGCAAGACTTTGTTCCAGCTCGCTGATATCCAGTAAATTCTCCTCGCCAACTCTGCGACTGAGTTCTGTGACCAATGTGACGTGCTTGGTAACATTCCCTGATAGGCGGCGGAACTCTGGATAGTCTTCAACGAATCGCTTCATATCCTCGATAGACTCGAGCTTATGGCTTGACTGTTGTTTTGAAGCGAATTGCTCGACATAGTCTTTGGCATTCTGGCCAAGGTCGCCGAAATTGAGGTACATGTTCTTCTTGAAGAAGGGATCTTGGTCTTGGCTGATGAAGATTTCCTTAGACAAAATAAGTAAAAGTCAAACCAAAAGCGCTGTATTAATTGGACGTGTGACGCACCTTGAACTCTGGCCGGACGTCTGGTACATGACTGAGATTGACTCTGCCATTCTTTATGCCCAGGAGTTCATGTACCATGGCTTGATATGTCCATTGAGTGAGCAATGGCGTGACGGGGTCGTCCCTTCGGTCGACGATGAGTAGTATCGGAGCGGTATCGGTCTTTCTGAAGTCGAAGAGTTGTTCCTCCTGGGTCATCTGGTATCGAACCTCTGTGGCTAACTTTTTCGCAAGAAGACTGTTCTTCTGGAAGCGAATCATGGGACGCTTCTTGAGAGACAAAAGCAGAGCAATGACGCCTTCTGTGGCTCTCGAGAGCGATTCTTGATTCCACATATCGGGGTTGGAGCTCCAGAGGCGGTGTTCGAGGGCGAGCGAGGTAAGGTCTGGATTCACGACCAGATAATCGGCGAAACATTCATGGACGGCTTTGACGACCTCATGATCATCGGCTTCGGCAAGGCGCTCAAGGGAGGATTTCTTGACTATGTTGCTAAAGTCTGACCTTGTATCAGTCAGAAGATCGTTCCATGGCGGTCGCAGGGCAGGGCATACAGATGTGGTATTCGCCGTATTTGGGGTCGCGGAACTCATCTATCAGGAACTGGATACTGTCGGGAGAGGGGCGGACGAAACAGAGGCATCGGAGGTGGCGCATCTTCTCTCTGTTGTGGTTGTCCAAGCGATCGGTCAGGTAGACTTGGTGGTTCAGGAGAGCGGATTGGGTTGTCGCTGACGATACGACCGAGACCTGGGCCAAGTGTTAACCACATACAGCTACTTGAGCGAGGCTGAGCAACTCACAGTATCATTGTCCAAGAGCAGTATCTTCATTTTGGCAGCGTTGGAGGCAGTAGCGCCATCTCCAGTCGACACCATCTTGCTAACATAGCCCGAGACGGCCTGGAACGCGTCCATGGCTGCTGCGAAGTCGAGGACCCTCCTGGTGAAATACGAGTATTACAGATGTGTGCTGGTGGTATCGTGTCGCGGAACCCGAGTGTCGTCAGTTGTTCTGGGAAGGTCTGGTGTTTGTTGACCAAAGGAGTATCGGTATGACGGTCGGAGCGATGATAAATGCGGAGTGGTAGCATTGGCCTACGCGCATCGTCGGTGGTAGCACCCTGGGCTCTCGGGGAGACAATACCACCATCCATCTCTACTACCTATATTTGATATGCTTCTCATACAGAGACTGGTCAAGGACTGCGACTTCTTCATCTACCCGTGATACCATTCAAATATCCGCTTATCCGGAACATTCGACCAACATGGCGTCTATCCGGAATTCTCAACATCAGCTTCGGCAAAGGCCATCGGTCTGCTTGGGAGATCTTCATATCTAGATAGCCACAAATTCATGTGACCTTGTGTTCATCTTGGTTCGATACTCCGCACATCTCTCGGCATTATCATATTCGTTCTCGGGTTCGTTCTCTCCAATTCGTCCTGCAATGTCATCGAAACTGCGCGATTCGCTAGCTCGAGATGGCTTTGTTCGGATACCCTCAGCCATCGGGGCAGACCAGCTCGAAGCTTTGAGAGCTGCCTGTCAATGCGTTGCGCGGTTGGCACGCACGGGAGACTGGCCTCACGTCAGGACTCTACCAAAGCAGTTTCCTCCCTGGAACGCAGATATTTCAGAGGGCATATGGGGTGTGCAACATCTGATGCATCCCGATCTCCCTTACCACGACACCTTTGCTGCCTCATATTTCGCACCTTACATCATCACCGCCGTGACCGACATCTTGCAATGCAGTCCTGACGACCTCGTTCTCGAATTGTACAACCTTTTGATTCGTCCTGACGCCGACTTCGCTCTTCGATGGCATCGGGATGACATTGGCCCTGACGTTTCGGCTCAAGACGAGTTGGAACGTCTGCAAGAGCCAATGCTTCATGCTCAATGGAACCTAGCCCTATATCCCGATCAGTCTCTAGTCGTCGTGCCCGGCTCCCATATGCGCTCAAGGACAGAGGAAGAACGGTGTGCGGACCCCTTCGAAGACAACATGCCGGGACAGATGATTGTCACCATGGAGCCTGGCGACATCATCTTCTACAACAACAACATCCTGCATAGAGGTGTGTACAGTAGCCAAGCGGAGAGAATGACTCTCCATGGATCCATGGGCATCGTTGGCGCCGATCCTGCCAGAGCTAGAAACGTGCTACAACACGGAATCGGCGCGTGGGTCGGACGTTGTGACTTCAGCAAAATGCAAGACCACACCAACGATCAGGACTCTTCTGCTTTGGCAGACGACATGCGGAGCAGGCTGGTAGCAATGGGCTCGGGCCAGGTTCTGAGCTTTTCCCAGCCGTTCGACGAGTGAGGGGTTGACACGAGCTCAGCCGGTTTCTGAAGTTCTTGTCATGGCCTCTCTGGGACGTGGCTTGCGAACTACACATGCCAAGTCAGACAAGGTTTCATAGGATCGGACATCACTAGACAGTGACATGGATATCGTATGATGTAGCAACCAGCATCGGCAAGCCCGAAGCCATTGCAAGGGTAGATTGCGTGAATTGCAGTGAGCCCAGAGACAAGTCGGCATGAAAACGGAACCTTGGAAGCCTTTTCTCCACATCTCCAGCTTGGTGCCGCGGTCCCATGACGCGCATCATGATCTCCCCGCAATAATATTGGATGCACGATGGAGACATGCATCTTTTGTGATATAAGAACGCCATGTCTTGAAAATTCTCGAGAGCCGCTCCCATATCCTTCCTTCCAAAATGGCCAGTATGCGAGCTTTGCTGCCTGGTCTACTGGCAATTCTGCCTTACTGTTCGGCCCAGTATGCCGACTTCTCCATTCCATCGACTTTTACTAATTGGGACAATGCACTCTGGGAATTGAGCACAGATAGCCTAATCCAAGGTCAATATCAGTCGCGTGCTCCAATGGGCAATGGGTAAGTCAGACGACACTGTGTAGTCCAAGTCAGAATGTATTGGTCTGACCAGTATCTAGATACATCGGATGCGGACTCGCTGCTGCCGGTCCTTTCTTCGAGGCAGATGTCAACTTGACCGATCCTAATGGTGGTAACCTACCAATCAACGGCTGGCCCTTGGATAATCCGAGGCAGACCTTCTGTACCGTTTCAGGTTTCTTCAACTCTCAGAAAAACACCACTAGAACCAACTTCCCAGAACTGCTTTTGAAGGGTGGAGAGAGTGTGATTGCTGGTATCCCCAACTGGCCGAACCTCATTCTTGAAGTTGAGGGTGCCATTCTGAATGCGTCGGTGGACAGTTCCGCCATTTCAGACTTCAGCTCTACCAGATCCTTGAAGAATGGACTACAGACATGGAACTACACCTGGACTCCGAGCTCAAACTCCAGTTTGTCTGTGTCTTATGAGATGTTTATGGACCGCTCTCAGCCCAACGTCGCTGCCGTCCGGCTTTCGGTTGTGTCTTCTTCTTCAATCAATGCTACTGTCACCGATCTCATCGACGGAAGAGGTGCTGTTCGATCCGATCCTCATTCCTCAGGTACACTTGACAACTCTACCACGATCTACTCTGCAGTGTCCCCACACTGGCTTGGAAACATCACTGCCTGGATATTCTCGACTGTAGAGGGTCCAGGTCTTGATGTGGCGTCTCGCACAAACGCTTCTTCCAGCTTCTACCTCCCTTCGAACGATAGCACTATCGGACAGTCTTGGAACATAGAGCTGAATGCTGGTGCTGCTGTCACCATCACAAAATACATCGGTATCGCGTCTTCTGACGGCTTCAGCGACCCACAGGCTGTTGCACAAGACGCATCCTTGCAAGCCTCCCAAGCCGGCTTCGACAAGCTTTTCCAAGGCAGCGCACAAGCATGGGCCGACCTTCTTACAGATGATATGGTCGATGACTACACCCTCCCCGATGGCTCTCTTCCGGACGATCAAGATGTAGTCGATATGCAGATCATCTCGAAGGCAAACGCTCATTATCTGCTTCAAAATCTTCTCCCCGAGGACGGAGGCGATCTGAACCACTGGTCGATCAGCGTGGGAGGTCTTGGCTCTGATTCCTATGCTGGGTTGGTGTTTTGGGATGCCGATATCTTCATGTCACCCGGAGTTTCTGTTTCACACCCCAAATATGCGGCTCAGATCCCCAAATATCGTGTGATGCTATCACCGCAAGCAGCGATCAACGCCGAGGAGAATGATTTCTCTAGCGAGGCTATTATCTACCCTTGGACGAGTGGCCGTTTCGGTAACTGTACTGGTACTGGACCTTGTGTTGACTACCAATACCACTTGAACAGCGACATCTTCCTGAACAACCTGCTCTATTGGAGAGTCACTGGAGACGACAGCTGGTTCAAGGATCAGGCCATTCCCGTGAACGATGCGATTGTGCAGATGTTCTCCGAACTGGTCAAGTACAACCAGACTGTCGATGGATACTCGATTGCCAACCTAACTGATCCAGATGGTAAGTTTGAGTTGATAATATGTACTTATCATTGAGCTGACAACCACACAGAATATGCTAATCAGGTTCCCGATGGCGCTTACACGCTTGCCTCAGTCGCAAAGATCATCGAGTGGACCCAGGGATACTCTGAGGAATTCTCAGTGAACGTCGAGTCCAACTGGTCATTGATTGCAGAAAATGTTGCCTTGCCTTTTGCGCCGTCTGGAATCTTGACAGAGTTTCTCGGAGCAAATAACACGGCAGTAATCAAGCAAGATGATGTTGACTTGATCAACTACCCCTTGGATTACAGCTCGGAGAACTACACTAGAGAAGATAAGCTCACCTCGCTGGACTACGTGAGCACATGTATGCAATTACCTCTCGAAAACATACTAACGGAAACCAGTACGCGGTAAAGCAATCTCCCGACGGACCTGCAATGACTTACAGTCTTTACTCGATCTCCGCAAACGCACTCTCCCCATCTGGCTGTTCTTCATTCACATACGCATTAAACGGATTTAAAGCATACACCCGTGCGCCTTGGTATCAATTTTCCGAGCAGCAGGTCGACAACTTCACCCTCAACGGCGGCACAAACCCGGCGTTCCCTTTTATGACTGGAGCTGGCGGCTGGCATCAGGTCGGCCCAATGGGATGGCTCGGTGCCCGAGTGGTAGAGGATCAACTCATCCTCCAGCCAGCTTTGCCACCTCAGATCCCTTATGTCAGCCTCCGCACCGTCATCTTTGGCGGAGCAGGAATCAAGGCCACCATGAACTACACTCATACCAATCTGACTCGGATGGACGTTTCCACCTATCTGCCACCAAACAGCAGTGACATCTACGGAAACCAGTCTATGCCGATCACCATCGGCTTTTCCCTCGAAGAAGGCCGTAATATCAGCATAGCACTTGGACAGACGGTGACGATCGAGAATCGTGTATACTTTGACAATCTGACCACACCCGGAAACCTCGTCCAATGCTTGCCGGTCACTTCAGAAGGAGAATATCAACCAGGCCAGTTCCCTCTTGCAGCCGTTGATGGAGCAGCCAGTACTCGTTGGCAACCTAGAAACCGCCAGCCTGCGAGTTTGACTGTCGATATGCAGAACGTGGACTATCAGCCATTGACCGGTGTATCGTTTGATTGGGGAAGCCGTCCACCAACGGCAGCCCGCGTGCTCGTCTACAACTCCACAAGCGGATCAAACAGCAGTCTCACAGATATTCGGACGGCAGTATTCTCTGATATCACTATTTCAATGCCGTACAATGCTGCTACCAACGACATTGTCCAGGAGTACACCGGTAATATGTCGTACTTCAGATTCTCGACTCCAATCTGGTCAGGACAGTATGTTACACTCGAGATCAGTGGCTGTCAAGCAACAGGAGACCAGCTGGGCGCTACAGTAGCCGAATTCAATCTGCTGGGCGCCAATGGTACAAGTGTGGTTGGAAGCGGTGTTGGTACCAACGGAACGTCGTCGAACACGACTACAAGCATTGTGACTCCGAGCTCAACAAGAGGATCAGTAAGCTCACTGGCAACCGCATCGATCACGGCTACACGAACCCCAAGTTCTCCATCGCTTCTTGCATCGAACACAGGCTTCAAGTCCGTTGGTGGATCGGGACTCTTGTGGCTACTTAGCGGCGTTGTGATGGCGATGGCCATGCTGTAATCGTGCAAGAATGGTTTTATGTGGTAGAGGACATGTACACAATAACGAGATGGCTAGGTAGCAAATTCGATGTTGGCATGGTCGCTCGCTACCGTGAGATCAAATAGTATCGATTGCAATCATGTTCAAACGAAGCAAATGATACAAAAAGGCGCGATATACCGAAGCTTTGAAAGAGAGGCAGATAGTCCGAGATAGAAGTGCTTGGAAGAAGCTAGGATGTGGACGGGTCAGGCGAAATTGGGTAGGGTCCAGCCCCGCCAACAGTTCAATCGGCAGTCGCCGACGTGTTCATAAAGGAATCCGCGGTCGCTCTTTCTTCCCCAGCTCTCCATCACTCGATCCTTGTCCGACTGTCAAACCGCAATACAGCAACAACCCGTCAAAATGGCTCTCAACCCTCAAGTGACCAACTTGGTCATCATCCTGTACGCACGCGACACTGTCGGAGATGGGCTGGACGCAAAAATTGACTCGGGGGCAGGTTCATGATGCAGGTTTCCAAGAAGGTGGCCTTCGAAGACCCCAACGTCCTGATGGCAGTTCGCGCACTATACGTCGTGTCCAACCTGATCATCGCCGGCATCTACCTCTATGTGCAGGCGCAGATCAACAAGAAGAAGGGTCAGTAGCGACCGAGACGCGTGGCAGCAAGAAGAAGCCCAAGGCTAACTGGATTGGCAGATCTCACCGTTATCAAGTACGTCGAGCCCGCACCCATGGGATCGACCGAGGAGCCCAAGCCCGTCACCACTACTGTGCACGCATACGACGCTCAGCAGCTCCGTGGCCTGTTCAAGAGTCAGCTCATGGGTGTCGGCATGATGGCCGTCATGCATCTCTACTTCCAGTACACCAACCCCCTCCTCATCCAGTCCATCATCCCCCTCAAGGGCGCCTTTGAGGGCAACCTGGTCAAGGTCCACTTGTTCGGACAGCCTGCCGTCGGCGAGCTCAAGAGACCCTGGAAGGCCTCTGGCGGCCTGATGGGCATGCAGGGTGCCGGTGATATCAAGACCGACAAGAAGAGCATCGAGGCCGCCGAAAAAGCAGGCAGAGGTGGTGTCAAGGACGAGTAGAGGGGTCAGCTCGAGCATGCGCATGGCGCGTGATGTACGTCTAGGTAGAAGAAAAGCGGATGCGTGGAGTTGTCATAGCACTGCGCAAATGGACAAAAGATCAATCACGTCATGGCTCTCACATACAAGAGCATGCAACGCGTATAGCTATAAAAATGCAGAGTAGATTCGAGAAACAGGATGGTGTTTATTGGGATGCGATTATCTCGCCTCGCAGCTCTCGTTGGATACAGCTCTGGTCCGGAAACCCTTGTGCCTTGCTATAGCGAGGACCTCGGTCGAGAGCTTTCAGGAGAAGAGTGTGAGTGTGAGAGTTGTAGGCCCAGCACACGGCGAGGTCTCATGTAGTGGAAACAGCAGACAAACAGTATTACATTCTGTCATCTGGTGGAGACCGTAGAGTCGAAACAGATGAATAAATAAAGGGGTGTAATTGTGATGGTTGCGGAGAGCTCTCGAGTTTAGCCGATGCAAGTGAGTGTGGACGTGCGTGGTCTTGGTGCTTTGGGAGTTGGTCGTCCACCGACACATGTTACATTGCACCACCCACGACTCGCCCTCCCCGAGTTGAGCCAATACGGGCACACGCCAGGCAGCACCAGCAACTCGCCAATGCTCCACACGTCCTGAGCCGCATCATCCCCGACAGAGTAGGAGAGAGCGACGACGAGAGCGCGCGCTCGAGGCAGCACGAGACCGGCCGCCATGGCATACCAACAAACAGGCGGTATGCTCAACAACGCCACGAATGCCGCCCAAGCGAACGACCACCATGGTCCGCAGGGTGCCGAATACACGTTGCAGGGTATGTTTGACCTCCCTCTTGGCCGACCTACTGGCTGACGCTAGCAACCCAGGCGTTATGCGCTTCCTCCAGATCGAATGGCACAACCACGAGCGAGCCCGGAACGCATGGGACATTGAGCGCGCTGAGATGAAGGCTAAGATCGCAAAGCACGAGGGCGAGTCTCGCCATGCAAAGAGAATCAACGAGCAGCTCGAACGACAGGTGCGCATGCTCGAAAGCGCCCTCAAGCAGGAGAGGAAGAAGAAGGGCAGCGACCCCAATGCGCCCCTACAACCAGACGGTGCTGTCTCGCACTCTGCCAGACGTCAGTCCATATCCACACGAGCCGCGCACGGCCGGCCAGCTGATCTGTCGTCTGTAGCATCCCACGACTTGCACAACTCGTTCCTCGACACTACTCCCGACAAGCAGCAGTACAGAGACAAGTCCAAGAAATTCCTCGACCGATGCCTAAACGAAGTCCAATACCTGCTTACTCCTCAGCCGCACCCTCCGCCGCCTCACGTGTCCATGCAGAACCCTCCAGCTTCCTATACCGGCCTACCTGATCCTCCAGTCTCGCTCGATGACCTCTACTTACGTCGCGCCGGAAGACCCTACCCTCCCTCTTCCCATGTACAACTGCAGCCTCCAGTCAATCTCTCCTCCGAGGACCAGAAGCGTCACCTCGCTCTGTCTATGCCCCCTGCACAACCTCCTACCCATACCTTACCCCAGCCTCCGCAGTCTCAATTCGTACCACTGGACGAGCCCGTAGAGCAGGTTACACATTCCTACGATTCGTACGGTCGTCCTGTCGCTTCCACTCCGGACGCCGCTCCTCGCTCCATAGTTACTCAGGACTCCTCGGTCGATGGTTGGAACTTCGACGACCAACAATCTCTACCCGAACAACCTCCTACCGAATTGCCCCAACCTCCCCGAAGACCTGACACGGATTTGTTCCCTAGTGCAGCAAACCCTCCTTCAAGATCTCCTCCGCGTACTGGTTCAGGTCGTCGCAGATCGTCAGGCTCACAAGGAATGGCCAGGAGAAGAAGCTCCGGTTCCCATGATCTTCACGATAGTGGCTCGGAGCTTACTGCAAAGCCAGATCCGTCACAGTTCAAGGTCAAGTTTGCTCTTCGCGGTCATCTCGATGTTGTCCGATCCGTCATATTCACTGGTGGCGGCAGCCCATCGGAGCCCGAAATTTGTACTGCTGGCGACGATGGTACAATAAAACGCTGGATCATACCCGCTAGCTACACCAACTTCCAGAACAACGCAAACAACGATCTGGATATCGCTTGTTACTTCACCCACCGCGGCCACGAGGGTGTGGTCACTTCTCTCGCAGCATGTCCTTCGACCAGCTTCTCCACAGGAGGCCGTGTGTCAGGAGACGGCTGGATTTTCTCAGGCGGCCAGGACGCTACGGTTCGTGTTTGGGAGCGTGGGCGAGTCGATCCGAAAGCCACTCTGGAAGGCCACACGGATGCTGTCTGGACCGTATGTCTTTTACCTGGAACCGTTTCGTCCGTCTTTGGAACTCAGAGCTCGAGTTTCGGTGGACCTGATCGTATTTTGCTTGCCACAGGTTCTGCTGACGGCACTGTCAAAATCTGGTCTGTCAGTGCTCCACCACAATTGGTCTCTCCGCAAGCAGGTTCCAGACGTGGTGGTAGCCGTCGTCACTCTGTCACCTCTGGCAGCAACCACCCCAGTTCTCCCCAACCCAACGTGGCTACAAGTACACCATTCCACTACACGCTTGTTCACAGCATCGAGCGCGAGTCTGCTCCAGGGATTGCGCCTACTTGCATCTCTCCTCTCAGTCCGTCAGGCGAGAACTTTGTTGTTTCATATACAGACTCGAGCGTACTTATCTTTGATACAAGGACTGGCGAAGAGATCATCGGAATGGCGAGTAATGAGACGTATGATGGAACATTGACTACAAGCATCAACGCCGTGGTTGCCACTAGCAGTGCATCGCTCGGCCTAGAAACAGGATCGTCATATATGGATAGAGCGGACCAAGAGGAATCTGTGGGTGCCGGGCCGACGGGCTCAGCACAAGGTGTCGAGGGCGTAATTGTCAGTGGCCACGAGGATCGATACATTAGATTCTTCGATGCAAACAGCGGTAAGTTTTGATTCCTGCGAAAGGTCAGGGTCTCTTTTACTAATTGATATCAGGGCAATGCACATACACGATGCTCGCACATCCCTCAGCCATCTCATCGCTCTCCTTGTCCAAGGACGGCAGGGAAGCAGTTTCAGCTGGGCATGATGCATCGATCCGGTTCTGGTCGCTTGAGAAGAGGCAATGCACGCAAGACATTACGTCGCACCGACCCATGAGGGGCGAAGGCGTTTGCAGCGTGGTGTGGAGTCAGGACGGCAGATATGTCGTCAGTGCAGGCGGCGACGGTGTAGTCAAGGTGTTTGCGCGATAGCACCACCGTATATCCACCTTGCGAATACGGAACATGGCCTCGTGTTCAAAACACGGAGAGTTACATGTCGAGATTAAGAAGAAGAGACCGATGTCTTGCTAGACAGCACCATGAAAGACGTGTACATTGACGGGGCTACCAGAACCCTCTTTTCCTTTTGCCAAATCCGAATGTGCAGCAAACAAATGGTGTGAAGATATACTAAGTATTCATCTGCTATTTGTGAGAAAGGATTATGTACCTATTTGGTAGTGAATGGGTGAAGCAAGCAAGCCTATCAGCCGCTTGGATGAGCCAAAGCCGTACTCGAAGCTTGGAAGAAATGAGTAGTGTAGTACAGCATCATAATGTCGTGTTTCGCGTAACCTGCTTTTTGTTCGTTTTCACAAAGACATGCCAGCTAGAAAAAGCAGTTAGAGGTAAGATGAGAGGCAGATCACGCCTCCCCAAATAGTCTTGCGGTAATGTCACCCATGTACTCCTCCTCGAGTTCGTAGTCCTCGCCGTCGTTCTTGTCGATACCAGTGAATTCGAAGGCGGCCACTACGGTTGGGACGTCGAAGCCCATGGCGGAGAAGCGATCCACCAGAGATTTGTTGTATCCGTGATACCTGTAGCACGTGTTAGCAAAGTCTGATCCATGATCGAAGTGGTACAGGCCAACACACTGAGCGATCTTTGCAGCTTCAGCCTTGTGCCGTCTCTGGTCCTCCTTGTTCTTGAGAGTCTCTTCGGTCACGCCTCCACTTCCCTCTGCACCGGTGCCTTCGGAGCCAGGGGCGCCTGTGGGAGCACCGGCGTACTTGATTGCCCATTCACGAGCGACGTGTTCGAACTCTTTGGGGTTTGTGATGAGCATGCGAGCGACCTCTGCGTCTTGAGGATCTTTTGGTTCGGGCGAGGATAGTAGTGACTGGAGAGAGATGAGTGCGGACTTGAGGGTGAGGACGGGAGACCAGGCTGAGCCTAGAGTGTCGAGACAGATGGCACCCTAAGGATGGATGTGTTAGCAAGGAAAGTCGGACAAGGAGGGCGATTGGACGGACTGTAACACTTGAGATGTTTGGATGCCAGATCTTTGTGGTGAATTTCATGACGGGTGGCTGGAAGGGATAGTCGTTAGGAATCTTGATGTCGACGTTATAAGTAGCACCGTGGTAGGGAGTATCGGGCGGACCGCGAAAGACGCCCTTGAAATGTGTCAAGTCATCGAGAGTATCGGAGCCGGTTTGGGCCTTGTTCAGCGGCTCAAGCGAGACGCCCGAGTGCGAGTCTTTCTGGACGTCTTGGATCTCCTTGACCAGGCGGCGGTTTCTGTTCGCCGCCATGGCTGTGGGCGCTGTTCAAGGTCGAAAGCGAGAGCGTGTGTGGTTTGATCGGAATCGGGGTTGTATAGTCCGAGTGCGGAGCCGGGTGAAGGACGGATTCGAGTGGTATATAGACGGGGTTGCAGGCCAAGGAGTGAGGGAGAGGCAGCTGTTCAGACGTGTCACAAGGGTGTGTATGTGATTATGAGAGAGAGCACGAAGGGCGAAGTCGAGTTGACTTGAGATGGTTCACGTCGACGAGGCACATGTCATTCCGTACAGCACGCTAACCCACGCTTTGACCAGCGTCATCGTCGACACAATCAACTGGGCGTCTGTCTGCACCTGCGCCTGCACCTGCACCTGCCTCGCCATCCATCAACCCTTTGCTATCACTGCGCCATCCAGCCCGTTCTCGTCTCCAACATACTGCTCGGTCCACGCCGCTGCTCGTCTAACCTTGGAACCCGACCCAAGACCCCATCTCATTCGCGCCGTCCTCTGGCCACTGTAGCCACACCCGCCATCAATCATGGTTCGTCTCCGTCTTGCCATCTACCTCACATTTCCATCGTACTGACTTCTGCACAGGGTGCGAACCAGTCTGGCCTTGGAGGTGGCCCTCCCGGTCAGGGAGGCGACAACAAGGACAAGAAAGATGCCAAGGTACCTTTGCCTCCACCCATCCTACCCATCACTCCTGCTTACACTCCCGCAGAAGGATAAGCCCAAGTACGAGCCTCCGCCACAGCCCACCACTCGCATCGGCCGCAAGAAGAGAAAGCAGGCCGGTCCGAATGCCGCCGCTAAACTCCCCAACATCTACCCTACCGCCCGCTGCAAGCTCCGATACCTGCGCATGCAACGCATCCACGACCATCTGCTACTAGAGGAGGAATATGTCGAGAACCAGGAGAGACTGCGCAAGGCCAGAGCTGCAACCGCCCAACAGCCCTCGTCCGCCCCCGCTGACAGTGATGCCATGGACCGCAACGCCGACGAAAGAAGCCGTGTTGACGACATGAGAGGTAGCCCCATGGGCGTCGGAAATCTCGAGGAGCTCATCGACGACGACCACGCCATCGTTTCATCTGCCACTGGTCCCGAATACTACGTCAGCATCATGTCCTTCGTCGACAAGGACTTGCTCGAGCCTGGCGCAAGCGTTCTTCTGCATCACAAATCCGTCTCGGTCGTCGGTGTCTTGACAGACGACGCCGACCCTCTCGTCTCGGTCATGAAGCTCGACAAAGCTCCCACTGAATCATATGCCGACATTGGTGGTTTGGAACAACAGATCCAAGAAGTCCGCGAAGCTGTCGAGTTGCCCTTACTCCACCCTGAGCTGTACGAGGAGATGGGCATCAAGCCACCAAAGGGTGTCATTCTCTACGGTGCTCCCGGTACTGGAAAAACACTACTCGCAAAGGCCGTTGCAAACCAAACCAGTGCTACCTTCCTGCGCATCGTCGGTAGTGAATTGATTCAGAAATACTTGGGTGACGGTCCTAGACTTGTGAGACAGCTCTTCCAGGTCGCCGCCGAGCATGCCCCTAGTATCGTCTTCATTGACGAGATCGATGCTGTTGGTACCAAGCGTTACGAGTCCACCTCGGGTGGTGAACGTGAAATTCAACGTACTATGCTTGAGCTTCTGAACCAGCTGGATGGTTTCGATGACCGTGGTGATGTCAAGGTCATCATGGCCACTAACAAGATCGACACACTGGATCCTGCCCTTATCAGACCTGGTCGTATCGATCGCAAGATTCTCTTTGAGAACCCCGACCGTAAGTCTATATCTCGAGAATTTTCCAATGTACCACTGACTAATGGTCGCATGTAGAAAACACCAAGCGCAAGATCTTTACCCTCCACACATCCAAGATGTCTCTGGCTGAGGATGTTGACCTCGAAGAGTTTATCAACCAGAAGGATGACCTCTCGGGTGCTGATATCCGTGCCATGTGCAGTGAAGCTGGTCTCATGGCGCTGAGAGAGCGCAGAATGAGGGTGAACATGGCCGACTTTAGATCAGCCAGAGAGAGTGTGCTCAAGACCAAGAGCGAGGGCGAGCCCGAAGGTCTCTACTTGTAGTTACTCGCTCCTTGGGTTTCAGGCCACATGCACGATCGATGGTTGTAATACTATATAGCATACAATGGGAGTCCAATACATGATGATATGAAAGCTGTTCGTGTACATTTTATGAATTTGATGACATTTGAGCCGACTGATAGTGGAGATCATCGCGGTACGGCAACAAGCTTCCAACGAGGATTTCCAAAAGCCGACCTCGGCGTGGTCAAACATCAATTATTGCTGTATCTACAAACCCACTTTCATCATACCAATTGTCTTCTGAATCTTCAGAATCTCGCTTCTTATGCTTTGTTGAGTCCGATAGTCATTGAGCAATAGAGAAATTGCATACGTGCAGAGATGCAGTCACACGAGCAAATTGCCTACCTAGGTCCAAAAGCCTCGTACACACATCAGGTAAGATACAACACTCCTGACTGTTTCCTACAGCTATATATGAATTTGCACCTTGAGACATGAGCAGTATCGTATTGAAATTCTATGCGTGCTCCGAGAAGACGATGTGTCCATCATTCTACCCTAAAGAGTCACAACTACCTTCAAAAGAACAAGGCTTATATTGAGAACAGGCAACACTGAGTGCTTTTGATTCAGACAACTATACGTTTTCGCCACAGACGACAATTGAAGATGTCTTCAGCCAGGTGCAATCGGGAAAGGCCAATTTCGGTGTGGTCCCATTCGAGAATTCGACAAATGGATCTGTAGTTTTCACGCTGGACCTCTTTGCCGACCAGAGTGCAAAACATCCGGATATTGTCGTTTGTGGCGAGCGCTATGTCGAAGTACATCACTGTTTGCTCGGTCATCCTGCAGCTTCCAGTCAAGCACATGCTCCCGCATCAACAAAGGCACTCCGGGATGGAACCAGAAGCCCGAGCAGTTCTGGCCATGCTACACCTAGACCTGGCAACCCGAACCCCACGAACTCGCGTGCAGCTCCATTGACTGATCTGTCTCATATCAAAAAGCTATATTCGCATCCACAGGCTTGGGGACAATGCAAGACTTTCTTGTCATGCTATCTCAAGGGTGTGGAGCGACAGGACGTGTCATCCACTTCGCGAGCAGCAGAACTCGTGGCGGCTGATGAGACAAATACGACAGCAGCTATCAGCAGTGGCATCGCTGCGCAAATGACCGGCTTGGATTTCCTGGCACGCGATATTGAGGATGACAAGGACAATGCTACGCGTTTCTTCATCATTCGGAGGAGAAGCCTCGAGGACACGTCGCCTTCGCCTGATGAGGAGAATAGTCAAGAGCACACTCGGGCGTATAAGTCTTTGCTCTCTTTTACTGTTTCCCACACCGATGCAGGAGCGCTGGCCGATGCTCTGGCCGTATTCAAGACTCAAGGCATCAATTTGACCAGCATCAACCCTCGCCCAAGCGGCGAGGCACCCTGGCACTACATGTTCTTTGTTGAGTTCTCTGGCAGGCGAGGCCAGGCTGCCGTCGACGACACGTTGACAGGCTTGGATAATGTCGTCAGGTCATGGAGATGGCTAGGCAGCTGGGAGAATGCTCTGCAGCAGAAGCAATGAAGATTGTCGGAAAGAAATTAAGGGTATAGAAACAAGATAAGAATAACTTCGGAACCGTGCAACCTAGTGCTACATCCGCCTCCAGATGGTTTGCAGGCCACCACACGCCGGTCTCCTGCCGGCGCCAAGATGTAAAACGTGAGAAGGAAAACGCCCGACAAGACAAGTCTTGCCATTCGGGTAAGCCTTGCAGCATCTCTGAGATGCAAAGAGCCGAAGCCTGGAGGGAGGATGGAGGAGGAGTGTGTGGAGAAAAAGCAGATCAAACAGCAAAAAGAAAAAATGAAACCCATGAAAGCCAGCCATCAATCCCAAAGCCCAAAACGCGGACAGCATTGTTTGACGTCTATGCGACATCCTTCTTCCCCTTCTTCTGTTCGACCTTGAGCAGCAGGGCGCGGTTGATGGACGGAAGCACACCACCAAAGGCGATGGTGGCGCGGATAAGGGTGTCAAGTTCCTCGTCACCGCGGATGGCGAGCTGGAGGTGGCGAGGGGTGATGCGCTTGACCTTGAGATCCTTTGCGGCGTTGCCGGCGAGCTCGAGGACTTCGGCCGTCAGGTATTCGAGGACGGCGGTGACGTAGACGGCAGCCTTTGCGGCGACGCGCATCTTGTTCTGCGAGTGCGACTTGAGGAAACGCTTGACACGACCGCAGGGGAACTGTTTGAGAGCAACAAGGTGAGAGTGGGTTCTTGACGCGTCATGGGCTGGCAGATGAAGCAACGAGAAGGAACGTACCTGCAAGCCAGCCTTTGCCGAGTGCGACTTTTGAGTCTTGCTGGAGTCGCCTGCCTTGCCACCGGTCTTGCCGCCAGTCTTTCCTGTAGGTTGACAGGATGGTCAGCAAAAGAGAGGTCGTGGCACGCGATGGGCACATGGTGCAAGCCTACCCTTTCCACCAGGCATATTGTGTTTTGACGAGTTTCGCGTGTCTTGTGGGGTTATTGGAGAGGATGCGACCGAGCCTGCGCGTGTCTTGGCGTGTTATTTTGTGGTTGTGTCGAGTTGATAAAAGTTGGGTCGTGGGATAGAAGGGCAAACGACGCGTCAAGGCTTCGAAGCTGAGGGGCTGCTTCCTTGGGATGATGGAGGTGTTTTGTTGCCAACCCAAAGCCAACGGCTCGACTTGGCGTGCTTTTGGGTCCGCCGAGGCATGCTCATGCTGAAGAATGTACAAGGGCTCCCTGTCGTCCATTGTGCCACGAGTCTGCCTTGTCGGATCTTGCCCTGTCAAAAGACTCGAGCGTCAATATGGCTGTTGACATGTGTTCTGCGACTTGGTACTGCTTGTATGTTGACCATTACCGGGGCACCATCTCGGTCCTTGTACCATGTGAAGAAGCATCAATGTCCGCCGACATCACGCCACCTACCTTTCTGTGTCAGTTTTTACAACAGTCTTCTATGTTTCGTCTCTCGAGTCCTTTGGTGTGGGAGCTGAGCATGCTTTGTTGCCGACCTGACAACGCTCACCAGCAGCACTGGTCGTGTTTGGCGTTTTGATGAGCATATGCTCCTCGCTCTCATTCTGAGAGTGTTTCTGTTACTTTGTTGTAGAGTCCGTCCTCGGCTGGCTTCGTTTGCTCTTCTGCATATTGTATCTGGCATCGACTTGTTTTGCTCTACGCTTCCTTTCACGCCTGAACGCGGTTGCTGTCTGGAAAGCGGATCGTCCAATTGCCGAAATCTTCCCGACTGCTGAGTAGATCGTCCTCGATTGTCGCATGAACTACACATCGTCGAACATATCTCAGAGGTCGTAGAGAGATTGTGTTGATGCATCTCATGATCATGCTTTGTAAGGTCTATGCTGTGGCATTTCTTGATTTCGATGTTGCGAATGCTCCTGATCTTGGCTCGAAACTGTTTAGTACGGCTTGTCTGGGTCGACTGCTTGTGTTCATTCACATCACGACACCACAGGTACATGAACTGACTGTAATGCTCTTAGTAAGTAGCATGGCATATTCAGATACCATAGAGATGATCTGAAGAAGCGCATCCCAGATAGTTTCGTACCCAGGATGTGTGATACCTGAAGACAGGGTCGTGCAAGCTGCAAATTATACTTGGTAAAAAGAAACACCTGTGATGCGATCATAAAATTAGGTTAGATTTATCTATGCTATCGTCTGCTAGTGCAGACTTTGTTCTGACAGCGACGGATGAGTCATGTTTTGGGGTGACCAGAATGTGTCAGCATATAGCATCCAATCATCCGAGCTCCAGTCTAGCAAATCAGAGAAGCTCAGGTCGGGGATAAAGTCGTTACTGAGAGCAGCCATCTGTTGAGTGCTGTTGTTTTCCATAAGTGCAGTCGGTTTATCCTCGACTCGATGCCTGTTCTTCTTAGGGGTTGGCACAGAGTCCTTCAAGGGTGCCGCCTTGTCCGAGAAGTCTGGATCTTGGTGGTCCATGATCTTTCTGCAGATACCGTAAATCCTGCCACTACCAGGTCGAGATGGCATGTTACGACCCAGTGGACTGATCTTGCAGAGTAGCATATCGTAAACGACGAATGTATGGGTCCACTGAATACCACCAGTGTTTAAGATCTTCTCCTCGAACAGATCAAGAACCTTCTCAGCAAGTTCGAGGAACGGCTGTACCAAGCTGCGTAGATCTTGCGTCGATACGTCCTTGTCGTCCGTGTCTCCTAGTGCCAATGTGGAGGTAAAGACTCGCTGGACGTCGGACCGGACCATGATTAGGAATTTGCAATTTTGGACAGACAGCTCGGAAAGCTTGCTAACGATGGAAACAGCAGCGGACTTAAAGGCCTGCTTGGAGAAATTGACATGCGTCTTGGTCACAGCCTGGCGGGCTGCATGAGCATGTAACAAGACAAGAAACTGCTCCAGTTGGATATGGAGGAGCGCAATGCTTTGGTTAATCCCTGCCGGTCTGTCATTCGTCCAATCAGGCAGAGAGGCCAGATTTAGCTCGAGTTCCTGTGTAGATGCCAGTACCTCATCGTAAGACACCCGATGCAGAGGCTGGTTGAACATAGTGATGACCTTCCTTCTCAAACCTCGACTTCGTGCTGACAAGCAAGTGTATGTCATCTTGGTCATCTCTGTGAGAGGTCTGGACGTCCGTATGACCGTCGTCGATTCGTCGAAATCTGTGTCGTGCAAATTCGAAGGAGGGCTAATGTCACTTGCGACATCAAGAGACACCGCTGGCATTCCTCTGTCCATGGATGTTTGAAGGTCCCATTCGACGATAAACGCCCATATTCTCTTTCTCATCTCGTGCTCGAAAGCCGAAGACAGTGATTTCTTCTGCAGCAACTCTGGGTTTCGGTGCATACCAGCAGATATGGCAATTCGAAGAAGATTACCGGACTCAACCCATCGTCTCTTCATTTTCACTTGATGAGTCTGTTTGGCGATTAGAAGGAGGCATTGAACTTGATACCAGGCCAGATACGTATGTTTTTGGCTTGATTCGTCAACCCAAGACTCGCACACACGAATCAGAGCGATGGCCGTCTCGCGCGAAAGTGGGCTGTCAGCCATATACATTTGCGGTTGCCCTCGGACAAGACACTGGCAACACGCCATCATCAAGAGCACCGTGGCTACAAAACCAGGTTTCGCATTGCGTGGATCCAGCCACATTTCCTCATACTCGCGTTGGAAAGTAGGAAAATGTAGTATTGCATAGGTGCAGTCAACGTTTTCGAGGTACATCCTGACCAGAAGGTCGACTTTGATTCGCTCCGGGAGGTAGGCGAACAGGGGCTTGCGTGGTGAAAGCGCTTCTTGCTTATCCAGTATCTTCTTCACTGCTCGTAGCTTGTGTACGTCTCTTCTGCAACGCACGAGTTCTGGATTACGAGAGATCTCCTCTCGGAAGAAACTATGAGCATTCTATAGGCAGCAATCTAGTCAGCTTTATACGCAAGAGACCGGTAAAGCAGATAGTAGGCGTGGTCGTTGTAGTACAAAAAGCGGAAAGACAAGCCTTCGAACATCACAGAACAGTACTTACAAGCGTCATAGCACTCCTGGGATCAGACGGACCAAAGAACGTCGTCTTAAATCCTTTACCTCTGAATAGTATCCTTTCCTTTGTAGCCGAGTCGTTGGCACCGCTGGGCGTCTCGCTGGCTCCATGGGCTTGAGGCGTCGCGATTGATACTGTCGCAGGCGTGGCAGGACTTGCATGGGCAGCTTGTAGTCGCTCAATCACGCGTTCCTGGTGAAGAAGCTTGTTGAACATATCGTCCCAGACGTCCCTGCTGACGGTAACGGACTGTTGTCGCGAATGCCATGATGTGCTCGGCCCGCTGGAAGTCTGCTGAGAAGGACTGTCGTCTTCGTATGAGCATGGCTTGCCAGCCTTCTCACACCTCCCACATATAGGAAGAGCCCGATCGCATTGAACCTTCCTCCTACGGCAATCCATACATGAGAGAACTTTGCGGCGGCGCTTCCTATCAGGACCCAGGTCTCCCTCAGGAGAGCGTTCGTGCTCCATAGCTTCTCCGCGTCGATATGTTAAGGTAGCAACATGAGAGGAATCACTAGGATAGACAACCTTCAACGCATCAATGTTGCGATGAGCCCTAACCGCTTCAACGGTGGGACCTCGGCTCCGAGTACTCGGCTCCGAGCTGAAAGGAGCGCGTGGTTTCCTGGCACAATCTCACCATTGAGATTCTCACAATCCTGTTCTTCCAGACTGTCGTCCCGACAGCACAGCGACAATCGGATTGAGGAAAGCTTCAGCCAGAAAGCTCCTGTGCAAAACATCGCAACGAAGTGCTTCTTTGTGAGCGCATAACGACGCCGAAAGTTTCAGTTTGTCATTCCAATCCGCACCCGAGACCTGTAGATATGGCCATCTCTACATTGTATCTATCGATTTCATGCCATCTATGAGTTTGTCTTTACTCGCAGCGACCTCGTTTGATTTAGCAGCTGTTTATACGTTGTGTTCAAGGTAGGTCAATCCGATACCTCTTATCTCGCTCTCTCTTTAGGTAAGTCGTGCCGTTTGAACCCTGAATGGTCGGCACGCGAAATCGGCACGCTATGCTGCTTGTAGGAACTCCACCCTTCTATCTTATCGCCGTGCTGCACTTATCGCATGGTACTCATGGTGGTGGGCTGCCAGACGTGGGGCAACGGTAAACCCGCATAATGTATGTACGGCTACAGCTGCTTCTCGTGTGTATATAACAGAGCTCTCCAGTCCCAATTATCGTGCTCAGTCTTGTTCATATCATACAATCCTTCCAAGCTCTATACATATCCCACAAGCTCAACACAATGGTCTTGGAAAGGGTAAAGCAAATGGCAGCCCAGCTGACTGGTCAGCTGCCACCACCTCACCCATTGGACCCTCTCTCATCAAGTGAGATCAAGGAGGCAGTCGAGATCGTTCGCAAGGAGTACAACGATGTATTCTTCAATGCTGTCACTTTGTGGGAGCCTAGGAAGAAGCAGATGATGGCCTGGTTAGCTTCGCCTGATGCTGCCGAGAGACCTCATCGAGTAGCAGATATCGTTGCAATTGGTCGAGGAAGCAAAGTCTTTGATGGCACTGTCGACCTGGAGGAGAAGAAGATACTGAGCTGGGAGCTTACAGAGGGTGTGCAGCCGTTGGTGAGTGCATCCTGATCAGAAACACAATTGCATCGCTAATTCAGTCTAGATCACCATGGAGGACCTAAATACCGTCGAGAAAGTGGTTCGTACGGATCCCAAGGTCATTGAACAGTGCGGAATCATCGGTATCCCACCCCAGGACATGCACAAAGTATACTGCGACCCGTGGACCATCGGTTACGACGAGCGATTTGGAAGCAACGTTCGTCTGCAACAGGCTCTGATGTACTACCGCCCTCATCCCGATGACAGCCAATACACATATCCTCTGGACTTTTGCCCTATCTTCAACGCAGACACACAGGAGATCATTCACATCGACGTTCCGAAAGTGAGAAGGCAGCTCAACCAAGCACCACCTAGCAACTTCCACGGTGAGCATATCGAGAAGGAGATTGGCCTCAGGACCGACATCAAGCCGATCGAAATCACACAACCCCAAGGTGTATCTTTCGATCTCGATGGACGTACACTCAAGTGGCAGAACTGGTCTGTTCACGTCGGATTCAACTATCGCGAGGGTATCGTCTTGAGTAACATCAGTTTCAACGACAGAGGCAATGTCAGACCTATCTTCTACAGAATGTCGCTTGCCGAGATGGTGGTACCTTACGGAAATCCTGAACACCCACATCAACGCAAGCATGCATTTGATCTCGGCGAGTACGGTGCTGGGTACATGACCAATAGCTTGACCCTTGGATGTGACTGCAAGGGTGCCATCCATTATTTGGATGCCGATTTCGTCAACAGAGCAGGTGATGCGCAAACCATCAAGAACGCCATCTGTATCCACGAAGAGGATGCTGGTATCTTGTTCAAGCACACCGACTTCAGAGATGAATCATGTACTGTGACTCGTGGTCGCAAGCTTATCATTTCGCAAATTTTCACCGCAGCCAACTATGAGTACTGCGTATACTGGATCCTCATGCAAGACGGTACTATTCAGCTCGAGATCAAGCTGACTGGTATCCTGAACACATACGCGCTCAACCCTGGTGAATCAGCCGCTCCATGGGGAACAGAAGTATATCCAGGTGTCAATGCCCACAACCATCAGCATTTGTTCTGTTTGCGTCTAGATCCCAACATCGATGGACCAAGCAACACTGTGTTCCAAGCCGATGCAGTACGAGGCGATGGTGAAGTCGGAAGCGCAGAAAACTACTATGGCAATGCCTTCTACGCCAAAAAGACTCCACTCAAGACCCCTGCCACCGGCATGAGCGACTACGACGGTAACACCAGTCGCACCTGGGATATGGCCAACACCAGCAAGATCAATCCTTACTCGAAGAAGCCAGTCTCGTACAAGCTCGTGAGCCGAGAGGTCCCACCTCTCCTTCCCAAGGAAAACAGTCTCGTATGGAAAAGAGCAGGATTTGCCAGGCATGCTGTCCACGTTACCAAGTACTCGGACGATCAGATTCATCCTGCTGGTCGCCATGTACCCCAGACTTCTGGTGAGCCTTCGCAAGGTATTCCGGCATGGATTTCGGAGGATCCAGAGGCAAATTTAGAGCAGGAGGATGTCGTAAGTCAACCTTGTATCGCAACGTCGATATATCCGCTAACTCATACACCTAGGTTCTCTGGCACTGCTTTGGACTCACGCATTTCCCTGCTCCTGAGGACTATCCCATCATGCCTGCCGAGCCCATGACTGTGCTGCTCCGACCTCGCAACTTCTTCACGCAAAACCCCTGTATGGATGTGCCTCCGAGCTACTCGAGCACACCCACACAAATGGCAGCTGGCAAGGGCGGTGTCAAGAGTGTTGTTGATGGTATCAGTAGACTGGCCTTTTCCGATAAGACCAAGGGTGGTAGCAATGACTGCTGCGGCAAATGATTCTGCGACCAGTACGCGCGGGCTTGTCGAAATGAGCGCAAGGAGCTGGAATGAGAGCGAGAGATGATATAGCTAGTGTTTCTTTGTTTTTATCCTATGACTGAACTTTTATTAGTTAGATTCGATACCGTGGTTAGTACATGGCGACAGTGGTACAATATGGATTTTGCACACCTTCCGAATCTTGAGAGTCAGCAAGCACCTTCCACTTCTACGATAATTGGATCACGCGACTTTTGCGTCCTCAGTTGCAACACACTCTGCAGATGGCGAGCAACGTTTTCTTTTCGTCAAGGATATCGGAAAATCTGTTGCAAATGCGAGTTTGTCGGTATGTCAAAGAAGGCCCCATATTGATTGATAATGCAGTCACGGGGCGAGATATATGACTTGGATTTGATTCGTACGAGAACTACGTATTAGCATGAGAGGATGTAGGTATGTGCAAGAGAATCGGAAGAAAATTGAAAGGTTCTGGAGTTTAGTGTGACCGTGCGATTACAATTCGTGAGACGTGTCATGCATTAAAGAAAGTGGCACCCGATGCCTCAAACCTTTGGCCTCAATGCCCTTTGAATCACTTGGATGTAAAATAGCAAAAGACCTTTTCGACATGGCCAACCCCCAGGTATCGCTGAACGCCTAGACACCGTAGCAGCCGCTAAAGACCGAGTTCGCCAACCAAAGACTTATGATACACGTTTAGTACTACTTGGCGTACTGGAAATTGCCAAAGACACCACCTGCGGGAGTTAGCGAACCGGGTTGAGAATAGTGGGGAGGTCCTGGGGTACCGGATATGGCAGCATGAGAAGTGGTAGGAGTGCTCGGTGCTTGGTGGGTAGTGGGTGTGTGGCCTGTGTGGAAATTGAGAGCGCCGTTGCTTTGGGGGGTTTGGTGGCCCTGACTCTGTAGAAACTCGTCCCTGAAGGCAGCACTCGCTGGCGGACCGACGCCGTGCAGACCGTAGATCATGTCGGCTAGTTCGAGAGGTGCGTGGCCGTCGAATATTTTGCTACGCATGGCCCAGAAAACCGAGCCAGTCAACCAAGCATCAGAACCACCAGTATGAGGAGCGCCCTGACGCACGCAGCCAAGCTCTTCTGCAAGATCTTGCAGGCCGGACTTCTGACCCAAGGTGTTGATGACAGTCGAAGCGGTGGGACTCAGGCGATTTTGCGGAGCCAAAGTTCGCTGAGCATGTCGTAATAAGAATTTGATGTCCCAAAGCTTGGGGAAGTAAATGTTGACAAGATCCCGGAAGTCTGATTCGTTTTCAGGCAGCGGAGCGTTGGTCAGCAGCTTGATAAGGTAGCCAAAGTCGTATCCCGAATGGAATGAAAGCCAATTGACATCGTCGACGAATGTAAGGCCTGAGGTGGTAAGCGCAGCACCGAAAGCATTGAGGTCAATGCCTTGTTCTTGGTGCTTTGCGAAATCGAGACCAGCCTTTTTCAAAAGCTCGATGGAGCCCTCTGCGTACATGTCATGATCGAGAGAGAAGCGGAAGTTGAAAGACCAGGTGCAAGGACACACGACCAGGTTGTTTGGCAGCTTGGGGAAAAGCGAAGGGTCTGGTTGTTGGGGTGGTAGTTCGCCGTCCGCAGTCCAGATGGTGATGCCCAGCTGGATTGGCTTGAGTAAATCAACGTTACAGCGCAGGGTCTGGTAGTGATATGAGGCCTTGTTCTCAAAGTTGCCAATCGGTCGCGCGACAATTCCTGGGAACTCAGCGTCCTGTTTGCTAGCGTGTTAGTGATATAGGATCTGGCAATAGGACCAGGGAGCATCTCAACATACCATGCTCACGTAAGGATATTTTGTGATGAGCTGACGTAGGAGGACCATCTCGTGTTCGAGGTTGTGGGCCCAGACTTCACGTATCCTTCCGGCCAGACCAGACTTCAGGCCTAGTTGGGCGGCTTCGGCTTGGTGAGCCTGCTGTTGTTGAAGAGCAGCGCCATGTGCAAATCCCCGGTAGGCAGCTTCACTGCCCAGACCTGTGCCTCCACCGACAGCTTGTCCAGGGTTTGGTCCAGGAAGGGCACCGGCGCTAGCATAGGCGTTTTGTAGGGCCGCGTTGGTGGTCGGAGGAGCGAAACCATTGACGGCAGGATAATTTGAAGGACGGGTCAAAGGTTGCGGGAGAGAATGCTGTTGCTGAGGATAATGCGACTGTGGGATCGAGTGGGCGGGATTGAGGTGGACGAAGGGATTCGACATGTGGCTCGCATGCATGCGCCCAACTGCTGGCGGCATTGTCGACCGCGCTCTGCCTCTCTGGCGACGTCGGGGGCTGCAGGAGAAGCGAAAGTGATCGGGCTGGTGAGAATGGGTGAATCGGTGTCTTGTGCCTGAACGGTGAGGGTATAATCAGCAGCTGGTTGTGGTCGTGTTGGCGTCGAGCATCCATCGACTGCTACTGACCATCTGAACGCGGGCGCGGAAGTAGCCGCCTGCCGACCTGGGCGTCGCGACAGCTGCATTCGCATTCGCATCCGCCCTACTCAGTTACAGCATCCCATCGCTCCACTACATATCATGGCTCCTCGTCCCAATCTCACTGGCTTCGACCCTCAAAAGTTCGCTGCTGCCTCTGGCCAGCCCCGAAACGACCCTTGGGCCAGATAGTACGTCCACACTACCCACCATGTCCCAACTCCTCTCTGACGCAATCCCACAGCGAGGCCTGGAGATACACCGGCCCCTTCTCGCGCTGGAACAGATTCAAGGGCTCCTTCCCCGGTCTCGGTATCGCCACTGTCGCCTTTGCTGGCTACCTCGCATACGAGGCTGTCTTCCTCAAAGACGACCACGCCCATGGCCACGGAGACGCTGCCCACGGAGACGACCATCATTAAGCTATCGCTGCTTGATCTGCGACAATCTTTTCCATCACTGTTAATCGGGCGTTAAGGGGGGACCATCCAAATTACTGCCGACTCGGCCTGGCGAGCTGGATATTGAAACAACCAAGACATCACTCGCCTCTGCCATGTTCATATTCCGCCCACGTCAATCAGACCATGCTATGAGATATCCGCACATGCTCTGCCATGTGAGCTTCATTCTGAAACTACGCTCAAGCGAGCCTTTGCTGTACATATAGAGCACCTACCAGGACCCTATAAGGCCCTGGTCAAAATGTCACGCACGAAACATCAATCTCCTTCCCTAGTCACCTCACAAAGAGCTCTGAGAACTAAAGTGTATGCCATGTTTTAACGTTTTGATACTCGGAGATTGGTTCAAGTTTGTGTGGTGGGATATACATTCAACTGGGTCCCTCCTTGACCTGTAAACCGCCCCTGCAAGCGCCTCTTCCCAGTGCATCCATCTCCTCGTGCTGCTAAAACTCTCTCAGCCAGATCGTTGTTCGTGAACAGCCTGTAAGACCTTCTTGCATCCACCTCTTAGAGCCCACCACTGTACGCGAGTCGTTATCGCTCGATCTTATCGCGGCAGCTAGTCATTAGCGTCTTCCCCACCCCAATGACGAGCCTCGGTGTTGATGCACGCGCAAAGCGCGTTCGCTGCATTGCAGAGTATCGGGTTTTGGGCAATGTCACCGCCCACCTTCCACCCGGATGACCAGCATCAAAGATTACAGCAATCGAACATGCCACGCGTGTATCCTCCGGTCGACGGGAGGCAAACGGGCACCGGATTGTCACCTTCGCTCGTAGAGACGCTTGCCGGCTTCAGTGCGGGAATCGTGTCTACTCTGGTTGTTCATCCGTTCGATGTCGTCAAAACACGCCTGCAGGGTGTGTCTTACTCCAAACATCTGGACACCTGGTCGCTTGCTAAACCAAGCCTTATATAGTGGACCCGAGCACCACCAGCCATTTGGGTGACTCGGTGCGGATAGTTAAGAACATTGTCAGGAATGAGGGTGGTTACTCGGCTCTGTATCGCGGGCTCATGCCCAACATGGTCGGAAACTCCGTCAGTTGGGCCCTCTACTTCCTCTGGTGAGCCTTGCCGAGCTTTTGTCCAAAGGTCTCCTCTGATAACGGTCTAGGTACGGCAATATCAAAGATCTGATCAAGACCGCTCGAGGAAACCCAGACGTTCTCACTTCGTACGACTACTTTCTGGCGTCTGGTGCTTCTGGCATCCTCACCGCCCTCTGTACCAATCCGATATGGGTCATCAAAACCCGCATGCTGTCTACATCGCGCGACGCACCAGGAGCATACAAATCAATTCGTCAAGGGACAACACATCTTTGGAAGACAGAAGGCCTGAAGGGGTTCTATCGTGGTCTCATACCATCTATCTTTGGCGTAAGCCACGGTGCCATCCAGTTCATGGCGTACGAACAACTCAAAAATCACTGGAGCACAAGTCGTGGTGGCAGAGACAACCTCACGAACTTAGATTTCTTATTACTGAGCGCCGTTAGCAAGATGTTTGCTGGCAGTGCCACTTATCCCTACCAGGTTGTGAGGGCACGTCTTCAAACCTATGACGCCGACTCGCGTTATAAAGGTGTAAGGGATGTTGTCAAACAGGTCTTCCGGAAAGAAGGCCTGAAAGGTTTCTACAAGGGGTATGTACTCCAGCTCGACCGTTGATGTGCCAACAACTAACCAGACGACTGCTAGTCTTGGACCTAACATTGTCCGTGTCCTGCCCTCGACTTGCGTAACCTTCTTGGTGTACGAAAATACCAAGTTTTACCTGCCTCGCTTCTACCAGGCCTATGAAGAAGTCAAAAGCGCCGATTGAGATGTACGCTTGCTGTAGTACCACAACTCAACAACCAAGCGCCGTAACACATACCGCCCGACATTGCTTCGATGCCTCTCGAGGATTCGTCTGTACAAAAGAGCCGAAGAGCGGCGTCATCCAGACAGGGATGACCTACAGGACTAGCGCAGTCCAAACGATCAAAGCACTGCTCGCCTGATAGTAGTGCTATCGAGCTGGGCCTGGACGATTAGATGCTTTGCTGGATTGGGAAGAATTTAATCAACATTCGAACGTCGTATCAAGGATGGTGGTGTTGGGAAATAACAGCTAGATTGAAGCAATTTGATACATGGCTATGAGAGGACATAAAAGCTCGGTACAAGAAGAATGAAAACAAAATGTTTGCTGTTCATGATTAAATGTGATGGTTGATGAATAGATGAAGCGGAGTTGCAATCTTGGCGTTCGCGTCGTGTGAACGGGTGTCCTCTTACAACTGGACCCTAATTATAACCTTCGTGGACTTTGCATACATCATCACACAATACCCGGATACACACACACTATGGAGGGACCAGACACTTTCGTACAACTGCCGCTGGCCATTGACCCCAACACCAAGGGCGTCTCTTCAAACTCATCATCAGGCGCACTCCGAGCCGAATTGGACGCCCTCAACGCACTCCATCGTTCGTTCCTCGCAGACCTAGAAGGACCTCTGGGCATTCCGCCACCGCCAGTCCCCGTCAACCCCAAACGATCAGCACAAATCACCAAACTCAAGGAATCCGGCAATGCCTCCTTCAAGAAGGGTGCTTACCCCGACGCCGTCCGCATGTACGGCCTCGCCATCGATATGGCCATCAAGCGTCCTGTCTGGGAGCCAGCAGGTCTTGTGCGCGAGGAGCTGAGTCAACTGTACAACAACCGCGCCCAAGCATACATGGTCCAACAGATGTGGCCCGAGGCTGCCCTTGATGCCTTCTGTAGCACCGAACTCAAGAAGGTGGCCAACACAAAGGGATGGTGGAGACGCACTGTTGCTCTCAAGGAGCAGGGCCGTCTCGACGAGGCTCTGGACGTTGTCAAAGAGGCTGTCGACTTCGAGTCTGCTGGTCCGGACAAGGAGGGTGTGGAGAAGCTTACCGGGCTCATGAAGGAAATCGAAGCCGCTGCGGAGAAGAAGGCACTTGCTTGATTTCGTTGACATCAAAGAAGACGACTACAACTACTACGATTGCTTACCTGGATATGCATGGCGTTGGGGCGCACACTGTTAGAGGCTAAGAAGCCATTGCATTTTGAAGTGTTGAGACGAGACCAAGAGGCGGAAGTCTATGGCGATAGTACCACAACAAGTCGCCTGTTCGTGCGCGGGAGGTCTGAGATACATGCTGAAGGGTTCGGTCCCATATGATACAACCACTCCAACTTCGGAATGATATGGATCCGAACTATCCATGCTTGCATACCACTTTCGTCAAAGTACACTTATGGCCATTGCCAAATCCGCCTTGATTGTTATCCCTAACTCTACCGAATACTGCCGGTATACTTGAATCCAAGAAAAGGTTACCTCCAATTGATCGGGGACGGACAACAAGACTATTGGCAGCGTATCCATCACCAAGTCCGCACTGCTCCGAGAAAACTTCATGCCGGCTGTATGAGAGAATAAAGCGCGACATATCACCCTGATCTGGAGTGTGCTGGATCGAAAGGTGTCATCATACTTGACTTAGTGGGGTCTCCGTATGAGCTGAGACGATGATCGTAGCGATTTACCGCATATGAATTACAGACCTTTTGGGTGATGCAGTCTCCACTGCCTTTGTACTGCTGAAACCGATGCTTAAATAAAGCACACCACGCGAGACGGGGTTTGAAACACGTTTCGAATGAGCTGATGCGAGACATAATCGACATGTAGATCAATCTCGGATCGCTTCCCGTACACGAAGCTTCTGACTTTGTGAGCACTTTTGACCAAGACGATGACAACTCGACCGGCAACAGCTGGGCCTCTGCACTAACTCTGACTTTACCAATCTGCCATGTTCCAACACGAGCGGCACAGACAGACAATTCAATCGATCGCGGATTTCGTTTACGAACGGAGAGATGGCTGGTCGGCCAAGCCGGGTGCCCATGTGTGGCGCTTAGAGTCCCTAGCCAACGGCCGCGTAGATCGTCAAGCATGGCTCAGTAAACACGATTGCCATCCACTCGAGAGCCTCGGATCTGTAGTGATATAATAGGCTGAGACGTACTTACGGTGAGACCATAGTTTTATTACGCCTTCCCTCCAAGATCTGCAGCTTGTACACTGGTCCAGCCCTACAACAAACTTGTTTTCTGTCCACCTGTCTGAGAAACAAACCCATCTTTCGAAGTACTTCAACCAACGTCCTCTTCCTACTCCTCTCTTCGAAAGCCCTATATCGTGACTCGCAGTCTCTCTTCTATTCGGGCGCCTATCAGCCATGTGGATTCCACAGAATCCTCTTCACAAACTGAAGATTGTTGTTCATCTTCTTCAAGCAATCATTACCTTCATCACAGGGTGCATGACCCTGGCGATCTTGACAGAAAAGGGAAACCATGACAGTCGTGTGCAGTGGTGCTTTGCTCTGGTGGGACTTCAGCGTGCTAAGCATCCACAGGACATCTTATGCTAACTACCTCTCAGTGTTTCCTCACGATGCCCGCTTTGATGTATCAGGTAGATTCACTCACACTACTGTCTCTCGATACACTCCTAACAGTCAACAGTGCATAGTCCCTTGCTGGACAAGGCTATGGCGTCTCGCTAATCCTTACATCTTCTTCACCATCGATTCGGTCTTTATAGTTTTTTGGCTTTCGGCGTTTGCTTCTTCGTGTGCCTGGACGGCGAAAGGCATGCAGAAAGGAGCCGCCGACAAGAAGCTGAGCGCGAACGCTGCGTCTTGCTCAACATTCGCTTTTGGATCAACATCAACATGCAACCTGGCGAAAGCCACAACAGGCCTCGGAGTAGCGCTGTGGTCAGTAATTCGTTATCTCCCTTCAAACGCTTGACTGATTGGTTTAGTATCCTCTTTTCAGCTGCAGCGATCATCTCTGGCGTGGATTCCTACAAGTTCTGGAAGTCAGGTATTGTACGCACGAAGCCAGAGATCTATGGCCAGGCTCTTTCTCGTGCTTCTTCGCCAGAGGGCAAAGGCGAGTGGTCGCTGAGTACGGATGATCTGCATGACGCAAAAGGCGCCTATGCTTCGGATGTGTATCAGGGTTGGTCGCAAGACCAAGGAGCCATGTTCACAGAAACAGAGACCATGGAAGGGCCACATCCCGGAAGACACGTGAGCTGTATGAGCGCGAAGACGATACCTTACGAAAGAGATCTGACACCCAGTGCCATGAGTCCTACAGTGGCAGAGCCGCGCTATACAGGAATCTTTCCGCCAGCCACGACAAACTACAGCTTCTCGAGAGAATGAAGATACCATAACGAAGAATGAAGTAGCGAGTCAACAGTAACTCTCGAGGAAGATCACCAGCAGAAGACACAGGATGCTGTTCAGTTTGTCACCTTCTGTACCAATTAGATCATGCCGTCGAATACAACTCATGTTACCATAATTTTCTGTTATGATCCTGCGAGAGGACACAGTCGTCTGCCATGTGCTCTCGAAGTCCGGGTTCACTTCGACAGTCATATACCATAAGAGCGTGATTTCGATGGCGATGTAGCAATGTTTGAAACGACGGGTCAACAAGTCCAATGTCAAATGTAACGACCCTGCCGCTGAAGGCGGAGTGCGGGGTCGCCTGGAGAGGAGAGAGCTTGCCGTTGACATCAGAATCCAGATTCGCTGCCTCCTTGCACGTTCTCGAGGAACAAAGTTTAGACAACATTCGCGATCCGACAAACACCTCAGACAGCATGTCGGCCAAAATTCAAAAGACGCTTGCGCGACAGCAGGAAAAGTGAGCACCTGCGTATGCCACTCACAGCACGCAGCTGACAGCAGCTCCAGGGTCAAAGAAGGCCAGTTCTACGAAGCCCATCAACAACTGCGCGTCATCGCATCCCGCTACACAAAGTCGAGCGACTGGGCCTCTGCAGTCGACCTGCTCGCCTCGGGTGCCTCTATGCTCCTCAAGGCTGGACAAGGAGCATCCGGAGGTGATCTATGCATGTTCTTGATGGACGTCTACGGCAGGGCTGAGTTGAAGCCCGACACAACGAACAAGGCACGTCTGTTGAGCCTGCTGCGCGAGTTCCCTGAAGGAGAACCCACGAGGAAAAGATTTGCTGGAGAAGTCATTGGGTATATTCGTTTACCAACAAGTCGACTGTTCATCAAGCTGATTTCGACCGCAGATGGTCATCAAAGCTGGGCGAGTACCCTGCTGGAGACCCTGAGCTCCACCACGTTGTAGGCACACTGTATGCCGAGGGTACGTCTCGATACAAGTATAGACCGGATGTAGACTGGTCGGCTAACACTCGAGCAGATGGCGAGGCTGTTGAAGCAGAGAAACACCTCACACTCGGAACCGCAGACTCGCCAGCAACCTTCGCATCGCTTGAGTACAACTGGTACGCCTCGGACGAACCCTCGACTGCTCCGCTCTACGCAGCCCGTGTCGTGTTCCCTTATCTGCTGGTCGGCAACCTTCGCGCCGCAAACAAGGCATTCTTGCTTTTCACATCCAAGCTATCGTCGTCAAATCCTGGTCTCGGTGTGCAAGAAGTCGGCTCAGCTTCATCCGACCTGCGTGTTTATCCCAGCCTTCCGTTGCTGAACTTCCTCGGCCTTCTGCTGCTCGCCATTGAGAAAGGATCCGCCGATGTTTTCAAACAGCTCAAGAGTCACTATGCCTCGTACATCAAGGACGCAGGTAACTGGAACGAAGCACTCGCCCAGGTTGGAGAGATGTATTTCGGCATCAAGGTTCCCAGCCAGAGCAACCCGCTATTCGACATGATGAGTTCGTTCATGGGAGGAGGTGGTGGCTCGGGTGGTCAGAAGCCAGCCAGCAGAAGGGTAGAGGCGGCACCAGCACCCGCTCCTGCACTGGACTGAGGCGATTGTTTCTCGAGTTGTTCATTGACGAATACCTGATGCAAATAGACATGACTTTTTCAAGGTTGCTTATTTTCCATGACCCCAGAAACGCTTCTTGAGAGTCATCCACTCGTCTCGGTTATTTTACATCATGTACATGTAGAAGCGACAACGCCAATAGTGCGCATACACGTTTCCAAGGTCGTTCTTATCAATAGGTAATCAATAGCGAGCAGCGCCGGACATTAACGGCTTTTTCGGAAGCATCGCGAGGCCAAGCTTTTAACGGTTCCTGAATGGACCGAGTAATCGTCACTAACTCAGAAGATCGATTGGTTTCTGACGGACGGCAGATTGCAGCTGCTGCCTTCTTTCTTCTCTCTCTACCATCGGTCGGACGTGTCTCTGCATCGCCCTCACACGACCCCCTCGACCACCCATGCGCGACCCGTCGGCATACCAGACGGTATTGCAGTCGCCAGTCGGCTTGCATTACCTCGGCGTTTCCAACCATCCAAGTCAGCGTCAACCACTGTGCCGCAATGTCGAAGGATGGGGTCCCATCAGCCCTTTTCGCTATGACTTTACGCCCTGCTTCCTCGATGTTTGGATAGCTTCCGTCTCTGCTTTTGGTCTCATCTTCGGAGCCGGTGCCATCTACTATCTGTTCAAGAAATGCAGCCCCCAGCCCGTCAAGCAAGATTGGCACTTCTACACAAAGTTGTCCGTTCTCGCCGCCCTTTGCGCCACTACCGTCCTCCAGGCCATCTTCCAGATTGTCAACTTTGGTAATGTCTGGGCTGGCGACTTCCGTTTCTGGGCCACGGTTCTGAACCTCGCCTCCATCGCCGTCATCTTCTACATCCAGTACATTGAACACTGGCGATCGCGTCAGGCCAATGGAGTCGTCCTGGTCTTCTGGCTGTTGCTCCTCGTTGCATACGCCGTCAAGATGCGTTCCTTGGTCTCGCAACAGTTATACCGCACCGAACTACCTTATTTTGTCACCTTCGCCGTCAGCGTCGCTTTGGCCGCCCTCGAGTTCGGCCTGGAGTGGCTTGTGTCCAAGCGTTTGAGTGATTACGATGCTCTTGGAGACGAAGACGAGTGCCCCATGGAGTACGCCAATGTCTTTTCTATCCTTACCTTCTCCTGGATGACTCCGATGATGAAGTATGGGTACAAGAATTTCTTGACCCAGGATGAGCTATGGAACCTTCGCAAAAGAGATACAACCGCCGCGACTACCCAAGCCTTCAACGAGGCTTGGGAGCAAGAGTTGGAAAAGAAGAAGCCTAGTCTTTGGATTGCTCTCGCTCGGGGCTTCGGTGGTCCATACGTCCGTGGTGCAATGATCAAGACCATCTCGGACGTGCTGGCCTTCGTTCAACCTCAACTTCTACGTCTTTTGATCTCATTCGTTCATTCGTACCGTACTGATTCACCTCAGCCTCCTATCCGTGGAGCCGCCATCGCTCTTTCTATGTTCGCTGTATCAGTCTCTCAAACACTTGCCCTGCACCAATATTTCCAGAGAGCATTTGAGACTGGTATGCGCATTCGCTCATCCTTGACCGCGGCCATTTACCACAAGTCTATGCGTCTCTCGAATGAGGGTAGAGCATCAAAGTCCACAGGAGACATCGTCAATTACATGGCTGTCGATACTCAGCGTCTTCAGGATCTCGCACAGTATGGTATGCAGCTGTGGTCTGCGCCTTTCCAAATTACGCTGTGTATGATCTCGCTCTACCAGCTTGTAGGACTGAGCATGTTCGCTGGTGTCGGTGCCATGATTGCTATGATTCCCATCAACGGTGTCATCGCACGTATCTCGAAGAACTTGCAAAAGAAGCAGATGAAGAACAAGGACTCCAGAACGCGTTTGATGACTGAGATCCTGAGCAACATGAAGTCCATCAAGCTTTACGCCTGGACCACCGCATTCATGAACAAGTTGAACTACATCCGTAACGACCTGGAGCTCAACACTCTTCGCAAGATTGGCGCTTCCATGGCTCTGGCGAACTTCACCTGGTCGACTACTCCGTTCTTCGTATCCTGCTCAACCTTTGCTGTCTTCGTCCTCACCGGCAACACACCGCTGACAACAGACATTGTCTTCCCTGCGTTGACACTGTTCAACCTCCTTACCTTCCCTCTGGCCATCCTGCCCATGGTTATCACCTCCATCATCGAAGCAAGTGTCGCCGTCAACCGCCTGACAGACTTCTTTGTTGCACCCGAGTTGCAGCGTGACGCTGTGCTCAAGTACGATGCAGTCACTGAGCGTGGCGAAGAAGCTGTCCGCATTCGGGATGCCACATTCACCTGGAACAGCAACGACACCCGCAACGCTCTCGAGAACATTTCTTTCTCTGCTCACAAGGGCGAACTTTCTTGTGTTGTTGGCCGTGTTGGAGCAGGCAAGTCTTCCTTCCTGCAAACCCTTCTGGGAGACCTTTACAAGATCAAGGGTGAGGTGATCCTGCGTGGAAAAGTGGCCTATGTTGCCCAATCTCCTTGGGTCATGAACGCTAGCGTCAGAGAAAATATCGTCTTCGGTTACCGTTGGGATCCCCAGTTCTACGAAAAGACTGTTCATGCTTGCGCTCTGAAGGAGGATTTCGCATCTCTGCCAGATGGCGATCAGACTGAGGTTGGTGAACGTGGAATATCTTTGTCCGGCGGACAGAAAGCTCGTTTGACTTTGGCCCGGGCTGTCTATGCTAGAGCAGATGTTTATCTTCTTGATGATGTTTTGTCCGCCGTCGATCAGCATGTCGGAAGACATCTGATCGATAACGTGCTAGGCCCTAATGGTTTGCTGAGTGGAAGAACAAGAATCCTGGCTACGAACTCTCTTCCGGTCTTGATGGAAGCCAACTACATTGTCCTCTTGCGTGAGGGCCGCATCTTGGAACGTGGTACCTACGAACAACTCATGGCTATGAAGGGAGAAATCTCTCAGCTCATCAAGACTGCTAGCAATGAGGAGTCTCAAAGCGAGTCGCAGAGTGAAGCACAAGACAGCGATGACTCGGCCACTGTCTTCGAAACCGATCCAAACTCTGCGACAGGCGAACTGGAGATCACGCAGGCCGAAGAAGGCGAGACCCAACTTGCCCCCATCAACACCGGTGGTGGTCGTCCAGCTCGCAGGGCCAGCGGACTCTCCTTACGTCGTGCAAGCACTGCAAGTTTCGCCGGACCCCGTGGTAAGCTCACAGATGAGGAAGGCACTGCCGGCGTCAAAAGCAAACAGAACAAAGAGTTCTCCGAACAAGGTAAGGTCAAGTGGTCTGTCTACACGGAATACGCCAAGACTAGCAACCTAGTCGCTGTTGCCATCTACATTGTTACTTTGGTTGGAGCTCAGACTGCTCAGATCGGTAAGTGTCCTGTCGAATTGCGTTCATGTGCCCATCTAATTATTTCGATAGGTGGCAGTGTCTGGCTCAAGAACTGGTCCGAGATCAACGGCAGATATGGCGGTAATCCTCATGTAGGAAAGTACATCGGCATTTATTTTGCATTTGGTATCGGCTCCGCTGCCCTTGTCGTTGTACAGACACTTATTCTGTGGATATTCTGCTCAATTGAGGTGAGTGTGCATCAGACTTACGCCCCGGGCCGTGACGCTAATGCTTCATCTTCTGCAGGCCTCGCGTAAGCTTCACGAACGAATGGCCTATGCTATCTTCAGATCGCCTATGACCTTCTTCGAGACTACCCCCGCCGGACGCATTCTGAACCGCTTTTCAAGGTGAGTGGATTCATCCCGTCCTTGCATGTTCTGGCTGTTGTGCTCCCGTCAATGTACCGGATATGTCACAATGCCGCACGTGCACTTTTCCAACCACCTGGTTCCATGCTAATCCTACACTCTTACAGTGACATTTACCGCATCGATGAAGTCTTGGCGTAAGTGTTTTGGCATGTGTCAGTGTTGCTATACCGTTGAGCTGACCTGATTCGTTAGTCGTACTTTCAACATGCTCTTCGTCAATTCGGCGCGAGGTATGTGGTGTTCTCATGCTAATGCAAGAAGCATGCGGATGTTAACTGATTATCACAGCTCTCTTCACCCTGGTCGTCATCTCATTGTCCACGCCGGCCTTCATCGCGCTGATTGTGCCACTGGGTGGAGTCTACCTCTACATCCAAAGATACTACCTCAGAACTTCACGTGAACTCAAGCGTCTGGACAGTATCAGCCGCAGTCCAGTGTATGCTCACTTCCAGGAATCCCTGAGTGGTATCAGCACAATTCGCGCTTACCAGCAAAGCAAGCGCTTTGCCATGGAGAACGAATGGCGTGTTGACGCTAATCTTCGGGCATACTTCCCTTCTATCAACGCGAATCGCTGGCTGGCAGTCCGTCTTGAGTTCATTGGTTCGGTCATCATCCTTGCTGCCGCCGGTTTCGCAATCATCTCGGTTTCCACTGGCAGCAGCCTATCTGCCGGCATCGTCGGTCTGTCTATGTCTTATGCGTTGCAGATCACTCAGTCGCTCAACTGGATTGTGCGCCAGACCGTCGAGGTGGAAACCAACATTGTGTCAGTTGAGCGCGTCCTGGAATACGCACGTCTGCCCAGCGAAGCACCTGAGATCATCTCAAAGCACAGGCCGCCAGTGAGCTGGCCTTCCAAGGGTGCAGTTTCGTTCAACAACTACAGCACTAGATACCGCGAGGGACTCGATTTGGTTCTGAAGAACGTTAACCTCAGCATCAAATCACACGAGAAGATTGGTGTTGTGGGTCGAACAGGTGCCGGCAAAAGTTCTTTGACTCTTGCTCTTTTCCGCATCATAGAGCCCACCGAGGGTGATATCACGATAGATGATCTGAGTACTAGCTCCATTGGTTTGTTGGATCTGAGAAGAAGGCTTGCTATCATTCCTCAAGATGCGGCTCTCTTCGAAGGCACGATTCGTGACAACTTGGATCCAGGTCACGTCCATGATGACACTGAGCTCTGGAGTGCTCTAGGTATGTTGAAAGACCGTGCCTTGCTTTGTTTTTGTAACCACTAACACCACTATTAGATCACGCGCGCCTAAGGGATCACGTGTCGAGCATGTCCGGAGGCCTTGATGCTCAGATTCACGAAGGCGGATCCAATCTGAGTCAAGGCCAGCGCCAACTCGTTTCTTTGGCGCGTGCGCTGTTGACGCCGAGCAACATCTTGGTGCTTGACGAAGCAACTGTAAGTCTTGCGAACTTTTCTTGTCATGTTTCAACTTGCTAATGAGTGTCATTCCAGGCCGCTGTTGATGTGGAGACGGATGCATTGTTGCAGACCACACTCAGAAGCAACATGTTCAAGGATCGGACGATCATTACGATTGCGCACCGTATCAACACGATTCTGGACAGCGATCGCATTGTGGTACTTGACCACGGACGAGTGGCTGAGTTCGATACGCCATCCGAATTGGTCAAAAAGAAGGGCCTGTTTTACGAACTGGTACGAGAGGCCGGCCTACTTGGTAGTGTCGACATCAGCAGCGCGGTGGAGTAGTGTAGACGTGCATAGTACAAGTCGTACACATACGACGATAATTATCACATGCAGGGAGAGAATTGACAGCTGTTATGTGTCTGTCACGTAAACCGTCCGGTGACAGCCCACGCATAACCTATGGTGCCTTGTCTTGACAGCGCGTGTCAGTGGGTTCGTCATGATTGTTGAGGTGTTGGCTCTCCAGATATCTGCTGGAAGCCATGCTCGCTGCGCCGTGTCTGCTGCAAGGAGGTACTAACCGGGCGGCTCCCGAGATGCTTAGTGGCTCAGATCTCGCAAAGCTACAGCACCAAGGACATCGGCTGTGGCCCGACCCGCAGAGCTTCAACCAGGTCAAACAAAACATCTGAAACACATGCTCCTCCAAAAGCACCCAAGATACAAGGACTATCCAGACGCTGGTCTTGTTGGAGAGATGCAGATGATAGATCTTTCGAATCGCAACCGGGGTCTGTTGCTAGTTTTGCCCGAAGCAGTATGGCTCTGGTGGAGTATGCATGCCGGGGCGGCGCGGCTCATGGGGTCTGACTGTCAGGGTCCCCTGATGGAATTCAACCGACGCATCTTCGATGTCGTGTAACCAAGAGCAAACATCCTTCATCAAGCCCGGACCTGCCTGCTGTCCTTGTCTCTCAACGACAGATCGAGGCTTGCGCCAGGTCCAGGCGGGGAACATGTTCCCACCCGAACCTCAGTCTGCAGATCGGGACTGACGGGCTGTGAAGACAGTGCCATGCATGCTTGCTTTCGGCATCGATCAAGGAAAAAGAGACCAAGCGAGACGAAAGGTCAAGCGGTTCGCGAGGCGCTGGACCCCAATCTATAAACTCGGGAGGCAGAAAATTATCGGGGCCGATGTTCAGAGCAGGACAATCTCTGCTCGTCTCGCAGACGAACCGAACTGATGGTATTTGGGATCTGTCGTATTGCTGCTGTTCATTCATCTTTGATGAATTTATTAAATCCTTCGGGAGCGGCTCTCTCTGCAAGAGGCTTTGTAACCTGATTCCGTTTTTCCCTCGTCTCGTTTCTCCTGTTCCTCCTGCTGTGTCTTTTTGTTGCTTCCTTCTCGAATCATTCCTTCCCGACGGCAAAACAAGGCGAGTGACAGCTGTTGTTGTAGCGCCGCGTGAAGACACACCACCGAGGTCAGCCTCTGGATTGCCTGAACCCCGCACCAGATCGTGGCATTCTCAGCCTATCAATCCGGTTAGTCGACGCTTTTTCCTTGTGCTGCCGTTCCTTTCGCTGTCGCGCCTATCAACCCATCATTGCCTGGTGGCGTCGACAAGGCCTCGGGGTGTCCGACTCGTCCCAAAAGGAGCCCCTTCTGTCTCACGTCCTTGTTTTGCAAGTTCTCGTCACATTTTTGGTCTCCTTGTCGTCGATACGGTTTCGAACAGAAGCGCCCATCTTCGGTTTTGAGCACCTGGCTGACCAGTTGTAGTCGAACAAAGCTCAGGCGCGACACGCGCTAGGAAAGCCAAACACCTGGCAGTTTTTGGCCGCACGAGGGTGAGCTTAATCCCCTCCCGAGATCATCGTCCCGCTAACGTCCGTTTTGACTTTTTGTTAATTGGGTAGAGAACTGATCAGTCCCTTGCATCTCTTTACAGGGGTGGAGCTCTATGCTACAAGACGTCTTGTCGTGATTCAGACATGGTCTCGAGCTCTCAGACCGCGACTAGGTACGACCGACATGCTGGGGTTGGTAAGCAGGCGGGCAAAGCTTCAGCCTCTACCGTTTCTGTAAGCAACTCCTTTTATGTTTCATGTTACATGCCACTGCTGACTGTTCCAGTACCGCCCTATAACATCGTCGAGGAATCAAGTTCTCTTCCTAGATCGACCAAGAAATATCACGCTGAACCGTGACGACTCTGCTGCAGTGAAGAAGAAGAAGTTTGTTGCGAATCGACTGGACCACCTTGCCCCACATGTCTTGGATAGGATCTACCAGGTTTGCATCAACAACGACGGCTCTTCGCCAATCACAGCATCTGAATCGATACTAGATCCTCGAGCATCAAGTATGTGTTTTGATCTCAGACCTTGTATGGTATTGGTATCTGACGAAACGACAGGAATTCTGCAAATCGAAGAGGAGTCAGCACAGCGTAGTGACAATCTGCACCAAAACGCGTCAAGGCGAGGAGCCGCTGCTTCTGAGGACTCTTCTGATGGAGAGGACGAAGATGAACCCTGGTCAAACCATGGTAATATGCAAATTACTCTGCACATTGCCAACCAAGATGAGGTGATCCACTTCTTGAAAATGCGTTTCACACAAATCCAGCAGCTTGCAACCAAGGTCATCGCCAAGGCATGGATCAAGGCCATCTGCCCAAAGAAGCAAGCCAACTTTCCCTACGTGGATAGCAACCCAAGAGCAGACCAGAGTCAGAAGCGACGTCGACCACGCCCTGACGGTCCAAGGATCCCACTGTTCTGGCCTGATGTTGATTTGTGTCGACACAAAGAACCTGACCATACAAGGAAGACGGGTGCGTTCCTCCTAGATGTCAACTCGATGCATTCGGCTGACCGTGCACAGAGCGTACTTACCTCTTAGTCCACCTGCTCAGGCTGCATTGGACCGAGCAAGAGTGGATCCAATCCAATGGCAAAGGGTCAGAAGTTCCTCAGAAGATCAAAGACCGCAATTGGGTTGGATTTCTGAAAGATGCTTTCCCAGTCAACAAGCTGGAGGAGGTGCAAGGTAGCAACCCAGACAAAGCAGCCATGCGAAGAAGATACCTGAACCAGATCTACAGAGTAGCCGAAGATGAGCAGATGCTACGTCACAGAATGGGTATGTTGACACACTTTCCCGTCCAGGATTGTCGTATCTGACTATGATGCAGGTCCGCCAAATCAGAAAAGAAGCTTCACTGCTGGTGCTGGTTGGGTTCCAGCAGGCTCTCAAGCTGTAGCATCTGTGAGCCAGAGCGACCAACCAGACAGTGAGGACGAAGAAGACTCGCCTGCTGTTCGTTCATCCACAATGGCGTGCACAAATTCTCTCTCGGAAACCTATGCCATGTCACCAAAATCCGAGGAACAAGCAGACGACCTTGGATCGGCATCTTCGTACTCGGAAGTCAAGCTACTCAAGGAGGCTGCTCTCGAGCGAATGCCCTTCAACGGATCCTTTCCCAGGGAGGAAGTCGCAGTGGCTGGACCCAGTTCCAGCCAAGGTCCAGACATGAAGTTTGATCCTGCAGATGAGCCAATGACAGCCCCCCTCGGATCAGTGCCGGCCAGCGAGGAAATGACTTGCTATGGGCCGTCATGGGGTGGCAGCACGGCGATGGTCCAAAAAACACCAGAGGTATATCACCAACCTCAGTATGCTGGTGCTCCAGGTCCATGGTATGGAGCTACATCGATGGGTCATGGTCAAGGTCAGTTAGCCACTGCAGACGTCAGCAATCAAGCTTGGGGCGATTACCGCCACGGTTTTGTGCCATTTCAAGCAGCGGCACTTCCTGGTAAAGTGATGACCGGAGCAGTGTCCCACAATACTGGGTTCGGAAACATGCACCAGATGGCCATGCCGACGCCGTTTGTACAAACAGCAGTCACGGCGGCCAATGATAACCAACAGGCAATGTACCAAGGCTCCAGGATGCATTACGCCCACGATGGCTTCGAACAGCACGTTCAAGCTGGTTACACGGGTGCGCCGCACCAGGAGATGTACACCGGCTGGCTCTGAGAGGCGAAGCGGTACACTTTTGAATATGAGAGAGGATGAAGAAAAGAATGGCGCAAGAAGAAAAGAACGGCAACGATGACGACAAGCACGACAACAACGAGAGTGACGATTTTGATGAAATTGCATGTGGCTCCGTGGACGAAGCAGGCACGCGGAGACGGCTGATGGTAATTGCTTCGCACGGTTAGCAGTGTGTGCTTAATGTCGATGTTTCCTTCTCTTTGCAGACGAATTTCCTTTGTTCGGACAGGTTAATGATTAGCACGAACATGGATAACGAGAAATGTCGAAGAACTGAAGATATCGACAACAGCAGATAGCGAGTTAATAGGACAAAGTGCATCTCTAGACGGAATTGACTCTTGACATGTTCATGATGGCGATGATGTGTTCCTACTCAAGTAGGTACGAGTAGGTACAGCAGGCAGAGCGGAGGAAGATTGAAGCACATGCAAAAACAGGGCTTGGCAAAATGACATGTCCGCAAGGTGGATTTCCGCTTGCGTACAGTTCAAGGGTATGCGCGCGGGCGTTCTCGGTGCACAGCAACATTTGAAAGCAGCGTCGACATTGTAGCGCTGCGACGACGAGAGAGCAGCGGCAGCCGACGACGCTCCATGCTCTGGCAGACATAGCGACAGCGCGACAACCATGTCGTTCGTCAGTGCCGGTAGAGGAAGCAGCAGTCGCGGTCGCGGTTCATCACCATTCGGAGCCCCAGCTGCGACAAAGACAACGCGTCCGTCCTTCGCTCCACACGCCAGGGGAAACAATCAGGTCCGCTTCAATGCTCAGACAGGAGCTGCGACTAGTGAAAGAGGAGGCAAAGCGTCTTTCCGTGGTAGCAATGCTCCGCGAGGACGAGGCAGAGGACGCGGAAAGCCAACACCTGCGCCAACACCTTCGCCCTTCGCCGCCCCGGCCCAAGTACAAACACCAGCACCGTCGAGCCATGTCTCATCTTCGTTCTCGTCCTCGTCCTCATTCGCCGACCGCTTCCAGGCTGTACGATCCTCCCCACCGTTCCATGGCTGATAATCTCTGACGCACGCTACAGCTCAAGAAGCGGCGCGAGCAAGAACGCATCCACGCCATTGCCCAAGGCTTCCTGGCCGACCCCGACAAGCCGCGCACCCTGGCTGAGGCCATCACCCCCGTAGGAACCTGTCCGGACATGTGTCCAGAATTCGAACGTCTTGAGCGCATTGTGCAAAAGGATGTCTGGGGTCCCGAGCTCGACGATCAAGGTGCTCCCGATGAGCAGCGTATGGTAAAGAAGTTCAGACGCGCCGCAGCTGGCATTGACGAGCAACTGCCGTCAGACCTGCGCCCTCCTAGTGCCCTCAAGAATACCGTCGACTTCCTCTTCAATGACAAGGTCGCCAATGCCGAATCATTGGGCAGCGTACATCACTTTGTCTGGGATCGAACTCGCGCCGTCCGCAACGACTTTTCTATTCAGCAAATCACAAAACCCGCCGATGTCCAAGTTGCCATTGAATGCTACGAACGCATTGCCCGCTTCCACATCCTATCACTGCATCAGCTCGCCGTTCCAGATAAGCCCTACGACAAATACGACTGGTATCAGGAGCGAGAGCAGCTCGACCGTACCCTCTTGTCTTTGATGCAATATTACGATGACTCGCGTGGACGCGTCGAGTGCAAGAATGAGGCCGAGTTCCGCGCATACCTCATCATTTTCCAAGCCCAGGACCCAACACCCGATCTGGAAGAAAGAGTCAACACCTGGCCCATCTCTGTCAAATCTGACAGGCGTGTAAGGATCGCTCTTGACCTCAACTCTGCCGCTTCAAACATCGTCGATCCTCAAGGCCCGCTAAAACCTCGCGCTGCTTACACTGTTGCTCGAGAAGACTGGGCCCATTTCTTCGACCTCGTTCGCTCCAACAAAGTCTCTTACCTCATGGCCTGTGTCTCGGAGATATACTTCAAGCTTGTGCGGCGGACCACCTTGAACGCCATCTGGCGTGGATTCAAGGGCCACGTCTTTGAGTTCACCCTATCTTTGATGACCCATATCCTTGGCTTCGACGACACTGAACAGACCGAAACTTTCTGTCAGCATTTTGGCTTTGTCTTCAAGGAATCCACCTCTGGAGGCGAGACCTTTTTGGATTTGGATTCGGTCAAGGGCAAAAGCTTCCCATCGGAGACTCCTGGTTTAGACCATCAGACTTTCTCTGAAGCCCTGGTCGAGGCAAAGCGTATGGGCCGCAACTTTTCTGCTGTGATAGGTGGATATACTGTAGCAGAAGCACAAAGCTCAGGCTTGATCGATGAGAGTTTTGACAGTCAAATGGAAGATGACATGGATGATCAAGCAGAAGATAGTCAAGTTGAAGAGGACCCTGACTCTCTCTTCATCCCGGAGGGGCCGTCTAAATCGCCTTTTGGAGCAGCAGCAGCAGTGCCGTCATCGCCTTTTGCAAGTCCCTTTGCTACGAACAAAGCGCCTGGAGAAGCTCAGCCGCCGTCACTCCTTGCTAAACCAAAGCCTCTGTCCTCCGGCTTTGGCCAGCCTTCGACATCAACTGAATTCAGTTTTGGAAAGCCCTCTGTCAGCCCGACGCCCCCAGAGGCATCTACTATTGCTCCTACGTCTACTTCAACCTCCGTCTTTGGCCAGCAGCCTAGTAGTGAAGGCATCAGCTCTTCTTCGAACCCCTTCGGTTTCGCGAAACCCGCCGTCGTAACCGAGACTGCCACTAGCACGGACTCATCATATAAGCGGCCTGCCAACTTCTTCTCCTTCGCAAAACCTGCCGCCGTCAATGATAAGGCACCATTGAAGTCTTCACCTCCACAAGCAGAGGCTAGTGAATCTGCAAGCTCTGTGAGCAGTCTACCATCATGGGGAGTTTCTGGTTCAAGCGCTAGTCAGCAAACTGCATCCGTTGCCGCTCCGGCACCATCCCTCTTTCAAGCTCCACCGCAACCAAAACCCTCATTCAGCTTCTCCTCTACTTCAGAGACGGTTGTACAATCTTCACAGCCGTCACCGGCTCCTTCGAAGAGCCCTTTCAACTTTTCTTCCATCACAAGTGATGCAGGCAGCTCACTGAACCCAAGACAACAACCGACGGAACCTCCACAAATATCCGCTTCTCTCTTCAGCAAACCTTCTACCATCCCGAGTGAAGAACCTGCTTTCTCTCAAGCTGCGTCTTCTCCAGCTACATTCAATGGAACTCCTGGAGTATCGGTCTTCAATGCATCTCCTTTCGCGCCAAAGTCCCCGCAGCTCAGTTTCAGTCAGCCTTCTCAGCCCAAAAAGCCGAGCCCGTTATCACAGTCATTTTCTTCAGAAGACGAAAGCAAGACACCCAAAACTACGAGTGCATCTCTATTCCAGCCTTGTTCCCAGCCGGTATCACAGACACCTGTTGCCCCTCCACCCAAGCTCAAGAAATCCAAAAATGAGATACTTGAGCAGCTCGCTAGGGAAGTTGTCTTAGACGCTGACCGAGGGTTGATTAGACAATTTGTCGAATACCATGCTCGTCAGACCGTCATGGGAGTCTACGACGAGTTATATATGGAAAGTATTCGTGAACTCGCGGATACCTTCAGAAGAGAGACGCTTTCTTACAGATTTGGCAAAAGGTGGCGCGAGATATGTTGGCGACGAAGACTGGCCCGTCAGGGTAGAGAGCGTCGCAAACGTGCGAAGAAGGACCAGAGTGCGCGCGAGCTGAAAAGGAAGCTTGCTGCAGAGAAGGACGCTGTCGATGATTTCCTCAAGTCTACGAGGTCAGCTGCGAATTCAGGGGCAAGCCTGCACAATTCTCAAGCTAGTCAAGTCCCTCGGGACGATGCCCAGGTTCTTCTCGATGATGACACAGGAGCAGCGACAAGCAAAGTCCACGTAAACAAGAGACTGAAGAGTCTGGATAACATCGACCTAGAAACCCCGAAGAAGAAACAGCCAGCTGCGACGCCACGATCAAACTTCCTCGGTTTCAGTATGCTTGGTTCTCAGAACCGCCCAGCTATATCCAGCACACCTTCTCGGTCAAACTATTTCCGCTTAAAGGCCATGGGCATCAAGCCTGAAGGGGACACGAATGCGTCTCAGGCCAGGAAACGATCGAGGGAGGACAGTGAAGAGGCTCAAGCAGAAGCACAGCCGCCAAGCAAAAAGTCACAGACACCGCCATCGGCTATAGCTACTCGCCCGACAGATTTTGCACGGCCCCCTGCCCCTCGTAACGATGCTACTAGAGCTCTCGGCAGCAGTACAGCAAGCACTAAGCCACTTTCCAAGGCGCGGCAAGACGATGAAGAGCTATTCGCTCGAGCTCGGGCAGCGAGACAAGCCATGGCAGATTCGAGTACGTGGTATAAGTCTGAAATCCAGAAAGATGATGCTAGGCGCAAGGAGGAAGCGGCCCGCTCGTTGACATCGCCGTCGATGGAGCGCGCTCGTGAACTTGCTCGTCTTCGCTCCGCAAACCTCGGCACAGCATCGCCAGACGTCCCTGCTTATAGATTGAGGGAAAGCCGTTTCGTGCCACGGGCGCAGTATCACGCTGCCATCGAGAAGGCGAAACAGAAGATCCAGTCCAGGTCAAGAAGCTCGTCACAAGTCTCGACGCCCAGGGTTCCTCGGTCTCCAAGCCGTTCAGCCGGTGAAGGCCTGATGGCTTTATCGGCCGCGACTGGCAAGATCTCTTCCCTTCCTACTCAGCTCGACGGACAAGATGCTCAAGCGACAGACAGCATGGTCCACTTCGCTGCTTTGCACAAAGCCCCAGAAGACTCAGCTTGGCAGTACGCGCCAACCTTTTTCGACGAGTCTGTGGACCCAGCACTTTCCGAACCAGACGTCAATGGACATGGAAACGGCCTTGAAAGCCTGGCTCAGGAAGCCATCAACGAGTATGTTGACCTAGGATCAGATGATGAGACCGAAGACTTGCAACACGTCCTACGCTCGGATCAAAGCACCTTTGAAGTCAACGACATGCTCGACACAGGCGCAATTGCCGACGACGATGACGACCACGACGACGACGAAGGGGAAGATAGTGAACACGCTGACGATGAAGGCGAAGGGTACCTAGGAGGGTACGCTCAGAATCCCGAAGATTTCGAGGATGAGGAGGTTTTTGACGAAGAAGATTCTGAGGGGGGAGAGGAAGAAGATGACAGTGAACAGGAGCTCGAAGAGTTCGACGAGGAAGATGAAGAAACCGAAGACGAAGAGGACATGTCTGTCAGCAATAACATCAAGGCAGGAACAGGTACCGCCGACGATGCATTTGAGCTTAGCGATTAGTGGTTGGACAAGCAATTTGATATACTAGTTTGTGGGAGAAATTGTAACCAACCGACTGACTTGTCGACGCCGCGCTGAACTTCAATTGTGTTTCACCATTTGTGAATTTCTTGCTCTGAATGACTTAGGGGTATCAAGCGAGGTTGCAAGTGGAGGAACGGTGATCAAACGCGTCCATGGTTCTCGACAAGCAATGCTTTCATGTAATCGCTAGGCTCATACCTCCATTGCTCGTTGATGAGGGTCTTGCCTACGGAGTCCCGCAGTCGGGTCATGACTTCTGCTTTAGGTCTTTCGAGTTCTAAGATTGTTTGTCAGCTAGCGAAATGAAAGACGACGCAGAGGACAGACCATGTTCGTCCCATCTCTTGCCATTCCTTCCACCGGCAGCAGTTCCAGATGCCCAGTACTCTTGCACAAGACTCGTCAGGCGCCGTTCGTCTTCGAGGTCTTTGGCTTGTCAGCACGAAGTCGAGTCTAGAGGGTGATAGGAGCTCATACCTTGATCCTCCGCACCATTAATCTGTTCACCTAGAGCAGGAGCCTCGTGCAAGTAGTTGCCTCTTCCATCTCTCACGACCATATCTCGAGGAGGCTCAGGATGGTTCTCTTCGTCTGGCTCGATGGTCGTTTCGGTTGCTGCTCTGGTCCTTCTGGTCCGGGTGGCCCTGCCAGCAGCGGCTGCACGCCTACTCATCCTGTCTCCTGCATCGTCCGAGTCTTCGAGAACCAGTTCATTTAGGTGGATTGATGAAGGAGCGGCAGCAGTAGGACGTCGTGGGGGTGCTGGAGCAAAGAGGTTGCGCGCGGCGGAGTTAGCCCGCAAGGCATGGCCGCCAGAACTGTATGTATCGTGCAAGTGACTTGTGGTGTGAGTGGTAGGACGCCGGGGTGCATCATTGAAAGGATCGTGTGGGCGGGGCGGCATATTTGTGAGATGGATGTGTTGGTATAGGTAGATAGGATATGAGTGGGTTGTTGCTGATCAGTGTGGATTTTCTGACTGCCTGTTTGTTGTCGTCGACAGAGCCGATCGAAATGTATGGTTGAGTGGTTGATGAGTTTCTGCACCTAGGTCAAGCATAACGGACAGAACACGTGCGTCACACAAGGGTCAATTGGACAGCATCGAGTGACACGGCAGTTCGTATCTTGGATGGATTACAGGTGAGAACAAGGGATCATAGCTATATAGTTTCAGGGTCCTTGGCTAGAGAGATGAGCTTTTTTGGATGTCTGTACAGGGCTCAGGCGGATGACTGATGGTGGGTAGCCAGACATATGGCAAGTGCACAAGCATACATCAGTAGCCCCGGAGCATACGGCATGGAAAATACTGGAGTCTGCAGGGAAGGAGTGATAGGAGTTCGGTTGCACAAGGACCGCCAAGGCGCTCAATCTGGCAGGAAGCAGCGCCCCCGAAAGTAACCAAAAGCTAAACGTAGCTGCAGAGAGAACAAGCAGCCCCTGGGACTCTCATTGTTTGGCCGTTGAGACTGCTTTTCTTTCCCGCCCGGTACTTACTCTGCTCGACGATTCCTTTGCGACGCAACACAAGGACCAGACGTCCGGTGGCTTCTTTCTCTCTGGCCATCGTCCGCCATGCGCTAGCCCCCGAATCTGATCACACAGAGCCCGTCCACACATCACTAGACCACCCGCCATGTCGCTCTCACGCTCGCCTTCGCCCAAACGAGGCGGTGGCTGGGCCAGTCCCGGACTCAATGCCAACTTCGCTCAGAGCAGAAGCTCCACCCCCGTCACGTCCTACAGCCAGAACCACTCGGTCACCTGGGCCTCCGCCCAAGCACGAAGCCACCAAGTCAACGGATACCCAGCATATCAAGATACCGGCTCAGGCTTCTTGACCAAGCACATGCGCAACATCTCGGCGAGCCTGCCCTTCTTCAACAACGCCCCCAAAGACGAGCGTCAGGCCGAGAAGGAGAAGATGAACAGAGCCAGATGGTCCCCTGCACGACGAGGCTATCTTGCAAACTTCAAGTCGATGCTTGGTCACCATATGCAGAGATCAAAATCTCGTTTCATTCTGGTACTGGTCCTTGTCTTGCTTATCATTTGTTTCTACACCACCCGTAAGTCAGCCGACACGAGAGAGCTAGATCTCAGCCCGCTGACACGATAATAGCATTACATTATTGGTACAAGAAGAGTTCATGGCTGGGCGGCGGCAGCAAGTTTGTCGTCATCCTTGCAGCCAACATGGGAGGAGGTGTCATGGAATGGAAGGGGCCTCGCGAGTGGGCCATTGAGCGCGATAGTGTGCGCAACAAGAAAAACTACGTGCACCGATGGGGCTATGAATTGGAGATTGTCGATATGAGCACAAAGAAACGCTATGCGCACGAGTGGAGAGAGAGCTGGGAGAAAGTCGACACAATTCGCAACGCCATGCGCAAATACCCTCACGCCGAGTGGTGAGTTCTGATGCCCGAAAAGAACGAGAGCGAAGCCTTACTGATGCATTGCAGGTTCTGGTGGCTGGATCTCAACACATTCATCATGGAACCATCGTACTCGCTGCAGCAGCATATTTTCAATAACCTCAACGACAACGTCTACCGCGACATCAACGACTACAACCCTCTCAACATCTCGCACCCTCTGACGGGAGCCCATCTCGATCCCGAAAGTCTCTCGCCCGTCGGAGACGGCAAGGCCGACTCGATCAACCTGATTGTGCCCCAGGACTGCGGTGGCTTCAACCTGGGTTCCTTCTTCGTCAAGCGCTCGGCGTGGACGGATCGTCTGCTCGACATATGGTGGGATCCTGTGGGCTACGAGCAAAAGCACATGGAATGGGAACACAAGGAGCAAGACGCGCTGGAATACATGTACACCAACCAGCCGTGGGTGCGACCACACCTTGCCTTTATCCCGCAACGCAAGGTCAACAGCTTCCCACCTGGCGCCTGTGGAGACAACGGCGAAGACATGAACATCCACTATCACGAGCACGACCGTGACTTTGTCGTCAACATGGCAGGTTGCGAGTGGGGCAGAGACTGCTGGGGAGAAATGTACAACTACCGACAATTGAGCAACAGGCTCAACCGCAACAACTGGGAGAAGTTCAAGGACGGAGTGTCGGGAGCCTTCTCATTCCTCAAGACCAAGAAGAAGGAGATTACGGGAACGGAGAAGGACAATGAGGACAAGGAGAAGAAGGAGTCATGATTATATTGAAAGCGGACGGTTGGGATACAAGAGGGTAAACATTTCGGAGTCATGTATACATTTGCAAAGCAGACAATGTTGATTTCTTGTGCCTGCCTGTTGACCTGTGGCCTGATATGCGAGTGAGGGTTTCCAGAAGTGTCGAGTGTGAGGGTACGAGGGGCGTGAATGACTGATAGAATGTGACGGCATGTTGAAGGCTCGAGAGAAGAAAGGAGAAGGTGGTCGACACGGAGGATAAGGGTGGTCGACGTAGGCGGGTGGAGAGGCTGGTTGTGTGTCGGATGGGGAGGATGGTCGGGGTATGGTGTTTATGAGCGGCTAGGGGTGGTGTTCTGTTGCTCGAAGAGGTATCCCTTGACCTTGGCGTGCTTCAATTGCTCGAGGTAGCGCTCTGCCGAGAGAGTCAGACGACTGGAACAGGCAGTGGTGGACGACGCGGGATACAAACCTCTAAGGGCACCGCACTTTTCGAGGTGGTTGACGCCCTCGCGGTAGTAGCACTTGCCCATCTCCTCTCTGAGCAGGCGGGCCATCATGCTCTGGACCCATTGCTCGCGCAGGACGGCATCCTGGGCAGCCTTGAGCTGCAAGTTGTTGTCGTAGTCGACGCCCTCGAATGTTGGCGGCACCGTGGGCTTTTGCATGCGGAACTGGATTGACTCGGGTGTAGGCATCTTGGGCGATCGTGTGTGTGCGTGTGTGAGAATTGAACTGATCTGGTGTAGATAGGTCGTCGTCTTTCTCTCGTCGCCGTCGTCGCTGCTTTCACTGGTCCGTCACTGCGCCCAAGGAAGCGCGCGAAGTCCGGCAGTCGCGAGTCTCTGGCCAATCACAGCGTCGCATTTTACTTTACTTCTTGCTGGACTTTCTCAGAGACAACCTTCCCGACTTGCTCTTTTCCTTCTTGATCGCCATCTTTTCTGCGTGTTTTTCAACCTTTCTGTCGATTGCGTCTTTTTCTCCTAGCATTGCTTGCGGTGCGCTGTAGCTGACTTTCCACTGCCACTCGTTGAATCGCACCACCTGCTGTTGTTCGAGCTGCCCCATAAGCTCGCTTCGTCGACGCTGACATGAATAGCAGAGGCTTTCGATCTTGTTGCACTGGTAGGGATGTGTTTTCAACTCGCATCCGGACGAATATGTCGACACTGGCGAGATTGATGCATGTCTGCACATGATCAGAGGCTGCTTGCTCATGCACGAATGCCCGCACGTCGTGAAGATGTACAGTTTGTGATAGCACATGATTCCTTCGCTGCCTGTAAATGTGCTGCTACTTTCCTCAAGCCACACGACTGTGGTTCTTATACTCTTTGCACACGTTTCCCTGCTTCCGGCTCTTGCTGATTTCTCCATGCGGCATGCACTTTCTTTGTTCAGATTTCTTGCTTTTTGACGACTCCACACCTCGTTCCATGTTCTTGTATAGCAAGAACCAGCAAGCAGTAGTCTGCTCACAACCTGCTGTCTTGATCATTAGATTCTGATACATGCTATGTCAAGATCATTTGATCTAGCGCCATGTCTTGAGCACGCATGAGACATCTACCTCGAGGACAACTATACCACGTTTCTTTGTCCTCTTTGTTTTGACAACCTGGCACTTTACAGACTCTATTTCAATGCCCTGTCCCACTTGAAAGGACTAGCCAGCATGAAGCACGTTTTGCCAGTATATATTCCTCTAAGCAAAACAGTGTACTCGGACCTGTATATATAAGCAACCGCCCAAAGCTACAGTCATGGCCACACCAACACCGACATTCAACCTCGGGACATCTTCAGAGCCCATCCACGTTCCAAAGGTCGCTCTGGCCATCATCATTACATTCAGCGTAGTTAGCCTGGTTGCTCTCGCAATAGCAATCTGGATTCTGTTCCGCTACACTTGCTCGAGCCGTGGAAGAAGGGACGGATATGCCATCAGAGATGGTCGAAACGAGCACACACAATGGTGGAAACACGCCAATCCTCCTGCCGAATCAACAAACTCTTCCGAGGTGTCCCACGTTGGCATCATACCCGCTCCCGAGCTGGCTCCTGAAGATGGGAATTTGAGAAGTCGATACACTGGGGAGAGGAGCGCTTAGGGTTGGAGAAGAAGTTCGAGGAAACCTTGCTTGGATGATGGAACGCTTCTTGTACATATTGCACTTGTAAAGGAACAATGTCTGTACATATCCATATCAAATTCTGTGCAGCACTAAAAAATCAAGACGCTATGCAACATGATGGGGCTGAAAGAACAACTCGATACATAGAATCAAAGGACTCAATCTTGAACACTGACCGATGCCTTTTCAGCGACAGCAGCCTCTTGATCTTGTGTCTCTGGTTGCTCTTCGTCTTCGTCTTCGTCTTCAGGAATAGCGACAGATTTCTCAAGCTCTTTGATCGTCTCCGGGTCTGCGATGCTGACACTGCTTCCCCTGTGCTTTCGTACCATAGATCCTGCAGGAGTGGCTGTAGCTGAAACATCGTCTGACTCGACGAGCGCTGAAGGTGCAGAGGACGGTGTCGTCGAGGGTTCTTCTGTCTTTTCGGGTGCTGGCGCGTCGGAAGCCTGGGCGGCGGTGTCTTGGGCGGTGTGGATGCTCTCGAGCTTGCTGTCAGACGACGAGTTCATCGTCTCAGGCTTGGTGGCGGCGTCTGCTTCGACCAGACTCGATTTCAGAGGGGCAACCTTGGTGTCGTTGATGCCGGGTGTAGGACCTTTGCGTGCGGCGCCTATACTGGCGGCTTGAGCAGCGGCCTCTTTCATCGACGGATCTGCCATGGGCGACTGAAGAGGTTCGGTTTTGTCTTCGGCTGACTTGGTAGCGGCGGTAGCGGTGGGCTTGATGGGGAGCTGGGCAGGAGGTTGAGTGGTAGGATGCATGGTGGCTCGGGTGGTGACTGCCTCACCGCCTGGTGCAGGGGCAGAACCGATAGGGGTGATGTCGCCGATGTTCTCTTTGATCTCGCCAAACTCGTTCCATTCTTCGACTTCTTCGAGGTCCTAGATGGAGCAGCGTCAGAAGATTGCGGCTCGCAAAGCACATGGCCAACGTACAGCTAGAACAAAGCCCTCCTTGACCAGGGCAGGGAACTTTTTGCCACGAGACCGACGGCCCCAGAGACGCTTGGCCGATTCATTTGTCGCCGTGTCAATGGCCATAAAGGGGATCCTGTTGGCATTGAGGATTGTCTCGACACGCGATGTTGCCGTAATGATGTGTGAGGAGCCCGAGGTCAAGGATGTAAAGAGAAAGACTCTGCCATCCTTGTCCCATGCACTGAGATCGTGTGCTGAAGCCATGATTGTGTGAGTATCGAGGATTGGTGTCTTGTTTCTTTGAGAGGGGCGAGTGTTTGTTGCGAGGGGTCCCTGTGACGTTGTTACGCGCAGCTTCTGTGGGGTACCTTCCTTTTGAGCTTCATCCCCAAGTATTTATAGCAATCGGGTTCAATCTGTTTTGTAATTGCCAATTGTTCAAAAACAACTACCAGGTATATAATTTATCTTGATCATCATGAATTGCGAATCCCTAGTTTTCATCGCCCAAACCTATAACGCCATTTCCGTAACCGATCAATAAGCCTCGATTGGCTGCTGAGCCATGGTAACCTGGTTGACTGACATGTTCTCCTTTGCAATGAAGAGGTTGCTCAGAGCATCGCGGACCTCGAACTCTTCCAAGACGGCTCCAAAGCTGCATTTTGTTAACTTGACGTTTCGTAATCTCGCACCATATCATCACTCACCCGTAGCATCTGGCCTTTCCAGCAAGGTCGGCCTTGACAAGCTCAAAGTCGTGAGCCGTCATCTCCGAAACCCTGCTGTTCTGCAGAACCAGCATCCACGCCATGACGGGCGTGAGCTCACCCTCAAGGGGCAGCTGTGCGCTAAGGTCCAACAGCTTCATGAGATCTGGAGCCTTCAGATCAGGCATTCTGTGACCGTATGGGTCTCCAGGCTTGTTCATGATGTGCGACGGTGGAGGACACGTCGCCATCAGTGCATGGCCGCACATGTGTTCGTGCTCCATGTCATCGGGTCTCTCCATGGGGTGATGGAATGGTTGTCCCTCGGGGTTGTGTGAGCGGACCACGAGGTATTGCAGGTGATCCATACAGGGCCGTTCGAGACTACGCAAAGGACCACGTCAGCCCAGTCGCGAGACGATACAATAGCGGCAGTGCGATAATCATGTGAACTATTGGTTCGGCGGGGGTGAGGGATAGGCTGCCCTGTTATAGGGCTGGCCTTGGGAGTCGTACGTCAAGACAAAGTCGATGCCAATCTGGTCGTAGTCCAGATGCTGGCCGGGCAGTTGGCCTGCACTAGCCATGGGCTTGGAGTCCTGAGAGCGGAGAGGAGGGGGGCTGAAATCGCCAGTGCTGGAATCTTGACGGTAGCTGCCAGAGATACTGCCGCTGGAGCTGCCGTTGTACGACGCAGGCATGCCGCGCATTGCCGGGAGCGACTGTAGGCTATCGAGCGGAACGCCGTGGGCCAGGAGAAGCTCTCTTAGACGCTTGTTCTCGTTGACGACAGCGTCGCGATCCGACACACTAGATCCGTAGAGTTCCTTGAGGCGGAGCACTTCATGTTCGAGAGCCTTGATGTACATTTCCTTGCGTTCTCGGTGTGTTCTGCAACGAATTAGATACCGAGTGACAACAATCAGCCGAGAATCAACTGGCGTACCTCTGGGCTTGTCTATTCAGTTCCTGTCTACGGGTCAAGGCAGGTTTGCTGTCGGGCTTGGGCCCGCGACGTTTTGGGGCTGCTCCATCTACATGTGCGTAAGAGACCAAAGTTTGCTGCAATGATGGTTAGGCGTAACATACCTTTTGTTTGCTTCTTATCGAGACCGAGGGTTTTCAGGAACCCAAAATTTGAGAGCGGGCTCCTCTCAGAAGAATGCTGGCTCTCTGGAGACGTATAGGTCAGCGCCGCGCTGTTGTCGGGAAGTGGCTCGTCCGGCGACATGGATTGCATCGAGACCTGAGCCATGATGCAGGCAAGGCGCGGTGTAGACGACAAGAGGTATGGAGGGGCAGGAAGGGAACAAAACTGGGGTTGGCGGGAGGGGGAGGGTCGATGATATACATAAAACACGGAAACATACCCAGATCATGAGCACTACTCGGTGCCTGGGGACCAACGTTGGAAGCCGACATGTCTAGCGCAAGACTGTCGGTACAGAAGATTTGACTATCGAAAGGGCGCTGGCGAATCGCGACGGTCTGGAACGCCTGGGGAGAGGTCAGTCGTTATGAACAGATCAATGACGATCTGGAACTGGCACGGAGAGAGCCGTACAAGTCCAGTCTCATTTGTCATGCTAGACGACGAAGCTTTTCCTGAGACGCCAAACCACAGGTTGAGAGTGGCAGGCAGGTGGGACTAAGAATGGACGACCGTGCGACTTACAGCGATTTTCAAAACATTTAGGCACGAAAATTATAGGACGAAGTGCTTTCTGGGGATCAAGATGGGTATAAGTGTGGGCTCGTCTGGTTTGCGCGACGCGAGCGCGATCACACCAGCTCTCGATTCGGCCGAATTCGTGGCAGGGCAGGTGATGGCCGCAGAGGAACAGCGGAAGGTGTCAACCGTTGGCCAGGGAGAGACAAGACAAGTCTCAGAAAGACAGCACGCCTCGGACGTTGTGGTTGCTGTAGAAGCTGCTGCTCGACCCACGCGTTCCTCCGCTATGCCGTGTGTCGAGATGTTGATGCGGTGGCTCTCAAGGAAATGGCAGAGAAGAGCAAAAACCGAGGGCCATGGCAGACAAGAGAGATGAGAGGACGGCCATGTTGCGCCAGAGTGGAGCCAGCAATGGTTCCAGAGCCATAAGCGATCTAGTGTTTGCCCTTTTCCGTGCCTTGATGTCGCGCCGCCTGAGCGAGCCGTCCCGCCGAAGCATCTTTCCATCTCCTCTTCGCAATCAAGTTCCACCCCACCCTTGGCCCCAGCAGCGGTGACGCTCCAACAACGTAACACTTCTGCTGTACAGCCAGGTGCAGCCTTGTGTTTGGAAGCCCCTTGGCCATGGCTTCCCTGAATAGGCAAATCCTTGCTTGCTTGTTCTTGTCCTTGCGCTTTGTTTTTCTGACCTTTGGACCCTGGCTCGCCCATCTTCTGATCGCCGACCTTCTGCTGTCTTGTCTGCTTCCGTTCGCATTCCTCTTCCCCACCTCCACCTACCACACGGCATCTACCATTGCAGAGGGAGTATGGCGCGGTGTGCAGCGCATTTGCGAGGATTCAAATGGCGCGCATATCATCTTGGCTGGAGATGAGCTGCCTGTTGGAGAAAGTGCAATCCTTGTTGCAAACCATGTCGAATGGTCCGATTTCTACCTTATCCAAGCCTTGGCCATTCGTACCGCCATGTTGGGCCGCTGTCGGTGGTTTGCGAAGAACACGCTCAAATGGGTTCCTGTTCTGGGCTGGGGTCTGATGGTCATGGGTATGCCACTGGTCAGTCGCAAGTGGTCCGAGGATAAGCAAGAGATGGAACGTTTGTTCAGTGGTATCAAAAAAGGCCGCTGGCCTATCTGTACGCAACTTTCCCGCAACACCAAATTGCATTGAAATGACTAACTCTTCCCAGGGCTTATTTCTTTCAGCGAAGGGACACGTTACAGGCCCAAGAAGCATGCAGAAGCTGTCCGTTGGTGTGAAGCCAACCAAAAATCACTGCCTCAACACACTTTGCATCCTCGCCCAAGAGGGTTTGTCGCTACTGTGCAGCAACTGCGCAAAACGTCTCATGTGAAAGCCGTATACGATGTCACGATCGCTTACGCCGAGGATGACAAGTTCATGTCTCCACCTTCTTTCTTCAAAACTGTGTTTCAGCCAAATTTGTCGCAGAGATATCGAATGTATGCTCACGTTCACCGCTATGAACTTAGCTCTCTGCCCGAAACGGATAGTGAGATCACCCACTGGCTGGAAGAGAGGTGGACAGAGAAAGGCGAGAGACTGGCAAAGCTCAAGAAGTCATTAGACTATGGAGAACCGTGGAAAGGCACAACGAGCAAGGCCTAGAGCGTTAGCAACATCTGCCAACATCCGCCGTATGGTGTAAGTGTTCTGGTTTTTCACGCTTCGGCGCTTCAAAGAGGCATGATACAGCTTGTCGCGTCTCAAGCTAATGTAATTATTCTGGAAGGAACCATAGGTTCACACGATGTACAGATCCTTTATTCACTACTCCTTGTTGCTACGAGCTCTTTCACCGACGGTTTCCGAAGAAGAGTGAAGGGACTGCATGGTTCTTGCTCACTTCACTGTTGGTTCACTCTTTTCTATATGTTACCACACAGTTGCGACGACTTCCTCGTTTGCTATCGCAGTCGAGGGTTGCGACTTGAGTTTCTCTTTCTGCTCACTTCTGTTTCCCTCTTCAACCCGCAGCTCCTGAATCTTGATTATCTTCCTTATAACCTTGATACTCGAGGTGCCAATCGTCGATTCGATCCAAGCATTGCACATTGTCACTGACCTACTCGATCAGAGTCGAACGCCTCGGTTGTACAATCCAGCCAACCTTGCACGCTAGTCGGGAACCAGCCATCAGTATGGCCTCCGAGGAAAGTGGCCCTTTAGGCCCAGCACACAAGTATGTCGATGTTAAAGACGAGCACTGACATGATTGATCCTGACAGAAATAGGCGCCTCACTGCTGAAGATCTTGACGCTTTCCAGACCAACTTTGTCAGTCTTGAGGAAGTTGGCTTCGACAAGGAAATTGAAGCATGGGACAGCAGCTTGAACGAATGGACCGCACGTCTGGCCTCGCCAACTTGGAAGGCTTGATGATGAGCATGATGATGGCCTCGTAAGGCTATCGTTGGCAGGTCATATGCAGGCGGCAGAGGGTAGCATATATCGAATCGCTGAACAGCCGCGTGGAGCCGGGCTCTCGCTTGGTCTCTCTTCGACCCAATATCCTGTGGCATCGCCGAACGAAACAAGTAGACAAACAGACCTCCACAATCACATACTGGTCTACACGACTGAACTTCGATGCTCGCCTTCCGTGTCCTCGTGTAGCCGTAGGGTGACATCCCCAAACGTTCGGGCATTGTGCAGGTCCGTCGCCGCTTACATGTAAATCATTCACAGTGTAGTCTTTTGGATCGCAATTTGGAGCATGGTTGGATCCCATCTGGACAAAGTCAAGAGATGCAAACAGCACTCTATTGCAATGTTCCGCCGATGCGATACTGTCCAGGTTACGCATTGTGGGCAGCAGTCTCTGAGGTGGCTGCTAGTCGATACTCACGGCTCTGCCTTTCCGAAGGCGTCCTTGATCGCCAACCGCTGGCTTGAGACAGTTGAACATGAATTGAGCAACCATAGAACAGATGCGATTGCCTCCACGTAAAACAACAAGATGAATTTCCGGCGTGCTGTTCGGCAAGTAAGCGAACATGTCCAGCATGCATCCTTGTCAGAAACACGTCTCCAAACTTGGCGGATCGTGTGGCTTGCTGACTCGGCGAATTCAGCTGCAAATCGAGCCCTTGTACCTTGCAATCCTTGTCAGATGTCTGCCGTGTGGAACCCTCAAGATAGAGGTTATCCCCCGGCTTCTGGTCCCTCTTTGACCTCTATAGTGACATAGTGACTCTTTGGACGCGGGTAGTCTAACAAAAAAATTCGACTATCATGCTCGACAAACAAAACAATCAACCACGAAGCTCGACCGGACGAGGCAACAGTCTAATGGATGATCAAAAGAAGAAGAAAGGCATCAATGGCCTATTGGGATCACTGTTTCTCAGGGAACCTTCGGGGTCTGCCTTCGCAAAAGCTCAAGCACAGCACAAACTTGCGACCAAAGCCAAGGCTGCGTCAAAGAATCAAGACTGGCAAGGTGCGTCCGCGGAGCGCCGCGAAGCATCTCCTTCGGCATCAGTCACATCTCGACCGTCGATATCATCAGCTTCCACATCTTCGAGAAACAGCAAACACTGAAGCTGCGTCGAAACTCAAGACTGGCTCCGATCGATGCTTTACAATGGAGAGACCATCGCGCATTCAGCCAACATATGGCTCGTATCTCACCGCTCCATGGCTTCTCGCACACTCAAGTGATCTGGCCAATTCGCCGGCCATGTCATGTCACATATCGATGGTGCCATGTTCCACACACAGCGATGACCAAACATGCGAGTAGATGTTGTGCGGAATTGGCGCTGAGCATCATGCCTATCTTCCTTCGCGTTCCTGGGTGCTTCCTTTCGACAACAGATCCCTCCCATGGGCAAAGCAATGCTCTTCCTCGCGAGGCTGTACGAAGCAGAAAGTAGTGTTGCAGTCGAGAAAGTAGCAATCGATCGAAGATACCGATATCTTCAAGACTTGGCCAGAGGATATGGCGTTTCTTCTCCTGCTTCACGGCGCTCGAGAGGCGGGAAACGCGAGAGACTCGTCCTCCCAGCTAGACAAAAGCAGTAAGCACTGAACGCCTCACGTGACTCGACTGAGGTACAGTCACGTGCGATGGTCCTGGATCTTTTCGCGATATGATCAGGGGTGTCAGCATAGCAGCAGTTGAACAAAGTTTGGATGTGTAGCGGAGTACGCTTGCTATCATGACATCGAATATCAATGATGCCTGCGATCGATACCATCAAAATGCATTCTGACACGCGCTCACAGCTCTGTACTGTCGTGAGATGAAGGCGCTGCAGAGGGTCATATTTACATTCTGTATGTAAAAACATTCTAGTCCTAGACTTCACTCGTTTGGAAGTCAGAGCTGACTACATCCGCGCCAAAAGGCTCTTGGATGTGCGGACTTTCGACGAAGGACGTGAAGATAATTCGCCCACATTGCAAAATAACTTCTTACCAGCTTTCGAACATGGCTCGCCACATGACAGGACGTGAGTGTATGTGGCTGTATACTCATTCATTCGGACATTCTTGAGACTTGCACGAGGACAGGCTATCAGAGCATCTAATCACGTCAAGGGGTATGGATTGCAAGAGGTGGAATTTTGGTTGTGCATTGCTCTATAGAATTTTGCAAGCCAGAAGAAGGATCCCAGACAGGATCCATGGAGAGAGAGTGAGCGATTTGCTCCTGTCAGCTTTCCACATTGAAGAAAAGCCATTAACCGTAAGTTCCCAACCCTTTGCAGGAGACGCCATGACCCAATTGACTAGTTAAAGAAGTACAGCAAAGAGCCACTCTGATATCGCGTGCTTATGCAGTAGCAGTCGACACAGAGAAGCTTCGAGGAATCGGTGATTCACCGCTTACAGAGCGAGGTAACCAACAGCACTGAGGAAGAGAGCACCCATCATACCAGTAGTGGTCTGGCGAACGCTGGCAGCAGCGTTTCCAGAGGCAGATGCACTGGCAGAGGATCCAGCGGTGCTTGAGGCACCACCCTTCTTGGTGGATGAAGCCAGAGTGGAGGATGCCTTCAAGCTCTGGGTCGAGATGGTACCGTTGGTCGAGTTACCGCCAGCGGTGACAGTGCTGACTCCAGCGGAGGGAACGACACCAGCAGGAGCAGTGCTGACAGCCGAGTCGGAAGTGATGGTTGTGGCGTTGATGATGGGAACGGGCATGCGAGTGGAGAGAGCTGAGGAGGCAGCGGCAGGAGAGACCTCGACGCTCGACTCGGCGGCCGAAGCAATGGAAGAGACAACAACGCTTGATGCAGCAGCGCTTGAGACTGACTCGACGACGGCAGAGACAGAGGCAGCGGCACTGGGTGCAGAGGTTGCGATCACAGAGGAAGAAGCCTCGGTGACAGGGGCCTGAACATGTTGTTAGTTCATCCAATCGCAACCATCGTCGTGCTGAGGAGAGATAGGATGGAGAGCTTACCTGGATTTGGCCATCAGAGATCTGGGTAACGATGCCAGCAAAAGCGGTGCTGGCCAAGGCGCTAACGAAGAAGGCGGTACGCATGTTGACGGTTGTTGTTGTTGACAGAGACTGAGATTAAAGTTTCGTGTAGTTGTGAACGGTGTTTGACAGAGTTTTGGATATGTAGCGAAAGTGATTTGCAAGAGGAATGCAAGAACGAGAGACGGAGTTTGAGGAATGAGTGAGTGATCAATGGGTAGTGAGGGCCAGGGGTTTTATGGCGAGCGAGATGTCAGAGCCTAGACTGTAAATAGAAGGGTTACGTCCCCCTTGGGCGTGTCCAAACAAGCTCCAAACAAGTTCATCAGTGACGGGCGCTGCATATTGCGTGGCTGGCCGCCGAAGTTGCAAAGGCCAACCAAGATGCGATTGGTGCATGTCTCCTCATTCCCCAGAGGCTCTAGCATCGCTGTGGCCTGCCTCGATGCAAGGAACCCTGTAGAAGGCTGCAGCGCAGTTTCATGAATGAGAGCAACAAATTTCGGCTAAGCAAATACAATCCTTCACATCTATACTCGATCAATCTGGTCGAGACATGCTCTGGGCTCGACTGCTGCGCACGAACAAAACACGCGTCCTTGTCGACCAGATGTGGGAGCTGGCCATGAGCACAGCCAGGCGACGTCTGATGGTGACGCTAAAAGTTTGCGATATGCGGGCCACATTCGCCTAGTTCAGGAACGGCTACGCGTACGTCCGTTGCTTGACCCTTGGACCCAAACGCTCTAGCATGGCGTGTGAAAGCTTGAGTTCTGGTGACTCGTGTGCATGTGCAGGCTACGCTTGCCCCAGCCATCTTCCAGACAGATTGATATTGCGTGAAGCGAATCATGCAGGCTTGTCGTATCCAAGCTCAGTCCTTGCCTTGTGGTCAGTTGTTGCTGCGCCTCCGGAGCTGGCGTTGTCCTGACTCCCAACCACCATGTCCTACTCTTGAGTCTGAGGTAGAATCGAGACCTCTCCGGACAATGGGAATGGACAATATATCCCCTTGTGCTAGAGCTTGTAAGTCCTGGTCTCACTCTAGAGATGCAGGGCTTTCGTTGAAATAGAGAAGTGCCCGAAGAGCCTTGGTGTAGTATGGCTTTTGATGGAAATTTCCCATTCTCCAAAAGTACCGTCTATGCACTCTTATATCTACCTCAGATACAGACTTTTGCTCACAAGAACCGATACTCACCTGATCATCCTTCTCGTATGTCAGCCTGTCTGAATGGAAGAGGTAGATGGAGATGTCGGTTGATGACCATTTCATAGGTGAAGAGCAGGGTTATGGCGGACACAAGATAAGTAAGTAATTGGTTCACTGACGCCATTTTGAGCCCCACCAAAGATTGGGCTGCTCGGTCGCGCGACAAAAGCGAGTGAACAAGAGAGCAGAAAGCACAAATACCACCGAGCATCATCAGAATAGCCACAGCGCATATCACCACAGAACGCGCACTCCACCACACCTCACACCACTCTACACAATGGCCACGTCAAATCCCTGCACGCTGATCGAGGTCGCCTCGGACGCCGACTTCGCCAACTACACCAACAACCTGCCCGAGTCGAGCACGCTGCTCATCTACTTCCACGCCCCGTGGGCCGAGCCATGCAAGCACATGTCCACCGTTCTGTCCACTCTCGCCTCTACCTACACCGCCAGCTTGCCACCCACCGTCTCCTTCCTCGCGCTTGACGCCGAAGAACTCAGCGACGTCAGCGAGCACTACGACGTCACCCAGGTTCCTTACATTGTCATCCAGAAGGCCGGCAAGGTCCTCGAGACCATCTCTGGTGGAGATGCTACTCGTGTGCGCGCTGCTGTGGAGAAGCACGTCGGTACCGCCAGTGGCAACCCTGGCGCCGCAGGCCTGCCTCCGGCACAGCTCGTCAACAAGCCCGCCGGAGGAAACGCAAAGAACTTGTCCTCGTACGCTCCTTCATCAAACGATCCCGCCACCGCTCCCGAATACTCGGCTGCAGAGGTCAACCCCGAGACGAGCAAAGAGGAATTGAACAACAGACTCGGCGAGTTGGTCAAGGCCGCTCCCGTCATGCTCTTCATGAAGGGAACACCCTCGGCCCCCCAGTGTGGTTTCTCGCGCCAGACCGTCAGCCTTCTTAGAGAAAAAGGCGTTCGTTATGGTTTCTTCAACATCTTGGCCGATGACGACGTGAGACAGGGTCTCAAGGAGTTCGCAGACTGGCCCACCTTCCCTCAGGTCTGGGTTGGTGGCGAGCTGGTTGGTGGTCTTGATATCGTAAGTACATTCGCAGACATTACATGCCTCGACCTCATTTACTGACTTTTCTCTCTACAGCTCAAGGAGGAGTTTGAGAACGACCCAGACTTCTTGGGTGACTACTCGGTCAGCGGCAAGAAGGGTGGCCCTGCTGCTTAGTCTGCTGGCAGCTGTGTTGTATGCACTGCACTCAATTTCTCCACAGATCCATGTCACTTGCTTCCTCCGAAATGTTCTTACGCTCAAACATAGACAACGACGCCTTCGATACCATCAATGAAAATCTTTCACAAGCCTCACGATGATCGGAGCCTCATCTTCACACCATGTAGATTAACTTTTATACACAGTGACCATCTAGGACCGAGTCTTGTCCCACGCAGCTTCCATTTCAGCTTCCCCAACTGGTTGGAGTCTGGGCAGTAGATTGTGGTGAGCGGCCGAAACATGCTTACGCCATACCTCTTCAGTGGCAAACTCGAGCTCGCAACCGCTATGTGCGCATGGGAGCGAGTCAGGGTTATCAGTATCTCGAATATAATTAGTACATTGTTGGAATCTCTGTATGTCTCGTTAGCGAACGATCGCATACTGCTTCACCCGGTGACACTTACGCTGTGACAGTCAATCCACGGACAATGGAACTCGACCATCGGTTCCTCGCTCTTCGGTTGCTCTTCGTCCTTCCTCAGTTCTTGAGTTTGTTGCACCAGAACCTCTTTCGACGGTTGCAAGTGTTGCAACACATGATGATTTAGGAGATTGGCTCCCAATGGTGCTTGCCGTGTTGTGATCATTTCTGTGATTTGTTCTTGCTGCTGTCTCTGGACGAGATCTTGCACCACGGCCTGTGGCTGTCCGCTGTAAGCACGAAACAGAGACGCCTCGAATTCAGCCCATTCCTGAGCGTCCTCTCCTCCACAAAGTTGATTGTAAGACGATTCGAAGGAATCTGTCTGATTCAATACAGCACTCGTAGATTGTGTCACAGCAGGCATCTGCGAGAAGATCAGATGCAGTCTGCTGAGAGCCTTTTCCTTCCTTCGCGCCGATGCCACATCAGGCGCACCATCTTCAGCCGTTGACTTGGTGTGATACCCTCGAGATAGCTCTCGGTGACGATCTTCGCTCGTCATGGAGACGGACCATGCTGGAGGAGTCCCCCTATTCATTGTCGAATCATCGTCGTGAGAACTCTCTTGTGATAGGTCTATGTTCATATGCCACGACTGTGCCGATGATTTTTGCTTGGACCTGGATAGTTCGGGTTCAAAGCTGTCGTTCCTCCTGAGACGGCCTCGATGCTCTCGCTCCGTGTTGGCTGCACACGCATGTGATAGTCCCAAGGTCAAGTCTGATTGAGAGCTCGATGCACTGGCTCCTCCTAAGGTGCATTCTTGCAGAAGAAAATCAGAAAGTTCTGTATCAGCGTCTGAAGATGTATCGAGGCTAGATGAGAAGTTCGAATGTTGCACAGATCCATTTCCAAGATGATGTCGTTTGTTCAATGTCCGATGGAGTCGTGGTGATGAGGATGTTCCATGCGATGGGGCAGAAGAGAGTTTGTGGGTACTTCTCAGCGTTGCGAGCTCGTTTGTCGTCTCCAGAGCGCCATAGCCGCTGATTGAGTTTTGAAATAGATCTCTTGCTAATCCTGCTGCAGATTCTTTAATCCTTGAAGACAACATTGATGATCGTATGTCGACAGACAAGTAGCCAGAAAGATCTTCCAGTATCCGGTCCAAGGCAATTCCCAGCAGATGATACAGAAAAAAAAAGGTGATGTTCGTAACGTCAAGCCTTGACCAGCTCGTCCATCAGTTCGCGCTTAGGGCAAGCGTTGAGTAGGATAGAGACAACTTTCGATAACTGCGCGGAGAACAACACTGCTGACACTGCCGATACGGATGTGGAAGCATCGAATCAGAGCAAGACGAGAGGAGTTCGGAGAAGAAGAACCCCTCATGCTGCTGACCAAAGATCCATGGACATGATGCACACGCGATACTTCTCTACTTTCGGGTAAAAGACGAGCTGCCAGGTTCCCCACACTTTGTCAGAGTCGAGCTATCTCGGTGAGGAAGGATGTTGCGTCAACACCTCTACTCATAGTCTTCGTCAAAATCAACAGAATAAAATATACAGAAGTGCAAGATATTTGGATACCGTGGAAGGGGGATGAATCAATAACTCAGTGGTATCATAAAAGTGCTATGCAATGCAATGGATGTGCAAGCGCGAGAAGTTCATCTCACAGCTCGTCTTTGTATGTCTCTTCGGAGCCCTCAGGCTTCTTCTGGTCGTCATCGGCCGGGGCGTCCTTGCTGGGCTTGGATTCGGCCTTTTTCGTGTCGGTCCCCTCAATGGCTTCTTTCTTGGCCGAGTCTGGCTCTTCACCATCTAACAAAACACCTCTGTACTCGCGTCCTTCGGGGGTGTCGAAGACTTTGAGTTCCCAGCCTCCGCCACCTGCAATCTTCTCTAGTTCCTTCTTCAGCGTCTCGACACTCTTTGCATCACCGAGTCCGAGCCTTTTGAGCTCGTCTGCAGACATGGCTTTGCCAAAGCTATCAGCAATGGTCTCGATGTACTTGTCCTTACCGCCTCCCAGGATTGCCGATTTCTCAATCCTGCTGCCCTCAGGAACCCACTTGTGAGCACCAATGGTAATGCCGCCGATGGTGATAGGAGCTTTGGGCTGCGAGTCGGCCAAAGGATTGGGAACATCGGCGGCAAGGATATCGGAAGCAGCGGCAACGGCAGCTTCGTACTCGGGAACTTGGTCTTGGTCGAGAATAGGCGAGCAGGCGATCTTGTTTGCGCGGTCTTTCTGAGGAGGCTGAAAGGCGACGTCGTTGCAGAGGCGCGGAGTCTGGATGATCATAAGATATGCGCAGGTCGCGACCTCTTTGATGCCCGATATGCGATCGGCAGTGGCTGGGTTGCAATGGAATTGGACCTCGATACGTCTCTCCTTGCCCGTCAAGTCGCAGAGGGTACCGCCGGCGATACGTTGTACGAGATATCTGCTCTCTCCGCGGGTCTCGAGCTTGCCGACAGCCTTCTCGTCCGAGAGCTTCTCTTGACCATCATGGGGCGGTTGTTCTTGGACAGCGCCAAGCATGAAACCGGGAACAGCGGGATCTTCGACTGGAGGGTAGGCAGGAACGCCTTGAGAGGGAGGCAGCTGGTGGAACTGCTTGACACCCTGACCGTAGCAATATCTGTAGCTCCACCACCCACTCCAGTAGTAGATGCAGTTGCCCTGCATGCCTTTCAACAACTGCCAGCCCCGGGTGTTTGCGCGAGCCAACTCTTTCTCATGGTCTTGCTTGGAAAGCGTCTCATTGGGCTGTGACGAGGGGGTTTGATCGACTATGCGTGGTATTTGGCACAGGTAATGCTGGTCTGCGAGAACGAGCTCCTCATAGTCGTATTGTGGCTTGTCGGATTCGAGTGGATTTGTGTCCGAGTGGGAGCGAGCAGGGTGGTTAGAGTCAAGTTTCTCCTGAGCCTGCAGGTTAGAAACATGGCCTTCTGGGAAGTCGACCGAGAACTGCGTTGCAATCAGTTGCTGTGCTTAGATGAAGGGGGCGTCGGCGGCTGTGTACCTGAGGGAAAGCAAGAACGTCGTCCTGCACGCTGAACGAGTTCTGAGCAGCGACTGCCACTCGCAGAAGAGCAGGCAAAGCCCAAAAGCTCCTCATGTTGAAGTGCGCAGAGTCGAGGAGCTGGTGATTGTGGATGACGATGCACAACGTGGAGAAGGGCCACTGAACACACCGGTGCTGCCAGGTGGTCACTGCGCGCCGACGCCGACATGCCGATACATGCACGGGCAATCTTGCAGACCATCAATACTTTCTAAGCATCGACCAAGGAAAGGCAGACATATCATCATGCTCTTCATGCGTGGTCCTATCTAAATACTGTATTGCAAGCATCACAGTGAAACAACTTTGTCGTCGATCCGTATGTCCATGATCTATCATCTTAGTATAGTGATAATCTTTGGCATTTCAGAGTTATTTCTACGAAAGAGCAAACGGAGTGTGAAGTCTCCAGACAACGAGTTGTCAGGGCTCTCACGCCGTCACAGTTGACGATCAACATCACCCAGGTCTTCGAGCCTGCATCTCAGACAAACAGGTAGCCCAACCATCCCAAAGCGGCATACATGATTTTCAATAATCCGCTCGGCACATGATACCAACGCCAATCTTCAAGAACCGTCGGAGCCTTTGGCACCTAGCAGAGAGTGACAGTGAGGTTGGCAACGATTCCACAGGCATGCACCCTGCCTCCATCGTAAGCCGTCAACGGAGCACAGCTTGGGTCCGATAGCACAACGCTCCAAGGCTGCCCAGCGAACGGGTCACCATCAGCGTTGATGACTGACCAGTAGAGGAGTTGATCTTGAGGCGAGTCCGTGAAGCCTAGAGTCCACTTGGGTGTTGAAGTGGAGAAATAGGCTGAAGTCTTGCTCAGACCAAAGGCATTGCCGACCCCGTTGCGAGTTTGTAGGTATGTTCCATTGATAGGAATGGCGTACTGACTGGGCTGCTGGATTGAGTTCGTGATGGTGATCCAGATAGGCACGGGACAGTTGTTGTTGACCTGCGCAAAGGTTGCCGACGCAGAAGTTGCCAAAGCGAGAATGCTGGCTGTAGCGTAGGTGACGAAGTGCATGGCGGCTTTTGACACGATTGGTGTGTGATAGGATAGGATACAGGTGGATTCAATGAGGATATCAGAGAGGATATGTTGATGAGGTAGTCCACTGTGTGTGATGAGCTGAGCTAACAAGTAGTAGGCAGCAGGGGCAGGAGGAGCGTCACTCTTATGTGCCGATTGCTCTTACCTTACCTCAACTCACAATCTCGCCGTGATTGCTTTTTCCATCAAATGTACGAGACACAAGCTAATGGAATGTTCGTACTCAGTTTGTACACTGCAAGGAGCCAAATGGTGTAGCAAGGGAACAATGAAATTCAAGCCAAGCGCGGGACTCGTACATGAGTTGTACGAGACTATGTCCGTGTATGGCCAAGGTGCCAAAGCGTTCCTGCAAATTCCCCTGATACAGGATAAACTTGACGTGATTAATGTTCTCATCCCACTGGACTGGGTGGAGGCGGTTCCCTGCAGAGCTCAAACTTGTGTGATCCATCTTTATTGAGCCTGTAGCATCATCGAGTGTCACATTTTGGTCGATTTGGAATCCACACAAAGCAGATCAGTATCACTAAAGTCCTTTGTGTGTTCCCTAGGGGCTCGGACTGGATGGGTTGCTCAAAGGGCAGATAGTTCATAGTTGTCAAGGAAAACACACGCAATACGGTCGCTGGCCGCCTCAAACATAAGGCTTAGCAGACGAGCGTACGTTGGTCAAGTATGACAGGACAGACAATATCAGACAAGATCGAACGTAATGCAGGGTGCTGCTCGGTCGAGGTCGAATGGTGGACAGTGTTAGAAGCAGTGGTCGTGGTTGGAAAGAAGTCAAGTATACCCGATGGGGAGAGAGACCCACTCAGTGGGGTCGGATGTTTAGCGGCATGAATAGGCGGGGACCTTCCTAATCAGCAAGAGCATGAGGGGCGCGATCATGAGCAAGCAGGTGCGATGTAAGAAAGACCAGGTTTCCAGGCGAGATGCCCTTGACAATTCCCAGAATACGACTAGGTGTACATTCTGTCCGCTCAATAGCGATACGTTCCGCCGCCCACAATAGCTCCCGGGCTCGTCTATCTCTCGTCTCGCACAGGAACATGGCAGCTGCTATCACACAACAAGGGGTCGAGAAGGCCGCAAAGGATCTGAGCAATGGTCATACCAAGGTCAACAACTGGTCGGCACCTGGAGGAGCTGCCTTCGACTTCCGCTCAGATGTTATGACCCGCCCGACCACCCGAATGCTTGAAGCCATCGCCGCAACCACCCTACAAGACGATGTCTTTATGGAAGACCCAACATCCAACGACCTCGAGGCCTTCATTGCGGACCTGACGGGCAAGGAGGATGCGCTCTTTGTCTTGTCAGGTACCATGGGTAACCAGGTCGCCTTGCGTACCCAGCTATTGGCCCCTCCTCATGCTGTCCTCACCGACCATCGCTCACACATTGTTCAATGGGAGGCTGGTGGTGTCGCAAGTATGTGCGGTGCTCTGATTCAGGCCGTCGTACCCGCCAACAACAAATACCTGACCCTGGAAGACGTCAAGAAGTATGCTGTCATAAGCAATGATATCCACGCTTGTCCGACAAAGGTCCTGAGTCTGGAAAACACCCTCAACGGCATCGTGACTCCTCTCAAAGAGTTCCAGCGTATCAGCGCTTGGGCCAAGGAGAACGGTATTCTCATGCATCTTGATGGTGCGAGACTGTGGGAGGCTGTGGCCTCGGGTGCTGGCTCTTTGAAGGACTACTGTGCTTGTTTCGATTCTATCTCGCTCTGCTTCAGTAAAGGTCTAGGTGCACCTATCGGCAGTATACTTGTTGGAACCAAGAAGTTCCGTGAGAGAGCCCGCTGGATCAGGAAGAGCATTGGTGGTGGGTTGCGTCAAGCAGGTGTAGTCACTGCTGCTGCTCGTGTTGCCGTTGAAGACACTTATCTTGGAGGCAAGCTGTCTGCCAGCCATGATAGAGCGCGCCAAATTGCTGCCATGTGGGAGAAGCTAGGTGGTAAAACATCGAACCCTGTCGAGACCAACATGTGCTGGCTGGACCTTGACGCTGCTGGCATCAGCGTCGAGGATTTTATCGCAGCTGGCGAGAAGGTTGGCTTGAGACTGGGAGGTGGTCGCCTTGTTGTACACTACCAGATTGATGAAGAAGCCGTGAAGCGTCTGGAAACCCTCATGGAGGCTGTGCTTAAAGGCAAGAAGCTCGAAGGCACAGTTGACATCGATCCTAAGGACATGAACATTAAAGTCGAGTAGTGGTTTCACCAGATCAATATACATGACTATCTCCAGAACAAACTTTGACTACTACTTTTCCTCTTGCTCGTCCACTGTTCAGCTTTGCGAAAGCTTCCACTGCCTGATCGAACTCCCAGGTGCTATCGAGAATGATCTTGCTACGGCCTAAATTCAACGTCTCTTCTAACCACTCTTTACGAAACTCCAGATTGACACGGTCGTATCAATAATAATTTACATATATATCTGGTTGTTCTGCGCAGTATCTCACTTCGTCGCCAACATCGAATGCACTATTCTTGCCAGCGGCTTCAATGAAACCAGAAAAGTGCTCACCGATACCCTTATCAGAAGGAACAAATGACCTAGGAAGGTATCTCCAGACCGGTAGGTTCATCAACTGAATATCCACGGGATTGAGTGCTGCTGCCTTGACTCGCACATGGACCTCCGTCGCCGCTGGTGCAGTAGGAGATACCAGAGTCGGTCTACGGAGAGCTTTAGGATAGGCTATAGCCCTCGTGAGTGAATATCCATGCTCTGAAATTATTGTCTGCCGAGGCCATTTCTGTCGTTTGTTGTGATAGAAGTCAATTTAAGCAGGCAGGATCTGCAAGATCAACAATAATTACAACCAGGAAGCGGGGAAATCTCTTCAGTAAGAGTTGCACGCCTCTGTCCATTTCCGATTGTGGCTTCTCATCAAGACACATATCGGATAGCAATTAACAGTCTTGCACTGTGGACTCAATTGCAATAACCAGCAGCGAGAATATTCAATTGAGAAATCATGACCGGCCAGGGCAATGTGCAACAGTATGAATGGTGGAAGATCCTCGCTAAGAAGCCGAATCTGCACCTGGTATGGCCAATCCACGGATGGAGACGTGATTCAGGCTCGCATGTCGCAAAGTGTTAGGTCGTATTTGCTATAAACGCTATTAGGGTCGAATACTACGCTATTTTAACTAGTAGAATAGTTTAGAAGGGGTTATTTACTTTTAGAACGCCGAATGCTAAAAAACTATAGTAAATTAACTATTTTACTTACTTTTATATAATATTAGCCTATTATTTACTATATAGTTAAAATAACATTAAATACTAGTATATTTCTTAAATAGTAAGTCCCCTTTACTAAGAATAGTAGTATTAAGCCTAAATAGTAAAATTCTAAGGTACCTTATATTTTATACTAATAATAATATAGATAATAGTATTAATAATAGTATAGGTTAGACTATAGTTATATAGGCCGTTATTATAATAGGACGTTACTTTAGTAACCCTATTTTTACTAAAGACTACTAAGCCGGCGTTCTCTATATAAGACGCCTATAACGTACTATATCTTTAAGAATATAAACACCTTAACAGAGTAATAGATATCTTTAGCTACGAGTAGACTATTACTTATAAGCAATCTATACTTTACTATATACCTTTCTACTATTATAGTTATAGTACTTAAAACTACTATATTAGTACTTACTAAGGCGTATATTAAAGCGTAGTAACCTAGTATATAAACCCTTTATATTAGACCTTTAGAAGAGTTATATAAGACTATAGACTTCTATAAGTAACTACTTACTAAGTATAGTCTTATATATAGAATAAAGTACTTACTAAGCACTAGTATTTAAGCTTAAGAACCTTAGCCTTACTAGTAGTAATAAGGTCTATATATTACTAGCTAAAAAGGTAGTAGTATTCTTATTTATCTATAGTTAAGACGTATCTTAGAGGCTAGTAGCAAATTACTTCTAGTATAGTATAAGGACTATATTAAAAGTAATATATAAGGTCTTTTACTATTATATAGCACTATATTAAAAGGTTATTAAATTCTATAATCTTAAACTAGAAGGAATCCTAAATAAGCTAAAGTTTAGGCTATTTACTAAAGCGATTAGTATAGTTAATAGGATATTAATACTAGTTAAGGTACCTCTTAGTTAGTAAAAGATATAGTATATATATAAGTAAATAGTTTACTAGAATGTTATAGTATCTATTAACTTTTAAGAATAGTTTACTTATATCCTTATAAGATAGTAAGGCTTTACTAATAATAGTAAGGTATTTAATAATATCTATAATAAGGGTATAAGGCTACTAAAGAGTAAGTACTTCTTTAAGAATGCTAGAATAGTAATATCTAGCGTTATCTAAAGTTCTTATAGATTAGTTAAATACTATCTATAAGAGTAGTCTTTAAGTAACTAGTAGCCTTAGAATATAAAGAAACTATTAAACCTATAATATAGTTATTTAAAGAATATTATTAAGAAGACTATTAGTTAACCTAAGCATAAATCTAAGATTCTATATAAGCTAGTAAAGTACTTATTATAGTATTAAATAGGTCTTATACTCTAACTACTATTTATAACTTCTTTAAAGTATAAGGAGATATATATATTAATAAGAGTAAGAGTAAAGGTAAAGGTAAGGTTAATAAGGACTCTAATACTAATATTAGTTATAATTAAGTAGGTATAGATAGTATAATAGCTAATTTATATAGAAGTATATATACTAAAATAATAAATTAATAAGATAGAATAGCTAAGAAGCTCTAGCGCTAGTATACTAAATAAGTAAGAGTAAAAGGTATACTAGATATTAATATTATTAAGTAAGTTATAAGTATTAAATTTAACTAAGTCTATTAATTTACTAAATTTAACTAAGTCCTCTTATTACTAAATTTAACTAAGTTCTTTTTTACTTTCTTTACTATATTAACTAATTTAAACCTTACCTTTTATTAAATTACTTTTATCTACTTATTCTTATTAGCTATTATTATATTTAAAAAGCTATATACCTTTCTTATATTCTTAAGGACCTTAAATACTACTAACTTTTTAGTAAACGTTACTAATAATAAGGTTATAATATAAACCTTCTAAGCCTTATTCTACTTATAGCTATATAAGGAAGTAATAGCGTATAAGGCCTACTAGAGTCTATCTATTATACTACTTAGTTAATTAATTATAACTATAAGAGTACCTTACTAGCTATACTTTAAATAACCTCTAGTTACTATATAAGCTTAAGACTACTTATAAGAGCTTAAAGATCTTTAAAAAGAGGTAGTAGTATTAAGGTATATACTATTATTATTACTAGTAGGTTTATCTTATCTATTTTCTTTTTCCTTTTAATTACTACTTTATATTAAGAAGTCTTCTAAATTTAGTAAAGGTTTTAACTAATTTTAAAAGACTTCTTAACTTTAAGAAGTCTATATAATATTTACTTAATTTAAGGCACTAGTAAAGTTACTAATATTAGAACTTAACTATAATATACTAAAGTTACTTATTAAGCTTAGATCTATATAGTTTATAAGGTTATTACTAGCTTAGTAAGCATTCTTATTAATAACTTCTTAAATTACTACTTTCTTTAATATTATCTTAGACTTTAAAGATAATAATAACTACTTTACTAACTAAGTATATTCTCTTTATACTATTATATTTATTTAAAGCTAGATATAGAGCTACTTAAAGGGCATTAGTCTACTAAAGAGAGCCTTTAACTTTAAGTATTTCTTAATATATGCTTTCTCTTTTACTAACCTTATATTAAACCTTTTATTAACCTTCTTACTAAGCTTTAAGGTATTTTAAAGCACTTAGAACTTAGTAAATATAGCCTTAATAAATAGCGCTTTTAACTTAAGCTACTTAATCTCTAGTTTAGTAGTATACTTATTATATAACTACTTCTATATATATATCTATACTTTTACTTTAGAACCTTCTTAAGCTTTACTATATTTAATCTTACTATTAATAAGTACTTATAAGAGGGTCTTCTTTTAAAAGCTAAACTAGTAATAAGTAGGTTTATAAGGCATTTAGCCTAGTCTATAAGGTTATTTAGGTATAGTTAATAACTTTTAAACTACTATCCTTATAGTTAGTTAAAGCCTACTACTTTAGTATACCTTTTTATAAAATAGGAGGCTTTATATAATAATAATTATATTTATAATAAAGAGCTTAATTCGTTAAATATAGGCTTCTCTAGCTATTTAAAGTATACTGCTAACCGCTAAATACAGAAATACTTGATGTAGTAAACACGACCTTATAACTATTGTTCGTAAGTCGAACCTTTTCGAGATGTCTTAGATGTTCAATCTCCGAGATCCTCGGCACAGCCAACGGCCGGCCACGATCAAGGTTTGGTACGCAAGGGCTACCCCTCGATCAGACGCCTATGACCGACACATGTACGGGTCCTCATGTATCCGTAAATCGCATGTCCTTATATCAGTACCCTGGTACCATAGTCCAGCTTCACTGCATCTTCCATACACTTGGTAACAACAGTCAATTCTGTCTCGATAAAATCCTCTCTGCTTTCGGACAATCGCCTCTGGAGAGCCTCGACCACCATGGCCACCAAGAATGATAATCCAAACTTCTACGACTGCCTGATCATTGGGGCCGGTATATCAGGCATCAATGTAGCGTATCGATTACAAGAACAATCGCCTAATCAGTCATATGCAATCCTCGAGGCTCGAGACTCGCTCGGTGGCACATGGGATCTTTTCAAATATCCTGGAATCCGCAGTGATTCAGATATGTACACCTTCGGCTTCGAATTCTACCCATGGAAAGAATACCGCACGATGGCCGATGGAGCATCCATCAAAGAGTATCTGAATGATGCTGCAAACACGTTCGGCATTGACAAACATATTCATTACCGACACAAAGTCCTGTCTGCGAATTGGTCTACAGATCAACAAAACTGGAGTTTCAAAGTTGACTCACCAGATGGTCAGAAGAACATGCGCTCCCGCTTTGTTGTGTTCTGTACCGGATACTACGACTTCAATGAGGCAATGCCTGCTACGATCCCCGGTATCGAGAACTTCCAAGGAAAAGTCGTCCATCCACAGTTCTGGCCCGAGGACTTGGACTACGCAAACAAAAACGTCGTCATCGTAAGTGGGGCTTACTTGTGTTTCTGATTCGATCCTGACAGATTCTTACTCTTAGGTCGGTAGCGGAGCTACTGCTGTGACTCTTCTTCCCAACATAGCTAAGAAGACAAAGAATGTCGTTATGCTTCAGCGAAGTCCGACCTATATTGCTGCAGTTCCACAGAGAGACAATCTCTCTTACTGGCCCGCACGGTTCTTACCTCTCAGCTGGACTTCTAAGCTCAGACGCTTCCAATTCTTGATCTTGCCGTTCATATTTTTCAAGTTTTGCAAAGCATTCCCTGATCGTGCCAGAAAGCTTTTGCAGAAGGGAGCTGCGTCCCAACTTCCGGAAGGCTATCCTATCAAGCCAAACTTCGATCCAAGCTACAGCCCATGGGATCAGCGGCTATGTGCTTCTCCAGATGGAGATTTTTACAAAGCCATCAAAGATGGACAAGCTGAGGTTGTAACAGCTCACATAAAGCAAGTCACGGAGAAGAGCATTCATCTTGAAGACTCTGACCGTGTCTTGACCCCCGACATAATCGTCACCGCTACCGGCTTGAAACTCATCATGGCAGGAGGTGCCAAGATGTCTGTTGACAATGAACCCGTTGAGATACCACAGAAGCATCTCTGGAAAGGTGCTATGATAGAAGATGTCCCCAATGCTGCTATCGTCCTTGGTTACACGAATGCCTCCTGGACTCTAGGCTCGGATGCAACGGCACAATTCGTCACTCGCCTGTTGAACCACATGGAGAAGAACAGCCTGTCGCAAGCAGTGCCCAGAGTGAACAAGAACTCTGGCATGCAAGACCAGTCGGTTCTGAATCTCAGCTCCACATACATCGTCAAGGCGGAGGGCAATCTACCAAAAGCAGGAAACAAAGCACCATGGCTGCCGCGGTCCAATTATCTGAGAGATCTCTGGGATATGAAGTTTGGCAGTATCACGCACGACATGCAATTTTCGAGGATCTCGACATAGATCGTGGATCTTCATGTATGATTGTCAAGTTGATCTGCGCCTTTTTTGTGGTTTTAGTATCGTAAATATGTATAATTATGGTTGATAGATGGGACAATTGACCAATCATAATCAAGACATATGTGCTCGGCAGGTTCGGGCCGATCGACCCTCTGAAGTCCGCTGCCACTGACGGGCTTCTTCCAGACTCGCCGCTGCTGCTTTGCGCATCGAACTCGAACTTCCTGTCGAAATCTTAATTGCTTCGTCTCGGGCCGTGTAGTTCCTTGCGTACATTGCTGGATTGTAAATAACACAGCAGGTCTTACAGATAATCCGATTCCAGGGCTCGAAAGTGGGGGGCGGGGTTCATCCACTTAAGCCGCGCAAGACAACCCTGACTGTGGGCCGAGAAGCCTGAGAGCGTGATTCCCGTCTACGTGTACGAGGTATGGTTCTGCGAAGATGCTCGATATGCGATCGAAACTTCACCAAGGTCCGGATACAAAGATTGACATAGTCTCGCGTCTTAGCTGACCCCATAGCACAGGCAGAACATTACCTCCGGCATCAGAGGTCTCGTGAGTTCTCGATGCAAACGAATGCACGGCACGTCTGACTGTCGCGATCAGATACCAAAGAGCGACCCTATGAGTGTGTGACATGTAAAAAACGCTTCTCGCGCAGGTAGGTAATCGAGCTGTCGAGGTGCGGCTACTATATTGACACTCTCCCACAGCGATGTGCTCTTTCGACACAGCAAGCTACATAATCAACAGGCTTCTGATGAGCGTGGAGACTCCACAAATCTCTCAGCTGGAGCTGCCAGAGGAACACTCTCGAATGGATCCATGGCACCTATCCCGGAAGGAGAAACAATTCCTCATGCCTGCTTCAATCGCTCGGAAAGACCAAGCTTCGCCCAACAGCAACCCTACGTTGATACGAATATGGGCCACTCTCGTCACATGTCTATGCCTGACATATCTCTCGTGAATCAACAATATAACATGAGTTCACAACAACATGGTCCCATACCTCAACTTACACCATCGCACACCTATGCAGGGCCCGAGTACACGCCAGTACAGGAGTTTACACCGGCTGTCTCAACACCAGCAATACCGTCTCATGCATACGACCCACAGTTGGTATCAATGGGTCATACTCACATGGATGGGCTAATTCCAGGGCCCTTCGGAGTGGGAGGGATGCCTCTAGATTCACCGGGACAGTCTCAAGACATGTTGCAGTTCTGGCTAGCGCAAGCGGACAGTGATTTGGGATACGGCGCCATGACCTTGCCGGACATTACTAGCACCCCATATACACCCGACCATAGATACGGGATGGCACATCCACCGGTACATCGAGCTGCAACATCAGAGACCAGCGATACGGCGTCAACGGGCAATATCCCGAACGAGCGGTTTGCACGGGTGGAGAGCTGTTGGTTAGCCAAGAATCACGGTAACCACCATCTCGCTCCATCACTCTGGTCTGATGTCGTGCGCTGTCCGGGGCCAAATTTGTTTTCTACTGGTATCCCGCAGACTCGAGAAAGGTTAGAGGGTCGCTGGGGCGTAAGTGCAGCATTGCGGTCTCAACTAGAAGCCGAGTTTGGCCAAAGGGTTCACCCTGTGGATGCTTCCGCCAAACGGCCTGGAAACTTCCCGCCTGCGGAGGTACTGGAGATCTGTTTGGATCACTACTTTCGCCGTTTCCATCCAATTGCTCCGTTCATCCACGTTCCATCGTTCGACGCTTCAAACACCCCTCTTCCTTTGCTATATGCCATGTGTATGCTTGGGCTCAGTGTGTTGGAATCGAGTAATGGCGGCAGTTTTATCTCTAATGCTTTCACGGTATGGTTCAGTGTTCTGCTGATCAAGTGAACTCTGCTAATACTAGCCAGAACTTGTTGCGAAGAGTACATAATGATCTCGCGCTAGACGCGATTAATCCTTCGGCTCCGCATGCACGTTTGGCCATTTTCGCGGCTGGCTTTCTGACTCTTTGTCTAGCTGGATTTTCAGGAGTACTTCAGTCAACACACCTCTACGCATGACTTGGGTGCTGATAAAACTTACAGGACACAGATCGTTTGGCGCAGTCACAGACTCTCTATGCGACGCTGATAGCTGTGAGTGGTAACGACCAAGCTTCAACATATCATTAACTGACAGAAATCTAGACAGCCCAGAGGCAGGGGTTGTTCTGTGCCGGCGAAGTCGGTCTTGAAGACATGGCCACTGACATCAGCGACGAGAATCTGCGATGGCTAACGTGGGCTCGTGTCGAGAGTGCCAAAAGGTGATACAAAGTTCATATGTCCTCTCTGCTTCTCATACTAACCACGATTTCGACAGACTCATTGTAGCATTGTTGACCACCGATTGGTGGTACTCTGCAAACTCTTCTGTCAGCCCAGCCATACGCCCAGAGACACTTCAGGTTTGCTTGCCATGCGACGACATCCTGTTTGCTGCCGAATCTGCACCACGGTGGATTCAGCTCCAAGGAATGGGGAAAAGAATGTCCATGCCGATGATCAAACCCCGGACTTTCAGTCTCGAAGGAGCTTTGGATCCGATCATATTGCTTGATCCCCCTTTGGATGCTCCTGGGCAGTACACTCTCCTTTCCGCCATAAAGCTCTGCGTATGCGATGCTCAACACCGACACTTCTTGCCTACGGACGAGTGGGAGAGACATGACCACTTGATACCATGGGAGACGTATCAAGACGACCTGAGAGCGCGATCTCTGGTGCAGACTACGCTGGCACTTGCGCCTGTAATAACAGGCTCTGCAAAGACTGCGGACCTCAATTCTCTTCTCTTATGGCACAATTTGTGTTTGACCCTAAACGCCAACATGCAGATCTTTGAACTTGCCGCAGGTCGAGCAGGCGCCGGGCCAGCTGGCAAAGCTCTCGCAGATGTGGAAGATTGGGCTCGCACGCCTTCCGCACGTCGTGCTTGTGTACATGCTGCACAATCTTTCAAACTGCTCAGCAACCGCAAAGTCTCGGAAAGCATTACACTGAACTCGATGTCCGCTCTGTTCTGCTCTGCTCTTGTTCTCGGTCTGTATCTCTTCACAGTGCCGAGTACCGAAGCTGAGACCGCACCTCCGTTGTACGAGTTGATGGACGATGTCGACTGGACTGTCGTGGGGAATGCAGGTATGGCAGAAAGCTCTCCTGGAAACAGCCCAGGCATGATGTTCGAATCTTCTCATGCTTCGAATGTGACCCGTACGTTCATTGAAGCAGGCGGCCCTGTCTCGATCAACGGAGTTGTTGCTACCAGTGGATTCCAGACTGCAAGACGTACGCTGTTGGACTTTGCACACTTGATGGATGGAATCGGAACGTGGAAACCACGGAACTTGTCACGAATCCTGCACATCATGTCTGATGTGTTGGAAGAGTCTCTTTAGAAGGCTGTAGCCCATTATGAATAGTTGATGTGAATAAACTTGATGATGATCGTACGTCTTCTGGGCTTAGTTCTTTTTCCATTCTGCCTTGTCCCAGCCGGGATCATTGCCAAATGCCTCGGGATTCTTGTGGATCCAATCTGCAACATCCTTGCACTGAGTCACCCAAGCGTCGTCCTTCTTGCTTGCAATGTGCTCGAGGACTTCTTCCATAACCTTCAGCTTCTCATTCTCGGTTTGAAGGAAAGGGTGGAACAGCAAAGCTAAGTGTCCTCCTTCTTTCACGACCTCATCTATCCTCTTGAACAGACGGTCCTTCAAGACTTGCGGGGATAACGGCTCCTCGATGTCGCCTTTGCCTTTTCTCAGCGCAGCTGTCGAAGCCATATAGAAGTATGCATCAATGCTTTCCCACTGGAAGGGTACCATCGCAATACCATCCACTAAAGCTGGACGCTCGGCCGCTGGCGAAAGGTAGTTCATTCCCTTTTGTTTCATCAACCCCAATGTACGATCGGTGACCAATCCACCCGGCGGTCTGAACCCCTTGTAATGCACACCAATGGCCTCCGCACCCTCGACACTCTTATTCAAGTTCCCCACCTCTGTCTCGGCATCAAGATTCTTCCAGACCTCGTGCTGGTAGGCGTGGAAACCAATCTCATGGCCTCGTTTCTGGACATGTTGGATTGTGTCGGTATAGACAGGACAGTTCCAGCCTTCGACAAAATAAGTGGCTGGGATGTGATATTTGTCGAGCAAGTCGAGCATCAACGGCAGCTTCTCGGTCACTGAAAAGTGCGAGCCTACTGCCTTGTCCTTGGGCCAAAGACCACGGTTCAAATCGGCGGCCTCGCCCATGTTGTCCATTGTCAAGGTGATGCAGGCGCGTTTACCATTCGGCCAGGGATATTGTTGGGTTGTGCTCATGGTGGATATTTTCGGTAGATTGTGTGTGGTACAGAAGCGAACTTGGAATTGATGGAGGTTAGAAAATGTTTGGAGTTTGCAACGTCTTGGCCAGCAAAACATACAGATTTCACATTGAATCAGGAAGGACGGTTTCGAGGCGAACGTCGCTGCCGTGGGAGAAGGTGGAGAAGTTGTGGTGGTGACGTTCGAGGGAGGAACTGCCGAATGTGGGGCCTTTTCTTATAGCGACCCTGACCTCGTGCTTACCCTCCTATACCATTGTTGTTGGACGAACAGACATGTTTCCCCATTCTTGTGCCATCGCATTTGGTGTCACTCAAGCCGTCGGTAAAAGTTGAGCGCTCGAGGTCAATATGTCATACTTCAAGCCGCCTATTGAACCCGTATTTGTGACACACTTTTCCGCGTGGTCAGTCCCACTGCTTTGACGACTGTCACCTACGAGAATCTTTCTCGGTACCTAATTTGCACGACCATCGTGGCATGACCATCGTTCTTGTCCGACTGTGTCCTGGACTCACCAAACTGTTAGTCAGTCAAGCAAAATACATATCCTGAAGCACGTCCACATGCGACTTATCGTGATCGGCTGCTTCGTCCCTCTAAGCGCCGCCAAGAATCTGCAGGAGCAATTTATCATCACAAGATATTGGTGACCCAAGCAGTCGGTATGCAGCTCGGCTCGCAAACCAGCACCTCGTACTCGGTAGGGTTGATAGTCTGTGGACTTGTGCCCCTCTCTCACTCTAACTTTTCCTTATCCTCCTATTCTTTTCTACCTCAAGAGTCAAGAGAAACAACATGTCTACAGCAAAGTCTCAGGTAAAGGGCGTCCTGTTGGTGGGCAGTGTGCCTGGGAGCGATACTGAAGATGTTTTGCGCCGGGTTGCTCCAGCTCTGGGAAGCCGCCTCAAGTATATACCTGACGGAGAGACCGGCCAACGTAACTTCTTCATAGGATGGCAGATGTATAAGGTGTGTATTCTGCGATAGAGACTGCTCGGCCCAAGTGACTAACTTCAGATAACAAGTTCGGTGCCTTTCCCGAGGTGGTCAGCCAATTCGGCCAGAATGGCAAGTTTGAGGAGACTCCAGTGCCAGAGGAGAAAATCAAAGAAGCAGCCGAAAAGCTCGAGGGCATGTCGACAGATTACGACACTGCGGCTCTTGAGTCTTACCCAGTGTTCAAGAAACTAAAGGAGGAAGGAGTCATCCCTCAGAAAGTCAAGTTCCAGGTCTGCTTACCTTCACCACTGACATTCGTCTCCCCTTTTATCGTGGGAGACTACAAGACCGCGATTGAGCCCGTCTACGAACGCGCCATCCTCAGAGCTTTGGAAAACGTCACCAAGGCTATCCCAGAGCATGAGTTGGCTATCCAATGGGATGTCCCTCTTGAATTTGCTTTACTGGAGGGTGTCTGGGTAGAGCCCTGGTTCTCTCCTCTCGAGCAAGGGATTCTAGACCGCTGGCTTAGATTGACTGCAGCCGTCAAGCCTGCCATCGACATGGGCTTCCATTTCTGCTACGGCGATATTGGTCACCAGCACTTCACTCAGCCAAAGGATACTGGTGTGATGGTTGATATGGCCAAAGAGCTTCTGAGTCAAGTCAAGAGACGTGTCGACTACATCCACATGCCTGTACCCAAGGATAGAGAGGATGCAGAATATTATGCTTCCTTGAAGGACTTGCAAGCAGTCAGGGGTGAGACGGACATTTATCTTGGTCTTGTGCACACGGATGACTTGGAAGGTACGGAGCGCAGGATCAAGGCTGCTTTAGAGGTGCTCGATAGCTTTGGAGTCGCGACCGAATGTGGCTGGGGAAGAACATCTGCGGATGAGATTGGTTCGATTGTTCATGTCTTGAACGCCGTCTCAAGCGAGCAAGTCTAGAGCTTCGTTCCACAATTTTAGTAGCTTGAAGACTTTTTCGGAATTAGGAGAGTAGTCGTATGTTAGAACTGGGACTACGGACATTATCAAAGAGTCCTTACTATCATTGTCCGTTCGTCTTGCCTTGCAACAACTCCTCTAGCGCTGCATCATCATAGTAGACCTTGCTCCTCTCTTCCATTAACTTCTTATCCTCCTTGACCCTCTTCATCAATGCCTTGGCCTCTAGGTTGTTCGAGAAGCGATCAGGCAATGTGTCCCAAACCTTGGGATCCGTACCACGAGTGTTGATGGTACCGCAACCCACCCTCGCATATTCCGTCCACAAGAAAGTCCTCGAACTCTCCACCATTATGGTCATCTGGTTCTCCAGAATCTTTCTTGGCTCGCTTTCCTGGATGCGCATCTCATCCACATAGGCGTCTGAAAATCCACCGTGTGGTGTGTGGCCACCCTCGAAACTGCCGCCACCGGGTTGGAAGTCGTCGCTTCTTCCGAGACCTTCGCCGTAAAGGCAAGCCAAGAATTCAGAGGCCGAGTTTCTGTGGAAGTAGGGAAGGCGGAAGGTGTTTGATGCTACATCCCATCTTGGGCCGAACCAGAGGAAATCGGCGAGAGGGGCGTTGGGGTCGCGGGACTTAGCGGTCAGGACGGTGTTGACGGAGGGATCGGTGTGGTCAACGCTGGTAGCGTTCTGGGAAGCGAACTTGGTAAGGTCATACTAGAGATCATGTCAGGAAAGAAGGTACAAGGTCTTGATAGAGGGCTCGCTCTTACCTTGTAAGGAACGACATTTCCATGCCATGCAACCAAGTCGAACGGACTGTGGTCCTGCTCCAGGCAGTTGTACTTTCCGTTGTTCTTGTTGACAACCTCCCAGTCTCCGCTCAGATCCTCATCGATATGAGCGACCGGATACAAGAAGTCGCGGGGGTTCGCAAGTGAGTGACCACCCAAAGGACCCAAGTCAGGCAATTCCCACATGCTCCCCCAGATTTCTGTGATGTATCCTCTAGCCTTTTGCACTCCAGGTCCAAGAGCAACTCTGAATCTCACACCCCTCTGGATGACGCAAATCTCTCCAGGCTGCAGGAACATCATTCCAAATTCAGTCTGTATATCCAAGTTTCCCTGTTGAGCGCAGATGAGGAAGTCACCATCGGTGTTGCAGAATGCTCGCTTGTCCATGGATGCATTGATGGCATAGACGTACAGAGCCATGCCCTCTCTCAAGTTGGGATCACCAGAGCCACCCAGAGTGTGCAGTCCATCGACAAAATCTATCTTTTCCGAGTCCTCGGGTAGAGGGAAGGGTCCCCATTCTGCTTGTTCGGGTAGGGTCTCGACCTCGGGGTTGAGAGATAGGAAGCAGTTCTGTATGTGGGCTCTGGACACGATCTTCTTGTAGCCATCTTGGACGTGTTAGATTGTACGTGGAACATGGTAGGAGGGACTACATACTGTGGGCTGCTGCGGGCCTCACACGGTACATATAAGTGCTGTAGTTGTGGGCACGCGGAGCGGCGAATGCACTGTAGGTGATGCCTTCAGTGTAGAGACCGAAACGGACTTCCTGCGGGTTGTTCTGAGCTACTGGCAGGGTTCCAGGGATGACCTCGGACTGGTGTCTGTTGTTCCACCCATGCATGTAGGAGTAAGGATCATTCTCGCGGGTAGGCTTCTTGCGCTGCAAGTCTGTGTAGTGGAAGATCTTGGTAGGGTCCGTAGCGGCCTTGCGTTCCTTTAGCGGTGCGGGCATTGTCTCGAGGTTATGTATACAGGATGAAGTACTGTATGTCCGAAGGTATGTCTAGTCAAGGAAGGACGAGAGCTTTGGGGGGCATATGACTATATGTGTGATCCATCTGGAAACGGCAGTTATATCGGTCGACACCAGGACCACCGGTTTGTGGGGGCTCTCAGATCATGGTGGCATTGGATCGTGGGGCTCCGTGACACGAAACATTTAAGGTCATAGGGCCTTGCGACGTGCAACGTCTGGCGACATTGATGGACATGGTCTCTCCGTGTTGCAGCTCCGTGGGGCCAGCCGGGGCCAAGCTGATGCCCCTCTCAGCCTCTCGTAACCTCAAGTGGGGCATCAACACAATCGAACATGTTCGCAGCAGACCATCACATGTCGCGGACTTTGTACAAAACGATTGTATATACATAGACCGAGTATCCACAACGAATCCGTCTCCAACGCAGCCTCCCTGAACAGAGCCGCTCCCATTTCCTCAACGCCGTGCTTATAACAATCCAATAATCCTCGCCTATCGACGTCGATCCTCCAATAAAACCCCCAGCGCTATGCAGTTAGATGAATGAAACGAACGATGCGAATCTACCGTAGAGGCCATTGTCCATCTTACATGATGATGCACTCTCTGTCCGGTTTCTCCGTCTTTCGCTTCCGATGGAAATGCCCTTCCTTGTCACCTCGTTCCTTCCTGACCTTGCTCCTGCCAGTACGCTCCTTTTCTGCCTTCTCGGCCATCTTAGCATCGAGGTTCTTCAGGCTCTCAACAGACGCTTCGCTACCGCTGACTGTCGGATGCCCTTCCATATCTTTGCCGTTCACCAAATCCTCGTCCTGTTCGGCCGCTGACGCGAGGTTGGTAAGGTCCGTCCGGCTTACACGATTGGTGAGCTTGCTCATGTTCAAACTGAAGCGCGATCCGCCGTCTGTAGAGCCTGGCCGGGACTTTGTCTTCTTAGTGCTGACCTTGCTGCCCCTTCTAGACGGAATCCCAAGGAAGCTACTCCGCGACTCGTCGATAGGCGTTGATGGTATTGAAGTAGTACCAGCCTGGCTACCAGCCGCACTGCCATCTTCAGCGACACTACTACGGCGTGCATCTACACTGGTCCTTCCACGTATATCCAGGCTGGTTCTGTTAGAAGATACGGTCCAGTCCACCGTCTCGGTGCCCGATAGCCCGTTAGGCGATGTTGGCGATGAAGACTCGACTAGGACCATGTCGTTCTCGTCGCTACCGATCTTCTTCAGCTTCTCCGGAGAGTACTCGAGTGAATCTGAAGGGTGACGTGACATGGCCTCGTCATAGCTCGGTGGTGCATCGGGAACGAGCTCCTCGTCGATGGGCTGAACTTGGTAGAACAAGAGATAAGGACACTCCTCTTTCAGCTTTTGGTTGATGTCGACGTAGGTAACGCGTTCTCTGGCAAGGTCATCAAACAACATCCAAGGATCTTCTTCTTCACTGCTTCCGGCAGTGTCCGGACGGTCAGAGCGCCCATCAGCACTTTGAGTACTTTGAGCATTTGCAGCGCGTCCTCGAACCAACGAAACATAATGACCAGAGTTGACTGATACGCCACGATGGCAAACAACCGACTGGAGAACGAGCTTGAAGTTGCCGACAAGCGGGCTGTGATCCTCCATCTCGTCATCAGAGACAAAACTCGGCACCGCGATCTCGAGAGGAATATCGATAAAGGTGTCCAGACGACTTGCAACACCAGTGTTGGAGTACTGGTATCGCTTCAAAGCGATACCAAGTACTGGACGCTTCCGGGAGAAGTGCGCGGCGACCTGCGCATCACTGGTAGGGATGATATTCTCAGTGTACCATGGAAGTAGCTTGAAGAATTGCCAGGCAGGCATCAGCACCTCGGTGCGGACCGAGTTCTTACGCGGTCGTCCAGGGGTGCCCGCCGCATCATCGGATCCTTTCTTCTCATCTGATGTCGATGCTGCCACTCTCCGTTGACTGAAGATACTATCGGCACGCTTCCTATTCATACCGGGTCTGATTCTATCAAGGGGAGACTTGATCGGCGTGCCAGGCGCAGAGGGTGACTTGATTGGAGTGCTTGGTTCTGGCTGGGGTGTGGCTGCCTGATCAAAGTATTCTACTGTTTCGACGTGCATAGCTCCACCTTTTTCACACGAGTTCGTTCGGCGTAGTCTTTCGCTCGACCTTACGGATTGTAGCGTGTTGCGTCTGTCGAGATGGCGTTTGACTTCGATTCGATTGTTGAAGTAGCTTTCCAGGCAGTCTTCGAGCGTAACAACGGAGCTTCCCTCGGGCGGCTCTGTGACGACAGCAACCTCGAGCAGGCGTTCGTTTACAAATTTGTGGTCATCGGTCGGGTCTTCCTTGCCCGTATGGAACAAGTCCATCTTCAGTGTGAGTAGTGGGAGTTCCAGCTGACCAGTGATGAATGTGAAAGCCTCTGACGTGTCTTGTTGACATAGCTCAGCTGCTGATTCCCATCCACATTCGGCGAGCGACTCCTGTAAGTACTTTGTCTGGGCAGAGTCAGTGATTGCGAGAGTGCCGTGTTGGCACAAGCAGAACGTACGATATCCCGAGTGATGAGTCGGCCCGAGCGCAACATGTTGACCCACAGGCGCAACAGGCCGGCCAGTTTCTTGCGTGGTAGGTCGTCGAACGAGTTGTAGAGCATTGCTTCGAAGCTATCGAGACGCGCGAACATGGCAAAGAGCAGAGCATCGAGGTAGCAAGTGACACCGTCGCGGTTCTCGGCACCAAGTAGCTTGGTCGAGGGATCATAGGTCTTGACTAGGCCTTCGTACGTGTCTTCGAAGAGGAGTAGCAGTCGCATAGCCTCGTCGCCGTTCCCGGCTGAATTGGTGGCCTGCAACGCATAATTGACGTTGGCCTCGCTGAAGGTTGTGATGCCGTATTTCTGAAGACGAGCGAGTATCGCCTTGATCTGTGGACGAGTCTAGTCTCAGCAATCGTGTTTGGGGTTGGCGCCTGGGAGGGGGATATAGCTCACCCTCTTCTCGTCCTCCTTCTCGAGCTTCTTCTTGTCCTCGGGTACGAAAAGGCCACCGAATGCGCCGGCGTCGGGGAGGTTCTGTAGGACAGGAGTGAATCGCAGTCAGCAGGAGTCGCAACGGTAGCGAAAAGGCTGAGTTTGACGAAGGAAGGGTGGAGGTACTTTTGATCGGCGGTCCCGTCTACCCAAGAAACGCTGGACGCTGCTGCTCATGGCGAGGTGAGCAGGAGCAGGTACGAGTTCAGGCTTGGTGGAGGACAGCTACGTCCATCAAGTGGTGCGAGGACGCGAAGGTATCGAGAACGGGCGGCGGGGTACGTGTATCTTCTCTGCGGAGGAAATCTTGTGTTGCGCGCTGCTATTTCGCGGGGAAGGTTGAAGAAATGGCTAAATCAGGTAGGGTCCAGATGCGAGATAAGGTTCGTTGAAGAAGCGCGGCTCCGTCGACAGGCTGTCAAGAGTGCAGGTTGAGTCGAGCGAGCGAGCGAGGCAAAGAGCGAAGGATACCAAAGACAAGGAGCAGCTTGAGAGCGGGAGGAACATGTATTATTCTTGCGACTCGGCAGGCTCTAGCCTCTAGGCAGTACAATAGGCGACGGTGACGCTGAGGCGGGGCGGCTTGGAAAACCACTGCACCTACCAAACCAGGGGGGCCGGCCAACAGCGACTAGCCACGCCCTACATGTCCACTGCAAAGGGCAACCCTGTCCGGAGAATGTCGATCTTCAAGCCTCAAAAGCCCGTGCCTACACAGAGCGGCTGAGGTCGTGATCGAATCATGAAAAGGCAACATGTGTTCATGACCGTCGTTAAGCAAGGCCAACTACAACTCAGAGATAAGGTATGCTATACACAGTCGTCATTAAATTGACGATTTGATTGTGTCGGCATTGCAACGTTCATCATGACATTCGACCAAGACGGCAACAGGAAGAGAAGTTTCTGGCCACCGTAGCTCTAAGATTATCTCTCTCCTAGAACTCAAAATGCTGTCTCATGTCCTCAAGGTTCATACCAGGGCCAACGAGTTCCTGTAAATCTCTGCGTTCCATCTGGGCGAACACCCTCCTCAGGGTGTCGTAAAGGTTTGTACTTTGATTTTGGGTGATCATGGCTTCGAGTTTCGCGTCCGACATGTTGTTGTCGCCAACCACTTGTCTCGCCTTTTCCAAGCCTTCTTTCTCGGTGATGCGGTGCATCGCCAATGCACCGAGGAGGTGTTGTGCCGCTTCTTCGTAGCAGCCAATGTTTATGCATGACACGCCTAGATTGTAGCGTGCTCTGACAAAGTTGGGTCGCATCTCCAGCGCACGAGAGTAGGCATCGATGGCCTCTTCCGATCTACCAGAGTTTGCGAGTGTGGCACCAAGACGGTTCCAGAGAAGGTGCAACTCTTCTTGTCGATTTGTGCTGCCTTCTTCGGTCGAGGCCAGCGCGGCACCAAAGCAATCGACTGCCTTGTCGTACTCTTCTGCGCCGTAAAAGAGTACACCCAAGCCGACTTGAACGTCGGGGTCCATTTGCTCACCATCCGGAGACATCTGTGCAGCTTGGATGAACAAATCTGTTACCTTTTCGTGCAGTGCGTGACGGTCAGTGAAGCCAATCTCATCTTCCTCGGAAGAAAGAGGGGCGTTGATGAGCGAGGGGTACTTCGTAGCGACCCAGCGCTCCAGCGTCCTGTAGGCTGTGCTGTCATATCCTTCATTTGTATATGATACTGCCAGCCCCATCAAAGCTTCTAGATTGTTGGGGTCGAGTTTCAAGGCGTGCTCAAGAGCGCGAATTGCTGGTGACTCCTTTTCGTTTTGTGCTTGTGCTTGACCGAGAGCCGTCCAAGCACCCATGTGTTCCGGATCTTTCTGTACAGCGGCTTCAAAAGCCAAGGCAGCGAGCGATAGGTTGCCGCCTTCACGCATGATCTTCATTCCCTCGTCGAAAGGATTGGCGAGCTCGGCAAAGGGATTATCATCCTCGAACATGTAGTCGCCCAGCGAAGGATCTCGGTGTGTGTTGAGGCCATCGAAGCCGTCCCACTGGTCAAAGCGGTCGCTCGCGTCGCCAAAGGAATCGTGTGTGACAAAGTCTCTGTTTTGGGTCGTCTCAGCTTGGATGCCCTGCCATACCGACTCGAAGTCGCCAAACAGCGTTTCACTGTGATCGGGACCAACTGACCTGTCCATGGCGTTCAACTCTGCCTCCATAGCTGCATTCGCCTCTGCATCTAGTTGCGCGTCTTGTTGTGCTTGTGGGTCGTCCAGCTCGGCAAATTGTGCTTCCCAGTCCTTATCGTCCAGCTCGACCATGCGCTCCTTGCCCTTGGACTGCTGTTGCTGGTCTTGTGGAGTCTGCATTCCGTTCATGCCCATGCCGGACATACCCATACCCCCCATACCCATTCGCATACCCATACCGTTGCCGTATGTGCCGCCGTATTGCATGGGTGACTGGTATCGTGCCATGGGTGTTTGTTGGACGTTGCCAAGTGGACTGGCCGTCCTCGCGGCTGAGGATTGCTGGAAGCGGGCAAAGTCTTGGGGATTGAAAGCTCCGTTGTTCTGGTGGGCGAATGCAGGGCCCGGCTGATCAGACATTTGTGGTTCGAACTCAGCAGCCCAGTGAGCAGGTGCGGAGGATGCTGCCTGGTCGAGCTCCCGACGCATTTGCTCCATGGCAAAAGCGGAGTCTTGGAAGCCAGGGCCAAGGTGTGCGGGCTGTTGCATGAAGTCGTCCATCATCTGCGAGTCTAGTCAGCACCAAGCTGCAGAGGCGAGTGGACTCGTGTGCGTACAGCATCCTGCGGAGCTCCCATCTGACTTCGCATGCTCTCCATGCCACCAGGGCCCCTGCCTACGAGACGGTCTCTTTGTAACGACTTGTCATCCTGAACATGCTTGGTGAACTGACTCAACGGGTTGCCCGCCGTCGAGCACTCTGCTCCGCCGAGAAACGACATGGTGGGGTGCTTTAGGTGTCTGTGGTAGGAAGCGCTCGAGGCTTGCTGCTGAGTGTGTGACTCTGCGAATGGATGGCGAGTGGTCGAAGTGGTCGGGTACTCTGACTGAGTGAATGGAGAGGGGCGATGAGGAAGAAGGACAAGTTGATTGTTCAGCAACGTGACAGAACAATTCAAGGTCGACAATCTACAATGCTACACTCGGCAATAACTTCCCGGGCCCGAGGGCGGCGAAGACGAAGACTGTGGGGAACTCGGCCTTGGCGGGGTCTCACAGATGCCGAGGTCGAGTGACAGTCGTTTCATCTTCATATGACTGCGCGTGGGTGAAGTGACGGGCAGAAAATGCAATGCACCATGGAATAATACAATATGTGTCCAGTCCGGTCCCCCATCAACACCACGTCAACGCCTTAGCTATCTATAGTACAATGCTTTGGAGGCCGGGGCGTCTAGTCCTCCCTGTCGGACGATTGGGATTGGCTGGAGCGGCTGAAGTCGACACGCAGCTGTCTGCCGTAGATCTCCTTGTTGTCGAGAATCTCCTTGGCCGCCTGAGCGCTGGGGATGTCGATGAAGTCGGCGTGGCAGAAACCTCTGGGCTGGCCTGAGCGACGGTCGACAGCGACTCTGACATCGAGCACGTTGGTGATGTTGCGGAACAGGTCGTTGAGATCCTTGTCCGACATCTGGAACGACATGTTTCCGATGAACAGACACTTGCTGGGCTTGTTGACCTGCGCCTTTCTGATCACCTCATTGCGGGGCTCGCGACGGAGGTGGAACTGCACAGCCATGCTGCGCCCACCGAGCGTCTTCCTGTTCAGCTCCTTCTGTGCCCTCTCTGCGTCCTGGAGAGTCTTGAACTCTACAAATCCGAATCTGCCAAAACATGTTAGCCTCGGTCGCTTCGCTCTTGCAAGTCTCAAACCTACCCTCTGCTCAGGCCACGTGCATCCTCGGCCACGCGCGCATTGACGACTTCACCATAGCTGGCGAACTCGCGCTCAAGGTCCTGGCCCTTGATTTCGAAGAAAAGGTTGCCGACGTAGAGAATTCTGCTGGGCTTGGGGTCGGCGTGTGTTCCACGGGCTGCATTGCGAGCACTGTTGCCGAGAACACCGACAGCTGCGTCTTTCACGGTTGATGCGGCATCCTGAACCTTCTCCTTGACTTGCTCGACGACCGAGGGCTGTTCGGAAGCATCAGCGGCTTCGGGGACCGACTTCTCGACGACGTTGGGCTCCTGCTCTGCCTGTGCTTCAGATGTGACGGCCTCCTCTTTCATGGCCTGCTCAGTCTCGGTGGGCTCCGTGGGAACAGTTTCGCCAGTAGTCTTCTCCTGGACAGGCGATGCCTCATCGCTGGCGAACCGCCTTTGGAAGACGGGCATCTGCCATTTCTGTGATTGACGGAGTGCAGTAGGTGCCTTTGTGACGATTGTGCGAGCCTTGAGGGGCGAAGCGACGAAGCTGCGAGCAGCGGCACGGCGAAGGGCGAACCTTTGAACTGTTAGACACATGCCTTGACCGACTCGTCAACTCCAGAGACTTACATGTCTACGAGCAACGAAATGTAATGTTGATAGAAACGAGATGCGTACCCTAGAGAAGTCACCTTGCGGAGAGCTTTCTTTTTTGCCAACGCCTCTGGAGACCTGCCAAGCCTCGCGATTGTCTATTCGAGAATTCAACTCTGCATCTGATGTCGACATCGAGACTCCAATATGGACCAAGAGATTTGTGATGAATATTGAGCGTTATGTTTGATATCGCTGCACTCAAACATATCAGGTTTTCGTCTGTGGTGTTTTCCTACAAGAAAGATCGCAACTGAGTAATACATCGTGGGTCGTGTAGTCCACAGAATTCTCAGAATTCTCAGCTGGCTGGTACCATTGCCGCACGATACCACGCCCTCTCGTACAACCAGTATCTTTCTCCCAAGACCGCCAACCGTCGATAATGCGCAGAATACCGTATACTCCACTGATGGTCTCTTTGCCATTACAAGAACGTAGGCATACCGAAAACGCATTTGCCGCTTCTAGAACAGGGTCGCGCAGGCAACCCGGCTCAACGGCTTATCCTCGGCGTTTGCTCCTCCGTCCTTCATTCGCTGACACCAGGCCAACCATTTGCTGCTCCAAGTCCGACCTCCCAAAAGAGATTGCTTCGTATGCAACATCACTCCGTGGAACCAGTCGTGCCGTAGTCGGGCTGCATAGCCACATGCTTACACGACCATTCGTCATGCTTTCTAATGCAGACTCATCGATCACTTGACTCGTCCTCCATCTCCCGACGAGGATCAGATAAATGCAGAATCAACCACGCATGAGCTTGGCATCATGCTCTGAGATAGCCATGTTCTCATCCCCGCACAGCCATCGACGTAACTCGCATGTATGTCTTCCGACTCCCTGGCCAGCCCGCGAAACATCTGCATGCTCAACATCGTGATCACCAGTCTGCCGAGTTGCTGAGACATGGCGGTGAGACGAATGATCGCAGATACCACGTGTATATCCGTTACTATGCGTCATGGCACTTGCCCTCTGCAGTGGCTCGTACGGACATGGCTTGACGGAAGTGCTACCGACACAGCCGGCGACGCAAACTGCTTTCGAGAAGCGTTTCAAATCAATGGTCTAGCGGATCTGTCCTCAGCCTTTGATTTCATGCGTCTCGTCTCCTGAAGACGTTTTAGCCGTGTCCGTCACAAAATCGAAAAAATCAGGCATCCACACTAAACAGGCGGAACATTCCAACGTACGCTCCCGCAGTGCGTATACTCTGTTACATTACAATGACCGAACAGAGTGAGACGCTGTCTGTGGGAACACAACCTTTCGCTTGCTTGATTCCATACGCAATCTGCATACCGGTGTCGTGTTGATTTGGTTCCACTCCTTTTACACAGTCACGTGTACCTTTATACAGTACCTGTGTAGTGCACATGGCAACCGGTGAGATAACATCTGTCCCGTCATGGGATACAGTACGTCCTTAAGGAACATTTCCGTGGAACAAGAGCGCGTAAATACGGCAAAGCGGTAGGCACGGAGACTTTTTATGGTGCTGGAGCCGACGCGATGCCTCCTGTGGCCCATGGTACCATCAGCGTGTATTTCCCAGGTAAGTTGCGGATGCAGCCAAGCGTCCGTGAAGGCAGATTCTACCATCGTACCCATCGAAGCGACCTTCCGCTCTCGACATCTGTACTACCTGTGTGGTATGCGGTGTGCAAGACATTGCTAAGGCAAGATGAACACATTCAAATCTAAAATGAATGAGATTCGAGCGAAAGATAAAGAGAATAGTTATCTCTGTTCTGCTCTGTTTGTGTTCGCTTCACACCTTTCCTTTGCGCTCTGCTCTTTTGGAGCGTACGATAAGACCATGAGGCGTTGTGCAGGCAAACAAGTCAAAGTTTGCACTATTCCATTGATAGTAAATCGCAGATTGTAATGTATGAGATTGTTATTTACTTGATCTCATAGATGGTTGACTGTCGAGCCTGGCTCTCACGTTCAAAAGCAGCCACCATGGCACGTGGGAGTCGGGGTTGTCAACGGTCGACCGGGCCGGTTGCCGTGGAGATCAACTCTTGGAGCCAACCTCGTCATTGACACTTTCACTCCTGCACCATGAACCATGTAACGCGAAATGCGCACATGCCTGTAGCTTGATATCAGCCAGACTAACGGGCCATCACATCTTCTATTCCCAGGTTCCGTAGTCTTGATGACGTCCAAGACTAACGCACGCACAACATCTCTTGCTGTGAACAACGGCAACAGAGGTGGTCGCCGCGGTATGTTCACGCGTCGGCCTGGTCACCAGAGACTGCCAGGTCTGTTTGCAGATGGCATATGGCACTGCGACTGCGACTGTAGCCCTCGCCTCCCTGCAGAACATTTCCAGGTCAGGAAAGAAAGTCCAAACAAAGGTTGCCTTCCTCAGCGCCCCGTCATGTGAATTTGGAGGGCACGGCTGATAGTCCATAAGGCAGATGGTTCTATACTTGCCAAAACGGAGAAGGTCGAAAATGCGGCATGTTCTTATGGGACGACGATGCTCGCCCACGAGAGGCCGCGGCTCTCCTGAACAACTCCAGAACCGAACCCACAAGCACGCTAGCCAAGCCCTTGCCTACTGCACATTCATCGCCTCAGAAGATGCAGGCATCTCTGGATAGCACTTCAACACTAAGTAATCCCAACAGCACTCTGAAGCGACCATTTTCCGATGCTGGCCTCAGTGACAACGCTGATGCTGACCATGATTCATTCCCCTGGTCGTTATCAAGCCAAGAAGAAGCCGTGCTGCTTGACGCGCCAGAAACACCGCGCAAGGCAGTCAAGATCGATGGCCTCACCACACCCGCGACTAGCACGCATAGGAAATTGCCATGGCTAGATCAAGCTGCCCAATCACCGTCCGCACTCTCTGCCAAAGCATCTATTTCCAAGCACTCTTTTCTGCCACGACTCTCTACGCCATCAATTTCGAATTTGGCTGTCGCACAACACAGCGCCTTGACACCACATGTCACTCCCAGTCCCTCACGCTTTCGTGATCCGTCAGCGGATGCTCCATCTCCCCGAACCACACTCTCTGTAGATGTTTTCGCCACTCTGAACAACTCAAGTGTTTCAATACCAGCTGATCTGACATCAAAGCTTCGAGAAGTCTTGACACGTCACGAGCTACGAATTCAGGGGGTCGTCAAGGGACGCGAAATCACTCGTCTTGCTCTCAAGGCACGCGAAGCCAAAGTCGTTGAGTTACAGGCTACCATCGCAAATCTTGAAGCAGAGAGAAACGTTGATCATGCACGTATTGAAAGACTCGAGTGGGAGAAAGACATGTTAGTGAGGGACCAAGACTTTGACACAGAGTTGTAATCGGCTTTGTCGGGTAGGGCTGCAGGAGGTGGCGTTTTCCTTATACACAAACCAATCGACCACCGCTTCTTGCTCGCGCTACATGTTCTCTCCGTTCGCTAATCCGCTCCACACTCTCTGGTAGTGACATATGCTGAACAATAACTACGACAGAGCTTCAATACTACCTGCGCGTTTCCACACTTACAGACCTTGCGACGCCATCTCATACAGCTTCCGATCGGTAGAGACTACAGGTGTATTGGCTGCATCAGCTTCCATGGTCCCGGGTTCGGGACAATACAACCACTAAACCTCCGCGTGAATAAGCAGGGAAACACGCAGTCTCAAACGCCGGCAGACGGGGACCGTTGTTTACGCATGAGATCAGCTGGCGCATAATCGAGCAAATCAGCATCCATGGGAGCAGCCACTCGGATGATCGCTGCATGGTCGACTCTCAAGTCATCATTCGGCCGGGGAACAGGAATCGGCCACGATGCCTTTCCTGACTCCTCTTCTATTATGCTGTACGACGTTGAGATTCTATCGTTGCCGCTTCTCGCGACCGCTTGCGCAGCGACCTGATATCCACTGTTCCTGCCAAGATCAGCCGCCAGCTTTTCGGTTTTCTTCACACCATCTTGGAGGTAGCGCCTGCCCGTCACTCCCCGACGCCAGGTCCGGCTAAAACAATGTGTTGGCAAGTCGATATTGTCCGGGACGTGGTTTCCCTGTGAGCTTCGCGAGGGGTATCGACCACGGGTCACCTCGTGGTATAAATCTGGTTACCCGCCGCTCTATCTCCCTCTACCTCGTCCAATATATATCTTGGATGTCTTTTGCCTCGACTTATCTTCTCCGATCTTTGTCTGGTCTTCGATTATTCCAAGGTCGGTATGAGTCAAGATCGTTCAAACCTTGGCTACTACAGTACATATAATGGCAATATGATTTACGATACCTCCGTGGACAACAACGATCCACAGAGCGGACAAGCTCTGTATACCCCCACGCAGCTCTGGACTCATGTGCCTAGCAACGCGATGACGATTCCTGGTACTGGAGCGCACTGGCCTAAACAGTTCCACCGTCACCACGAGGGATGGTGCGAGCAGGACATACTTTCCTCAAGCGATATGACCTCGGAGACGAGCGGCTTTGACGATAGTGCTACGCCAAGTCTACGCAGGTCGGACTCTGGCGACTTCTCTGAAGCATGGGACCAAGAACCCCCAATGCTCTTCTCACCCTTCCAACCTCCCGCATCCAGCGAGTTACTTAACAACATTGGCAGTGCCTTTCCTCTTCAGCTTCCTGCATGTGTCACTGGCCACTCCGAGGAGACCGTCCAGCAGTTTGAGTATATGCTCGGTGACTTGGAGGTCAACGACTGCGCATCGTCGCCTACGAATCCGGATGCAGTTTCGCAGGCAAGCGTGCATCCTTCAACACTCTTGGATGCTCATGGTGTGATCATTCAGCCGTGTCATACACAATCTCATGAAACATCCATCTCCAATAGGCCAAGGAAGGTACGACAAGCCAGAGAAAACGACGCTGGCCAACCCAAGAAACCAGTACGAGCAAACAGTACTAGGGCTCGGCTCTTCTGTGAAGCTTGCCGCGATAGTAAAGACTACTCTCGTGGATTCCGCGGAGAGCATGAGCTCGCCCGTCATTACGCGCAAAAGCACACAAAACACAAGGTGTGGAAGTGCTTTGATCTTAGTCCAGACCGCTTGATGCGCAACTGTGAGAGGTGCAAGACTGGACACCAGTATGGCACAAGCTACGGTGGCGCGGAGCATTTCAGAAGAAAGCACACTGGAATGTTCGGCAAAGACATGATGGAGTTGCTGAGAGGCAAAAATCAACGTTGGGCTTTGAGTAGCAACCGCTTGATCGAAGAGGGATGGCTTCGCCAAGTGTTTGTTCCTGGCGATGGCGAGCCATCGGAACCGCAGGAGGAACAGCATGTGGCTACCATTCATGCACCCATGCCTTTTGCTAGAGGCCCACAGGAGATGGACTCGAACGGTGGCTTGGAAATGGCGCACCTGCAGCCCTTTGATCAGCAGCATGTGTCGATGCATGGTGCTAACCTGGCTTGGTCTCAGCATCAAAACCCACTTCAGCCTTACCACTATCAACAGCTGCACCATAGTCAGCAACATCATCAGCATCAGCACTGGCCTCAAGGTATGCACTGAGGACAATGCTTCCTACCTGTCATGGAATTTCATTTGTACTAGATGACGAGATTTGGGAAGCCTTCGCTTTTGGGAATTTCCTTTTTTCTTGCATGGGACGGTTTGCGATGATACCCTTTTGCTGTTTCTCTCTTCTGCTCATATCTTGTCTTATTCAATATCTCATTTTGCCTGATGTTCCGCTCCGACTCCCTTATAGTATCCTTCTGTCTTGATTGTCAGTTCCTCGTTTCATATAGATGTCAAAGACAAGATTCGATTTCGTCCAATCATCTAGATTCCAGGACCTATTCTGTAACAGCATATATATATACCAAGATACCTGCATACGTAAACACACTCCCAAGCAATGCCGTCCCCCAAACACCTGGGACCACGGGCAAGCCTGTTGCACAACAGAAACAGGCAGGCACTCCGCACCAGCCCCCGGCCAATCACACTCATCCTGACTCTTTCCACACTGGCGTGAGCATGAATACTCTGTAATCACCCAAGGAATTGAGATTTCTGCATGCTACCCGCCGAAAACCAAACAATGCGAGCCGACCAACAGTAACACCGAGAAAAGTCACTTTTTCCCTGTGTGCAAGACCAAAGGGTCTCCATCATCTTCTTTCGCCGTCTCACCGCTTTTGGTTCATTTCTTTGGGCTTTTTTCTGACATGCTGCTGCAGGGCTGCATGGATGGGTTTCTGCCTTCTTCTGCGTTTCGGTCTTTCCTGCGCTGTGGATCGTGCGTTCCGATGCTTCCCCCCGCTTGTCATGGCCTCTCATTTATTGCCTTATGAGACCCGTGGATCCGGGTCAAGCGCCGGTAGATACCTACAGTATATCCGGGGCACTGATATGGTTGCCTAGATCCCAGCAAAGCAGAAGATGTTTCTTTAGGATATAGAGGCCAGTAAGAAAGGCGACGAGATTGGCGGGAACAACGCAAGATAGCTGTGCGAAAGACTTTGAGGCGTAGGTGAATGAGATAACGGCGGTGCCAGCGATGGAGATACCGTCAGAGAAGATACCTCAGTCGAGTATCAATGCTCCAGCTTCTGACATGTGTTTTTACTCACATATTGGTCACCGAGAGATCCTACAGTGTATTGGTGTTGACAACACGGATGCACCACTGATTAGTGATAGTGTATGGACATCTCGAACGAACACTGAGGGTATGATGATAAAGGACCAGAGTGAGAAAAACACCAACGGCTTTTTCTCCCTCACGAGAGTGCCAGAAGGGAAGACAGTACAAAGACAGGCTTTCACACTAACAAAATGTTGATTTAGCTCAAGGTGCAAAGTGGTAATCGGACAAAGTGACTGTTATGGAGAGTACTGTTGATTCATAGTGAACTAAGGAGGGGCAAGCCCGCCGATGTGATGCGTAAACAGAAATGCTGCAGTGCGCGTACCAGGTGAACTAACGAGCGGTGACGGCATCGGAGTCTAGCCGTTGGTATGTCAGGTGAGGTAGATGCTCTATGCTTTCAGGATAGAGGAAGGACTATATTGTCTCTGGAAGCGATGTGACATGATAGGAAGGCTGTTTGGATCTGCGCGGGTTTTCGCTGTTGCGATTCTGATTCTGGGTGTGGAGGACTGTCGAGGCGACCTCGCTGCTAGTGTTCCCGAGCATTGCGTTGGGCCTCTAGGATGGCCGATGACCAGCTATCAGGGCCTGAAGTAGATTCAGAATTTCTGGCACTTGTTGGAAGTGAGGAGTGATCTGCTTGAATCTGTCGTGTTGATACTCCTTCCGAAGTGCAGCCCACCCTTCAAGCTCGTCCAACGTAAACACGCTGGAATTTTCTTCATCGTCGTCGCAGTACTTTTGTGCCATTGAGACGTTCAAGATAAAACGACTGTCATTGTGCTCGGCCGGGTCGTCTGCTGGAGGTGCACAGACTTGCTGGTTTGCAGATGCCTGGGACTCGAAGGTGTTCGAGCTGTCTATGCTGTTGTCTGTGCGCAAGTATCAGTATCTTGTTTAGTGACACTGCGGAGGTTCTGGGTGCATGAAGGTTTGCGTACCATTTTGAACAGCGGCAGGTTTCCTCAAATCGAACCGCGCTACACCGTTTCTGATCGCTTGGAAAGCAAAGGGCGAGAACATAATGGCGCGTGAAAGAAAGCAAATCACCCGAGTCTCGTGAAGCAGGAAAGGATCGATGCGTTGCGAGCGACTTTCGCTTGCGCAAACAAGTAACGCGCTTGAGGACTGACAGCCCTCATACCTTCTTCCATCTCCAGATACAACTGATCAGCCTTTTCCTCGCTGTCTTTCTTGCGACTTCTTTCACGCTTTCGGCCACTTTCGTCTCAATGGCCACGGCATCTACACTGCCAACATCTTGCAGTCCTTCAATCTCGTCCACTTCGGCGATCTTCCAACTCCTGACGAAGAGCGCACATACAGCGGCACCAACATACATGAACCCAGTAAACAGCTGTGCTCCCAGGTATCCGCCGTCAAACGACACAATCTCAAGTCCGATCGGCTCGGAGAAAGTGCAAGGAATCACAAGGACGAGCCAACAAATGTTCAATGCAGCAGGAACATTGCGCAGGCCAACAACTTCGGCCGTGACAGGCGCAATGGTCGTCCAAAACGTTCCTGCCACAGAGCCTCCGAATATGGCGTAGAAGATGAGGACTCCGAAACTCTTTGCGCTTGTCCAGATGACGAGGGCGAACAGGCCGGATATAAAGGTCATGAGGGTGGCCATGTTGATGCGACCAATGTTGTCGCTGAAGTATCCTATAGGTGGACGACCAACAGCTTGGCCCAGATTGAATATTGCTGAGACGGTGGAGGCTTGCGATGCCGTGAGGCCGACACTGCGTGCGAAGTTGGCTAAACTGAAGAGTAAAACGACATATGCCAGCATGCTAAACCAGCCATAACCTTCGAAGAAAAGAAATTGATTAGTTAGCAGGCCGGGTGACAAGGAAATGGTATACACACCTAGCAATAGCAGATACTCGGTCCGCTTTAACAGCTGCACATCGAATGCCAATTGCGAACTTCCAATTGCCTTGTTTCTGTCCCTCACCAACATTGCGCAAACACCGTTTACCACACATGCTACGATCCCTAAGACTCGGAAAGCCCATGGCAGTCCAATACTAGGAATCATCGCTCCAGTAGCAAGTGAGTATATCAACCCACCCAGACCAGAACCGGCAGTGGCAATACCGTTTGCCAGACTTCTTTTCGTAGTGAACCATTGAGGCACAATCCCTACAGATCCGACGAACAGAAAGCCCATACCAAAGCCAAAGCAAACACCCTGACTGAGGAACAACTGCCATATCTGGCTCGCAAAACTCGCACCGATCAAGCTCGCAGTCTCGAACACTACACCGGTGAAAAGGGTAGTTCTGGTGCCGAATTTGCGCGTAAAGATCGTAGCCACAGGCGAAACGAGCAATGCACACGCAATAGACAATGATCCGACAAAAGCGAATTCCAGATAGGTGGCACCAGGGAAGACGTTGTTGGCCAGATAGTATGCGAGGAAGACTCCATAAGAGGAATTTAAGCCCCAAGTGTGAGCATTGATTAAAGCCACGCAGACTACACAAACCCATCCATAGCCACCATTAGGTGATGGCGGTGGTTCAGTTGCAGGTACGACGTCCGTTGGCGGCTGTTCAGTGTTTAGAATCACTGCTGGAGGTGCCTCTTTTCCGTCGGGAATGCTGTCATTCGAGGCATTAGTGTCGCCGATTCGATCTTTCTCTTTGTCGACGTTGTCGAAGGAGGCGTTGTTATGATTCATCTATGCCGAGGCTCGAGGGGAGTGCTGTCCTCGGGTCTGGTACATGCTATGCTTCAATTGAGAAGCGGGAGGTGCAAACTTCGAAACAGAAGGTGGATCCAAGGGTGTCGCAGTCGTTATATAGATATACATGTAGACACATCGTGCCGTGTGCCGTTAATGTGTCACGGCAAAAAATGAAGCATCGAATTACCCAAAAGCGGAGGTGCATGCGGAGAATTTGCCGGATAACCGATAACATGGGGTTGACACTCTGCCTCCCTATTAGTTCTGACTACCTATAGTTGAAGCTATTTAATGTTGTAGAGAGTATAAGCTACTGGAAGGTAAGGTGGAGTGTATATGTCGGGCCGGGGTCGCGTGCTCAGCTTGTCGATTTGACCATACACTAGATCGACTCTCAGTTCGGCAGCGCCGCACCAGCATATGCCCTGTACGCAGGCTCGAGCTGGAACACACCCTCTGCATCAGTATATATCGCTATGAATTCATCGTTGTACACTTTGGGCGTAAAATCTCCCTCGAAACATAGGATGGTTGATAGAGCATCTGCGTCTTCAAATTTGACACGCCACTCCCGCCGGGAATCATCTTCCTCGCCTTCGTATTCATCACATTCGATTTGCCATTGGTCTGCCTCATCTTCAGTCATGGTTTCTAGATCACGCATGAGTAAACTCGAATACGAGTGGCCAAGGATGACCGTCCGATCAGTGGCACTGCGTTCGTCGAGAATAGCATATTGGCGTGATTCCAGATCGCTTCCTTTCGGAGGCACAGATATATGCTCGGCGAGGAACGTACGTATCTGATCTCGACCTGAGAAATCGCTGTTGAAGGGAGCAACTGGAGGTGATGTGCACCAAGGATCGAAATTCGACTGTGTTGAGTCGCGTACAAGTGAGAAAAAGTTGTGTCGCGGCGTCTGCAGGAGTGCGTCAATCGTCTGACAGCCGTCAGTAGAGCAGAGGGTTCATCAGGAGATCGCCCGTACCGATGAAGGGACTGGAGCGACGCAGAATAGCAAGAAGGACGACATGTTGACCTATGCAGTCAGAAGCGAAAGCTTAGATGTGTATCCGATGTAAACAGGAGCAATTGGGACAAGAGTGTAGGATGGATGTTGGCAGATTCGATTCTCGAGATGGCATGCAGAAGATGAAGAGCAGCTATGGCTTTCAGAACTCTCCAACGCGTCTTAGGCAGCAGCGGGTGTCAGCAAAGTCTACTGACCACATCGTCCTCTCAGCGACCCTCGACTGTCCAGACTGTCTTCCACAACAGTCCTTCGTGTATCAGAGAAGTAACAAGGTGCAGATGAGGAGACCTTCGTGATAATGTGTCTTCTGCAAACAAACAGAACGGTGACAATCGTTCGGGGCATCTTCGGACGATCTTCTCCTCGTCCTTTCGGTCTCGAGTCTCGGCTTCACTGTTTATTTGCTCGGTCGCCCAGCAAGGCAAACACGTTTTTGACCATAACAACATACGGCCGTAACACCAGCGGCACGAAAGCGCAAAGAGTAGTGATATCCGTCGAACCAGACTTGAGCACCAAGCAGCAGCAACTGCTTGCGACGACTTGTCTTGGCCTACGAACAGGGGCTTGCCCAAACTCTTGAGGTGCCATGCCATTTGCTTGATTGAGTTAAGCAGGGGAAGCATCGCTTTATCCTGACATCTGGACTCGGCGTTGGTCCTTTTGGTTAAAGAGCGCAATGCTATGGAATCCGGTCAAGCGCCTTGAGGGCGTATTCTAGCCACTATGCACGGCCGTGCCACTTCATTTCGTCGACTCGCGAGGACTCATCTGCTCCACCCACTCTGGAAGATGCCTATACGCGTCTTTGACAGTTGTCGGACTGCGGCTGGTGCGAAGGATCAAGACTGTTCACGAGCTACCCTGACGCCGCGTGGAACATGGTAAGTAGAGTAACATGAATCGGATTCACACGACAACATCCGGGTCTCGTTGTCAGAGACGTCCCACGTTCAACCAAGCCCATCCCGACACGATGGGTCAATTCAACCGTAAAACAACAGATGTTGAAACTCTATATTTTCCACTGGGCGAGCATCACAGCCGAGCCTGGTGGTTGTTGGTTACACGAAAGAGGGCTGAGCACGATGCATGTGGCCGATTCACACCATCGATGCCAATTTGGTGCACGAAGGATCAAAACGCTTGACTAGAGGGCCGATCAGGCTCCCAGATGCGACGCCGTGATATCATGTGGCAGTGGATGTGCGTGTTCTTGCTTGGCTGCCTGAAGAAGAAGGACGGTGTTGGCCTCCTTTTGTGATCATCAGCGGTTCCCTGGTCTTTCTGATCTATGTTCTCATTGTGCTCGTTCGTCTACGTGTCTCTCATCTAGTAGTATGCTAGCATAATGGATGGGTTCTCGGAAGTAGTGCCATGGTCAGTATCTCATTCCTCATCGTCATCGTTGAGACTTTTGTGTTAATTGTGACAGGATCTGGGCTGTTTGTGCTGCAGTGTCGACGGGCTCGAGTAAACATATCTTGCTCGTTGATAATTACCGTAAGAGCTTTTCCTTGCGACTCGATTGATGCTGTGACTAACGCATTGACTCAGACTATCGTGCGTAAGGATCGAGTACAGAGTGTGGATACCATCGTTGACCTTACCAGCATTCACGCTTCTTCTATTACAACTCCTCACCGCTGCTGTTGTAGTTTTTGTCCGGGATATATGCCATACCCCCGATATACTTGCTCTCAAGCCTGACTTCGATGCCCTCTCTATCAAACAATATCTACAGCAGAAAAACAGGTTGATATTGCTATCTTCATGTCTAGCAACATTCTTTCCTCTATGGATTCAAGCAGCGCTGCACTTCGAGAACATAGCTTCGCTCTTGATGATTTTGGTAGGCGTGCCATCACCACATGACTCCGCTGTAATTCTGACATTGATGTAGCCACTCATTTGGTGCTTCACCCTATCTGCACGATCAAATTGGTTCAAGACCAGATGTTACGTTGTGGTCATCTCTTGTTGTGTGATTTTGCTCGATGACTATAGACTTACGCCAAATGGGTTGCTTTTCGGTATCCCTGCAGTGTTACTGTTGAGCGTAATGTACGCGTTTTATGACGAGCAGACAGACGACTCTGGACCATATCGATCAGGCGAGGATCAACTTGCCATGCTGCCAATCATGATTCTCCCCCTCGTTTCCACAGTGGCTTGCTACATTCTGCTCGAGAGCAAACACGAAGTAACACTAGCTTCGAAGCATGTACCTATGCTATGCCTTAATCTGGGGGCGACAGCTTTAGCAATCGTACTAGCACCATTGATGCTAGAAAAGATCAAGAAGAGCACTTCACATTGTGTTGTCTTCTTTGCACTGCCAGGTTTCACAGCTTTGCTCTTTCAACAACTGAGATCGCCTATATACTTGAGCTACGTGCAGGTCCTGGCCTTTGTGTCTTCTCTTTGCTGTTGTGCTTTCGACATACGCAACAACGCAGATTCTGGTCGCTCGTCTGAAGAAAACTGGCTCGAGCTGCCCCAAGCTATAGACGACACAAAACATCTTGGATCATCGATCAACGACTTGGGTGATTATGCCACAGGAACACAAAAAAGATGGCATCTAGCTCGAGCAATCCCTTTTACGGTCGCGATGTTAGCGTGGTTGCATTTTCTCTCCAACAACTTTTCGCCACCGCTTCCCTACCATGATGCCCACAAACTACGACTGGATACTTCCTACAACTCTACGTCCGCTCTCGATATTGTAATGAGCATGTACCGCGAACCACCCTCTCACATCACTGACACCTTTGCCCTCCTCACCTCCCTCCCCTCCATCGGCCCCAAGTCTCCACGCCTGATCCTCTACACAAAAGACCCTGCCGCAAATCTAACTCTGCTCCAACAACAAACCAACGCCACAAGAGTCCTACAACTGCCTAATCTAGGCAGAGAAGGCCACACGTATCTCCACCACATAATCTCTTCGTGGGATGACTTGGCAGCCCAAACCTTCTTCTTGCAGGCCTCTATTCACAACCATCGCGAATTTGCTGCAAGAGTCACCGATTACTACACGCCTGAGACAGGAATGCTGAGTTTAGGATTCAGTGGACAAAGCTGTGAGTGCAACAACTGCGGCGACAGATTTGGATGGCAAGACCGTTCAGGGATTGTGGAACAAACTTGGAAAGAAGTGTTTAATCAGACTTGTGGAGAGCAACGGATGTTGTTGAGTTACAAAGGGCAATTTGTTGCCAGTGCTGCAAGGATTAGAGCCAATGAGAAGGCGATGTACGATAAGTTGAGGGATGCGCTGGAAGAGCCAAACAGCTGGGCACACGAACAAGAGTATCTACAAGGAAGGCCTGATTCGTTGAATGCGCCCTACTTTGGATATACTTTGGAACGCCTGTGGTCAGTGATCATGCAGTGCTCAGAGGAACGGATTGCAACTCTCTGTCCGACACTGCTAAGTGGACAGCGAAGAGGCGGCTCGAAGGAAGATTGTCAGTGTTTGGATCCTTGACACTTGTAGACTCTCGAGAAGTGGAGTTCGAAAATAGTTTAATATGATGAAATTAGATGTACAGGATATTCGCAGGGACGGAAAAAGGAGTTGCCGATGTGAATTCAACAACTACACGACCTCGTAGCGATAGTCGATCTCATCCTCTTTGACCTTTCTGGCTGTTTCTAGGCGTTGTCCGGTCGTAGGCACAGGCTTCTTCAAACGCAATACCCATAGCAGCATGCCCTCGGCCGGCAGCAAAAGCATCCATATCCTGTTGATAAAGAAGGCAACAGAAGTCGTGAAGAGGGCGACTACGGCGTCCAAGTAATAATGGTTGGCAGTAGCGACAATGACGGACAGGACCAGAAGAGGGTAGAAAAGTCCGGCCAACAACCAAAGACATCTTCCAAAGGTCGATTGCTGAATTGCCTTGTTCTCAGATCGCCAGTGAATGCCAGAGTGGTAGATGAAGGTGCAGCCAATGACAAATGCGTAGGTGAAGTGGAGACTAGGCATGGCTGCAAGTTGGTTGACGTTCTTGCCGCCAACCCAGACGCTCTCGGCGTTGTCTTGACGAACAGTGTCGTGGAAACCGAAGGACTTTGGCAACAGGCGTGGTGGCATGCAAGGGTAGAAACAGAAAACGAAGAATGCAGCAAAGTTGCCCAAGGTCATGGTTCGTCTGGCGACAGCGAAAGCAGCATGATCCGGAGCAGCATAATAATACCATGAAAGGAATCTGTCAGGGGGTTAGCAATTGTTGCATGAGATCTCTCGTGTGTATATTGACGCACGTGACGGTTCCGGGGATGTGGACCAGTGAGTAGATGCGGTTAAAGAATGTCAATATGAGAGGATGGCCAGTGGTGAAGAAGGCTTGGAAGTCCACCTCCTTGACAGGGAAGAAAATCGAAAACATCGAATCGTGCTCAAAGTTGAGAATGCTGATTCCATGCTCCTGGGCGAGCTCAGTGACGCCGTCCTTGGTGGCATAGAGAGAAGCCGCGATGGCTTTTGTAGTACTGTATGCTGCGTAGTTGAGGGCCCAGTAGAACATTTCAATCAAGAAGGGGAACTTCTGCAGGACTCTGCTGTGCAAGTTGTTGGCGAAGGCAGATGTGTCGGGCATGTCGAATTCCTTGCCAAAGCATGAGCGTTTCTGGAGTCGGCTTGTCGCGTGACCCTCATCGTCGCCCAGCATGGGACGTCCCTCGTTTGTAGGCGACAGAGTTCCAGAGCGGGCATTGAGATCTCCTCGTAGGATGCTGAAGTTTTTGCGGCGATTGATGATCAATGAGCCAATCATGACAGTAACAACAAACTTGAGGTGATTGTTAGTCTGGTCGTGTGCACACTGTCCCCGAGCAACATCGTCGACTCACGATTGGCTCTGCCCATTTGTGCGACGCGAACTGCGCACCTCCCAGGTTGACGTCTCCCTTGTCTGCCATGACTGTTCCTCCGCAAGTTGGTCTGATATGGAATACAGAAAAGGGAAAAGAAGAAGAAGAAGAAGGCCGGTTGTTTTGGTAAAGAGAGAAGCTTTGAAGCCAAGTTTAGGGAGACCGCCGTCGGCAACAAAAAACATCCGTCGCCGTTCGTTCCTGTCAAATTTGGCTAGCGTTGCGCGAACGAATCGCCGGGATTGCTTCCTGCTCGTGTGACTCCGATCACTGGAACGTTGACTTTTCGTTTCTGGAGGATTCTTGCTGATGTGGAAAAGGCTATCGAATTTCAGGCTCAAAAGACGCCATCTTCGTCACAAACGTGGTCATGTCTGCCTTATATGTCAAAGCCACTCCTCTGAAGGATTGCAGAACCAAGTCTTTTGACCCTTTACAAGCGCCAGCGCCATGACACTTTCTTCCTGCAGATGAAACACAGCCCTCTCAACACCCCATACAATTGAGATCCAGACTCGTTCAGCTCTTGCGGGGTCGTGGCGAGCTCAATAAGACGCCCATAGATCAGGTCATGGGGGTAATCGCTCCTCACAGATCTCCGAAGCACCTAGAGCAGACTGGCCATTGCTACAATCTCACGGACAAAGAATATGCATCGATGTGTTGTAAAAGACAGTGTTACAGAATCACGTTTGTCGCGTGCCTGGTGCGTGCTTCGTTCATCTAATTTGAGCACGCACCGCCCCGAAGGATTCGAAGCCTACCTAATCGATACGTGATACGCTTTTACGGCAATAAGCCGCTTGCGTATAAGTCGTTATATGTGGCAGCCTAGAGACTCGCACTCACGATTGAGCAACATCATCCATTCATTTGAGGCTGACTTCACCGGCGCTTACAATATCGTTGTCATCCTGTCGAGGTAAATATTTTCCGGTATGTCAGCTTGCAACACGTGCTAGAGAAGATCAACATCCCAGTCGCTGCCAAGAAGGATAGTCAATCCTGAATACCGCATCCATCTATAGAGCGATATCCCTCCGTGGACATCCTTTCACCAAGGTCCTCTTTTCCGGATCCACCATACTGACTCTCTGCCTTATTACCGCCGTGCCTTTCGTACGAGTAAGTATCAATAGTGGATCAAGTTGCTTTCTTAAAAGGTAAGTCGCGAAAATCATGTCTCCTACACTAGTACATCGCAACAATCTTCCACTTCCAGACGGCAAACCATGTCAACACTACATCTCCCGGAGGGATACCAATACAAGTTCTACCCAGCAAAACGAGCACGCCATCAACATGTTCTCGAAGTCCTATCGCCACACATTCCAACCATCACACTAGGGATTCTGGCTCTTACACTCCTACAATGGCATGCTAAATCTTGGAGCTATCGCCGCGACGACGTCTTCGCCTACATCTCGTGCCTGATTGTCTACAATTTCTCTTATCCACTACTGTCCCTCTGTCTAGCCGCCTTCTACACAACCTGGGCATCATTACCAGGCTCTTTTGCTTCCCTCAATCTACCCTCCCACGCAAAATTCCTCTCCACCACCACATTCACGTCTCCCCCTCACGCCGAGGAAGAAAAATGCATGGTATGCTGGGAAGAAGAAACACCCTTGGCTTCACTCCCCTGCGGCCACACAATCTGTAGATCCTGCCTCGTGGCCATGGGCCAAGCCCTCCAAACCGCTTGTCCATTATGCAAACACCCTATATACTCTGTCCACGACAAAACTCTCCTCTTCGTCAGCAAAGCTACCTTGAGCATCCAAAGCATCACTGTAATGCTGCACTTCCTAATCTTCTGGGACGAACTTCAACATTTGAGGTACTGGAATATCGCTGTTGAGACTGCGTTGGTGGGATTCTTGGGCTGGTTGCTGTTGAATGTGTATCTACCATTGATCGAACAAGGAGGACAAGACTGGTGGAGACTTCGTGCAGGCTACAAGGGCGGTGTCGGCAGAGGCATCAGCACGATCGGATTCTCGTGTTTCTGTGGTGTTGTCGTGTTGGTACAGACTGTATACAACAACCGTGGCTTGTTCTTCTAGAACGTCAACATGAGGTAGATGGCAGAAAATAATGCAAAAGTCAAAGTCTGCTCATGGATCAGACATGGCAAATTTGTAGGACAAGAAAAAGAGGTTCATCACAACGTGCTTTTCCTAAAGACGAACAGCGCGACTAGAATAAGTAGGAACAACGAAAGTGGTATCGCAAGCAGAACAAAATGAGGCTAAGAAAGAAACGGCAATAGAAGAAGAGAAGCGCCCAAGAAAAGAATGACAAAAAACTCCGCACCCTTTGCACTCGCTCGTTTCCAGAAGTCCCGTGTAACCGTACACCAAAGAAACAAAAAGGCCCAAAAACATACGAAATAGAGATTCTAAAAGTGATGTTACCCAATGACACCGTCGTGCTCGACCATGTGGCGGATCTTTGACATGAAACTGGCTGGGTATTGCTTGACCTCATCAGGAGGCGGTAGACCACGCTTGGAGTCCCTGCACCTCTCATACACCTTTTCGATAATCTGTCCAAGCAGATCTTCGGTCATGGCGACAGCGTTGCCGGCTTCGGGACACAACCAAGGGTCGGAAAGGAGTTGCTTAACGGTTGGACGACCCTGAAGATTGCGCTGCAAGCATCGACGAAGTGTGCCCTTCAGCGCAGAAGAGACGGTGACACCGCCAACACCTTTGTCCGGAAACTCGATGACCACCTGAGGATTCGTGATAGCCATGATACGACTGATCTGGTTGGCAATGTGGGCGAAAGGTGGGCGACCATAGACCATTTGATATAAGATACAGCCAAGAGACCATACATCCGAAGGCTTGCCAATCTTCATGCACCGACTGCCATTGTTGGTAGTGCGTTGCCCACCAGGAGTTGGTGCATTTGTATCCATGATACTCTCTGGTGACATGTAGTTGGGTGTTCCGATATGCGAGTCGCGATGGACATTCACGGTGTGAGCAACATCAATGGCATTCGCGATGCCAAAATCGATGAGTTTGAGCTTTCCTCCTACTGATAAGAAATTGGCGGGCTTCAGATCAGAGTGAACAATATCGTAGTCGTGCACAGCTTGAACACATTCAAGCATTTCCTGCCACCAGAAGCGAGTCTTGACGGGGTCAAACCTTGGATCATTGCCATTGAGCGCGATTGTCAAGATTCGATTCAAATCTTGATCGCCCTTTTCCATCAGCACACTGAGAGTCTGCTTTTCGTTATCGAGTTCCCAGTCATAGAGTCGGACAACACGGTCGACGTCTGCGAGCTTCTCCAGAAGATCGATCTCGCCCTTGAAGCCGCGCATAGCCGATTCATCACAGTCTTCCAGCTTGACCCTTTTCAAGGCGAATTGTTTATAATTCTCGGCCTGGACACAGTAGACATCACTGCTGCCACCTTTTCCAATCTTTTGCATTTGCGTGAAGAGCTTTCCATTGATGAGGATATGCTGACGTTTCTTCTTGCTCTTAGTGGTACTCGCACCAGCAGTCTTTGTCGCAGCATCCAAGACACTCATCTTCGGCGGTGGTGGGGGAGCTGGTCGGACAGGAGTGTTGTTGCTGATCGGATTCAGAGCTCTACGAGGCGATTGGTAGGTAGAGACGGACATGGGCGTCTCCTCGACGGGTTGAGATTTGGAGTGCAAAGCAATCTTTTCTGGCTTTCCAAGGTACTTGAAGTCATGATGTCTGTCGCGCTTGAAGGTCGGAGGGGGGATGTTCTCTTGATCTCCGGTAGTGTCATGTTGGGCGCTCGAATTCGGGCGAGTCTGTCGCTGGTAGTCGGCGGGACGCGAGGCCATGTGGTCGTTACTCGGCCTCCTCTGCGCGACACTCTCTCTTTGATTCGAGGTCGCTCGGGAATCGCTACGGTCTCTTTTGTGAGGCTCAACACTGGGTCTTCTGGCTGGGCGTTCCATACTAGGAGCTCGCGTAGAGGCGCGTGATGCTACTCGATGCGCATCGGTGCTCGTGTCGCGCTTCGAGGGAGCGGAGACGTCACGGCTGTGATTCCTTGAACGCGCAAAGTCGTGTCTCGATACGGCAGCAGAATCGGCATTGGCGCTGTCTGCTCTGCTTGTTCGGCCAGCCAAGTATGCAGGCTCGTCGTCATGGTCGGGTTGCGATTGCGATTCTGGCAGAGGACCATCATGTGGGCTGACATTGTCATCGCTCTCGCGCCTGCGGAAGCCTCTCCTCACGGGAGCACCTCGCAAAAAAGCACCGGGAGCTCTCTTGACACGGACAGAGCCGGGATGTGCTGATGCCTCTGCTGACGCGTGACGAGTCTTGTTGAGAGATGATGAGGGCATGTGTCGTGTTGAGGCATCATACTGTGAAGCTCCAAAGTTTTGCGACGCGTCGTGGTCAAGCAAATCGAGAGCGGGCGAGGGGTTGCTGGTGGATCTGTTTGCTGAAGAGCGGGTTGAGCGGGATTGTGGTGCGGGCGTGACGAACTCGAGGGCGGGGGTGGTTTCTCTGCTCGAGACGTGTCTTTCAGCGCGACGTGATGACGACGGGTTCCTCTTGCTGACGGAAACAATGCGCGGCGAGGTGGCAGGTTGGCTGTGTGTAGGTGAGGCTTTGCGCACAATCTTTAGTTGCGGCGCTCTGCTAGGCGTTTCGTAGTCGCGCGCGACGTTGTCTTTCGGGGACGAGTGGTCGAGACCGCCCTCGGACTCGAGGAGGGCCCTCGTCAGGGCGCTGAATTTCATGGGCGGTGGAATCTCGTCGTCGGACGAGTCGCCAACATCGATGCGCTGCATCATGGGAGCGTCGGCAGCAAAGCCTTGGGCCGGGTTGAATACTGATAGAGGCGAGGGATGGCGGTAATATGGGCGGGAAGTAGTGGTCATTGAAGCAATGGTCGAAGGGAGACGAAGCTTGTGGAAGGTGGTGACCCAGGTGTGTCGGGTAGTGCAATGAGGTGATGCGAGTAGTGCAATGAGGGTAAGGTGCTGTTAGAGGAGATGACGGTTAATCGAAGATAGCACAGGATGGATTGGGCGCCATATATCGAGTAGGCTGAATGCTGAGTAGTACTACTGTCGCAAGATTGCTATCGTCGGAAAGTCATGTTAGTTGAATCCAAGTCGCAGATAATATTGAGCGAGAAACCAAGGTCGCCCGGCGAGTCGCAGTGCGAGCAATGGGCCCTGTCTGTTGACCCGCCAACGTCTGCCAAGTCTTGTCAACATCAACTTCGACACATCATTCTTTAACAATCTCCATTGAGCCCTGGAGTCTGTCACAAGATAGTTTCCAATGTGTTGATTGATTGAAACAACACTACAAGTCTTTGGTCACCAGGTCAGATTGGGTCGTTTGGGAGCATGGAGAAGGGCATATGCGCGAGAGATGAAGAGCAGGGTGGTCCTGCTTACTTCGGCGATAGGAAGCGGCTGCCGACAGCGGTGACGCAGGCGGGGCAGTCGGTGTTTGCTCACCGACCAGCCACATGTGGTTTCGACTCTGGTAGCTACTTGACATTCAATCACATACATACACAATGGCGCCTCCAGCAATCATCGCCCCTTCAATTCTCTCGGCCGATTTTGGTGCCCTGGGCAAGGCCTGCTCGGACACCATCGGCCATGGCGCAGACTGGCTCCACGTCGACATCATGGACGGTCACTTCGTCCCCAACATGACCTTTGGCGCTCCCGTTGTCACAATGATCCGTCCTCACGTCGACAGACCCTCTGAGTCCTTTGGCAAGGGTACCTTCGACTGCCACATGATGATCGCAGAGGTCCGTCCCATCCCAACCCATCCTCCGGCACTCATCCAGGAAAAAGATGCTGACCAAGGCCAGTAGCCCAAAAAATGGGTCAAGGAGTTCAAGAATGCTGGCTGTGACCTCTACTGCTTCCACTACGAAGCCGCCATCAACTCCACCGCCGCTGAAGAGCCGTCTGCTACCTCGGACGAGAAGACGAGTCCCAAGGACCTCATCAAGTACATCCACGACCAAGGCCTCAGAGCCGGCATTGCACTCAAGCCCGGCACCCCCGTCGACGTTCTGTACGACATCCTAGACAGCAAGACCACAGACGAAGTCCCCGATGTATGATTTGAAGTTCCGCTCATCCGCACCTCGAGCACTACAAACTAACACAATCCCACAGATGGTCCTCATCATGACCGTAGAACCCGGTTTCGGCGGCCAGAAGTTTATGCCCGACATGATGCCTAAGGTTCAAGACCTCCGCAAGCGCTACCCCGAGCTCAACATCGAAGTCGACGGTGGTCTCTCTGAAAAGACCATTGACGTGGCTGCTGATGCTGGCGCAAACGTCATCGTCGCTGGTTCTGCTGTGTTTGGTGCAAAAGACCCCTCAGAGGTCATTGCAAAGCTTAGAGAAGCTGTCGAGAAGAGAAGATGACTCCGTGCTAAGATTTAGCACAATAATTGGTTGGCATTGGACGGACGAAAAGAAGGAGAAATATAGAGCTCTGTTGATACATACGACATAAATGACTTTGGATACCAAGCTGCTGACTTGCATAGTCCTGAAATCCTGGACTGGAGTCTACTGAATTGGTTGCGACGTGAAGTACTCAACATAGCTGAGTAACCATATCATCCACTACCGTCTCGCTCTCACGACATTACACAAGCCGAGCTGGAGCATCAAAATGCACAGTCCTTTTCCAGACGGTAGCAAGGTCCAGTAAGGGTCAATACAATCGCAGCTCTCAGTGGACGCTACCTGATCACCAAGTGGACTGTGCATTGGGATAGCTACGTGTGTGATGAATCTCTGCGCAGGAGGAGAGCTGGGGAGACCGCAAGACATTCGTTTGATCAGCATGTGTTTGATATAATATATTTGATAGTGATGAAAAATGCTTCATCAATCAGTCGCAGTGGTTTAGTGGTAAAATTCGTGCTTGCCATGCACGAGCCCCGTGTTCGATTCACGGCTGCGACAATCTTTTGCTTTTGTTTCCCTCACCCTTTGCTCCTCCAACTACCACCTCACACCAAAATCCATCGAGCGACAAGTTCAGAAGTCAATTTCTCTTACCATTTCGAATTCAAACCACTTTTGATTCTCCTCACCAAAACCCCACAGAAAGAGCCGAACAGGACCCTAAATAAACCCACCACCATAATAGACACCCGCACTTCTCCTTCCCACCTCCCCGTCATCTCTATGCCTTCCCTCTCCCCATCCAACACCCACACCTCCAGACGCAATCACCGCCTCTCCGATCCCTCTTCCCCATCCACTCATTCTTCTAGCGCTAACCTCCCATCCATGCTGCAAGTTCTTTGCTCCAGAGAGTCTGCGAACCCTCTCCTTGACGCCGATTTGACTTGCTTTGACTGCACCGGTGGAAATAGCCGTGTTGAGTTTTTCGTTCAGTGTGTAGTGGAAAGACGAAACGGCAGAGGCGGTGGAGAGGGCGGTATATGGTTTCCTCGCCGGAGGTCCAGGAGGAACAGGCAAGGTCGGTGGAGGTGAGTTTGAGATTCGCCGAAGGTCAGATCGAGTGTCTCGAGGTGCGCTTGTGATCGAAGAGACATGAGGAGGATAAGAAGGCAGCTTGGGTCTAGTGGTGTCCCAAGTAGTTTGATGGCGTTTGGTTCTCAGTGCTGTGGTGGAGAGTTGGCGTGGTGGTATGTTGTAGCGGCGACGGTAGGGAGGTAGGTCCAGTTGCATGCTTTCTGCGCTTGAGTTGCTGCAAGATGAGAAGCGGGATGCGAGGTGTGGGCGATGGGTTGAAGCTTCTCCAGTCTCTGTCGTGGTATGCAAAGTGGACGTTGCAGTCTCGTGCAGTTGTAAAGAACTGTGTGCTGGTGCGGACACCCCTGAATGCCTGATCAAAGGTCTGGCATCCAGACGTACACCGTCGACTGTTCTCATGACTGGTACTGCTCTTTCTCTTTCTCTCTGGCTTTCCTCTGCCTGGTCTTCTTCGTTTATCAAAACAGTCTTCTCCACAACCTGGTCCAGAGACGCATAAGTACTCTGCGCCAAACTCTGCTCTTGGGTCTGCGGCTCCGTCTGCACCTGTGTCGTCCACTCTTTCTCTGTATTTCCCTTTGCAACAACTCTCTGCAAAGGCACGCCAACTTCAAAGTCCAGAGTCGAGCCCGAATGATCCGAATGCAGTAGGTGTGTGAACGAAGTCGCTGAAACACTGCGATCTACAACTCCAGTGCTCACGCTTTCAATGGGACTGACCGCTTGCTGTTCTTCCCTTTCTTTGCCTTTGGTACTATGGTGCGAAAGAGAAAAGTACCGTCCAAAATCCTCTGCTTCGGTGACTTCAGCACTGAAGTCAGCAAGGGCGGAGAGAAGTCTTTTGTCTTCGTCTGAACTTGTGGAAGGCGAGCTAAAGTCGAGTGATCCAAATCCATCAAAGCCATCAGAGTCAAAGATGAAGTTAGGTAATTTGCTGTCACAGCGACTTTGCTCGTCTGCTTCTTTTCCCTTCCTACCGTCATATTTGTTTCTCTCCTCCTCTTCATCTTCATCTTTGTCCTCAGTATGTCCAGGACTTTGACCAGAAGACCCAGAAGTCAAAGGCACCCCTTCCTCGTCAGAAGGAGAAAGATCCAGATCCTCGTTCGAGGTACCAGAGTCCAGTTTCGGAGGCGAGAGAAGACTATCGATGCGTGTCTTGCGGCATTTGTTACGAAAATGGTCAAAGGCGGCGGAGAGGGAGGAGCGGCGTCTGTTCTTTAGTGGTGCAGTCATGTTAGGGGAGTATGGCCACAGTTTATGAACGCTTGCTAGAGAGAATGGCGAGAAACGGAGGTAGATGGCTCAGAGTAAGATATCGATGATGAATTGGCAGATGGGTGTGTGTGAGGAGGATGGTCCTCAGTACTGTTATATGTCCTGCCCATAGCTATGCTGTAGCTGAGAGTCGTTATCAGCACCTCAAATTGAGTTGACAGAACGAAAGACTCGATCACATCATCCTTCTCGTATCAGTAGATCTGGAAGGTCATCTGTACTTGGCTCCGTCTTTGCTCAAGACCACACATGTCTAAACCTCAACATGTAAGCAGCTGATAGGTGTGATCCTCCTGCCAAGTTGAACGAGTGCTGGCCGACGATCTTAACAGTGAAACAATAAACTCATGCGTATCTCAAACGTGCACTTGACTTTGAGGGGCACGTACGGTATCAGGTGAGAGGGATAGGATTGGTCTATATACCTCCACAGTGGAGTATAAGCAGAGAAAGTCAATTTGGGTGGAGAGATAAACGGGCGGACCTTGAGTGCTGTCTCAAACTGTAACAACCTTCTTTCGCGCCGTGAAAACCATGATCCATCCAACGCCTTCAGAACGTAAAGAGAAATCGAGCAAAGCGTGTAGCAGAAGCAGCCTCCTCTTTTTTATCTTCTCTTTTCTTCGGTGTAGACATCCTGTCTTTTGTCCTCCTTCCATCCAAATTATTCAAATTATTAAGAGTCGTCGTAAACCGTCGTGAAAGCACAGAAGCGTGCAGCTACATGAAAAAGAAAGGAAGAAAAAAGAAACTCGACACGACGAAAGCGTGGAGTAGGGATGATGAAAGGAAGCAAAAATGTCGGAATGAAGTATGTCGATGATGTAAGCAGCAGCGCCTACTGAAGCTCGGGGAAGAACTTTGCGTAAGGGTTCTCCTTGGCCTTGATAGTGCTGTTGATGTTGCTCGAGGTGAACAACGATTGTTCATCGAACTGAGCGCCGAGGCCATAGTCGTTGTTGGCGGGGAACAGAGTGTCTGTGTTGTTGTAGTCAGAGGGCAGGTATTGCGACATGTCAAAGTCGTCGTCGGCCATGTTCATGTCCATAGCAGCACTGCCACCAAGGCCTTGGTTTGCCATGGGTTGAGGAGCAGTAAGCATGGGATCAGAACCATTCACCAGGAACTGAGGTGGTGAGAACAGCAGACTCTGGTCGCTGATGTAATTGCTCGGACCAGCTTGGAAAGTTTGTTCCATCTTGAAGTCGCCGTTGACGACAAACTGTGGGCTGTCCGCCGGAGTAGGGGGCTGGAATGCATCATCAAAAGATGTCTCACCTTGAAGCAGAGCCGAGTTGGGTGCAGTGTTGACAGCAGATGAATCATGCGACAGACGACGATCGTCAACAAGCGATGGGGTGTAGACCAGAGGGTTGGTGACACTTGGGGTGAATGCACCAGTCCAATCAAAGTTGAAGTGGTCAACGAACTCTGGTTGGAAGTCCATGTTCATGTTGAACTCCGGACTTTCGAAGGGTGTCATGATACCTTGATCCATGGAGGGCACCGAGAGCTCTTGAGGAGAAGTCAGGTTGCCAGACAGGTCACTCACTAGAGGGTACTGCATTGTTTGCATGTACGGAGTTGTGGATGTGGATGCCGAGGCCGATGAAGTCGATGGGGTGGATGCACTCGCAGCGACACCTCCAATCAGCTTGATAGGCTGCTGGACAGGCTCCTTTTGATCAGGCTTCACCTTGGTCTTGCCGTTCTTGACAGTTGTCTTTGAACGAATGTATACCCAGCCATGTGCTTTCTCCATGTGAGATTTGCAGTTGCTAAGACGCTTGGACTGGTAGGGGCAGTTGTTTACTGTGGACCAGTAGCAGGCATACATGATGGGAGACTCTGCATGTTTGTCGTTGACGTGGCGCTCGCACTCTTTCTCGGTGGGCCAGCCATCCTCGTGGTACTTGCAGTCAGTGTGAGGGCACTTCCAGGGACGCTCATGGCTCTTCATGTGTTTGGTGCGGTCGCAAGGACGGCGGAAGATCTTGTCACAACCGTCAAAGCCACAATCGTAAGTCTTGATAGGCTCGCCCTTTCTGCGACGTGCCATGGACCTCTCCACGTCATCATTCAAAGAGTCAGCCATGACGGGACGCTTCGATGAAGACACGGAGTGGTCTGCACGAGAAGGAAGGACAGAACCATCGAGAAGGGAAATGTCCTGACCAGCTTTATGGCGGACGAGTTGGAGAGGCGTGTTGTGAGTCACATCGCCACATCCTCCCCGCAGATGGAGGCGTTCGCTGCTGAGTCATTTGTTAGCGTAAAGTCTAAATTTGAAGGCATAAGGGGAACTTACGGAGTAGCATCCATTTCGTCGAGTTCTTCTCCGCGTTCTTTCTTTGCGCGGGTCGAAGCCACGATCTGAGCGTATCTGCGGATCTGACCGACCAGGTCGATGAAGTAGTTGTTGGTGTAGGGGCGATCTGAAGGTGAGCAATGGTCCGACTCGTGGACGATATCGACAGTAGCGTGAAGACAGTCGATATAGGTTTCGCAGAAGTTGAGATAAGAAGAAGGAGTACGAGAGTAGTCCTGAGAAATAGCACGAAAATAAGCAAGCGAGCGGGCAGAAAGGCCGCAGCGAATACTTACAGGAGCCAAGAAGACCAGCGTCTTCTCGAGGTCGCGAAGGGTGGTGATCTGGCGGGAAGCGATGCGTCGAGGGACACCTCTGACAAGAGGGTGGAAGTCCTTGAGAGATTGTTCACGGAGGATGGGCTTGACGATGAACTTATGGATCTGCTCGCAGGCGAACTCGCTGAGGTGTTCGTCGGCGTAAGAGCTCGAGGCTGAAGAAGGGGATCTCTTCAATGCGGAGCCTGACAATAAACAATGGTCAGCGCTGCCTAAGCCGCCGACAATAGGAGTTGAGTGAACGATACCTTTGGTCGTAGCCTTGGTTTTCTTGGTGTCGAATTCGTCGGAATCGGCAATGCTAGAACCCAGACCACTGTCATAAGCATTGTTGGGACTATCACGACGTTCTTCGGTAATGCCTTCTAGACCAGAGTTGTCGAGAACACAGCGAGGGTGGGGCAAGGCTTCAGGCTCAGAAAGAAGCTTCCCGAGAGCAGCAGCAGAGTTGTTGTCAGCAATGACTTGGTCGACCTTGGCAAGGAGGTCGGCAGCTCTTCTTTCTCCAGCACCGATGAGCAAATCTTCAAGAGCCTTGGGACTTGTAACGGAGCGAGTTGTCATAGACCGAGCGACAGCGTCGAGTGGGTTGAAGAGTTCTGACTTGTTGGAGGATGGAGAGTGGAAGGTGGTTCCTTTTTGGATAGACAGGCCCGCAAAAGAGTCGATCAGGGCAGCAGTTGTGGAAGGACTGCCCTGACGACGGCGGGGATGAGGCGAGGTTTTGGTTGGCATGGTGGAAGGATGCTACCGGTGCAGCTAGGTGGTCTGAAAGGATGCGTTGGTCGTATCAGACAGGTCCGGGATGGCGGTGATTGGCGCAAGACACAGCCAGTACGGGTGAGTCACGTCCGGACAGCAGCGACAGCTCTGAATGGTCAAATCCAGATTGAGCGCAGGACAGGGACGGACAACAAGGCGAGTTGTGGTGTGGGTAGCAAAAGAGTTAGCCGGTGAGGGCGTCGGTGTCGAGATGCGGGCTAGTCGGCGAAGTTGAAAGGGTGGGGATTCAAAGACGGAGTATAATAGACGTCGAAAAGTTGAGCGCGGAAAATGGACAGATAATCTTTGCGAGGCTAAGCAAGGATTGTAATGTTGAAGTGAAGGCCACGTTGACAAGGTCGAAAAAAGGTACCGAGATGGAATCGTTGGTTGGACTTCTTGTCAACTCGTCGCAGGTTATCGAGATGCTAGGCAGCAGCGATTCGTAGCTGCGCCCCAAGCGTTCCTTCCCTAGGGTCACCACGTGCACACTTTACCAATCACTTTTCTGCAGCTCGACTGATCTGATGATGATGATGGTGTCTCTATACAAGAACTACTCAGTTTATTTCATTCATACACCTGTCATACAATCGCTCAGCTCAACTTGAGTGCTCACCTTCGTGGTCGGACGTACCATCAGGGTCCGCGGTCTCTCCAGAACCGTTGGCGCAAAGACGGAGCTCGGCCGAACTTGTACACTTCGGTTCCGAGAAAAAGGTCTTTCCCTTTCCATACGAGTCGTTCTGCTTCTTCTGCGGGAAGGATCAGGCATCCAGTTTCATGAATCGCCCGTCGTGCTTCCGCACCATCGAAAGCCTAGACTGACTTTTCGCCTTGAACCGGACCTGCTCTGCGAGTCGGCAATGTCAAATGTCTGCCGCGAGCCGTGTTGTTGACCGGTCAGGTAGGGCTGAAATGAGTCACATGTTATCGCGATTGTCTTCGTGTTCAACGACAAGTTCCTCCTCGAACATGTCCTTGCTACAAGCTCTTTGAAGCTCCTCAAGCAGCTGAAAGCCTGTCTCTTCATCTTCTTGCTTGGCCTGCCGTTTGGCCTCCTCCGCGGCCTGCTGTCTGTCGATTTGCTGTCGTAGAGGCTTGGCATCGATGGGCAGCTGTTGGATGGTCGGATCTGGTTGGTCGTCGTCGTTGGTGTCCATTGGGGTATTGACATGTCGATATCACCAGAAGCGTCGAGTTCTCCAACGTCTAGCGACGACCCATGCGCGTTGGGTGGTTTAGATCCGGGACTAGGTGCATCGGAACCAGGACCTCCAGGACTATCAGGACCTGAATTTCCAGAATCACAGGAGCCAGCGAGAGGAGTAAACCTGTTGTTCGAGAAAGCAGCCGGTCTGCAACCCTGGGCACGTTGTCCAGTCGGTCTACGTCCTCGGGCTGCGCCAAATACACTTCCTCAAGCACGGTTGACGTCCGGACCTCCGAGTCGGAACGATCTGCTCGTCAGTGGAGGCACATCGCGGCGACCCATCAAGGATACTCGACCTCGAGTTGTCTTTGAACCTCGATCTCGACCTCGGTCTGGTAAGATACCCTAGCCGAGACCTGTGTTGCCTCGCGACCAGACTGATGGTTGTCGTTGAAGAACGCCTGGTGCCAGAGTGTCAGACACCACGATTGCAGTGGGCCGAGAATCGCTTTGTGCGTCCTGAGCGCGGCTGTTTGTGGGGGATTAACGAAAGATGTGTGTTGTGGTGGTAAGAAAAATGGTCGTGGAACACAGTTCTACGCCCAAAGCTGTCTGAGTAAACAGAGGCAGCCAGAGCCAGTCGTCTGATCAAACAGGGGCAACAGGTAACGAGAAGAAAGAAATGTGCGTGCGAACGATTGCAAAGACCAAGAGGTAAGACCAAGAGGTTGTCATTGGTAGAAGAAAGCAAAAAGAAGTTTGTATACCATAGTGAATACCTGAGCTACGAAGTGACTGACACAAACAACTGCCAATACTTTCTTGGCAACCCTGGCTCTCTGCGATTGAGTGGGAATCTTCTCAATGTAGCTTGTAGTACATTCTGATAGATGTTGAAGTGATTCATGGTGATGAGCCAAAAGACCTGCTACCCGTGGAAGTCACATGTACAGCTTGATACTACCTCCTGAAGGCTATACATACCTTCCAACATAGTGCCTCTATCCTACAAGTCGACTACTCACGGGTCACTGACACTGCTCATAGACAACTCTATTATGTAGCAATATCTATACAGAGACAGGGTTGATGAAAAGCAGTTGATACGCTTATCGATAAGGTAGACAGATGCCAAGCAAACCAGACTCCGTCAACTTCGAAATTTCTCGAGCAGCAAACTTCTCTTCCTCACCATCACAACCACAGAATCTAGATCAAGAACCTGTTCGAGATCTCTGTTGTGATGTCCCACATATCATAGGTAAGCTCCAATCGTACATCAGCACATTCCTCCCTCCCTTGACTCCCTCGAATGATGAAGTATTTTCGGATGTAAAAACACTATTGTCTTGTCCGAGAGCGCAAAACCGTGTGGACATTTTCCGTTGCCTTCCTTCTGACTCGTTTCCCTACCCTTCTACCTGCATACCAAGCTGTTTATGTCTTGATCATTGCTAACAAGGAGAATCAGGCTTTCAACAATACTCTGTCGAATGTGAATTCAGCATTGGAATATGGCATATGGTGGATATGACTTATAGAACTTATGTGACTTTACATGGCAAATCAATCTTATTATCTACTCACACAACACGTACTTTTGATGCTCATGAAGCTCGTCTTGGAGTGATTATTTCCAGAATGGCGTGAACATTCAGCCACAATCTCCCGAGGAGCAATTTCCCCACCAAACAGATCAACCGACTTAGCTGTTGCTCCATCTCGATACCTTAAAGTCACCGCTCTTTTTCTGTCACAACCCACACGACACAACTACAATGGCCGCTCCTACTAGCAGCATCGGTCGCAAGACTACATCAACCAAGGACTTGGGCCATGTGCTCGTCACTGGAGGATGCGGCGGACTGGGCACACAAATCATCAACCTCCTGCTTGAACGCAATGCATGCACCAAGCTCTCGGCCATGGACTTGAGGCCTGCCGCCGAACCCATCAAGGGCTGCGAGTACCACTTCGGAGATCTCACCAACGAGGGTGCCATGCGCGAGTTGTTCATCAAAATCAAGCCCAGCATCGTCATCCACACAGCCAGCCCCAAGTTCAACATGGCCAATGAGATCTTGTACAAGGTCAACGTCGACGGAACAAAAACTCTCCTTCGTGTCGCCTCCGAGACTGGTGTCAAGGCCTTTGTCTACACCAGCAGTGCCAGTGTCATCAGCGACAGCTCGACTGACCTGATCAATGCCGACGAGACATACCCTCTTGTGACTGGCAAGGCGCAACCCGACTACTACACCAACACAAAGGTACGTATCTCGGAACCATAGCCACTCAAGTGATACTAACGTACACTATAGGCCCTTGCCGAAAAGACGGTGCTCGAATACAACCGCCCCGCTTCCAACCCTCGTTTCCTGACCTGCGCTCTCCGTCCCTCTGGTATCTTCGGTGTCGGCGACCAGACTCTTCTCCCCCCTATGCTTGGAGCATACTACAAGGGTCAGACCAAATTCCAGCTCGGCGACAACACCAACCTCTTCGACTTCACCGAGGCCACCAATGTCGCACATGCCCATCACCTGGCAGCAGCAGCTCTCCTGACAACCTACGAGCGTGAAGAGCAGGGACAAATTGCTCCATTGAGCCACGAGAAGGTGGATGGCGAATCTTTCTTCATCACAAACGATTCTCCCATGTACTTCTGGGACTTTACCCGTACCGCATGGAAGGAGTGCGGCGACACAACCACGCCCGCCCAGGTGTGGACCATCCCTAAGGACTTCGGTCTGTTCATTGCAACACTGTTCGAGTACATTTTCTGGATCTTCCAGCTGGGTGTGCCGAACCTTACCAGACAGAAGGTCAAGTACAGCTGCATGACGAGATACTACAGCATTGAGAAGGCCAAGAGAAGATTGGGCTACAGACCTGTGGTGGGCGTCACCGAGGGTCTCAAGAGAGGCGTGGCAGATGCTATCAGAAGAGGAGCGATACCCGGCAGCCCTGAAGAGGCGCAGCGCCTGAATGCAGAGTCAAAGAAAGCTCAGTAGATGAACGAGTGTTGTAGATATACGAGTCAAATATGTCTAGATATGAAAGTTTGCCCAGGGCGTGCACTAGCATGTAAAATGTGGGTTGAGTGACACGGATCGAGAAGGATGTTTGTTTACGCTTTGCAGCTGTCGCTTCCCCTCGTTTCAACTCTGCGACAAACACCGACAGACGACTTCTGACTCGATTGGTCGAGCATTTCATTTATCAATTCGTGCCTGTTTCCTTGCCAGCTTCTTCAATCGCCTCAACGACACTGGCCTCTCGCAACGCACTGCCAACCATGGCCGACACATACCTCGCCTTCCTGCGCTCGCCGTCCGAGTCTGCGCTTGCATCTGATGCCGCCCTCCACTACATCACCACTACTACTTCGATCCACGAGTCTGCCGCCATTCTCAAGCATTTTCAAGCACAGGACAAGGTTGTCAAGAAGAAGTCAGAGACCGTCTTGAGCTCTTTCGGCAGCTCTGATGGCGCTGTCGTCGAGACAGACACCACCTTCGAGTTCATTCGTGGCGGTGGTGCTATCTTGCCTCAGATGGACGACAACATGCTGGCCGACTCGGTCGCTTCCTTGCCTATGGTTGGTACTGACCCTTTACTGACCTTTAATCAAGGCTAACTCGTGTTTAGGTCCACATCGTACAATACAATGGTCAGGGCAAGATCAGCCAAATCAGACTCTACTGGGACCAGGCGACCATGCTCAGACAGGTCGACGCCATTGGCAAGAGTGGACGCAACTGGCCCATCCGTGACGGCACCAACATGGTCAAGACGGTCAAGAACAGCATCAACAACGCCGGCTCCACCACCGCATCGCTCCCCATCCGTCCCGCCTCGAACGATGCAACCAAGTCTACTCAGGCGCAAGCTGGTGGTCGTGCCAACGGTGACTTCCACGCTCGCCTGTTCGCCACTGGTGAGGGTCAAGAATCGAGAGCCCAGGCCAACGTCAACCCTGAATACGCTGTTCGTACATCAGCAAAGCCCGCTCCTCGTCAAATGGATGAAATCTTCGCCAACGGCAGTAACAACGAAGGCTACAAGCCCGAAGGAAATCCCAAGGCCGGTTCAGGCAAGAACTTCCACAACAACCGCCTCTTCGACGAGAACTCCCAGCCCGAACGTGTCCTTTCCCCCGAATCAAAGAAGATCGACCCTTCGAAGTTCAACCACTTCGAATTCTCCAACGGTGAAGGTGGTTCCTCTGCTTCCGACCTGTCCAGACGTCTGTCTACCAAAGACTCGAAACATACCAGCAACTGGGACTTCCAGGACTTCACCACTCCCGAGAAGCACAGGCCTAGACCCAACCCTGAACAGGAGCGTCACATCGGACCCGGTGTAGACGAAGTACGTTTCCTGCAATCATCATACCTGTCTTCTGCTGACCTGATACAGGACCAAATCTCGCCCGAAAAGCGTCCCATTGTTCACGCCGCTCGCCCAGACGCCAACGCTCACTTTGAGATTTCAGACGACAGTCCTGCTGGTCCCAAGGCACCCTTCAGCAACCACACAAATGTCGACAAGTCCAGACGCGGCGACGAGTACCAACCTCACTTCAACCTCGGCCAGTCAGACGCACCCAAGAAGATTTACAAGACTGCAGGAAACGGTATGGGCGGTCGTGCTGGTGCTCCTACCTTGTGGGATGAACCCGAGGAGGCCGGCCCTGAGAAGGCAATCTACAAGACCTACGGCAACGGCATGGGTGGACGCAGGGACGGTGGTCTCTCATGGGACATTGGTGATGAGGGCGACAGCTCCAGACAACCCGCCATCTACAAGACACGAGGTGACGGTATGGGCGGTCGTCGCGACAAGAACGCCACTACTGAGAACGACACAGTCTCTGGCGCAAAGGGATATGCTTCTTCTGCACGCGCTCAGAACTATCACTCTGCGCAAAGAGATGACGAGTACGAGTTCTAGATGACTTTGTAATCGGTGTTGGACTTGGGCGTAGTGGAGTCATGATTTCTCATGGGAGTCTCTTGGACCTTTCAACATGGAAAGCAAGTTTTGTTTAAATCAGCATTGAGTTTTGACACGAACATAATGGATATGATATGTCTCTTTTCGTTTTATTATCCGATCGCTTGCGGTTGTGAAAATAGAAGTGAGTGTAGCTTGTTGAGCTTTGCTAGGTTCGTGTTGGAGCGCCATGTAAATCTAGTGACTGAGGGCGAAACTGCTACAGTTGGTACGGAATCAAGCGGTCATCACATTACAACAAGAGCAAGCACATCAGAAACCGTGAATATCAATACCTGCCCCTGTCCTGGGCGGGCATCCGCATCACTAGAACACTTGTCCAGGGTCGTACTGCATACCTCGCTCGCGGATCTGATTCCGCGATACATGCGAATACGATAAACACGAAGTGACGCACCTGTCCCCACGAAACATTGGCAGTCGCGACCAACGCGATTGACAAGATAGTTGGAGCAGTCAATTGCAACACAAACCAAACTTCGTTCTCTGGACATCTCTTGAAACGCGGGACACAATGCCATACCCCTTCGCATTGCCGACGACATCGTCAACCTCACTGGAAGCCTTCATCAGCAGTCCGAGCCACCCCGCTCTGCCACTGAGTGCAACGACACAACGATCAATCCTCCGCGATGCTCTGAAGAAACATAAACGACTACCTCCCACACAACAAGCAGCTCACTTGGGAGTTGTTCAGGACGCAATAACCGGCTATCTTCCATACGCGCTAGGTATTGCATCAGCAGTATCCTCGGGCAGGATAGGAGAAGAGCCTGTGACAATCTCAAGTACGAAACAACTACAAACAGAATGGCGTCTCACTCTGTCCGCAACTCTACCAGGGCGAGAACCGCCTCGACCGCCATTGGCAGGCATATATAATGACCTCGCATTTGTGCTGCAGACACTAGCCTACACCCGAGTCCAGCAAGCACGATCTCAACTCCAGATCCTCTACTCGTCAAACATACCCTCGCCGGACCGACGAACAGCAGCAATTGGATCCGCTATGAAGTACCTGCTCGAAGCAAATTCAATCCACAACTACATCTTGAATCTACACACTCAAGATCCGGCTTCCGCACCTCTAGATACGGTAAACTCAACGCAAGTCGCACTCGCCGCTCTAGCTCTAGCAGAAGCAACCTTGATCACAGTGCTGAAGGACGATCCGTACACAACCGCCGTTATACAAGCTAGAAACAAGGATGACAAAGAATGGATGATATCTGCCCCCAGCATACCCAAAGTCCGCGCTCATTTGTTCGCCCGCCTCGGTCTCTGTGCCTCAGACCACGCTCAAAGAGCGGCCGCCTCTCTAGCCCCTGGAATCGGTGTTTTGGATTCCTCGCTATTGAACTATGTCGACGATCTCCGTCGTACAGCTCGTGCAAAAGCTGCGAGGTTTTTGGCCTGTGACGCCGAAGCAACAGGAAAGACTGGAGAAGCGATCGCATATCTACGAGGCGCAAGACGAGAATTGGGGCTGGCCCCTCTAGAGCAGGATGCTAGTAAACGTAAAGGATGGAAAGGAATCAAACAGACTTTTGCCGAAAAACGAGAAGATCGGAAAGTTGAGAAGGGCTCTGATGACTGGGGCCTGGATGCAGGTAAACTTGAGGAGGCGAGGGTGTTAGAGTGGTTGGAAATAAAATGGGTGAAGTTGAACGATACGGTGAGTGGCTGCTACTCATCTCCAGTTCTTCTTTCTCGCAGGTGGAATAAGCAATGCTGACGCGAGCGAACACAGATCAACACCCAACTTATTCCTCCGAGTGAGCCACTCATGGCAGCGATGCCTTCGGGTCGCGAATATCATACGCCAAAACCCTTCTCGCCGCCTTCTCTGGATGCATCTCTGTTGGCTCGTCTACGGACACCGATTGATCACAATCAAAACGCCTTCATAGGCGACGAAGAGGATAGTGGCGATGAGGCAGTATCTAGGGAGCCAGCAGTCGTACCCGGAGCTTTCCCTGGTGCCGCAGTAGCCGGGAATAGTGCAAATGCTTATTACTAGAGGTGTCAAAGCATACGTATACCCACGGAACCGAGAGACTTATGGACACGGAGAACGTACCATCTGGCAACAACGAATACCTACATCCGAGCTCAGAGTGGAAGATGAACGTGCAGCTCACAGCAAATTTCGACTTGCACATGCTATGTCTTCTTCGAAGCTGCATAGCACCGACGACAGTGAGACAAAGTGTGAGATGTTTTTAGCACAACATGAGCGAACCATGAAAGCGCGAAAGAAGAAGAATCATGGACGATGGAAGGATCGATCATCCTTTATCGCAACCACTACCCCGCATGATAGGCCAACCTCAAGCAAGATAAGAGCACCAGATCACCAACTCCTTATCTCCCCAGCTGTCAGACAGTCGTAACGGAATATTTTCCGTTCTGCCTATCTTTCTAGCTGTTGCTTGTACGCCGAGCTGATTGGCCATCAAGAGCTCCATCGTCGCATGTATATGCCCAATACAATGTAGTACAAGCCGACAGACTTCAAGCCTCGTTCGTGCTCTTATCAGAAACATGTCTACTTCCACGTTCTCGGCTCGAGGCAGAGAGATATCTCTGACAGACATCCCAACCCTCGGCCTTGACCATCCAGCCCTCTCTACTCTTAGACGATCGACTAGCCTATCAGAATGACACGACGCACCTCATCGACGCGCAAAAGCGTGGGCCAAGAACCTGTCACATCGATACTGCCTGCAGGCGACATACCTTACGACCCCAAACATTCTTGGAACCAGGATGAAGAGACTCTAGCAGCTTTGGGCTACAAGCCGGAGTTCAAGCGAGAGTTCAATCTCTGGACGACCTTCTGTGTGAGTTTCGCAGTGTTGGGTCTTTTGCCTAGTTTTGCCAGTACGCTGTACTATGGTATGGGATATGCTGGAACTGCTGGTGAGTACTCTCGTCCTCTCCCCCTAATCGAAGGATAACTAGAGGAGAATGATTATTGATGGTGAAGCATAGGTATGACTTGGGGCTGGCTAGTCGCCATGATAGGTATCCAATCTGTCGCCGCGTCTATGGCAGAACTCTGCTCGTCGATGCCAACATCCGGCGGCTTGTACTATGCCAGTTCGGTCCTCGCACCACCTGGCTGGGGGCCTCTCGCTGCATGGATTACAGGCTGGTCCAACTGGTTGGGTCAGGTCACCGGCGCTCCCTCAGTGAACTACGGTACCGCTGCTATGACTTTGGCTGCAGCTTCCATCGTCAATCCTTCCTTCACACCGCAAAACTATCAAGTCTACCTTCTGACGGTATTGCTTATGGTCATCCATGCCTGTATGGCTAGTTTGCCGACTAAGACCATTGCAAGGGTCAACAGTTTTGGAAGCTCGTTCAATATCGTGGCTTTGATTGTGGTGTTGATCCTCATCCCTGCAGGCACGAACAGGCAAGAGAAGGATCTACCAAGGTTTACGCCCAGTAAGGAGGTTTGGGGTGATATCTATGCGGGCACGGATTTCCCTGCTGGCGTCAGTATCCTGATGAGTTTTATTGGTGTGATCTGGACGATGAGTGGGTATGTTTTTGACTTGTCATAATGGAGGTCCCAAGAGGAAGTTCACTGACTCTACGATAGCTACGACTCACCCTTTCATCTAGCAGAAGAATGCAGCAATGCCGCCATCGCCTCCCCGCGCGCAATCTTCCTCACCTCAGCCGTTGGCGGCACCTTTGGCTGGTTCCTCCAACTCGTCGTCGCCTACACTGTCGTCTCCATCCCCGACGCCTTGGAGTCAGACCTCGGCCAACCGTTTGCCGCCTACCTCGTCCAAGTCCTGCCTCAGAAAATCGTGCTGGCTGTTCTTTCCCTCACCATCATTGCTGGCTTTTTCATGGGACAGGGCTGCATGATTGCCGCCTCGAGAGTCACTTTTGCGTACGCCAGAGATGATTGTTTCCCCTTCAGCAAGATCTGGAAACAGGTTAACCAGAGGACTAAGACGCCTGTCAATGCGGTGTGGTTTAACACTTCCGTGGGGTGTCTTATGCTGCTGCTTATCTTTGGTGGACCTCTCGCTGCTGGAGCCATGTTTTCTATTGGCGCGATCGCTGCTTTTGTGGCGTTCACCACTCCCATCTTCATCCGCGTGTTTTTCGTGGGCAACCGTTTCCGTCCTGGCCCATGGAATCTTGGAAAGCTGTCGATTCCTGTCGGTATGATTGCGTCGGCTTTTGTCATTCTCATGGTGCCGATTTTGTGTTTCCCTGCTGTGGTTGGAGCCAATCTTACAGCGAAAAGCATGAATTGGACTTGTGTGGTTTATGGAGGACCGATGTGCATGATTATGATTTGGTGGGCTGTCAGCGCGAGGAAATGGTTCAAGGGGCCTAAGGTTAATGTTCAACATTTGATGTTGGGGAGGGATGTTGAGGGTGCTGATGTTTTGGTTGGGGAGGATATTGGTGGTGCAGAGACTGAGGAGAGAGGGGTTGTTGTTGATGGAAAGGCTGCCGAGGCTGGTAAGGATGGAGGGTACTAGTTTTTTCGCATTGGGGAGTCTCATGATGGAGGATCGTTGTACAACAATCAAGGAGATTAACAACAAAACCTTACAGTGTCTGCATTTGTTCCGCGATATAATTCTTCAGTCTTCTCTGCATGACACTCTGGACAACCGGTAAGACGAGGAGCACATCTGTGTCACCTTTAGCGAACGACATCGATGCTCCACAGCAAGATCTCATGGAAGAACGTTTGACGAGGGGATTCAAGTCGAGGAATCGATCAGGTCTGTGTATCCCCACCTAGTTACTGCCTTGCGTCGTCAAAAGCCTGAAAATGCCAATCGAGGATAAGAGTATAGATGTCAAGATCATGGACCACTCACTGTCCCTTGTTTTTCCCTCTCTTTACGCCCTTTTAATCTATGACAAGCCCACACAACACATCCGACCATCCTGGCAGTTTGTGCTTGTTCCATAATTCCACGAGAGAAACATGAAGCAATCATAGGAGCTTCTAGGTGTCAAAATGCCGTATGAGTGCGTCGCAAACATAACGTAGCAATATTACAAGAAACAGTCAAGCGAGAGTCTTGATTGGAGAGTATCCTGTGATGGCAGGAGCTTCGTGAAGATCAGACTCGTACTACCCAATGATTCAAGCATCAGGCCTACAGCTTGGATCCGCTTCCATCGTAATGCAGCATCCGGAAGGTGCAGGATGGAACGTTGACGTGGTAGCTATCTATGTCGCTTGACCTCACTTATATGCAGCGAAGGACTTTTGCTGTGGACCTGCCACGGCTCAAGCACACCAGCCCACCATCCCCCGTTTCAAGTGCACACGACAATATGGCTCAAACCACACATGCGAGTATAAACGGCATAGGCGAGTATCTTGCTCATGGAGCAACCGGAATTGTCGAACGACAAGAAGAAGTCGTCCTCAAACGGCCGTATCCAAACAACGATGATTCACTGCAAGAACTTGAGATTGAGGCACGCATCTACCGGCATCTTGGTCCGCACCCCAGGATAGTGCCATTCTTGTCATGGGACAGCGAACCGCCTATACTCAGGATCGAACACATGAAGAAGGGTAATCTGAATTCATACATCACCTCTCACCAGTGCTCCATCGAAGAGAAAAATCGTTGGGTCAAGCAGGCAGCTGACGCGATCGAGGTATCACCACACCATAGAATCAAAAAGCCTTGTCAAAGCTGACATATCACACAGTTTCTGCACAGCAAGGGGGTGATTCACTGCGACATCAAACCTGACAATCTCCTGCTGGACGACAACCTGGATCTCAAGGTCTGTGACTTCGCCGGCTCCTCATTGCAAGGTTCAAAGGCTCTCGTCGGTAGTGCCACACGTTACTGGCGTCCGACACCGCTCAGAGCTCCGTGCGATGCTCGAGACGATATCTTCGGGCTCGGGTCTACGATATACATGATCGTGACTGGCACAGAACCATTTGAGAAACTGGAGAGCGACGAGGTGGAGGCCCGATTCTCAGCGGCGAAGTTTCCAGACACCGGAGATCTACTGTTTGGTGAGGTGATGCAAGCTTGTTGGGGAGGTCACCGCTCGATTGAAGAGGTGTGTGATTTGATCGAGAAGGGCACTCGGGAGATGCAAAAGCTCGACTAGCCATGGGATCGTCACGGAGAAAGCTTGGCTTGAGCCATTGATCAGTTCAAGCATCTTGTTCGCAATGCACAATGAACTCTCCGTTCCAATGCGGACTTTTCACATTCTTCGTCACTCGTGACAGCTGAACATTGATGTAAGGATCAAGTGTAAGATATGACTGCTAATGCACACTGATATAGACTCTATAAACCAAAATGCCTATCATAACTCTCATTATGACTGCAAAACAACGCTTCAATTCAGAGTCGAACATACACACCAAACTCAAGCGGCGCTGATAGTCACAGAGACCTGAATATCCCCCTGATCAACGCAGGGTCTAGGGCCCGTTGATAGAGGTCAGATGGATTTATGAGGTAGAACTTACGAGAAACTTTGAATGAAAGCTTCCGGTCGTAGAGCACGTGCCGATGATATCAGAATATGATGTGGACATCAATACTAAATCACTTCACAAAGGTAGAAATTGAGACTCCGTTAATTTGCAATAGACACATAGCATTGAAAATGACCTATCTAGTGCACCATGCTCTTACCAATCTCCGACTCCCAGTTTTCAGCACGCTCGAAGCCGTTGGTGTAGCCTTGGTAGTCGGCCATTGCCTTGTAGATGCCCTCTGTGCTGGTCTGAACGAAAGGACCGTATTGGATGATCTGAACAAAGCGTTAGACGGATAAAAAGTTTGGGAGGATACAGGACAACTTACAGGTTGGTTCAGGGGCATACCGGCGACCAAGATAAATCTGCTCTCCTTGTCCGCTGACTCAGGGACACTGGCAACGATAGCATCGCCCTCTTGCTCAAGAACAGCATTGTGATACTGAGGAATCGTTCGCGAAGTCGACCCAGAGGACAGGTTGATGCTGCTGCTGAGAGTGTAGATGAAGGCATTCCACTTGTGCGGCAAAGGAGTGTTGAAAGTGCCACCAGGCTGCACTCTGACATCCAACAACCACACCGGTGTATATGCCAACTCTTGCAACGAATCTACTCCATATGCGCGACCAGAAATAACCTTGACCTCAACTTTTCCATCCTCAGACTTTGCGACAGGGATCTCAGCGGCGCGCAAGTCGCGATAGCGGGGTTCGCAGTCTTTGAGTTGGGCGGGGAGGTCGACCCATAGTTGCATACCGATATTGGCACTGCCGTCGGGGTTCTGGGCGGGCATCTCGGCGTGCACAATGCCTCTGCCTGCCGTCATGAATTGGAGGTCACCAGCGTGAATGGTGCCTTTGTTGCCAGCGAAGTCTTCGTGGTCGACGGCGCCGCTGAGGAGGTATGTGATTGTTTCCTGGCCGCGGTGGGGGTGGTCTGGGAAGCCTGCGCCGGGAGCGATAGTGAAGTGGTCCTGTCGGGTCATGTTAGTCGTCTTGATTGCGTTGTAGGACATCAAGGAGGCAACATACCAGCATAAGGAAGGGGGTAAAGTTTTTCAACTCTCTTGTGCCGACAGACCTCCTGACTCTTGCGCCTGCTCCCTCGGCTTGATCGATTGCCTCGAACACTTTGCGGATCTTGCGGGGAGTGGTGGTCGTGGCGGTCAAAGAGGGGTCATTAGGAGGGATCACTGGGAGACCCTTGAATGTCGACTGGGCAGGTGCCATTGTGGTGTTTGTTGTTGCTTGGAAGGTGGTATTGTTTGTAGCGGTCGTGATGAGACTCTTCGAACTCAGGTATGGTAGGATATATTGTCGTTGGTGGTATGCGACAGCTGCAATGCAGATTAAGATGGAGATGAGCAGTCTCATGAAAGCGACGCACGCGTTTTAAATGGGACAAGAAGGCTAAGGAAGCGACGATGGAACATGTAACACTTTGGGTTCGGAAGAGAGAGGAAACGACTTAGTCTGTATTTGTCTTGATTACCTTGCTATGTTGCATGACCGAGGGGTGTGCAGCTCTGACAAAGCCGACGTTTCTCGCTGGCCGAAAGTTGATGCTGAGGAAATCTAGGCTAATTATGATTAATTGTAAGCTCGCCACCAACTGCCCGCATGTGTCGAATGCTCTCTTTGCCTAGAATCGATCGCGCTATATCTCACTATCTATCACCAAACACTAGAGTTCATCAGTACCACCATGATGAGTAACGATAAGCTTGTAAAACACTGCTGATAGAGAGTCTGGTATTACTCAAGGCTTGGGCGGACGCATATAGACCGAAATTCAGCCGGCTTATACCGCCATCATCTATTCGGTCCTGGGAACTCTTGTGTATTGTTACAGTTGTACGCGTTACGAACTTTCACATACGGGGAAGGTGGGGTTGAGAAGCGTCTTTAGCAATCACAAGCCATCCAAAAGTCTTCATGCATACCTTAGCGAAGATCAGCTTATGTGCACATATATGTGCACGCACGCTCAGGAGGCAAAAGTAACATATCAAAGCCAAGCTTTAGAATCCAAACAGGCGTATCAACGTCTATTAGATCCTGACCACAACCGCTCCATCGGCATCGACCCACTGACTCTCCACTCGCTTCAGTCTAGCTTGACTAGCAACATAGCAAAGCAACCAAACATGTCCCACGACCTCTCCCCAGCAAAAGACCTTGACTATGCCCAACTCGTGCTCTTTGTCTCCATCCTCCTCGCCTTCGTTCCCGGTCGCATCGTTCTCACGCAAACACCAGATTCCCCATCCACTGACTCCGCTCCCAATGTTCGATTGCAAGAAGACCCAAAACTTGATCTGAATTCTTGGACTCCAGCTACGAGTGTCGAATTGCCAATACCCTCTTTCGCTTTGGCGAAGAGCTCGGTGGGGGAAAGGTTTGTACTTTCCTTGCAGCTCTTCGCTGTCCCAAAATTGACTTTTCAGCTGTGGTGTGATATGTGAGATAAACGTATCTGAGCCAGTAGGTGGTGGCGGAGGATGTATCTGCGTGGGTAGGGACTTGAAGATTTCCTTTTCTTGGGTGTTCGCTTTTGACTTTGGAGTTGACAAGGAAGCGAACTTGCGCCTCTTTACCCCGATTGTCGATTCTGGGACCCGCGATGAGGGGAGAGGACGCTTTTCGATGAGGGACGGATGCGTGGGGGTCATGTAATCAACCGCAGTCTCTGACATGGCTCTCTCTATAATGGCAGAGCTCGGTTCAGAGGCTGAAGAAGTGGGTAGCCATTGACCAGGCTTTGACAGAGCTGCAGCACTCTTCAGTACACCGCTCTCTACAGCGGAGGACGAAGCAAGCATCGCCTTGATCGGAAGATGATTCGGTCTTGGTTGGAACAAGTCTATCTTTGAGCTTGGTGAGGATGACGCTTCAGCGGGCTTCTCTCTGGAGTTTGTACTCTGGACGAAAGGCGTGCCATGAGCATCTGGACTGGACGAGAATCGTGATTCGAAGGACGTTGGCGGAAGCTGGTTGAGAAGATCTGGTCGTGATGGAGGAGGGACTGCCATGTCGCCCGCGCCAACAGAAGGTGTTCCCTGAGCTTCTGGACTCGAGGAGAATCTACTTTCGAAGGATGTTGGCAGTACTTGATTCAAATCTTGCCGTCTCAGCATTGGTGAGTCAGTAGAATCATCAACTCCGCCTGGCTGAGTTCCGTGTGCCTGCGGTTCAGAGGAGAAGCGTGACTCGAAAGACGATCGTGTGACTTCAGATATGGTATCTTCATGCCTTCTAAAGCCCAAAGCGACGCCACCAAAACCATTACCGGGAATTCTCTCTCGAGCTTGAGAGCTCGAAGGGCCTCGAAGCTCGAGATCAGAGGTGAAAGAACGCCTTGCGAGCTCTAACTGCTGCTGTTGCTGCTTAGAAATCACCATGCGGTTCAGAGAAGCGGAAGAAGTTTCGCTTTGTCCTAGTGGTGTCCCAGATTGAGTTGACTTGACGTGGGCAGACATGTTTGCTCTTGGAGACTCGGTAGACTGCGTCTGCTTCAAAGGCGATGACCCTATGGCGCGTCGTTTTCCTGATGATCTGACCCCCTTCAGCGGCGACTCCTCATAGATGATGCCATTCCACGGTTGAGGCGCACTGCCTCTAGGCAAACTCCCCCAAGCAGAACTTGTTGGCGCGTCGTCCTGATCACTGCGTATGGGATCAGAATTGATGTCGCTGATTGAGTACGTGCTCGGCAGTTGCGATGGAATGTCATCGCTCGGTGATGAGAAGTCGTCCTGGGGTAAAGGCAAATTTGAGGTTCGCAGTGTCGACACTCGCCGCACAGGCGTTTCGGCAGAATACACAGTGGAGAGCCCATCAAGATAGCTTGGTGATTCTTGTTCGTCAGACTGCAAGTTCCTCGATGGGGTCGGTACATATTGAACCCGTCGTCGAGAGCCTGTCCTCCCAAGAGACCGATGTGACGGCGGGTTTGTGGCCTGCGTAGCCGATGTGACCAGCAGAGTGGAGTCGTCTGGTGGCAGAGTAAGGGAAACTCGAGGTGGTAAGGATGAATCGATAGGTAATGGAAGGACAGAATCGTCGATGCTTTGATCCAAATCACTCTCCTGAATGCTTTGATCATCTGGTTGTTGTGATGGTGCAAATAGCTGAGAGTCCAAGGCCGTCCATGCGTCTTGGGTATTGCTCAGAAAAACTGGAGGTTCTTCATGGTCCACTGAGACCGAGGAAGGTACAGCTGCAGGTATTCTTGTTTCAGAATCGGTTTGGCTCTTGTGAATGGGTACTATGCTAGAAGGCTCAAAAGACAAATAGGCATTTGCCTGACGCTTGAATCTCTCGTCATCCTTTCGAGAGCTGGGAGCTGAAGCATGCGCAAGCAGCTCCATCAACAGTACTGATATGTGAAGCGGCAATCCCAAGGTCCATAGTCCAGAATGATTTGTCCAAGAATACGGGCTGTGTCGCCCTGTCCAAAAGATGGCACTGCCGGATAGGTAAAGTGACGGCTTGAAGTGGTCGGGAAAGCGATAGGCACGTGAAAGGCAACGCAGACGACGTTTGGAACAAAGAAAATCGCCAGCCGCGGGGATGCCGCTAACCGAAAAGGGAGCAGCTTTGGAAATGATGTCAACGGCCACTTTTGAAGGCGGCGCAAAGACGACTTGAACCACTTTCCTCGACACCTGAGTCTCCTAAACTTAACATCAGCTTTGTATACACGATACAACATGCGCGCAGCACTGTCAACACTCAGCCGCAACAGCGCGACTCTCGCCCTGCGCAGGCCTTTACACGCCTCAACACCACTACCCAACCACACTATCACACCCACCACCGCCCGCACAATCTCGACAACTGTTCCACGTCGCGAAGCTCCCAACGTCACAGCTCGCGACACTCTCCTTCCGCAAACCCACTACGACTTCTTCCCCTCGCTAGGCTCCGACGCTCTCCCACCAAAAGGTCCCTTCACCCTCGACCTCTCTCTTCTACGCAAAGAATTCCTCCAACTACAAGCAAAAGCACATCCCGATCTCGCTCCTCAAGAAAAGAAACGTCAAGCCGAAGCACTGAGCGCGCGTATCAATGAGGCCTACAAGACACTCCAGAACCCGTTACTCCGGGCACAGTATCTATTGGAGATGAGAGGAGTTGACGTGGCGGGTGACGAAACGGCAAAGGTCGAGGATCCTGAGTTGCTGATGGAGGTCTTGGAGACGAGGGAGGTAATTGAGGAGGCCGCTTCTGAGGAAGAGTTGCAGCCATTGAGGGAGTTGAACGAGAGGAGGATTGCTGCTAGTGTGGGTGTGCTGGAAGATGCATTCCAGAAGGATGATACCGCGGCTGCAAAGGAGGAGGCTGTCAAGTTGAGGTATTGGATCAACATTCGGGAGACTGTTGATGCTTTCGAGCCCGGCAAGCCTGTGGTCATGATCCACTAAACACTCAACATGATCGAGTCATTACATAGAACAATTGATACCCCTCTCACTCTACTGCGAGCAGAAATTTCCAAGGATGCAAGATAGATGTTTCATTCCCAAACCAGCAGTCAGTATAATGCTTTGCTTTCCCCAACTGATGCAACCAAAAAGCCGGCATGAAAAGGCCGACCCAAACATGACACTGGCATGCATTCTCTCAGACACTTAATGCATAGGCAAGCTCTCCGGTCCGAAGCTCATGGGCAGAAGCTGCTCCAGCGTGAGCACCGTAGACTTTCCATCCTTGTCATACATCAAAATGGGCATCGAAGGCTAAGATTTCACATCACGTCAGCTCGAAACTTCCGAGAGCGTCCTCTTCGCTGTTTACACTCAACCATCTCCACTTCTCAGACTTACCTCGCAGAATTCCCGGATATACTGTCTGCACATGCCACAGGGACTTGCTGGGGGAGAAATATCTGTGGCAACAGCAAGAGCGCGAATGTCTCCTCGTCGTGCGCCTTCCACTACAGCAGTGCCCAGGGCGGTGCGCTCGGCGCAGGTGCCTACAGGGTAGGCTGCGTTCTCGACATTTGCGCCGCGGATAACTTGGCCTGACTTCAAGAGCAGGGAGGCACCGACTCTGAACTTGGAGTAAGGGCCTGTAAGAGAGTCAGTATCAGAGCGTGGCCCTCAGCAAAAGTATTTGGCAATCATGAATAGTCTTTCGTGAGACGGGAATGGGATCATGGGAATAAAACGGGCAGAACATGTGATTTCGCATTTGAGGATTCTCAAAGAAACCGGTGTATATGATATCAAAGAGATGATTATTCCACGACTTACAGTAAGCTCTCTCCTTGGCTTCAATGCAAGCCTCGGACAAAGCCTGGACCTCCGAGGTCGAAAGACCGTGAATCAGCGCAGTGTCATGGCGCGAGTGTTGAGGCTTGCTAGGAACAGATGGAGCAGACATCTCGGAAGAAAGGGAAGAGAGGGAAGGGAGAGGAAGAGGAGGAGCGTGGGATACGATGCAGTCTAGGCGGAGCGGACAAGGGCGAACCAGGCCAGCGGTGAACTCCGCTTGCGTACAGATTTATCTTGGCGGTGTAAGTCTTAGGTCACCTTCAAGAATATGCTCGGTTGACATCTGTCACCATCACCTTCCAACATCAATTCATCATGATTCTCTTCGAGCTTCCGGTCCGCTCTATACATACATCATCTAGCGCGGTCTTTAAGATTTGGATCAGATGTATCTCCACCGATTCTGAATTTGTCCGCCCCCCGGGGCCAATGAGTACCTGGTCCAAAGATGAAATCAATGCCTGGAGACGACGGAGATACGCCAACGACATCACTTACCGCGAAAAGAATATCGAACGCTCGACGAATTACGGCAGAAGACCAGATGTCATTCGGGCTCGGAAAGAGCTGTATGTTGAGCGGTATGCTAACGATCCTGCGTATCGCCTACGGCTGTTACAAAGCAACGCGAAATGGAAAGCTGGAAATCAAGAAGCTCTCTCTCTATACAAGAAGGAACGCTATAAGAACGACCCTGATTATCGAGCCGCTCTGAAGGAAGATTATGCGAGGTGGCGTGCAAAGCCCGAGAATCGGAAATCTGAGGCCAAACGTGAAAACGAGCGCTACCAAAACGACTTGGACTTTCGAGAACGTAAAAAGGAATATAATAGGGAAAGATATTAGAAGCTGAAGTTTGGACTTGCTACTTCTGGATGACACAAAACTCAAGACAAATCAGACTCTTCAGACAAATCGGATGGACCAGACGCCAAGTCTTGACCTTGACACGACATGCGGTCTTGTTGAACTACAAAGCAGGGTGGGCTCCTGGAGCCGAGTCTACTGTCTTTGATGATGCTTGAATAAGATGGGTGAGACTGAACATCTCACTTGACATGACATAATCCCATTCGAATAAAATGGATCAGCCGCCCTCTATGGTAATCAAGAAGAACGGCTCCAGGGTAACAATATCACTGTGATAGCTTGCAAATACCATGGGAGAAACTGAAATTGGATCCGGAAGCACATCAAACCACTAAAACACAACCAAGTCGAGTTCAAAGACCAAACCCCCTGCCTCCGCACTGTACTGTATAGCTTCTCAACTCCAGGATCTTTCCTTAGTTGCTCTCTGTACTCGCCTGTCATGGAGCACTCCACGGTCCGATGGGGTGCGGTGCGAACGAGTCGATCTTCGTTTCATCGATCCCTCTAGAAAATTTGTTTTGGTTGGAAGATGACGTACTATTGCCAGGATGTGATACTCATTGGACATGCCTCAAAGGTAGCGATGCATTCTGCTACATCTTGTTCCTCTTTTATAGCAATTTGTCCCAGCTTTTCGTCAAAGGCTAGGAGAGGAAGGCTGGATCTTGTCTGTCTTGGCAAACCCTCTGGTAGGAACATCGCTTGCGGATCGGCCACGAAGTCTTTGTGGAAGCTCTGGAGAGTTGTAGTCGATCAAGACGTAGGGAACGATGGAGCAATGTGTTATACCCGTCAATGATCTTGGTGCCTGGTAGTCGGGCGTGTACGTCATGCTCTAACGACAAAGATGGCACTACAAGAGTTGCGATGTAGGTTGTAACGCACATTACAAAGCGACGTTCGCGTAACTGGCATTGGGTGTGCAAAAGGATCAAGTCTTCTCCAAGTCTCGAATGCGCCTTCTCCTGCATACTCATCTAAATGGGTACGGTAAGAGGATTCATCACCGAAGCACCTCCATCAACCACCATATTAGCACCAGTAATATAACTACTGAAACCACTCGCCAAGAAACCAGCAACTCTCGCAACCTCCTTTGCCGTACCCGACCTCTCCAACCCCACAATCTTCCTCCTGACCTCTTCAGTTTGCAAATCAGCAGGCGGCAACTGATTGCTCATCCCCCTCATATCCATACCCTGCAAACTGACACCTACATCAATTTGACCAGGGCTGATAGCATTGATCCTGACATTACTGCCCTTGAGCACTGCAACACCTGCATGCACAACTCCCAAAGCAGCGTGCGAAGACATGGTAAACGCAGGACCCCAGCACCCGCCATAAGTGCTAGCGACCGAGGACACCACGATAATACTTCCATACGCCACATCCTTAGGCGCAGCATTAGGATAATTGCCCTTTGGTGTCGTCTTTGCCATAGCAGGAGGTGCGTATTTCAGCGCGAAAAAGGGCGCCATGCTGTTTGTCTCGAATGTCTTGTACAGATCTTGCGGTGCGGTCTGGGTGATAGATGCAGGACCCAGTAGACCAGAGGAAGTGACAAAGACGTCGAGTCTGCCCCAAGAGTTTAGGACGTCGTCGATGAGGGTGAGTGTGTCTTCTTCCTTGAGGCCGTAGGGGTAGCCGATTACTTTTGTGTTGGGCCAGAGGGCGTTGACTTCGTCGGCGAGGGATTGATCGTGGTTGGCGGAGAGGTCGGAGCAGGCGTAGATGCAGGCGGCGCCGTGGGCTGTTGTCACCGTGTTAGTCTTGCTCATCGCTGCAGTTACGTGGTAGAAGGAGAGGTTACCGGCTAGTTCGTGGACGATAGCCTTGCCAATTGCTTGTGTTGTGCCCGTCACAATACACACAAAGCCGTACTGTCGCAAGTCAGTCAACCTGTCTCTTATCACCTGTCAAGCCCAAGTCATACCAGCTTGCCATCAGCTCTATACGGCGAAAAATGCTGACTCTCATCCCCCTCAAGAATATTGTTGGTGCTCATCTTGAGTCGTTGTCGCGTTGTCTTGTCGCCAAGTCAATGTCTGAGAAAGAGTTTGCAAGTAACATCTTGTGAAGAGACGTTATCTGTGTTTCCTATGCCTTTGTGGCTCGTTGAGCTTAATCCAATGCCCCGTCGCATGCAGGTTGGTTGTTTATTCAAGCTTCAACGTCATGCGCCATTGCTGTTCCGTGGAGATAGCGGGTTGTTGCTGATAAGCATGCGGTTTTTACAGAATTGATGCGTATATTGTAGCATGCTGACCGAAGAGTTATCGACGACAGCTGATAGGCACTTGAACTTCGACGACACCTCCCAACACTTGAGAGTCTGTCCGCGAAACAGCTCTTACAGCGGCGCATAGCGCAAACAATACACGCAAATGATGCAGAAGCATCTCAGTATATGGAGGCGAGTCGCTCCAGGTCTATCGGCCATCACGACGTCGAGACAGATCTCACTGCCCTTCTAGGATTGTGTACATATGCAGCTACATCTACTTGAGGTATGCGCTTGAATCTGTGCAAGTAAGCATTGGTAAGTAGATATACATCAGTAGCTAGGGAATTGACCATCGAAAAAAGAACATCGAGTATCACCTTGCACAAGAGAATAAAGTGTTTCAAATAGAGCACATCGAAGGTAAGGATAAGTCACGTTGCACAGAGGAATATGAAAGTCATCATGAAAAAAAAAATCGATTGCGGTTGTATCTAAGAAAGAGAAGGAAAGACTCCGAACGCCCACCTACCCCTTTTCCCAAGTCGCTATTTCGTGCTTGTTTTTGTGTTTTTCTTGTTTTCCTCTTTTTTTTTGTGATTTAGTTTTTGAGGCGTAATAGGATAAGGAAGAGGGGGAAGCAAAGAAAGACTTACTTGCAACGGACTGCCAGGCTTACCTGCACAGGGAAATCAGACTCAGTTGTAGTAGGATCCATCGCGGCGAACGAAGCGATCATTGCGGTACTGGAGAGCAGCGTGCTGGACGATGCCTGGGTGGTAAGTCTGCAGGTGGTCGTTGTACTGGTACAGACCACGGGGGCAATGGATACCACAGACAGGGCAGACAAATGGAGTTGGAGCCCTGTGGGCACGGGTCGCGTGGCTGACGTGCTCGACCTGTCTGGCAGTGGTGAAACCACAGTAGCAATGGAACCTTCCATCCACGCGACGACAGCTTGAGCTGTGTTCGAAGAGACGGTCCTGGTGATAGATGTTCTGGGCGGTGTTGGGGTGATCGCGACGGTAGCGGATTGGGAGATCGTCGGCGATTGCGCTGATGCGGCGTTGGCGGAGGTACATCAGGGGTACGTCGGCACTGGAGCGGCGGCGTCCGGTGCCACGTCTGGGAGAGGCCGAACGGTCATCACGACGGTCGATACTGCGAGTAACCTGCTGGGGCTGGTGTGAGTGGGTAGTTTGACTTGGCTGGTAGGATGACACGTACCGAACATTAGACGCAGGTTGGCCTGATGAGACGTAACGAACGCCCGCATGTTGACCCAGGGGAGCGTAAGCGACGCGACTTGGCTGTGCGGGCAAGCCGGGCTGATCGGGAGTGACCTCGTAGCTGTGGTAAGACATTGCGGGTTGCTTAGTCTCTGCGCGAAATTGGGTGTGGGTGGATGTTGGCAAATGTCTAAATCGAGAACATACATGGCATTTTATATAAAATGGTGGGCACGTTAATCGTAGCCTGTCTAAAAGTGTTGTCAAGACGCCAGACAAAGGTATTGTGAGAATGACAAAGCCTTGTGCAGAAGGCTGAAAGAACCATGCTGATATGTGAAAGCATGTGGTGTTGCGTGAAAGGTGCCATCAAAGCGAGAAGTCAATGACTGGCGTCGAACTAAGAGTCCCGATTTCACACACGAAGGCTGCAACCAGTGAACTTCAGACCAGCGAAACTACCCAAATCTCTTTAACTAGCAAGCGCGATCTGATCGTGACGTTATTCCAGAGGTATAGCTTCCCAAGATGCTAAACAAGCTCGAAGCTGCAGCCCACTAGTATCTCACGCATCGAGGGATTTTTTGCCGCCAACAGCATAAAACAACCCTCGACGATGATTTGCACAAGGACCGTCACGAAAGTCACATCATGTACAAACGACTGCCACGTGAACAAAACATAGTATTTCATGAATTGCTGCATCTCTTTCTCGATCTTCCGTCTAAAAACACAGAAAAGCAAACTCCTCTCCCATGCAATACTCATTGCTTCTTCCACTGTATCGAAAACTCCATTGCTCCTGATGCATTTCCTTGCGCTTTTTTATATGCATCGCTGAGAAAGGAGTAGAAAGAAAGAGCAGAGAAACGCCGTGTAGATGCTTCCTGTGATGGTATGCCTCTACCATAACCTTCGCTATGCATGTGGCAGACCCACGGTCTCTCCTAAAGTCATGAAATCAGCATATCCCATAAACGCCGTTCCTTGTGCATTGTTGTCCATCTGCGGTGAGACTTGCTGTTCGCCTTCGCTCAGTCGATAGTCGTCTTCGCGTCGATTCAACAGGGCTTCCAAGTCTGGATCCTATATTTCGTCCTCGAAGTCTGCAGCATCGCTTAGCGATTCATCGGAGACCAGGGGGTCGTTATCTGAGTCTGCGTTGGTCGTTAGCGTATGCAATGAAGAATTGGAGATCAAAATCTAAAACTCACCATCATCAATCTCAACGATATAGCTGTTCGGAGGTCCGTCCGAAGACGAACGTTCGTCTTGCCAGTCGCGGATTATGTCACGTAGCCCCTCATGGTTGCGCAGCAGAGTACCGATACAGTCGACCTCGCCGAACAGTTCTTGAACGGCGCTCTCAAGCTCAATAGCAACTTCGGTCTCTGGCGCTTCGCTCTTCAACCATTCTTCCAGCTCTGTCTCAAGTCTTGAAGAAACTTGACTCAAGTATGTGCCGCAGTCCTGGTATGCGTCGATAGAGTACTCATATAAGCTGGGTGCTTCGCCTTGCGTGACAGCTGGGTGAAGTCGATCACCGAGGCCAGTGAGTAGCTCCTTGATAGAGCATATCCTCGAATGGAGGCTCACTACTCCACCCTGGGTATAGGGCGTGGAGAGTGCAGTTTGCACTAACACATGGTTTCTCAACCAGTCCCTCGCGTCTTTCTCGACCTCTGATTCATCGCATAGCAAGAAGTGGAGAGACAGCGTGGCCAGATGACCGAACATCATCAGTGGACTGATTTTGTGAACTTCGCCCACGATCCAAAACAGATTTCCTAGCACCGACAAGTCTTCTCGCTTCGCCTTGGGAGAGCGCAGAATTCTCTCCATCTCCTGGAAAATGTCCTCTTCTGTAGTCGACTTCATCTTCCGCTCGACTAGACAAAGAGCAACAGACTCTGATATCGCATCCCAGTTGGTAGAGTGTTTCATGTTAACCACGAGCGCCCGAGCAGCATCGTCGTAGAGCTCGTGAGAAACTCCGTTGGCATTAGTGAGGAGAGCAACCAATCTGCTTGGAGGCCATTCTCGCCAGGGACTATTAAGTCAGTAAACTACTAAACTTACGCAACACAGTGTTGATGTGTACTTACATATTGTTTGGGGATTCAAACCCTTGCATGCATTGCTCTGCGATACAGTTGACCCCGAGTTTGGTACGTCTGCACAAGTAGTCGTACTCTTCATCAGTGAGCAACAACATAGTTGCATCTGTCCAACGCTCGTCATCATTGGGTGCAGTAAATCCACGGAGATCGAGGAAGTTGTGGAGCAGCCCGTATATGCAGTTAATGATCGACGCATAATTTGGCGCGCCAGAGATCCTTTCGATGTACCGCACAATCTCAGGACGTTTTTTCTGCAGCACTGTGTCTTCCTTGACAAAAAGAATTTCGAGACACCACAATAGAACACCCTTTTGAAGCAACACCGAAGTTTCCTCAGGACCGAGCTCAGCGATTTGACGTATGAGATCAAAATATTCCCACCAGGCTGCAGGTATCATGTCAAAAAGAAGACAGTGGAGGTCGAGCAGGCTCTGAATTGTGGGTACCATGAAATTTTCTTCGTCTTCTGTGTCGATGTATCTCGGATCATGCTCACGAAGGTATCTGAAGCATGCCATGATCAGACGATTGGTGGCGTGGCGTACTTTCCGCTTGGAGTGCATAACAATACTTTTGGGCTTGTCTTTTTCGTTCCTTCGAGGAAGTAGAGCTTCCAGCATCCATCTCGCAAAGTCCGTACGACGGCACGCCAGTTTCTGGAGCAGCAGTGACATGAAATCAATAGAATGTGGAGAGAACTCGTTGTCAAAGCTTGCCACGACGCGGATACAGTGACGCAATGACATCGACATGAGCTTAAATGTAACCCTGCTGCTTGTATCGGGATCAAGCGATTTGAGCGTATCTAGCCTTGCAGTGAGGCCGCGGACGAATTCCGTATGACGCGAGGAGAATAGATGAAGATTCAAGATCTTCTCCTCATTTTCCTTGGTGATCTCCATCTCGATGTCTTGAGGAAGACTGACTCTGGCCTGTGTTACATAAGGGAGCAATGATGTGCTCGGGGCAAGGCACTTTGCGGACTCGGATACCGAGGAGACGCGCTGATAGAACAATACATATGCATTGTCCTGTCGGAGATAGGGAGTTTGATCTCGTGAAAAGGATCCTGACGAAGTGAGCTTGAGCCCGCCTCGGGTCTCGCACAGGACTTCCTCGATACTAGAGATTCTAACATTTCTGTCTTCAAATCGAAACCAACGTAGAGGTCCCCCATCGCTACGTCCACGCTCGACAGCGTACGACCAGTAGTGGCCATATGCCAGAACTCCCGAATGGACGACCACACCCACGAGTTGGAAGACATCAGAATCGTTTGTGACCTCAACGCCCGCAAGGCGGTTGAGCTTGTACTTGCTCATGTCGATGCGTTCTGGGAAGTCGAACCGATCGTTGACCTTCTGACCTCCGTCATAGGTCTCATAGCGAAATCGTCTCAAGCCCAAGACAAAATTGTCGGGGATATGCTCGAAAGCAGTTCTCCGAACAGCGTCGACAGGAACACCCTCGCCAGAGCCACAAGTAGTGCATCTGAACCTATCACTTCCTTCAAGGATGGCTCCTTTGGTGTATTCCTCCAAACTCTCTTCGAGCGACGCCTTGTCTTTGACGACTAGAGACAAGTTGAAGTATTCGTCTGTGCTCTCGGAAACATGCTTGCAGCTGCCGATGGTTTGTGACTTATTGACACCCTGGAAGAATGTTTTCAGGGTATCCTTCGCTTCATCGTCTGGCATACTTTCTTCGAGCTGTCCGATCAAGGTCATGAAAAAGATGTGTGCGTCGTCCTGCGCATTAATGTCAATGTTCAGAGCTTTGACAAGATTTTCGGGCTGATAGAAAATGTCGTGACTGTCCTGCATTGAGGCAAAAGCCACTTTGAGCTCAGTGAGGACGGTCTGCTTCTTCGAGTCGAGCACAGGCGTGTCAAATATGAATCGCCGAAACTGCATGTTCATATAGAGCTGTTGAAGCAGAGAGTTGAAGTAGCAAGTCTGCCCCATGTTGGCGAGGCCTGCACAGTTGCCCTCTTGGCGGATGAATCTCTCAGAACCAGGAAAACTGATACTCTGGTCACTGGGGCAGTAACCAGTGACATTTTTGCAATCCTCGCAGAGGTCTTCCACTGTTCGGATATTGTCACACATCAAGAGAAGGAGGTCGTAGATGCTGTTGCGAGTTTCCACAGCAAGAACGGGCCTCAAATTCCTTCCGAGCTTGAGAACTGGGAAGAGCAGAGTTTGGAACAACTGTGAAGCAAGATTGTCCAGGTTCAGTGCCTTGTTTTGAACAACAAGTTTCTGAACGTAACAGAGGAGCAACGAAACCAAGCCAGAAACTCTCTTGTCAATAAAGCAATCTCCAAAGCGTTCTAGGTGCTCTAGTTCGAGAAGGGTCTTGGCGAACCGATCGATTGAGCTCCTCAAAAGCCCTTCGTTGCTTGCCAGGCTCTGATCAGCAGCGATTGCCATAGAACTGACGAAGAATGTATTGTCGCAAATCAATGGCTGTTCCAGGCCAGCTTGTATCAAATGATCCAAAGAAAGCCGGGAAAAGAAGGCTTTGATCTCGGGGGAAGCTCTGTCATCTTGGATAGCGTTGGCAATGACTCTTGGAATAGTAGCTCGAAGATGATCATTCGTGGTGAGAAGAAGTTGAAGATGGATCGGTACAGTGGCATCCGCAGCGACGAAGGCGGAACACACAGAATGGCTCAAAAGGACGCTTTCCACCAGGCATTGATACAGCGCTCTTATTGTGAATTGCTGATAGCTATCACGACCGCCCAACACAGTTTCGTCTGATAAGTGTCGGATATAACAGAGTACTTGTTGGGTGAACTTGGGAGCGTCTTTGAAGTACTCTCCAGCCACGTCGTGAACGGGCCTTTCTTTGAGCAAGTCGAGCAGGGTCTCTGCTGCGCGACAGATGTTCGCAGGCTCTTGCAGTGTATCGGTTCGGTACAGCAGCTCGACCAGTAGATGAACTGATCGGAGCAAGAACCTCTCATCAGCGACGCCGAGCGCAATCTGTTCCTTCAACTGGAGAAATATGACCTCGATCGACGCTCGCAACCGCAGGGGTAGACCTGGAGGGAAAATCTGTTCGGAAGGTGTTTCAGGAGCAGTAATCATGGCTCTGACAGGACCAGGGAACTTGAGCCGTTCAAGTATCTGCAGCACAAATTGTGCTTTTCTGCTTGTTTCATCAAGAGTGCCGTATAAAACGTCGAGATGAGACACTATCTCTTCCTCGAAGACCGATCTTTCTGCGCTCTCATTGATTTCTTCCTGGATGCCCGCAAATGTGCTGCGTTTTTGTACCATGAGAACCTTACCGTCTCCGAGGCCAAATTGTTTGATCGACTGTCCTGGCTCATCAGCGAAGTTGATTTTTTGGCCCGCTGAGACAACAGTGTAACTCGCGAATCCAGTCTCTGAAGCGATAGCAGCATCCAGCTCTGAGCAATTTGCTGACTCGTTGATTGTGACCATACCATTCTGCGGCTGTCTGTTGCCTTTGTGAATACGAATTGGAATCTGGATATGGTTTTGAACAAGTCTGGGTTCTGTCTGCGAGCTACGGCCAGATATTGACATGCCTGATTGCTCAACGGTGGCACAGAACTGGTTCGACTCAACTAGCATGTGTAACAAGATCTCCGCGGCTCTGGTGCCAGATATCTCTTGTTGAACAATCTTCGGGATGAGTTTTTTGACGACCGATATCTGATGGGCTACGGCCAAGTCAGGATGTTTGATAGCCTTGCCCCTGAAGAGCCTTTCCATGAGAAGCACTACAAATCCCTTGGCAAATTCTTCTGATGGTACTGCAAGCGCGAATCTGATCAATTCCTCATCAAGAGGCAAAAGTACGGTTTCTTCCGACTCAAAATGTGCGTACTGGGATCTGAAGAAGTTGACAGTCTCGATAGTCGCTGACCCAGGCGAGATTTGCGGAAGGTACTTTTTGATTAGTCGACGGTTGAAAGCTTCAAGACCAGGCTTGTTGGCTTGGAAACATTGTGTGAAGAATTTCCATCCCATCTTCCGCAGCACCGGCGTTGAGGCGTCTTCGCCCAAGACATGCTGCCAGAGTATCTTCTCCGAATCCGCTGTGTCATCGGTCGGGCTCGAGATTGAAAGGACCTGGGTCATGAGGTCTAGACGGCACCACAATGCATTGAGAGCAAGCAGTTTAGTATCATTCTTTGCTCTTTCGCAAGCTTCCATCAGTTCTTGTACACATTGTTGGAACGTCAAGCGCCCAAAGACTTCATGTGGCTGGACATGAAAGTTCTTCTGTTTGAGGATACAAGCCAATGCCTGCACATAGCCGGTGGCGTCCTTTGACATCGAAGCAATAGGACCCGTACAGAGCTCGATCAGGCGGATCGTCTCCTTAGAGCTGCGTGGAGAGAGGATTTTTATAAGCAGGTCTGCAAAGACAGCCAGAAGTGAATCTTGCTTGGCAGAAGAGATGTCTGGGTCTTCGATCTTGCTCAACAAGCTTACACAGCTGTAGATTGACTCATACTCACCATCGGTCGAGGTTCTGAGAAACTCGGCCATAAGAGTATGAAGGAGTTGTTCTGCATCCTTGGTGAATCGTGACAGCGGGAGGACTCTGAATTTGTTGCAGAAGTATTCATTGGTGAAGGACGGCATAAACTGTGAAGCAATCTTGAGCATTTCCATGGCGCTTTGTGCATCATCGGGTTGTTGAGAATTGAAAGACAAAGCCCAGATCGTATCGGCGTCGTGTGTGGTGAGCGTGCCTGTAACGGCCATGAACGCAACGATTGCTGGAATTCTTCCGATCAGCGTAGCATGCGATTGAGGTCCTAACAGATATCCGGTGACGTTTCTTGCGAGAAGGAATTTGGCTGTGTAATCTTCCAAGAGTTGACGGTAGCCTGCTTCCAGCTTTCGCGTGTTCACGTGAATATCCCAGGCCAACTGTCCTATCTCAGCTGCGGCACGGTTGCGCAGGTCCACACTGCTGCTTCGAGTGAGAGCGTTGTAGAACTCCAACGAGCACGCGGTAAGAGCTACCTCTAGAAGATCTTCTCTGTTCAAGTGGGCCGTGAGGCGATCGTCGATCTCAAGATTGCCGATGACAGAGGTGATCGTAACTCTGGGTGGGCCAAGCAGTTCTTCTTTCGGGATTCGATATGTCACAACATCTTCCAAAATCATACTGTACACAGTACTCGCGGAAATTTTGTTTGTGTGGTATAGAGCACGTAGCATTTCCAAGAGGTATTTATGGAATAGCTCAATGACGCGTTGTGAGCTCACGTCCAGATGTTGCTTGGGTAAAGTATGAATCGTCATGGTATAGACGTGCTCGAAGACTTTGGTCAGCTTTGTGTAATACGTTGTAAGCCAGCGGTTAGTAGTGTTGGAATAAGCAATCAGCACGCTGAAGCAGAGATTCACGTAAGGGAATGCTGTAGCGAAAGGCGACTTGATGTTCTCCGACCTGGAGGTGATGTGTCCAAGGAGTGTGACGATAGCATCCATAGCATCTTCCTGGAAGCGCTCAACGGACGACTTCATGGTGGACGTGACGTTGAAGCGATAGGCTGCCGACATTGGTTCCAGGAATTCCTTCGGGTGAAGAACCATGTTCATGTAAGTCTGAGGCCACAGGGGAAATTGCAAAGAGTGCTTTGGAGAGCCGGTGGAGGTGGGAGAGCTTGTCGAATCCCTGCGAGCGATGCTCTGTTTCAAAATGGCTACGTCGGTGTGCAGAAGTCTCTCACCCAGTCTTAGTAAAACATCGAGAAGACCGACGAAAAAGGCGTATGCCATGCTCGAGGGAAACGATATGTCGATGATGAGAGAGCTAGAAAGGGTTAGATGTTGTGATGTGAGCTTAGAGGGAGAAGACTGGAACTTACGAGCGGCCGATCAGTCCTTGGAAGCAGGATAGTACATGGTTCCAGAAATCCTTGTGATCTGAATACATGTCGAACATGACGGACGACGTGGTATTTTGCTTCAATGCAGCTTCGAATTCATCGTCAGTGTCGCTGAGATGGCCCTTGAGCCAGGTTAAGAAGTGGTCCATATGGGACAACTTGAGAGCTTCGCGAGGTATTAGCATGGGTCAGCGTTTGAGTGGCCCTGAAACATACCAGTCTTTCCGCGGCAGTGCTCTGCGAACCTGGCAGCGGCACTCTCAGGAGTATCGCCTTCACACAAAAACGGAAAGCTACTAAGGTGTGTGCCGGCGGGTGACTCGTCGCCAGTCATGATGATGGAAATTTCGGATAGATCAGTTGACTGTTCTTGAGGGACTTCTAGGATAGTCGGACTTCCTGTGGTCGATGTGCTTTGATTATCGGATCGATGGGAAGAATCCCCGTTGGTGCGGGATGGAGAGTCGGGCTCGTCGCTCAGACGAGGTCGCTTGCGTGAGTGAGAAGAGTCGGCATCGGCGACGTGATCTCTGCCAGGTAGAGATGAAGGTGAAATTCTTTGGCTGGCAGAGTGGGCCGATGAGGCAGGTGAAGGGGCCATAATCACCGAGCTATGAATGCTGACCACGCGGCGTCATGAATCAGAGCTATAAATGTGTTTCGATTGCTGGGTGGCTGCAAGACGAGCAAAGCCGCATGTACCGAGCTTTGTGGTAGTGATGGTTCACTCGGACGTGAAAGACGTTGTGGCACGCTGGCGGGAGAAGGCTCCAACACGGGCAGCAAACGCCAAAATGCGGTCGGTAAAGACGCGTGGAAATAAGCTCACTGTGCCTTGAAAAGTCGGTGGAAAAGTCTTGCAAGTGGTCATAAGTCAGGTGGCGTTCTCAGAGGGTCTTTTTGCAACAATCAAGACAAATATGTGTGGGTGCGTTGCTGGTTTTGAATTCGAGCTCAGTGTGCACTTGCTGAGCAGACGCGACTTTCCAAAGTGGAAGTCACATCTACCTCATTGGCCCGCAACGCGGAAAGCATAGACGGAGTTCTGTCTGATCCCACCCGGCTATTCTTGCCGCCGAAGGAAGAAAGTCGCTTGCTCCGTCAAACATTCCATCGTCAATTGTTCACCATCATTCAACAGAGAATATTTCGCGACATGGCCAACTCCAAAGTCAAACCGGGTAGACCTGTGATCAAGGCTGATACGTCATTCAAGAGTCCATCGATGTCCGTATCTCTCTATGCATCTCGTACTCAACAGACTAAAACTGATGCACAACAGACCAGAGTTGAGCAAAGACAAGAATGAAGTTGTACTCGGCCTCTTGAGCAAGTAAGGCACTTGAAACACGTCCTTCTGAGACCGGTCTTGTTCATGTCATACAGTCTTCTGGAACCCATTGGACGACATCGAGCTGTGCATACTGTGAAATCTTTGGGTAAAAGTTCTAAGAAGCGCAAGAGGGTCTCTGAGCAGAAGACAAGCCCGGCTGTTGAGCCAAAGCCAGTGGAGCCAGAGATACTAAAATACTTGACTGTTGGTTTGAACACGACAAGCCGCCACCTGGAAACCGAAGCTGCTTTGTCTAAACCTGGAACACTTGCACCTGTGGACAAGGAGATTAAGGCGGGGCAAACACCCAGAAAACGATTGGCCGTCGTCTTCCTTCCAAAGCCAAAGGACAACCTGATGTACGCGCATCTACCTTTGTTGTGTTATACATCATCAGCAACTCAGAAGGACAAGACACAGCAGACTCGTCTGGTTCTCCTGGATCCTTCGTCTGAACGGACCATCGCTACAGCAATGAGTCTCCCTCGAGCTGGCGTAATCGGGGTGTTTGAGGACGCACCAGGCGCTGGACCTCTCTTAGAATATGTGAAAGAAAACGTGGATCCTGTCGAAATTCCCTGGCTGGGGAAAGCGCTATCTGGTCAGTGGATGGGCATGAATGTCGAAACACATATACCTGGTCAAGTCTGAAGGTCTCTGCCTGTGATCTTTACTCGCACATATCTTCCAGACAATCAAGAACGACAGTGATGGTAGGGAGATATCGACACACGTCAGAGAGAAAGGAAGAGAAGAGCAATTCCACCGTCTGGAGACCTTGGCTGCTCGTGGAGCTGACTTAGCACGCGTTGAGTCGCGTGTGGCCTTCCGACATTGGTCATTCGACGCACTGTATGACCCAAGCACAGGACAAACATGCACTGCCGTCGTTCATGATCTCTACGATGAGTCTCCTGCTCCTCTAGTACTTGTATATTCTCAAGACGTGCTTGGCGAAAGAAAATCATGAGGATAGAGGATGTTGGTCTGAGAAACAGAGACAAGGACCTTTTTCGTGTGCTTCTTCCGTGGCACTACCACAAATAGTTATCTACCACGTTCACGAGGCCATGGAGGCGGCATACGGCACTAGCTTCACAGTCGTACATGCACCTATTCGCTTAGGTGGTTCTATAGCATACCATCCAAGGAGATAGAGCTGATCGTATGCAGCCATGATACAAAATCTCATGGGAATGAGTCTCGACTTGAATCAATGCAAAAGACTCGAATGGTCTTTATCGTCCTACACAAGCTTTAATACAATTTGCATCCGCTGAAGAGTAGGAAGTCAAACGACGTGAGAAGCGAAAGTCAAAATGTGGGGGAATAGAACGAGCTTTGACCAACAATTGGTGGGACACTCGACCTGGGCCTCATGCGACAGCCCAACTGAACAAGTGGTGCAACAAGACCAGAATTACTCAACACAATGGCAGCAACATTAGCCTCGCTGCTGGGTCAGGCATCCATCACCGACCACGATCAAGTGCTCAGCGCATGCGAAACCGCCCTCTCCAAATCGAAGAACGACACGCAAGCGCTCCAGGTCAAAATTGTGGCTCTACTCAACTTGGACCGCTTCCCAGACGCCATTGCTACTGTAGAGGCTGGAGGAGAAGATATCAAGCAAAGAGCGCGTCTGGAATATGCCTATGCGCTGTACAAGAACGGACAGGCCGCAAAGGCCGCAGAAGTCGCCAGACAAGACGGCAATGAGTCGGACAGGGGATTGAGACATGTTGAAGCGCAGGCCGTATGTCGCCACAACGAGAATTGATGAGGGGAGCAGGAACTGACATGGGCGCAGAGCTACAGACACCAGGACTTTGAGCGGGCCGCCGAGCTATATCGCAAGCTTGCAGCACAAAGAGGAGCAGTCGACAACGAAGACATGGATCTACGCATCAACACGGGCGCCACATATGCACAACTCGAATGGGCTGGTCGCGCTTCTGCGGATGCACCGCAGAAGCCTGCAAGAGAAGACATGGAGGCTTTTGAGACTGCGTACAACGCTGCTTGCCAGAGCATTGCGCGCGACGAGCTGGGCCAGGCAGAGGTTCTGTTGAAGAGAGCAAAGGAGTTGTGCGAGTCCTCGGAGATGGACCAGGAAGAGAAAGATGCCGAGCTTGTGCCCATTTCCATCCAGCAGCTCTACGTCTTGATTCGTCAGGGCAGGCTGGAGGATGCGCAGGCTCTTGCTGCAACCATTGACTCCAGAGAGTGCGTCTCAGACATGCGTCAAACGTCGAAAATCAAGCGACTAATTCCTTTTGCAGTGTTCACGCCTTCCACGACTCGTCAACGCAGTTCGTTGCTCAGACAAACACAGCAGCCATTTCAACAGAAAGCACCAACCCCTACCTCACCCATCGCTCGCTTTACAAGACTCCCTCAACTATCCTTCCCGATAAGCCTTTCAGCTACCAAAGCGCCGCCATCCAACGAAACAACTACACCCTCGATCTGCTCGCCCACAAATACGACGGCATCATCAGATCAACCACAAACCTCGCTCAAACACCAACCCTCGACTCCGCCACTGTCTCTCTCTCTGCCTTTGGCGCCGCTGCTCACGCCCACAACCAAGCCGGAAAGGAAGCCCTGAAGTCTGTCTTGCCAGTCTTGGAACGCAGACCCAATGACATCGGTCTCCTGCTCGTGTGCATGCAACTCTATATCCACTCCTCCAACCCTGCCGCTGCAATTTCCCTACTCGAGAACTTCTTCACTCGCTTGGACTCGTCATCAGAAGCTTCGGCACAAGACGTCCGTTACGCGCCTGGTTTGATCGGTGCCTTGGTTTCTCTGTACACTTCCCGTGGTCAACAAAGCCATGCCCGCTCCGAACTCGCAAAAGCAGCAAGATACTGGCGTCAGCACTCCAACCCTCCAATTTCTTCACGAGCACTAGGACACATGTACAAATCCGCCGGTGCCGCACTACTCGAGAGCTCATTACCCGCCGATCAGCAACTCGCCGCTGAGCTATTCAACCACTTGCATGACAAGGACTCCTCAGACCGCTACGCCTCCGCTGGTCTGGTCGCCGCCCTCGCACGCGCAAACCCCTCTGCCATTGACGACGGAAAGCTCTCATCCTTGACCCCTCTCTCCCGCCTAATTTCCTCTGTCGACGTCTCCGCCCTCGAGCACGCCGGCATCCCCAAGTCCACCCCTGCTGCTCCCCTCACCACCAGCACAAAACGCGCTGCCCCCACCTCCACCCAAACTCCCAAATCCAAAAAGCTGAAGAAGAGCAAAACGCCAAAGGACTTTGACCCCGCCAAGAAAATGGATCCGGAGAGATGGTTGCCGATTAAAGATCGCAGTTCTTACCGCCCTAAAGGAAAGAAGGGGAAGGCTAGACAAGCTATGTTTATGCAGGGAGGTGCTGTTGCCGAGGACAGCGGTGCTGGGTCAGGGGCTTCGACGCCTGCTGCTCAGGTTGTAGAGGCCAAGAATGCGGCTAAGAAGGGTAAGAAGAAGGGCAAGGGTGGGAAGTGGTAGGCCTTGTGCGGTTGTCTGTCATCTAATGCCACTAGACAGCAGGTGTGCTGGCGGGGAAGGTATCAGTGAATACCGATCTTACATTTGTCTGTACAAAACAAAAGAGATTTACAACAAATGCTATTTATTTCTCCCTATGATTCTCCTTGCTCCTCGCCCATTTTCCCTAGGTTTATTTGCTGTTTGATTTCCTTCCAGCATGCTTGTCGATCTGGATATCCCTTTGCTGTTGCTTTTGATATGCATGTTTCCTTTTTCTGGTCCCGTGTGTTTGTAGTTTGCGGTTTCGATATCTTTCTGTATTGTGGTTTTCTTGCTCATTTGCTCTGGTTCATATCTCTTTGCCATCCTATCTGATCTGTTGTGTTGTTTCATAAGTCTGCATGTCCTCTTTGGTTCATGTATCTCTTTGCTGTATATCTAGGTTGCAGACTCTTTGCTATCCCGTGTTGCCTCTTGTAGTCTGTATATCATTTTCACGGTGATATCACTAGTCCTTGCATGATGGCCTCCCATCGAGTTTTGTTCTTTTGTCTCTAAAATACCCATAGCTTGTTGCATTGCAAGAGACAGCTGCTATATTGATCCTGGATGCCTTTTATCAGTCTCCTTGGAACGTTTCGAAGACGTAGGATCAGGAGAGATGATCATAGCATAACAGCCAGTGTTTGACCGCTGTCTGGAAAAGCAACAAATGTGACCATATGTGCATAGAAGTCTATGGCAGCCAAAAAAGTCTTGGCATCAAGATGTTCAGAAGGAAAGAATGCAAGAATTGTGTCATTCTTTGAGAACAAGAAAATGAAAAAAAAATGCTTGCATGGTATTTGAGATGATGAATTTTTCAGGGAAAAACAACAACTGGCAAAAGAAACACAGCTGCCAAAAGAGACCAATCGTCCCCCCGTCTGTAAAAGCGCCTGCACTGCCTGAAACTCTCCTATATTACACTTGGAACAAACTCCCTTTGCCTCTCTGAGAGTCTCTTAGTTCTTCTCGTAGTAGAAGTTCTCCTCGGGGATACGGCCACGGAGGTACTCGGGCTCGGAGCCACGGACGTAGATGTCCTCGAACAAAATCTTGGGGGTGGCGTCGGGAGCGGGCATGGCCTCGGCCTCCTTGACTTCGGCGTCGACGCTCTCGCGTGCTTGCTTGTCGATGGACTTGAGCTCCGACTCGGTGGCGACTTCCCAGTCCAGAATCTTTTGCTTGAGGCCGGCGATGGGGTCTTGGGTGCTGCGCATGCGTTGAATCTCCTCACGGGTCTGTGATGGAAAATGTCAGTAAGGGATGAGAAGAGAAGTGGGGGAAAGAGCGAAAACTTACGCGGTAGGTGGTACCGGGGTCGGACATGGAGTGACCTCCGTATCTGTAGGTGACGAACTCGTAGACCAGGGGACCGTTGCCCTCGGCGGCCCACTGCTTGCCGAATGCGACGGCTTGCTTGCAGGCAAGAACGTCCATACCGTTGATCTTGAGACCGGGGATGTACTGACCACGCTTGTAGTACTCGGTGATGGCAGACGAGCGGTTGGCGGCAGTACCCATACCGTACTTGTTGTCTGAGGAAACCACACAGTCAGTAATCCGAGACAGATGAGAAGTACAGGATCAAAAACTCACTCTCGCAAGCAAAGATGACGGGCAGGTTCCACAGTTTGGCCATGTTGTAAGCCTCAAAGACCTGACCCTGGTTGGAAGCACCATCACCGTAGAGGGAGATGGAAACGTTCTTCTTGCCCTGGTACTGGTCGGCGAAAGCAAGACCGGCACCGACGGGGACCTGAGCACCGACGATACCGTTGCCGCCGTAGAAGCCCTTGGCGAACATGTGCATGGAACCACCCTTTCCGTAGGCGATACCCTCTCTTCTGCCGAGCAGCTCGCCAATGATGGACTTGACGGTGGCACCGCGCATCATGGCGAAACCGTGGCAGCGGTAGGCGGTGATGACAGAGTCCTCCTTGGTGATACCGTGCTCGATACCGACTGCGACGGCCTCCTGACCGGTGGACAAGTGGCAGAAACCGCGGATCTTCTTCTCCTTGTACAGTCTGTCGGCGGCCATTTCCATGCGGCGCATGGCGACCATGTCGTAGTACATTTGCTTCAGCTCCTTCTTGGTGGTCTTGAGGGTGAATGAGGGAGGGTCGAGCTCGTAGGTCTCGAAGCTCTCGTCCGAGAGCTTGACCTCGAAGGGCTTGTCGTCCTCCTGTGTGGATCGTCAGTCATCTGGCCAATTGTTAAGTATAGACTCAGATGTCGCGTACGCTGGGGACATCATCCTTCTCGGCGTGGGCGCTGGCGGCGTCGGTGGTGACGGTTCTCAGCACTTGAGGAGCGACACGCGAGGGCTGCAAGGCAGCACGTCTGACCGACGAGGTGAAAGACCTCGGCGCAAATCTGGACAGCATGACTGGAGGGTTGTGAGGAGAAGAGGGTCGGGAGAGGGAGTGAGCGGACAACTTCTGGTCAAGTCGTCTGTTGGGACTTGGGGAGCTGCAACAATCCACGAAGTTTCTACCGGACTCCGATTTCTGTTCGCCCCGAGACTTGTTGGAGAACGCAACTTCCCTTGTCTTATCCACCGCCCGCCAAGCTCTTTTCTACCACCATTCTCTGTCAGCCTCAGAGCATCTTTACTCAAGGAGGACTTGTCGAGACATTTATTCTGACATTTCCACGCTTATTGCTTTCCTGCCTGTTGTTGCTGCCTCGTTGTATTCGGTCGCGATCCGGTGAATCTCATCTCGGAGATATGATGGCGCTGCATAACCACACCCGGAACGTTTGTTAGACTCCTACTCGGCCCGTACCCTGGGAGCCAAGCTTCAAGCCCGATAAACATTCGACTGCCCACCCCTTCTTATACCAATCATCAATCTCACTCACAGCAACAAGCAGAGTTAACATCCATCGAGCTACCTTTCTGTATAACAAGAGTATCATTGCAAGACTTTTCGTCTGTTACAGCTTGGATATGTCTATTGCGCCTGTGACATTCTTTCGTCCTGACTCGGGCATTGCTTCGCAGCTTCGTCCGTTCTATCTACAGTCTTCCCTCTTGTCTCCGGACTCGGGCTCCGCATCTTCATCTTGTGCCTCTATGTGTGGCCACGAGATCTTTGCATTAGTGACTTCACTCATCCGAGTCTCAACGCACACTCCCTGATCATCTCCCTCACCCTCGCATCATTCGGCAAGAACAACACCGCAACCTTCAACAGCCTTCTCGCCTCATACTTATCATCCATCTCTTTAAACGCAACCGCAGTCCTATAGTAAATCTTTCCCATCTCGGGCCCAGAAATCCACCCATTAGCTGCCTCTTGCTCTGGCTCTAAATGCTCTTGTCCTTGCCTCATGATACTGATCGTGCGCATCCCTATATGCACTGCTGTGTCCCAATCTTTGAGATTGATGTATGCGAGTAATGAGTTTGCTACCAGCCTCACTCGCAGTACAATGCGTACCATGCTGCCGTATTGACCTTCGAAAGGGTGGGAGAGTGTATACTCGAAAAAGCGTTCGCCGTGGACTTTGCGGTGTTTGCCTTTGATGATGATAAACAGTGCTTCCCAGGCTTTGCGGTAGTGTTCTAGTGCTTCTAGCGGTTGATTCGCCATCAGAGCTGCGTTTCCGGCATCTTTGTGGGTGTTGGCGAGGACGAGGCGTTCGGTGGGTGTGCCCAGAGGTATGGCCATTAATCGCTTCATCTCTGCGACCACCTCTGCGTCGGCACCAGGTGTGCCTGAAAGATCCACACTCTTCAGATTCTTGACTCTGCCGAAAGGAAGGAGCAACCTCTTCTGTAGAGACTTCTTCATCGTCTGCGGTGTAGGTGAAGTCGCATCCAAAGCAGACACAGCGAAAGGATCCCGCAGCGTCAACTCCAATGTCAAGTGCTCGTTCAAGTCTGGCGTGTCCGCCGCCGAATAATACCAACTCTCGCAGAACTTCTCCAGGCTATCCACATGTATCACAAATGTGTCTTCTCTTTCTACTTCCATAGCGGGAAGTCCGATCTTGACTTCCAAGGCATGTTCTGTGAAGTCCATTGCATGGTCGTCGGCAGTGACGATGGCGACTCCATCTTCGGCAACATGGTACTTGGATTCCGGGAATGGCGTTGTGATTTTGATGAACGTGTTTTGCTCGAGAAGGATGTGTCGGGCTTCGTGGTAGATCTGGCGAGATGTTTGGAGGAGCGAGGAGTGCGTGTAGGTGTAGGTGGTTTGTTCGTCGTTGGTGGTGTGTCGATTGGCTGATGGGGTGAGGAGGATGGTGTAGATGTGATCGCGTATTTCCCGTGGGAGATCCAGCAGATTCATCGTTATTATGTAGCGAGAGGACTGCTCTTCGATAATGAGAGATGGAAGAGGTGCAAGGAATACTATCCAAGTTTCGTAGATCTGTGTTGCTTGGTCATGTAGATCTCCCTGTGCCGAGGTCTTTCATAAATCTTGAAGGTCCGGGCAACCCTGCTTCGTACAAACTCTCATCCAGACTTCTTCGAACATGAACGACACAGTTCGTCTAGCACTATCGTTGTCCAGAAACCTTCGCCTAGACTAGTTTGTCAATGGCGGAGACAAGTGGTACAGATCACTCACCTTCCAGTAATCTTGAGGTATGTGACATGTGATGCTCCTTCATCATTCATAGCTAGCTTTTTAGAGGCCACAACTTGGACACATCGGCACGACTACAACACGGGACAAACATCATCAGGATATGAAAGAAATAGACTTGCCTGTCAACACTCGTCCTACGTGATAGGGCCGATGCAATCTACTCCTCTCTCGGCTCCTTGACGTGATTACACATCTTTGTACACAGCCTAAACAAGATCGCAGGCCGCAAACGTTCTCCCACTTCACGATCATGATAAGCCTCAATCGCTCCACGCTTCACCAAAGCATCCATCTCTTCCGCATCCACCCTCTCAAAGTCTTGAGCAACCGTAACAGCAGGGGCTGCACGTTCACACCTCTCAGCCAACTCATATAGCTGCTCCACCAACGGCGATGCCACGTCCACCACTTGCACACTCTCATCTCCCAACAGACCAAAGAGACCAGTTTTCGCAGCTCGTGCAAGGTCAAGGTGTACAACAACCACTCTGACAACCACCAGCCACTCGGGCAATAACCTCAGTGCCACCAAATCTTCCTTTCTGCGCGGCGATACGCTTGCCAGCCACGCAGATATAGATCCAACGTAGGCATCCGATCGCAGATGCGAATCATGGTCAGTCATGTGTTCCAGCATGAACGACGCTTTCCCACTCAACCTCTTTGCTTCCTCAGCCAAATCAGTCAAAGTCTCATCACCAGTACAGTGGCCATATAAAATCGCATACGACGGCGTCCAATTCACATGCGCAGAGTCGCGCAAAGTGTCTCGCCAATAGCCGCGATCGATGGTATTCTCAGAGCCCCATTTAGCTTCCTGCTCGTTCCAAGGGAGCTTGTAGTCTCGACGTTCGAGCACCGAAGTCCAAGAGCCTGATTCGAGGGCGATACTGCGCGATTCGCGACAGACGCGGGTGAGTAATGGCGGGCGACTATTGCTGACGTTGGTTGTGTAGAGTGAACAGGGAATGTCACCTGGATCCAAAATGTTGTAGACCTCGTAGCCGATGGGATCGTCAACCTCGCTGACCCTGTGTGGGAGGCACAAGCGCCATATCTCTCTGCGAAGCTCGATGGGCAGTAGCGGGAAGTTGTGGAAGGTGTCGTTTTCCATGTTCTCGGGTTCAGAGAGCGAGAAAGCCGAACAGTGATATGTGTCTTCCGTTGAGCTCGTGAGGATATGTGACGGGAACAGAAGAGTGTATATAGTCCTCGATCTAGGCAGCAGGGCTCATGTGTGTTTTGTGCTTGCCTTGCCTTAGTGAGTCACCTGTATAGGCGCTAGTGAAAGCCTGCAATCTATTCAGCTTGACCTGCTTTTTAACTGAACACTCTCATTACACTTGGTAGTTGTTTTGTTCCCGATGATCGAATAAGGGAAGGTTGTATACGATAGAAGAAGTAGAAGTTGCAAGGAATGACATCCATCTATGCAAAGGATATTCCACCTCATCGCTAAAAACGCAAACATCAAGAAAGTAAAGTCCCAGCCTCTATTCCAACCATTCTATAGTCTATATTTCATTTCTCTTCTCTTTCCGGTTTAATTGAACCTCTTCATCTCAAAGTCCTCGACAGAAGGATCTCCAGGATGCAACTGTGGTGGCCCATCAAGTCCGATGGAATGTCCGGCAGTATCGGCAGTATGACTTGTCCTAGGCCTCTCCTGACTCTTACGAACAACATTCGATTCGTTGGTCCGTGTTCGCCATGCAGCTCCCGACACCAGACCAGTGCGTGGGTCTATGGCAGCACTGTTTGCACCGCCAGGAGAATCCTCAGGAATGTCCGCCATTCCTTTCTCCATCATGGCTTGATCATCAATGGTGTTGCCACGGGCACGGCCAAAGAAACGGTTGCGGTGGTGAGGACGCGAAGTCGTGGAGGTATCCGTGGATCTGCGTGCGAGACGGCCAGGGCCGACATCTCGAGAGGTGGAGCGGCCAGTATCGGTAGATCTGTGGGTGTCGTTTGATTTTCTGTTGCGGTTGTCTGGCGATGGCGAGGTGACGCTGATGGGAAGGCGTGGTCTGCGCTCGTCGTCTTCGAATACGTCACCTGAGTAGTTGTTTGCTGCTTCTGCACTCATGCCCAGCGAAAAGTCGACACGCTTGCCCATCTGTGCGAGAGTCTCGTGGCGAGGACGAGCAAGAGAGCCCTGGCGGAGAATAGAGCCAGTACGTGCCCGGCCACCGATGGGGCCTTCGGAGGGAGTAACGAATGGTGGATCATGGTGTTCACCTTCCGACCAGCCAGTTGGGTTGTCGGGGTGACCATTGCGACCCATACCAGGAGTAGCCTGGTGAGGAATATTTTGCATATACACAGGGAAAGACTCCTTCTGACCGGGGAAGCGCATGCGAGGACCCTCGATACCGCATTCTTGCATGGTAACCATAAGGGCGCAGATGAACTTGTTTCTTCGTGCAAGACGAAGACCTTCGTTTTGCCAGTTGGACTTGTAGAAAAAGACAACGTTGAGAGTGAGAGAGTGTACTTCAGTGACGGACCGCAGTTCGGTTAGGATGTTGCCCTGGTATTCGCGGTTTTCTTGCTTGACAAAGTCGAGTAGACGGTTGCGCAGAGTCTCGATCTGTTCCAGAGTGGTGCCGAATTTGATGACGACTGGCACGGCTTCGGCGAGACCACCGGAACGACGCTGGTTGAGAATGAAAAGAGTGTTGAGGTAACTGTTGGGTGCCTGCACCACGTGTCCCTCCATCTTCTTGAACTCAGTGTAGAGTAATGCAATCTCCTTGACGAAGTAGTCATCACCAGTCAGAGTGGCGCCAGTGTTTCCGTAGATGGTAACACGATCGCCGACATCGAAGGGATGCTTCACGAAAACGAAAATGATGGACTGCAAGATTTCAGTTGCGGTTGCCGAGAAGAGCCAGGAAAGACCGAGGACAGTTGAACCAGCCGAAGTAAGAACACCAGCAGCGGAAGTCGAGATCAACGAGATGAAGACAAGGATGGTAATAACGGCAACAAGGAACATGAACATGTCATCGAGCTTGCCGACAACTGAGTCCAGATCCTTCAGGGAGGCAGTGATAGACTTGCGCTCACGACCGATCTCAACACAAACAGCTTCCAATTCTTCCATGGAAATGTCACCGTTCATGTCCTTATCGAACATGGAGAAAGCAGCTTCAGCTTCTTCATCGTTATCAAAGGCATTCTTCAGATCATCGTTGTAGACAGTTTCGGTCTCAGGTCTTGCAAAAGTACGATAAAGACGGCGTGCAAGGACTTGACTACCATTGGTGGAGCCCAAGAGTGTCAGTACAACTTGATGAGGGTGAGTGCTCCTTGCAACAGACTTTCCAGTGAAATCGCCTGCCATCTTGCCAGCAACATCACCGACCTTGTTGAAGATTTCCTTTGTCTGTTTCTGGGCTTCCTGAAGGTAACGACCAGGAGTGCGAGCACCAGAATCCACGCCAGAAGGTTGTTCAAATTCAGAATCCTCCATGGCAATCTTTGCTTTGGAGAAAGTGTAAAGCTTGACCAAGCTACCAATTTGGAATTTGTTCAGTTCGATACGATCGGCGTAGGTGCGCAAGTGGAAACTGATGGCGATGAGTTGAATGATGATCTTCTCGACAAAGTTGAGAATCATGCCGACAAAGAGAGCTACGAGGACCTTGTTCATGGTTCCCATCCATTTTTGTGTTGTTTTGGTACCACTGGCTTGGTGGTTCTTCATGGTCGGTAGGAAAGAGACCTCAACGCCAAGCCACCAGAAGAACAGCGTTGCAGGGAGTTCGAGTTGCTTGCCCATATCACGCCATTTTTTGCTGTTGTTTGTGAAGATGGTGGAAACAAGACCGATCGGGTAGGGAAGACACTTGGCGAGAAGTCTGCCAGCCCAAAGTGTGAGCCAAACAATCTCCAGCCAAATCATAAACCACATGAGTTCGACACCTCCAACCACAGCACTTGTTGCAGGACTAACAAACGCGCCGATCAACAGCGGGATGAGAAGGATCAAGACCACGGGTAGGATGTATGTGAGATAGCGGACCAAGAAACTCGAATGGTGAATTCTCTTGATCAACTTGGAGAACTTGCCGACCGGATCCTGCGGAGGCTTGTATAGTGCCGTTTGCTCGTGAATCGGGTTGGTCGCAACATCGAACTCGTCTATCATGTCGTCTCTTCTAGAACGCTGACGACCCATGTTTGAAGCTCCATCTCTGTTGGTTTCGGCGTCGTGTGATATTTGTCTTTCGATCTTGAGCAACGCCAGGTCATCATCAAGTCGGTTGGCCATCTCTCGGGACTGAGAAGGCGATGTCATGTCGTGCAGGCGAGGATGGTAGTGAGGGTCGTTGGCCGTATCGACTGTGAGGTGGCTGCCCATGCGGTGCACACGAGGGTCGATTGGTGGTGCTTCATGTTCCTCGTCGTGATATCGGTGGTCGCTGTGTACATCCCGGTGCTCGCTGTGGTTGCTGTGATCTCGGTGGTCGCCAACAACAGTTCCTTCTTCATCCGAAGATCGTTCGCCTGTGTGAGGGTGGCCAGTGTGGGGGTTGACATTGTATGAGGGTAGGTGATATGAGGGCATATGGTATGTAGGCTCCGGCCTTTCGTCCGCTGGTGTCGACATGGTGTATGCCTCTTGTTTGTTTGGACAAAGAGTTCCAAAGAATAGTGATAGATCCGGTCCAGGCAGTTAAAAGTTCGATGTTACAGATGACGTCTGTGGTTGTCGACTACTTTTAGCTTTGGTACGAAACGTGCGTCTACCACGCAATATTCGGCCGGATCGCGGAGAGCCTCCGACTCGGGTCAAGTTGAACGAGATATGGTAACGACTGAAGAGTAGCTCGAACAACGAGTGTAGGGTTTGTTCGAGTACGAAGGATGTATGGAGTATGAGAAGCAAGAGCAAGGGGAAAAAGAAATAGAAATTGGCGAGTGGTAAGCAGAGTCAGAATCGTTGGACTAATCAACACGATCAGCAGGAACAAGGAACACCTTTGCGAATTGACAATCAAAAAGATGTGCAGAAGTGCAGATATGAGACGAGGCCCGACCGAGCGATTGGCCATGGCAGCACACACAAGCTGTGCTCACTGCTCGCTGTCACTGCTCTGAATGGGTGTGCTGAAAAGCATTGGGACTGCCAAGTCAGCCATCTTGCATCATCTTCAACCGCCAGGTGGAACCTCTAATCCCCTGGTGCGCGTTCTTCTTGTCGTGTTGTTTTGATCTTGAGAGAATCTTTTCTGTTTCCGGCACTGTCTGCGAATGGGGAAGATGGCAGCGCGATCGAAACCTCCCGTCCAAGGGTTCGCGTCCAGAACAAAAGCAATAAAATGAATGCTGCGCCTTCTGCTTTGCGATGCTATTCGTGGAGAGCACTTGTTTTCTCGTTGATTGATACTGGAGTACACTCCTCCTCACAGGTTCTTCCATTCTCGTACCTTGCATATTCACATGCCGATTGAGCCTCTCAACGGAAAACGAAAAACGCCCAACTCCTGTCCACCGCACGTTTCAGCCTCTTGCGGCATGTAGAGAGCCTGGCAAGTTGCAGCAAACTGTCGGTGACCCTTTTTTGCTTGGTCGCGCGTTTCTTTGGTGGCGTTTTCTTTTCGCACCGCGGCTGTGCGAGAGAGGCTCCACTTCCCTGCAGTTGAGAGAGAGTGTTTTCGGCTGCAGAGAGATCCGTTCCACGCTTCAGGGACTCGTCTTGGTGCCGCGCGCCCCGTGGAGCGCCGAACAGTGTTGATCGTCGGGCTTGCCGACTTGTGCTGCAGAGGTGTCGCGGATCGATGTGTGTTTGTGGAGGGTTTATGCACAGTTACTGCTTTACACAATTCAGAACCATCGACGTGCTGACTTGCTGCAGTCCGATAACCGTCCCATGTCGCTCTGTCACTGTCTTACTGCAGTATACGTATCATCCTCAACACGAAAACACTCTCCCGATTCTCCGAGAAGCATATAAACAAATATTATGTTCTAGACACATCGACGACCAGGGGAGGCATCTTGGACTCGATGTTGGCCTGAGTTTCCAGTCTCGATGCTTGCGTGTCTCGCAGCTCAGGCTTGTTTTGACGCTCTGTTCATATTATTGTATATAAATATCGCTAATCTTCTGTATCACAAACAGCGATCGCCGCTATAGCGTTCTTGTGGTGCAGATGAGAGTGGGGTGCTTCGAGACCGCAGACGAAGGATTTTGGGAAGGTCATATCAGTAAGATTAATTGGATGGACGATCACTCGGTCTCGTATTGATATCGAGGAGCTATCTCTACATATGTAAAGGTATGTGACATATGTAGCTATGGAAATGCACAAAGGTCTCAAGCGGGAGGGTAGTGTTCACAGAAGGTCCTGAGTTCATAATATCTCGATATATACTGTCCCATCTCTCGAAACTACTGTGCACCTCTATAGTGTCTACGTATTGCAATCTCAGCAGGGGAGATGGGAGATCATAGGCTAGTCTCCTACTTTCTTTCTTTCTCCTCCCTGCTATTGCGAAAGCTTAGCACGCTATGAAAATACACAAAAAATTGGAAGAGATGAGAAGCATCCGCTAGAAATTATTCAGTCTATCTCTTGAACCTATTGTGCATTTCTATAGCTGCCACATGCTGTATCTTGACATGCTTCAGAGATGTACACATGTCAATTGTCACATGTCAGGGACATCCACCAAGGCACGAAAGAGTGATTGTCTAAAGGGAATAGAAGCGATTGGTTGAAGTGAACAGAAGATGACCTGCATTTCTGTTCCTGCATTTTGTAATATTTATCTGCGTGTCTTGTCGTAGAAAAAGCAAAGAAGCTAAAAAGGACAAAACATCTAGGGTATCTCGTGATACATAAGCACATTTCGGGTCTGACCAAGCAAAAAAGACCCCCTCCCTTTGCTGTTGCTGAGCGATAGTGCTTCCCATGATAAAAACGCCGATGCTGATGATGTTGATAGTGATCTTCCTCTGCCGTCCGCCCAGAAAGAAAAGCCGAAAATGCCATCATTGCGATAAGAGAGAAAGAAAAAGCAAAGGAAATCGTCGTTGTGGTGAGTGAAAGCCTGGTATACTGGCCATGCATTCACTTGAGAGGTCCAAACACGAGCTCCGAGTCCAGGAAGGCCTGGCTGTCGGTTACAAAGCCCATGTCTAAAAGCAAGGGTACAATCAGCATGTTTCTTATGTGAAGGTAGTGAGGGAGCAGACGAAAGGCGAAAAGCCATCTGATGGCTCTTGACCTGTCATCTGGTCCTCGTGTTACGTACTGGTAGCAATGTTGTAGTCACAGACTGCTTGGGCGTTGAGTCCAGTCATAGTGGCAGCGCAGTCGCCAATGAGGATGCAGTCCCTGTAGAGCTTCATGTTAGCAACGAAGTCTTCGTTGAGCGCTTAGACCAGCCAACGTACCATCCCCAGTTGTATGCATCAGTGACAGTGCCCAGCAGGCACTGGTCGGTGTTGACACCAGCGAACAGCAACGTCTTCTTTCCGCTTTCGCGAAGCCACTTGTTCATGGGCAAGTCCGGGTTCCACATGCCGCTCATACGGGCCTTGTCGAAGCGGACGTCTTCTGGCGTCATGACCTTTTTCAGAGGCTCGTAGATGTCGGCATTCCAGGTGCCGCTGAAGAGGCAGCGCTCGGTGTTGCCCTTGTCATCCTTGACGTTGGCGCCCAAGCCCACGTGCCAACCGTGACCCTTGTCCTGAGCCAAGTTTCTGTTGAAACCTCTTGTAACAGCTGCGGGCATGACCTTGAGGTCGTAGTCGGAGATTCCCCAGTTCAGCCAGCAGCGCTGGATTCCGAGATCCTTGCACTTGTCGATGACCTTCAGCATAGGGTCAATGGTGGCGATACCCTCGCTGTGGTCGTGGTACATGGGGTGGACGAAGAAGTTCTGCATGTCGATTATGACAAGAACGGTCGAGGCGGGGTCGATGGCACATCCACTGAGAGCATAGCGAGTTAGCGGTGTTGTCCAGGAGGGGTGGCGGGATGGAGGACTCTAGGGCGGTGCGTCAATACCGGTGGTTGCGGATTCCATCGTCGGCGTCGATGATGAGCTTGCGCTTGGAGCCACGAGAAAGGTCGAAGCGCTTAGAAGGGATGTGGTAGAACCATTGGTCGTCTCCGCCAAAGGCGACGTGTTCCTCGAGGTTGTGTTCGACGGGCGGATCGTTGATGGTGTGAGCAAGCTCGTTGATTTGTTCGACTTCGATTGCGCTTGGTGCCATGTAGTCGGCCGAGGGTGGGCCGTCGGGAGAGAGTAGGAAGGGAATGGTGAAGGTTGTTTGGTGGTCGCGTGTGGGTGTCGAGGTGTGAAGTGCTGAGGTGTGGGTGAATTGGAGAATCGGCAAGGGAGAGTGTTGTAGTGAAGGAGAGATGGTGACGAGCGATGATAAGAAACAAAAAGATAAGCCAAAGCTCGTCCCGCACCAAAACGTCCAGGTGCCAGCCGGTGAAAAAGTCAAGAGAAAGCCAAGCAGTCGTCGGAAATCACCAAAGGGCAAACTCGGAGCGAAGAGATCTGGGTCGCAGTGGGGAAAGGAGAGAGAATTGGAGTGAGAGAGAGAATGATTATTCAGAAACACCGCGCACGCGAGCAGCTCTTCTATCCTATCCAAACACTCACCAGGCACCTTGAGTCCTGTCTCTCAGCCTCCCGATCCAAGACGAGACATTGTTTGCTGTCTGATCGACCCATGACGGTGTCTCAGTCAGTCTCTACGCCTTGTGCCGCGGCGCAAGGCAAAGAGGCGACAGGGATGCTGCAGAGAAGCTCAAAGAACGATATTATCAATGAGTCGTCGTCGTTGCCCGCCACTTTATCGCTGCCTTGAGCGTGTCAGTTCGCAGAATGTGGGGAAGCTGCTTTTTTTTCTGAAGGGTCTGGCCTTCTGGCTGCCTGCTTGTTCCGATGCTCCGACGTGACACCTAGTACTGCAGAAAGGTTACAAGGCGGACATTCCGCTTTGCATGGTAAAAGCAAACTGCACCGCAAGTTCTCTGTCATGTGTGGTGACAGTTTTGTGTTATACAGATATATCAAGCAGGGTCGTCCTCACTGCTATCTTATCTCTGATCCCTTATCTTGCACCAAGTCTAGTGTTACAACAGAGTTCAGGTCAAATGAGATAAGAAGAGATGAACGAGATGACACGATAGTAAGCAAGAAGCAAAAGTAGAGAATTGAGTAGACAAGACATGCCCATCTGTAGAAAAAAGACCTTTATCGTGACAAAACAACCAAAAAGCACACAAGAAGGCGGGTTTTCTCGAAATGAAACCTCCATCAATTTTTGTTACAAATCGCCATCTTTTACAAAACCTCTCCGATAATCTTGGCAGCCTCCTTGTAGGTAGAAAGCAACTTCTCGCACTTTTCGCGCTCGTTCTTGATGGCGTCGTCCTCGTACAAGAGCTCTCCAAACAGATCCTCCTTATACAGCTCGCTGACCAGCCTGTTCTGAACAACATCCTTGGAGTGGTTGACGAGCAGGTGCATGACTGCTTTGGGAACTTGATCTGCAATGGTCTCTCGTACGATGTTGAAATATGATGATATCAGACGGCGAATCAACTCGGTTTCCAGAGCTTCCCGCTCGGTAAGTGCAGGGCCTTCGTCAGCTAGCGGCTGTATACAACTGTCAGATATGCTTTGTGGAGATGGTGACGATAGACTTACGTAGCCATTGTCGGCATCCTCTGCGTCGTACTCGCCAGGCACGGAGATGTGGGATGACATTGGTCGTTCGGGAAGTTTGGTATCGCCTCTGCGAATGCTGCCAGCGAAACTGGGCTCGATGTTTGCACTGACATGTCTGCTACCAGCGGGAAGGTGCGAGGAAGCCATGGAGTTGCCAGGAAGACCGTTCGACGGTGGTAGACCACCATCCTTGCCGAAGAAGTAGTTGAGGAAACTGTCCTTAGCAGTGCCTCCTGATCCTGCGAAGCTGGGTGGTGAGCCTGCCCTTGCGCCGTTCACACCACCCATACCAGCGCGACCAACAGCAGGTGACATGCTACGGCTGGCCTTGCTCAGATGGCTGCGGATTGGAAGGGTTGCTGCTTTGCCGCCAGCAGCAGCGTCGTTCTCATGATCGTCTTCGGGCTCACCAGCACCATTAGCACCGTTTAGAGCCTTCAGGCGTTTCTCTTCCTTCTTTCTCTTCTCTTCTGCAGCTACCAGCGCCTTCTCCTTCTCTTGCTTGTCGTTGATGACAGAGTTCATAGCAGCTGCTGCGCCTAGGAAGTTGGGGTGGTTGGTGTTGATGTATGCGCGTTGTATGGAGATCAGCGACTCGACGTAGTGCGAGCAAGGACCCAGTCTCTCTCTGAGCAAGTCCGAGACAACTTCGATCAGCTTCGCTTGTAGGCGAGGATATCTCGACAACTCGTATGAACCGCAGCTGTGACAGATCTTGATCAACTCCTCGTAAACCAGCTCAACACAACGCTGACTGGGGATCTCGAGCAGCTTGATTTGAGGCTTTACCAGGAGATCAAAGGCGAGCTCAGGGACGAACAGACTGGGTCGGGGGCCGGTGGAGTTGCGGATAGCAGTGCGAATATCAAGAACAGAAAGATTGGTCGTTGGGTCAATGGTTTCCAGAGAGTTGCCGAAGACAGAGTTGAAGATGTAGTAAATCCTGGCACCACCGCAAAGCTCCTTGGTTGAGATCTCGGAAGACGTACCGTCGATGGACGAAGTGAAAGAGGTAGCAAAACGAGTCATGAGCTGCAAGACCAGCGAGCCGCGGTGTTCCTTGCCGGCGAATGCGACATCTCCGTAGCTGGCCAACTCTTGTTGAGTCTGGCCCATCAAAGTGTTCAGACGAGCCTTGATATCGGGCAAGCGCTCACGAATATGACCCATCAAGGTGGTGTTCAAGCTCTTTGCGAGGTATTGGGTACCACAGCGGGTGGCCATGTTGCGGTAGGCGGGGTGTGTGCGGAAGAAATCTCTCTCGGCAGAGAGGGCATCGGAGAGCGACTTGTTGCCCTGAATGTCTTGCTGCGAACGGTTGACGACTCCGATGAAGCCCAGCTTCAGGGGGTATACGCGCCCAGAGAGAATGTCCATGGCGTTTGTTCCGTGATCCATCAAGTCCAGCTTTGTCAAGACACCAATGGTGCGTCTTCCCATAGGATCGACATGGCGGGCCAGCTTGAGGGCCTCGGAGTTGACAAGATCGACGTTTGCAGGAGAGACGGCGAGAATGATGCTGTTGGGCTTTGCAATGTACTCTGTGATCAGGTTGCGGGTCTGCTTCTCAATATCGCCGGGTTGATCGCCAATAGGGACCTTGGGTTATCGTCAGTTGAAGTCTACCGACAGCAGCGCACGAAGACAGACCTTTGTGAGACCAGGCAAATCGACCAAGGTCAGACTAAGAACATGAGGCGAGTAGATCTTGAGGTTGATGGGTTGACGGTTGATGCCCTTGTTGTTTCCAGCAATTCTGGCCGTCTCGTTCTCAATCTCCCTCTTGACCTCACCAAAGTCGTAGAAGCGACGACCGGGAATGTGATTGAACTCTCCCCATTCGTCCTGACCAGCGACAGAGGCCGGGGTGTGTGGCACGTGGATCTCATCGCCCTCGGGTCTGTCGGCATTGCTGGGGACGTTGATGAGTTGCAGAATGAGAGGACGACGAGTTACGATGCCGCTTCCTCTTGGGAGAAAGTCGCGACCGACAATGTTCTCCAGTACCGACGACTTTCCTGACGATTGTGAACCTACAACAACCTGTTCCTGTCAGCTGCATGTACCGAGGTTTGGAGCAGTGTGCATACGATCTGGGGCAAGTCCAGCGAGTCATTTCCGATAGTATTGAAGACAAGGTCCTGAAGCTTGTTGACGACCCCGAGTAAGTCTTCACCAAGCGAGGCCATGATGGGCGTGTCGGTCTGTGTTGTTGTGCTGGATGAGGTGGCCTTGAGATGCGAGAAAGCTTGTTTGTGCTGCCAGCCGAGTCGTCTTTTGGATGCGGCGACGACAAAACTTGTCCGACGTCCAAACTTGAGGTGGGACCGAGGGTGACCGGCTAAAAGATGTACGAGCGATCGAGGTGTTCGGAAGAGCGATACGTTTCCGAGTCGAAGGGGCCTGTTTTCGCGACTCTGTACTTGTTCAGAAGCCAAACCAACTTCTCTGCTCCACCCTCCGTCACCGTTCTTGGCGCCTCCGACAGTGCAAGCTGAACCGACCTCTCCGCCGTCGGCCTACCCAAATCCACCAACCTTCGTCCCCTATCCTCCCCTTTACGATAACCGAAGCCATCAAGATGCATAGTTCTTCCAAATCGGTACTCGACCCTACGGAGAGACGATGGGATACTTTCTCAGCGGTTGCTGCCTATCTTTTTAGGAATCTCTACATCTCTACTGCTATCGGGGTGGCAGACCTTTACATACAAGGAGAGCTACAAGTAGGTAACAATCACAAAGATTGTAAAGTGTTGACGTTCACATGCCAGATAATCACATGTGATAAAGATGGTCGGTACTGCTCGAATTCTGTGATCCGTAAGTGTTGCGTTCTAGCATATAGGCTATTGCTATTTCTCGTACTCTGCCTACCCATTCATGACTGCACCACTTGTCATATCCGTCTCAATCATGTACATCTGGGACTGATGAAGGCGAGTTCCAACGTAGGCCTCGTTCATCCACCCTGCACAAGTCATTAAGCAATAGCTCGCACACCCCTTTCAAGAGCTTTGCAGTTCATGTTGCCTGCTCGATGTAGATCCGGCTCCAACACTGTTACTAGACGCACGAGTACTCACGAGAGAACAAGCTGTGCCGGTCCGGCCAAGGTCCCAGTTGTCGTAAGCTCGCGATAGGTCAAGTCACCAGATGAAGCAGTCAGAGCAGCATACACAACGCCACTCAGTCCCTCCGGTAATTGTGCAGTACCCTCCCCTTGCCCTGTTGTCTGCAATTGTTGGTAAATTGGATCGCTGGCATTGGCGTGCACTATGGCGAGGTAAAGATCTTGTCCAGCGGTTCCAGCGGGCACCGAAAAGTTGTTGGCGTTGGGACTCCAACTAAAATCAAGAGTGCTGCCTGACATGCCGTTGAAGGTGAGCGGAGGTAGGAGATCGATGGACAGCGCCTGCGGACAGGACGTGGTATATTTCTGCGCCAGATTGTATGCCCAGACGGAGCTCAGTGGCACATCGAGGTTGGTAGGGAAGGGAGAAGCTCCCATTCCGTTCCTGACAATAGCATCGTGGCGAGCTTCGACCGAGAGTATAGAGGCAGCTAAGGCCTGAAGCTCTGGAGAAAAGTCGTTCAAGCTGCCGAGATAGTACCCGAGACTGATGGATGTAATCTGATTTGCGAGGACAAGGGCCGTAGGTGTGTCGTACGAGAGGGCATAGTTGCAAGCTTGATGGGCAGATATGCCGCTCGCCTCAAGTGTCGACGAGATGTAGCTTGTCTGATTCTGTTGTTGCTAGGGCGCGATGCCAGTTATTGGAATGATGGACATCTTGATCAAGGCTCACTTCTGCGATAGCACATATGTCTTGCTGAAAGGTGGAAGGAAAGCCAGCAGCAAGCCATTGTACATCAGTGATACCCTCACATCCACCAGTGTACAGACTCAGTTCCAGGTTCTCGAGATAGCTGGCCAGTTGCATGCCGATGATGTCGTTTTGGGAGAGCGCGCGTCTTTGGATGGGACTCGAGGTAGCGTAGCTCAGGGTCAAAGACAAATGCAGGAGGATCGATGAAAACATGCTGGATATGAGAATTGGATGTGGGATGTGATGCAATTGTGTTGATGGATGGGGAGCAAGAAATTTGGTAAAGGCGCTTGGAAGTGTATGGGGTTGATGAAGCGGAATAGATTGCACAGGCTGAGAAGGAAGGATGGAGGCGCTCATGTTCTTGCAAGTGGTCTTTCCTCGAAGACATGATAGCGCCTTCCTCGGGCTGACTCGAATGAACAGACCAAGCATGGGCGGAAAGTTTAGCGCTGTCCCGTGCGAAAACCTATCTATTACAGTCAGCTATAGAAATGTACCGTCCTTTCGACAACAGAGTAGTATCCACGAGAAAGAGTCACCTCAAGGTGTTTCTGTGGCCACATCTGTTTCCGTCAAGACACTCGGATAGTATGACGCGCGCCTCGTTGCCGTAACAAAGGCGATGATTACTGTGGTGTGTTATGATCCAGCAATGCTATACGTTCTCTACAGTTCAGCACACATTCTCTAGAGGCCATTCTTAGCAGGTGTCAGTTCGGGGAAACAGAAACTTTCGTCTATAATCGCTGAGGAAGATCGTATAGAGCGGAAACGCAGCCTATTTTTACAGAGTAGATACACTTTGGGAGAAGACGGAGAGTCTATGGGAACAAGACGAAGAGGCCGCTGGTGCGGTGCGATATTCGGGTGCGATTGGCCAGCAAGAACGAGTTTGAGGAGATTGCGCGATCGGGTATGGACTGTTTCTTCTTTCTGGAGCTGGTCGTGTGTCGGTCTAAGGGCGGCACGTGGGAGGTGGTCATGTCGAACTCGGGGGGCATAAGTAAGATCGCATTTTTGGTGTCGGAATTAAAAAACAGGCATCCTCCTCGTGTGATCGTGGATGGGAGAATTGGCCGGGTCTATGGGGAAGAATATGCAGGATAAATTGTCTATTGGACCGACTTGAGCCAAGATTCGAAGTCGAACTTGGGGTCGCTGGGGTCGGTGACGGCTGTAAATGTGTGTGAGCGGGTCGGCAGAGACTGTCTGAGGATGTGACGCGACATACCACCAGACTTTGATTTGGGAGCAGTCTTCTTCTGGTACTCTTGACGGGCCTGGTTGATAAGAGCCTGCTTGTGCTCATAGGCCTTTTGGTTCTCGCGGAGCTTGTCGGCAGCAGTGATGGCGGTTTGGTGGTAGAAACCGTATGCGACACCGAGGCCGAGAGCTGACCAGCGGAGGACCTGTGACACTGAGCATCAGTATGCGGACACGGAAGAAAAGAAGTTGGGACGCGGGCGCGCGTACGTTGGCACCGGAAGACATTGTGACGGGTTGATGTGATGAGGAGGTAAGGTCAATGAGAGACTGCTGGAGAGCGGGCGACAGATGATCGGGTAGAGAGCACGGGCAATTGGGGTGTCTAGAGTGGATGCTGTCGTTGCTGGTCGAGCTGGTCGAGCGAACTTCAACCAAGCGGTTTCTTCCGTCTTCCGTCCGGGGGTCTCATACCGAGTCGATCAACTTAGCCGCAGCAACAACAACCAAACCAAACATTCGTTGTCGACCATATCTACACTCCTTCCTTGCGTCTTTTCTGGTTTCTGGATTTCTTGTGCCAGGTCCCAGCTGTCCTGCGCTCAGCTGGTCTGTCGCACCACTTCTGTCAAGGCCGAAACAGCCCAAACAATCCACCGCCTAATCAAACACTTTACACGCAGCCATGTCTTCTTCGTCCTCGTCCCTAGAAGCTCGCAAGCAGGAGATCTTGGCCAAGCGTGCCAAACTCGCCGAGCTCAAACGCCAGCGTGCTCAGCGTCAAAAGGAGTTCACATCGGCGCGCGAGAGTGGAGATGCAGCAGAGGTACGTTGAAGAAGGGCACATCAAGGTACGTCCTCCACTGACACAATCAGCTCATCTCTCCTTCGCCCTCGCGTGCTAACAGCCGCGCAGACCTGGACCAGCTCATCTCTACTCTTGTCGACCGTCCTGGCCGCTCCACCCCTCGCGATTTGGACTCACCCACCACCTCGGCAAACATTGGCGCAAGCCGTCCTAATTCTGTCTCACTCGATAGTCCATCTGCTGCTTCCACTCCCGCTCCTCTTTCCCTGTCCAATCAGACTCTCTCCTTCACCGCCGTCTCCACAGTCCTCAACCAGCCTTCAGATCCCAAGCCCGACGTTATCACATACAGCAAGGGTGTACAAACCAGTGAGCCGTGGTCACCGCAGCACAACCGCCAGCCTTCAGACGATGACTCGAGTTATTCACCTTCGAGAACGAGGAAACGCTTGAGCAGGAGAGAGCGCGAAAGAGACGAGGAGCTGAGGCAGAACATTCGCAAGGAGATTGAGGATGAGTTGCAGGCTCTCAAGCTGTCGGAAGATGCTGCCTCTACGAACGGCAAGCAGAACTTCCCTGCCCGCACATTGACACATGAAGAGTTGGGCGCTGTCACTGCATCAGACGACTTTTTGGACTTTATCGATCGATCTACAAAGGTCATTGAAAGAGCATTGGACGAAGAGTACGACGTTCTCGCTGACTACGCTATGCGTGGCGCGAATGGTTTGGACGATGACGATGAGGATGGCCAAACACGCACTGTCAAAGGCCGTCGTGTGCGCGAGTTGATGCAGTTTTCAGACGACCGCTGGACAAAACGTCGCATGATCAGTGACCTTGACTACTCTGTCAAATACCCCGAGCTGTTACTAGCTTCATACACAAAGGCTTCCAACTCTTCGCAAAGCGCTCCTGGCTTGGCTCTGGTCTGGAACGCACATATGCCGTCTCAACCAGAATATGTCTTTACCGCGACGAGTGATATCCTCACTGCTCGTTTCTCACCTTACCATCCAAGTCTCGTACTAGGTGGTACATACTCTGGCCAAGTCTGTCTGTGGGACATCCGCCAACGCTCTCATGACGGCGCACCAGTGCAACGAACACCCCTTGCTGGCGAAAAGGGAGGCCACGCCCACCCTATCTACAGTGTTGCAGTGGTCGGCACTCAAAATGCCAGCAGTATTGTCAGTGTCAGTACCGACGGCACAACATGTGCTTGGTCTTTCGACATGCTATCAAAGCCTCAAGAATATCTTGAGCTTACTTCACCACCAGGGCGTAACCGCACAGAGGACATCGCTCCATCATGTATTAGTTTCCCCAAGGCAGATCCAACATACTTTCTGGCCGGTACCGAAGAAGGTGCTATCTTGCCGGTCCACAGATACGATCGTGCGGGCGCAAAGGCTGGTATTGACCCGCGTATCTACTATACTGGCCACGCCGCACCTGTGACTGGACTCGACTTCCATCCGAGTAAAGGCAAAGTCGATCTCGGCGACCTTGCAATCAGTTCTTCTCTAGATTGGAGCGTCAAAATCTGGCGCGTCAAGCCTCCGAGCACAGCTGTTACCACTGCTGGAGTAGGCACAGCTCTGGGAGTACCGGAACGACCATTGCTCGAAATCATGCGCGAGGATGTCATTTATGATGTCAAGTGGTCGCCCACGAAGCCCGGTGTCTTTGGTTGTGTCGACGGTGCAGGAAGACTAGAAGTCTTTGACATCAACGTTGATGTCGAGGTGCCTGTCGCACGTGCTCAGCCAAGCCATACCCAGGGCGATGTGTTTGGCGTCAAGAGCTTGAACAGACTCGCATGGGAACACAATGAAGGCAAGCGGGTTGCCGTTGGTGGTCTTGACGGCATCGCAACTGTCTTTGAAGTAGGCAATGACCTTGGCGGACTCGAGGGAAACAACAAGGGCGAAGACTGGTTTGGGGTCAAGCGTCTCATCTCTAGACTTGACAGGTCACGGGAAGGGGCCGATAGATGATTCTCATAATACGACTTGCAGAAGATCTACCGATAACCATGTCAATGTGAGTAACATGACAGGTTAGACAACCGAACTTGGCTGCATCTCGCAACCTCCGCATTCCCCTCGATTCATGCAGCCCTTCTCGTACGTGACACAATATTAGTTGAAACATGAAGTTGTACGACATCACAACTCTTCATGCGAGCACATCCCGTGTGCTAGAAGTTTGTAATACCTGTGCTTCTCTCGCAGAGGTTCTATGGCGCCGTCCTGGCTATGAAAAGGCACAAGGGTTTCCAGAATGAAGATACAATCGAAGAGAGTCTGGATCACGTAGTTCTTCCGTGGATACTATCCTGCCTCTCAAGAATACCGTGCATATCTATAGCTGTACTAGGTGGCTGCATGATCAAGCCATGGCGCTGATCAAAACTGTCCTTGCTGCAATAGAGTCTCCCCCCAAGTCTGTGACTTGCACGCTCCTCCCACAAAGTTTACTCTATCCTCGCTATAGAAATGCACAATCGTATCTAAATTAGAGCGGCATCCACAGAAAACCGCGGGAACGTCGCATTTCCACGGACACTATTCTGTTTCACGAAACTGTTGTGCATTTTTATAGCTATACACATCAAAGAAACCGACACACGAGAGGATGCAGTTGTTACCACATGGCGTGATTACATGCAGGGTGGTTGGAATCGATAGTGCTCGATCCGGTAATAGGTCTGTTGCTTGGTCGATGGAAAGATGTTTCGAAGTGAAGGGTGTCCATATAATAGGCAAGTGCTTCCACCACTGCTCTTTCCCTCACATTCACCGACGATCTCATCCGACACTTGTTTGTGTTAGTCACTTCACTTCAACTCAGCCACACCTCTCTTCACGGACCTGCGTGGTCTCTATTATTCAAGATCCAAACCTCAGCCCTATTCATCTCGTCAGAACGAGTCCACAACCATCATGCACTTCCTCAAGACTGCTGCGATTTGTGCCGCTGCGCTCTCGAGCCTCGTTGTTGCCCAGGCCCCTCGTCTAGCATTCACCAAAACACCAAGCAGTGTCATCGCAGGTCAACCAGTCGCAATTCAGTACACTGCGCAGAACCTGGCCCAGGTGAGAGATGTGATTTGTGCCGATTGTTGAATCATGCTGACGGGGACAAGCCTGCAACTATTGTACTGAGAAAGGGTGACCCTTCCAATCTGATGGATGTCTCTACTCTGACCAGTAAGTTCGATGACCATATGTCAACAACATGAACGCGTACTCACATTTCAAAGCCAACGCCCTGAATGGTAGCTACACTTGGATCCCTGATAGGTCACTCGACAACGCAAGCGATTACGCTCTTCAGATTTCCCAAGGCTACGAGATCAACTACTCTGGGCTGATCACTCTCACTGGTGGTAACGCCTCCGCTGTGTCTTCCGCAAAGTCAGCTAGCTCGTCATCTCAAGCCGCCCAATCGTCATTGACTGCTTCTGCTGTATCGAGCATCCAATCTGTCATTGCGAGCTACAACTCATCGTTGAACAACTTGACCGCGGTTGTGTCTATCCAGACCTCACCTCCCACTCCTCCATCCAACACTACTGCTGTTGTCGTTGTTGCACCCAGCGCTGGAACCGGTTCGCCCTCCATTCGCAACACGACCATTATCACGCCAACTTTGACTTCTTCGTCTCCAAGCGGATCGAGAAGTACCGTCACTTCAGTCGTGACTTCGAGCGCAGGAACATCATCTCGCGGCTCGTCAAGCTCGACTGCAGCAAGCGCTTCTAGTACCGGCGCCGCATCAACCATGGCCAAAGCTAGTACTCCTGTCCTTGCACTCTTCGGTGTTGCTGCAGTCTTTTTCTTCCAGTAGACATACTCGAAGTAGACTTGTTTCTGCGATCTTGCTGATGATGACATGAGAGCAGAGCGACGGGGGATACTCTACGTACAAATACTTAATGCCTAGCCTACGATTTTTCGAATGCGCTTCCAGTTTTTCAACTTGCCTCGTCTTCCAAAGAATATGTTTTGGATGTACAACATCTACTAGATCGGCAGCGTGCGACTCGATAATCGACACATGACTGTGGCTATCGGAGGCGCAGCTCATTCTTAGGATCTGGGACCTCCTGCATCAAGTGCAGCACGTGAACAATATATTCCCGTCTTTACGCCCTATCACGCGCCAAAGTTTGTCACTCTCATCCCGTACTCACGACTGAACGCAGGCCGGGATGGAGCTGTCTGGATGCACAATCATCTCTAAAAGGTAGAGGAGCCCTTAGAGAGCCACTAGTATCACGATTCTCAGTGGAGGCCTCCTGGTCCACCGGATAGTTGTGCATTTCCATAGCTGTGTGCGTTACATACTTTTGCACACCGAGAGCGCGAACGAGCAGGAGTAAGATTGGCCAGCACTCTATTTTGAGCCTTGTTCCTGCAGCAGCCGGGCCGAAGGCCAGTGCGTTTCCAGATGCATCTGGTCAGACGCAGGTCACGAATCAGCAGCCATTTCTCTCCATTTTTCCATCATAGCCGATGGAGGGCTGGCTGTGAGTACAGCTCGAGCTGAGATACACGCAGCATGCAGATGTAAGCTTTTGAAGCTGACAGCGTGATAGAAAGATTTGTTTGCATTGTCGACCGTCATGCTAAGCAACCAGGGGTCTTTCGTTTGTCCTGGTCCCAAACACGCTTGCAACGGTTTAGACTCGCCGAGCGACCCAGTGCCAAGTAGCGATCGTTTTGCTTTCCCCAGAGCCCTGAGCCAGGCTTTCCCAGAAAATCATCGCTGCGATTTGCAGTGTATCGAGTACCTGCTTGGCCAAATCTCGCTTGCTTGCCACTCACTTACTCTGCCGGTGCTCACTATTCCCGAAGGAAGAAACACATACGTGTACATGTTGAGTTGCGTGAGTGTGGCAAGTCGAGTCAAAGAGGTATTGAGTTTTGACACCGCCGTGGCAACCGAGTGGCCATGTGGGTAAGGATTCGAGAAGGGGAAAAAGGGACAAGATGTTAACCTGCAAAAGGTAAGATGGGCAAGCTTGACTAGCGCCGAGAGCCGCTTGTGTGGTGAGGGGAGGCTTTTGGGAGCATCCGCGCGCCGTCGTTGTATCAAACGGCGCCATGTTTAGATGTGGTGTGGTGTCATGGCTTGCCCTTCTGCACTGTTGCCTCCCTATTAGCTTCTGGACTCCATGAAATGGCGCATCACTGTCATTTCAAATAGATATAAGGGCTAGGTCTGCGACATCTTTGCTCCTTCTCTCCCTCTTCACCTCTTTCCTGCAACGATCGCTACTTCTGCTTGCATACCATCTCTTTCTCCAAAACAACCCACACAACACAACTACACATCAAGATGCGTTTCTCTACTCAGACCCTCATTGCTCTCATGGCCTCTCCTCTGTTGGCCCTTGCCGATGGCAACACTTTCACCAACTCCAACTACAATGGCATCACTGCCGGCAAGACCTTTGACCTGACCTGGAAGCCTACCACCTCCGGCACCGTCTCCATCATCCTCCGCTCCGGCGCCAGCAACAACCTCACTCCTGGAGTCTACGTTGCCCGTAAGTCACCTATCTCCTATACTCTTGCCAGCGGTCAAAAGTACATCACTAACACAAGTCCTACAGAGGGCCTCACCAACTCTGGTAGCTACAGCTGGACTGTTCCCAGCGACATCACTCGCGGCACCGACTACGCCCTCGAGATCGTCGACGACTCCAACCCCAACGACACCTCCAACACAGCCTACACTCCCCAATTCGTCATTGACAGCACAAACACCGTTGCCTCGAGCACCTCGTACATCAGCCAAGCCTCGTCCGCTGCCTCTTCTGCCTCGTCTGCCGCCTCGTCTGGCATCAGCAGCGCAAACTCCTCTGCCTCGTCGGCATCAAAGTCTGCTTCCTCGGCCTCGTCCTCGGCCTCCAAGTCTGAGAGCAGCGCTGCCAGCTCGGCTAGCAAGTCAGAGTCGAGCGCTGCTTCTTCGGCATCAAAATCCGCTAGCTCTGCTGCCAGCTCGGCTTCGTCGAGGGCTTCGTCTGCTACTAGCTCTGCTGCTGCCACTTCCACTGGTGGTGCTGTTGCTTCTGCCATGCCCTACGGTCTTTTGGCTCTTGTTGCCGCCGCTGCTCTGTAAAGGATTCGACGGCTCAATGAAATCACAAGGGCATGAGTGCAAGATGGGTGGTGACTAATGTAAAAAGAAGACGACGATGACACTGTTTTGTCGATGTTCAATTTCCTAATGATACCTTTATTTGTATATGATATCTTTGTTTCAAATTCCCTGATCCGAAAGCCCATGTTGCGCTGATTGATCGAAAGGCAGTGTGATGATCTTGTGATCGTTAGCTAGTCGGCTCCTCACTCTATCTGTGTAACCCCTCCTCGGATGCTAGAGTTTGTGACTATCACAGCCCTTTCTGAACTTGTCCCTACAGTCTCCCCTACAACTCCTCATGGCGGGATGAGATGAGCACCCTGCTATAGCAATGCGCAAAAGTCTCCAAGGTACTCACGCATCAAGAGAGAACCATCGCAATACTGCTCCTCTATGAACCAACCCCGTTCTTGCTGCCTAAACTACTGTGCGTTTTGGTAGCTATATGCGTTACAAAGCCCTTGCATACAGTGAGCTACGTTTGAATGCATTCATATCTCAACTCCTGATTAAGCGTGTAGTCAGTCTAGCTATACCGTTCCCTCTGGCTTTCTAAACCTGCTCTTTGTTTTCCCTCCCGACGTCAGTATCTCTTTTTTTTCCCTCTTCGCAAAGTCTATGTAGATTGGCATCTAGTGATAGCTAGCTGTGAGATATGTAAGGTATTGAGTACATATAAATTGGGTGCAATGTGCATGAATGGTACTTCTAGGATAGTGAAACAAGTGTGCTGCACCTAGGCTTTTTGGCTACCATGATAGAGAGACACTGTCACGTATGGATTCATCGAAGATTGTTGTAAATCTTTTGCTTTGCATTGTTCATAATTGCGACTGAGGTATGAATTGATATTTCCCTCTTTTCTACGAGCATCCTCTGTATGCAGCTTACAACCACCCACGCATCCCAGCAAAAGCAGGATCAACCTGCTCATCAAGCAAAAGACACCGAGCGGCCTTGCACACTCGAACTCTTCTTTGGCCGTCCCTTCTTTCTAGGCGTGTTCTGATTAGAATCAATGCTCTTTCTCTTGCGACCACGCTTTTGTCCACTGCCAGGGGTCGCGCTCTCGCCTCTCTCACTTGGAGTTTCGTAGCCGTCGCCATTCATCGTCATTGAAGTATCCATGTCACCTTCTGCATCCTCCTTGTCGACTCTGAGTTCGCTGTCGACTGCCATGACTTCTGAGAACGAGTTGCAAAGGCTGAGCTGCCCTTCAGGCGTCTCAAGAGCTGCCATGATCTCTTGATTGCGTGCAAGATATCTCTCAGTCAGATTTGTCGAGTTGGGAATGCGCTGCAATGCACGCACGGTTTCTTTGCTCGCCTTAGCCTTTGCGGCTGCCTGGTGTTTGCTGACGTTCCAAAGTCGTCGAAGGTATGTACGTGTTTCCCACAGGAGCAGGAGAACCTGAACGTAGACAGTCAACTCGCGTAATCGAGCTGGGTCGACTGGCTTGCTCTGAGAAGAAGGAATACCAACAGCGATGCCGTTCTCGCCATCGACCATTGGGGCATCCTTCTCAATGAGCATGCGAAGAATGTCGACGTCGACCATATGAGCGACGGGAGTACCGGTGTTGGCCATAACTTTCTCGATACACTCAATAAGGTGCTGGAGCTCATCAAATTTGGCGTAGTCGAAGAAAGCCAGATTCTCAGATACGAATCGGGTGAAAGCGACATGAAATGGAAGTGGACCAGACATGTCAACTTTGGTGACATCAAAACCTACACCTGCTTTGCCGCAGATTGCTGTCAGGAACTTGATGCGGATCTTGGCCTTTCCTGTTTTGAGGACTTCCCAGAAGTGGTGCATCACCGATGTCGGTGGCGTTCCTGCGTATCCCTGGTTGCTCTTGGCCACGTTTTGCTGGTACGTGAACGCCTGATGGACAGCGCCGATGTGCTCCTTCTCGAACATGGCTTCGTGCTTGCTGTAAAGCCCCATATGCTCCTGGAAGGCAAATGTGGCTATCTTGGTATCTGGACAAGTCTCGAGCGCGATGAAGCAGGGCCCTGTCTCCTTGGGATGGACAAGTCCTTGGCGGCCAATACTAGCAACCACTTGGACTGCGTTGAACGCGAGGGTGTCGGCTGAGGTAAGCGCAACATCGCGGATTCTACCCAGAAATTGTTGCGCGATAGAAGTGGCTGCGCCGTCGCGATCGGTAGCCATGTAGGTGTTGCCGAGTCTTTCAGTGCCAGCTTCCACGCCAGTACCGACTTGAACCAGACTCGACTCGCCAGGCTTGTCACCAGCACAGTAGAAGTCTTTCAGACCAACGATCAGTGTCATCGGAAGTTGTTGATCGTCAGACTCTAGCGCGAGTTTGAATGCATTACATACATCTGCACGCATCAACTGACCTGGCCAAGCTTGACACAGCATGCAAACACTGTCGAGTGCTGCTTGACGAAGAACCATGGGTTGGTTAGGGCTTGTGTAAGGACAGATCAAGTCTACAGCGAGGAATGCCACATGTTGGCCCTTGTAGTCTGGGAACTTCTCCTTGAATGAACCGAGGTGATCATCAAGGTTGAAGGCTTTGCCAAAATGGCCGGCAATGGTAATTAGTCTCCTCGTCTTTTGCGCTACAGCTGGGTTGCTGTTCATGTCAACAGGCAAGCCTCGCTTAATCTGGTCGTACAGTGAAAGCGTAACTTTGACAAGCCTCTCGGTATTGTGCAGTTCACCGTCCAGAGTCCAGAGACAGATTGCTACTTCCTTGAGCTCGGCAGGTGGAAGTCTGGTAAAGCTTCCAAGTAGAGCTTGCTGTATGTTGACGAGGAAGTCTCGGTTGAGATTCTTCATATGAGGCAAGGTGTGACGAAGGATGACAATTGCTGAGCGATATACTAGCAAGTTATCATCTGTGCTGAGATTCGTGACATAAGGTTGGAGAGTTTGCAATTGGTCTGCTTTGAACAGCTTGGCGTTGGCTGCCGAGAAGATGGTGAGTGTCTGCAATACGTGCTGCTGTGGAGGGCTTTCTGGCAGTTCGCTCGGATCAACGATAGCGTCGAACATGAGCTTCACCATCTCCTTGCACACGACGACATTTGCTTTTGCCGCTTTGGACTTCTCTGACAGAATTTGCTGCAAAAGTTCTGGCAGGACTGCTTCGGTGGTCTCAGTCTTGCGCTTGACGATATTGATCACCAGACCGGTTTGCTCTCGTAGGCGGAGCTTCTTCTTGACTGCATCGGTGTCTGAACCAGAAATGGCGTGGAAGGGTGTCATCCAGATATCCTCGAACGTCAGACGAGCAAGTTCCACAATGCTCTCATCAGCATCCGTGACACGATTGATTAGGGTATCTGCGATCAATGCTTTCATGTTTAGAGCATCGTTTCGCAGGTACATATCTTTCAGCATCTTCATCGCACGCTTTCTAACATGCAAATTGGCATCCTGAGCTCGCATAATGACGCGCTCGTAGAGCATCGTATCGAGTTTTGGACGTAAGGAGAGACATTTGGCAATGAGACCAAGAGCAGAGTCACGAACTTGAGTCGAGTTGTCTGCAAGACACCTGATGATGCTGTTGATGAAGAAAGTGCCCTGATCAAGAATGGTAGGATCCATCTCGAGAAGTTGTTCAATACTTTTCAAGCTCTTGCTTCGTAAAGAAGCCTGATCGCCAGCCATGGTACCAAGAAGTTTGCTAAAGATCTTGTTGAAAGCTCGGCAGAAAGGCAAATTCATGGTGATCAAGACAGCTGCAAATCTTGCGTCTTCGGTGGTGACTTGCTTGAAGTCGTATTCGGTTTCGAGCCATCCCGAATCCTTGATCATAAAAGCCAAGCGTTCTTCGAGTTTAGTTGACTTCGAGGTGCTTTGGCCAAGCTGAAGGACTTGCTTTGCCCATTGGACAGTGTGGTACCCTCGGGCAGTCATCAACTCTGTATCATCCGTGCCTCTAGCTTGGAGATATTCGAGTATGACACGGTACGGACCATCGAATGACAACAACTCGTCCTCTTCGATCTGCTCGGCTATAATGTTCTCGTGAAGTTGCAGCAGCTTGGCTGTAACTTCTGAACGTTCTGTGTTTGGGTGGCGAGCTGCAGACTGAGCTTGTAGACGTAGCTCGGTAATTCGGGTAGCCATGCCGCCCATCAGTTCAAGAGCCATTGCTTTGGAAGGAGCCGAGCCTTTGTGGTTTTCGGAAAGTTCAAACATCTTAGCCAGAAGCACACGGAGGAACATCTCGGCAGCCGGCCAGTCGGTGTTGCCCAATACGCTCAGGAAATCTTCAGTGAAAATGTCCAGAAGGTTTCTGTAAGGCTGGTCTCCTGATTTTGTCGAGGTCAAAGCACGCTGAACCATGTAATTGACGACATAGTGAGCATCTCTGTATGCAGCTTCGTACAGAGGATTGGTGACCGATGCTAGATCTTCCGGTCCATCGCTTGTACGCTTCTTCGGCTTGGGCTTACGTTTAGCACGACGCTTCTTTTCTATTTCACTGTCGAAGTCTGAGTCTGCATCAGACTCCTCGTCGGAAGACTCTGCATCTTCCTCAGGTCTCTCGGTGTCGTCTTCCTCAGTGACAGATTTCGTCTTGGGTTCCATACGTGTTGCACTGGTCTGTACCAAACGCATGAGTAGAGCAGACACCAGCTGTATTGGCTTTGCATCAACCATCTTGAACTGGCGAGCGCTTTGCCTACCAACAGGGAGTTTCTCGAGAGAAGTCAAGATCTCGTCGAAGATTGATTGCCTCTGTTCTGGGTAACGAGCGAAGATCTTGGCTAGCACATCCATGGCAGCCCTACGGGCCGTCTCGAACCTTTGTATCCCAAGAGCAGAATCTTTCTCAGATGTCGCATTCTCAACGAACACCAGCGTCTTGCAGATGAACTCGGCAGAAACGATGACACGCTCATCGACGTCGGTTTTGGCAATAAGATCGCCGAGGAGTTTGATGACCCGAATGCAGACTGTCAAAACCTGTGTCAGAGACTTACTCTGAGAAGAGGCGAATTTGAATGCATCAGCCATATCTCCATTACTCCTCATCTCCACCACGGGGATGATGCAAGTCTCAACCACATGAATCAGGCTGCTCAAGAGGGTGGCGAGCGTTTCTTCAGAGTAAAGCTGTTTTTCCTTCTCTTCCCGACCTGCCGTCATGATGCGAAGCAATGTTTTGCAAGCGTTCAGACCTTGCTCTCCAATACCAATGCGGTGAAGCCAGTCATCGACCTCTTGCGGAGTATCATCGTCTATACGATAGTTACAAGTACCGGCAGCAGTGACAGCGTGATCACATAAACGCTGTATACGGCCCAGATCTTCGACGTCGATACTGTGTAAGCGAGCATTGGCGACAACCTTGTACAAAGCGGTGTCGAGCTGGGTTTGGATGGCTGCTTGCAGAACGGGCGTTCCCTCGACAGCATCATCGACATTGAAGAAGCGAGCAGTATTTGACGATACCATGCCAGATGTGTCCGCTTGCATCTGATCCTCAGCCTCAAAGATCTCAGAAATCAGGTTCTGTAGTCTTGCCACTGCAGCGTTTGCCTTTTCTTGCTGAGCGATGCTTGCCGAAGTCAGACACTGATCGGCCTCATAGTCTGCACGCTTCTGCGATTCTGATTTAGGCGCCTTTTGAAAGTTGGTGGATGCTGAATCAGGTACGTGTATGTACTGAGCGCGTTGTGCTTCGGTAAGGCTTTCGGGAATCACGACCGCGATGGTTGATCTCTGAGAACTTGGTTGAGAGCCTTGCGATGGCGTCGGCGGTATGCCATTTGCTTGTGAGGAGCCGGTATGATGGGACACAGGAGCCGACGAGGGAGGGGCCGGAATGACAACTTGTGGGTATGACTTGGAAGTAGACGGCATAGGCTGTGCCGTAGGAAAGGTTGGCGTGGGAGTTGCTGATGAGTAGCCATGGCGGCTTTGCTGGAGCTGAGCAGGGTTTATTGTTCCAGGCGTGGTCCCTTGCGGCGATGGTTTTGGCAATTTGGCGATTGGGTTGGAGATCGGCGTAGGCAGATTGGCTTTTGTGGTAGCATAGTGGGAGGAAATGGTCTTGTCCAGGACCATTTTCGCGAAGGGGCCGAGCTGGTGCTTCGATGGGGTCGAAGTGGTCTGACCTGGACGAGGCTTGGTCTGGTCAAACCTTGCGGGTCTCTTGAAGCGGTACTGTGTGAGAGTGTCCGGGTTGAGAAGGTGTTGGACAGACTCCAGCGTCTTGGTCAATTGTTCCGAGGCTCTTTCAGCATTGTTGGCTTGTGCATCGAGTCGCTCTAGCATGCCATGCGCCGAGAGTTTTTGTTCTTCGGACGTGAAGATCTGTGTGGAAGAGGTGGGAAATGCCAAAGGAGGAGGGATCGAATCTGTATAAAGAGGTCAGCTATTGTGCGAGCCGTATGAATCATGCGATACAATACCGAGAGTGAATGGCAGAATAGAACTGAATGGTGCGAATGGCAGAGCCTCTGTGACGGTAGGAACACGCACATTCTTGCGTGTCCCGTCTGGATGATTGCTACCATTAGGTTGTGACATTGCGAGCAGGAACCACGGGCTCAGATGTGTTGTTTAATTGACATTGTTGCTTTTGCAGGCGAGTTTCTGTGAAGCCTTGAGAAGTTGGTGATGGAAATGGAGTGATCGCAGATAGTGTATTGCAAGAGTCGAACGGGCCAGTGTGAGATGCGACAATATTGGGATACAGCAGAACAATGCTAAGTCAGGCAGGTGCCACCCAAAAGCGATGGAACCGTGGAAAGAGAGTTGTTTAGGCAGGTATCTGCCGCGTTCGAGCCTCACCGCCTGCCTGTTTGGGCCCAAAGTGGCTCTTTCCCTCTTCGCGAGAGAGTCATGGTCTGTCTTTGATTTAAGCGTGTTTGAGATATTTTTACTAGCACCAATTCACAGCTTCACGTTCGCTGTTATCTGCATGTGATGTGTACTGCAAGCGACATACGTAGAAGACAAGTCTTGTCACTTCGCGTTGTCTCACTGATTTAATCATCGATGTTGATTATGAACATTCCAGTCGTGTCTGACAGTCCCAAAAACTCCACCCGTATTGTCCTTTTATCTTCCAACGCCAAATTTACATAATGCTTCGCTTTAAGCAGCAACAGGGATTGTTGCGTACTCCGTCTCGCCGTTCTTCTCAAACTCAGCCATGTCAAGAGCAACAATAATGCTGTCTCTGACGACCTGGTCCTCATCGTTCAAGAACTTCTTGAGTGTCTCTTCCACACCATCTTCATCACCTAAGCTGCCCAATGCCTCAGCAGCCTCGTGGCGAACCATGCTGCTCTCTTTAAGATCGCTCAATGCTCCGGTCAGGGCGGGAATCGAGGCGGGGTGAGAAAGCTGGCCAAACACGAAAGCAATCTCGTGACGGAACAACGCAGAAGAGTCGGTGAAACCACGAGCGAGAGCGTTCACGGCTGGAACAGCAGTAGGAAGGTCGGGAGGAGAGCAAAGGTCGCGGAGGGCGAACATGGCGCGGTAACGGTCGAATAGGGAGAGCTTTGCATCGAGGAGAGTTTGTTCGAGCTCTTCGATTGAGGGCTGCTTTGCAGCAATAGCGAGAGGAGGAGCAGGGTCGATCGAGGCAAAGTCGCTGTAGTCAAGTCAGTCTGAGTAATTCTCCCATCCGCTGGGGTGAGATCCGTACCTCTGCTTCAGCTTCTCCAGCTTTCCAGCATCCGAATGTTCCCACTCGATGCGACCAACAGCAATGTCGCAAGTCTCCTTCACAACAGTCTCCTCGTTCTCGTCGTCTCTTCTCTCGATGAGAAGCTTCAGGCTACCCTTGTCGCCCAGAGCACCGATAGCCTCAGCAGCCTCGTGCCTGCACATGGCATCCTCCTCGCGGTCGCTGAGAACCTTCTGCAAATAAGGGACTGCAGCATCGTGGCGAGACTGGCCCAAGCAGTAGGCGAGTTCGTGCTTGAGAAGCGCTGAGGGAGAAGCGAATCCAGCAGCGATGGCATCAATGGCCGGGATGGTGTTCTCAGTGCGAGGCTCCTGGCATGCTAGGTACTTGAGGGAGAAGAGGGCACGGAAGCGAGCGGCCAGCGCTTCGTTCTCGGAAGTCAGCGTCTTGCGAAGGGCCAAGACGGTGGAGTCGCCGCTGGGGACTTCAGGGGTCTCCTCGGGTGAGATTGCTGAGGGTGCCATGTTGTTTGTAGTAGAGATGCAGTAGAGACCGTCGAGGTATGCTGTAAAGCAGAAGAAGTTTTGACGATTTTGTCACGATTGTTCCAGCCCGAAAAAGTCGGCCCATGATCGATTTGCGGGGTACAGGACGCCACTTTAGATTATCAGATCAAAGAGATAAAGATATTTCAGGGACTATCGAAGGAAGAAAAGAAAAGCTAAGGATCCATCAAGAACCAAAATTACAGAAGAACCGAAATCAGTTGGAGCCCTTCTTCGCCTCGTAAGCAGCGCTATGCTTCACTCTGAGGTCGTAGATCTCCTCGATAAGATCCTTGACTTCGTGACCGTTCTCGCAGTCAGTCCACTTGCCGCCGTCGCGGATGCACCAGTTCCTGTCGTCGACTCTGATAGTGCAGCTCTTGGTAACATTCTTGTCGGCACTTCTCTGAACAGACTGCTTGAGGAGGTGTCTAGAGTATGCTCCATCATCGACGCTCAGGCAGTGGTTCAGCTTGTCAAAATCGATGCCGTGCTCCAAAGCGCAGTCCTTGGCGAGGTCTTCCGAAGGAATCTCTGCGTAGTTGCGTGACATGCACATGGTGAAGCCGAGGTGGATTCTGGGGTTGGGATAGAGGCGAGCTGCACAAAGCTCGATCGAGTTGCCCAAGCATTCAGATGGGCCATGCATGCAAACGACACCGTCGTCGTCCTCGATGGTCCTATTGTTTTGTCAGCTACTGTGGGGTATGTCTCGCATCGAGAAGTTTTACTTACTTTCCAATGTAAGACAGCTTGAAGTCGACGAGATTGCTGACATTAACCATGGCGGGGAGTACGAGATCATGAAGACAGTCACGAGCATCAGGACACTTGCTCATGATATGTGCTTCCAGGGGCACTCTCCTGGGCAAATACTCGTAGACTTCGTTCTCATCATCCATTAAGCCCAGAACCATGAGTCCGCCAATGGGCAGGATACACACGGTGATGATGAAGATGCAGAAAGCTGCGATTGTGATACGACCGCGGGTTGTGCGAGACCATGCACGCTCATATTCACGTCTTGCTGTAAAGAGGTCTTTAGCGGCAGCCTGGAGGTTTGCGCGGGCTTCGGTCCATCTTGAGCGGAGGTCCTGAAGTGTGGGCTCAGGTTGGTCCTCGATGAGAGGTTGCTTCTCAACTTCAGACATGATGTGTTTAGATTTCGATAACGAAAAGACGGATATTGTGTCAGATATCGCAGGTGAAGTCGGGAGTGTTGATAATAAAGCAGCCTGCTTTGCCACTCAAAGGAGGCTGAGGAGGAGGCGTAACTCTCGTCACTGGACCCTGAAAAGCTCCAGCTCCCGACTGTCAGCTCCACTGTCAGTCTGTCACCCTGTCCACGCATTTCTGATCATCCCTTGTGCATCTCATGAACATACTGTACGATTTCTGCCTGGATTTGTACTACAGCGCTTCGACATTGCAGCTGGTCCTGGAGGCTGCGGCCACTGACCGGCGCTGGTAATATCTTTGTGGAAGATGTCAATGTTGCACTCGTGCGCATAACGAACGTTCAAGAATCATCCATTTCACCTTTCTAGACACAAGAGCATGTGAGATTTCAAAAGAGTGAGTTTAACTTATTCAGTACTTGACTGTGTTTCAAACGTACCTATCGATCATGCTCTCACTCCTCCCCGTGTGCTAAAGTTTGGAACACACGCAGCTGTAAAACTGCACAGTGGTTTCGGGGATTAGGAGGACGCCATTGAGAGAGTTGTGAAATCCATAGCTCTCTGTGGACTTCTCCTACCTTCTGGAGATGGTTGTGCATTTTGATAGTGATTCTCACGCTCCACGCCTTCGTAGGAGAACTGGGGAGGCCTGCCGCCCGTGGGAGTTACAAACTTCAACACACGGAGGCTATACTGAGTCCATGCAAAGGTGTAAGGATAGAATCTGACGACGTCATCGGCACCGTGATTCTTGCCAACGAAACTCGTTCTTTTTTTTCCTCACCACTTCATCGTGGCGGACATGCGTTTTCCAGTCAGTTGAATATGTGGACTCGCTTAGGGTAACCTCAAGAACCATTTGGTATCCGCATTGGCGCCGCCGCGATGGTGTCATGCAAGGTGTGAGCGTGGAGTGCGATCCGAAAGCTCTTGATCTGCTGCCCTCCAGGACGAAATATTTCCAGGGATCTGCTGCCTGCGGAGCCACATGTAGATAAAGTATCAACTCATCAGCGCCAACTAATCTTGCACGTATGGCGACGGTCAGCCGAGGAAGTCAAACTTCATCCGCTTTTCGTATAAACAACCAATCGCGCGGCATTCCAATCTCGGTTGGGAACTGGACCTGTTCTTGTGCACCCGTGTTATATTTACGGCGGTGATAAGAGCTGCATGCAGTGTCCCGGAATTCTCGGTCAGGGGCCGGGGGCCTGTGTCGGTCTGACCTTTTTCGAGCTCCACCGACAGCGTCATATCCCGGTTTGTTGACTGCCGCATCGATAATCGTCACTGGGTGGCTACATCCACTCAACAGACCCTTGCTCGAAAAGCAAAGTGAAGGAAGAGCTCAGCGAAAAGATCTTTTCAGCTGCGTCCGAACATCTTCCGCGTAGCTGTACATAACTAGCTTTCTCTCTTGCGACTCGTCTCTTCCCAACTATTTTTCTGTACAGCGAGACGTCATGCCTCACTCTACATCACAGTCCCTCAAGCTACTCAGCAAGAACCTCTCGCAGATTGCGTCCCAGTCGGGTCGCGCAACTGTGAGAGTCCCCACCTATGACCGTTCCTCGGTCAAGGAGGGTGTTGTCCACATTGGTGTCGGTGGTTTCCACAGAGCTCATTTGGCCGTCTACCTCCACAACTTGATGGAGAAGCATGGCGTGCGCGACTATGCCATCGCCGGTGTTGGTCTTCAGCCCTTCGACGCTTCGATGCGCGACATCTTGAAGAACCAGGATCACCTCTACACTGTCATCGAGCGCGGTGCTGATGGCAGCTCTGCCAACGTCAATGGCGCTATCACCTCGTTCCTCTTTGCGCCCGACAACCGCCAGGCCGTCATTGACAAGATGGCTCACCCTGACACCAAGATCGTATCCATGACCATCACCGAGTCCGGCTACTACTACAACGAAAACACTCACGAGCTCCAAGCCGAGCACCCCGATATCCAGCACGATCTCAAGAACGAGAACTCCCCCAAGACTACCTTCGGTTTCCTCTACGCCGGTATGAAGAGACGTCACCAGCTCGGTCTCAACCCCTTCACCGTCCTTTCTTGCGACAACATGCAGAAGAACGGTTCCATCACTCGTCACATGCTCGTCTCATTCGCCAAACTCGCCAACCCCGAAATCGCCAACTGGATCTCCGAGAAGGGTGCCTTCCCCAACTCCATGGTCGACCGTATCACTCCCCGCACCGAAAAAACCGACATTGCCGCTCTCGCTGAAGACTTTGGTATTGAGGACGCATGGCCCGTTGTTACTGAGCCCTTCATGCAGTGGGTTGTTGAGGACAAGTTCTGCGATGGCCGCCCTCCCTTCGAGAAGGTCGGTGTCCAGGTCGTCAAGGATGTTCACGACGTCGAGCAGTTCGAAATGCACAAGCTGCGCCTTCTCAACGGTTCTCACTCTGCTCTCGGTTACCCCGGTCAGCTCGCTGGCTTCAAGTACATCCACGAAGTCATCAACCACCCCGTCTACCGCAAGTTCGTCGAGCAGATGATGCACAAGGAAGTCAAGCCTCTTCTTCCCGCCATCCCTGGTGTCGACATCGACCAGTACTGCAACACCCTCATGGAGCGTTTCTCCAACCCTACCATCATGGACCAGCTTCCCCGTATCTGCCTTGGTGCCTCTGGCAAGATCCCTCAGTTCATCATGCCCTCAATCGCTGAGCAGATCTGGGGCGAACACAACTTCCGCCGTCTTTCTTTCGTCGCCGCTGCCTGGTTCCGCTACATCAACGGTGTCGATGACGCTGGCAACAAGTTCGAGGTTGACGATCCTATGGTCAAGGAGCTCCAGGCCAAGGCCAAGGCTGGTGGTAACAAGCCCCACGAACTTTTGAGCATCAAGTCTCTCTTCGGTGACGACTTGCGCAACGATGAGAGATTCATCAAGGAGGTCACCACCGCCATGGAGCTCATCGCCAAGGACGGTGTCATGGCCACTCTTCCCAAGTACATCGACTAAGTGACTCTCGACACGTGTCGACGGGAGAGCTGCTGGTCGGCATTTCCGGTCACACGATACAGAAAGAGATGATATACAGTCACACCACACAACGCTTTCCCTCCGCGTAGGTTACGCATAGGAACACCGCGAGCTCAGATCAGAGATACAATATACCCCCGAGCTCGCGGTCACGAAGAAAAGCGAGTTGGTATGTACGATAGATATGGATTGGTTATGGACCAACGTTAGAAGAACAACAGCATAAATGAAGCGATTTCTTCAAGTCAATATCCTCGTCCCTGCAATTGTGTAGCATGACAACTTACAGCTGCTACGCACCAACGGCATCATCGTGACATGTTTGTCTATCGCGTGCAATTCTTGATGCTATTTGACAGCGCGAATATATGAACAGGGTGATGACCATTTCTCTAGTGACGAAAGTATGAAAAGAGCCGCACATGACGACGCGATTGCGGAGATGATGGGATGGTTGGCTTGGGCCTCGGAAGTGCACGCGAGTCATTGAGAGTGACCAGGCTTCATGTCGTTCGCCATGGCTTCCTCCCTCTGACCTCTACACCGACTATCCTCTGGAAGCAGAGGAGGCACAATCCACACTTTAAGGTCTGTACACATCATGGTGGGCCAACCGAGTGGAAACACTGGTCGAGGCCCTGTCATCGACAAACTCGATTACCACCCCGGCCGACCACTACTACGCGCCGACGACGAGGCCGAATCCTCAGGCAGACCAAGTGCCGAACACAGCTATGCAGGCAGCTTCTTTGAACAGGTCGCCGAGGGCATCCAGAAGCGCGACAGGCAAAAGATGCAGCTCCAACTCTCTCGCTACCTCACGTTTGCTTGGGCCATTGTCAACTGGTTCGATCTACTCCACCTACCAAAATCAATACCCTGACTGATATATTCCCTAGTCTAGTCGCCGGATCAATCACCTGCTTCTCCGTATACGCTCCCTTGTTCCAAAAACGTCTGCACTACACACAATTGCGGGTCAACACCATCTCCATCACCGCCGAACTAGGCATGTACCTGCCTGTACCCATCTTCGGCTTCCTCTGCGATCGCTACGGCCCCGGCATTCCCTCGGTTCTGTCGGGCTGCTTCGCTGGCTTCGGTTACATATTGGCAGCGTTCACCTACCGCAATCCCGACTGGCCTTTTGGCGTCATGGTCTTCGCTTTTGTCTGGGTCGGTATGGCTACTAGCTGCATGTACCTCAGTGCTGTCACCACCTGCGCGAAGAACTTTGGGAGAGGTAAACACAAGGGGCTTGCACTGGCTTTGCCTATTGCTGCCTTTGGTCTGAGCGGCATGTGGGAGAGTCAAGTCGGAAGCCGCTTGCTGTACGAGAAGAAGCCCGACGGCACCCCTGGAGACATTGATGTCTTTCGCTTCTTCATCTTCCTCGGCTGTACACTGTTCACAGCTGGTGCTCTCGGTTTCTTCCTCCTGAGAATCATCGACGAGGACGAAATGATTGATGAGGCAATTGAAGAGCTGGAACAGAGTGGCTTGCTGGAGGATAGTGCATTCTTCAGAAGGGGCTCACATAGTTCCCACCACGAAACTTATGGCGCTGTGGAGGATGAAGACGATGAGGAAGAGCGTCTACGCAAAGAAGAGGAGGCTCGCAAGAAGACATGGCTGCTCAATGAAGAGACAAGTCGATTTCTATCTGACAGGAGCATGTGGCTACTTGCTGGCGGCTTCTTCCTCGTCACTGGTCCTGGTGAAGCCTTTATCAACAACCTCGGAACCGTCATTGGCACTTTGTACCCACCAACAATGCCTGACGAAGAGATTCCCACAAGCGCCGCGACTCACGTCTCTATCGTTGCCATCACCTCTACTATCGCGCGTATCTTGACAGGTACTCTATCCGACTTGTTTGCCCCTACGTCTGTACCGCACCAGCACCGCAGAGGTCCCAACTCACTCATGTCATCCATGGCCACTTTACCTGGTGTAGATGCTGCGGAAACCCCAAAACGCCTGGAGATCTCACGTATAACATTCCTGCTCGTGTTCTCACTCATCATGTCTGTCGGTCAGGCTATACTTGCTTCAGGTCTTGTTCAAGATCATGGCGAACGCTTCTGGTGGGTCAGCGCTGCGGTTGGTGCTGGATACGGTGCTGTATTCAGTCTGACTCCTATCATTACTTCGGTTGTATGGGGTGTCGAGAACTTTGGAACGAATTGGGCTTGTGTTGCTACTGTGCCTGCCTTGGGCGCGACGTTATGGGGCTTGTTGTACAGTGCTGTGTATCAGTATGCAGCCAACGACAACGTAGAGGCAAGTAGTGAACTTTGTTTTGGACGGGCGTGTTATGCGCCGACGTTCTGGGCTATGGCAGTGAGCGTTTGGGTAGCATGCTTGTTATGGCTTTATGCATGGCGGGGTCCTGGCGGTTGGTATAGGCGAGACATTGTGGTTTAGATATGCATCTCGATCTAGAGTAGAAGGAGGTAGCATTTCTTTTAATTGGCCAAGTCCATTGTTCACCAATCTTGCACCTTATCTATCAATCGGTCCATGTTGTTTTGTAGTCGGTCCATTCGTGATGCCAGCGTCATTCTCTCGTGCTTGTTGCAACACCGTCTGGTGACGACTCGCAAGCAAATCAGCCCCGCGCTGTTTGCAGTGTCCGAGCTTTGGCTTAAATGTAAGACGAACAGCTCATTGAAACACAACAAGAATCGAAACTTCCAACAACTCATCACCAGGAAGAAACACTCGAAGACAGGAATGCTGTGATGGCAGATTCCACAACAATTCAACGTGTGGAAGACTTGGTGGCCCAGGCACGAGCATGCATCGAGCAACGCCAACTCTCAAAAGCAACCCAGCTAGCCAAGGAAGCAGCATCTCTAGCACCCACAAACCAAAACGTTCAAGCCTTGGTTCAATCTCTATCGAATCAAGACTCGAATGGAAGTCAAATTCTCACTCTGGTCAAAAACTACGTGGAACGCGGAGAAACAAAAGATGCTCAAGAAGCTGTCGACCTCCTGAAGCAACATACAGCCATACCAACGGACCACATTAACGATGTCGCTCACTTACTGTTCGATCACGAAGGAAAGCCTACAGAGATTAGAGACCAACTGACTGGAGCCTTCGTCATCAATTCCGCCGCAGCACGCAGACAACTTGCCAGCAGAATACAGGTTGGCACAGAAGCGACCCGATACTTTCGTCTACTCTGGAAGCGCGGCGAGCACAGCTTTAACAGTATCTTACCGGTTCTCTTGGACGCGGACGCATGGCCCAATGCAGAAGTCCAAACACAGGCCAAGCGTGACGCTTTCCTGCTTGCTCTGGGCAAACTTCTGGATCCAGCTTTGGAGCATGGCGAGTGGAGCATGACATTGATCGCCAGGTTACTCACTAGCAATGCGCATGATATGGCTGGACTCATCGACCGCGACACCTTTGAGATTGTGCTTGCACAGCTGGATATTCGTCTCGATGCTAGAATCAGGGCACAGGCGACCTTGGCCGTTGCGAAGTTGCTCGAGGAAACGCGCGAGGAGGGTGAAGCTACATTCACGGATTATGTTACCAGTACTGTGTCCAAAGGTCACAATGATGAGCTGATTGTGGCTTTCTCAGTAGCAGCTTCGGTGTTTCCATTGGTGCCAAAGACTGTGGCTAAGCTGTTCCTCACTCCTGGATTTCTGGAAGGTTTGGTACCTGTTCTGGAGAGGAACTCCATGGGACAGAGGTGAGTTGTGTGACCAGATTTTGAAAGTCAGCACTGACACGTATTCCAGAAAATCACATCGTCTCGAGCAGGCAGCCATGGAGTTGATGAGTGCAGCATGTGTAGACAAGGCATGTAGAGAGAGCATCGCTAAGATTGCGTATGACTGGCTTGACGATGTAGCACACACCAGCACGGAAGCGGAAGCCGCGAGTATGGCTGCATTGGTGCTTGCGAAGATTCCGTAAGTATTCCTATGCCACGATTGAAAAGCGCATCGGTGCTGACATACCACAGACCAAAGCCCGAGTCCGAGGGTTCGTCGGTAACACATGCAGACGACCTCTCGTCCCTTCTCGTGAACCTCACATTGAATGCCAGTAGCCCTGCAGAGCAACAGAGTTCGATAGAGGGTCTCGCATACACTTCGCTCCAACCGAAGATCAAAGCCGAAATTGTGTCGAATACTGCTCTACTCAACAAGCTCGTCGAACGACTCAGATCCACAACAACAGCCGACCCATGTACCTTTGGCATTCTGACAATCTTCTCTAATCTAGTCTCGTACCGTCCAGCACAAAGCGAAGAGCAGCAGAAGATGTCCCAACTAAAGAACTACGCCGAAGCCAAAAAGCCCGATGAGAAAGACTCTCTAGACGACGATGAGCACGTGACAGCACGCTGCAAGACAGTGCTAGATGCTGATCTCGTGCCCGTCCTCGTAGCAGCGGCTAGAAGCCACTACACAGTAACCATCCTCGGCATATCATCGAAAATCTTGCACGCCCTCGCACGCGAGCAGAAGCACCGCGGTAAGCTCGCTCAACAAGGTGCCGTCAAACTGCTTCTCCAAACCATCGATCGCCTCCAAACACCCACTGGACCTTCCTCATCTTCCAACTCCGCAGAAGCGACCATTCATCTAGCAGCACACGCACTAGCCCGCATCCTCATATCGGTGAACCCTCACCACGTCTTCAGCAGAGCAATGCCCGCGATCTCCGCCCTACGACCCTTGACTCTGCTGCTCACCCCCGACACCAGCGCAGAAACTAGAGATCTCCTACCCGTCTTCGAATCCCTACTGGCTCTCACAAACCTCGCCTCCCTAGACGACGAAAGCGTCAAAGACGCACTCCTCCGCAACGCCTGGGATCCCACTCAAGACCTGCTTCTCTCCACAAACAAACTAGTGCAACGCGCTTCTGTAGAGCTCGTCTGCAATCTCATGGCTTCTCCCGCCGGCGTCGCAAAGTACGCTGATGGCTCACCGGCGGCAAGTCAACGCTTACACGTCCTTCTCGCGCTCGCAGATGCCGAAGACCACGCTACTCGATGCGCGGCAGGCGGTGCATTGGCTATGCTGACCGAATGGGATCAAGCTGCCAAAGCAGTGCTTGAACATCAACGTGGCGTACGCATTCTCTTGGATCTATGCACTGATGATGCAGATGATGTCAAACATCGGGGTTTGGTGTGTATACTCAATCTGGTGTCTGCACCTGGAGATATCGGTGAAAAGGGCTTGGAGAAGGTTGTGCAGGAAGATGGAGTGGAGGAGATCAAGAAGGGATTGAGGGAGTGTAGGCAGCCGGATGTCATGGCTGTTGGTGTGGAGGTGCTCAAGGCCGTTATGGCTAAAGAGGGGACGAAGGGGAAAGCTATTACGCAGGGTTAGGAACGGAGCCGTGGAATAAGAGGACGGTTTTGGGCATTTGTACTCGTTGGGTGTAGGATGATTGTTCTTGCATAGTCTAGCTTAGCATTGGTTCGCGGTATTGTATAGCGAATGAAAAACATTCTACCTGCGTTGCAGCAACATTAATCTTGCGAGCTCATCACAACCTAATGTAGTCAACATTGGAGCGGATGCTACAAAATGTCCACACAGAGATCAAGTCAGAAGATCGCCCGTTGAACCACCGCTGCTCTCTTTTGCTTTCTTGAATTTGATTTATTATTCTTGTTGATATTAAGCTAGCTTAGGTAGCATTCACACCCTTGACCGCAAAGATTCTGCTAAGAAGAAAAAATCAAGAAAGAAACAATGGTATCTAGTGAAACAACTATCATGGTTCATCAAAAGTCGTAACAAGATCTCGGTGCTCCACCGTGTAAGCGGCCGACGGCGAGATAGACAAGTGTGGCCGTCGGCGAAAAAGACTCCAATGCCATGCAATGAAAAAAAAGTCCAGACACCCGTTTGTTCATCCAACGCCGGTCCGGCGATATTGAATGAGGGGTTGGAAATGCGGATGTGCGACGATGGAAAGTTGGTAGTAGACATCTCGGACTCGAATGCCGAGATTCGTTCAGTACATATCTGTGGTCTGTTGTGTCGACGGTTTCGCAGAATAGGTCTGTTGTTGCTACCCTCGTAGGCTGACTGTGATGCAGTACACGACTGTACTTTCCGAGCAGTGTATGAACCGGTAAACAACGACCTCGAACCCCCACAGTATTGGGCCACGGTCAGGAATCGCTTTATTTGTCTGCGAGACTAGTCGTGACTGATGCAGTGGTCGTGAACACTTTCGGGAACGCTACACCGACTTCACTACCTGTGATGAGTGCGCGATTCGTCACTTATGTTTGGTCGCCGTCAAGACGGGCGGAATTGAGAAGACCAGTGAGAGAATGGGCTCATGCAGTATCCTCCAGATCTTAGAAATCTTTGCCTGACATAGCAATTTTGGATGGTCCGTCAAGTGGATATAACCGGCTGACAGTGAATCTCTTCTTGGATCGTCTGTCGCTCATGTTGGTGGTTTGCCGTTAGAAGTTTCTTGAGCTTCATCAATCGAGTCGACCACATCGACATAGGCATAAGTGCTTCGTCTCCGAGAGGAAGGCCTGGAACAATGTTGGCAATTCGTCTTCGAGTGTAGATTCGAGAAAGAAGTTCGCTCACGTTTCCTGAGATTTTGTCACCGTGCTCACTGACACGGGTGTGTCTTCGACCATCGTAGAGCCTGACTCACGCCAAACCTTGCTCCATCGACTAGGTTTTGTGGCTTGCTCGTAGGTAACCTCGAAGTTTGTGCTGTGTCGGATGGTACCAAGTTCGATGTCGTCTTCCTTCTTGGACAGTCTGAACAGTTTCTTTTTTGGTCCTTCAACCGTGGTCTCATTGTGACCCTTGAGATTCGTCTGCTGACTCCGGTTTGTCGCCACAGACTCAAGCTGCGATAATCGTGACATGCCGGATATGGGCAGTGTTGCAGGAAGCTCTACAGCTCTTTCCTTGTCAAAGCCCATGACCAGAGCGGCACCGTTAGATACGGGGCTGGAACGATCAGAGGACTCCTCAACGACAGTGTCGAAAGGCGACACCAGCGGTCTGAAGGATGGGAGCGATGCAGTGACCATACTCCACAAAAGAAGAATCTGAAGCCAGACAACCGGCTGAACGACTTCAAGGCCTCTATCACCGTATTTGTCCATCGACTTGTCAAGGTAGTACAAATGAAGAACAGTGAAGGCGATGACAGGAAGCCTAGCTGCAAATGTGCCTATGATGATTGCTTTGTGCTTCGGGTTTAGCAGGATTCGGCAGATCAAAACGATCGGCACAAGTACGAGCGCTATCTCAGACGAGATGTCGAGCGTCTTGATCACGATCCACCTCGTGTCCTACGACAACGTCAGCTCTAGTGCTCTACCTCAGTGTATATATCAGGGCAACATACCAGCTTAGGACATAGATCCTTGCTCCTGAAATACCAACCAGAGGGGCAGTCGATAGATAGGAGTAGGATGCTAGTGATGCCGAAGATGAAATTCAGAGCAAGCAGAATATCGCAAATGATTTCGTTGAGTCGTTCTTGACCGTAGAACAGGCGGCGAGTGAAGAGGGTCAGAGAGATTTTGGCCAGATAATGAACCACAAAGAATATGACAAGCCTTGTATAACTGCTCTGCGGTCTGTGTAAGCTGCGGTTTTTGCCTCAATTGTTCTCGCATTGCTTACATTTGCAAGTGCTTCTCTATGTTTTGAGTCATTGATGCTCGACGAAAGCCCTAGCCCGTTCCTGAGTGCGATGAACACGAACGTGTGCTGGACTATGCACGCCAAAGTGGACACGAGCAAGGCAGCATCGTCGAAGCTGTACATTCCACGGCGGAGGATAAATCGCACGCTGCTGCAGAGAAGCGCATACGTCAGACTGATGATGCAGACCACCCAGACAACACCAGAATGGTCTGTGGCAGTGAGTTGGGCGAAGAAGTGGACGTCCGGAGGTAGATCATCTGTCGAGAGAGCCGTGAGGTTTCCCATACCGACTATGGGTGTGACGCCGACTGTGTCGCGATGTGCATCGAAGGGAAAAGTTGATGGGTTCGATGAGATCGCATGTCCACATGAGACAACAAAAGCTCAGGTCGACTTTCTAGAATGCAGTCGCAAGGCCGTTACTCGCGGCTTCAATAAAGGTCACGGATGTCTCTTGCCAATTCGTGGCCTCTGACTCGGTCTCATCCGGACCCCGCATCCGCGCCTGCTAGATGTCAACATTCGCCAAACTAGCATGATCTGGACAGCCGGCCAAGCTCGGTTTTGGTGAGGACGTTGTAGAGCTGTAGATGCCTACACGGCCAAGGCCTCCACAAACCCAACGGTCGACGCCTCATTCGATGCAAGCGTTGCCAGCTTGACACGAAAAAGGGTTAGATGCGTAATGCGATATCAACTGACGACCTGTCAGGCTTGTGTCGCAATCTTGACCTTGCGCATAGCGTTTGTCAGCTTGAACCAGCTTTCAATGTGCAATATCTGTGCCGGCGTCAAAGCTGGTGCACTAACAGGGGTCTCTTCTCGCACATGACATTGAACAGAGCTCTCAGTCAATACGGAACAAGCCTCGTGGCGAGCTTCTAACGTTGTTTGCTCATTGAACGACTTGTAGGATCTGCAACAGAACATATTCTGTCCTTCTGGAAATCCCGGCTTCTTGGTCACCAACACGATGCCTGAAGACTCCATCAATAAATCCTCCAGTGTCGAGGTCGTCGAAGCCAGGAAGCGTAGTCTGTTTAGGCCTGTCGCTACAAGGGGCGATAGCTTTCTCGCTGAGCGCGATGAGGGGAGCAAACTGGACGACGACTCTGCTCCAAAGGCAAGCATCTCATCTGCTCGCTCACGGCCACCGCCGACACCTAGAACTGCTACCTATCAACCGGAATGGGCGCAGGATGCAGAGAACTTGCATATGCCACCAGTGGCTGGGGACGACCTTGGATCGCCAGAGGATCTCAAAGATGTTTTGAGGATGGGTATAGTACAAGAGATGAGAGTAAGTTTGAGTTCTGTTCAAGCACTTCAAAACGGTGGTGCTGATATGTCTTGACCAGAGAGTGTTTCGACAATTTTCGCTAATATCATTCGGATGCTTGTATGTCCTTCAAATCCAACTGCGAGTTATGTGACTGACAATGTTGAATTAGGGCACAATGTTGGGGTCCTTTAGAATTGAACCGCGAGAAACGTGACTGACGCTGTTGGTCAGGTACCTGGGAATTCATATTGCTCAATAACAACCAGACTCTCGAAGCAGGCGGATGTGCTTTGCTTTTTTGGTCCTGTTCGTGGTAATCTTTGGGTCCAGAGAGTACAATGCTGACGAACAAAACTTAGATGTCTGGTCTGCCATTGGATCTTTGTTTATCACGGCTTCACTGGCTGAGATGAGCTCGATGTGAGTGTTCGAAGAACGCCTCTTTTCAGCAAGGCTGACAGTGGTCTAGGACGCCGAGCTCGGCAGGACAGTATTTCTGGGTCTCAGAGTTTGCCAGTAAGCGCTGCCAGCGATGCCTATCATATATCACAGGTAAGCAAGTGTGTATTGATCCTAGAACGGCGACTTACTTTCCGATAAGCTTGGATGACAGTCATCGGCTGGCAATGTGGAAATGCCTCGGGAATTTTCCTGACAGGCTCGATGATGCAGTCAATAATCACCATTTATCGCCCTGCCAACGGTACAATGATCTGGCAGACGATCGTGTTCCTGCTCCCGGCTCTCGCTCTGGTCATCTTGACAAACATATATAGTAATCGTGCGATAGCGATCACACAGAATATCCTGATGTCGGTACACATTCTTGCCGTCATAGCAATTATCAGTATGTTGAGTTCCCGGATATTCCACTTGAGTCTATGCTGATCGGGAGACAAGCAATCTTCGGAGTGCTGTCGCCACACATTCCAGTAGAGAGAGCGCTTCTCAAGATGGACAGTTCCGAGTGGTCGTCTCCGGGTTTGGCGGCACTTTTCGGTCAGGCAAACGCGAACTACAGCGTTTTTTGTGAGTCGTGCTGTTATCCTTCAGCATAAAAGGCTAACTCCAGTAGATGTCGACGCTCCAATTCGTCTTTCGGAAGAGGCACAAGATGCTGCAGTCTCCGTGCCTAAAGCAACAATGCGCAGTCAATTGATCTCGTGTGTCTGTGGACTTTTCGTAAGTTGTCTTCATCAAACTGTACGGCTCACTTCCTGACAACCTTGGCTAGGCTATAACAGCATTTGTATTCTGCGTCCCGAACATTTCAGATGCTCTGGATCATCCGACAGGCTACTCCCTCTTCTACGTTTTACAACTATCCGTTCCGAATGGTGTAATAGTGGGTGTTCTCCTGGCGTTCATTATTCTCATTGGAGCAAGTAACATTGGATTTGCAGCTGCGACAGCAAGGATCACATACGTATTTGCCAGAGACCAAGGCCTTCCCTTCTCTGAGTGGATAAGTAAGGTATGTGGTTTTTGGGCTGAAGACCATTGCGAGGATCTGCTGACGCAAAACTCAAGGTGCACAAGAAACGGCTGACACCGATCAATGCTGTGTTCTTGACAGCAGCGATCAGTCTCGCACTGTCGTTGATAGTCCTCGGATCCATGACCGCTTTCTATGGCATCGTGGGTGTTGCACAGGCCACGCAAGCCATGTCGTACACACTGGCCATCTCGAGCGTGCTGTACCGTCGCATGAAGTCGCCAGAGAAGATGCCGAGAGCGCGATGGAGCTTGGGACCTCTGTGGGGTCCAATCATCAACCTGCTAGCCATTGTAAGTACATGCTGTAAACCAAGCTTTCAGCTCCTCGGCTGTCTGCTATTTCTCAGTCCACGGACAGTATACTGATTATGGTTCTTCTTCCAGCTGTTTTCGATCAACTGCTTCATCTTCTCATTCACTCCACCAACTTTACCAGTCACATCGACAAATTTCAACGTATCGCCCGCAATTTTCGTAGGCTTGCTGGTCATAATGATGGTCACGTATCGTTTCAGACGGAACAAATACGTCGGACCAGTGACGCGTACGAGAGATACTCCCAGCTGGAATATGAGCCAGATGGGTACTGATCAGGGTACTCGTTTCCTGACAATTCCGGATGAGCTTCGATAGTGTTCTTATATCGATCAGTCTAGCAAGACGTTTGCGAGGTTGTCTTGTGCGGTTTTTGCAGTATCCAAGCACTTCAACTGAACGAGCCAATTGCACAACGAGCTCTGGCTCACCATTGAGGAATTTCGACACCTCAGTCTCCAAGAACGGTCCGTGCCATGTGGTGGGATTCCGTGGGCATCGCCTAAATTAGCCGTGACCTCCTTCTTCGTTGAGTTGAACAATACGAGCTTGCGAGAGTCGACGGACTAAGCTCTCCGAGAGACCATGGCTGGGTGTATGATTTTGCCAGTGTAAAACTGTTCGAGGGAGCCAGAAAGTCGAGAACAGAGCGTTGTTGTGGTAAGCAGTCATCCAGCTCGGGCTGACCATCCGAGAAGATGCAAGTCGGGGTTCCAGATCCTTTACCATCCACCTCGTCTGACATTCTGACTCCAGCATATCGGCGTCGTGTGAATATAAAGTTTCCACGGAGTCTAGAGAGCAGAGGGGTAAGATCTCAATTATTGCTGCTATAGGCGAAGTGCTCAAAGTGTTTTTGAAGAGCTCTTGACTGTCGGATAATTTTCGAATTCTGTCAACTGTGTGATACTCGACCTACACGATACCGCTAAGCTAGCGCCCACGTTCATGCAGCTGCGTCACCTTCGTCTGCAATGAACTCAAATCGCGACCGGGTTGGACATGTGCATCCACCAGTAAGCTGACATGCCTCGCGCTGTCCATGAATTTGAGAAACATCTACCGTATGTGTGTGCTGACGGCACTGTGTCGGACGTGGCCGAACGATTGACGAGAAGAGGAAAAAATCCCACCTGCCGAATTCCTTGGGTCATGAATCTGCGATGTGAAGACACGAGTACAGCATCGAGGACTCGGTAGTTTCTCGATCCGCGAATTTGTAGCAGTTTTTGCTTCAGATTGCAAGCATCGATGTCGTCGCGCGTCTCCACATGGTTGACCACACTTGTGGATGGTCCATACAACGAAAGATCCCGAGTCAGGATGTAAGCGGACTAGCGACCGCCGCTCTTCGAACCATTTGAGCTCCACTTCCACAATTAAGCTCAACTTTCTGTCACCTCAAATCGAGAACAGGTTGGTACGGCGAGCATGTACTCGTTCATGATGGCCTGAGGCAACTCCCCAACATGTGGTTTTGGGAATCTCAACGTCTTTGCACATGCAAGGTACGTCAGGTCGAGAACGCTGGAACATGCTGCGCCCTCCGGGTCGTGATTAGACTGAAATCCGATTCCAAATTCTCCTGGTGACATTATCGACACACGAGCTTGAGCAGTGAGCGACGTCTCAAGGCTCGCAGACGGTTCGAATATGTCCAATTAAAGCTGACATACCATTGTTAAGCCTCGTGGGGTCAAAAAGAAGCGTGAAAATGCCGATGAGATCGTGTCGACGGCTGTCTCGAGGTCAAAACAGGCTCCAAACGGAACGCAATAATTCGAGCGAGCTGGCCAATGACAAGGGTGCGGCGCTTCCAAGACCGATCTTTGGGCGAGTCAGCTATCGTATCAAGGTTAGTTAACGGCGATGCATGATACCTTTTGGTCTGCTCGGCGAGGACCGAGAAGCGGTGCCAGAGGCGTGTCTGTGGGACTGGAGTCTGGAAAAGGGTAAAGAGGCTGAGCTTCGAACAGGTAGCTGGGGCGCACCGTCACACACCTGTCCCAAATAGGTCCAAGCAGACAAGAGCCGCACGGACTTCTGACTCTTTTGAGGAGGTCAACACAGGCCCTTGTAGGGATTCCCTGAGAAAGGCCCGGTTACCCGGACGCATGTCGCTTCACACTTGCAGCGCTTGCAGTACCACGAACGACTAGAGGCTGGAGAAATTGGAATCGGCAGCTGCAAGCCTACTTCGCAGCCCCAGCTGCTCCCTCACGCTGGTATTGAAAGCGTGAGTGGTGATGTGTGGGCATTTCGGCAAGATCTCTCGACCCAGTAAGTATCTCGATGGACCAAAAGTTTATCGCAACTTCCTACAAACGCCAAAATCAGATCCTCAAATCAATCTGATGTGAGGATGAGATGCACATACCAGGTATCATAACATCCGCGAACCAGTAGACTGGCTAAGGTTGCTAGTCTGGAAAGTTTAGTGGCCCCCACTCCTTTAACGTTACTGCAGGTGTGCATGGCATGCGATTTAGCCTTGTCTGTCTCGAGATCTCCGCTCTAGCATGTGGTTAGAGAGGCATCATTTCTTTAAATATGGTTTCCGCTGCCACCATGCCTGCAGCTCGAGAGGTCTCCTCGATGGTCTTTGACTGGCCCGACCTTGAAGCAATGCAACAGCATGTTTATCAACATTACAGTCCCCTCTGACACTCAGAAGGGCGATCTACGACGAGCCATTCGATCGCAGGCCGCATTAAGCAGTGCTGATTCTCGCAAGAGCACTATCGCTGCCAGAGCTACCACCAATTCAGCTTCACCTGAGGAACAGAAGTCATTGAGATTACGAGTACGGAGGAAGAGTAGAGCAAAGGCAATCAAAGATGACCCAGAAGCACCACGCAGCTCATCGGTCTCCATCGCTTCCACTCAAAGTTCTCCCCGCTCCAGCACCTACAGCCCATTGCAACCAAACTACGTCTTCACCTCACAGCCTGACCAATGGAACCGATCCAATACTTATCTGGCATACCCCTGCGTGGATGAGTGGCATCCAGCAATCCCGCAATTGGTTGATACATGTAATTTTCGTGTCTCTTTGATGTTGATGTCCTCGCTAACCACCCTGCAGACTTGACATATTTCGCTCCTAGCGTTCAAGACCCCATCTATCTATCCGACCGGCCAGTCCTTCGCCAGGATCTATGGCCCGAAACTCCGTCGCATGGTAGTCTGTTCTTCGCAAATCTCCTCATCGCATCATCTCATCCCTCCTACTCAAGGGAACAAACACCAGAGACTATTGCGTGCACCGCCTGGTTGCGGCATCAAAGCATGCGTAGCCTACAGGCCGCATTGGATCCGACCGGAGGCATGAATACGAGTGATCAATTGATCGCTGCAGTATGTCTGCTCTGCGCTTGGGAGTTTCAGTCTGGCGACGAGCTTTCTGCAGCAGCACATATGACTGGACTCAAGACAATGGTGAACATGCGTGGAGGCTTCCATAGCCCTGACTTTCCGCTCATCGTTCGCCGCCTCATAGCCTTTGTTACCTACGACCAGCCCTGGTACTCTGGACTGGAGCCAGTCTTCATGCCACAAGGCGTCCAGCGGAATATCACCATTGATCTACACAGTCTCGATTTACCGATGGGCTTCGCATCCTTTGTGAGGCCCAACCGGATCTGCGCGATCGCACCCTCAACTCTAGGATTTGTCTCTGAGATCAACCTCATCATGAAGAGACCCCGACACCGGAAATATGCCTTACTCGATGTCCAATCACGTCTGGTCGAGTACAACTTCCTGGAAAATGTGACGAGCAATTTCTCTCCAATTCAGACTTCTTTCGACGACACGATCTCAGTCCAAGCCGAGCACCACATCAAGCTTGCTTTGTTATTCCTCATCTCTCACCTCCAAGGCAGCAGCTCTGAGCAGTATTGGGAGATGACAAAGTCCTTGTTTCCTGAGGTTCTCATCAACACCGTCTATGCCGAGGTCGGAGTATGGGCCCTCTTCATGATATACAGTACGATACAGATGCCATCTCCTGTACTCTTGGATGGACTAGAAAAGCTAGTCTCGAGCCTACACATCACTGACTGGTCGATGGCTGACATGGTTCTACGTCGACACCTGTATCCTTTCGAGAGCCTTGATGTTGCTTCGCTAGCAATGTGGAGCCAAATGGTCTTGAACCGGCCGATCATTCCTGAGCAAAACAATCTTTCGAGATATCATATCTCAGCATATAGACGCGACGAGGGGCCGCTTCTAGAGATGGATTCAATGCTGCTGTCGCCATTGAGTCTTCAGAGCACATCAAGTTTATCATCCTAATGACTATACACACACAAGTAGCAGTCTCACTGATCTGCACGAGCACCATGACTATCCAAGATACAGAATCTGAGTCGACATTTACCACTTTTGTACCTTCGCGTGTAGGGAACCCGCCTGGGGCAAGAAGCGCGGCCACTCCACTCAGCAGTTCTGCCGTCCCCTGGGATAACTCTTCGGTCTCGCACCACAACCATCACAGAATCACACCTGCAGACGGAACGCTGTCCAAGCTTACCCGTCACAGAGGAGCCGAAATATATCTTGACAAATACGAATCTAATGAACCTAAATTTAATATGTTGAAGAGGGACTCCTGTAAGGTGCATCAGTTTAGACTCTCGTGACGGGTGGGTGGTCGTTGGGACCATCACCTTCAACAAAGAAGCAGAGAGCGGGAACTTATCTGTTGACCCAATCACCACCTTGCTAAAACACTCGTTTGTTTCGTAAATACCGCAGAACACTTAACCAGCCGAACTCCTGAACAGGCGTGCACAACATTGTCACGCTGCACGTCATAACAGAAGAATCAAGAATTACATCTTTTTTTGACTACCTAGGGAAACAGCGACTCATGGAAAGGGGAAAGGAAAGCGACAGAAAACTGTGATAGGGGAGCAACGACAAGATCAGTAATAGCGATTCTTGATTGCCTCAGCAGCTCTTTCTGCAATGGCATAGATGGTAGCAGTCAAATGACCGCACACCTGGAAAGGAATGACAGAAGCATCGACAACGCGTACGTTATCAACGCCGTATACCAAAAGATTGGTATCCACCACACCGCCAAGGTCTTGTGCCATCATGGCAGCAGTGGAGATGTAGTGGTAATTTGAGCGGTCTAAGAATGGTAAAAGTCAGCATTTTGATGTCACACCTGCCCGCGGAGGGAAAGTGCAGAAACTTACAGCTGTCTTTCACGGCTTGAGCCCAGACTTCGTCAGAGGCATTGAGGGGTACGCTCTGGAGACCAGGACTGAGTTCGCCAGTAACGACATCGCATAAAGCGTCTGAGCCAGCTAGTTTCCTCACTGCCTTGGCAGTACCAATCTGTTGCTTCAAATCGTAGTCAAGCTGGAAGTAGTTCGGGTTGATTGCGGCAGGGGTCGTGGAGTCGTTGGATTGAATGTGGATGCTACCACGAGAAAATGGCAGTAGTCCCCAGTATGAAAAGTCCATCCTGTTCTCACCAGGAGTAACCAGGATCTCGGAGATGGGAATTTGATCCTTGAAGATGAGGTCGTGGTGGATCATGAATAGCTTCTCCATTACTTTCTGGTCGAGAACGCCGTTAGAGGCTTCCACGACGGAAGCGGCGTATTGCAGTAGCGAGTCGCGGACTGTGCAATTGAGGTCATAAGTATCGTTGCCGAAAATGTCTGCAACGCTGAAGTAGCCAACGTAATCAGCGGTACCCGAGAAGCTGGTGTTGGAGCTGTATGCACCAGCTCCGGTGGTCTGATCTTGGAGATTCTCTCCTACAAAAGGTAGATCAACCTTGACTTTGATACCGTGCTGACCCAGAATACTGTCTTCGATTAGCCCCTGACATGTTTATTAGAGATTTCATTGCTTACTCGGAACTTCCAATTCCTGAATATTCCAAGATCAACGGTGACCTCAATGCACCAGCAGAAAGAATGACCTCCTTTTTGGCAGTAATAGTTCTTTGCTTTCCAGAAGCATCCGTATACATCACTCCGTTAACACGAGGGGTGGAGTTCGTCGAAGCTTCGTCCCATGTCATGCGCTGCACGAAAGAGTTTGTGTAAAGATCCAGATTGGTCCTGTTCTGTATAGGCAGATAGTAAGCACGACCAGCGTCTTCACGAACATTAAGTCCTTGATCAACAGTCACTGGGTAGCGGGTGAAGCCACGCATACTACCATCGTTCGCTTCCTCTATGTATGGCAGTCCAAGAGAGGTGTATGTAGCGTTAATCAGCGAGGTGACATCTTTACCCTGAAGGGCGTTGGGCCATCCGGTCTTGAGAGGGCCGGTCGTGCCGTGAACAGCAACATCATATGTGGTACCAGCGGCGCATTGCTGTTCAGTGGGAATTTGGAAGTGCTCGCTCTGCTTGTAATAAGGTAAAAGGCTCTCCCAGTTCCACCCGTCGTTTCCAAGGTGCTCCCAAGCGTTTATCTGAGCTGCTTGAGCCCTCAAATATGCCAGGCCTTTGTTTTCGTCAGGAAGAATACACGGTATACACAATGACGGACTTACCATTAATTGTGCTTGTTCCACCAAGGGCCTTGCCGGCTCTCAATGTCTGAGTTTTGTTTCCAGCGTATGCTTGGGGTGCGCTTTCGTATTGCCAGTCAATTTCTGTTCCGAAAGCCAGTCCATAGCCATCAACAGTGGTTACATTCTTGTTGTCGAATACCAGATCACCGGCCTCAATGACTGCGACTGATGTGTACGAGTTCTCAGATAGTCGATTGGCGATTACCAGACCAGCTGTCCCACCACCGACTATAACAAAGTCGTAGACTCCGGCACTCTCAGGTGCAACGTCACTGGCGGAAGAATCAGATGCTGTTTCGCAGCCGATTACATCAGGACTTTCGCAAGTTTGTCCGTTGGCAGAGGCTTCACTAGATGAGGTCGCAGGAGCTGGGACGTCAGTCGTTGGTAGGCTGGATGGGGCTGTGGTCGTGTATGCAACCGTCAAACTCGAAGTATTATTCCCGTATCCAGAAGAAGAAGTCCCGGAATCCTGAGGCACTTCAGTGCTAGTAGCAGGGACTGCGTCTACTACGGAAGAAGCGATACTGCTTTCCTGAGGGGCGTTATATCCTTGTTCATTGGAGACAGAGCCACTATCGTAGCCGTATGATTCGCCATTAGTAGGACTAGGGCTGCTCTCGTAAGAAGCAGGGCTACCATTGTATGTTGGTGCATCGGCATACGATGAGCCATGGGAGTGGCCGTGCGAGAAGATATCGCCAAGTAGATGATGTCCGCCAAACAGATCACCAAATATTGGCAGCGCCAGCGCTGGAGAAACCAGAGACAACGCAGCAATCGAATACCGCATCGTAACTGAGGCAAAGGAAGACGAATGGAAAGAGTGAGTGAATAGATCTGCCATGCAGGATCTTGCAGACCTCCGGATTATGTACTTGCCCTGAAGTTTGTCCGAGTACGCAACTATGCCGTGATCATTTGGAGCAAAGCTGTAACGCATTAGTGTTGCATGCATCACTCGGGGCATATGTCAAGTTTCACGGCTATGGTTGGTGATCACCTACCAAAGTCTTCACAAGAATCTGATCTTGATGCTGAGCGTGGAGCTGATTCGCCTCAAGCGAACAGTCCTACTGTAAGATTGCCTTCTGAATCCACCGGCGCATAAGATATACAACAAGCAACAAAGGCTTGATTGAGCGGCTAGCATAGATGGCTCAAAGCTTGGCGTTTCAGATCAACTTCTGGTGAACCCTGGTATTACATTGCGGAGCTGTTGTTTCGAATGTGACACTCAAATAGAGTATACGCTGGCCAGCCATGACGAGCATTGTGTGTCGACGCGGATCTGTTGGTTGAAAGAAAAAGAAAGATGGAATAGGTGGCTGGGACTTGGTCTCTCTGCATGACGCTCTGGAAGGAAGTCGGGGTCGTCCACTCGAGTACGACAATTTCTCTTCAACATTAAGACTACTCAAAGCTTCTCGATCGAAGCCACAAGCGCTGCGAGATACCTACCAGGGATGTTAGCAACACGGAAGCCATCAGCATGGATGTCGTAAACGCGTCAATGTCTAATGACGAAGCCAAACAGCGGATGTCCTGGCTTCAGGAAAGATACACAAACACTACACGTCCAGCAATACGGCCGGCAACAGCTAGAACATGGCACTCCATATGTATGTATTCCTCCGCTGCCAGGTCTTACGCCCGCAAGATTTTGGTTAGGATCAGGATGGACAATGGTCACCTATCGCGTGAGTGGCTATGCTGAGAAGGATTCGGCGTCAAATCCCTCCGCCTTGAGCGCTGAGCTTTCCCGAAGTAGAAACGACCGCGACGAGGTACGTTCTGCGTAATGTGACATAGCCACGACTTGTATGGATACCATGGAGGAATCTCATCAAGATAAATAGTCGGTGATATCGCTCGATAGTCTTACATCTCACATCTACTTCTATCAAAAAGCTTCAGAATCAAAACAAATCACATCCTCCACCTCTTCTATACCAAAGACCTTGAAATCAAAATCATCTCAAACAATGTGCTGCAATCGTCGCAACAACAGACGGGCCTTGACTGTGGCTAAGCTGGCACACGACCATCTCATCGCAAACTCTCGAGCTGCTCACAACGGGCCTATGGTTGCAAGCTCCCGTGCTGCTCCCATCGAGCCTCTTGGCCCACCTCCAGCCTACGAGCAGATTGAGAAGGACTCCAAGACCATCATTCCAAGCAAAGACATCCCCACGACCAAGTTCATCGACCATCAAGAACTGTCACCTGAGTACACAACCAGAGGTGCCAATGTTGACTACATGTCAAACAACACCACAATGCTCTCTGCCAGACCAACGTGTCAGAGCAGATGTGCAGCAAAGCGTGAAATGAAGCAGCTGAAGCGCGAACATCGCCAGGAGCATCGACTAGAGAAGCGCGAGTATCGTCAAGAGAAGCGTGAGCTTCGAGCCGAATACCGCTTTGAGAAGAAGGAGATGCGAAGAGAGCGTGGCGGTCCGATCAGCATGCTTATCAAAGGTGTCTCAAACTTGATGACGAAGCAGTAAAGAACATGATATGATGAATGACTGGGACATATGGTGTTATGGTAAACTATATTGTAGCGTTTCTGTCTCGTTGGGCAGTGTCTTTCATTAGCAGTAATTGTTCTCTATCTCTCTATACAAATCAGCAGTTCGCCAAATCACCAAAGCGGTGCTTGACCTTCTTCGCGATGTCCTTGACCTCAGCATACGGCGAAACCTCACTGATGTTCGCAAAGCGGTTTTTCCAAGTCATCCACCTGTCTATCTCGAACCCAGTCCATTCCTTGTTCGGATACTTGTTTCCTGCTTGTGCGACTTTGCCCTCATAGCTTCTCTTGTCTTTGCTCTGTTTCCTCAACACTTCGCCAGCATACAATATCCACATTGCAGCTGCATACACCGTAGCTTCGGGTACGTCGTCTTTGTCTTCCAACGCTGCTCTCAATGCCCAGATTGCGTATAGCGAGAAGTCGAGGGGATCTGAGCTGTCGAATGCAGAGGCAGTGGCTGTGACGCGTGCGGCAAAGGCGTTTGCGTTTGCCCACTGGAGCGCGACTTCCTTGTTTTCTTGTGCGGCTCTCTCATCGTATCTCCAGTGTTCGCGAATCTGGCGACCGAAGAGTGGGAGTGTGGACCAAGAGACCGACTTGCCGTCTACGTCACCGACCTTCGTGTCGCAATTGCGAAGAGCAGTAAGGAAGGAAACGAGTTTCTCCTGAGCAGGCGAGTCCGAGGATGTTTGTGAGGCGGTAAGGCCTAATGCATCCCACGAACGTAGCAGTTTGTCTTCTGCGAATGACGAGTCCGAGTTGGAGATGAAGTTGTTGACTGTGTCTTCGGTCGAGGCTTGATCGTCGAGGTATGACTTGAGAGCTTTGTACTCGGTTGACTCGGAAGTGGTGGAAGGAAAGTCCATGATGGGCGATGTGATGATATGTTGAAGAATTAGGAAACAAGAGACCTACCTGAGCGGCTCTACTTGGTACTTACAAAGTTATGGAGGCTTGCTCTGCTCGTTGCCCTACAAACTCAAAAGAATCAAGATGTTGACTTGGACCCCACTCGAATGACGCAACTTCCGTAACGGGCCGAAGGGTTGCATGTTAGCGGGTTTTGAACTTTTGATATAGGTCTGGTCGTCCGTGGTACGACCCTGTCTACAATATGCAGCTCTCTATAGATCACCAACTACGACTCAAACTCGACTTGATATAGTTTGTTCTGTTGCTCTGCATGACGATGAATCCACTGATCATGTGGAGCAATCTTTGGAGTGGCGCTTTAATGGCTGGAACTGATGTTAGCAATTTTGACTGACCATCCTCGGTTGTCAATAGCAAAACAAGATGCTGTCACTGCATTCTCAGATCGAAATGATATAAGCTGGAAAAGAAAATGACCATTTGGACCAGCCTGTTGGTCATGAAGATATGCTATCTGCTCAGAAAATCATGCTGTAGGAAAGTCCAGCTTGCGATGCAGCCTGCTCACAATCTCGATGAAGTCTGGTTCGTTCTGAGCGTTCAAGACGCCATGACGGATGAAGAAGTCAAGCAAAACAACGGCACAGTTCGGCTTGAACTCTCCAGTCTTGAGTTTCTCCTTCAAATCTTCCACACCCATCAAGTAGAACTCTTCAACCTCGTCGTCTGAAGGCTTTGGCTGTACGTCGTCAGGCAACTCGAGGTCGAAGATGTATTGACACTCTGGTTGCAACAGTCGAGTTTCGCCTCCAGCACGGGGATCTCTGATGTGGAAATATGTGACAGTACCTGCTGAATGTGCCTTTTCGCGTACGAGATCTTCGGGCAGTGAAGCTTCCTCACTGGCTTCGCGAACACAGCAGATTTGAGGATTCTCTCCAGTAGCCATACCACCTGCAACTGTGTTGTCAAGCATACCAGGATATGTAGACTTGGTCTTGGAGCGGCGCGGTGTCCAAATCTTCAGATCACCGGAAGCAGATTTTGTGTAAGCAGTCATGTGGATGCCATAAGTGACGATTCCGAAAAGGGCACTAGCTGCACGCTCGACACTGAAAAGCAGCTCTCTGGCAGGCGCAGGTCCGTAGACTGGATAGAGTTCGTTGCGCCAGCCTTTGAGGATGGTGAAGTGACCGATTTCGCGCATGGCTGCTGTGGTCCTAGCGAGAATGGCGCTACGGGTGGGTTCATCTTCACCAGCTTTCAGGGTGAGAGTTCGCTCATCATCGTCCAACTCCCATTCATCAAGTCCGCGCAAAACTTCAGCGACAGAAGGCAAGACATAACCAAGGGTAGTGTCAGGGTAGGCAGCAACATGTAGATGGTAGTAAGTTGAGACGTGATTGAGGTAAAGTTGAGGAGTGGATTGGAAATAGGGGAAGCTGTCGCACTCGTTGACCAGGTCGAGATTCGATTTTGGTTTCGACTCATCAATGGGTTGTGGATCCAGAGAACTGATGGGTTCGCTACTGTCAAGCTCAGCTTGAGGCTTGGTCTCTGTTTCTTCAGATTGTGTCGTGGTCCCGTCAAAAGTCTTGTCAAAGGGAGGAGGCGATAACGAAGGCATCGAAGGCAACATGTCGCGAACTTTGTTCAACGAAAACATGTCCACGATGGCTGGTGAGATGGATAGCAAAGATGGCGTCGCGCATACAGAAGAGGCCGAGGCTCAGTCGCGGTGGATTCGACGAGAAGCTGCCAGACACGAGAGCTCAGACCCACAATCTTCAGAGCAACAAGAATAAGTTTACTCCAGCACGCCGACGAGACAGTCGCTCAGATCATTTTATATATATCACAAGCTAAGTCTTGCTCCACAGCACGCCGCCATGTTTGGTCTTCTCATCTCTGGCCGTCCAATCGATGCGCAACCACAGGCCATTTCTCCAACGCAATATGCGTTCCAGGTGCCTTCGCGACCAGCCTTCAATCATATCGCCGTCTTTTCCCTGCCTGGCAACGAACTGCCGCCAGATGCCGCTGCTGCCATCTTTATTCAGATTCCACCATCGACCGAGTTCAAGCTGGTTGGCGCTCTGTCGTCGCTGAGGCCTTCGACCATGTTCAAGATCAACACTGCCAACAATGTTGCGCCTAGTGTTGGAGATGACCAGCTCATGTTGGATGACGCGCCAGAGGGCGCGGAAATAGGAGGACCTGCCATTGTCGTTGGCATCGAGATACAGCCTGCTGCACAAGTCAAGGCCTTGCTGGCAGAGCAAAAGGCAAGCTCGTCGAATCAGTTGGTGCCGTCCAACCATTCAGCCACTGCCTCGCCAGTCACAACGAAAATACTTGCCCAGCGCATTATTGCCAACGCTTTCAATTTCCTTGCGTCATTTGGTAGCGACACTGTCCCGCTCAAAGCCTTTGAAGCCTGGTGGGCTAAATTTGAAAGCAAGGTCAACAACGACCCCAGTTTCTTGGAGCGTCCACAAGACTGAGCCACCTTCGACACACAACTTGAATCACTTCGGCTCGCACATCTCGATCAATCGTTGTTCAATTTGGCGAATACCGAGACGCGTTGGGCGAGCGCGACCTTTCTCTCACCAGCATGAATGCCAATCGGCGGAGGATCACCTCACCTTTGCCTCATTCAGCATCGTCTGATACACCCTCAGTTCTCCATCCTCTACCTGCCCCGTTTGATCTCTGCTAGCTATCGTGCTCGGCAATGTGATCAGATCGGTTGTTGTGGATTTGTGTGGTCGCCGAATGTCCATGATTGGCCCAAGGCGAGTCGGAAACGGACTCCAGGTAGACTGGCTGTGTGCATGCATACGCAATCTCCAAAGTGATTCAGAACATCACCGTGTAGTAGTTATAACGGCGAAAGGAGCACCGAGTAGTCCAATAGCGCAACCTCCGACGATCCTTCCTCCTGCATGCTCGTTCGGTGCTGATGCGCATGCACGCCAAGGCGTTCCTGCCCTTCGATGCAGGAACACCGGGGATTTGCTGCTTGGGCTTTTCTCAACCATGCTCGACAATCAACATCAACAAGATGCTGGTATTTCGACTTCACGGTCGGTTAATTTGTTCTCGGTTTTTCCAACAGAATATCAATCTGCAGAATATTTGCCCGTCCAATATATCACATCCACGCGTCATAATAGCAGTCCCCTCTCCCCAGGGTCTCCACTCTGCCATCCTTTGTCTGTTACAGAAAAGACGTTGCCATTGGGAAGGACTAACAACCGTTATTCTTATGTTAGAACACCCCACGAACTTGACATTCAACCTGTGGCAAGCCCGCCAGGATCACTACACCCCACAACAAAGCCGGTAATCCATTGCCTCTTTGCTTTTTGACATCTAAGCCGCATGGCAGTAAGACATCTCTTCCAATTCTTCGTGTTGATCATACCATTTTCTCCAGTTTCCATCTCCATTCACAGCGCACGTTGCACTAGCTTAACAGAATGCTCTATTTGTTGGGTCGATCCTACTGCCTCATCCTCTTACACGGTCATGGTCGCCTCTCTGTCTGCTCCACCAAGCGAGCATAACGGTCGATAAAATTGCCGCTCCTGGGGACTGCAGCTCCTGCGTACCATAGGAGCTCTTGCGAAATGAATCTGCAGTCCTGTTCCCAGCGGGTGTTCAGCTCCTCGATGAGACACGGGATATTCTTGCTTGTTGATCTTGTTAGATGACGTGCCGGGATCTGTTGTTGTCTGAGGATGGGATAGATATAAAGAGTGGTCACCACCAGACTCAATTCCTCTTCTCATCAGCTCCAGCAACCAACAACCAGGACGACCAGCAACCAGAACATCACTCGCTTTAGTGTTCTTATTCTTTCGTTCTAACACAATAATGGCCTCCAAATACGCCGTCGCCTTGATGGCTCTGCTCGGCTCTGCCGCTGCTCAGGGTTTCAACACCAGCTCATCTGCTTCTACCACCTCTTCTGCATCTGTTCCTGTCTACACCGACGGAGCAAAGCCCACAGTCGGAGGAGTCACCTACCTCATCCAGACCGACACCAGCTACCAGGGTCAGCTTCTCCGCCTTGCCAGAAAGAGACAGTCTGATGCTAGCATCCAATCTTGCTTGAGCACCTGCTCTGCCGATGTCGACTGTGTTGGTACCGCATTCGTCCAGGACACTGGATCCTGCTTGTACTACTCCAGCGTCGACACTGCCTCTCAGGCAGACAGTCCTGGAACCGACTTTGCTCTTGTCCAAGACAGAGCCTCCAGCTCTACCACTTCTGAGGTCTTCAACGGAACTACTTCTGCACCCACCAGTGGCAGAACCTCCTCGACTGGTGTCGCTCTCCCTTCGGGCGGCTCTGGCAACTCCACTGCCAGCGCCACTCGCCCCGGTGTCACCGGCGGTGCTGGCAACAACTCGACCTCTACTCGTCCTACTGGCTCTGCCTCTCGCACTTCCTCCGGTGTTTCTACCACCACCTCGGGCGCTGCTGTCCCCTCTACCCCTAGCACTCTTCTCACCATCAACGGAGTTCTCTTCCTGATTGAGATTGACATCTCCAAGAGAGGTATCACCATTGACTTTGCCCTCATCTTCGCCAAGCGTGCCGGTCAGTCCCTCGACGACTGCTTGACCACTTGTGCCGCCAACTCCAACTGCGCTGCCACCTCCTTCACTGAGAGCGATGGCATCTGCACTTTCTACACTTCCGTCGAGTCTGGATCTGAGACCGTCGATGACGATTCTACCTTCGCCACTGTCATCTCTCGCGCTGGAGCTGTCGGATCGGGCGCCAACAACGGCACCTCCGGAGGCAACACCACTACTCCCGTCCCCGCCACCAACGGTACCGCCGAGAGCTTCATCTGCCCTGCCTTCAACGCCGCTGTCCTCCAGTCGTCCACCAAGGTCACCTTCTCCGTCTCTTGCTCGTCGTTCTTGATCGGCACCACCTTCGACATCCAACCCACCTTGAGCAAGCGTCAAACCTTCAACAACGGTCTCCCCCAGACTCTTTCCAACTGTGTTGATCTCTGCTCCCTGTCCGAGGAGTGTGTTGGTACTACCTTCGATATTGCCCGCGAGACTTGCTCCTACTACAGCGCTATCTCTTACTCCACCGTTCTTGCTGGCTTCGATTCGGCTGTCCGCGTTCAGTCCAACAACGGCGGCGAGACTGTTACCACCACCACTGTTGCTGGCCAAGTCACCACCATCACCGTCCCTGGAGCTACCACTACCCAGTACGTCGGTGGTGCCACTTCGACCGCCACCGTCTACTCGACCATCACCAGCACTGTCTACGCCAACGGTGGTGGCGCTACTGCCTTCCCCTCTGGTGCCGTCGTCACTCAGGTCGTCCCTGTCTCGACCATCACCTATGTCAACACTGTCTCGACCATCACCATCCCTCAGAACCAGAACGCCGCTGCCACCGTCACCGTCACTGTTGGCGGTGCCGGTTCCGGCTCTGGACCTGCTGTCACCCAGACTGTTTACCAGACTGTTGACCAGAACGGCAACGTCATCGGCTCGAGCACTGCTGGCGCAGTTGCTGGCGGTGCTGCTGGCTCGAACGTGTACCCCACCGTCACTGTCTTCGCTGCTTGCTCCACCCCTGCTGCTCAGCAAGACACCACTGTCTGGACCACCGTCTACGTCTAAGCATCTCGAGCTTAGCATGGCAGCTTCATGAGCCACAAACTTTTCGTATCTCTCAATCTCACGGCCTGCTGGACATTACCAAAGGTCAAGTCTTGTAAACAATACTAACTAATGACCTTCCTTTACTGTCTATAATCATCTTCTCTATTGCCACTGTATGTGGATTAAATAGCTATTTTACTCTTAGCTATTGTTTAGTGTAAATCTATGATTTTATTACATGTTATCCTGTCCAAATCTTCCACATCAGTGACTTGCATATGCTGTTTAATCTGTTATCCTGAAAGCAGCCATGGTGATCAATGGTCACTGAATACTGCTGTGGTTCCAGCGACGGTTGTGCATTTCACAGTTCACAATACCTCGCATCTCCATGCTCATCTGGGGGCTACCTCTCTACTCATGTCGTTGTGCATCAACCCTCCTAAGTCAAGTCAAAGCGGAGAAGAGTTTCAGTAGTTTCAGGCACGCAAGGGAGAGATCCGCGGATGAAGCATGTTTCACTTTTCCTCGATGTTCAAACTGTCCCTTGCTGTCAGACCGAATCAAGCTGTGACCGTCCGGAGTGGCAACTTGAGACTGGAGATCCCCACAGAACAGGGTAGATACGCCCACGCTGTAGCAACACCATTGCATAGTGTTATTTCTGATATTCGTACCATCTTGAACAGAGTAGTAGTTTGGATGCGAGCAACGAACTGGTTAGATCATTGAAGATCATCACGAGCGGCTGCTAAAGACGTTGTAATCAGAGTTATCGTAGGACGATAGAGACGGCAGATAAAGGGTGTCATTACCGAGATCCGAAGCCTGGCTCCCGGAGCACGTCACCAGCCACGCGCAAGCAAAGCACCCACCCGCTTGACACCTCCGAGTTGCCAGGTAGGCTGACGTGGACCTGGTCGATTCTCTTTGACAATTCTGCAACAACCATATCTCTGCAACTCTGCACCTAACATGAAGGACATCACACAATATTTCTGGAAGACCTAAGAACAACTCGATCTCTCTGGAACTACACACGCCGAACAAGCTCCGGAATATGCTCCCATCATTGGACGATGACTGCGATGCGTGCAGACCTGCCTATCTCCAGCGCAGACTTGACTCCTTTCCGCCATCTACGATAGCTCTGTCATCCGCGCCATTCGCATTGACTTTTCTGTTCGTTGCTGTTGCCGTATGGCAGAAAGTCGTACCGCATCTCTCGTCATCAAACTCGCACAAGGACCAGAACATCCCACTCTTCAATCGAGAAACTCAACGCGCGAATGGTCATGGAAACAAATCGTGGCGTAACATCACGTTCAAACGTGTGGCTGCAATAACCTTCTCAACGACTGTTGCTCTATCGGCTGTACTGGTAGAGCTGATCTTGTGCGAGATCTCCAATCTGCTGAATCCAGCAGCTCGAGGATTAGCTTTACGCATTACTTTGTTCTCGCTTCTGATTCTGATAATCATTGTTATACCGAGTCTGGAAGTTCATACGATGGTCTCTGGATCGCGTCCTCGCTCCGAGTATGCCACTCACAACACGCAAAAGTCTCGACCGACCCTTAGATACACATTCGAGGCTTTGTTGCTGGGCGTCTGGTTCGTTGCCTTCTGGTACATGCCGCACACATCACTTATTCCGGCTTCTCTACATTCACAGGCAGGCCAGCCTAGTCAGTCCAAGGACTTCGACTTCGTGGAAGCATGCCTTGAGCGTGTTGGCATCATTGGGATTTCTCTGATGGCTTCTCTTGCTGGATTTGCTGCGGTCTCTTCGATCTGGCAGACATTTGGCGTTAAGCATCGCGTTGTTCGTGATACCGACATTGCACGCAAGGAGAGTGGTCTGGCAGCAACTAGAGACATGTTGGCAGTCAAGCAGAGTCGTTTGCGCGCATTGCAACGCAAGATGTCTGAAGCACCACAGGACAAGGGTGGAATCATGACCAGAATGATCGGCTCGATAAAGGGCAACTCGGACACAAACGAGCAACGCAGTCTGGAAATGGAAATCTCGGGTCTAGAGACAATGTCCGCGTCGCTTGCATCCTCCTTGTCAACTCTCAAGACCAGACACGCGACACAACAAAGATCGCAGAACAGCCTCGGAAGGCTGTTGAACATACTCAATTTCGGCTTTGCACTCTACTGTCTGTACCGCATTGCAGCAACATCGGTCTCTTCACTACGCAGGTGGTGGCAGCCAAACACGACTTTTGCGACATCGGATCCTATCAATAACGTTCTCGCGCTGCTCACAACACACTACGACCCTACGCTGGATCGCGAGGCATGGTCTCGGCAGATCTCGTTCGTACTGTCAGGAGTCATGCTTCTGCTGTCCTTCAATGCGGTGCTCCAGACCTTCCGTTTGTTTACTCGCTTCTTTCCCAGCGTGGCGGCGCGGGCACAGTCTGCGCTTCCACTGGTGATCTCGCAGGTGGTGGGTGCATACGTGATCTCGTCAGCATTGCTGTTGAGAAGCAACCTGCCTAGTGAGGTGAGCAGTGTCATCAGCGAGGCTCTAGGTGCACCACTGGAAGGTCGCTTTGTCGAAGCATGGTTTGAGAGCTGGTTCCTGATTGCTGTCTTGACGACAAGTGTTGGCATCTTGATCAGTCGTAAAATGGGGTCATCTGCTGATTGGGAAGACTGGGAGGAGAGTCAAGACATGGAGATGGGCAAAATGCATTAATGATGGGTCACATGGGTCTGGGATCGGGATTACTATGGGAAAGGCTGGCGCGGTCAGGATCAAGGTCTATTGGCATTTTTAGAGGGGATGGACTGGTTGACACTATACCCGCATGGCATAACGGACATGAAGGAAGGCTGTATTGAGCTCAGAGTAATGATGGTATCAACGACTGTTCCAAGAAGTACTGTCGAGGTGAGAAGGAAAGAGCGAGGCGGTCAAGCAAGACAAGCAGTCGCACACGGCGGATGTTGGTATTGCCTAAAGGAGCTAGAAGGAGCGGGGTGCAGAGCATCTTCTCTTCTCTCGGCGTCTTACATAAGTCTTGCTTAGTGATCACGGCCAGTCAAGCCAACCCGACAACCAAAGACAGAGTGAGTTTCGCAACCAACCCATCGCGATATATCGTCGCCGACATGGCCTCTGCCTGGATGATGATGCTGACGCCCCCAGTCACAGCAACACCACTATCGCGACCTCGCCAACGACCATGTCTTCGGCTGCCGTGAGTATTAACCTATCCGAGTCCCCCATGACCAACGCGTTGCTGACCGAGTGTGCAGGACTCGCAAGCCTTTGAGATGAGTAAGACGGACTCTTTTGTTGCGCAGCTTGATCAAAGACTGACGTTAAGCCTCCAGGTCTGCGCGACCAACTCATCGCAGCTCAGAACAACCATGCCCCTCCTCAACCACAGCAACCCCACCATGCTCCGACGAACAACTCCTACCCACCTCATCAACCTCACCAGCAACCCTTGCACCATCACCACAATCCAGCCATGGCCATCCAGCCGTACGCCATGACCCACGAGAGCCCCGATCTGGCCATCCCTCATGCCGACCCCGCCAACCCCGCCAACACCACAGGACCTGCTACCGGCAAGAAGGGACGAGCCCAGCGCGAGCTTTCTAACACAAAGCGCGCTGCTCAGAACCGTGCCGCTCAGCGTGCCTTTCGTCTGCGCAAGGAACAGCACATCAACAAGCTAGAGGATGACGTCAAGCGCTATCAGATCATGGAGGATAACTGCAAGACCCTGCAGCATGAGAACTTGGCCCTGAGGAACTACATCACCCTTCTACAGTCCAAGATGACCGACAAGAACATCGGCTATCCGCCTGTGCCTGATCAGGCTCCGTTACGATCCATCTCGCTCTCGGCACCCGACCATCAGCAAGACCACCAGGACCAAGACACCGCCTATCACTCTGTGCTCGACCAGCAACCCGTCCAGCACCATCTTCAGCACGAGCAGCACCGCTATCCTGATCCTTCTTCACCACAGAGCCATGCAGCTTCGTCCAACGTCTATCCTCAACCCACTCATGACCAGCACCACCATCAACATGAACTTGCCATCAGTGCTCCGTCTACCCATCAAGAAGCTGCCAGTGACTCTCTACCTGCTGCAGCTATCAGTCAGCTCCAAGCCGCTGCGGCTCAAGCAGGTAGTATGGATCGTCCACACTCGACATCTCCTACACATCACGATCAGCACCAGCAACCTTCCCCTCAGGATACTCAATACGTGCGCGCAAGTGAGTATCCTGCCCACAAGCGTCCCAGAGTTGATCCTCCTCCTCACCAGACACGTGAGTACCCATGTGTCAAACACCTTTATGCCACATCTTGCTAATTTCAAAACAGAGGCACTGAGTGACAAGCCAGGCGCGTAGAATGTGCTTGACGACTCGCCAAGTAGATTCGTCGATCTGACCGGCATGGAACAACAGCAGGAGTGTTCCGAACTCTTTGACGAGCTGTTTGGCGACGAGAACGATCCAGTTGCCGCAATCGAATGCTGTGGTGACAGCTCTACCTCAGGTATCTTGATCGTCAATGATCAGTAGAACCAAATGTCTGACTGGGCACTTTAGCAACAGCCAGCACTGTGGCATTCTTGTATCTCAGAGAATGCATCAAGCCTGATGTGAAAGCTCATTCTTCACAATCGAGCTTATCGATAGTGGGTTCGTACATGACCGGATTGTACCGGGGGACCTTGCGATTGCGTTACGTTGTTTTCTTCTTTTATGGCCACATTCACGGCCTGTCCTGGGGTGCTTTCACCTGTTTTCCTTTTCTGCTATTACAATTAATGATTACGAAACTCGCATTAGACTAAGCGGTGGCGTTTAATGGAATTCTTCTCTTTCTGCATCGAGCTTGCTTCTCACTGAGTCTCAGTCTGCTGTACTCGTTCTTGTCCTGTGAAAGAAACCACTCTTTGTCGAGATATGTCTCTTGTCATCATCGTGATCTTTGATCTTGATTTAGTCCCAGCCAGTGAGTGAGCTTCCAAGAACAGTTGGCTACTGAGGAAGGTGAGCTTCTTGCTTGCTTTGCTTTGAAACGAGTGAAAGTCTCTATGATCAAGGAGTCGGGTTGTGATTTCTGTTTGTTTCTGGTTTATTTACAGACTTTGCAATGAAAGGAAATGTGATATCTGAATGGAAGTTGTATGTTGCTGCAACAAGAGCGAGCAAGAGAGCAAGAGAGCAAGTATATTAACAACTGTAGTACTGTCTCTGCCCTATTCATGTCTCCAGCAACAAGGAGATCGAGCTGATCTTCCATCCACCATCGCAACAAGGCTTCATGTCATGTGGCAAAACTCCTTGATGCTATCCTCTCCACTTCCCTTCTCTCTCTCTCAATCCCTTTCTATCAACATCACCGCTCACCACCACCGCCAGCTTCCGACATCGTCTCCACATCAGCAACCGGATGACTGCTAACCTCAAACATATCAACCTTTTGCCCTCCCTCTGCTCCAAATTTTTCCGGCAAAGAAGTTTCTCTCGAAGGTAAAGGTGGGGGTTTCACTCGTTGGCCCGAGGGAGGCGGATTGTCGACCGAAGGAAAGTTTTCTTGCGGGAGGGAGGCGTTGTGGTAGCCCCTTGGAAGATCGGTTTCGGGTTCTACTTGAGAAGGAGGTCGGGGTGTTGACGCTGGGGGGTCGAGGGCCATGGGATCTGGTTGTTGTGCTTGTGATTCTTTTGGTTGCTCGGTTGGAGGTTCAGCGGTGGAGTCTGGTTTCGGCATTGCTTTACCCCTCCCCTTTCTCGCTTCTGCAATCAACCGTGCAAAATCGTCTTTGTTTCCCTTTTCCCACGCTTTGGCATCAAAGTCTTTCTTCATGACGTTGTTCCCTTGTGCCGCTGCTGCTATCCCACCACCGGCGCCATCAGCATAATCCCGACCGATACTCCGATCCCATTTCGCAAGCTCGGCAAGCAATTCTCTCTTTGAGCGCGGGGCTTCGGCGTCGACGTTGGCGTTCCAGAGATTTACGTATTCGGTGTGTCGGCGGGAGAGCAGAGTCTTCGAACCAGTGGAAGGGATGCCTAGTTCTTGGAGTTTTTTGCGGAGGGCTTTTTCGTTGAGGAGGGAGTAATTTAGTTCGGTCAGACGGTCTGGGAGGAGAGGTTTGGTTGCTGCTGGGGGTTGTGACGGCGCTGCTGAGGGTTTTTGTTTCTGTTGGCGTGCTTTTTGAGAGGGAGAGGTGCAGGCTGAGGAGCCGATGTGGTTGAAGACTGTTTCTTCTTTCATGCGCGTTTGGCAAATTGGACAGGCTACTAGACCGTCATCGGGTGTTTGTTGTCGTTCTGGCTGCGTGGTGCTGGGCTCGGTGTATTCGGCATCGCTACCCTCATCTGCTGCTCCATCGTAGACGGCGGGTTGATCATTCTGCGTCGTCCTTTTACTCTGACTCCTCGTTGTGCGCACCGTGACCTCACTCGCCCCACCACTGTATCTTTCCGTCCTCCTCCTTTTACTCGGTCTCGTGCTCACTTCCTCTTTCTCTTTCTTGTCCTTTGTCGCAATGTCCAGCGCCACAGGTCTAGCCGTCACAAACGCACCCACCACCTCTTCCAAAGCCCAATTCCTGCGTAATTTGCTGGCTTGGTCGTTGGCGCGACAGGCAGGACATTTGCCATCGACTGACAAACAGCGGCGTATGCAGATGCTGCAGAAGGTGTGCGAGCAGGTTGTGACCATGGGGGTGGAGAAGAAGTCCTTGCATACTTGACACCGCAGTGAGGTCTCGAGGGCGCAGAATGGTGTGAGAGATGTGTTCAGCCAGTCACTGGGATCGGAGAGGGCGTGGTCCATGGTTTGGGCTGTGCAAGAGGATGCTGCGAATGCGCCTGTTGAGGGACGAGGTGAAAGAGTCAAGGTTCGAGGGAAGGTGCGACGCGCCGGCGCACGCGACGTCTGAGGCGTTGCGTTTTCCTCATTGGGCCGTTATTGATTTATTGTTCACTTTCTCAACTACCAATACACAACTCGCTCCTTTCTCACATGTCAAAAAGCGTACCCACATAGTTTATTCCAAGTACATGCTTCGTCTACTCATTGCTTCATATACATTCGTCATAATATTCGTGGTACCAGCCAGGCCTTACCACCCGACCCAATCCTTTTGTCAAACACCCACAAAGAACCGTGAGTGGCGTACGCTCGACCTCTACGATTGATGGCAACTCTCTAGGAGGTGCCGTGTTCAATCGATTTTGTGAGCATATTGGTTTCCATACCACCAATCGTCATCCCCTCTCCCTATATGGACGGAAGCTACCAAAAGGTTTCGGCGACTAGTCAGCATCTCTTCACCTCTGGACCAATTCGTCCTGTTGGCGATACATTATCGGTCCGTCTTGACTCGTCAGCTGGCGGGGGATCAATCCGAGCGACTAGTACCGACAAAGACCACCTGAACCGAAGCCAGAGCAACAGATGCCATAAAAATCTCGATCCGAGTGGCCGACGTAAAGAATGCCAGACAGATAGAGAATGTCGCAGACCAGAGTCCGATAAAGATCAATCTCCAGATCTGTATGGGGATATAGTAGAGGGCGATGATACTGGCGGTAGGAAGCAAAGATGCGAACAAAATGCTGATATAGAATGCAAGTCGCTCCAGTACTTCACCTCTATACATATGACCTCCAAATTCAGCATCTTCTTGGAGTAATCGATGACCGAAAAGTACGTGGAAGCGTTGGACGACCTTGCTGCGTAACAAGTTTGTGAAGGAATCGGGTGCGACGTGGCCTGATAGACTGACTAGATCTGTCTGTGTTGCTTTTGCTCGTTCGTGCGCTCGTGCTCGTTGCTGATCTGTTTCGTATTTCGCTTTCTCATCGACGCTGAGACTCCAGATGGTGTTTTCGGGATGATGCAGCCATTCTTGTTCGCTGTTGTGGCCGTGGATATCGCTGTCGCAGATGAACTCTCGGAGGCCGCGAACTTCGCCGTTGGTTGGCCGTGGAAGACTGTATAGCTTGTGTTGTTGAATCAAGACCTCGTCTTTCGCATATTGTGTCAGTGATGGTGTGATGACATAGCACATAGCTCGAGGATCTGTTGACAGCGTGGGGAACAGGAGAAGGCAACTCACTATATTCTTTCAGCAACCGTCTTTGTTCCTCATATAATTTCCAACGAGAACGAGCCTTGGAACCTTCTGGCGCTGCTCTGCCATTATGAATCCCTCGCATCGAGAACTGCAATTGCCTCAAATCTTGATCCCTCTGATCATCAATCTCGGTCTCATAAAGCTCCTCTTCCACATCAAGCAGCTCAGCTTGCAAATACAGCAAGTTCCTCGCATTGAGTTCGGAAAAACGTCGAAAGATTGCAAAACCAGGTCTCTCGCCAATAAACCGTGCTAGTTTAGGATATCCTTGTAGAGCAGGTCGTTCGCGAACAGAGTTCTGACGCAACAAGCCTGGCGATACAAAAGTTGACTCTGTATTGCATGTGTTGTATGAGATTGGCGAAAAGTGGACTGAGGAGCTGGCGGCGGAGTTGGTTCGAGAGTCTTTGCCGACGGCTCGGACGTCTGTTGAGATGCGAGGTTTGCCTGTAGGTTCGATGACCGGAAGCTCGTACCTCTCGCCAGCCATGATTGAGGGCTGTGTCTTGCTGACTGATATAGCAAAGGCAACGGGAATAGGGTTGAAGTGTTTTGAGTGTATGGAAATAGAGAATAGAAAGAGAAGAGAGTGTCACACAAGCATCCTACCTCTGAGCACCGCCTATCTGCATAGAATTCCCGCCCCACCTTGTAATGCTACTGATTGGCCGTGACATGCATGCGCGAACGTACACTCCACAAGGCGAGAGGCTGGACTCGCCAAGAGCAGTGCCTCGTCGCCTGAGTGGTGGTTGAGGAAGTACCGGTGAGAAGGAAGAAGACGAGGCAGGACTGCATGACGCTTTCCTAATATAGAGCATGGTACGGAAAATGCTGCCAACGGTATAGGAATTACGCGCTGTTCTAACACGCCTCGCAACCCAAGGCTTGCTTAGTGCTGATTAACACGACCCGCCGCATCTGCTTGTGGGAGCAAAATATATTGCATTCCTTCCAACAAGCTACCGCGCAATCGCAAATCGTAGTGGTGAGCTCCGCTACAGCTCTGGCACAATGATCGCGGCAGTGCCTTGAGGCTTAGAGAATGGCGTAAGGTAGGAGTACTTATCAGGCCTTGTATATCTAGAGTAGGTCTCCTCCCAAATCCTTGCATTTCGTTCGATCTGCCTGCTTGTATCCAATTCACGAAAGAGAAACCTCTGTAAATCACACAAGATGGATCTCCAACAGCCCACACCTCACGACTCACCCTCACTATCCGACAGCGAATCCTCCTTTGGCATCCCAGCAGAACAAGTCGACATAATCAGAAGCATAGTCGACAAATGGCACAAGAAGCCCTTACAGATCGCCAGCGATATTGTCTCCGCCTTGGTACTTACATCTTCCTCTCGAACACCCAAAGACAAACCCTAACAAGCTCCTCAGGAAGGTGGCGACCACACCCACATCCCTCTGATCGTCCGTGACGGAGAAGCCCAAGAAGTAGTCGTCTGGGCCAAATGCGACACAGGCGCCTGCGCAAACTTCATCACCATGGCTCTAGTCCGCAAACTCAAACTCGAATACAGTCTCCAGAAAATCGATGACTACGAAGCTGCAAAGAACCTTGAATCCACTCCTCGCGATCATCTCGGTGTTGGCCTGATCAAGAAAGTGTGTGGGTTTGAGGGCACAGAGGTCGGTGTGAGATACATTCTGAACTTGACCTTCCAGACGGGCAAGTACAGGAAAGAGCACCAAGACGTAGAGTTTGAGGTTTTGGAGATTGGGGATGGACTGGTGAGCCCTTCCGCTAATGAAAGGACGGATCTCTTCCTGGGGGCCAGCTGGTTGTTCAAAAACGAGGTTTTCATGTTGAGAAAGAGCTATTATGTGGATCCACCGAAGGACTTGCCTGTGGTGGAGACAGTGCCTTCGCAGGACAGCGAGTTGACGCCGATTGGAAGGCCTCCGAGTGGTATCTACATCCCGAGAGGCACTCCTTCGATCAGACTAAGCGCCAGTCCAGCACCTCCAAGGTTACCGAGGGGACGCATGGCATGATACTGGTTAGTCACAGCAAGACTGGTGTTGTTTTAGGATTCATGACTGTGTAGAGTGTAATGGAGTTGTCCAGGAATTTGCGGTTGTCTATAGACTTTCTTGTATGGTACATTATTGTCGTGTTTTACAATATTATCGTTCTGACTTTCTGTCTCTCAGCGTCTGACTGATAACGTGCGCATGTGTGCAGCATTGCTAAGCTTGACGGACCCTGTAAAGTCGACTTTGTAGGTCCCAGTCTTTGAGCCATCAGACTGACTCGAAGATGTCTCTCCCCGAGACGCTGTGAGGATGGAAGGGCCCTGTTTGTCTGCTCCTGTTGCCCTCGACTTATGAGTCGACCACATCTGAGTGCGACTGCGAAAGACTTGTAGCCCTGTGTAGTGGGCTGCGCTCAAGTTTGCAGCATCCCCTAGCTCTGCTTGTCTCTTGTGTTTTGATATGAGGGATTGCGTTGGCTCAACCCGTCATGTCGACATCAGTAGCCTTGACCACCTCTTGCTTGCCAGTATCCATAGCCTGAGGAGCAGTCTTGACCTCAGCAGCATCTCTCACGGCTTCAGCAAGCACACTTCTCGACAGACCTGCAGCATCAACAGCACGATCGACCAGAGTCTCGAAGCCTTCACCAGCGTCGCCCTTGACCCACAACTCTGTAAGTTCATCTCTCGATTGGAGATGAGCGACCACAGCAGCCGCACGCAAATCATTGTGTTCACTCGGGCAAGGATCCAGCACTAATTCTCCTTTTCCTTCTCCGGCCAGTGCAGCAACACCGCCAGACACAAGATCCACGCAATCGATCCCGGCATCCACTAAAGCTGCGCTTGCTGCAGTGACACAGCCAGCGAGCACATTCATCAAGCCCACGCCTCCGATGTTTTTCTTGCTGGCATCGTCATCGCGCCACCAGTCGTCCTCCTCGCTCTCCAAGACTGTGATGACGACCTCTGCGGCAGATTTGGGCCAGCGCCCGCCAATGATGACTCCTCGCAATGCTGTCTCCAAGTGTAATCCAAGATCTCTCTCTGCAGTATCGCGAAGGTATCCTCTTCTTTGGCGACTGGCGAATGGCGCAAACTTGACGTGTGTGCTGAGCAATAGATTCGGGCTGAAAGCGGCGGTGCGAGGTAATGGTCGTGGGCCGTGAACAGTGCAAGTGAGTTTGAGAGTGCCACTTTGGGCGACGAGAGTGGTTCTTGCGGTATCGGTGGAAGGGTGCAATTCGAAGTATGCGGATCCAGAGGCAGATGGCACAAGACCTGTCTGTAGGAAGATTTTACGAGGCGTGGATGAAGATCGTTGGCGAGTGGGTCGTTGTGACTCTGTGTTGGAAACGAACAGTGGTGCAGATGTGCCGCCTGCAGGCGCATTGGTACGACGACGATCAGCCATGGCGATTGAGGACAGTTGAATGATAAAGGTCGCAAATGTCCATCTCAATGATTCCTTGATCTGCTCTCTGCTCCAACTTCGGCAAGATGCGTGACGTGCACCGAAAGTGGTCCAAGCTTTCGAATTTTCTGCTACAACCTTCAAAGTCGCGACTCCGACTTTCTCTCTTCCCCTTCTCACACTTCTGCCTTCGCGCAAAACATCATGTGCAGCCGCTGGCGGTCTTGCCATGCTTTCTTTCCTCTTTTGTGTAAGTCATATCATTTTCTATTCCAGTGGTTAGGAAGAAAACCCAACACTACTAGTTGGCGATCAACCCTCGGGGTTTCCTGAGCCATAAACTAACATGCACTACCATCTGAACCACGTTACTCAACTCACTTCTTCGACATTTTCACTCATATCTGGACTTGAACTCGTGCTGACCAGCGCAAAGCTTTCTAGTTCCTTCTTCTTTCCATCGCATCTGTCTTCCAGACGCAGAAGAGTCCTTCCACTCGTCGCATAAAACTCGTGCGCAACGCAGTGGAAGAACTCTTTCAAATCTGCAATGGTAAGCTGCTCCTCTTCTCTCTTCGTAACCCTCTGTCCCAGCCAAAAGGTGTTTTCAGGATGATTGTATTATTATTCAGTTCTGCTACCAAGAAAATCATGCGGATACTCATACACCAAGCTTACCTGTCTGATCCACAATTCACCTATTGGCTTTTTATCTCACCTATTCAACCTCAATCTTTCATGATCATTGCTAACAAGCATAAAAGAACAGACGCTCCTTTTGTAGCCACCATCCTTCTGCTTAAAACAAAGGGTAAGCCTTCCCTCTCTACCATCTTACACACCATCACTTTCCTTCCACCACCCACCAAAACGCAATGATGACACCTAGTCAATCCATTCAATGAAGTTCACCTATACCCACCGAGCCCCCCTCCCTGATACCCTACCTGTGTTTCAAGTCCAGGGATGACGGGTTGTGGAGTTGCAATTCAAACCTTCTAGTAGTGCCGTCAAAAAGCATGGAAAAAGGTGTAATGGGGTTTCCGCGTGCTGGGTGACTTTGCTCGTTATGAGTGAGGAAGCTCGGTGCCGGTGGGAAGGGCTTGAGTAAAAACGGCTTTCTGAGTTCTGCGTTACAAAAACATTTCTGTGTTTTTCCATTGGAGCTTATAGCTTTTTGAAAGTTCCTTTGCTGACTTTCGATTCAAGTAGGTGCTTTTCTTCGTCAGGGTGCTTGTCGCTATTCAACATTCCGACCTGCTTTGTCTTTATAGCTTAGCTTGTCAATCATAATCATTCTTCTCATCATCATGTCCGCTTCCCTATATTCGTCTGGGTGTCTTGTGCTCGCACGTGTGATGTGTTTGTTTGTCTCTATTGTCCTCATCTCGGTATGCTCCTCGATTGAAGCTGTCTTCCATACTTGAATCCGGCAATACTCGTACTAGAGTTGTCGGGAGCTGTTGATTCTTCTACAATTGATCAGCAACAAAAACGGTCTGCATGTGGAACGGTCAAGTGATTGTTTAACATAATTGTACATTTCTCAAATCTCTATCAAGACAAAATGTATCATCAGCAGCTCTCTTCTCTGCTGTCATACGCTGTCTCCCTGGGTCGCCATGCAAAGTACATTCCCCTTCCAAGCCGATTAATAAAAACATGATGGGGATTCTCTAGTAATAAGTGGTATTCAAAAGAAAAAGAAAACAAGATTGTGAAGTGAGTGAAAGAAACAAGAAACAAGCATGTTCATAACCTATGCATTCATGGGCTTGCGGCCAACCATGAGGTACATGGGAGTGAAGAGCTTCTCTCTGCCACCAGCGACAAGAGCATCAGCAGCGACAGCCAAAGAGTCAGCAGTCTTCTGGGTTCCCTTAGGAGCGAGACCCAATCTCTCGAGAGCTCCGACAAAGTTGTGTGCAGTCCAGCGACCAGCCTTGGTCATACGGACAAGAGTGGGGAAGTCCCAGATGCTGCTCATGTACTTGAGCTGGCCAGAAATGGGGTAGTACCAGGGGGCGGGGTCGTCGCGGTCTGCAAGATCCTCGTTGATCTCGAGCTCAAATCCGGCGGCCTTCATGGCGGCGAGGGCGACCTCGATCTTCTCCATGTTGGAAATACCATCACCGACCTCAATGCCGAGACGAATCTCACGGTGGTGGGGGTTGTCGTTGTCGTAAGCATCAGTCATGAGCCATTCGTAAACACCAAAGACACCACCGGGCTTCAGGACGCGGAAGATTTGGGAGTAGATGCCCTCGAGCGAGGGAGCGTGGACGGTAGCCTCGATGGCGTAGACTGCATCGAAGGTGTTCTCGGGGAAAGCCATTTGCTAGAGATGTGTTAGTTCTGATGTCAATTGCAGGAAACTCGAGACGCGCGTACCATGAAGTCACCCTTGACAAAGTCGAGCTTGTGGGAGAGACCCTCCTTTGCAGCGTAGTGGGTAGCTCTTTCGATCTGGTAGTCGTTGTTGTTGAGACCGGTAACGTTTGCGCCGGAGAACTTGACAATCTCTCTGGCAGGGCCACCAACACCACAACCAACATCCAAGACCTTCATGTTGTCCTTGAGGTTCATGACGTGAGCGAGGTAGTGCTCGTGACGGGCAACGGCTTGTCTGAAGGGCTCGCCGTGGGCGAAACGGCAGAAGTGGAAAGATTGGCCCCAGCCGTACTCGTAAAGGTCGGTGGCCAAGTTGTAGTAGTGACGGGTCAGGGTAGCGTATTCAGCTCTTCTGGCCTGTTCAGGGGGTCAATATGAGGCCAATTGGCAGAGTTGAGTGATGTCGAAAACGCACCTCTCTGATCTCGGGAGTCTCGTCCTTTGCGTCCTTGTTGTCCCAGTGCTTGAAGTACTCGTCGACAGCGGCCTTCTGGCCGTCTGCGCCCTTGCCCAACATGGCAGCGAAACCACCTCTCTTCTGGGCAGAAGAGCCGTGCATGACCTTGTTGAAGGCAGCATCGCGCGAGTGGTCTTCTTGTTCAAGCGAGTGAGGAGCCATTATTGCGGTATCGAAGAAAAAGGGGGAAATGTAGAAGAAGAGAAAGACACTACAAAAGGGTATAGGCGAAGATGCGGTTGAGCGCGAAGAGAAGAGTTGATGGAGAAAGGGAAGCAAAGCACACACGGGATTGAGGCAAAGAAATGGCAGCAGCACTAAAATAATTATAAAGGGGTGGCTCTTTCCATAAACATCGTACGAGACGAGACACGTACAGGCGGGGGTTCCTGCCTCCGGGGGCGCGCAATTTCATTATCTCCAATTGGCTTGCTCCTAGCGCATCTCAGAGTCCTCATCCAAATTTAACGGCATCCACGGATTCCGACCCACCGTCTGCGGAGAACAACGGAGGTGCCGCTAGGTTGATCTTCGGCTTGAACATCGTCACTTTCGAGAGCGCCTGCGATTGGCATTCGAGCCTCAGCTTCTGCTTATACAGCAAACGTCATTTTTCCTCGACTCCAAGCTCCACATCCGTCGCGTCACACCCGCAATCTATCGATCTGACTGAGAGACCTCCGCGATCCTGATCATACCATTCTCATCGCTTCAGACCAGCAATCACCATGCCTCCCAAGCAGGATCTTAACCGCTCAGGATGGGAGTCGACCGACATGCCCTCGGCCTGTGAAAAGTGCCTTGGGGACAACCCTTACGTCCAAGTTTTGAAAGAAGACTACGGCGCTGAATGGCGAGTACCTTGTTTTGGCTCACTACCATTGAGCTTCTTACTAACTATGCGCAGCAAAATCTGCACCCGACCATTCACAGTGTTCCGCTGGAAGACGGACCGCACAGCCCGTCAAAAGCGCACAAACCTCTGCCTGACGTGCGCTCGACTGAAGAACTGCTGTCAATGCTGCATGCTTGATTTGAGTTTTGGACTTCCCATCGTTGTACGCGACGCCGCCCTGAAGATGATCACACCCGGACCCAACAGCGAAATCAACAGAGAGTACTACGCACAAAACCACGAGAAAGAGATCGAAGAAGGCAGAGGAGCTGTAGAGGCCTACGAGCAGACGGATGAAAAAGCAAGGGATTTGCTGCGCAGGCTTGCGCAGAGTGAGCCTCATTACAAAAAACAGAGAAGACTGGAAGAGGAGGGTGCCGCATCAGGACAAAAAATGCTCGAGGGTCCTTCTTCAGGAAGTGCTGGACCTGGGCCTATTCGCACAAAGGACTCGAGACCAGCAGGATATGGACCTCCCTCACGACCTGTCAAGGGTGCCTCGAGAGCACGTCCTTTCCCCAACACGGCAACTCTGCCACCACAACCGCAAGATATCCTTCCTCCAGCCGACAAGAATGTCATGTCACTTTTCGTCACTGGTGTTGAGGATGACCTTCCCGAGCACGAAATCCGCGTCTTCTTCTCCCAATTCGGAAGCCTCCGTTCTCTGGTCTGTTCGCATCGATCACACTGCGCATTCGTCAACTACATGACAAGAGACACGGCTGAGGCAGCGGCTGCTGCATGTAAAGGAAGAGCTGTGGTCAAAGGTGTGCCACTCAGGGTGCAATGGGGCAAGCCAAAGACGTTGGACAACATGGACAGAGAGGCTCGTATGGCGAATGCAAGAGCTGGACGCGAGACCAATGCGGCGGTTAAAGCGGCTTCAGCTACGAGACCCGCAATCGCTGCCGGTCCTTCGTCATCGGCAGCTGGACCATCTGACAATACAGACAACTTCGATCTGGTAGCTCCTCCACCTGGATCCGAGGACGTTCAATACGCGAGTTTGGCTGGCGAGTAGACAGGTTCTCGGTTGCGAGAGACATGGAGATATTCGGCGTTTTGACGAAAGCATGGCGTTCTGAGGCTCTTTTGTATTTCGACGACCAGGGTTGAACAGGAAAGAGGGGTATCATATATTGTTTCTACATATCAAATCAGAGAGCAGCGCTTGACCTCTGCAAAAGACTTTGTGGTTCCTCTGAACTGCTTGACGGACTCGTTGTCGCCCTTCTCGGTGTGCTTGTGGATGTTCAGTTCTATGCATTTCATGTCGTGTCAGTCGTCGGTTTCCCGTCGTCAAAGGTGGGAGCAGCCTGTGACTCACTGTAAGTCTCTGATTCCTCCTTGTCGGTGGATCCTTGTACTACATTTTCCCTGAGGATCTGAGCCACTCCTTGTGCGTGTTCGACGGCTTTCTCTGCCTCGATGCTGCCGGCTTTGAAGCGGCGGTTTTGGTCGAATGAGTCTCGTGCGAATCTACGGGAGTTCTGTAGTGTGCTGTCGTCGCCTGGTTTGTCTGTGTCAGCGACTTGAAGGTGGTGGTGCAAGGCGGAGGCGATGGGTGGGTACCTTGGAAAGCGATGCGAGTTGCGCGCAAGAGGTTGCGATATGTTGACAGGACCACTGTCCTGTTGTGAGGTACGATTGTTGCCGACATTGTATGCTTCTTTCAGATGTGTATGCTCGAAGATTGTTTGTCTCTCAAGGACGAATAACTTAATGTCCGTCATTGACGGCGGAACTGCGTGCCAAGCGACCCCGGAAAGGCCAAAAAATCGAGACTTTTTGAACATCGCGAGTCTCGTTCCTCTGTATCCGCTTCATATCAACATCAATATGTCTGTATCTCAGATCAACAAGGCTCTGCCTACCCTCCCTGCCGGTTGGTCCGCCGACAAGGACTTCAAGGCTGTCGGCAAGCTCTCTGCTGCCGCTCGCCGCAACGTCGAGCCCGTCGGCCCTTACTTCCTGGCACACGCCCGCAGAGTACGATTGCTCCATTGAGACCGCGCTCATACACACAGGCTGACCATTCGTCCAGACTCGCCACAAGCGTACTTTCTCCGAGGATGACCGCATCCGCGCCCAGGAGAACGTCAAGAAGGTCGAGGACGAGGATGCCGGTTACATCAGTGAGCCCGAGGACCCTCAGATGCTTGCCCGTGAGGCCAAGGACTGGAAGGTGTGTGCCATCAATACAAGTCTGACACTTCTCACATCCTAACAACCATACAGAGCCAGGATCACTACGCCGTTCTCGGCATAACAAAGTACCGCTGGAAGGCCACCGAGGAGCAAATCAAGAAGGCCCACCGCCGCAAGGTCCTCAAGCACCACCCCGACAAGCGCGCCGCCGCCGGCGGCAACGAAGACGACAACTTCTTCAAGTGCATCCAGCGCGCCCACGAGATCCTCAGCGACCCCGTCAAGCGCCGCCAATTCGACTCTGTCGATGAGGCCGCCGAGGTCGAGCCCCCAACCAAGAAGCAAACCCAAAAGGGCAACTTCTACAAACTGTGGAGCAACGTCTTCAAGGCCGAGGGCCGCTTCAGCAAGACCCAGCCCGTCCCCAAGCTCGGCGATGAGAACAGCACCCGCGAGCACGTCGAGAACTTCTACAACTTCTGGTACAACTTTGACTCGTGGAGGACTTTCGAGTACCTCGATGAGGACGTCCCTGATGACAATGAGAACCGTGATCAGAAGCGTCATGTGGAGCGCAAGAACAACAACGCCCGCAAGAAGAGAAAGGCCGAGGATAACCAGCGTCTGCGCCAGATGGTCGACGAGTGTCTAGGACTCGACGAGCGCATCAAGAAGTTCAAGAAGGAAGAGCACGCCCAGAAGAACAAGAAGCGTCTCGAAAGAGAGGCCGAGGCCACCAGACTCGCCGAAGAGGCCGCAAAGGCCAAGGAAGAGGAGGCTCGTCTCGCAAAGGAGAAGGAGGAGGCTGAGAAGGCATCCAAGGCCGACTCGAAGAAGGCAAAGGAGGCTGCCAAGAACGCCGCAAAGAAGAACAAGCGTGTCGTTCGTGGTGCCGTCAAGGATGGCAACTACTTTGCCGATGGCGAGGCCAGCCCCGCTCAGATCGACCAGGCACTCAACGATGTTGATGCTTTGATCGCCAAGCTCGAGGTTGACGACCTTGCTACCTTCAAGAGCAAGCTTGACGGTAAGACTGATGCCAAGGAGATCAAGACTCTGTTCTCCGAGGAGGCTTCTCGCCTCGGCATGACCGACCTCAAGTCTTTGGCTTAGATTTGATTTCACCCTATAGACCTTATTTGACTCTTTCATAAAAGCATGTGGGGAAGGAAGGAGAAAGATTAGAATGGTACTTTACGATCTCTGGCAAAAACTTATCCAAACTAGATTGGACACACCTCTACCGAACATCTCAAGAACTCGTGTCTATGTGATCTTATCTTCAGCCACTAGAATCCCGAAGCCCAATACGTTGCTATAGACTCATCTACACCTTCCTGCCTTTGGCAACAAACCCCGTCTTGGCGACTTCCTTCCCATTCATCTGCAACAAGAATTTCTCCTCCAACACCACGAATCCAAAGTCCGTGAAGCCTGCTCCTTCGAAAAATGCCTTCATATCACTCTCACCAAACCCATTAGTCTTGATTGTCTTTTCCATCTTCTTCCACTCTTCTGTATCTTTGTCTTTTTGCTGAGCAGAGGGTTGGGCAGAGTGGTTGGAGGAATGAGCAGAAGGGTGGGCATGTGCATGTGCAGACCCAATATGTTCATCCCTCTTCACCTCTTTGGGCAACCAATCAACGATAAAAAGTACTCCTCCCTTTTTCAGCGAAGCGTAAAGATTAGAAATGCAGAGGGAAGGGTCGCTGAAGTGGTGGAAACCCAGTGCTACGCCTGCTACATCGTAATGCGCCGAAGAACCAAAGGTGGCTGAGGTATTCGAGTATTCGGGTGTTGCAGTAGAGCAGAAATCTGTGATTGCGGTGGAGAGGGAAAGATGAGGGTGCGATGAGGAGAGGAGAGTTGTGTATTGGTGCAGCATCTGTGATGAGATGTCTAGGCCTGTTGCGTGTGTGATTTGGGAGCTCAAAGCCTATTCATTCATCTTCATATCAGCATGGGTCCTACCATGCAACCCTTTGCAGTCTTGAGATTTGGATCATTGGGACGGAAAGGGAGAGTAAGCTTACTCTAGTTACACTACCAGTCCCACATGCATAGTCCAGTAATCTGCATTCTTTGTTGCCCTCAGAAATCCAGTTTGCGGCTAGCCAGGTAGTATGAGTGTCCAATGCCGAAGCTACTTGTGCAGCTATCTTCTTTTGCCATGGTTTGGCGTCGTAGTCTTTTGCTTTTGAGCTGGAAGGTGATTAGTCAAGGTTACTGGTATGCGGAGGATGGAGCATTAGAGGAAGGGTTTGGGATGGTGGATCGAGGGAAGAGTGGTATGGGATGATGTGATGAGGGTAGGTGACAGGGATGTATGTGCTATCTATCTCGGGGTGAGACGTGCAAGATATCCGGTCGCATGAGTATATGATTAATGTTTGAGAGGGAGGGAACAAGTATAGAAGACCGAGTCTTTTCATTGAAGATAATTGATGAGGTGTAGAGGAATGGAATCACTCACTCCCAAGTTTCGCGGTTGGCAGCCGTGAATGCATTGTGTTCGTGGCTCATGATTGTTGTGTAAGGAAGGCTGTCACTCAAGATTGATGATCTCGATATGGGCGAATCTGGGAGGTCACTGATATATATATATATCCAAACAGATGGATATGTCACCGGAAGAAGTGTCCGAGAACTCTCCGTCGTTGACTTTCGGTGGGGGCATTTCGCAACCCATCATTCTCGTGACACCCTTTCATCATTTTACGAGATCTGATATTGATCCATGAAACACGCGGAAGATGAGCACTGTTAGGAAATGACCATCACAGGGATTGCATGCAGTATTACTGTCGAGTATCATCCATTGGAAACTGGCCAGGGTTGTACTCGACACATTGGAAATTTCGCGTCGAGATTTCTTGGAATACATTCTCACTGTCTTGGAACTTGACAAAAATATTCGAACAAATCCTGTTGGATCAGAGTGGGGATGATTTTGAAGTTTGAATGAAATTGATTTTGTGTTGGATATATCGCAAGGAATAGAAAAACGAACACACAAACATGACAAATTTCCGCCAGTCGGACTTCCAATCCGAAACGCCGCTTGAGATCCGACATGGTATATCAACAAATATGTCTTCTCTCCGCCCAGTGAATGTTAGATCGTAAAAAGTTATGCTAATCCTCATCGTATAAAGTTTTCAGCCTCTTCGAATGCGAATCATCTTACAGGTTGGCAGGAGGGTTGTTGGGGTTGATGGGCTTCTTGGCTCCACCCATGGAGCGCTCGAAGGAAGAGGCAGGAGGAGCAGAGTTGGGGTTGGGGTGGTGCTTCTTGAGAGCCAAAGTGACGTTGTACTCAAGGTCGAGCTGAGCCTTGGGGTCGTCCTTCTTGGGCTTGAATTCGACAACGAGATCGTCCTTGACGGCAAAGACGGAGTCGATGTCAAGATGAGGGTCGTCGCTGGGGTAGATCTGGTTGATGACGGTGGCGTATTCGGGGTGGGTGATCATCAAGTGGATGTGGGCGGGACGCATGGGAGAGCGGTCCATGAGTCTGAGGAGGACGCCGGCAGGGCCGTCGGTGGGAAGCGAGTAAGGAGTGGGGTGGTAGCAGTACCAGTTGAATTTGCCGTCCTTGTCCGACTTGAACTTGCCACGGAGGTTGTTCTCGGATTGCGAGGGGTCTTGGAAGTCGTACTGGCCGTTGGAAGAAGCCTGCCAGATGTCGAGAACAGCACCCTCGATGGGGGCACCCGTCTCCATGTCCTTGAGGACACCGTGCATGTATGTGACTCTGCCACCCTCCTTGTGGTCTTGAATGATGCTGTCGCCGAGCTCACGGAAAGGAGCGTTGGGCGACCAGAAGGGACCGAGAATGACGTTGGAGGTAGGAGACATGCCCTGCTCGGTAACAATGCGGTTGGCAATCTCGTCGACGAGTCTGTGAGCTTGGTTAGCCATACATGCTTGTGCATTGAGAGTCCAGTCAAACTCACGATTCGAGACCAATGACATCGCAAATACGGTGACCCTCGTTACGGATGGGAGTGCTGATCTGTCCGATCGAGTTGATGAAGTCGACACCCATCATCCACTCAGCGGGGGTGAGCTCGACCTCACGGGCAAAGTCGTGGATGTGCTTGATCAGAGATCCCAGGATGACACGAGCACGGTCAGGAGTGCCGGGTCCCATGGCATTGACGACATAGGGAGTGAAGTTGGGGTCGAATCTTGCGTTGGTCGACATTTTGACTGATGTGTGTAGAGAGTTGTGAGGATAGAAAGGTAGTCTCTTGACAAGTTGCAGAGTACGAAAGTGCTGAGTAGGCAACTTTCTGAGAGGTTTGAGAAGAGAAATGGTGGATGGAAGATTGAAGATTGAGATACAGAAGAAGACACGGGAGCTCCTTGGGGGGCCTCGCTCTATATACTACTTGTTTCTGCTAGCTATGGGTCCATGAACAAAGTTGACGGCAGATTGAATCGGCTGCTTGCTCACGCCTCTTCGGCGCTCCAGAACGGCAGTAAAATGCGGTCCGAGGGCCCTCCGCGCTGTAAACCCCGCGCCAAGCCCGGTGCGGTAGCGGGGCAATCGGAACTGCTTGCTTTCTGATTGGCCATCTGTTTTGCGAGCAAGAGCCGGTCGACCTTGCCGTACGAGACTAGGGTCCATGTGATGGTTCTGCTGCGAACACATCTCGAACTTCGAGCAAAGCTTGGTGATGAACCTCAAACAAAAAGATATCGAGCGCAAGGGGAAAGAGCGACATCCGTCACCAGTAGCCGCTTCCACACTCCGGTCCACTTACTTCCGTTGCTACTTCTTATAAAGATCGCTCGGCCACACAGTCCACCATCATCCTCCAGCTCTCCATCCTGGTTCTTCTGGTCATCCACATCCTTGATCAAATTACTTCAGATCCACATTAAACATCGCTGTCCTAGACTCTTCGTTCTGCCTGCCTTAGGCAACAGACACACCACCAGCCTGCCCGATTATATGTTGAATCGCTTGCTCAATGCACCGTATACGAAGACTGTTGTCGTGTAGATGGAGTTCGTTGTGCCTAGGCTTAGAATATCTGCCTGAGGCATACCCGCTGTTGAGGGTGCACAATGTGTTTGCAGTCCTCTTGCTCGAAGGCTGAAAAACCTTGTTCTCGTGATCTAGAGATGGCTTTCTATTGCCATGCGCTTTGGACTACTAAATTCACCGCTTAGGTTGACGTTGAGATCTTTTTGCTCGAAGACTGACATATTCGCGCCCAAAGAGTGTGTATGTTCCATCTTAGGAAACGCTAGACTTCGTTACCGGTGTTGACGAGAGAGATGGATCCGTATCCAGAACTACTCTTACACGCTTGACCCCGACCACCATCTCGATTCTGCGAACAAACATGTTGTGATCCCGAGCTGTCTCTATATGAGTCGGAGGCCAATTGCGATGCATCTTCTGTGTAGCTGCTCCTAATCAAAGTCTTGATAGTGAGGCTGTTGGCGCAAAGGCCGTATCCGACACAGCTGCCACACATCGAGCCTTGTTTGAATATCACAGAGCGTTGGAGTACAACCATACCTATCAGGCTCCAGTATGAGCCTGCTCCAGGCGAATTTACAAGCACTTATCAGAAACTGACAGCACAGCAAACCTCGCTTAGCTATCAGGACCATCTGATCGAAGAACATTCTGATGTGCATGTTCACGACATGGCATCCAGTTTTGCAGTCGCAGTCTCTGTAGGCGTTTGTCTGATGACTGCTATGAGTCCACGGCACAGAGTGCTCGTGATTTTATCGAGCCGCTCGTGGAGAGCCAAGATTGTCAATAAGACTCATTGGACAATGCACCGACACAATGTCCATCGCTTGCAGCTCTTTGGTCACGGTTGACCTACTGACACGATCCGAGTCTGGAAGAAGGCATGTCTAACCAATCCAACAAAGACGTGCAGGAGAGCTCTTGGTCCACTGAAAATACCAAGTTCTAATTTGGTGAGAGACAATCTATATCTAAAACAACCCGGCTACTGACGAGATCTAACAATGGACGGCTTTGTGTAAGAGACACAATAACACGACTGCGAACCCGTCGTGTGGACACAGCCTACCTGCAGGCGACAAATGTAGGATCTGCGGTCTGCCGATCTATAGATTGTTTTGCTGAACGAATGGGACCAAGTAACATGAGCCGACCCAAGCAAACGGGAACAAGCTGCACCGAGAGGAAACGAGCTCCTGGAAGATACAAGTCGAACGGTACGAAAGGTAGACACAAGACCATGTTTGGTGGTGGTCAGCTCGCGTATCTGGCGAATCTACGAGGGTTGCTTGTTATAAATGCCCTAAGAAGGGGTGTGTTACACCAACCTGTGCCTTTTCTCTGCCCTGCTCCCCGCAAGGCGGTTATCGAGCCACGCGAAGCCAACACTGCAGCCGCCACCACGACAGCCAATCTATGCGCTTGCTGCATCTTTTGAGGGAGAAGTTGTCGTTGGGCGTGCGCACATGACAAAATCACTCACATCCACTGTTTGGAGGACATGAAACATACACAACGCATTTGTGTTGCTCTGACACGAGGGTGGGCTTTTGAACATATTTGCCTCTACAGCAAGCTTTTTCTTCTCCGAGAGGCTTTCCATTTACTTCAAGTTTGATGTCGAGCAAGCGAGGTTAGAGGCAGAAGCAGGAGACAAAGGCCTTGTTTGCCAGGAGAAAGACAAGCGACAAAGCAGATAAAAGTCGATATATACTCACAAGCTCTCTGATACCTTATATGCAAACATGTCAACACACATATACACTCCATCCAGGATCTTGGATAGAAGAAGACGACGCAACAACATACGCAAGGATCTACACTGCCGCCCTCAAGACCAATTCACCTGGGACCCAGGCACCCCGTCCTCATCCAAATCCTCAATCTCAGCCTCAGAAAGCAAAGACAGCGTCAGTGACTACCTCGCACTCCATCAACCCTCACGCCTCCAGCAGCAAAGAAACACCATGAGTCTCACCCACTACAGCCCCACAGACGATGACGAAGACTACACATCCAGCGACAACGACCACCTCTTCATGAAAGACTCTCCACGGCGTCAAAGCAGCAATGGCAGTCCTCCTCGCAGTGACCCCAATGGCAATACTATACCTCACTCACGCTCTAGGACGTCAAGTCGCTCAACACCCATCTGTATATGTCGCAATCCTTCAGCCATCGCATCCGCTGCATCCTCCGCCGCAGCTTTCTCACCGGTGGAACCAGCAATCTGGAGTGAATTGCGCAGACTCTTCCACCACGCAGACCCACGCAAACACTTTGATATCCTTCGCTGCAGCACGCCAGCAACCGACGAGCACGGCAATGGATTTGTGCTGATTGAGGCGAGGGTGCAAGCGAAAGATGGGGGTATGGTTGCTAAAGGGGAGGCTTGTACGGATACTGTGTTGGCGTTGAGGAGTTTGAGGAATGCGTTGATGGAGACCAAGGGGGAGAGATGCTTGCCTGTTGGTGAGGGAGAGGAGATCATTGCGGGGAGGATTGGGGTGTTTGAGAAGGTTTGCTCGGCTTGTGGGTTGCCTCGTTTTTGATGTTGAGGGTGTTGTTGTGAGACATTCACAAGACATTGCGTATGGAGATCGAGGGGCTATAGAAAAGGTCACCGGGTCGGAAGGCCAGTACGAAGAGTCGAACCTTGGCTGTGTGTGTGAGCTATCTAAATATCAGCTATCGAGGACATACGAATCACTTGCCATATCCCAAACTCAGAGCTTCGGCGCAGTTCTAATCTCCCTCCTCTTAGCTTTCCACTCTGCATCTCCTTTAACAGACACAGCCACTCTAGCAGGCTCAACATCCCTCCACAACCCAGCTCCCACCAATTCCACCAGCCCGAATATCCTTCTCACCACTGTCATACCATCACGACGGTTCTTGCCTTCTCTTCTTGCCTTGCTAATGCTCTCGCAATATTCCCAAAGCTTTCCTTGCGCTTCGATATATCCGTTTTCTGCTCTCTTGGGCATCCACTCAGATGTGAGATGTACGGCAGCAGGGATCTTGCCGTCCTTCGATGGTGGAGTAATGGAAATGATGCCGCTCTCTGCAAATCTCGTGTATGCATTTCGAAGTGTTTCGCGATTGACAGCTTCGAGATATGAGATATCGCCTTGTGCGTAAAGAGTCTTGCCTAGTCGTTGTGCTTGAGTAACTACGGCGTTCAGTGGTAGCGAGGTCTGTTGTGAGACATTGGCCGAAGGAGGTGTGAGCATCAAAAGACTTATGGCGCCCAGCCAGCTGGCTTCAATGAACGGCCAGATCAAGAAGCAGTAGAAGTCGTAGTTCTCTCTCCCATTCAGACGTTCTGATTCGGAGAGAGATATCGATTTGATCGTGTCGTTGTTGTCCTCGGATTGCTTGATGGATATGATGTCGTCCAGTTCCAGACCGGCCAATGTGTTGCTAAGGTTCTCTGCCAGGGGTGTCGTTGGGAAGATAAATTCGCCACGGAACAGCTGCCAAGGTCAGTAGGAGAGACATCAGGGGACCAGAAAACTTACCTGCGACAGGAAATAAACATAATCGTATAGAGCTGTGTATGAAATGCTTTGATTTTCTGGACCTCCACCCATCTTGACTTTGGTGTACAGCGCAGCGCTGACCAGTGCCTCCGATACGAACAGATGGATGGTCATGTTGCGATAGAAACTGAGCTGGAATCGATCTGCAGCGAAATATGTCTTTTCGGGTAAGTTCTTGTACTCTCCGACCAAGTTCGGTCCAAGCACTTCAAGAGCACGCTCTACAACAATTGTAGTCGGAAGGCCAGAGAAATGTGCGATACGACCACCTTGCTTCTTGACTCTTTCTGTCAACCAATCAACACGACGAACCAGTTCAGACTTGCCGGCTCCTCGTCCTCGAAGAGTGAGAAGGACAGTACCGACCAGGGCAGTGGGCATGACAACGGAGACCGCGTTGATGTCTGAGAGAACTTTGTAGCCAAGGGTAGTCAGAAGGCGACGCTTGAGAGCAGCATCTTCAGGAGTCTTGATGCGAGGTGGCAATGTTGTCAGTCGGACTCTCTGCTCGTTGACAAAATCACGGAGGCTCCAAGGCTCATGAAAACGGACATCCACACGGCCAAGTTTGAGAGACAAGACAGATGAGGAGGATAAGAAGTTGCCCAATGACTCTTTGGGTTTTGGTTGACCCAGAAGTTCGGAGATGTACGAGCTACGTGGTATTAGTGGTCGATCAGAAACCATTGCCAGCAGTACTTACTCAACCTCGATGACCTTGTCATATTGTGTACTCACAGGACAGATAACAGCATCTTCTACCTGACCAGACAGTACACTTTCGAGGAGAAAACTGAGGATGCCGAATTTAGGTTGCAAGAGCTTTCCTGTACGTGAACGGCCTCCCTCTAGGTATGTGTAAGCAATGATCAGGAGATACGAGTAGAGAGTACGTACCAACGAAGCACTCGAAGTTATGACCTTCTTGCAACAATGTATCTAGATATGCTTGGACGAGTGTTGTATATAACGCATCGTCTCCAAAACTGCGTCGAATCCACATCGCACCTGGAAGAGTCAATTAACAAGAAAGCACTGCCATTAACGTCGTTCAACATACCTGCGTGCTGCAAGAAATAGCCCACTCCAGGAAAGTTGAGATTGTCGCCAGCCACTACAATGGGTAAAGCAAGACCCAGACGATAGCATATCAGCTGTAGCGAGACATAGTCTACGTGTGATCGATGACACGGTAGAAAGATGATGGATTGTTTCTTCTTCTCTGCTTCCTGGGCGACCTTTCGGAGACGTAAGACCTCCTCACTAGATACGTGAATTCCCTGATGGTAAGCTCGAGTAAGAAGTTGGGTGGCAAAGTAGTAAGCGCCACGAATGAATCTCCTACTGTCCATTTTGCAAATCATCTGGTCAGTCCATGAATCGGCAACCTGAATCAGTTGAGCCTCCATTTCTCTGCGTCTTTCCTCGATCTTGTGGTTTGCAAGGGTCCCTTCAGCCAGTTCAACATTGATTCTTTTGTGAGCCAGCTCAGATATCTTGGACTGCAGCCTCGGGTTCTTCAGGACCAAAGCTTTGATGTGGTCACTGAAGCCATTGTAGAAGATATTGCGACCAATGAAGTTGTCGTAGGAGCGCCATCCAGTACCGGAAACATGCAGACTGACTTCTCGTAGAAAGTCCAGAGGAGCGGAACGGAAGCGAGCGTATGAAGTCAAGAGAGGAGTTTCTTGGTCCTGCACCACACCAGGTGGGTGTAATGTTAGGCGATCACCCAAGATGGACAGATCCGGAGCGTTGTTGTCAGTCATGTCGCTCAGCAATTCTTCATGTTGTCGCAAGACGAGACGATATGAAGCAATGCTTGAGTGGCAGTTGCAGCAAGTGGAATGCAGGCAGGAGTAATGGTGCTAATGGATCATGGACGGGCCGAGGCAAATACCCCGGAATTGCGGGGGGTGGATGATCAAAGCTTCATCAGCCTTTAGAGTTTCTGGCTGGCTGTTTGGATGACTTGTCTTGTTCGATCAGCAATGGCACAAAAGAAGAGTATCGTCTTCTTCCACCCGGACCTGGGCATTGGTGGTGCCGAGAGACTGGTCATCGATGCCGCCGTTGGTCTTCAAGCGCGCGGCCACAAAGTCACCATCTTCACGTCGCATTGCGATCCGGGGCACTGTTTCGACGAGGCCCGTGATGGTAAGTCGTCGTCGACTATCCAGCTCCTGATCTTTGTGCTGAGCGTCTAGGCTAAACGTGACAAGGAACCCTCGACGTACGAGTTCGCGGAAACTCGCTCATCCCCTCGACCATCTTCGGACGCTTCGCCATCCTCTGTGCCATCTTGAGACAACTGCACCTCGTGTGCATCATCGCTCTGTGGAACTACGAGCTCGACCACCTCAGACCCACTCACTTCTTCGTCGACCAACTCAGTGCTGCTGTCCCCCTCCTTCGCTTCTTGTACACCAATGTCGGCGTCCTCTTCTACTGCCACTTCCCGGACCAGTTGCTTGCTCAAAAAGGAGAAGGTGCTTTGGCTGTCTTGAAAAAGGGATACAGGGTACCTTTCAATGCAATTGAAGGTTGGAGCACTGGCTCAAGCAACGCTATCGTCGTCAACAGCAACTTCACTGGCAGCGTCGCCAAGCGTGTCTTCCCAGCTCTGTCAAAGAGAGACTTGAAGGTCGTCTACCCCTGTGTCAATACCTCGAACGCCACACAATTGCAACGCAAGCCCATGTGGGCCGGTCGGAAGCTTGTCTTGAGCATCAATCGCTTCGAGAAGAAGAAGGATGTTGCTCTGGCTGTCAAAGCTTTCGCCCGTCTCGATGCTTCGGTCCGAAAATCTGCTATCCTGGTCATTGCTGGTGGTTACGATCAACGTATGCCTGAAAATGTCAGCACCCACCAAGAACTTCAACAACTGGCCGACTCTTTCAAGCTCTCGCATGAAACCTACAAGTCGCTCCCCGATCCTTCTGTCGTCTCTAACACCACATCCGTTCTCTTTCTCCTATCTGTCCCAGACGCCTTGAAGCAGTCTCTTCTTGCCTCTGCCGATCTGCTTGTCTACACTCCTCAAAATGAGCACTTCGGGATTGTACCCCTCGAAGCCATGCTCGCCCAAGTACCCGTATTGGCTGCCAATGAAGGCGGGCCTCTCGAGACTGTTATTGAAGGAGAAACTGGATGGCTACGTGACATTCGCAAACCCGAAGAATGGACTGCCGTCATGTCGAGTGTTTTGGCCAGCTCCAACCCTGCTGAATTGCGCAGCATTGGCGAAAATGGCCGTAAGCGCGTCCAAGCAGAGTTCTCAAAGGAGCAGATGGCTCTTCGTCTTGACCACTCCTTGGATCAGATCACAAATCCACCAAAGCAACCCTCGGCTATACCTGATTGGCTTTTGATGACCATTGTTGTTGTAGGCATAACTATTGGCTTGGCGCTTCTATCTACATGGTTGTTGTTTGTAGGGCTTGATTTGGTCAAACCCGTCGAGGAGGCATCACCACAGTACAATGCTGGTGAGACAATCACTGAGAAGATCATTGCTGTCACCACACAGATGGTGAGAAACGAGCTTTGAGTAGCCATTACATATGCAATTCAGTGAATTCATTCGAGATTATCAAACGGCCTTTTGTCGCTCCCTCCAACGAAGTCTTTTCCACGTTTCCATTATGTGGACAATTCGTGCTTATCATCCTATCCTGCGGCAATTTTGTTGTACACTCTGCCGTATTGGCGCAGTTCAGTGCTGACATCTTTCCCCTCGAAAATCGCTCTCTTACATAATCTAGCTCTTCGGCTCTTCCCTGTGATACACACTCTGTCGTTTCCTTTGTGTCACCAGCTGACATGCTCAGTGCCGCCATAGACATGGCGAGGGCGTACATCGGCAAGTGAGCAAACAAGTGAGTCCGGGCTGATGAAAGGCTAGTCTATATGCCTCTACTCCTTGCAAGAGGAAAACGTGATTCGACTTTGTCGTTGTCTAGCAAATAGCAAGGCTGACTATTCATAATAACCTGAGTAGAGGAATCAATGTCGTAAGATCCAGATACAGCAGCAAATCTTGCATTCATCGCGTCTTGTCATTGTCAGACGGTGAAGCGATGGCCTGTCTCAAGGATTTGTCATGTTGCTTTCGAGCTTCCTGCATCGTATCGACTGCCTCCCTCAAGGAAAGACTCTCGTACTCGATAGGTGCCACATGTCCAGGATTTAATGTATAGAAGCAGGCAAAGCAATCATACAAGTCGGCATCAGCAGGCTTCGGATTCCTTCTCTTCCACCATAGTCGTAGTCCTTGCCTTTCGTAGCGGCCGCAGGAGGAACAAGCGCGCTTGACTGCTTCCTGAGTCTTCACCGGAGTGTGTGTCTTCCATGTAAAATGTTGCATCGGCCACTCGTAATTGATCAAGAGTTTGTACAACCTTATGTAAACGTGCCTTTTCTGGTCCGAGGCTCGCACTATTTCGCGCCTTTTGTCCTGGTTTTCTCGTATCCATTTGGTGATTGCTCTGTTGTGCTTTTCAGGGTTTCGTCTGAACCATTCTCTAGCGTAGACATTTTTGGCGTCCATCTTCAACGGACTAGGTGAGTACAGGATGGCACTGGTGGTGTATGGATATGCTAGTACCCTTGACCAAGGCCTAGGGAGAGCGATAAGTCGCACCGAAAGCGCTAAACATGATAGAGCGAAGGTCATGTCGAGAAAGTTGTGATTGGCTTGTCAAGGTTGTTCCGCACGTCGTCTTGTTGAAGCGATGTTGTGTCGTGTACACCCACACGCTTATCGTCGCGACCTCGTGTATTGGAAGCCAAGATCAATCGACGGTTATTCTTGCTTGATTGAAGTCTGGACTGTGCCATCAGTTTGGTTGAGAATGTGTGAAAAAGTCTTAAGTGTACCTGTGCTTCCACTTGAGTAGTGTCTCTACATAAGGTCAACATGCGAATGTGTCGAGCATCATCGGTCAATGCTGCTGCGTGAAAAAGATGTTATATAGCGGCTCGGCACGGACAACCTTAATATCACGCAACAACCAGCCACTCATCAACTCACCTCCCATAACACACACGGAATCTCTCTACTGGAACGTTCTAATTCCTCAAGAGACACTGAGGAAGTCTGATGAGATATCAAGCCACGAGATGTGTCGTTCTCGTAGTGTAGTTCTCGGGCCTGCATCTCCGATGTCCGAGACGGAGAGATTCAACTGTCCGGCCGGGAAGGAAGATCGATGACCACACTGCCTGCATAACATTAGATTAGACTGATGTGTATATAAGAGCAATCGCTGTAGGTTTCCTGGTGTTGAACAACATCAACTTGCCCTCGACCATCATTGCAACTCTGTCCAGGTAGTACATGAGAGTCGCTTTTACACTACAGCAATTCATCGGACCACGAACACCTCAATTATCTAGCTATTCGAAAGTTGTGTTTTCCAAAAATATCAAAGCTCCATCGAAACCTCGCTTCCTAAACACTTTCTCGACGATGTCTCTCTCAAGCCCCGTTCCCATCGCCCTTTGCGGCAAGAGTCAGGTCATGGCCACAAACTTCAGCTCCAGCATGGAAAAGGAAGGCTACGAAGGTTTGTCATTTCCACCTCTATATCTTGTCTCACCTCCGGAGAATCATCCAAAAAACTTCAATTGGTTCAATCTTCTAACCCATCCCACCACAAAAACAGTAGTCCACACCTGCAACGACATCGACTCTGCAAAGTCCACCCTACCCTCCCTGCTCTCCTCCTCTTCTGGCCCCGTCGCCGTCGTCATCGGTAAAGGCTTTTACGAATCTGAGATGCAAGAGATCATTGAGCATTGCAAGAGTGAAGCAAAGTCTGCAAAGACAGTCTGGTTGTTGCCTGACGATGACAAGTTTTCTGCTTACATGAAGCTCAAGGCTGTGGCTTCGGCTGGAACGATGTTGCCTGGCATGATTGCCGAGAGGGCTGCTGATGCGTTGAGGGAGAATGGTGTTGTGGCTGGTGGTAGTCTTGAGGGTGTTAAGAGTGGTGTTCATGGGTTCTAGGGGGATCATCCTCAAGTAGCTACTAAAACATCGTGCTCTATTTCATGCGCCCAGATCATGGTTACAACCCTTGAGAAAACAGTCTTCGAATGTTTGCCAGCAATTGCCTGACGTGACGAGAGCTGAACTTCGCTACTCACCTCGCAGACGACTGACAGCAGTGATCAGATGAGACAGCCGAGAAAACGACATCTTCAGCCAGTATTTGTAGGAGAGCATGATCAGATAGGTAGCTATCAGTGATAAGTTTAACCGGACTTATCGGACAAAAGAACAGTTAAACTCGATGGCCGCTCAGCCGGTAACGGCAGCCCCGCGTCGACGTGAGTATTAGCACCATTAGGGTAGTTCCTTCCCGAGCCGCGGTCACGACATGAGAGAAGGTAAAGAGATACAGCGATGCGGCACAAAGATCCCTGACTTCCTTGTCCTACTCTCCTCCTCATTACCCCCACGGAACACAACTCAGAATGACTTGTCTTCTGGACCTTTCGCACGAGCTTCTCCAGAGCATCTTGGGCGAAGTTGACGGCCATGACCTTGCGGCATTAAGTGCGACATGCCGCGCCTTCAACTCATTCGTAACGGGCAATAGGATACTTTGCAAGAGTGTATACCTTCGCGCATGGGTTGGTGAAGCTAGAGCAGATCTTGGTACACACCACTGATGCGAGAGATAGGACCACCCAATCGAAGCTGAGCCTTGCTGGGAGACATCAGTACGCAACTTGGTCGCATTACAGAAAATACTGGAGAGCGATGACCTCGAAACAAAGGTCTGGCCTATCTATACAGAACGCACGCTATCTATCAGGGCTCGAAGCTGACACATGGTAGAGAGAGTCGTTCCACTGGGCAGCTCCACTGATCACACCGCTCTTGACAGTCAAGAACTGCTCCAGAAATGCTCCGTTCCTCGCCGATCTCTTCAAGTCACAGAAGAATATTGACGCCTTCCTCGCTTCATCCTCCCTCTTCGAAAACGCGGGAAACTTGACACAGCAACCAGCAGCCACACCAGAGCTACGCCAGCTTGCTGCCAAACTACACTGTCTGTATGGCGTTCCTATCGACTGTCAAATCCCACCGATGCTCGTCCAGGATGACAGCGACGACAACTCTCCATCACCGTCATATTCAGTCCTGTGGCATCCAGAGGCCACCACAGAAAGCGTACAGATCCCAACGAACAACTATGCTCGCGCGGTAGTCTACGATCTTCGACGATACACAGAGGAGAGTCTCTGGGGACCATTCAAGAGCGACGGCAGCCAGGATGTCGACTGGGAAAAAGTAGAAGCCATCATGCTGGTATTGGGATACAACATGCGTCTTTTCAACAGAAGAGCACCACACGTGTTCGAACCTGTATGGGAAAAGCCATTCGATGGTGCCTCTCCCAACTCCTACGTCTCTGCGAAGCCGACAGGAATCATGCGAGAATTGAGTCCACCCGGAGATCTGGACCTACAAGACCCATACGGCATCACTGGAGAGTGGATGCGCGTTGTTTGCTTCCTGGACTATCACGATTTGTTCAGTTTCAACTTCCTACACAGCGTACCTGCAGATCAGCCGCGAGATCCCATCAATACTCGTGAGGCAATCAGGATCATTCGCCTCAAACTCCGGGTTTCTGCCATTGAACCTCCAGGTCCAGAGGACGGTCAAGATTACCCTGTCGTTTCTTTCACAGGAACAAGCTGGAGTTTGCATGCAAGCTGGGATGCAAATGCTAACAGTCGGATCAGAGGTATGTCCAAAGTCGCTCAAGTTCCGTTTCTCAGGGTTGACAATTGTTCGCAGGTACGGTGCGTCAAACACCCAAAGGTGAAATTCGCTGGACGACGTTCTCCATATTCCACAGGTACGTTCTCTCATCAGCAGAATCATATTGCGTAGATTTGCTTTTCATCACATGACATCCGGTGTGGTCTAACGGCTAGGATTTCTCGCTTTCACCGAGGAGGTCGGGGTTCGATTCCCCGCACCGGAAAATCTTCTTTTGTGTTTCTTGTCGCAAGCTGGCAAGAGACATGTTTGTGATCGAGGCACTTATCATGGCATTTCTTTTGCCTTTGAAGATTCATTATTGATCTTTGTTTTTACGCACGACTGCAAAAGAAGAAGTTTCCGGCTCGATCACAAACGCTGAAAGCGAGATCCCATCTCACAACCCTACACTTCCTCACAAAGCCAAGTCATCCCCTATACTTACACTTCCTTCTCTCTACAGTGAAGAACGCTGGCGCAGCGAAGGCATTCAGATCGGCGGCCCACGAAGCGGCAGAGGCGTCCTCGGCAACTGGTTCGACAAGGACTTTGATCGTCATGGTCCTGCTGGCCCCACTGCTTTCTGGAAAGTGTCTGACTATATCGAGGACGGCAAGGATGGAGAGGGCGAGCAGAGTGAGGGCAGTTTGGGAGACGAGGAGAGTGAGGGGGATACGGAGTATATGAGTGATTAGTGACAAGTCACAGGTATTTGTATGGGTTTGGGAAGGATGGATTAGGCTTGTGGACGGACGGGTAAAGGACTGAGTACGGCGTTTATGAGGGTTTCGATCGATAAACTTGCTCTTATATTCTCACGGTTACCCTGATGGCTTTGTAATCTTCCCTCTTCTGCGCTCTTCTTACGAGCCAATTCGCTTAGCTGTTCGTCCAGCCTTGTACGCGTCCGATGCTCGGTAACGTTGATGATGCTTTAGCCTATACTCTTTGTGTCAGACGTGGTGCATCTACATTCAACACAGTGGAGTATACTAACCTTGATCATTCTTCTTGTCAGGCTCCTGACGAGGGAAGCAGAGCATAGCATTGAACTTGTGTGCTGCCTCGATAGAGATCTCGCCAACTGATGAATTAGTATAGTCTTGAGTGATCGACAATGACTTGAAGCTTTTTTGTCGAGTGATTCCAGAGCGATTGCTCGGTGAGTCTGTGAGCAGAGCGCTCCTCGTGCAACCCGCCCTGGAGGTTGATGATCTCAGCTTGCAGCCCACCGAGCTCCTCCTTACTCGTCGTCGACGGACGATCGACAAACATTTCCATCAACCGGAAGCTCTGAGTGGAGCTCTACAACTCCTTTTCTTTGACATTGTCAATCCGACGACGGGACTCGACTATCAAACAAGCGCAGAGCGCTCAAGATGACCAGTATTTTTCTTTTTTTCCCCCCGAGGGAAATATGATCATGTAACATGCTTCCAAGTCACGCAAGCGGCTGCATATTCAGCCACCGGTCTGCCGTATGCTCCAAACCACAGGTTTCAAATGGCAGCTGGTGAAACCCCTCGACGTGTTCTGGGATTGCAGATAAGAGTGCGGTGAGGTCAGCATCCATTTCTGCCTTATCTACTGTCATCTCCTGGAAGTTCGACGATGTGGTCTTTGGTGTTGTTGGAGGAGCTGTTTGGATTGGCGTATAACGACGCCACGGGGATTGAGGTCAGACATGATGGCGCGAGGTTGTTGGGTTGATGGGTTCGAAGGAAGTTGGTGTTGTGCAGAAGGAAGAAAAATCTAGACGTTCAGTGAAAGTTAAAGTATGCTAACCAATTCTCGATTTGTAACGTCAGGTTCTATGTTCTAATTCAACATCGCCGGTCCCCGCTGCCGCTCTTCCTTCAGTCGACGTATCACTCCTCGGCGTAACGCCAGATTCAGACCCCGAAGGCAATCTCACATGCCTACCCTTTCCCTTGAATCCCTTGAACTTTCCGTTCAACCACCTCGCCGTCTTGGCCATAACCTCCCAAATTCTAGCCTGTGCTTCCCTCAACGCAGAATCATCTTTAGGATTCTCATGAGCTTCAGCCTGGAACTGATACTTCAAGCAATCTTTCACCGTAATCAGACCAGTCAGGCGACCACGGTATTCGATGAGAATCACCCTCGGACCAAGCTTTTTGAAGAGTTCCATGACGGTTTCGAGGGGGAGGCGAGGGTGGACGGTTATGGGTGTTGCGTCTATGAACTTGCTGAGGTCGATAGAGGAGTGCGGACTTGTTGCGCTGAGATAGTCGAAGTGAATAGCTGGGTTGGGTGTCGAGGGTGTAATAGGCACATGCCCAGCCACAGGCGTGAAGAAGCATTTCGTGCGTGGAGTAGCCATTTGATCTCTCCTTGCGCGATCCAATGCATAGCGCAGTTCAGTGCGACCTACATATCCCACCAACATCATTGAATTTGCATCTTCCACGATAGGGAAGCCGGAGAACTTTGTGTTGGCAGCGAGTAGAGATTCCAAGTCACGGATTTCTAGGCCGGAGATGGGAAGGCAGGTTAGACTGGAGGTCATCGCTGTTGATACGGGGACGCCAAAGGCGTGGTCTTCTTTGTTGTCGAGGAAGGGCATGCCGTTGAACCAGATCATGCGGTCTGCGATGCCGCCTTTGCCGAAGCGGTCGCTGACGGCTTTTGTGACGCCGACGACAATCTATGGACCATGAGTTGGTGATGAGTCAACGTGGAACGGGGAGAGGGCTTACCATGGTGGGTAGGATATAAGTCAAAGCTCCTGTCAACTCGAACATGATGACAACGACCGAGACAGTGATGTGCATGATTCCTGACAAGGCAGCTGCAGCGCCCAAAAAGGCATATGTGCCTGGTGTGATGCATGGCATATCAGATTGACAAGCCGAGAAAAAGGCAGCGTGTGGAAACGCTTGTTGGATCGCTTGAACCAGGATCCCGACCATGCGACCAAAAGACGCTCCGATAGCCATGGAAGGCACGAAGATACCCGCAGGTACTTTACATCCGTAAGATATGATGACAAGGAAGGTACGCAGGATCGTTGCGATGAGCAGAGAGAACACCGAGGCCCAGCGATTTTGACGACTATGTCTTGTCAGCTGAAGTCTCCAGTGGCATTAGAAGACCTTGCACTTACTCGCACAAGCCATCATAATCATGACCACCCTCACACTCCAGAAACAGAATCTCCATACTCTCTGTCATATCGATGCGCAAAAACTTGTTAGGGTAACAAAGAATAGCCGTCGCTGTAGCAAGTATGGTTGCTTCAAGAATAGGATATTGGCCAAGATAGCGCTTTCGGAAAGCCTGCACGCGGAGGTTCCATTTGATGACAAAGGCGCCGTATAGACCGCCGAAGCTTCCGAGGATGATGTAGAAGAAGATTTCGAAGAAGTGCCATTGTCGATCGTAGCTCACGGTGAACATGACGAGCTGTCCTGTGCGGAAGGGATTCATGGCCTGAAGCATGTTAGTATGACTTGGTGAAAGGGATGAGAGATATGCGTACGGACAACACTGCTGTTGCTACCAGAGCACAAAAGTAGCTTCTCCATAAGGTCTTGAGTGGAAAGTAATTTGACATTTCCTGGCGAGGTGGTCAGCTGTAGCATTCCTTGAGCACAAAAGTCATCGACTCACTTCGAGAGAGAACAGGACACCTCCAATTGGACTTCCAAAAGCCACGGCTACACCGGCAGCAGCGCAAGCACTCAGAATCTCTCGAGTCTTTGCAGCATTCCGGCGGTACTTGTCAAAGAAGCGTGAGATGACGTTACCTGTACACACGGCATAGTGCACACTGGGACCCTCTTTACCAACAGACAAGCCGGAAGCGATAGCTAGAGGAAGGCCGATGGACTTGATGAGCAGTGTCCAGAAGCCAAGGAAGCCTTTCATGACGAAGCCTGCAATGATGCATTTGATTTCGGAGATACCAGAGCCGGCAGCGTAAGGGGCATAAGATTTGACGAGTCTGGCGGAGGTAAAGGCAAACATGGTCTTTGTATACAATCAGAACATGGATGAGAAGCATGCGAGGAACAGAGCTTACGGAGAAGAGGATGTATATTACATAGCGGAAGACGATATGAGAACTCCAAGGCCGCCACTCTGCACAGCCTTTGCGGCGTCAGTACAATGTGAGCAGCTGGAAAAGAGATAAGCCTACCTTCCTCGGCGCCCCAACAACAGAAACTCTCGTTCAAGTAAAAGGCAGTGGTACAATGGCCCAGCTTGATATCGGACAACCATTCGGTGACTATGTTCAAGAAGGCGGCATTCATACCGATGGCAGTACCAATCAGAGTGACGACCAGCCATGCCTGACCAGCATCGTAAGCCTCGCACAGCCTCCTCCTCCAACCTAGACGACCTTCTCTTTCAAAGAAGCCAGCTCGCTCCTGACGCTTGGCCTTGCGACGCTGCTGTTCTCTGGCTGCGTCCCTCACCCAGTCTATTGTTGTAAAGTCTTCATAGCGCTTGATCTCGTCAATCTCATCTGCGACGACCTGGTCTTCGGGGTTGACGGTTGTCGTGTCTCCTTGTTCGGCAGCCGATAGGGAAAGAGCCGAGACTCTACGATTGAAGGAGCGCGATGAGGCCGAGGGTGCCAGAGAGGGACGGCGAGACGGCGGGAGGGAGTTCATTGCATCTCTATCGTCGTCTTCATGTAGTCGTACACTTTGCGATGGTTGGCTGAGTGACGATGCGACACGAACAACAAGGAGAGGCGTCCCGGGGCCATACCTCGACCACTTTCGGCAGGACCCGTCAGAAACGCGACTGCCAATCTGGAAACGCGTAACCCGAGCATCCCACTCTGTTCGCTCTACACAGTTTGACCACTATATTCAGTTTATAACGAATCTCTGCCAGCAATATCACAGATACAACTGCCGCAGAATGCCTTACAACAACACCCCAATCACTCCCTCCACCGAGATCACCGGCACCGTATCCCTTCCCCGTAAGCGTATTCGAATAATGGATTTGTCGCATCGTCTAACCTGCTACACAGTCGCCAGAGTCAAGAAGATCATCCACGCCGACGACGACATCGCCAATTGCTCAAACAACGCCGCCTTTGCCATCACCGCTGCCACCGAGCTCTTCCTACAATACCTGGTCGAACAGACTCAAAATGTCGTCAAGGCCGAGAAGAAGCCCAGGAGAAACATTCAATACAAGGATGTCGGTCAGTATTTGCTCCCACCATCCTTCGTCCCACCACTCGTCACTGACGTCCTCCTAGCTAGTGCCGTCGCCCGCGTAGACAACCTCGAATTCCTGGCCGACGTCGTGCCCAAAACTGTTAGCTACAAGGAGCACAAGGCCAAGAAGCAGAGAGAGGAGAAGGAAGCTGGACAGACCACTCTTCCCTTGGTCGCTGCCACTGCCACACCTGCAGCCGACCTTCCTGCTACTGCTGCGCTCCCTGCTCTGTCTGATCCTGTCCCTGCTCCCATCCAGGCACAACTCCTCGACCCAATGGACGAAACTTCATGAACAATGATTTCTCGGACCAACTCCACTCCGCTCCATACCTCACCGTTTCTGACGACGGATCGTCAACTACGCGTTGCCTGTGGATATCTCGAGCTCCCGAGCACGCCCTCTCACCACCCAGACAGTCAGCACATACAACATCTAACATGGCCTTTGTAAAGCGCGAACCACGCAAGCTGCTATCAAGCCATGCTCATGTTGCGAAGGACTCCGGGCCTGCTATGATGCCCGTGTCATCATGAGCTGTTTTTTATCCTTCACAGACCTTCTGCGCATATCCTATTCGTATCAACAGAAAGCACGATGGCACCATTCTATTTTGGTAGATGGACAAACAATGCTTCAGATACGTGTTCAGCACGTACTAGGATCAATATCATGAGGTTATGAAACTTTGATTCACCGTATTTATCACGTTTCGCGATCGTTTGCCGAGTGCCTGTTCCAGCTGTAGCTCTCGTAGTTTTATTACATGTTCCCACACGTCTCTCCATTCAATCTTCTGCCATCCCCCGTTACTCCTCTGTTAGCAGACTTTGTACACCACTCTATATCGCTATCAATCACCTACTCATTCCGTGTAAGCTGCGTAGAGGATCGCAGCTGATGTCATAAATTCCCACATGACCGAGTTCGCACAACCGCTAGATTCCAACCTACACCATTCCTCTTTATTCTTTGTCAATCCATATATCCGTCGTTTCTCTGCTATAGACAAACAACGCACGACTGAATATTCGCCGGTCATTGCAGACCACACCGTGACATCTCGACAAATGGACAAACAACCTCCAATGCATCCAAGAACCACCAGATCGTGGTCTTTTCTATACAAAGACCGTATGATTTTTTTCTCTTCGATGCTCCAAAGTCAGAAACCTTACAAAAGTCTAGTTCTTGCCTCGCTGAACATACTTGCTCTTGTAACCGTTGTCATTGCAGTCTACTTTTTACGGCCAAAGGAATTGTTTCTGCGTATTTCCCTTTCAATCAGCGGTTTTGTTTGTCTTGTGAATCTCATGGTCCGTTACGAAGCATATCGCACTCGCAATGAGAATGTCTGAAAGTCTAGGCGTTGATCAAATATATACTTGGAATCTCTAAACCATAATAAACCCCAGCTCCAAAACATCATGCGTTGCTAACATACAGCAAAAGAAAGGATCAATGATATCATAGCAACCATAATAAACGCTGGATGGTGCATACTCTCAACATCTCTCAAACACACGGTACAGTCCCTTGAGATCTGCCACCTCAACGACAGCTTTCCTGAGACTTTTCGTTGCAACCAGCCTTGTCCGGAAGGCAGGAAACATGACATTCTCGATTGATCTCTCGAGTTGGACGCGACGTCTGCTCACTTCTTCCTGTGCACCTTGAGATGCCGTCGCAGTCACTGCTGCCACCGGCAAAGCCTCGGGAGAATAGAAGGATGCCAGCTCGCGAAGAAAGCTATCAAAGCAATCCTTCTCATCATCCCAATTGACATGAGGGCCCAGACGCAGCAGGAAGGTAGGCAGCTTAGCGAGACAAGGCATATATCCCTTGAGCATCAGAGGAATACTGAGCAATTCGCCGTCCTCTGAGATGTCGAGGGCAAAGTACTCATTGAGCATGCCTCGACTCTGCACTAGTTGATCAAGAGTCACTTGCACAACCTCGTTCCAGTCTAACTCTTGTTCGTCGATGGGTGTGCGGGAGCGCTCGTACTCTGCTCCTATGCGTAAGAGATCTGCAACGCTCAAGGGCTGTTTGAATTTGATGGTGCCGAAGTTGCTGAAGTCTGATAGGCCGATTTGGTAGAAGAATTCGGCGCCGATCATGCCGTAATCGACTAGGAAAAGCTTGACCCCTGATTGAATTGCTGCAATCCTCTTGGAGGTGTCTACGATGCCCACGAAGGTAAGATCTCTAAATGTGTCGTCCAGAGTATTATGGGTTTCGTCTCGCACGGCAGTACGGAGGTCCTTGATCGAGGTGAGTCGAATCGTGGTCGGTTGTTTTTCGACAAACTCGTACTCTGCTTCTTCAGTGGGGCCTTCATGTCCTTCCGCTCTACTGCCTTTGCTCGGTGAGGAAGTCAAGGTTGGAGGGAGCATGGAGGTGATTTTGCGAATACGTGAGTCAGTTCTCACGAGGCTGTTCTCATACGGCTTTGATGCCGTTCTTGGGGTTGTGGATGCAACAGAGCCTGTGCTATCTTGGTGTTGGAGCAGTGGAGTAGAGAACGACAGCTCGTGCTGAATTGGAGCTGATGGTGTCATGGGCGTTGTCGTCTTCTTCGGACCCAGCAATGACTGTGTCATGAATGTGCGACTCGTGTCAACTGCACCTAGTCTGGTAGCGATCTCGTCTTTGATTATCTCGATAATTTCGTCCTCGTTCAGGAACCCAACTTCACGCTTGGTGGGGTGAACATTGACGTCAACTCTGGCGGGATCAATGTCAAGACTTAGGTAGACGAACGGCTTGGCTCCCTTTGGCAAGAATTGTGTGTAAACCCCCTCAATGCCTTTGCGTATTGCTGTTGATTCGACTGAGCGGTGGTTGATGAATAGCAAGAAAGTAGACTTCTTTGCTGAATAGTTGGCACTGCTGATTAGACCATCTGCCCTGAATCCCCAGCGATCGTTAGCGACCTCGAATGGGATCAGATCATTCGCCACTGCACTGTTGAACACAGTACGGATGCGGTCAACCATGCTAAGGTGGCTTTGCACATTGAGACTTGTTCCAGCCTCGCCATATTTCTTGCAGCAAAATGCGACACCTTTGCAGTGGACTGAATATTTGCCGATGATATCCAGAATCTTAGCATACTCTTCGCTGCTGGAACGGAATGCTCGTCTACGAGTTGGTACGTTGTAGAAGAGATCCTCGACCTTCGTGATGTCAGCTTGGTCGACATGTTGATGTCCATGCGATCGCTTACGGTGATCTGAGTTCCTTGTTTGCCAGCAGTGGCCTTGGGGTCTGCAGTCTGTCCAGGCTTTATTGGAGTGAGGTTTTCGTTTGTGTAGTAGGCTTTCCATGCGCAACTTGACTCCCGTGTTTTCGTAGTGACTGTCAGATGAGCGATGTGACTGATACTTGCAAGAGCTTCGCCACGGAATCCATATGTGCCAATCGAAGTGAGATCCTCGAACTCCTTGATCTTAGAGGTAGTATGCCGTTGGCACAGAAGAGGCAAGTCGGCTTTCTGTGTTGCGGTCAGTATAAACATACTCATCAGGACACTCTATAATTCTTACGTTTATACCATGGCCGTTGTCACTGATCTGCAGCAACTTCAGCCCACCATCCTTGACCAGAATTTCAAGCGTGGTCGCTCCAGCATCGACAGCATTTTCGATAAGTTCTTTCAATGCGTTCCAGGGCGAGACAATGATTTCTCCAGCAGCGATCTTGTTGACAACATCCTGATGGAGAGCACGAATGGGTGGCGGCGCTCTGTTGAAAGCTTCGTCTGCAGTTCTTTTCAACCCGCGAGATGGAGACGGACTGCGACCAGTCATCTCCACGTCTTCGGTATCCGCCATTGACTAGGGTCAACTTGAAGATCGTTGTCGCAAGGCTAGAAAAGTAGGGTGGAAAGTGCACTGGGCGGACGCGTTCGCTTGCGTCATGATTGTCACGAAAACGCCGCGCTCACGGGGTCATGATTGCCTGATTGAGCCAAATGAGTGCTTGACTCGGTGCCTTCGTGCTTTCCATCTTGTCGCCGTTTCCATTCTGCCTTTTTACCCGGAATGACACCTCAACTTTCGAAGTGATATGCAACGTCGGAAGAAATCGCGTGTCTGCCCTGTCGATCCCTTCGGTGTCTCTGCATCTGCGAAAGTTGCACGACATATGCGACCTGTGTTGATTCAACACCACGTCAACTCAAACGGGCAATCGCTGTAATCTCGTTCGGCTCCTGTTCTCCGCGACCATTATCAGTGATTGTGGGGAGATGATTGACTGCGATTTCTATGCCTTGAATACGGATATGACACATGAATCGGACCGCAATCCGCGGTATCGTCATACCGAATGTACAACTCTCAAGCCATAAACGCCTTGCCGAAACGCCTTCCGTGAAGTTGTAGGAAGAGGCTTGAGGCTTGTAGCAAACCAAGGAACCGCAAGCATATTTCCATGCCAAGAACTGACTCGGCACAGGGATCGTCTCCCTTCGTATCCACTATTCTTCTCCAGTTGGGGAAGAGATGGAGGAGATGTGGAGCTTATTGCGCTCCGGAATACTGGTTTCGGGCGAACCGCCGCATGGTGTGAAGGATTCGTGATGATGTGTGTGGCCTCTTGTGTTTATCAGTGCTACCGGGTGTGCTTGAGGGTACCGGTGGGATCATGTAGGACTGATATATCAGGTAGGTGCTCGCACTTCTTCCGAAGGGTGATTGCTCTCTACTTCCTCGACATTGGTAAACGGGGATCATTACCCAAAGCTAGAAGCAACGAAACTTGCTTATTGAAAGGCTCTATATTTTGGCTGCATCTCCTCTGGCCTTCTTCTCTTTGGAACAAACGATATTTTCGAGACGAGAGTCTGTACATCGCCATCATGGATCAAATGAAAGGCTTCCGCGTAGCAAATGTGCTATACAAGAAGAGTTTGTTGAATGCCATCGCCTCAGCTGCTGCGCTGTCCATTTTCTTCTTTGGTGAGTGTTCTTCTTGCTCATCACGCAGTATCAACGCTAATACGATACTCAGGTTACGACCAGGGAATGATGGGAGGTGTAAATACATCAGCAGACTACGCACAACTCATGGGCTTCGGTCACGTCGACGATGCAACTGGTAGAGTCGTTGTGACCGATTCTTTACTCCAAGGTGGAATTGTCGCAGTCTATTATCTCGGAACATTATTTGGAGCCTTCTTGGGTGGATGGGTCGGCGACAAGACTGGTCGTATCCGCACAATTGCACTTGGGTGAGTATCCAAGCACGCATCTGGACAGGGCCTCGCTGACTGACTCTTTCCAGTTCTCTCTGGGCAATCTTTGGAGCAGCTCTTCAGTGCTCTGCTCAAAATCACGTTTGGATGATTTGTGCGCGAACAGTCAACGGAATCGGAACTGGTATCCTCAACTCAATTGTGCCTGTTTGGGCGACTGAAACAGCTGAGCACACATCTCGTGGTCAGTTCATCGCTATCGAGTTCACGCTCAACATCTTCGGTGTTGCTGTGGCGTATTGGCTAGAATTTGGGCTTTCGTTCATTGATGGCGGTCGTGGAGCATTCCAATGGCGCTTCCCTATTGCTGTGAGTAGCAAACATCATTGATGAAGAGGTTTATACTGACTCAGACCAAAAGTTCCAGATTATCCCTCTGCTCATGCTCTTCGGCGTCATCTGGTTCTTCCCCGAGTCTCCTCGAGTACGTATAGGGCCATGACAGAGATATCGAACATTTGACTAACCTCTGAACAGTGGCTGTGCAAGGTCGGTCGTGACAAGGAAGCGAGGCACATTCTCGCCCGTCTTCGCGGCGATGAAGGTGAAGACAGGATCAGAGCCGAAGCTGAATTCCAGGACATTATCAACATCGTACAATTGGAAAGAAGCACATCCAAGCAGAACACCTACTGGAGAATGCTACTCGACTTTGGTCACGGAAGCTCTGGAAGTCTGCACACTGGCCGTAGAGTCCAAATCGTCATCTGGCTACAGATTCTCCAAGAATGGTGCGGAATTGCCGGAATTACTGTCTATGCTCCAACTATCTTCGGTATCGCTGGATACGATGCGCAAAAGAGTGGCTGGCTGTCCGGTCTCAACGACACGACTTATATGTTCGCCACACTGGTTTGTGTCTTTACTCTGGACAGAATCGGCAGAAGATGGACTCTGTACTGGGGTGCCGTGGCTCAAGCCATTTCCATGTTTCTGATTGGTGGTATGTCTCGCGGTGGTATCAATGCTACCAACAGCGGGAACACAGCTCTAGCAGCACGATATGGAGCTGCTGCGGCTAGTTTCACCTTCATTTACACAGCCGTCTTCGGAGCCACATGGTTGACCGTCCCATGGTTAATTCCGGCTGAGATCTTTCCATTGGAGGTTAGAGCGAAAGGAAATGCATGGGGAGTAGTCGGTTGGTCCATCGGCAATGGCTGGCTCACTCTTCTCTGCCCGGTCATGTTCGACAGCATCGGCGAAAACACCTTCTACATCTTTGCGGCATCGAACGTCATCTCGATACCTTTGGTATGGGCACTTTTGCCAGAGACTAACCAACGTACACTTGAGGAAGTGAATATACTCTTCTCGGCACCTTCGCCTTGGGTGTGGGATGCAGAGAAGCACTTTGCTGACTTCCAAGCTGGTAACCCGACTTATGTGTCTGGCAGTCGTGGCAATTCCATTACAGATCCGGAGACTGGAATGCGTGGTGGTAAGGTCAGAGACTCGACCGACATGGTGGAAACGATGAAGGAGAAGGACAACATCTGAGTCGGGGATATATAGTGTTTCCTGCTTCTATGCGCATAATTATACAATAGAATAGACGAGATGATTTATAGACATGGTTTAATTCACCAATATAGACAGAGATTGATTTGGTCATCTTCTAGGGACTCAATCTATCGATCTTCCATCCAGACTCGCTGTTCTCGTCTCTTGTGTATCTGAAGCGATCGTGCAAGCGACTCGGTCTTCCCTGCCAAAACTCAACCATCTCGGGCACAATCCTGATGCCACCCCAGAAATCAGGCACAGGAATCTTCTCTTGACCATCAAATCTCTTCTCCACATCACTAACCTGCTTCTCAAGCTCCTCACGACTGCTCAAGACACTGCTCTGCTGACTTGCCCAAGCACCAAGTCTGCTGCCTCTGATGCGCGTATCATAGTAGACCTGACTCTCCTCCCCAGTCATCCTCTCCACTTTCCCTTCAACCCTCACCTGCCTCTCCAACTCATGCCACCAAAAAGTCAAACTGGCATGAGGATTACTCTTGACATCTGCAGCTTTCCTGCTCGTACCCCAGTTGCTGTACACCACCCAACCCTTTTCATCCAACTCTTTCAAATACACCATTCGCGCGCTGACTCTTCCTGAGGGAAGCTCGGCAGTGCTGAGGGTGACGGTTTCAGGTTGGTGCACTTTTTCGGCGTTGGCGTGGGTGAACCAGATGTCGAATTGAGTTAGAGGGTTGGGATCGAGTTGGGTGGCGTCGAGGCTGCCTTTTGTGTATTGCTGGGCTTGTTGGGAGTCGTTTGTGCCGCCGGGGGCGAAGATGCGCTTGTTGGGTGGAGTGGAGGTGGACATTGTGTTGGTGGTGGAGCTGTTGTAGAGGGCCATACGTGGTGGGAGTTTGAGTGTTGCGCGAGGGATTGAAGTTGCGAGGAGATTGATGTAGCGTCGCATGTATCTGTTTAGACGCTCAAGAATGGTTTGCAAGAGTGGAGGGAGGATGGAGAGAAAGTGGAATTGAGTGTTTGCTGTTTTGCTATGACGATCCCGGTGGCTCGATTTCCCCAGAAAAAGATGGATGACATCTGATGACGATCGCGCGCTTGCTCCTTCTTCTCGTCAACCTCCTTCCGACTCTTCTTCGTGCATTTTTGATGTAAGACAATGGGTAATGGTGCGCTCGTCTAGAATGACAGCTTCACTGACCATTATGCTGCCTCCTTGTTGCGCTCGAATGAACCCTCCGTTCAATCTCGTACAGATGCTCAGTCATCGTCGCGTCTGATTGTTCACAACTGTGCTTTTCCTCAGGTCAGTCAGTGTGCTCCTCGAAGTCGTGAAACATGCAATATCGACGACATACCTCGTTCAGTCCCTTTCTTTCTTGACCCTGGGCTTGGAGTCTTCCTCAGAGTCGTCGTCCTTCTCATCCTCTTCATCCTCATTCTTCATCTTGCTGGACAGCGACAGTCTCGGCTGGATGTACTGGCCCTTTGCCGCCAGGAACTTGTTGAGCTCTTCACGGATATACTTCACGACCATTTTCTCAATCTTCTCTTTGTGATCCTCCTTGAACACATTTTGATCCGACGCGGTGGCCCTGTGCTTAGCTTCGGCGTCCATCTGAGACAGCTGATCGATGTATCGCTGTGCACCTTCCTCAAGCTCCATACTGGCTTCCTGGCCGTAGACGAGCTTCATTTCTTGGTCGATGACTTCGACGATCTGGATGCGAAGCTCGCTGCTGTTCGTCAATATCTTTGGCCTACATTAGCACTGTGATGAGAACATACTGGTACTTGTGCTGTTCAACCTCCTGGCGAGCCCTCTTGGAGCTGCTACCAACAACCAGATCATCGGCGGCTCTCTTCTTTCCACGGCGTGCCTCGCGTCGTTCTGAATCGAGGTCGACTGCTTCGCTGACATGGCGAGACGTGTCGTCGGGATCTGGGCGGGCTGGGTGCTCAGAGGCTCTGTGCTTGCTTGCCGAAAGCCCCGTGGTCTCTTGTCTGGAGGAAGTAGGAGGTCTTCCAGAAGGTTTAGGAGTGGCAGAGGTACGGATGACGAAAGGACTACTGAAGCGAGACTGTTGATGAGCATTGGGTGTAGCAACAGAAGCGGCATTAGTGGCAGGATCAGCAGCAACATTAGAAGCGGTATCAGAGACGGCATCAGAGGCGGCGCTCTGAACAAGAGCAGGAGCAGCAGCAGCAGCAGCAGCAGCAGCCGTGAGAACGGGTTGAGCGGTGGCAACAGGGACCGAAGTCGAAGGAACGACAGGCTGCTGTTGTTGTTGCTGTGAACTCCTCCTTCTGTAGCCCTCCCATCGGTTCCTCTGCGCAAAGCGTTCGGGTAGTAGAGTGAGTAGAAGATTGTTGGCCTTCTCATGGACAAGAGTGTGATTGCCTGGATATCGGTCTATAAATTTTGTTGGAATGGAGAACAGGTCCCTCTGGAATCCTGCAGCATCAACATAATGTCCACTCTCGAGCCTCTGGTAAACAGTCCTTATATCGAGAAGACCATTCCCAAGGATGAAGAAAGGCTCGACCATGTCGTAGCGTTTGCTGTCATGGAGTTGCTTCAAGACCCAGACACAGAAGGCGGCGTCGTTCTGTGGCATGTTTGGGTTGTTCCGAAGGACCGCATTTTCATCTACGAGTATGTTAGCACTGGTCAGTACGACTTTCAAGCCATGAACATACTGATCCTAAGTCTGGACACAGAAATCGTTGTCCAATTTCCTCCATACATCTTGTCCAGCGACGATGCGGTATGCTGGTTGGGAAGTTTGGAAGAAGCGGCTGACGCTCCAGGGTTGGAATATCAGAATTCGAGTCGTGTCGGATGCCGAGCATCAAGATAGGGTGTACCTTTGTCTCCCAAGAGCTAAGCTATAGGAAGACGAGGTCGAGGACGGTCGTGGGACGTGAAAACCTTCCACGTCTTCAAATTTACGTGTCAGATGTGGTGTTGTTTCACATCAATGGAACCTTCTATTGACATATACCATAGCCAACACTTTGTATCTGGAACATTCCCACTAAACTCGAGACTCTTTCGCAATCACCATGTTGCTTCCAACACGGTTTCTTTGACCAAAACATATACATGGAATCTTCTGCCTTGAACAACAACACTCGGAAGTATGTCGCCTTCTTGCATCCTCTATCAGACTCGTCCTTGGGTGTGGGTCTCACAACATATCTGACGCGTCGGTCTTCACGTCGCATGTCTGAATTTGTGACATCAACCACATACGTACGGCAGGCAGAATCACTGACAAAACTTATCACTGCTGCCACCTCGGTGAGCGTCTCGCGTCCATGACCGTGATCGTATTATGGTTGCTTTCATTACGACTCGATGCAGATGGATCGGGTATTGCGTTGCAGCAGCAACTATAAACATACTGAGGCTGTACGGAAAGATGGCTATTCATTACTCGGAAACCATGCCAGTCAAATGGCTCACTAGCCTCCTCCAAACACCGGGATGGTTGTGGTACTCGAAACCGCCCTGACCAGAAACCTTTGGCTTGATCCAAACCTCCTTGGCCTATCGTGCCATATCAGATCCTGTAGGTGAAGAGATTATGATTTCCATCCATATGCTCTTACAGCACTGCAAATGAACTCGGAATGCTTTGTAGTCAGTTTGCTCTCATGCTAGATTGACAATGGTTGCGCAAGCGCTACTGCAAGCTCCATTTTGTCCAAGAGGCGGCTCACGACAATTCTTGATGATATCTTGCAAAGACTCTGGCACTTTGGCAGAAGGTCCGGCTGGAACTTCAAATACAAGACCGGTCGATCCACATTCTGATAGGCGATTCGGTTCTAGATTGCCTCTCGTCATCGTCAATCTGTTCGTTGTTCCACATGCAAAGTTGGTCCAGAAGAAGAGGACGAGTGGTAGAGTCCCTTTGATCTTACTGTGGAAGATACTGCAACTTCCCGCTGCGTCTGTCCAGTGGTCGATGGTCGTTGAGTCCAGATGAAAAGTCGAGAAAGGAGGATGGGAAGCGAAGACGGTCACCGTGCTATCTGCCTTCTGCTCTTCCTCAGCCTCACGTCATGATCACAGAGAGTCTACTGGCGCAGCCTGACCAGGGCGGTGGTGTGTGTACTTCAGGGACTGTATGGATCCACTCATCAAGATCTCCTGGATGGTGTATGCGTTGCGTCCCGAAAGGTTTGTCGACTTCTTCGCTTTCGCTGAACAACTGATGACTCTTCGCGTGCTTCTGTGGTAGTTGGACGCTATGTTTATGGACTCTCGTCAGCGGATTCGACAAGAGAAAAAAGAGACGATGTTGACAGCCGGATTACACAGGAGTTTCCACCACTTTGGGGCTTTGGTTTACGATTTGTATTTCGCACCAGAATCCGAGGACGAAATTGCATTCGAGGTGTTGGAAGCGGGATTGTTTGTATCACTGACGCCGTTATCGTGTTTCCTGCATGGCTTTACTTCTCTGGCTCTTCTAGATAGTGATCGACACCGTGACACGTCGTGTAGCAGATGGATGTTGAACCTGCTTAAGGTATCTTCAGAAGGGACCAAGGGCGACGGTGACTTCGGTCGCCGGGTCATCGGGTGTACCAATATCTCAGTAGTTCGAACGACACACCAAGTTGTGCGTAAAACATGTTGCACGTCAGAAAACTCTCTACAAGATTGGTCTCAAATCAGGAAGTAAAAGTCTTTTCATTACCGGTCACTGACGCCATTGTCGTTCTTCCATGTGTGTAGCTATGCTTGCTTCAGTGTCAGGATGACCTCCTTCGTGTCTGACTCCATGTCGCCCCGTCGTATCTCCTTGTGTATAGCTATGCTTGTTTGGAGCAAAAGGGCGTCTTGCTTTTTCTACTCGAATCCGTGCTTTAACTCCGTATCCTCCTATCGTAGCCGATCATTATCTCCTCTTCTCGAACTCAATCCTCATGCTCAAGTCTGGCTCTCATGTTCTCGTAGTGGCTGTCAAGCAGGCCTCTGAGATACTCGTGATGGCGATCAATGATAACCCTCAAAGCTTTCTTGGTCTCGTTCTGAACCTGGTTGCCGACGTCTCTGATGGCAACTTTTGACAGTTCCTCCACAGCAAGCTCGACCCAGGCTGAAAAGCTGGCCTTGCCTGCATCTTCTTCTGTGATGCTGTTGTCGTCTGTAGCTATGGCTGACCAAAGTGTGTTGGCGAAACTGTTGGAGCGATCATTGGGGTAATTGATGCTGGGGTTATTGATCACGGCAGTGGCTTCAGTGGTGACCATAGCTCTCAGGCTCTGTTGGAAGTCCTCCCAAGGGTTTTTGCTGGGAGATATCATGTTAGCTTTGCTAAGAGAGCAGTAAGAGTGTTGAATGCACTTACGCAGGTCCGTCTGGATTCTGGTTACGGGACTGCTCTCTGGTGCGACGAGAGATGATCTGAGGGGTAGTAGCTTCAGGCATGTTCGCAGGAGGCGCAGAGACTTTGGCCTCGACTTGCGCAGGGTCAAGAGGTTCAGCGGCTACGAGCGCAGCAGTCTGAGCTCCAACAGGCTGCTTGACTGGAGAGGATACCGAGTCAGCGCGGAATGTAGCAGGCAACGAAGTGCTTGCTTTGGAAGCAGTTTTCGACGCGCCAGCCATGGGTGTGACAGGGTTAGAGGCGCTCTTTCTGACCAGACTAGCAGCTGTGTAAGCCGACTGTGTAGTAGGTGATGACTCTGCGGTGGCGATCAGGCGCGAACTCTGACGGAGCCTCTTAGCAGGTGGCTCATCCATGCCTCCGTTCTCTGCTTCAGGTTGAGGCTCTGGCTTGCTGAAGATATGGGGATGGAATCTTTTGAGCCAGTTGTGCTGATCTGCCCAGACCTGGATGAACTCTTCGCGTAGCTGACGACCTTGCTCAAACACAGGGCTTGGAGGATGGCCTGCGTTGAAGAGGTCAGAGTTGTTGAGCATGAGCTCAAAGTCAGCTTTGAAGGCAGCTGCAGAGTCGTAGATGCCCCTTCCTAGTTTGAAAGCGATGGTAGAAAGATCCATTGGCTGTCTGACGACATTGAGGTATGTAGGCACAGCTACAATGTCAACAGGCTCTTTGAAAGAGCGCACGTACTTGCGATGCTTGTTGCGCTGGAACTCCTCGAGAATGTGCTGGCAGACAAGCAAATCTGCCTGCTCCATCTTTGATGCGTTCTGCTCAGAGGCCATCGCGATTGATTGCTGTTGTGTGGTGTCTTGATGGAAAGGTATATTGTGTTTGCGTGCGAAAAGGAGAGGTCTGACACGCATGAGGTTGCCACAAGTTCAAGCTACACCACAAAGGCAGCCTTGGCTTCTCCGAGGGGACCCAAACAACCACCAGAGCTCAAAGAGTACACGCAATCTGATTTCCAGATGAATATCAGACTACAGCTGAGTCTGAAAACTACGAAGACGACTGTGAGAAGACAATTTGTGATACTGTGATACACAGAAGCTAACTTCTTGTGCAAAGCAGTAGGAGGAGACGTCAAAGACATCATTCCAAAAACGTGATCCTTTGACCACTACCTTAGGCTAATACACCATATCGCACCCAGAACGTATCTTCTCAAGCATCACTACTCAATAGAAGACTATCCAAATGCAGAATCGAAAGCAAACCCTCCAGCTGTTCCGTTGAGAGCCCTACAATCTTTGACTCTCTTTGGACACGCGTATGGGACGAGACTACACTTTGCATCTCTACTAGTATGATCTTACTGATCCTGGCACAGAGAGAGACGCACAACGGTGCTGTGCTTCTCATCATCCCCCATGCGATAGCTCTGTTTTGGTGTCGTACTAAAATGCAAGGTTCATACTAGAAGCTTACCAAGTTCCATTGAGATCGAGCATATAAAGACATCTCTTTGGACGGGCCTGCAGGATGCAACAACATCTTGCATCTTGATTGGTTCGAAAAAAGTCATACTGCACACAGGAGAGACTACATGGATGCTCCTCCACATAAGGTATTGTCCATCAGGTAGTCTATAAGAATGCATAAACGTATAAAGAACCAGGCAAAATTCCAGTGAGAGCATCAGTTTTACACCCTCTCTTTGGAGCCTATGCGTTGTTGAGATGACTTTCTGCATTTCTATAGTTGTTAGATACCGTGTAGTCTATATGGGGACTGGGCTTGTTGAGGATCAAGAAGTATACATCGCAAATTATTGGGCTTCTCGATGTTTTCCTCGGACGTGACACACGAAGGTTTGTGCCTAGCGGAGCCACAAAAATATCACAAAAGGTATCGACCTCATGCGTTTCGTATCATGGGCTCGTGTTTTACACAAGTAGGAGGATACATCGTCAATTGTCGCTCTTCTCGACGTTTCCCTCGGATGTGACGCACGAAGGTTTGAGCCCAGCGGAGCGACAGAAAAGGGGCTACAAGTGGCATCAACCTCATGCGTTTCGTCTCATGAACCTACGATCTATAAAGGGAGGTGACAGAAAAATTGGTTCAAGGCATCATTCTTTGATTGTATTGCTTCTGGGAGCTAGCTCTATGCGTCTTCTCCAGCCCATCCTATGCTTGTGGATGGATCTCTTCTCGGTTCTCTTCTGTACCCGGCAGGTATCTCTCTTAGTTTGCTCTCGTAATCATGTACTGCTTGTCTCATTCCGACTCCTTGATCATTTTGATGATAGCCTTTGTACTGAGCGAAAACTCTGTAACCTGGTTTCTCAACTCTCCCTCGACTGCACGAGCCAGAGCCTCCTTGACTGCAAGGCGGACACCATTAGTTTTGATATCTGCCATTGACATCTCGTCGACTCTCTTCATGGCCTCCTCCATCCATCTTTTGCGGGTCTTGGGTGCTTGATCAGGAGAGTTGAAGAGATAGTAGCCGTAGACACGAGACTGCTTTTCCAGACCGGAATCCTCAGAGAAGTCCAGAGCATCTTCTTGTCTCTCCATCTCTTTTCTGACAAGATCCTCGAGAGACTTGTTGATGGAATCTTCAGCGCTGAAACAAAGAGTCAGTAAACGCTAGTGCGAAACAAACCAAAATGCGCCAGTACAACTTACTCTTGCGTACTGGCTGGTCCTGCTGGGTTAGACTGTGCGTTGACACGCTGCTTCTTGCGAGGGGAATCCATGTCGGTGGTGGAGGGCGACGAGAGAAGTCTGCTGTAGATAGGATCTTGAGGCATTTGGTAGGCTCCAACAGACGCGCGGATCGGGTCGACATTCTTGGCCTTGCTGAGAGGGCCCTTTCTGATTCTGAGAGTGAGCTGAGGTCGGTCCTCGCGCTCAGCGACCGGCTCCTCGTAGTCGGAGTCGGAGCGTGGCATTGCGGATTTGCCCTTGCCTTTCATGGGCGGCATGATGGCTGCTGATGAAGAAGTGTTCGTCAGTAACATGCAAGACAAAAAGACGACACGCTGAGTACTTACCGGGTCTCTTGGTCATGTTGATGTTTGAGAGAGAAGGTGTTCGGGTCGAAAAAGAAAGGAGAAAAGGGGGCACCTGTGAGGCAGCAGCGCGAGAGTGAATGGAACAAGCGAGGACGCTCAGTTCGAGTGAACTGAAGAGACAACCACTCGTGATCGTCGACGGCTTCTCCTCAAGAGCGTCGGGGCTGTTGGGAGAATCGTCGAGAGTACCGTTGAGGTCACACCAGTTGCACGCTCCAAATGAACAGGGTGTCAGCACGTAGCTATAGAAAGGCACAGTACTCTGGAGGAACAGAGCGATCTCCAAAGAGATCCATTGTCTTACGGGCTCTCTTTGGGTATTTGGGTGATTTCTGATAGTATCCTGCATATTAATAGCTTACAATCCTGCTCTCGCTGGTATGAGATCCTTTGAAAGTGGTGATCTCGTATCCTCACGCCCATCGTATCACAGGTATAGAAAGGCACAGTATTTTGTGGGGACAGTACAGTGTCCAAAGAGACCTCTTGTCTTGCAGGCTCTCTTTGGACATGCGTGAGATGTCGGACAGTATCTTGCAATTTCATGGCTCAAAAAACGGCTCCTGTTGGTACGAGATACTCTTGAGAGTCGTCTTTCCATATGCTCACACTCATCGCAGTATAGCCATAGAAATGCATGATGTTTTCCCAGTGTGGGATGTGTCCAGAGAAACGAGTTGTTTCACAGGCTCTCCTTGGTCATGTGAGTGATTTCTGAGAGTTTTGTGCATTTCGATAGCGTTAAGATTGCCCAGGTTGGTAAGAGATGTTCTAACTTGGTGGCTTTCTCTGGATGTATTCTCCGTTGCATAATTCGTGGCATTTTGCCACCTGCTCTGTTTGAACTTTCGAACGGTAAATTCGAGGTTTTCACATTGTCGTAGTAATTGCGCAACGAACATAGTAGATATTATGCCGAGAATTTCAACGTATATACTTTACATATAGTCCTAGAAGACCTAGCTTAGCTAAACTTATATATCTTTATACTTGGCGAGATATCAAAGTTTTCTATAGTCATAATTAGAGCACTCACTCGAGATACTATTTTACTTCTATTTTCTATGCGTATGATCTAGAACTCATATATATCAAAGAATACAGCTGTTTACATATACTAGGAAAGTCGCATGGTGATAGATTCACTATAGCTAGAGATATAGTGATTTACATAAGAACTTCAGATCTCGATGTTCTTCTCCGAATTTTTCTTTTTTTATATGATAAACAATTTCCAAGTGTTTGAAACATCGATCGGTTTGCAAATCATGTGTT